TTGCGCCTCAGCCCATCACCTGTCCCTCCTGATTACTTCCGGGAAAACCAGGAACCAAAAGCCAAAACGTAATTCTAGAATGTCACCCCCTCCCATGTAGGCGTGGCGTCGTCGACCTTGCCTGAGAGAACAGATATGGATATTTCACGCGCAATCAGATTCACACCGACGTCGACGGCGCAACACCGCGTTTGTAGGTATAAATCATGAGTCGGTGTCTGTATTATTGACGAGTACGGAGACTGTACCAGTTACTGCTACTACCTTACCTATCTAAATATGTATGCACTACGTACACACATCCAACTACAGACTCACCCGCAAGCCATGGCGGTAAGATCAGGCAGGTCGCCCCAAGCTAAACCCCATTGCATGGCGAGTGTCCAGGTATTTGGGAGCACAGACATGTTTATTATTTCTTGTTTGGGGGATCCCCCCGGCCCCACTTTGTCGATCATGTCTCGCAATCAGGCATTCTTGGGCTGGACTCGGGAAGGGGTGTATGTACATTATGTATGTGTGCGTGTATGTCGGTATGGATATGGATGTTGTGCGATATGCGACATGCGACATGCGACATGCGATCTGCTGGATGACGGTCTGTCTGAATAACTTGCATATGTGGGTTGTGGGTTGGTAGGGGGGCCAGCGCTGAGGGGAGGAGGGGAGGGGGCGTTTGTACATACTATACCCGTGCATATGGATCTGTACGTGGGAGCTTTTTTAGTAGCCCTGGTGGCCGATCCTCATCATTCTGTCCTGACCCTGCACCTGCACATTGTTGACGGGATACGCAGGTTCGTTTGCTGTATGTGCCATACCGTACGGAGTACGTGAGATGGTATTTCGTGTCGGAGGAATAACTTACTGAGCTGGTTTACTTGGGTACAGTATTCCGTACTTACTGACGGTACTTCATACTGCATATCGAACATGCTCCGGAGTACTCCGTGGTGGAGAGATCGTAGTCAGCCTTGACGTCTGAAGCCGGGGGTACGAAGTCACTCGATATCCGAACTCGAGGGAACAATGAATCGAGTAAGAGGAAAAAGTGGTACATACACATGCCACACGACCGGGGCCATCCTCGTTGTACTACATGAGAATGAATTCCCAGCGGCCCCCAGTAAGCGCCGACTTGAGGCATCATGTGCGCGATTCTTCGAGAAGACTCGGTGTTAGACCGGGGGGAGTTATCTTTCTGAGGAGGAAAAAGAAAGAAAAAGAAAAAGCAAGTGCGGAGGAAAAAAGCACCACAGCGATCTTCTTCAGATATCAACAGGGAACAGCCATGTCGAGGCCTCGATTCGGGCGTCTAATCCCCCCACGGTCCGATCGATATCTCCAAATCCAATAACCCCCGTCAGCCTTCTTTCTGTCTCCCTCGCACGCGCACCCAACACCCGCGGACAGAGCGACTCGACAGCGCAAAAGCGTCGCACAAACGGAGCCCCCCCCAAAAGCAAAAATGATGAGAAATCAGGGTGCCGGGAATCCGAATAATCTCGTTTTCCGCGATAACCTGAAACGAAAATGCGAAAGCAACCGGATGGCCAAATCGGTGCATGGTATTGGGGAAAGCTGTCTGACAGTGACAGTGACAACCAACCCTGACGCGGTCTTCTTTCCCATCTCATCTCATCTCATCCCACATCACCCACTCTGCGTTGTATAGTAGTACTACGTGGGTAGGACCTTGAATCTTCCCGGAATGGCCGACCCAAAGAAGTCGCCCATCCATGTCTGATGACTGGCTGTGGGTGCTGGCTGCTGGTCCGATCGAACGCTATCAGGAGTATTGGTCTGCGACTCTGCTGTCAGATCGAATTATCGTCCACCACGCAGTTCCCAACAAACTCATGTGATGTCCAGTGCGCGTCGACATCGCCAAGGAGGTCCCTTATTCGGGTTCCTGGCTGACGGCAGCGTTTCATCTTGAAGATCGAAGGGGGCGATGATTGGTTACGGGCATGGTAATTTTTTATTTTATTTTATTTTGATTTTCCCCCCTTCCTAGCGGTCTTGCAGTCTCCGGTGGATCTCGGGAATAGAGTTGTGGGCTTTGTTTGCGGGCGTGACGGGGGGATGTCATTGGGCGGGATCAAAGGGAGGGCGAGGAAATTGAGGAGACTAGTGCAAGCCAATGAAGCTGTCATGTTCCTTCTGGGCAGCTTGTTGGAACATTCGAATCAGGGCTGGGTTGCTTTTTTGGCTAAAGATGCGGTGGTGGACTGGGGTTACTGGGGGATGGATGTATACTTTTTGTCCGGTGGTTCCTACGGATGCGACGATGCGACGGGTTGTTGGGTCGATGGCTTGGGTGGTATCGACCACGGTTCTTTGTCTGGAGGTGTTGGTGCGTTGGGGTCTTCTTTCAGATGCTTAATATGATTTGGAGAGGAGTGATACATGGCTGGTACGTGAGTTCTTTGGATGAAATCGTTTCACGGCGTGTAGTTCGCATGTATACGATGTCACTACGTCGACGGGGCTACTATAGGTCCCCGGTATATGGTAGTGCGTTCCCCCAAACCCGCTGCAACAACAAACATAAAGCAGAGGGGCCGTACTTTTGATAAGACAGACCCGAATGACTACAATACCGACGGGGTGAAATCGTTCGAAATGCAGCCTCCACGTACGGATACATTCCATACAGACGGAACCCCGGAAAAACACCGCCAGATTGGTCCCTGGTATAGCCCCAGCCCAAGCCGAGGGCAACAAACGATCATACCCAAGGGATATCAGATGGCATGGCTCCCTCACCGCAGTCGTGTGATGGAGGAGGGGGGCGATCATCCACGGGCGAAGTAGCGGTATAGAGCCACGGAAAGCGGAGGGAATGAGGTCAAAAGAGCAGAGACAGGAGCCCAACGAGACAAACGCCGCGGCGCATCGTTTGGCGCCCTGCCCGGCCGGCCGTCACGAGCAATGAAGAGATTTCGGCGTCGATTGAACGCCGCGAACCGACACCAGCCACGTCAATGAGGGCCGGACCATGTGATGGATTGGCGAGAGAGGCGGCAATGAGGCTTACCGGCAGCAGCAAATCTGGGGGAAACGGAGTCTAGAATTATTTGCTTTGTGCAGAAGGAAAAAGAAAAAGGATAATAATAAAACAGAAAAAAGAAAAAAGAAAGGTCATCTGAACGATGGAAATTTTCTCCCGTCAGGGGGATTTGATTGATGGATTCTGGGCTGGACTGAGCTATTCTTATCTGCTCCGTGTCTGTTCAACTGATCGATCATTTGAGATCGCGTATACTCTTCCCTCCTAGTTCTACCGAGTACTCGCTATGAGGAAACTAAATCCGCCCATCCTGATTGCACCACCGGACAGCCTCCCTTCTGTCGACATTCGTGACTGTGATCTGTCTCTTGATCCTCTTATACCGAGGGACTGGACAGACTGAACGACTGACTCTGAATCCCCTCTCCATGAAACCCACGAGTCCGCGGAACTGGGATCTCAGTTCCACGCGCCTTGACGGGACCAGCCTGCGATCCGTCATTTTTGCTTTTTCCTTGCTTTTCTGTCCTGCCTGGTGATGATCCACCCCACCTCTCACGGCATCAGATGTGGCATCATTCACCGACCGACCATTCTCGCCGAGACACAGCCGGAAATCCGTTCAAAAGATTGCGATCTCGTGTGACAGAGGCCCCGAGTCTGATCCTCTTTTTTTCGCTGCTTTTCTGCCTCACCCCCTGATTCACATTTCAAGGCCAAGTCAGACATACATGTCACTGAGGACTTACTTCCATCCGGCCCGCCCCGCCGTTCGTCGTCCGTTTTCCCCGCGGGCGACTCTCCTCCTCTCCCTCTCTCCTGTTTATTTTCTTCGGAGCTGATCCCATCCCGATTCGATTCTTCGCTCTCACCTGTACCTGATGGCCTCGTATTGCGTCTGAGGTTGTTTCCCGATGTCTTGCCTTTTCTGCCTTCCGTTCCGTCTCGTTCCTGTTCGACCGACCTGCCTGCCCTGCCTTGTCCGCATCACCTCGGCTCTTTTCTTCTGCCTTCCGCTCGCTCGTGTCCTTCCGGCCTGAAGAATGGCACCCAAGGTCCGGTCCCTGGTAGGTACCTGTCATTTGACCTGGCCTGATCGGCCGTACCCTGCCTGCACTAGGTAATCGGTCGGTCGGTCGGATCGGAAGTATTACGTGCAATGGCGAAGATACCCCGGAAGACGCACCGCGATGGCTTGCAGCTGCAGACGGAGATCGACCCAACCCGGCCCAGCCCACTTCAGCCCAAGGATCCCGGGGCGTTGCTGACGTGGTTTACTTGTTTTCTGGGATGGCGGAGAGGCGTGGGCGGGGATGACTGTGTCATGTTCGGAGGTGTAGGCGTTAACTGGTAGGTGTATGGATCTGCTGTCCCGGTCGATTTCGATGCGATGTAGGTGTAGGTGGTATCCGGGAAATGGCGATGGGGAGTTCGGGTGATGTCGTTTGCTCGGGCGTCTGGCGAAAAGTAGAGGGCCATGAGCCCTTTTCCTGGGCTTTAGTGGTTTTTGGCCTGCTAACGATGACTGGGTTGTTGGCGCTCACTGGACTTGCTGGGTGCGCTTGGCTACCTGGATTTGCGAGATGTATCTGATGTCAGCGTCTGCTTTGAGGGAGGGAAAAAGGAGCCGGTCTGCGTGGTGGTTTAAGAGTGGTTTCGGGCATGCAGGAAGATGGGATGGAAAAGAGTAAGTAGTAGTTATTCGATGGTATTAAATCGGTAAGTATCTGGAGCTTCTCCTTCAATGAGCCTATGCTTGTGGCTTGGCTTGGCTTTGGTAGGATGGTTGCGTTTAGAGGTTGAAATCCAGCGACTCTCTATCTTCCAACTAGATGTGATCAAGGCAGGAGTTGGTCCATTAGATAAGGAGTTCCATTAATAAGTGACATCCACAGATGTGATTGAGGTTGTTCCAAAGCATTATGAAATACAGACGATGAACGAAATCTTGAAAGCATGAAGGTATTATACAGAAGCCAGTCATGGACTAAGGGAAGCGCCGCTCCCATCCGATCTTGACGCCCTTCACAGGCCCGGAAAAGAGCGACGTGTAGTCGGTGTCGGGGATTCCTTTCCGACCATCCACATTATACAGCTTCAGGTTCCGCACAATCGTTGCAATGATAACTGCTAGATTGAGATACGCGAACTTCTCACCGATGCAGCGGTGGCGCCCTGCGCCGAACGGCAGATACGGACTCGCCGTCCCCTTGGAGACCCTGCCGTAGCCGTAGTCGACCATCTCTCCGCCATCTTCTTCCTTGTCCTGGTGGCTTTCCCATCGGTGCGGGTCCCACTTGTTTGCGTTGGGGAAGTGCTCATCACTCATGGCTGTCATGATGGGAGATGCAAGCAGCACGTGGTCGGTGGGAATAACATACGCAGTGCCCGGGACGGGAAGGGGGTTCTTGACCTGGCGCATGATGGAATGGATGGAGGAGTTCATGCGCAAGGTTTCTCGAATAACGCTTTGATGGAGAGGCAGCTTTTCGAGGTGCTCGAACTCGAGCGGGGGCAAGTCGGTCGAGCCGTTCCCGATGTTGGTGATTTGCTCCTGATACAGTTCCTCGAGAACGTCGGGTTCCGAAGCCAATCGCAGCATAATCCATGAGCTGATGGACGATGAGGAATGCTGGCCGGCCATGAGCAACGTGATCATCATATGGGCAATTTCCTTGTCTGGGACCGGGTGTCCGTCCTTGTAAGTGCACTGCATGAGGTTTGCGATCATGTCCGAGCTCTCCTGTCCAGGGTTCTGACGTCGGTTATTGATGATTTCCGTGTAGATTTCACGCATGCGGGCGTGGGCAGCATCGCGTTTCCGATTCTGCGGCAACGGAGCCCAAGGGAGCATGAAGTTGATCGGGGTGAAGCCTTTATCGAGATCATGATACAGCTCAGCGAACTCGGCTGTGAGCTTCTGGCGCACTTCCTGGCCTTGTAGCGCACTGGCCGCGGTGAAGATGGTGATCTCAGCCATGGCTGCCGAGATATCAACCGTCCCGGAAGGACCCTTCAGCTTTGGCGATGTCTTGAGGTAATCTACAACCTCCTTCTCGATCAGGTGGACGTGCGACTCTAGCGCCTTCTGGGTGAGCCCGAATTTCATAAACTTCTTCTGTTCCATGAGTTTGGAATTGGGACAGTCGTACACGACGTCGGATCCGAAAACCGGCGTGGTGAGTGGACTGTACACTTCCTCGGCGTTCACGTCTTTCAGCTTGCCATTGAGGATGAAGTCATTGCCTTGGACTCCCAGATACACGGTTGTCTTCTTGCCTAGCAGCACAAAGGTAAAGATGTCTCCATACTAAAATTACCTATTAGCACATAGACCATTAGGCGATCAATTGGCTCTTACCTTTTGCTGACAGGACAGAAAGAAAGAGTACGGTTGCGTTCCATAGCTGATGGTATTTCCTAGAAACGGCAACCAGTGGAACACAACCGGAGGTTTGGTCTTGTCGTGGGGCAGCAGCTGGCGCAAGATGTTCAACACAATCAAGGCCAGCGCACTCACAGCCGCATAGGCAGTTACCTGAGCAAGAGACAACATGATGGCGAATCCCTTCAGCTCAAGGTAACAGGGAAGAAAGTGGTGCTGGCCAGGGGGAATCTTTATAAAGGATTACCTACAGCTTCGTAAACATTGGAAAACCGTAGGCATCTTCATTACCCCTAGTCTCCCCATACTGAGCACAGCCCTTGGACAATCGGAATCCTGCCAATTTTGCTGACACCACCCAGACTCCAGCCAACGGCCAGAGCTTTGCCCGCATAAGGAAGAGAAGGGGAACTTGGCACTAGCGGCGATTCACGATCCGAGTCGGACCACTCGGGATCTGATCAGGCAGAAGAACCACGGATACGGAGTACCGGGTATGGTGTGCTGTGCATATAAATAACCAGGGGCTGGATTCCTTCCTCGGCGGGCCCCTAGCATGATGATCAGCAAAATACGATCAAAATACGATGAAAGACGATCAATCATATTCAAGGCATTACTAATCAGATATTGTTAGTCAGGACTTCTAGGCACTTTGATATGATTGGTTTCTGATCTGTGAAGAGGCAAATGCTTCATCTGGGGATGAGTCACTGCTTGACTCTACACAGCTGGATGGACCACAGTGGCCTCAGGCTTCAGAGTCATCGTGACTCCGAATGATTCATTTCTCGCCTCCAGATTGGTTCCATGCCTATTTAGGGTTAGTTGGAAACAGTGGCTGAGTCAGCCGATCAACGTCTGTACCTAAAGTTAATCAAATCAAACATTGTCCATCTATATAGTTCTGCATCGGGAATCCCATCGTTTGTTGCTGCATCTGCTGCCCTCTATTGCGATAACTACCTTCAACTATTCCTTGTTACATGACCCCAACCCTCTCTCCTATCACCCCAGGCAGTATGAGCAGCTCCAACCCCAGCGTGGGCCAGAGACCCCTCTCCAAGGCAGAAAGTGCCAATCCACGAGAGTTCCAGATAAACCAGCTGCGGCGACGTTTCCATCCGACAGAAACTTCAGATGAGTCGGGAACGACTTTCGCATTTGGGCTGGCACCGTCAGATCCCGACTTTCCATTTGACCTGGACAAGCTCCAATGTGCGCTGCATGTTCCAACGTCATACCCGTCCGGCAGAAGACCCACTTTGAAGGTCGCCAATCCTGAAATGGAAAAGGCCTTTCAGGACAATGTCTCACGAGGGTTTGATGATATTGTGGACAGCACCCTGAGGACCGGTGGTCGTGGAACTTTGTTGACATGGATGAATACCCTCGACCGCCACCTGGAGCGCCTACTCACTACGACGGAAAGGGGGCCGACTCTTAAGTTTGTTACGAATGTCAACAACAAAGCAAATGAAGCCCCGGCGACACGAGAGATAGTGGGCAAACTGCAGTCCTTGCCCGTTCCGCTTGAAGGGGATCGGAAAGTGACAGCCACGACTACTAAACCTAAACCGCCGGCTCGAGTGTTCTCTGCGGAGGAAAAAGCACAAGCCGAGAAGCGACGGGCCTTGGAGACGAGGCAGATTGAAGCGCGCCTTGGTCGGTTACCACTATTTCAGAAGTCGAAAGATGAGCTCTCGTTTGTTATTCCCATTCAGCCGCCGAAGGCTGAGCGACTTCCGCCTTCTCTGCGGTCGGTCAAGACCGTTAAGCTATTGGTTCCGAGTTTATATCCTCTCGAGCATAGTGCTGTGGAACTGCGAAGCGTCGATAGTATAGAGGCGCGGGCTGTGGAAGCAGGATTCGCGCAGTGGGTTACCAAAAACCTCAACCTCAACCTAATGTCGCAGGTCAATTATTTGACAAGCAACATGCACAACTTCGCGAAAACTCCCCTGGAAGAAGCGTCCGATTTGGCTGCAGCTGGGCCTGGACTTGCAGAACCGGAAATTAACGAGAGGCCACCGACTACTGGAGATGTCCAACTGGGAGATAAGCCTCACGTCCATGTTGTCCCTCGGCCGCCCGAGTGGTCCGTGAAGGAGGGTGGCGATGAGAGCGAAGGCACGGATTTGTCGACATCTGAGGAGTACTCTTCGGATGAGGAAGACGAAGAAGGTGGAGCACCGGTCCCGAACCTCCCAGAAGCCACCCCAGAGCGTGGTGTTGCGATTTCATTCCCGTTCATCGAGCTCTACGGAATCGAACTTTTAGATTTGGTGGGACTTTCTATCACTGTCAAATGTGAAAGATGCAAGGAGCAGTTGGATGTGAAGCATGTGCCGCAAGTCAAAGACAAGGATGACAAATTGTCTCCGAAAATTGAATCCTGCAAGAAATGCGCGAATACGATGAGCTTTGGTATGTTCATGTCTCAAGAATCGAGGTATCTGGCTTGGGATTAATTATATGTGCAGGTTTCCGCCGACAGTTGATACATTCACATTCCAACCGTGCCGGATACCTAGACTTGGATGGCTGTATCATTGCCGACCTTCTTCCTAGGTATGTTATTCTGCGGCTTTGCCATCCACCGAGGAAGACCTCTGACGCCCCAATAGTAGTTTTATTCCTACCTGCGCGGAATGCTCTACATCTTTCCCTGCACCTGGTGTGGTGGCTGTCCGTGGAGAGAACGCAATGGCTGGATGTCGGCAATGTCATCGAAAGATGGGTAAGCATCTGAACTGCGCATATCAGAATACATGCTAATCTTTCTAGTTTTCAAACTCCCTGAGGTCAAGTTCTTGCGAGTAGGAACTGCAGCATGTGAGTATCATGGTACAGTTCCGGAAAATATGTGCTAATACTGGCTAGTCACCTCCCGAGACCAAGCTCCCCAGCGGAAGAAAGTAAGTTATAGCAACAAAAAGTATTATCTGCTCGCTAATTCTTCGATAGCCCAAGGAGGTTCTCGGCATTGTTGCTGGACAGGAACTCCCCCGTCGTGGCCGTTGCATGCACTATGGCAAGAGCTTTCGCTGGTTCAGATTTAGCTGCTGCGCAAAAGTGTTCCCTTGCGATAAGTACGTTAAGCATATTTTATGGATCTAGAAGGCTTGAGGCCAAATATTACTTGCAACTAACACTTCTCAGATGCCACGATGCAGCTGAAGACCACCCAAATGAGCACGCAAATCGCATGATTTGGTAAGAATCTCTCACTATTTAGCCCCCTCACTTCTGACATGTCTGTAGTGGTTTCTGCTCGCGGGAGCAAATATATCGACCCGAGGACTGCGGAATATGCCGTGCGGTTCTTGTAGGCAAGGCCGGCAGCGGTTTCTGGGAAGGAGGAAAGGGCACTCGCAACAGGGTCTTGATGAGTCGTAAAGGTATGTATGACCTGTGCTTAGGTTTAATAAATATTAACCAGTTTAGATCCCCGGAAGTTCAAGCGCCGTCCGGGCTCGACCCCAGGAGGCACATCGAAGAAGAAGTAAATATTATAACTGGATTACACAACATTCATGGTAAACAAGTCATTATAAGAGGTTGAGATATCCAAGTGAAATAACATTGTCATTATCAACGCTATGAGCAAGACGTGCTATACATGTAACAAAGCAAGCCAAAACGCAAGGTCATATACATCATTCATTTTACCTCACCAAGACTAGATCAGATTCCCACGAAGCTCCTGCTCTCGCTCGAGCGCCTCGAACAACGACTTGAAGTTGCCGGCTCCGAAGCCTGAGAAGTTGTGTCGCTGGATGATTTCAATGAAGACGGTAGGACGATCCATCAAATGCTGAAGTATACATTAGCTCAAGATCCACAGACCGAAGTCGGCACAACATCCACATACCTTGGTGAACAGCTGCAGCAAGTAGCCACCCTCGTCGAAATCAATCAGAATATCCAAACTGCGAATCGTCTCGAAGTCCTCGTGCAGCGCCAGCCCGGCCTTCTTCAGGCGAATCTTCATGTCCTCGTAATATGTGGCGGGCACCTTGATGAATTCTACCCCGCGGGCCTTGAGATTGGTGATGTCGCGGATGATATCATCGGTCAGGAGAGCAATGTGCTGCACACCAGCACCGTTGTAGTAGTCGACATACTCCTCGATCTGCGACTGCTTCTTGCCTTTGGCGGGCTCGTTGATGGGCATTTTGACGACCTCGTTGGGCGAAGCCATCACGATACTCTTGAGCGCGGAGAAATCTCTGCTTTCATTAGGGCTGCTCTAGTTGACCGAGATCCAGGGTAAGACTTACGTGCAGATATCCTTATCATCGACCGACCAGAAACGATGGAATCCAAGAGCCTTCTCATAGCTACAGACTTGTTAGCTCAAGCTGGAAGTCAGAAACAGGAAAGAGAACATACTATTCGCAAACCTTATCCATCTCATCCCAGTCCTGGTTCCCAACACAATGGTCGACCCGAATCAAGCCCACGTCCGGCAGCATATGCGAGATCGGATCCTCCTCGTTCACGGTCTTATAACCGGGGAGGAAGGTGCCGCGGTACGAATGACGCTCGAGCAGAGTATGCGTCGTCTGGCCATACGTCTGGATCTGCGCCATCTTGATCTCGCCGTCGGTGTCCTCCAGCACTCGAGGCTGAAAGACCACCTTGGCGCCGTTGTTCATGGCCGCGCCGAAGACCGCGTCGACGGAGTCTACCTCGAACGCGACGTCCTTGACGCCGTCGCCGTGCTGCTCGAGGTGATGGTGGATGGCCTTCAGCTCCTCCTGTTCTGAGGGCGAGAAGCGGTCGATGTGGTCCAGAGACCGCAGTGGCGAGGTCAGGATGAAGGTGATGTCCCCGTTGCGGATGACATGCGAGCAGATGGCGCGGCTGCCGGTCTCCAGGCCGCGGTATGCAATGCGTCGGAAGCCCATGCGCGTGATGTAATATGTCACGGCTTGTTTGGCATTGCCAACGTACCAGTGGACGTGGTCATAGCCTTTGTAGCTGGCTAGACTGTCGGAGGTGGCAGGGGTTCTGTTTGTAGGGGGTGGCGAGATAGCTGTAGGGGCCATGTTGGAGGTGAAGGCTTTCTAGAAGCAAGATAAACTTATTCAGGGGTATATCCGAGAGGGAATGATCTGATTGTGTCTGATAGTAGTTCAATGGAGAAGTTAGAGAAGAGACGAGAGATCGAGCAGATATATAGCTTCTGGATCTAGGTTGTCCATTGTAGAACATGACGAGTGACAGCCACGCATTATAAATTCGGCCGACGCTGACACGGATATCTCCATCATACCCATGGAAACCCTAGTCACGAACTACCCGGCGGAAGATAACAATGATGAAGCTACTGGGGCGACGGTTCCGGGCGGATATTGAGGCAAACAACGGCTGGACGCGGGTATTTGCAACATCCGCCATCGCCATTCGCCCCGTTGCCTCGTATCGACTCTACACTCCTATATCATCTTATCTTCTTCAATGCATTCCCTCCGCTCATTCACACCTTCAAACCACGATACAATTCAAAATGACCACCATCCAACCCTCCCGTCCCAATCTCACCTCCAACGACTCCGCCGTCCTCCAGGCTCTCTTTGACGCCGAATCCTCCCCTTCAGCAGCCGTCGCCATCGACCCATCTCTCCCAGCCTACCCAGCCCACCTGAACCTGGACCCAGAGGCCCTCGAATCCCTGCGCCAGCGCGAGCTCTCCATCGTCCGCACCCTCCAACCCTCCTCGTCCACCCCTCTCACTCCCCAAACCATCCACGCAGCCATCCACTCCCTCGACGCCCTCATCGCCGAATATCCCACCTACCCATCCGCGCACGTCAATCGCGCCCAGGCCCTCCGCACCCTCATCGACCAGTCCAAGCCCGAAGGAGACGACGACAACGAAAGCGCATTCTTCTCCCCCCAAAACACCACCCCCACCACAACCCTCTTCGACGACCTCTCGCGCGCAATCGCCCTCGCCACGCCCCTCTCCCCCGCCGACCCCGTCTCCCCAACCCAGGCCCGTCTCCTCGCTGACGCACACACCCACCGCGGCTACCTCCTGCTGAAAGCGGCGCGGTGGAGGCGCGCAAATCCCAACGAGTCAGGCACTGGCGGACCGGCTAAACTTGCCGGCATGGACGCCGAGCAGCTGGAGGAGCTGGCGAGTCGGGATTTTTTCATGGGAGGACGGTTCGGGAATCAGGTTGCGCAGCAGTTGGCGGTGCAGACGAATCCGTATGCGAAGATGTGTGGGGCGATTGTTAAGGAGGCGTTGAGGGAGGAGATGAGGGGGGGTGGGTTGTGATTCGATTCATCTTATTTGATTGGATTTCTGGTAGGGGATGTGGATTTTTCAGGGCTGGATTGGCTTACCTACTTACTTAATTTGCTAGATGTTAGCGTCGCATCGTTTTGTCGAATATACAGTATGTTTCTTTGGGTGCGGATGATGGGTTAGAGTGGTAGATGGTGTTTCGTTTATGGTACTTGATCTAATGCATGGATACCAGCAGGGGTGACAAATGTGTCGATGGAGGACATAATGTAAGCATTCGTGTAGAGTATAGTACCAATGGACTATTATTCAAACAACAGCAAACCAGAAAATGTCTCATTTTAGATAAAGTAAATCGCATCACTGATATTAATAACTATACATTAAGCCTTGTTCGGATTCTGGAAATGCCGCTTCAACGGCCTCCAGCTATGATCATTATACTCCTCCTGCACCTTCTGACAAGTCTTGAGTCCCCATTCCGACACGCCCACCATCAACGAACTGTTCCAGTTAGTCAGACACCCATACAATGCAGCGGATTTACTCACCTCTCAAACATAAACGCCATACTCCCATCGCCCACCTTCTGCGGCTTCAGCTCGGCATTGCTGGCGCCCTCGAACGCATCCGCGTCCGGCCCATGCGCACTCATCACATTATGCAAGCTCGCTCCCGCCGGCTGGAACCCGCCACCCGTCTTCGCATCGTAGTTGCCCGTGATCAGGCCCATGAACTCGGACATCGTGTTGCGGTGGTACCACGGCGGACGGAAGGTCTTCTCCGCGACGAGCCACCGCGGCGGGAAGATCACGAAGTCGGCGATGGCGGTACCCACGTGGTCAGAGGGTCCCGTGAGAACGGTGAAGATGGAGGGATCGGGATGGTCGAAGGAGATCGAGCCGATGGTGTTGAACCGCCCCAGGTCGTACTTGTAGGGGTAGTAGTTGCCGTGCCAGGCGACGATGTCGAAGGGGCTGTGGCTCTGGCGTGCCGAGAAGAGTGTGTTGGCGAATTTGCTGTACAGGCGGTGCTCGGTCTCGTCGTCTTCGAATGAGGCCACGGGGGCTTGGAAGTCGCGCGCGTTGGCGAGCCCGTTGGATCCGATGGGTCCGAGGTCCGGCAGCTGGTAGTGGCCCTGGTAGAGCTCGCAGATGTAGCCTCGTACGGGGCCTGCGGGTAGAGTCACCCGGTATCTGGGGATTGGTTAGCTGTGTGTGATGGCTCAAGGGAGGGATTGCATACCGGACCCCCCGGGGAATCACGCAGATTTCATTCGGACGGACTACCAGTCGGCCCAGTTCGGTCTGGATGTCCAGGACTCCGTGCTGCGGCACGATCAGGAAGTCGCCGTCCGCCGAGTAGAACGCCTCCTTGCCCATATCTTTCCCGGCGGCATACAGGAGGATGCCCAACCCCTGCTTCAGGGTCGGGTCGCCTGCTCCCGCGACGAGATGGAGCCCGTGCACCCAGTCGACCTTCTCGTCCAGGTCGAATGGGTTCCATCGCAGCTGGTTGGGGATGTGGTGCAGCTTGTGTGTCTCGGTGGTCATGCGCGTGTGGTAAGAGTCGGATTCCTCGGCGACGAACTTCTCGTGAGAGGCCGCAGGGATGATGCGATAGACCCAGGTCTGTCTGTTTTCGTGTCTGGGGGCTGTGAAGGCCGTGCCGGACAGCTTCTCAGCGTAGAGGCCTAGCGGGACTTTCTGGGGCGAGTTGTGCCCCACGGGGAGAGCTCCGGCGATGGCTTCGGACCTGCGGAATTAGCTTGAGCAGGGATATGCTGGGAGGGTCTGAGACATACTCATGGTACGAGTCGAAGCCGTTCTGGTAGGTGTAGGGATCTGGGTGGGAGAATTCGGTGACGGGCATGATGTCTGATTCTCAAGGGGTCTTTGTGTCTGTTGGATGGGATCGAGAGGGACCGAGAGAGCTCGTGCTCGTTATAAACGACGACGCCATCAGTCACGAAGCCACGGAGGTCGCGGGAATTGCAGCTGAAGAGAGCGTCGCCCTGCATCTTCCGTGGCGCAACCGGCGGAGAGCGCGGAATTGACGACAGCCGGCGATAAGCGGAGGCGGGACTGTTCCGCGACTGTCGCCATGAGGGGAAGTCAATTGTCCTACAAGTATTCTCTTGTTCAACCAGTTATCCTGGTAGTTTTACTCTCTCATTCAACTTCCTCATCTTCTTTCGTCATGGCTTCCTGGTTCGCAATCCCCAAGAACTCGCCCTTCTCCTTGGCCAACATCCCCTTTGGCATCATCTCCTCCGCCAACACCCCGTCGCGAGTGGCCGCCATCGCCATCGGAGACCATGCCTTGAACCTCAGTGTCTTCGCAGCCTCCGGGGGCTTTTCGCAGCTCCCGGCCATCCAGTCCCATCTCAGTGTCTTCTCGCAGCCGACTCTGAACGCCTTCGCGGCGCTGGGCCGCCCCGTGCATCGTCAAGTGCGCGAGTACATCCAGAGCGTCTTCCGCGCAGACACGCCCCTCCCTCAGATCCTCAAAGACAATGGCGCTCTGCAGAAAGACGCTCTGCTCCCCTTGAGCGACGTGACCAACCACGTCCCCATGCAGATCGGCGACTACACCGATTTCTACGCGGGTCTGAACCACGCATACAACGTGGGCGTGCTCTTCCGGGGACCCGACAACGCCCTGCAGCCCAACTACAAGCATCTGCCCGTCGCATACCACAGCCGGGCCTCCTCCGTCGTCACCTCCGGCACGCCCATCAACCGCCCCAACGGCCAGATCCTCACCAACCCGACGGCCGACCCCAAAGTCCCGACCTTCTCGCCCTGCAAGAAGCTCGACATCGAGCTCGAGCTGGCCGCGTTCGTCTCCCGTCCCAACAACTTGGGTCATCCCGTCCCCGTCACCGAAGCAGAAGACCACATCTTCGGCCTCGTGCTCATGAACGACTGGTCCGCCCGCGACATCCAAGCATGGGAATACGTGCCGCTGGGCCCGTTCAACGCCAAGAACTTCGCCACCACCATCACCCCCTGGGTGGTGCTGCTGGACGCCCTGGAGCCGTTCCGCTCCGCGGGCCTCGAGCCCGGAGACCGCGACTCTCTCCTCCCCTATCTGCAGGAGAAGAAGGCCGCCAACGTCTACGACATCCCGCTGGAGGTGGAGATCACGAACGCCGGCGGCCAGCCCACCCTCATCTCGCAGTCCAATGCGAAGAACCTGCTCTACTCGTTCCCGCAGATGCTGGCGCACCACACCATCACCGGGTGTAACATGAACCCCGGCGACTTGCTGGGTAGCGGCACGATCTCGGGCACGGAGCCGAAGACGCAGGGCAGTTTGCTGGAGCAGACGAATGGGAAGAGTCCGATCAAGCTGGCGGATGGGTCGGAGCGCCTCTTCCTGGAGGATGGAGATACGATTGTGCTGAGGGGGAAGGCGGGTGCGGAGGGCAGCTATGTTGGGTTTGGAGACTGTACGGGGACGATTCTGCCGGCTGTGAAGTTGAGCTTTTAGTTGAGATATTGTAGTTCATTCTTGATTCCAAAATAGTGTATTGAGTTGTCAACTGTACGACGAGTACGAATAGATTGAACCATTTCATTCCCATTTAATCCCCAACCATCCCCAGAACCGAACAATAACATTAACAAACTAAACCCTAAACTCCTCCGGCGTATCCTCCTGCGTCCTCCAATGCCCGACCTTCACAGCCTCGACCTCCTCCAAATTCCTCGCCACCCTCTCAATAGTGGGATACATCCCCAAATCAACCCCCACCCTCTGAGCCCCCCAAACCGCCGGAATCAAACACACGTCCGCCATCGTGATCGCATCCCCAACGCTGAACTTCCCCGCCGCACCCACCGCAAGTGCCTCATACGCCCGGAACCCGTCCTCGATCAGCTCCTTCGACCACGCCGCGCGATCGACCCCGAACGGCGCCACGCGCTTGAGAATCCGCAGGTTCGTGACGGGCTGGACGTCGCAGGCGATGATGTGCGAGAGGGTGCGGACGAGGGCGCGGGTAGAGGGGTCGGTAACGGGTGGGAGGAGGGATGGGGTGGCTGGGAAGGCTTCTTCAAGGTATTCGAGGGCGGCGAGGGATTGGGTGATTGTGACTTCGGTGTTGTTGGTGGTGGAGTTGGGGCTGGAGGACGAGATGATGAGCGTGGGCACCGTCGCGGACGGGTTGATGGTGTTTTGAGCCGAGTGCTGCTCGTCTTTGAGGAGGTTGATGGGGATGGCGGCGTAGGGGAGGTTTTTGAGTGCCAGGGCGATGCGCAGACGGGCGGAGCAGGAGGAGCGGAAGTACGTGTAGAGGGTGATTGAGGTCATTTTGTATGTAGGTGTAGTATGTAGATAGGTATAGTATGGGTATAGGTTGAGGTTGCGGTTAACTGTGGTCACTACGAATGAGAATATAAATACACCCCGCTTCCACCCCAGCGAATAACCTGCAAAAGAACCTCTCACATGCTCTTGTACAAGCCATGGATAATTCAATTCCTCTTCGTATAACCCAAGCCTTTCCCCGGATTGTCCGCGGAACCGTTCCGTCGCCTCAATACCCGACCGAGCGCGAGGATTTCCGCGACTTTCCGAAGGTTACGCCGTCCAGGGATGGCGATCAGGATGTGCCATGGAAAAAGCTGGTTCTCTTCATGGATTCCTAGTCTTGACTAATGATGGTCTTGACTAGTATGGTCTTGTGCTAGTTGCAATCTGTGCGTGGGTTTGACGGGCGGCATTGGCTGCGAGGGTTCCGCGAGAGGAGAACCCGATGACATCATAGGCATGTATGTATGTATGTAGGGGGTCGAAGTGTTTTAGACAGACGGAGAAGTCAAGGTGGTGTAGGAGAGCCCAATGGGAGCGTTTTCGAGAAGCATTTGCTGCATGGACTCTGCAGCATGCGATGTGAGGGACACGGGCGACATGCAGTTGCTGTCATCGTTTCTTTCCACGTCCTCTAGATCCAGACCTTACGAAGTAGAACTTATTTCATTACTAGCATAATTAATAAATTAATCTACCCTGTATCAATCAATCAATCTGCATGCGAGTGTAACCCCTTAACCCTCAACCCAGCCAAATACCCGAAAAACCACCGGATGTTTCCCCGCCGCCCTTCGGCAACTGCCGGCTATTTTGCCGCGTCTTCAATTTCATCCGCACAAAACACCCTCTGCCCCGGTGCTTGCATCTGGTCGCATCGCCGGCCCCAGCTGTAAGATCTCGATCTCTCGACTCTCATTGACTGAAGTGCTGCAATCCCACCTTCCCACATTATCCGCTTCCTGATTGGCCCCACCCCCAGTGATGCGTGAGAATGGAAATCAGGAGACACTCCCGCCCCGGAGATGCCCCCGACCGAACCTACCAGCGCACCTACAAGGCCTGTCTCGCCTGTCGCCAGCGCAAGGCCAAGTGCGATCTGGGCACCGGCCCGGACGGTGTCTCGCTGGGCCCGCCCTGCGCGAAGTGTCGCAGGGAGCAGCGGCCGTGTGTGTTTAGTGAGAAGAGGGCGTGGGAGAGGCGCAAGAGGCGAGGTACGAGTTGCTCTTTTTGTTCTAGTCATATAGCTCTTCCAGTTGGACCTCTAGTGCTTTGTGTGCGATCGGCTCGCTGATATTTCTGTCGTATAGATACAGGGACCTCGGACGATGGCCCCAGGTCCCGGCGCAGGCTGTCCAGTAGTTATGCGCATGACGGGGATGCATCGTACCATGCCCGGACGCGCGATTCGACCGTAGAGGATGGGGATGGCGAGGCGCCCGACGAGGTCGACGAGGATGAGGACGTGGGTATTTTACAGCGCCCAGATCCCCCTGAGCAGTCCAATTCCTTCGCGAATTCCATGATGCGCACCGTCGTGTCGAGTGGGAATGATGCGCTGAATATCCTCTTCGAGGCGGCCGCCGTGCATAGTCGTGAGAATGATATGATCGAGTCGGACATGCAGTCGCGTAATGCGCGGGATCGGTCCCATCGGACGAGGCAGAGCAATGCGTCCAGGGACTTGAATGCTATTTCTCCGGAGGCGCTGGCGAAGGCGGTCCGCCCGGTGGACCTGTCGTATGCGTCTAAAGACGTACTTGCTGTGTGGGAGACGTGTCGGTTTGTGCGAATGGGGTGGTTTACGTCGAGAGAGGCCGTCACTTTTATTGATCTGTGAGTGAGACTTACGTTCGGGTGGGTATGGAGAGCTGATTGTGTTGTGATCTAGTTTCTTCAAGAACATGTCCCCCCTGTCGCCCATCTTGACCGATTTCTACTCCGATCATCGAAATCATCGCTGGCTCGTCACCCGGGACCCCGTGCTGTGTTGTACGATTCTCATGATCTCGTCGCGATACCATCTGCTGCCTGGCGCCGGCGGAGAATCGCGAAATTTCTTCATTCACCATCGACTGTGGCAGCATTGTCAGCAGCTCGTGATGCGACTGACCTTCGGCCAGGAGAGATCTCTGCAGCCAAAGACCAGGACTATCGGAACGATCGAGGCGCTCTTGTTGATATCCGAATGGCATCCGCGGTCTCTGCATTTCCCGCCGGAAAGTGATGGCTGGGACTTTGACCTGGCATATGCAGCCCCCGAGCCGAAGGAACCGGACGAATCGTCCACCAACCGATGGCTGGAGGATATGATCGAGCCTGCGCGGCGGTCGGATCAGATGTCGTGGATGCTGCTAGGCTCGGCCCTCTCGTTGGCGCACGAGCTGGGGATCTTCGAGCTGGATGATAAGAAATGGAGCTACTTCTCGGGCTACGAAGGGGCTATATCCACGGAGCAGATTACGCTGCGTAGATCACGCGTCCAACGATTACTCTATGTCTATATCAATCAGCTGGCGTGGCGTATAGGTTGTGTTTCACTCATGCCGCAGAGCTTGAATCACGCAGTCCTAGGCCGACAAGCACGGCGCGATGTCAGCCAGCCCGGAGACGAATGGCTGGCGTTTATGGACTCGTGGATGGATCTGACGAAGCTGGCGAAATCGGTGACGGACATGTTCTTCCCTACGGTCTCGTTTGCCCGACAGCAGCTGCACACCGGACGGTATATCGATCTGCTGGACCATTTCCGGCCTCTACTTACGAAATGGAAAGATACCCACCTTCAACCTCACTGTAAGTTCGGCTTCCTACCGTGGGTAATGAAGCACGTCACTAACCCCAGCAGTGCTCAGCGAGCAGTTCTACGACATCCTCTTTATCGAGTATCACTTCGTGCGCGTCTACACCCACTCCGTCGGCATGCAGGCGGTGGTCGAGCGCGTCCTCGCCGACAGCGACCCCAACGCCGACGAGGTGCGCGCCACGAACATCGACCCCATCGACTACGAATACATCCAGGAAGTTATCGAAGGATGCTGCCAGATCCTACACAAAGTCAACCAGCTCTCCCGGATGGAAGTGCTGCGCTTCTCTCCCGTGCGCATCTTCCTGCGCATCACCAGCTCCTCCATCTTCCTCATGAAAGCCCTCAGCCTGGGGACGCGACAGGCCAAACTGCGCGAATCTCTCGACTGTCTCGAACAATGCTGCCAGGCGCTGCGCTCGAACGCATTGGACGACATCCATCTGAGTACCCGCTACGCCACCCTACTGGAGCTCCATGTGGCGCGTCTCCGGCGCAACCTACTGGCCTCCTCCAAGAGCAAAAACCCAAAAACGAGCCACGGCAAGCGGCGATCCTCCACGGGCGTCCTCCCCAACCCCGACCTCGAGACGCCCGTCATGGACGAGTCGCAGAACATATCGGCGGTGGGCCTGGTGCCGTCGCTGAACGATATTGCGGCCGACGATTGGCTTTCCTTGCCATTTGATCCGTCCATGGCGCCGTTTGGCATCAGCAGTGGCGGACAGTTCCCTGCATATGAAGGTGGAGCTTTGAATTTTATTTGGAATTTGCCCTCTTGAGCGGGTTTGTTGGTCTGGGCGCTTTACTTGTTGATTGTAATGATAATTATGATGTTAGCTTGTAGTCTGATGGTCTGATTGGCTATGAATAATGAGAAATGTCTGCTAGTTCTTTTATGGCGTCAGTTGGAGACTGTCTCCCCGCATCGATAAGCTTTGATGAATTGATTCGGATTCTCAGAAGTATGAAGTTTTCCTGCGGGTGTAGAATAGATAGCTACGAGATCGTGGAGTCGGCAATTCTAGGCGACCGATTGCGACTGACGCGGGATAATTATGCCGTAGTCGAGAAAACTCTGCGATCAGATAAATATAGACGACAGGGATCGGGGAGATGAGGAAGCATCGACCGGGGAAGAAAGGCGACGCATTTTCGCCACTCGAAAGAAAACCGGGGAAAAATCGAGGCCTTGGCGCCTTATCGGCACGTGATGTCAGGTCACGTTTTCGGGGGCGACAGAAAAAGATTGACGGAACTTCTTCATCGCCGAACCTTTGATCTCGCCTCGACTCGGACAACGACCTTCCCCCATCAGCACCTGCGCTCGACACTCCCCGTGTGTCTCTGTAAAAGACGCCCTTCTGTTTGACGTGATCCCTGTCATTCCGCGTTCATTGGATTGCCGCTCCGGATTACGCTCCTCTCTCGGTCCCTCGTCATCTCCCGTCTCTCTTCACAATCACAATGGATCACTCCAGAGATCCCTGTCCCTGGGTTGCCCTGAGCGACTTCGGTGGTGCTTTCTGTATGGGTGTATGTTCGCCCTGGTCCCTAGTCCCATCCCGCCGCGCTGCAGTACTGACGAGCTCGTTGTTTAGGCGATCGGTGGTGCCGTCTGGCACGGTGTCAAAGGTTTCCGAAACAGCCCCTACGGCGAGCGACGGATAGGTGCCCTCACAGCCATCAAGGCCCGCGCGCCCGTCCTCGGTGGTAACTTCGGTGTATGGGGTGGTCTGTTCTCGACTTTCGACTGCGCGATCAAGGGAATCCGGAAGAAGGAGGACCCTTACAATGCTAGTATGTGGATTTTGTCTCGGTCCTGTCAACGCTGAGAGGGTATCGTACTGACGATGACAGTCATCGCTGGTTTCTTCACTGGTGGTTCCTTGGCTGTCCGTGGTGGTGTCAGGGCTGCTCGGAACTCGGCCATCATGTGTGCTGTGTTCCTGGGTGTCATTGAGGGTGTCGGTATCGGCTTCCAGAGAATGATGGCCGACAACACGAAACTAGAGGTGAGATTACTTCTGACGGTCATGAGCTGAATGAAACTAACACCAATGCAGCTCCCTCCTCCCCCTCCCTCTCCCGAAAAGGCCGTCGCCTAAACTCCGTCGACGACCATCTTATGATATCCTGTCGCTGTGTCCGTATATGCTATATTATTATCACGTCTCTCTTCTCAGGTGTTGGGTGGGTCATTTGGGCTTCAGTATAGAGGTTGCGTTGAATTGTGCTTCTATCAGCTCTCGACTTCTTTTCTTTTTTCTATCTTACCCTATTTTATTACTTATTGTGGAGCATGTTTTATGGCGATTGGATTGTTCAGCCTTTGCATCCCATGTTTTTTTGTGACCGGAGACGACAAAAAAAAAGCGGAAGTGCCGGCTGGTCTTGTACATTAACTTGCTAACAGGAATAATTCATCCAAGTTATTTAGATTTGAGAGAACTTGATCTGCTGTGGCTTGTTTTGGCCCGTGACTGCTCTCTGCCTATAAAGTCTACCCCTCTTGTCTTCACACTAACCTTCACCATCACCAAGTCATCTCTCACAGTCACAGCAATCACCATCAACTATCTTCCATTTGTCAAAATGAAATACAACCCACCCTGATCATCCACGGCGGCGCCGGCGCCCTCTCGCGATCCGCCATCCCTCCCCACCTCTACGATCAATACCACGCCTCTCTTCTCGCCTACCTCCGCTCCACCCGCCAGCTCCTCGAATCCGGCTCCTCAGCCCTCGACGCTGCCGTCCACGCCGTCTCCCTCCTCGAAGACGACGAGCTGTTCAACTGTGCCCGCGGCAGCGTGTTCACCTCCGCCGGGACCATCGAAATGGAGGCTTCGGTGATGGTCACGTCTATGAACACCGCCGTTCCCGATCCCGACTTCCCCGAGAAATATTCTTGTCCCGAGCCATACTCGACTGCAATTCGCCATGATCCCGGTCAACCCGGCAATCCATCAAACATCCACCCGGGAACTATCAAACGAGGTGTCGGCGTCATCGGGCTCAAGAACGTGCGACACCCGATTCAGCTCGCGAGGGAAGTTCTCCTGCGGAACGGTCTTGATAAAGATGCAGATGGAGACGGAGGAAGCATGCACGCACAGCTCTCCGCGCCCTACGTCGAAGACCTCGCCAGACAGTGGGGTCTCGAGTTCGAGCCGGACGAGTACTTCTGGACTCAGCGACGGTGGGACGAGCATATCCGGAAACTCGCCCAGACGGCCGATCATCACCCGCCGCCCCCATACCCCGGCCCAGGCCCAGACCCAGACCTAGATCTAGACCTGAACTCCCTCCCCCAGGGAACCGTCGGCTGCGTCTGTCTCGACCAATACGGCAACCTCGCCGTGGCGACCAGCACCGGCGGCATGACGAACAAACTGCCAGGTCGAGTAGGCGACACGCCGACGCTGGGGGCCGGGTTCTGGGCCGAAAGCTTTGGCAGAACGGCGATGATGCGGCCTGCGCCTCCTCCGCTGTCTTATTACCTCTCAGCGTCGAGTAGTAGCTCATCACTTGCCAAGGATGACGCACGCGTACCGTCGACCTGGACGGGCTGTTTACCTTCGTTTCTGCGTCGTGGTCGTCGATCTCGATCCTCATCATCTAGAAACGACGAAACATGGCGGATATACCCCGACCCCAAGAAAGCCCCATATATAAATACAACAATCTCGACATCTACCCGATGCGAAAGCCAAAACCAGAGCGTCCACACCCACCCGTCGACGATGAAAAAGAACCCGAAACCGACTCCTGCGACTCCCTCTACCGCCCCGTTGAAACTTCCCCCCTCTGCTACCTGGAAACCAAAGCCCTCGCCGTCTCGGGCACCGGCAACGGTGACTCCTTCCTGCGCACCTGTGCCGCGCGTACCGCCTGCGCTATGACGCGCTTCGCGCGCGAGATGCCGCTCTCGAAGGCTGTGACTGCCGTGGCGGGGCCCGGCGGCGAGTTGCAGCAGTCAGCGGGAGATCGGTGGGGGAGCGGAGAGGGCGAGGGCGGGCTGATCGGGATCGAGGTGGATGATTATCAGATGACGCCGTTTATGGCGGATTGGGAGGTGAGCGGCATTGTGATTCGGGGGCGGGTGGTGTGTGATTTTAATTGTGGGGGGATGTGGAGGGCTTGGATGGAGGATGGGAACCCGGGGGAGGGGGAGGAAGATAGGGAGGTGGTGATGGTGTTTAAGGAGAGTTATTATTAGATTTTTTTGGTTTATGGGGGATTCTGGAGGATAGAAGTGAGGAAGGTAAGGGAGGAGTGGGTTTTATATTCAGATTGGTCTATACTATACTTGCACGTTCAAGGGACAGAGGATAGAAAGAAAAGTTTGTCGCTTTCATCGGACCTACTTCGGAACTGTAGTTATATATAAAAATGTTTTGAAAAAAAGAAAAAGAAAGAAAGAAATCAAGAAAGACAGAAAATAAAAGAAATAGCAGACTACCACCCCTCCAAAACATTCATTTTCACCAACACCCCATCCTTCGGACAGACCGTCGCGCTCTGTCTCACCTCCAGCTTCTTCTCCGGATGCGCCAGCACCATCTCAAACCGACCAACCAGGGACGCTACGAGGCACGCCAGCTCCGCCTTCGCGAAGCCCTGACCGATGCAGCTGCGCGGGCCGTGCAGGAAAGTCAGGTAGGCGTAGTTGTTCGCGGCGCCGCCGGTGTTGGCGCGGCCGGGCCCCAGCCAGCGCTCGGGGTTGAACTGGTCGGCGTCGGGGCCCCAGAGCTCCTTGTTGTGGTTGATGACGGCGGCGGCGATGAGGAAGAGCGTGCCCTTGGGGATGGGGGTGTTGACGAGGGTGGTGTCGCGGCTGGCGATGCGCACGGTGGAGGGCACGGAGGGGTGGAAGCGCAGGATCTCATTGCAGACGGCGCTGAGGTAGGGGAGGGCATCGAGGGTGGTGGCGGACAAGGGGGCCGGATGGTCGGTGGAGATGGAGGGGAGGTTGGAGCGGACTTCGTCGCGGAGACGGGCCTGGACGTCGGGGTGTTTGCAGAGGGCGTAGATGGCCCATTGCAGGGCGGTGGAGGTGGTTTCGTGGCCGGCGCCCAGGAAGGTCATCATTTGGTCGATGAGCTCGTCTTCGGTGAAGGAGCCGCTTTGGAGGGCGACGGAGAGGATGTCGACGCCGGTGGTGTCGGTGTTGAGCTTTTGGTGCTTCTCGCGGATCATTTGCCGTGCGACGCTGCGGATGACCTCGGACGCGTTCATGATGTCTTCGTTGCGCTTGAGGGGGAGCTTGGTGACCCAGCCGGGGTTGCCCATCATCATGGCGAAGACGTACAGCACTTTCATTCCGAGGGGAGGGTCGGACATGATCGTTTGGTACTGCCGCTGGAGCTCGTTGTTGGGGTTCCGGAGGGCATCGAAGTCGTGGTCCATCCCGGCGACTCCGATGATGTCCAGCGTGGCTCGGCTGGCCCAGGTGCCGATGCAGACGATGTTGTCTGTTGGGTCGGCGCGGTTCTTCAAGTCGTCTTCAATGCATTTGACCATCTCGGCGCTTTTGGTCCAGAAGATGGGGTAGATTTCCTTGATGTGTCGGTATGCGAAAGCCGGCATGAGGTTCTTTCTTTGTTGCTAATCAATGTCAATATGATTCAGTATCGAGACACGGTTGATCCTACCTTATGTTCATCGCCCTCAACCAAGAGCAAGCCGTGCTCACCAGTGACACGAGCCAGACTGGCGCGAATGATATCGGGCTTCGGGAACTCGTACACCTTGTGCGCCAGCAGCTCGCTCAATGACTTGGGACTGGTCAGGAGCACACGCTCCAGGTTTCCGGCGATGTAATAGCGAATCAGGCCATTATTGGGGATGGAGGTGATCCATTCGCGCATCTCCTCGAACGGCGACTCAATGAAAAAGGACTTTGAGTTTCCCGTGAGCCATGATCGGCGCTACGCATGGTTAGGACTCGAATATATTCAACCCAAATGCTGTGATGGGCACACAAAAAGAAATACTGGCTTACCGACGGGGATGGGATGTGGCCCACAGAAGAAAAATAAGCAGGATACAAGGTCAACTTGTAGACGATCTTGGCCACGGTTGCGACGAAGGATAGGAGAAAAAACATGCCCACGGTCGACCGAGTGATCGTGTAGGCCGCGATCCCGACATAGACTGTGGACCAAGGGGGGCCAGCCATGATGCTTGAGGATTTCGCAAATCAAGCAGACAAGAGGACAGTGTAACGTGAAAATCTCTTATTGTGAAGAGCGAAATATCGCTTCTATCGCGGCCAGGGAGTATAGAATGGGTAGATGATAAAACAGGGTCATCCACAGCGCTTTATATAGGATCCAGAATCGTGCTCGGGGAGATATCTGGCCGACAACACCCACAGCTCGTGCACGGTGTGCAAAGGCTTACAAGATCTTCGAGCTCCGACACGCTACTCGAGATACTGCACGGCAGCTGAACTAGGGGCGGCTCCACTTGGCGTGATCTTTCATCGCGTTTCATGGTATTGATCATATTGATCAATGATCGATGAGTCCGGACTCTGAAGAGATCGTGGCCGCGGTCCCGAGAGCCCGAAGGCACCATACGATACCAACTGTTCGATCCAACGTGGCTTGGAGGCTGCGACATTATGACAGGATGAAGGATGAAACGGGGGAAGGATTCCGGTCGATGCCAACACGTCGCCGCTGATTGGCTGCACGTGAGGGCGCGCAAGGTTGGCTCGATCGGGACTAGCGGCTTGGCGGGACTGCGAATGTCCGGGGAATCGCGCATTCCCTCGTTTGCCAGACTTTTCGGGGTGTACATTCTGGTGTTGGACTGTCAGCACTCATCCCCTTCACCTACAGTTTCAGTCTGACCATGCAGCATTTACTCCACTCATCATTTGACATATCTCATTGTTTATCCTATCCAATATCAAATGTCAAATGTCACCTGAACCCTATTTCACCCATCCACGGTTCCTCCAGACCATGAATCCGTCGCCAGGACCCCTGGAATCCCCGATAAGATACGCGATAAGATAAACTCGGCCTCGGCAGCCGATTTCTAAGCAGAGACGGTCATGACATCATCCACTGGACCCGGCATTCCACCGCAATTTCAATGCTTCTCCTGTCCTCCCTTCGAGTCAATTCACCACACGCTCATCAGCACCAATCAATCATGGCTCCCCAGTTCTCCGACGTTGAAATTAAGCCCGCCCCCGGCATCTCTTACTTCACTCCTGCCCAAGATCCGCCCGCAGGGACCGCCGCAAACCCTCAATCCGATGGTGCCCCGATCCCGAAGCTGTTCCAACCCCTCTCGGTCAGAGGATTGACTTTCCACAACCGTTTGGGAGTAAGTAACACCCAAGGGTATCTCACGACGGCTCTAACAGGCTTTTCAGCTTTCTCCCCTGTGCCAATACTCCGCCGAGGATGGCCACATGACGCCCTGGCATATGGCCCATCTGGGTGGAATTGCCCAGCGTGGTCCCGGTTTCCTGATGATCGAAGCCACCGCCGTCCAGCCGGAGGGTCGGATCTCGCCCCAGGACACGGGACTGTGGAAGGACTCGCAGATCGAGCCCATGAGGCGGGTGATTGAGTTTGTGCACAGCCAGAACCAGCTCATCGGCGTGCAAATCGCCCACGCCGGCCGCAAAGCGAGTACCGTGGCTCCGTGGCTCTCTTTCACGGAAGCCGCCTCCAATAAAACCGGCGGCTGGACGGACCAGGTCAAGGGGCCCAGTGGCGTGCCGTTTAGCGACCGCTACCCCATCCCCACGGAGATGACGAAGGAGGATATCGAGGAGTTCAAGCGCTCGTGGGTGGCAGCGGTGAAACGGGCTGTCCGCGCGGGCGCCGATTTCGTCGAAATCCACAATGCCCATGGGTACTTGATGATGTCGTTCTTGTCGCCGACGTCGAACACGAGGACCGACGAATACGGAGGCAGCTTTGAGAATCGGATCAGACTGAGCATGGAGGTCGCGAAGCTCACCCGCGAGACTGTCCCCAAAGACATGCCCGTGTTCCTCCGCGTCTCGGCGACGGACTGGCTAGAAGAGGTCCAGCCCTCGCAGCCTAGCTGGCGACTCGAAGACACGATCAAGTTTGCGCAGGCCCTAGCAGAGAGCGGAAACATCGATCTGTTGGATATCAGCAGCGGTGGCACCAACGTTGCCCAGAAGATCATTCCAGGATCGGGCTTCCAGGCACCGTTCTCCGTCGCCGTGAAGAAGGCAGTTGGCGATAAGCTGTTGGTGGGTGCCGTCGGCACGATCGACTCGGGTCACTTGGCCAACTCGTTGCTCGAGAAGGAGGGATTGGACTTTGTTCTTGTGGGTCGTGGTTTCCAGAAGAACCCGTCTCTGGTATGGACTTTTGCCGAGGAGCTCAACGTGGAGATTTCCATGGCCAACCAGATTCGCTGGGCTTTCTCACGACGGGGTGGTGGGCCTTTCTTGAAGAAGAGACAAGAAAAGATCTAGAGCTGTATATACTAGAATTCCTAGACATCTTTGTTGGTTAGAGTTGTCTGATATGGCGCGATAAACAGAAAGAATCATCAATATCATCGGGAATTCATAAAATCAACCATTTCTATCATCTAGCCAGAGTGTCTTAGATCCGTCAATTCACACAGCGTCTCTGATGGGGAAAAGGCATGGCGATGGGCCATCCAGAGCCTGCGTCAAATCACCGTGGAGTCATCAAGGCTTGCGGATCAGAATTCCCTAGATGCGAAGAGTATGAGTAGATAAATGAAGTCTTTTTCTGAGAAGTGCGATATTGATTAGGACTTGTTGTAGGCACATTGTGGTGTTGATGAGTGTCCATTGAGGGATGGAGGGAGAAGACGGAGGTGTAAGCTGGAAGTTGTGGCGGAGTATGACTACGTAACCCCAGTGCATCCGGTAGCAGGGGGATGGATCCCTGTCTCTGTTTCTATTAATCAGGGGTAAACTCCACTCGCATGAAGAGTCATATGAAGTATCCGGATACTAACACTGCAGAATTTCCAATTGTATCAGTAACCAAAAAGCTATCCTATCCACTCGAAAAACACCCCTACTCCCCCTTCCTCGCAACAACAACCTGCATATCCACCGTCGGCCAAAACACTCCATACTCGCGCTCTATCTCCTTCATCCACTGCTTCGCCATCTCCCGCGCCTCTTGCATACTCCCAGCCCGCCCGACCTGCACCAGCGCACGCGGTACCACCGTTCTCCAGATCGTCCCATGCCAATCTCTCGCTTGAGCACGTAGATCCGCTCTCTCAGAGATAGAATACGTATATCTCTCGACCCGCGCAAATCCCATCTCCATTGCGAACTGCTGGACTGTGTGTGCAGGACTCAGAGAGAAACCCACGCGGGACATGGATTCGTCGAAGAGTTCGTCTACGCCTGGAATTGATTTAACCTCGAGAGTAGGGAGTTGGATGGTGCCGATGGTTGAGGCTTTTGACTCGGTCCATTGGAGATGGCCGTTTGGTTCTGGGGGTGGTAAGCGTGGCTTTCTTCGTAAAGTGGGAGGGGGATGGGAATGAGTGGCAGCAATGAGAGATAGAAGAAGAAACATACTTAAAATCTCGAACAGATTTCTCACCGCAACCGCATACTCTTCTTCGCGAAGGGCCGCGATCAAATGGCCCACGTTTACGAGATCGTACCTCCCTCGATAGGACTCGGGAAACCGGTCCCTGATATCATGGACCAGGAACTGGACTTCATAGCCCGGATCGGTAGTCTTAGTAGAAGAGGGAAACTGGTCGGCAGAGATATCGAAGCCGTGTAGAGTGCGTGTGGATCGGTTGTGATTGTCGATGGAGCGGAGATACTTGGGGAGAGAAGTGAGCCATAGCCTGGTTTCTTTCTGTTAGGTGTTTCGCTTTGCTCTCGGAAAGTGAGTATGTATGTACCCGGTTCCAGTTGCGACGTCTGCGATCGTATTTAACGAGTGCCTGGGGATAGAGGGATGGATGAGGTCGTTGTTGAGTAGGTTGGTGAAAAACTCCTGCTGGCGATTGAGTCTATGTTGCTCTTGGTTAGTCAGTGTATTATCAAGGACTCAGATGAACAGACCGTTCTGATTCAATTGGATTTCGATCCAAGATGTACGCTGATTCGGCTGTTTCTCCCATGATTGATCTTGTGCTCGGCGATGTCTTGGGGAGGGTTGTGGATGTATATAGAAAACCCTCTCTGGTCTTTAAGTCCTCCTTAATGGTGGACGACTATTAATAGGCTCTAACAAGTCCCCTTGCTTAATGCATACTAATACAGAAAGATGCATGACAGATGTCGCAACTTGACATGAGCAAGTCCAGAGTTAGGGTTTTTAGGGATTGGAAACCGGTTTCTGACAAGGTTAATGTCAGACCATCTCTCTACGCCGACAGGCATGTAGAGCATCAGGAACATCGTTTATTTCTAATGCGATTGGTCTACACAAACACACTTACGCAATCATACATTTCGTCCCTTGCATTGCAACAACCTTTTCAAGTCAAGTCTGTTCATTCAGTCTACAATATACGCCCAATCGAACCGCCAGTCAACTCACTAGACTCCAAACGCCACGCCACGTCGCTCCATCACGCCCCACGAACTTTACCCGGAAGTTTAGAAAAGACATAGCTAAAAATTTCCCGGCTTTTGTATAGGTTCTCCACACGTAACCGTTCATTATACAAGTGCGCGTTGTCACTGGCTTGTCCGCACGGTAGATTGGCTGCCGGGGCGGAGAATTCCTTCTCGAGGAACCGAATCGTAGGGATGGATCCGCCCTCTCGGATATAGATGGGACGCACGCCTGATGGACCGGATACGGGCTCGGCCGTAGAGTTGATGGGCGCCTCGGTGCGAGTTGTCGGGGAGGTCTCGCGCGTGGAGTCACTCGAGGAGATGGCGCCCGATTTGTTGGTCAACGTGGACGAGGTTGGGACCGTCCTACTCAAGGATGACTGTTGCCGGGACGACTTTTTCCCGGCGGAGGACGTAGTAGTCGACATGATGATACGGTCGATGTGAGAGGCCAGGCTGTCGGATGAGTCCTTCCTTTTGACTGCAAGACTGGATTCTTTGGACGCGGTCGCCCGTTCTTGTGAGTTCCTCTGGATGGGAGGGTATTGATGCTTTTGATTCTGCTGGTCCGGTGTCCAGGCAGCCGTAATGGCTTCGTCAAGGGTCTCGAACATCTCGTTATCCGGATCACCGAGCCAGGGATCGGATTTGCCTGTGATCTCAACGGTCAGGTCGTTCTGCGACCCTAAGAGATCATACTGCTCCTGCGCATATATGGTCAACTTGGCAGCTATGTCGTCCGCTTCTTGATTTGGAACCAGTCGCACTGATAGACTAGCCTTCGCCTTCCGAGAGATGGTAGTCGTCGTGCTCTTATTATTTCCCGGCACTTCGATTGAGTGAATCGTGAGTGAGGGCTCCCGCCAACGATGCATGAGGGAATTAATTAGGGCCTCGCGGTCTGCAATTTCTGGATGTCGCTGCAATAGAATTTGCGCAATGTCGGCGTAGCGCTGTTTTTCTGCTTCCGTGAGAGGCAGAACCGGATCCTGGACGCCAGGTATATTGATGCGTCCTCTGGGCCCAACCAGAGTGCTCATAAGCAGGGTAAGATCCTTCAATGGCTCATCCAGCAAAGCACTTCCGTCAATACCACTGTGGAGATCTGGATGGTCACTGGAGACAATCAAGTTGGCATGAACAACGCCACGCAGGCCGTACGTTAGACAAGGATTGAAATCATCCAGCCAGTAACTGTTCGCCAGTAGAATCCAGTCTACCGGGCCGATTTGAGCTTTGTGTGCCCGAACTGTCTCGTGGAATCCTTGGGATCCAGATTCCTCTTCACCTTCGATGAGGAACACAACATCACAAGGGAGCGCCTTCTGTCGGGCAAGCTCGGCAGCTGCATAAAGGGCTGCCAGGATAGGGCCCTTGTTATCTGAGACACCTCGACCATACAAGAACCCATCCATCGAGGTCAGCTGGAATGGCTCGGTCTTCCACTTGGCTCGATTGGCATCGGCCCCGACGACATCGTAGTGTCCGTAAAATAAGATCGTTTTGTCGACCTTATTAGGAGATGTCGCATTGAACCGCGCATGCACGATCGGGTTCGTGTCCTCTCCAGTAGTTAAAAGCTTGGTCTTGGCTCCCAAATAGATGCAGTGCCGTCGCAGAAAGGCTGCACCTTGATTGCATTCACCGGAGAATTTCGGACTAGCCGACACAGTTTTGAAGCCAACAAACTTTGCAAGGCAGTTCACCATTTCATCTTGACATGTCCGTTAGTAAAGTTTAGGTGATAGAAGCTCTGCGACCGTACCGTTGTTGATCCGAGGCAATTCGCCCTGGCTCAGGGAAACCTCGGTCACGTCCCAGATACCGACGGTGTTATCGTTGCCTCCCGTCGCATAGATAAGCCGGTCTTTGTACTGCCCGGCGGCAGACGCCAGCATCGTACCTTCATGGGCCGCCCAACTACCGACCTCTTCAAATCGAGAATTGAATTTCTGGTCAAGAGAAGTCAGTGCCTGTCAAACGCTACATCCACACAGGTTCAATGCTGTACCTTTACGACTCCGTTAGAATCACCACAGACTGCGACACCATGAATGATATCAACAGCCCACAGGTCACCCGTATGCCGAGTAATACGCTTCACCAGCTGGTGAGAATCTAGATTCCAGATGTTCAAGGCACCTCCAGCAAGACCACAGTAAAGGAAAGACCCATCCACGGCGATAGAGAGAACTGGGTCGCCGTTTTGTAGTTTCGCCATCTGAGAAGGGACGGCATTGGCTTTGTCTTGTTCTAAGCGCCACAATTTGACAACGCCATCGCCAGCACCGGTCAAGAGCACCTCTTCGTTCGGTGCCGACTCGATCAATCCTCGAACTAGAAGCATAGTATACACATAACCGTGGTGTGAGAATAGCTTGTGGTGATCGCGCTTGAAGGTAAGCACCTGGCCACCTTCAGTGATCGGGCGGACTCCATCGGACCCTGGCTCGGGCCTTGGAGCACGAGAACCATCGGGGCCGCGTGAATCAAAGAACCTATGTGTACGCTTCGACAGTTGCGCGGTAGACAACTGCGTTGTAGCCGCATCTACCTGGGAAATACCACACCACTGAAATATTGTGAGAACAACCGCCTCGGAAGATGGAGTTGACAACGTACCTGAATGCTGGTGTTTTGTCCACCACAATAGATCGTGTTCAAGCTAGACGAGTAGGCGACGGCGAATATATCGCCCACATCATGGTGTGTATGGATCGAGTACAGTCGATCAAATGTTCTGGTCGACCAAACCTGCGATATCGGTCAATCCTACGGATATGAGTAACTAGGGATTAGAAGTCGGAGATACATTAATAACCGAGTCTCCGCCACTCGAAAAGAGCAAGTCCCCGTCCTCCGACAGATACAGGTCCAGCACACTCTCCTGATGCGCGTGGACCGACAGGACTAGATCATACGTCTCGAGAGACCAAGCCTATCACGGATGAGTCAGTCGGTTCCCCTGCGCGAACAGGATACACGTACGACAATGTCTCCTCCTTGCAGACCCGCGAAAACACACTCATTGTCGATGACCAGTGCCAGAACCGATCGACTGGCCTGGACACGATGGCCAATACCGCACTCTACTGGCGATTCGGGGTGAGTGGGGTCCTCGTGCGCGGAATGTGAGGTTTCCCAGGTTTTGGTCTGTTCATCGATTTCCGAGGTACTATCCGACTCGACAAGTACTGTAGGATCCATCGCCGGCATAATGAGCCGGCTAGAGTCTTAGCCTATATGTCCTTATTTGGCGTTGGGATTATATAAAGCAAAAAAGATGATTCAACGGTCTTTGTTCACGTGACAGTAGTGCAACACCTTTTCCGACGCAGACCAGACAACGGAGTCTAAAAAAATGTATAGAAAAGAAAATAATAGGGGTACAGGATCAAAGGAAATACACAAAGCACATCACCCTGAAACCAGGACGGCCGACGTCGCTGAATTTGCGGTGGGCAGAGCGAGAGATGACAGAAAGAAATGATGACTGGTCGAATGTCGTGATTTCGATGGCGGTGATGGCACCTGTGGCGGTGCACCCGGACCCCGCCCAATCCGGAAAGGCTCAGGAGATGCGATGACGCTCGACTCACCTCGTGTCCCTTGTTCACGGCACCCCTGCCGGCAGTAGCTTGATGCACCGAGGGTTTTATCGGAGGGTCTTTCGGAGGTGTTAGTCCATAGGGGTCGAGAGGCGGAACAGATACTTCCATTAGGCTTTTTGGAAGGCGTCTCGTCTCGGACGAAATACGAGCCGAATCACTAGACGACAGCTGGAAGAAGTGGCAAGGACTGACCTGGGTTCCCAGAGCAGACGTGCTATCAGAGCATCATTCTTGCAGGGAGACATCATGATGCTTCAATATGCTCACTGAAAAGCGAGGGGGAACGGCGTCGTTGGAAGAAGACCGAGACTCATGACGGTGGACGCCGTATATATGTCTAAGGGGACACAAGGGCTTTGCTACGTAGGTTGGGCTTGGGGTTAGATAAAGAACTCGATCTGCAGGCAGCCTGAGATTTCATTGCACCTCGGGATGACTCTGCATGCCGCTGCTGGCTACTACTGCTGGTTATCTGCGGCCAGACGATGCGTGGAAGCAGCGATCGGAGTAACGGGTGTACTCTGGAGTAAAGTGCTTTTTTCGCAGGAGAGAAGCGCCGACGATCCGATGTCCCAGCATTGTCAGGGCAAGACAGATAGATAAGTCAGGAGCAAAGGGGGGCGGACAGCTGGCGGATGAATGTGCCGTCATATTGTCAATGTTTAATTGTACAGAAGGTATGGTACGGTAAGGCTGACCCGTGGACGGTGGCTCCACTTTCCCCCAATTCACACGCAAGCCACAGTGGCGGTGGCCGTGTCCGCCAATCAGGGAGCGTGACATCACCGCCATTCCTTCGAATCGCTTCCGCCGGAGTTGCCCACTCGTCCAGCTCCACCTCCAAGACGGTTCCCTGCACAATTCCTTCCGATATTATCTTATTTATCGCGCTGGCCGTATCAAACTATTGTGGTCACGATATTATTCCATCCAATGCCCGTGAATCAAATGCCCCCTCCCCTGGAAATTCAATCTCTGCAGTGTCATCCGCCTCATCAGGTACCATTGGCCTTTGTCTCCCCCCCTCCTTCATCTCTACCCAACTCCCCCCCCCCCCCGACCACCAATAATGCGGTGGGATAGCGCCGTGACAGCAAATGCAGTCCCCACGGATCGCCTGTTCGTGCTGCAACCATTCACATTCCTTTTTCCAGGGGCGATTTGACACATCCTGCTGCCTTGTTTCTCAGCATCACCGGCACCCAACCAGTCCAAACGGTCCTAAGCGGACCCATATCCTGTTCGCTGCTTCGTGCCCATTTTAGGCGCCTGAATCATCGGTCTCCTCACCTCTCTCCATTTGGTTGTTTTTTAATTCCCCAGCCCCCTCACTTTGTTTTCTCTCCTGATCCCCATTCTATTTCCCCGTCCTGCATTTTCTTTCGCTGCCTCTCGGTGTATTTGCAGCGTGGCCGTGTCGTCATCTCGCGTTGGCTGCTCAGCTGCAGGCGATTCGCCGCTTTATCATAATCCAAGCTCCCTCCGTACACAGCTGAACCCAAAAGTCACCCCAGAAGGCATCAGTTTTTTGTCTATAAAATTTGCCTCCTCATACTTCAGATTTTTACACTTTTAAACTAGAGGACCCGACTCCCGATAACCCCTTTTCTATCTTGGTGAACTCCTGTTCTAGACCCCAATCCAACAGATCAAATTCTGGAAGAACGGGCCAGTTGTCTCCACCCGCCGGGATTTAGTCGCGATAATTATACACTGGCCCGCTCCCCTACACCGCTCGTCCGGAGCTTTTTGCGGATCTTTAAAGGGCGATCCCTTTTTTTCTCCTTCCCTTTGATCACGACTCCGGAATTTTGATGTCGTTTGGCTCGTCTTATCGACCGGCAAATCGGTTGCGAGAGTTGGCTGCAATTGTCCACTCCCCGAATCAGCATACGCTTTAGCATACGACCCCTTAACCATCATGCCTCCATTCGGTGAGACGATTGCCGTGATTGACAAGTCCGGCAAAGTTGTCAGCACGGTGCGTGACGAATGCCCATTACTCCGATGATAGAACCGATTCTGATCCTTAACAGAGTAAACAACTGTTTGGTGTCTTTAATCACGCCAAAAATGCATACCGGGAACGCAAAGCCCAGTTCCAGTCGGAACGTAACGCCAGAATCGCCGAGCAGGAAGCTTTAAGAGGACTGCAAACCTATACTATCGAAGACTCGCCCTCGGTCGCCTCCTCACGCAGGAGTCGTTCGCGACATCATTCCGGCCGTAGCCATCATCGTCATCACTATGAGGGCTCTGAATACGAACAAGACCTGCACTCCGTGGCCTCGCGCCCTCACTCATCCCATCAACGTCCAACAGACATGGTTCGCCGCCACACCCACCACGAGATTGCGCTCCGCGAGCCCCAGGGCCGGCCAATGACCGGTCGCTCTCGGTCGGATGCCCAAGTGGATATGGACTTAGCATACGGCGACTTCCATCCCTCTGCACTAGAGCGCCAGCCATCCGCCGCACAGGACGGCCAGCTGCAAAAGATCGATGACCCGGAATTGAATGGTCTGGTTGGTCGGGCGCAATGGCTTCTGGAAGAAGCCAACTGCGTGCATCACACTGCGACAAACACAATTGCCCACCTTCAGAAGAATCCGGACGCCATGGCAGCCGTTGCGCTCACCTTGGCGGAGATCAGCAACTTGGCCACCAAAATGGCCCCCGCCGCACTCTCTGCTTTTAAGGCGGCGGCGCCTTCTGTATTTGCCCTACTTGCCAGTCCCCAGTTCTTGATAGCAGCCGGGGTTGGCCTTAGTGCGACCATCGTCATGTTTGGTGGATACAAAATTATCAAACACATGCAGGGTGGAAATAACCAGGAGATGAGCGCTCCGCCGGGTGCTCCTCCAGGGGTTCCACCGGGTGCCGAACCACAGGAGCCCATGGACGACATGATGGAAATCAACACCGAATGTCTGAGCAGCGTCGAAATGTGGCGGCGTGGCGTGGCAGATGCCGAGGCATTTAGTGTTGGCACGTCGGTTGACGGTGAATTTATCACGCCAAAGGCTGCCGCCATGTCCGGCATCGATGTGACGACGGCTCGTATGACGAGAGACCCACGCTTTAAGTTCGACGATGATGTCTCCATGGCATCTTCACGGCGTTCCCGTCGATCCCGAGCTCCTCGTGGCACCTCCCGTTACTCCAGGATGGAGCCTATGCCCGAATCCGTTATCTCCGGGGGAGGCGCTGCCAAGTCTTTCTTTGGAGGAGCATCGAAGGCACCTTCCAAAGCTCCGTCAAGGGCCCCATCCCAAGCGCCATCTAGGGCACCTTCCAAAGCCCACTCCAAGGCCCCTTCCAAGGCACCCTCCAGAGCTCCCTCAAAGGCGGAATCACGATACTCCGAGAAAGAGGTGAAACCTGAGAAGAAGAAACGATCAAGTCGACTGCGACTCATGTTTACTGCTTAACCTACGACCCACATGGCTTATTGATTATACGACAGACCACATGACCATTGTATATGCTTTTGTACATTTCCTTGCCTGCTTTTACGCCTCGCCAGAGAATGTCCTCTTTTCTGATTTTTACGACCAGCAACGGAATTGGATGTTTGATATTCCCACCATGGGCTTAGCGAGATTGCTTTTCTTATTTTCCTTTCTTTCTTTTCACTTTTCGCATCTTCGACCTGGTTATACCTGTTTTTTTTTTTTTTTTTTCATTCGGCTTACACCCTTGCTTGGTGGTCATTTGAATGAATGGATAGTCTCTTTGCATAGTGGCGTTGGAATGATATCCTTATTCATCTTTATATATCCTGTTTGAATAAGCGATTAAGCCTATGGTTACATTGGGCTTTGTTTTTAGAAGCATTTGTCTCGAAAATATACTGGAATGATTTATGGAATAGAATTAATTACAAATGTAACTGATTCGATAATTGCCTATGAATAAAGTGTGAAAACCATATTCAATTTTTGTTGGACAAAAGGTTCAGCAACTGAATAGTTACAAAATAAACCCCCAAGTAAGATTACACTCTACTCTTCGGTCACACCCATATCAATGTCAGGACTGGATCCAGCGCTTTCCCTAAAGTTTGTCCCAATTGACATATCTTCCATGTTTCTTCGGAGCTGTTCAGTGTCTGTCCCATCACTTCCCATGCTTTCTTCGGCCTCATCCAACAAAATACCCGCTCTCCGACTTGCCCGGTCCCACCACAACACGCAATCTTTTGCCGGAGAAGAAAATGTTTCCCACTTCTTCTTCTGAGAGAATTTTTGAAATTCCTTTCTCCAGAATTGCCATCTTCCAATGCTGAGGCCACTGTCGGTTATGCCGGCTTCGCGTGCGAAAGGACCTGGTGGGTGAGATATACAGGCGTTTTCGTCGAGGCCAGGAGGATTTGCCGATAGTATTGCGAGCTTGCTGCCGGTGTACTTCATCCAGATTGCACACAGGGGAAGCATTTGTTCAACAGATAGAACATCCGGGTACTCGTGACCATCAGGCTTGATAAAGGAGTCCTCCATCAATTCAAGGACTTTTTTCTCCTCCAACGCGCCGCTGAATAGCCGCAGGCTACACTGAAGCAACTCGACGGTGTAAATTCCAGCACAAGACATTGTAGCTAACCACCGATTCAAGTGCTTTGTTTCCGGGACTGATTTATCGAACATTACGTTTTCCCAGAAGTTATGGATGTCGTCAACAAAATAAGGAAGGTCGGTCCAGAGACGTTGTCCATTGGGAAGGATGGCCTCTTCTCGTTCCTTGGGCGAGGCATCAATCTTTTTGACCCTGGTGACTGTCCCCCAATTCCCTGATCCGTAGTATCAGTATGGCTAGCTCTTCGAAAGGAGGTAAAAATTTGGTTTCTGCCATGGCAACATCAATGAACCCTCGCCAGAGTTTGTGGAGCGAGGCTTCAAGCTCTTTGAAAGCGATTGATCGAGTCCGGTACTTCTCATCAATCTCCATTGCTTCCTGCCAGAGCTCATCGGGATCTCTCTGATCAAGTTCATCGCACGAATCATGTTCTGAGTCGCTGCTTGTAGACATTTTGGTGGTATCTGCGTTCTATGCAGGAGATGGTATTCAGAGGGCGAAATTCGAGCGTCAAGTGAATTGTAAACGGAGTCAAGGTAAGTCTCGGAGAGGAAGGGGAGTTCTGCTGTATCCTTTGGGCTGACACTTATCGAAGGCAGATGAGGGCAGATGAAGGCAGAGAGGATTGATTGATCGTAGATGATGGAGGATGGTTGTTGTTTTGCGACATGTTGAGCGATTATATATTGCCTGATTTGCGGCATTGGTGCCTTCGCCTTCCTAGACTTTGTGATTGCAAAGGCGTGTTTGTCTTGTTCGTTCGGTTTGCATGTATAAAGAAGCACATGACTTCAACCACCGCCGGTGACCTTCCAGAGAGCAATTCTGGTCCTTTCCTTTCTTCAAACAACCATCAGCAATCGCAGATCGTGATTCTTTATTCTCTCGCTTGTCTCTATTCCATGCAAAGACATACCCATTGATTGAAGCAAAGACCTAGAGATCTTCTTTTGTTTCCCCGTCTGGACCCAGCACAAACGTCATCCAAGCCGTTCCTTTATACCAAAACAGAATCCAAACGCCTCCCTGGCCGAATGAGCTGTCGGTAAATCTAGAGAGGCTTTGCTATCAAACAGGAGCGGTAATCTTATCCGTCAAACGACGTGTGTACAAGGAAAACAGGCTTGATGATGACGATGATGATGATAATGATAATGATCTGCGCTTACTTTTCTCGCTATTGAACCAACAGATACCAGGTTTTCATGCGTATACGGCTTTTGTATTCCCTTAATTCGACATCTAGAGGACTTTGAATTATCAGGCAGGTATATCACCAAGGATAGATTATACCAGGCTCAGCTAATCCTTATCGAAGCTGCAGCATCATTTCGCAGGTCGCCAAGTTTGGTTGGTTGCTTTGGAGAATTAATCAAACGGTCCTACCCACTTTGAAACAAACACAAACAGTGGGACCTAAATGACCAGAGAAACAGTGACAAGAGACAAGGAGTGAGTACCATTCAGGAGGGCCGATGTGACCGCAAAGGACATCTCCCAAAATTCGACCCCCGCCAAACCACGTCAGGTGTTGAGAAGCTGATTTCATAAAAAGGTTACACCCGTAGAGGTCCCTGAATCTCCTACAACCGGCATCATCCCAGCTCAGTCGACACATTGCCGCGGGCGAAATCATATTACCTGCATGCGACCACGCGGATGGCTTCCACATCCTGGAAACTAGCAAACAAACAAACGAGATCATAGCGTGGAGTCGGATGCTGTGGCGAGTTTCGCAAGGCTAGCGCGGAAGTGCGCATGGCAGGCACCTACCTCATCAACTCGATGTTCTCCTGAGCATGGATATTTCGTGTGTTTGGCTGGGTACCTGCTCAGGGGGCTGGAATTGAAACAAAAGGCAACCACCAGAATTGCGCGTGACTTGGAATACTAGGCAATCAGCCCCGAAGGCCGAATATGGATGCGCCATTGACTTGGGTGCAATAGGTGAGGGGCCAATCGCGTCCCCCCAAGAATGTTTCCTCTTAATGATGATGGTTCAGAAAAGGGAGAACCCCTCATCGATGCAGTCGGTTGTCTTGGATCTAGATATGTGGGTGCCTTCTGGATGTGTAATCATTATTAACCAGAGGTCCTAATCAGAGAGCATTCCACGGCATCCAAATCCACCCCCAAATGCCGATATCTCACCTCAGTCACCGGTGACAACTAGTTCACCCCGGTCTACCTGCACAGCACCCACACGGAGACGTGCGTCGATCCATCCACCCGATCCGCACTGCGTGGGGCTGGACTGGACGTTGTCCTCATTGTGCATATCGAGGGTTTTGGCGAGCTGCATCATTCTTCTCCGCTTCGTAGAGGGTGGATGTCCATCAACTTATCGGGGAGTCGACCCGGACTGCGAAGTGGCAAAAAACTCGGTCGTTGGAAGGAACCAGCTCGACACCCTTACAGTCGGCCCTTGCGGAGAGGCTCTTTCCCTGCCATCCTTGTTTGCTGAGAGTAAGCGCTGTTGATACCCCTTGTCTCCTTGGTCGTGTCTTGGGGCTGAGAGGGGTGATCAGAAAAGAAAAGAAAAGCAAAAAAGAAAAAGAAACGAGCGTCGGGGATGTGCTTGTGCGACCTTGAGTAATGTTCACCTCAGCATTGGGCGGGAAGGAAATGAGTCGCGCTCGGCAATGACCACTGCCGTGCTATGGAGATGATCAGAGTCACCTTCCCATCATCGACAATCCCGGTGGGTCTGATCAAATTACTTCGAGAACAGAAATACTGGGGAGGATCTGGGGGAAAATGTGCTCGGCAAATAACGGTTCGCCAAAGAGCCGTTGTTCTTTCCAGCAATGAGGTCCAAAAAACGGAGCCAGGAGGATAACCGACCGGTGCCGAGACTGGGAGCTTTTTTTTTTTTTTTTTTTTTTTTTTTCTCCCATCATTCGGATACTCGCGCCACCGAGTAATTCCCTGTCGAGCACGGCACTAAATTGCGTTCTGGCCCAACCTTACCTTGGAGTACTATCACAGGTCTACTATTATCGAATTCTCCCAGCATTTGTCCCTGCACGGAGTGGAGAATGAAGGATCCTTAGTCTCCGCCGTTATTCCGGTCAAAATTTCGGGGTATAATTTATCATCATTTATAAGACTCGATGATTCCGGCCTACAATCATGGATTCTGCTCTCACTGCGCTTCTCAACTTCGTTCAGACGAAGACCGATTTATTATCCTTCTTCTCGAGCTTTTTCTCTAGCACAATGGTGGCTCAAGCCCGAACGCCGTTCAGGGTGGTGGTTGTTGGGTAAGTCTCTGAAAGTCTCTGCCTTCCACCCTTTGTGCCTTGACTAACATTCACAGTGCCGGTATATCCTTTTCATTCCCGGTGTGATGCTCTTGTATTAATGTTATATAGGCATTGGGGGTGTAGCTGCAGCCTTGACCCTCGGTCTAAGAGGGCATCATGTCATCCTTCTAGAAGCAGCCCCTCAGGTAAGCACTACCGCCATTGATTGGGTTAGACAGACTTCCTAGTTGAGCTACGGCTGACCAACCTGCAGCTTGCAGAAGTCGGAGCCGGCATTCAGATATCTCCGAATATGCTAAGAATTCTAGACCGTAAGCTTCACTTGACGGCTTACGACATCTTCGGCGGCACTAACTCAGCCATAGGATGGGGTGTATCACCGTCCATTCATTCCAAGGATGTTGCTTTGGAGCACATTCATGTCCGACGATGGCAGGATGGAACCCTTCTTGGAACTATGCCCGTGAACAAGACTTACGGCCAGCAAGTCGTCATTCACCGAGCAGACCTCCACAGTGCTCTCGTCGAACACGCCTTGAAGCTTCCTAATGTCGAATTGCGACTCAACTCGACCGTGACAAGCGCGACTCATAGTCCAGCCTCCGTCACTCTTGCAGATGGCACCGTTATTGACGCCGATATCGTCATTGCCGCAGATGGCATCAAATCAACCATCCGGAATCACATCCTCGGTGGCTCACCCTCCAAACCCATTCCTACCGGCGACGCAGCCTACCGTATCATGCTGCCCCGGAGCGCTATGGAGAACGATCCCGACCTCAAAGATCTTATCAATGAACCCCAGGCGACTCGCTGGCTCGGTCCCTCGCGGCACGTCATCGCCTACCCAGTGCGCAAGCACGAACTCTTTAACGTCGTTCTGCTGCACCCCGATCGACATGGCGTCGAAGAGTCATGGACCATGCGTGGCTCGAAAGAGGAAATGAAAAACGACTACCTCGGCTGGGACCGTCGAGTCACTAAACTGATAGACCTGGCTCCCGACGATGAGGTCCTTGAATGGAAGCTCTGTCTCCATTCTCCACTGAAGACCTGGACCCGAGGCTCTGTGGCTCTCATCGGCGATGCCTGCCACCCCATGCTGTAAGCCTCGCATTTTCCCCTCTCACGGTTCGTCCAGTACCATATACTCACTTAACCGAACCATGTAGACCATACGTCGCCCAAGGCGCTGCCCAAGCCGTCGAAGACGCCGCCGCACTCGGCGTTCTGCTCTCCAACATCACCTCACACCGAGAGATCCCACAAGTCCTCGAAGCATACCAGCTATCCCGCAAACATCGCGCAGAGACGGTCCAACAATCTGGCTCTGAGAACCGAATCACGCTACACCTTCCCGACGGGCCGGAACAAGAGGCCCGCGACGAGCAGTTCCTGGCATCAATGAAGGGCGGCTCGAACCCAGATCGATGGTCAGATCGCGAAACGCAACGGTTTCTGTGGGGCTGGGATGCTGAGAAAGCTGCCATGGAGGCTTGGAAGGGTAAGCTCTCTCTAATTGTTTTTGCACTGGGAAAGGCTAATTCAGCGGTAGAATTGCAAAGTGGTCATGTGGCCGAAGCGCGGCATCATTTGTAGTTGGCTGCTCTTGGGCGTTTGGATATAAAAATGCGCCCGCGGAGGGATGAGGTATAACCCTCGTCTCCTAGACATTTTCGATCAGGTACGATCTACTTGGTGACATTTTTGAGCGTTGGATTTCATTTGCATACCTATATGCGAGCCTTTTCCGTTTTTGGATCACAGGGGTTTCTTTGCCTCAGACTGTAAATACTACTTCTTATCACTGTCATTTGGAATATCAATAGGTACTTATAAATGAGCGAGAAAATAGTAGAAAAGTCCGAATAAGCGTCGGGGATTAAACCCGCATCCCTTAGTATTGATATTCAAGAAAAAGATACCACTTCCTCCTTGTCAACCAGGGGAGAACCATGACTCAGTTCAACCATTGAGCCATCGCCCCCAAGGTATATCTGCAGAAAGAACCTGGGGTTGCCTCTAGGTAGGGGAAGAAGTGGTGGTACTCGTTTTTGTTTGCGCACAAGGAGCCGAGCCGAGAACTACCGGGGCGACTCAACAGGATCAATATAACGGTGAAAATAAAAGGATGAAGTGCCAATAAATGATCAAATTAGTTGTATCTAGGTTTAAAGAGATAGAATGAGGTCTTCCATGGTTTTGCATACAGGGGTAACCAAATGGCGAGACATTTAGTAGCGGCCTGTACCTCAGGTTGTCATACTGCCCGAAGCTGGAAATCATGAAGCCATACAGACTTCCGAAACAGGCAATTTTCTTACAAAAGGGCCGATTAACAAAAGATTGGAATCGGTAAGGAACTCGGCCCTATGGTTACCGGCTACCACACTGGGCATCTGGGCATACGTGAAATTAATGAATTATTCTTTCCCATTATCTCTCCTATCTCAGCCACAAAACAAAGGAGTCTCGGTTTCGGAAAAAAGGGGCAACTTACTTGCCCTCGCCTACGCAAATTGCTAGGCCTTCAACTCGGGGTCCCTCGCTTTCCAGTAGGCTTCTTCTCGAGATCCACTACTTAATCTGCGGTTCTGAGTGTTGCATAAAAAAAGGTCCGGAGGCAACCCTCTCAACTGCAGAGAGAACAAGGGAACGCTGTAGCTTGACGGAATGGAATGTGTGGTCTCGATAGACGCACCCCAAAAGGGGCGAAAGGACAATTTACTTGATAAAATCTCTTGAAGTCGAGTTGAGTGGGCAGATTCAAAACGAAGTTCGGCGGACAGCGATACTGGATAATCGGAAAGGAAAGGGGAACCATCCCTCGAACTGCGCATTCTATGCCCCCCTTTGATCTTGAGAGAGGCCTTGGAGACTGGGTGAGAAGTTATGGGATCTCGTCCGGCTTCAAATGAGTACCGGGAATCTTCGTCCCGGGGGTTGGTTTGAGCTGCAATGGCTAGAGAGGCTCCGGGCTCACAACTCGACAGTGTTCGAGCCAGCGTGGCGATCCACATAATATTAACTTGAATGATCAAGATGATTAAAGTAAATGAATAAAGTGCCTGAACAATAAATGAATTGGCTGCATCTAGGTTTCTCAGAACAAATGGTGAACGAAAAAAAAAAAAAAAAAAAAAAAAAAAGAAAAAAAAAAAAAAAAAGAAAGAAAGAAAGAAAAAAGAAAGAAAAGAAACAGCATCAAATACATGAGACTTCTTCAAGGAAACTATGAAACTAAATTCCAGAAAATATTGAGGAAAATGCGCCTATACCAGCTTTCACAACCATAAAAAAATGATAATTGAATCTGCGAAGCGACGTAAGAATTTCACGACGATATGAAATGGCGTAGAAAAATAAGCTCTGTTGTCTCCAGATGTCGATCACTGCAATGAAGTGGGCAGTCAAACGTTGATTGTGCAGTGTCAGCTGATTGAATTGACTCTTAACCTCGGTGCTCTCGGCGTCCTTTTGCAAAAGCGCAGATTCCAACAGCTCCGTACGTATCCTAGCCTAGTAGCCATGGCGTAGCAGTCTAGTGTTTCAATGAGCCGATGTGAGCCACGATTGATTTCCTCAAACAGCGCAATTGTTTTCTTGACTCTCCTAGTCCACATAGTCAGCATCGTCGCCCTCTTCGGAATCTTCTTCATCCATTTCCTCGTCATCGCTGTAATCTGAGTCCACATCCATTGTGTCATTCTCCTCGTCGGCCAATGAAGACATGAGCTTTTCATCCTGGCTCTCTGTCACTTCAACGCCCTCCTCCTTCATGTCAGACTGCGCTCGCAGACTAATGGCCAGGAGAAATTTGCCTAGATCACGCATACGAGCTGGACTGGTAGTATTCCAGGGACCAAACTGATGCAAGGTGAGGAAGTGAAGGTCATCCGTATCGGAATCATCATTCAGATACTTGATGTATTCCTTATCATACTCTGCAAAAGTGATGAAAATCTCATGTCTATCCTGCGAAACATGAAGGCGACTACAGCTGTCAGCTAAACCGATGGTCATACAAATCTGCAGTTCCTTTGAAGATAAGCACTTACCGACCAGGCCGATTTAAACATCCGTTTTCATCAGGATCACTCTTTATCCACGCTGCCATTTGGGCGGCCTCTTGCATGACGATTTTGACGATTTTCTTTGCGCGCTTCACTGGCTTTACTTCAACCAATGCGCGAACCTTCTCGGACTCCTCAGAAATATCTTCGAGGTACCCGTCAACGCGGGCTTCGAATGATGCATGACTGAACTGAGCTTTGAATGCCTTCCTATGCACCGTCCATCGATTTGGGATTCCGGTGTGAACTGTAAGACCGCAAAGAAGGTTGAAAAGCGCAGCAGTCACAATCTCTTCATCTTTGGTTGGCAGGTATAGACGGTCCAGGAACTTCTCTGTCCCGGGGCTATCTTCCTCCTCTGGCTCTTCCTCTGGCTCTTCCTCCTCTGGCTCTTCCTCCTCTGGCTCTTCCTCGGAAGAATCAGACGAAGGCTCTGGGACAGTCCCCGTAGATTTAGTAGGTGTCTCTGGATAGGGTTCATTCTTGGGCAAGTTTCCAGTTCTGCTGCGCGTATTGTGTACCTTGGGAGGGGGAGAGAACGCGACACTAGGAATAAGTCGATTGGATGATAGTCGAGCTGCCATCATCTGCCAAAATCTTGCCATGACGAATGTTGACTCGGGCATCTCTTTCACGTCGGTAGCACAGTTCTTGACATAGATTTGCCAGGACTCGTATTCATCAAGCATTTCCTGGGCCTCCGTCACCCAAGCTTGTAGGTCAAATACTTTTTGATAGACGTTTAGATTGAAATGGGGCTTCCAGAGTACTCGCAGTGCCAGAAACTGCTCCTCTTTGATAGTGGAGGCGGACCTCAGCTCGACTTTGTGGATGTTGGCGTCTTCGATCCCCTTCTCAAGGATTCGCCGCTTCCACGCAGCTGAGTTCGAGGGCAAAGCCTTTACCTGACGTTGACGCATCTTGGGAAGGCTAAAATCAAATATGTATTGAGATATCAAGGAGTATGAGTAGATAGTAGATATGGTTTACGTGGTTCTCATCATCCAGGACAGTGTATTAGTAGTAGTAGTAATGGAGCAGAAGAAAGGACCCCCCTTTCTTTGTCTAGCCACCCCCCCCTGTCATAACGGCATTTTCCACTAGCTGTACCTATGAGGGGCATGATTGCGCAGTGAATTATGCAGTGAATCATCCGTGCGAGGTTCATCAATGGTGAATGGTGGATGGTGCCGGTGGATGGCGGAAGTTGCCAGGAGGGGAGCGACTGGCGATCCGTCGCCAAGCATCAGACCCCCGATCCTCCTTAGGTTCTAATCTCTCTTCCGCCTTCTTTGTTCTGCTCTCCACTCCTCTACTTAATACATTCATATCGTCTCCACCATTCTACACCGTCTTACTCTACGCCGTCTTACGCCCGCCCTGGCTTCTGTTTTCGCTTGAAACATTCGTTCGCTCTTTTGTGGGAAAATGGAATCTCTCCCATCGGCAAAGCCGGTGGCCAGAAAACCGGAACGCAAGGACCGCCGTCAGAAGCTCAAGCTCATTAGAAAAAGGATCGACAAACTAGGAAATGGCTATCTCGAAGACTCCGACCTAATAGCCGCTGGTGTGGACCGGCAACCCATGTCTCTCGAAGATAATGATATCCTTCTGCCTCAGTTCTTCGCGCCTTACAACGCGAAGGTCGATCCACCCGACGTGAAAGTCGACCCAGACGATGATGACTGGATCACCGAAAACTTCCCCTCTTTCGATGAACTCGATTTCGATGAATTCGCCCATAATTCGGAGTTCTTTCTACACATGTACATTCAACATGGCGGATTGCCGCAGGAGGATGAATTCCCGCCTGCGCCTTCTTACAGGGAGTTCGTATATCCCTCTTTCCTTTCTTTTCCCTTTGTCGTTGAATATTGAAGGTTCTAACCTCTCGTATAGCTGGGGTGACTTTGGCTTCCCCGATCTCGTCGAAATTTTCGGCAACCCACGATGGCAACTCCAGACGGCCTGGGATCTGCCGCTTCGGCCCCATATCAAATGCATGATCATCACCGAAGCCGTGCCGGATGATCGCCTCTTATACGGAGAGATTGTGACCATCGACGAGATTATCCAGCAGCGTCTGAGAACCAAAATTACCCGCAAACACGTGGATGCTCCGGTAAGCTTGCCTTAACTTTTTCCCTTTCAGTCTACCCGGATTGGATACTAAAATTCTGTCTAGGTCTTGATGTTCTCGTTCATAGGCTCGCAGGTCCGTGTGCTCGAGGCCAACTTTAATGGGAAAGAGCTGGTGGTGCGGGCCACCAAGCTTTATGATCTCAAAGACGATGATAAGAAAGGATGGGAACTTTCTATCTTCCTGAAAAAGTGGTGGCTTGGCGATGCCACCAAGAAGTCTACCAGATGATCTGATCTATCTGCACGATGCGAGTGTTTTGAGATTTCTGTATCCGATTTTTGTTTTGGCGATTGATGATGGCTCATCGGCGTTGGTTTCTCTTTATGGAATTTGTGTGTGAATGATTCCGACGGTGTGAATTACTATTGCAACGCGTCTATGCTGAGTGATACTTCGATTAGTTTATTGACGTACAGGGAGCCGAGGACCATCGCAGCAATCCAAAAATATCAAAGTAATTCAGACGTATGGATGAAGTGTCTAATGAATGAATCGATTGATTCCACCTAGATTGAAAGAAATAGAAAGGACTTCCATGGTGTTTCGTATAGCAAAGATCCATACATGGAAAAGTAAACAAACGGCGGGAGTACTTGGCAGCCAACATATTCTGAAATCGCCGAATTGCAGTGAGTGTCGCTGTAGACGTAGTGCCCCAAGTCGTAGCTCTAGGCCTGTTATTGTCCGTAGACGTGGTGTAGATGGCCAGCCATCTGGTGAGAGGTGGCCCCGAGGGTCGGCGAGGTCAGGAGGGGGGAATATCGTGTTCGTAGAGGTTGGGAGGAAACCGGCGCCCATTCTGTAGGAGGTAGTAGTTTTAATACGAAATAATAGCTTTTAGACGATTGCGAAAGGCTGTATTAGTAGAATCGGAAATTTTGGGATATGCAGGCCAGGGGTAGTACATCTCAGATTTCCACACGATTTATTTGACTATCGCCGAGTCTGGATTATTCTCACATCATTTAAACAAGCAGATCAAAACATATATATTATGGTATCTCGAACAGTACAAACAAAAAAATCATACAGAAAAGAAAATGAACAAAAGCCAACAAAAACAAAGTCATCTATCGCGGACAATATATGCAAATCCGCAAGTAGTAAGTAGCAAGTAGTACTAACAACAGCAGCAACAGCAGCAGTATTAGATATAGATTACCAGATCCGTTTCGCAACCATCTCGTAGCGCTGTACATGATCCATATTCGTTTCCTCTTTCGTATTCTTATCCTTCTCCTCCTTCGTCTTTAACCGTCGAAGTCCGTCCGGGTCATCGACGTAGATCCAGCGTCGTTGGTCGTCGTTTACTTCCACGACTCCCCATCCGCCAACTCGTTTGCTGCCTTCGACTGCGAACTCTCGGCCGCGAGGAGGGCCGCCGTTTTCGGTAGGTGCGTGGGCAGAGGATGACGAGGACGAGGACGAGGACTGCTCTGTCTCGCGGTGTTTCATTGCCTTGTAGCGGGTTCGTGCGAATGCTAATAGGACCATGCCGAGGAGGAGCTTGAAAATCAATAGGAGGACGAAGCCCGTGAGGAGAAGGACGATGGTGAATAGGTACACTGCTTGGGCGGGGGTGGGCATGGCGTTTGCGAGCATCTGGCGGAAGAAGGATCCTGCGTGGGCTGCCGATATAGGTAGTATTGTGCGAATGCTTAGGGGTGGAGGTGATGGGATCGGAAGAGGCGCGTAGTGGCTGTGGATTGAGGATAGTGAGGTGGACGATACGGCGGTTGATGATGGGTGCTGCGGGAGAAGGGCTGCCAGAAACATCTGGTATGTCTGCACTGAGACGCGGAAAAAGAGACACGAGAGCGGAATAACGGGCAGGCCCAGCCGCCGGGTGAGGTTCTGGTCTCCAAAAGCATTGGTGTAGTAATCTTTGGCGAGAATATCTAGGAATCGTCCGTAGATGGCGGGACGCGTGTTGTTGAACTTGCCGATATAGGCGTGTTTCAGCCAGTCAACCAGCATCTCTGACCCGAGAACAACTAGGAATGGGCCCAGTACTTGCGCTAAAGTCGGAAGAAATGAGTTGACATGGCTGAATGATGCGACGATCGACGATGGAACGATGGTAAATGACTGCGGAAGAATCGATGTTGCCGTCCTCGGTGGAGTGGAGAGAGGCGTGCTATTAGTCGCAGTAGACGCGTACGTACCCCCCAAACTAGCACCCAGGGTACCGAAGAAATTGAAAGCGCCCGTCTCCACGATATTCCGTGATGCGATGATCGTGAGCATGAGCCAGAGCTGGAACCGCTCCACCACATCTGCGCACGTCAGTTGGAAGAGGTTCTCCTTTTCGAACTTCTTGAATACGGTTGATTTAATCTCAACGAATTGGTTCGAAAGAAGCAGGGTGATCAGAGCATTCGAGTAAGAGTTAACCGCTACATTCAACGTCATGACCTGGAAAAACAGTGCCGTGGCATGAATGACGGTGTACGCAAGAGCCAGCAGGAAAAGCCCGAAAGGTCGAAACACTTTGCTTCGTCCATCTGGACGGCGTTCCAATGCCTCACGCGAGAAAAGGCACTCCAGCACATCTTGACCAATGGCGGCAAAGAGCCGGTCGCTGACTTCCAGTACGTTGTAAATGACGTACAGTTTAATCGCGGCCTGTCCTCGAATCCAGTGATACATCCGACTGGCATCAAAATACATCAGAACCGCGCAAGTGGTGATCATTAGAAGACCCTTGAGGATGTCGGCTTTGTCATCCGGGAGCAATGCGGACGGGATGGATTTCTGTCGACGGTGCTGATGTCGGTGCTGGATGTCGCTGCGATGGCGCCTGCGTGTCTCCGAAGGTCGTTTGAAATCTCGCTCGATCGGGACCTGCTCAGCCTTGGTCGACGTTGCACGGGCTCTTGTCTCCAACTCAGATTCATTGGGCTGCTCTTGCGTTCCATCTGGCGAATGTTTTGTCCGTCTTCTCCAAACTCTCCCAACACCTTTGATGATGAAGCCAGACAGGTAACGGAGCTCAACTCCTAGGTTAGTAATCCATGACTCTATAAGCATATATAGTGCCTTGATAAAGCGCAAAGGAAGTATAGTGAAGGAATAGAGCCATGAGTCCAAGCATGCTAAAATTCCAAACCAGAGAACTTGCTCCAACGCCGGCGGGAGAATCAAGAAATTCATGAGTCGCTCTAGCTTGACGCGAGATGACTCGTAGGGAAAATCGCTCATTGCAGAACGGTGGATGTACAGTGGCGATGGTCGGCCTGATGCAAGCTCCAGCTGCAAGTATGTCGGGACCGATAGAGGCGGTAGTGGTATTGAAGGCGGCATGGGCGATGGTATTGCCGGCTCTGCCTTCATTGCCGAGGGGTTGAGATGTCGTCCATCCGGGTCTTTCCCGATAGTAGGGCGATCTTGCTTCGATCGAGAGGCCCATGTCTGAGCCAGCCGCTCATTTGAAGGTAATGTTTGGCGCCGCATAGAATTTGGGGTAGAGACAGCGCGGGGCACCGCTGGTCTAGGCCGAGACGAAGCAGAAGGCCTCGTCACCAGACCCGAGACAAAGTCCACAGTTGAGGATTTATCTGGTCGGAGTTTGGGCGTATGTTCCGGCGAGCCGTTCATGTCGTTCAATGTGTATGAGCCCATCTCTGCAGTTTCCGGAGTGGCTACTGGTTGTGAGCCCTCCGAGACCACTCGCCGAGACTTCTCTTCCGCGGTGCGATAAGGAATCGATTGGGGCGAGGATGTAAGCTCATGTATTTTGGCGGGCGATAACTTCGGAACACGGTCGCGATCCCACTCGTAATTATTCCTAGAAGGCGACGCTTCGCCTTCTCCGGACCACTGATTCAAAGCGCTATCGACGTCCTGCGAGTGTCCAAAAAGCCCCAATGGCTGGTCGGAAGATAGTGACGACTGACCGCCTTTTCGGTCACCGTTCATAGCGCGTTGGCTAGGGGACCTAAGCTGATAGTCACTGTGGGGACTGGAAATGACACCATTCTGCTGTATGCTGGAAGCGGTATCTAAAATCTTCCGGTCTTGATCGCCAGCAGTCGGGCTTTCAAGAGTGGCTGCAGATCCCTCCGGTGGCGCATAGCATCCGGCGCCGTTAACCAGTTTCTCCTGCATATGGCCTTGACCCTGATCTTCATGCGGCAATGAACGTGGTCGGTATTTCCAGGCCGGTTCCAACGATTTCTCATCTTCTGCGATGCAATCACGACCCCGTGTAGCCCCTTTTGAACTTGTGGACACGTTGAATCCCGGCGCTGCGGCCATGTCCTGCCGCTGCGGTCGCTTTACGGGGTCACCGTTTATTGTATCCATCATTCGTATCGTCGGGGAATCCAAATAACCATGCGAGAGAGGAGGCGAGTCTTCGCGATCGTTGTTCAACCCGTTGGAATCGGCTGGGGAAGGGAGAGAGCGGGAGACACCATTGCAGGGGGCGGAAATGTCACCCATGCGGGACGATTCGATCGAAGGCACGGCGATGTCGAATGGGCGATTTATGGAGGACGCATGATCATGAAATCGGATGGCGGATCACAGCTGGCAATTAGTAGTGTCCGCAGTCGGAGGCGTCTATGCGGCGCAAGAAAGACTGGACTTGTCGCAAGAGACACGGAGTAGAATTAACTGATAATGAATGGGATCATCGCCGCGACTGACCGCCCGCTGTCACATGACCCACTTGTCCGGCACGTTTCTCCACCGGCCTGGCAACTCTTCCTCTGACAAGACACTCGGCGTTTAGCATGTCGATCCTTGTCCCTGATCATATGAAGGTCAGTCGGGAATTGCTGGTCGTGACAACTGATTCTGATATTGCCAACTATGTCCGAAACTCCCAGTGCAGGACGGAGCACCGAAAAGAAGCCCCTGAGTCCAGTACTGCTCAATGCGACAGCAATCAGAATACTACCCAATTTTTGGACGACCAGCCGGCTTTTTAGCGCATCCCCACTGCCGGTACATCTCGCCGCTGGGGAGACTGCGGCATGCTGCATAGGGGTCGACTTCATGAACCAATCTCTAACGGTATATCGCAGGCTTTGGATACGACCTCTTCCTCATTGTTTCAGTGTAGCACTCATTCAACCACAGTCAAACGTTGGTGTTTGATTGCGTCGCCATGTCAGCAAGTTCTAGATCGGTTGCCCATAAATTTTTGGGATGTTCAGCCGGCTGAGAGGTATTTTGCGTAGGAAATTATTTCTTCTTTCTATAACAAGTTCGAATGCTAGATGGGGATAGATCTCTAGTAAGCCAGGAGTAAGCTACTTGGTTGTTAAAAATGTGGCCCCTCTATTACATGATGTCTTTCCCCGAGACAAGGGAACCCCTGACAATAAGTCCCTGGCTGAAATATTAAAAAGAAAGAAATTATCCACTACTTTCTCACTGAGAGCAAATCCATCGAGCCGGGAACAAGAAAGGCGTTCTGCCGAGCGGTGTGTCTGCAGCTACGGCATACGTATCCGACGTCCAGGAACTTGGCCAAGTCAACCAACACCGACTTATCAACAGCAGACGTTCTGCAATTGCATCTATCTATCTGTCTATCACGCAGAAACAAATCCACCAGATCTCAATCCAGAGAGAAAGAAAAAAAAGACAGTATGTCCGATGCGGATTAATATCCAGGGTATTCGAAACGAAACATTCCAGAGCTCGAGGTGCTCGTCATGAAGGGTATGGACAAAAAGAGTTCAATCATAGAAGAGACGACCAGCTCTTCTGGGGTCATAAACAGAATAAACAAGGAAAAAAGAAAGGAGAGTTCGCGATCAGATGCTCACGACATGGATCGCTTAGAAGTCCTGCTGATGAGGCTGCGATTGTGGACTGTACATGTCGTGAGGAGTATAAGCTCTTACGGGAGGTGTCGGCCCACTGTAGTCACTGGATGGTGGGGGAGGCCTCGGTGGTGCATGAGAAGGGTAGACCGGAGAACCTGAAGCTGGTGCACCGGCAGCGGATACGGGTGAGTTTCTCGCCGGTGCGTTGAAGGGAACATAGCCATCCGGTCCCTGAGGTTGCGGAGTCCCACGTGGGCCAACAGGAGGGAAGGGTCTCATTGGTGGACCTTCCACGGGACTGAAGCTTTGCTGCGGTCGATTCGCAGTGTAACTAGCCGGTGTGAATGATCGCGGAGGATACCCGGTCTGGGGATGTGGACGAGGAGTGCCGCCGACGCTGGGGGGAGGGAATGGTCTGACAGGGCCGCGGCTGTTCGGCGAGAAATCCGTGCCAGGTGTTCTTGACCGGGCGTAAGGATCCTCGATTGGACTAAACGAATGATACGGTGCAGCAGGTGGCTCATCATAGTGTGAAAAGTACCCGTGGTCGTCACCTGGCTCCCGGAATCCACTCGCAGGGGTCATGCGACCCGGACCACGAACCGAGGGCGGTGGTGCCGGTGTGAATGTCGGCCGTGACATTGGAGTTTGGCTCCGTTGAACGGGCATAGGGATCTCGCTTGGAAGCGGGGGTACAGGCGGTGCTGGCGTCGTTTGGCGATCGAGTGGGCTATATCCGGAAACTGCCGTGCTTCCTGACATCGAGACGGCATCGGAATATGCACTTGACTCCGTCATAGTCCGGTTTAGCGACGGCTTCTCTTCGAACATAGCCACATCCGGGAGCGTGGGGTTTCTGTCTGGCGCAGCTGTTCCAGGACGTGACGAGTATGGTGGAAGTGTCGTCTGAGTTGTGGAACGCGAGATGGTGGTGACAATGGGTCCCTTATCATCGCTACCAGCTCCTATAGCTGGCAAGGTAGGTTTCGTGTCTATGGTCAGATTGGGTTGAGTGGGCGCCCGATTTTGCAATGCGATTCCCTTCGCCAGGGCCTTGTTAACCTTCTGTCGCACGATGCGCGTCAGCCGGCTATTGATCTTGCGCCGGCAGTACGCTTTCAGCGAGCCATCTTCCGAAGGAATGTGGTGGAAGAGGAAAATGAGGTAAAGAATAATCGCAAGGGCTAATTTCAAGATGGATAGGACCCAGATGATCAAAGTGAAAAGCATGCCGAACAGGACCACAGCGCGCAGGTTGTTGTGTTCGGCCAGAATTTTAATGTTGTCGAAGAACTGAAAAAAGGCAGGCGAATCATTTTCATCGGCCGCGTTCTTCCCGCCTGGCAGAAGATCCATTTTCATCACGGAGTACAGTGTAATGGCATTGACGACTTGGCGCGGACCGTCGGCAAAGATGGTGTTCATCCAGGCTATCAGCGAGTTAGCATGGCTTTGCTTACAAGACTCGAGCGAATAGGGAACTCACTCTCAAAAGAAAAATACGCAAACAGGGCCACATATTCAGCGCCCTTTTTACTTTTGGTCAACTCTGCGAAGACAAGAAATCGCTTCCATCCGCGGCCCTCATTACCCATGCGGATACTTTGGATTCGCACAGCAAGCGAATCGAGGTAGCATTGCGCAATGCTTCCGGATCGGATAGCTCGGATGGCCTTCAGCCATCGCAAAACCAAGAGCACAAACGAGATGATGATACAGACGGCGAAGATCCAGCGAGAAACAGCGAACGGAATGGCGGGTTCAATCTGTCCAGCCCAACGAGAGAAGGCCAGCAGATTGACTGCGGTGAAGGTGTCAACGCCATAGACCGCCAACGAGATGATCAAGAACACCCAAAGGAAGAAGTAGGAGAACGGGGTGAGACAGGACTCTGACTTGAAATCGGACAGATTCTATGGGAAGTGCCGGGCGTTAGCTGATGATTAGAAAGGGCATTGGAAAGTTCAATGATCCGTGACACTCACCACATAGTCCCATTTCTCCTCAAGAGAGACTGTCGCTCCCTTCTCACGATCTCCACAGCAGGGCATTGTGTTTCAAAAGTCCGGACCGGCCAGGGACCGAACGATTGACCTAGGTACGAAACGACGGGAAGAGGAACAGATGCGACTTCGTCGGACCAGCCGTGCGAAGTCTCCAACGCGACGAAGACAAAGCGACAGCAAAGAGAGAACGAGGGCGGCCGCCCTGGTTTTGTACAAGGAGGGAGAAAAAAAAAGAATGGCTACCACCAGGTGTGGATCGAGTATGATGGATCGGCGGCTATGCGCTGTAATGGCGCATGGCCGTTGGACAGTCGCAAGGGGGTCAAAGAGTAAGGAATGGAAAAAACCAAGCGACAGACAGGCCAATCGATCAGCTTACACAAAGCGCATTGTGTCAAAAAATGCGAATGGCAGAGTCGAAGCGCGCAGCGATTGTGCAACGCAGGGCTGGCAGCCGATGGGGGTGTGGAAACGCGCCAAGGATCAGGGGCTTGTCGCAATTGCGGGGGGTGGCCGGTGACAACAGAGCCAGTCACTGGAATGTGGCGTACGGAGAAAAGAATGTATGGCGGAATGAATGACAGCCAGGCGCTTAGAAAAGTCGAGAACAGGGAGTGATGAAACCGAGGCCTGGAGAGCGAGAGAAGCTGAAGAAGACGAGGACGGAGAAGGAGGGGGGACATGCTGAAACGGAGAATGCAGGCCGGCAGGGAGCAAACCCTGTCCCATGAAGTGATTGATTAACTGCGAATTAGTATTGATTGGCATCGACAAATCAGCGGAGAACCATGAAACACTGCGGGCGCTTAAGCACGCGTGAACCGTCGGGGCATTCCTCGCTTCGGCTTAGCGCTCCACTTTGACCCTGGGCACGGCTCCTCTGGTGTTTGCATCATGGCCTTCGTCTGCGTGGGACTGTGGACACGAAGGAGCCCAGAAAAACAAGCATCGGTCTCAATTTCAATGCTGATATCAGTTCATTCTAGCATTCACTTCTTCCTCCCAGAACCAGTCTATCCCTCAACACAATCGAGGACAAGACCAAATATCGGCAGAGTCAACCGTGCCAAGGATTGCTTAATTACTCCACTAGCCCGAAGGAGCTCATCCCAGCCGAGGAACCGAATGCACATTCTTATCTCCTGCACTTGATCCAGTCAGTTATGAGTCCGATCGGGGTTGACTTACTCCGTGCTCTGCGCATTGTCAGTGAATAATTATCGAATAATGGTCACGATTACTTGAATGCTGATGGTCCGTGGCACCACTCCGGACCCTATAGTACTACTCCGTATGGATGTACACAATCCTGTCCACGCAAGCGCTCTTTTTGATCCACTACCTTAGTCGACTGCAGAATTTCCAGCTGCATACTGACTGTCAAGGACCAGGGTTGAACGGTCTGCAGCAGCCCTCTTGGGCGCGTAGGTGCCGAAAGTTTCGAATCCTGAAACTTGAGTCTTGTTGCCGATCCCCCCTGGCGTCAACGTACATTAGTTCCAATCAGTGTCCATGTTAAAGTTGCTTCCAGTTTCCTGGCGAACACGTCGCCACCGCAGTTTTTAAACGGTCAAACGGAGCAGTCTTGGGGCCGATCCGAGGTCGGAATTGATCTCCGCGCAAAGAGCGAGTCAACTTTTATTCCAATAGTAGCGTATAGGGATCAATGCTACATTGTCGGCTTCTCCGAGTACTCGGCTGATCATTGAGGCATGTTTTCATTAGATGGATCCAATTCGTACGAGTAATTGGCAGTATTATGTGAATGGAGACAAACCTATTCTTTTGAAAGTCTTCCCCCCTCCCACTCATTCATGGATATCCTAGTGAATGTCAGCAATGGGATATAACAACAAATCGCATTAATGTTTTCTTATGCGCTGCCCCGATGACCGAGTCGGTCACCACGTGCACCCCCCGTTGCTCATTTAGAGATCAAAGATAGCATGAGTTCAATCCACGCTCGTGCACGTCTTTTTTTCAAAATTCTTTTTTATTTCACCTTCCCTAAATCGCTCCCAGTGTCACTCCGAAGACGATTCCAGCAGATTTTCCAGGCTTCTAGCAAATCTTGGAACCAACCGACTCAGGTAGACGTAAAGTTGACAGGCACATCTTGTCTCCCTCCCATAACGGTTATTTTTTATTTTTATTTCCATGCAACCCGTGGCCAGCTATCTGGTCCTTCCGTGAGCCTGATTATCGCAAAGATTTTTGGTGGAAGATGACTGACTCTTTTTATCGATTTTGCGGTGGTATTGACCGTTCGTTCACCTTTGCTGTCGGATTCCTGGCAAGCTCTATAGCAGATACGTTCTGTTAATTAGCCCAACTTTGAAGTTTCTTGGTGGATTCTTCATGTCTTACAAATGAACTGGATATTCCCATCGAAATTTCGAGTCTCTGGCGAAGCAATCCGCCTTGTCGGCGTGAGTCGGTCATTTTGGATTGAGGCTTGAACTTGCTTCCCTCCCGACCATGTCATTGCTTTCAGGCACTGTCGCTCCGGCTGAGTATAGAGGATTCACGTAGGATCAGAATTCAAGGGACCAGGCAGGGAATTTGTCCGAAGAGATGTTAGAAGTATGGTCAAGCTTGTTGGACTCGTTGCTGCATGCTCCCTTCGCCGCTTTTGAAGATACCCTCGCTTCCTCTTCTCGGTTTTCATGTTGATGATACTCTCGTGTCGACAACGGTTTCTTCTCGGTGATTGGATCCGAATATGGCCAGTCAGTACTTTTTCCTCAACCTAAGGGGATTCATGTATCGATGTCTCTTCCGTAACGATCAGTTAGACTTCCGCTTTCTTGTTCTCAGCTCTCATATGTGGGACAGCTCACACTAGATGACAATGCGGCTGTTGAAGCCAGAAAGATTAATCCTGAGGCTGTTAGATGTCTGACCTCAGATTCCAAGGAGACTTTGGGACTCGCCAGTACTCTTTTTCACTGTCTGGATCCTCATCTGTGCATTCAGTCTCACATGTCTGTTCGATTGATATTCAATACTCAAGGCACCTTTGTCTGCCAAATTCTGCAGCACAGTTCAGCAAAGAGAATCAAGATTCATCTGCGTAGAAACTCACTTAAGTTCTGGCGAGCACGCCTGTTTTCCTCCTTTTTTTTTTCTTTTTCTTCTCCCTCTCTCTCTCTCTCTTTCTGGGGTATTCAAGGACAATGAATTAGCACTTTCCCTGGCATCTCAATCCCTAGTCCCCATAGCTTTCATCCCTGATGGGACTTGTTTCTGGGTTGGCAATACTGTCTTCGTTCTTGACTGAGGGGTTGGAAGTTGTTGCTACCCAAAACAATCCCAAGAAGTAAATAAGAAGACACCACACGTGCCGGATACAAGTCATGTGGAAGATTGACCATTCCGTTGTTCGTCAAACGCCGCTTTGCTACAGATTTATTTACGGCAGGAGGAAAAGATCCTTGTTTCGATGACAGTAAATCCGATTTTTTATGTCCTCATACAAATGGCATCATGTACAAGGACTATCACTAAATACAAAAGATAAATAATACAGGGTATATAATCAGGCAAGCGGGGGGCATTCCTCCTCTCTCTCGGCTTGAAGGACAGGAACCCTTTGCGTGGATCCCGGCTTGATGCCAGTGCACACAAGCCGGGGAGAATTCGACCTCGCCTACAACCAGCATGCATCGCTGGGAGTCATGACCGAATTCCCCATGCCAGAGACAGATCCGACTGACCAGAGGGCCACAGGTTGGACTCATGATCCCCCGAACTTCTGCACATTCCCTCTTCGAGCCCTTAGCAATGGCTGGTCCCGAAGAGGGAGGGCAAGTCCTGTAGAAGGGATCACAGGAGAGCGCGTTCAGCGCTTTCCGCCAGGACGGCGGAAAGGCGATTCTTTGGTGAGCTTCGCATTGGACAGGGATATTTCGAGCTTTTTGTTCTTCTCCTCCAGCTCTTTGATCCTCTGGCTCATGCTCACCTTGTCGTTCTCGCGCTCTCTCCGCTCGTTGTCCAGGTCCGCCTTGCACTTCCGCAAGTCGTCCAGCGCAGCTCTCTCGTGGGGCTGCGCGGGATGCGTGTCGGCGAGCTGCTTTGTCAAATTATCGTTTTGCAGCTTCAGCTTGGCGACCTCCAACTTGCTGTCCTCTAGAGCAGTGACGGTCGACTTCATATCGCTCGTACGGCGCTTGGGGCTCTCCTGTGAGGGGCCTGTGCCTTGAAGCTTTTGCAGGCGAACCTTGAGCGAACCGCACTCCATGTCAAGCTCCTCGTACCTTCTCTTCTGAACCTTCAGGGCCCCTTCCGCTGTTTCACGGAGGACCCTCTCGCCCCTGAGCCTATCCTCGTGCTTGCCCGCCGCTTCCTCCCACTGCCGGGCCTCCTTCACCGCACGGCGCTCGCTGATTTCGAGCGCATCGTACCTCTCCTGAAGGTCGGCCACCTCTTTCCGACAGGCTTCCTTGATACCCTCTATCTGAGCGAGGGTATCCTCGTCGGTCTTCTCGGGCCCCTTCATCTTGTCTTCCTGGGGCTGGGACGCTCCTTGCATTTGTTGATCCGACTCAGCCCAATGGTTCAGGTCCCTACTAGGCTGGAGAGCGTTGTCGTGCATCCCCATGGGTACCTGACCCTTATTGGTCGAGCGGAGCGAGAGCCTTCCCATCGCTTGGGAGAGAAGTTCGTCGACTTGGTCCTCAAGCCACTTCTTCTTCTTCCCAAGTTCTTCGACGTCGCGAGAAAATCCTTCGAGACTGGGGATAACCTGTGAATCACGCGCTTCCAGCCACCGAAGATGGCGCGCCGTTCCCTCCTTCTCGACTTCCAGGTGGCTGGTGTGCTGCTGGATGATGGCCACCTGGTTATCCCGATATATAATTCCGGCTCCGAGCGATTGGTTCTCGCTCTGGAGCCTCTCCAGCTGGGTCTTGTACACCCCGGCTTGTTGTCTCTCCATAGCCAACTGACGTTCCAGCTCGGCCTTATCGGAGAGGGCCTGGTTCGCCATGGTCACGGCTTGTTGGCTCTCGCCGAGCTTACGTTCCAGCTCGGCGTTGTCAGAGAGGGCCTTCTGCTCCCTTTCCTCAGCCTTTCGGCTCTCGGTCAGCTGAATTTCAAGATCAAGCTTTTCTAAGGCTTCTTCTTGCGTATCCCGAACTTTTCGTCGTTCCGCCTCTAGATTATATTCCAGCCGCTCAATCTTGGAGAGGGCCTTTCGAGTCTTGACCTTGGCTGGGTGACACTGCTGGGCTAACATATGTGCTAGCCCATGTCTGCGCCTGTCTTTGGCGGAGTGAGCCTGTTGCACCTTGGTCTCATCTTGCTCCCTCTCCACGGCTGGTTCATCTTGCGGCTGGATGACTTTCTGAAGAAGAGCCTGTTCCTCCTTGATCTCGGCCTTTTGTCTCTCCGCGCGCAGCTCAGTTTCCAGCTGCTTGACTTCGGCGTCTTTATAGGAAAGAGACTGCCGTGCTTCCTTGACCTCATCCTCTACATCCTCCAGCTTCGACAGAGCGTCTCTTAGCCGCTCATCCGCATCCTGCAACTTCAAACGATCGTCCCTTAGCTGCTTGTCCTTCGCGTACTGCAACTGGGACCGATCGTGGGTCGCATTCTGCAACTTCAACTGAGCGTCCCTTAGCCGCTCATCCTTTTCGTTCTGCAACTGGGACAGATCGTTCTGCGTCTTCTGTAACTCCGAACGAACGTCCCTTAGCTGCTTGTCCTTCGAGTTCTGCAACTGGGACAGATCATTCTTCGTATTCTGCAACTCCGAACGAACGTCCCTTAGCTGCTCATCTTTTTCGTTCTGCGACGCTGACAGAGCGTCGTTCGCATTCTGCAACTCGGAAGGAACGTCCTTTGGCTGCTCATCCTCCGGCGCGATCTGTGGGTTCTTTTGGGAAAGAAACCAACGAAGCCAAGTCTCCCCATCGCGGCGCCGGACTTTTACGACCGGTTCATGGGATTTAGACTCTCCGTTGGCAATTGCAGCTTGCAGCTGGGACTCGAGCTCAGACGCAGGAGGATCTTCGGTCTGTGTCTGGCTGTCCGCGTATGTCGTCTTCGGAGCTGCGGGTTGAGGCTTGTCGGCAGATTCAGAACGAGGGTCTTCTGTCTGTGTCTCCATGTCGGCGTAGTTCATCTTCGGAGCTGGGGGGCCCTGGGGCTTGTCGGCACGTTTGAAAACGGCGGCCCGCGAAAGAGCATAGTACAACCACGCGACTTGGAAGAAGCACAGGATACAAATGGCGGCGAACAGAATGATGTAAAACTGGGGGATGTCTCCATCAGCCATGCCGAACGATTTGACGCTCTTCTCGACCCATTCGTTCAACTTCATGCCGACTGCAGCCCCGAGGCAGTAGATTTCCGCCAACCACTGGCTCTGGTCAGCGAATGTCAAGTACGAGGGACTTCTTGGCCAGGTGGAGCAGTAAGTTACCTTTTCCCAGGGGGTAGTGAATAGACCGTCACCTAGGCCACATAGAAAACATTCTCCCAAACGGATCGCGGTGAACGCGGGAACGCTGAAGAAAGCCAGGCCCATCAACCGAATCAGCAGCACCACCAGATTGTCGGAAGAGCATATCCAACGAATCGGGGCAGAAGCCAATTGGTAGGGGCGCCAGCAGATAATCGATCGCTTCAACTTATAGGCGAAGAGGCTGAATGTGGTGGAGAACTCTTGAGAAGAGCGTACATCGGCGAATTGTGCAAGCAGCCACTTAAAACCGATCACCACAGAGAGAAAACGTCCAACGACGGCAGAGAAAAAGGAGTAAAGGTCATCCCAGAAGCCCATGACGAGAGCCAGCGTGACCATCACTAGAAGGACGGTGCCGGAGGTGGGAAGCAAGTCGATAATTTCGATGTCAGCGAAATAGTCGGCTTCAAAGACGGCTCCAAAGAAAAGCTCCTGCTCGGTGGAGGTCGACATTTTACTTTCGATATCTGTCGCTTGAGACAGACTGAAGGCAAAAGGTAGGGTAACGACCTGTCGGTAGTCAGAAAGACATCTTCCTCCATGGTTTTGGAAAACTTACCGATTGACTCAAGTAAGGAAGATAGATTCGATGTATCTTTCTGGACGAAGCTTTGTCGAAGCTTTCGTGACAGTGTAGGTTACGATGGTGGATGCTGAAGGAGAAAGTATGTAAGTAAGGTAGTGGATGGGAAGAAGAAAGATACTATGGATGGAGAGATACGGATGGAGAAGAAAGATATGGATTGAGAAGAGAGAGATGGTTGAAGAGGAAAGAGAGGAAGTCGACAGAGGGCCATCAGGAAGGGGTTATTTATGCTTGTCGAGGGCCTGCCTCCAGAGAGGCCTGGAACTTTTTGGTACCGGTATCTTCCATCATGAGAAATGGCCATCGCCATCTGTTGACGTCCGAGGGGGGTCTGGTGGCCTATCAGAATGGGAGGTGCAGGTTCACTTCGCCGGAAGTTCCCAGATCCATCCCAATTCACATATTATCTTCGATGTCTGGAGTGTAAATCTCCTGTCCAGAGGATTCCCTGCGTGCTAATTGGGTCAGCGGTGGCTGCTCCAGGCATCAGATATCCAGGCCACCGGGTCATCTGCTGTCTGCATCTGCCAGACTATGCCATTGGCTGCCAGCGCTTTGGCGGATGGGAGCCCCAGTCTCCATCGCTCTTCTCTTGACGGCAGTTGGCAGATCGATATCTTGGGAAGTTCGGTAGTCACATGGTCTGTTCAGGCCTATGCGCTGGCCCAATGTTTCTTCCAATATTGAGGAGCATTCAGCAACAAGTCTATCAACTTTACAGGCTAGCACAATGAAATCAATCATCAAACATTACAGCTCTGTTATTCTACTTTTTTGTTTGCGTGTGATTGCAGAAATAGAAACTCAAAGGATTGGGTTGGCTGGAGCGACTTCTTTGGATACCATATGGTTGGTGAATCTATCTGATTGTCAAATCATGCTAACCCACATACACAGCAATTCGTCTGTTGAAAGAACAAGAGAGAGAACCATTGCGATATGGAGAAGTCTGCTATTGTCTGGCATACCAGTCCAACAAATAATATTTGTCTCTGTTTTTCTTGATGGCAGCTGCTGACTGGTCCAAGTCCACAAGCTGAAAGACAAACAATTCATGCGCAGACAGACCAACAAAGACCTCTTTAGCTTACAAAATTTTATAAAGTACTGCATAGTCCCTGCGCGAATCCACGGTCGCTTCCATCTACTCGCTTAGCACCTCCACCAATCCTTGCCTACGACGATATGGAATACATCCTCGGAGGGAAGCTCCAAATTTATTTACGCCAGATCTAGAGGCCAAGAATTCGATTGATCTCCATCAGGGCTGACTGTCATGCGTCTTCGGGCAACGGCAGAGCGGGGAAGAGGTCTATGCTTCGGCTTCGGAGCATTTGCCGTCATCTGGATAGTCTCTGTTGGTTGTTACACTGCATGAACTAGGTGGAGATCGAATTAGTATACAGTAAGGGAAGTGCTCCAGGAACTCTTGAGGAGAGAGGGTCAAATTATGATTGCGTGTATTGCTCACGTGCAGATTAGTTTCACAATTATTTATATTTGAAGTGATTTATGTTGCTGTTGACTTTATATTATTTCCTTTGTCCGTACTGTAGCTGGGCTTTTCGTTCCTTCGTAGTATAAAATGTTCATAACCCGGCTGTTCAATGTAGGGCTAGATGTAAAAGAAAAGGAGTTTAACCCGACATACTCCGTAGTCATGTCGTGATCGGCGCGAAGAAAGATCGGCGGCGTTCAGAAAAACATTTCCACCTAGCCCTAACCGGCACTAGTGGCAGTGAGGCATTTGTCCCTAAAAACGGGTTACGAGTACGACGACAAATTGCACACGGAGTACGGAGTAGGGAGTACTCTTCCACGGACTCTCAGTGCGAGTTGTCTACTCCGTACTCTGTGGGGATGAGTCAATTGTTCGAGAAAAGAAGAACAGGAGAAGCCATCGTGGAGTCGGGATGATGGGGGAGATCCGTGATCCTCGTTGGAATTTCCTAGGTGGTCGATGAAACAATCGGATTGTCAATTACGGAGTAAAAGGGGCTGTCGGCCTGGTTGCAACGTTGGCCGTGGATGATCTGCCGCCATGTCAGATTCTCTCTGGACCGAATTGTCGTCGCTGCGAGATGGGTGGGTTGGCATTGGAATAGCCGTCGTCCGATGTGCATTGTGCGCTCGGAAGGATAAGGTCGAGAGAGAGAGAGAGAGAGAAAGACTGGCAGGGGAGAATAATTATAGAGTGCCAAGAATCTCAGGCCATCCCTGTCCAACCTTTAATTTCAGGTGTCAACCAGCCCTGCAGGGCGGGCGCTGATTGGGCGGGACGGGCTCTGGGGGCGCCTTCCCTTTTGGGGGCAGGGACCTACCAAAGCGGGCAATCCGGCTTCTGATCGCAGACAAACGCGACAAACCGCCAGCCGTCATCGCCGCCTCCATTACTTCATCCTTGCTCGGTCCTTCGACTCTATTGGCATTATTCCCCATCCACGCTCCCATCTGGCGTCCTTTGTTTTTCCCGCTATTTTTCCCGCCGTCTGCATCTGCCTCCATCATCATCAATTTCAATAGGCAATTAATCTGAATCTATCTGCTTACCTGCCTCGCCGTCCGCCCCACTCCCTAGTGTCTGCTTAGCCTTCCGATCGCGACTGGGCGCGGCACCCCTTTACCCTGCACTTGTTCAGCCCAGTCTTACCCGCAATTTGGCCATTGCCAGTCCGACTAGGGAGGGACAAATAAATATGTCCCCCATCTAACCCGCTGCCTCTCTCTCGTTTTCTCTTTTCCCTCGCCCCGCCCACCGCTGATGGCTACAACTTCGGCCGTCCGTATTCTGGCCCTCCGGCCGGTTGTCCACGGTTTAGGAAAATTATTTCTCTTCACTCTCGCTCAGCTGCCTCTCATTGCCGGCGCCCCGACCGTTCCTTATCTCAAACGCTCCGAAGAAATTCATGCTTTATCCCCCAGTGATCCCAGTCTATGGCTGTATCTCGGTGTGGCCGCCGCGCTCGTCTTGAGCGGCGGCGCATTTGCTGGTTTGACCATCGCCTTGATGGGCCAGGTATGTTCGCCACCGGAGACCAGGCAGACCTTGGTAATTCTTGGCTAACCACTCGTCGCGCTCCGCCTACAGGATGAGGTCTATCTACAGGTCATTCAGACGTCCGGTGAAGGTTCCGAGCGAAAAAACGCAGCCAGCGTGCTGAAATTGCTAAAACGAGGGAAACACTGGGTTCTGGTGACGCTGCTGCTCAGTAACGTCATCACGAACGAGACCCTGCCCATTGTCCTGGACCGCTCGCTTGGCGGGGGATGGCCTGCGGTTCTCGGCAGTACAGTCCTGATCGGTAACAACGCAGTTTCCCTCTCTCCTTCCCATGGTGAGCGACTCCTTGCTGATTTGTCGGTCGGCGTCCAGTGATTTTCGGCGAGGTTGTCCCCCAGTCCATCTGCGTTCGATATGGCCTTCCCATCGGTGCTTGGATGGCCCCCTGTGTCTTGGCTTTGATGTACCTTATGTCCCCGGTGGCATGGCCCGTGGCCAAATTGCTCGACCGACTGTTGGGTGAGGATCACGGCACCATCTACAAAAAAGCGGGTCTAAAGACCTTGGTAACACTCCACAAAACTCTTGGAGAAGCGGGCGAGCAGCTCAACTCCGATGAGGTTACCATCATCAGTGCTGTCTTGGATCTGAAGGACAAAGCTGTCGGTGCCATCATGACTCCGATGGAGGATGTTTTCACCATGTCTGCCGACACCGTCCTTGACGAGGAGACGATGGACTTGATTCTCTCCCAGGGATACTCCCGCATCCCGATCCACGCTCCCGACAACCCTCTGGACTTTGTCGGCATGCTCTTGGTCAAGATGTTGATCACTTACGATCCCGAGGATTGCAAACGGGTTCGCGACTTTGCCCTAGCCACGCTTCCCGAAACTCGGCCCGAAACCAGCTGCTTGGACATCGTCAACTTCTTCCAGGAGGGCAAGTCCCACATGGTACTGGCCTCTGAATACCCCGGTGAGGATCGGGGCGCCTTGGGCGTGGTCACATTGGAAGATGTGATTGAGGAACTGATCGGCGAGTAAGTATCATGCAAAGTACTCTGCAGGTTGAGTGGATCGTGGGGCTAACACTTTTAACCAATAGGGAAATTATCGACGAATCCGATGTTTTCATTGACGTTCACAAAGCCATCAGACGTATGACACCTGCCCCGAAATCTCGCGTGCCCAAGGGCAAAATTGTGGAAGAACCGCCCATGCTATCGGGAGGCCAGCTTGCTCAAGGCACTTTGGTCGACGTCGGTGCTGGAGGTCGGCCACGCGGACAATCGGAGGGACGGCGAAGCTCGGTGGAAGCTCCGCTGCCGCGGTTCCAGCTTCGCAGGCAACACCAGGACAAAAGCTCGGAATCGCCCGATGGTTGGGTTACTCAAAGAGGCACCACGGATGAGATCCGCGAACATTTGAAGCATCTCGGACCCTCCAACTTGGCAAGTCGACCCCGCCACACCCGGTATCAGAGCGTGAAGATCAAGCGGGCTGGTGGCTCGCCGACTCGTTCGGGACAGACGGATGGCGAGTCCGCCCTCAGCACTTCCTCTGGACACCGTCGTGCCTCTTCGCTCGGCCTACCTGGTGGCATTGGTGCCGGACTACTACAATCGGGTGGCTTGGACGCCCGAGATGGCGCGCATGCGCTACGCCTCGGGTACGACACCATGTCGCATACCCCGGCCGCGGACACGGGAACGCAGACGAAAGACGGGTCCGGCATATCCATCCCGGAACCTGTTCGCGAAGAGCAGGATGAATATGGACGCTCCGCCGGGTCAAGTGCAGCTATTAGTATCTGGTCGTCCGACTCACGGTCCCACGACCGCCTCAAGCCATCCAATTACCAGCATCAAGGGCCCGCCCGGAGTGGTAGCATCACCGAGCAAGTGGTCGATGTCAATGGAATCCGTAAAGTGGTTCTGCACACCACGAGTACAAGTTCCTCGGATGAGGAATATGGGGCTAAATACCAATTGCGCCCGGATGGATCCATCCCTGACCTTAACGATACCGAGATGACGAAAACCAACGGATCGAAGAAACGTCGTCGAAAACACAAGCGGGGCAAGGGCTCGAAGGGAGCGCCGGATGATCAAGAGGAATCGGCACTTCTCCTACCGCAATGACCTTTGGCCTGAGCTTCAATGCTCCTCTGCAGGTCAGACAGGGCACACTTCAGTTCTATACACGGGAGCGTCTCAGATTGTATGATTTGTGTAGTGGAGACGTTTGGACGTGCCCGTTCTTCCTTTCTTTTTGTGGAGACATACCTTCCACCTAGCATAGCCTGTATAATGCATCAGTGATCATTCTTGTTCTGCGATTTAAGTACTTCGATGTTCAGTATTCTAAAATCAGTCTGGTTGTATGTGTCTGTTTAAATTCTAAAATGTCCAACCTGGATCTACTGGCACCCAGTGACCTTTGAAGAAAAAGTTCTAATAATATATCTCCCCAGTTTCAGTCAAACCATACCTTCTCTATAACGCTAAGCTTTCACCCTGCAATAAACCCGCAGATCGTAAAAAACTCATCCAATCAAATCAACAGATTCTTTCAATTCATTCAAACTTTTTATGTAGGTAAAGGTATGTATCATGCCGTCAATATCTACGTGTCGTTGGACCATTCATTAACTCCGCGAAGAAGCAACACAACAAGGCGTCAAAACATTAGAAAGAAAGACATAGAGGGGGAACAGAAACATGCATTGGGGATATGGATCTGTATGTGTACGTGTACGTCTATGCCGGACAGAAAACAGGATATCAATCGTCTTAGAAGATGCAAATCGACGCGAGATCATTGCAGGAGGGGATCCTATATTCATGTTAGTTGATTATTCGGATAGATGCAGAAGGAGAGTGTGGAAGTGATAAAGGAAAGGATGGAACATACCCGGTAGTGCTTTTGGTGGTTGGCGGCGCGTTGCACCCGAGCGGTATATCTCTGTTCCTGCCGAATGGCGCGGGTTCGTTCCTTTTTCTCCGACGCCGCCGCCACGTGCTTCTGGCTGTCCGTGGCGCCGACCATTCCCGTGCCGCCGTTGGCACGCGTGATGACCGCCCGGTTGAGGTTGCGGCCTCGCGGCTTGGCCGGCTCCTCCTCGATCTCGCCGTTCTCGATGGCCAGCTGGCGCTCGGCGCGCTCCGACGCGGACGGGTAGTTGTGCAGGTTCTGGCGGTAGTAGCGGGCGAGCGAGCGGTGGCCGACGCTGCGGCCGGACGGCAGGTGCATCTCGTAGTCGGTCTTGTAGACGACCGGCGCGTTCTTGGGCAGCACCTCGTCGCCGTCCACGGACGAGGCCGAGTCCTCGGTCTCCCAGCCGTCTTCCTCGCCGACGACCTTGACGCCGCCCGAGCCCTCCTCGACCATCTCCTCGTCTTCGTCCTCGTCCTCCTCGTCCTCCCACTCGTCGTCGTCGGAGTAGGTGCTGCGGAAGTCGTAGAACTGGCCGATCTCGATCTGCTCGTCCTCCGTCTCGAAGGCGATCATGCAGTGGCCCTTGTCGCGCATGTGGGTGCGGATGCCGGCGGGGCTGTTCTTAATCGCATGGCAGTAGAGACACTCGCTGTTCTCGTTGATCTTGCGGTGCAGGTAGTGGAGGAGACCGTCCATGTTGACGAGGAAGTCCTTCTCGGGGATGAACATGCCGTGGGTCTTGAGCATGTGGTCCGCGTTCTCCTGGACGTCGGCCGACTTGACGGGGCAGAAGAGGCAGCGTGCGGGGTTGAATTCGCCGTCATCGGCCGACTCGTCCATGGCGTCCTCGTTCTCGTCTTCCTTGATCGTGGCGGCGTTCATGCCCTGCGTGATCTTCGACACCTCGGTCTGTTCGCGCGGCTTGTTGATCGGCTCGCCGAGCGAGAACGTCGAGCTCATGACGGACGAGGCATCGTCGGCGTGGTCGCGGTTGAATCGCGCCTCGCGCGCCCGGTGCTTCGAGCTCTTGACGTGGTTCTGGTACGAGTTCTCGCTGTAGAAGGTCTTCTGGCAGGCGGCGCAGGTCTTTTCGAACGAGGCCTTGGCGGCGGCGGCCGTTGAGGTGGCTTTGGCGGCGAGCACTTTCTCGTTGAACGTTTCCTGCGATACGGGGGGCAGAGAGGCGATCCGACGTTTCATGTTATACAGACTGGTTGGCAGATGGATATGTCAGTCATTTGTCGCTGTCTAACGGAATTCAGAGATAAGCGACTTACTGCCAGTCTCTGCGCATATGGTCCCGCTGGGCATCGCTGCCGCGGAAAGCAACGAGACAGGTGTTGCAGGTGTAGGGAAGGGAGGTGACCGGGGCGTTAGGGTCGAGGGAAGCCATATTGAATGGGTTTTCGCAGCAGATGTGATGCTGGAATTCGGGAATATTGAGGGTATCACGGATCAAATCAAAAATCGCCAAAAAGCGGCGCTCGGTTGTGTGCGATAAGTACCAAGCGGGGCGGGCGTGTGTTCAGTCTTTCAAATCCTGAGATACCGGGATGGAGATTTAAGCAGTCACAGTCAGTGATAAGGTGGAATGCGAGAGAACAGCAGTGAAAGGAATGCTGATTGCTAATATGGTCATAAAATCATCACTGCCCCTCGATGAGAAGACTCGAACGAATGAGTCAGCGGATCACTAAGCAGATTCTTGCCGCTTTTAGCCTGGTTATGACGTTTTTCACGTGCCCCGCTCTAACCGGATGCGTGCGTCTTCTACAGGTCGACTGGATGGCCCATGGAGTGTTGAAGGTATGATTTTCCTGAGATTCTGTTTTTCTATGTATATCGGTTATAACTAAGATTATATTCTATTTCGAATAAAAGAAAAAAAATCCCATTTTCCTGGCATGCTCTTCGGAATATGGTATCGGGCCGTTGACCCAAAATATACTTCCAGCAGGGTGCCTGGACAAACCGTGGATGATTGCCTCGTACTAATAATAAAGAATGCTGTTTGACTGGTCACTATATCTGTTAAAGGATTGAAAAAATTTCTTCTTCATCGGCATTCAAACAAGATTTCATTCTATAGTATGCAATACTCTCTGCTTTAAGTGTGTTGACATGATACCTGCTGTCTGCTCATGTAAGGCAGCAATGCTCCATACATCACAAATGACTGGTAACATAAGATGCTTCTAGGATTGAAAGAGATCTACGTAGGACAGTTTTAAGGGCATACATGTAAGTTTGTAGGAGCCTAGGAGGGCTGAAGATGTTCTGGCCGCTGATCCACTCGAGTCTCTTTAGGAATGCACTAGCTGCATCGGGTGTAGCGTATCCACAGGAACAATCATTATTCCGCGACCTCTCTTAGTCAGGGTCTTGGCGCCTGAGGCCACTTCTGGCGGTCTTCCGCATGATATCAGCTTAGCCCCGGAAAGTACAAACCACACACCACTTCACTTCTGTTTCATTCTTCAGTTCGAGAATCTGGTCAGGGCATAAATCTCCCAGATCATTCATCCTGGCTGGGGGCAAGGAATGCTCCCCAGTCCGCGAAAATGACCAGGCTCCGCGGAGCTTCCGTGAGCTCGTATGAAACCTCCCGTGGGGGCAGCGACAGGCCTCAATTACATCGCTCTAAATTGCCCCCGAATGCCCCGGATATCATCGCCCAGAATACAGTGGATGTCTCGGATCCTGCGCAGGTTCTTCTCTGGTACAAGGATGAGCGACGACGCCATTTTAATCTCTTGGTTCGCAGGTTAGTATTATATCTCTTTGCCTTTATGAGTGCCGTCTTAAGGCGAGCCGACGGCTGAGTTCTTTCTGCAAAGGTACAAGAACCAGCTCCTTTACGGGTGTCAGGATCCTGGGTGTCAGACTGCGACCTGCGCGAGCTATCGCAGGCGGGCGACAGAAGGACCGTTCCGTCGTTACACCGAACTGAGTGCTCGCACGCTCGCCTGCTATCTGGCGAGTTTGGATAACGCAGAGAGCGGTCTCTGTCGCAATAACCCTCGGGTCCCATCGGAACTCTCATCGCAGGATTCCCAACGCCGATCGAAACGTCGTACTCGCGCGCTTCCTACGAACGATACGAACCGAGACCGTAGCGGGTCATCAGCAGCGGATCACAATATACTGAATGGGGGTTCATCACAAACGCCATCAGTTCGGCATTCGGATTCGCCGGGCGCGAAGGATAGTACTTCGCGAACTTCTTTCTGGGTTGTGCCACAGAAACATAACGGATACCTGCCACTTGATGAAAACGGGACGATCCACCAGATGAAGGACCCGAAATCCTTCACGCAAAACCTTTTCGACACGTTGTCATTGAGGATGATCGAGTGGCTGCCTCTGCGACGCTCCCCGAGCAGTATTTGTCCCGAACAAGAACAGACAGGCGCGCGGACTGCTTCGCGATCGCCCAAACTGGAAAGCCGCCGCGCCCAGATTCAATCGGACGAGAAGCAACCCAAAGGCCGAGATCGTCTGGCCCACTATCACGCATCTACCGGAGGGAATCCTCACACCCCTTCGTCTCGGGCTACGGGAAATCAAACAACTGCGGTGGAAGTGAGAATGGCAAACCAACAGTTTAAGCGGCGTTCGCTAACCGAGATGGACCAGTGGCGCCAAAGCCCGCGATCGAGCCTAGAGGATAAGACTCATACTGAACTCAAACCGGCTCGCAAGCTCTCATTTAACACGCATCCATCTACTGAAGAGTCCGTCAACATTCCCTCCCCGCCAGCGCTGAAACATCGCCCACAAAAACATCGAGGTCGTACTGGAGACACGCCTGGCGGCTCTTTGCTGGAACAGCGGAAAAAGGAAAGACGGGTCTCTTGGGACGGTGCGAAACTATTGAACGACGTCCAAATTTACGACGCGCAGAAACCTGCTGCAGCTACAACGCAGCAACAGCATGTGTTGGAAGAGGCCCAGTCTCCGAGTGAGCACAAACCACGGCGCAAAGGGGTTCATTCAAGACGAGAGTTCTCAACGATTCAATCGGTCACGCATCTCACAAGCGAGATTATCGACGGACTGAGGCAATTGATGGTGCTCTCTGAGGACGATGCTGAGAGATGGAAAGACCAATTAGCCTACATAGAGTCTACTGGTACCTTGGAAGATTCTGAATGGCGCTTTGCAACGCCTCGCCAGCGTCAAGTGTTTGCATTTGTCGCTCAAAGCATCTTTTATGCTCTGGGTAGCACCAAACCCATCCTGCAATCATTTCGCCAACCTGCGGCTGGTCCGACAGAGGTGGCGGAGCAGGACACCGTGCACCCCAGAATTAACATGCAACAGCTTCAGCCGTCGCTGCGCAAGCTATTTTCGATCTGCCCAAAAGACCTTATCTTCCATAGTCTTTGGGCCGGCCTCGAAACCCTGTTCATTCCACCGAGGGAACTATCAACCCCCAGCAAGCCATCGCGACGGTCGTCATACAATTCCACATCGGGAGCACCTTTTTCTGCACCGATAATCTCCCGACAGACTTCCGATTCACTGCGGAGCGAGCCCATTAGCGATTCTAATGCCGCAGACATCGCTACCGTCGCCCTGTTTGCTTTGGCTAGTTCCCTCCCCGAAGTGGATGCGCCGACATGGCGCGGCCTGCTTCAGATGCGTGCAACTGGCGCCGTAGCTTCCAGTTCCGACATGCAGAAGCTCCCTTTGCACAATACGCGATTGATCATAGGTGTCACCGATGTTCTCGAGCACGAGCTGGCACTTCGGCTCCTGGACCGCCTGGTGCGCGCTCTCACGGCACGGCTGGCATTTCACGAAATATCAAAGGCCCGCCAGCTGTACACCCACGATTCCCCGAAACAGCACAAGAGCAGCGTCTTGGACCACCTCATCAATAATCTCAGCGAAAACCACGAACTTGTCACCGCCAATCTCAACGACTCCGATCAACCACAAGCCCCTAACCCTCCCGCCGTTATTGCCGAGTGGCTCCGCACGCTTTTGCTGAAAGAATGGGATGGAAATCCCGAGATGCCCAAGAGCAGTACCGTGGGCGGCACTATACAGATTCTTTCCATGATGTACAAAGAGCGGGCTCGTCTGGGACTTGTTCCGGAAGACTTTCACACTCCCTTTCTCTCGGAGAGGTTGGAACCCTTGGAACTGCCCGTCGAATGGATGGGGCGGGTACCCAACAACAAGACGATGCATCTTCTTTCCTATCCTTTTCTCTTCCCTCCCTCGGCCCTTGTTATATACTTCCGCGCCTTGAACTATGCCGCCATGTCGAAACACTATGAAGCCGCGACAACCATCACCAGACACGTAACGCAGACAGCGTTTGGTGCTATCCAGATCCAAGAAGACGTGCCCCTGCTCTCTCGCCTGAAGACGTCTATGACCACGTATCTCGTTATGGTGGTCCGACGTGACAGCCTTCTGACCGATGCTCTCAATCAGCTTTGGCGGCGAGAACGGCGAGAGCTGATGCGTCCGCTGAAAGTGCAGATCGGACTGGAAGAGGGCGAAGAGGGACTGGACCATGGAGGCGTACAGCAGGAATTTTTCCGGTTGGTGATGGCCGAGGTGATGGACCCCTGCTACGGCATGTTCACCACAGACGGTCGGACTCGGGTCTCCTGGTTCCAGCCCTGCTCATTGGAACCCCTCTACAAATTTGAGTTGCTCGGATTGTTGGTGTCGATCGCGGTATACAACGGCCTCACTTTGCCCGTGAATTTCCCGACCGCGTTTTACCGCAAGCTATTGGGACTCAAGGTGAAGCACCTCGAGCATATCCAGGACGGCTGGCCCGAGCTCACCAAGGGCCTCGAAGGCCTTCTGGACTGGAACGACGGCGACGTGGGAGATATCTTCATGCGCACCTACGAGTTCAGCTTCGAGGCCTTCGGAAGCATTGAGTCCGTTGACATGCAGAAAGTGGGCAAGGACGCACCTTGGCCTCTGCCATCAGCATTGCTCCGGGCCGGAAGCGGAACCAATCGTTCCTTTCCACCTCCATGGTCAGACGTTCGACGTTTCACCGACCACATGAATCTGAGTCCTCCCTCGTCGATGGCTGCCGAGGCCACCGACTCGCATGCGGATCTCGCGAAGTCGGTGGACGGCTCGGTGCCGGTTCAGTCGCCAACGCCCCCGGCCGAAGAGGCGCCACTGGTCACCAACGCGAACCGAGCGCAGTTCGTCAAGGACTACATCTTCTGGCTGACGGACAAGTCGATTCGACCGCAATACGAGGCCTTTGCCCAGGGGTTCTACACCTGTCTCGACCGAGCCTCCCTCTCCATCTTCACCCCCGAGGCCCTGAAAACGGTGGTGGAAGGGTACCAGGAAATTGACGTCAGCGAGCTCGAAGAACATGCGCGCTACGAAGGAGGGTTTGGGCCGCATCACCGGATGATCCGGGATTTCTGGAGCGTTGTACGAGGATACTCGGCGGCGCAGAAGGCCCAGCTTTTGGAATTTGTGACGGCGAGTGACCGAGTGCCGGTCAACGGGATTCCTAGCATCATGTTTGTGATCCAGAAAAACGGCGTGGGAGATGCTGTAAGTAGCCCGATCGCATTGTCGACCTTCAAGAACTAACTCCTTCTCCAGCGTCTTCCAACCAGTTTGACCTGTTTCGGCCGGCTTCTTTTACCGGAATATTCATCCAAAAGCGTCCTGGAGGAAAAGCTCAGCAAAGCATTGGAAAACGCTCGAGGATTTGGCGTTGCATGAGAGCCTGATTGCGACTGGAGTTGGGGGGTCATGATATACCATCCACTGCTAGAGTCGGCATACCTGGCTCGCTAGCTCGTATAATATCATTGCGTACATGCACATGGACTCACGCTGCCCGACGGATGGCTCGGAACACTTTCCTCCGTAGTTTTCCAGGGACATTCTGCCTAGAAATCCCCGTTTGCCTCTTCCTCTTCGCCATCGCCGGATCCATGGATGGACGGCCAGAGTTAAAACTTTATCGCGGCGTTGTCGCTCATGAAATTCCCGGAGCTCAGCTTTTTTTTTTCATCGTCTTACTTTTCTTTTTTTCTGCTTCTGACGGGTGGGGTTTTTATCCAGTTTTCACTTTTTAATTAATTAATGGGCATTTCTTTCAGCGAGTGATTGATTACTATCCATCGCATCCCTGCTGACGCGCGATTTATTAAAATTCAGATTTTTTTTCCCCTTTTGCCCCTTGAATCAAACCATTCTTCTCTTTTTCTTTTCTTTTCTGTTTTCTCTTTTCGTCTTCATCTTTCTTCGGATTTGTGATAGATTCTACATCCTTTCTAGTTTCTCCTCTACTTTCTAGGTGAGTCACTGCTCCAGTCTGCCCCGCCACTAAAATCTACCCCACGTTTTTACGTTTGTCTCGCCCTCGTTCTTCCTCCCCCTCGTGTTCTCCCGACTGACATTTCCGTGCTCGCTTTTCCGGAAACAGACGGATAGACCATCTTTACTTTAGATATATATATTGAATAAATATATACATCTCTCTCGCTCTACTGGTATAGATAGACGCACGAAAGAACCGTCCCATAGAAGATGTCCCCGACCATCCACTGCGTTCGTCACGCTCAGGTTCGTCCACCCAGCCTACCTACCATCCGACAGCATCACTCCAATCCATCCATCAGATAAGAGACGAGACCTAGAACCCACTCATTAACGTGCAACCCGAAAACATAAAGGGAGTCCACAACCTCTCGACAGCCAACCACGTCATCCACGACCCTCTCCTCACGGACCTCGGCAACGAACAATGCCGCCAATTGCGCGACGCATTCCCCTACCACGAGAAGATCGATCTCGTGGTCGCGTCCCCGCTACGTCGCACCATGTACACGGCGCTGCAGAGCTTCGAGCCCTTCTTCAAGGCGAACCCGGACAAGAAGTTGCTGCTGCTGCCGGATACCCAGGAGACGAGTGACGTGCCGTGCGACACGGGCAGCGAGCCGGAGGTGCTGAAGCGCGAGATCGAGGAGAAGGAGTTGCCCGTGGATTTGCAGTATGTGGTCGAGGGGTGGAATGACAAGGTATTTTCTTTCTTTCCGGTTTTTTGTCTTGGACTTTGGGGGTTGGTTTGGGGGAGATGATAATGATTGATGTTAATGGGTTTGTGATAGGTCGGTCGGTATGCGCCGACGAATGATGCGATTACGGATCGGGCGCGTGATGCTCGACGGTGGTTGAAGGAGCGGCCGGAGCAGAATATCGTCTTGGTCACTCATGGTGGGTTTCTGCATTTCTTCACGGAGGATTGGGAGGATAGCAGTCAATACCAGGGTAAGTCTGGTCTCCTTTACCGTCCGAGTAATAGACATCAGGGTGAGCAGTGCTAATGGAAGTAGGAACCGGTTGGCTGAACACCGAGTTCCGGGAGTACGTTTTCTCCATAGAGTTTCACACCGAGGATCTCGACGGCAAGGCGCTGGCGGGCGACAACGCCAGCTTGGTCGAGACCGTGGATTCGCGCGCGCGTCGTGGAAAGGAGGGACCCATGGCTGGGCGGCGGCGACAGAGCACGCTGTACAAGCTCGGAACGCAGGACTGGGACGACCAGGGGTTGCAGCTCAGCTCGGCGGAGAGAGAGGTTCTCAAGAATATCGATCCGAATGGCTTTCAGCGGTGAGAAGCTTTCACCTCCGGATGGGTGTATTGCTAGGATCGGACGGAAAATATCCGGACTGGTTCCTTTGTAGATAGTGCTAAAATACTTCGATAGAAGAATAGAATTGGATGATTGCATTCATTCTGTGGCGAAAGGCATGTAATATTGAAAGGAATGATCCGGGGTGCGCAGGGCTGAAAAAATGTAACAATAAATTGCTTTGAGGTTTGATCATTGTGATCTCAAAGAACTGCACAATGGTACTGCTGTCCGCACACAAGCATCAAAGGGATAAAGGTGCCATGAATGGATGCGGTCTCGTAACTCACAAGAACAAAGAGGGACTTGTGCATTGTCTCCTTCATCTATAAGTAGGCGACAACCTCGAGTCTACCCTCACTCATCACTCTGCAGCGTCCACAGCACTGAGCAGATGCTAAGACATGTGAGTTTCGTGCTCAAGGACAAACTAATGCTTCCTTAGGTCGATCTATAGCAGCCATGGAATGGTTGTGACCTGTAAGTGCACCTCCCATCGGGACGCTGACAGTGACAGACTTCGAACTAAACATACCTATTTTACGATCAATAAGTTCCTACCCTTCCTGTCCGGTTCTCTACTGATTTTAGTCAGATCATTGCCAACGCAGCGAAGAACTCCTTGCTCCACGAGCCATCTGAGGCTCAACATAGACCCTTAAGTTTTCTTCCCACCCATCTATCAGGCGGGTGTACCAACACGTACACAGGCAGACCAACAACAGGACGAGGGTGGGTGGCAGTATCAAAAGTTCCTGTTTGCCTAGGTGACGTCTTGCCCTTTTCCCACTCCTTTTGGGCAAATGGATACTAACCATGACATCGCATCAGCACGAGTCTGCCAGGCTGAGCAGGAAGCCAATACCCGTAAAGCGTAAGACTGATGTTGAGGTATTATATCCTGTGCGACTGTAATCGAAAGCACGTTCGCGGCACACAGTCCTTAGATTTTGACTGACGAGGTGGAGTGAGACTGCTGATCCGGCGAATGTGGACACGCAATTAGTCGTGGCGGAGGCTTAGCGTGCATTGCATTCTGCAGACAGACACTGGGGCATTGGATTGTGATATCTCGAGCACATGGGGTGGTAGCGGTGTGGGGACTTTAGTTGTACATATGTCTTGTTGTTCTGCTATCATCTAGAAACGTGTTGTAAGAGGCCAACTCATGACGCCTTGAGATGCTATCCGCTTGTTAAAGGAATTGGGCATGCGGCATGTTGGTCCTGACGTGTGTATTTAGTGAACAATATAATTGTTACTTTTCCATCCGACTGCTTCTTTTATACCTAGTTAGTTCATAACGGTCCCGTCGTAAAAGTCAATTCGTCCAGAGGTGAATGCATGGTAGATTCCCGTGATCGATCTCGGCTAATCCGTGTCGATCCAGGCAGATCCGACAGGCAAGGGCATTTATTGGAGGCGAAGCCAAGGCAGCCAGATTGATTATCAATAAATTTCTGATATTTATGCTGATCAGACGGTTGATTCGTCACCATGACTTGTTTGCATTGCGTCTGTAGATGGTAGTTTTGACGGAGCCTAGTGTCAGTAGTAAGAAGCACTAAATAGCGTAAGAACGGTGACGGAATCCGGGTGCCTGAAATGGCACCACACTGGGGCTTATATAGAAGGCCGTGCTTGATGTAGTGGGGAGATGAGAGATCGACTGCCGATATCTGGCTGCCTGGCAGGAGAAGAAGATTGAGTCTTAAAGTGCAGAGAAGGCGCTACTCGAAGCGGAAAGGCGCCTGCAGGTGATCGGCGTCTATTTTTAGCCGACCGCGTGGCACAGGCCTGAGGCACCCCGTCATCTCGACCTCGTTTACTCTGTTTTCTTCCTTCATCCCACTGCCTCTGCTCGCGTTGACTTTATAACCAGTCCAATGGCACCGGCTTGTCTGTTCCAATCCCCGGAATAAGCCCCTCTCCGCCAAAATGCTCGATGAAGCTCTCCCCAGTATGGTCCACAGCTTCCCCTGTCCCTGACGACAACCAGGCACTGACACCGGCATTAAGCATTCTTCCTCAAATCCACTCGCCAATCTCACCTCCAATCCATCTACTTCTGTCAACATGGAAACGACCCTTTGCCCGCCTACTCCCTCCGCCACGCCGACCCGTCCACCCCCGACGGCAAGAACCGCTACGCAGCCGCCCTCGTTGACCCTTACGTCCCGGACATCATCTACGGCGAAATCCTGATCATCCCCGAATGGACGCAGCCCAGTCTCTCCGCCGACGCCATCCGGGCCAACGGCGGCGTCACCCCTCCCCCGGAGCCCCTCCTCCCCACCAGCTTCGTCATCCACCTCTACAACCCCGACCAGCAGGTCACCGTGCACTTCAAGCCCAAGAGCTGGAACAGCCCCGCGACATGGACCTTCGAGATGCCGCAGCATACCTTCCGGCAGCCGTCCAGCTCGAGTCTCGATCGCACGCAGACCGACCCCGCCGCTGCCGACACCACGCCGAAGCTGCGCTTCAACTGGCGCCGCGACAGCAAGCTGTCCAAGGACCTAACATGTTATCTATCAGGGAAAGCGACGTCCCTGACCGAGGGCAAGAACAAGACGAAGAGTAAGGAGCCGGACATCATCCTGTCGATCTTCAAGGGACTGCGGGAAATGACGCTCTACGAACCGAACCTGTATCGGGTGGAGATGGAGGATTTCAAGGGCTTGGAGGTCGTGCTGCTTTTGGGTGCGGTGGCTATCCGCGACGTGTATTTCTCGACCATGAAGGATAGCTTCAATCTTTCGAAACAGGCCCCGGTGATGAGTGCCGGCCCTGCGCCTGTTCCCACGTCTACCTCGATCCCAACCACTGGCCCTTCCCCTGCCACGGCTGCCGCTGCCGCTGTCAACGGCAACCACAGAGCCAGTCTCCCCCCGATCAACACGCAATTACACCAGAAACAGCCCCCACCTGTCGCCTCGGGCGGATTAAACGCCCCATCGACCCAACCACAACCTCACCCCTCCAAACCAACCGCCTCCAACTCGCAGCCCAAACCAGCCCCATCCAAACACCAAGAACAACAACGAAAGGAGGAAGAACGCCGCACGCAGAAGCTCCTCGAACAAGAAGACAAAGCGCGCCGCCGACGCCAGGCCGAAGTCGACCAGGAAACCCGCCGCCTGCAGCGCCTCTACGGCCAAGAGGAGCACCGCGCCCGCACGCAGACTCCCTCCCTTCCACCTCGAGCGTCCCGGCCCCATCAGCCCTCCAGACCGCACGCACCGCCGCAGCCGAGACCCATGCAGCCTAACGGGCGCGGGGCCCCGGCGCAGCGCTACTACTACTACCATCACCATTCGCCGTCGACGCCGCATATCCCGGCGGGCCCGTATCTGTCGCCTACCGGACGCAGGGACCCTCGGCAGCAGTCGACGGTGACCTTTGCGGCGCCGGACCGGCCGCAGAGCACGGGGACGCGGCCGTTGCAGCCAAAGAAGAGCAGTTTCTTTGGGTTCCGGAAGTCATCGGATGAGCGGGAGAGGGAGAAGTTGAGCAAGAAGCGGAGCTCGATGTTTTGATTGGTGTGCATATACCGCATGAACTTATGATACCCCTGTGTTTCTCTGTTGGCGTTGTCTTTCTCTTCTTTCTCTTCATGTTCTGTATGCATGCATGCATGTACAAAAAGCTATTCTACTATCCAATATACGTGCCTATACAGACTTGATTTTCTATCCCTGCTTGGATGGGTAGGCAAAAGCAAGCTTTGTTTGCAGTGATGACTAACCACCGAATCTCCCGAGGATCTCATCCATCCATATTGAGACCCCTCTCGATAGATGCAGATCTCGTCCATGTACAATAAATCGCTTCGGCAATCGGAGGGCCTTTTCCGCAATTACCGGTAGGATATGAGTCATTCCAGGAGGACCATGACCCTGACCATGACCATGGCGAGCGTCATGGAATTGCATTCAGCCGCCCATTTTCTTCACAGCCGCAGAGCCCATTCACTGCCATTCCATTAACAGGAAGAACTGCATAGCCTACTGTTTATTCACCTCGGGCATCCCGTTGGAAGTTGCCTGCTGTCTGCTGGCCTATATATTCACCTTTTCTATCCCCATCTCCCCTTCTCTCTTCCTACTTCCCTCCGACTATCAACCTACCCCGTCTCCTTCCCACATTCTCCCTTAATTGTGTTCTCCCAGCTGACGAGGGTCTCTCAGCGCATCTGAGATCAGGTAAGCAGTCGATTTCTTCACAATACGGGGGTGTTACTGACAACATTATAGTGGTTGAAGGGTGGAGACGCAATGGCATCCCGTTTGCAGATAGTATACCAAGGCCGCTGAAATGCTGCTCGTGGACTCTTCTACCCGCTCTGAGCTGAGATCTGGCATTCAGCCCATCACCAGGAGATCGACCCGTTGCGCCAGAATGAACACTACAAAAAGATCACGAAGGCCCATGCAGATGATGAGTACGTCATGCCTCCAGACGAAGCTCGGTGGGAACAAGTGCATTCGGCTATTGAGACTTGAGAGATATGAGAATGAGCGAAAGTTGCTGGAGAAATACCTCGAGAAAGGCAAATGCACGGTTGGTTGCGTGAGGGCTGCTTCCGGCCTCGAGGACAAGCAGGCCAAGGACCCCCACAGAGTTCCCTCAATCCTGGACTGGGCCCTCGTACGGCCGCTCAACCATCTGAACCGCGCCGTTGGTACAAACAAGGTGGGTCAGCACACTCGAAGCGAATACAAAATCTCTGGATATGCTTGTAATTGACATCGCTCAGATCGCTTCTGTCACCTCTGGTCCCAGTTCCCTGACAGGGTTCGAAGTTCGTGAGCTACAGGCTGATGAGCTACTGGGCAAAGTGGGCTACGTTACAGGCTTACTCGGGGCAATTACTCTGGCCTCCGGGCAGTCTCAATTGCGACCAGGGTTGTCAATGGAAATGAAGAGAGGTATGAGACCTGGGAGCATGTAGTCGCATGCGGCTCTAGGGAACTTCCACTCGAGGACCGTGGCGACTCTGGGTCACTTGTTTTCGATCCCACCGGCATCGTGCTGGGTATGTGCTTTGGAGGAACCGAAACTGGCGATCTCTTGTATTTCACGCACATTGGAGACGTGCTCGAAAGTATTCGGGAAGTCACCGGTGTCCGTGACATACGTCTTCGGGCTTGAGCCCTTGTGCGAATCTCGTCACTCTTAAGCTTCCGCTCATCCCGTGCTCAGTGATTGCCTCAAGCTGCTCAGGGCGTGCTCAGGTCTACTTGGTGAACAAAAAGTGGTGAGGGGGTGAGCACTAAAACAGAAAGTAGAAATTCCGATATGTACATGGGCATATGAATATGAATGAATCTAAACCCTCACAACGGCCTCCCCCGGACCCCCTCCTTCGTAATCACCACGGGCTTGATATTCCCCTGCCCGTCGAACTCCATGCGATCGATGCATGTGACGCGATGGTCGCGCGCCGTGTCATTCACATACCGCCGATGGTACACGATGTAGTAGTCCTTGCCGTCGGGCGAGAACACACTATTATGGCCGGTGCCGGTGCCGACCTGGTCGTTGCCCTCGAGGATCTTCGTCGGGGTGGACGAGAAGGGGCCTGTTGGCGAAGGGCCCGTCACGTAGCTGACGCCGTAGGAGTTGTCGCCCCATCTGTATCCATTAGCCTCTGCCCTCTGTCTGCCTCCTGCCCTTCCACATTCCAGGGGGGGAAAGGAGCAACAACATGAAAATATAGACAGGAGAGGAAGGGAAAGGGAAACAAGGGGAGCTCACCCTCCAACACTATACATAAAATAATACACCCCCTCCCTCTTCAACACCCACGGGCCCTCGACATAATCCTTCGGCGTAATCTCCACAAACTCGCCCTTGATCGTCACCATATCCTGCTCCAACTCCACCACCACCGCGTGGCTCCACCCCCCGAAATACAACCACACCCTGCCGTCCCCCTCCCCCTCTCCTTCTCCCTCGCCGTTGTCGCGAAAAACCTGCGCATCAATCGGCTGCGCCCCCTTCACCGTCGGACCCTCCACCAACGCCCTCCCCAGCACATCCTTATACGGCCCCTCCGGCCGTCCTGTCGTGGACCTGGCGACGCCGATCCCCGCGCCATCGCCCGCGGAGAAGTACATGAAGTAGTTCCCATCGCGGGATCGCGTGACGGACGGGGCCCAGGCGGCGCGGTTCGTGGACCACGGGATCTCGGTGAGGTTGAGGATGTGCGGGTGCTTGTGCCAGGTGAGGAGGTCGGGGGAGGAGAAGGCGTCGAAGAAGGTTTGGGACTCGTAGGCGGCCGAGTAGGTCGGGTAGATCCAGTAGGTGGAGTCGAAGATGCGGGCTTCGGGGTCGGCGTACCAGCCGGGGAAGACGGGGTTGCCGGCGTAGGTTTTGTTATTGGCGGTGGATGTGAAGGAGGAGTGGAGGGGGGATTGGGAGGTTAGGGCCATGGGGAGGGAGAGGAGGAGGGTGGTTAGGGTTAAGGTGGTGGGTGATGGGGTCATTGTGTTGGATGGATGGATGGAGATGTTGAGTGGGAGAGAAGGAGGGAGAGAAAAGAATGGAGAGAAGAAAGAAAGAAAGAAAGAGATTGGGAAAACAAAGAATGCAGATCCCCAGAATGCGGGGAAGATCAGATGATTCGGAGGGATTCAAAATATGCCACGGAGGAATTAATCCCTTCCCTTGAAGTCCATCAATGAATTCATGACTAGGGCTTCTAATGTATTACCCCTAGTATAGACCCCAGACTTTAAAATAAACACGACCAGGGAACGGCTGAACAGAACCAAAAAGCAAAAAAACACGAGCCCCATCAGAGCTTATCTTAAAGATTAAAATAGCAATCCCGTCGTATTCGCCCGACCTGCTTTTCCCTTTCGAGTCTAGAGTCTAGGACGGCCCCTCTCGTACCTGAGTATAGACCGTCATAGTATATCTTAGATGCATCCAACAGGGGACGACCGAGGAGCTTACGATCTATCTATATCCCTCCCTCCACACGAAGGCTCTCGTCCTGCATCTCCCGTGCTGTCAGATGCATCGACCCTGCAGGAGGGTATGTCATAGCTCCCTGGTTCTCGGCCTGTCAAGAGTCAAGGGTCCATGAACGGCGTTGGAAGTGGGGGAGATAGACAGGTCCATCTGCTAAGGCTGGATTTGTAGATCCTCGTTTTCGTGTTATTTTCGGACTTTTTCCCTCTCTTTCTACGTTTCTTTTTCCCGCTTTCCGAGGCTTATTGGTCCCTCGTCCTGCCCATCCTACCCATTTGTCCGTAAACGACAGACCCAGCACGGAGCGGGAAAAGAAGAAGAAAGGAAATCTCCATAATTAGCTGCACGCTAAGTAGTGCGACCCCATTCATGCATCGTTAGTGGAGGAGAGAGACCTGCCAGTGCGAGAACTCGAGATTGTCTCCCCCACCAGCTTTCCCTGTGCAGAGGGCAGACCAGAATAGAAATCGGAGAGGGTGGATTGTCGATAGAGGGATAGACAACACGAGATGATAGACTTGGGGGCGGCCATGAGATTCCTCACTTGCGATCTAGAGGTTTAAGTTGGCTATATAAGAGGGAAGGTTTGGGAGTTCTTGTCGAGAGAAACAGACACCGCAACGACAGCAACAACAGCAGATTACAGACAGCTTCATTTGATCGATCGGAGATCGGTTTCGCACATTCCTTACTCACGCCTTGACTGACTGTTTTACGACTTTCCTTGACAATTTACTTCTCATTCTACCGGGTTCGCACCTTCACGCACCACAGTCCTTCAGCCTATACTACGTTCCTTCTATTCAATTCAATTGACTCCCCTCAACTCCAACCCAACAGTCAAAATGGTCGGAGTCCCCCACAGCACAGGCTGCTCTCTCTGCCGCGAGCGTCGCATCAAGGTACGCCCATTCCCATCTCCATTCCATCCCATCACACCCCCCATAGACTCCCACTTACAACCCAAAGTGCGACAAAGCAACCCCCTCCTGCACCCAATGCCGCAAATACGGCCGTCCCTGTCCAGGATACCAACGAACCTTCCGATTCCAAGACGAACGACCAGGTCTCGAACGCCGACACGCCTCGTCCACCGCCAGGTCCGCCTCGAACGCCGCAGCAGGCGCCGCAGCCGCAGCCGTGGTGCGCGACAACGCGCTGGCCATGATGCATCGGCAGCAGGTGCAAGCGCATTCCCAGACGCAGACACGGACACAGCCGCAGTCACAGTCACAGTCACAGTCACAACTCAACACCTTCGGCACCGCTCCAGGACACATAAGCGGACTGCAGAGCGAACCCCACAAAGTCGACAACTTCATCCGCACCGTCTTCCACACACTCTACCACCACAACCTGTTCCGGCTCTCCGACGAAGCCGAGAATCTACCCGGCTACATCGCTCGCAACGCGGGACGAAAGCCCTTCCAGGACGCCGCGGTGGCGTGTCTCACGTGCATCTCGCGCGCGCATGAATCCGGCGACCAGTCGATGCTCAAGACCGGGCGGCATTTGTATGCGCAGGCGCTGCGCGAGGTCGTGGCGGGGTTGTATGGTGAAGAGGCGCTGTCTGCGGATATGTTGAGCGCGATCATGATGCTGGCTGTGTATGAGATGTATGCGCGGACGAGTCCTGGTGCGTGGGCGGTGCATGTGGACGGGGTGAGGCGGTTGATGAGAAGTAGAGGGGCCGAGGGGCATGGGGAGGGGCTTGCGCGGTCGAATTTCCTGGTCTTCAGGGGGTTTCTGGTCTTGGCGGCGTTGGGCGAGGGTGCGCCGTGTTTCCTGGAAGAGGAGGAGTGGCGGGTGGCGAGTTGGGGGACTGCGAGGGAAGATGCGGCGAGGGGAGGCGCGGCGGCGCGGTGGGTGGATGTCGAGGAGAGAGTGTTCGAGGAGGTGGTGCGACTGCCGAGGTTTGTGTCGGAGGCGAGACAGGGAGGAGAGAGAGTAGGGAGGGAGATGGGAAGAACGAGGCAGAGACTGGAACAGTTGGGATTGGAGTTGAGGGCTGGCATGGAGGCTCATGCGCCTCGGGTGAGGATTGCAGGGGCGACGATGCCGGATGGCGGGCCCTGGTTGCTGCTGCAGGGCGTGGAGAGCGCGATGGCGCTGCTGGATGGATTGCTGGCAAGACAGCGCAGTGATGGGCGATTCAGACCCTTTCGCATCGTGTGCGGATTGGACGGGGGTCCGTCGGCGATGCCGCGCATCGAAGGCGTCACTTGGCTGGACCAGGTGGCTTCGTCTTTGGGGATGATCGGGACCATGGTGGTTGATGGTCACTGATCAGGATGTCGAGATGTGCCATGTGCAACGAGTTTCTTTGACGACGAGTTTCGTTTGTTTTATTGTTGTTGTTCTTGTTGATGTTGACTCACACTATCGTTTAGCGACTTACCATGTCAGATAAAAGTGTTTCATTGCAGCGTTATATCATTTTCATACTATATATACACGAGGGGGAAACCAATTGTCCAAGAGCTTTAATATGACATAGACTCTTCCAGCAACTTTCTCAGCTCCCCCTTCTCAGCTTCCAATTCCTCGTTGAGATTGGGAGCAAGCATCAGCACCCGCTTCTGCGGGAGCGTCCCCTCCACCAGCGACTCCACGTCCGATGGCTTGAATCCCAGATCCTTCAGTCCACGAGGCTGATCGCCCAGCTTGGCCAGGAAGTCGGCCAGTGCCTCGCCCAGCACCTCACCCGCGCTCTCGCGCTTGACGTTCGAGATGTCCACGCCGAACGCCTCGGCCGCGGCCAGATGCCGGTCTGGGTTGGATGCGGCCGTGAATCGGAAGACGGCGGGCGCCGTCACGGCAACAGACACGCCGTGCGGGATAATGGGCTGGTCGACCTCGTAGCCGGCATGCTGGTAGCCCGGGTTCTGGCTGGAGATGGGATAACTCATGCCGTGGCAGAGGTGCACGCCCGCGTTTCCGAAACCAACGCCGGCCAGCGTCGCGGCCAAGAGCATCTGCGACTGCGCCTCCATGTCGTCTGGGTCTCGCACAGCCCGCGGGAGATACTGCACGGTGCTGCGAAGAGACTGCAGCGAGAAAATATCCGAGATGGGATTGGCTCCCTGGTAGGCAGGACGATTGATCGGGTTCGTCGGGCGAGGCGTGCGCTCGTTGTACGGGATGGCCGTCCACGACTCGAGCGAGTGGCAGAGCACATCGAGACCCGAGGCCGCTTTCACGGCGGAGGGCATGGTGCGCGTGTTGAGGGGGTCGCAGATTCCCAGCGTGGGCTTCAGATTCCGGTGCGCAATCCCGGTCTTAGCCTTTTTGGATACGAGGTCGAAGATGGCGGTGCCCGTGGTCTCCGAGCCGGTACCTGCCGTGGTCGGCACGGCCACGAGCGGCTTCAGAGGCCGGTTCACCGGAAGCCCCTTGCCTAGCGGTGCGTTGACAAAGTCGAGAAAGTCGGCCTCGGGGAAGACCGTGTAGAGGTTCATGAGCTTGGCGGTATCAATGACCGATCCACCGCCTATCATTGTCAGCGACTATATCCACGTCTGGGGATTGCGGACAACGTACCAACAGCAAGAAAAGCGTCCGGATTATACGGTTTCGCGAATTCAATCGCCTCTTTAATCCTATCTCATAATCAGCTCTATCCCCATTCGAAGATCCAAATAACATACGAGTAGTCCTTCGGCTCAATTCGGACCTTATCAAAGACCGTAAACTCAATTCCCTCACTCGACAGGCCCTCCGCAGCCTGCTTCATGGCGTCCAGTTTCACCACGGTGCTATCCGTCACCACGCAGACGCGCTTGGCCTTCATGTTGGCGAAATCCATCCCCACCTCCTTGGTCGCGCCCGGACCGAACCGGATGCTAGAGGCGGCCATCTCAAATGCATATTCCTTCTGGCGCGAAGGGTCCACGGGGGTGGCCATGTGACGGCGAACATGGTCGGCAAGGGTCGGGGAGCGATGATGGTGGTGGTGATTGGGATTTGAATGGCAGGGACACGAGGGAGGGTGTGTGTACTGGACGGTGCGTAGGAGGTTGAGGGCTCTGTTGGCGGCCGAGGGGGCCACTCGGATCGAGGGTGTGACCATAATGGGTGTGGTTACCTGGTGTAAGGTATGGAGAAACGAAGAGTGGAATTGATTCAAGACCGAGACCTGGGATATTTTAAGATGACAGAAGATGGAAGATGGAGATGGAGAAAGACGGTGTGGAGGCAAGGAGGTCGGCGTGCGGGGGATGTCCAATTCGGGGAAATCGGCGAGATGGCCGAATGAGCGTCTGCGTCGGCATGTCCAGAGCTCTGGATTCCACGGATTCGCATGGATTGCGCACCGACTGAATTCTGGGTTCCCCGCTGATCGGTCATTTGTCCGTTCATTGGGGCCGAGGTCCCCGGGAATTGGCCATATGATATCATGTCTCATTATTGCCCTAACTACTAACTACCGACTGAGTGAAGAACACAATCTGTGCCACCTCCAATCCTGATACATGAACTGAGAATATAAAAATAATTCGTGAAATAAATCGACCGTTCAGCATTTCATTTCATCCCTGCATTTTTCCCCTCCACATCAAAATGATAGACCGATTCCAGCCAGTCTAACGCACATTAGCCCACAATCTACTCCACATCCCAGGGATGAACCAACCTCAGAAGCTTAGCAAAGCGTCAACACCAGATCCCTCGACGAATCCTGGATTCGGACCTGGCTACCCGCCGGCGGGATGCCCTCTTCCCAGGTGATCGCCGGCTCCGACGGCAGCAAAGTGACCTTGCTGCCGTGGAAGGGGTCGCCGAAGACATCCGACAGATCGTACCACACCGATTGGTTGACCAGGTTATACGCGAACACGGTCTGCGGCGAGCTGTGGTACAGGCCGTCCTTGAGGGTCGTCACCTTGATGCTGACGCCGCCGGTCTGGCTGTCGTGGCGGAACACCTCGGTGTAGTTCTCGTGCGGCTGCAGGGTGATCTCGGAGCTGACGGACGAGGCGACGGACCAGACGTAGATGGGGCGTGCGCATTCGTTGACGACGACGGCGTGGCCGAGGGTCTGGTTGGTCATGGCCATGTTGGGTCGGGCGAGACCCAAGGAGGCCAGGGAGAGGGAGACGAGGGAGAAGATCTTGAACTGCATGTTGACTCTGCTTATGAGAGTCTGGCTTTTTGCTCAAAAGCTTTGTTCTTGTTTGAGGGGCAGTTGAATAGTGAACAGCAGAAGTCTGGATGATTCTGGACCCAGTCAAGAGCAGGAAGAACGGCCTCCTATATATCCCTCCCATCCTCCCTTCTAATGCTAATTTCAGCAGCTCGTTCCATGCTAGCACCTGCGGAACCCTGCTCCCGGCTGTGTTCGCGAATAGGCGTGTTTCCGTCGGGAGGAGACATGGCTGCAAGGGGATGCTGAGTTGTCCTAGCTAGTCGATACCTGGGCTGTCGCAGGTACTCCGTAGTACTAATATTAGTAGCGTCCCGTCTCAAGGTAGCGAGAAACCGGGAGGCAGCATGCAGGAACAAGGTCGAGGTTACATACCTCAGGCAAGGTGCATGGCCGAGCCTGAGGAAATCGGGGAACACAGGGGCAAGAATGCTCGATGCGCGTGAAGCATACCGGGGCGTTTCGGATGGACGCCGCCCAGCCCCTAACCTCTTCTATTTTTTTTTCTCATAGCACGGCTGTGCAACGTGTACTGTATAACAAAGATTCTAGTACTCTGCAATGCAGATCTTGATCATTTGCAGCCAGTTTTGCACATGTACGGTGAGAAATGGTTCGTGGACATCGGTGAATTTCATTGCCACAAGGGAGAGCATGGAAGAGCCCGTGGACATTTAAGTGAAGCGATAATGTCGGAGTTCCGTATTATTCCATTCCTTCTATCAGTATGTACAAAAAAGCCCCAAGAGTATATATACAAGAAACATTATCCAAATGAATATGTTCTGGCTTCCAATGTGTCAGTATGTTGGTGTTATGAGTATGTGTATATATAAGATGCACATATTATGTTCCTGAAGCCAATAGCCCTCATGTCGCACACAGTCCGATGGGATACGTCATGTGCCACTCGAAAGTCGCCATCGGTCCTTTAGAAGGTTATAATTTCAGAGGTGCCAAGCGGGATGTCACCCTTGCGCGCAACCACCTGCAGGAAAGAAGATTTCAACCCGGTGAAATCGACTCGGGTCTCAAAGCCGGCTCGTTCGACCGTCTTGAGGAACTTGGTGTCGTCAGAGTCCAAGGAAGGTGCCGAGTAGATCGCCCAATTGTCATACTCAGTGGCTCCATTCCAGCTCATCCATACCCGGGTCAGATCATCCGGGGCGCGCTGAGCCACCAAGGCAGGCTTCCAGAACGGAGTGGCCTTCCACTGGCATTTGTAACCTCGGTAGGACGCCACGGCGTTGTCCTCCCCAAATTGAGCGCTGAGAACCTGGTTGTTGTTGGCATCGTACTCCTTCACCTTGGCGATCGATCCATAGCCCAGGAAGACATGATTGGTTTGTTCGCTCATGAGCTGGAAGCTGCCCTGACTGACACTGTGGATGACATCACCATCGTCGCTCAGAACGCGCAATGCGCTAACCTTGCGGTTGACCAAGTCCACGCCCAGACTCAATCCAGTCGTGGGCGCCACTTCATCGGTCGGAGTGTTGGCATTGTTAAACAGATTGAGAACCATGCCTTCTGATGTTTGGTTGTAGATTCGGATGTCATGCTGCCACGAGAAAATAGCGTTGTCGTCAATTTCAAAGTCGCCGGCACCTTTCTCTCCCTGGAAGAATGTCAGTACTCGTCCAACAAATCAGAATTCAGAAATACTTACACTGAGCTGCCAGGCAACAGAGCCATCGTTGCGGACATGAATACCCGACCAGTAATGGCGCAGAGAGATGATGTAGCCATCATCCAATAGATTGACCGAGTTGATGTGGTAGGCGTCCCAAGGTTTCTCGTGCGTTCCAAAATCGCCTCCCAGACCCTGCTTGGATTTTTCTAGAGGGATTTCGTCCAGGTGGTTGAGCGCGTTCCACGAAAACACAATCTCGTTTGTCGCAATGTCAATCTCGTAGAACATTCCATCAAGCATGTAGTCATCCGGCTTGCCGCCAATCGAGGTGAGATCGTGTTGCGTCACATTGTAAGCCGTCACCAGCAAGGTGTTGCGCGTCGTGATGTGACTCTCGTGAAGATCGATGTAGGATTCCTGGTGGTCACCTTCGGGCGAGACGAAATTATCCTGCAGCCTAACGGTGTAGATTTCCTGGTAGGTGTTGTCGAGGATGTGAACTGTTCCGTAACCAAAACCCAATTTCATCATGTTTCCGGCCCAAAAGGTAATCACGTCTTCATTGAACAGCTTCTGCACTTTGAAGTTGGCGGCGACCTCGGTGGGGCCCTGGTAGACCAGATGGCCGTCATCGCTGTAGATCAGAGCGGCGGTACCCTGGTCCTGGTTTCCACGAGGGCCGATGAAGATATAGCCGGGATCCGTCTCGCCGCTCTTTGTGACATGCAGTTCCGGAGGGACGAACGGGGCGGTGGCCAGGGTGACGAACGGCCAATTGTCGGCGACGGCGCCGAGGGACAGCAGCAGAGTTGTGCAAGTGGCTAGAAAGCGGCGGGCCATGGCGGGAGGTCTATTAGAGTTCTGTGCCACAGTCGAACATATACATTTATGAAACAATAATCATTAAAATAAGGAACAAAAGAATGGCTACCAGTTAGTTACCTGGGTAGAGGTAACAACGGTGAACGTCGCAATGGGTATCAATTGAGCAAGAGGAAAGCAGAAAACAAAAAGGAGAAGAGAAATAGACAATAAGCAGTAGGGGGGAAGAGAGAAAAAGAAACAAAAAAAAGGCCAGAAACGGTGACGAAACAATAATGGCGCCGAGGCCCACCGCCGACGTGGAGGCGATGGAGGAATAAGAATGAAACTAAGAAAAGTGTTGGATTTAATCAATTGAGGGACTCCGCCCCGTCGCTTCCGCCCAATGCGGAAGGCGGAGTGGCGCCGGACTCGCGTGGGCACGGGACTTCCGCAGGGGCCTGAGGCGCTGATTGGCCTGAGGCGGCTGGCGGACGCGCAATGAGATGGATCGATCATCCGCCTGGCTCCTTCACCTCTCCCAACTGGGGAGTCTGGGAGTCTCGTCTCCCCACATGGACCGCGTCCTTTCCTGTTAACACCTATGATATCCCGTCTCGCTTCCTAGACTGCGTCTGAAACGGGCAGCCAAGACCCGCAAAGGGAATGTCTGCTATCAAGCATCTTTGATGGGTCGATTTGCTTAGGGCCTCAAGTCGAATTGCGAGCCAAGAAGCTCGATCGTGGTTTGTCCATCGCAATGCCAGATCTAGGCTTGATTTTCTATTGTGAACAACGCATCTCTTTTGTCGCAGACTCCAATGGCAGACATGTTGCGCAAAGCCGACCTCGAACATGATCAGCCGTCGCGATAACAAAACTGTCACGGACGCAGAAGACATGAGAGCCCAGGACGGATGATCGGCGTGAATATCATTACCCTTGATATATCTGACCGACCGACCCATTCATACTTCGAACACCGTGGCCCTTTTCAAGCTAGCCACGGGTAGTTCATTTGGGAGTAGTTTCATCTTGATGCGGGAAATGTCGGCTCTTCAGTCTTCATGCTCAATTGGACGGATTACAGTCGGTCGCAACTCGCAATCTAGGTCGTGGAAGTATATGACCCTGATCGAAATGGAAAGAGGCTCGATCTCCACCGGTTTGCTTCTCCAGACTCCGTACTCCGTATGAAAGCCTGACCTACTCTGCACTCATTGGCCATGATTTTCTGCCCACTATTTTGAACTATTCGCTCTAGCGGCTGGGATCTACAGTACGCACCATGTCGGAACACTGCAATATTCCGGGGGAATGAAATGTTTATATCCACTCAATATGCATTCTTTTTATATCCAGGAAATGCATTTTAGAACAGCCAGGCAATATGAGACGACTCATCAAGAAATTCCGCATGTTACTCAGAACAACGATCGCAATAACGACCAGCTTAAACAACTCGCTGCAATGAAGCCACACGCATTCATCCAGAGTGTCAGAATACGCAGCCCGATGTCAAATTGGGGTCTATATTCCAAGCCCGGTCTCGATTGCAACCGTCTCATAGTTCCCGAGCGAACCAATGATCACGAACGCGCTACCTCTAGACACTAAGTCAAACCGGAATGGGAGGAATACGACCCCTGCGCTATAAGGTAACACGAGAAACACCCCTCGTATCTCATCGGCTCTCAATCCAAACCCACATCCACTACATCATCTCTACATATACAATATAACCAATCATCCCCAACACATCCAAAACATCCCAAACAAAATGACCACCCCCAACCCCATAACCCAAACCCCTTCATACGACCCCCTCCAAACCACCCACATCTCCACGCGGCCCCAAAAGCCCATCGAAATCATCGACCCCAATCCCACCTGGCCACACACCTTCACCCTGATCTCCCAACGCATCCAAAGCGCCCTCGGTCCCACGCTCCTCTCCATCGAACACGTCGGCTCGACCAGCGTGCCCTCCCTCCCCGCAAAAGACGTCATCGACATCGACATCCTCGTCGAGGACCCCAGCGCCGAGGAAAGCTACATCCCCGCGCTCGAGGCGTTGGGGTTCCAGTTCCTAATCCGCGAGGAGCACTGGCATCGGCATCGGCTGTTGGGTCTTGAAGACCCATACGTCAACTTGCATGTGTTCGGGCCAGAGAGTCTGGAGGCTATCCGTCACCGGCTGTTTCGGGATTGGTTGCGGTCTCATCCTGAGGATAGGGATCTGTATGCGAAGGCGAAGAGGGAGGCGGCGGCGGAGAGTCGCGCGATGGGAGAAACGGTTATGCAGTATAATGATCGGAAGGAGCCGGTGATAAGGGACATTTTGAGGAGGGTGTATGAGGCGAATGGGATGCTAGAGTGATCTGGGTTTTGGTTGACTAGTGGGTAGGTATGTATGTGTCTTGCGTAGAAGAGATGTTATAGTTTGGTGGTCAGGGGTTTAGTTGTTGGGGTTTTTTACATTGTCGGATTGGCCATTGTAGATGTTAAATCGGACTATGTCAGTGCTCTGGGTGATGGTACTCTCGTAGTGTCGCATGGAAATAGACCCAGAGAGCGATCATTGCCTTGGTGACTAAAAGCAGTGCTTATGGATGATGGATGGATGCCCTAATATCTCAGAGAGTTAAGTCGGGGAAGGCAATAAGGATTTGCGAAGAAATCGGATAAAAGCTGCATCAAACGGGAAGAAATTCATTGAAGAAATTAGGTATGAATCGTCTAGACAGCCTCGTCTGTACTTCTTCTACTTCCACTGTATGAGCAAGACAGGCTTTTATGAAATTCATGTTCAAGGTCTTGGGGAACGGGAAATAAATGAGGTGCGGAGGAAACTTTCGGGACCCATGGCTATCCAAACTCAATGGGCCGACCTTTCACAATTGAGTTCTCATTGGGAAACGAAAGAGAGAGAGAGAGAACAAAAAATATGAGAGAATGTGGTGCACAAAGAAAAAAGAAAGGAAGTCAGCCCAACGCGGGGCTCGAACCCGCAGCCTTGTGATTAAGAGTCACACGCTCTACCGATTGAGCTAGCCAGGCTTCCTATGAAAAAAAGCATCACAATAATGCACTATCAAGCCAAGAGTTTAACTCAAGTAAATCGTCTCAATTACGCTTCGGGCAGCTTTTTCTTTTTTCGAGCTTTTCCAAGTTGTGGTATGAGAAAGTTTAGGTTTGTGTCGATGTTGATCTAGTTTGTTATATGGATAATTCAATTCGATTATCAAATTCTTTGCCTTGAATAAAAAAAAAAACATAGATTGTAAAAGTTTCATAAAATAATGTCCTCATTGACTTGGTATCGATATATATTCAGAATCAGACCCTGTCCGAACTAAGTACTCAACATAATCACTCATAAGCGTATCCTTCATGTACATTCATACCCCATCAGGCCCACAGACAACAACCAGACCATAAGCCATCTAATCACTCCGACATACGATCCAACCTCCAATCACATACCCAGCCTAGGCGCCCTGTTCATTAGCAGCCCGCACTCTCGCGCGCCTCGACTCCTTCCCCTTTTCAGACCACGGGAAGTGCACCACCGGCACGATAATGAAACTGTTGCTATCGTCGGCAACACCCGCGAAGGCATTATACCAAGCCAAGAAGGCACCTAACAGCGCGAAAAGTCCGCCTGCCTTGATGATTTTCGCGGCAGGTTGGCCGTCGGGACCGCGGTGGATATACCCAATCGCCAACAGGAGGAGAGCGATGTCGACGACGAAGAAGAGAGTAAAGAAGGCAAAGGTGGACTTGAGGGTACAGAGGAGCATGAGCGTTGTGAAGATGAACCAGCCCTATATGGAAAATGCTGATTAGCCAGAGGACAGCGAATAGCAAGGAAGATGGGGTGCTTACCATTAGCATCAGGCCGAAGGAATCGTAGAACATGCCCGCTTTCCCTCCGTCGGCTTCTTCGAGGGCGCTCATGACGCCAAACCCACCGGGGGTGAAGGTTATGGCGAGAGAGATCCAGAATCCACCGTAAGAGGAGAGCACGGTGGCTCCGAAGGTGTTTCCGACGGCCATTTCCCTGATGTACGTTAGCTGCTTTCATCTTCCGCCGTAGATTGAAACCACAAGAACAGGATACATACCACATGCCAGCCAAAAGCTGAACCAACCCGCCATAAGAGAACGCCACGCCAACAACCATATTGGGCTCAGTGATATCTCGCACTTGCATATTGATACACCCCAGCATGAAGGTGGTCAAGGCAAAAGCACAAAGACCCAGGGGCGCGGGATTGGCTAGCTTGCGGTTCTTAGGAGACCGATAGAGACCCGGTTGGAATTCACCACCGAAGGCAGGCAGCGTGGTCTCTGCGGTGTTGACATGGGCGAGGGGGCCAAAGTGGCCGTAATCGACATGCGAGGATTGGTTTGTTTGTGCATGGCCCAGGGGAGGATTAGAGTCGGTGGTGCTGGCGTCAGTGGTGGTGTTCTTCAATTCATTTTTCTCGGGGGAGTCGGTGGGCGAAGACATTTTGGCTTGAGGTTTCAATGGACTGGAGTAGGTGAGTAGAAGATGGACTGTCGAGGGAAATCGAGAGGACTAAATAGATGTGTCTTCTCCTTGCCCCATTGCCTCCCCAGACAAGACAGACGGTGCGGAGAGACCTCAAAATCTCGACCATCTTTCCTGATTCTGCAAAGATCCCCATACATGATGAAATAGACTCGCCCCAGCGGGACTTTGCTCGGGGAGGAGCTTGGGATCCAGACAACTCGCAACGCACACAAAACATAAGACCAATAGCCACCGTCGATCGTTCCCGCAGAACCAGAGTCTCGCGAATCTCGCGCCTATGGAAAGTCTAATTCCAGCGCATTCAGATTTGGGCTGCATGGTACGGCCAGGAACCTTGGAGGGTCTCTCCGCATTTGATATTCTGGGGACACGCTGGTACTATCTCCACCTACACGCCCGATCTACATACACACCGCCAAATGCGGATCTCGATCGGTGAGGTGGACAACTCGGTGGTCAACTCATTGATGACTAGCTAAGCAACTCAATGCACAACATACCGCCCCACAGTACGGGGTAGATAATGGGGAAAGGAAACATGGGAGCATTGAGATTATCACCGAGTTCGACCTACCTTCCTTCTGTCCATTGGGTAAGCCCCACGGGGAACCACAGAATGCGAAGGCAAATCTGGGTTTAGAGTTAAGATTCCTTGGAGTAGACGACAATCATTGGGGAGATCCACGGGAGCGGATAGAAATCGTGTGGAGAACCACTCGCCTCCGCCAGTGATTTGCCATCGTTTCTGTCGTCGGACTGGCTTTCGGTAGTTGGAGCGACGAGAGTGCCCGAGTGGCATGGGTGTGCCTCTGGATGGCCGTGGCCAAAGCCAATTTTAACTCTGTTCCTGTCGCAGGCTGAAGCCGCTTCCGCACGAAATTCCGTTGAGAATTGTTGAGAAATGGAGACGCAGGACACCTGAATCAAACAGAACCTCAACTTCCATGTCTCCGTTAGACCGTCGCGCTGAAACCGCTGCTTTCGAGTGCACCTGCTTCAACGACAATTTTAAGCAAGAATTATGTGGGACATGAGCAAATCGAGTTAAACCGCCCTATCTGATTACGTGTAAATCGAGGACTGAGGGTGAAAGCTCTTCTGTAGACAGACAGAAGGCATGCAAGAAAGGTTTCAATCTTCATATTGACAGGGGTTAGAAAAGTTTCGACTTTAGCTTGGACAATTAGAGTTGGTCATAGAGGCTGCATGGCATTGGGGGAGGTTCTCGACGATGAAAAGTGCCGAAAGTGAGGGGGAAGCGGCTTTCTAGCTGCGATTGACATCGATGGATTCTGTGACGACTCCAATGGGTGAGGGGGAGGCGATCGATAGCAGGCTGATGCCTGAAATCGTAGGCACCAAATGAAACGCTCGCATTTTTGGACTCGTAGGAAGTCTCTCCATAGAATCCCCAGTCAAATAACCCAACCTACTCAGAGCAAGTCGCAATCCCCTGCCCATTTTTTCTGTCTTTATATCGCGTATACTTGGTTTTTATACTTATGTGGACTCTAGGAGGAATTAGTAGACGTTAGTGGGAGGCAGAGCTGCATGGTGGAGTCCTTGCCTTTCCTCTCCCCCGCCATATATATGCTCTCATTTTGATATCCACAAGAATGGAATATGATAACTATGCAGTACAGTCCCAGAATTCACCTAGTCTCCTGTGCGGTCTGCTCGGTTATCAATCGGGCCTGGTTGAGGTCTTGATCAATCGACGTAAGTGGGATATGCCCCTGCTTTACGTAGTGCTTCAATTCATGCCCTTTCCCTACTTCCAGAGCGTTTTTCGATCTCTTCCCGGACCCGCTGCTGCTATGCGCTGCCCTGAACTGCCCGAACCACTCCCGAAGTTTGCGTGGCAGCGGACGCAGTCGAATCATGCACGCGGCAGACATGTACATGCCGCTTTCAACAATGATCCAGCTTATAAGCTTCACGTCGCCCCCTGGACCGTATTAACTTCTCAGAAAACTTGAAAGAACAGAATAGTAGACGAGACATACAGGTAGGATCTTATATCGCTACCTCCCGCGACGTGAAGAATGAGGCGGTCCGAAAGCTGGATGCGATGATGCCTATACTTCCCGACAGAAAGACAAGCGCAATTCCGATCCGTCTGGCCATCGACGCATGCAGATTCCACACCATATGCGCGGGAAGGACCATGATGGCCACGTCCCCGACAATGGTCAGGATGCCGTTCATCTTGAAGAAGAGGAACATATTGATGCAGGAGCCTTCTAGCTTGGGATGCCAGAGTTTGGCGATCGGTCGGCATTCCAAGACTACAGCGATTGATTGCGAGATGGCGAAGAGGACCATGTAAATTGTAAGAAGAAGGGTGCAGGTTCGAGTGACACCGGGGGTGAAGATCTTGAAGAGAAGAACGAGGATGGAGACTCGGGAGAAGCAGTTCGAGTAGATGGTCAACCAACTGAGGGAGAAGAGGAGTGCCGATCGCAAGTCGACAGACTTGGGGTCTTCGAGCATGACGGCTTCGATATGGCGACCGGCGCCGCGTTTAGTGACTGCGACTAGATGTTGGGGTGTTGTATGTTAATGAACCGCGCAGAGTTGAACGAGGGAGTGATGGAGCAGACAAAGACCTACGAAGGCCAATAGTCGAGGCTCCCATCGAGAGAATGTATGCCGGCAGAAGAAGAAAGTCCTCCAGCCCCGACTTCACATTGGGGAGACTGCGCACATAGAGGCGAAGAGCCAGCAGAATGGTGGTGATGACCAAGATGACCGACGCAGCGGCCACTAGTTGTCCCGAAATATCCTCTTGCAGATACTCGCTCGAGACTTGTTCCTTCGACATGGCTGTCAGTCTGCTGATCTGGGATAGAGCATCACCGCAAGGAGAAGCAGAGAACCGAGAGAAAGAAGTCCCTCGGACATGGCAAAGAATGGGAATTCAGGACACAGTCTTCGAGGGCGGGTGAGACACGCAGAGAATGCCGGCAAGGCTGAAGCACAAAAATAACCTCCGAAGTCAGACGAATGAATCCCCGTCAGGCAGCGGAGAGATCTACAGTAGATCGATGGGGCCGTGTATAGGGAGGTTGACCATGGTCTTATAATAGCAAAACCATCAACACAAGTAGCTATCCAGCACAGTATCAGGCGCTAAAGGACCAAAGCTTAGGATTGGATCATTCAAACCTCTGACCCCTTTACTTTCCTCATTGCCGTCCCCCAAACCGGCTCACCCACCCCCTTGGCTTAGCAAAGCTTCAGTGAACCTAAGGGAAGCAACGCCATAAAAGTTCTTTGGTGTACCACCTATATGGAACTCGCATCATAGGTGTGGGCTTTCGGAATGTAGTCCCGCGGTTCCTCCGCCTGACGTCTCAAGCGGGGCATTGATACGGACTGAACTTGTCGAGCCCCCAAACAATAATTTCTCTACCGGCTTGATCAACAGTGGTATCTTTTCTTTGGAATTATCCATACACCTTCACTGTCATGATCATGGCAACTTCATCAACAGGAGGTTCCGCACAGGCCCTCAGGGTGCGCTTCGATCTTTTGTATACGAGCCCGCAGCTACCACGGGATCTCCATCCGCGCAGCATTAATGCTGCCCTGGCAGAACTGAAAAGCTCTGAAGGCTTTGAGTGGTGCTGCATAGGTTGCAATCGTCTCGCTGCGAATGAAGTCGCACAAACCCGTGTGCAGGTATGTCTCATATAGAGCTTTTCTGTCAGACGGCTTACAAGTTCTCCACCGCCACCATATTTAGATCACCCTCAGACATCGAACAATGAAGATAGAGGACAACAATGTGGACATGGAACTCCAAAGTCTGTGCAAATCTCTGTTGGATTGGAAGAGCCCGAGCTCTATACACAATTGTGTTGCCGACAGGAATTATCTGGGCATACTTCCACAATCTATACCTCTTTTAGGGGATATAGACAAGGCCTTTGGGGTGATCTTCACCCTCACACAGCTGAAACAAGGGTTTGAGTCTCAACAAGCACCGCAGCAGGCCTCTTGGGGAGAGCAGGGATCAAATCTCTAGTAAGTGCATCATTCAACACTATAATGCATTTTGATGACCTAATGTCCTACAAGTAACCATTACATGCTACTCATGAACCGGTGTGTTTACCATACGGATATCTTTGCTTGGATATCCAAGGATACTATTGATGAGTTTGCACAACCACACTCGGAAAGATTAGCCAAAATGTTGAAACTTGCCCACCATTATGCTTGTGTATGGGCTTCGGATGCTGGACACAGGATTGAGCATGTATGTGAAATACGTTCAATCGAGCTTGCTCGTTGCTGACACCCAGGAGTACAAACAAAAGCTTGAGCACCTTGACCAGAAGGGCCTGGTAGAGCTGCTCTCGGAAGCAAGCGCCCCCTTTTTCGACGCATCACGCAAGCTCGAAGAAGCGGTAAAGCTCCTCGGTAAGTAATCAGCGCCCAGAGATCAATATCCTTCATACTCATCCCCATGATATCTAATCAAGCTGTCGACAATCTCGGAATGTTGGACAATATTACCGCCAGAAACCCAACGGCATCTGAGTCCAGAATGATTTTCCGCTGTCTACAAGAGCTTCTTAGCTCTATCCAACCTTTCTTGGCGGCAATACTCGCTTTCTCGGACGCCCTTTTCGAAAGGGCGCTCTTATATGGAATCGGAAGTGGCGTCTCAGGTGCAGTGGCACTGGCTGCACACTTTTGTCCAATACCTGGCGGCTGGCAAGCTCTAGAGCTCTTGAAAATTGGGTTGAAGTGGGGGGGTGGTCTTACGGCGGCGGGCTCAGGCATTGCCAGCGTGCGGAAGTGTAGGGAGTATGGTCGTACTATGACAAGTGAGTCCTGAGATATCATTATTCAGCACCCAGTGGCATTAATACCCTGCAGTGAAGCAGCTGTGCACATCAATCGCAACTGTCCATGCTTCGACTAGAATATTCCTCCTTCTAGCCAGTGTCGACTCCGCTCAAGGTTTAGAGTTTGGGTCGAAGCAGCGGGAAGACTTGGAAGAGCTTCTGAAAAAGAGATTTAATATCGAGACTCTAAGTGCAGAAAACGGAGCGGTAGGGGCTTTTCTTCAGAAAGAGGTAGGCGGCATGTCGAAGGGTCTTAGAAAGCTGGAAGAGGAAATGCGTGAGTTTAAAAAATCTTACACAGACAACAAGGGGCGGAATTCGTCGCCGAGGTAGAATCACACATGAGCATTTTGAGGTTCAAATTGAGATATCTTGGTCTCAGAGGCAACGCTGACGCATACCTTACGGTACTTCTGAGAGACTCTTTCGTTTTTTCCTTTTTCTTTCTTTCTTTCTTTTTTTTTTTTTTTGGCAAACCAGTGCTAAGTGACATTGAACCTGATGAAGAACGGACAGTAATAATAATTCTTTCTTTCTTTTTACCAGTATAAGCACTTACAAAATAATATTGGGCCTCGGTATGGTTAACGAACCAATTGAAACCTATCCATGTATCTGTAGTTTGGCAGCATTGAAAGGAACATAATCTAGCATTAACATCGGGACAATAATCAATGAGTGTCGCTAAATGTATGGATGAGTCCCTTCCTTATGGAAGCTCCAGATCAAGGCCATGAAAAAAAAGTTTCTGTGAGTGTGTAGGTAGACCTCTCCTTGTTTCCTTGTCAGGAAATATTGTCCCAATTGCTCTGTGCAGCGTGAAGCAAGGCGCCACGGGGTTTTGGAAGGCCAATATCCAGGTTCTCTGCAGTTATTGAAATACACTGCACCCGATAGATGAGCATGAATAAGGGTAGCCGTACGTTATGTAAGTCTGATGCTGACCATCAATAGACCGAGGCTCTCGTGGCTCCACTCTTGGCGCATGCGGAGTTACATTCAGCCTTGTCCAGCTGTTGCTTTCTGTTTACTGCTTCTTTTTGTCCTTTCCTCCTATTGCTTTTCCCATCCCCTTTAAATGGTTCACGAGTATATATAGCTAAGTCAATAAAATGTCCTTCCCCTTCAAAGTTATCGAACACGTCCTCCCCGGTCAACATATCCGAGAATATCCCCACAGCATCAGAGGCCGGCAAGAAACGCCTCTCCAGATAGCCATCAAGCAGTATGTTCCTATCGACATCCAGCAGCCCGTCCCGGAAAATGCAGTCACCATCATCGGTGCGCCCGGAAATGGTTCTCCAAAGGAAACCTACGAGCCCCTGTGGGAAGACCTCTACGGGCAATTGAAGAAGCTGGAGGTGCCGGTCCGGGGCATTTGGATGGCGGATTCGTCGAATCAGGGAGGCAGTGCGGTGCTGAATGAGAATGTGATGGGGGACCAGAGTATGTGCATCTATCCTTTCGTCGTCTGTGTTATTCTGGTAGCTAATCACCGCACCTAGCGAACTGGTACGACCACTCGCGCGATCTTCTGCACATGGTGAATCATTTCCGCGAGGAAATGCCTCGTCCACTCATCGGCGTGGCGCATAGTTTGGGATGTGCTCAACTGTCAGTTCTTCGTCTCTGCAGGACCTGCAAACTCGACTACTAACGTGGCTACCACCGCAGCGTGAACCTCTCCATCATCCATCCCCGCCTACTCTCCACCTTGATGCTCATCGAGCCCGTCATAGTAGAAGTCGCCATGGGCGGTCCCAACCCCGCCATGCTGGCCAGTCGCCGGCGAGACCTCTGGGAAAGCCGCGAGAAAGCCAGCGCATCACTCAGCAAGGGCCTCAGCAAGTGGGACCCGCGGGCCCGGGAGCGCTACCTCCGCTACGGACTGCGCCGCGTCCCCACTCGTCTCTATGACCCGGCCACGGATCCGCAAGTGCCCCCGACGGCCGTGACGTTGACAACCACAAAGCATCAAGAGTCGTGGACCTTCTTCACGCCGAACCTCGAGCCTGAGGAGCTCGACCACCTCCTCATTCCAGACTGGGACGCCGAAAAGGAACGTCCCTACCTGTACTCTCGGCCCGAGTGCTGGTCCGCCATGCGCAACTTGCCTTTCTTGAGACCCTCCGTGCTCTGGGTGTTTGGCGGACGCAGCTACCTTTCGCTTCCTGATGCGCAGGACTCGAAGATGCGGAACACCGGGACGGGCATCGGAGGCAGTGGTGGGGCGGAGAAGGGGATGGTTGAGAAGGCGGTGCTGCCGAAGGGAGGGCATACGCTGGTCTTTGAGCAGGTGGATTGGTGCGCCCAGGTCATGACTGATTGGACGCAGCGGTGGTTTGGGAAGTGGTTGGAAGACGAGAAGTTCTGGCAGGAGTATGTCAGTAGGCACTCGGATGCTGGGATGCTGAGGATGTCGGACGAGGCGTTTCAGATTGCGCAGATGCAGAATGGGACGAAGAGATCGGAGATGCAGAATGGGACGAAGAGATCGGAGAAGCCGAAGGGGAAGTTATAAGGTACTGTCATAGTATTTGAGATCTCAAGCAGTCGCTATAGAGAAGCATGTATATAAATGGCTTACGGAAGCTCATCGGGGACCCGAAGTGGGAGGCTTATTATCCCTCCGCTGAGTTCGAAGAAAGGCTTGATCCATATCTAGTTATGTTCTTAAAGAAAGCCCGAATTCAAGAACAAGGAAATCATTTTCTTTTCTACTGGCTTCAGGGCTTAGCGCACCCCGAACACTTCTTTCGCGAGGAAGAAAGTTATGGAGATGAATGATATGATCTATCTCTACTCGATTCCAGCTGCATTGAATGGTCACGAATTGGGTCTCATGTCTGTTATACCGTGACTTTGGGCTGTTGTGCTGATGCTGGCCTTGATTTCATACAGGTTTGATCAGGAGACGGTTTCGGCGTCTTATGTACCGCAGATATTTGATCTGATGGAAATCCAAGAACGCCCGGGTGAATGGTATCCTCTAGAGGTTATCCTTGATGGGTATCTTCAGAAAATTGATGAGGGGAAGATCAGTACTGTCGCACCTACATACCTTCAAAAGACCTTCCGTGACGATGATAAATCTTTTTTTCCAATGCCCGAAGTTATCGACCCATGGTATATCCATATTTTTACGAAAACGGACTTGGAAAGAGCCACGTCCGCTATGCATCGATTAACGAATGCAATAGAACAACGACTTCCAGCACTTCAAACTCATGAAACACAATGCTTCCCTTTCCCGTGGCCAGATGCTACAGCTTTGGACCCGATAAGCAAATTTCCACCGGGGTGCTTTGCTTTCGAGTTTCTGAAAGCCATTACCAGTCGTCCAGCCAAACTCCATTACATTGCGCCAGGCCTTCGTTTACCGACTGCCTCGGAGATATCCGAGTTTCTGGGCCCCAAACACGACAAGGACTTTCTAGAATGGAGATATAGTAGAGGAATGGAACGGCGGGCGGGGCCTGTACTAATATTTCCCATGGATGGGGGAGACTTGGTAAGATGGCCACCGCACTACAGGGGCATCGTGCGCACGGGGTTATACATAACTGAGGCTGTTACTATCAACGAATCTGCCTTTGGCGATGGGTGCACCTTGACTCTTCCGTTTAAAGTCGGAGCAAACGGGTGGGCACGTCGAAGCAACGGTGAGCCTATTAAAGGATGCACATACGAGGACGCGTGTGCTCATGCAGAGCTCTATCAGACACAAGGAATTGGGTTCAATGATGGCCATAGTGTGCAGATATACAAAGTACTTGAAAGCTGGGCACAGAGGGTTGAGGATGATGATTGGGAGGTGGGAGAAGATGGGGTACTTGGTGGACCAGAAAAGTTCAAGGATTCTGATAGCGAAGAGCATTGGCATAAGTATTGGATCCCACCTTCTTGTTGAGGATTGCTTGCATATCATACTGCCTTAGTTGGAACTCAACACTCCGCTATACCATGCATGCAATTCTTGGCACGTCACCCTCCCAAGTGCCGGATAAAGCCGGAGTTCTACTGCACCTCCGATGTCCACAAAATACCCCAACCAGCTAAAAAAAAATTCAAGAAACACAAAATAAAGTCTCCAGATACGGAGTAACATGACACGAATGTCGTCATCCTCCCAGCGCTAGGAATGCTGTGTCTTGGCGCATTGGGGTAACATTGGGGTCATTGGGGAAGCAAGGGATGAGACATATGAGACATCACACTATAAAACAGGGCAGGCATGTGGCAGAAACGGTCCTACATCTGATAAACCCGGTTTTCTAGAGCCCTACCGCCGATCCTTGAAATTCCTTTTCTACCTCAGCCTCGTCGCCATTCTCCTCCCCATCCTCATTCCACCTCGCCAAAATGTCCTCAGACGACAAATTCCAACAACTCCACGCCCAGCTCTACAACGAGGGCCTAAAGGTGCGTCGTGCCGTCGTCGGAGATAGCTATGTCGACCGATCGCTGGCCAACGGATCCAGCGAGTTTGCGCGTCCCGGCCAAGAACTGGTCACGGAGTTTTGCTGGGGTCATATCTGGACGCGGCCGGGACTCTCGTGGAAGCAGAGAAGTTTGCTAAGTAGGTTACCTATACCTGCATTTTTCCCAAACTCAATCCATCACAATTGAACCTCTTGCTAGAGCTTTTGCTGACGTTAATACATAGATTTGGGCATGTTGATTGCTATGAAGGCGTGGCCGGAACTGGCGGCTCACACACGCGGCGCCATCAACAACGGATTGAGCGAGAAGGAAATTAGCGAGACGGTGCTGCACGCTACTGTTTATTGTGGAATGCCGGCGGGCGTACAGGCAATGCAGATTACGGAGAAGACAATCAATGAAATGGTAGAGAAAGGGGAGTATACGAGGCCGACTTCTTCGAGGACGTCGGGTAGTAAGCTTTAACGGATAGGAGGTACGCGTGAGATAACTACAAGGGCTGGTTTGGAAACTTCTGGGAGGCTGGATAGTTTTAATCTTGTCTTTAGTAGGCTTTATGGACGATAGGCTCGGAATAATGAGACGACGATGTCACTCCTCATCTTCCCCTCATCCCCAATTCTCGGGTTGGGGTAAATATTCTCCACTGACTTTATAAAGAACACGATCCCATACACCCGAATCCGCTGAGCTATTGAGCGCGCAGACCAATCCAACTCATAAAATGGAACTGTCAGAATTCGACCGCGTAGGCTTCATCGGCCTCGGGGCCATGGGCAAGCACATGGTCGAGCATCTGGCGACCAAACTCCCCTCCACCTCGCATATCTACATCTACGACGTGGTCCGCGATCCCATGAACGATCTCGTTTCCCGATACCCAGGCAAAATCCACGCCAGCTCGTCTCCAAAGCACGTCGCAGAGAACTCAGTACACCCTCTCTCCTCTTCTCCATGATACCCTACCTGAACCAAACTAACTCCCCCAGAAATGCATCCTCAGCATGGTCCCCGAAGGCCGACACGTCCAATCCGTATACCTCGACTCCCCCACCGGCATCATCTGCACCCCCGACCTCTCCTCCCGGATCCTAATTGACTGCTCAACAATCGACACCGCCACCAGCATCCACGTCAAAAGCACCCTCACCGCCACCCACCCTGATGTGAAATTCTACGACGCCCCCGTCAGCGGCGGCACGCTGGGTGCTCAGAACGGCACCGTCGCGTTCTTCGTCGGCTGCGCGCCCACCGACCCCGTCCTGCCCATCCTCACCACCCTCCTCACCCTCATGGGGAAACAGGTCATTCCCTGCGGGACACACTCAGCCGGCCTCGCCTCCAAGCTCTGCAACAACTACCTGTCCGGCATCATTGCGATCGCGAGCGCCGAGGCCCTGAGTATGGGGATTAATGCGGGTCTGGACCCGCGTGTCCTCTCGAGTGTGTTTGCCGCGGGGACGGCCCAGAATGCGGTCTGTGATCGGTATAATCCCTGTCCTGGGGTTGTGAGGGATGCGCCGTCGTCGAAGGGGTACGAGGGTGGGTTTAAGGTGCAGTTGATGAGGAAGGATTTTGCGTTGGCGGTGGAGATGGCGCAGAGGACGGGGTCGAGGCTCGTGCTTGGGGAGCAGGGGTTGAGGACGTATGAGGGGGCGGCGAGGGATGAGAGATGTAAAGATCGGGATTCGAGGGTCGTGTTTCGGTATCTGGGGGGAGATGAACGGTGGGCGAGGAGGTATAAGCTTTAATTCGGTGGTTAACTATCTCGGTGACTACTAGTAAACCCCTTCGAAGGGCTCTAGCAAGTATGCTACGCTGCTAGTTTCTGCATCGTTCCAGCTTCTCAGGAAGCGGATATCCCCCGATGCTGACCACGAACTCGAATGCCTCTTTCATCAGTCCCAGCGCGTCTGCTCCCATCCACGGCTCCAGAACCTCGGATCTGGTGAGTTCCGTCTCGCGGCGGCATTCCCTCCCGATCTGCAGTTATAGTCCATGTCAGTCCATCAATCACGTCAAACCATAGATAGAACCAAGCTATGCTGTGCTAGGTGGGAACATACCAAAATGCAACTCCCGCCAGCAACAGTCTGATCGACCGAGATCTGCGCAATTACCATCCCTATAGACTCCGGCGAGTTCGCCTCGTACCCAGCTTCCTGCCAGTTCTTGCACAAGCCAGCCGTCAGCCGCGTCGGGGTAAACGAAGGCGCAACGCCCGTGACCCGGATATTGTGTCTCGCTGCGGCGTGGTGCGCGTCGCGAAGCATTCCGATCACCGCGTGTTTGGACGTGGTGTAGGCCGTTAGATCTGCTCCGCCGAAGTAGCCCGAGATGGAGGAGACTAGGACGATGGATTTAGGTGCGGAGGTGTCGGGGGCAGATCTCATGTAATGCATGGCTAGTCTCAGGGCTGGATATTCGTCAGTGAGCATCTTCACTTACCTCGGAGACCAAAGACGGAGGAAGAGGGAGGGAGGGCCTACTATTAAACGTCCCCTTCACATTCACATCGATCACCTCGAACGCTTCCTTCGAATCCACCAGATCCCCCTTCTCATCGACATCGTCCATATCGAGAACATCCTTGGACTCCATGATCCCGGCGTTCGCGACCACCGTATCGATGCCGCCAAACTGTCTCACAACCCGCTTGAACAGACCCTGCATCTGGTCCCAGTCAACTATATCCACTGGGACGTACATAGCGCGGGATGGATATGGCAGAGACGCAACCAGCTTCTCTGCGCGCGACTGAGAGGCCGGGATATCGGCGATGACGACGTTTGTGCCATGCTCGTTGAAGATCTTCGCTGTCGCAGAGCCAATACCGCCTGCTCCGCCGGTGATGATCACGGTCTTGGATGTAAGACTGTGAAGGGTTTGCTCGTCGAAGTCGATCTGGTGCATGGTAAATGTGATGGGCAGTTTGGAGAGAAGGTCGAGAAGGGGATAATCGAGAGGGGAACTGGCCCCTTTTATCCTGCCCTGTAAGGTGGAGAGAAGAGAGAGTGAATATCTGCCCACGTAGCAGCATAGGGTTTCATGAAACTCGAACCCTGGGAGTTGGTGTGACACAAAGCATGTTGATCCTGTAGAGCGCTCTTTCAGGAAACGGAGTGAGGCCCGGATTGAAGTTGCATACTAGGGCTGAACGGGGGAATCGATGACAGGAGGAAAAGTCCAGCGTGTAAAGGGCGAGTCAGTCTTTAGCAAAAGCCACAGGGCAACAATACCGCTTAAGTTCATATGAATCATAGATAACCTTCAAAGTTCTCAAGAAGCAAGTAGATCAATCAACAGACTTCGACTGTTAATATTACCATGACATAATTCCTTCTAACTGTCTTTCCCACAAGGCCATATCCAACAATTAACATTCCGTGCAACCCAAAACAACATTCCCAAAGATCCAAAGCGGACAGATGCAGGAGCGTTGTGCTACCCACAAAACCAACCCTAATAGGATTTAAGCTCATCCATGCATTGCGGCCACTGAGAAAGCATACCTCTTCCCCAGTATGTGAGTGGAACTTTAACCGTCCCTTACGGATGGCGAGAACTCAGGAGATAAGTCGAGTATCCTTCTGGAAGTAGTGCGCGTACGGCCGGGCCAACATGACCTGTTTATAATAAGGTCTAAGATATGGAAATCTGAGAATGCATCGATGGCGAATAACTTGGAGATGAATGTGTTCTCCACTTGGGACCTGACACTAGTGAGTGACAGAGAGGTAGGATGTCTTTGATATGCTCAGCGTCTGCTTCCTAGTGCTATCATACCTCTTCGCTTTTCTTGTTCAGGCTAGGTTGCTTATAGTTGCAACATCAGGATAATGAAATCCCCACAATTTTCATTTCATGTGCCTTACTACGGCATCCATTTACAAATATGCATTTCGAATAGATCAGATGGTCTACAGGAGTAAAATCTTCCTTCGAGACAGTCTCCGATGACACCCTTCATTGAGTCCTCTCAGACGGTAAGTAAGGAGTGCAGACAAATGTTCTTGATTGAACTATGTTGATGGAGGGAGGCAGACGAATACTCATCTGGGATTTATGAGACACTGATTTGCGCTTAATCTAGGAAGGACTGACTCCTTTCTTGTCCAGGGCCTTGCTGTGAGAATATATCACGAGTATTATCTATGTGTGTGTTGGTGGCATCGCATATACCTAAGGTTTAGGGTAACATCCCGCAGGCAACACAGTCTTTTGGCTTCAAATAATCTTGCTCTTGCTTATGTTTTAGACTTCTCTAATGGTCTAATAAAGGATAACGAAGAGGACTACACAGCTATAACTAAAAGAATTCAATGTACACATGGTCGTCATCTTAGTACCGCAGTATCTAATATACTAGAAGTCAACCAAGGACCACGGACCAAAAGGACCGACGATCTAGCGAAGGGTACGGTGTTTGCGCACAAATCCTCGCCTTCACCATATCCGAGACTTCAGGCTCGTGATAGTAGCCATACAACCTCATATATTCGCGATAACGACCCTCGAGGGCCATATCATATTCCACATCCACACACTGCCAATTCTGAAATACCACATGCATCGGCCTCTGGCTCGCTGGCCCCTGAGGATCATGGTATTTCTCGGTTGCGTAGTGATACAAAGCCACAATTGCCAGGTGCATGTCCTTGACCATCAAGAATAAGCGGTCATGGTCCATTATAAGGACAGGAAATCGTTTGAGAGTCTGCCAATAACGCTTCTGGAATTCGATAAACGGACTAGGGTCTTGTGTGAGGGCCGATTTCACCCATTCGGCGCTGATTCCCCAAGGGTCCTGATCAGCTGACCGCGACCAGAAGATTTGATGAATTTGAAGCCAAATCAATATCTTCCCGATTGCTGTGAGAGTCAGGGGATCCCGCCAAATCGTTGCCGTCATAGCCTTCTGCTGTGGATGAACCTGGTACAGCGACGTGTAGAGACTGCCGACGTTCTGTAAGGCTAGAAAACCAGGGAGCACCATATCAAGGTCCATTTGCGAGACTGATGTTTCTCTAAAGGCACTGGAGAATCGATCCCAGTGTGTAGAATCGTCGTAGGCATGATGTCGAATATGTATCCGCTCAACCTGGCGTGCTTGATTGAGCATTTGAGAAAGGGACGCGGCCTTGTGCCAAAGCCAAAACATCCTCCCAGGATCGTTGGGATCCGGCGCTCTGATAAGTACTTGCAAAGTTCGGAGTCGCTGGAAGGGAAATCTGCTAAACCTTTGCAGTGATGGCAACTGATCCCTGACTATCCATGTGGCATATTTTTCATGACCGCGTTTCTCTTGCCAATGTTTCCCATGTCGCTGATAAAATATTGTGGCCCAATCGGATTCTGGTGCAAATTCTATAGACAGTGTGGAGTATCTATACAGTACTGTCGATACTTCGTCGTAGAGAGCTCTGCTAGCGCGTAGTATACTCAGGCTTGAGCGATTGGCCCCCCCTCGGGGCATCAGGTCTTCCCATATCATTCTGCGCCTTCTCGCAGAAAGTCGGGAAAACAGACCCAGGCCTGGCTGAGCCATTCGTTCAGGGTCTTCCTTCGTTGGTGCTATGCCTTCTCAATTACGATTAGGAATGGTGTTCTGAGCTTTTCGAAGGGCGAGGAAGTAAAAAAGAAGAAGTAGAAGAAAAGAAAACAAAAATAGGACTTGGTAATGATGGCGCGATAAATGTATATCAAAGTAATATATCATAAAGCTGGTAGAATGGGTGTTATGGCAATGCTGAGGCAAAGAATCAGAATCATCTCCGCCGTGTAGGGCTTTCCTCATGATAGATCGGAGCACTACTTCCATCGCGCCTTCCTCTTCCACGGCGTTGCATAAAATGGCCATGAGGAGTAAGCAAGCGGTGAAATCTCAGTCTCATACTATTATAAGCTGGCAACTACTGCGTACGAGGGCATGCTGACTTCCGAAATAGGTAACTTTGTGCCGTGAAAGAGGTTAACAAATCAGTAAGGACGGCCCTATAACGGCTGCTCAGAGAGCAATAGGACTATCAGATCAATCCAGAGAAGTCTAGAAAAGTATATTCACCGATCCTCTGGCAGAAAAAGGTTCAAAAATGGTCAACAAACATTTAAACTATAGTTCATTTTAGTAAGGCAACCCGTTGAGAAGTGATACATGTACAACAGTATTCCCTTATCATTATCTAGCAACGCCAGAAAGCTATCATTCGCATAGCCATCTACTTTACAGTCATGTTTACATTCTTTTATCTTCTTTATGGTCCCAACTAGTTACTTATAGTCTGGCTGACTCATCTCATTTTGCGGGGACCCCGACCTTCCGCATTCGGCCAAGTCACGTCGATCGCGTTGCATCGCCGAATGCATTTCTCGCCTGGACTCATCTCATCGACTCTCCCAAAAGACAGAGATCTAAAAAAATGGCCAGATCTACCAGACACTCCGTCGGTCTATCTAAAGCCCGTCCGAAGTCGGTCCCAACCCCGACCCCAAGCCGTGTCAATCCTCCGGCTATCACGCCATCCCGACTACGAGTTGCACATCCAGAGCCAACCAAGCCTGCTGATTACCCCGGCCTGATCATCGTGCTTAGACTCTCTTGGCTCCGCTACGACTGACCGGCCTGCTTCCAGATGACCAACCGTGCCGCATAATCCCTGTCTGCGCCCTCTGATTGCTTGTCCGAAAGAAGGTTACTTACGTCGTCGTGTCGGCTGTTGGATTGCGGTGGAGAAAGGAAAAGGAGAGTGCGAGAGAGTCTGTCTGTGGCCTGATGGCCGCGGAGATTTCCTCTTAGCCTACTTATATTCGGATGGAGAAATATCGCACGGAGACACTCTGACTGGCTGGAATCCTCGTCATCACGCATCGACAGGGGATTACGGTTAAGCTTGAGGGGGCGGCTTTCGTTGCTTTTTTGGGCTGAATTGGGTTAAATACTGCCTTGGTCCGCTGGCTTGGCTATCCTTGTCCTTCTCTTGTCGTTGACACTTGGGTTATTTGAGATCTTAGACTGAAGATCAGTATAGAGATGGGTAGGAAACTGGGCCTTTTCCGGGCTATATACCTGGTGTCGGCCAGTTGTATGGGATCTTTCGCTTTTGCGTTCGACACTGGTGTTATCAGTATGACCATTATCTCTCGGCTACATAATCTACTAGACTGACATCTATACAGGCGGTGTTCTGACTCTGGAATCCTTCCAGAATGACTTCGGATACGGCTCGAAGCAGCAGACGTCGGTCAACTCGAACGCCGTGTCTATTCTCCAGGCGGGCGCATTCTTCGGCTGCTTTTTCACTATGCCCGTCGCATCGAGACTGGGTCGACGGTCGGGCCTCATTCTCAGCTCGCTGATCTTCACAGTCGGGACCATCTTGCAGGTCATCAACGCGCATACCCTCGGTACATTCTACGCGGGACGGGTCATAGCTGGCGTGGGGATCGGAGCGGCTACCGTGTTGATCCCCATGTATGCGGCGGAGATGTCCCCGAAGGAAATCCGTGGCCGACTGGGCGCTTGTTTCCAGCTGTTCTTTGCGCTGGGGGTCATGATCGCCTATTGGGTGACATATGCCGTATCGAAGAACCAGCCGTCGGCTACCAAGCAGTGGCAGATTGCACTGGGGTTGCAGCTGTTGCCTTCGACCCTGCTACTAGCAGGGATGTGTACCGTAAAAGAGAGCGCTCGATGGCTTGCGGCCAAAGGCAAGACCGAGAAGGCGTGGGAGTCGCTGAAATGGGTCCGAGGGGGTGAGGAAACAGAGGAACTCCGGCAAGAGTTTGACGAGATCATTGCGGGTATCGAGGAAGAGGCACGAGTCCGAGAGAATCTGACACTGCGCGAGCTCTTCCTCCCGGTGAACCGATACCGGTTGTTCATCGCCGTCACGATCCAACTCTGCGCGCAGCTGACCGGCAACACGTCGCTGGCCTACTACGCCAACCAGATCTTCTCCGCCGTCGGGGCAGGCAGTTCGGCCAAGCTGGTCACGGGCTTCTTCGGGGTGGTCAAAGTGGTGGGAGTCAGCATCTTCCAGCTCTTTGTGATGGACCGCATTGGCCGACGCGTCCCGTTCATGGCGGGCGCCTTCGCCATGGGGTCGTTCATGCTCATCATCGCCTGCGTTCTGGCCACACACCCGACCAGCGCTAGCGGCGAACAATCCGGGGCCACGAAAGCGGGGATCGCAATGATAATCATGACCTACGCGGAGGCGTTCAGCTTCAACATGTCCTGGGGGCCACTGCCCTGGCTGTACGTGGGCGAGATCTTCTCGAGTCGCACGCGAGAAATCGGCGTGGCGGTTGGAGCCGCTTCGCAGTGGCTGTTCAATTTTATGATGTCACAGGTCACGCCACACGCGATAGACAATATTGGATGGCGCATGTTTCTGATGTTTGCCATTTTCAACTACGCGGTGATCGTCTACTCGTGGTTCTTTTTGAAGGAGGTGTGTTCTCCCCCCCCCTGCATGTATGCTGCATACTAACAATAGATTAGACCTCGAGACATTCCCTGGAAGAAATGCAGGAAGTCTTTGGCGGCGAGCCACAACCCGACAAACTCCCGGACGAGTCAGGGGTTCTGGACCGGAAATAATAGCAGCAAAGCAGGGAATCCCGTTATAAAGAGGACCGTGACAGCGACGGGGATCAGCTCCGTCTTTGTCGCGCTGACACCTGGCCTCACGTTGCACACGACACCGCTAGCCCTAAGCACCACGAGCCAACTGGACGCCATCATTGGCCCTCGTCGCCGCTTGTTCTCTCCGCATTTTCTTTCTCCGGGGGTTGCTGGACGCTGAAGTCTTGCCAGGAGACTTAAACCCTCCGAAATCTCCGTGTGATCGCCGATGGGCTCTGGGTTTCCTTTTTCTTTTATTTTCCCCCTTGGCTCTTTTTGCTTCTTTGTCGCTAGTTGGTCTTATATCACTCGGGGTTTTTAATTAGATCATGGTCTTGGCTTTTGGCACCGATCGTTTCCTTTTCTCCTCTCTTTCAGCCATCCTTCATTCATCCATCATGTCCATAACCATGCCATAAGACAACAAGTACATACACATACTCACTGTATACACCGCAGCATGGGCTCGGAAAACCCCAACGCACGACCCAGCGACCCCGACGGTCTCGTGCTCGAAGCCTGGGGCCAAGGCCTGATGGTAGGATCGCTGGTCGTCATGGCGGCCGTGACCTTCTCGAACATGAAGCGACGCATCCTGCTGCATAAGTTGATTTTCGCCGAAGTCCTTCCCCTCAGCCCTCTCCCCAATCTATCCATCCACCCCAACACGCTAACATGTAATAATAGTTAATCCTCGCAATGCCCCACGGCACCTTCATCTTCGCCAAACCCCCCACCTACGGCTGGTACCTGTCCGTCAGCGCCATCGGGCTGAACATCTCCTGGAGCCTGCACAACGTCATCGCCTGGATGAAGAACAAGCCCTTCCTCTCCGCCCGCGTCTCCCGCTTCTACATCATCACTGTTCTCCTGGTCCAGCCGTACTGGGTGCTTGAGATCTACGCGAACTTTGCGTTTTTTAATAATTTCAATCGGGTCTTTTTAAGGACCAGGCCGTTTGAGCCGTTGTTTCGGTATGTCCTTTCGTTTCTATCCTCTTCTGTGGGATGTAAGCTTGTTTCGGAAATGAAGTCAAGGCAAAGCTATCGAGCTAATATAGGATATACTGACTATGACTGAAACGGAAAAAGAGACCCCTGGTGGATCTTCACCACGCTGTCGCTCTTCTACACCATCAAGCGCGAATACAACTTCGGGATCCTGGAGCTCGTGCTCGTGAGTCCGCGGTTCGGAATCATGCTCGCGTCTATGTGCTTGAGCATCGCTTTCATCGTCGTCGATACCTGCGCCGTCTTGAATGCGTTCGAGGGCTCCGGGCTGCCGACGGGGATCGAGCCGTTTTGGAAGGTGAGTTCACTTACCTAGGTAGCACTATGATTAACATCAAACCCCTTGCTATTCTATCATCTAAGCCTGAATATGAGTCCGAGACTAACCATATCCCTCCCTCCCTCCCTCCCTCTCCCTCCCCCCACCGCAACGGGAGGGAGAGAGAGGACGGAGACGAGAGGAGAGCAGCTATCATTCATATTCAAATGCCTCTGCGACACCGTGATCCTCGACGATTTCAAAACCGCCCTGGACCGCATGCGCACCTACTGGATCCAGAAGCGCGCTGCCTCCGGCGAGATCTTCCTGGCCGACTATACGACGCGCGAGCGCTCGGGCCCGTGGCCGGGGTCTGGGGATGGGAATGGGTTTGGGCATGGGTATGAGGCTAGGCCTGGGACTGGGGGGAATGTGCATGGGCATGGGGTTGGCGGGGATAGAGATAGGGATAGGGAAAGGGAGAGGGAGAGGGAGAGGGAGAGGCGGAGGGAGTGGAGGAGAGGGATGATTGGTGCGGAAGGGGGGCGGGGTGGAGGGAGAGGGAAGTTTGGGGATGGGGATGAGGATGGGGAGAGGGTGCCGAGGGTGTATTTGAGGGAGGATGTTTCGGTTTCGGTTTCTGCGTGATTCTTTTCTGTTGTTGGGTTTGGTGGGATTGGTTAGGGCTTGTTTACGGCGTTGGAGTTGTTTATTGTCCGGCACAGGACGGTGGTTTATTGATACTATGTCTATGTAACAGAGCTTATACCACTGCTATACTTGATTCAATCAAAGAATCAGAAAGCCTTCTTTAAGTCCATCACGCTAACCGTCACCTTGTTGGTCTTGCCCAACAAGACACCCGCCCCGTGGAGAAGCAGCTTGGACGGATCCTCGCGCAACACCCGCAACGACCGAGTGTAGCTGTGTCCCTCCGGCGTCGCGATCTCGGTCCACTCGCCCTCGCCCAGAGCCTGGTTGATGAAGATCGAGTCTTGGGTGCCCGCGCTGACGATGATCGTGCCGTTCTTGCCGCCGTACGGGGTCCAGACGACGTACGGCGAGGAGGTCGGGACCGTGCCGCTGGAGACGACGAGGCGCTGGTGCGGCGCCGCGTTGAAGTTCTCGGGGTCGGCGGAGATGCGGTAGTAGATGGGGAAGGAGTAGGAGGAGGTGTTGAAGAAGGAGCCGTATTCGTAGACGTAGATGTATTTGCCGTTGGGAAGCTGCTGGAATTAGTTTGGAAGATGGTAGGAGATGGATTGGATTGGCATACCTTAGCTACGACGGGCATGCCGGGTCGGTCGGTGTAGGTTGGGTAGGCGCTGGAATGGTTAAGCAATCGGACTTGAAGCTGATGGGATACACTTACGTATCATCTGTAGCAGGACTCCAGTTCTTGAGATCCGTCGTCACTTGATGCGACAGATGCTGGCCGTGGGTCTCGTTCTTCCTCTGGTCGGCATAGTAGGCGATCAACTTGCCCTTGCTGTGCTGTATTAGACCAGACTCCAACACACCGAACCTTACACAAAAGAAGGAAAGGACTTACTGCGCCAAAAGGAACGGCTCCCAAACCGGCGTCAACCCATTGTTCGGCACTGCTTCTCCACCGGCCGCAATATGGCTCACGAATTCCCACGTCTTGCCAGAGTTCCGAGACGCGTAGAGATCAATCTGCGTCGACGACAGATCCGTCGGGATGCTACTTCCTGCCAACAGCAGCGTTCCCTTCTTGAACGATCCCACGCGCTCCGGCAGATAGTACAGGAAGGGCTGGTAGCGCAGTCCCAATCCGTTGGCCGTGTCGTGGACCCGGGAGATCTCCTTCCACGTCTGTCCGTGGTCCTTGGACCGGTAGATGGGGAAGTACACGGCCGGCGGCTCCGGTGAGTAGTTCTCCCATGTGGCGAGCAAGTCGCCGTTGGGCAATTGCTCATTGCGCGCGTACAAAGTCCGCGGGATGGTGTAGTCCGAGGGAGGGCTAAAGATGACATTTTGGGAGTAGGTCGGGATACGGGCTTTGGAGATGGACGCAGCCAGCGCCAGGGGCGCGAGGGTGAGGAGATGAAGGAAGTGCATTTTGCTCAATTGCCTGTTCGCCTTGAAACAATGCCGTCCAACAATGCCATTTTGCACCGGCTTTTATAGCTCAGGAAAAAGCTCCCCAACATGTGGTTAGTATAGACCACGGCGCCATCCCGCCGGAGTTGACCCGATTCTGGACTTCCCGTCGCTGGGCAGTCACTAGCGGCCGAATTTCCATCAATCGTTTGCTTGCGCAGCCGGCAAGAGCGAATTAAACACACGATACCAACCGAGCAGAGAGAATGGGCTCATAATGCCGAGCCATTTGTCTTTGCGGGGTGGACTTGGGGTCTGGGCGTCTGCAAGAGTTGGCTGCGACGCGTGTGGCGGCCGGGATGGATGTTGACGACATAATCATTTATCTCAGTACTATGATCGTCCAGGCGCAGATTCCGACAGTCGATAAACCGATATAGCATGAGACTTATATCCAGCACATAGAGATCGGCTGGGAAATCCGGAGAATTGGCTCGGAGAAATAGCGGGGAGAAGGATAGGGATGGAGATGGAGATGGCACGATCGAGGCGGGGAAATGCGGGGAGAAACAGTCCCTTGGCGGTCACGGGGATGGCAGTCGGTGGAAGCAGGAAGAAGACGCACGAAGGTGGTCTTTGTGTCATCGCATCTCGGAGAATTGCACCTCGAGCCATCGCCACTACACGGCCAATTGGAGAATTATGGGAGGTCTGAAAGACATCGTGTCGTGGCCATGAAGGTTACACAATCGCACAAAGGGTCTACAGCAGACCTATTTAGGCCCCAGCAGGCCTCGAAACTCGAGCATAAAGCAACACCAGACAGCTGAGATTCACTGCATTCATCATGGTCCAATACTCCAAACCCGCCGAGCCAATTCCTGAAACCCAGACCGTGGCTTTGGTCAACGAGCTGGGTGGTGACATCGAGTTCCGCGAGGACTACCCCGTTCCCCTTCCCGGACAGAACGAGGTGCTCGCAAAAGTTCTCTACACGGGGGTCTGTCATAGTGGTGAGATACCTCCCTGTGCATGCAGCACCTTCAGCTCTAATACTGGGATGTGCAGACCTCCATACGAAGAGTGGCACCGCCGCAACCGCAGATGACAAGCCGAGAAAACACAAACTCCCGCACGTCGGAGGCCATGAGGGCGTCGGCCGGATCGTTGCGCTCGGTCCTGGATGCGGGTCCGACTTGCAGGTCGGGACCTTGGTCGGAATTCGCTTCTCCAGTCGTATCTGCAGGAGATGTGATTTCTGCTTAGCCGGGATGGAGCAACATTGTGTCAAGGGCACTAATCATCTGACTCACGAGGACGGTAGTTTCCAAGAGTACATCGCGCTTGATGCGGACTACCTGACAATTCTGCCCGACGATATTGATCCCAAGGTCATGGGGCCGGTCCTTTGTGCCGGCGTGACCGCATATAAGGTATAGTCCTACTTACTAGGGATTCTTGATCTGACGTATGCAGGCCGTTTTGAATGCCAACATACGGGCAGGTAACTGGCTGGTGGTGGTAGGCGCTGGAGGCGGCCTCGGCCATCTAGCAGGTGAGAGCATTGATCGATATCAAGGCAGAGCTAACTCCTGTAGTCCAATATGCAAAAGCACAGGGAGCTTTAGTCATTGGAGTCGACGCCGGCGACAAAAGAGAATTCGTGCTATTTCTTGGGGCCAATGAATTCATCGACTTCACCTCCACGGATCCCACCCAACGAGTCCACGAGATCACCGGCCTCGGCGCACACGCAGTGGTGGTGACGGCTGGCAGTGCAAAAGCCTTTGCGCATGCATGCGAGATGCTGCGCGTTGGAGGTACGCTGAGCTGTGTCGGTATACCACCTGGACGACCAGCCCTGGAAACCCCCATCGCCACCATTGTCATCAAAGGTCTGAAGATCACGGGCAGCTTGGTGGGTTCGCTTAAGGAATGTATGGAAGCAGTGGATCTGGTTCGCCATGGACTAGTCAACCCAGTCATTAAAGTCCGTCCCTTTAGGGACCTGCCTCAGGTGTATGAAGAGATGGAAAGGGGCGATATTGCGGGAAGAATTGTGCTTCAGGTTTCGGAGTACTGAAACATCAATGTTTCATGATGGTACCCTAGGCATCAGTTTTGGACGATAGTCTGCCAGGCGGTTAGGGGTAGTCCAATTCATCGAAATAGTCATCATGCCTATCGCCTCGTAGCATATCTTCCTGCCAAGCAATCTCCGGTAGTCGCGCAGGAGCCAGAACCAACGCTTCGGCAGTCTTTGCCCGTAGAATCGATTTCAGCATGGGGTCTTGGTCCAAGAACGGTAAAAGCTTCTGATACAGAGCATGGAGATAGTCCTCGGGTCTCAACTGAAAGGACCGGTTCGATGACGAGGCAAATAGAACCGTATCTGCCAGCGAGTTTGCTACTTCGAAGCACTTCAACAACTGCATCTCGTCAACCACATCCAACTCTCTTAAGCCAGTAACTCACCTGATCCCGACCCAAGGGCAGCAAATCAGATTCCGTAAACTCCCGCAGCGAATACAGGAGGTCGCGACTGACAAGCGCCGGGAACTTGAACGTCAACAGCTCCGCGTAGGATGCAGTGGAAAGCAATTGCCGCGACAGCGCCTCCTGCCAGACAATCGTCCGCATCCATTCCTTTGTGATGCAGTGATCTGCCATCCGTGAGGACGCTTCTGTTCGACAGCTGAGCGAGAGCACCGACAATGCAGCTTCGGTCTCGGCTAGGCTATCGGCGGAAATTGCAGTTTGGCCAATCTTTCCGGGGTCACGTCGCCGCACAGACAGTCCATCAAAAGTGGCGAAGAGCCTAGCCAATTCGACTAAGCCCTGGACATGAATGTTGCCACTTGCACCTCGTATACTGGGCACCCGAATGGGCGTGGTATAGGACGGCGCCAGACCAAGGTGTATGGCATAGCCTCTGCACAGCATAAGCATCGTGCTCCCAACCATACACCAGTGGACGAACATACCTCTCAGAAACCCACAGCAGAATAAACAAAATCTCATCATTCTCTATAACATCCTCCTCGGGACTTCGGCGCCGCATCGTCGCATCCTCCGCATCTAATCGCAACAGCCTCGCGCCTGAAATCGCCTCCTGGATGAACATCATCGCCGAATTCTGCCGATTGGTCTTCGCATGATACACATGCAAGAAGAACGAAACAAACACACTCCGCAGGTCCGGGTTCTCCCTGTACCCCGTCTCCTCTCTCACCCTCATACACTCCGCCGCCATAGCCGCACAGTCAACAACACCCCCATCCTCATCCCCCACCGGCCCAAGCTGCAGCTGTGCCATCGTCGCCGCACACAACGCCGCCGCCAGACAGTACGTGCTCACATCATACCGAGCCGACTCGATCCTCCGCAGCAGCGCCGGCGCATTCACAACAGGCCACACACCATACGAGGACTGGCGATACAGACGCACCACCGACGCCAGAGTCGAGGGGGAGATGATCCCGACAAACCCATCGCTGGTCGCATCGGAAACCGGTTCCGGGGGCTGTTCGTGCTCGGGCCCGAGAGTTTCCTGCTCATTCTCGGCACCAGGATCGGCGGCGGCGCTGCCGTGAGTGTTTCTGCTCGAAGCTAGGGGACTCTCGGCGTCCTGGCCCCCACCGGCCCGCCGTCGTACTTTCGGCCCTCTCCGTCGCGCGGGCTTCAAATATGTGCAGCGGACTCGTTTCGCGCCGTTCTGGCAGGTCTGGCACGGCCAGGCGCCGCTGCACTTGACCTTGCGGGAGATGCACTCGTCGCAGGCTCGTTTGGTGAGTTGGGGGCGCATGGATAGTCGCGGGAACTGACTCGGTACACGAGAGTTGTAGTTGAAAGGTGGAGAGGGAGAGGGAGAAGAAGAGGGGAAGCAAACGAGTAACATGACTTGAGTTCCCTGCCCCTCCAGCATACACTCCCTGACTCTGAGACACTCAAGTAGACTCAGTCTAGCCTCCAGCCGAGCCTTCGATCGGTCTTGGACCTTCCTTCTCTCCCTGCGATCCACTCCGTCGCGGTGACGAACCGCCGGACGCTGTGGAGTCGACGTCATGCTGTTTCTCCACACTCTCCATACTTAAGATGCCTTCTTCCCCTCGTCTCTTTCCATGTGGAATTCATCTATCTCAACTTTTCTCCCTCTCCCTACAGTGTCTACAATATAAACACACTCAAAATGGAAGATACTCCCCTCCAGCCAGCCAGCACAGATGTAAGCCCCCAGAACCCTCCCCTCCTTCCCATCCAACAAACCCAACCAACCCACCAACCATACTAACCAAACCCCAAAAAAACAGCCCCGCGACCTCGCGGCCCAAGAATCCTCCGCCTCGGTCCTCTTCCCAGGCTTCACATCCACCACAGCCTGGAGCCTGGGCCTGGCCCTGCGCAGCCGAATCCTCTCCCTGCCGCCCTCGCAACGAAAACCCGCGCTGATCTCAATCGCCCTGACGGGCGGCTCGGAGCCCCACGTCGTGTTCCAATGCGCCACGGAGCCCGGCACCCTCCCGGACAACGAGGTGTGGGTGCGACGGAAGCGAAACACCGTGCTGCGCTGGGGCGTGTCGAGCTGGTTGATGCGCGTGAAGATGCTGACCAGTACGGGGCTCGGGGCGGGGGAGGTGGAGGGCGCGTTTGTGCGGAAACATGCGCTGACGAGTACCGGGGGGGGAGGGGCGGCGGATGATTTTGCGATTCATGGGGGTGGGTTTCCGGTGAGGGTGAAGGGGGTGGATGGGGTGGTTGGAGTGGTGGTGGTCAGTGGGTTGAAGCAGGAGGATGATCATCAGGTGGTGGTGGAGGTGATTCAGGAGTTTATTGCGCAGGGAGGGGTTTAGTTGGATTATGTACCTGTATAGCACTACGATTGAGGATCTAAGTTTGTCTACAAGGAATCAGTCAAGTGAATCAGTCAATTGTATGAGGTATCAAGCTATGTTCCTGTCGCCGAGACCTTCAGCGCAGGCATCGTCTTTCAACGATTCTTTTTCAAACACTGAAATCGGACCAAACCGATGTGGAAAAAAATAATGTGTCAATAAGCAATAGATAAAAAGAACTCCAGAAAAGTTAAAACAGACTGCCCTCTAAGGTAATTTTACAGTTCATCATGGCCCGTGGGCTCGTCGTCATCCTCCTCCGGAGCAGAGCCGTACAGCTTGCTGGTGATGGGGTAGGCCACGTTGGACAGCTGCTCCTTCTGCTCCTCGAAGTCCTCGGTGGTAGCAGTGGCAGCGTTGTCGTCGAGCCAGTCGGTGACTTCCTTGACGGCATCCAAGATGGTCTGCTTGTCATCCTCGTCAATCTGGCCACCCAGTCCGTTCTCGTCGCCGACCTGGTTCTTCAGGCTGAACGCGTAGTTCTCCAGTCCGTTGCGGGCCTCGATCTTCGACTTGATGGCCTTGTCCTCCTCGGCGAACTGCTCGGCCTCGGCCACCATGCGGTCAATCTCCTCCTGGGTCAGGCGACCCTTGTCGTTGGTGATGGTGATGGACTCAGCCTTGCCGGTGCCCTTGTCGCTGGCGCCGACCTTCAGGATACCGTTGGCATCCAGGTCGAACGAGACCTCAATCTGAGGAACGCCACGGGGCGCGGGAGGGATACCGGTGAGCTCGAACTTGCCGAGCTGGTTGTTGTCCTTGGTCAGGGAACGCTCACCCTCGACTGGAGTCATCGTTAGTCACCGTTCAAAACTGGAGCGGAAGAAGCAACTTACAAACTTGGATGAGGACGGTGGGCTGGTTGTCAGCCGCGGTGGAGAAGACCTGGGACTTGCGGGTAGGGATGACGGTGTTACGGGGGATGAGCTTGGTCATCACACCACCGGTGGTCTCGATACCGAGAGTGAGGGGGTTGACATCCATCAGAACAACGTCGCCGGTGCCTTCCTCACCGGAAAGGACACCACCCTGAACGGCAGCACCGAAAGCAACAGCCTCGTCGGGGTTGATACCCTTGCTGGCCTTCTTACCGGCGAAGAACTCCTCGAGGAGAGCCTGGACCTTGGGGATACGGGTGGAACCACCGACCAGGACAATGTCGTCGACATCAGCCTTCTTGACCTTGGCGTCCTTGAGCACCTGCTCAACGGGCTTGAGGGTCTTCTTGAACAGATCCATGTTCAGCTCCTCGAACTTGGCACGGGTCAGGGTCTCGGAGAAGTCCTCGCCGTTGTGGAAGGCCTCGATTTCAATGCGGGTGGACATCTGGGAAGACAGAGTACGCTTGGCCTTCTCAACCTCGCGCTTCAGCTTACCCATGGCCTTCAGATCCTCGCGGACGTTGACGTTGTTCTTCTTGTTGTACTGCTTGACGAAGTAGTCCATGACACGGTGGTCAAAGTCCTCACCACCCAGGTGGGTGTCACCAGCGGTAGCCAAGACCTCGAAAACACCGTTGTCGATCGACAGAAGGGAAACATCGAAGGTACCACCACCAAGATCGTAGACGATAACCTGGCGCTCATCACCGGTCTTGTCCAGTCCGTAGGCGATAGCGGCGGCGGTGGGCTCGTTGACGACACGGAGAACGTTCAGGCCGGCAATAGTACCAGCGTCCTTGGTGGCCTGTCGCTGAGCGTCGTTGAAGTAGGCGGGGACGGTAACGACGGCGTGAGTGACCTTCTTTCCAAGGTAACCCTCGGCGATTTCCTTCATCTTGCCGAGAACCATGGCGGAAACCTCCTCGGGGGTCAAGGTCTTGGGGGTCTGGTTGACATCGACCTCCACGACGGGCTTGCCATCCTTCTTGACAATGTTGTAGGGGAAGGTCTTGACGTCCTTCTGGACATCCTTGTCCTCGAACTTGCGACCAATCAAACGCCTAAACAAATATCTGTCAGATACCCGATCCCTGCTCGTGTAACCAAAATTGCCAGAAGAAAAACTCACTTGATATCGAAGATGGTACGGGTGGGGTTGGCGGCGTATTGGTTCTTGGCGGCGTCTCCGACCAGGCGCTCCTCATCGGTGAAAGCGACGTAGGAAGGAGTGATACGGTTTCCCTGATCGTTGACGAGAATTTCGACCTTTCCGTTTTGCATGACACCAACACAAGAGTAGGTGGTTCCCAGATCAATACCGACGACTGTCAAACATTAGCATGCTGCTCCCCGTTATTTCAACCGATTCGCAGGAATTGCCATACCAGTTCCGTAGCTGTCCACCGAGTCATCCTGAGCGTGGGCGGTACCAAAGAAAGCCAGAGGCGCAATGAAGACGAGAAGGAGGTAGAAGATGGTCGACCAAGCAGCAAACGGCTTGGCCGCGCCATTGGGGCTAGACCAGCGCGCCATTATGGATTATGTGTGTCGGACGTAGTTCCCCTTTCACGATGGAACACGTATCAAAATGTAAGTGATCTTCTCTATGTCGAACAAGACGCGTTTTCAAAACCCGTCTCGCGAAAAAAAAGTCTCCTGCACTAGACACAAGAGAATAAAAAAGAAGAGAAACCCAACCACAGCCGATTAGCGGAAGGAAAGAAAGGAAGGAATGGGGGGGAAGGGAGAGAGAAGGTTGGAGGACAAAACAACGGGAGAGAGAGAGGGAGAGAGAGGGAAAGGCGAGCTTGTTCTTTTATGGGATCTGCTGGCGGCGACAAGCGCAGCGGCCATGCTGGCCTTTTCGCGCGCTCCGCCCGTGAAGGTTTACTTCTCGCCCGGTGATTGGCGGAAGTTCCCCTTGGACCCTGTGACTCAGCAGTTCTCCCCGGAGACCGCCTGTCCGTGTCGGGATTCTGCCGGAAGAATCCGCAGGCGTTCGTCCGATTGGAACGGGCGGAGGCGGTCCATCGAACTTGCTAGAAAGCGCTGCTGAGCTCAGCGCTGAGTCATCCAGGCACGCAGCCCTGACGATTGCCCGATTGGGTTTGGAGGCGCATTTCTGGATACGTGGAAGCTCCTGCATTCTCAAGTCGACACGGGCCCTTCCGTTTCGTGAAGCGCCTTGTTCCTTCTAGCCCCCTCTTCATGAGTCAATCCGTGACTCCAAGTGAGGATCATGACATCTGTCCTTCCTACGCTGCCGCCATCGTCCATCTGGACAGGTGGCGATCACTGTGCTGAAGACTGGGGACCCTGCCAAGCACCCAGTATCCACCCCCTAGTGTCTCTAGTTGGTTCGAGCCTCGATTGCACATCATGACCGTGATGAGATATTCATAGACAAGCAGTTCTATCTCGTGACTAGTGTATTCTGACGAGTACATGTACCCATTTCTAAAGACCATCGTAATATGAGATGTCATGTCATAATCATTCCAATAATCCCGCCGCCACAGTGTCTCCTCCAGCCCGCAGAACGATCCTTGTAGGCGCCTCTAACGGCACGGCGCGGTCCATTTCCACCTCGATGCGAGCCACTGTGCCCGGTGCAATGACCTTGGGTCTCTTCTTGACCACCGCACCCGACCCTTTGTCTAGAGTGGCCACCAGCTTGCTGATCCGTCCCGGGACATGGAGACGTCCGCGGTGGATATCGACCATGCTAGGCATCAAGTGATCAAAAGCTAGCACTTTGGTGGTGAAGGTGGTGATGTTAGAGATCGGAGAAGATGGCCGGCAGATAACGTCGCCAGAACGGAGGTGAATCGGGTCGATGTTGACAAGGTTCAAGACCACGTTCTGACCGGCCACAGCCCAATCGCTGGGCTCGCCATCCACCTCCAGGCTGCGGATCGTCGCCTTCTCCCCGCTGGGCATCGTAAGGATTTGGTCGCCCATTTGCAGACTGCCAGCATCCAAGCGGCCGGAAATCGAAAGAGGATTTTGCACACTGCCGCGGAAGACGTCGCCGATGGTCATGCGCAACGGCTTCTCCAGCGCATGAGAATTCGGCTCGGTGGTTTCCAGCTCATCGACCAAAGTCCGGCCCTGATACCACGAAACGTTGGGGTCCTCGCTGCGTCGGGTGACATTGTCGCCGCTGATGCCAGAGCAAGGAACAAACGAGATGCTCTTGGCTTGGAACCCAGCAGTAGTCAGGAACGAAGAAACTTGCTGCTCAATCTCTTCGAATCGTTCCTTGTCCCACTGCACAGAGTCCATCTTGTTCACTGCGATGATGATCCTCTGGACGCCCATACTGCGCACCAGCAAGGCGTGTTCCTTAGTCTGGCCTTTCAGCCCCGACTCGAAATTCCCAATACTGGAATCGATGACGAGAACGGCGAAATCCGCCTGGCTAGCTCCAGCAATCATGTTGGGTACGAAATCTCGGTGTCCAGGAGCATCCACTATCGTGAACACAGTCTTCTCGGTCTCGAATTTATTAGTGGCAATGTCAATAGTGACACCCCTGGCTCTTTCTTCGGTGCCCTGATCCAGCACCCATGCGAGAGCAAACGATCCTTTCCCAATCTTCTCCGCTTCACGTCGGTATTTGTCTAGAGTACGTTGGTCGATAGCTTTCAAGTCGGCGAGCAGACGCCCCATCAGAGTGCTTTTCCCGGCATCAACATGACCTAGTTTATGTCAGCATGATGCTCACTGCTTGAGGTGCATCTACACTCACCAATGACCGCGAAGTTCATGGCCTTCTTTCGCTTGGAATTCCTGTATTCAGACAAGACGTCCAAGTTCTTGCTCTTGATGTTCACCTTCTCTTCGACGGCCAAATTGCTCATGCCACTAGCCAGGTCACCTTGGGGTTTCTTGTCGCCTGTTGATTTAGAAGCAGGTTGTTTCGACTTCATGCCTACAAGTCCATTAGGGAGGGTCCTAGTTCTTTCGCCGAATAGCCAAACCTTTCGCAGAGCTCTGTGCATTCAGCACAACGTCGTCGGGGCTTGGGCCTGTGAAATCAAAAGGTTCAGCACGATCTTGTCCATATATCGCCATGAGATCCAGGGCATTCGAGTGCAAGTGGCTGAGCTCGGTTGCAGGAGGATGTCCAGCATCTCCGACAATGGTACTGGCAAACGTGGACGGCGGTGCGCGAATGTTGACGGCGGGTTCCTCCTTCGGTTCGCTCTCCATCTGTGCTGCTTTTGTTGTCTTGACCGAATCCGCTTCATCTGGCACACTTGGACTTCTCGGTTCCGGTGACGGCTTTTTCTTCGGCAGAGGACTTCCAAGACGGGGTTCCGCTCCAGGCGTTCCGGGCGACTGCGGGCTCTCCGATGATTTCTGAGGCTTCCCATTGCGAGCAAGTCTTTCCCTCAGCGACAAAGGTGTCCCCCTCGATTCAGTTGACGGTGTCGGAGGCTGATCGCCGCCTGTTGCGGGTCCTGGAGCCGGTGAAGGTGCTTTGTCCGACTCCTTCTTTTTGCGCGCAGCAGCCAACGCCGCCAATTTCGACACTTTACCGCCGCCAGCTTCAGGGTTTCCTCCAAGCAGTCCAAGTCTGGGATACAGAGGCTCTATAAGGATATCGGCTTTGCGCTCCGCCGGGACATTAAGCCAGGGAGTATCGCGAAAGAATTCCGCAGCCGAAAAGTGTGCTGTCGGCGGCGCCGGTTCCACTAGGGTAGACGGAGGCATAGGGTACGCGGGCACTACGAAGCCTGTTAGAACATATTCGAGCTTCCAAATATGGGAGTCAGTTTAAATCAATCAACGTAGAAAGCAAGACCATACTCACCAACAACGTTCGCCGTTTCCAATGCCGCCAGGAAAAAATATTTCAATCGAGAGCCGAGCCCAACCACCAGGTATACGTAAAAGCAACAAAGCACAGGGGAAACAGCTGCTTACCCGTAGTTCCTTTCGCCTTGGGGGTCGGCGCAGGCGCAGGCTTCTTCTTCACTTCCTTCGCCTTCTTACCTGCACGCATCGACAACAATTCGTTAGCAATTGCGATCAAAAGTCCCAATTCACCACCCAGCAAGATCCCATTCCCCAATCCAAATCCAGTATTGCCACTCACTTCTCAAATAATTCACCGACTTTTCAATGTCGTTGTAATAATGCCACAGCGATTCCTGGACCTCCTCGCGAGTCGCCGTCACGGAGGGTTCCCCCGACCGCAACTGCTGGAGAACCTCGGCTGTGCACTGTTCCAGGAACTCCTGTTCCTCGGGATCCGGCGAGTCGTAGCCATCGTCTTCGAAGTCATCCTCATCGTAGCTCAAGGCTTTCACGCGATGTCGCGACATGGCGGATTGTTGTTGACGACGGAAGGCGGGGCAAGGCTGGGTTAGGAGGGGTTGAGGGAAAACGAAAGTCGGTCTAGATATGTAGGATTCTCCCGCGCCCGGGTGAGGAAATGCGAATTAATAAACCACGAAGGGGGAGAAGAGAGGGTGGAGGGGCAACGAGAGAGCCAGGAACCGGGGGAAGACTGTGGTGGGAAGAGTAGAGTCGAAGGGGAGGGAAACCCTCCACGTCATTCCCCACTCGGTTGTTGGATGTGTCATCCACCAGATTGCTCGGATTTACTAATGGCTACGATTGTTTACTCTTTAGTTCACTACCACGGAGTGAAATGTTTAATTGATTGATATTTCAAAAGAGCCAACTTTCTAAAGTAGTACGCAGCAAACCAACCCCCAACTCTAAACTTCTAGAGAGGATCTCTGTCCCCCGAATCTCCCAGAGCGAAATCCTGCTGCGTACATACATCCATACCATCATGAGAGGTCGTCAAAAGCAATCCAAATGCGTTGATTTGTAGAAAGGTTGTGAGGGAGAGAACAGTGCCATAAGCCAAGTAAAAAGAGCAATCATTTCAACGGGCTGCCGCTAAAGAAGTCGCCTGCGCCTGGACCCGTGAAGCTGCCATTGCTGGGCGTCAGGGCAATCGAGCGACGAAACGCCTGTCTAGGGGTGGTTGGGGCGCTAACAGCACCTGCAGGATCGGGCACGCTGGGTGTATTGCGACCACTGTTGTTTTGCATTGTCACCGCGGTTCCCGGTCGAGAGAGAACCGTGGCCGTGCCATTTCGAGGAGGGGGGCGGAATCCTAGTTTAGATCCCTCGCGGAAGATTTCCTCCAGGATCTGATTCACGATGCCCGCGTCGTCGTATTCCTGGAACTTCTTCCACAGTCGGAGGGCCATGCGTGCATCCTCAATAGAGTCATGCCCGCTGTTATTATCCGCCGGTTCTTCCTGGATGTATTCTTTGAACACCGCCCAGGCGAGGTATCGGAGACTGAGTCGCCGGTTCTTGCCGGGATGGAAGAAGAGGTATTGAGTATCCACTGTCTGGCTCTTGGGAACCTGGATGTTGATCTGACGGAAATCCGAGGCCAGACCATGTCCAACAAAGACACAGCCCAGGTTGAGAAGCAGCCATAGCTTCTTGTAGGCAACCTTGAGAGGAACGAGATTATGCTGACTGGTCCTCGGGTCCAAATCACCGGGCTTGATACCGGAATATTGAGTGACATAGTCAACGATCGGCTCTTTGATAGTGATGTAGTCATCGATGAACGGGACTCCTTCGCGGACGCCTGAGCCCCGGAGAACAGAAACTCGCGCAAGACCGCTCTTGCTGGGCCTGACGATCTCTTGAGAGCCGTCCGCTTTGACGTCGATTTCGGCCTTTTCAAGGTCCACAAACTCGGTGTCGAGAGCAACGGGAGTACCGGGAGCTGGCTTCTCGGTTTCAGACAGCGTGACGCGGGATTCCACAGGGCGACCGGCACTAATTGAAAGCCAATATTAGCACTTGCATGTTCCTTAAATTATTATGAAGAGGTTCACTCACTTTAGGGACCAGTCACGGAAGAGGAGACCGGTATCCAGGAAGTTCTTCCAAGAATCATCGATAGCATGCCGAGCATCCCTCACCTGATAAGCCAACACACACGGTTGCTTCCACGGCTGATTAAATCGCAGGGCTTCGTCTTTGTCAACCTCCGTGACCAAGAAGTCATTGAATAGATGCCATCTGTTTCTGGGTTCGGCCTTTCGAGAAGCGATGGAGACATTGATAAACGAGACCAGATGCGGTTTCTGGTGGTCGGGGATATCTATCTCCGAGACCAGACCAACCAGCTCATACACCACAAGTCCGGGCATATTGGCTTGCTTCTGCCGCTTGAGATCTTCTCCTTCGAAGCAAAAGATCTGTCCTCCGTCGACGACGATACCAACTTCTTCGGGTAGCCATCCAGGTATACTCCATAACCGTCGGTATATAGGATTGGTGAGGGCCGCGTTCAGAATCAAAACCAAGGGCATGCGGTGGACAGTCTTCCTGATGGCCACCTGCTGATAACGCCGGCAGTAATTGCACCATCCTCTATTCTGCGTCTCGCGCTCAAGACTTGCTCTTAAGATGTTTGAGAACCGCAGCGCTGGGTTCCTCCGGGCTTGTTTGGGATCAATGGCTGGGTAAATCAGCTCATTGGCAAGCGAGTTGCCAGGTCGAACGATTTCATTATTGCAGAGCATGCACCGTATGGATTCGGACGCAATAGTTGCTAGCCTCTGATCAAAATCATCAGAGCTTGGGAGAATCATGCGGAAGTCGTGCGCGATCTGGTTAAGGAAGAACCTGTTGACCGACTGGATTGCCGACGAAAGTGATTTTGTAGTCAAGTTCTCCTCAAACAGACCCAAGTTAGAGGCTTCACGGAAGCTGCTAAATGTCTTCAATAAATTTGTGGCTTGGCAGTTCTGGCCATTCGCCTTTTCGAGCATGTCGAAGAGATAGCCCATCTCGCAAAGCAAGCAGCTCTCGATAATACAGTTGCTAGCGGCATGATTCAGAGCCACATTCCGTACTAACGGTATGAATTTAAGGAGTTGCAGAAGGGCGTTGGTAAATGAGTTGGCAATATGCGTCTCCAACCCAGAAAAACTAGTTTGATTGTAGAACCTGGCAAAGTAAGTGAGCCTGGAATTCAAGCTTTCGGAAAGTCATGATATGCACTAACCTGAAATCAAAATCGTCAACACCAAATCTGCTGTATTTGATTTCAACGTTGCTGTATTTAAGGAGAGGGTCATCTTCGGCTTCTCCGTTTAGCTTTGCGCCTGCGAGCGCTTCAGCCGTATCACTAAGAGAACCCTCCGATTTGGCCCTGCTTTGCTCTCGTGCCTTCTCGCTCAGGAACTTTGGAGCAATCAGAGCGGGCTCTGTAGTAGCCAACGCTCGAGTATTCTCCACCTGGTTTCGTCTGGTTTTCTTCGGATTTGGCGCATAATGCCCAATCTCGGCGGGGCGAAGGTAGGGAATCAATCCCGGGTCAAGAGGCGCCGGTGGGCTCCCGATTTCAAAGACAAGATGACTCGGCCATGCTGATAGCAGACGTTCGTGGTAATAAGGCATGCCGATCATACTCAGAGGCGTCTCCGGAGACCAGTCCAGGGGAGGAGCGCGAGGCGTGACATCCGCAAACTCGGTCTCCTTGCTCATCTCGTTGAAGTGTATCTTTGCCGGAGACCCCCACAGGTGAATCATGCACTCGGCATCATTGATCGCCAAAGCTTCCCCGGAAGGCGAGAGGTCGATCCCAAGCATATACGACACGTTGGCCTGGCGAAGGTTGATTGCGTTGGGATTCATCAGATCCACGACCTGGAGCTGGCCCGTCTGCGAGGCGACAAAGCTGGTAGTATGAAGTTTGGGGTGCATGCGCACATATGCAGCCCCAGCGTGAAAAGGGATAGGAGGTAGCGGCGATAAGGTTTTGAGATCATATACGTTGGCCAGGGGATCCACGATCGAGGATCCTAAATGTCTGACCGAAAAGCCACACGTCACCAGGAGATCATTCCGAGCGTCCATATCATTGACAGCTGTCCCATGAGCCTTCCACGACTTCACCACGCGGAAATCCGACAAGCTCAACGCATTGACGGATCCCGTATCAGTCGCAGCACAGAGGTACCGACTCTTCTTCATCATCGTATAGTTGTACTCCGTCGGCAGCTTGTCGATTATGATGCCCTTATCGATATCGATGGTGAACATCGCCCCCTGGCACCCCGCGACTATGATTCTATTCAGCTGGGCCGTGAAGCTCATGCAGCGCAGGTCGGTCATTTCCTCGTGGGAAACATGCCATTGCGTCAACCCGCGGCGCGTTATCATGTGGACGCTTTTCGGAGACAGCGAGATCACGCCCCGATCATGGAACAGGATCTGTCGAACGGGGCCATCGGTGGCAGGATGCGCCCGGACAGAGGTATACCGCTGGAGCTCAGGTCCGTAAAAGGAAGTAATGCGGCCCTATCGGAGAAAAAACAAAGATGTCAGCACGAGACCACGCAGAATATTGATTGATTTCGAGACCGGTGAACACGCACATATTCATTCCCCGCCCACAACAGTTCCATCACATCGTCAAAAGCTATCGTCGTCGCAACGGTGGGCAACCCATGCGAATTTGGAGGAGGCACCGGAATGCGCGACAGTTCATCCCAATCGGCTTCCATGGTGCCGGTGTTACATCTGGGCCTCAGCCCAGTGCGGTGTCGAATTCGAGGAGAAGAGGGAGACCGCCGTAGGAAGCTGTTTTTTCTTGTTTTCTAGAAGCTGAATCGGCTCAGCGCATCCGGAACCAGGGCGAAATCGGGCATCGTTCGGCAAAGGACGCGACTGCGGGGAGGTATTAGAGGGCACGGATCCTCAGGTGAGATGGCACGGTGTAAAAGAAGGTGGATGCAAGCGAACAGCTTGCACCCGGTGGTAATTGCTAATCACCTCACTATTTGTCACTCCTCGAGTCACACGGCGGAGGTGACCAACTTCTTACATCAAAAGGCGGCAGTCAAAGAGGTCCCGAACACGTCATCACGTGAGGCTGCTGGAGCGGGGGTGGGCAGCTCGTGGGGCCTGAGGCCACCGCTTGGCTCTACCGGGACTACGGAAGACGCTATACAGTATACAGAGTTTGTCTTAATGGCAAGTAATTGGATTGGCACACACATTAATCGTTAATTAACACGCAACAAAGAAGTGTGATGAAACATGAAGCTTCAAGAATGTCCCATACGTGTACATTTCGCGGAATTTTAATTTGTTCCGTCGCAGCTCGGGCAGGTATAGCTACCCAGAGGGATAAGATGATGGGGATGGATAAGTTCTCAACAGTCTCCCTCCAATTACTCTTAGATTCAAGATTCGGCAAATCATATGATCTAGCGGTCCCGTTCGACGAGGCCAGGAGGTAGGCGATAAACACTCATAGCTTCTCATAGGCAAGATGGATTTATCGATAGAACGATGCGGGATTGGAGTTAGGGGCACCGCCAGCAGGGTTGTATGCTTGGTAGCCTGCTCCGGGATTGAGAGGATAGGGTACGGCGTTGGCTGCGCCCGGGACCGGAGGAGGCTGGTGCATCGGCGCTGGTTGATGGGATGCAGGAGTGGGAGGGTATGGGGCCTGTTGCCCGGTGGGAGGTACATTGGTTGCATCCTCAGAGGGATACGAGTACTCTTGCTGGGGCGGCTGCTGGAAATGTTGCATAGCGCTGGGGTATGGAGGTCGACCTGCAGGGTGGTCTACAGGCGAATCATAAACGGACGTCCCTAATTCCTGAGGGTGGTCATACGTCGACTCGGGTCGGTGATGCACTGGTTGGTAAGCGTCAGCAGGCTGTTGCTGTTGGTATGGAGCGCCTGCAGGAGGAGTCTGGGTGCGCGGATCCGGGGACTGAGAAGTAGGTGGATACACAGGCGCTTGGTCTCCTCCATAGTAGGGATTTGTGTTAGACTGGACGGGTTGGCTCTCTGTTCTCCAGGTCAGAATTATGCGCACATGTCATGGTTTTTGCTGATGAGACTAACCTTGAGGGCGTGGGCTGAAGTACCGCTGAGGGTCAGCGCCTTGAGGATAGCCCACAGACGACGCAGGTCCGGGATACCCGTATTGAGGTTGACCTGGTCTACCATATTGCGGTTGAGTGGGATGCGACATAGATGCCTCCAGAAGAGTCTCGTAGTCCCGTCGAGCTTTGATGAATTTCTCATTAAGCTGCGTAAACTCGTCTAGATGATGGTGAGCAGGTAGCACACATGATATTTTTCCTGGCTGATAACATACCTTTCTTTTGCGAGTACTTTCCAATAAGCTCGATCAACTTAGGTCGGATTGCCAAGGTTGAGTGGTATAGGTTTGTGATCTCCTCATTTTCTTGCACATTAGGCTCAGAGCCACGCGTGCTAAGAAGCGTCAAGAGCTTCTCGACATTTTTGATCTGTCCAAAGACTTCTGTTTCCATATGAGCCTCTCGCTGCAGCTCCTCGACAGTAGGATCAGGTAGCTTCTCGACATAGTTGAGAGGGAAGATGCCAGTCTGTCCTCTCAGAGAACCCTTCCACCAATCTTTGTACACCGACTCAAGCACGGCAATTACATCGCCCTTGCGGAACTGCAGTTCACCCGGCTCCGAGGGCTGAAAATCGAAAAGCGCTCTAACACGCGAAACGGTGGCTGCTGAAGTACCTGAAGGCACAGCTTGAGAAGCCACTTCCTGGACTTGGTTGATGGGGCCAGAGCTAGATTCGGGCTGATGCTCCAGAGGGACGGCGGAGCTGGCAGCGGCAGCGGGTGTGGGTTTCTCCCTTATCGAAAGGGCCAAAGCCATCTGGAGTTCCTCTTCTTCCTTCTGGCGATCAACGTCTGTGATTTCCGTTTTCACGGGTTTTGACGGGGGTTGTAGGTTAGGGTCTAGAGCGAATAGCGTGGACTGGTTAGCATACCGCATGCGCGCTACCAAATCAGAACGTCTTTCTTACTCTGTGTCTTCAAAGTCATGTAGGCTTGTTCCATAATCCCGAAGTCCGGGTTGCTGGCGAACATCTCCGTCCATTCCTGCATGCGCTCCAAGATCTTCGACTTAACTTGCTGGTGGGTATTCTAGAAACCAAAATCGTCAGTACATTCTACGCGACAGGGCACCGACATTTCAAGCTTACTCTATCACTCGCAAGTCGCAACAAGGCGTCCGTGAAGCTTCTTGACGCTAGCTCGCGATGGATCTTGGGTCCGCAGTTTTGCGCCAGAGCATTTCCGAGCTATACATGATCAGCATTCGGGGTATCAGAATAGGGCGTCGAAGACCCCCAAAGCAAATCGGCGCAACAAACCTCCAAAGTGTATAATTGCACGTTGGCATTGCGGTGTGCAAGTCGCTTGATCAAGGCAGCGACAGCGTCCTTTGCACTAAGTCCGAGCGCACGTCAGCATTGCCATGGCCGAGCAACATGGAATCAAGGAGAGCCTACCCAGATTCCTCCGCAGCTACTTTGTCGCAGACATCCTATCAATCCAGACACGGTCAGAATCAACCCAATTATCACTCTCCATAGAGGTCGGTATTTCGGGCAGGGTTCCCCATACAAGTATATACTCCCAGTTCTCGGAGGTGAGATTCTCGTCGGTCGCCTTGGCTAGATAGAAAGTCGCATGTCAGCTTCGAAGTTCACATATCATAGTATACAAATCGCAGGGCTGTCTGAAGCCACGAGCGTCCAGGGGCATCTTACCGACAGCGTCATCAAAGGCGTTCTGCTGTTGCCGAAACATCACGAATGTTTTCCCTCGAGCTAGCTCAACTCGAACGTCGACACTTAATGTTCAACTTCTTGTGATCCCACTGAGCTGGAAGTCCCGTTTTAGAATGTAATCGACAAGCCGCGAGACCCAAAACCGAAGGCAGGAGGAGCGGCGTAGCTCAGGTTGTCGGTTGTTCAAGAATGCGCAGATCAAGGCAGAACACCGGAGGGTGCGGGGGGGAAGCGGTCAACGGTCGCCAGATGTCCAACTTGGCCGGTGAGTCGGAGTGGGTAGGGGAGGTGAATGCAGGTCGTTTCTTCGAAGGGAAGAGAAGTCAGGGCGTATTTCCGGCGCGATAAAGGACCAGGGAGACAGGGTGGGTTTCAGCAGAGGGAAAAAAGCTTGGGCATTGAGTGGAAAGGCTGCAACCTGATGCGAGTGACGATGGTTCGCGCAGGCGGAGACCGCCTCTGGCGCTGACGGGCCGCGCGCTACGCCTGAATAAGCGAGCCTTCGAGATGATGACGATTTAACTAGGAGTATGCTCGTGTTCGGTTCCTGTTCTTGTTCATCTTCATCTTGCTACGACATCTACATCTGTGTACAGGTCCCAGCTTTGCTACTCTATGAAATGCGACACTACCATCCATTCACCCTCATAGACACTAGATCAGGCATTACCTCGAATGCCCTAACTAAATATAACTCTCCCAGCCCCCGGAGCGGCCACTTTGCGGTCAGTGACACTGACTCACTGCCTGGTTCACGATACCCACCGGTGATCTTAGCCTGTATGCAATGGGATTAGGCATCTCTCTTTCGTAACTTTCTCCCCAATGAGAAAAGGGGCTCTGTTGAGAAGCCCAAACCATCCGCATCTCCGTACAGCGTAGGATAAAAAAAAAAAAAAGCCCTATCGATCAGTTCTTCTTTACTACAGTATGAGTCGTTTCCAAGCTTGCCTTTTAATCACATATTTATCGCTTCTGGATGAAGATATCCAGTTCCATCATCAACCTAAATACCTACCTTCTTGCAAGATCGGTCAACCTACGCCAGACCGCTCCTCATCTGGGATTGCATGAAGTACGCAGTCCGATAGTATCGAGGGAAAATATCGAAAACGCATCTACAAAGCTAACGCAGTCCAAACCGTCCGTGTCCAAGCGCCCGATCGGAAAATAAATACTCGACAGGGTATGTAGATATAAATAAGTAGTACACATAAGCCTGTCTTCTGCGTATACCTCGGCCGATACTAGATATATACTTGCAATTCAGCAAATCATCCACCCCGACCAACTCCCAAGGAAATAAACACCCAGACAGACAACAGAGCCACCCAAACCCGTCCTAAACCTCAGCATCACAGCCCCCCTTGTGGAGCCAACAAAGAAAATTGTACGACCCCAAGAACAGGGTGACAGCAGCCACCAAGCCAAGGCAAGAAGCCAAGCCCCCGTTCTGATCTACCGAAGGAAGCAGGCAAGTAAGTACATATGTACGTCTGAGATCGGTAAGCCGTCGGTGATACATGACGAATGGGGCGGGTTGGTCGTCTGTACGACGTCGGCGTGCTTGCTGGGTTTCACGGGTATGAGGTGATTAATGAGGTCGGTAGGACCTAGTGCGTAGGCATTGGAGGGCGATTTTGCCGGATTGGAATAAGGATGGGAGAAGGGGGAATTGAGATGATCTCAAGAGTAGCAGATCATGAACGCCTTGTATTATATTTTTGTTCCCAGAAGGAATAGGATCGTTAGTCGTTATAGTAATAATGGTGGTGATAATGATAAACGCCAGAAGCCAACTACAGACATGAGGAGGGTTCGATAGACATAAACCGTTCACGGCCGCTCTTGCTCATTCATTACATTGAATATCGAATTCCGTCGGCTTCGGCGTCACTGCATGGCCGTCAAAAAGAAGCAGGAGCAGCAAAGCATATGTAACTCCACATAGGATTTACAGTCACCTCCCAGTACTCTTATAAAAGATAAGATGGTGATTAAAGAAAGACACGACAAACACGCCAAAGGAGCGAGGAGAAAGGCTAACAATCATCAAAGATAGGAGGATATAAGGTTCATCGAATGAAAGTGTAAACAGATCATGCCACCAGGAAGGGGCGGCGAAGAATCAAGGATAGGGGAGGTAATCATCAAATCATCGCCATCTATAACATGTAAGATCCGGGGAAAAGAAGCCCAGAAATAATAAAAATAGCACCAGGAAAAAAGATTTTTCCCCATTATGCAATGCCAGCATATCATAGTCCAGCAAAATATGAAACATCAGAGGTAATGGGTATCTGGAGAGACAAGAGGACATCAAGGTATATAGAGACAGCGAAATGCGAGGCATTTAAGGGCCTCCCTTTTGAGCCTTTTCGGCGGCCCGGCTAGCGCGCGCAGCCTTGACCAGGGGAGACAAATGATTGAGCGGTGCGCAGAAGGACATGAATGGATGCTGCGTCATAAGTTAACGGTCTACTCGGTAAAAAAAAAAATGAGATGATAACATACCTTCAATAGATCATGGGCCGATGCTCTCTTCTCCGGGTCTACCTTCAACGCGAGAGACAGGAAATCCCGGAAGACGGGCGACAAGTTGTGTTCGTCTTTAATCTTGGGCGTACCGTTGGTGGCAATGAGGTAGAGCGCCCGCAAGGGTGATTCCGTGAGATAAGGAGGTTCGCCTTCGATCATCTCGATTGCCATGATACCCAAACTCCAAATGTCGACTTTTCGGCCGTACTCCTTTCGGGTCACGACTTCGGGGGCCATCCAATAGGGCGTGCCAACCATCGTGTTGCGCTTGTTGTGCGAGTCATTGATTTGGGCACAGAAACCAAAATCGGCTGAATTGTCTGTTAGACTCGTTCTGGAAATTGGGAACCAAGTTGGGACCTACTTAATTTGATATTGCCATCCATTGAGAGAAGGATGTTATCAGACTTGATGTCCCGATGAATTACACCCTTCGAATGAAGGTGCTGTAGTCCATTGAGAGTCTAGCAGCAAGGGTTAGCAATCCGATCGTCGGGCAATTTTGGGGGCGGGAAAAAATACCTCTCTGCAGACGGCCGCAATCTGGGCTTCACTCATGATGTTGAAAGTCACGACGTCGGTCAGACTGCCGCCTTCCATATACTCCATCACCACCCACAGATCCAGACCGTGGAGGTAACTGTCCAGGAAATTGACGATGTTCCTGTGCTTGCTGTCCTTCATCACCAGAATCTCATTGATGATCAGATCCTTCTTCGGTTGCAAATCAAGGTTCATTTGCTTGATGGCAACGCAGTTGTTGGTGCCATTCTGATAAGCGGTAAAGACACCGCCCGACGCACCCTGACCGATCTTGTTGAGATTATGATACATCTTGCTGGGATCGCCAGGAGTACAGATGGCAACCAGGCGGGCCCGGATATCCATGGCATTGCTCTGGCGAGGCCGCTGCCGGGGGCGAGCCGCGGGCGGGGCACGGGAGGGGTCTTCCACGGGCGAGACATGTTGCGGAGGTGCAGGCTGCGTTGTTGGTTTTTGTTCCGGCCGAGGCTGCTGCTGCTGCTGCTGACGTTGGCTGCGGCTGCGATCGAGCTGCTTGCTGGCGATAGCTTGTTGGGCTGCGGCCAGTGCATGCTCCTGCTGCTGCTGGTATTGGACCGGCGTGGCCACGACCGCCGGGGGAGCCCATGCCGCTTGCGACCCGTTGAGTTTGGAGTTGGATCGGCTGAGTTGAGACTCGGACGGCAACGGTTCGGTCTCCGGGATGGGTGGCGTCCCGAACTGGTTGGCAAACGGATCCTGAACCGGCCGGCTCGAGGCAGTCCCGTACGGACTTGTCGTCGCCACGGGGGGTTGAGGCGCCGGTCGGGCAGGAGTCATATTGGCGGGAGTGGGAGGCTTTGGAGGGGCCCGGTTAGGCACGAGACCGCCGCTGCTCACGGGCGGAGACATGACCGAGCCCGCCGTCGACGCACTCCGGGGGATGGGAGGAGGCGCCCGTGGATTCTCAAAGCTCCCCTCGTGGTTCTGGGGGAACCGAGGGCTCGTCGGAGGGGATGTCCGCTGAGCAACGGATCCGTGAGGCGTTGAACCGTTCGAACTCGGCTGAGAGGTCGACGTGGTAATCAACTGGGGTTGCGGATACGCATGGTCAAACTTGTGCCACACCTCGTCATCGCCACGAGCGTTCTTTTCGTAGAACCGCATGATATCCACCATGGTCTGCGGGTGTTCCTCCTGCTCTTTCTTCGAAATGCCACTCTCCTGCAGCAACCGCTGCCATTCTCGCGGCAGCCCCGTGAACTGACCCGTCTGGTTATCATAACCGACGTGCGTAACGTGGACGGGGTTCTCGGGGGCGGAGATCTTGATGCCACGAGGGGAGCCTAGCATGCTGTTGACGAAGCTGGAGAAGCTGCTCTTCTTGCTTCGCCCGGTGCCCAGCGGCCGGGGGGCGCCCCCCTCGTCGGAATACCGTTTCGTATTCGTGGGGCGTTCATTGTCGGACCGGTTCACGAGATTATCCATCCGGTTGTGTAGGGTGGTGAAGCTGGCGGATTGCCTGAGTCCTCGAGGGTCCGGGGTGGTTTGGGATCGAAGGGTCGGCGGCTTTTCGGGCAGAGATGCGATGGGTTCGGCGCTGTTCTCGTCGAGAGCACTGAGCATGCCCCGGGTATCAAACGGGGCGCCGATCAATTCATCTGAGCTTTGTTCGGTCAAGGAAAACCGCCCAGAGTGGGGTGGACGGGGTTTGCCGGCATAAAAGTTGGCAGAGGGCTGGGTGGTCTCGTTGCCAGCAAGCACCGGTGACGGGTTCCCACTGTTCTGGTCGACGGAGGACGAAGAGGAGCCGTATGCGTTGGATCGTGTGCGCGAATGCTCTCGACTCCCGGCGGCAGACGAACGTGGGTACACGGGGGCGGAGGGATGGCGCTTCAGAGAGGTGTTACTTTGTTGGCTCTTCAGGATTCGAGAACTAAAGCTAGGAGGGTCTTTGTGAAGCTTGCTTGACTGCCGTCGAAATTTTAAAGAGAAACTATCGTGATTCATGGCGTACGGGGTTTTAGGGGAGGGGGGTTTAACAGGTCAAGCGACTCGAGGGGGTGGGTGGAGGGAGTGGCCGACGGTCGTAGGCAAAGTGACAGGGTTCCCAGTCGACTAGGCACAATGGCTTGATTGGAGGGGAGGGGAAAGCCACCGGTTGAGGCGGTGCTTTCTCGCTGTCCCTTCCGTCACTGCACTTTTTTTTTTTTTTTTTTTCTTTAAGAAATTTGTTTTTTTGTGCTCCGTGCCGCGATGTATGGTGGGACTGGGCGTCTCTTGGGGGTGGTGTGGACAGGTGGATGTGAAACTGTACAGGTAGTATGTATGGATGATGGGGGGATGAGATGGGTAAAACGAATGATGGCGGTTGACCCAACGAGAGGAATCCTGTTGGATGAGACGGAGTAACGGGGATGCAAGAAGATCCAGTTAGGTCGACGCAAGGGAGGGCGCAAAGAAAAAAGAGAAGCTGCCGCGGGCTACCGTCAACCACCAGAATCAGTGGTTGGCACGTGGAGAGCCGCCGGACGTCCAACTTTAGGCGGTGACGGAGCAAGAGGGGGAATCCCAAAGGTGAATAATAATAATAATAATAATGAATCAACTGCAGATAACCGACAGCTCAGCACACAGATCTGCAACCCACAGATGGCCGGTTGCGAATGAAAGGGGACGGATGTCGAGAGGAGAAAAGAAGGCGAGCAGGCGAGAGAGCAGAAGAAAAAGCAATTATTCCTTCCAGTCGATGATCCCAGGGGAGGGAGATTATTATTATTATTATTATTCAAGGAAAAAAGAAAAAAGGGAAAAAACACGCACTGGACAGCGAGAGGAGACGGGGACAGCAGACGGGGGGATCCAGTTGATTTAGTTAGATTGGAGGCTGGACCAGCGACGGGGACAAGCGAGTGCCAAACGGCCCGTCCAGCGGTGATTTGGCTGGACGGACTGGAGTCGAGTCGGATGGGAGAAGAGAAAATAAAATAAAATATAATAAAATAATAATTATAATAATAATGATGCTACTCCGTAATTATGAATATTCTGATCATTAATTGCAGTCTCTTTTCCGGTCGAGGAGGGGAAACGGCCAGCCACTTGGCCCTGCCTGTGACGTACTGGCGGGTTGACAGTAGGGCGGTCAATAATAACACGGAGGATGTGATGGTGACTATGTTGATTATGCTGATGATGATGATGATGATGATGATGATGATAATGGTGATTATGGTGATTATGAATCCTCTTAGGATGGATTCCTGCAAGTGATGGCCTTGATTCTCGTCGTGGTGTCTCCCCCTTTTCCCCCGTCGCACTGAAATATCAGAATCCCTTTAGCCTTTCAGCAGGCAAAGGCTCAAACATGGGAAAAAGATTAAATGCCCAAAAGCTGTACTTTCGTACTGTTACGGGTATGTCCTCCGGAACTCTGCCAATCCAATCAATACCAAGAACCCAACGATGGAAATAATTTAATCGCCATATTAATTGGGGGGATCCGCCGGCTCCAGAAAAGGTTTACATCATCTGTCTCAGATGCGACCGCTCAGAAGGGCAGGAGAAAAATTCTAGACACATCTTGACCCCGGGCGCTCTGCCATGGCATCCGATCGGAGAAGACTTCCCTCGCAATTCCAATAAATTGGTGTCCTCCGTATCTCGTCGCGACTCGCAGTGACGCCTCGCGTGAGCTGCGAGTCCTGGGACAAAAGCACCGGCTGGCGTGTCTAATGTCTAGCGTCTGCTGGTCAAGACTCCAGACGCGGCTGGCCTGGTCGCCCGTCGAATCTTAAGATTACTGCGGTCCTTCTGGTGCGTTGGGTTTAATTGGATTTCTCGTCACGTCGGCGCCAATTTCCGACGCTGTGAATTGTGAATTGTGAATTGTGAGACTCCAGATCTGGTGATCCGGCCTCCAGTCTCTCGCCCCCAACGGCCAGGAATTTACCTCTTCTGACATAAGGACTCTATTTGCCTGCCCGAGTTAAACCCAACCCCGTCTGACATAACCCAGTCCAAAGAGCGAGTCGAGTCAGGTATTCCGATGATCAGACCTCTCGTCCGCTTAATCACTGCCGAATCAAGGCCCACGAAACAATGCTCCGTCCAGCCTCTGATCACTCCCCTTTCTGCAGGTACCGTCCGTTCCTTGACGGCTTCGATCAAACCGGATGTGTAGAATTCTCCCCCCTCCACCCCCCTGCTCCTGCAGACACATATACGATGCAGCCCGAACAAGTCACACATGTGTCGCTGGTAATCTTCCATCCCTTGCCGGTGCAATAAATCGTCGGCGTTCTGGAACGACTCCCCGCCTCTATCTCTTGGCTCGTCGGACCTGTGGGATATCATATGTGACTGGTATCCCTACTAGTCGCAGTGATCACGGCGACGGCGGGAGTAGATAGGACGCTGTCTTGTGCTGTGTTCACTGGCCTCGGACTCAGGAGAACCTCGAATCCCGGCGAGACGGGAACTCTCAGCCTACGACCTCTGACGACGGGACTAGCGTGTTCGGAGGCTGACGGCACCAACAGTCGGATCCTTCGTCTGAACACTGAACATTGACACGAAGGCGTTGTTGCCGGCTCCCCGGATTCCTCGCCGGGGCGATTTCACCCCTTCATCCGTCACTGGTTGGCCTGCTCGGGTGTTTGTTCGACATTGGACTCTCGCCGTTGCAACCCAACCACGCCACGTCGAACGCCCTGTCGTGATCATTATCAACCACCGTACGGAGTCCAGAGTATCTAACTAGCTATAAGGATCAACTCTGACAGCCAGCACCCAAGCAGGCATGATCCGCCTCACGTGAGTCCAAAATCCGGTTCGAGGCCGGGAACACGCGCGATCAGGGGCCGCGATGATGTAACGCCCTTTATGTATCCAAAACAGTGCATCGTCCAGATCTCCACCGGCGATGCTCCCAAAAAGTTGACGGACTTCCTTTGGCATTTTTGGCATTGCCGTCGCGGACCTCTCAGCCTCTCACCGTGGACTCAATCAAATATATCTCCTCAGGGGCTGATCGTCATAACTGCGGGCGATATTATTGAATCGATTCCCACTCCGAGGGGCTTAGTCCGAAACCAGAGGAACAAGTACCCACTGCCCACTGTCGAGGTGTCCACATGCCAAAAGAAAAATCCAGAAAATTCTTCTGTTCTTGTCGCCGAGAGAAAATAGGGATGGACTGTCAATCCAATGCCGAAACGGGATGAGATTCGGGACTTGTGGCCGCGATTCCACCCGTCAATATCGATTAATATCGGCCGTCTTGGTCAGATAGATTATTTCGGATGCTTGTCGTTGCGACCTGTCTGATAATTACTAGTTAACTGTGTCTGATAACTAACATTGATGCGTAGTCTAGAATTGGGTTTTTTTTTTTTTTTTTTTTTTTTTTTTTTTTTTTTTTTTTTTTTTTGGTGCGATGTCGACATCTCGATGGTCCATGATGCAGGATCCTTTGAATTGTGTAGCTGTATCGAGTCAGCCCTAAAGATATTATTGCCTTAAGGGTTCTTGTGGCTTCCCCTCGGTATGCCTTCTGGTCTGTGTAGTTCATATTTTCAACAGGTGAAAGCTGCTACTCCTGATATCAATGTATGTAGAACAAAATATCAGTGCTTCCATTATATATACACCGGTATATCAGTTAAATATGACCCCAACCTCAGTATAGCAAATAAGATCTAAATGCACCACAGCACACCAATCAAAAGTCCAATTAAATCCTCCCAATTCCTCAGCTACCATACCCACCGGCAAGTTTTGCCTCATAAAGCCATAACACGAATCCATACGAGCAATCCTCAAGATGGCGCAGCCACGTCCGTATCCGACAAGCGGGGAGAAATCCATGGCTTCTAACAAAATGCTCACTATAAAGACAGTCAATAATGCTCCTCAGATAAGTATGTCTCATGGCTCACTTGCTTCCCCCACCTGACCAAGTACTCACTATTTGTCTGGTTTGAATCCCTCTCTGATGGATGCTTTATCAGGTGACTGTGACGTCCTTCGCGTACTATTCCATCCACACCCACGCCTCCGCAATTATCACTCCCTTCCTAGTCACCGAGCACCACGTGGGTATCATCTGCCCTCTCCACGTAGACGTGGCCGTCGCTCGCGCCACCTCGAGGAGTACAAGGGCTGCCTGCCCTCACTGCGAAAAGTCCGCATGATGGCAATGCCTAATACCGGCTTGTATGCTCAATACGGGGCCATTGCGTCTGGCAACATAGGCATAGCTTCTGAAGTGAATGGCTGATCAGTAAGTATCCAGAAAGCGTTCCCGGTCCTGTCTGTCTGAAGATCGAGCGATGCTTTATGGCATCGGTTGGTGGTCTCCAAGGCCGGATCCGGCATCATTTAGTTGCCTTGTCTGAGCCAGAGGCTTCTCACTTCTCGTTCTACTTGCACTCATGCATCCGGTGAATAGGTAACAGGCAACTCATGCTTCGAGCTTTCCGATATCCTCCTGGACTTGTTACCACCAGCTGAGACCACAAATGGAGTACAATTCGACTGAGTCCCTTGAACAGCTCGTCTTTGGTAACCTTTTCAATATGGCAGAGTCTTGTTCCATGGCCTCATGCATCTAACGTGACCACGTTAGCGGGAAGACAATCCGGCGGCGGCGAGAGGGTAGAAACGCACGTCGTCGTAGACCGCTCAACACATCGCAGGGAATTTCGAGAGACGTTCAATGTTATGCTGGCGGCGTGGTTGGCGACGATTGCCACGCCGGTGAAAGTAAATGCCTCGTTCATGCATCGTCGGCGGTTGAGGCCTCAGATAAATATCTGGGTAGGTTGGCATTATTGTATTTCGAGGTCCTCGTGGGCTGAAAAAGACGATTTCGCCATGACTACTAATGGTCGTGATAGACTATAAAAGCTGCTAACTACTGAACTAGATCTAGGCAAGATGAATGACACCAGAGTACATACGTACCTACCTACCGCCCAACATACTTATACTCCAACACCCTCAACGGCACATACGCCGCCCCCGTAAACACCAACGCCAACTCATTCGCAATATCACCTCCATCCTTCCCGATCAGCCTCGCCAGCACCCCCACATAGTACGTCTCGACCATGCCCACGATCCAGCCCGCCGCGCCGCACAAAAACGCCGTGAGCCCCGCATACCCGACGGGCATCCTGGACGGCGTATTCCAGGCGTCCAGGTCGTAGTTGGAGACCTTGCCGCCGCGGAACACGTAGTGCTCGAGGAACAGGATCACGAAGAACGAGGTGTTCCAGTATCCGAGCAGCGAGAGGAAGTTCTCCAGCACGTCCAGGAGATGGTCGCGGCCGGCGATGCCGAGGCACAGGATGCAGATGAAGACGAGGGTGGACCAGAACACGCGGGGGACTTTGGCGCAGGGTTTGGCGAAGAGCTGCGCGGAGAGGGCGCCGGAGTAGATGGCGATGCAGTTGACGCCGACTGTTGGGGGTGGGGTTAGTTGTGCAGGAGAGGGAGAGGGAGAGGGAGAGGGCGGATGGTAAGGTTCTACATACTTCCAGATAACACCAATAGCACGAGCAGGAACTTGGCGAATCCGCGCGGGTAGATGATGATCTTTAGGATCTCGCCGATTCCATCATCATACGCGGCAGCCCATTCGGGATTCGTGTCCAACGCCGAGCTAATACACGCACCTAGCAGCATGCCGATGCACGTGGGGATGGTAATGCCCAGCGTCGTATACAGGAAGACCTTCACCTTCGAGATATTCACGGGATACTGCACGTAGAAGTCGGAGACGATGGAACTCCACGACGCACTGGAGCCATACACCACGCTGATGAGACTCAACACGTTGCCGGACCTGGTGAGCCCGAAGACGGTGGCCGGCGCGGCGATATTGGCGCGGTGAGCCGACTCGCCCCAGATGATCATGAAGATAACGAAGAACACGGTCCACGCGTATTGCTCGTACAGGAGTACGCCTTTGAGTCCGACAAAGCTAAACAGGAAGCTGATGCATGCCACGATGATGACCCCGACGACGATGGAGACATGGCCGTCTGAGACGGCGCTCAGGGCCAACCCGCCCGTGATGCAGTTGACCGAGGCCCAGCCCAATTGCTCGATCACGTTCAGAGCGGCGATGATGGACGACGGATAGAAGCCCAGAGAGTACCGGGAGATTGCGACCTGACGGAGACCAGTCTCCGGGCCCATGGTGGCGCACCATCCCTGCGACAGAATGAGTTTGTTTGGCCATAATGCATGAGACTGGAGTAAAGCCAAGTGGGTCATTTTGAATCAAACAACAGAAGAAAAACAGAACGTAACCACAATAACCTAGGGAAAAAAGAATGTAGAGAAGGGGCCAAACAAACCGTCACACAAGCGCCCAAAAACGTTGAGCAAATGACAATGGGAATCGTCTGTCCCAGCGACAACCCAAACTGCTTCCCCAGAAAGCCGGTACTGAAACAACTGATGTTCATCGTGGCAGAGGCCCACATGAACGCCATGGCTAGCGAGTTCGGAGGATGGCGATCATCGGCAGGGACTCTGTCGAGACTGTGTGATTCAATGCCTAGTTTCCGGTCTAGCAGCTCTTCGTAGTATCGAATCCACGAAAAGAACCCCTTCCGGGACCCTGATGAGGACTCTTCCTCGACAGGGGCCAGATTCAGCTTTGCCTGGGGCTTCTTCCCAGCCTCAGCCTCGAGGGCGTGAGCGTCCATGTCCTCTTTTTATTTTTATTTTTTTCCCGGGTCTAGTCGATTAGGGTGAACTGGGGGGACTGGGGGAGGGCGAAGATCATGGCATGAAGGGGGAAGTAGGTTCAAGTCAAGTCCCGTCAAGAGCGACAAGAGCCAAACCAACCCAGCTCCGTAACTTATTACGGAATGGAAAATGGGTTCTGTTAGTCAATGGCAGAGGGAGGTCTGCTAGTGTTATTTGTAGGTGGTTGATTCCCAGTGCGTTGGAACGGAGCCGTCCATCGGGGTTATAACCCTCGTTCCGCTTTATCTTGCAGCGCGTCGGAATCCGCCACCAACGACGGACCATCATTTGTGGGACGGAATGCTCTTATCAGAACGGTTGGGGACTTAGGAGCTTAGTCTCTGCTTCATTAGGCCGCTGTGAGACAGAAGAGGGGGGCCAGAGGCGTGGTACGTCGTGGGTCGTGGTTCTACAGGACGTCTACTCTGTACATGGGATGAATGAATGCGAGGCTGAATGGATAGAAAGCCTATCAGTCCCAAGAGTATGTATAATGTTGGGACCGTATAAACGATTTCCGGTCCATGCAAGTCTGGCAAGATCGATTTTTTTTCTTTTTCTTTTTTCCCGGTGGAAAATGTCCGGTGCAGGCTGCATATCGTGGTTAAGCTTTTGGTCCACTTCGGCCGTTGCTTAGCGTCTCGCCATCCTCCGTGTGGGTCGGGATTGGACCAGCAACCACTGAAGACGGTGATTGAGATTGGGAAGCATGATATGGAATGATCAAGTAGAGGCGTCTCGGTGATAGGAGTTTGTACTTCTATTTGGGAGGATGAAGTAAGAAGTATATCTTTTGATAAGCACCAGCAAAGCTGACAAGCTGATGATATTCCGTTTAAGAAAGAAAAACAAGAGGTAAAAATTCCGAAAAAAAAAGAAATTGACGCGAGTGTGAATTGAACTCATGCCATCTCATTTTCAATAAAATAAGAAATCGATCTGTTTTGGTACAGATGATCTGGGGTGCACGTTGTGACCGACTCGGACATCGGGGCAGCGCATAAGAAAGCAAATACGCAATTTGCCACTATATCGCATGGAGTGAATTCGGCCCCTACCAGTAACTGACAGCTGACAGCGGGTGGCAATGTCATGTTGAACGGAGATAAACCGGTTTGTTTAGAACGGTGTAGCTTGTTTTCTTTCTTTTTCTCAAGACATTCGAGTCAGACATTCGACATCTCAACTATCGTACGCTCTGAAGGTATATGATGGACATCTAAGAGTCTGTCCTGCTACTAGACTGGGTTACTTATTTGTAGCATAGCACAGAGCAATAATCTGATGCTCAATGACCAACGGGGCCAGGATCCCCAGCCAACACTCATGGTGTAACGGTTACTTCAATCAGAAGGACCTAGGAGATGCCACCGAGGCGCACGAGCCGTCAATTCATTCGTCGGACTATGCAGACTGGGATCAATCTCAGCCGCAGACCTGCAAAATAGAGAGGGTTAGCAGAGGTTGACTCGAGGTGTAGTTCTATTATGGGTCCTCTTGGGTCAACGGCGACAACGCTTGGACCGAGCAAACACGATGGAGCTCATCATTACGGAAGATGGTGCCATCCGAAGGGAAAGCAAAGTAAGAGGACCATGAGGTGCAATGGAACGAAGTCGCCGCGAGCGCAGGGACGGGCATCGGAGGAAAGCGTGGAAACGGGGAGAGGCTCGGCACCCGCAGCCCCGGCGACTCCGCCTGTCTGTCCTCTTCTCCTCTCCATCACATCACTTTACCTCGTCCTCTTCAACCGCAGTCCTCCACGCTCTGCATTCGCCTCCTCCCCTCCTCTCTCCTCTCCCTCTTTCTTCTCTTCTCTCTCCCTCCCGCCGTATCCCACTTCTCTCCCCCCTCACTCTCCCCACCTCTCCTCCCCTCTTCTCCTTCTCTGTTTATTTTTGGGGTGCCGTGTCTTTTCTTTTTTCTTTGCTTTTAGCCTGATCGACAGCAATTGCATTTTTACCTACCCATATCTATTTATTCTTCCGTCTTGTTTCTCCTCCACATTCTTCCTCTCCCACTTATTCCTAAGCCCAATTGCCCTGCTATTGGCGCAGTTCTTCATCGGCTGATCGTACGTCGCACTCGTTGAGCAGCGACTACTTGGCAACCCCCGGCGGCTCTTTTTTTTTCTTTCTTGGTATGCCTGCCTGTCTCATTCCCTCCCTCAATGGCAATTGTCTTCCCCGCTAATCAATTGGGACGTCTGTCTCTATATACAGAGCCCCCGTGCTACCCTTCGAACACCCACTCCACCTATCTGGTTTTACGGTCAATCGAACAATGGCTACCGATTTGTCGAACGTCAACGGTGGCGCCCCTAAATCCCGGGCTGCCATGCTCGAGGAACAGCATGCTCGCGACGAGGCACACAAGCCCACCGTCGAAGACGTGCCCGATGAAGATGATCTCCAGCACCCCCCGCCGTCCTCGGTGAAGCCCGAAACTCCGTCGCAGGCACCAGCTCCCGCTGCCGCTCCCGCCGCCCCGAAACCCGCTCCCAAGAAGGCACCCGCATTCGATGTCCAGTCCGAGGAATTGTTCCCTGCCCTGGGAAGCGGTCCCAAGCCTAAGGTTCCGACTGCTTCTGCCTGGGGTGCTAAAGGACCTTCCGCTGCCGCTGTCGCTAACGGTGCCCCCAGCGGTGCGCAAGCAGGTATGTCATTGTTTTCTTCCTTCCACATCCGTTGATATCTTTATCGAAAACCCTCGTTTTCTTGAAGGAAAGGCCACGCTAACGTGTATTGATCCAGCTCCAGGCCTCGATATCCCAAGAATCATGAGTCTCCCCGGAAAGCACATGGAACAGCTGCGTCTGGTTCCGTCCCAGATGCTCCCCCGCGGTCAACTGAAGAAGCCCCTTCGTGATATTCTGCGTGATATTTCCAAGCGGTCTAAGGCCAACGTTGACATGCGCGGCGGACCTGGAGGCTCTATAATCTTTGAGGGTAAGGGTTCAGTGGATGCTGTGAGACAAGCCCTCAAAGAGGTGGCGCAGCAGGTTGGATCTAAGGTATGATGCTTTGTCAAAATTTCCTACTCGATCCGACTACGGGCTAACCAGTACATCTAGCAATCCGTCCGTGTTCCGATCCCCACCTCTGCTCGCCCTCACATCATCGGTCGCCAAGGAACGGTTGTTCAGGACATCCAACAGCGGACCGGCGCGCGCGTGCAAGTCCCCCGTGCCGAGGACCCTGCTGCCGGCGAGGATGATGATGACACCGACACGATCGATGTTCTGATCGAAGGTGACGCCGTTGCTGCCGAAATGGCTCGCCGAGAGATCGAGGCCATCGTGAAGGAGCGAGCTGCCAACATGAGCCTGCGACTCAAGACTATCCCGCCCGAATTCTTCCCCTTCATTGCGGGTGCCCACAACGCCAACCTTCGAAACATCGAGGAGCGTACGAAAGCCCAGGTCCACGTACCTCGCTATGACACCTGGCTTAGTCAGCCTCCACCCCAGGAGGCCGAGCCGGGTCAGGTCCAGTTCGTCCCGGTCCCCGAGAAGAACATTCACATCTCCGGAGAGCGTGCTGCTGTACAGGAAGCCCGTGCTGAAGTTGAGAGACTCGCCGCCGATTTGCAACGCCGATTGGCCCTGCGGCAATTGGCGATCAACCGCGGTCAGCATCAGTTCATCCTTGGCGATAACGCCGATGCGCTGCACGAATTCCTTGCCGACACCGGGTGTGCCATCGTGTTGCCCCCCGCCTCCGACGAGAGCGAATTCCTCACCATCACCGGCCCCCTCGATAGGATCGAAAGTGGAATCAACCGCGCCATGGACCTCGCCACCAGCATGCAGATGGCCAGCATCGACTTGTCTCGTCAGCACCTGAACGCGCCCGCAGGAGCCAGTGCCCACGCTCGTGCTCTCACTCGGTACCTCCGACAGCGGCAAATCATCAAGGAGCTGGAGAGCATGTACGATGCCCGTATCGCGCTTCCCCCAAGCTCTGACGGACCTGTTACCTGGGAGGTGTACTCCAGAGATGGCAAGAACACCATCCGTGCCCGATCAGACATCATGAACCTTGTCCAAGCGCACCCTCCGGCTCGTATCCGTTACATCTCCGTTGACCCTTACTTCCACCCTTATCTGCGCTCGCGCAGCATCGCCAAGTTGCGCAGCGACTACGGCGTGCACCTTCTGGTTCCCGAAGAGATCGACAGCTCTGATGTCGTTCTCGTTTACGAGGGCCCTTCGGCGGCTGCCGCTCAGGCCGAGGTTTCGCGCCAACGCCCCTCCGTGGCCGAAATCACCGCTTTCGAGAAGGCTCTTGAGGAAGCCCAGGCCTACCTTTTGAGCACATTGGGTGACCAGAACGACGTGGTTGCCAAGTCCGTCAATGTCCCCGGCAAATACCAGGATAAGGTGCGCAAGTTCATCGTTCGTGACCAGCAGGCCAAGGGCGAGGACCAGATTCCGATTCGCGCCATTGTCGGTGATACGAAGGCTGCCCGAGACTGCGAGGTTTCTCTGCGCGGTCCTTCCAGCACCGTTGAGGATTTGATCTCCAGCCTGCAAGCGTTCGTTGTGGAGCAGGAGAAGGACGATCTCGAGCGCGGCTACACCACAACTTTTGACTTCCCCCAGAAATATGCCAACTTCCTCATCGGCAAGAAGGGTGAAAACATCAACAAGCTGCGCGATGAGTTCGATGTTGACATTAAGGTGGAAAATGGCAAGGTTGAGGTGAAGGGCCCCAAGGCCAAGGCCGATGCCGCCCGGATTAGAATCATCAACTTGGGCAAGAAGCTGGAAGACGAGACAACTCACATTCTCAAAATTCCTGCCCAATACCACCGCGAACTGATTGGACAGAAGGGCAGCCAGGTCAACCGGCTCCAGGACCGCTATGCTGTCCGCGTCCAGTTCCCCCGGGCTGCCGTTGCCGACGATGAGACCTCCAGCGAGGCTGGCCGCCCCAGCCGTCCCCAACAGGCTGCTGATGAAGTCCTTGTGAAGGGTCCCAGCAAGGGTGCCGACTCGGCTCGCGATGAGATTCTCAGCCTGTTGCAGTGGGTTATCGACCACTCTTTCTCGGCCACCGTTTCCGTAGCCCAGTCTCAGATTCCATCTCTGATCGGTCAGCGTGGCCGAGAGATGGACAAGCTGCGTGCCGATACCGAGGCCCAGATCGACGTCCCCGGCGCCAACGATGCGCCCGACGCCTCGGGTCGCGTTCAGATCAAGATCAAGGGTACCAAGAAGCAGGTCGAGGAAGCCAAGAAAATCCTGCAACAACGCTCCAACCAGTTTGACGCCATTGTGACCAAGACCATCGAAGTCGACAAGAAGCACCACAAGTCCCTTATCGGCGGTGGAGGTAAGTTGATCGAATTCGTCTTGGACCATCCCCCGTGTTCTCACAAATGCTAATTTGGAATCAGGTGCCAACATTCGCAAGATTGTTTCCGATGCTGGCGGACCTACTGACGGCAGCGCTTCTCGTATGGTCAGGTTCCCCCGCCCGGAGAGCAGTGACGCCGCGATCAAACTTGAAGGCGAGGGCCAAATCGTTGACAACATCATCGCTGCCATCCAAGAGTTCGTCAAGGAGCGTGAGGACCAGGTGACTGCCAGCATCGACGTTCCTCAAATCCAGCACCGGCTGCTCATCGGCCGCGGCGGTGACACCCGCCGGGATATCGAATCGAAGTTCAACATCACTCTGGATATTCCCAAGCAAGGCTCCGGACGCACCGAGATCAAGATCAAGGGTCCTAGCAACGCCGTTGGCGAAGCGAAGGAGCACATCCTTGCCATGCTCAAGGACCAACAGGGTGAGACGGTCCAGGTTCCCCGTCACCTTCACCACACCGTCGCCGACAACGGCGCCTTCTTCCGTCGTCTCCGCAACGACTACAAGGTCACCGTCGACCACGCTGGCCAGCAGGTGCCCGCCAAACCCGTCGTCGAGGACTCCCGCGCAGCCGTCAACGGCGGCTCTTCCCTTCCTCTGATCACCGACGAGCCCAGCGAATCCGTCGAGGCTCACTCGTGGAAGGTCGTCGACAACAGCCCCGCTGCTGTCGCCGCCGACCCTACCCAGCCCGCCACCATCCCCTGGGTACTCGCGGGTACCGGCGACAACGTCTCGCGCGCGAAGGCCGCCCTCGAGAAGGCCCTCGCCGCCGCCTCCCAGCAATCCGCCACCGGCTACCTGATCCTCCCCGACCCCAAGACCTACCGCTTCGTCGTCGGCCAGGGTGGCAGCCAGATCAACGCCATCCGGAAACAGACCGGCTGCCGCATCAACGTTCCCAAGGACCAAGCCAAGGGCGAGGCCATCGAGATCAAGGGCGGCAAGGAGAACCTCGAGGAAGCCAAGGATATGATCCTGGAGGCTGTCCGTGCCGGCCTGGAGGGTTCCTCCCGGTAAATGACGAAGTCGGGTGCGAAGGCAAGAAAAGAAGCATTATAATGATTTTTCTTAAAAAAATGGGGGGAAAGTAATTTGACCTCCTTTGCCCTTTTCTCCTATTCTTTTCTTTTTATTTTCATTTTCATTTTCCCTATTTCGATTTTTTATTATATGGCATCGAGGTGGTGATTCCAACCCAACCCGGTTTGCATTTCTTTTTATTTATCTTTTCAAGATCGGCACCTTATCTACTTACCTCTTTACTCTCAAAACTTCTCTTCTCATGTTTGTTTTATTGAGTTTTTTGTTGAATAAAAAAGACTGTTGTATAGCTCTTTCTGTCTCCGTTTACTGCCATTTAGCATCCGAAGCTTGGATATTTTGTGATTTACATAGTCCGTATCATAGGCATATTTAAATCTTTAAAAACGGATCTTGATATTCATAACTAGTTAATGCTGATTTCTCATAGACCATTGATTCTAGACTCGTTTTACCCCGCCGGTCTCACCGGAACTGTCTTCTGTGTGACCATGAGACCCCAAGCACAGTACAAGCTCTACAGACATAAAGACGGACTGACATCGAAAGAAACATCGGTCTATTAGAATTCGGCATGGAAAGAATATGTCGTCAAAAAGTGACTAGAAGGTAGTAGAAACAATAGGGCAGAAAGAAGAAAGGTAGATGGTCATCATGTCCAAAAACGAAATTCTTGGTCTTTCTCTCGAGTATCTTGCGAAAGATCTGACAATAACAGAACAAAATGAACACCATAAATATCTGCAGTGGATATCACCTGACAAAACCCCCGATGTAAGAACGATAACAAAGAATATGGTTTCATATTAAAAAAGGGCTCAAAGGAATCGATCATTCTTAATTCTTCAGATTGATTTTTTTTGGTTTTCTGGTTTTGTTTTCATTTACCGGTCTCGTTTACTGCGTCTCGACACCGGCGGTCTTCTGCAGGTACTGGTAAGCACCGTAGGCGATGGCGCCACCGATCAAGACGAAAGCATAGAGACCGACACCGAGACCGGACGAATCACCGGAGCCGGAGGAAGAAGGCTGGGCTTGGGCCTTGGGAGCGGGGTCGCCGGGCTAGAGAAACACGAGAATTAGAATTATTTTTGTCCGCTGCGCGATCGCAGTTTTTGGAAGGTGGTTGTGAACGTACCATGCGCTTCAGGTCACCGACGTACAGACCATCCAAGATCTCGCGGGCCTCGTCACTGTGTCCGACATCCTCGAAAGCCTCCGTGCTGTCCTGACCGCCGACGTCGAGAAGGACCTCCTCACCACCGCTGAAATTGTCCGTCAGTATGAGCACGACAAAGAATTCCTGGTTTCATTTCTTGACGGTTGTCCCTTGGATAGAACCCATGGATGTGGGAACTAGGGACTCTCAGGTCGGGATAACGTACGGGTGCTCATCGACGAAAGAGGTGCAGTCGTAGACCTTGTCGTGCACGACGAGGTAGAGGTCCTTCTTGGTGTTGTGCTCAGCAACCTCCTGGAAGGTGAGTTCCTTGTTGGCAGACATGATGATCGATTGGGATCCTATAGGAGGACGACAACAGCGGACTCGTTAGCTAAGATTGATGAATAGCGAGTGATTGAATTGATGACGGAGGGGTTGGAAAATAGGATAGAGTGTGAGTGGCCGGGTCAGAGTTTCTGCAAGGAGAAGGATCCGCGGCGCAGAGCCAGTTCCGGATGGTTACACCCTCACGACGGAAAGGACAGCAAGGCAGATAGACGGGAAAAGAGCGGTATTGATGATGACGTTATCATTGTATGGACTTTGCTGAGAAATGGCATGTGTGATATGACAGGCCCAACAGCCAGTCGGGGAATGCGAATCATGCGAACAAGATCGTTTGTTGACTTACCGAGAAAGTAGGGAATAGATTAGGGGAAGGAGATGAAGACCAAGATCGCGGAAGAAGACAGCGACGAAGAAAGGCAGGCAATTGCGACGAACGACGAACGACGAGCGAGAAGAGAAGAGAGAAGCAAGATGGCCGAGGAAGAAGGGAGAGGGAGAAGCGAGAGGAGACGAGAAAAGGGAAGGAGCGACAGGAATTGGATGGATCCAGGAAGTTGGGGGAGATCCGGGCAACGTGATTCGTCGGCGACTCCGCCTGAGGCAGGCCTTCGGACCTGCCGTGAATCCCTTCCGGTTCGACGTCTGGTAGGAACCTCGGGCCTGTCGTTCGGTCTACGCCGTGATCTCCCTTGACTTGTCACTCTCCGATCGTCTTCCCCTCTGCCTGGGAGCCGTTCTGCCTCTGCTGGGGCAATCCGGCTGCCACTGGACGCCAAAGTGGCCTGATAGCGGCGGGCCAATCAGCGGGCGCTTATTATACGGCCTGAGTCAGCGGGTGCCTGAGTCCGCCAGCTGCTCTTTTGGGCGTGTCCAACCGGGCGAGGATAAGATTGCCCCTTTCAGTGAGTTGCTGAGATCGCAATCGCAGTCCCCACTATGTATGCTGACGGCTGGGGAGTCGTGTTGACAATCGGTCTGGAGATACGGAGGATCTGGAGCACACCTTACAGCGTAGGCAGCATAACTATCGATCCGGGACTCCAGAACAGAGCAAGAAAACTCGCATAAACTCGTCTTCCATGCCTCGGTGACACGGCATGTGACTTGATACACGTAGACTAGATCCGTCTACTCATCGTAGATACTCGATCGGGAATGGCGGTTGTGCTGCATAACAGGAATTATGTACTCTCCTACGTACTGTCTGGGCGTCCAACTGCCCCCTCATGTCTCCGGACAGCAGACAAAGGGGTCGCTAACCTCGGGGTCGATCCGTCGGGTAGTGCCTTCGGGATTCACTGCCCGAGTCGGCGGCCAGACTGCCCCGCAGGCGGATTATAATACCTTAACTTGAGGCACCGCTACAGCCATGTGGATCACCGCCCGTCGTTCTCATCCAAACAGGTGCTCGCTCTTTCTCTATCTATATACAGTCATTCGAACTCGCTGGAAATGGCTGGCCATGCTAATATCACAGAATCAAAAATCGTTACATGCTCATGTCACGTGGCGGCGGTCATGCAAAACGAAGCAAAATCAATCAACCATAGCAAATGCAATCCGGGTTCCTTTTCGTTGCCCCCTCAAAATGCCGGCCTCACTTGGCGGGTACTCGCTCATAAAATACAATGTATGCTTGCTCGTTCTGTAGCCGATCCTTATACTGGAGATCTCGAGGATTGAAGTCCGTGACCCGGTGATCATCAAACCGGCGCCAACATTGACGCTGCGCATCGCGAACGAGCGAGATATAATGCCCGCTCCCCATCGACGATCCGATGTGGCGTAGCACGCCGTATGCATCGTACGTAAACGGCGGCACCGTGGCGGAGATCATCTCCGGTCGCCCGGTCGCTTTGGGATCGGAAGGCGGCACCTGGCTCGACCACGCAAAGACGAAATCATCCATCCGAAGTCCGTGAAGAGGAAAATCGATGGGCGTGTGGATTTTCCGGGCACTATGCGTCTTCGAGGCCGAGAACCGCTTGAAATGGACCACCAGGATCTGCGGGGCGCGCGTGATGATAATCTGCTTGGTCGCAACTCGCTCACACTTGCAGTATGGACACTTCCACACCTCATCTCCGCTCAGCAATTCCTCTTGGCAGTAGCTTCGAAGGCACTGGTAAACATCGCCGGTTCCGGATGGAGGAATCTCTACACTAATGCTGTAGAACGCTTCGTAGGTCGTCGAAGTCCGCTGGCAGGTGGTACATCGAAGGCGACTGGCGTGCTGCCCCGCAAAGAGCGAGGAGATAAAAGACTCCTCTCGATGGCAATACCGGTCCCATTCAATGCGAGAAACCTTGGGAACGGGCATTCTCTCCCTTTGCACCTCCTCACTGAATGTCAATGGCCGCAGAGGCGTCCTCTGCCAGTTGATGTTGAGGTCTTCGTGGAGACAATCAACCACAAAGTCAAAGAATTCCTTCGCATCCTGCTGTCGGTCGATGGCCCACTCCTGGTTCAGACGCCCGCAGAAGTTCCGAAAAGATGTTGGCATGATGACCTCCACGTCGTTCTTCCACAGGGATCGGACCAGGTTCGCGAACAGGCTTGGCATGACTCCCTGAGAGCCCTTCCAATTTTTCTGCACATAGAACCGGAACCGATCGTCGATGAAGAACTTACTCAGCATCAGCGTCGCGCTCAGACACTGGATCGTTGAGTTCATATAGCAGGTCACCCCGAAGTTCGTCAATCCGGTCCGAGGGAGTTTGATTCGATTCAACACCGAGTTCGCCGTGTACAGGGCAGTCTTGGTGGCAGAGTTTTGCCGCTCTAGGGTTGGCTGGATCTGCCGACCATCTGAGACACCGCTATAACTTGGACGAGGAACTGCGGGCGGAGGCCGTGACGGAGCGACGGGGACGGGAGCTGCATAGTTAGGGGCTGTCGGGACTGGCTTTCGAGCGTGTGGTGCCACCATGGATTCCTGGACGGTGTGTGGTTCGGGAAAGCGGCGCAGAAAGTCTTCGTAAGTATGCACAAATGGTGAAGGTGGCTGCTCTTCCTGAACCTCGCCTTCCGGTTCCTCGGTCAGCTCGCCCTCCCCAACATACGTGCTAGTATCGATCTCTTCGTTCTTGGACTTTTCCATCCATTCAGTCAACTCCTCGGGATTCAATGGCTTGTATTCGCGAAGCCGCCGCTTCCTCACCTCCAGGCTGGAATTGGCACTTGCGATAGTCGGTTTCCTTCCAAGTGGTCTCCCGGGCTTGTGCCTCGCTTGGATCGATCCCATGGCAATGGCAGTAGTAGATGTGGCAAGGGACTGTTGCCCGAGAAGATCAATCCAAGCGTCGAGACCACCAAGAAGAAGCGCTGGAGGGCGCCCATCCTTCAAGGCCTTGTAAGGATTGAACTCATAAAGAGTGTCATGCAGCGCCCGAAGATGAGGCGCAGTCGTCCCAACAGGCGACCCCGCCAGGTAACTGACAGAACCCGTGTTTTGGTCATAATAGACCACCATGTCGAATTCGTTGCGTCGCTCAAACAAAGACTGTTCATGTTCGGGAGATACTACCAGGCGCTCCTCAAGATCGTCTGCGGATACATTCTCGTTCAGTGCCACCGGTTCGATGCAAATAACGGATTTAGCAAATATATGACCCTCGTCATATTGATCGCGTGACCGTACATCGATCAGCAATATGTTGTAGCGCCGGAGATAGTCTAGCAAATGTTGGGCACTAATGGTGGGAGCGTGTGGAATGTCTGCAGTGCTGCTTCGAGCCTCCTTCACCTGGTGGATGCCGTTCGGGGTCCGCGATCTATAGGGATTGTCGTCAAGTCCGTTTCGGCTAGGGCTTCCGCGAGGCGAGTTGGTGAATTGAGAATATCTCGGGTTAACAGGACGCGAGCTCTCCGTAGAGGTCCTGGGGGGATTAGACGGTGGCTGCGATGGCACCGACCATATGGGACTGTAGGTGGGATCCGGGGCTCGGGGAAGTGACGTATTGAGGGGAAGTTTAGGAGGTAACGTCGGGGCGCCGTGAGGAGCTCCCATGCTGCGAGGCCCCAGAGGGCGTCGCGAAGGTGAGCTCAGCACGGAGCTTTGCTGTGATCGTGGAGGAATGTAGGAGGATGGCCGAGAAGAATTGTTGTCAGTGTTCTCTTGCAGCGGCATAGAAATGGCCCCGTTTTGGCCATTGATGACCGAATCTAGGCCATTAGTGGTAGGAGGAGAAGCTCTCAATTTCGCAAATCTCTGTGCCAGCGCATCCTCTGGCGGACTTGAAAATCTATTCATTTTTGTATCGAGCGACCGCTGGAACTCCGTGGGGCTAGGCATTCGTACTGAATTATCTCCCGAGTCGTTCCGGCGGCCTCTGGGGCTTGAGCTTCGAAAAGTACCCGCAGGTAGTATCTCAGAGACCGGTCTCGGGGAACTGTGTTTGGGTGTACTTGAAGGTTGTACGTTATTGATAAAGTTGTCCTCTAGGATCTGTCGCTTAATGTCATCCATCGTCCCTTGCTTTGTTCGCACAGCCTAGTATTTAGTTAGCGAACCTGAAAGGCCAAATCAAGACTGCAAGGAAAAGAGAGACAGAAAAAAAAATAAATAAAAAGGGAAAGCTGCAACACGAGAGCTCAAATGCCCAGCCGGAAATCATACCATCATTAAATTCGCGAACTGTTTATACCATCCAGGGCGCTGGCTTATGGTGACTCGGTAGTCTGCATGGTGAGGGATAATGTTGACAGTGATCTCGGAGGCACGAAGGTATTGCACGTAGGCCGTGTCTGGCTGATCGTTGTCGGCAAAACTCCTAGCTTGCTGAATTGCCTCCTGGGCTCGACTCAGTAAATCATCCAGCTGGATGGATAGCAGTTAGCAAAACGAAAGAACAGCTCGCCAATTGTGGTCTTGGCCAGGGTAGCCTACCGACGAAGATTCATTCACGTCCAGCGCAGCGGCTTCATCTTGAAGGTCTTTTATGCTAGGGAACCGCGGGGATCGAGCACCATGTGGAGCAGAGGGGCCGTTCTGAAGAGCGCCAGCAGGTCGGCCTTGACCGCCCGAGTACAGCCCGCCGATGGAGTGAGGACGCGGTGTCTTATCCCAGGGGGCGAACTCGGGAGGCGAAGGCAGAGCCGCTGCATTCGAGGACATGATGCAACGACTGGGATGGGAGATGTTTCAACGCATGACCCAGCCAGGTTTCGGAGTGTAGTCGGAGGAGGGATGGTCGCGAGTGCTCGGAGGTGGCTGCGGGACTAAGGACTCGGATGGACAGTCCCCCAAAGGATGGTCGCGAGATGAGAGATCGAAAGAAGCATCAAAGACAAAGCAACCGCATGAGCCAGGGAAGAGGGGAGAAGCGCAGGCAGCCAGATTGCCAGAACAACAATCGGGGATGGACGAGGCGGGATGCAGCGATTCCGGGGAAGGAGAACGACCAAGTATGGGAAAGCCAGTTACGTACCACGGCAGAACCGCTCACCGCCCGCCGCCGATATGACGATGCCTGGGGCCTGGCGGATGAGTCAGCCGCCAAGACGACGAGGTAAGGTATGCCCGGATCTGCCTGGAGAGCTTACGGACCTCGATCTCCTCCCACGGCGTGTTCATCGCTTTCCCCCCATGGTCGACTTGCATATCCTGTGCTCCCCCACATAGACTTTTCTTCCTGCTCTTGGCTGCGCTGGCATTCTTCTTATCTTCTTGCTGCTGTTGGACGCCTCTCATCTCCCACCCCTCTTTCCGCCCGCTACCCAACGTCATAGTGAATCTGTGACTCCGTCAATTGCGCGATCCTGCGATTTGGTCTCCGTCGTCATGGCGGGATGGTTCTCTTCGGCGTCGCCGCTCGATGAGCAGGTCGAGCGGGCGACTGCATCGTCTCTGTATGTCGTTGATGTCCCGACCTCTCCAATTCCGTCCCGTTCGTGATTCTAACAGACCCTGTAGGGAAGACATCGCCCTGAATCTCGAAGTCTCCGACCTGATTCGATCGAAGAGTGTTCAGCCGAAGGAGGCGATGAGGTCGTTAAAACGCCGACTAGAAAATAAGAACCCTAATATACAACTGGCAACGCTCAAGGTTCGCTCCGCAAGGTTCATCCCCTCTTGTCTATCTACGTACTGACCGAACGGTCGCCACTGCAGTTAACGGATACGTGTGTGAAGAATGGCGGTACTCACTTCCTCGCCGAAATTGCCTCTCGCGAATTTATGGATAACCTGGTCTCCTTGTTGAAGACGGAGGGTGCCCCGCTCAACGCCGAAGTGAAAGAGAAAATGCTAGAGCTGATTCAGGACTGGGCGATGGCGGCTCAGGGTCGCATGGATCTAAGTTATGTTGGCATTACATACCAGAAGCTCCAGGAAGAAGGATTCCGGTTCCCGCCTAAGACGAAGATGAGTGGTAGTATGTTGGAGAGTAGTGCGGTAAGCTCTCCTTGAAACGTGCGCCCGTGGCCTCTGCTAATACCATTTGGTGCTACAGCCGCCCGAATGGATAGACTCCGACGTCTGCATGCGATGTCGTACGCCGTTTAGTTTTATGAACCGGAAGCACCACTGCCGAAACTGTGGTAACGTCTTCGACGCTCAGTGTTCTAGCAAGACGCTTCCTCTTCCCCACCTGGGAATATTGCAGCCTGTTCGAGTCGACGATGGATGCTACGCTAAATTGACCGCGAAACCTTTCCCCCCGGCGGCATTGTCGGATCGGTCGGCGTTCAAGAACAACTCTATCACGAAATCCAATGCAATGGAGCCTCGGACGGCACGAGCGGAAAGTGGTTTTGATGATGATCTACGGCGGGCTTTACAAATGAGCTTGGAGGAGGCACAGAATAAAGGATCAGGTGGCTACGTTCCGCAATCTCAAATGGTGGCCCCAGAGCCACCCAAGGCATCCGGGCCTTCGAAGGCCGAGGAGGAGGAGGACGCGGATTTGAAGGCGGCTATTGAGGCCTCCTTGCGCGATATGGAACAGCACAAGCAGAAACATGCGGCCACTCTGAAAAATACGAGAGCCCCGGAAACCCCATCTCAAGGCGCCGCGGTCGCCACCGATCTACCTAAAAATCCATATGAACTTAGTCCTGTTGAGGTCGAAAACATCCACCTCTTCGCAGCACTCGTTGACCGACTGCAACATCAACCACCCGGGACGATCTTGCGCGAGCCCCAAATCCAGGAACTTTACGAGAGCATTGGTGCACTCCGGCCGAAACTGGCGCGGAGCTATGGTGAGACTATGAGCAAACATGGTATGTTTATCTAGTTCCTGGGCTCTTCAGTCTACACTCTATTTTTCATTGACTAACCTTGTGATCCCTAGACACGCTTCTTGATTTACATGCTAAACTATCTACTGTGGTGCGGTATTATGATCGCATGTTGGAGGAACGTCTGTCGAGTGCTTATTCGCAACACTCTCTCGGATTTGGGACCGTCCCTGGTGCTGCTGCGCAATATCCTAACATGTATCCCTCAATGCCTTCGCAGCCGGTCGAAGGTAAAGCGGGGGCTGAGAACTTCTATTATGGGAATCCCGTCGCCGAGAAGCCGCGACCTACGGATTCCCCGTATGCTCCTCAGTATCCATCAGAAAGGGCGAACCATGAAGGGGCCGGACCGCGGAGCGGTGCCATGAGCCCTGGCATGTACCCGCCGCCATCTCAACCTCTGACCCACAGCCAACCGTGGAGTGGCAATGCTCCCGTTGCGTCCCCTCCGCCCCCGAGCTCCAACCCCCCATTCCCTGGCAATCCTGCAGCCTATCCTGGGCCAGGCGCCCCGGCGCAATTCTATGCGCCTCCTGCTCAGCGAGAGCCAGCTTCACATCCATACCAAGCCCCCCGTCAAGGCGACGCGGATGCCTCCTACCAGCCGTCTCCCATCACACGAACCAATTCTCTCTATCAGCAAGCAGGACCCCCCGCTGCTCCCGCTGGTCCTGTCCCAAGCGCACCGGAACAACCTCCTTCAATGGATCAGGTGCCGTCTGCCGCATATATGCAGCTGGCCGAATCGCAAGTCGGGCAGCCTAATGGCCATCATGGGATACAACATGCGCCGCCGGAGCCGCAGAGCCAGTCATATTATTATCCTCAGCAACAACAGCCTGGTCCGCCACCTTCAATGTACCCGCAGAGTAACCCAGCACCCCAAGCTGCTTACCCAGTTGGGGATGTTTCCCCCATTACTGGACACCCTTCCCCCGTGCAATACCATCAGCCGCCACAGCCTCGGCCAGCAGTCGAGGAGAGTCTGATTGAGCTTTAGGCATGGAGGGAACTTGGCTATCTGTTGGCGGTTAATGTTATTCTTCGGTTTTCTGTCTTTCTCTTTTCCTCCGTGGCAATTATGATACCAGATGCTTGGATTGTTTGCAGACTATGAAATTGTACTTACATTCCTTGACGATTTCAATCAAAGCTTGCAATAAAATACCTCCCGTAGAATGCTAGTAGACCATCGAAGATCTTGAGGCGGGCGGAGAAGCCGCCGAGGATCACGGAAAAGATTCCGAGTCTGTTTGCTTGCTCTCTTCTCCGTTTCCACCTCTATTGAACCCGCCAAAAGCACCCCCACGCCCAAGCTCGAGCCCTTTATTATTATGGTCCGCTTATTGCAAACCAATATGCAATCCCTCGTACTAGCACACCCCCGATTTAATCATTCGCCATGCAGTTGACCCGCGACGAAATCGAGAAACACAACAGCAAAGACTCCTGCTGGGTCGCCATCCACGGCTCCGTTTACGATGTAACTGGTGCGTTCGAACTTGTCTTCACCTTCATACATACTCATACTAACTCTTTAGACTTCGTTGACTCCCACCCCGGTGGACCTCATGTCATTCTCCGCTGTGCCGGCAAAGACGCAACCGAGGACTTCGACTCCGTGCACGATCAGGAACTTCTGACACAATCACTACCATCTTCTGCTTTCCGCGGCCACCTCGAACCGGGGTCTCTCAGCAAGTCCAGTAAACCCATCGAGCACGTGCCCGAAATCAAAGAAACCGATCCCTTGCCCCCGCCGCTAGCGACACTGATCAATCTCTACGATTTCGAGTCCCTGGCGCAGAAACATCTGCCGCCGAACGCATGGGCGTATTACTGCTCCGGCGCGGACGACGAGATCAGCAAGCGCCAGAACGCCAAAGCGTATCAGAAAGTGTCGCTTCGGCCGCGCATCCTGCGCAGTATTCGGGCCGTGGACACGAGTACGTCCATTTTGGGCAAGGCGGTCTCGTTGCCGGTGTATATGAGTCCCGTGGGGATTGCGAAGTTGGCGCATCCGAATGGCGAGCGGGCATTGTCTGCCGCGGCTGGTAAGGAAGGGCTGGTCCAGGTGCTGGCGAATGGGTCGAGTTTTCCCATTGAGAGCGTGATGAAGGCTCGGGCGCGGGAGGATCAGGCGCTCTTTGCGCAGCTGTATGTGAATAAGGATATCAAGAAGTCGGAGGACATGGTGCGGAGAGCTGATGCTGCCGGGGCGGGGGCGATATGGGTGACGGTGGATTCGCCGGTGGTTGGGAAGAGGGAGATGGATGAGAGGTTGAATCTGCAGGTCCAGGTGTGTATTATGCTTGGGTGGTAGGTTTGAGTGCAGGGACTGACATGCCTTTAGGCTCGGGATAATCCAGCGACCAAGGGACAAGGCGTTGCCAAAACAATGGCCAGCTCCATCTCCCCGTTCATTGATTGGGATATTCTGACGTGGCTGCGTGGTCTTACTTCGCTGCCTATCGTCATTAAGGGGATTCAGTGCGTTGAGGATGCCGTTCTCGCGTATGAGAAGGGTGTACAAGGCATTGTTCTATCGAACCATGGGGGCCGATCCCAGGACACGTATGTGGACTAGTCTTCGATGCTATGGTCTGTATCACAGCTAACGAGGGCAGGGCACAATCACCACTTCTCACTCTTCTGGAGATCCGTCGCTACGCACCCTACCTTATTGGAAGCAAGATGCAAATCTTCATTGACGGTGGCATTCGCCGAGGCACCGACGTGCTCAAGGCACTTGCACTGGGAGCAACAGCCGTTGGACTAGGCCGACCTTTTCTATATGGACTTGCGAGTGGCTACGGAGAGGAAGGAGTTCGACGAACGATCGAGATCCTCAGACAGGAGATCGAATCCAACATGGTGTTTCTGGGAGTGACTTCTTTGAAAGAATTAGGTCCACATCTACTGAACACGGCACGCCTGGAGAGGAATATGGTTGGGTCCGTGAAGCTGTGATGAGCACTGTTGTAGCTACTATACATAGTTGATGCCAATGCTATTTCTTACCCCCACGCCCTTGAAACGCCCGTAATTTCTGGAAAACCAGTAGCTCTTACGGACGATCAGTCTCTGCACCTGTCATCATCCCACATTCCCCAGGATTCGAACCCCCACGCTCGTCGGCCTTCACCCCGATTCAACCCCGCATTGACGCCTGTCGATCAAGACATCATCGCCGGGGTTATAATTCTGTACCTCATCTTTCCCAAGCTATCCTAGAGGTTTCCCACGACAGTTTAAGCACATTCACTATGAGCGATAAGATTGAGGTCCTACTCTACGGCTTGGGAGCGTATGTACACATGTTCAACAACTTGAGATATCTTCCTAATCGAGCCGATCTACAGCATAGGTTCCTTCTACGCCTTCATTCTCAAGCGGTCTGAGAACGTGCGCCTAACGGTCGTCGCGCGGTCAAATTACGATGCTGTCAAGGCGAATGTATGTTCCACATGGCGTCAAACTGGTCTACTAGCCACCATCAGTATTGACCATGCATGATAGGGCATTCTGATAGAGAGCGAAAACCATGGCCAGCATCGCTTCCATCCCGATAATGGTGAGCTAGATTGGCACATACCTATCTACGATGTTGCTAAAGGACATGATCACAGTGATTAAATCCCCCGACGAAATCACCAACTCCTTCCGCTACGTCGTCTGCGCCCACAAAGCAATCGACCAGGAATCCGTCGCCGCACGACTCAAGCCCGCCATCGATGAGAACACAACCGTGGTGCTCATCCAGAACGGCGTGGGCAACGAGGAAGCCTTCCGGAATCTTTACCCTCAATCATCCATCATAACCTGCGTGGTACGTTTCTGTCCCCGCCACTCTAAGCACCATCACCCCTGCCAGTCAACATCCATCTAATTTGAACCTCACACAAACCAACAGACATGGGTCGGAGCCCGCCAATCCACGCCCGGAACAATCGCGCACACCAAATCCGAAGACATGCAGATCGGGCTCTTCCCCAACGCCGCCCTCTCCTCCGCTCTGGAGCGATCCCGTCTCGACATGTTCGCCACGCTCCTCGAGCATGGCCAAACCAAGTTCCAAGTCCTCGAGGACATGCAGCGCCAACGCTGGGAGAAGGTCGTGTGGAACGCGGCGTGGAATCCCCTGACGACGTTGACGTTGTTGGATACGCAGAGCTGGCTGGGCTCGTCGCCCGACGCTACGCCTCTGACGCACAGACTGATGCGCGAGGTGATTGACGTGGGAAGGAAGTGTGGGGTGGAGTTGGACTACGGGCTCGTTGATCGGTTGATGGACAAGATTAACGCCATGCCGGGCATCGGGAGTAGTATGCAGACGGACTGTCTTAATAAGAGGCCCATGGAGATTGATGTGATACTGGGGTTTCCGGCGAAGAAGGCCAAGGAGTTGGGGGTTGAGACGCCGGTGTTGGATACGATTCAGACGTTGGTGAGGGCAGTGGATGTGAGGTTGAGGGCTGCGTTGTAGTTATTTTGATTTGTATTAGGGTTATATAGGGTGGGTGTGGGTAGACTAGTGAATATATTGGAGCCTATATAAAGACTCTTCGAATTCCATATCTCCTTGTTAGCTTCACGATCTCTAGAGATACCCGCATCAAAGCACCGCTACTACGGAGAACCTCCGAGCCGATCCTACATCTACCATCCCTGTCCCTATACTAGTACTACTATCCAACATCCATCAGTCGCTGTCAACCCCCACGGACAAAATGCGGAGAAACACCCACTTCCCCATGATTCCACTGCCCCCACGCCTCCATACATGCTCCATGCGGGTGACAGCATCAGAGGCAGATCACCGTCTACCAGACATGCCGCTTGGATACATCCCGATAAATTCAGTAATCCGTGATGTGTGTTCATCTCCTTCCATCCCATAATCACCCCCATCGTCATCATCACCAGGAATCAGTACCACAGCCAGAACAATGACCGCTGAAACCGACAGCCCAACGCCAGCTCCAGCTCCAGCCATCGAACAGACACCAGACAAGCATGACACGGCTCATTTTGAAACCGTCCCCGCCGAACCAGGCAAAGTGCACAATGGCGATACCGCGCTGGCTCTCTTCGACAACTTCGATGACCTCGAAGGAGCTATTGATCCGGTCGAGAACAAGCGTCTCGTTCGCAAGATTGATCTCATGATTCTACCGTTTTTGAGCGTTTGCTATGCGTTCTACTATGTGAGTTTTTGTGACGGTCGTCTTGTTATCTTGCTAACTGGCACCAAGATCGATAAAACGACACTTTCGTATGCAGCCATCTTCGGCATCAACGAAGACCTGGGGCTCTCGGGGGAGCAGTATTCATGGTTATCGAGTGTTTTCTACTTCGGGTTCTTGGTATACCATAACCGACTGTATAATTATGGAATTTTCAAGCTAACGTGTCTGATAACAGGTCTGGGCGCTTCCAACCAATTTCCTGATGCAGCAGTTTCCAGTGGGCAAATACCTCGGCATCAATATCTTCCTGTGGGGGTTCTTTCTCATGTTACAAGGTTCGTATACTAGCCCACTCCACCCCTCGACTAGACAATGCACCATACTGAAGTGCACTACTAGCGGTCGCAAAGAACTTTACCCAGCTGGCCGTGCTGCGCGTGATATCCGGCGCCGCAGAAGCATGCAGGTATACATACACCATCCACCCCGACCCAACAAAGCTAACCAACCACCCAACCAACCAAGCGATCCAGCATTCATGCTCATCACCAGCATGTGGTACACCCGCCGCCAACAGCCCATCCGCATCGGCATCTGGTACACCGCCAACGGCGCAGGCATCGCGCTGGGCGGCCTCCTCGGCTACGGCATCGGTCAGATCAAGGGCTCGCTAGCGTCCTGGAAGTACGAGTTCCTGATCATCGGAGCGCTGTGCTCGGCCTGGGGCATTGTAATCATCTTCTTCCTGCCTGACTCCCCCGTGTCGACGCGGTACCTGAGTGACAGCGAAAAGCGTCTCGCTGTCGAGCGCCTGCGCGATAACCAGACCGGCGTCGAGAATAAGACCCTCAAGCTGTCTCAGGTCTGGGAGGCCTTTCTGGATTGGAAGGTCTGGTTCTTTCTCCTGCTGGGGTTCTCCGGGAATATTCCGAACGGGGGGATTTCGAATTTCGGGACTCTGATTATTCAGGGGTTTGGCTTTTCGACTTGTATGTTGCCTATCCTGTCTAACCCGCCCTATATACTCATCAGTATTAACCATGAGAGAAACCTTACAGTGGTAACAGCCCTGATGCAAATCCCCTACGGCACATTCATCGCCATCATGATCCTCATCAGCGTCTGGCTCAACGACCGCCTCCCGCCCAACAACCGCTGCCTCGTGACGATCCTCTTCCTGCTCCCCAACGTGGCAGGCTCCTTCGGACTGTGCTACCTCCCTGAATCGAACCGCATCGGCCGCCTGATCTGCTACTACCTCACGGGCTCCTACAACGCCTCCTTCGTGATCATCCTCTCCATCCTCACGGCCAACATCGCCGGCCACACCAAGAAGGTCGTCACGAACGCGATGATCTTCCTGGGCGTCTGTGCGGGGAATATCGCGGGGCCGTTCTTCTATAAAGGGGACCAGGCGCCGCGGTATCCGTTGGGGATTTGGTCGATGATTGTGGCGAATTTTGTGGAAATTGCGCTGGTGGTGGTGTTGAGGATGGCGCTGGCGTGGGAGAATCGGAGGAGGGATCGGGTGCAGGGGATTTCGGGGGATGGGGATGGGGATGGGGAGGAGGTGCGGAGGGCGGAGATGGCGAGGACGGCGTTTAGTGATTTGACGGATAAGGAGAATTTGAATTTTAGGTATATTTATTAGAGGGTTTTGCTGTCTAGGTATGAGGTATGGTTGGTTTATATGGGAGAGGTGTTGAGTGTGGAATGTTGGGTGAAGAGATCATAACTTGGAATTCTATACTTCCTCTAGAACTATGTATCCATCTACATCACAACAAACAACTTACCACCAGTGGAGCTAAGCCGACCAGCTACCCCATCTCCATCCTGACCCTCCACAGATCGACTTCATTTCTCCACGAATCAAGAAATCCGTGTCCGAGCGTGGGGGGCACCATTCCATCGCATGTTTCTCGCCCGGATTTATCCCGACCCCCACGCGGGGAAACATCCAGAGAATCCTCGGCTGGCCTTATATATGAAGCTTGGGGTAAACAGACCTGGCTCTATATATTATTTTACTCATTGTCTCCTATATTCTCTACCATTTATTACCTATCGCACCAGATAATACCAGAAGAATCAAAATGGCCAAAATAAAATTCATCGAATACTTCCGCGTCAAGCCGCGATGGCTCTTCGTCAAGGTCACCGATGACCAGGGCCGGTTCGGCTGGGGCGAGGGCACGTTAGAAGGCCATACGCAGGCTGTCGAGGGCGCACTGGACGAGATCATTGTGAGGCTTGTGGGCCTGGAGGCAGAGTATGTACCATTTAATTCTGTTTTCTTTTTTCTCGTCTATCGGCATTGCCCCGCGACTGTTCCCATCTTTGCGTGTGATTATGAGTTCATGGGAAGCTGACCTTTTCAGTGACATCGAACACATCTGGCAACTTGTCTGGCGACTAGGCTTCTACCGCGGAGGGCCCGTCTTCATGTCTGCTATCTCAGGTATCGACATCGCATTGTGGGATCTGAAAGGTCGCACGCTGGGCGTGCCGGTGTACCAGCTTCTTGGGGGGAAGGTGCGAAACAAGGTGCAGGTATATGCATGGATTGGAGGTGATCGACCGAGTGATGTCGAGGTGGCAGCGTACGTTCATACCTCTTACCTGCCCACCGACGTTTCTGAGAGCGCTTGTATTTGTTTTTCAATCCAGCAACAAGAGTACACTAACACCGAACAGAAAAGCACGTATCGAGCAGGGCCTTAAATGCATCAAAATGAACGCCACCGAGGACGTGAATTGGCTCGACGGGCCCGCCGTGCTGGACTCGTGCGTTGAGCGCCTCAAGACTGTCAAGTCGCTCGGCCTCGACGCAGGACTAGACTTCCATGGCCGACTGCACAAGCCGATGGCAAAGCAGTTAGCTAAGGCGCTGGAGCCCTATCGGCCACTCTTTATCGAGGAGCCACTGCTCTGCGAGCACCCCGAAGCGCTGAAGCAGCTGTCCGGACTGACTACAATCCCTATCGCTTTCGGGGAGCGGTTGTTCACGCGGTGGGACATGAAACGGTTCCTGGAAGACGGATCGGTGGACGTGCTGCAGCCGGACATTGCGCATGCGGGTGGCATTTCCGAGACGAGGCGCATTGCGTCGTTGGCAGAGACATACGATGTGGCTATTGCGCCGCATTGCCCGTTGGGCCCGATTGCATTGGCAGCGTCGATCCAGGTGGCCGTTTCGACGCCAAATTTTGTCATCCAAGAGATGAGCCTGGGGATGCATTATAATGTTGAAGCGGGGGATATTGACCTGAATAGTTACTTGGTGGATAAGTCGGTGTTTGATATCGCGGAAGGGTTTGTGAAAGCGCCGTCGGGCGTGGGATTGGGAATTGAGATCGACGAAGAACTGGTCAGGGCTATCAGTAAGGAGACAGAACCTTGGCAGCCCAAGGAGTTTTATGGACCTGACGGGGCAATTCGTGAGTGGTGATTTGGCAGGACGAATATCGCAGAGTATCAATATAGACGATTGGGATAGGTGACCGTAACCCTAACTTTTTCGAATAGTTTCAACTTTCAATTTCTATTAAGCTACCCCATGCTTTGTGTACGCCTCCACGCAAACAATGCGGGGGCGTGGGGGTGATGCGGAATAATCTCCGATGGTCTAGCATATGTCATATGCAAAGACAGCTTTACTTATAGCACCATTCTCCCAGATGTATGTCCGTAGAAGGAGTCAAGCACTAAATCACAATGGATCTTTTCTCCCTCTCAGGCAGAACTGCACTCGTTACCGGTGCCACACGCGGCATAGGCCAGCAAATGGCTATCGCCATGACCGAAGCTGGCGCCGACATTGTCCTTGTCCAGGTAAGTTGCTTTCTATAGAGTGTGTCAACGGCACCGTTAACACCTTTGCTACACAGCGAGACACCAGCAACCAGGACACCAAGCAACAAATCGAAGGTCTCGGACGCACCGCAACCATCTACACGGCAGACCTCTCGTCCCGACCTTCCATCTCAGCCCTCGTAGCCTCCGTCCTCAAAGATGGCCATGACATCTCCATCCTGCTCAACTGCGCTGGCATCCAACGACGACACCCGAGTCATCTGTTCCCGGACTCGGACTGGGATGAGGTCCTGCAAGTCAACCTATCGACCGTCTTTACGCTCTGTCGGGACGTCGGTGCCTACATGCTGACTCGCACCCCGGACGTCTCTGGCCACCGCGGTAATATCATCAACATAGGCTCTCTGGTCTCCTTCCAGGGTGGGTTGACGGTCCCCGCCTATGCGGCTGCCAAAGGGGGTGTCGCGCAGTTGACCAAGGCGCTGTCCAACGAGTGGGCAGCCAAGGGAGTCAATGTGAACGCCATCGCGCCGGGATATGTAGCCACAGACATGACATCAGCCTTGATGCAGGATCCGGAACGGTCAGCGGGGATTCTAGGGCGGATTCCGGCGGGCAGATGGGGGAGCCCGGAGGACTTTAAGGGGGTGACGGTGTTTCTGGCGAGTCGGGCCAGTGGGTACGTGACGGGGGAGGTGTTGACGGTGGACGGAGGGTGGATGGGGAGGTGAATTAATATTAATGTCCAGTCATAGTCATAATGTAACTGCAAATGGAAGGCATCCCAAAGCGGAAGGCGCGAACTACTCCAGAAATACCGTAAATTACCAGTGACCGGACGGTATTACCAATCGGTCTGGAATCTTTTCCGCCGAATTCCTCGTCCATCTCCATCTCTCTTCCTCTTCCTCTTCCTTCTTCCTCTCGAGTGTCTGCGGGGACTTCGACTCATCCCTCCTTCTTTCCTTCTCTCCACTCCTTTCTGGCTGACGACCCCCCTCCGCCCTCGGTCTTTTTTCCTTTTCCCTTCCGGTCTCTCTTTCTTTTCTTTTTTTTTCTCCATTCTCCATTTCCTTTCCCCTCTGAGATCAAGCAAGCAATCAATCAATCAATCCACCAATCGTTGCTTTTCTCCCACTCGTCCATTCCATACCTGACACCCGACTCTTCCCGCAGCAGTGACACCCGTGTGGCTGCTTCCATTGCCTGGTCCCCTTGCGTATCCTTTTTCCCCTTCTCTCCCTAGCGTCATGCCGACCTCCAACTCTTCGCCCGTCAAGCGCCCCGGGCTGGGCCGCCGTGCGGTCTCCTCACACGCCGTTGTCACGCGCTCCTCGCAACAACAAAACGACCTGGCCAACTCGCACTCCTCCCACCAGAAACTCCCTCTTCGTCCTCATCGTCCGCACGTCGTCGGTGGTCATCGGAACCATCACCGCAACCCTTCCCACGGCAAGAATCTCGCCAAATTTCAGCGTCATACCTCTCATACCTCGGTTCAACATCTCCCGGAAACTACGACGACGACCGGTCGCTACCACCAACGCAAGAAGTCCGCTCCTGCTACGCCCGCTACCAGCCCCCGTGGTACACATCACGTCCGGTGGGATGGGGTGGTGGATAGTCATCCTACCACGGCTTCGATGAAGAAGAATAACTCCAGCCCCGCTCTTCGACGAAATAACTCCGGCGGTGTTGTCGGCAAGAAGGCCCTGGTGACGTCTCGCCCCAACTCCAGCTCCGGCAAGAAGAAGACAGTAGGTTTCGAGCTGGCGGACTCCGACAACGACGACGGCGACTGGGAGGATACCACTCAGTCGCCAGAGAGCACTCGACGGAGCTCGGTTGCACAGTCCAAGGAGAGCGTGGAGAACACTGCAGTGCTGGTGGATCCTCTTACCTTTGTTAAACGCCCCTACCCACAATTCCCTCGAGCGACCAGCCTTCCGGAGTCAACCAGTAAGAGTTTTGGGGAAGGTCACTCGCCCGACGAAGACGACGACGGCGAAGACTCTGACAGCAAAACAACACGCCCCTCTCAAGATACCGAAGAGCAAGAAGACGCCGCTGGCCGCATACCCGACCACGCCGACATCGCCAATCGTTTGTTGAGCCCGTCTCACTCCGCCAAAGCTCCGCCCGCCATGTCTTCCATCTCCGCCACGGTGAAGCCGACCGCCGTCGACTCCATCTCTCGTAATACTTCTCTAACCAACATCGCGACCGGTCCGGACGGCCTCCGACGCCCTCTCTCATCCTCGAACCCCCCTTTAGCCAATACGCCGGGAACCCCAGCTCAGGCCACCTCGTCTTCGATCGAAGGTGGTGTTTCCAGGTTCATCAAGACCGGTTTTCCCGCCTCGCTCCGCACGGACTCAGACCCCAATACTCCCTCCTCGTTCTTACCTCATTACCACCCGCAAACGCCTCCGTCGCCGAACCGTGCTTCCAGCTCGAGAAGATCCCGAGCGTCTCCCCCGACTCGCCCCCCAGGTACTGAACCACCTTCCCGCACTCAACAGAAGCTATGGCTGCAGCGGACGGCGGCTCTCAACACCTCCCCTCCCGATGCTCATGGCGTCTCCACCACCGTCTCGCCATCTACGATGGACCCGAACTACATTGCTGCGCGCCCAGGTGCCAGTCCGTTTGACCCCGGGCGCGCCCTCGTCAATGGATCTGCTCGATCCGGCGGAGTGGTCCATGACAACGAGACTAAGCACATCCGCAAAGCGTACGAGAAGATGTCGCTGGAGCTGACGGTAGTCCGACGGTTCCAGTCCCCCACGGGAGACAGTTTCCGCCGGCTGAATTTCATCCTCAACGATATGAACGGCGCCAATCTCGGTCATCAGCGACACTCTTCACTTGGTAAACCGATCAAGTCTGCACCCGCCTTGACGCATCTGCAAGACGGTAAGCAGCAGAAGTCCGGTCAGAACAGTCCCAGTCCGGAACCCAGACAACTTGTGGGTCGGCGACAGCCCGCTATACGTACCTCCGTCTCACAAACCTACCTCCAAGATCCCGAGGCGCTGGTAAACGACACCGCCGAGGCGAGCCAATCTGCGAAGTCGCAGCCGCACCCCTCTCACCGCATTCTCTCCACGTCTGACGAAACCGCTCAGAACAATCCTGCGGGCGAAGAAGAGTCCGAAGAAGTGCCACCGCCCTACATGAACGACGAGACCGAAATGATGATCCGTCGCATGTGGGATAGTCGTGAAGTGGCCGAGTCCGGCTAGGTGGTTTCTCTTTTACCTGTACACTACATTGTTGCAAGCCAACGTATTTGATTCTTTTGTTCCTTGTCTTTTCGCTCCTGCGTGTTCCTCTGTTCTAGCAATCCCGGCGTTTCGATACCGCAACCTGCATTTAATTCTTTTGTTTAGCGTACGAGGTCGTTCTGGCGTTATCTTTATTTTCGGTTTTCGGTTCTTTACATTCTTAACTGTCCTTAATTCTCTTCATGGTGCTAATTATGGCAAAATATCGACCATGACCGTTCTGCGCTTTATATTTCTTGGGACCCCCGACAGAACTGTCTCCATCTTATGTTTATTCTGAGGGTCTGGTTCATTGGCTTTATTCCTTTTCGTTCTTTCTCGTCAGATATTTGCTTGCTCTTTACATACCAGTATAGATAGGTACCTACTTCTACCTCTTTTTAATAGTGTAATTAATTAACTTCTTTCTGACTTGATGCGATGAATGAATTTGATCGAACCTGAGCTTTTCTTACATTACTGCAGTACTATACTTGACTTTTTATTCTAGGGAAAATGAACTCAGCCTTGTTCAATTCTATCTATCAACGAAAACTCATTTCAGAACATAATATATCATATCATATCATGGGTGGATTACAAGTCGTGTACATGTAAATAAAAAGAGAGATGTGAATAAATATAATAGGCATGCGTGGTATGTAACAGCGCAGATGAACAAGAATCAAACGGCACAAGAATGTTCGAAATGACAATTACAGATCAGATCTCATGTTGAGGTTGTAGGAGCCGGCTGGCGGTTGTTGCTGTGTCTGTCCGCGCGGTCCTTGCCTCGGCCTCGAGCACCGCCTGCGCCGCCTCTACCACCGCGACGAGGATGGTTGCCGGTCTGAGTGGTAGATTCGGAAGGGTTCCCGTTCGAGGACGATCGGGGCTGGGTATCCCGACGAGGCCCAGAGGGGGGCTTTTGTTTCTGGGAAGATGCGACGGGTTGAGGTGGGCGCGGGAGTTGCTGAGACAAGGCAGAGATGCCGGGGCTGGAGGTTCCTGCGGGGGTCGTAGAGGGGGGAGTAGGAGTAGGTTTTCCGCGTCTCTTGCGCTGTTGTCCTGACGGTCCTTTGCCACGTCCTCCTCGACCACCTCCGCCGCCGCCGCGGGTGTCTCCTTGTTGGGGTGTTGGGGTTTCTTCTGGATCTGGGATGCCTTGGATTCGTCGACTTTCTTTGTCCCACCATTCTTGAAATTGTTGCTCTGCTTGGATATCTTCGAGGTTGTGTTTGGCTGTGGCGGCTTCTCGGATCTCGTCTTTCTCGGTCTGCTGTTGCATCAGGATGGCAGCTAAGGACATTGAACTGGGCGAGTCTGAGTGAAAACTCGTTTTGTATGGTTCGGGGCGTGGGGTGTGTCGAATTGACTGGACGGCAGGCTGAGTATTGACAGATGGGTTTGGAGACGAGGAGACTGGCGCCGCCGAAGGGCCAGAAATTGATGGCCTCGGCTGTGGCGGTCCAGCGCTGGCAGACGCGCTGCGGCTCTGGATCTGAACCGGCGTCGTGGCTGCTGGACTGTCTCTCGGGGTGGGCGGTGTTCCGGCAACCGTTTGGCGAAGTGTCATCGAGGGCTTCTGAGCTAATTTGGCGGCCTCAGAGGATGGGCTTCCCTCACCATTAATACCGGCGAAAGGCGACGGTTTGCTTGGGGTTTTGCTCGGGGTAGGCACTTTCCAAGGATTCTGAGGTGCCTCCTTGGCCTTTTGCTGGGCAGTAAGCATGTCCTGCATTTGCTGCTGTTGGATCTTCTTGCGTTCTTTCTGGGACAGTTTTGGAGCAAAATTGCTACTGCTTTCTCGGCGATCAGACATGCCCAAGCTCAAATTAGACACTCGAGTTTCGGAAGCTTCGCTCATGATATCCTTTAGGTTTTTCTTGGAGGCCGAGAGGTCCGATGAGGTCCAAGCCCCTTGAGAGGATGTTGCTAACGGTATTCCATTCCCTTTATTTTTGGCGGCAGCAGCTCGGTTTTCAGTTGGTGATTCGCCGAGAATTGTATCCTGGGAAGTAGCCATCTGTCCATCCAGGTAATTCTGGTCACCGAATGACTCTGCTTCCACCATCCCAGACCGCGGTGTTGACGGGTTGAAGCCTCGGAAGCCTTCATTCGCATCAGTCTGTCTATTCCCATGCACTGTTGCTTTTCCTTTGACCGCGTCACCAGGCGAGAGTAGACTGTCATCATCCATTTGAAACATGAGGTCGTTGCTCGACTGCTTGGGTCTTAGAGAGGGACTGGGGGAGGCGACAGCCAGGTTGTCTCCAGATTGAGCAGATTTGGCCTTTTGTGCTAATGGTGACTCGGCTGTCTTGTCAAGGTTCACTGCTCGTAACTTGCCCTCGAGTGCTTCGATTCGATTGATATGGGACCTGAGCCTCACAGAATCGATTCGCCGGCGCTTATCGCTTTCTATCTCAGAGACGAGCTCCGGATACTTTTCAAAAACGAATTCTTCGGAGTTGCGCCCCCGAGAAACAGGATAACTGGTCAACTGGTTTTCATGGCAGACATGGTCGAGCGCACGAAGCAAATGCTCGTCAAGGTCCAACAGAGACCTAAGCAATAAGTTAACAATGCAAGTATTGATGAGGTTGCAAGGCAGTAAATCACGTACCTATTTGCTAGCAGATCTTCCAGATTCAAGCAAATGTATTCCAGCGCGGCATCTTTGAACTCAGGGACGTAGCATGGTGCAACAGAGTTAAGGAAATGGCACACGTTGCGCGCATTCACTTATTAATGTCAGCAACTGATACAGAACCAGATCGGCGAATTCAAGGCGATGATCAACCTACCAAATCTACCAAGCATCTTCTGGCATATTTGAGCTAGTCGATCGATCATTAGCTCATTAGCCACAAAGGCAACATCGAGCACTAGGTCGATGAAATCCTCTAGGTCCCTTGTCCGCACTTCGTCGAACATTTCCTCCTCGGTATCAGCATACAGGTACCGAAGAACAAACTCGAAGATGGGCCGTTCAATATGCTTGAGGTCGACATTAATGTTGCCGGTCGAGTTTTCACGGCGTGATGCCAGCCATCTACCACCAGAGCGACCATTGAATAAGGCATCAAAGAATGGACATCTTTGGCAGATAATCTCGCTGTGGACTTTCATGGTGTCACCGTTCAGCTCAACTATCACGTCACTACTCTCGAAAAAGCTTGGGTCGAGTATAGCGAGTGCCATGTCGCTTTTCAAGGATTTAACAGGTTCAATCATAAGCCGGGCGGCTCGCTCCAACGTTGGTAGATCTAACACTGTAGCAATGCGCATTACTTCGATGCGGACTTGACGATATCTGGAGGCGCTTTCGGGTGTATGTCGAGCTTGTTGCCAGGCATCTAACGCAGCGTCCGTGTATGAGAAGAACGCGACATTCAAGACGGTCAGGATATCAATGCCGTGAAATAGAACTTTGGTATGCCCATTGTCATGCTGCACGTCCAAAACATCGGGTATGGAGAAGGAACCTGCAAGCCGAAATTCGTGGAATGCTTTCCTCCAGACCGAACTGCGTCCCGACAGGACAAACTCATGCACAGGTATCTGCACATCCGATCGTGTAGTCTTGAGCCAAACCATCCCTGGCGATGTCTCATATTGCAGTGGTCGGATAACGGCTTCAAGGTCCGATGCCGACATGAGGGCCGCTTTGATAGACATAACGGAGTCTAGGCCTGGAGGACCATCCTCAGTGCTAACAGACCTGGTTTCATCGGTTGCTGACAGTAAAGAGCTAAACGGAGATATCGGCAAGAGATCATTCGACAAAGTGCTCAGGTCAATGTTGATCTGTTCCTTGGTCACGTCGCAGTCGCGTTGGGCTACTACATAAGCACCAAACGCATTGCTGCACACTCCCACGACTCGAGAGAGCCCAGGTATACGCGCGAACTTGTAATCCTTCGATGATCCATCCTTCGCTTTTCGACGTTTTTCTTTTCGCCATGCCGAGCCGTTGGCTGTGCAGATGATGATGGAACCGTCTTGTCCGACATCGACATCCCTAACAGCCAAATGTGCCTTTTTAACAGACCACACTCGAGATGGTTGCGACAGCGAGTTACGGATCTTGGCTGGGTTTGTCGTGGATGTCAAGGCCGATGGGTTCTCCGTTTTGTTCACTTGCACTGTGAAGACATCCCCTGAACTGGACAATGCACAAATCGTATTGCCACCGGATCTGATTTTGGCGATATGGTTGGCTGAAGTATCGTAACGAGTCGCCATGAAACTGTTCTTGATGAAACTGGAGCTGACATCCAAGGGGAAAGAGAGCCGTGAATAACCATACTGCGAAAATACCCAGACTTCATGGTTTTGCAGGAGCACGGCTGTAGCGTGATCGATGGCGGACACGCTTTGAATGACAGCGCTGAACAGCGAGGCACCCACACGGCGAGGGGTTGTTTGGGTTTCGAGCGATCGAGCGTCCGAGTCGACGAGTCCCAGCTGACCCTCATTTTTACCAAATGTGTATAGCCCCGAATGACTGAAGACAACAGAATGGATCGCGGACGCCGCTGCGCCCAGTATGATCTCCTTCTTGAACGGATTGAAGATCTGGCGAGGGGAATCCTGAATCGGCACGTCGTCTTTGTTGTTGGTCCTGGGGAGACCGTAGCCTAGTTGGCCGTATTTGTTGCTTCCCCAACTGAAAACACCCCCATTGTCGGTGATTGCAAGAGAATGATCCTGCCCGAGGGCTATGGCAACAACCTTCCTATTTGCAAGACCGCCGGTCTCTATACAGACAAACCCGAATCTAGTTGACTCGTCACCGGTACCTAACCGTCCTCCCGGTCCGAATCCGCACAAGAAAAGGTTTGACTCCGGGTCATTGGTGAGAATAGCCGTGTGAAGTTTCGACATGGCAATGTCTTGAATTCTGATGGATTTGTTCTTGATCAAGGCGGGCAAATCAGCGTGGTGGTTCTGCTCATGGTGAAATTCAGAGCTGTCGCGATCCAATTTTTTCTTTTGGTAATCCCGATAGAATCGTTGTAGGAGATGCGGTGGACGTGTTAAGGCTATCCTCTCCGGAAACTGGCGATCATCCTGGTCACCGACACCAAGATTCAAGTTCTTGTTGCTTCCAAAGGTAAAAACTTCATCGGCTAGTAGATTTGTTCGGGGTTTCAAAAGACCTCGCCCGATATGGCCTTCATCATCAGAATCGTCAACCTCAGAAGAGGTGGTGGTAGCGACATCGCTCTGGTCCTCGTCTACAAAGATCGAGTCCTGGGCGGCGGGCGACACGGCCTGCTTGATGTCGCGGGATGTAATCGTGGCGCCGTAAACGTCGAAGGGGCTGTTTCCCTCCCGATCCTTGATCTTGATTAAGCCCCCAACATGGGCCGAGGTTCCCTGTTTACTGAAATCCGTTGCGTCGCGCATGTCTCGGGCGATTAACGCCTGGGCGATCGTGACATTCCCCGCGTACAAGGCCCGATGCAGGGCAGTCCACCCACTCTCCCAGTCTTGTACGTATATATCCAGAAACGGCACCTCGAGGAGAGACAGAGCAAACTGGACACTCGAAGATTTTGTAGACGACACCACATGATGGAGGAGAGTCCTGCCATGCTGGTCCCGTGCATTCAATTCCTCCCGAGATAAAGTCTTGCCCGGTCGTGAACTGGCGCCTCGTTCTAGGATGGGAGTACCGGGAGAAGTGCCGGTGAGTTTCTTGCCTTTAGAAGACAGACCGGGGGAGGAACCCGTCAATGTTCCGGATGATCCAATTTTGAACGAAGAAGGACCTCCAGATCCCGGAGTTCGCTGGCCGCCAGACGTGTAGCTGGCGGTCGCCAGGAACCGTTGGAAGTTCTGGACGTCATCGCGCAGGAAAAATTCCCAGAGCTTGCTACTCATGTGCCCAGTATTGTCAGGTGTCAGAATCTCTTATCAACCCAGGACCAGAGCGTCGCGCTAACCACCGGGGGTTCACGGCGCACTGGTAAGAGGACTGCGGGAGATAAGAGTATTCTGACCGAGTGGTGGGGGGAGAGGAGGGACGGGAAGTGACGGTGATCAACGCGTCGCCAGTACCGGAGGACGATGGTCGGAAGTTCCAAGAGTTGGAGTTAGGATGACCGGAGGGAGATGACGCGCAAAGGAAACCAGCGAAACGTGTTCTGAACTCGAATGTGTGGTGGCGATGATGCGTGGCCTAGCTATGTGACTAGTAACGGAGTACGAGGATTATCTCCGAAAATCGACGTCGAACGGCGGGGAAGAGCAGGGTTCGGCAGAAGCGTTCTGTTCGCGCAGTAGAGGCGACAAGTTTGACGCGGGCAGATCCGGGGGAGTGTCCTCTATATAGCGAGAGAGAGGAGAGAGCAAGAGACGATATGATCTCGGTGATTCCCTAGAATGACTGCGGAAGGACTCGACGGCGCCCGTGGATCTGTCCGGTCGGCCGCCAGCCAATCGGTGGCGACGCACCCCTCCATGCCCCCAGACGAGAGGCCGACGTTCGAAGTCGCGAAGTTGGTTCGTCGGGATAGGAGTCGATTCATACGGCATTAGTCGCTTGTGTTTTCCTCTGAAAGTCTGTCTAGGACTCAGTCGAGGGCGTCGGAGGAGATCCAGGAAGCATCACATGATCCGGAGCAATCCCGTGATGGAGAGGCCGCGCCAGTATATATCACGGGAATCATCCCCTATTACGGAGTACAACTAGCACCAATTGACAGCTCATCTAAAGAGTGGCTAAGCACATGAAAGGACGGGGAATTGATTATGTGGGTAGGAATGATTTGGCAGCGGCCGGTGGGAGGCTAGCGTCATTGCAACCAATATGATCGAACTATTTGATTGATGGGGGTTGTGTGCAAAGAGATTGATTGATCTTCGACTACGCTTCCGGTGCAGGCAGTGGAGAGATTATCGGAGGGCGTTCTGGACTCTGAAGATCACCCACTACTTTCCAACTAGCCTCTATGACCGATTCCTTAACTACAGCGTGCTGCGTATGTTGCCATGATTGCCTCATCGCGAGGGATGGAACCCAGAAAGTCCGGACCATGGAATACCCCAGGTAGTATAATGGAAAGCAAACTATACGGGAGAATAAAAATAAAATGAATATGATGGTAGCCATACAAAGGCCGTGGAAGAAGAAGGGAAGAGGCCAGAGGAGAGGAGGAAGGGAGGAAAAAGCAACCACAAGAAAAGGGCTAGATTTCTCCAGCACGCAAAGCAAACAGGAAATCCTCAACTGCCAAACCCCGGAGAGGGAGACAAAGACAAAGGTACAGCTGCAGTACCAGCTGGCGCCAAACAGGAGTGACCAAGTCTCTGACAGTAGGATGAGCTAACTCCGCAGCCCCTACCCCCAGTCCACTACTACGTCGATGTAGGTGCGTGCATAGGCAAAGAGGGATGAATCAAAAGCCTAGACGGGGAAGTCCCTGAAGCGCCCTTCTGCAAGGTCGCTTACTGCGTTGTTATCTTCCGCGACCCGGGAAGTACCTGGTACGGAGTCTGCAGGCGTTGGATGGGTATGATACTCGTCCGTAACTTTGGGGCACAGCATGGAGCAGGATTCTGGATACCTTATCCATGGGGTTATCCACTCCCCACTTGGTTACAGTGAGGCGACCAGTCCCAGCTCCCCGGGCGACGGTCCATCCCAGGTTGTCCCTCCATGATTTCAAGGGGTTGACGCTGGCACACGTTGACGATTTGACAGCCGAAGAATTCTCCTAAATTATTGTTCCGTCTCCAGGGGAGGATGGTCCAAGAGAAAAGCTAAAAGTGGAATCGGTGGCTGAAAACAAAATACAAAGAAAAAAAAAGGAAAGAAAGAAAGAAGAAAAGGGAGGAAAACGGCCGGTAACAAGACCCTGTCATGAATCAGCATCATGCGGGTGGATTGATCGCCCTGGCGCAAGCGGTAACTTTTTTTTTCTTTTCTTGTCATTTCTTTTTTCAGAGCTATCAAGTATCGACCAGTGATTGTCACTGCCCCGTACGAACCCAGAATGAGTCAGGACCTTGTTCTGTACGATGTAAATGGGTAAATCGGTAATGATCGATACCTGCAGTACTGCGTACATAACAGACCCCGTGCCAGTTGTCCGTGCCTTATCCATAGGGACTCTTACCGCCTGACCGGCTCTTATCGCCCGGAATCTGGCACGAGAACGTGACGATACCGTGCGAGCAGGTGCACTTGGAGGCCGACCCGGACATCCCAGATCATGACTCAATATGCTGTCATCGAGGCCACGATGGCCGTCCACACCTACTGCGAGGTCTCTCACCTCCAAGGTCCGTGGAGAGCATGGCGGTACCTGGTGCTAGGCGGACTAAAGCGCACGCTAGAGACGGTAATACCGGACAATACGGACTACTGCAGGTGCCGCAGCCTTTACCGCCTTCGACGATGCCCCGATTGATGGACGAGAACGAAGCATTATCCCTTGCCGTGGGTTACCAGAGAGATCTCGCGCTTGAATTTATCGAATTTGCGGATGTATTGAATTTTATTTCATTTATTTTGGATTTTGGCTTTTCTCGTCGGCCAGCAACGAGCCCCCTTATCATTCCCGGCCAGTGGCACACTTTGTCAGCCTGACCGCTTGCACACGAACCGTCGAGTCACCGGGTGTGCGTCACAGACCGGCTTGCCCCCGGACTAACTCTCGTCCTCCTGTTTCATCGTCCCTTTCTTTCTTCCTCCTACTCCCCCCAAGAACTTATCTTGCCTCCTTATCTTTTTTTTTCTTTGATCGGGCATTGTTCATTGTCATCATGAACCCTTAAATTTTGCCTCCTCTCACACCGTGAGGACGCTACCCCCCGACGACTGGTTCCCGCCTAGTCGTCAATGCGGAGAAGCTCGCAAGGTTGTCTAGACCGCATGCTCTCCGACTGCTCCAGCATCCTGTTGCCTGAGCTCTTCGGCGTCTCCCTTCGATCTTCCTGTGTATGCCTGTTATCTAGGGCTCTCTAGATAAACCCGCCTGTGCCTCTGTTCCCTTATCGCCCTTCCCCACGCTTTCTGGTTCGTTAGTATGGACCGCGGCAGCGCTTTCGTCGCTTCTCCATTTCCTTCCTGATTGAGAGATCCGTTGCGTGATAGCCTGGGCTCGGTGTCGTCACCACCACACCACAAAGGGACTTTTCTAAATTTCAGCCTCGCTGGCACTTTTTGCAGACCGACTATGCATCAACACCCACGGTCGCCGGCGCCCCAGGCGCCCACCTCGAGCAGGTCGAGCTTATCTCGTTCTGCCGATCGCAGAGACTCCGATCTCCGCCCGAATTCTCCCACGGCCGATGTGCGCATACAACATAGCAGAGGCTTGGGCATCGAGACGGAGCCTGCCTCCGAGCAGTCGCAGAATACGCCGCCCGGGAAAGAGGCGTTGGCAAAACTCAATCAGATTATCTCGGTATGACCCGGGTTTGGACCTCTCGATGGGTAGTTGGCTGATGACTCTCTCTTCTTTCTCTCTGCAGAACTATCACACCAAAGCCGCTCTAATTATACTAAACTCCCGTGTTGAGCTTCCTGCGTCGTTTGTCAAGGGCTCCGACACTCCGAAAGTGAATCGCTGGGTATGTGCTCCATGCCCCCAAGCTGCGTTCTGGATGGTTATCTTTTCCATCCGCTCGGAAACAATGACTTCCTTCCCATTCCGCAGAGAACTGACGTCGATTTTATTTTCTAGTTCAATGTCGAGCTGGAGGACACGGACGCTCTCCGGGAACAATTGCGGACATGGCGGATGTGCGATGCGACCGAGAATCGACCCCCTCCTTTGATCATCGAAACCTACCTGGATACGGCTGGACTCACAAATAACCAGAGTCTCGTGGCATTAGATGAGAATGGGAAGCGATGGGACGTGCTTGAATCCCTCGCCACGTCACGAGAGGCACAGCCCGTTCGACCTCCCTCATCCAAATCCGATGATGTCATCTTGGAGCGATGGAGGATTGAGCTGGGCGATACGTCCAGTCGGCTCCCAACTGATCTTGCCTCTATTCTACCCACGATATACAAGAAGAGCATCGTGCTCTTCAGATCCCTATATGCGTATTCGAAGCTTTTGCCCGCCTGGAAATTTACTAAGCGTAACGGGAGATTACGTGCCAACCCGGCTCTGCGCATCAAATATAGAGTCCTCAGCGGACAAGCTTCTCAGGAGACCCCCAAGCCTGATCATCTGACCATCCCGTTGTACGAAGGAAGCAACAAGGTGGTGGATACTTATAGCTTTGGAGTCACGGAATCGCCTGCCGGCCCATTTTCTGTGCAAGTCACCTACCGAACCAGCTGTGAATTTAGAGTGGACGATGCGGAAGCACTGCTAAGCTCACGTTTCATGGGAGCCGACGATGAAATCTTCCGCCCTTCGTTACCAGACAAAGCGTTGCACACCAAGGGCCTCAACGCTGAGATCGGGTCAGTCCCGCTAGAGAAGAGGACCGTCGAGGATCCCGACCCAAGCCGGGCGTACGGCAGCCTGTCAACTTTCCATCAAGTCGGACCTACGACAAGTGCAAGCCCGATTTCCGCTCTCCGGGCTGCGAGGCATTCGGGCGCCTCGTCCCCTTCCCCGCCTGGTTCTTCTTCTCGCCGGCCTCTGTCAATGGCCAAAGCCAGCCCTGCAGGCCGTGCTGCTGTCCTCGCCGGAGAAGGCAGTCCCGCAGTTGGCAGACGGCCGTCCATCTCATTCCAACCGTTTAAAGCTCCACCGCTATCGGCCTCTCCGTCGTTGGTCGACCCTCCTCTTGGTGCTTCTCCTCGCTCGGCACCAGGGTCTCGGAATATGCCTCCCCCATCGATGGCCGCGTCGGCACGCAAATCCCTTACCGCGGCCCCCGACAATGCGATCGCATCCTCTAACTCTGCCTCTCCACGGCCAGCTCCGATCTCGAGGTATAGTAGCGCTTTCAGTCACCGTCGGGGTAGACCTTCTTCCGGCGGTATCAAAGTGGACGATGATACCTCGAGTGGCAAAGCCAGTGCGACGTCTTCTGCCCAACCTGGCTCTGGTTTACTCGCAGAAGCAACGGGCACGAGCGCGGAATCCATCCACGCAGACGACGAGAACATCTCTGAGTTCTTGAAAATGCTCGATTTGAAAAAGGATCTATTAAATCCTTCGAATCCCACGAATCTGGACGCTGCTGCGCGTAGAACCACTGCCACCAGTGCTGCTCTGACTCGGTTCCAGCGAATGAGAGATTCTAATGCCGCTCTTTCAGACTCAATGTCGTCTTCCTTGCTTTTGCAGCGCTCGTCCAATTCCTCGAGTAAGCAGCTCTCGGGTGTCCCCCCTATGGTGGCCGGTACATCCATCTCCACGGCATCCTCACCCGGCAAACCAATCTCGCCTCATACACCTCATACGCCGGCCATCCCGTCCCGCCTCAGCTCCAACAGCATTGTTGATTATAATGACCCCAGCAACAATGGACAACATGACACGTCTCTCGACGAGAACAGTGATGGGACGGAGCGTACGCCATCGGCCGTGAACGCAATCGATATTCCCACGTCGCCGCGAGTCTTTCCTCCCGTCTACCGCCGCTCTAGCTCTGCCGCACACCGCCGCCGTACTGTTGCCGTTGACGATGATGAGATTTTCCCTTTTAACATGCGAAGCGTGAGCTTGGGCGCTGAAGAGAGATCTAACCTTAGCTTGAGCGCATTGCATCGGCAACATGAGTATGAGAGCAATGAAGCCAATGTGGACCAACCGCAGAGGCAGCTACGTCCTACATCGTTGAGCGATGACCCGACGGGGCCTGCGACCTCCGCAGCACACGATGCAGCCCAGCATAGAAGGGCAGTAGCCCCCGATGCGACGGCGGCATCTACATCATCATCGCACCACCACGTGTATCAACCACGCTTCGGCAGTCATCGTGGTCGAGGGTATTCCGGAGGTCCTCAGTCGCTCAGCTCGGGCTCAAGCAGTCTCGCACGTGGAAACATGATCTCGCCGTATGCTGCAGACCGGGACAACGACCGCGAAGGTACCGGAAGCGGTAGCAATAGTGGCACATCTGCGCTGGAGGAACGCCGCGGAGCTGGGCGACGGCCCAGTGCTGGCCGTGGCGGTCCTTCCCAGACAGCGGAAGAGGACGAGCCCTTGTTATTTGCGATGAGTGATTTTGGCGTATCCCGACGAAGCTTCGAAGAGGGCCGACATGGCAATCACACCGCCGATGCTGGTGGGAACTCCAGCACATCTCGACGAGGCAGCCGGCGAGGAGGACTATCAGGATTTACCATCTGGTAGAAGATCTCACGCCAAGTTCTGAATGTGAATTTGCATTTTCGAAGCCGCCTTTCTCTCTCTCTATTCTTACCTCCTTCATTCATATTCTCCCTCCCCAAATCTTCCTTACATTGTTCTTGGCATTTGAACAGGATTCAGCTTACTGCCACATATCACTTTCTTCTTATATCATGTTTTTGATTCCCTTTTTTTGTTATTCATTCCTCGTGCCATTTAAGCCAGGGCGGCTGTTCTTATAGACTGACATGCACATGCGAGCAACACGACGACGAAACCAGGTTTGGAGAATAGAAATGGCACGGAGGCTTTGTTTTTGGCTGTTCCAAAATCTTTTCCATTGGGCATCTTGCGTTTTTTGGAGTCAACTAACGGCCCCCCTTTTTTTTGTCTTAGATTCTTGTGAAATGTTTTTTGTTTTTCTTTTTCCTTCTTCTTTTACCTGTGCATTTTTGGTATGTACTTACAGCAAGCCTACGACTACGATCTGATTTCTATCACTGATGATGCTTTATTAATGGACCGGGAGTTGGATTGGTTTTTCTTTTCATCTTGATCTATAGCCAGAGACATTGACACAATTTGAAAAATTTGGTCAACTTCCTTCCCGTCCAGGAGTCGTATACTAGAATAGTAAACCGTTTAGTTGGTTGGAGATGTATGAGTATGAACTTTTAAGGCGTAATGCAATTCTTTTGGTTCTAGGTCATATATACAGTACATTATACACAGGGTCTAGCTTTCATTTCGTCTATCATTCGTTCCTTTGCCTCTTCTTGTCCATAGAATTGGTTCGCTTCGTGGGGGTCGTTCTGGTTCTGAAACTCAGAGTAGGATGCTATCCATGCGACTACTGAGGGCGGAACGCGTTTCAGTGGCGAGTGAAACACTGACACTGAATGGTCCGCATGATGGACGTTTAAGACCAAGGGCGTGGCACAAAGATACGCAAGAAGCGGTCAGCGACTCTTACAAAGGTAAAGAGCGTTGCAGATAGCCCTGTCCGGTCCATGCGAGTCCGTGACGCAACTGGGAACGATGACTGTGACGAGAATTCGCTAGGTTTCCCTCTGATTTTCATGTTTTCGTTAAGCAGCACCTTGCTTATTTTTTCTTCTTCAAGAGCAGGGGTATCGAATGGAACAAAGCTTCGCGTAAATCCCGACAAATCACATTTTCCGGAACGTGTTTCCTGAAGCGCTTCGTCGCTCCTTTGCCTTGAAGCTGGTCTTGTCGAATTGTGGTTCCGGGGCTCGTTTGGACGCCACATGCGGCTGGAAGGTCACTTCTCTCTCGCCGACCACGCCGCCGCCACGGCGCGCAGGCTTCTGCTTGCCGCGCATATTCTGGGCCCGAGAGCCGAATGAACGATCGCGCGAAGAATTGGCGCCGCTGGAGGAGGAAACCTGCATGCGGGGCTGGGCCGGGGCACGGTTGGTGCGTTTGTAGGAAGAGGTGGAGATCTTGTTGGAGGGCTTTTCTTGGGCAGGTCGTTGCTCGCTGTCGGAGTCCGAATCGTCGGAGCTCGAACCGGGCACATCGTCGATCGCTTCCTGTTCCACAGCAGTGAGGCCTCGCTCCTTTCGGGTAGACTGGTCGGGAACGGTGCTGGGGTTGAGAAGCTGGAATTCACGCGAGGTTTCATCGATGGCAAAGTCTTCGTCCTCGAACAGTTGGGTGAAACGGCTGTCGCCAAGCAGACCCTTCTGTTCGGGCTCTGGTTTGTCGGTTGTCGCAGGGGCATCGACCATGTCTTCGTCACCGCCACGATCAAGCACGCGCTGGGCCTTCTTGCGCTCGTTCTTGTCTTCGATAGCCATGAGTTTCTCGGCCAGGTTCTTGTTGACCTTGACGGCCGCCTTCTTCTTGCCGCGGATTCTGCTCTCACGCTCCTGGTCAATTCTCTCCTTGACTCTCTTGGCACGCTGTTCTTCCCAAATGTACGGGTTGGTGATCAGACGAGCCTCCTCATACAAGCGCTGAGCCACAAAGTAACCGTGCATGTAAGGACGCAAAAGATTGGTCCTGCCAATCAAATGCTCCAGGTTCAGAGTCTTCAGCTGAGGAACAGTCAAGAACTTGTAGTTGTCGTAAACGGATCCAGACTGGCCGGTGCTGAAAGAGTTAGGATCGTTGGGATCTTCAGCCATCTCCTCCACGAGGTTATCCAAGAACGAGCACCATCTGGGCGCGGGTCCAAGCTGGGGGATGAAGAATGCGTGCTGCTGTCGTCCTTCGTTGGCAGTCAGAATCATTCCGCTGTCCTTGCACCAGGCAACGGAGTTCATGTCAACAGCAGGCTCCACAGACGTCCAGGGAGTGCCATCCCGAGGGTCCCAAAGCTTGATAATCTTCTTGTCTGCCGAGAGAATCTTGGGTTCCATGGTCTGCTCGCGAGTGGATGTTGAAGGCTGGAGGAACTTGAGGGTGTGAATCGGGAAGCCGTATCCTTGATCCTTCTTCAGAAGAGGAACAGGGGATCGAAGATCGTAGAGATGGATAAGGCCGTTGGAAGAGCCAGTTCCCAGAGTCAAACCCGAGCGCTGGAACTCCAGTGCTGTAATCTCGGCCCGCAGATCATCGGCCGCCGACTGTGTGGGCGGTAGTAAGATTCCTGCTCTGCCCTTGGCTCTGGGATCCCATAGCTCCACGGTTCCTAGCGTGGTACCGAACGCCAGAAGACCGTGACTATCCTCGGCGATGGCTCCCGTATTGACCGCACCCGTGTTGATACCACCCTGCAGGGCTCCTCCGCCGGCCGAAGTGAAATCGTCACCACCAACATCAACTTCGAAACTCCGCATGTAGCGACCCATTTCAAGGTTGAGTCGGAAGACCTCACCCATTCCATCCTGGTTAACACCAACAGAGGGCACCATCGCATCCGTAGAAAATCGGTCGTATATCAGATCACGGCCGTATCTGGGAAGTCTCGTGGTGTAATGGCACCCCGAGGGTGTGTGGAACTGAAGGGAGCGGTCGGATTGCAGGTGAAGAGATTTCGAATAGTCGGAAGAGAGTAGGATGAAGGTTGTGTTTAGGGCATCCGTATGACGAGCCCATGAAAGCGACAGCTGCGGAAGGTAATGGGTATGGATTTGAGGCTTATAGGTTCCTGATTTAGAAAAACGATTCTGTCAGTCGCAAGATTTCGAAAACAGATACAAGCGAATGCTTGAGGCTGAGACGGCTCACCTGTACTCATGACCCATTCGCCATCCTCACTGACTCGAATACATTGACTGGCCTCTTCGAACTCGAAATCTTGAAGCAGCTCGACTCGATTCGCATACTCCGGGTCATTTTTCAAACTGCGCTTGCGTCGTCTGGCAAGCCACTCAGGAAGTGGACGAGCAGTATTGGAGCCGGAGATGGTGTAGACCGGCACCTCGGACTGGTTGGAAAGCTTCATGACGGCGCTGATGCAATTCCTGGAGTCGCGACGATCCAGAGCAAGTCCGAGTAAAAGACGAATAAAAAAAAAAAGTTATCGATAGGACACACGTGACCCGGTGGGCGTGACCGGGCGCTGATTGGCCGACGCGGGCCGAACCAACCTCCGTTTGGGTTTCGATGGCCATCGGCAAGTCTGCGATTCAACAACATTCCCTTGGAGATGTTATATCCATCATCCTTAATGATTTATCCTTCTCGAGCGGCCATGATCGCTTGGTCTTGACACTTGTATTAGTTTGATTCTTCCCGGTACTCCCGAGCTACATGATTACGGCGATCGCGATGACGCCGAGAAGCTGACCAATCTGCTGACCTCGATAAGTTCCATGGGCTATATGGGTACTTAGTTGCTGCTTGTTGGGATATGGTTGCCTGTCCAGACATTCCTGGAGATGAATCCGCTCTCAGAGTATAAACTTGTCCTCGCGATCTTTAAGAACTGCCCCGTCCTCCCTGGGGGCCAGAGTTAATTAAATCATGGACTTCCCCGGAGGGTCCATCACAAACATACGCGTTATTGTACGTAAATCCGATGTCGCATCTCCGCGGTAATCTCTAATGTGGCGTGCCAGGATGGATTCTCCAATATATATTGGAGAATATATACGGAAGAGCCCAATATAACGAATCTGCCGGGCGAGGCGCCTGCCAATGGTTACACTATCCTTAAGCATCTCAGCCGCCTAAAAGATCTCGAACTTCGACTGCGGAATCTGGATTGCTTGGTGTCAAGCTATCCGAGGCGGCTAGGTCTATGGGTATTTTCCGCGACTCCGGATTTCGAGGGTCTGGGCCCACTCTGTTCGCACGGAGTGAAAGACGAACAGAGTCGGCTTGTCGTTGGCGCATCGACGTTGAAAGGTTCGCCATTCCCCGCAATGACACATATGCCGTGGTTCCGATATGCGATATGTACTGACATCGTGGCCTCAGTTTCTGCGTCTGGCAACATTACCTCGTGGGATATTGTCAAGAACCTTTCCAGTGACCCCCAAAATGCAAGTGGGAACCCAGCTGGGCCACAACGCCAACAAAATACGGCTGGGACACCTACTCGGCGCATGGATGGATACAGCAGCTCTGCCACTATCTACGCCTCATTCATATCGGCTGTTACTGGTGCACTCAACCTCCAGTTAATCCGACGCAACAAAGTCATTCCTCTTGGATCGCGTAGTCTTTTCACTAATGTCGATAGAGAGTGTTACGAAAACCTCAAGACCACCAACAATGATCCTTCTTCATTTTCTGCCCTCACTACACTGCAAGTTCAATTGACTTCCGCCGGAAAGTTAACCGTCACTTTGCAAACAATCTCACAGCCCGGCATCCTGCGACTACACCAACCTGGGGACCATCTCACCGCTCTGCAAAACGTACCCTCGGGTGTAGATGTTTGGTTGTCTCCTAGCGGATCAGTTGCGAGACTCGTAACAACAAACCCTGGCCCGACAGATGCATTCTCCCCTTACCCATCCGGTGAAGGCGTTGCTATCGATGGTAACGATACTGCCCAGCGCAAGCAATGGAAGCTCACTGTTCTAGAGTGGCTCAAGAATTTCGGGCTCGCGGTTGATTCGGTCGAGGAAACTACCTGGGTGGAGGTAGAAGTTTGGGAACCGTTCTATTCTCGATTGGCTGGGGAGACTTTGCGCCCAAAGGAGGAGAACACGTTTTCGCTCCCTTTGAAGCGGATCTTATGGCCTGCGGTGTTTTGCTTTAGAAGGGCAAGGTCTGCCACCTCCGAGCCAGTGCAAACTGATTCTCCTATGTCGGAGGATCCTTTGGACTTTGCGCAGAAATGGCGCGCAACCGATATACCCGAAAATAGCGACGCAAATCCTAAACTACCTCCCAACCAACAAGAACCGCGCGCAAAAGACCAAGATATGCCTTTGGCGGGCTCTGCTGACCTCCCAGAGGGGTTCGAAAGCCTCTCTCGTGCCTCTCAGTATCCCGAGCTTCAAACTGCGAGTCTTGTATATCCGACGCCCCCGGATGGGGCGGTCGGAATGGGATTGAACAGCGCCGCTCCCCCCTCAGACGGCCTTGTTGACGATGCAGATTTCGCACTATCTTTTGCACAGAGTCACGGCAAACAAAGGGTTCAAGATCACTTATCTGCTAAGGATCGCTCAGATGTGGATGTGCAAATGGATTTTGGTCCGTCAGCTGGTCTCATGGTCGGGTCCGGGTTATACGACACCAACGACGATGACGATCTGTTCGGGGACATGAACGTGAAAGATTTCGGATCCAAAGGAATTACCGACGCTGATTTTAGCTTTTTTGACGACCATGATTTTGATCGTATGGGTGGTGGTGCACAGCATGTTGTCGAAGACATGCCCGATATGATGGATTCGAGCGGGCCGGAAATGCAGTCTGCTCCTGTTGAAACCATTACACCAGAAGTTTCTGTACCGCAGAAGACGCCAATAGAGCACGCATCTCTCCCTGATATGAGTCCCTTGCAAGAGGATACACCAAAGTCCACGCAGCAAGAGATCCCAGTTCATGACACCCCGGTGGACCCATCTTCGCCCGATGAGAACAACCAAACAATTAGCCCCCCTCTAAGTCCAGTGGAAATCAAGAAGATACTCTTACCTGGACCGAACGGGAAGGACCAGACTCCTCCCGGGCATCTCCAAGGACAAAGTTATTACAACCCCGTCACTTTCAAACGAAACGTGTCAAATTGGGATCAGAAGTATGGTGCAGCTGGGAAATTCTGGTTTACAGCTACAGATGCAGGAGCCACCAGGGAACCCACCAACTCTATGGGTGACATCCCGACCATTGGAATACCTCGGCGCAACAGAAAATTCTCGGCTGCGGAAGGCATTTCTAAAGCATTTGATGGCCAAGCAAGCCCGCCGAGTGATGAAGGCGCCGAGCCATGGCAGGACTCCGATTCCAGTAGTGAATCAAGTGACGAAAGCGACAGCGCTGTCTCGGAAAGGGGTGCGTCCCCGGCTACTTTTTCAACCCGCAAAAGAAAGCGTGCTCGCTCTAATTCTAGTAGCTTGGCTGCCCAGGTGAAGTCGCTAGAAGAGCCTGACCAAGAATCGTCCGTTCCCACAGCAGGACAGTCGATTTTTCTCGGGAACTTTCTGTCCACATTCTCCGACTGGTCAATGACAGGCTATTTCTCGTTCCCCGAAAACCAAGTTCTTCCCGTGCTCGCTCGCAAAGATCTACAGGTTCAAGTAGCCCAGATACTAGCGGACCAGGTTACGCAATCATCTTTAGATCATAAACTCGATGGGCGCGGCGGAATTTCCGATCTTGATGACGGAGCATATTCAATTCGGACTTTTCTTGAGGACACTGAGTTTATGGATGGCATGGAAAGGCTCGATTTAAACGGTTTTATTTCTTTGCAGGATAACAACCAATCGTCTCCGCCAGTCAATAGTGCCAATTCTCGTCAGGCCTTGCAACGTAAGGAGACAGGGAAGGGCTCAATGTCAAAACTATCTCCGCCCCACGTGCGCGTCCGCCGAGGCAAAGAGTTTTTGGAAACCTTGCCTCCTGCAGTCTCATTCTGGGAAACCTTCGGCTTAGAACCCGCTTTTGGGCCTAAGGATATTGCAGCCTATTGTATCTGTCCGCAAAATACGACGGAGGCAGCCGATGCATTCTTAGAACGGATCGGCTTACTTTACGCGGGCTGTAACCTCGGTGTACATGCCCGAGGAGACAAATCTAATGGATTGGATCAAACATTAGGATCATGGAACATTGAATCATTGGATTACCTCTCCGCGATGCAGTCTTTGAAAGTGATTTGTGAAGCCCTGGGTAAGTCACATCGCCCAGATTCTTTCTTTCCTATTTACAAAACCAGTGCACTAACAATTTCTAGGGACTGCTCTTCAAAATGTTCCGCCTAGCAAGGACAACATCGTTATTTACATGATCAACCCATTCACTCATGCTGCTGCAATGGTGGATTTGTGCTCTGCTTTCTGGGCCCTGTTCCAGAAATATGCAGCTGATTCCGAGAAGCAACAAACTCGTGTCTTCAACGAAGTGGTGCTGCAGATTGTTCCCATAGACTTTATTTCATCTACCGAATCCTTGGTCGTTCCTCCACAGGTTGAGTATTTGAGCTTGGCTTTGGAAGTATACAGCCGATGTCCCCCGAAGAATGCCCAGCCAAGTCTTGTTAACTGCGCACCTCCCATGCTTCTGGCGGAGCCTCTCCCAAGGAGTCTCAATTTCAGACTCGCTTCTGAAAAGCCCTCGCCCCTTCAGGAAGGCAAATGCCTCCACGTTGCATGCTCCAGGAGTCAAGATCAGCGCTGGATCAGTGTTGCCTGGTCCGACAATACCGGATCTCTCCAGCGCACCATGTCATATAACCTACGCTTTCGGGGTGGTAATTCGTCTAGGAATGTTCATGATATACGGGGCGAGATTTGGGGAGCGACGAAAGATATCATGGAGCGGATCTCGGCACGCTGGAGACTCATGGTCGTGCACACTGGGCCGGTAGATCAGGATGAGGTTGATGGTAAGACTATTCGGGGACGCGACTTGAATTTTTCAACATTGCTGACAATATTATAGCATGGTCGAACTTCGTTGAACAGTACAACAAGACAAGCACTATGCCTTCGGAATTGACGGTGTTGAACGTGAACACTGCGCCAGAGCTTTACCTGGAGCCTCCATTCATCCCAATACCCATGAGCGTCTTCAATGCGCAGACGAGCTCTACCCCTGTCGCCACACCAAACCCTAGTGTTCTTTCCCCCGATCAGACCGGCAACGCTCCCACCCCTCCGAGCGGCGCAAATGCCCCTACGCCCACAGAAGCCACATTAGAAGCTGAATCCGAGTCTTTACTCACTGATATCTGCGACGAATCGTGGGGGGTAATCCTTTCCCATCGCCTCAACAGTTCCCCACATCTGACCGAATACCGCCCTGCCCTAACGAGTGGATATCTACTCCGCCGCAAGGGCGCCACCGACGGCGATGGCTTATACGCGCTAACGGTAAACCTGATATATACACAACGACACTCTTCAACCCACGAAACCCTCCTTCGCGAAGCCCTGGGCATGTATCGCGATTTGGCCACTCTGGCTCGCGCCAGGGGGACCTGCGCTGTACAGCGCAACACGATGCCTTGGCACATTGCCACGGCCATTCGAGCCCAGGAACTGTTGAGTTATGTTTTGTAATCTACGATTGTTGGTTTTTGACAGCATACTGTGGGTGAATCAGCGGTGTTCAGGGTGTTTCCTTTCTTGCTACAATACCACCTTTTTTCCTCCTCTCTTTCTTCTGTCTGTACATAAGGCGGTTCTTGTGTGACGCACACAAGATTGGATATACCAGGCGTTTTCGGGCCATGTCTTGATCATATAGCTGAAGCATCTGACAATAGACTCATTCTCCAAGCGGGTATATATTTTGGTGATTTGGGATACTACTACTATACAAAGCAGCTCTCCACGCCACTACTACAATGATAGTCAAGAAAGATGCAAATATTCCAACGATCAAATCTAATAAACATCAGTAATTAACGCAAATAGAAAGAAATACCTTTCAAAAACAAACGAAATCTTGCCTCTCCCCACTCGAAGAACCGACTGATCACATGACCTTATCATATCTAATCTCCCATCGATAACGAACTCCATTTCGGAGCATCGAGAAAAAAAAAAAAAAAAATCAGATCTAGTCCACCTCCAAGGTCCACGCATCCTCCTCTTCGCAATTGGTCTCGTTTGCACCTCTCACAAAAACAGACCTTCTCGAGAAAGTGTTCTAAACAAGCAACCAATCAAGACGAGACAATTTGACCAGTCTCGCCCACACAACAACCAAAACTCCGATCGAAGTTTTATAAAAAAAGACAACCCCGCCAAACAACAAAAAACCGAGTCTCGCAAAACAAGACCTCAACTTACCTCCCTCCCTACCCACCCACCTACCAACCAACACAAAAAACCACCAAAATGTCCGACCAACAACCCCAAACCTCGCAACCCGCCTCCGCAGCCTCCTACCTCGACCTCGGCATCACGCTCGCCGTAAACGCCTGGCCAGCCATGAACCTAGCGGTGCAGTCGAACTGGGGCGGGCCCACGTCAGCCGACAAACGGGACTGGCTGTGCGGCGCGATCTCCGAGATGCTGAGCGAGCGACCGGAGACAGACGCGGAGGATCTCGAGGACGTGCTGATGCAGGTGATGAACGACGAGTTCGACGTGGTGGTGGACGACGAGAGCGCGGCGCCGGTGGCGGCGCAGATCATGGACATGAGGGCGCAGACGGCGCGCGGCGAGTTCGCCGCCATCCAGGAGATGTGGGAGACGTGGCAGCGGAAGGTGGAGGCGAAGGGGGGCGCGAATGCCGTGGAGGGGTTCAAGAGGGGGGAGGATCAGGGGAGTGATGATGATGATGAGGACGAGGAAGGGGATGAGGATATGGGGGATGCGCCGGCGTTGGTGAGTGCGCCGAGGGAGAAGGCTGAGCCGGAGGTTGATGATGATGGGTTCACGAAGGTGGTGGGGAAGAAGAAGCGGTGATTTGGCTGTCTATCTGGTGGTGATGTTGGATGAAAAGTAGGGGATTTCCTGTGTATGGATACCTTTTATTGTTTCTTACGAACTTCATGATTGATGGGCTAGGGGGAGTGAGTGTGAATGAGCAGAAAAGTCTTGGAGAAACCAATCACTTTTTTTTAAACTTCAAACGAAAGCGAAAGCAAGGACTGATATCTATAGGAAAAGATGCAAAAGAGAATTCATCATCGTCAACCAAGGCAGGGTAGTCCTGAGATATCATTACCCAGCCTCTGCCCACCCATCCCTTCCTGTCCACAGCCGCAACGTGAACTCTCCGCAAGATGGCTCAATATAATAGATTCGTTGTATGGCAAATGCCCGAGGCTTTCTAATTCATGCACCTTTACTTGTCTTCGTTCGTAAGGAGCTTGGTGATCATACCGATGGCAACGGTTTGTCCCTGGAAGTATACAGAGTTAGCATCATCATCATTCTGAAACAGAGCAGTCGGACAGTAGACTTACCTGGTCACGCAGAGTGAATCGTCCCATTTGGTTGTAATCCTCGAAGCGCTCAACACACACTGCACCGGCGGTGCTGATGACGTCGAGACGAGCAATGATGGTCTGGCCCTTGCTGGCGAACGGAGGGGGGCGCTTGCTCTTGCGGCCAGTACCGGGCTCACACTTGTGCAGGAGAGCGCCGAAAGTAACCTCCTCGACGGCGGAGTGCACGTGCATAACGCAGTTGTAACCGGCAGTGAGGATGCTCTTCAGGTCCAGAATTCGGATCTTGGCCTCGAAGCTGGACACGGTGTGCACCAGACGCTTGGGCGAGCAGAGCACGAATCCAGGAAGGATATCTTCTTCTTCCACGCCACGGAGACGCATACGGACCTGGTCACCGCAGGTAGCGGTGGCGATCTCGTCCTCAGTCTCGCCGTAAAGGGCGGCGATCTGGATCTCCGAGCGGTTGGGCATCATGATACAGGACGAGTTCTTCTTAACAACACCGGACTCGATGCGGCCTTCGATCATCGTACCCATGTCACGGTACTTCGCCGTGATGGGCATCATGAAAGGTGCGTTGATCTTACGCTCGGGCATCTTCATGTCCGTGAGGTACTCAATGAGCGAGGGACCATCGTACCAGGGGGCAAGCTCCTTCGGGACACGGTCCTTGACACCCATAGTTCGCTGGGCGGAGATGGGCATGAAGGTAAGATCGGCCTTCTTGTAGCCGAGGGCCTCGAGGAATTTAGACACCTTGACAGTGCACTCATCGAATCGAGCCTTGCTCCACTCCACAGTCGGGTCGTCCATTTTGTTGACGGCAACAACCAGCTTCTGAACACCCGTGTTTCGCGCAAGCAAGGCGTGCTCACGGGTCTGACCACCCTTTTCGAATCCCGTCTCGTATTCACCCTTACGGGCAGAGATAACAAGCACACCGACATCGGCTTGCGAAGCGCCACCGATCATGTGATGGACATAAGACTTGTGTCCGGGGGCATCCAGGATAGAGAAGTGACGCTCAATGGTTCCCTCTGGCGACGGCACGTCGACCTTGAAATGAGCACGACCAACCTCGACAGTCTTACCCTTGGCACGTTCCTCGTTGGTAAGATCCAGGGCCCACGAAAGATACCAAGTCTCACGACCGGCTTCCTTGGCATCTCTCCTGTATTTGTCCAGAGTTCGCTCATCCACCATACCAGTGACGTAGAGGATGGATCCACCCAGGGTGGACTTTCCAGCATCGACGTGTCCGATGAACACAATGTTCACGTGCTCCTTCTTTTCACCGTAGATTTCCTTCAGTGTCGACTCATCCACATCCGCTTGTTGCTCCATCGCGACGGCGTTCGCATCACGGGCAGCCTTTGCGGCTTCACCCCGCGACGGGCTGGACCGTCCAGGGCTCGAACGGCCCGAAGGAGTGGGAGAGGACTTGCCGCTGGCGGTAGCCTTCTGTTCCGCCTTCTTCTCGGTCTTGTCGATCGCCTTGCTGGCGGTCACCTTGTTGGCAGCCGTGGCAGCCTGGGCGCCCTTGGAGTCGCCGGGAGTAGCGGTTCCGGAGGGAGGGGTGTTCGAAGGAGCGGGCGAGGGAGTGCCGATCGAGAGAACCTTCGTCTTCGGGGCGGCCTGGGAGTTGCTGGCGCCACCGATCGACAGAACCTTGGCCTTGGGGGGAGCAGCAGCGGGGGCGGCGGCGGGCTGGACGGGCTGAGTGTTCACTGGGGCCTTGGGCTGCTGGGGAGCGGCCGGGGCAGCCTGGCTAGGCTGCTGTTGGTTGTAACCGGGGTATTGCTGGAAAGCACCGGGTTGCTGACCGTAGGCACCGAATTGGCCATAGGCCTGCTGCTGGTTATAGCCCTGGTATCCTCCGTAGGCTTGTTGGCCGTACTGCTGACCGTACTGAGGGAAACCGCCATAGCCTCCGTAGGACTGGCCGGGCACGAACGAAGCAGCACCAGGCTGGAAGGACGCAGCGCCGGGGTGGAAGGAAGGCGCTTGAGCCTGAGGGCGATATTGTGCGTTCTGGTTCAGGTTAACGCCCTCGGTCTGTCGGGAGAGTTCATCCTCCCACGAGTCAGGAGTCTGGTCGGCCATGTTGTCGAGTAAACGCGGAAATTCACAGACAAAGCAAGACAGCCAACGAGGGACAATAGGCAAAGGAGAGAAGGGGTCAGAGGGAGAGAAAGAAAGAAGCGGCCGGCTTGAAAGACGGCGGCGGCGGAGGGGCGCTTCGATTCTTCGCGCCCGATTTTGCACGGCTGACTCAGCCCTTCCCCGCCTTGGGCGTCTGTGGCGTCTCGGGCGGCAGGCCTCGTTTTTGCACTGTTTGCCTGCCTGCAGCTCGCTTTTTGTCGGTCCTGCATCTACAGAAACGGAGTAAACAGATCCCCTGTCTCTCGATTTCTGACTCACCTCCTGGTTGACGGCGAGAGCGCACCACTTCTGCTTCAATCCCTGGATCTCTTGCACATGGGCTTCTTCTGCGTCCGCCAGCCACGGTGGGTGGCACGTTATCGATAAGAATCAGGCACCGCACTGTTTCAGCGCATTCAGACCCTCATCTCTCCTGCTGCCCAAACGTCCTGATCTTGCTCGCGGTGGCAAAATGGATGCCTTTCTAACCCGGGTATGAGTCTTGTCTCTCAATTCCTAACGAATGATGTCACTAATGCGCCGGATAGCTCACCCAGCAGGCGATGAACTATGCCATCCGGTAAATCTCAACCAGATCTCGTATGCGACAGGAAAGTTCTTGAGCTGACCGTCCATTGTATTTAGCTCTGGGATTGCCATCACTGCCAAATATGCTATCAGTCAGTCCGGACGCCTGTTGAAAGTGAGTTGCCCCGCTTGTGCGACCTGGTGGAAACTGGAGCAACTGCGGCTAACAAGTGCTCTAACTTGAACAGAACGTGGACAACAGTGAGGAGAAAGACGAGTTGCTTACGCTGCAGCAGCGACTTGAAAGCAAGATCCAGGTGCGGCGCATGCTACTCGCGCTTAATTGTATGCAGTTCAACCGGAGCGATGTACTAACTCGAATGACAGGTCATTTCCCCCGCTATTGACATGATCGAGCTGATGTGAGCAATTCGATATGATGATATGTACCGAAAGAAGGATACTGACTCTCTTTAGTGCTGCCCGAGGGAACACATCTCTAGAATCTGCGGTGTCACTCACTAAAGCTCTACGATGGGATATTCAAGCTCTTGGCCAACGACTTGCGAATGCCGCCGCATCTGAAGAGCAATTTCGGAGGGGAGCAAAGTCTGCTGCCAGCCGCGCTCAGAACGATGCGGAATTCAAGCTCATCATCAAGGACATCAGGAAGCTTTTGATAAGGATTGAGGATGCTGTGCCCCTGATGAATCTGGCAATCACCACCTCTGGGGCCAAGCTATCCACTAACCTACCATCGTCTATCTCGCCATCCCGACTCCTACAAGCTAGCACCTTCCTTACTGCTGGTGACACGCAGTATTCAATGTCCCCTTCACAGGCCGTCCAGATCGGTCCTACCTTCACTTTGTCGGTGTATATGCTTTACGCGAGTCATCTTCGACCCCATGACGAAGAGGGGATTCGCGAAACGACTTGGAAGGAGGTCATGCACAAAGCCCGCCTAAAGCTTCGTCGAGTACCTATGGACTTGGCGACCAATCCGCAGGCCGCACAAAAACGTCACCTATACCCTGCTGAGGCAAGAGTGGACGAGTTCGCCTATCAATTACTCATCATTGAAGACTTGGACGACGGTCGAGTTCACACGTTCGACGACGACGAGCCTTGCCCGCAAAGCTACGAAGACGTCAATTCCGCTGGAATACGTGAAATACTACCCATACACCAAATCTCCAAGATATTCTACGCCGACACGGGCAAGATATTGAACATCAGCACGGAGGGTGAAACGAACAACCCCGTGTTGCTTCTGAAACGAGATGTCAACGCCATCCCTCCCCGGCGGATGGTGGAGCGAGAAGAGACCGCCTATGACTCTACACAGGAGGACTCCGATACAGAGGAAGCAGACGAGGATCAAGCACAGCTGGACGCCCAATTAAACGGTGCAAACGCTGCTCCCATGAATGCCAGCTTCCACGAAACCTCTGTTCCCGACGAATGGCGGCTACCCAAGGATCTAGACCCGGAGTGGATCGCCTTCGAAGTCTACAACGAAGAAGAATCATCAGACGATGAGTCCGACGACGAGAATCCCAAAACGCCCGCCAAAGAGTCATCGTCATCAACCCTCGACCCCGAAATGATGGCCAAGCTCTCTCTCGACCCCGGCAGTGCCAAATCCACCCCCTCCAACCACCCCCACCACCAAGGCATGTCCCGCCCTTCATCCTCGTCCCAAAACATCGCCACCACCACCGTCTCCAACCCCCATTTCAACAACATCCGCACCTCCCTCTCCCTCCTCGAGACCCTCCTCCGCCTCATGTCCCTGCAACAGTTCCAGCAACAATCGCACCTCTCCATCAGCGACGAACTGCTCAACTTCTTCCTCGAAGAGTCCGCGACCACCGGCGCCGGTGGCGACGAACAGCACCGCCAGCGCCTTCGCGCCGACGCCCGTCGCAGAGTCGGCTGGGATCCCTACGACGAGAGTCCCCTCAAACGTCGCGGCGAGGACTATCAGTATACCTGGGGCCCGGACGGGACGCCGCGCGGCGGGGGCGATTATCCGTATTCGCCGAGTGACAGGATGCGCGGGTTTAGTCTTCGCTCGAGGGAGAATACGCCCGAGACGCCGTTGCGGTCGAGACGTTCTACGCCCGCACGCGCGGACGTGCGTCAGCCTAGTTCGCTGCGCAGCTCGTCAGTTCATCCGGATGAGTCTGAGAGATGATTTCTTGTCGCTGGCTCGGTTGTTTCGGATGATATGTTGAGAATGGGAAGGGACTCGCAGGTTACTATGGACGTTTTATGAATAGAATCATGCATGCGCATATCAATAGAAATGATCAAGGTCTGTACATATATGCGGCTACGAATTAGCGATACCATTAGAAAAGTTCATTCTAGAGAGTCCTATGTTCATTGTTATAGACTAAACTCAATTTCAACAGATGGATGTCACTGCAAGAGGGGCAAAAAAGAGAAACAAACACCCAAACATACGCAATTACTTGATATCAACGAGAGGGGAAAAATAATTCAACCGCTAGAAAACGAATATCGAAAAGAAGAGAGAAATCCCTACAACGCCACAAGAAGTTCAGAGCATTTCAGCGCCTTAAAACACCACACCATATACCGTCGTCCCGTGCAGATAGATCTTCTCTCGGACCAACCAGCGGTCAAAGGGAATCGTCCACATGGCACCTATTCACAAACGTCCTGGGTAGATCGATCATGTGCTCTATACGTCGTATGTAAATTCAGTTTAAGTCCCTTTTACTCCCAGTCCTCGTCGCTGTCGTCGTCCTTGGTCTTGTCCTTGGGACTGGCGGGGGTTCGACTGGTGGCACCGCTGACGACGTCATAGCTGGATTCGCTGTCTGCTTGGGACTGCTGGTCATTCGAGCGGCGGGGCTCGTTGGGCTTCAGGAGGTTGTTCTTCTCGGTGGCAGGAGCGGAGCTTTGGGCCTCGTCGGTCTTGGTGGATTTCACTTGGGGAGTGGAGGGTGAGTCGGTCTCATCGTCGGAGTCGTCATCCCAAGCAACTTCTTCCTCCTCATCAACATTGGCACCTAATAATCATGGTTAGAATAGTTGTCGACGGGAGAGATTAGAAAGAGAGACATACCCTTGAGGAGTTCCTTGCGCTTCTGCTCCTCGGTCTCAATAACAAGACGAAGGAAGTAGTAACGGGACCAGAACGTCGCATACTCCACCTGCTCAGGGACGAGCTTCTCCATCGCAGCCCGCAGCTCAGGATACTTCTCCAAGTCGGCCGCAATGGCACTAGTCTTGTTGTCGACATTGAACTCCTTCTGGAAAGTAGCCCACTCATCACTGACCGGGTCCTTGGTGAAGCTGTCCAAGTTGGAGTGGATGACGTGCAGTTGGGCCTCGAATCGCGTGGCATGAATGACTCTCTTGCCCTCCGAGTCTTTACTCTCGAAGAGGATCTTGTTGGAGTCCGTACCCGGCGGCACGATGCTGACCGCGTCGCGCAGCTTCTGCCCGATATTCTGACCGAACCGCAAGATCGCCTCGTCGGCCGCTTCCTCCGCCTTCTCAAGCTCCTTCAGTCGTCGACCCGCCTCGGCCTTGAAGCGAGATAAGAACCCCTCGCCTGCATCCGTGCCAGCACCCGTGCCCTTTTCGCTGCTCTCTGCCCCTTCTGCGCCTGAGGCCTCGCCCGCGCGAGAGGCAGTAGGCGTGGTTGCCTCATCCGTGGTCTTCTCGGCGCTTCCGGCAGCGAACGGCGTGCTCAGGGACAGGCCCCGCGTGCGTCCGACGATAGTCTCTCTCAGGTCCGAGAAGCCCTTGACCGCCTCTTCGCTGGCGGCGGCATACTCCTGTCTAGCGCCCTCGTAGTAGCTCTCGCCCTGTTTGCGAACGTTGTCCCATAAACCTCCGATGCGGGCACCCCACGGGCTGGCGGAGAATGCGCGGAAGGTTTCCTGCAGCTCGGTGTTCAGGTCGACGTTGGGCCGGTCGGTCTTGGCGGACTCGTCCTTGGATTCATCCTTCTTGGAGGTGTCGTTGGAGGTGAAGATCTCCTCCTGGATGTGATCGTATGCTATATCCATGGCTGGGGAGGGATGACGTTGCGATCGGGGAGATTGGAATTCGATGCACTGTAGCAGGGGACGGAGGTGAAGAATGACGGAGGGTCAGCGATGCTTGGGTTCTCCGCTTCCGTTCCCGGGGCTACGACGGCCCGAAGCCCCGCCGATCGACACACGCAGATAGCATCACATCGTCATATTATCTATATCCTATATAAAATCTACTGGTGTCATCATGTATCTGGCATTTCGTACGGCTCGCCCACGCTGTCCTGGCTGCCCAGCCAGAATCCTGGCATAGGCACGCTCTCCATCACGCTGGACGTGAGGATCTGGCCCTCGGACAATATTCCTCCCTGGTAAGAATCCTGCTCTCGGTTTTTCCGTCGAGGGAGCTTATCAGCTGGTTGCGAAGATTCAACTTGCACCACTGAGTCCTGAAGCTTAGGCTTGAAGCGTATCTCCCTCTTGGGCCCAGTATCATCGTCCTGCTGTGCAATAGGCGAGGATTCGGGAACCATCTCGGTCGGTGTTTTATCCACGTCTTGAGACTGACTCTGTGTTTGAGTTGGAGTTTGTGTCTGTGTCTGTGTCTGTGTCTGTGTCTGTGTCTGTGTCTGTGTCTGAGTTTGCGTCTGTGTAGAAGATATGCCGTTATTCGGGTCCGAAAGTATCGGTGGCTTTTTCACAGGCGTCTGCTGGTGACTTGATTCGTTCGGGAAAAGTTCAGCCAACTTCTGGGTGTTCAAAGTAGGGATAGGCTCCAGCGGGTACTGAGTGGCAGGCTGCACTCTTTGATAGTAGACAGATGCATCGGACAGAAGGTTGTTTTCCGAAGTCATTAGACCCAACTCAGTCTCAGTTTCATGCTCAAAGGGAGGAACGGGCGGAGGCGGAAGATCTTGTGTGTCGTCATTTTCCAGATCGTCATCTTCCTTGTTGTCGTCGTCGCCATGGTCGATTGACTGCTTTTTGGTGGGAGACCCAAGTGGGCTCGATAAACTGTCTTGGAAGTCACCGTAATCGGTTTCGGCATCCGTTTCGTAGACCACAGTCCGCTGGGTCGTCGAAGGAGGCTTGTTATCCTCATCGTCTTCAAGGCCATTCATCTCGAGAGGTTGTTCATTTGCAGGGTTTGGTTGTGTGTCGAAAACATTGATCGTCGGCCTTTCGGGCAAGGCGTGTTTCTGTGATAGTGGTGAATCCAGCATCATGGGTAGTGAATCATTTCGGGCTGCACTAGGAATATCTTCCTCTTCATTTGGTTCTTGCTCCGGCGCTTCTTCCTTTATAGGCATCTCAGCAGCCAATAAAGGAGCCCTTTTCAACGGAGAGCGAGTTGCACTGCGAAATTGAGACGAAGATATAATAGCAAGCCCAGGACTTTCAGGTGATTGCGAAGATGGTATCTCGAGCTTCCGTAATTTCTGCGGGGTGACTGGCTGTTTAGATGATGTCTCATCTTTCTGGTATCTCGCAGACTCCTGGTTCTCGTTCAACCCCGGGTTCAGATTTAGCTTTCTTCGCTTATGCTCGCTCGAAGATTCCTGCCCGAAATTCGGGCTATGCCGTGCATCTTCCGCGAAAGGTGTATGCTTCCTTTCCGGTTTCTTCTCGCTTTCCTTCTTGGGCGTCTGATACGTGTATTCCAACTTGACTTCATCATCCGGCTCGATCTTCAAGTAACGGCGCACATAATCCATCTGCGTTAGAGTCTTATCCTTCGACTGCGCCTTCTTGCCCTTCTTCTTCCCTTTGACACTATCATCGCTCTTCCGTCGACTCCGTTGAGCCTCGCGATCACTTCGTTTTGCAGGATCGCTCTGCCTGCGCTTCTTATTGCTCTCCGTGTCGGTCTCAAATCTAACGCCGTGACTTCGTCTCTTGTCCGAATTCGAAGGTCTATACTCGGCATCGTCCTCGGAGTCATCGTCTATCGCAACCACCTCGCGAGTCTTCCGCGAATGACCCCGTTGCCCATGGTCCTCGATATAATCCAGATCGTCGCTGGATGGTACATTCTGCGACAACGGAGTCACGAAGTCGATCTGGGTGAGGGTCGGCTGGTCCTGTTCGCTAGGCGCCGTATCCCTTCTAGACGATCGAAGTGACGAGTTCGACGGGGCCGGGGTTCCATTGCTGCTTTGCCGCCAGAGAGTGCTGGTTCTTTTCGACTTATCCGACACCGTTGAGGAGCGTCCTGTCGCGGGCTTGTCTGGTGTTCGGAATCGTTCCGGATTGGGTCTGGAAGTTGCGCCGGTTCTGTCCCCTCGCCTCATCGCAGTTCGAGATCGGTAGGATCGTGTGAAAATTCGTCAGAAGCCATAGGATTTGCAGTGGCAAAGATGGTAGAAGAACGAGGTGGGCGTTGATTACTGATGCCTGGATTAGGCAAGGGCGCGTCGACGCGTCGAGTCTTGGGTCCGTGCACGTCCATTTAACCTTTCCGGTTAGCCTCTGGTGCCTTATTTCCAAGGCGGTATTTACAGCTTCTACCAAGGTTCATTTGATTCTATTATGTTTGCTAGACCAACTCGTGTCTTTACAAGGTAGATAAATATGACAAACCAACGTCCAGAAGTCAGTCTGACATCAGCCACTCCGGGATCGCATCTTCATCCTCAGGATCCTCAGATAGCAATGACCCTTCGTCATTACTGCCTGCCTCGCTTTCCGGGGCCTCCAAAGATGGGATTCGTGACTGTGACTGAGAGGGGGCTCCTGAGAGAGCCTCCACGCTGGCAGATTTAGAATCTGCCGCGGTCGACGATTCGACCGTGATCGGTGTTTCCAATGAACCTTGTTTGCCCTGGAAGTTCCCCGAAGGGCCTGTATCTATATCCAAATCGAACACAGGTAACCTGGATGAACCAGAATCGGTGTCAGCAGCTTCTACATTGCTTGGCTTCTCGTTCTTATCGTTCGGTAAAACAACAAGAGTATAGCGTGAATGATCTGCTGCATTCCGATCTGTATGGTTGGGGTTGGTTTCTGGTTGAGACGGCGAAACCGCGGCGTTGTTATCCTCTTCAGGCATGAATCCTCCACCAAGTGTGTCGTCCGCACTTGATGGGGACGCCGCACTGTGATTCATTGCGATGTCTGGTGCGGTGTATTCCCTGATGTTCATCCCAGCAGATGGAGACGCAATTTCTTGGTCTGGTTCCGGTATGAAACCGCCTCCATAATCTTCCGCGTCTCCAAAATCATCATCGCTCATGTCGCCACTTGCTTGATTATCACTTTCATCGCCTTCGACGGCATATCCTTTGACTCTTTCCGAAATACGCAACTTGAGCAAAAAGTGTCTCCAAAATCGGAGACATTCGGCAGATTTCTCTTCCAATTGAGCCTGCATCTTCTCGTTCTCAAGCCCCTGTATAACTTCTTCCAGCGCTTCACGATGTTCGGTAGCAATAACAACCCCTCGAAATACGGCAGTTCCGTGTCGACCTTTGAAATCAAACCCAGTGACAGCGTCTGCATAGTCAATACCGAGGATTTTGGCGGCCCGCGCGGCTTCGGAATGTATAATATGAACTCCCCCGGATGGCACCATTGTTGGTACATATACATCTAGGTTCCCATATACATTCTTTGGTATCTTCCCTTGGACGACCGGTGGCGGCTTGTATATCTCTGTTTGAGATAGCGAATAGAGAGGGGTTTCCGCAGCTGTTTCGGAGTCCTCATCATCAATCAAGGCGACTCTGTGGGCCGGGACACGCTTCATAGGTTGTTGCCCTAGTTTTACATCCCGCCCTAATCGGTACCATTTATCTGCACTGCGGAGCGAATGGACATCGGAGCGTCGATAGACAGGCTCCATCTTTTCATGCTTCGACCCTGATTTACCCAAGCTGACTTGACCGATAGCACGCTTGGGGAATACGACTTCGTTGCGACGCAGGTGTCGCTCCAAAGCATAGATCGGGTGATCTTTGAAATCTAACACATTCCGCGGCATAGGTTCAGCGGCTGTTTTGGCAGTCAGCTCGCTGATTTCGATTTCATCGCGGTCTTCGAGGAATGGTTTCTCATAGAACTCCAACACTCTCTGCCACCATCTCTCGCCGTTCTTGCTACATTCCACTCGGAGTTTGCGCGTTTTAGCATTGAAGGCTTTTGCGTAGCGGCGGGTAACATCTCGCGCTGACGCGTCTTCTTCGAAGGCAACGACATAACTCATACAGTTATATGGATCGCTGGATGGAGGCTCGAACTTGAATGACTTGGCCAGGGACTTTGTGACCAAAGGGTCGACGGGGATCCACTTTTGGACTGCTTCATTGAAAGCTTCGACCCAGAATACCGGATAGGATGACTCTCGATTGGGGATTGGTCGTGGACCTTTGGGGATCAGATACAGTGGCATTTACGATATCAAAGGTGAGCACTTACTGGTGACAATCGGCTTTGAGGGACGAGATGGTTTAAATTGTGGGCGACCAAGTCTCCGCGTCCTAGATTGCGGCGTTGGCGAGCCCTGAGACTTGATTTGTTCATCGGCGGACGTTTCGGGATTGTCTGATGAGATAACAATATATTGCGGCTTAGGCTTCGTTGGAGTCATGTTCTTCGTGGTCCCGGAGAACGGCAACGGTTGCAACGAACAGACTAATCTTGCTTCCACAGCCGCGGAACGTAGCAAGGCACAAAATAATTGTGCTCCAAAATCGCGAGAGCCCTGTAGTGTCTTGGCTTGCTTCTGGAAATCTTCCTTCGAAAATATGACTTCCGGATCCACCATGATTTGCTCCTACTAGGTAGTCAGAGAAGAAACATTTGGAACCATAGAAGGACACAATACCACACGTTTCTTCAACGAGTCCGGGTCTTCGGCCCAGTGAGCCCGTTTTAGCCCCGGCTGCGTCACTTTGAATCTCTTGAGAAATGCATCGCTAGCTTGATTCAGCCCGTCGATGAATGTGGTCGACTTTGCATACTGTGGTTTATCCTGCGGGGGATTTAACAGTGTGATCGTGTTTCTCGATAATATCCGTTTGAGAAATTTCTGACGGTCTTGGTAAGCGCCAGATGCGGCAGACCGAAGTATTGAAGGCATTACAAACCTGGACCTCTTCATCATTGCACCACAGATTGCGCATTTGAACATGTCGCATAAGACAGAGCACATGGACCTTGTGGATATCCAGCCTCAACTTTCTTTCAGTGGCAGTGATAGGCTTTCGCCTTGGGGCAACTCTGCGTTTTTGGTCTTCATGTTTATCCAGTGTAATCTCCATGGGCCCGCTGTCTTCCGCGGTGGGGGTTATACCAGCTGGACCAGCTGGTGGTTGTTGCAGATCGACTTCTTCCCATTCCATATCTGATTCTTCAGACGTGGAGGAATCATACACCATCTGCACCTGGCGATCGGATTGTTGATCGGGATTGGTTTGCGACTGTGATGACTGGTTTGAAACCTGGGAGACATGTGCTGTAACTGGCTGCTCTTGCACTTTGCGCCTCTTAATTGGCCGATCTTCTGCTGGCGCCTGAGCATCTCGAGCTTCGGCTTCTGCCAGCATCTCCCGGTATACTTGAGGGATCTCATCGTCATCTGGCCCGTCATGTTGCCGTGACTGGCGACTGCGAGAGGGCCCGCCCTTTGCGGGGCGAGTACGATTTGAGCGGCGCATGTTGCCGGAGAAATGTGTTCAACAGCATGAAGTCCTATCTGCTTCCACCCCCCAGCGTGAGATTCATGTGCGGGTGAGATCAGGATCGCAGCATTAGTACTAGCTTAGTATGTGTATAGAACAGCATGAATGTTCCCTAAGCAGTACCAAGCATGCCTTCTAAGGCCACGCGACTTGTGACCTGCACTCGAGTTTAGTCAACAGCGAGCATAGAACATAGCTCGAACCTCAGGTTCAGATGCATGCCGCAACTGGTTCAACCCAGAGACGCTCGGCTCGAAAACATGCGTCATACCGGGCGGAACAACATACCTCCGCGGAGACGCCGAGCGGGTTCTTTCCGGAACAGGCAACATTGGCCTCAGGCTACCGCACCCTTGCTACTTTCAATTGTCGCGACGAGATTATGGCGCGTCAACAACAGAATAAAACGGTGGTTCGGTCTATTGATCACTATCATCAGAGATCTATTATTGGCGGTTCTGCTTCTAACTTCTATGAGAAATCACATAATAAGCCGATTCGCGCTCAATACTTCCCAAAAATACTAACCATTGATTATTGTTGGTCTGGTTGGCAAGAACTACAGAGAGGTCCAGCTGCCATCGTGTCCGTAGGACGTGCATTCCACCGCATCTCATGTTTCTGACGATCAGTGGCAAGCTGTAATGCATCCGCTTTCCACTACAAGCGGTATCCCAAGATCGATTCTTGTTACGGTGGACTGGGGTATTGCGTCATAGCGACGTTATGCATGGACTGAACGCAGCAGCGCTCATTACTCCTACATTCCGCCAGCATCATTTCAATCGTTCCTATACATCCCAATACTACTCAATTACACTCTTCAATCTTTAATAATAATTAGGAGAAGCGAGCGAACAAAACCATGCTTTCAAGATCATTAAGACGAGCAGGCGCCCTTCCCTGGGTGCGCTCGTCGATCCCTCGTCCCGGACGTCGCTGTATGGCGAGCGTTGCGAATATGGACGATATTCCTACGGTGAGTGTCCCACAGATGCAAGCTCTATTGTTCTGTTTTCGAAATTAATCAAGTTGCATTTTATAGGAAGACGACCGACTCTTCAAAGTCCCTATTTCAGAACAAAGCTACTCAACATATAATTTCGACCCGCCGCCATACTACGTGGAGACGACCAAAAACGAACTTAAACAAATCTTCCGCGACATGTCGATGATCAGGTTGGCTGGCAATCATTTCCGAGGGACCAATCGAGCCCGGCGCTGACGTATTGCAGACGTATGGAGTTAACCGCTGACGGGCTCTACAAGGAGAAGAAGATCCGGGGATTCTGCCATCTGTCCACGGGTCAGGAGGCCGTTGCCGTTGGCATTGAGCATGCGATCACCAGGAGTGACAAGTTAATCACGGCATACCGGTCCCATGGGAACACGCTGATGCGTGGAGGGACCGTTGAGTCCATCCTTGGGGAGCTACTCGGGCGCCGAGGCGGCATCTCGTATGGAAAAGGCGGCTCGATGCATATGTTCTCCGAGGGCTTTTACGGTGGCAACGGGATTGTAGGAGCTCATGTCCCTCTCGGTGCTGGCATCGCATTGGCTCAACAGTATAACGACACGAAAAATGTCACCATCGATCTATATGGCGATGGAGCTGCAAACCAGGGACAGGTTCACGAGACATTTAACATGGCCAAGCTGTGGAACTTGCCTGTGATTTTTGGCTGTGAAAGTGAGTGGCCCAATGTATCCATGGCCCTGTTGTCGACATGCTAACGCCGATCTAGACAACAAGTATGGCATGGGCACTTCGGCTGATCGAGCTTCTGCCATGACCGAGTACTACAAACGCGGCCAATACATCCCCGGACTGCAGGTAGATGGAATGGACGTCCTTGCCGTTCTCTCGGCCGTCAAACATGGCAAGAAATTTGCCCTAGACGGAAATGGGCCTCTAGTATACGAGTTCGTCACCTATCGCTACGCAGGACACTCCATGTCCGACCCGGGAACCGCCTACCGGAGTAGAGATGAACTTCAGACCCAGCGATCGAACGACCCTCTCACCAACTTCCGGGATAGATTGATCGACTGGGGTGTATTCACCCAGGAGGAAGCCAAGTCCATCGACAAGGAAGTGCGGGAGAAGATGAACAGTGCGAAGGCCGAGGCTGAAAATATGCCCGAGCCCGAGCAACGGATGGATATCCTATACGAGGACATTTATGTCCGCGGTAGCGAGCCTCGACAAAGACGAGGGCGAACCATCGATGAAACCTTCTACCAGGGTTAAATTTGGCGTCCAGCTACTGATATCAAGGCATTCTCTCGTATCACATGTGCATAGAACTCGGGAAAGGCACACGAACAAATAGAACCTAATTAATTCAGCCACTTCCCCTCGATTCCCTCATATTGGTGGACGCATTGCTTCATCCGTAGGTAACATCTGATCTATGCAAACGTCACCATGAAATATCACTGTCCGCCCCCTCATCTCTATAAAAGTCCTCACGTCCAAACAACCCCCACACAATCAACCTTAACCCCATCGCTCATATCAGCAAAAAGCACCTCAGCAGTAATAGGCAATAAATCATGGAATCCACCACCCAAGGCCTCGAGACCCCAACCCACTGCATTGCCGACTTCTCCCTCGTCCCGGTACATACCTCTAGACAATTCCTCCCTAGTATTCCCATCTAACACTAAATCAAATAGATCGGCACGCACGACACATCCTTCGCGCAGGAAATCGCCGAGATCCAACGCCTCCTGCAGCGATGCGACATTAAGCATCAAATGACCTGTACCGGGACGGCCGTTGGTAAGCTCTTATCCCTCTCGTCGGCCAATAAATATCCCTTTCGTCAAAAAGAGAATCAATCAGCCCCTATACTATACTTCACCAGCCCACGACCCTAGACATGTACTAACAACCTCCCAGAGGGACCCTGGGACCAAGTCCTTCAGGTGATCGGCCACGCTCACCAGCTGGTTCACAAGCGCGGTGTTGCGCGCATCCAGACTGATTTGAGGGTTACTACTAGGTGAGTACCTTGCTTTGGGCTTAATTGAGTCGATAGTATCGGGAGTGTTGGATATGTGCAGCTGCTAACCTGGGATTTCTTGGATTCAGAACGGACAAGGATCAGCCGATGGAGAACGAGATTTTGTCTGTGGAGAGGATCCTCACTGCTTGAAGTATGGGTTGTTTGGGGTACTATTGAGTGTGATTTTCTTTTTTCTTTCGGACTTCTTGGTTCTATTTAGTATTTTAATTTCTGGATGGTTTGTGGTGTTTGTAAAAGTAGGGTTTGTTCAGAATGCTGGAATGAATATTTGGACTATCTTTCTCCTCTTGGGGGCTTGTTCTGTAGGATATTTTAGTAGTACCGAAAGGTAATTTGGCTCAGAGGATACTTTTTGAGTGGTGCTATTGACGACACGGGGGGCTTTTCTGAACTCTTGGCTATTGTTCATGTAGTTATTCGGCATGGAAATCTTCTTTATACCGTTTTTAGCGATTACAGGTGTCAGAATCTGCCATTTTTAAATGACCAAGTTAAATAGACCAGTGTTCAATTTCTCATCTCAGTAGTAGCTGATGGTATGTTAGACCTTGCCTTCCAATCAACAAACATCTCGCCTATATATAGCACCTCCTGTGGCCAGGAATATAATTGACAGCAGAACCTCTTCCTTGACCAAATGAGCTATCTCCCTACTAGTAGGAGCTTCTAAGTCTTCGACAGCAAGAAGGTAACAGCACTAGGCACATTGACCAAGTAGGTGAAGTGCGCAGCCGTGATGATCAAAGTACCCTCGCAAACCAAGTCACCAATGGCACAGTAGATCTTGGTCTTAGCGGTGTCGAAGTTCGGAATGCGCCCATTGTCTTGCTTGTTGCGGGTATCGCCAAAGAGGACGACTCCCTTGATCTGGTTCTTGATGCTGTCCGAGAGACCGGAGATGGATCCGTGCATGACGGCAGTTCCTTGGCTGGCGGTACAGTGTCAGCAAATCTAATGTCTGAAAGGTTGGAGGTCAGAAAACGGTGTCCTACCTGTATCCACCAGCCACGATCTTGGTGTTCGGGCACTTGGATGCTGCCAGCTGGAACAGCTCAGTGGCCTCGTCAATGGCGGCCTGGGTGGTGCCCTTGGAAAGGAAGTTGGATGCCAGGTCCGCAGTGTAGCGAGGTGCAACTCCTTGGCAGGCGACTCGGCCAATTCTTGCGAGCTTAAGAGCATCGCAGACAGCGGGACCGGTCGAGATACCCTATCAGTGTGTTAGTGTCGAGTGCGGACTGAGCATAATCAGGCATCTTGCTTACCAGGTAGCCAGGCTCGGTGGAAGCGCGGGCAAAGATAAAAGTGATATCCTTGCAGTCGCCATTTCGCAGCTCATTCTCCCCAATCGGGGCAACTATGCTTGTTAGCATAATATTCGTTCTAGAGATCGCGGTATAGGATTATCGAGAGAGCATACGCTGGCGAGCCTCGAGGTCAATAGGGCTGGCAGCGGCAAGACCGGCCAAAACGGTGGCAAGAAATTGGAGCTTCATGGCGATTTTTGAGACAGAAGTCTGTAGAAGAGAAGGCTGGTCAAGAAAGTGGTTTCGATCTGCTGTTTGTCCCTGCTGCTAAACAAAACGACGAGATCGAAGCGACGACGTCCCCCTTCTTATAGATGTCCATCCTCCTTGGTTCCATATTGTGCTCTCTTCGGCACTTGCGAAGTCTTCATCTCTTCGGCTCCTCGTCCCCTCTTTCCTGTGTGCTTCTCGGACTCCACAATATGCCTTGTCTCGCAGTCACAGGTCGGCGAATTGGTAAACCACCTTCCAAACCAAGTAAGTAGTCTTGGCCTTTCTGCCGGTAGTTGAGAGTTGTAGAATCCAAACCGAGGCATTCAGGTCTCCGAAGGTTAACGATGAGCTGGGCACGACCGCCATACACCCAAAGTCACGCAAAGGACAATAGCAGACCGTTTGGCAATATCACTTGGCGAGTGTGGAGGAGGGTTGCAGTTTCTGGGGGAGGCCCTCGAGTGCAGAACTTGGCGAACGCCATTTAATATATTTAGCCTTTCCGGATTCGTGCTCGGGGGAAGCTCCGTATGCCCTCAAAGACATGGACCGAGGCAGGTTTGAAAAGGGGCTGCTTTGAATGGCTTTCATCGAGCGTTGAGGTGGATTCTCTTCTCCACAGTGTTCGGCACTTGGATGAGGAATAAATTGTTCACAGGATGCGCTATATTGTTGCCACATTAATGGCGCACTTGGGGTGGTATCTGAGAGTGTGGAGGTGGAGTCGTGAGTCTTCCTTGAGAACCGGCTGTTGACATCGTCTCCTCAGCCGGTGCACGGACGGCATGGTGGGATCGAGACTCTCTAACACAAACACAGCGATCCAGAGGTAAAAAGAGAACAGGATCCATTAGAGAAGGGAGCTCACGATAAAGATTAAAACAGAGATCTGTTTCCCCGTCAATACCTTCCACTCCAAGAGCAAGAAGCCTCCTCGTCGCTGTCGTTGGATAGTCGGCGACTTGGCTTGTCTTTTGGAAACGGTCTTATGACCCTCATCACGTTCCCCTCTTCTAACCGAGGGCTGGTTGGTGCAAATGCGTCGTTTCATAATGCTTGCAATTATGCCGAAACGACTTGATTCGGGGAGAGACGAGGGGCTGGATGGACATACCCAGGAACGAAGACCGTCGCATGCTCACCAGCTGACTTAGAAGTACGCATTGACCTTCCCCTCTTTAGGCTCGTAGGCATGATTGATGCTTTGTGGGAAATTTGAATCATCCTGCGCTCTAATGTCTTTCAAGAATATGCCTTCAGGTCTATAAACAATCATATATCATCGAGACAGGAAGGTCTTGCAGGTTTCAGGCATACTGACAACTTCAACCCCTTAAATAAACGCCAAATATGGCTCTTTCTAGTCAGTTAGATCAGCTAGAGCTCGAAGGATCAAGAGCACGAATGCAACAGAGCCGTGGTGGATAGAAGAGCTGTGAACAGCTTCAAAGTGATGTAGGAAATAAGCTTTAAGAAGGTGAAGATTTTCATGTCTAAATTTTCATCATTTGTCGATCCTGAGGATCGATGAACTCTCGTTCAGCCATCATCTTTGTCTGATCTACACCCTATATGCCGTAGAAAAATGACCATTCCGCCTTGTTGAGGAACCTGATGCTAGACGTATTATGTGCTCGCCCCTCCGGCATATGATTTACAATGAAAAGAGCGCAGGCAATTTTTGTACTGTAATCATTTATATGAGAAAGAAATGAAAAAGGAACTGAATCATAGGGAGCCTTATGATGCTGAAACTGCCTTAATGTTTTCCATAGTAGGTAACAGATAGCGTCAAGTCATACAATACCCATACTGACCGGTCTTGGAGGGGAGGATTGGACAAGCAACGCTTTATTACATTAATGAATGGTCAAAGAATAACTGATTTGTTCTATACTGAGTCATTCGACTATCAACTTTATTTCTATGTAAAGTCCACGCAAAAGCAGTCAGGTTATGATTTTACACTCCAGGCTCCACATGTTCGTGAACATCGCTCATTTTCGTTGACCTCTTTGAATGAATAATTTAAGATAACCTGATAGGAAACCTTCTTTTTATTTTATAAAAATTTTTTTTCGTTAAATAAATGTTTTGATTTAGAGATTTTCTTCTGCTGTAGCTTCGGAACTACTACAAAACAACAATATTATGACAGACGCCTACAAAGACGCCAGATTTAAGAATTAGAAAACAAGTGGCAGGTACTGATAAAGAGTGATTATACAATCTGTGTAGAGTAAAGAGATGTTCCAAGGGCTAAACATTACCTATATATACTGGTACTATAGCTGGTCAACCCACGATATCCTGACACTGCTATGCAGACTTTATTTCAAACATAAATACGATAATAGCCATATGTATTCTCAATCAAAAATAAGTCATTCATTCTCTCTGCGTGGTTGAAATTGACATATTAACGAAAAGCTTACCTGCTGTGTTCGTTGCAGTCGGTAGGGCTAGGCAGTTATGCAGCCTGTGGTTTGGCGTTTCTAGATACTTTGGCGCCATGGCATGCTCGAGTGACACATTCTTCGGCGCAGAAAACGACTGACACAAAAGTATATTTTGATTTATTTTATCGACCAGAGAATAGAAAAGACAGAATCTAGTAAAACCCAAGAAAAGCTACCCGTGTGGTGTACACTTCTTGTACAGGGATGGCTCGTTACCACCTGCCATATCCGCTATCGCTATCAGTGATCCACAACCAACAAGGCCAAGAGCAAAGGTTTTAGCAACAGTTAATAATGTAATAATTGATGATATTAATCATCGACGCTTACGCCTACTTGACATCATAATCCACGTTAAAAGCGACAGGGGTTCGACGCCAGCGGGGTTGGCAAAGGAAAGACGAGGGGCAAAAAAGGGCATCATCACAAGGGAAGGAGGGGTAAAGGGGAGAAGAGGGCCTGTAGCCTAGGGAGTACGGCGAGAGGGGTCTCAGGGCCACTACTGCCATGCCAACCTGGTACGTTGTTCCAGGCCCAGGGTTGCGTAAGAAGCTGTGGGTTCCGAGCCGGGGCCGACGAGAACTAGTAACAGTGACTAGCAAGCAGGCTTCTTCGACGGAATATGCGCCCTTCTTCCTTCAACCCAAAATAGCCATCTCCTGCGTTTGACGTTACCATTATCTCGGGACGTGGTCTGTCACATCTGTCAATGGCGACGGACGCGACACTCGGAAACCAATACGGGGGTCGCAGCTTTCACCACCTTGCCTGTCCTTGTCTCCCTCCGAGCATGCAGCCGCGGGAAGGAAGAAGTTAGGCATCGGTCATGAGGGGAGGAGGGGTTGTTGCCTTCTTTCCGGAGTGGCTTCATAGGGCGGCTCTAAGCCCCGAATTCACCTAGAAGTCGTCTAGACTGGGGCCAAGGCCATCTGCAATGTAACATTGTTTGGGTTTTTGGGCTCGGGCAGAGATACACATGCGGTGATGGACTGCTGGCTACTGCATGTACTTCTGCTGAATTCAAGGCCGACAGGCCAGTTGAGACACTAGCCCGTGCATCGTGCATCCGGTATATGCGCCGGGGGGCCAGTCTGGTGGGTTCCCTTTCGTCCCCCCATTCTCCCGGACGCTGGAACTGCCAAGTTGCTACCATTAGCGGTCCGCTATCCGTACGGAGTACTTAACTAACTTTGCCTCTCGAGTTTGGACTAGCCTGCATTGCCTACGCGGGCTGCGTGGCTCGCTTCCGGATCCACTAGGGATACTTAGCTTTGCGTTGCGTGACTGTATTAACCTCCCCAGGTCCGGAGAGTTGGGATTTGGCAAGCGATGTAGCACAAGATCGTGGCGAGCGAGCCGATCCAGGGTGATTCGATCCAGCCAGACTGTCGGGGCCTCTGCCAAACACACCCCCGTTCCTTTGAGATGAGCACGTCTCGGTGGTAGTACTGGGCCGTGTAACTAGTAGTAATAAGCCCAGGGCTGTTGCGCAGTGAAATTACAGACTCATACGACGGGTGGTAATCGAAGGCCTTCCCATACTCCGTAGACCTACTGGAATACCGCGTAGCATTCTGGTCCCAGGAATGCGGAGATCCACTATCCACCCTGGGCTCCGAAAAGACACCTGTTAGTGTCGAAGGCGTACGAAGATCCTAGGCTTGCAGGTCTTGGCGAGTTGGTCCTCTGTCGTTGCCTTTCCAGCTTCCCCCTAGGGTCGAGAAACTGTCTCGTAATCGTAAAAGCGGACAGAGAGACGGGATACTTACAGATCATTGCTGGGATTGGCCCGGGGAGAGCACTCGGCGTCGAGTCGTGACCGGGATGGCCGTGCTCAGGAGAATATTAGGGGTGGTTTGGCTTGTTCGCTAAAAAAACCCACGCTTAAGACGGCCAACAGCACTACTTCGCTGTATACCAACACTGGAGAATCCTTCCAAAACCGCTACTGGGCTGATCGACTCCACTGCAAATACACCGCTCCTCAAGCGAAAACGATACTTACTGAGTGCGTATCGTGTAGGCTGAAGTCGCGTCTTGCCAGTCAACGATGATCGATGCACGAGGCTAATGCTAATGTTCTATTTTGGTGACGACCAGGGTCTTTTGGGCCGAGGAATCAACGTGAAACAGGTTTGTGCGAAAGAATGGTCTCCATCCATCAATAATAATGACAGCAATGGAAGAGTCAAACAGCGTGATAGTTGCTGGGAGAAATGCAGGTAAGCAGACGTCTTTACCAGTAAAAGCGCGAGCTCGGTTCTTTTTTTTTTTTTTTTTTTTTTTTTTTTGTGCCCTTTCTAAAGAACGACGTCCCGTCAATTCGAATCTGCAGCAGCCCAAGCACCAATCAACATAATAAAGCAGATCTTCAAAACATGACGAAAAGGCCCCAGTTCCTCGGTTGGTCAGTGCAGGGAGAATGCGCGATGCTGCCGGTGCTGGAAGAGGGAAAAAAAAGCAGACAGGGATTGGGCCGTTGGGATGACTTGTCTCTTCCGCGGACATGCCAAATTTCATCAGCCTGCAGTAGCCAGCATCGCTAATGCTCTCTAAGTGGTGGTAAGTACAGTAGTTAAATGCAGTCGACGAGGGTTGGCGAGAACGGGGACCTCCCTGGGAAGCGTGCAAACCCCGAAAAATTGAAAACTCGTAACGCATGACGCCAAATTTTGCGCGGTGTCCACCTTTCGTACGGTCTCCTCTTCTTGCACACGCCCTAGTTGGCCTCCTGCTGCTCCGATGCTTCTATCAGAGGCCCCGATCGTCTGCCATCGACGATATCGAGCCGAATCGAGGGAAGTATTCTGGCATTGGGTAAATCATTTCTAAAGAAAACCGCTGGATGGAGCCTATCGATGGGAACCATTCCGGGTCCAGCCAATGGTGCTGGTTCTGAGTAGATGTTCTGCTTCCGAACAATGGCCGGAAACACTTGTTACGTCGAAATTAGAGCTTGTATTGGCCCAGGTATTTGTCATAGCGACGGATCTGAACGTGCCAAATTGAAGGCGTACCTTGGTAGTGATCCTTTTCGGCACCGGTGTCTCCTCAATTCATATCAGTTAATTAATTAAACTCAGAAGCTATTCGACTTGAGTTGGTTAACGCTTGTGGGGGAGGACTAGATCGCCGACAGTTGATACAGTACGGTGAGGTGATAATTCGAAGGGTCAGACTCAGAACAAATACCAAGCCCGCACATAATCTGCTCAAGAAGCGTATCCTGGTCCGACACGCAATGATAGCTGTGCGACTGTGCAACATTTACGGAGAAGTAGTACTGCGTACACGTCACGGACAGACGCCCTCCTGCTGTAGATGGTATTGTGTTTATTTTTCCCGAACAAGGACCATGGGGGGTCGGTAGAACAGACTCGGAGAACGCCTAGCTGCCATCATCATTCGTCATCCAATTCTTGAATTAGAATTGACCAGAAGTCAACCCCTCCTCAGTGGAGAAACGCCATTAACTAGGTGTTGGGTACTGAGAGCGGAGGGAAGAGCATTCAATTCAATTGATCAATACCCAAGCAAAATGACCGAAAGAAACCCAATTCAGCAAAATATCTTTTGATTGGGTGTCTCCTCGAATATAAATCCCCCCGAGTGGTCAACAAGTCTATGATCTGTGGCGCATGCAGGGGGAGCGAACCCGCTTGGTGATACGTCTGGACGACAAACATCCTTTGTGTCAGCTGCAACACACTCCAACCCCCCGAATTTCCCTTCCCTCGGAGCATAATTGCTTCATGTGTCTCTGTCTCAAGCTGCCGCTTTCCAACCTAGGGGATGTCGGCGGGGCGACGATCGAAGCACGATATAGTGGCCTAAAAATCAAATATATTGTAACAAATCGCGACCGTCTTACGACTTGGGACTACTAGGTCTCCGGTTTCCCCAGAGGAGCGGCCGTTATTGGGCAAGATCGAAAACGGAATAAAACCGCCATTAACCCATCTAGGAGAGGGTAGACTCTCGGCATGGCCGTCGCTGATCAATACATGATGCTAGTGATGGATGAGATGCTCCGTACGGACCCTGAGTGATCCCACTGGTTCCGGGCTGAGCTCACCATCGTAATGGGTCAGCATTGTCTGGGAAGCGACGAACTCCGGGTGTTTGTGGCTAGGTGTTCGCTAAGTGAGCGAAGCGACTGAAGTTTGGAAATGAATTTGGAATCACGATATTAAAGGGGGCAACCGGAAGCTCATTGGCATTCGGGTGGAACAAAGTGGAGGAAAATTCCGTCCAAACCGAGTGGGTCGAGGGATCCGACAGACTGGATACAGCGGCATCTCCGTCCATGTTTGCTCCATCCGACGAAATTCTGACGGCCTTACGCTGTGGGTTAAGGTACGAAGGTTTCGAAAACGAGGGCTGGGCGTGGGTGCGGTGTGCGTCCCTGTCCAGGTCACATACGAGCGATCCCACAGGAGATGGAATAGACACCATCTATCGCATCGCGGTCTCCCACCCGGATCATGCAACATGCATGCATCGCAGAGTTCAGCCCCGTCGGATAATAAGGGAGTGATCCATGGATGGGAATTTCCAGCACTCTGGCACCAACAGTCATTGGATCCCGGTTTTCGGTTGAAGATCATTTAATTCTTACCTGCCTTTGTACAACCTGCGTACCGTACCGAGGTATTATTATTTGTGCTTGGTTCGAGGCTAATTAACCCAATTTGCATTGAGGGGGAAGATTCCAACAGGAGAGAAAAAAAGAAAAAAGAAAAAAGAAAAAAGAAAAAGGAAAAAGAAAGAAAAGAAAAGAAGGAAAAAAAAGGAAAGAAAAGAAAGGAAAAGAAAATCACCCCGACAGGATGAATGCCCGAGACACGGGCCGTCCGGACTGAACACAATCGTCGCTTCGACCATTTTGACTGGTGTGAACTCCCCTCCTTCAACCCTCGTTCTTTCTGGGCTCCCCTTTGGCGTGCACAAGTCGCGAGCCATCATTCTTAGTGTCTTCCTTAGTATGAATTCTAGTCCCATCCACGCCTCTCCCGGCACTCCGGGACGCCCGTGCTTTTTTAGCCTCAGCTGCCAGACTGCAAACTGCAGCAGGGATTGCGTACGTAGGAGGGGAAGGGAGGGAAGGCGAAAAGGAGACAACGGAGGGTGGGAATTGTGACGGGCAGAGGGACTGGCCCGCCTTGAAATGGCATCGTGTTCTTCTCCCCTCATTCTAATCAAACTTTCCCCTACGGAGTATTATAGCGTGACTCTTGCGTTGTCGAGAGGTTTCAGCATCTCTTCGGACCACAACCTTGCCAATGGTACCATGCCTGCATCCAACAACAACCAAACGATCTCATTCGAGAACACATACTCCTGTCAAAGCCTACGGAAGGTAACCTGAGATTCGGAATTATCTGCCGGTTGGATTCGAAACCAATCCGAGTCCGCTCCAGACTCCTGATGGTCGACATGATTCCTTCGCATCCTTGCTCCGTAGGTCAGAACTTTGAATTGCATGACTTTCTGTCCCACCGCCCGAACCGCGCACTCGGTTGATTTGATTTTATTTATTTCCAACAATATTCACACGGCATTGGACTTTTTCCAAGGTAGCTGAAGGAAAATCATGGCAATTTGATTTGTGGATGCACCGCGTACTTTGGACTTCTGCAGCGTAAGCTAGGCTGGGATTTTTCCCTCTTTCGGTGCAATCTCCTCCCTGGAGGAAGAATGGCCTCGCAGGAATGACCCTAAATTAATCATTACCGGCCATTCTCTCCACCTTCCTCAGCTCGTTCGGGCTAGAAGGATCCCACACCCAGCTAAAATCAAACTTAATCCAACCTGTCGGGTTCAGGGAAAAGGAAAAGGCAGCCGACTACTCCTCTTTCCTCCATGTATTATTATTATCCTACCCACAATCTTGGTTCTCTCCCCCTGGTCGGGCTGTCTGGCCAGTGTGGGAATGAGCCTTCCGAGTACTTTAAATACATTGCGGTCCGGTTCCAGATGACAGGCGTTGCGCAATTCCAGTGTCGTGCCGTTTTATTCTTATTTATTTATATTTTATTTTCATCTCTCTGCCCTTGGGAGCCGTTTCTGCGCCGCCCACGTATTCTAAATTGCAGCTGCACCGTTGATGGGACTGGCCATCACTTGGGTTGCCGTCGCCATCATTTGTAAATATCGTTTCATCGCTAGACTTTTGGTACTGGACCCCTTCATTGCCGAATTTTTTATTTAAGTTTTTTTTTTTTTTTCGCCCTCGTCGACTCGGCCGGTCTCCCATCTTGAAATACTTTATTTCCCATCCGAAATTCGTCATTGCCGGAGGGTCCGTTCACTTGGACCATTATCATTTTTCTCTGCCCCCTCCCTCCCCACTCAAATTCGCTTCGGAGGTCCCAGTGTCTACCCAGGCAGCTACTAACAATGGGTGGGAAGTCGGCTGTAAGCGTGCTCTTTTTTCCCCGTTTCGTTGCCCTAATTGTAGTCCCTGGCCTGTCACCTCGGCTCCTACCATCTGGAGAGTGACTTGCCTCCCGTCCGACACAGACCCCGTGTACATGGGCAACTAGGCCTTTTCTTTCATGCTCTTCTTTATTTTTGCCACCTTCGTCTTTCCATGTCGGTGCAACCAAGCTAACGAAGAATGTTCAAGGCATCGGGCCGTGACTTGTAAGTTCCTGAAGTGCTCCTTTTCAGCCGATCTAGATCTCCTGCTCGAGGAGCTCGAGTGGCGTGTCTAGTCGAAGCTAGAACTAAACGGTTGATCCTAGTGACACGCAGTCTTTGACTGCAAGTGTGACCGACTATCCCATAGAAAATGGAAGACGTTACCACAAGTACCACGAGGGCAGTATGTTATACGAATCGGATATGCCTTTTCAATGCCGAGAGAAATTTTTCTGATCATTCATAGCATACCTCTATCCCAATGATGAACAGGAGTTGGACCGTTTGGACATGCAGCATCATATGATAAAGCTCATCAATAATGGACGACTCTTTCTCGCCCCTATACAGAACCCCAAGCATATCCTCGACATCGGAACTGGATCTGGTATTTGGCCTATCGAGATGGGTGAGTATGCGTGGCCTCCTGCACTTACCCCGTCGACCCATCCGGCAAAGTCTGACAATGACCGTGTACAGCGACCGAGTTTCCCAATGCCCAGATTGTTGGTACTGATCTTTCTCCCGTTCAACCTACCGAGGTTCCCGAAAATGTTCACTTCCTGGTGGATGATGCCACCGAGGAAGACTGGCTCTGGGAGCCCGAGCACTTCGACTTCATCCACACGGCACATCTGATAGGAGCCCTGCCTTCATACAAGGATCTCTTGCGGAAAACTTTCAAACATCTCAAGGCCGGTGGCTACGTTGAGTGTAACGAATTCGACCCCAAGCCGAAATGCGACGATGGAACGATGCCGCCCGGCGACCCCGACAGCTTCAGCGAGTTCGCTCTGCAGGACTGGTGCGATTTGGAAATCCGATCGGGTCAGATCTCGGATCCCCCCCGGCAATTTCGAATAGCTCATCGAATTGCACGATGGATGAGAGATCTTGGTTTCGTTGACGTTGAAGAAACAATCCACAAAGTCCCGACGAATACCTGGCCGACCGATCCGCACCTCAGGACTATTGGTTCCTGGAGCGAAGCGAACTGGCTCGAAGCTCTATCAGGCTGGTCATATAAACCCCTCAGTATTTTGGGGTGGTCGAAACCCGAAATCGAAGTTTTCCTCGTTGATGTCCGAAAGAGCATCCAGAACCGCGACGTCCACTGCTATACAGACTACTATGTGGTGACCGGCAGAAAGCCTCGTGAGGGCGAACAGGCTTCTTAGGGGAGCCTGTTGATGACACTGCTATGTCCGATTACTATTCATGATCATGCTTCTTTTTTTTTGTTTGTTTTTTCTTCGACCATTTGCAGACATTGCTTCGTTCTTCTGGCTTTGTTGGATCATTAGCATAAGATACCATTTACAGGAAAAATGCATGGGGAGGCGTGCACGGGAACAGATTTTCTTGTTATTTCACATTTATTTCATATATATATGCTATATGATATCGATCTCACATACTTTGAATTTCAAAAGTCATTCCTTCCACTATTACTGTTGCAAGTTGTGGTGGAGGGGGGAAGTCAAGGCAAATGTCCTCTAGAAGGTAGAAAAAACGTCGTTCATAGACACTGTTGGAAAATAAAACTTACCTGCCCAGAGAGCAAAATAGAACACTGTGGCTTTGTGCAAAAAGCCCAATAGGTGAAGAACCTCAAGTGTGGTCTAAGATAGCTGGTGCCTTGGTGCCTTATATACTTATGCCTAAGGCAGACATATGCGATTAGTCATCTAAGCGGCCTCATCGAACTCCGCGTGTTGCTAATTAACCAACTCTGACAGGCTCGGACCTCTCAATTGCTGCCGCATGCAACTCCTGCCTCATGTCTTTCGGCAGATATGCCTATAGGCATACTATTCAGCCCTCTTCCAACGTTTTAATCGATCACGTATGGGTCAGCGAAGATCTACTTTCCTCTACCTTCCGACGATTCGCAAACGGCCAACGACGCCATGAGAGCCGGGTCCCGGGTCCATTGGAGGCGCGGAGACGGTTGGCTAAACGGCGGAATACGGCATTCGCTGGCATAGCTGGATCGGGGCCTTTGGACGATGTCGCCTGTTTGTTTGGGCGCAATGGCCGGGAACATATGAAATGGAGCGATAGCCAGTTGGGAAGAACGACGACACCCGAGACTCCAAGTAAGGCTTTGATCTGGATTGAATTGAGGCAGAGGGGAATACGTGTCTAACATGTGCCAGATTCTGAATTCTATCGGTTCTCTTCGTCCTCGTCCGCTTCTCCTCTTCCCTTTTACAGCGAGAATGTCGATCCGAGCGAGTCCTTCGGTCAGCGAGATTCGGGTGCGCCGGCGGGAAAACGCTCTCGCAAACCGACTTTGCAGGAATCCTTGCGGGGTCGCTATACGGTGTCGGAAATCAAGGATGCGGTTTCGCAATTGGGTGTTGATCCTCAGAGGGACCCTGCCCTTAGTCGTCTGATATTCGAGCATTTGTTGGCGCGGTCTACCGAGGAAGAACTCGTCATCTTTCTAAATGACATATCTTTGAATAATCCGGGAGCGGGGAACTATCTGAGCGCGGTCAAAGACCTGGATCTTCGAGAAACAGGTTTAACGGAACCACTGATTCTTTGGGACGCCGTCATTAGAGCGCTTGAGCTTGGGCTCATCCCGTCAGATGAACTCACAGCAATCGTCAAAACCTTGCCGAATCAGATTGGCGAAAGTAATGGCACGGGCGCCCTCACTGTGCTATATCAGGAGATGTGGGATGCGATTGGGCAGTGCGATGTTTATGGGCATAAAGATCTGGATGAGATGATCGCTGATGCGTGGCTTGAGATCCTAGTGGAAAGCAACCATCCGGATGCCCTTCTTCTGGCAAAGGAGATTGTAATTGCAACGCACAAGCGGAATCCTACGCTCAGTTCCTGGACCCCTTTACTCATCACACAGTGGCTGGAAGCATCAGCTCACAAAGCCGATATCAAATTTGTCACCAATCTCTTGGGCCAATTTCCACGCGACACGCAACTTCAGCAAATATTTGAGGCCACCGAATTTCTGGTATCTTCCAGGAAGCGAGACGTACTTGAGAAATGGCGAGACAGCTTGTGTGCTTTGCCGAATGTACGAAAACTGCTATCGTCGCAGATTTGGACCGATGTTCGAGCCACTGCGGAGCAGACCAGCTCCCCTCAATTCACGACTCACCACCAAATTATCTTGCGCCTCTGGGTGTTGAGGTCTCTTACTAGAAGCCTGCGCGACGGACCACTTTGGAGACCCGGGTCGAGATCGATAGATTATGTCGCCTATAATCTTTTGAATCTTTACAAGGCTACCGAGGCTACCGAAGACATCGACCACGATGGATTTCTAGCTCATATGAGGAAAGGAATTCATGATCTGGGCCTACCATCCAACGACCTACTCATGCTTGCCGTTGACCTCAAATCTGGAACGAAAATGACTAAAGCGTCCCGAGGATCCTTGCGGAAGCTAGAGTCGTCAAATTTACCATTTGCAGACATATTTGCAGACCTTGAGGCATATAACGCCTCGAAGCCTCATATGTTTACTGCTCTCGAAAAGACCGTTCGGAAAATAGACGTCACAAGTCCTTCATTCATCGAGCATATGCTTCATATTGTACGAAATGGAGACTCTCGGAGTGCCTGGACAATAATCCGTCTCCTTCGATGCCACACCTCGCTTAAGATATCGCTATCGAAATCTTGGCAACCAATTCCAGAACCGTCTGAGATGGCGCTCGTGCGATACTACTCCCAGCCTCGCGGGGCAGACTGTCCCGACCCTCATGCGGCCTTGGAAATGGTCCATTCGCTTGCAACTTCGATCTCATGCTCACGGAACTTGAGTCCGTGTCGCGCTTACTCCCTGGTCCACTGGCTCTATGTCTTCCTCGTGAAGCACAGCGCCCCGGTGAAGCCGGTTATCGCGCGCGCAATGTACCATGCTGGTATAGTACGATATCGAAGGGAGGGACTACGCGTTGCACGCGCGCAGTACGACTACATTATGGATTTTGTGAAGAAATACGAGCACCCTGAACTGGTGGCTGACCTCGTGCATGCGCCGCAGGCAGGTGCAACGTATGAACAGCCGAGTGAATTCGAGGAGGATGAGTATATCTACGCTTAAGACTGAGCTTGGTCTTCGTCTTGGTCTTGTGGGATATTGAGCATTGCGACGCAGGCTATGGGCCAGAGCTGCATGCTTAAAAAGTTATATAGAATCATGTACAATGTCGTTAATAGATACCCAATGTACAGTATTATCTACACGTCCTTCAATAATTCCTGTCTTGCCTGTAAATCATGACGGTCTTGGCGCTTGTTAAATCGGTTGGTGCTATACCAAGGCCAGTAAGAATATCTTTCAATTTTCTTTATCGAAGCCTACGCGAGCGTATGAAATTTGCGAGATATTGCGTTGCAAGTAGTCCATAAATATCTCTTCATGCGTGATCAGGGTAAAAAAGAAAACTAAAGATGATTATCTCCAAACATTTCTACTTCTCATCCCCTTTATGAGTCCACCTCCATCAGGTTCGCATCCCCAGAGACCTCCTCCACAGTGACATATTTCTTCATATCCTCCTTGGTGATGACCTTCTGGTTCAGATAAGCCGTCGTACCCTTGGGGAAGCGGTAGTCGCGGGCCTTCTGGCCACGCTCGTTGGGCTTGATGTAGTTGCGCAGGAGCTGCGTGGGCTTGTCCTTCTCAATCACACACACGTCGACATTGCTACCGGATCCCAGATCGTTGAAGATACCGGCCTTGATGGCCTCCGCGCACAAAGCGATCGCGCCCTCGCGGTCCAAGCCGGGCTGCCACGTCGACTCGAACACGGACATGGCGGCCAGCGACCCAGAGCCCATGGTCACGTAGGGGAGCTTATCCGTCGAGCCGTGGGCGTGCACGGTGTACAGACCGGTGCCGGTCGGGTCGACGCCCGCCACGACCAGGTAGGCGCCAATGTGTCCCTGGTATCGGAAGAGGTGCTGCTTCAGCATCGTCATGCAGGTGATTACGCGCGGGTCGCGGCCCGTCGACAGAGAGTGCAGTTCGATGTTCGAGCTGATCAGGGCCGTCGTGAACTCGGTGTCGGCGGCCGTACCGGCTCCAGCACACCAGATCTTGGGTGCGATGTAGTGTAGCTTCTCGCAGTTCTATTGTAACGGGACAAAGTCATCAGTCCGGCGGCTCGTGGCGGATCATTGGAATGAAGAAATCTCCTTGGACGTACCTTGTCTGCGACGATGGGTCCGCTGGTAGCCCTGGTATCGGCTGCGATCTGCGATTATCACCAGAAGTCAGTTTCTAATGAATGGTGACGATGCCAGTGGCACTTGAACGGCTTCCTCCTCAATTCCGGCAGAACGTACCACAACGCCCTTATCATACACACAGCCCACAATGGTGGTACCGGTGCTAGTGGCCTTGGGCAGAGGCACTCCTCTGGAGTGAAGAGCCGCGTTGCGGTTGTAGTTGGAGAAGTCGAAGCCTGTCATGATGACGGCGTGGGCGGATGAGGGAGCTGAGAAGTGAGAGAAAAGAAAGGGTGATGTTGGTAATGGAAGCTACAGCACTCGGTAGGTAGCTATCAAGATGATCGGAAGAGCGAATCGAGACACAGCGAGACGATGCGGAGACACGAGAAGGGGCAGAGAGGGAGCTCGAACGGACGATGATGGCCAGCGGAAGTGACGAAGCTCCCGCCGCCTGATCTCGCTGCCTCAGGCATTACCCCGGCACGGGCCTCGAGAGCTTCCGCTGTTTTTGTTGAGATCGCCATTGCCTCATGCAAAGTGAATGCTTGCCTCCTTCCGCTCTTCCACGGGGCTTCTCACTTTCTGTGCCTGCTCATCTGGCGATTCTACATTGCAACTGACCGCCTTCACTTCTTCTTTTGTTGTGAAGAGTCCCCCGGTCATTTCCTGCACTCCCTTCCTTTGAGGGGAGGAGTCCAAGATTTTTGCTCACTTATTCACCCGGAGTCCGAAAGCACTCCAACGTCGCTCATTTTCACCTCTGCCTCAAAGCCCGCCCTCTCCTCATGCACAGAGGCCTAAATTATCCTTCGACCGTCCCCGCTCCATTTCTTCCGACTTCGACAAACTGAGAATGGCCTTCAGTTTCTCCAACTCCGCTGGCGACACCACTGCGATGGAGGCTGGACCGGATCTCCCCGACGTCTACGCAGAGGTATGTCGCATTGGTCTTTGCTTTGCTTTGCTCCTATGTAGAGCGAGTGTTTAATATGTCCTCGAAATATAGGACGTCGGCTTTAAAGGCGTGTCCGGTGACTCGAATGTTCGACTACTCCCCACCCCATGGCCCGAGGATGCTCTTCCGGCGCCAACGTCTACCCTCCTCGCAGTTGCTTCAACGAAAGGCTTAATCGTTGGCGCGGGACCAGACTGCCTGAGCATCGCCTCCTGCGACTCAGTGAGGAAAGCGATCTCTGCGCCCACGGACGCCAAGGTCAAGACAAAACCCTTCCAATCTCAAGCGACAATTCCCTTGCCTGCACGACCGACCCATGTAGCTTTCGCATCCGGCGATAGCGCGTTAGTCGTCACCACGGAGGCTGGGTCGCAACTGTTGGTATATGAGACAGATAGCCTCTTAACGGGCAATGCGCAACCGGCTCTGTCCATACCCGTCAGCGGCGCCCCCTTCCGCGCCATCGCTCCGAACCCTGCGCTTCCAGACGATAACGAGTCGTCGCTCTTGGCTCTGGTCACTAGTAATGGTGAACTTCTCATTGCGAATCTCAAAGCCGGCGAACTGCTCACGGGAGCGAATGGTCAGGTCATGAAATCCGGAGTAAGCTCGGTATGCTGGAGCAACAAGGGAAAACAACTCGTGGCTGGACTTGCGGATGGAACGGCGCACCAGATAACGCCAACCGGCGACCAGAAGGCTACGATTCCGCGCCCGGCAGATCTTGAGGGAGAGTGTCATGGTAAGTTGAAGAAATTGATCGATAGGAACAGTTCTATCTTACTGATCTGACTCCCATATAGTGTCCTCTATTTCCTGGCTTGAGAACGATCTCTTTTTAATGATTTACACGCCGAACGCTGCAGAGGATGAGACAGGCCAGACACCACCATCGTCTTATTACATCATTACCAGAAGGAAACAGGCGCCTTTCTTGATCCAAAAATTGCCCGAACTATGCCTGCCGTTTGGATGCAAGCGGACTCCAGCCTATCAGTTTATCGCGCGACTTCGGAACTACGAACCGGACCTCAAGGATGTTTTGATTCTTTCTTCTACTGCATCCACTGATGTTGGTTTGATTACGAGGTCTTCTAAACCGCTCTCCAGCGATGAAGATGCTAAAAAGACTACCGATGTCTTTACCACTACCGAAGTTAGCGATGATACTAAAAGAGCGTCGCTGCCATTGACTGACTCCAGCGAAGACACGTCAGTTATCGGCTTGGGAATGGATCTTTCGAGCACGGATATGGTCATCGCCCCAATTCAAGGCGAGGACATCGCGGAGAGCTCGACCCCTCTGCCTAACCTCTTCGTCCTTAATAACGAAGGTATCCTCGCTTCCTGGTGGTTCATCTACTCCGAGGCTATTCGCAAGCAGTTGCCGTATCATGGTCAAGGAACCGGGAGCAAAGCCGAAGTCCAGCCCCAGTCTCAACCCCAGCCGATGCGACCCGAGGCCCCGAAACAGTCTGCGTTCGGCCAGTCAGCATTCGGACAGCCAGCATTCGGACAGTCGTCATTCGGCAGCCCGTCTGGCTCTGCATTTGGAAAGGCTTCCACGGGACCATCCTTTGGCAGCCCGTCAGCAATTGGTGGACGTTCCCAGCCTTCATTCGGGGCACCATCGCTCCCCGGTGCTCCTTCATTTGGTGCCCCGTCCCAAATGGGTGCCTCTTTTGGCGCTCCCAGTGCGTTGGGACAGCGCGGCGCAGCTCAGTTCGGTAAATCGAGCTTTGGCTCGAGTACACCTGCTCCCTTCGGACAAGCGTCTACCACTGGAAATGCAAACAGTTCTCTACCGTTTGCCTCATCGGGCGCACCTGCCGGAGGTGGCTTTGGCTCATTTGCCAATTCTGGCTCGGGTGGTTTCGGTGCATTTGCAGCGTCCAAACCCGCCGGTGAATCGCCTTTCAGCAAGCCGGCAGGCGAATCACCGTTTGCCAAGGCATCAACCGAGTCCCCATTTGCGAAGGCGTCAACCGCTTCGCCGTTTGGAAAACCAACGAATGAATCACCATTTGGCAAACCCGTGGCAGAAAATCCGTTTGGAAAACCCTCGGCGCCGTCTCCTTTCGGAGGCCTAACAAACACAAACAACACGAGCTTCAGCTCGCAGAAAACAGAGGAGACCAAGAGCACATTCGGCCTGGGCTCCAGTGGTTTCGTGCTTGGGTCTACTATGAAAGGTGATGGAAGCGCTGCAAACGATGGCCCAAAGCCGGACAAACCGTCGGGAGGACTTTTCTCGCTCGGGGCATCCATGGATGATATGGTCTCTTCACCTAATAAGCCTAGCACGCCAGCGGAGTCTATGGACGATGCAGAAGACGCCCCTGCAGCCCCTGCAGCGCAAGAGGAGAAACCCGAAACCAAGCAACCGGCACCGTCATTATTTGGCGGATCTTCGTTCGGATCTCAATCACAACCATCTCAACCGTTTGGGTCCTCTCAGACTAATAAATCGCCGTTCTCCCTGTTCGGAAATACCGAGAAGAAATCTAGCCCTCTTTCTCCACAGTCAGAGCAAACGGTCACACCTTCGAAGCCCAAGGACGAGCCAGACGCACAGGGCTCACCTGCTGCCTCGATGGCTGAGCCTCCGCTACCTCCCGATCCAACCAGCAAGGCTGTGTATGGGCCCGGAGACACTTCAGCTTCGTCTAACGTTTCCAAGAGTTCAGTTGATGATGCGCCTCTTCCGCCCGACTTTACTATTCCGCCCAAGAGCAAGCCAGCCTCGAGTCTTTTCGGAGGAGAGCCTCCCCTGCCCCCTGATTTCACGCAGAAACCGAAAGAATCTGAGAAACCGGAGGAGGCACCTTTGCCCCCAGACCCAGCGACCTCTAAATCTGCCGAAACTCCTACAAAAGACGAGCCTGGCCCAGTACCCGATGGTTCGGATGCGGATGAATCGGAGAAGGAGGGAGAGTCCGATTTTGAGGATAGCGGCGAAGAAATCACGCATGAGGACGAAGAGGAAGAGGAAGAGGAAGGGGAAGATGAAGAAGATACCAAAGAGACACCACCCGCTACCAAGAAGACACCCGAAAGCTCCTTCGAATCTCAATTCTCGACAACGAGTTCTACGGAGGGATTGTTCTCACGCATTCAAAAGCCCGCTCAAAAAACCCAGCAGCCTCCACGATCTTTGTTCGGAGCTGCTACTCAACCTTTACTCCCCCCTGCTTCTCGTGCTCACCATGAGTCTCCGAGGTCACCTAGCCCGGTGCGAAATGGAACCAGGAAGAGCACGTCTGAACAACCTCCTGGCAGCGCCCTTGCCGCTCGCAAGGCTGAACTTGCGCGTTATGCTGTAGAGGAACAGTTGAGGCTTCAAGCTCAAGAGGAAAAAGAACGAAAGGCTCGCGAGAAGCAGAGACAGCAGGAGCAAGAGGAAGCAGAGGCCTTGTCCGAAGACGATGAGGAAGAGAAGCTGCGCGCTGATCTTGCGTCGGCCTTAGAACCCGTTCCCACTCTAGACCCTTTTCTTCCCCACCAGGATTACGCAGGTCAGCCCAGCAGACCGGGGATTCCTGGCCAGATCGAGAGGCTTTATCACGACATAAATTCCATGGTGGATACTCTGGGCATTAACGCACGGTCTTTGTCTTGCTTCCTCCTGTATCAAAAGTCTTCAGCGGATTCGGACTGGATTGAAAAGCTGCAAGGGGAATATCCCTCCGAGTCTCTCGACGAGAAATTGCGTCTCTCGGAGATTGAAAAGTTTGACAATGCAGTGCTTAAGCTCTCGGCGCTGCTCGAGAAGCACCGACTTCAAGGTGTAGACCAGAAGCTCGAAGCTTGCCATGCGTTGCTCAGCAAAGAAATCATCACTCTGCGGACGCAATGTGCGAGCATCCAGAAGACTCTGGATGCGCACACCGATGCCGCGGCCATTGTGTCTGCTCCGCTATCTGCCGAGCAACTAGCTCTCCAGCAGGATCTCCGGAAAACCTCCACTGATATTCAAGCCAAACTTGCTGACTTGGAGTCTGCCGTGTCTCTGTTGCGAGCCAGAATCGCCGACGCCCCTCGCGATGGTGCCTCACGGCCGTCTAAGCGGCCCACCGTTGAGGCCGTGACCTCGACCATCTCGACGATGATGAACATGGCCGAAAGCAAGCGCAGTGACATCGACGTTCTCGAAGCCCAGTTGAAGAAGTTGGGAATCGACACCGCCGCGTCTCCGGGCAGCCGGGAGGGTTCGCCTTTCACGACCCCGAGAAAGGGCAAAAACATTCTCCCCACCACCCCCGGCTCCACTGCATCTCGCGATGGGCCTGTCAGCTCCTATCACACCCCCGAGTCTGCCGGGCGAGGCATCAACTTCCGCTCTAGTGTCAACGGCTCGGCACGCGCCAGTCGTCTCCGGAATGTCAACGGCGTCAACGATCTGGTGAGCAAAACGGAGACCGTCCAATGGAAGGTGAAATCGCAACGCCGGCAACACCTTGTTGGCAGTTTGAAGAAGGCGATTGATGAGAAAAAGGTCAAGGTCCGAAGTGCGGACGATATGTAGAATCAAATTTGTATTCCACGTTCTTCTGTGTTGGTTATTTCTTATTCTTTTTGGTTTGTCCCATCATGGCATGGTAATGGAAGGCGAGTGGCTGTTCCTGGGTAACGCTCGTTGTATGTACATAGTGCTCTTAAGCAATGACTTGACTGATTCAATTGGAATTCTTCCAGATTTGACATTGTTTCTCGATTTTGCAAGCTTTTACTGTCTGCATGAATAAGATTGTATGGATCTTACAGGTAACACAGGGAGTTAAACAGAGCACCTCGGTTCTAAAACCATCAAACTATATTCATTCATGCTGACAACTAGTGACTGGACTGGTTCGTGAGTCAAATGGTATCCTTCGATTCTTCGTATACAAGAAGCAACGAATTTCCCTCTTCGGTGCGCATGTTGATCCCAGAGGCTTTGAATGTCGCGGGATCGTCTTGCCCATACGCAAGAAGCAATGCACCATCGTCAGCATCTTCACTGTCCTACGAAAACACACCCGGTGGAAAAAATCCTTGGACTGACTGAAGAAGTTCGGAGCGACTGCACCATCATATAAAAGACATATTGCGTGTCACCGTGGCGTTGATTAGCCAAGGGTAGTCTGACCTTGGTTCCGTGACCGGATAGTCCGTGAGGGCACCAGAAGAAGCAACTTCCTTAAATCTCCGGTGCAGCAGATCTTGATGTATTTCGAAACTCGCAATGGTCGATTGTTGAGAAGTTCTGCCCTCTTGACCAATGGTGTCGGGTCTCAGGTCTCTAGTGTATAACCAGTGTCTGGCATGTCATATTTCTCCGCGTCGAGTCCTCGGTCCTCATAGCCCGGAGAACGTTCAAAGTCGGTCATCGTTACTTGCCCGGTTGACCTCTTGAAAAAGATCTGCTCCCCCGTCATCGTCCATAAATCATAGGAATGCGGCCCGCCCTGCTTCTGGATTAACCAGCGATTGCCTTTCATGCGGTTCGAGCATTAAATCAACGCAGATCTTCAAGATGCAACTTCAGCTTCCTACCCTGTGCTGCGCTGTACATGTCAGCTACTTGCTTGCTTCTTGCAGTCAAGTTTGACATAGTTCTAGGAGTACTCGACACGACAACCTCCCAATTTTTGCACATCTTTCATCCAGTGACACCCCATACCATACCAAGGGAACATGTGCAGATGAGGTCGGCGGAGTACCAACGCCGTTGGATAGGAGGCTAGGAAAGTCCGTCTAACTCAGCTGGAGTGAAAAACGAGAAAAAAAGCGTCTACTCGTCTGTATATCACCCAGGGAAACCTGTCTCAATAACCAGTATAGGCCATCCTCGTGGAGCTTTCTCAGCCGAAACTGTCGATTGACGAGGAGATTTGGGCACCTTGTTTGCCCTTGTCGTATCGTTAAGTCGGCAATACCGGAGGGATGAAATTTAATCTGTACAAGGCTATCGAAGGATGTGTATACCGACGTCTCATGTTTTCCCCCGGCGGATTGGCCATACCTTCGTCCAACACGAGTGAAAGAATCAGGTCGGGTCGTGCATGTGCACTATCATGCGGAAATGGAAGCAAGGCATGTTGGCTCACTGCTTACCAAGCGTAGAATATTACTAGGAGATTGATCTCTGCTTTTCGTTTTGGGGATTCCTTTGGCGAGCAGTGCGAGGACTCTGCTGAAGCGAGTGCGGCTTCGGGTGCGGTTTCAGTAGAGAGGATATTGATGGCGTACTTCTCGGAGATTGTCAAGCCGAGTTGTTGAACTGCTCTGACCTCGGATAGCGGTTCGGAGACAGAGAATGATCTCAATGAGCGCATTAGAGTGCTTCTGATATAGAATTGTAGAGCTTGAAATCTACGAACAAATGACTGAACCTCGTGGACACTTCCACGTTCTTGTTTTAAGGAAGCCACTCAATTGCAAGAGATTTCTCGAGGCCAGAAAGCTCCTTGCTAGAGTGTATACGAAAAATTAAAAATGAACGATTGTGGAATTGAAGTTTGCCAGAACGAGACCTACATGAACTATATACTTCAGCTCGTCCTCGACACCTCAGGCCACCAGCCAGTGAATAGCTTCCTCAGGCAACGAGTGACATCATCCCGACATCAGCATAACTCAATTCACCTGTCGACATTAACCACTCCAACCAATATTCATCCCCGAGCTAGGAATTTTCGACCTTTCTCTTCACCATCCATCCCATCTTATCGCGACAAGCCAAAAAAACACCCACAATGGTCCACCCCGTCACCGAGCTCATCTACTTCCAGCTCAAATCCACCGTGAAGCCCGAAGACCTCGCCAACGAGGAGGGGCAGGCCCTTCTGGACCTATTCAACAACACCAAGCAGCAAAGCGGATACCAGAGCTCAGCGTGGGGGCGAACGAAGGAGGATGAGAATATTGTTGTTTGGGTGATTGGTTAGCATCCCTCCTACCTCTGTCAAATTACTACTCTACAGAGCATACCTACCTCCACATCGACAAACTAAACAACCAGCTAACAAGACATTGCTGATGAACAGACTGGGCCGACGCACACGATGGCATCCAACAAACCCTGCTAACCCCCTACATCGAACCCTCCACGCAAGCTACCATAATCTTCACAACTCTGACCCCGCCCCCTCCCAGCTCAACAACGCCCAAAACGCACCGCCTAACGACGAACCCCGTGACCGAGCTCTGCGCGCTCGCATTCCCAAACACCATGGCCCCGGAGGAACACGAGGCGCTCAGCTCTGACCTGATAAATTTCCGCCGCGCCCTGACCGAGTCCCTGCCTGAGGGGTCGCGGCCCACGGCGTGGGCGATGGGCTACGTGGAGCGTCCGGGGACGATGGCGCATGAGAAGAGCGGCGACGGGCAGGCGTTTGTGCATTTGTTGGCGGTGGGGTGGGAGAGTAAGGAGAAGCATATGGAAATCAAAGGGACGGAGGAGTTTACGGGGTCGATTCAGCCGATTCGTGAGAAGATGCTGTCTCCTGTTCCTGGGCTGGGGATGAAGCATGTTAGTTTTGTGGGGGTTTGAGGGGGTTCTGTTCTGGGAGAATGTATGTAAAGAATAGATGGTCTGGAGAAGTTGAGTCAAGTTTCAAATAAGCATGACTAGCTTCCTTGGTATGAATGTCCCAATTTGCGCTTATGAAGAACACAGGAGATGGCAGAACAAATTGGGCCCAAAACTATTATTGTAAATAAACATCTGGAGAAATTGGAGTTGGATTCAATCCAATTACAACGGCTGATAGAGCAAAACTTCATGAACAGCGCTTTTCAATAGAGTACAGCATGAAGTAGATAATCCCGAAAAGATAAACAAGGGAAGATTAACACGGAAAAAAATCATCCAGGCCACCCAACCAGAAGCATCTTGCTTTTTCCTGGGATCCGAACGCACAAACAAAAGAAAAGAAAACAAAGAAATTATTCCATGTGCTCGTAGGGAAACAAACGCTGAAATGGCAGATTCACTCACCCCCATTTCAGATCCGGTGCTTCTCACTTTCTATAAAGAAGTTAGTGATGCTGTCACTGGCCACTCAAGGGGAATAAATACCGAGTCGCGAATAAAGCATGTACAGAGCCATCTGGTTGCACTCCTGGGTACCGGTGATGGTCACCAACCGCTCGTTGCTGTTCTCCTGGGGCTCGTTGATCTTGATCACACTGCCACTGAGGTGACGGATCTCGTTGATCTTAGCACCTCCCTTTCCGATGATGGCACCGACCATGTCGTTAGGGATATAAATCTGCTGAGTCAGTGGCTGACCGGGCATGGCTCCACCACCCACCGGGGCAACAGGGGGACCACCGCGAGCCTGGGCAGGCTGGGGACCACCGTACGGCGTCGGCGGGTGAGGGCCAGCTCCGGCATAAGGCGTCTGAGGGGCGGCACCGTACGGCATGGCAGGCTGGGCTACGGGGGTAGGTGCGGCCTGGCCGTGGAGGTAGGGAACGCCATAGGCGCCGGCACCGGCACGGTTGGGGTGAGGGTGGTGACGTTTGAAGGTGTCAGGATGGCCATATTGACCACCAGCGGGCTGAGGAACGTAGGGGACAACTTGCATGCCGCCCGGCACCGCGCCAGCAGGACCACCGCTGCGAGTTGCGTAGGCAGAAGCGGCGGGGCCACCAAAGCGCTCGGTGAGCTGCTCCACAAGAGTCACGGCCACGTAGTAGGTAGCGATGTGAACGGCATCGGCAACCCCCAGAATTACAAGGGATCGCTCGGTGGACAGGGGAAGACAGGCATCGGAGGCATTGAGGCGAGCACCGGAGGCCTCTTGGATCTCGCGAATACGACCGCCACCCTTGCCAATGATAGAGCCAATGAGAATGTGAGGAATCAACAAACGCAAGGGGTATGTCTTGGACTGGGCAGTGGAGGGGGCATCAAGGGGTTCATTGTTCAGGGTACGGATGATCAAACCGAAGGCCTATCGTCCGTTTGGTTAGCAAACCGAACTCCACAATGCATCCGAACCAAGTAAAACGAGGGCACTAACCTTAGCAACGGCATCCTGTGGACCACTGACGGTCAAGATACGCTCGACGGCGCCGCGAGAGTAGTCGCTGACGGTGCACTTGGCTCCCGACAAACGACGGATTTGAGATACATTCTCCCCACCTTTACCAATGACCGTAGCAGCTTCTTGGCTGGAAATTACGGCACGAATGTGAATCCAGCTGGATTCATCTTGAGGACGGCCTTCGGACTGGGAGCCAGCGGCCTCGGAATGGGATGCCGTGGACTGGATGGGCTGGGTCTCGCCGAGACCTCCCTTCGCATTAGGAGCATCAGGAACAACGGTATCACCTTGGCCATCGGCCGTCACACTGGGCGCGTCTGTCTTGACATCCGCATACGCCTCTGATTCATCACCCTTAACTACTTTATCCAGAGCGGGACGCTTGGCCTCCGGCTGATCATTAGGACCAGACGGCGAGGACGGATCCTCCAAAGGCCGCTTGGTCGACTGTAAACCGGTTGGAGATGCAGACATGATTTCTTTTCTCTGTTCAGCTGTGCAGCTCGTGCTTCACTTACGCAGGAAGTCGAAGTGTCAAAGAATAGCTTTCTCTTTCTGTCTTCTGCTTTTTTAATTTTTTGTTTGATCGACTATGTACACCAGGAGTTCCCAATAAAACTTGCTGGTGCTGGCGATCGACTGGAGAGGGAATCTGGTGCTTGGAATGACTGGGAAGATTGGTGTTCGTGCACAGTGAAGGAAGTGGTGTTGGATAAAAGACAGCCGATGGAAGGATGTGAAGAAGCTGGGTGGTCACGGGCCTTGAATTGCAGCGGAGGACTTTGCGCAGAGCAAAGTTGTGCTAAGGAAAAAGGAAGTAAGGAAAAGGATGGATCGAATCGGGAGAGAGGTGGTTTGCAGTGCTGGACGATGGTGTGATGAGGAACCGGACGTGCTTGGGAGCTGATAGCCTCAAGGAGCCGGGGGAAATGAAAAGAATATGAGAGCAAGAAAGATAATTCCAGGGAAAATCCCAAGTCCGCTCAAACCTCACTTCCTCCTCGGACGACGCGACGGTGTTTAATGTGTGGAATGTACACCACAAAGGGTCCGACGCGCTCTGGACTAAAAAGGGCCTCAAAAAGCGATACTGAAGACCAAAGTGCCAAACAAGGGGCAGTGAGACAGCTTTTACGGCCGTTGCGACAAGAATGAAGATGCAAGATGAAGGTGAGAAGGGGAGGGAGATGGATGGAGGGACAAGATGAGGTTGTCGCGGTGAAGAGATGAGGTTGCAAGAAGACCTGGCACGGAGTCACGCTAGTCTGCTTTCGGCCACAGCGTCGCACAGGCCACATCACGTGCATCACGCATTGATGCGCCAGTCGCCCTTGTCGCCGAGTTGCGCCTATCAAGTCGCGTGCTGACGGGTGCTCTTGCTGGCAATTGAGCGTGTTCTGACTGAATACGTGCTCTACATACCTTTATCCCTAAAGCCTGTCGCGTAACAAACCCAAGCTAAACAAACCCCCAAATGGACACGTCGCAAGAAACCGTTGGCAACGTCCAGCGTTTCACAGAGAAGCGCGAAAAAGTGGAGGATTTCTATGAGAAAAATCAACCCAGCGACCCTGATTTTCGCGAGTACAACAGACGAATCGAGTCTACACTAAAAGACCTCCAAGACCAAGTCAAACGCCAAGAAAATGACTTGCAAAAGGTGCGATCTCCCCTCAATCGAAATAAAATCCAACTACTAATGCGCCCACTAGCTCCGCGAGGTCAACTCAATTGATCTCTCCAAAATGGGCCACGACCCTTGGGCTCGCGTATCTCAAGTGCGCCGAGCCAAGGAAGCCTATAACTCTCTCCTGAAATCACGGACAGACCTGCCGCATCCTGGGTCTCCGCTGCCCGCTCTCCTGGCTATAGGCGAAACGTCTCGGCTGATCAACGAAACTAAAGTGTCGGTTTCAATGACAGCGGAGAAGATTTCGTCAGACCGTCAGCGTCTGAAGGTTGAGGAGTCGAATCTTCGCGACGCTCAAGCCATCAGAGATGGGTTGGAAAAACGCCTAGAGAAGATCCGGAACGAGAAATCGCAAAAGCAGAAAAGGACGCCTTCTCAACTCGCGCAGGAATTCCTGGACGAGCAACAACAGAAAACAGAAAAGCTTGGCAGTGAAACCGAGGAACTGAAAGTTTCTCTCCATGGCTTTATCGATGAACATCTCGCTCCGATGCTCGCTGCCGAGAACCTCGGCGGCCCAACCACAGGAGATACAATGGGCATTTCAGATGACACACTAGAAAGAGGCTATACGAACCATGGAAAGCCAAAGAAGCCCAGACCCGTGGAGACAACAGAAGGGGACGGCACTCAGCGCCGGATTGATGAAATGGTTCGTTCAGCGGGGCAAGGGGGTACCGAGCGACGAAACACTTCCAATAAGAGAGAGACGGCAGCCGCTGAAATGAATGGCCTCCTCGATGCTCTACTGGACGCAGGTTCTTCCTACATAGACCTTCCCCGAGAATCAGCTGCGTCTAGGTTTTTGGTCCGAGCCAAAGTTGCGCAATTCCATCCACGCGATGCCAGGAAGCTAAGGTTGATTGATTTTGGGCGTTCATTAGACGACTAATGGCCAATTCATTAGCTTCATAATTAACGGGGGCTATGTGCATGCCAAAGTGCAAGTACTACAAAATTCCTTGGAACGGAACATAGATCATCAATCTATGGCCAGTCAAAAAGAACTGCCCGAAATTACTATATCAGTGTGTGTGTGTAGAATGATTAATATTTCAACAAAGACCTATGCCGCCGAACGAGAATTCCGTCAATTCGCCCGCTAATGCAATTCAATCATCCAATAATAATGCTATGTGTCGACTCCATATAACACCCAAATCCTCGTCCAGACATAATGTACTTGCTCAATGTAAGTGGAAAAAAAAGGTTTTAGATAGGCATCATCCCTATTCGGGAGGCCGTCGGCTCCTTCGCTTTCGACGGGCCCTTCCGAGAGTACGGACGGCTCTCGGAGCGGCCAGTACTGGCCTTCTTTCTGGTTCTCGAGGTCCTTGGTCCAGATCGAGATGTTGTAGGAGTTTTGCGTCGAGGCCGTTTGCTAGCTTGGCGCTTCCGACCCCTGAACCCATTCGAAGTTGAAGGTCGATCCTGTTCATCGTCGGAGTCATTGCTGGGGACTGGCTGCGTGATAAAGAATCGGCTGGAGACATTTTCATTTATGTCCAGGTTCGAGGCCTGATCCAAAAGATCCCCATCATTGTATTCTTCGCTGTCGCTGCTGAGGTTGATGACATTGTGATGGTTGGGATCAGGAACAACGCCATCTGCATCATCGCGCTCTTTTCGCAATTCTGTATAGCGACGTTGCGTGTCTCGCACGAGCTTCAATATCTGGGCGCCGTATCGATTTACTTTGTCCGGATCAATACCGGGAATCGCAGCAAGCTCCGACAGATCTGCTTATGTCTTAGTACGATTGATAGTGATCAAATCAACGCAGCGATACTTACTTTGAGGGAATACAATAACCATTTCGCGAAGAATACCATCGGTAAAAGGCTGGTTGCGGAGGCCCTTTTTGAGTACCAGCTGAATCAAATGTCAGTAATCTGTTGAAATACGGTGGTGCGTATTGGTTTCTACTCACATCCTGACAATGGTTTTTGGCATAGACCATGAAATCTTCTGCAACCGCCTTGTGGAGGGGATCGAGTTGTTCGAACCTATGATCCTGGGTGATCGGTGGGCCTGGCGTATGCCTTTTGCTCCGTGACGGTTTTCCAGCGACCCGAGTAGATTCAAAACCGTCGCTATCCCGACCGTCATCAGAATCATCGCCGTCCGAGTTGTCAAATCGAAAGCGGTTAAGATCCCGCCGATTGGCCCCTTGTACAGGCGATGAGATATTGGTGGATTGAGGGTAGTAGTCCCTCCCTGAGTCACCGCGAGGTTTCTTCCCCTTTCCATTTGATGCAACCTTGACATGGAGCTGTAACTTACGGCGACCACTCGCAAATTCAGCAGCACGTCGTCCTGGCTTGATATACTGGACAGCGAACTTGCTTCCGTTGACCACATTCTCTTCATGTAAAGCCCCTTCGCCGAGAAGACGGTGAAACAGTCGCTCGGCTTCTCCCATCTCCAAGGAGGACCCATCTCCATAGCCTGGAGCCTCCCTGTGTTGAGGAGACCGAAACTTTTTCACGCTGCCACGGAAGATATTGACACAGTACGACATGGTCACGTTTTCGTTGATTCTCTCAAAGTGCCTGACAACCTTGATTGCAGAAGCAGCATGTTGAGAGAAGTCACGAAGTTGAAACACGGAATCTGACTTGCAGTTGTCACAAGAGGCATTGCAATCCTCTGGACGAAAATACTCGTTGAAATAGGCCAGGATTTGCACTCTTCGGCAGTCGCACTTGTTCTCGCAGTATTGGACAACATTGTGCAACATCTGGCGCTGTCGGTCTTTCTGCTGCTTGCTCCCATCACCCCCATCGATCATCCGAGTAATAGGATGAACGTCTCCGTAGGAGTAGAATAGATAGCAGCCAGAACGCTTGCCATCTCGACCAGCGCGACCAGTTTCTTGGTAGTAGCCCTCTAAGCTTTTCGGAAGACTATGATGGATCACGAATCGCACATCCGGTTTGTCAATCCCCATGCCGAAAGCAATAGTTGCGACAATGACATGGGTTTGTCCACATTGCCAACGTTGCTGTACCACGGTGCGCTCGTTGGTTTTAAGGCCCGCGTGATAATGCTCGGCTTTGATCCCATGATCATCTCGCAGAGCACCTGCGACTTTCTCACAAGAATCGCGTGAGAGACAATACACGATCCCACACTTATTGCGATAGGATGTTTTGATGGTATCCGCGATGCTTTCCAAGAGACTTGCCCCCTTTTTCTTTGGCAGAACCTCGTACGTCAGGTTTGGTCTGTTGAAGCTCTGCGTGAATATCTCACACCCTTCCATCTTGAGATTGTGGATCACGTCCACTTTGACATTTTCCGTGGCAGTGGCAGTCAACGCCATCATTGGCACACCGGGTAAGTGGCTTCGAAGCTCTCCCAATTCCTTGTAGTCAGGTCGAAAATCGTGGCCCCATTGACTGACGCAATGTGCCTCGTCAACGACGATTCGCGCAAGTTTCTGTGCATCGTTGATTCGCCCCAGAATCCGAATTAGGATTTGGTTCTTGCTCAGCATTTCCGGCGTAATGTACAACAATTCAATGTCTTTGTCCGGTCGTGGACCAGACAAGGTGCTCATGATCCATTTTCGCTCATCGGCTGGGGTTTCTCCATTCATCACGAATGCTTTAATTTCGTTTCGATGCAAATGAGTGACTTGATCCTGCATTAGACTTAGCAATGGGGAAACCACTAGTGTCACTCCCTTGGTGAAACCACTGGTCACAACAGAGGGAAGCTGGTAGCACAAGGATTTCCCTCCACCGGTGGGCATAAGAACAAATACGTCTTTGCCACTTAAAGTTGCGTCTATAGCCTCGAGCTGGTTGAGTCGAAAACCACGTAGGTGGAACCGGTCCTTCAGCATCTTCTTTACATCCTTAGACCACGAGTGCTGGTCCCATAACGCAGTCTGGCTTTGCGGCTTTTGAGGAGACGGAAGGCGAGGGACGTTTGCAGAAGTTTCAGCGAAAACTTTCCGAGAAGGGGGTTCATGACAGTGAGAAGGAAATGGATGATTGTCTTCCAGATAACCTGCAGCCTCTAGCATGTCTTCATCGTCGGCGTCCAAGTCGAATTCGTCGGCAATCCCATTTTGAAAGATCGGCGATCCCATTGTCCTAGTGAAAGTAGCATCATCATCGTCCATCATTGGCTCGTCGTAGTCAAAAACACCCAGACCTGAGCTTCCGTTGGCAGCCCTTTTGGGTGCACTGACGGAAGGTGCTGAGATTTCGCTTCGCGACCTATCGTAATTAAAGGCAGATGCACCAGAAGGCCGAAACAGCGAGCTGCCAGCAGACGCTGAGTGCCTAGGTCCGATGCTCTCCCCAATGCCAGAAGGCTTGGTCTTCAGGGGGGATGGGTTTCTCTGATCTAAGTCATGCTGGGCAACACCATTGCTTGACACGGACTGGTCTGGTAGATCACCGGCGCGCGAAAGGAGGCCTTGTATATGTGTTTCTATCTGTTCAAGTCGGGAAGTGATTTCCCGGCTTTGTTTGAGTTCCTGTGGCAACGACTCCGGGCTGCCACCTTGCGATATCACTTGCATAAGGGTCTTCTTGAGATCCTTTCTTTTTGTTTCATTGGCGTCGTACGCTGCCTTCTGCTTCTTCAACGACTCAATCGCCTCGATCCGATCGGTGATGCTTTTGTTTTCGGCGATCAAACCAGGTGCGAGCTCGCCCCTCATTGCCTGCTCGTAGACAAGTTCCGCATTTCGTGTGAGGGTGCTCCTAAGAGAGGAAATTTGTTGGTCCAGTACATCCGCAGAGGAAGCCAAAAACTTGGCGACGTCCTCATTTTTGGGTTGAGGGCCCGGTAGACTGGAGGAAGGCACATCCGATGGTCTCCCAAAACTCTGAAGCCCTTCGCTACTCGAGCGCGCACTAGTGTCCACAGGCTTCGCCGGAGATTTAGGGATTGGCTGCTTTACGGGTTTCTTGCTGACATCAACCTCCTCGATATCATCTTCTTGAGGGAGGATTGGGTACAAGGCCTCGCTAGTGGCAGGGAGGTATTCATCATCACAATCCCAGTCATCAAAGAGGTTTTCGTCATCTTCGTCCGAATCCGCAATTACTTCTTTTGAAAGGTTGCCTTGAGATCGCAGAGGCTCGTTTGTAGGTCGTTTCGAGGGAGAGCTGAGATTATCTTTGACTGGACGCGAAAGTGGGCTCTTAACGGTTCGCGTTGAGTTGGAATGCGAAGGAACGTCGTTCACCGTCTTCAAAGGCGATCGCACTTTCGGAATATTTTTTCTTGGTGACCGGAGATCGGAGGTGTACTCATCGCTCTTTCGCTTCTTGCCTCGCTTCTCCGCGGGATCCGCGCGAAAAGCAGCATCCTCAGTCCATACACGTCGAGATTCTCCGAATTCATCTGCCGCTCCTGATTTCTTCTGGTCGAAGTCGCCGGTCAAGTCGATGGTATCGATATCAAGAAATGGGGAATCGAAGTCGTCGAAGGGCGATTTCGCACGTAAAGGCGTAGCCACTGGCGGATGGGGATCATGAATAGTTGAAGGGCGCGCGCTTTGACTGCCTTTTCGAATTCAACTGTTATTAGTTTCCCACCAATGGAAAGAGTGCAGTCGATGCAAATTACCTTTGGCTGATGTTTGCGGCAAAACCTTGCGACTAGATTTCGGCGTGTCGAGAGAGGAACGGCCATTGGGCGTTTTTGGTAGTCCGGAAATCGGGTCTTTGGAGTGACTGAGCAAACGAGGTTTCTTCGAAGAGTCCGGAGCAAAAAGTAATCGCGCCATGTTTATATCCGGTTCGGTCCCCGCGCCGGCTTCCAAATCATCGTCCACGAAGGTATCCTGGACGGACTGCGTGTCGTCTGAGGCCCCCGCTGCAATTTGAGCGACCGATACGTTCGGCGTTGGAACGGACGGGTTTCCAGCAAGACGCTGGCTGGCGGAGAGATCGTTAGGGACGCGCGCAGACGGCGATAGAGACGGATAGAGTGAGGGGCCTTGATCTAAAAGCCATTTGAGATGGACCTCCAAATTGTGTCTAGTCATAGAGCCGTGGTTTAGTTTTCATGATCTGGCAGACGGACTCAAAACAAGGCATTCGTAGCGTCGTTTGTGCCGTAGTTGCTGGGCAGCAAGAGCGAACGATTGATCCATCGGCGGCTCCAAGTGGATTTCCTCAACGGGAACGCGTCCCTGCGCGTCGTCAGGTGGGCGGTGAGCCCCGCCAAGCACGGGGGACGTCGCAGTACGGCATGTTACACATCTACCATACACAATATCGTGCACGTCTTATAGCTTTTTGAATAGGTCTCTGAAAAGAAACTGCCATTGTTATCATCATTCAAGTTTCCGAGTTTATCTTTCGTTTTTTATACATTTAATCTTCGGTTGGTTTCCTTGTTTTCTCAAAGTAGCAACACAAGATCAAGCATATTTACCTGCAGCGGTATGTGATACGGGTAATCAGATTACACACGTAAATAAACGAGGGGATCCCTTTTTTTTTTTTTTTTTTTTTTTTTTTTTTTTTTTTTTTTTTACTTTGACCCCGCGATATCCAGTAGACCTGATATTGGCGGAGACTCCACCACGCATCGAATACGAATCATATCAATTTGAATCCTCCAGAGAGAGAGGTGTAAAACAGACCAAGAAACAAAAACAAGGCCAAAAGAAACATCCCAACATGGGCAAGAAGAACAAGAAGTCCGCTGAGCACAAGGACCGAGTGGCTGCCAAACAGTCCAAGAAGGCCGCAAAGGGGGAGAAGAAGTCCAAGACCAAGGGAAGAGATGCAGACAGCGATGTGGAAGAGGCGGATCTAGACGCCATCCTGGCGCAGTATGCCGAAGAACAGGCCAAGTTCCTCAAAGTCACGGAGGTTGTATCAGGACCGCCGTCTCCTCGAACCTCCGCAACGGTGCTAGCGTCTCCGTCGAATCGGAATGAACTGTTGATCTTCGGAGGCGAGTACTTCGATGGCAACTTGGCTTCGTTCTTCAACAACCTGTTTGTTTACTTGATTGATCGAGGTGAATGGAGGGAGGTCACGAGTCCGAACAGTCCCCTGCCTCGGAGTGGACATGCTTGGTGCCGTGGAGGGAATACCGGGGGTATTTATCTGTTTGGAGGTAAGGATAATCTTATTGATATTATGGATTCGTGGTGACTGATGTACTGTGTAGGAGAGTTTTCTTCGCCTAAGCAAGGTACCTTCTATCACTACAACGATTTCTGGCATCTTGACCCCTCGACGAGGGAGTGGACTCGCATTGAGACGAAAGGAAAGGGTCCTCCGGCCAGGAGTGGTCACCGGATGACCTACTACAAGGTACGAGCCTAAATCCCATTGCTTATTATTCATTCAAAGTCCTCACAGTGATGTAGAACTACATTATCCTCTTTGGCGGTTTCCAAGATACCTCGCAGCAGACCAAGTATCTCCAGGACCTGTGGATCTACGATTGCTCCCGGTACACCTGGTTCAACCCTGCCCTGTCCACGGCAGCTCAGAAGCCGGAACCTCGGTCTTCTTTCTCTTTCCTGCCCAACGACGCAGGTGCAACCATTTACGGCGGCTATTCCCGCGTCAAGGCGACGACTGGAATTGGAGGCAAGCCTTCGAAGGGTGGACCCCAGCGGGTGACGATGAAGCCTATGGTCCATCAAGATACCTGGTTCCTCCGTATCACGCCCCCAGAGTCCGATGCGCCCGCCACTGCTGCGCCCACCGTTCGCTGGGAACGCCGCAAGAAGCCCGCAAACTCCCCGAATCCGCCTCGCGCCGGTGCTACCATGGCTTATCACAAGGGTCGAGGTATCATGTTCGGTGGTGTTCATGACGTTGAGCTAAGCGAGGAGGGTATTGACAGCGAGTTCTTCGATACTCTTTTTGCCTGGAACACCGACCGGAATCGCTTTTTCCCAATGACCCTCCGTCGCCCACGAGCTCCGGGCAAGAAGCAGCTTGCCAATCAGGCGGCCAAGTCCCGGGACCGTAGCAAGGCCGACGAAGAAGAACTACTGCAGAACCTGAAAGCTTTGGAAGCTAAGGGTGGCATTAACAGCCAGGATGACGATGAAATGGAACTGAACACTCCAAAGCAAGAAGAAGAGCCTGCGCAGCCGGAGAAACCGTCTCTCGTACGCTTTGAGATGCCTCACCGTCGGTTTAACGCTCATTTGGCGGTTCAAGACGACACCCTGTTTATCTTTGGCGGGACGTTCGAGAATGGCGATCGGGAGTTTACCTTCAACGACATGTACTCCATCGACTTGGTCAAGCTCGACGGCGTGAAGGAGGTCTTCTACAACGAGCCCGAGAACTGGCATCTGCTCAACGAGGCTGAGAGCGACGACGAGATGGATGATGATGACGAGGAGGATGACGAAGAAGAGGAAGAAGATATCATGTCTGTGGACCATGCTTCTCCTGCCCCTACGGAAGTCACTGTGCCATCGGTCACTCAAGAGATGGAGCAGCTCGAGGTGGAAGAGCCGGAAGGTGAACCCTCTGTGCAAGATAGTCGGCCTCTTCCCCGACCTTTCGAGAGCTTGCGTGAATTCTTCAGCCGGACCTCCGAGGAATGGCAGAAGATTTTGCTCGAGACTCTCAAGGAGAAGGGTCTGGCGGCGGAAAAGAATATCAAGGAGCTGCGCAAGGATGCGTTCAACATTGCCGAGGAGAGATGGTGGGATAGCAGAGAAGAGATCATGGCTCTGGAAGATGAGCAAGAAGCGTCAGGAATCGGCGAAGTGGTCAGTATTGCTGACCGATCTGAGAACGTTGGCGGTGCTGGAAGACGCCGATAAAAGCTTTCCGTATTTACTAAACAAAATATATAAATAAAGCTAAGACATGATTGAATGTGAATATATTGATGCGATAAGATGCTAAAAATGACCAACGTTTGTCTCGGCCACTTATACTTGTCTGGCCACTTCATCCAAAACACTAGTCACAAGTTCAAAATCTCGCTCTTCATCAGCTCGCCAGTTCGAAATGGCGATTCGACAAGCCGGTCTTCTCTGCCAGGACGTCCCGGACACAAACATTTTCGAAGTCGCATTTATTCTTGCAGCAAGGTTCTTGTTCAGGTCATCCTGCTTTGCGCTGAACAACACAATCATGAATGTTTGATCCAGCTGCGCCTCCTTGCTGCTTGACTCGGGGAGTATATTATACGCCGTGTGGTCGGAAAGCCACGCCGACAACCTTCTCGCCAGTCGAATCTGCTTCTCGAGCACAGTGCGATAGCCCGCCGCACCGTAGGACAGAAGCGTCGCATACACAGGCAAAGCTCTGAACCTTCTCGAATTCTCTATTCCAATGTTCAAAGGGGATGGAATCGAGGACGCACCGGCTCCTCCAGTCAGGTATGCCGCATTTGGATTGGTAAACACGTTGGCTGCCTCGTTGCGATGGCGCGTGAGAAAGAAGCCGCAGTCGTAGGGAACATTGAGCAGTTTATGTCCGTCACCAGTGATAGAATCCGCCAGTTCTAGCCCATCAGAGCCCGCCCGGACGGACGCAAACTCGGGACTATCATTCAAAACACGAGCAAATAATCCAAAGGCCCCGTCGACATGTAGCCAGGCACCGTACTTGTCGCATAAGTTGCGGAGTTCCTGCATCTTGCTTCTCCCTGCGGTCGCGAAGCGGCCGGTGTTCACTTCTCCACTGGAGACAGCGACAATGCTTGCTTTGTCTGGTCTTGATAACTCGCGTTCGAGCTTCTCGAGGTCGAATTCAAGAGGGTTGGTGCTGCCCTCCTGACAGACACTGACCACATTGGCGCGGCCGAACCCCAGGATCCCCGCTGATTTGCCGATCGACGAGTGAGGAAGCGTCGTCAAAACCTGCAAACCGGACAGGCCCGAGGCAAGCATGACTTCGAACAGACCCCATTCTCCGACGCTGTCTTTGGAAACTCCTTTCCTGCTTGCAGCGGCTCGAACGGCAAACTCCCGCCCACAGGCTAATCCAAGCAAATTAGCTGCCGTGGCTCCAGTGGTGAACGTGCCATTATGCCATTCGCTCCGATCCAGTCGAAAGAGATCAACGAGCAGACCCAAGGCGCTGGATTCCACGTCCGTGGCAATCGAATGCTCAGTCAGGTGAACCTGTACGTTCTGGTCGTAGGCAGACACGATATTGTCTGCGAACAAGGCGGCCGGTGTGGTGCCACCGGTGACGAAACCGTAGTAATTAGGGCTGATGCTGCTGCCGTTGAATGCCGGGACGATGTCATCCAAAATGTGCTTTTGGGCCGAGTCGAACCCGATGCCATCTGATGGTAGAGAGCGTGGGAGTGAATCTCTCGCGCGAGACAGGATCTCGGGATTTGGTAAGACGCCGGTCTTCCACGGGCTTTGCGCGATCTCCCACAACTCCCGTTGAACTTGCTCCAGGGATATCTCTTGGGTGCTTTTGAACTCCATTGTTGGGATGCGATTTGGGGGAGGAAGAATTGTAAAGAAGAATAAAGAGCAGAGGTGAAATTTATGGCTTCAAGTCGGAAGAATCGGTGGTTTATTAAAGATACGCAATGGGTGTTGCCTCGATAGTGACTCAGAACTTGTAGTCACTAATTAGTTGGCCCGCAGAATCATGGACGATCTTTTAGTTGTTGGATCTCGGATGGACTAGCTGAATCCGTGAGGCAGCTCATAGATAAGACGGGATTTCCGCCATTCACTTTCGGTGTGGGGTACTGGAAGTTGAAGGTTGATGTCGTGTTCCGAGAGGGAGTGCAGGGTAAAGACAATGACTAAAATCCAGAGCCCTAAACTGGCCATTAAATGGGCATGTCTTAAACATTCAAACCTTCATTTCGCTGCTTACAAACGTGCTGTGTTTAAATAGTAAGAAGTAAAGTATGTTCAAGGATTAATAAAATATTTGGATAGCTTACTAGCCTCTTCGCAGAAGTTCTGTATTTCTCTTCTTATGATCCACTGTCCAATATCCATCATGAATTCTTTGATGTCCGGGGTTTTTCGAGAATAGCATAATTACGATCAAGACAGGCCTTTCCATGCGGTCAGACATCCCAAAAATAGTTTCATGAATGCGGGAATAAATCAAATTATCCTTGTGATTAACAGGCAGAGACGGAATGAGCACTAAACCTCCCGGAAACCTCCTCTATCTAAGGGGAGGTTCCAATATCAGATCTATGAGTAAATCACAGCCCTACTAGTGTGCCTTCCAACCGTCGCTACATATAAGCCCCCTCACGTTCTCGTCTTGTTTGCTCAATCCATCCCCGCTATCTCCAACTACTTGAGCAGAGTTTCAGTGCCTACAGGCCTTCCACTCTAACCAAGCCTTCCTCAAACACGCACAACAAACAGACCACTTGTACTCACGAGATCTCGTGCCAAATCAATCATGGCAGAACAGCCTCTTTCCGAGTAAGTTTCTTCGAGGCTGTGGATATTTTTTATGAACTAAAGCTAACTCTTCCCCTTAGATTCCTCTATTCCGGTGCACTGGTTCAACTTCGTTCATCCGATTCCAATCAACCCTTCTACGTTCATAAAGCTCTCTTGGAGTCGAAATGCAAGGTCATATACTCAGCTCTGTCGAGAGGCTTCTTGGAGTCTCAAGAGGGGGTATATACCTGCACGGACACCACTCATGCTACACTGGCGCGGGCCGTTGAATGGATGTACTCTGGAAATTATCCATTGCTTAGCAAACAAGAACTCGGGGCAGATGCACGGCAGGATTCTATGGACACCAGACAAGAAGAGAAAGCCAACAACTTGAGCGAGCTTGCCGAGGAGATGAAGAACCACCCAGTCATGACTCACCTGCAGCTTTACATATTTGGGGAGGTATACTTGATCCCAGATCTAAAACAAGCCGCACATGAGGAACTCACGCGTTGGTGTTCATGTATAGTGCAAGGACTCAGCCCTCCGCAGGCTTTGATTGCTCTGTTACATATGGCCTTCAGTAATATCAAGCCGGATGATCGGCTTCTCCACTGGTTCGCACATTTTTCATCATGGAGACTGGATGTACTACGTCAGCAGCCCCTCTTCAACGATCTTCTACTTGAACATCCCGTCTTAGGTTCTCTTATGATGGCTTCCGTGCGTCCAGCAAGTGATTATCCCTACTACTAAAAGTCAAAAGACCTCGTTTGCAGCATCATGTCTCTCAGGATAGTCTTGAGCTATTGCCGGCAGTTGGTAATAAGCCCGCTAAATTCACTTACAGCTTGCTTATCTTTATTTTCTATTTTGTTTTTCTTTTTTGTTGTTTCTTTTTTGTGAATCTCCTCTCTATGTCATCAGTTCCCTGCTTGTTTACTCCTTGGATAACAGTGCTTATCATTAAAACTTTACATTCGTCGTAGATTGCAAATTGCTGATTAGGTCATTCGCTCGAGAATACCACTACTTCTAGAGATAGCTTGTAAATGCTCAAGTGCAACAACCATTGGGATCATTATATATGTTGTCTAAAGACGCCCGGCGCTAAGCTTACCTCTCGTGGTTCACTACTGTGCACATTTGGGTTTCCCACATGCTATCTTGCTATGTGAAATTGTAAGCATGTTCCTGATATTGCCACTAGACCAAAAGCCCAAGCTGGGCAATGGGTAGTCCTTGCAATATCTTATATGTCAACAGAAATCCGCTCCTTCAAATACCCAGCAACCCTAGTAAATCACTAGGTATCGAAGATACCAGTATTGCAGGGGATAAATGATGAGCTAGGAAAACCCTTCCGGATTCATTGTGATCTATTTAATGCTATCGAGTTTTCCACTCGGCCAAAAAGAGTCGATCGCCATTGGAGAGCATATGACTGAGGGAGGCTACTCCAGCACCGGCATAGACGAAGGATGGAGTCATCGACACCGTGGAACATAGATAGGGATAGGTAGTGTTGGTCACGCCTACGTTTGACCTGGTTTTCTCCCAGAAACGGAGGAAGGGCTGTTCCAAGGTGTTATTTATTACTACTTGCCATTCATTCATTGCATAGAGCGCTTAAACCAGAAAGAGAGACTGATAACTCAATCTGCTGGACTGGATTGACAATCTCAGGAGTGGGCATAGTTACCGATCTAGTATATTCAACATACTGGGCTGTGATTGCCAAGCAGCTGGGGTGCGCTTTTTCTTGGAAGCGCCACAGCCACAGCCTGAACGCTGTATTAGTCGGCCCTACTATATCCGGGCCCTAGTTACTCGGGCCCAACAGCATTCCAATACAAGCCAAAGGTTCTATCCGGAGAACGCCCACGGACTACGAGTAACCCCGAGCTTAAATCCGGTCCAACCTGCCTGGTGCCTGGTGGCTCTATAAACATGGCCGCTGGGTGCTACTGTGAGGTGGTCAAGTGCTCCTGCATTCAAAGGCCATACAAAGTGAAATCAGGTTTAGCATAGACAATATGGCTGTCTCCCAAACCCTTCCTCCGACCGGCTTCGGCCTCTTGGGCATGACATGGCGCCCCAAGGTTACCCCCGATGAGCAAGCCTTTGCCGCCATGAAAGCTGCCATTGCGGGCGGCGCCACCATTTGGTCCAGCTCCTCTATGTATGGCATGGACCCGGAGCCTCCCACGGCTGGGCTGTGGCTGCTGCGCCGATACTTTGAGAAGTATCCCGAGGACGCACCCAAGATCCAACTTTTCATCCGCGCCTGTTTCGACCCGGTCAGCTTTAAGCCGCAGACAACCCGGGCAGGGGTGCGCGCCAGCTACGAAGAGTGCCAGACCATCCTGGGCGAGTTCAAGAAAATCAACGTCTTTGGCCCGGCGCGTATAGACAAGGAGGTGCCGGTCGAGGAGACCGTGGGCGCCCTAAAGGAGCTCGTGGAGGAGGATAAGATCGATGCCGTGGGCCTGTCTGAAGTCGGGGCTAAGTCGCTTCATCGTGCAGCTGCCGTGTGCCAGATCAGCTTTGTTGAGGTCGAGTTTTCACTGTGGAGCACTGAGATGCTCACCAACGGCGTGGCGGAAGCATGCAAGCAGCATGGCATGACGATTCTTACATACGCTCCACTGGGCTATGGGTTCCTGACGGGACAGGTCACTAAGCTGGAGGATATTCCCAAGGGCGACGTGCGGCATATGTTTGGCAGATTTCAGCCAGAGGTATGTCGATCTTCTATAGCTCTCAGTTCAACCTAACGCAGAAAGAACTAATGAAGAGATAGAATTTCGATAAGAATCTCGAACTGGTCGATACGGTCAAGATCATTGCCAAAGAGCGTGGCGTCACACCGGCACAGTTGGCTCTTGCCTGGATCCGCTCGCACTCAAACCAGGGCAACTGTGGTAACATTATTCCTATCCCGGGAGCCACGGCTGCTCTGCGAGTGGAGGAAAACTGTGGCGTTATAGAGCTTTCGGCTGCGGAGAAGGCTGCGCTGGACGGTGTCATTGCATCGATCGAAATTGTTGGAGATCGTCAGATCGTCGGAATGAGCGATGAGATCCTCTGGACGTAGACACACTATAGGAATTGAGTAGTCGACTTATATATTATCCGTGAATGAACTCAAACATACAGTGAGGCTAGTCTCATCACCGGCCTTCACCAGATGCAGATGCTATAGCCATACCATGTCCCCTGGGAAAATGACTTAGATGAGTATGTGAATTTCGGAGAGAAGTGAGAAGCCAGGATGGTCGGGAAGAGACAAGGATAAGAAGCGGGGAGAATTTAGTGAATCTCCCGCCCTTCGGCTTGGCCTGTGCTTCTTCCACCGCGATTTTTCTCCCATACTTCTCCATCCTTGTACCTCTCACATCCAAACTGAACTTGGATCATAGCCAAACGCAAGGATGGCTGCCAAGTTGGTCGATCGACGGATTCATAGCATCCCGGGTGTGTACTGATTGATCCCCGAGCTTCAATGTCTGTTCTAACGGGCGGGGAAGGCAAGCTTCGAGTGGCGGAATTGTTCTTCGACGTTCCCCTGAATCACAGCCAGCCGAACGATGGAACCTTAAGGCTGTTTGCTCGCAGCGTTCGTCGTCATAACAAGCCCGTTCAACCGACCAAGGATGAGCCTCGCCTTCCGTGGCTGGTCTACCTTCAAGGGGGCCCCGGAATGGGATGTCGACCCCCACAGGAGTACGGCTGGATCGGAACCGCCCTGGAAAAGGGCTATCAAGTATGTATTCACTCGATCCAAGGATTCCACTCTTGATCTTTGGTTTCCCTTCTCTTTTTTTGCAGTGTTAACATTCCAACAGGTCCTCTTCCTAGACCAGCGTGGCACGGGTCTCAGCTCCACCATCACGGCTGGCACCCTTGCCTTGCAGGGCAACGCAATCAAACAAGCCGAGTACTTGAAGCATTTCCGTGCCGACAATATCGTCCGGGACTGCGAGGCGGTTCGGCGTTGCCTTACTACCGACTATCCCGAAGAGGAGCGCAAATGGAGCATCATCGGACAAAGCTTCGGTGGTTTCTGTGCGGTGACTTACCTCTCCTTGTTGTAAGTTAAGGGCCCATGAACGATATTCTTGAAATTCACTCTCATCTGACGATCCAATGCCTGCCAAAGCCCCGAGGGCCTGCGTGAAGCTTACCTTTGTGGTGGACTTCCCCCCTTGGTCGACGGACCGGATCCTGTCTACGCGCTCACCTTCGGTATGCTTGAACTCGGGTGCCAACCTTCCGCGTTGGAGGCTAATGATGAGTAGAAAAGGTAATCGAGAGGAACAAGGCATACTATGCTAAATTCCCCGAAGATGTCGACCGGGTCAAGCAAATTGTCAAGTATCTGCAGGACAACCAGGTGGCTGTGCCATCTGGCACGCTCACCCCAGAGCGGTTCCAACAATTGGGTATTATGTTTGGCATGCATGGTAAGGACCTCAACACTATACTGGTAAGTTCACAGAGCTAATTCTTTTTAGGGGGACTTGACAGCATCCATGGTATGGTAGACTATCCAACCTCCACGTTCAAGGCTGATATGAAATAGATCTCGTGCTGCGTGCTTCCCACGACTTGGAACTGTTTGGCTTCTTGACCGTTCCCACACTCAACGCAATCGACAGTTATGGAGGCTTTGACAGCAACATCATCTACGCCATTCTCCACGAAGCCATTTACTGCCAAGGGTAAATTCTGACCTTCTCCTCTTGATCATCAACAATTCCCCCGACTAACAGCAAACAGACAACCCTCGAACTGGTCTTCTGACAGATACCGTGCCGCCAACTCCCAGTTCCACATCAACACCGATCTGCCAGAAATCTGGTTCACCGGTGAAATGGTATGCCTGCCTCGCCCCTCCGATCTTCCCCGCCAGAATTAACCAGACTATCACACCAGGTGTTCAAGGACATGTTCGACTCCTACGACGAGTTAAACAAAGTCAAGGAAGCAGCCGACATTCTCGCTACCACGAACGACTGGCCCGCCCTCTACGACGAGGAGAAGCTGGCGCAGAACACCGTCCCCGTCTACGCCGCGTCCTACGTGGAAGACATGTATGTGCATTTCCACCACGCCTCTAACACGGCCGCGAAGATCGAGGGCATTAAGCAGTTCATCACGAACACCATGTACCACAACGCCATCCGTAGCAAGCCGGATGAGCTACTGCAGCAGCTTTTCGCGCTCAGGGATGACACTCTTGATTAGGCTGCCCCGCTTCCGTTCTTACGCTTTCCATGGGCGCTGTGTTATTTATTCATCTCTGGAGCTCTATTTTTGTCTTTTGGTGGTTTATCTTTTAGTAACACTTCATGCCCCCGGGACTGCCAATACATGAAGCAGAGATGGTATCAGTCTATTTCTAAATAGCGTATTTAGTATAACCCATCTCCAATTGAGTAAATCCATGAATATCAACATTAGTAAGGCAAATCATGACTCCGTAAAGCGGGAACAAATAGAGCGGTTGCTATTTAAAAGACCTAGTGACAGAACAGTCAATATCAATCAATGCCAAAAACATATAGGCAAAACTTACCGCCCCACCAATAATAAATAACCGTTCCTCCTCCTGCTGTACCCACTGAACGATTTTACTTGCGCTCTGGGCAAGCGCATTCCGATTCGCATTGGGAACAGCCACACAGTAGAGTTCGAATACCGGTGTGACCCAGGCAAAAGAGCTGGATGATTGAGAGACGCAATGGTGGACCTTGACATGAGAGTGTTTGGTGTGGATGCTCGCGTGGAGATTATTGTATGTTGAAAGTAGCCTAGAAAAGGGCGTTAGGTTCTCGGTGACAATGTGTCAGAAGATATGGAGAGCCTACGAACCTGCGGCGGCGTGTAGCCGATGTGAATTCAGGGTGGTAGGATGACATGGTAAATTGTACGTTCGCCCGCGACTTGTACAAGAAATGATGCAGGACCGTTCCGGGGATGATATCGGTGGGGGTTGGTCGGCCTTTGTCGATGGCCTCCTTGATGATCTTGATGCTGCCGTTCTTTTCCATTTGCTGGATGGTAGGTGAATAGGTCAGCGTTTGCGAGGCCTAGGGGACGCAAATACGGCCTTACCTCGACGAAGTTATTGCGCATTTCTTGCATTTCGAAGAAACTTTCCTTGTTCATGCTTATCAAGATGATAGCGACCGATTCTTCTTTGGTCGTGGTGTCGTCCGCAAGGTTGCCGGCATCTTCTCGAAGATCCAGAAAACTGACGTACATGTACAGGTATCCGCTGCTGTTGAACCCGGGCAAGCAGACCGGGATCCAGCTCTCGCCACCACCTGCTTTGACAGCTTCGGCTTCAAAAATCATGTTGAACAGAAGCTGCAGGTCGCCAGGATGCAGAGAATGTTTCTTGGGTCGTACCACGCTCACTAGTCGACCTCCGGCGACGACCAGGCCGTAGAGAAGACCAGCAACTTTGGTCTTCAGCAATGTGTTGTTGATTGTTTGGCGGTGAGATTTGCGGATCTTAAGACATTCAAGTGCCGAAAGAAGTGTAGAGGGAGAGCCTTTGGTAAAGCTGTCTGCCAGAGTTGCTAACAGGGTCTCGGATCCTTGGAGCGGACGTTTTAAGTCGGTGGATGGGCGGACGGAGAAAAGATGGGTTAAAGACGGGAGAGTTAAAGTGGATAGGATTTGCATATACAAGGCTTCAAGTTGAAGCTTCAGTTGGGTGTCACTTTCAAGAAATCGGCTGATTGCCACCAGGTACAATGGTCCTTTGGTTACGACCACGAATTTGGTATCACCAGCCGTAAAACTGCTCAACCGGTCTTTGGAATCTTCATAAAACGAGATGATGGTTTGGATGACGCCAACGTATGTCGATATCAGCCCACCGTCGCCATGCCTTGTCCAAATCGGCTTCCCAGCAGCGGATAAGATAAGGTAATGCTTCCTCTTAGCTTTCCATTTCTCGAGAACCAATTCTGTATTTCAAGCAACTGATTAATGGATTGTACATGCCAACAGCAGACATTTTACCTACCCTCGTGTTCTCCTTCATCGCCCACTTCTCCGACCCTCTCAAACTCACTTGCGAAATCGTCTTCTACATTATCGGCCTGGAACTCTGGAAACTGAAGTAGTCCTGTACTCTCCTGACCAGCCCCAGGTTCCGCCGCAATAAAGTCACTGAAGACATTCTCAACATCACTTGTTTCCGCGTATGGGATAGAGCTCTTTATGCTGGCCGAGTCGCCAGTTTCACTCCCCCGGGAACTGGCCAAGTGACTAAGACTTGCCTTGGCCTTCAGCGCCCCGAGGGGACTGAGACCCGCCTGGCTTTCCTTTCCACCTTCCCGGGAAGCAATGTCTGTCAAAGATACAGCTGTGGTAGCCCGTGATTGGAGGGTTGTCTGTGTCGAACGAGAGGAGGCCGCCCCTTCATCCAACAGGCTCAATGTACCGGGGCGTGGAGGTAACGGCGGTGGTGGGCCTTCGGGGCTGACGCTGCGATCCCTATCGCTGGAAGTCGCAGGTCTGTTCGGGGAGCAGGATCGGGAACCACCGTCATGATGTGTCGTCGAATTCTCCGTGGAAGGTTCCAGGGGTTCTTGCGACTGGGTCTGCGCCGTCGAGTCCATATTCCCAAGCCCAGCTCGTCGGCATTAGACTTGATTCGGTCAGTGTGCTGGTCGGGTTTGATCAAGTGATGCAGGACCTCCTCGTCAGAGAGAACATCAAACCGGTCGCTGCGAACGGAGGGAAATGCATCGTTCGTGGGGGAGGAAATGGGTTGAGGGGGATCAACCCAAAGGCCGCGGAGGAGGAAGTGGAAACTAGTCCGTTAGTTGGCTTCCAGCACTCCGTCAGCCGCCAAAACATCTCCGCCTTGTCCTTTGCGGCTGCGTGTCTTCACGTCGCAACCCCCGACTGGCTGGTGGATCTCAACCGCAGCATTTGCCTTCCCAATGCGCGAAATATGACGAGGTGCGACCGACTGACTTTCTCTTTATTGTTGAACTCTCGAAATCCGCACCATGAGCCTTGATCCAAGCTCGTTTCCGAGGTCCAACTCCCCCGCAAGCTCCGAGAGCTCCCTTACGCGCTCCCGCTTACGAGGAAAAGAAGGTCTGGATTCCCTGGCCCTGCAGTGGATTTCCGTTGCCATCAGCTATATGGACTATACACAGTATTGACACAAATTTAGAGCCTCTGCGGAAGGATAAGAACTACCGTCGTTATGCGTCGAGCGTCGAGCGGTCCCTGTCGCTGTTTGACACGGCCTTGCAGGAATGGGCCGACTACATCTCATTTCTTAGTCGCTTGCTTAAGGTAGGATTCTATACAATCAGTCAGAGGTCATTGCTCGGTTCGCTAATTGTCTCTCTATATCAGGCCCTTCAATCTCACCCTCCGGATCTACCGATCGTCCCTCACAAGGTGCTTGTCGCGAAACGGCTTGCGCAATGCTTAAACCCGTCATTACCTTCTGGAGTTCACCAGAAAACGCTTGAGGTGTACACATACATATTTGATCTGATAAAGGTTTGGGCTTCAAAAGATGTCTGTTACAAGCACCTCTGTTAATCATCTGTCTCGTCTACTAGTCCGAAGGACTGTCGCAGGACCTACCTCTATACCTACCGGGCATCGCGCCAACTCTGACATTCGCCTCTCTTACGGTTCGCCCACTATTCTTGTCCCTGGTGGAGACACATATTTGTGGCCTGGAGCCATGGGCTATTCGTCCTGCATTGAAGGCGATCATCTTGGCCCTTTTGCCGGGACTCGAGGAGGAAACGAGCGATGACTTTGAGCCCACAATTCGATTGGTCAACAAATTCCGTGATATTTCAAGTCAGATGGACACCAATAGACCCGGGATGGAAACCAACTCAAGCGGTCAATACTTCTGGCAATGTTTATTCCTTGCTTCGATCACCAGCCCCAGCAGACGTTCAGGTGTTCTAGCTTACTTGAACCGCTATCTCCCCAAGCTGGGCATTACGGACCGTAGACCGAGCAAGACTGAGGGAAGCGACGACATGCCACAAGATGTTCTAATAGCAGCCGACTCGGTGGTTTCTCCCGAACCAGGCTTACTGATTCGCTGTTTCGCATCTGGATTGTCGGACGAGCAAGTCCTCGTCCAACGGAATTTCCTTGACCTGCTTGTTACGCACCTTCCGCTCAGCTCCCCTATTCTACAGGGTCGAATTACAGACAACGATCTTCGTCGACTGATCATTGCGGCCGTTGGTGTTGTCTGGCGCCGTGACATGAGTCTGAATAGACGATTATGGGCTTGGCTCATGGGCCCCGAACCTGCCAATGACCGGCCTTCTTTCGACGGCAGCATCATGGCATCTGAAAAACAGACGCCTGCGGTCGGCGGACAGGAGATTTCCCAGTCAGAATACTTCAGTCGCTTTGGCCTGACTCCGTTGATAGGAGGTCTTCTCCAGATGATAGAACAAGATACGCGCGTTCCCTCCGAGAGAACAAGGCCCTTCCGTATATCACTTTCGTTGATGGACCGATGGGAAGTTGGGGGATACATCGTGCCAGCGGTGTTCCTCCCGATTATCCGAAGCGTTCAGGCTTTTGAATCGGTAGCCTCTAAGAGCCAATTTGACGAGGTGTTCCGCAGCGCGAGTGCTTTCTTCGATGGAGTCGAAAGTGGTATGATCTTCTCTGAACTTCTCCGCTTGGTAGACTGGAAGTCGGGTGAATTGAATCGCAACCATGAGCAGGTCTTGAGCAATTTGAAGCTCGCCCAGTTCATTCTGGAGAATTTCAATGTGCGCGAGGAAGACATGGTTCTTACCCATGTTCCGCTACTAACGCTGTCGATCCTGGTCAAGATGCGCGAACTACCTAAGGAAGATCACTCCTCAATGACCGAGGATCAGCTGCAGCTTTTGTCTAATAGCCTCTCGAGGGTGATGCATTCTCTGACTGGGTTGCTTACAGAAAGAGCCTTCTCAAGGAAGTCCACCTCTGATAAGGGCTCAAATAAAGCGTCCACATCGTCTGTCGATGATTCCGAGGCCCTACGCAAAATTCATGGATTTTATGATCAAAGCAAGGGCAGTCTGGATCTGCCACCGTTGCCTTTTGCTCCTAAAGTCCTGGGCGGGCTCATCGTTAGCAAAGCTCATGAACTCGCCATTGCAGCCCTTGATCATCACAATGCCGCTTTGCCGATTCATGATAGGGTCAATCTTCTTATAGTCTTGCTGAGGAAGCTGCCGAAAGCGCGTGTACTGCGCGACCGGCGCTTTTACCTTGCGATTTGCAACCGAGCGAATATAGATCAAGCCGATCCGTCTACTTCGTCCTTCTCATCTACCTCAGCAATTGCGTCTGCTGTGACAAGCCTATATTCTATTCACTCTCCTGGTTTCTATATAAGCTACGAAGATCTGACTGATTTGGTTCCGTCCCTTGTCAAGCAACTATGGCAATTCCTTTCGCCATTAAACCCAAAATATCATGTTGAAGCAGTTCGGTGTTTGTGGCGCCTGCATTCAGTTTCATGGCCGGATCACATTGTTGAAGCTGCCATTACTTCTCTAATGATCGACTCATCGTCAGCTGCGTCTCGCCACCTATCATCAGAAGAGCAGATCGGTAGATACTTTGTGCTATGGAATCACAGTCACCATGGGACTTATGATCTTCCACCGAAACACAAGAATGAATCAGCACCGCCTCATCTACTCTATCAATCGTCAATTCTTGAACGGCCGCTTTTTGTTGTTCTAGACCTTTTATCCCAGGGACCAAGCGAGGCTTCTCACCTAGTCGAGCAGTGGCTTCAGGATCTATCATCTATACACAAAGTTTTCTTTATACTTGTTTCGAGACTCGAAGACTTGTTTCTGCGGGTAAACCCATCCGAAGCTGATACACAGGACTTGACGATATCACCTGATGATTATAAAGAAGGGAACTATCTGCTGGAAACAATTCATACCTCTCTATCTGCAGTTTCACACAATGGCTGGGTCGCTCTTTTGACGCATCCACCACCCCAGGCTGAGAAACATAAAGATGCTCGCACCTCGGAGGATCATGCCGACGCAGAATCTCTACATTCAACTATCTTCCAAGATACGTTGAAGGTAGTAAGTGGAAGGATTGCCAATGCTGAACAAACATCTGCCGACGAAGTCAAATTACAGCAAAGCGCTCTTCTCGTCATGCGCCAGCTTCTGCTCGGTCCCGGAGCTGAAAGCATTGTCGAGTCCGGAATTGATGCTTTCCTTGTCGACCGACTCTTACACGTCCTTGATGCAGGGGGCAGCATCGCCGTACAAGGAGCACTCATTGACACCCTCCTTGCGGCATTGAAGGTTCGATTTGCTCAAGCCTATCTACCTCCACCCCCTCCTAGACCGAAGCATCAGAGGGCCAGCTCCCGAGAGCGATTAACAAGCCCATCGATCTTGTCTTTTACGAGTGATAAAGCTGAGAAATCCCCTGCGGCTCCGTCCTTTCCTCAGCCTCCGCAACACCTTCTCGACTGCATTCTGAAGGGTATCAGCTCGCCAAACTCCAGAGAGATTGTAGAGAGATGGACTGTGCTACTCTGCGAGGTGCTTCCATTGTATACAGGATCCATTTTCCAGATTCTTCTCTTACTAGTGGAATGCTTCTGCAAGGAGATTCAACTCTCGTACGCCAGCCTTCAGCTTGCATTCAAGCAGACCATAAAGTGGCGTGAGGATCGCTCAGAGCATGCGACTATTGCATTACTTGCCGGCCTTGAGACCTGTATCGCAACTGCCCACGAGCGCCTTCTAATTGAAGAGACGAACGCACCAGCCGTCAAAAGCCCAGACCAAACTCATGGGTTCTTTGGAAACATGGTGTCAGGCGTCTTTTCTTCGGACGCTGGTCAATCTCGACCGTCAGCTGCAAATAATAGACTCACAGTACTGCTATGCTTCCAAGATGCGGTGCGACTATGCTTCTCTATCTGGTCATGGGGCGCTGTGGAAAGGAGCACTCTCCCTCAAGATGCGGAATCTGTTGCGTCATTTCAGTATACTTCCTTGCGCATGAGGAACAGATCTCGGCGGATCCTAGAGCATCTATTTACCGCAGAAGCTCTTGAATGTCTCGAGACTTTAGTAGAGATGTGGACGAAGTCAGATCCCGACACTTCATCTCTCATCTTCAGTCTCATCCACACTCTGGATGGGTCCAGACCCAAGATCACGATCCCGGCCGTGTTCAATGCAATCTATACGCGAACCAATCCTTCGGCACTAGACCCAAGCCGTAAATCCACGCTGTCATCCTCATTGACAGAGGCTGAGCTGGCCGGATTTTTGGTGGCTTACGCCAAGTCGCTTGACGACGACGTTCTAGACGAGATTTGGGCTGACTGCACTACGTTTTTGCGTGACGTGTTGAGTAACCCATTCCCACATCGGCAAATTCTTCCGCGCTTGGTCGAGTTTGCTGCTATACTTGGGGCTAAGTTGGACAATACAAGCTTTGGTGATGATCGGCGAATGAGAAGGGAGCTTGGGGTATGGATCCTCTAATCAATTGGATGAATCCAAGAGCTAACGTTTTTATAGGATGTTCTACTTCGTTTGCTTACGGCCATATTCACGAGCAAGCCTCTGGGAATGTCTCAGGACTCCGGCCTGATGAGTCGAGCCTCTTTGGACCACGATAATTCGTCCGTTCCTCACATGGGGCCCGATGACATGCTCAGCATCCTTTCCTTGTCTATGCCCGCCTTCACAACTACGTTGGGTGATTCGGATCGTATCAACTCGGCCGTATCGGGCATCTCGACCAATGTGATTGCTCCTCTGCTGCGGTCCCGGCTTTTCCCAAACAACGTCAACCGCAGTTTCATGGCCCTTCTACAGCATATAGCAAAGGCACCCGCTGCGGCTAAAATCTGGAAGAAGGACATCTCTGATGCTTTCAACGACCCCAGGTTTTTCGGATCACAGGTGAACCTGGTGAAAGATGGTTGGATGACTCTGCTGCGGCAATGGGTTCTCGCCGACAAGGATCGACTGTCCGAATTACTAGCCCGTCTCCCTCCACCCAGCACTGCAGGAATAATGTTTGGCGTAGGCGCATCCGCTGCGCGCCTGGATGCCGATCGCAAAGCGCAACTGAATCTCCGCAGGATTGCCCTGCTGATCATGTCTGCTAGCAGTGACTATTTCGTTGGAGAATTGCCAGGTCTCCTCCAGAAACTCGAAGACCTCCTTGCAGCCACCAGCTCATCCTCCCCCTCGTCCAACACGCGGGCCGAGATATTTATGGTTCTTCGGGCGCTCACCCTCAAGACCTCGACCAATACGCTGGCACCGTTCTGGCCGATAATCAACACCGAACTGCAGGAAGCCATTGCAGCCATTCCCCTTGGAGCCCATCAAGAGGTCTACAACCCATGCTCGCTGTTGCAGGCGTGTAAGCTCCTGGATACGCTGCTAGTTCTTGCGCCCGATGACTTCCAGCTCCTCGAGTGGCTCTACGTCACCGATACCATTGATGCCATCTATCCTCCTGACCGCTGGGAATCGATGGCGCTTGCCGATGAGATTTCCCAAGGCCTAGGAGCACGAGCCTCCCCGTCTCCTCGCACGCCGACGAATCCGGCCGAGACCGACAATGATCCCAAAAAACCGGGTCTCACGGCCGATTGGATCCGCGAAACAGCCAAGGACGAGATTATCGATCGCGTGCTTCGTCCCTGGTTTGACCAACTTAGCATTCATGCTTTCGAGAGTACATACAGCATGAATAGCCCCAGCTTGGAAGTGTGTCAGGATGATCTGCTGGCGGACCTGTTTAACGAAAGTACCATGGCCAACTGAGCGCTTGATTTGTTCTCGTTTTTAGATTTTCCGTTGGCGGGTTGGTTTGATTAGTCTTTAGCTTGTAGTGTGTGTATTATATATAAGCATAATTGGCTGGTTGAAATGTCTTAAGCCTCATCGAATTTGGCTTTGGTGTTCTCTTTTCTTTGTGTAGTTTGTAGTTGACGCCGCGGAGGACGTTCTATGTCTCCTCCAATAGGAACCGACGAATGACCGGCATTAATAATCACGCTGAGTAATCGCCTCCTCCCCAATGGGAGCCGCCAACGTCACTGTCTTTCGCCGTCCGCCTCCCCTTTCCCCTCTGCTTTCCCTCCGTGGAAGGTGATCAATTGCCTGTTCCTTGCCACTGCCAGATGTTCTGACCAACTGACCACCTCAGACCTCTCACAACTTTTGAACCATGTTTGCTCTGAAGACGGCGCTGCCTTCAATGCGCTCCGTCGCAACCACGCGCGGACTGGTCTCCGCGCGGAGCTTGTCCAGCTCGGCATCCATGAGAAACGCCGCCACCTCGTCGCTGCCCGCAAAGAAGCCCGTCGGGGCATTCCGTGGGGGGTGAGTTCCTACAGGTTTCGTCTCTTATGTGTGATAATCTGGTAAATTGACAATTCTCTACAGATTATTTGGCTTTCTGGCCGGTTCCCTCACTGCCGGCGCTTCCGTGTACTACTACATCCTGGGAGAATACCGGACGTCCAACGAGATGTTGACTGAAGATATAAGTGTAAGCTTGCCATTGACTCTACTTGCTGACTTGCACTTTCTCGCTTGATTTCATTGGCTTTCTGTTCCTCGTTGTGTATTGGGTCCTTGCTCTAGCGGAGAGCTTGCTCGGATGCGGGCGATGTTTTAATTCTCAAGATCAGAACGTTCCCATTTATATCTGATTTGCCCCTTGAACTTTGAGGAAATGGCTAACTTGCCCTTCAGGCGCTCCAATCAGCAACGCATAGACTGCAGAAATACATCGGCGAGCTGGAGTCGAAAGTCGACCAGCTCAAGAAGAAATGAGAAACCCACCCACGCTACTCTACGGTCGTTACCTTTAGTTTCCTTATGAGCTCCCTTGCGTCTTGATTCCTTTTCCCGCGTCTTAAGCAGGCTATCATCTATGAGTATAGTTTCTATCTTGTATGGGCGGGTGTTGTAGGAATGGCGGCTTGAACTTGCACCTTCCCAACGCCTGTCCTCCTATATCCATATCTGTAACATACTTTTGCAATTAAGAGAATTCAACTACTGCCAATATCAATCGTGCACATAGCATTCCAAGCATCCCCCTCGAAGAAAGCCCAAGCCCATCCCAACTTACGTCATCGGCTGTAATGCAAACACTGCAAACAGGCGTCGCCGCCTGCGCGGTCTCTCATCCGTTCTTTAATCCTGCAAAGCCACCGAATCTTATCACCATCACCCTCCAACACCATGTATTCCGTCGAGGTGCTACCGAACTCGTCGACCCATCTCACGCCCGGATGGACCTACGTGCCCGACCGGGGCTTCGATCCCGCCAAAGCCGCCATCACGCCCGCCATCGGTCGGAAACGAGGCATCCGCGACCCAGGCGGCCGCGCCGATCTCTCGTCGCGCCAGACCAACGCCATCGTTCGACACCTGGCCGAGCTGGATCGGGAGAATCATCGGGACGTGCATATCCCTGTTCCGACGAAATCGAAGGACTCGGGTAGAGGTACATACATCCCTCCCTCCCTTCCCTTCCTTTCGCCCAAGCAATCAAGGCCTTCGCATCTGCAAACTTAGACCGCTGACTCAATTCAATGGAAACCAGGAAGCCGAGGAAAAGTAACATCGAACGTCCGCCGCATCTTGCAGTCTCAAAAGACCTTCCGGAATTACCTCGACGACGAAGAAGCCGCTCTGGCGCAGGCCTCGCATCCCTCGAACGCTCAGCGACCGTCCATCCACGGCCATAATAAAGTCACGAAACCGTCGTCGTTGCGCCGGAGCTCGACGCCCGCTTCGACACACAAGGGCACAGATGCCTCTCGGGTGAAAAACAAACAGCCGTCTGCTCGGTCGTCAGCGTCACGGACGACATCCACAACGCCAGCTGTTCAGGGTGCTGCGGACGAGAAAGCCCAACAACAACAACAACCCCAGAACTCCGAAGCCCCCGGAGAAGGCGCCAGCAAAAAAGACGGAGAAGAGCCCACCCCCTCAGGCGCAGAAGAACAAGACCCAGAAAACAAAACTCGCCTCATCGAATCCCCGCACGACAACGACCCTCTGTTACGATCATACATCCCCTCCGCGCCCTCCGAGCGCATCATGCAGGCCCTCCTCGCCGAGCCGCCATTAACGTATAACGCGTCGCGAGCGGGCCCGCCGCTGGGCGTGAAACCGCCGCGCCATTTCTGCTGCATGTGCGGGTACTGGGGCAAGATCCGGTGCAAGAACTGCCATCTGAGGACCTGCGGGCTGGATTGTTACAAGGTGCATGAGGATTCGAGGTGTGGGGCTTTCTTTTGATCGGGCGTGCGGTTCCGAGAGCCTGTCTATCTTGGATCGAAGGCGACGTGCGGTGCTATGTACAAGCTTGCTTGCGTTTCAGTTAAAACTTTTCATATACCCCTACTTAGCATTCATTACAGATAATCAATAGCATAGCATAGCATGTTTCTTTCTAATTCCACCACCGAAGCCCGGTAGTAAAAACTATGCACTGTATACACCCGGATCTGGATCTATCAAAACTTCAAATGAATCCCGGCGCGGGCCTCTTCCTGCCGAATCTCAAACATGACCTGCACGCCCACGAAGAGCGCCCCACACGCGATAACCAGATACACAATCCCCGAATAAGACCCCAACATCTCCGCCAACAGACCTTTCAGCCCGTCCAGTCCCAGCGCAAAACCCACCAGATTCGCAACCATCATCATCAGAATATTGCCGACGGCGCCGACGGCGCAGATCACGCGGTACGCCGTCGGGCGGGCACGCCAGCGCGAGGCAGGGAAGAGAAGCGTGCCGATGACCTCGGGGAGGACGAAGAGGGTGATGAGCCAGCCCCACATGAGGAGACGGAGGTTGATGTCGTGCCAGAGGGCGACGAAGGTGAAGACGACGAGGAAGTTGAAGATCTGGCGGGCGCGGATGGCGAGGGGGGAGGGTTTGCTGGCGGTGGTGGTGGTTGGGGCACTGGGGCTGCTGCTGCTGCTGCGGCGGCGACCGCCGCCGCCGAGGGGCACGTAGACGTAGCGCACGATCCAGCGGTTGAAGGAGCGGTGCCAGCCGCGCCAGAAGGCGAAGGCGGAGTAGTTGTTGGAGACGCAGCGGACCATGTTCTCTGGGGGGTCGACGCCGTCGATCAGGGCCCAGAGGCGGAAGAGACGCCAGGGGATGAGGAGCTTGAGCCAGATGATGTGCAGGTTGAAGAAGCCGAGCATGCTCAGTTGGAAAGGGGAGTAGAGGGACCAGTTCGGGGAGGCTTTGGAGATGGCCACGACGTAGGTGTAGTGGAGGATCAGCTCCATGGAGAGGAGGGTGAGGAAGAAGCGGGTGCCGTAGAGGATGGTGCGGGTTCGGGTGATGGAGGGGGGTGCGAATCGCTGCTGCGAGATGTAATCGTTGAAGGTCAGGATGGGGCCGGCTAGGTATAATGGGCCATAGAGGACGTAGGCGACGTAGTTGCGGCCGTTGAATGCAGATGGCTCGGCCGGGACACTGACGCGGTCACGCTCCGAGAGTGATGCGGGATCGAGTTGCTTCTTCTTATGACTGTCAGATATCGTCTTTTGGGGTGAGACAGCATCGAACTTACTTCAATGGGACTGGCAGCGGGGTAATCCAGGCTCCAATAGTAGTCCATGTTGAAACTAATTAACCGCAGAACCGTGATGTTGAAGAGGATCTCCCATCGGGGAATCAACCCCCCAAAGCCATCGATATACCGACCCCATGCCACCAATTGGGCCTCCTGGCCTGTGCCATCTGCCGGAGCCACCAGTACAGCAGCGATGCGTTCAAGAGGATAGCCGCCACAGAGCTCGTTGGCAAATAGCGTGCTGATGTTGAACACCCACGTAGCCGCGGGGATGTATTTCCGAGGCAGCGTTTTGGCTATTTTATAGTTGATATACAGGATCGCGAGTACTTTGATCGCAGACACGCCATGGAGGGCGGTTATAAAGATAAAGGCAAATCCAAAGTCGAATCGGATCCGCTGATTGAGCCGCGCTTCTCCAGCCGCAACCACATTTGGTCTCGAAGTAGATTCGGCGCTGGAAGAATGGACGAATTTCTCATATACGCGACGAAGCAACGGATGGGCGACTAGCAGAACGAGCAGGTAGGGTATATTGTCACGAAAGGTCGAGTACTGGCTGTCGGAGTTATCCTATAGCATGCAAGCAACCACGTTAGTCGACATCTACCAAACTCAACAAGCAACAAGGGAAGCATACCACTTTCCGACCAGGCACCCAACCAGGAGACAGCAGATCGACATAAGCCGAATAACTCGGATGACTCTCTAATCGCTTTCATTAACACTCGTCCAGAATTCCAGTACGCAAACACCATACCCTGAGACACCTCAATGACCGCCTTAAACATCAACGGCACAGCGACCAGAAAGACCAAATAGTAGACGTAGAACTCCAGGGTGTTCCATTTCGACGGTTCGGCGCCGTTGGCGATGGCCTGGGCGCGGGCATCTTTGGCCGTCGCAGGTCGCGTGTCAGCGGCCGCCTTCAGCGGAGTTGTCGCGGGGACGGTTAATCTGGTATCGAGGGTATCGAGGGTATACAGCTGACGAAGCCGGGAGAATATCGAGAGAGGCATCTTCAAGCCAGCATGACGGACCGAGCTCCTCAGAAGCGCGGAGGGAAATGATCGATGCGGAGAGCGTTCGGGGGTTCGTGTGGCTCAGGGGCGGAGACTCGGTCGACGGCAAGGAGCGGTGCTAGTTGGCGACACACCACAGGCAGTTCATTTCCTGCTGTATGTGACTGATGAAATGGAGGATTCTCTGCGATTGATAAGAGCATCAACCAATTCTCACGACATTCACGGCGTGGATTGAATGCCCATTTGAGATGCGATGACTAAGGCCATACCACGGTCGCTGATTGGTGCCTGGTGTGCCTGAGCCGCTTATCCGCATCGGGCAAGGACGCCTGCTGAGTCAGCCATTGCATCATGAGCATCTACTTCATCTGCATCTTCAAGCTCACATCCTCCATCTGCTATAGGAGACACATTCTAGTAGAGGTCAATATGGCACAGAAAAGAGTACGTATATGTTCTGGTTAATGTTCCGACATAACCTCTTCATACCTGCCACTACATCATCTCGGACATTTGGCTGATCACACGGATGCAGATTGCATTCAAGGTGCATGGCACTGTACAAGGCAAGTACTTGGTCTTTCATTCGGAGAATACATGAGGCTGTGGATTATCATACTCTCACCTAAGACAAACTGCTCATTGTCGGATGTTTTCAGGCGTTGGATTCCGGTATGCTTCCCTCTAATTATATATCCCGTCACGCATAGATGAAAACTTACCAGCGTGACCAGCGACTTCACACAAAAGCGCGCCACCGAATTCGACCTAAAAGGCTGGGTCAAGAATACCATCTGCGGAAGGGTTCGTCCAATCTTCCCCATTACTTACCAAGACACCACACTATACCTACACAGTGGAGCCAGCACCATCACACCTATTACCCAATACTAATTCTATGCAGGTCGAAGGAGAAGCGCAAGGACCCGACTCAGCCATCCAGAATCTGGTTAAAGAAATCAACAACGGGCCGCGTCTAGCGCACGTCGTCAAGGTGGAGAAGAAAGAGATTGCCACGCAAGAAGGGGAGAGCCAGTTCGGGGTCAAGCGGACTTCCGAGTCGGCGTTTGATGCGACGGTTTGAGCGGTTTTGTTTTCTTCAGTCGGCGATTGGTCGGATGGTTGTACCTAGTCATTTACGTGGGGATTTACGATACCTACCTAGGATATGGATATGATAATGACACATAAGTAAATCGGAGAGGGTTTGAGCAGAACGTGATCGGTGAGGAGGTCGGGTTAGATTGCTTTGGGCTATGAATTAGGTGAATTCTTGGTGGATGTCGAGGTTTTATTTGTATAGAAGATGCTGGCTTTTATAAAAGGCTGTTTGAGCCTCATTCTCGTGTGATACTGGATTGTTATTGCTGGAAAGTATAACAATGCCAACAAAGAAACCATGTCAATTTTAAGAATTAAGAACCTCAAACACATGGCAAGGGTTCAGGGTTTGTGCCTGCTGCAGCGGTGATTTCAGGATCTGCAGTTCTCGGCCGGTTTACGAACCAGATCTAAATATACTCTGGGAGCTACTAATCGGGATCTGGTCCACCAAACATAGTCCATACAGCAGGAAAAGAGAGCCGGCACCTGACGTAAGAATGAACGCTTTGTCTGACAGGAGGCCAGAAGAAAGAGATTTCCAATCGTCGAGCCTCTAGAACATGGCTATAGTTAGTCAGGAGGATCCCGAAAAAACCCAGCAATCCCGACTTTTCATCGGCGTCCCGATCTGAGTCAGAGCTGCCACCCGATTCATCCCGCGGTCACCTGCCCGCCCTTCGTGTTTCTGAAATTACGCCCGCCGTATCTGCGCGAAACGAACGAACTTACGCCGCCAGCAGCACCGGGTCAACGACGGCCATGGGGATAATGGGGAGCATGTTGGAGTTGCTTCCAGTTCGACGGGACGATCATGACATCAGGCTGCAGGGGGGAAAATTCCAAGAGAGCGATTCCTGTGGGGGAGGGCCGATGTGCAGCGAACTGCCGGGACGGGGAGGTGGTAAGGGCGAGTATGCCGTAATTTCCGCCTGGAATTGCTGCGGTTCCTTCACTGCCTGAGGACAAATCCGTCAAACCGGGTTGGCCGCCCCGGTGACTGTATGTCATCCTCCTTTGTTTGGTCCCGGCGTGGTCCCGGTTTTTGCCATATCGATCTGATAGATTTTTTCTGGTCCCTAGGGAAGCAATGTAGATGGTATAAATACGGCAGGAGCCGTGGGTAGGTGGCATTGTTCATAGACATCATCACATCACGATTCCTTCTACAATTGCATAGCATCGGCTATACTACCTGATTATCACAACCAACCTAAATAACTTGGGATTGACCAAGATGAATTCAATCACAGCCACAGCACCCATAAGGGCTGCCTACCTGCCCAAATCACATCTGCACCTCACGCTTCGAGGCTGTACCAGTCTTGTCGCCACAGCAGGGTTACGCGGGGGCAGTCCGCTGTTCGCCAGCACGCATCGCCATGCGACGAACCCCAGACGATTGATCTCGTCCACCCCGCACCCGACCAAGATCAAGGAGTTCTTCCCGCCTCCGGAGGCGCCGCATATCAAAGAAATGGAGACAGCCTGGTCTCACCCCGTGTGAGTACCCAGGATCAATTCTCTTGGCGACCAAAGCTGACAGTGCCACAGTTACACCGAAGACCAGATGCAACAAGTCACGATTGCCCATCGACAAGCCAAGAACTGGCCCGACTGGGTGGCCTTGGGAACGGTGCGATTGCTGCGATGGGGAATGGACTTGGTCACGGGATACCACCATCCTCCCCCCGGCAAGGAAAACGAGGCCAAGTTCAAGATGACCGAGAAGAAGTGGCTTACTCGATTTGTATTCCTGGAGAGCGTGGCGGGAGTGCCTGGAATGGTAGGGGGAATGTTGCGACACTTAAGGAGTTTGCGACGCATGAAGAGAGACAATGGATGGTGAGTGGCCCAAGCTCTTGGGCGGACCACACCCAGAGACCAACCAACTAACTATGACATAGGATCGAAACCCTTCTGGAGGAGGCGTTCAATGAACGGATGCATCTGCTCACCTTCCTCAAACTCGCAGAGCCCGGATGGTTCATGCGCATGATGGTTCTCGGCGCCCAAGGGGTGTTCTTCAACGGCTTTTTCATCTCCTACCTCATTTCGCCACGGATCTGCCATCGATTCGTCGGATACCTGGAAGAGGAGGCGGTGATCACCTATACTCGGGCGATCAAGGAGATCGAAGCGGGCAAACTCCCCGAGTGGGAGAAGCTGGAAGCGCCCAAGATCGCCATCTCGTATTGGCAAATGCCGGAGGGGCAGCGCAGCATGAAGGACCTGCTTCTCTACGTCCGGGCGGACGAGGCCAAACACCGAGAAGTCAACCACACCCTGGGAAACTTGAAGCAAGGGGCGGATCCGAATCCGTACTCGGCCAAGTACAAGGACCTGACCAAGGCGCACCCCGGAAAGGGCATTGAAAACCTGAAACCCACCGGATGGGAGCGAGAGGACATCATCTAGGGATCACATGGCTTTCCCCGGTTTATTTCTGCTTAGTATTTTGTCTATTTTGTCAGCACGGAGTTTCCGAGGTTGTTTCATCATGGGTTGCTGGTTCAACCCGGTGGGGGTTTGCACAGGCGCAGTTGACATTTGGGTTAATTCGGCATGCGGGACTGTATTTTTACTTTTTATTGTATGATAGATTGAACTCCTCTCGATGTTAAATGAATGCAGCATTGACGCAGATGTATGGTCCTTGCATATAACATTTCAAGAAACTTCAGATCCGCGCCAAAGTTCGGGACGGAAGAAGAAACGCGGGGCGCCAGGCACGGGACACGCTAGACCAGGAGAGGGAAGGCGGGTGGAAGACTCCACCCGGCTTTCCCAAGATGGTTCGATTCCATGTTTGGTAACGGACATAAAACTGCCTGCTGCCATAGTTCGATCATCATCCTGATTGCGGGGCATCGAGGGGTGAAGAGGAATTTCGTGGACCAAAGGCGGTAACACGCTCGGTTACCTCGACCTGGATGGGCTGGTGTAGCGTTGCATTGCGAATGTCGACAGGTCTATCTTAGTAGCTGGCATCGGCTCTTCCCAAGACTTGGCTCTTTCTTGGGAGTTGCCTGTCTTAAGTTCCGAACAGCCCCGGCTGATCTACACCATGACCGACGGGATGTTGGATGAGGGCCTCTGGACGGAGTCTGTCCTCGAGCTCGATCATGATCGTTGGCATATTGGCCGTCGGCTTGCAGCAAAATTCCGGGAGCAGACTGACGCATTCACTCAGGATACGACTGACGAATTCCACGAAGTCTACGAAGCAGTCCACATTGATCCCTCAGACATTCCAGGAATTATGAAAGCTAAAAAGCAGTGCGTGTCTTCTACCCAACTACTTCTCTGTGTATTGACATTGATAGGATCGCGCCGTGGAGTGACGGCGACCCTTTTGCCGTCAGCAATGAAATACATCGCGAGATTGATAATCTACATTATCTAACAGAGTATGACTGCACCTGTACACCGAAGCTTTTCTCCTTTGCTATTGACCAGCAAGGTCTAGATGACACTGTTCCGGGTGGATACATTGCTTATATCGTCATGGAGAGAGTCCCCGGGAAAGATTTGCGAGACTTTGACCAACTCGATCATCATGAGAAGAACCGGGTGCGTCTCGCGTTTGTGGAGGCCTTATGGTACGAACGAATTTCTACCTTACTTTTGCTTCGTTAATAATATTCCCAGGAAATTGCATAGTCACCATTTTACTCACTGGGATCCTCGCCCAAACAATATCATGTGGGACTCTGCAGCCGGCAAATGGTTTGTTCTCTTGACTCTCTAATTGTAGCGATTTTCATTGACGCCCAAAGTTTTATTGTGGATCTCGAAGATGCTCTGAGGCATACTAACCGTAAGGATTCTGATGTATGCCTGGACCCATGGGAACAGCTTGAGGGATGGGGCCTGATAGAAGAACAACACAAAGGGCTCACAGCTTTTTTCCAAAAAGAGGAGTTGTTGGATTACCTGAAAGCCGAGCTCGGCATATGATCGCTGTAGGATATACAGTTCTATGATTGCTTGGTCTTATGTATCTTCAACAATATTATGTGGCTATGTCAATCCCCATTCCTTTTTACTGGGTCTGCATATGCAAGATAAGCCATGCTCGAGCCTCGTCCTCGAGGATCCGAACACCAAGCTACCCCCAAACACCAGACCATGGTATGTCCACGCATTATCCGGGTTGGAATCAATGTTCTGGCACACGATTGCCCGCGGAAGCACATAGAATATATTGGAAATCAAGGACTGCGCGAGATACCATAATGTACGGGTTTCAAGAAGCATTGCAGCAAATTGAATTGATATACCGTAAGGAGTATATCACTTACTCAACAATATTTCAATCAAGACAAGGCTAGTATTACCCTTATGCTATGTTCAATTGACGGACATGGCCGAACTCCCTGGCCAATCCTAACCCTTAAATTGAGTTTGGCAGTCTTCAAGTGCTCGCTCCGCTTAATTTAGCCATGGGGTTTACAAGTGATGGCCATTCTATTTCTATTCCATCTCGCCACCACAACGTTTCGCTGTGGACCACTTGCGCGCCCTGTTCTCTTTTCCTTCTCTTCATTACCAACTCGTTTGCTCATATCAACCATGGCCAACTCCGATATACGACAAGGTCTATTCAAAGATGACACTGCGAAACGAATTGTCATCAAAGTCAAGACCCAAACTTTGAATCCCGAAAGTTACTTTGCTTCGGCAACAAATGTAGTTTCCGAGATTTTGCCTGGGTGGGAAAGCGACCCTCGCATGCTTTTGCTCGCCATTGACCTGTGGAGTGAGCGCACCTTTATTGTTATTGATATCAACAACCGCGATTACAACTTTCGCACGGCACACAAGAATACGACAGTGTTCCCGGTCTATGTTCTTCGACAGCATGGAAGACGGCAGGACTGGGTATTGGTGAGATGGCATCAACTGGATGAACGTATGAGTCTACAGCTAGCGGATCTCCATAGAGTCAATGGCTATGATGCTACCCTGCCTTTTCTGGAAAATCACAACACACGCATCGTCCACGAAAACCCCCGCGACCTCCCTGGCCGACCGTTCAATAATTGACAATAAACCGTTTGGTCTTGATTGCTTCTTGAATTTTCAACAACACTGATGGAATCCACAAGCATGTCTCGACACAGGTTGAACGAGATGGAGAGTCTTTAGGGCTGGGCGTCGCCGGATGTTCCCAGATCACGTGGACCCCTCAGAAAAGACCCCCAAAGCAGTTATACAGAACGGGTTATAGTTATGTAGGAGACTGGACTAGTACTCAGGGGCAGGCCCGGCACGGTGGGAAATGGAAGCAGAGAAAGAAAACAGAAAAAAAAAAAAAGAAGCGACCGGCAATTTCTATTAATACCCGTTGTCCTTAATTAACTAATTCATTTAGATCATTAATTCATGATGCCGACGTGTTGGCAGCCGGACTATTGACCCGCTTCCCCTTTTAGCGGGAAAAAAGCCCCCCCTTTCGAACCTCCCAAGATTATTCTCGCGGCGTCGATCGATCAATCCGGTGCAATTCATCCGTGACGCATCCCTATTTTGTGCCTCGCCAAAACGGTTATCGAGCCGACGACCACCTGTCCTTTCCGGTCGCATCTCGACCCTCCCGATATATTGGTTCCCTTCTGGCGATACCGTCGCGATCTATCCACGGAGTATCCGTATCTCCTGCCACCATCTGCCCACCCCTCTGTCTCTCTCTGCCGTCTGCCTCACGATGGATGATTCAGTCGAGTCTGAGTTCGCTGCCCCTCCGCACCGCGCGTCCTCCCCCTCCCCGTCCATCTGCCCGACGCCCGCCATCTCCTCCTGTCCGTCGCCGGACCGCACCTTCTCGACCTTCTCGACCATCTCCTCCCTGTCCACCTCGTCCGCCACCTCCGCCGATGCTCGATCCTCCGTGTCAATTTCCTCGAAACGCCGTGGCTACATTCGGCCCCAGGGGGCCGAATTCGCGGAGTCGGCCAAGAACCGGGAGAGCGTGATGAGTCTGGGTAGCATCGCCCACCTGCAGTACTACTTTGCCCGGACCGGCCTGTTGGACGGCAAAGGCGGCCATGCCCGCGAGTTCAAGAAAAAGAAGAAGCCGGAGGACGAGCCTCGGCTGCTGATGACCCCTAATGCACGGTTCATCGACGATCTGACCGCCAGCCCCACGAGTGAGGCTGGATTGAGTTCGGCCGACGAGGATAGCGGCCTGGAGGAGCCCGACGAGATGATGCTGCCTCCCACCGTCAGCACCTATAGCATCAAGACCCACCACATCCCGCCGCCCCCCGACCTGCTGGCGCTGCGCAAGAACCTGCGCAAAGCGCTGCACAAGGCCGAGAAGAACATCGAGACGCTCGGATCCCAGAAGGAGCCGCCGCCCGACCTGAACCCCCCGCGCATCAGTCTGTCGCCGGACGAGACGGGCGACCCCGACGAAGAACCGGTGCGTCCGCCCACCGCAGGCGGCACCCCTCAGGGGTGGCAGGAGATCCGAGGCGTGCGCATTCTGGACGTGGTCACGCTGGCCATCCGCGCCGCCAAGATCTATTACACGGCCCACGAGCGTCCGGAGCGATTGGCGTCGATCAAAAGCGAGCGCGACATCCGTCAGGAGCTGTTCAACGTCCTTGAGGTGTTGAAGCGGTGGGCCTCGCGCAATTTCTCCGGTGGATTGCGGGGAGACGAAGAAGATTCCATTCTCGGATGGATCTCCAACGTGCGGGAGATGCTGGCCCAAGAGATCCGGTTGGAAGAGCAAGAGGCCACCGAGCGACAGACATGGTCGTGGGCTGCCGGGGATTGGACCGGACGAGAGCGGGAACGCGAAGAAGCCTTCCTGCGAAGTTTGACGGATTCGGACTCCCCCCTGCCCTCATGGACTGCCCCGGAAGAGGGTTCCCTGCCGAGTGCCATGCTGGAGCGACTCCGCGATGGTCGAGACCTGGTCCGCATCCACAACCAGGCGGTGCGGAAGTCCAAGCGTCCGTTCTGCGAAATCAAATCATATCATCAGGACGTTGCCAAACCGTACCGACGGGCAGAGAACCTGCGATTCTGGGTCAAGGCGGCGGAAATCCGGTGGGAGACGAAGCTGGAGATGGACGTCATGGGCGTGGTTCAAGGGAACAGCGACGAGGCGTGGACCAAGTTCGACGCGGCCCTTCTGACATGGTGTCGCAGCGTGCGCGAGGAGCTGCAGCGCGACTGGCAGGAGACGCCGGGGCCCAAAGCCGATGCAAGGCTTCCAGATGACGGGTTTGACGGTTGAGTCTATGACGAAAGGCGAGAAGGAGGTCTGGTTCGTTGGAACCACGTATGATTCTTTTTTTACATATTTTATTATTTGGTTTGTTCTGTTCTGGCTCTACGCTTGTCGTTTGCAGCCCTTCCCTTAGATACCCCCCTTACTTGGCTTGAGTTTCTCCCCTTGAGGGATGGCGGATTGGAGTGGCATGGCTGGAATAGCTGGAATAGCTGGAATTATCTATTGTATTTGATTTGAATCACTTGGAATCTGCCCAGGGATGGTGTACATATTTTATTATTTAATCTTCTGATTGGTATTTCATTTATTATTATTTTTTCTTATTTATTCTGAACCGGGAATGAAGGAGTGAAGGAGCGCTTATTATTGATCCCTGCGAGGCGACCATCCCCAGACTAGGAGACCAGGAAAACAGGGTTGCAGAAAGGCAGAAAGGGGACTCTAGCAACTAATAACTGAAAAGTAGAACGAGTCAATACTCGAGTCCTTTCATGCCCAAACCAGAGTACAGTTGTCTGCTCCACCGTTAACTAATCGCATTCCCGCCCAAAGAAAGGGGCCACATTCCGCCCCAAAGACGTTGGCCGCTTCTCAGCCCATCAACCACATTCCACCGCTGCTCTTCGTTGGCTCGACCCCTCTCGCTCTGCATTGCATCCTTGTTTGATTGACTCTTCCGTAGGGCAGTCGTCTCGCGCATTGCATTGTCCCCCATGCTTGCCATGTTCGCCGGGTCGACTTCCTCCGACCCTGCGGATGTCCATGTCAACACGTCGCAAGAGCTGCAGCACTCACCACCACCACCACCGCCGCCTCCTCCACCACATCCAGAGAAGCAGCCTGAAGAAACCTCACCATCGCATCAGTCTGACCTCTCCTCGCCGCCGCCGCCGCCGCCCGTCCTCTCCGTCTCGACCCCAGAAGAATCGCTCCCCCGACGCATCAAGTCCAAATCATCCCTACGCAGCGTGCGCAGTTTCGGCAGCAGCTTAAACGACGAAGATCCCGCCGATGAGACGCCCGAGCAGCCTGGGTCCGACAAATCCCTCATCCGCCCGTCCATCCTGCGCCGACTGTCTCCGGGCCTGGCCGCTCGCGTCAAACTCCTAGACGGCAGTCACAGCAAGAGCGCCGCCAACTCCCGCAACCCCGGCGCCGTCGGCCGCATCCCCGAAGAGCACATTAAAGAGCTGGATACGCTGCACCAGAACCTGTCGGCGTCCATCAAGGTCGAGAAGAAAGGTCGTTCGTGGAATGCTCTGCATCTGATCGGCAAGGACAGGAAGCAGCAGGGTGGCTCGGACCTCCTGGAAGTCATCGAACCGGAGTTACTAGAGGTGCCGTCGCCCGAAGCGTTGGAGTCGTTGGAATTAGAACGCGAGGCCTTGGACGAACCGACGCGACTCCCGTCGGAGGCGGACGCGCAGATTGTTGAGACCGCCTCAGAATCCACGGAAGACCAGGTTGAACCAACGAACGCAGTCGAAACTACTGATACCGCGGATACTACAGACACTACAGACCCTGTTCAGACAGCCGAGACGGTAAATACCGTTGAGACCCCCGAGCAAGAAGCCAACGAATCTCCGGCCATGTCTGTTGCTGAACCTCTCCCGGCGCCGACGCTGCCCGCGCCCGTTGAGCCGGCCCCCCAGCAGTCAGAACCAGAGCCAGAGCTTGCGCAAGAACCGACGGATTTCGAGAAATATATCCAGCGCACCAGCGAAAAAGAATCCGACAACCCCCCTCCCCCTCCTCCCAAGGACTCCCCGCTCGAATCGGACAACAACTCCGCGTACTTCCGCCCCAGCAGCCTTCACCGCGCCGATTCGATCTTCTCCTTCTCGCGAGCCTCCTTCAGCAACCAACTCTCCCAGCTAACCTCCATCTCCCTACCCCAAGCTTCCTCGTTAGCGTCGAGCATTGCCGCCATTCCGAATGCACCCCTGGCCGTCAAGTCCCTGACCGGAGCCGCCGACCAGATCCAGATATGGATCAAGAAAGCGACCAGCGTACTAGAGGGTCTGGATGCCGACGACGACGTGGAGTGGGCGGCGGCGGGAGGGCGAGACGGTCTGGATGACGTGGATAACGCCATCACGACATTTGAGGGTCTCATCAACGTTTACGTGAAAGCGATTGAAGACGTGCAAACCCGGCAGGATATCGAGAACGTGGAGCCCGACAGTCTGAAGACGATCGTGACGCAGATGGACTTCATCATCCAGCACTGGACGCAGATCAAGTCGCGCCTGCGATCCGTGAAGAGTCAGGTGGAACTGGCCATGGAGTGGGAGGAGCTGTGGAACAACATTCTTGGAGACGTGGGCGCCGAGGTCGGGAACCTCACGCAGCTGATCTTCCAGATGGAGGAGAAGCGGCACTTGGTTATGGCCGGCTCGCAGTCGCCCGGAAACAACGGCGTCGATATCAACGAACTAGAGACGATCGTCGAAGAGACCCCTGGCGGCGGGCCCCGGGCCAGCAAACGACTGAGCGTGGAGCCCATCTTCTCCGTTCCCCCGGCGCTCGACACCCCCATCATTCAAACGCCCCAGGAGGACAACTTCCACGGCGATCTGATCGGTCTGTTCGCCCGCATCCAGCCCCTGCGGGCGTCGTTGGATTTCCTGCCCATGCGCTTGTCCATGTTCCAGTCCCGGGCCGATGCCGTGTTTCCCAGCGCCTGCCAGGATCTGCAGCAGGGCATCGAGCGACTGGAAGGGCGATATAAGATGCTGGAACAAGAAGCGGAGGACCTGCGCAAGGAGCTCAGCGAGGATCGGTGGATTCTGGTGTTCCGGAACGCCGGCTCGCAGGCGCAGAAGATGTTCCAATCCGTGGAGCGCAGCATCTCGAAGCTGCAGGAGGCGCTAGAGTCGGGGGCCATCTTCAACAACCCCGCCGGACTGGCCAAACGGATTGAAAGCTACGAGGCCAAGAAGCAGCACTACGTGGCGGCGATTGAGCGAGTGGTTTCGATCATCCACAAGGGGGTCAAGGACCGGCTGACGCTGAACGGCGAGACCCTGACGCTCCTGTCGGATATGACGTCCAAGCTGGACGCGCTGAAAGCCAGCATCAAAGTGATGGACGCCTCGTTAGAGGACGTGCACATCGCCCGCAGCCAGCAGCTCCGCGACTCGATCTCGAGCATCGTCACGATGGACAGCCCGGCGACGGGCAGCGTGGCCGACACGCCGGGCAGCTCGCCAGCTTCGTCGGTCGTGATGACCCCCGGCAACCGCAAGGGCGCGTCCACGCCGCTAGGAGGGTCCAGTCGACGCGGCAGCTCGGTCAGCTCGGCGGCTCGCACGACCATGTCCAAGGTGCGCCGCTACTCGGGGCTCCCCCAGGCCACGGCCACGTTGACGGGGAAGAAATCAGCCATTCCCAAGCCCTCGCTGGGCGTACCGTCTCCCACGAAGACCAACGGCGCTGCCACCCCGACACCGGCGTCGCGCAAACCGGCGACACGTCCTGCGGCGCCCCCCATTCCGGGCCGTCCGCGATGGAACATCAGCACGAACACCAACGACCTGGATGTCGGCTTCAAGCCCACTCCTTTTCGGAAATCCTCTGCTCCCAACAACACCGCCTCGAACGGCCGCACCCCCCGACCCGCCTCCACGCTTCCCTTCTCCCGGTCGCGACGAGATCTCTCTGCATCTCCCGCTCCCTCCACCGCTCGATCTGTCAGCCGCGTTTCTAGCCGGCTTACGTCGCGCAGCCCGGCGCCTCCGCCGTCTCCTTCTCCCGGCTCTTCTCTTCTGGATCCTCCGCCGTACAGCAAACTGCGACGACCGGCGGGTCTGGACAACACGCCGCGGAACCGACAGAGCTTCGCCGGCACGCCGTTCAGCCGCAGCGTGTCGCAGCAGCACAGCAACGGCCTGCTCAGTCCGACCAAGACCGACCGCCCTGGCACCGCATTGGGCCATTCGGGCAGCCGTCGCATCAGCCTGCTTCCTCTGCCTAAGGAGCGTTCCGGACGAGACAGCGCTACGGGGTCTCGCAGCAAGCTTGCTGACCGGCCGCGGTGGCGGTAGCCTTCGAACTGATTTGTACTTTGCACTTGCCCTCTTGCATTTCCGGCCGTTTTGATTTATCGTTCTACATTGCATGTATTATCAGCATCGGGATTGAGGAGTCATATACCAAGTCGTTTGCAGGACAGATTGCGCTTGATTCCCCACTCGCATTGTGATTAGCGTTCTTTGATGTATTCATTTAGGGATATGGAATTACCTTCTATCTACATTTATCTACATCCATTCGTAATCCATCTATCTATAGATCAAAAAGATCAAACCAACTCCCGCCCAATGATCAACGCATCCACCAGCTCCGTGCTGTTCGACAGCCGCGCCGCCCCCGGCACCCGCCCGATGATCTGGAAGCCCAGGCGCTCCCAGATCTTGACGGAGGCGACGTTGTTCTCGAACACGAGGTTGAACACGGAGTATTTGTAGCCCTGTAGGCCTGGGGTCAGCCAGGCCGGGGCTCTAGAGTTGGGAGGACTTACCAGCTTCGGCGCATAGTCTAGATACGTCTCGCCCATTACAATCCCGACACCTCGACCTCGCGCCGCCTCTGTGGTCAGGAACCCGGCGTTGCAGACGTGCGAGCAGCGTCCTACATCAATCATATCACATCAATCAGCATATCGCATATCTACCTCCCCCTCCCCCACATCAAACCAACTCAAAAAGGAAAAGAATAAAACCCACCGGGATAATTCGGCTTCACATAAAACGTCCCCAGACACTCCCTCTCCCAATCCCTGCCCTCCCTCTCCAAATCCCCCTCTCCCGCCACCGCGATGACCGCAAACGTCCCAAACCAGTAGTTCGCGAACAATTCGCGCCCCATGGGCTCTTCCATCGGGTAGGTCGTGCCGCGGGCGATCTCGGCGCTGAACTCGCGGTGCAGCACGTCGATCAGGGCATCTGGGATGGAGGACGGGCCATTTGCGATCGGGTACAGGGTTACGGGGGTTGAGTCTTTTAGGGTTTTGGTGAGGGGTTTCAGGTGGGATTTGTTGGACTGGGCGGAGGGGGGAGGGGGGATGTAGGTGGTGGGGTCTTCGAGGAGGGAGGGCATTTTCTCTATTTTTCTCTCTTTTTGTGCTGTAATTGGGGGTTTGGGGTTGGAATTGGACTTGAGGCTATGGGCAATGGGTATGGTGAGCAGGAAGACTAGGTATAAAAAGTTATAAGAAAGTTGATTGTGGAAATGTGGTGGATTAGTCATACATCATGTCATGATAGGGCGTGGTTGGTTTGGTTGGTCTTTTGAAGGTCCATGTTTACTTTGCACTTGAGGCAGGGAGTGGTGATGTCAATGGCTTTGTGGCCTGTTTCTCTGGTTTTATTCACTTGGTTGAGAGGTTGTGTATGAGATTGACTACTCATCAGGTAGATAGTATATGTATGACGTGCATGTATACTACCTCCGCATTACAAGAATTTGAAGTTAATCGTGCATATTGTACTGTACACTCAATGCAGATAATCTATAATACAGACTCATAACTATTTACATTTACACCAGACAGACAGACAGACAGGTAGATAGGCAGTTCTTAATCTCCCGCCATACTCCAGTCCTGTCCAGACTGGCTGCTAAACCCTCCCAACAAACACCACTATTCCTCCCCCTCTCCATCCCGATTCCGAATCGCCTGCATAAGCTCATACAGCTGACCGAGCTGCTGATCTGTATATCAATTAGCATCTCACCACCGGCAAAGAAACCAGGAAACACAAGAGAAGGAAGGGAACCAACCACTCATCTTATCCAACTTCGCCTTGTCCAATTTCTCCCCAGCCCACGAATCCCCCTCCAACTTCTGCGCGTATAACTGCCACTCCGTAAGGAACCCGATCTATCAATCAACCAAATCATTAGCATTGCACACCATGACCCAGCACCCAATCCATCCAAACACCCCTCACCCCAACACGGAAAAAATAGAGAGGGAGAAGAGGAGACATACGATATGCAACGGATTATCAACACTCTTATGCGCACGAAACTCGCTCTTCACGTAGCCATCGCCGAGCAGGCGCATCTCGGGCTCCAGCTTCTTGCGGTGCACGCGGAGAATGCGCCGGTAGAGCTGGAGCGGGGGCAGCAGGGCCAGGGACTCGCTGAGGCTGGACTTCGAGCCCATGGAGGCGGGGGTGGCGAGGAGGCGGAGGGCGGGGCGCATCGTGAGAGTATAATACCTGGGTTTAGTAGAATGGAAAGTGTAGATGTAGCTGTAGAGTAGAGGAGAGTTGGATGGAGCTGGAGATTTGGAGAAGGTCCGGGCGGTGAGGCGCAGGCCAATTGGAGATGAGGGAGTTTGTCCCGCATTTTATTTTATTTTATTTCATCATTATCTTTTGTCTTCATTGATTGATGTCTTTCTCGATGCAATAGATCAATTGATCTTAACCCCCAAAATGCTCCCAACCCCCTGCACCGCCCACGTCTCCTTCGACACTATCTACGAACCCTCCGAAGACTCGTACCTCTTCCTCGACACCCTCTCCTCGCCCTCCGAGTCCGCATGGCTGAAAGCCCGCTTCCCCTCCCCCCCCTCTACAGATCCCACAAATGACACCTCCTCGCCCTCCCCCCTAATCGTCGAAGTCGGCACCGGCTCCGGCGTCGTCCTCGGCTTCGTCGCCGGCAACTCGCACGAGATCCTCGGCCGGCGAGACGTGCTCACACTCGGCGTAGACGTGAACCGCAACGCCTGCATCGCCACGCAAGAGACAGTGCGCAAGGCCATTCAAGACCGACAATCAGACTCAACCTCCGCGGTGAAATCCATCCACACAGCCTCCATCACCAGCGACCTCCTCTCCGCCCTACACCCCGGCAGCATCGACATCCTGCTCTTCAACCCGCCCTACGTTCCGACAGAGGATCTCCCCGCTGTCCCTGAACCCAGCGCAACAGAGAACGAAGACGGCCTCTCGCGAAGTGAAAAGTTCGACCGCGAGTCCTACTACCTCTCCCTGACGTATGCCGGCGGCAAAGATGGAATGGAGACGACGGATCGACTGATCGAGCAGATCCCCGCGGCGCTGGACGCGGCGCGCGGCGTGGCGTATGTGTTGCTTTGTGCGCAGAATCGGCCCGGAGAGGTCAGGGAGAGGATTCGGGGGTGGGGAGGGGCGTGGAGGGCGGAGTTTGTGGGGAATAGTGGTGTGCAGGCGGGGTGGGAGAAGTTGGTGATTTTGAGGGTTTGGAGGGAGTGATTCATTCATTACATATTCCCTGGAGACAGGGGGTCTGGTGGTGAGGGGTGGATTTATGTATAGATGGAGAGATTGACGACTGGATGATTTATGAGTGATGATGGATAGAATTAGAACTAGACAGAACAGAACTACGCCAACGATTGGAGGTATCTTTAATCTCATTGCGTGGTACGCGACACTGCATATCAGATGTCGACGTTCTTTCGTACAGGATATCATCGCCTGCCACAGGTGAGGCGGCTTTTGGTTCTAGATCCACCATGCCATTCAGATGCATCAACGAAGCAGGTCATGTTCGAGCGGCCATAGCCCTCCGACACCGTCTCAACGGATTTCTCCTTTCTTCAATCGAGATATCCCCACACGGGCGATCTGACAGAGGTCGAAAGATGGAGGCCAGACACAAACCAGCTAAACCATCGAGCAATCCCTCCCCATCAATCAAACAAACCAGATCCTCAGGTAGATAGTCGACGGAGCAAACCCCTACCACCCATATCAACCACACCCGTAGAAAAACCAAGATCAAAATCCACAATCAAGCATCGAAATGAATTAAAAAAAAAGTCGACAAATCAAAAGGAATCAAACTCCCAAACCGAATCTATAAACTTTTCCACCCCTAGAAGCCCCGCCCACGACCACGGCCACGACCCCGGCCGCGACCACGCGGACCGCCGCGCCCACCACGACCGCCGCGATCGGCCTCCTTGCGCGCCTTGTTCTTCGGCTTGGGCTGGTCGTCGACGAGCAGCGTGTCCAGGGGCAGACTGTCGGGCAGGATGTAGTAGCGGATCGTCGAGCCGCGGATGTTGATGGTGTCGAGGGAGATGGGGTCGCGGCCTTTGGGGGTCATTTTGACGGTGCGCAGAGAGGTGTTCATTTGCGGGGAGACCGAGGTGATGGTGCCGTGGAGGATTGTTCCTATTAGATTAAGGTGTCAGGATGGGTGGATATGGATATGATATTATGGGGAGGTGATGTGATATGGGATGAGATGGTTGGTTGGTTGCGAGATTGATTGATGTAGACAGGCAGGCAGACTGACCATTCTTCAACTCAACGGTCACCGTCTCGTTGGCGCACTTCATCAAAAATCTACAGATTGTCAGTCAATCGGAGGTCGGTCTGGTGCATAGCTTGCGAGCTCTGCCAGCAAATTCCGCGAGGACGTACCGGACGAGCTTCATGGTGAAAACGGGCACCGGCGGTGCAGAGAACAAGGATGATCGAAAAGGGTCAAACGGAGCAGGTCGCACTCGAGGGTCGGAAGCTGAATGGCGTGGTGGTTCTCAAGTGTCGCACTGGAGGTGTCTTCGCGGTGGTCGATCGCGGCAACAGAGGCTGAGGAGCTACGGCACGTGACCTCCTGGCTCCGGACAGCCGCAACTACTTTAGAACAATAACTACTCTGTAACGAAACTATGGATTTATGAGAGGCAAAACTCCATTCTATTCAACTTCATTCAGTGGTATCTCGAGCAAAAAGCAAAACAAACGCTAACCCGCCTGCCGGCTATCATAAAACTCCATGTCGCGCCTTGAAAATGGCGATCTTATCATCGTAAAACAAGATCTCGCGCAGCCGAAACGTCACGCGCGATCGGCTGCTCTCGAGATCGGATTCATCTCCGTCCGACGACGCGTGGTCCGAGGACAGCAGCGACGTGGAATCTGCCGTGCTTGTGGCTCCGGCTTCGTCGTCGCCTTCGTCGTCCTCCGTGTCGCTGGCCGACCAGGGCTCGCCGTCTCCAAGACCCTCGCTGTGGCTGTCGTCCGCATCGTCAAACTCAACCTTGTCCCCTCGCTTGCCCTCGAGGATCTCGTAACACTTGTTCTGCATCCCTACGTAACTGATTCCTACATCGGGCCGGATGGTGACTATGTCCAAGATCTGCAGGGCAAGCTCTTTGGAATCCCGGTGCACCGGGTGGGCGATATGGGGAATGTGCAAAGCCCGAAGATGCGGAACGTTGGGCAGTCGCTGTAAGAAATAGTGCTTCATCGACGTTAGTAATCTCGTGCGAAAGAATGAACATCCGGTCTTACCCAATCCTTGGAATGCAAGGTCATTGACAGCTCACGGAGCCGAGGCATGCGTCCACTGGTGACAAACGAGATCATGTCGCGCGTAAACATCCATTTTCGCCAGCGACTGGTGGCGATCTCAACGCCAATTGCTGACCGCTCCGTACTATCAATGAGGATCTTCTTCAGACTCATCCGATGGTTGCGGATCACGTTCCGGTAAATGGCATCAATGTGGACGATGGAGTCATACATGGGCGCCTCGTGCAGGAAGAGAGTTTCCAGCGTGTTAGGAGCAAGGGTGTCCTTAATAAACAGTAGCAAATACGGAGACACGGCGTCCGTATGGATATGTTTGATTCTCAAAGAGTACTCAGATTGACCGTCTCTCTTTCCAGCTCTCGGAGAAGAGCGAAGAGTGCATGACGGGGGAAATTGGCGACGCAGGGATCTCCACAGTTTCTCGTGGCCGTCGCAGCGCAGTATTGTCAGGGCCGTTATCCGAATCCAGTCAAGACTCTGCAGCATCACCGGAATAGACAGCGCCACGCGTTCTAGTTCCAAGGTCTCCAATCTGAGCGGGTCGTGGTTGAATTCAATGTCCGAACTGAGTGAGCCAGGAGACGACTTAAAGCTTGGGTTGGGGGGTTTTGACGGCTCTTTGGCCCTTGATACCGGACCTGCAGATGACTCCTCCAAAGAGTCGGACGATCCTGTGGGGGGAGGCGATTCAAGTTGAGGGTTAGTACTATCGGAGACACCTGCATCGGTTGCTTTTTCCGGTACTTTCTTGAATCTTTCACCCGTCGCTCCATGCACACACGGGTGGCCGTCGGTCTTGCTTAGTAGCATTCCTAGCACACCCCCAACCTTGGGCCATCCAGTCATGGCCGTTTGAGCCGTATCTCGGGAGGACCAGCCCCCTAACGGCTTCAACCAGTCTGCCTGGCAGACCTTCGAGGAAATGCCCACGCGCAACTCTTTCAACCGATCCCAGGACCGTCGGATGAGGACAGCTGCTTCTTCAATGTACGACGACTCGTCGATATCGAGAACGCTCAAGCTCTTCAGAGGCGGCACAATCGACAACGACGGATATTCCACATGTCCATACTTGTGTAGCAATGGCGGGCCGGAGGAGTGAGCGGCAGGATCGTTCTGCGTATCCGGAAGTGCGAAGGAGGACGCGGTCGGAGCAGAGCGTATTGGGCTCTCGGAGTTGTCGTGCCATCGCACCCAGACGCGCTCCAGGCGGCATTCGTGTCCCGGTCGATTAGCTAGCGACGAGAGCGCGATCCACACATCTCGCAAAACTCCCGTGGGCATGTCCCACACGAACGTCTCCAAATTGATCATCCGGGCAATGGCCAAGGCGACTAATGTTCCCAGCATCTTTCCTGTCTCCTTGGTCACGGAGTATTCCTGGACCCAGATCAACGGCCCATTCCCGACTGAGAATTTCCGCGTGTATTGTGCATAGTAGTTCCCTCGCCGTATCCTCTGAATCGGACCCGTTTCTTGTTGTGTGGGTGTTTGGTCGTGAGGAGTGTTGCAGCCACAGTGTGCGCAGGAGCCTGCGGGTCGATGCGTAGGAGGGAGTTCATGAAAGATGTCGTCTCCCATGACCAACGTGGCGAGACCGTAGGAGAGAGCGTCAACGCCAGCAGGATGGTCGGAAGACGAGAGAGTATCGGGCCAAACAATGTCGAACCGGGAGTACATTTGCGGAATTGCCAAGGCATGAAGTGTAGAGCACGTCAGAGCCAGCGACGTCAGATCATTCGTATGCGTTACCTGCAACAACCAAATGACAACGTGAGTGTCATGTAACGAGAATGTTAGGAAGAAGGTATGAACAGTCAGTACTAACCTCTTTGACAACATCCTGCAAGATATCCATGGGCAAGTCTAACAATAGCAGCGGCCTTTTGGTCTCCACAGGCTCCTCACGAGCTGCAAAGCTGAGTTTCTCCGTTTTGATTGCCAGAGACGTAGGATCAGGGGTATTATCGTCCGAGGGCCCAGCAACAGAGCAAGTTGATGGTTGATTATCCGATCCATTGTTCGACGCCGTCACCGACTCCCACTGCGGCCTTTTCTCCGTCGACCTCTCCTCGGACGCAGTCGACGTTGTACTGGCACTGGAAACGAAATCGTCATCGTCCGACGATGCGCCCATGTCGGAGCTGAACCGATAGTCGGAATAAAGGCTGCTGGACTCGGCCATGTTGTTGACGGCGGACATTGCGCGGTAATTTCAGAATGAGATCAAGGACAGGACATCACCCGTCGTGTCAAGCAGCGCGGAGAGAAGGTCGGGAGGGCAGCATGGAGGAGTTAGGTCGCGAGAATTAGGTGGTGATAGATCGCTGATGATAAAGCGGAATTGACGGATCAGATCCGGGGTAGATGGAGTCGGAGGAGCAGTGGAGGGCGTGGCGTGGACAACGCAGGCAGAAAGCGAGTGTGGCACAGAAAAAGAAAAAACAAGAAATGATCAACCACAAACAACAGCGTTCAGGTCTAGTCCAGTCTGGTCAGGCCACAGTCGCTCGCACCCGCTTGGGCTGGAGCAGGAAAGAGTCAAAGAAAAGACGACTGGAGCTGCTTGCGTGCCTTGGCGATCCGGCGATAGCGGCTACTTATGTCCTCAGGCAGTAAGGCCGCGACTAGTGCCTAGTGGCCTAGTGGCCGCGTCGCCTGAGGCAGATCCCCCGGGACTACACGTGCCGTCGATCATCGTCACTCGTCAATGTTTCAATAGAACTAATACTAGACTCAGACATAACAAAATAACAGGAAGAGACAAACATCAACACACAGCAACAGAATGCAATCAATACAACGACAAAAAACATCTCAGGAAGTGGAAGGCTCATAAAGCACGTCGCACACTCTGCCAACAAAGCCCTCGAGCCCCGATGGTGTCACCGAATTCTGCGCAGACGCTAATGCGACCGAAGCCCCGGGCATGAGCAGCACTCGAGATCCGATTTCCACCCACTCAACCGACGTGACAAAGGCGAATGTGATTTTTACGTCTTCTCGAGACGATCCTCCAGAGGCGCGGACCATGCCATTCACCTCCGACTCTCCGTGTCCTTCCCGGTCAGTCATATCGCCATCGAAGTCGAAAAACCCCGGCTCGGTGGGAGATGGTGCTCTTGAGACGACCTCATCCCCTGCCAGTGCCATGCATGTCACCTTCACGGTGGAGCGAATATTCGCAATGTATACGATGGCGTTACCACCCAGCAGCAATGGGGGCGAGAGCGAAGAAGCGAATTCATCCGAAGCAAAGCTAGCAACAAACCCGGTATGGAACAGGAGAGACTTGGGGATAGACGTAGACACCTCGTTCAAACTGGCCAAGACGGTTCCCTTGCGAACTTTGCCCAGTCGTGGTAATTGCCCCTGATGAGGAAGAGGCTCGACGCCGACCGTGCCCACTTGGTCCTGTATTAGCTTTTGGACGGGTAAGCGCAGATTCCTGACGCTGACAACACGGACACGTTGCCATTGTGCCTGGGCTGGGAACGGGGTCTTCCCCGATATTAACCCCTGGACGAAAGACGCCGAGAACTCCTGCGACGGTGGCCTGCCCTGAGCAGAATCATGCGTCTCTGAACGTCGCTCTGACCGGCTCCGCCCCCCTTGGTCAAGAGAAATATTGGTCAACAGAGGTCCAATGACTAGCTCGTCTCCGACCGAGATCGCCCCGTAACGGACCAGGCCGCACAGAACAACGCCATGGCTTTCTTTCTGAGGCTTCTCCGAGGAAACATAGACCTTCGACGGAGGAATAGCAAACACCTCATCAATGTCGAATATGTTGGTGGGAAGATGGGGCGGTGGCAAATGCCTTGGGATGGAGATGGACCGTAGCGGAGGCCGCGTAGGGATAGGAAGATACCGAAGGAACGCGTGCAGTTTACCAATGCCTGTGCCATCGACAGCGCTCGAGAGAACAATAGGCACAACAGACGACCAGTTATCGGTGGACTGGATAATCTTTCGGACTTCTTGGCCGTCCTTTGGTTCTATATGCTGTAGATCCACGGCCTTGCCAGATGGGGTTGGTGCAGGTAGCATCGCAGGCTTCTTGCCGGCGGCTTTCAACGCTGAAAGCACTCTGGTGAGATTGTTTCTCAAACTCGTGCGAGAGGCCAGATCCATTTTCGTAATCACCACGATTGTGGGAACGTCCAATTTGGCGCACAGTTCAAGATGCGACAAGGCCAAGCTGATATCAGTCGCTTGCTCGGTGGCACCTTGACTCGGCTCAGGCGAGGCCTCATCCTCACAATTGGCAGGGATACATAGCAAGACATAGTGCGGCGCCCAGCTGACCAGTCCTCGCAATGTAGACTTCAGATAGCGTACTGACCCCGGGAGATCGGAGACAAAGGCCAGGCGACCACCCTGCGAAGCCGCGTGCACATCATCCCATGCTGCAACATTTCCTGACGCATAGTTGATAATATCGACCTCGTCGGCAGAAGATTCGTTCTCAGAGTATCCGATCAATTCATGGGCAACGGAGCTGGTGATGCCCGATGAGATCTCATGTCGGTGTTTCAAGAGACTCAATCTGCTCGTCCCTCTGCCGTTATCCAGTACGGACGAGGTCAGAGTCCCCAAGAGGGACGATTTACCGGCTGTGCTTGGTCCAGATATAGAGACACGAATCTGCTCCGTCGAGGAGAAGCTGCCCTCTTGTGTACTATTCTTTCCGGCTTCAGATGATGCATTTTCTTCCTGAGACCCTCTCCTGGGTGACGGAACGTGGTAAAAGTCCCAGTCCGGGCTGACCAACGCTTCGGCCACCCACAGGTCTCCGGTGCGGACTTTCTCATCCTGAACATTTCCAGCGCGTTCATCATCCGTCCATTCGCATTTGCCCACAATCACCCGACGGAGGATATCAACTTTACAGCCCAAACTCGCAGCCATAGCTTGCAAATTCGACAGACTCTCTTCTAGCTCATCCTGAGCCAGCCCAACGAAGGTTCCATCGTCAGCAACGCCAATCTCATACAGAGCCCCCTGACTCTCCTCAAGACCAGGCAACAAGCGAGCCGGTTTCTGCGGAGCCCCCAGGAGATCTGTAGCATCAGGAAGAACCGGAAGCACCAGGTTCGCCGCCGTAGACGAATGGAAAGGCGAAGACTGCTGCAGACGCCACAGCAGCTGGGTAGTCAGGGATTGTAGACGCTGCTGACGACTGAAAGTCGAGCGTGCTGAATTCGGCTTCAAATTGGACTCATAGCTGGAAGGTGTCGGGCCCGACGTCGACAAGCTTGCGCGCGAATGATACGAGCCGCTCACAAGGTGGCCGGTAGACACTGACGCGTAGTAGCGTCGCGAGCGGAGCAAAAGATGCAGCTTGTATTCGGTGGGTCCTTCCTGGGGTTCCGGCTCCAGCTTGGTGATGCCGTAGTCCGACAAAACGTTGGCATCGGTCCGGTCTAGATTCGCGCTGGAGCGGCTCCGGATCGCCATGCGGGTGCCGCCGCTCACAGCCTGCTGTGGAGTGGAGGACCCGGATGTGGACCAGGGCGAAGAAACCCGCGGCGGATCGGGATCGTAGGTGAAGATAGACGCCATGCTTCAACAGGCAAGGAATCAAGGCCAATTGCAAAGACAATTGCAGGAGAGAAAACTGCGGGGGTAACGCGTCGCAGACAATGGGGGATTAAGCGGCAAACACAAATTCAAACAAGACCCGTCACAGAAGAGCTATGTGAGAAGGTAATGGTAAACAAGTCAAGTCCCAGAATGTGTAAAATCCTACACGTGCACAGTATAACCGTATTGGTATAGTCATTTTGGGGTGAACAGAATGTAGCAACGTGGACAGTAGAGGGACACTGAGGCAAAGACAAAGGGCAATCGCTTCAGACAAATAAGCCACAAAAGGGAGTCATGCAATCATGGGCAATTGAGAGGATAGAGTCAATCAGAAGCAAACGGAAGACATGGTTGATGCATCGTGACTCACTGCCTCGTGGCCCTGAAATTCCAGGCATCCCATCGGTTTGCGGCTGTGGACATGACGCGGTCAGGTGATCCATGATGTAAGCGCCACGTGTTGTGTATGCTGCCTTACGAGGCAGGCAACAACATCGACACCTTGGTTGCCTGAGGACAGGGTTGGGCTTTCAGGCATCTCTACATCAACACCAGGATGAACCTCCCTCTTCATCATACGTCCATGCCATTGGAGATATACCCGGCAAAGACATTAGAGCACTGTCGCCAAATTAATGGGCTCTTAGGTCCGGACCATCTTCATCAGTTGGCCCATCCCCAATAATGGAACCCCCAACGATACTCCAGGGATGTCCTTTAGCTCCAAATATTTCCTCGGTCAGCTAACTTTCATCCCTTTCGTATATGGTTGAAGCTAAGTCCATAATGACAGATTGTTGGAAACAACGACGTCCTTCGGCCTTCCAAAGAGCAGGAGAATATTGCGCTGGAAAAGAGTCGAGCATACTGGTACCACATCGCATCAATCGCTCATGCCTATCTAGACCATGGTTTGGCACCCGAATTTATAGATCCCCACCACGCCCTTTACAAAGTCCCAAGGTTCCAAAGCCCTCTGAAATCACAGGAGGCACGCCCTTTTGGCAATACACCGATTTGGGCGCTTTGCTCCCTCGCAACCTCGAATTGGAGACTAAGCTCGGATTGTGATGCGGTAAAAAAGGAAAGGGCGAGACTTGCCGTGGTGCAAATCGGCACGAGTAGGACCATTCCGTACAGCTTCTATGGGAAGGTCTTCAGCGATTGGATCGGTACGACGATGGAGAAGAAAACTGGTCCTAATTATCTCGGGATCCTTGCGATTGGGTGGTGCTATATACTCTCTGCTCAACTTCTTGAAATGCAAGGAGGTAGTGCTGTCATGCATTATACAAACTCTCTTGCTGATTGTTTGGGCGAAAGTTCTTCGAGCCCATCAGAGGAGGCCCATTATATCGACGTGGGGGCAGCAGATGACCGAATCGCTCGCTGGTGGTCTGCGATATTGGCAAAACGCGAAGGGTGGAAAGCCATCGTGAAGAATGAGCCTGATGAATTTGTCGCCCCTTGGTCAGTATCTCGCACGTGTGAAACTTCTTTCATCATAAAACGAAGCGACTCACAACATGGGGAACAAACACCTCTATCCTCGGATGAGGCCTTCGATGCTCTTCTTAAATTCGCGCATTCGCATGACGTCGGAAGTCAGTTCTCTATCGCTCTTACGATAGCCATGTCCCTCCCAATGCATCGATATTATGGCACGGACGTCAAACTGCCGCCACCAAGAGCACACGGCAGTAAACTCCTAACAACAACTCACCTGGATGTTCCACCGACGTGGATGCAACTGAAAACAGAGATGCCTTACTACATGACTCTGAGTTGTAGTCCAGAAGTGATGATATCAACGCTGTGTGGATCATTCTGGCAACCGCAAGTCCCATGCAATATGGCCAGTCAATGGTTACACCCAGTTCTTGAAGAGGTTTTAGGCGAAGTTGCAGATACCAAATCCCAAGAAGTTCTTGCTTTGATTGGTGCCATTCGCCGGCCCAGTGTGGGAGCGCTCTGGATTGGAGCAGCGGTGAGCGGTATAGGCCCTAAGCTTGTTGAAAGGGTAAGTGGAAACATGCAACCCCTTGACTTAAACGTCTTTCCGTGGACCGGCGCCCCTCAAAGTTTTATGGATGGTGCAGGCATAGGCCCGTATACCTGGGGGGACCCTGAATACATCTCGAGAACTGACATATGGCGGTTACTAAACCTCTCTCCGACCGAAGAAAACGATTGGGCCTATGAGAATAGACCGATGACACCCTGGGAACCTTGCGGGGCGTGCTTAATAGCAAATTGTGCGCTTCGTGTCACGTCGCATTTGAAATGCGCTCGGCACGAGTACCGTTATGATCATTGGAGTTGGGAATTGGAGAACGGCGAGACCATACACGATTATGGGTTTTTGAACGCGTATCCATCGCTTTTGACCGCAGAGCTGTCCAATATCCCAGACAGCAGGACAATCAGTCATTCATTCGAGAAGAAGGAGCTTGACCCCAAGCGAACGGCTTCTGAGGAAGCATCTGTCGGTATTTTCCTATGGTTCATTGTCGGTGGAGAAGGTATACCGCCCGAGAAGATATATCAAGATGACTTGCTTCGGGAGGTATGGGAAGATGTACTAGGCGATGGCAGCGGTTTGGCTTGTGAAACTCATCACGGGAAGTCGCCTGAATCTGGTCTCAGAAACATGGATCGCTTGGAGACTTGGCTAGACACCAGTGGCTGACCCCAGCCGGTTCGGATTGGATGGGTTCCAAGGAGGATAGCGAGTCAGAGTTGGCCAACCTTACTTTGCGTAGCCTTCAGATAGACCGATGGATTTCCTTTCGCTCTTTAGTCTGATTTGCCGAATCAACTGCACTGGAGCCCATGGCGATTGGTAACTTCGCGACCCGGGATGACCCAAGTCAAAGAAGCTTTGTAGAGCGTTGGTTGCTGGAGTGGCTCCTAATTGGTTCTTAGCGCTGCTGATTATAAAGCGGAATTTGCCGGACAAAAAAAGCAGTCGACCTCAGCTTTTCTTTTTGTCCTCAACCCTCATACTCTCCCTGATAAATCATGGGCACGATAATAATAACCGGAGCCAACGGCTCTGTCGCAATCCCTGCCGTAGAGCAACTTCTGTCTCAACACCCCGACCACACGCTGGTCCTGACCGTCCGCAACGCAGCCAGCGAGGACCCGAACACACAAAGACTGCGCGATGTCATCTCGCAGCACGAAACAGCCAAAGCATCGATTCGCCAGCTCGACCTGGCCAGTCTTTCCTCGGTGCATCAGTTCGCCGGCGAGATCGCCTCCGAGATCTCAGAGGGCAAACTCCCGCACCTCACCAGCATCATCTGCAACGCCTACTACTGGAACATGGTGACCGAGGCCCAGCTGACGGAAGACGGGTACGAGAAGACATTCCAAGTGAATCACCTGGCGCATGCGGTGCTTGCACTGCGTCTTCTGAGCCACTTCGGTCCCGACGGTGGTCGCATCGTGCTGTTTAGCAGCGACACGCATTTCCCCGGCCAAAGCCCGCTCGAGAAGTACCCGCCTGTCATCCCGGACGACCTGGACTTGTTGGCCAAGCCGCCAAACTATGAGAATGCCGATCCGATGGGGCGCGGGTTCCAGAATTATTCCGTCTCGAAGCTGGCGATCACCATGTGGATGTATGCGATCAATCGGTATCTCGAGAAGGTAAGAATGGGCATTTTCATACACGGATATGGATGAAAGCTAATGCACGTATTATGTAGGACGAGGACCTCAAGAATATTACCGTGGTTGCTATCAACCCGGGCAATCTGACGGACTCGCGGGCTCTGCAGGTTAACACCCCTACGCAGGTCAAAATCATGTCGAGCTTCATCATCCGACCGTTCTCGTTTCTTCTGCGTCGCTTTATGGATCCGACTATGCGTACTACTGGAGAGGCGGCCGCTGATGTGGTTGGGCTAGCTATTAATACGATCAGTCCTGGAGAGACTGGCTACTTTACCCTTTCTAAGAAGGACAAGAGCTCGACAGATAGTTACAACGAAGACGTGCAGGACAAGCTGTGGAAGAAAACCTTGGAATGGGGAAGCATCACCAAGGAAAACAGCCCTCTCAAGGAGGCCTAGGTTTGTGGACGGACTCTGGGAATGGTGAATTCTGCTTAGATTGTGATGATGACAGTTTCTTTCTTATAATGACGGTTGTATACATCTCATTTAGATAGTTAATATTCGAAATTGAAATCGTTCATTCCCTACTTGGACGGGTATGATCTCTGGGAAAGGTGAATGGTACACGGCCAGTCTTCATCTCTCAGCTTTCCTTTTTCTTTTCTCCTCTACAACAACTAGGACTTCATCTTCTTCTACTCACGAAGCGTCTGGCATTGATAATAATACCGATCCAACTATTTGGACCGCGTTCTGGCTGGCAATCTTGGAAAATCTACTATATTAGGCCTTGCTTTTTAGGCACTTGGTGAGTACCAGAAAAGAAATGAATTGTCGCGGCTGTAATTGAACCAGCTCCAGTTCCTCGCCGAAAGCTAGACACGAGCTCAACAGATAAATCCCGGAATATCTCTCCATATCTGACTCAAAGAAAGCTCGGCCACAGTTCTCAACAAGATACTACAACAGCTAAACGACAAAATGACATAAAGACAGTGCTTGAAATAGTCTCTATACACATGAGGCTAAAGCCTGTGATTGGCGTTCCCTTTTCCCAGACAAGACCAAGTGATGTGAGAAGAAGAACTGCCTATTGAAAATATGAGCTCCGAGTAGCCACAGAACCGAATGCGGCGAATCCTGGAAGCAAATACGCGATACTTGTCCAGTTTGCATCCTGCAGGGCTATCCATCACGATTGGTGCTTCCCACAGGAGCAGCTAAAACCTCGAGCCTTGGAGGAAGGCCCGGAGTGTGGGAGCTGTTCGCGCAAAGCGGCCACCGATGAATATTACAAACACATATCTACCCTACTACCTGTAATTATTCTGGAGAAACAAAATTTTAGGACCGCAATAATTAATGTTCCATGAGGGAATGCAGACAAGCTTTGTTCAATCTATTCATGAACTTTGGGTTCTGTACTCAAACCCGTTAAGTCGAGGGATGACAAGCAAATCCTCACAGCACAGTCTTTCTAGTTAAGAGACCACGAGTTGTCAAGCAAAACCCCACTAGACAGAATCCCTGACCTCCATTCGACTATGCCTCACGGAAGCAAAGCTAAGCTTTAGGGGTTTGTTCACGGAAGAAAAGATGTGTTTGTTGGACACATTTATGTTCGGTAAGTCTTGAAAATCGCAAAGCTCAACAGAGTTACTTTAGCGTCTGAGATACTTGATGACTTTGAGTGGCACTACGGAATTAGAAGACGATAGTAACTCCGAAGATTCGGAGAAGATACTGAAATAGATTATAGGAGAACGGAATCTTCCTGGTTTTTGTGTACAAGAGCGATGGACAAACAAGAATAGCACCTGCATAGAATGCATCCTGCAAGTAATGAATTCAATCAGTGTTCCTGTCTAGAATCTCTAATTATATCGAATGTTCTCGGATTCTAGCCGTGTTGCATTAGGCCCTTTTTTGCGGGTGTTCGGATTATTGTCCGCGTCCAAATAAAGTGCCCAGACAAACGCCAATAAGGTTATTACTTCCGTGGATCCTGATCTCATTGGAATGCATCCCTGCTACCCAGAACATCGGGATCAACAGGGATTGAATGGGGCTGATGACTGGTGGAACTCCATCGCTCAATGAAGAGCGAAACTGTCCTACTCGAAGGTCAATCATCACATCATATTCAAGCATTCCAGACTGCGATAAATCGATATGCATCGGCTCAATTGTCGCATTCGTCACACCGAGCCGCCGGGTAAATGGGGCGCATAACCCTAGTGAGAGATAGGTTAGCGATCAAAGCCATTCTGGATGTGATTGGCATCGTGACCCACCATTGGAGATTTGGAGATACGACTAAAGCCGTTATGGAGTACTGACTCCGCTCTGGACTGCGTTAGAGACGTTGCATCGTTGAACAGGCCGGTGGACGCTGGTCGCATGCAATGTGACCCTCTTTTGCGTGCCGACATCCCTGCTCGTCATGTGACCGAGCCTTGACGCCGACGACATCTCATCCTCTGCACCTTCTTGATCCTTGGGTATTTGTGGATGACCGCGCAGAGTCCGCAATCGACATGTCGACTGGAACTTTTGGCTTTTTGAAGGGGTTGGGATGTCGATTTCCCTGGTCTGAGGGTTTGCTGGGCAGAGTTGTTGGGAATACGACAGTGCTGGGCTATCGCTTTCGTCAGGGTATCTTCCACCATGTGAGGAGCGGTCTCGCTTGCAAGTTGCTCAATAAGTGCTTGGAAAGGCAACTGTAAAAGCACCTCTGATGGGAGTCACAGTCGAGGACAGTTGGTGAGTGCTATTCAAGACCAGGTCGAGTAACCACGTCAGACCAAAATCTGACCTACCAGAGGTCTGCGACTTTTTCCTTGCCATTAGGCTGTTCCAACGGTCCAGAATAAACGCAAGGTCTTAATGGAACACTTCGAGCCCTCGGTTATTTCAATTATGGGCTGCCATCGGGTTTATCGATCATTCAACCGCCCAGGCTGGTCCAACATCGAGCAGTGCAGTATCTTGATCGATTTTCAAAGACGAAATCGAATCACATTCAATCATGGAATATCGTTGGAAAGTCTAGAGCCGAAGAAAAATCGGGTGGCATCAATAGTGCCTTGGAATCGTGCGGCGTCAGCATAAACGAGGCCTCATTTGGCACTTCAAGGCTGGAGACTTCAAGGCTGGGGGATCGAGTTTTCGGGGCTCGCATATGGTTTGAGCAGACTGTGATAAAAAAAAAAAAAAAAAAAAAAAAAATTTTGACCAGAGGCTCATGCAAAAACAGTGACCTTAATTTCTCAGATCGATACGGAAGGTCGCAGACGACGTCCGAAACTTTTAGGTATGGTCCATTCGCACTCGGAACGCGGCACTCGAGCCCTAACCAAATTATCAGATCGCAATTATTGAAAGACGGATCGATTACAAATGCGAATTCAAAGGATCCTTCCAGCCTCGTCTTAGCTGTGAAAGGCGATGGAGCCAATTTGCGTGATCCTACCAACGCAATCGCCGATGGCATTGCCTCGCAAGGCTTATTGATCGAAGGAATCGTAACTCATTCGACTGTTGCATCCTCCCGGTGCATGGCTTATGGCACCAGATAGGAACGTCCAAGGCAGATCAAGGGTCCGACCACCTTGATCCATCGCCAACCGACCAAAGCCCAGATCCCCAAATGTCAAGGCTACTTTCGCCTTGATAATGGGCTTAGAGAAAGCCACGGTCGGGTTGATCTACTCCGATTCCGTCTGCAAGCCTCGCGCCCTTCGAGTATACTTTGTCATTTAGTTACGCCATGCCACGAGCGAATGGGAGTCTGTTGGATGGGCGACGCTTTGCTAAGAGCCCCACCAAGTAAGATGACCATGCCTTGATATTTTGGAGCCTATCTGAGGGTGAGAAAAGACAAATGACCTATCGGATTTTTGGGTTGTTTCGCTGACAGGGCTAAACCAATAGCTCAACAAGTTTCCAACAAAATGGCTCTGGGGGCGCGAGTTTCGATCGATGCCCAACTATACAAAAAGGGTACCGACGAGAACGACCGTTGCGGTTTGCAAGCCACCGGCGCTACGCAAACGTTTGCCCTCCAGCCGATCCCAGAGAACATGATCGACCAAGGGATCGAAAAGGGTGGAAACGCCATGAGAATCGTTCAGTAATTATGAATTCTGGTCTTTTTTTCAATTTTTCTTTTTTATTTATTATTTATTTTTTTTGCCTTTTTCCTTTTCTCCCCCTCCCCTTCATTCGATTCCCCCCTCCTCTTCTCTTAGTCCTTACACCCCTCCCAGACCCGAGATGTCCAGCCAATCAGTCTCCCAAAAAAGAAAATCATGAAACGACAGCTCACACACATTCTAAATTTCTTTTCGGCCGGAGGGTGGACCAGTCTTATAGACCCCGACCACGAGAACGACGACAAGACGGTGAGCGCCCGTTTCCATTGGTGTGGAGACACCATGGAGAGAAAGCGGGGACTCCATGACCCGTTTGTATACCTAAACGAGGCCGCAAGGGACCCGGTTCATGGCCTCCGTACGGAGTACGGCGTGGAGGCCGTGTCGCGGAAATATGATCCCCAACGGATCTTCCAGAAGTTGCAGAACAATGGATTCCCTCTTTTTCGAAAAAGGCCTAGCCCCTCCCCATCCTGCCCTCACACTAATGGAAATTCAATAGTCACCCGGTCAATCGTTTAGTCGGGTTACCCAATCCAGGAGGCCACCACGAGGGACGATGTCGGACCCGGAGCGAGTTCCGACAAGCTACTCCGTACGGAGTAGGAACTAGACTGCCCATCCGAAGGAGCGACAGAGTAAGTAAGTACCACGTCGAGTCAGTGACATGACATGACGGGAGGAGTGGGAAAAAAGCGGGCTAAAGATGGGTAGGTTGGGGATGTCTCATTTCTCGTATTTCTTTCCATTTGTCACGTCATACCACGAATGCATATCTTCTCCTTTCTGCTCAAGTAGCAATTATGGAGTATTATCGAGGAGTGCTACGATTTCCTACTAACCAAATCCCAATTTCCAATTCTCAGCTTCCCTATCTCCCACCGGGAAATCTACTAGCCCCAAGGAAGTCCCTAGTATCTGGATCCCCATCTATCTTGGTACTCCGTGGGTATCCGACCCCATTCTAGGCAGAAGATTCAAGATAGAACCACAAACCCTAAAGACAACCAGACCAGACCAGGCCAGGCCACCCACCCCATCAACTAGTCCAACCCAACCCCCAAAGACGTACGGAGTACGCAGAAGCAAAATCCAAACGACAAAAAATAGAAAAAAAGAAAAGAAAACCCCCTCAAACCCCAGTACCTAGTCCGTACTGCGTACGCACACGGAGGGGAGGAGGGAGCCATCACAAACGGCCCCCTAAACCCCCTTGTTTCTTTTCTTTTTCTCTCGCCCTTCCATCGACTTCCAAGCAAGGATCTGCTTCCTTCTCTCTCACCACCCCTTCCCTCCCACTAACTACCTAGCTAGTAGCTACACTACGCAGCCAACACTAGTGACCACTAGCCCTCGACGGAAGACAAACCAAGTATTCTAAGGTAACTAAACCTACTTTGACACGTGGTTGCGAGGCGGGCTGAAGACGATGACGATGGCGTTGGCGTTGGCGGGCACAGGCTCAGGCACAGCGGGCACAGCGGGCACAGCGGGCACAGTTAGATCCACAACGCTCAGACTTTCGCCGATTGATTCAGATTCAGGTACAGATTTAGATTTCCCACGTCTCTTAGTCCTCACTTGCTATATTATCTTATATTGGACTCATTTACGGAGTCCCCGCTTGCTACCGAAGTAGGGAACATGGGCTGTTATGGATCGGGTCCGGCCGATTTACCCTACCTACCTACTTACCTATGTATCTACCTACGGAACAATTGATGAAGTAAGGTAGGTAGATCTACATCGTCAAGATGGCCCATTCGGCCTCAAAGGGAATGGTTAAGGGGAAGGAAAATGAGGCGAAACCGGACCCAAAAAAGGCCCCCTCTACTCCGTTGTAGTGAGTGATGGTTCAGCAGAAACGACGAAGCCGCTAAAAAGGTTAAATATAGTACTTGGTATTTACCCAAACCCCTGGAATGATTCGAAGTCCCCTGCTTTCCGTTCTATATACAGAATCCCATAGTTCCAGATAGATGCTAAAAAATCAAAATGAAAATGAAACGCAAGAGAAAAAAAAAATAAATCAGAGCGACAAAATCAAAGGCTTTCAAAAAAAAGAAAATAAAAAGGGGTAAAGACGGGAAAAAAAGTGCAAAAAAAAAAAGAAAAGTCAAAAGAGAGTATAGCCACAAGAAAAGAGTAAAAAAAATGCAATGCCCAAGGCCCCATAATAAAAACCTCCGAAGTAACTCCGTCTTTGGCAAATCAAATGACAAGAAAACAAAAATAACTGCTCCGGTTGAAGGGTATCAGCGGTTCCCAATCTAATTTCACCCCCGTTTCTCACCCCATCGGACCTTTCACGCGCTCCGTCCGTTAGACATCGATCCACCGATCCCGTTGAAGGGGAGTCAAACCGGGAGGATCATCTTGGCCTTTTTCAGCCACGAGTGAGACAATGCCAAAGTCAAAGCTAGTGCAGGTCCATCAATCAAATGGATCTTCCCCAAATCGGTCGGTAGTGTTCATGATCGTCGGAAAAAAGGTAAAAAGGGTAACGGTTGGGTTTTTGTTTGATTTCTTCCCCCCTTCTTTGGGTACTAATCTGTCTGTCGGTTGGATGGATCGTCAGGGACGGAGGCGTGTATCGGTCGGTTTGGTTTGGTTTGGTTGTAATTCTAGTAGTCGTGCGTAAGTGTGTGTGGCTTTGGTGCTTCAGTCCCTCCTGTCGGGTTTCATTTCCGTCAAACCTAGCCGGATGAGGGAGATGATATTCGGTTTAGGTTCAACGTGGTGGCGGTTCGTCGAATCGGGCCATCTACTCGATCGACGTCTCGCGGCCTCCGCCTTTGCATTTGCCCTGCGCGACGTGGATATTGCGAGCTGTCGTTCGAGTAAATACGGCGCCGCAGCTGGGACATTCGGCCTTTGCGACGACGCCGGACTTTTCGCGCTGGTGGCGCAGGAGGTTGCTGAAGGTGGAGAATTCGCGGCCGTTGCAGCCATGGTCCCAGCATTGGGGCTTGGGCCGGAAACTGATGACGCGCACTTGCTGTTCGGGATCTGAGGAGCCGGCGTTGGGTGTGGATTCGGCCGAAGAGTATACTGTTCCTGGGTTGATTAAGTTTTGTGCTGGCGGGTTTACGCCGAGTGAGCTGGGGTTGGAGCTGTGGGGGAGATTTGGGTTAGTCGAGTGGTTCGGTTGGTCCCGGGTTTGCAATGAGTGCAGGCATGACTCACGGAAATGAGGAGTTCTGGGCGAGATAGTAGTCGGGTTGGTTGAGGAGGTAGGAGGAGGGACTGGAAACAATAATGGTTAGCGATCTGGTCGGAATCCCTTCCTTGGTCTGCCTTACGGAGATGTGAATGCTGGGTCTTGTATCGTCGGCGGGCTGCTCGATACTTGACTACTGGGGTACGAATAGGGGGCAGGAGAGCTATCCACAATCAGACCAAGGAAATGGGCGCGGAATTCGATGAGTAGAAAAATGCAAGCTTACCTGCGAGCGTGGTGCCGACTTTGAGGCATAGATGGGTGCGAGGAGAGATACTGCGTGGCGGGGATTCCGGGTTGGTAGTAACTCTGCGTGCTGGGAGGAGGTTGGTTGTACCCAACGTGATACCCCGGGACAGAGGAAATTGGGGGCTGCGAAAATGATTGCTGGTCCATGGCCATTGAGGGAGGGTGGAAAGGTTGCGACGTCCGTCCTTGCCAGCCGTAGTCTGCCGAGAGTCAGTTTATGGCCCAGCCACTGAGCGAAGACAAATCCTTACTGTGTGAATTGTGTGCCATGGCTCCTGGTAGATATGATCCGGAAGCTGCGTACACAGACTGGATGAAGTTAGTTTTCCTGTCAATATCTCCCATCGTGGCTGTATAGAAGGAAGGAAATGGCAAAGGACAGATGACTCAGTCACCGGTGATTAATCAACGTACCATGAATCTCTGGCTGACCTTTCTCTTTATTCGTGAAATTCAGAGGCTCACGTTCTGGTAATTCCCCGGTTTGAATGGGAAATGGGAAAACGATGGATCTGAAGGCGTCGAATTTCGACGCACTACCAATGCTCCTTGCTGAGAAATATCGTGGAGTAGAGCCTCGTGGGCTTTAATTCACCCTGAGGGCCAATCCAGGACCAAGAATAGGAATTTGTTGACAACGGGAAGATAAGTCCAGCACTTGTGATGATGGACTTGACAATTAGCAATAATGATTGATGGTGGAGAGTGGTGTGCTCTCCACAGATCCTAGTAGTGGCGAGGTGGTTAACAATCGAAACCGAGACACGAGACCAGCGAAAGCGGATATTTAAAAGACGGAGAGGAGCATACAGTGCAAGTCTATCAAAGTGCGATCTGGAGAATGATTGTCAACCGCCACCGCAGCCACAAATCGGTCGTTAAGTGGAACTAATGCTGACACGGTCCAGGATATATGGGAAGGTACGAGGCTTTGTCGCCAGAGGCCGAAGTAGCAAAGAGTATTTAAACGCTTTGGACGTGAGAGACCAGGAGACACGCAGCGCGAAAAATAATAAATCGAAGAATTATTACGGTGAAAAGAGAAATAATAAAATAATAAACGCAATGAGCATGAACTGGGGGGCCGAGAATAGTTCGTCTGGGACTTAGTTTGGAGCTCAGCTTATGGGCAGCGAGTGGCATTTCTTTTAGTTCCAGGCTTAGTCTTATTAGGTAGTCTTATTACTGTTATTATTGCTGGTGTCGTAATTGTCTGGTTATCGTTTCGGAATGATTCTTTTTTTATTTTTTTTGTTTTTATTTTTTTTTTATTTCTCTCAATTAATTTATTTTCTCTTCGTTTTATTTTTTGTCGATTTTCTCGTCTCGGACTCTTCTGATTTGATTGAAATTATTTCTAATACGTTCAGTCCTCACTGCCACGGTTAGACTCAGAACACACCAACATTGTCTACTACACGCTGACTGGTCCAGTTGGGGTTGATTTTCATTGTTCTCTTTCTTTCATCTTTAATTCCGTTGCGCAGGGCGGCTATTGCTCGAGCCTTTCCCACGGCTCTTAACCTCGCCCGGCGAGTGGCCTGGCGCTGCCACGCTACTATGGATTTTGGGAATTTGGCTTTCTGGGGATGCTGATTTGTGCGTCCCTTTTCGCTGAAGCGCGCATAATTTACGAGCTAAGGGAAGAAGTCGGAATACCAGATGCAGAATGGCCCTGCAAATGATTTTCGCCATCTTGGGACCTAAAGGGCATCCAATCCAAGGGCCGTACCCTCTGCAAATAGGACCAGGAATCACCTGGACTGGACTGGACTGGGACTACATGGGGGGATCCACTCCGCAGGGCTTGACATAGGCAGCCGACGTTGGTCAATGGGCAAAAAGCATGGTGACGCCGTGGACGGACCCATTATTGAAGACGGAGCCTTTTTGAATCCCGTGAACAAGAAACAAGGTGCTGGAGCCATCGTCGAGCCGGGGGGAGTAGGCTCCTTAGTGTCCCTTCTTTTCTTCGACCACGACCCCCCTGGCCCCGGCATTTGGGGAAGTCCGCACTAGAAGGGTGATGGTCGGTCTCTTCTTTTTTTTTTTTTTTTTTTTTTTTCTTGGGCGGCCTGGTCTGTTGTTCCTTTTTTTTCTCCCTCTTTTTTTTCGGACCCTTATTGCTTCAGTTTCCGGCGTTTCGCTCTCCTGTCGCCCTGTCTCCGTTTTTTTTCTTTTCTTTTCTTTTTCAGCCCCAAGAGACTAACAAACGCCACGAGTGGTGTGGCCTTTTCTATTCTCCTTCTTTAATTTTCTTTGGTGGATGGACTGGTTAGTGATTTGGGGGCCAAAGGTAGCAGGATATTCCCGATTCGTATATCGGAACCAGCCAGAGCGGGTACCGGACTCGGAGAAGAGTAAGACACGGCCAGGCGTACGTGGAGTCAACAACGGATCGTCGTGATAGGAAGAAGGATATTTTCGATCCGGAACCACATGGCGATAAGCAATGGACGATTCGATTGGAGCTCCTTCCTTTGTCTTTCCCCGGAGAGGAAGAATGGCTGCGATTTGTCCATCCCATCCAGCCTAAGAAAGAAGGGGGAAGGGACGAAGGGGTAAGGGGGGGGCAAGGAAGAAACCAAACATAACAGGCGCTTGAACCTGGAAACCATTCGGGATTAACAGTGGAAGGAATGGTTCCCGCAGATGACATGACGATGATCGAGGGGAGGAATGAATCTTGTTCGGATGTATCAGGACTTTTGACCAATACGTCAATACATTTGGCCCCCACTAAGTTGGCCAAAGTGACGCCAGCCACTGCTGGATCCGCTCTTTGCAATCAGCATCGCCGGATGTCGTGGTGTGCTTTGTCGGGGGTCTGGTAGTAAGTATCCAGGGGGAGGGAATTGGAAGCCAAAGAAAGAGTCCGAATTAGGGTTATATTAAATGGTCGGCGATTGAGTGAAACAGTTTGGCCGGGGATTTTGTCTTTTTTTTTTTTTTTTTTGTCTCTGTCTTCCTAATTTAGAGATCGCATATACGGAGTACGAGTGCATTCGATAGTACGCAGTAGCTCTAGGATCTTAATTGCGTCAAAAGAACAATCTCACGTAAAATAGATTAACAGACGAAATAAAATATAATAAACCCACAGGCTGACCCTTGACATCGACCCAGAGAGATCGACGACCCCAAACGGAGGGGATGACGATGAAGTCATGTTCCGTTGGGGACGCTCTGGCGGAGAAATACGGTTGATTCTCGCATGGATTGGCGAAGGGGGGAAGAAGAACCAACATCGCAGTCGAAACGCCGGCGGGAAAGTCGAATTTCGGTCGGTCTCGACGGGCGGAGACGGTCAGACCATGACACGTCGTTGCTTTTGGTTAATATGGTGGATGACGATGAGGAGGCCTGAATCGGCCTGTAGGCGCCAAGTCGGTGGAGGATGACAGCCACCGTCAGATCGAGGACCCTGTCTGGTGAGTGAATTACCCGCCGTGGGCTGAACAGAGGACTTGGGCCTTGTTGCGTTCATGAATCAGTTCGTGATTGGGAGCGTCAAAAGGAGGGGGGAGGAAAGGACGTCGATCGAGACGGCAGGAATGTAAAAAATAATAAAAATAATAATAATAAAATAATAATACGGAGTACTCCATAAAAGAAAAGAAACAGAGATTAATAATGTCCAACGTTGAAGCCAAACCCCATGACGCCGAGGGTGTCACTTGATGCGCCGCACTAAACCCGCCCGCTCTTCCTCCTCCCTAGTCTCTTCTAACTGCTAACGACTCATGGCAGCCACTTGCGCCGGCGTCATTTCTTTCCCCACACACAACCTGGTCTATCCTCATTAAATGTTGGGGCCGTTTCTCGGCGACACGCTTCCGAAGCGCTTTTGATCTGGGATGGTCTGCTCCATGGGTCCCGTCTCCCTACTCGCTAACTATGGAGGAGAAGTGCCACTTTGGTCTCCCCCAGGGCTCCATCTTCCAACATGCTCATCGCCACCGGCGATACGGAGTAGATGCGATGGAGAGACAGACGGCCACTCCGAGATGCCACGCGAAAGCGACGAGAGACACACCAAAGACATGCGGGACCGTCCCAGCCGCAGATCGTTCCGATCGCCTCAGTCGGCGACCCTCGCTCCCATGGAATCTGTCCATCTAATTGAAACTATAACGCCCTTTCGCTCCCCCTCCCCCCCTCCTCTGTCTAATCTATAAAGTTTAAGCTGAGCCTTTCAGGATCAAACGATCGGCCGGTCTCCACGTGCCGCGCACTTTTATCGATCCTGCTGGTTCTGTCTGTTTGGTTAGCTTACTGCCCTTCTTTAGTCCGCTCCTCGAACGGACTACGGACTACGGTCATTACCGCCGCACCCTGGCCGGTGGAGAATGCTGACATGATTTCGAATGCGTCTGCTAACCACGAAGTGCCCTCTCTAGAAGGAAAAGAAAGATCCAAAAATTCACCCAAATCCCGCCACCGTTGGCACCGTCTCCTCCAAGCGCCGAACTAAGTCGGTCTAACACCCCTGCGCCCCCCCCCCCCCCCCCCTCTCTCTCTTAGCCGACGGAGCAAAGTCCCAGGCCATTCCCGCACAAGCATACGCGCGACCCTTCAAATTTCGCATGGGACCCTAGACATGGTCATTTACGGAGTCCCAGTCTATCTCTCGGCACACCACCCCTCATCTCCAAGCGCCATGTGGCATGCGGTGTGGGATCCCCTGGAAAAGCCACGAGGATCCCACCGTGCATAATTCCCTTGTCCTTTTTTTTTTGTTGGGAGTTGGGTCATTTTGCCGCCGGCAGAAGAGGGACAGGGTGTCGCTCCGACGATTTCAATCGGGTCCGTCGCCTTGGCAGCTCGCGTGGTCGGCGTCTAAACGCATTGTTCTTATTTATTAGTACCGACTGATTAGGCAGCGAGTGAGTCAATCAGTCCAACAGCAGAAAAGAAAAAAGACCGGGCCCGACTCGCGCATAGTACGCACTACGTACGCATGGGATACGACATGATACGCGCCGCCAGCTTTAGTGATGCGACCCTCTGTTCAGCTCTAGTGCTGTTGACTCTTCTATGGGCGGCCCCGGATCAACGCGAGACCCTTAGGGCGTAGTTCAGGGCTACATGCATTGAACCCGTGCAAGGAGAACCCAAAACAGTGCAGAGTATTGCTTGGCTCCCCTGATTCCCTGAGCAGATCGGCAGCTCTCCTTGACCCCCTGATCCATGCCCCATTTTTCTGTCTCTCTTTCTCAATCGTTTTCGCACATACCATTCATATGACCCAAAGAATTGTGGATCTACGCACCGCCAATGTCCCCTTCCCTTGCTGAGACGCGGACGACGCCGAAATGGCTGCCAACGTTTCGGGCCTTCCTACCAGCTGCAAGGCCTTCACGGCGATACGGTGAGCCGAGATCACCATCGGTTTCGAAGGGATTGGGGCCGAGGGGCAGAAATGCATCCTGCACCCTTTTCTATCCCTTCGTCTCGAATATTCTAGACCGTGCATTTGGTAAAGGTCAAATTTGAGCTCCTGTCGGCTGTTGCTGGCAGTTGGCCCTAGAATGCCACCAAGAATAACTATCCAGATGCTAAGCTTGTCTGATCATGGTCTCATGTTCTCCTGTTACTATTTTTTGCTGCCACAAGAGGGGCGGTTTTGTGCTGTCTCGAGGGCGATGAACATGTGGCAGTGCGTCCCCCTTTCTTCCTCGCCAGTCAGCGGGGATGATCGGACCCGACAGGTGACGAAAACGAAACGCTATCGCCGTGGGGTTCTTCGTATGACAGCAACAAAAGTGCTGGCCGCAAAAAGCAATGCGCAGTTCGGTTTTGAAAATAAGCAATGGGAGATCGGCTGTGCCGATTCCCCTAGCTCCGAATGGCCGTCTCATGTCGTGTTACAGGATGAAGTCAAAGCTGACACTTCTGTCCGTCATGGAGGGTATCGACGGGGAAAGCGCGAGATAATCTCACTTCCCAAGCCGACGGGGGCTATCTCGCATGACCTCAAAATCTGCCTGGAGCGAGCTGAACGACCAGGAAAAGCAAACATACCCAAGTTAAGCCCATTGCCAAGCGCCAAAACCGGATATGTTACATGTCGTCGGCCTAATGAGGAAACTTGTAGTTTCATTTGACAATATTCTTTCGGATGAAAGAGCCGGAAGATATGAAAATGCGATTCATCCGATGGGTTCTTTTGCTAATCGCAATTTTGCCTACACCGCCATTGATCCCGCCGGAAGACCTGAGTAGGAATAGTATCGACCGCCGTGGCAGTTAATTGCACATCCCCATCCTAGCCGAAAGACCTTAAATCACAGGATGAAAACTTTACCTAACTTGGAATGACGACAGTTGCAGGAATTGCGCTACTTGGCATCTCATTTTAACTGTACGCCGTACGAATATGGAGAGGTTCACTTCCATCTCGGGTTTCAGTTACCTTTATTATCGATTAATTTGGGACGGCGAGAAGGATACTACACTTGGTAAGATTCCGTTGGGGATATCGCCCATCATGACTCAATCAGCCAAGCCGCATTTGCCGAAGGTGGTTTTATCTCATGCCCGTTGCAGCACGTCGACGTCATGGTTGAGAATGTGAACTCAAGATATCCTGTAGCAAGCGGATCTACCCATTCCCATGCAAGTCGATAAAGGTTTAATTACGACTTGCGGACTATACGTACTTTACTAATTGGACCAACAGACACCTGGCACCACTATTGGTGGCTCATTAGCGGCGCGTATATCGATATACTTTAGACGGGCAGGCCTTCTGGGACGAAATTGCGTATTGTGCTATTATCTCTAGTAAGATTTTAGATCAATTGCTCATAGATTTATTTGCTCCATATTCGGGTTTCCTTACTGAGGTTGTGTTACTGCTGGGACTGACGGCCGTGGCTAAAATGTGATGCCATGGGATGAATGAAGGCACTTCACATTTTAATTTCCTTTTAATCTTCTTGGGAATGTTACCTTGATTATCAATGATTACGTTAAATGCAGAACATCATAATATGAATATTCTCTTCAATGAAACACTACTATCGTGATGATGTTTAAGGTATCATGTGCGTAGATGTCACTACTACTATATATATTTTCTCTGTGCATAGTCAAGTCTCTCCAAGATATTACTTCACAAGCAAGTCAGGTTTCAAAATCATGTTAATTCCTACTAGTACTAGTGTGTTCAACAATTCAACAAGTCAAACTTCTTGCCTCCTTTATTTCACATAAGCTGCATTTGGCTCGGACAACCAACTATGCAGATCTCGACGCCTCGGGCTCCGAGGAGTTGCAGTCTAAGGGAGAATGTAACCCAACCGGACATTGGCCCTAAGTACGGAGTAGAAAGACAAGCTTCAAGCCGGTCAATTTACCACAATGGTCGCAACCCGGAGTCATCTAGCTGAACGCACTCGCAGCGTACTAGGAAGTCGAGCCAGCAAGCAGACTCCTAGTTGTCCTTGGTCAGCCTATGAAAACGCACAGCAACATGAAACATATGCAGCCCGTCTTGCCCTAAAATCGTAGCCGCATATCTGCACCCACGAATACGATTCGTACGAATTGGACGTCGTTCTGAACTCCGCTCCCGGTCTCCGTGGTCCGTTGTCCGTTGTCCGGTTCTCTGCCTTGACTCCCACTCCCTCGAGGTTACGCTGTACAGAGTACGCCATACGGAGAAGTGTCTCCAGCTATCGACCTTCCTGTCCGGGCTAGCGCGTACGACGGGAGCGACACGTGGTGACTTATCTCAGCCCTGTGGGTCGACAATGGCCTCTCGAACAATGGGAAGTCGCAAGCGAGGCTCGGTCGATCTCGTTCTCTCGAGCCTCTGCCTAAGTTGGCCAACAAACTTCAATGTTTCTGAGTCAATTGTTTGTTAATTGTTGGATTACGCGTTCGCCATCACCCAAACACCCAGAATTGCCCGCCCCGAGTGGGAACGCCAGCCTTGACTGCGTTGCGGTCTCCTGTCAGAATGGGCGTTAATATATCTCAGACGCTATATGGACGCTAGCACTTTGGGACATGACACCGGCGACTGAGAAACATGTGCTCAGTTCTCCAACGAGAAACGCGATCTGCCAATGATGCCCAATCATGGGCGATAGAACATGCCACTACTGCAGTGGGACGCGTCCGCCGTTTCCAGCTACTACTGCGTAGGTATTACCAACACTGTCGCTAAATTCTAACTTTCCGATAGTCGGTACATAGTCCTTGTCTTCTGTGGCCCCCCTCCGAAACGCTACCATGAACCGGGGGTAGGAGTCGCATAACTCCCTGTTACGGTATCCCCACTGCACTGGCTCGGCAGTTCCGATGCCGAAGAGCCCCAAGAAGCAGGAACGTCGCCGGCTCGTCGCGAGGCTGCCGTCAGGAAAGACGCAAATGACCATGTGAGGTCCACGGCTGAGGTGGGATCTCCGTTGTCGCGCGTGAATTGTTCGGCCAGCCCGCCGTCGCTGGGAGTGTACTCCTGCACGACGGACACGAAGCCATCCGCGTATGTTTTGACGGCGCTGGTGAGGGCGGTATACTCGGCTGAGGATTTGGAGTATGAGCCCGTGGTGGTGTTGCTGGCGAGGTCCTGGAAGAAGGGCAGGGACGTGTCGGTGACGGTCAGGCTGCCCTGCTTGTCCCACTGATACAGTGCGTCATACAGCACTTCGGCGGCCGCCAGGGTGGTCAGGTACCTTGATTTCCTTAGTATGGTCGAGACTCAAGATGTGGATGTGCAATACTGACCATGGATTTCCTCCCTGGTAGGTATCCTCCGCATAGCGACCCACTGCGGCAGCTTTGCCCGCACCCCGCCCGTCGTTAACGTTGTAGATCGACCGAAACGAGTCGACCACGGCCTTGTGGTTGGACAACGCGCGAGAGGAGCAAGGCTGGAAGGTAACATCGTCGCAATCCGCGGTCGGATCGAAGGTGTGGATCGAGGTCAAAAGGGAATTAGCGTCCAGACCGCTGCGGCCACTGGTTGGAATGTTGGAAACAACAGCTGAGCCATCCCAGAAGTCTTGCAGGTGACAGAGGATCTGGGGCGCCACGGAGCAGGAGTCGCATGCTTGGCCCAGCGCTTCTGCGAAAGCCTTTCCCTCGACGAGCGCTTTGTGTTGGACGGCGGTTGTGAAAAAAGATGATCCCTGGACCTCTTCCCAGAGATCGAAGGTGCTCTCGTTCCAGTACTGTCCGACATACGACAGATCGTTCTGGACAATAGGCCAGATATTATCTTGCGCCAGTGACTTCTGGTCCTTGGCGATCAGCGAGTTGCCATACGCGATCAACGCGGAAGCACGCAGTGGCGGGCCATCGCGTTGGGGACGGCCCCAGGAATCCGTGAAAGCAGAAATGTCGACATGGAATTTGGGCTCGCCTAGTCCAGTCCCGTCGGATAAATCGCCAGATGGGTTCGAGACTGTCTGCTGCTTGGCCTGCGAGTCGACGTAATCCTGGATGAGAGATTCGAGTGAATCATCGCCGCCGAGAAACTGCTCGACGACCGCTAGCATGGTGAGACCTGCATCGCGTGTCCATGTATAGAAGTCTGACTGGTTAGCAGTGCATTCAGATTGTGGAACGACGCGACATACAGTCTGGATCCTCCTTCGACGGTGAAGCGACTACAATGCCGGCTGCAGCTCCTTCAACGCGCTCCCCATCAGCGCCGATGTTGTCGAGAACCCCTTGCTTGGCGATGGGTGTTTGTTTCTCGAGGAACGCATCGATATCCGCCTGTCTCTTGGGGATAGGAGCATGTGGAAATGCCACCACGGCACCGGCTAGAATATTGAGAGAGATTAACGATTTCGTCCACATTGTCAATGATTAGAAACTTAATGACTGAATTGGAGACGGTACCGAGCAGAAAGTGAGCAGAATCAGCAGCCCTTTATATGACTCGGCTTCACGGAAATACATTACATCACACTGCAAGCAACGGGCCGATCGTTCGGGGATAATTTTATTTCGTGAAGACTACATACTCCGTACTGTGCAGGAGCCACCCTGCAGCGCTGCAAAATCAAAGTTCGGTTAGATGTGATCGTCCCGATAACTCTCCGGAGGCAACGATGATCTCGGATCTCACTGGTCGAGCGCAGTGCATCATCCCAGTCTAGTCACTCTTAGTCCGGGCTTGACCCTGACCTGCGCTCAACTATTGGACTGCAATCCGATATTTCAGAAATGGGATCGACGCCCGGGGCCGAATGGATCTTCTGGGTTCGGAGAGGTAATTTCCGCTCCCAGACAGTTATAGCCAGTGATATGGACAGGGTGTTTGGGTTGCTTTGGAATTGCCCAAGTGTGGGCTCTTGATTCAGCTGGGAATAATTGAAGCCGGTGCAATGTTGGATGATACCCGCTTGCTTAAGTCCGGTGAGTCTCCGAGCCAGAGGTTTCCGGTGAACGGAAAGCATTCGGTGGGAATGCTCGCTGTAGTTGAGAATTTCCACAATACTAAGGCTATCTAGCTGGTGCAGTTCATGAATTCAATTTCATTATCGTACAGATCCCTCTTAGACTCTTGACGCATTGTAGAGCGGAGATTGAAAAACAAGAGCGCCTCCATGCTGGCCTCTAATATCAAACACTACGCAACCCGAACCTCGACCTCCACATCCTCCTCCCCCAGCTAAACACAAGAATTCCCCTTCCCACAACATGCCCCAACACCAACGGCAACCCAAACCTCAACCATGTAAACGGCCTCCAAAGCACCGCCTTCGGAACCGTCACCACATCCCTACACTCCCTCTCCCTCTCCCTCCCCTTCACCCCACCTCCTCCCTCCTCATCCTCCTCCACAAACGCCCGCACCGCTTCCACCACAATCCCCCCAGTCTCCATCGGCTGGCTCAAAAACGGCGAATGACTCGTCCTCACCTCCCGATGCTCTACCCTCGCACCCATCCCCCTCGCCATCCCCACCCCCACCCGCTGCGCCAACACAGGTAACCCCCTATCCTCCGTCGTGCCGACATACCAGACCGGCACGTCCTGCCAGCCCGCATACGTGTGCTCCCGGCCCTCGAACAGCGCCTTCAGGCTCTGCGGCGTAAGCTGCGCCGTCCAGTACGCGGCCTCGGTCGGGGAGAGATCGTGGTAGAAGAGCTCGCGCGGGGGCGTGATCAGCTCCGCGAAGCCGGTGGATCTGTTCGCTCGCCATGCGGGAGGCGGGTGGTCGAGGAACGGGTCCATGAATGTGAGCCCGGTGAAGGTGAAGCCGGAGGCGATGAGGATGAGCCCGATTACGGACCCTGTGTCCCTCTTCCTGGGTGAGGGCTGGTGCGGGTGGATGTTTGTGTCTGTGCCAGTGGCAGTAGCAGTGCCAACGCTGTCACCATCGTCTCGCTGATGCTCGGACTGGTCATCCCTCCTCGCAAACCCCTTAATCGCACTATTCCCCACCATCCCGCCGTACGAGTGTGCGATGACAACCACGTTGCGACCGAGCCTCGTCTCGCTTGAGATGGCATCGCGCGCAACGTCCAGATCATCTTTGAATGTCGCGGCGGGGTTTTCCGAGTTGGACGGGAGGGCGACGGCGGTGCATTTCAGGCCGTGCTGGTCCTGGAGGATCTGGATGAGGGGGTCGTAGCAGAGGGGCTTGTGCCAGGAGCCGGGGATGAAGATGAGGGTTGGGGGGTTGGACATTTTTATTCTAGTCTAGGTGGTGTTGTGGGATGGATGAGGGTGGCGTTGAGTTGACATCAGTTGATATTGGGAGAGAGAGGCTTTGCTGGATGTGGTTTAGTGGGTGGTTAGTGCCTGAGGTGTCGAGGGGTTTGGTCTCTATACGGCACTCAGTTCCACGGGTACTACATTTGTGGTTAATCTAGTACGCAGGGGTTTCTGTATTCACTGGGACACTGATAAGGGTGAATTCACTGCTCTTTGGTCTATCTTCACCTACATAGCCTGCCCAACACATTTGTAACTTGTCTCTGATAATTTCTCCCATACAGAAACCCAACTCTGCACTACACCTAGACGGTCCTATCTGCAGCTCTCATTTATTTGCTTCAAAGCCAGTCGAGCTTATTTCTGCTCTGCTAGTAAAGCAATATATCCAGACCAAGAATCTATCCTTGGGAAGTCGAGCTATAAGGTCCACTTTCTCTTTCCCATATTCTGGACATCACTTCCTTAAATACTCATTTGACTCTCCGATCTCAATACAGGCTTCAACCTTCACGGTGAACAATCGGACTACATTTACAGAGCCAGTAATATCTAAAAACCTGCTATGGTGCTCTGCTTCAACAGAGGCTTAACCCCACAGAGAGTTTCTAAGCTGGCCTATATCGACTCATGTTTCTCGAAAAAGAAAATACTTCAAACTTGAATACAGCTCTCAACACACTATTGAACCTCAAGCCTTGGAATAGTGTTTTGTTCCCAGTCCTCTGATATACACTAAGCAAGACGTGAGTTCTCATACAATTGTGATTCTACTCGGAATTCAACGTCGAAAGACTACCACAGCGAGACAAGTCTTCGTCGACAGAGGGTCATCCAGACACCTCATACTAAGCGAGGTCGGTTCTTATGAATTTCCGAGGAAGTCGCATCTGGGAAATCGGCGACTTGAGAGCTCTCTATCTATTGCAGTTAGGGTGGGAAGTATTGCCAAAGGCATTGGATTGGAATCTGTTGTCTTGGGCCATGTACTGTCAAACATAAAACATTGGCGTGAACAGATGCTGTGTTATTGAAAAGTCTATCAAGCGAGCGCCAGTATTGAGGATCGAAAAAAAGTGAAGACTACAAGCACCACAGAATGAAATTCGATGGGGTGGGGTCAATTTCACTTCTGAAAATGCGATGCAACGATATGGTCCTGGAATTCAATTTGCGTTGTCTATGATCCTGGAGCACTGTTCTATCACTATAACTGAGGTGATCAATACAACAGCGGTTTGATTTTGCCCTGGTTGTGGCGCAGGGATAACTTAGCTGGATAGCAGGTTGCTTTGGACCTTACCGTGCCTGGCGCCTGAATTGTGCATGGATGGTGGGACTTCAGCATTTCAGAGATCATCAACTACTATGTGAATTCTCTGTTCAGGGCCATGTGTAACACGGTAGCATATTGATTGCTCGGTAGAGACTCAATTGAAGCGTTTTGGTACATCAGATATTTTAAACACCTTAGGGGCTTTTTTCTCGGCAACATGATATAAACCAACGTTAGATCAGTTAGTTTACACAAGAGACTTTCTCTCCTTTGAATTGTCCATGGTCTGTTCCAGTGGCTTAGCAATATCCATAAGCGAAGCCAGTCCGAAGACCAAAGATAAGGCCACGAATCGCCCTAGCCACCTTGGGCATATATCCGACGACTAAACGCGATGTAACAGGCTTACACACGCCTAGTCCAATCACGCCATCAGAAGTAAAACTAGCTGTGCGATACCCAACAGAGAAAATGCGCTAATGCACCATATCACCCGGGACTATGCCTGTCTCCCAGTCCTCTCTTATATAAAGCAGCTACCCTCGCCACTATGGATGGGCATGAGTGACTAGATTTATTTCCATTCTGTCAGTCAACATGCCGTTCGATTTGAAGGACCGATTGGCCCAGTATATCGGGGCTTGCGAGCCTTTGCTGTATGCGTTTAGCTGTATGTTTATGTATTCTTCATCTTTGGGTAAACTGCTGATATCACAGTCCGGTGGAAGGCATTCCGCTCCAGTAGCGATGGGGCGTCGTCGGCGCAAGACCGCGGTTTCGCAGAATGGTTCCAGGAAGTCGGTATGTTTCCCCCCCCCCTCCCCATCCCCCATGAACAAAAGCCATTTATTGATGTTCCTATAGCTCCTTTATTCAAAGAACGCGAAGAATCATCCAAACTGCCCTACCTAGCATCCACCGCCCACGGCACAGTCCTCGAACTAGGCCCGGGCACAGGAAGCCAAATCCCGCGATACAATTTATCCCAGATCACCAAGATCTACGGGGTCGAGCCGAACGTAGTATTCGCGAAGGCTCTGGAGAGCCAGATCGCGCAGTTCAATGCTAGCGATGTCTATGTCCCTGTGTATGGTCGGGTTGAGGAGGAGTCTGTTCTAGAGAAGTATGGGATCACAGACGAGAGCCTTGATTGCGTGACTAGTTTCCAGGTTCTTTGCTCGGTGGATCGGCCGGAGGAGACAGTTGAGCGGCTTTGGCGGTTGTTGAGGCCTGGAGGGGAGTTTGTGTTCTGGGAGCATGAGGCGAGTCGGGATTTGGTTACTTGGGTTGTGCAGAGTATGTTTTTTCATCTATGTGGATGTTGTGGATTTGGGGTTGCTGACAGATGCAGAGTTTTGGTCGATTCTGTGGCCGTTGGCGCATAGTGGGTGTCGGTTGGATCGGCCGGTCGGTGATATCGTCTTGAAGTCTGCGAAGTGGGAGGTGGTGGAGTTTGAAAGGGAAGGCGAGAAATGGGCTGTGATGCCTCGGGTCTACGGGCGGCTCAGGAAGCCGAAGACTGCGGAGTAAGAGACAGCTTTGGCATACGTAGATTTAGGGCTCAATTTGATTAACTTGCAGCACACATAAATACATAAGACAAAACAGTCCCTCACTTAAGCAATCTCATCTTCTATACAACTCCCCAATCACCTCATCCAACTCTGTCTTGCTACGCTGCACATTCGGAACCTCCCCGGAAACATTCTCCAATGCAACGCCACCCGGCAAGAACGAGAGCGTCATCTCAACAAACGGCTGTACCAGCGGACCCGGCATGACCTGCGCAAAGAACGGTCCCAGATCCTCTTTCTCAACCGGCTTCGCCTCAACCTCTTTCCCTGCCGCTTTTTCATATGCCTTCTGCACGTCCCGAGATGTATACGGTCTCGGTCCGTGCAGCTCGTAGATATACGGGCTCTTGGGAAGAGGAGTACCGGTACCCAGGAGCTGAGAGGCGGCAGATTGGCCGATATCTTTTACGGCAATCTATGTACGTTAGCCATGTTCTCATCTTTTTGATATCCCTCGCAGGCTAGCGGCAGAGGACTCACCATAGGAAGCTCATACTCCAACGGCGTCACCGTGGAATAAAAAAACGGATTCTCAGACTTCACCGTCGGCAGAGCCGTCGCCCAATTCTCCATGAAATAACCACATCGGATGAACACGACTTCAGGCGCCGCATCCTTCAGAACCGTCTCAGAGATATGGTTCGCAAGAATCTCTCCCTAATTTGTCAATCAGCGCACTCCCTCCCCACCCAACAACATCAAACAGAACAGGGCATACGCACCGTCCCACTCTCACACTGCGCTCCAATACTCGACAAATACACCACCCTCTTCACGCCCCCTTTCCTCGCCGCCGCCTTGACATTCTCGGCCGTCGATCTCGCGCACTCGAACGTATCCGCGCCGTCGAATGTCGGCGGGGTGATTACGAACACGGCGTCGGTGTCGGAGAGATCGAGCGTCGAAGGATCGTCGATGTCGCCTTTCACGGCGCGGAAGCGCGGGTTGAGTGCGAATTCATCGGGTACTTTGGATGGATTGCGGTAGATGGCTTCTACGGTTGTGGCGGGTTGGGTTTTGTCGTTGAGGATGGCGCGGATGGTCGCTTGGGCGGTTTGGGTTGAGGCGGGGAGGATGGTGAGGTGCATTTTGTTTGGAGGGCTCTTTCTTTGGGGATTGAGATGGGGGTATGTATGTAGTGAAGGTAGGTGACGGGTCAGGAGGGAAATGGTTGAAGGTGTTGAAGAAAAGAGGAGTCCATATAGCTATATATATGTCGTCATCTCGTATTTTGGCCGGTGGGATGTCACGGGAAGTATACCAGGCTGTAGGTTCCCCTCTTTTGCACCCCCGGTCGCATACTCTCGATCGGGTAACCGGAGAGTGGATATGCATGATCCAAAGAGGAATTGAATTTGAACAGTGGATATCAAAAGTCATTTTGGCAGATTAGCTTTGGATGGTCTGTGCCTTCTGACAGATGATACAAGGGTTGACTTGCTGCCAGAAACCGTGCCTCCAAGGTAAGACAAGAAGTGTAGAACTATAGTTTTCAGCCGATTTAGCCGTCTTCATAGGAATGAAAGCATTTACCCGGATATATAGTAATTGTTCGAGTGTTGATATGGTGGATCTCACTAAACGTCTCATCCATTGTTCTAGATTCTTGCTCTTTGCTCTTATAACAATAAAACCAGCGGTATAACCAATCAGCTCGCATGGCTTAGTTGGTAAAGCGCATGACTAGTAATCATGAGATCCTCGGTTCGAATCCGAGTGTGAGCATTTCTTTTTGTCTTTTTCTTTTCTTCACGGCTCTCCAGGCTGATAGTGTTTTCAGAGTGTGGAATGTTTTCATTTAGATTTTTCATCATGCGCGGCACTGAATTGAGTTACGGCTGTAGCAATTAGACTCCCTGTAAGTAACGGTGCCCCCAATTGCCCGCATATTTTGCACATGTGATACCACGTGACCTTGAGTCAACCCAGCCTGACGCCTTCGACAACTCGGCCATTCTTGGCATTCTGTATCAGGTTAGTCATTCATGGACCTGGCGCCATATCACTCGGCCATTTTCTCTCGGCTTTTGAGACCAAATGCATCCGGACGTAAATATCATTGTTTTCGCACAGTTTCACTTATTGCTGACGAAATGGAAGAGATCATTATTCTTGCAAGGAGACTGTGTTCATTCTCCGTACATTGAAGTATATATATGTATCTTTTCTATCGCTTCTGCCCGCATATCGGCGGGTCTGCTTGAACACTCCTGACGATGAGGCCAAGTATATAAACTACCATGATAGTGTCTGATCGATATCCTCAAACAAGGAGGGGGTCAACGAATGAGCCTCCTATGGACAGTGTGTGGCGATAAATCCAGCTCGACTTGTCCAATCCACATTCACCCTCTGGTGCTCTGGTCTTGGGGCCAAAAGCCGAGCTGAGCCAGCACTCGAAACCCCTCCATAAGCCGTCTTCGCTGTCAAGGCTGCATGCCCCTGATTTGAGACAGTCTGGAACAACTAGATCAGCCTGGTTATCACAGAAGTCTGGATGAGATTCCGCAGGCAGAACGGCCATTGGTTGACGGGGCTGTGAGATGCAGGGCGCTAGACCGGGTTGGGTTTGGAACGAGCGTTGTTTGTAGATGTCTGATTGGCCAGATCGCTAATGACATCATTGCCCGAATGAGGATGCAGCGCTAGGCTGTTTTGGGGTGTAGATTCAAATGATAGACCGGTCGAGAGGACAAGAATAGCGATTGTGAAGAGGGTGTTTGGGGGAAGAGTTTTCAGGGGAGTTTCGAGAGAGGAGATATAAAGTCGGGTATGTGGCAGAGTGGGAGAGAGCCAGATCAGTCAAGCCTTTCATTATACCAAATTATTCCTTCGTTTCTTTCGTTCGCTCTTTTGGATTCCCATATCCTGAATCACATACTATTCCTTAGTCAGCTATACTGAGCAATCGTTTTCACTCTCTTAAGTCTACTCTCTTTATTGGTAAGCGATACGTCAATACTCTGTCTGCTATTGCAATGCTCATACCTTGTTGCTTCATAGAATCTGCACCATGGACAAGATCAGTCGTGAAGGTTTCATTGTCCTGATTATCCTTGGTTGTGTCGTCTCCGTCCTCATCGGCTACTCCATCCACTCTATTGCAACTGGCGGCTTCAAGAACGACCCAACCGAGCGCGAGATGTCCGACGAGCAACGACAATATATGCGAACGTTGCGTCTTCGAAACTTGGCCTGGTTGGCTCGAGACTCTCGGGTCAAATATGATGACAGACGTGGCCCCCAGATGGCTTGATCGACACGGCATGATTTGGTGACAAGAATATATCGCTGATAGAGGTCGAGTCATGGTGGGTATGTGACAGGCAATGGGCAATCCATGAAGACTGTCCGGTCTTACTAGGTTGAAATACTTGGATGGAATGCTGCCTGCATAACCATGACTGCTTTGGCTACTCGAAACGAACCGCAACATGATCATGAAAACATCAGTCGGATGTCGACAAAAGACATACACCGTCCAACAGTGGATCGGCAAGCTGGACTTGGCTGAACAATGACGGACTGGGTTGGAAAGTTTTATAATGCATCGTTGCATAGCTGGACCCATATATAGACACGTGTTACGCATTGAGCATGACATTTTCGGATTGATTTCACGTAATAGATACGTTTTATTTCATTCATCATGACAGAAGTCGTTTGATCCTCGTTGAATCAGTAGTCAAGGGGTATCACATCGTCAACCCGCTCCCATAGCCCACTGGACGTGTTGTATTGATTCCTCATAAACTTCATGAAGAGCTGATCTGGGCCTCGTTTCCATTTTGAAAGGTCTAGATCCCCCACATGCCATGGAGTGTCTTGCGGTCTGAATATGCCAATGAATTTAATTCGAGCTTTGTCGGGAATAATTGACCGGGTTGAAGAGACACGTTCGGGAGAATATGGAGGGGTGTTGAACGTTGGAGGCAGGGACGGCTCTGGAGTCTTTGTCGGGCAGCTGGAAGGTTGATCATAAGAACCACTTGTGGAAGCTGGACTCATTGCACCGGTGTGAGGCTCTGGGCCTTTGAGCATCAAAATACTGAGTCCATCCTCTATTTCCGAAATCCCCTGAGCCAGGGCTGCACCAGGAGCGCACTTGTAAAATCCCTGCACTGGAGGAGATTTGCGTAGCAGGTGTAACGCTCTTGTACGGATGGAACGGTGGCGACACTTCATTGCTGCCAGGAAAAGCGGAATCCCAACCCCCATTTCGAATGTGAACGGTGGCTGGGCCCCATTCAATCCGGCTGATGCGTCTAGAGCTAAATCGGCCTGATCAACAAGAGTCTGAAAGTCGGATGTATGCGCATCATAAATTGCTTCATCTTCTGCGAGACCGGCCGAGACGACGATTTTAATAGCGGCATAGTATACCAGGAGGATTGCCGCGCCATTTTTTGATTCTGGTGAGAGTTCGAGAAACTGCTGAAAAGAACAGTGCCAGCCCTCAAGTCGAGCAATAAGAATCTTCTGCTGAGCGATGAATTCCTCAGTAACGTGCAGTTCTCCACCGACTGCTAATAAATGCTCTTCCGCGGCACGTTGGAAAAGTAAGCCCTCCGAGGCAAGGGGCATCATGGCAAACCGAGCAGAATTTAGAGACGTGAACTGGTTTGTGGACATTATGTTACCAGTACCGATGAGTCGACTGGGGGGCACACCTGAGATGGTGAGAGCAATCGTTCCCAATCGTAGGAACAGAGGAATCACAGTGTCTTCGAGAAAGAACTTCTCTGCGAAATATGGCCCCTTCGAATTTCCCCTATGAAGTAAATCTAGTATGAGACTTTCACCCTGTCGATAAAGCCCCAATGCCGATTCGACGTGCCCTTGGAGTGTCTCAATGCAAATAAACAACACACAGCTTACTAAGGCCGTGTAGGTGTCAACAGTCCCTTGACTGAGCTGGCTCTGGACCTTGGATAATGACCGAGAGTACCAAGTGAATGCATCACGGTGGCTCTGATGAAGTGACCGGAACATCTCAGGGCTCCGACGCAAGAAGACCGGGTCTAAGCATGGATCGGGGCTCTCGAACAGGGCGCTCATGGCGTTGACGGCATCCCAGACAGCCGGTTCTCGGCGACATATTTGGGGAACTATTTCGCGCCAGAAGCTGGAATCCAGGTCTCCTGCTATGAGAGAGGCGGCATGCTCCGAGTAGTAGGCAAACGCGCGACGTTCTCGCCACACCGTGTTGGGCGCAGACGAGAGAGGGCGGTCCAGAATGGAGCCCGTTGAGGGAGTGGAGGAAAACGTGTTGGACGCAGGGCTGGCATCATACTCGCATTTGCGGCCTGTGCTGGTACAGCGCTTACAGTTTGGCTTTTCTTGTCCGCATTTGACTTTGCGGATTCTGCGGAAACGGTAAGTAGGGAGGAGTATGTTCGATTTGGCAATGAAGTGTACTCACCGGCAGGTTTTACACCCTAGACGAGATCGGAGGGGAGCTATGTTCTCCCGTTTCGAGTAAACTGATGCCATGGGAAAGTTAACCGAAGGATGAATGAGATTTGAATGATCAACGCAGTGGTGAGATGAGGGAAGAAGTCGGGGTTTGGGCGAATCCTTCCGAGAAGCGTAAGTCTGCCCCAGGCCGACATCAGGTGGGGCCGGCGTGGGGGCGATCTTATCACGGAGTATGACTTCTTATACTATGTTTTATTCATTATTTGATATTGAGATTCAGTAAATCTTATGTTTTCATTCTAGCTATTCTACCTAGCCCGCCTGCCCTGATCATGCTAGCTCTACCACCCTGCCAGCCGCACCTTGGTAGAGTGTTTCTATATTCCGGCACTTCATCGCCTTGCTCAGCGGAAATATTCAATCAGTCAATTATTCATCATAATTGCCTTTTCCTCTTGAAATAACTGATCCTTTTCGTTGTAAATATGAGCTCTTTTGCGTAGTTAGACCATCATTCATATTGAATCACGTAATTCAGCGCGTTAGTGATGTCCTGCCAAGCCCTCCAAACTGCCACACTTAGGATACATTGACTTAGGATTAATTGCATGCAATATTCGGTCTTGTGCTTATTTGATACTCAGTAATTGTCGTACTGGTCAACCAGAATAGAATCCCCTTCCCTTCCTCCCCATCATAACCGCCCTGCCACCGTTGTGGCATGCGTCCAAAACGGCCATTCCAAGCTTCTTTTCATACAACTGCCTGCTCTTCTCCCCTGAAGTTCTTAACATAAACCATCTTAGGCGAGGAAGCGGGCGTAACAATTCGTCTATTGCCTCAAGTAACCATCCACCTAGTCCCAGGCCCTGGTGTTCCGGTAGGATATACAGATCATTTAGATATGCGAATGTGACATTGTCCGTGACAAGACGTGCGAACCCAATTTGTTCCGCTTTTTCGTTCGTTGTGGTAGGGCCATGGCTCCCAGCTATGTCGCCATTGGGTGTGCTAGAGCTGGTGCGGTCGTTGACTTGAACTTTGTATACCCCAAAGCAGAACGAACTGTTGATAAGTGATTGTAGGGTTGCATCTGGGAAAGCATATGTCCAGTGTATGTAGTCTTTGTCGAAGGCTGAGTTGATGGCTGCGATCGAGAGAAGGGATTTGTCGGTAGAAATGGTAAAGTGACCTTTCCTCCAGGTTTGGGGCTCCATGGGGAGCGACATGACTCTTTCAATAATGATTGGATGCAAATAATGAATCTTTAAGTGGTCATAGATGAATCAATAAATGTCGAAGGAACAATTCCAGGCGGGCAGTGCACGCAGTCGGTGTGTACCGGCCTCGATGGCCGAAACTGGGGGATATAGAATCCTAAATCAATATGGAATGATAAATCGTGGTGACTGATCGGTACTTGGACCAGGGTTGTATCAGCGAGGTGAAAGAAACCCCGGGTTGCGGTAGAAATGTGGTACTCTATAGATGTCAGCTCATAGTTAAGACCCAAAAAGCGTTGTAGTCGTCCGAAAGCGGCGGCCCGATACTACCACACCCCCCCCACCTAATGACGAGTCAACGAACTTTCTTTCCGCCCTAACATGACAGCCAATCTAGCAGTTGTCAATTGAGAGAAAAGTTTCGAGTAGCACTACTAAGTTTATGATAATATGGTGTGATCGTTGCAACATATCCCTCGAGTCCGTTCTGTTTGCAGCTGTGATGATATCATCTACTTTAAACACCACTGATGCAGAAAGAAAGAACCAAAAGTATAAATAAGACACGAAGCGACAGCGATTAACACGCGTTTTCGACCTTTTGCTCTCATGGTGAATTAAGATCAGATTATTTGTTTAAAAAACCCCGTAACGAATTCCTTGAACCAATACTAAAACATGGCTCCCTCAATCAGTACTTTAGACGCCCAGCCCGTCTTTGACCGCAAGTCCAAGATTTCAGCCCTGAAGAAAGAAGCTACCAAGGCACCAGTGAACAACATTTTTCCCTGAGAGAATCCATCAAAGGTAGTTCTTCGACCTTCGCCTGTGGCGGATCTGTCGCGATTGAGAATGTCGCTTATGGCGGCACTCCTCAACTCCGTGGCAGGTCTCACCCTGTGAACGTTTTCTGGGAGTCCGACTCTACTGTGCAAAAGCTGGTCTTGCCAATCAACCAAAAGAACAAGTCAGCTGTGAAGCATTTACAGTCGCTTGCCGGTGATTGCATTCCTGCAACCTTCGGCCGCGGGGATCAGGATGTACTTGATCCTACTTATCGCAGAGCTGGAAAATTGGAGCCTGCCCATTTTTCCAGCAACTTCCACCCTGCCGATTTTGGTATTATTGATCAAATAGAGCAGGACCTGCTTCCCACTATCAATGATGGTCCCGGTTCCTCTGGCTACCGCAGGAAGATAATCCCCGAACTTTACAAACTGAACGTGAGTTTAATCTGCCTTGGTCAAGACAAACCAACTGATGAATTTATTAGGTATACACGGGTCCATCTGGTTTCTTCCACAAGCATGTTGATACTCCTCGTGGTCCCAAGCAGATCGGATCGCTGGTGGTTTGCCTCCCATCTGAATTCAAAGGGGGTGTTCTACACGTGAGAAACGGTGGCCAGGACCTCAGTTACGACTGGAGTCATGCTAGTGGCTCAGCCATCCAGTGGGCGGCATTCTACAGTGATTGCGAGCATGAGATTAAGGCTGTTACCGAGGGAGAGCGTATCACTCTTACCTACAACCTATACGCTACTGAGATAGGCACAGAGGGTATCCCCTCCGCCCTTTCTCTTGCGCCGCAGTCGCAGCACCTCTATTCCGCTCTGGTGAAGTCGTTGAAAGAGCCGAGCTTCATGACGGAAGGTATTTGCCCTCTTCACCATCCAGCTGACGTTGCTAATTTTGGCAGGTGGTATTGTCGGCCTGTTCTGCTCTCATGCCTACCCTCATATGTCAGGCACCACTGCGAAAAGCATGAAGGGTCTTCTTAAGACCTCAGACTACGGTCTGTATTCGGCCATCAGGTCGTGTGGAGTAGATGTCGACGCACTCCCAGTCTCCGATACTGGATCCTGGTATGCATCTATCATGAAACGACTGCAACGTGAAACCAACGACACGAGCAAGGGAAAGGAGGAATATACAAAAGTATGCATTCTAAGCAACAGCCCTAACCTGTTCTGAGGCATGAACTAACAACACTAGATGGCAAGCGATGTCTGGCCATCCGTCCAGCTTAATGGTATCACTTGGCTGAATGAACCGAACCGTGATGAAATCGCGTTCGCTCATATTCCCCAGCTCAGGGGTGGACCGGCTCCTGTAGCTTACGGCAACGACGCCGTTAAGCCTGTGGCATTTGGCAATGACGCGGTCAAGCCAGTGGCTTTTGGAAACGACGCCGTCCAGCCCGTCGCTTTTGGCAATGACGCCGTCCAGCCCGTGGCCTTTGGAAACGACGCCGTCCAGCCTGTCGCTTTTGGTAATGACGCCGTCCAGCCCGTGGCCTTTGGAAACGACGCCGTCCAGCCCGTGGCTTTTGGAAACGATGCCGTCCAGCCCGTGGCTTTTGGAAACGACGCCGTCCAGCCCGTGGCTTTTGGAAACGATGCCGTCCAGCCCGTGGCTTTTGGAAACGACGCCGTCCAGCCCGTCGCTTTTGGTAATGACGCCGTCCAGCCCGTGGCCTTTGGAAACGACGCTGTGAAGCCCATGGCATTTGACAAAGAGAAGCTCTCTGTCGTTCAGTATACCGATGCTGCTATTTTTGCCGTTATTCAACCCTGGGAGAAGCGCTCGGAGAGTCTTGCTTTATAAATCGATGGGTTGAAATAGTGTCATGATTGACACCTGAGGCGCTATACCACTGGATACCTGCAGCTGAGGTGGAAGCGTTCTTAGCTTACCTTGATATGTTTCATTGGAGTTCTGTTGGTAGTTGGTAGGATGTTTGTTGCAGCTTTTCTCTGTCGGGAATCTGCTTGTGTCTGCCATTCTAATCTGTGGATGTGGAAAATCCCACCTTGGTATATTAATCCGCGCGAGAGCGGCTTTTATTGAGACCAGTCTTCTTAATCTGGTCTTTTATAATAATATAATAATACTGTGTTCCTTAATCAGCCTTTTAATCAAATCCTCCTGGTACTGTTTTATCAAATTTGATATTACCCAGCACATAGCTGATAATGGCATTCGCCAAAGATCATCGTCGCACCACCTCGTGGATATGGACTCAGAAGAAGTGACCAGGAAGTGTTAGCTCTTGGTGGGATTCAAAAATAGTGAAAGAAAGAAATTGGGTCTTTATCCAGCCAGTTCAATAACTAATAATACTAGAGGCAGTCATACTGTTAATGCCAGCTCGGGTCGAGGCTAGCCAGTTCCGGGATAGCGCAAGGCCAAGACTCGTGGGCTGGGGTTTAGGCCAGATCCGGTTAGAGCCCGCCCAGCCAGCCGAGCCCGCCAATGAAGTGTTCGCATTGGTTGTTATTGCCCTGCCTGGGGGAAGGCTTATACTGAGGTGGATATGCTATTGTTGGGGATGTGATGCGTACGACAAACAAGGCTGCCATGATGGGCTAATATGCAATGTTATTTATACCGGATCAAGCCCCTGGATTGCAAACCTGTAGAATCTAGACAAGTCACATTTTTAGTTTACGCATTGCCCATCATGAGCTTCCCGGCTTTCGTCAAGTCATGGCTTTTGACAACAACTATTCTCGCTTCGATGCAGAGCGCGTCGGCAGGTGTCGTGCAACGCACTCAGAAGACGGTGGATAATTGGGAATCGGTAGCTTTCACCTTGAACTCATTCCGTTCGGGCTCTAAATTGACATAAATCAGATAACTCCTTCTCCTGAGCTCGAGTGGACACCATGCTTCCAGAACTATACTTGCTCTCGACTGGAGGTTCCCCTCGACTACGGGAATTACAGCAATGGGAAGACAAACATTGCGATCATAAGGATAGAGGCCAAGAATGTCACCAAGGATACTCAGAGCCTACTCATCAATCCTGGTAAGACGCCCAAAGCCTTCCCAATAATGCTCGTTGGTGTCTGACTTGAGCACAAATACTAGGTGGACCAGGAGCCTCCGGAGTCGACACCATCCTTGAATATGGCCCATCACTGGGAGGGATTGTAAACTTCCAGCATCACATCGTGGGCTTTGATCCTCGTGGCGTCGGACAGAGCGGACCCCTTGTGGACTGCTGGCCTGGCCACCCTGAACGACGAGCCCAGTTCGAAAAGCTGTATTACACCGAGACTTCTAATGCTACTTCTAGCTCACTAGGCAATCAATACGCAGCAGCGGAGTTCTATGGCAAAGCCTGCTCGGCAACTGTTGGCGGATCGCAGGGAAACGCGTCGTACATCAGCACGCCTGCAGTGGCCCGGGATATGCTCACCTACGCCGAAGCGGAGGCGGTTGCATCTGGCAAACCAAAGAGAGATGCTAAACTGATGTTTTACGGCCTCAGTTATGGCACCGTCTTGGGGGCAACTTTTGCGCATATGTTTCCCGATCGTATCGAAAGAATGATCCTGGACGGCGTGGTCAACGCAGGGGACTACTACTCCATGAAATGGCAGGCCAATTTGTACGATACTGACGACGCGCTCCAAGACTTCTTTGATTTCTGCTTCAAAGCTGGAAAGAAGAAGTGTTCGTTCTGGGACTCCTCGCCTCGTAACATCCGCAAGCGTCTTGATAACATCTTGGCCGACCTCAAATACAACCCGACCCCTATCCCCAGCTCGGAATTCTGCGAGATCCCGATCCTAGCGACCTACTCTAATCTCAAAACGCTCGTCATGCAAGCAATGTACGACCCGCTCAATACCTTCCCTGCTCTGGCAAATGTCCTTGCAGGATTGGAACAGGGAAACACCACGGCCTATGTCGGTGCAGTCACGTCCCTTCTACCATTCAATCCATGTAACAACGGTACCGCCGGGTCGACTCAGGACTCCCCAGTCTTGATTGAGTGTGTCGACGGCTACAGTGGACACAAGTTCCAGAATATTACTGAGTTTGGTGACTGGGTTGAGGCATTGAACACTGAGAGCGAGTTTTTCGGAGAGGTCTTCGCCACCAATTCGAATGCAGTGTCCTGCCGATCAGTGGATGTGACGCCGCCAGAGAGCGGAAGGATCCACGGTATGTGTGCTCCATCTAATTTGGATGTTTTCTCAATATCTATTTATGTTGCTTGGTTTCCCAAAGACACTAACCACCAACTCAGGCTCTATCCTTGACCCCAAAAACACCTCATTCCCCATCATGTTTGTCACCCAGCAGAGCGACCCTGCCACTCCCAAGCGAAAGTATGTGCAGTCCACCCCCGTACAAATAAAACACGATCTAATGATTTCCCAGTGCCTACAAAATGTCATCCGTGTTCCCCGGATCGGTGGTGCTAAAGCAGGACGCCGTCGGAGTAAGTGACCAGAACCTTCAACGCAAGAAACAGAGACTGATTTTATGACAGCACACTGCCTTTATCAGTGCCTCTAGCTGCTTGTTGGAAAATGTCCAGGCTTACCTGACTGGTGGCCATCTGCCAGCTGCCAACACAACTTGCAAAGCGGATCAGGTTCCGTTCCAGGATGTCTAATGAGCCCGCGAGGTGTTCAGGGAACTCTGGAATTCCTTTGCTTCCATCTTGATGTCAAGCCATTCTTTAGGCTCAAGATAGCTTTTATTAAACAAACAAATATATAGAAAACATAGCTGGTCAAAATTATTATTTTGACTAAAACACATGAAGAGATAAAGACTGAAAATAATAATAATAATAATAATAATAATGATAATGATAATAGGGAGAATCTACTTCCCAGAAGTAAAATATAATAATACAGTTAATTATTTATTATAAACATGTCTCGCTGTCTCGCCGGGACAGTTTAAAGACTTGTCCCGGGTCTGTGAAAGCATGTCGGCAATCACGCCGGGGCTCCCTGGCTCCCGGCCAATCGGCCGAAATTGGCCATGTTTCCCCCGTGTATGTCGATAAGCACTTGGCAATTTGCGCACGGGTCCCATAAACTCTTCCAAATTAGCCCAGACAGTCGGTCGTCGTACACAGGGCTATCAAGAAGCCATTTATTATGCAAGGCCAACCCATAAACTCCCTGTGCCGTTGGGCCATTCTGGCAGGGCATCAAAATTTGGCGAAAAGGATACGTCTCCGCACAACGGCCAAACGGCCAACCGCGTTTTCTTCCCGAAGTCCAAATAGTGGGGGACCAGGCTTGTGACCAATTGGTCGGCTTGAGCAAGGGGGATCTAATGATCCCAAATCGTGCCCTGTCAAGTACCGCTCTCCATGATCCTAGGTCCCGGCCTACGGCAAAACCTCCTCTAGAGGCGCCTAGCGCGAACTCTCTGCCTCCGTTCCATGTGCATTGGTATACTCTCGGGCTGTTCTTTCTAGAACTAAGAAGCTTAACACACCACCGTCCGAAGACGGCAGTCAGCGGTAGGTAAAAATTTCGCTTAGTCGCCCCCTGCGGAGCACGCCCCAGGTTGCTGAGGAAGAGCCCCAGCAAGTCGGGCAATGCCCAGTAGTTGATGCCGTTGTACTCCGTCTTAACGAGCTGGAGACTCGCTATTGCCGGGAGGTACCCGGGATTTACGCCCCGATCGCGTTCTGACAGCTTATGCCGTCAGGGTGTCTTCGATCAATATTAGCTATACTTGAACGAATTTGTCTCAGCTCTGGTCACTGACCTCAGACGGGTCAAGTCCTGGTGTATCAAAACTAGCATCGCGGCATTCTCAGGTGGGACCCCATATAGGGTGGAATTAAGCACGACGTCCCCAAGGAACACGGAAATCGTGTCATAGTCGAACTCGTAGGCATCCCGAAGGTTAATGCGGCCGTTAAGCCAAGTTAGTAATTGTTCTGCCATGCTGATCCAGTCCCGATGAAATGGCTATCGAAGTAGGAACCACCAACTCGAAGAAGGGACTGAGAAAAAAACAAAGAAAGAAAAACCAAAAAGAGAAGAAAGCAAAAGACAGTAGATGAAATAATGCCCAAAGAACCAGGAGCAAATTGTGAAATGCATAAAAGGTATAGGAAGAAAGTAAAGAGAGATTGTTTAATGATTCCGCAGGATGAAGTTCAGGGCGCTCTGAACTTCCTTTGCCTCCATAGTGATGTCGTACCATTCTTTAGGCTCGTCCCTCACTTGGTGTTCTCTGACCCAATGCTGGGTGGGACGCCAACCGACTATGCACTGGCCGATGTCTTTGTATTTTAAAAGACCGAACTCTTCTACCAATTGCCAGAATTCCGTAGACATTGGCCGGGTGCCATGGTGTCGGGAGAGGTATTCTATGAGCTAACCAGCTCCCTGCCGCCATGTGCTATCCATTCCTTCGCCGGATCGTGCCTTGCACTGGGTGATTATGAAAAAGCTTTCGATGGTTTCCCACCACCTGATGGGTATGGAAGTCCGAGAATAGGTGGTGGTGACTAGGGAGATCTTCCCAATGCGTGATAGTATATTCTGCGTATGCAGGAACTTGCCAATTGCAAGCATACCGTGTAAGCTTTATCATCAGCGAAGTCTCGTTTGATCGGCCGGATATGATCCTCATGGTCGAAATAGAGTTGATATGGCTTACACGCCTTCGGTAGGAGTCGTACGATCGCGTCCAGTTCGTCGTCGGTGAGGTCCTGGTTATTTTTCACGGGGTCGAGCCACTCAGCCTTCTTTTTTTTCGGTTGTCTTTTTCTTTCGCAGTTTCTTTTTCATGGTCGGCTTGGTCTTCTAACTCAGGCCCGTAGCAGGAGGGTCCGTTGTATGGTCCTGGTTCCCTCCAGTTCCCTGGCTGCCGGTGGGTCCTTGATTGCTGCTTGAGCCCCGTTGGGTGGAACTCGATGGTGCCTGCTGCTGAGCTCTATGCTGTCGGGAGAGATATTCCTGTAACCGGTCTCCCCCTTCGGCCCCCACTTGTACTGTGACCTTTTGCGTTGGGTAATGATAAAAAACTTTCTCTGGTCTCCAATCACTTGGTGGGTATGGAAATTGGAACACATGCTGTGGTGTTTGGACAGGTCTTCACGGCTTTGTGGCCGGGTGATGTATCCTGCGTAAGCAGGAAATTGCCAGTTGAGAATCGAGTTCCAGATTTGATTGATATGGGCTAATTTAATCTCCATGTTGGTCTATTCCGCCAAGACGCATTTCAGGCATATTGAAATTGTGTTTCTGAAGCAAGGTCAGTACCAACATGGATGAGGATATCGCGAGACTTACTACTAGCGGGAAGGTGCACCCTTAAGGTTCTCAGACAGACGAAGGAACATCATCTATCGCTCTCTACTAACAGAGACCACGTATCTCTGGAGGCAACTCGAATAACGTTGATTATCTCATAATCCATGAGAGTGGGTGATGGGGAAGAGTTGAGAAGCGGGAGAGGATACGAGTCTTACGAAGAGGAAACTACAGCGGCATTGGATTCACCTTCCAAAGCTGGGAAGCTTCTTGATAGTTAATAGCGGGACAGCTCGTCTTGATTCACTACGTCAGTTGATATTCACTCCGCTTCCAACACCAGAATTCAGTCGTTCCAGGAATACTACTTTGATCTGGCCAATGAGCTGTAGGATCCGCCCTCTGTTCCTCAGCCCACCCTTGAAGTACCAGTGATGATCGAATAGAAGCTCTTCCAGACCTAGGCAGACCAGCTGCCAGTCCACCTTGGACCCAGCCTCGATCAAATCCTCGACCTCGAAAATCAAGCGATTTCTGCAACGTGACTGCCAGTAAGTGTCGGGTAGGCTCCATCCAAATGCCGAAAGCATGTTTCTTGTGCTTTTGATGTCCTCCAAGCCGTAACCGGGTGCCTTTCGAATTAAATCGACGATCATTATCGCCAGTTCCACTGGTATTTGATGCGCTAGATGATCGCCACAAGTTGCAAAACGCCGACCAAAGGCCGAGTAAGCATTTTTGATAACCTGTTGAATGTCAAAAATGATACCCGGGTTCTCATTGACCTTGACCTGCTGCCAGTGCTCAGGACGATCCGGACCCTCTCCATAATCATATTCCGGCCAACCGCGCGGTCTTTCAGACCACGGCATGATACCATAACAGCTATCATCGTAGTCCTGCACGTCGAAATCGATGTCCCATTCACTGCTTTTAGAGCGCCAGAATGACTTAATTGCCTCGACAAAGCAATCAAGATTTTCTTCCATCAACCGCTTCCCAATTAGACGGCACAGCAACACCCAGCACGGCATATGCATGTTATACCCAACCCGTTTGCCTTTTGCACGATATATGTCTGGCTTGAAGACATTGGCTGCAAAATATTCTGCATAGTGCTGATTGCCTGATTTGACTGTACTTCCGACCCGGGCTTTGGAGGCGTCACAAGGGACTGGGTCCTCGTCAACATGGCTCAAGCAGAACTGGTGTTGAGTAATCCCTGATATTTGCAAAGGATGTCCCGGCTTGTCGAGAACTTGTCGATTAACCTATTGGCATGGATTCGCTCTACCTCTTCAAGTCGGGTGAGAAGTGACTTACTTGCACGGCAAAAGGTCATGGGCGTAATTGAATGAGGTGGAAACTCCATTTCCTCCAACTCCTTGGCCTTGATGCTAAAACTATACCCTTTGGACTGCTCCAATCTCTCTTCCCAACCCGCTGGGGTTGTGTACTCTTCTTGATCTTCGTGCGGCCATGGAGGGCAAAGAATAGAAGCTCCACATACTATGCAGTTTCCGAACTCTCTTGGTTCGCACCATGGAATTTTCACATAGCGCCTGTAGTGTTTTCGTTTTATCCCGTTACCCATCGTGACCACATTAAAGTATCACAGCGGAATGTAAAGATATAACAAAATGTTTCAAACCATGGGGATTTCGTTGGGGATTTATATGTTTGAGTGATGTCATCTTTTGGACAGCGTGTGATAAATAGTGAGAACAGAATGTGGTCATTAAGGGGGTAATTTGTAAACCTTCGATCCGAGTCTAAATTTGGTGGGACATGGAAGCTCATAAACCAATAAGAGCATTCTAGCCTACTTTTACGCATTTTGCCTTCCAGGCCGGAACTAGGCTAGGCTTTTGTCTTTATTAAATTTCGCTCTTCGATAATTGGCTCAATTTTTGACTGGAAAACTAAGACCAAAAAGTATACTCTGGGGGTAGGGAAAGACAAGATTCGGTGTCCTTTCGAAAGCGCTCAATGAGTCCATCCCAACGAAACCCTTTTCTAGATTCCACCGGTGCCGACCCGTTTTGCTGCTTTAATTAGGATTTTTCTGTTTCATTCTGCCCTTCGGTTGCTGTGTTATTTATTTCCAATAGTTTTCAAATGCCATGGAGAGATTTCAACCGATGGCTATGGGTTGAATATTTGCGTGTTATTCTGGTGTGGGAGATTGTATTGAGACTCTTATGACTTGGAAGGGGTTTTTTTGGATTATTAGAATCAGGATTGGTATTTCTGCTTCTATCATTGATCCCTAGTAGAGTTTCATGCAGACTTTTGTATGCGTATTCTTGAGGATTATTTACCAACACTCGGTATTAGAATGAAGACAGTATTCAGCAGAAAGCCCGCATATGTTTGCGGTTAGTATAGATTTGAAGAATCTTTTACCGAAATGAATATGTGATTTCTATGAAATCTTTTCAGAATTTCTATATGCATCCCGAAACGCGACCATGATTAGGACACTGCAATAAGACCGAACACCCAAGATTAATTGTGTGTGAATGCCGACGTTGATGAGAAGATTACAGTTTAACTACTTAATCGCTGTTCCAAAACAGCCAACCGAATCCGACGGACGTAACAGTCATAGCTCCGGCAAAACTCGCAAAGAGTATTGTCAGGTATGGATTCCGAGCCGCAGGGGAAACTGCCAGCCCTAGAACGGAGTTAAGAGCCACCGTCAACATAGTAACAGCCTGCAAGGTAGATTTCATGTGGGGCGCGGCCTTGTTATAAGCGTACTCGGACCCTGACACGGACCACAGTACCTCTCCTAGTGCGCCGATGACGTGGACCGGAACTTGGATGCCGACGCTGACGCGGTTTGGATTTCTCCCATTGTCGGATTCTGGACAATGTAGTGGCATGTCATAGCATGGTGGAGCACTATAAACCACATGCTGAACACCAGCTGCGACAGCCATTGATGCTGCGACCAGCGCAAAGCCGAGTGTCATTCGGACAGTAGCTCGAGGCGAGAGCTTGAACTTTTGCATGTAGGGATATATAAATTTCTCGGTGATTGGGATGATGATGAGCACGCAGATTGGGTTCAAGCTAGCAAGGGCATCGTTGGGGATGCCATGGGTAAGCATCTGCCCGGCCTGGGAGATCAAGTTTGTCTGGTTCTGGTCATAGCATAGCCAGACTATTGGATATATGGCCCTATAGCCTCATTAGCGCGGGCTATCAATGATTGTGACTGGCAGAATATACCAGACTTTGCAAGCCTGTAGAGCTTGGCGGAGGTCTTCCACAAATTGTTCATCCCAAGGAACAACTCGGCCATGCTTTTCGAGTTGCTCGGTTGGCTGCGCAGCATCGATGCGAAATCCACCTTTGATAACACAAGCTAATGCACTCAAGAGCTTGGCGCGGAAGCTTGCTTCGGGTCTTCGGCGGACTGTCAAATATGGTCAGTGATTGAATATGCAGCTCTCCAAATGATATACTCACAAAATTTGTGATGCCCCAAGATCAACACCAGTGTTCCAAACGCAAGTGCCCCCAGTGCCAACAGAAAGGATGTCCAGAAGTCAAGGAACTTTTCCATGGAAGTGCTGGCCAAACCAGATAGCGCGCCAACATTGTTGCACCAGTAGAAAATGCTGTAAACCCGCCTCACTGTTAGCTCTGGATCCACGATAACGCGCTCCCCAGTCTCAAGCGTAGCAACGTGCTTTCGACCGCCACCCACTTGATCCGCTTTGTTACAATGATCCTGTTAGTTAAGGTATATCAAGCGATGAGGTCCAATGAAGAGGTACCTGTAAATGGAGCAACACTTGATTTCACCCCTCCCACACCACATCCTATCAAGACAAAAGCACCAATGAGACCACCTAAACCGGCACCTGCGCCAAGCGCTGGGGGAATAGAGGTGAGCAAGAGCAACAGTATACCGGCGAGGTATATCCTAAACCATTATTAGTGAGAGCTTAGTAGCAGTTGAATCATTCTTACCCGCAAGACACAACAAGTGTCTTGTATGGACCCCAATGACCATCTGCAAGTACCCCTGCAAAAACGGGTGTGGTGAAGCAGAGTAATCTCAGGAAAGAATTAAGAGCAGTGGCCACCGATTGGCCCATGTCTAGAGCCCCGGGACGGCCAAAGTTTTCCCGGGGATTTTGGATATAATTCTCTATCACATGCATTAGTCATGATCAGTGGTAAGCAAAATTGGTTACCCACGTAATGGGGCTTGTAAAGCATAGAAAGCGAATCTTTCAGCCCCCGAGAAGAGTGCAACCAGCCATGCCGTGGCCTGGATTTTGCTTCCTGTGTGTCGTAAATTTGCTATATCCTCTTCCGTCGGTTCAATCAGATCTTCATGCGCTGTAGTGTCACTTATTGAATTGTCGGACTGCGTTTCACTGTCACCGACTGGCTGTGGCTCTGCATTGTTTTGCTTTTCAGAGGAAACACCCATCTTTTCGTCGAGCAAACATATGTTCAGGATGGTCTGCTTGATTTCTAGTGGTTCAGTGATAATTGAGTAAGGAAACGACTCTAGCTGGAGGGTGAGAGGGTTACAAAGTGGAATTGGAAAGGATCTTCCGGTGCAAGTAGCGGTATAGACAAACAATTCCAGTCACTCGCGACATATACTCGGAGTAGTCGGACTACCCCGGAGTGGGTCCCACCGCTGACAGGTGGATCCTCACCCGCGCGGAGTAAGTCGGAGTGGATCGGAGTACCCACGGGCTTAACCCTAATGCTCTCTCTTTGCCTCGGACTTCCTCTCCTCTTCTGTCCTCTGCGGCTCCTCCTATATCTAACCCGGATCATCCTCAGCTCACTCGGGATGTCTCTCATCATCTCGTATCATAAAATCTTTTTGTCTGTCACCATGTTTTGTCACCGCATTCACGAGCTGAGCTGAACGAGTCAGCCATGGTCTCTACGAAGTCAGATCAGCACTTTCCATGGTTTCTTACTCAGCGCTACCCCGGTGCACTAAACAATACAACATTGCAGGGGTGTATGTAATTGCGATATTCTAGGCTTTCGTTGGCTGATGCTTGGCAGATCCTGAAATGAATTAACCCTTTTCGGATCGTACGATGGTAATCAGAGTGAATTTGCCATCAAGGTAGGTGGCCATACCTATGAGGTACTTCTGTTCAGTTACTGTTCTAAGAATTTTTCGAATCGGCACTGATTACTATTCAGAGACACGGACCACTATTCAGATCCTGTTACCCACCTCGTATAACCTGTTTTCCGGCGAAAACCGAGAAGAGTCATCTAGACTTTGAAATGGAGTCTGCAAAAGTTACTAACATAGTGCCGTAGCACAACGCTATTGTGTGCGGAATACTTCCGTTTCTCATTCGCCTGACCCGGCCTGACTAGCTCCAATGAACTTTGTCTCGTCTCCTCGAAGGGGAAAAGAGGGGAAAAGGGACGTGGCCTATGGCGTTCGTGACAAGCACTGTTGCCATATTGGTGACGAGAGTGGGGGCCTGATACATGGCTCTTTACAGTAGGGGTGTATTCAAATGTCGTGATGGCTTCTTCTGTCAAGAGGGATATGAGTACGCGGAGGCAATTGACATACTTCTGACTTACAGCGCTATCGGAGTCACAGATACCATCGAAGTGAAGAAATGACACCAAATAATGAACAGGCTTCAACAACAGTCTACGCAGTACTACCAGCAAGCAGATTCCTGCCGCCAGACCTTTCTTCTCCTACGTTTGAAAACCTACTTGACCTGGCTGTCTTCAGGGTACTTGATGCAGCAATATGTCTAAGCACACGACCTCCAAGATTATTCCCAACGACCGAGACAGTCTTTGGAAGATATTTCACCTCAGAAGATTGGCACAAGTACGGTGATATGGAGACAGAGATGGGAAGAATGAATTATATGTTGTCAAACCTACCGGAGAGAGGCATTCCAGCTATCTGCCTTCCTACTATCGACACCGTTCTGTCTTCCTCCTGTGTTCTCGCATCCTGGAAGAGGGTCCTTCGTCGTTTGGAGAGCTGTGTCAGTGAAGAGTTCTCATGGGTCATTCGCCAAATGCAAAACCAGAAGTCGGTTTCGTCCTACTCTTCCAAGTCAGATTTTATATCAGTTCCCATGGACTACAGAATAAACCCTCGTTCACAGCACGCGAAGCAGTTATGGAACCGTTCACTGCTCGAAATCTCGGTTCAAATATCTCAAGGTCGATTCGAACATGCAAAGTCCTTCCTACAAATATTTGCTTTCCTGAAAGACCCGCTAGGTGGACTCGAAAGTGCTTTCGACAAGGCAGTGCTGTTCTTTGTGTATATGGTGGCCTCTCTGGCTAAAACCCCGCTACATCCGGCTAGATATCGTTCTGCAATAGTACAAGCAGCACAAGAGGCCTTGTTTCTCTCGACTCCATTATTACAGGACATTAACCATGTTCATTTTACTGGCCACCAGCAACTACCATACGTCTACGTGGCATTGGACCAACTTCCTCGTTCTGAGTTCAGCATCCCTGGCCATGTTGTTCACATCATCGAAGAAATGCTCACCACCGCCGAGTACTCTGCACTCCACACATGTGCGATTGCCCCAATATCGGTATCTTCCTACCCAGGTCTGCCATTAGGGAAAGGCAAACACACCACCGTCATCATAGACGGTAACCATCGGGCAACGGCAACCATGGTTCTTCGACTGATTGCCAAGCACCCTGGAATCCTGGAAATGAAGGATCCAGATGACGTGCTTAGTGCATTTTGTGCTGACCACAAACTCGGCCTAAAGTGGAAAATTGACCTTGCTGACGTTTTGATGGCTTTGCGGAACAGTCCATGTTCCACACTGATCCAAACAAAAATGCACCTTGTGAGAGATTTCCGAGGAGTTGACACTATCCCCGCACTGGTCGTCAGGGAGGACAATTTTTTCACTGCATGTCAGCAGCGCCCCCCGCTTGACGACCGCCCTAGGCTTCTGCTACCTTTTCATCAGGCGCTCTTCAATGATGAGAAGCTGGGTTTTGCCTTTCCACAGGCAGGGCAGGTACATGGACGCGCAGTTGGATTCAAGCCAATGCCACTCTTGAAGTCGCCGAGTGTGAAAGTTTCTGACTTTACTGACAAGTCATCAAAATTGGATTATTGTGTTGACGTTCGAACGGTTGTGGATTTAGAACTTTGAGGCTTTTTATGATGATGAATCTTGCACTTTAAGCTATTTTGTTTTATGTTCCATTCCTACCTGCTTGATGCTCAAGAAATTCTAGTGCTTTTATATCAAACTTGAAGAAAAATATTTCCGTGCTATTTTGTTCTGTCCGTTTCTTTCCTCGGGCACTCCTGCTATATCCTCAACAGACATTATATCGCCATGAATAAGTGCCACGCTCACTTCATCTTTTCAAGACCTTAAGCTATCAAGATATTTCTGAAGCCCAGGGACACCATCAATGAAGGTATACGCCTCAACTCCCTTGGCCCGCAGAGCTGCCACCAGGATACGCGAAGTATCTCCGTTATAATCGACAACAACGATCGGAGGACCGTCGTTGGAGATCCAGTCAGAAATAGCCTGTTCCTGAAGCAATTCTTCCAGCCTCTTGGATTGCTCAACGAGCGTATTGATCTCGTCAAAATTAAAAGGCGTGATAGTATCCGCACTCAGACCCGGTAGATGCGCATTGAATGCGCCTTTGACATGTCCAGACTCGAAGTCGGCCTGCGAGCGCAGATCCAAGAAGCGCACAGCAGGTGATCCAGTCACTCCGTTTGTCTGAGCTACTTCGTCATTGACAAACTGGACTTTTTTGACCTCTTCCACGATTTCGGGCATCGAGTCAAGGATTTCCTGGGGATCAATCTCCCATCGGAAACTGTAGACGTTTTGGTCCACTTTGAACAGCTCCTGCTTCTTGTTAGCATTGAGATTCACCTGTATCTGAGCACTCGATAGTCTTACCTGGTTCCCAATTGGCTTGAACTCCTCAGGACCGAGCTTCTTAAAGTAGGTCTCAATATGCTTCTGCGGCAGATCACAGCAGACAAAAACACACGAGACCTCACCAGTCTCCGGATCAGCATAGTTCCCCAGAGTTCCATTATCCTTCTCCCTCTGAGCAAACTCAAAGAGACCCTGCAACGCCATCCCACTCGAAGGCCCCGCAATGATCCCCTCTCTCGACAACCTCAGCGACAACCGGTACGAGTCCTCCGAGCTCGCCACCTCCAGAAAATCCACCACATCCTTCCACGGAAACGGGCTCGTCTTATGCATAGGCTTCTCCCTTGGCCCCGGGATAATGTCTGCTTCCGCATTACAAACACCTATGACCTTGACCGACTCCTTCTGCGCCTTCAGATACTTCCCCGTCCCAGTCACGCAGCCCGTGCTCCCCATCCCCATGCAGAAGACGTTGATCTCGGGCAGCTGTCGCCAGATCTGAGGCCCCGTCCATCGCTCATGCGACTTCCAGTTATGCTCGTTGTCGTACTGGCCGAGGTTCACGACCTTGTCGCTTCGCTTGCCCAGCCCGCGCGCCCATTCGACGGGGCCTCGCGGGTCTGTGGTCTCGGTGTATGTGGGCCCGCCGTAGAGATCGACCTTAAGGCCGTAGAATTGGAGCTCGCGTACTCGGTCAAGCGCGGCTTTGTTGGAGACGTAGGCGGTCGAGTTGTCGTTGTCGTAGAGGACTCGGGCTGCGATGGCGAGCGAAGTCACGGTAGAGCCGGAGCTGACTTCCACGACGCTTTTGTTCGCGGAGGAGGGGTCGTTGAGGAGCATGTTCAATGCTGGAGCACAATTACATTAGTAGATACACAGATTCGGGGGCTATGGGAGTAACCTACCAGGTAGAGCCTTGACATTCTGCGCTGGCAGGCATGTGAGCAGTTTTGCGTAGATACGCACGCCATCGGCATGGAATGGGTTGAGCTTTGGTGGTAGCTCGACCAAAGGCACAGGAGGCTGTTCATCCGGATTGAAGAATTGTTTGATCGAGTCGGCGCCCTTGAAGACGTTGAGGGGATTGGTGACAGACATGGCGATGGTTGCGGAACTTGATACTATTGCAGGACTATCTTCGGTCTCTTTCTAGTAACAAAACAATATTTTATAGTACAGTACCAAATGAAGAGCGAAAGCGCGGGTTAATTCCGCTGCTTACCATGTCTACATCTCAATTATCCTTTCTTCATGGCCGGTCAGGCTGTCAGAACCCGCTAGATCACGAAGGAATCTCGCCACACGATGTATCTGACTATGCTTATACTACTGCGGGGTGTCTAGCGTCAGCAATTGGTGGATTCGAATGGGATTGTTTGGTTCAGGAGGGGAAATTGTGCTCATTTTTACTCATATGTCGTACCATATTACGAGATGAGAATTCGGCATATCGGGGCTGAGTTGTATGTTGTGCCCGATATCGATTGTCTGTCCCTTCTTGACAGTGGCGAAATTCAAGAGACATGTCGGCATATGAGGCTATCTTTGCTCATTTTAGGTATAAAACGTGAACGCTGCATTTCAATGTAACACCATGGAGGTGGTCAGATTTAGGCCGGCAGTAGTCAGGGCCTGCGTGGGTTTAGTTGATTGCTTTTACCCTGATTTGGTTTAGAATTGCCCGGGTACTTTTGTCATTTCCTGGTGAAACCTCTGGCTTCTACTTCATTGGGTCGCACCTGATTGTCAGATTTCCCGTGGATCCTAAGACAAGAGTAGTGTGATCCTCGTGGGGAATCCTTCGGCCTTCTTCGGTGAAGAACCCCCTGATGTCTAGTCTATGGACGTGTCTCGATGGAATTGTAGAGACATAGTCTGGGATAGAAATACACTGAGAGCTAGATCTTAAGCTTTTATGCAGTACATCCTCGTGCTATCCTTGCACACCAACTCAGCTCTATCCCGTACAATTCTGCAGAACGCCCAGTCGCTGAAGAATCACAAGCACGTTGCCAAGTAAGCCACGAAGGTGCTCACGCTAATAGATCCTGAGGGCTACAGACCCGCGTCTAGCCGCTGGGCGCCTTAACATGACTCTGCATGGATTAAATCCTTGTGACGGCATATACAAGCGTGCCTTAGCACTCCTTAGTTGACAGTTAGCCATGCGCCATCATGCACACCCTCGGCAATTTTTTCTTCACGACAAACCTGGAAACGACACGCAATCTAGACCATGGATGGTCTTATACGGAGTGTGATTAGTAGTCAGATTGATTGTGGGGTGTCGGAGTAACATCGTCGTATTCCTCGGAGTAAGCATGAGTGATTCCCGTTTGGGAATAGTTGGTTCTTTATTCTTTGGACGAGACAACCATCCCCGAAGAGAAACTTGTCGCGTTGCTATCTTTTCTCCTTCGGATATATTCGATTCTTATTGTCGGAGTAAACGAACTTGAACTATCAGGGATAAGAACGCCGTCAAAATGGGTGACGCTGCCACGCTTTCAAGCGTTTCTGATGACAGCAAGGAGGTCTGCGCGCCGGGCTCGAGTGAGGAAGAAATCCGGATGGCTGGTGGCGAGCTTATGGCGCAGATGGAAGTCCTCGCTAGGGAGGATGAGCACCGCCGCGGCTCCGAGCTCCGGTCGCAGTCCAGAGAGCAGCACGTCTAGGTGACCCTTGTGAGGAGGATTGAAGGACCCCCCGTAGATGACAATCAGGTTCTCGCGGTCTGCGTGGAGGGTGACATCCAAGTGTTGAATCTTATCGAGGTCCGAGGTGGAGGTCAGCCGAACGGCCTTGAGGGCTTGCTCGACGTAGTGTTTGAGAGACATGGTTGAGGGATGCAGTGCAGAGAGGGATCGGGCTAGTCGTGCTTGCACGGGCTGTGGGAGTTGTCTGCGTCTTAAATAATAATCCATGGTTCACTGACTGATATCTAGCGCTAGGAACAGATTCCCCATAGGGATTGGTCTACGTGTACATTTCAAGGGATCAGAAATACCATTCCCACTCTCTACCAGTAAAGTCAAGTATTTTAAGGCCCGGTCAGTAGGTCCATAGTAATTCCGCCGGACAACCGCAGGGGGTGTCAGGCAGCATGAAACACTAGCTAGTCGTGACCCAGGCAAAATCCATACGTTCTAGCCGAAACCAACCAACCGCTCTACATCAAATTGCGCATGACCCTTTCCCATCCATCTCCAATAATCCGGCTGTCTAGTGTTGCTCCTTTCCATGCGAATCTCCGAGATCTAGCTATGAAGCGAGCCAGCAAGCACCAAAAATCACCACCGTCGAAGCGGGAATAGAGAGCCCCCCATCGAGCTTCAACTTGAAACGCTTGCTAACCATGCCAGCTCCGAGAACAACCACCGGGAAAGTGGCAGTGTGAGCCTCGCCCCACGTACCAGGGAAGGAGACCTTGGAGGCCAGGTCATCAGTCCAGCTCAGCCACTGTGCGACAGCCACGGCAGTCGACATTAGAAGTGCCGCATATGCCGTTGGAAGTCCCTCATGGTAGAGTGACTTCCCGTGCGCATCTTTGGGTGTCAAATGCGAAGCGATGTTGAATCTGGCGAGTCGAGCAACACCGCAGAGGACAAAGAAAGCGAGGATGCCCTGGTCAACCGGGGTACGAAATCCAAGACTGTAGAGCATGAATGCTGGGGCCAGGACGAATGAAATCTGGGAATTATTAGCGAGGTGCCAATTGGGAAATGAAAAGGGGAATGTGGTCCGTATGTGCTATACGTACGAGATCAGAGAAACTGTCGAGCTGTTTGCCCATTTCGGAGGTTTCGTTACGCCACCTGGCAATCATGCCATCGAAGCGGTCGAATTCATATCCCAAGAAAATCAGCACGTGGGCTGCGATGAAAGATTGGTGGGTGCAGGTGAAGATGGCAAGGACTGTGGGATGATGTTATCGTCATGACTGGGTTGAGCAGCGTTCTAGATACCGGGGGTTATTCTCACCTCCGCAGAGAGCTAGGTTCATTAGCCATTCAGGGGTCTATGATGTTGTAAGTGGGGCAACATACCATTCGACAAAGTCACATAATCGGCAACTCGAAGACGCCTTGTCAATCAATAAATCAGCTGGGTGACAGTCAATCCACGAAGGGGAAAGATATACATGCCTTAGCATATCAAACCCGACCTCGTTAGTAACAGCCATATTGTGCTAGAGAAGAGAACCTAAAAGTTGGATAGAGTAAGAATAACCCAGTACCCATCTCTCTATTTATACCCCTTCTTCACTAGAATAAACCGTCGGAAGGGCCTACCAGACCGGCCTCGCTTATAGTGCATAGTTCCCCATTCATACAGGGCTAACACCGGTCAGGACGACCAAGGAATGATAATACACGTATTTCCAGATACCGAATGGGTATGTATGTATGTATGTACTGTATTGTATTATCTTGTTTGCGGATCTAAAGGAGTTTACGATCTAAGGTCTCAGACTAAGGTAGACTAGGGATTTAGCTGCGGCAGGATTTGCCTCGGTTCTCCGTGCGTTTTCTGGATAATCGGAGGGCATCCTGTCGATCATATCTAGTTTCTATCTAAAACCCGAGCATCTCATATTGCCTTCCCTGGTTAGCTTACGCGAGGCTCCATCGGTACTGCTTACAGATTACTCTTCATTCTTCGTTCACCGTAGTATTGGATGTAACGAGCTACCTAACTTCGCAGCTGTACTATCTCCACTTGATTATGAAGACACGGCAGTGTTCTAGCCGTGAGCCTAAATACCAGGAATCCGAGCACTAGGTGCATCTTCAATACGCGCAGGTGCGTTCTCAACACGACCAGGCCCATCCTCGACGTGTTCGGGTACATCGGTGCTCTCATCCACCAGCCAGTCGAGGTCCAAGTACGTGTGCGCAAACATCCTGCCAGCCTTGACGGCCTTGATGTCCGAGAGAACCATCTCTTCCACCAAGGCATCGAAGGTGTACTTGGGCCGCCAGCCAAGAACCCTTTCGGCCTTAGCCGCCGAACCAAGCAAGGTCTCGTTCTCCAGAGTTCGATAGTACTCCGGGTTCACTCGGACGCGCACTTTGGAGGTGACGGGGTCGGTGCCAACTTCGTCGAGACCGGTACCAGACCATCTAGGGCCCGATCAGTTAGACTTTTAGCCGAGTGTCCACGTCAATCAGACTTACTCGATTTTAACCCCGATGATGCCGAAGGCGGCCTCAACGAACTGCCTCACACTGTATGCCTGGCCAGACGCAAGAACATAGTCGCCGCCTTTGGGCTGCTGGAGGATCATATGCGCCCCTCGCATGTAGTCTTTGGCATGGCCCCAGTCTCGGACTGCGTTGAGATTTCCTAGCTCGAAAGTCTCCAATAGACCACACGCAATCAATGCAACTTGAGTAGTAATCTTCCGGGTGACAAAGGAGGTGCCTGGCCTTAGTGTTAGTATCTGCTTCATTTCACCCCGCCCCCTTCTTTGTACTAACCTCGTCGGGGAGACTCGTGATTGAACAGAATTCCATTCGAAGCATGAAAGCCATACGCTTCCCGAAAATTGACCGTAGTCCAATACTGGAACTGTTTGGCCGTAGCATACGGTGACACGGGGTAAAACGGTGTCTCTTCCGTCTGCGGGGCCGGCATGTCTGATCCGTACAGCTCAGAGGTACCGGCCTAAAGGAGGAATGAAATCAGTGTCTACCTGTCATTGCGGTAGTCTCGTTTATACACTTACATTGTAGAACCGAGCAGTCTTGCCCAAGTTCAGGACCCTCATAGCTTCCAGCAATCGAAGAGTGCCAAGTGCATTAATGTCACTGGTCAATAATGGCGTCTGGAAGGACACGCCAACATGGGACTGCGCAGCAAGATGGTATATCTCATCGATGTTTGGAATGCTGCGGAGGATCTGAATCAGTCTGCCGAGATCCGACATGTCCCCGAAATGAAGCGTCACTCCCTCGCGCAGGGGGCGGTCCAGGGTCTGCTGTCTCTGAGCGGAAGGCCTAACGAGCCCGTGCACCTGGTATCCTTTGTCTAGAAGAATTTCGCAAAGGTAGGAGCCATCTTGACCGGTGATACCTACATAAACGCAATCAGCACTGCATCAGGAGGAATAGATGCGCCACAGCACGTACCCGTGATGAAGGCCACCTTGGGCTTGGACTTCAATTTAACAATAACCATGGCTGAGTTGGCTGAGTAGATGATATGGGAGTACAATAAGATTGCTCGAGGAGTGGGTGGTCAAACTTGGAAGACTGATGAATTTAATTGACAGAAGTGGTTGATTATCAATACTAATATGCCTCGGATGTCACGAGACCAGAGTTCAAGAGGAAGCAATGCCACACGTGCCTTCTTGCCATTGACAGATGTCATTCAGCTCCAATCTCGAAGCCGACCTGATAGATCTCAATTCCTGGTTTATTGTCTCCCCCCCGGCTAGTGAGGAAGGACTTCCCCGTCGGAGTCCGCGACCAGGGAGCAGAACCAACTGTGCGTACTCCGTAGATACATTGTTCTTGACATTACAAACATCCGTATCCCGGTGTAATATCAGGTACCATATCGCAATATCACAGAATCGGGCGAAATCGATGCCATCTGCGAGTCTAGTCCGATACGGCGTGATAGTCTTTGGCCCCATGCGTAGAACAACTGAGGGGTTCTGTGGCCTGTCTGAAACAGTGCGCATTAGCTTCCTAGGATTATAATTGGAATGCGTACGCGGCGCAACAAGGAGAAAATGGATGCCTTCTTGTGGAGGGGTAGTAGCCAAGACAGTGGCGAGGTGATAGGGAGGCCCTAGGTAGGGCTTTAAGTCCCGGATCTTTTTGAATTCTTTGCGGAGCCACCGGTCCAATCCCTGTAGGGAACATAGGTTATAGTACAGGCCATCCCTAGAAGAGCGTACTAGCTTTGACGATTCTTAACAGAATCTAGGGGTATGCCCTGTTCAGGGATAGGGGCCCTAGAGGGACCGAAGAGACATTAGATCTCCTGCCTCTCTTTTCAGTATACATGGACTGTAATAGCAAGGCTCAGGCATCGAGAAAGGAGACAATTTTGACGACTCTCTCCCTGTCAAGCTCCGGAGGACCCTTGGCTCATCCAGAAATGAAGACTTGGCAACTGATGCTTGCAAGGAGCCGAACCGGCCATTTCCTTCTGTCTTGTAATTTGGCTTTTACGGATTAGTTGTAAGACCTAGGCCTCAAGGTAGGTATAGTTACCTACCTTGAGAGGTGAGACTCTAGCTAGACTACTTGTATCTACTCCGGCCGCTGACGTAGCAGGCTGCACGCCCTTTGTGGGTCACAAAACAGACCAGACTACAGAACCCACCGTCAAGGTTCTTTTATCTCCCCGGCGGTAGTATCCGACATCACGTTTGCGGTGCTAGAATGGCCGTAACGACATGTATAACACTCCCTTACGCCAAGGTTACTAGCCTCAACAGAAATAAGAGGAGAGGTGCGACCAAATTATCAATCCAATCGGGTTTATGCGTACCTGAATCTTACGAGATGCTGGAATATCGGGCTGTTTTCGTCGTGGGATGTGCATTTCCCCTCGTGCAACAAGGGTCGGGGTTTGCTATGGCATACTCGAATCAACTGCAGGTTAACAGCAGACCGAGACCCCCAGGAATCAAAACCGCCCATTCATGGACGTCCAATGCTATGTTGTTGGATCCTACCTTGTTAGAGCCTTGCGTGCCCTAGTCCACTGATTGCGTGGGTTAAGTACGAGGTACCATGTAGAGGTTGTCCTTCCCTTCTCATCCTGCGAGTGTGGTCACATCATGGCAGCTAGGCTTGTTCTAGTAATTGGGTTCGAATTTACGCTTGGATAGCTATAGGGAAGTTTGTTGATGCTCAAGAAGCCCGGTTACATGAAGGTCCACGCGGATTGTACGTGTGCATGTCGTAACTCAAGTTACATTTGGTATTTCGCATTATTCTTTTGTGACGCGACTTTTGTCTCGGCATCCATTTTAATGATTGCAAATTTAATACAATTCCCATTGTTTTTGGATCACTTCCCACCTACGCCATCCAGTTGCTCGCCCCCTCGGATGCCTTCGAAAGTTGGAGGTCAATCTAGAATTTTAGTACTAGCAACGTACATCTAATCATCTCCACTATGTGGTTACCAGGTCTATAGTGGTGCCAATGTGTACTTGTAGACTAAATCCAGGAATTATAAACCAATCAGCTGTTAGAGATATGTATGCCTGGTGTGCAGACTCAGTTATGCCCTTCTCAGGGACGAGTATTATCCGTAGTCTCCTCCATCTCGTCATTGCTATCCGCCGGTATCAACCCGATTCCATTCAGCTCTTCGTCGATCTTGTCATAATTCCTAAAAGCTACCCAAAACATGGGAGCACCAGCAATCATCGTCGCTGCTAGCCCGGTATACATGTACATGATTTTCGGATTCACCGCCACAGGGGAGAGCGCCATCCCCAAGGCCGATCCAATTCCGGCCGTGACCTGTCGCAGGGCCTGCACCAAGCTGCGCATGTCCTTTGGGGCTTTCGAGTAGCTGTACTCAGACAGCGTGGTGAACCCCAGGATCTCGGCAAACGCGAGCAGGAAATACACTGGGGTTTGCACCCAGACACTGATATCGTTGGGTATCCTGCCTCCATCGGAGTCGGGACAGGTCAGCGGCGATTCATAGCATGGGCCTCTTGTATAGATCAGCTTCTGCAATCCTGCAGCAAACGCCATGGCGGAGCTCATCGTGACAAATGACCAAGTCATGCGTGCAATCGGGCCGAATGCGATCCCTTGGCTTTGGAGCCCGGGGTACAGGAGTTTCTGGATGATCGGGCCAAGTAGAACACAGGCGATGGGGTTGAGCGCTTGAATCGTGTCGTTGGGGATACCGCCCAGCTGCATTTGGCCTGCTTGGGAGACAAGGTTATTGGTGATCTGGTTGATGCAGAGGTAGAATGGGACAAAGCAAGCCCTGGCTCTTGAGTTAGTGACACGACTGACTTGCAGGGCAGGGAACACACATGACTTTGCATGCGATGAGGCCTCTTTTTATTTCCGAGACAAATAAATTATCCCATGGCACGGTTCTCCCATATTTCTCCGCTTGGAATGCTGGTTTTGCTGCGTCGAGATGGAAGCGTTCGCGCGCAGAGTATGCAAGCACCGTTCCTGCCTGGGGCAGCACATTTCCTTGCGGCGCGAGTTTCACTGTTCACGGTTTCAGTTCTGTATCCTCGGCCACCGGAGTAGTGTAATGGTGGAAAGCCAAGTTCTCTTCTCGCTTACCATACGACCTCTGCCAAAACAGCAGCAGAGGGATTGAAACCCACACGGAGCACAACGGGAGGAGGTAAGCGGCCCAGAAGCCAACCTCTTTCTCCAGATAGGTCGAGGCGATCAGAGAGAGACTTCCGATGTTGGTGAACCTTCTACCATATAAGCTAGAGGACACAGGTCGACATCAGGGAGCTCCGCACCAGTAGAAAACATTATATATATATTGCAGGGTCAACGTGCGATCCGCGATGGCCCTCTGGCCTTTCTTGTTGACCACCAACTGTGGAGCGTGAGTTGTATATTGATCGCCTATGAAGGGGGAGACGGTAGCCTTGACACCTCCAGTCCCCAGACCCAGAAGAATCATGGCAAGAGCCAATCCAAAAATCTTAACGGAATCCTGGGTAACCACTGGAAGTGAGGTGACAAAGAGCACTATACAGCCACATAGATTCAGGCTGCCGACGATCAGCATCAACCGAAACGTGGAGGACACACCAAACGCACATATAACAGATGCATAATGTTTTGTATCGCCCCAGCCATGCGTCCGAGAGGATAGCAAAGGGCAGAGGGGCCAGGAATGAGAAGAAAAAGAAGGCATTGGAGATGTTGGTAGCGGTTGCTTGGCCCAGACCTAGAACCCCCGGGACAGCGATACTATCGCGGTCATTTTGCATGTAGTTCTCTGCAGGTGGTTAAGGGCCTGTTGGTTTGTGATACATCACCCAGAAGGCTTAGAGAACTTACGCCATGGAGCGGAGATGGCATAGAATGTGAATCTTTCGGATGCACCAGCTACAAGAGCGACCCAGACGATGAACGGGACCGAGTCCACCACATGGGGCAGGGTCTTGATTTCGTCCTCAGTTGCATCGCGTCTTTGGCCTTCCGTTGCCCGGGCTTCCATATCGTTCACCTTGGGAGCGAGAGAGGAGAACGTTCAGAGTATTGGCATTTGCTGGAAGAGAGCCGACAGCCCTTGGATCCTCCGGGGTGCCCAAGGCTACGGTGGGATTTGTAAAGGAGAAATGAGGGGACTGGGCAGCCAAGACGTAGCATCAATCTACTGCTAGCCTTGGCTATAAACCCACGTATTAAGATTAAGTGCTTTCCATACGATACGCCTATGGATCTTTGCCATCTGGTCACTGCGGCAAGACGCGGTGCCCAGGCCGGGCAGGGCTGATGGTGCGATCTGCAGGGTCTGAATCCAAGGACTCTCCTAGGCATCCGAGTTCCGATTACCTGTGGCCAAGAGCAATCAAGGCGCCCAAGGCTGAGCTCAGGTACCTCAAGCCGTTTCCGTTACAGGATGCACGCAAGATATTTCACCTGTTCGTGGTGTAACGGTGTGTCAGATAAACGGAATATGGCGCAATAAGGCTCGGGAGCAAAAGAGAAGAAACGGCAACGATCAAGACAGGACATTTTCACTGGATTCCGTAGGGTTGTGAGGCTAAGGAGTGGGGGCACAGCGCACCGGATTGATAACATTGCCGGGCACTCCAATCAGCCTACGCTTCCTTTTCGGGCGCTTTGACCGACACTAGAACCAACATCGTGTCAATTGTTAATCGGAGTGATGCGATCATCCCCTAGAACACTGCGAGGTGCACACGACTGTCTTCTCAGCTAGGCTCGGGCTGATACTCTCCGGCTCTCCCGATTTGGCATACCGCATTTCTGTACGGCGGGGGTTTGCATCCTTCCTATACATTAGAATCCTTGATTGATTTAAATCCCACCATTTGACAGGGGTTCGTCGTCGTAAGCTTACCGGGGAAGTGCTCAGTCTCCACTCCGGCTGATTGGCGTTCAGGAGGGATTTCTTATTTCTTATCGCTCAGAGGGTACCTAGCAAGGCACCTAGTATTCTATAGGGACCCACCTTGCGGTAATACCGTAAATGATGATACTGGTTTTTGTCTAGGTAGTATGGTCTTAGTATGGCACCTAGGTAGGGTGTTGGCATCTGGCCTGTGGATAAGACAATATAAGTTCCTATCCCTCTCGATGGCTGGGTTCGCCTGCACGCATCGACGAGACAACCAGCGCCCATGGGCTCGAATAGCATCAGCGACGAGGCATTGGCCTCGGAAGTCTTCTTGGTTGCCAATGATGATCAGGGTAGGTAGACTCACTGCTGCTAATAATATGTCTTGGTTCCACTGATTGCGATGGTCACAGCAGCCCGCACAAAAGTTTCCTGTCGTTGGCGGTTCGCACCGGCAGTGGAGGCACCGCGCTACTTTCATAGTCTTGATCTGTTCTTGGGCATCGCCCCTGCAGTTTCTGCCGACGATGAGCGGATCCCCTCCGCCGCAGGCACTGCCCTCGAGCGTCTCGCCCGCACGCTTCAATCCTACGCCGAAGAGGTCGAAGTGGCGGCGAAGGTGATCCTGGTGGCTCGCGGTGGATTCCTCTGCAGGAGCGATATCCTCGACTTGAGACTGCGGGATTCCGATTATGTGGACTCGGTCATTCGATTCGCAACTCCGGATGGTGGCTTTTTGCCAGTTCCGGCCCTGGAGGAAAACAAGTCTCTCTTGGATCTGCTGCCTTCTTCCCCAGGGGCATTTCTCCTGAAAAGGGCCCCAACGTTGACGCCAGAGCTATTGGAGGAAGACTTGAAAACCCGCCTGTCCTTCGATTGGATACTTCCTACCAAGCCAGGGAGACGCAAGGTCGCTATGGTAGGAGGTCGCCCGGCGTTTGACATCACAAAAGGATCATTCGGTCATCAGGGCGCGTACGAGGCTACTAAGGCTCTCGATATATCGATGGTCATCGTGGATCACCCGGGACATTGGCTCCAAGACGAGGCATATTCTTACATCCGGGATGGCTTCATTGCTATCGATGTTACCGACGACGCGGGCCTCCCAGGAAGAATTGCCGATGCATTGAGAGGCAAAGGATTTGACGGTCTCCTGACACTGTCGGACGAATTCGTTCTCCCGACTGTGAGGGCAGCAGAAATACTGGGCCTTCCCACTGAACCCTTAGCATCGTACCTGCAGGCCCACAACAAGTACGAGGCACGGCAGCTGCTTAGTCCCAATATTCAGCATCTATTCGTGGCTAGTGCAGCACAGCTGGATGACCCTTCTATAGCCGCACAACTCAAGGCCTTCCAGTACCCATTGATTGTCAAACCATGTCGGGGTGGCGGTTCCCGAGGGGTTAAGAAAGTCAATGATTCCCTGAGCCTCCGTCGGGCCGTGCAAATCCTGGAAGAGACCGGGTTTTCGCGACACGGGATTTTAATCGAGACGTACGTCGATGGCCCAGAGGTGGATGCCAACTTCGTTCTCTGGGATGGCGACCTGCTCTTCTGCGAGATATCGGACAATTTTCCATGCCAGGCAGACGCAGCAGATGCCTCGGTGTCCGACAATTTCGCGGAGACCGTAATGATCCTCCCCAGCCGACTGGATCCCGAGGAGTTGCGTGCCATTGAAACGTCCCTCCACCAAGGCCTTCTCAAGCTGGGCTTCCGCTCTGGCGTTTTTCACCTAGAAGCCCGGGTGAAGAGCTCCTCCATGCGGTACCGGGAGACCGACGGCGCCGTTGAACTTGTCCACGCGGCGTCCAGTACGAGCGATCCGCCAGAGGTGGTTCTCATCGAGGTCAATGCTCGACCGCCCGGTCTGCAGGCCGTTTTCGCAGTCACCTACACCTTCGGGGTGGACTACAGCGGCCTCCAGATCCTTCGGGCTCTCGACGATCGCGAGCGATTCACCGCTCTAGCACAGCCTTTCGCTTGTGACGCGCAGTACCATTGTGAGATCTTTTTTGTTCCGGTGCATCGCGATAATATTGTCGTCCCCGACGACTTTTGCGAACAGGTTCTTCACCAACTGCCGTCCATCGCGCCGCACGTGACGAGGGCTGAACGGACGGCGTTGAAGAAGGTCGTGTCCCCCGTCGGAGGCACCGGGTTTATTGCGTATTTTCTGATCTGGTCGAGAGCGAGCCGGAAGGAGGTTTTGGAGACAGGCGAACGTATCAGGGAAGTGTCGAGGAGAGTCCTGGACGATGTTGAGTCCGCGGGGGTACCTTAAGGTACTGTAGTACGCCTAACGGTATCGTTTCGAGAATTACTTTTATCGTAAAGAAGCAGTCAATTACCACCGGTAATTTTCAACCGTTGCTAGTAATCGGATATATCTAGTAGGCTACTCCCTCGGTTTCCATTTCTTCTCCAACCCAACCCTAGACCATAGAGCTACCATCGATAGAACCACCCCCCAGCATGCATGAATCCCTCATTCTATCCACGTTCGACCGTCTCGTCGAATGCGGCCTCGTCCTCTACGATGACAAACAAAGAATCATCGAGCACACTGACGGCAACCTCAAAGTATGTACAAGGCCCACTCCGTCCCTCTCTGACAAAGCCACCTGCTAACAGCACGACCAAAGTTCCAATTCGTCCTCACCTCCGCGCTGATCAAAAAGCCCACCCTCGCGACCGCTCCGGCCCAGGAGCAGAGCGACGCACGAGGGCCCGAAAAGCGCGCCGGCAGCGACATCGACACGGCCGGGTTCGAGATCGGCACGATCGGAGACACGCACTTTGTCATTGCGAACAAGTTCTGCTTCGCGCGGCCCCACCTCATGATTCTGAGCCTGGACGGGTTCCGCCGCCAGTACGAGCCGCTCGACGAGCCCGACCTCGCCGGTGCGTGGCAGCTCCTGAATGCCGCGGACACGGACTCGGTGGCCTTTTACAACTGCGGCCGAGACGGCGGGTGCAGCCGTCTGCATAAGCATCTGCAGGTGATGCCCCTGCCGGCGAATAGCTTCGCGGCCTTTCTGGATGCGGATTCCCCCGAGGAGGAGAACGAGACCAAGGTGCCGTTTGAATGGTTCTATCGGCGGTTCGAACAAGACGGGGTGACCCCCGCTGCGTTGGTCGGGGTCTATAATGAGCTGCTGCTGCAGGCGACCAAGGTGGGTGCTGGCCGTTGGGAATACACGGCCAGTGCTCCGTCTGGGGCGGCCTGTCCGCATAATATGATCCTGACCAAGAGGTGGATGATCGTGCTGCCGAGGAGACGAGGCGCAATCAATAAGGAGGCCGGGGTGAATTCGCTGGGCATGCTGGGGGTGATCGCCGTGGCCACAACCAAGGAGATTGATAATTGGGTCCGGTTGGGCCTGACGGAGTCTCTGGGAGAATTGGGTGTTCCCAAGGGGAAGTAATTGTGCGCTATCTATAGATAACAGGTCGTTGGCTCGAAGTAATCCTCTCACTCAAGGATATCTTGGACAGTTTCAGTTTCGTCTATTATCGCATCCCAGTTCCTGATAGCCTTTAAAGTAGTCTCATTTTTGCTTATACTATGATGTCTAGAGCGAGAATAATAAGGTTTTGTTACGATAAAAAGGACAGGGAAAAGAATACCTTAAATAGGGCTTTCATCAATGTACTATATTAGAAGCATGAGGTATATCATAGAAAAGACTTGAAAATCACCACCGCATTGTTGATTAGCTACACTGAAGGTTGATCCGGCGGATGAAGATTCATCGGTTTCCAGGACGAGGCGTGATTTCTCGCGAAATTGCATCCTCGTGTTGCTCAACAGGTATATCATTGCCGTCCAATTCGTGTCGAAGTGTCTGCGCGCCCCCTTCCTTACTTGTAGGAAGCTCGGATGTTGACTCGAGAGCACCATTGGAGTGGGGTGTGATACACGAAGTATCTTGGCTCGGATCAAAGTGACATGGTGAATATTCCGTGTCTGAACCTGTTTTCTCTCGGTTCTTCTTGTGTCGACGCACAGCGAGAAAAATGGCTGCTGCAATCAAAACGACACCACCCCCTGATCCTACCGCAATACCCACAATCGCCTTGTTGGCCAGCGTTTTCTTCGGGGCTTCCGGGAGCGTCAAGACGGATGTAAAAACATTCACTGCGCTCATGGAGTTTCCCAGGCTGGGGTTCTGGTCATATATGGGGCTCGTCCATTCAGAGCCACAAACTGTGCCATTTTCTGATCCGCTGCATTGCTTCGCAGCGGCGGTGGCTGTAATTCTAAGACTTGGCGCAATGTACTCGGCTGTCTCTGGGATCAAATTTGCGACGGTTGCCAGTGATGACGCGAGCATTCCTATCTGGCTCTGCATTTCGGGAACGATTGTTTCATTGGTTCCAAGATCGCCCCGTGGGCCAAGTTCGCGCATAACGTCGTCGATGAAGAACTTGTTGAGTACGCTGTATAACAAATTAGGCACTCTTTCTTCCCACGACAATCCCTCGTTCTTTCTCAGTCAGCTAAAACAATTCTCGGACTCATTCCTTTGAGCTCTCTCTAGAGCAACAGAATCGATAACTTACCAGTTTCAACAAGTATGCCGCGCCACTAAGGTATAAGCCATACATATAACTCCACTCCGAGCGAGTTGAGGGCGCGCAAGTACTTCCTCCTTCAGTGGTGTTTTTTACACTCATCGCCACGGACCACTTGTTTTCATCCAGCATCTGGGTCTTGACACCCCATTCCCAAGCCATCACTGCCGCTCCTGTATATATCTTCCGTTCGTAGTCATCGGTGGTAGCATACGCCAATCGCGCAGCCAGCTGAAAAAACATTCCGTTCGCCAAGGCGTCTTTCTCGTTTGGTGCTTCGGAAGAACAAACAATGCCGCCATCGCAGAAGCTTTTATCGTACATGTAGCTCAGTGTGGAAAAGACTCGCTTGGCCAGAAATAACCATGAAGGCATGGACTTTCCTTGCGGGAAGTTTGTCTCGGCCGCGGTCATGGCTGCCAAACCCCATACGGCCTGGCGACAGGTTCCGTTCGATTTCCGCGGTCGATAGTCGTTCTCAACGCCTCGTTTACTGTCCATTCGCTTGGTGATCAGGTCGTTGTATAGGACGTCTCCCGTTGCGTTCCAGTAGCGGATTAAGGTTATGTATGCCTCGCCCTCGTCGCTTGAGAGGGTTCTCTCGTCGTCGATTTCTTTCCATTCATCCCCCACGTTCATCGGATTGATGGAACCGTCTAGCGAGGTAGAATTACTGAACATGTTGCGAACTGTGGTCGCTGCAGCGATTGCGACGGATCCTGTTGGAATCCAAATGAGTCTTAGCCAAATGATCTCGTAATGATGCCCCGGTCAGGAAATAGCAAATACCGTAATCATGAATGTCTAACTCAAGAGCAGACACTGTTGTCGTCACCGCGAGGACCCATATTGCCAGCACCATACTCCATCGACACGACATTTTCCAAGGAACCATCGCTGTTGCAAACTGGGTTTCGACTGCACCACGCGCAAAGTTTCCATCGAAGGAAATAATCACAAACGACCCGGGGCAGCAAGGCAACAGATAAACTAATTCACCCCGGGTTTGGTTCAAACGCGGAAGACTAGGTACCGATGCTGCCAGTCCTCCTTGTCCTACTCCAAAAGTGCCATCGTTATAGCGAGTCCTCGCCATTTGCTGGTTAACTGAAACCGGTCTCTTGGCAATAAATAAAGCCTGCTTAGATCCGTAGCATGCTTCTGGTTCGGTATCGGGCTTGACTAGTATTCCCCGATCCCCGTGGTGGCGTAATTCGGCCCATAGCCTTCGTTGCTACCAAGGTCTGCGAAAGAGTTGAAGGTTGCTGCCATCTCATGCTGAGTTTTCTTTAATTTTTTTCCCCGGTATTTGCTGATAAATAGTCAGATGTAAATTCTCAAACAGACATCTAAGTCATCTGGAGAAATTCCAGGGCTGACCGCGTTTGCACAAGCTCAGCTTGCCCCTTAGCTCCCTTAGCTCACCCTTTTAGATCATGTCTCAGCGGTTTCTTTATCTCGCGGGTATATATAGTAGCACCGGCTCTTGGCACCGATGTCTGAGCGCTCTTGACAAATCAGTAAGTTGGATGAATCAATCAGAAGACTCTGTTCCTTTTGGTACTTTCTCTCATATGCCATTGATGTGTTTCTGAAGAGACCGGGTGAATAGACGACATCCGAGAAGCTTCAACCCGGCATAATTGATGACTACTTTCGAACGTGCTAGGTAGCGAGGCTGAGACCTGCAAAGATGGAAAATCTCATGAATTAAAAGCTGCCACATCCTTTCAAGTTTTATGTGTAGGAGAGCTCAACCATCTAAAGTTGGCATTTTGCAATTGACGTACGTCATAAACAATGTTCCTTCAATTTCCATCACTGATAATGCTGAAACGTTCACCTTCGGCCGAGGATATTCAGCGACGTGCATTCGTAATCGAGCCTGTCGCAGAATACAGCGATTTTGCTCCTGCCTCAGATGAGTTTCCATCGCGTGAAACAAGCGATCGAGCACGCTAAATGACAGGATCTGAATGGAGGACCTGAATTGATATGAAGTGGCTGGAGACTGTCTCTACGGACAGAACCTAATCTACGGTGGGTCACATGCTGAGCTAGGCGGCATTAGGCAGGTAGAGGGCTCAATAATCAATCAATCAATTAATGTATTAATGGATTAAGATTTTATCAACTTAATAAAGCCGATCTATTAAAGCAAAAGTCTATACCCAAATCGTTCACAGCCATGCCAGCGTCTCTAGATGCGACAAATTACCACCCATCAATACTATACTCACCCAGCAGCCTTGCCACCCCCTCGTGTCCGTACTTCTTAGCTAAGGACAAAGCTGTCTGGCCCTTATAGTTCTTAGAGCTCACATCCACCTGTCCTGTGTTCAAAAGCAGCCTCACAAGTCCTGTATGTCCATTTTCAGCTGCCCAGAATAAGGGTGTCTGGCTAAATGTCAAATCTTTGACTTCAACATTAGCTAGCCTGGTAGTAAGAAGCAGCTCTACCACGCCTTGATGCCCCTTCTGGGCAGCCCTCGAGAGAGGTGTATGGCCATCATAATCTGCAGAGTTCACGTCAACCTGTCCAGTGGCTGGAAATAGCTTAACTAGTCCCTCGTGCCCTTTACTGGCAGCTAATGAAAGAGGTGTCTGGCCATAATCGCTCTTAGAATCCATATCAACCTGCCCAGTGGCCATGAGCAGCTTAACTACTGTCTCACGTCCCCCAACAGAGGCCATTAACAGAGGTGTTTGGCCATCGATGTCCTTGGCGTTCACATCTGCTTGCCCTGTAGCCAGAAGCAGTTTGACTATTTCTTCATGGCCTCGGTCAGCGGCATATATCAGAGGTGTCTTGTCATCGTCGTCCCTGGCGTTCACGTCTGCCTGTCCAGTGGCCAGGAGCAAAGCCACCACGGCTGTAATTCCCAGGAATGAAGCGAAAGCAATAGAACTGATACCTTCGCAAACAGGACGAATGGAGACCTTTTTGTATGTCTGCCGCCAAAAAGCATGTTTTTCACTTCCTATTTGACAAAACTCAAGTGCCAGTTTTGTTACCTCATGATCACTTTGTATCTGGGCATACCGGAAATGGTAAGGCCAGTACTCTGCCGCGTAGAGAAGCCAATCTGTTCGGGGATATTTATGGGACAGGGATGCGATGCATGCCCTCGCGAGAATAAGATGTGAATCGGCTGGCTGCAAACAATACTTCCATTGGCCCATCGGAGAAGGACAGTCGTGTACCAGAAATTCCTTGACTGTTTGATGAAGCAGATAGACCTTGGAATTGATGGTCACCAAAGTGAGGCCACAGAGATCTCTCATGGTTCTTTGAAAGCGTTCATCATCGGCGTCAATTTCCTCTCTGATGTCGACGTTGCTTTCGTGCTCTGCGCTGAAAGCCAGGGCCACAGATAACTCTGCAACTGAAAGCGGCTGTTTTGCAGTTGTAACAAGATGTAACAATCTCATGGCCTTAGCACGGTCCGGGCTCCGATCCAGAATTCGGGTATAAGCCTCGTCCACAGAATCTGGGATTTTGTGTATCGCGCGCTTGACATTGCCTCTTGTAAACCCCGACATGTTCTCGATAACATCTAACGTTAAGCTAACCCACAGATAAGTTCGGTTGGCACTGAAATTCGACGTGAGTTGCTTCTTCAAGTAAGCATTCTCATCTTTCTTCAGGTTGTGAAGAAAACCGATTCTCTTGACGCGTTCGGCAACCACCAGGTTTATTTCTCGCGAGATCTTTTCTGTCTCGTTCTCGCCTTCGCCGCTCAAGTGAATAGTGGGAAATTGGCTTTCCAGAGTCCGAAAGTCCCGGCGAATGTGGTCATAGGGTCGGCTTGTCATCAAGAATTTCAGGTTGTGTTTGGTTCGGTCCCCCATGTAGACATGTTCCACGGCTTGGATAAGGAGCTTTCGGTATTCATCCCGACATTCGTCCAATGCATCCAGCACACACATCACTTCTCTAGCGGCTGGGTTGCTTGCAACATCGATGAATATGCTCCAGAGGTCACCAAAGGAGTCAAGCAATCTGTCCCCGGCTATTTCTACCCTGTCCAGGACCGAGTCTTGCAGTAAATGTGGCTGTTCGATGAGTAACTGGCGTAATAGTGCAGCAATCGCACATTTTGCACTCTTTTGATCTTCGAAATCATCCTTGAAGAAGAAATAGCAAACGGTTCTTCGGTCGTTCGGTAGAAATTCATCGACCAAGTATTTGGCCAGTACGGATTTGCCGCATCCTGGATCAGCCGAGACCCATAGAAGACACGAGTGTTCACTTTGCTCCCAGATGCGAAACCTCTCATGCTGAGTGAACCATTCACATGTACCAGACACCCGTTTGCTGTTTCGATCTTTGCGGTCGCCATAAGAGCATGTGTAGAGGCGTGCGAAGACCTTTTTGATTCTCTCGTCTCGAGCTGAGGTGGTGCGCCACGCCTCAAACGTCCTCAGTGTATCGTGTAGTTTTTCAACCCGACTTTTGATCTCTGCATCACTTATAACGTCACTGAATGCTTTTGTATCTTTGTACAGTCGTCTGATGTCCTCGCGCAATCGTTGCCAGCCATTCTTATTGAACATGTCTGCGAATAACCGGGTGACTGTGTGCTTTTGCAGATAGCAAAGTGCTCGGGCCTGGAACTCCATGATCTTCGAGTACAAAGAAACCAAGACGGGCTTGAGCTTGTCGGCTACATGATGGCAGATGGGGTTTTCGGGGTGGAGATAGAGACGCTCCATTTCTCGGAGGAGAGGTATCAAACGAGATATATCCTCGAGTCCGTGCACGAGGGTTTCTTGTTGTTCGGCTACCTGTACAACGAGCTACGTTGTCTTGATTTAGCTACAAGCCATGGAATGAGAATTGCTTAGCGGGTGAAATAAAAATGTTCTAATTACCAGTAGAATGACGGTCGTCGCCGCACAGGCAATTGCAGTAGAAGGACTTGCGCCGGCCGCAGCACAGATGGCATCTTTGAAAACCAGCACATTGCGAAACACTCGAGTGAGCTGCTTCTTGACATTGACACTATGGCTCCCCAGCTGGACCATCCACTTTTTCTCTTCCAATTCACGAATCTTGGAATCGAGAAATTCGCAGAGTCCGTCGCGAGCAGCAGTACCGATCTGGACTTTGAACCCAAAGTCTGCTTCGAGGATTCTCATTGCCGTTGCTAGAATCTTTTCCAAGCTCGGGTCCTTCCTCAACTGCTCCTCTGCTCGCGTCCAGAGGTCGTCGGCCGTCGGGGGAGGAGGTTGATGATCATGTTGCTGCTTGGAGGACTTCGGTTTATCCCGAAATTTCGCTTTGAGCTTATTCGCAAATGGAGCGAAGCACATTATTAGATGCCCAATTTGCTGCGTCGTCGGTGTCGGAGAGTTGCTGAATCAGGGAATTATTGGAAGGGATGGAGAAAAAAGGTCCTCGAGCTACGTCTAATCCGCGGTCTGCAGGCCAAGGAAGGCCATGCAAGCTGAATGAGGCAGGGCCGCTGGGAGTCCAATATTTCACACCGCGTATAACATAAAAAAGGGTAAAATAACCATCCATGATGTCATGAGGCTCGAAGTGATGTATTTTTAGGTAGTATTACATTCCCAGTAGATGAAAAAAAAAAAAAATTAAATATATTATTTTATCGATTTCTCTCAATTGAGAGACAGGTTTAATACTACAAGACAGTTAGGGATTTTGCTCTACGGAGCCCAATGACGTGGCTTTACCTGTGGTTGCCTAAGAATCGAGTTAATCCTTACTTAAATTTCTCTCTAAATACCCAGTAGGAAGCCTCCAGGCCAAGCATGGGACTTTCGTTTGTCCTTTTTTATTTTCAACGGCGGTCTGTTTCGTCTCCAGGCGTTCTCTTCTTTGCCCTGGACTCCTTGCTTCTACGGGATTTGGTCACCTGCCACCGAAAGAATGATCTTTTTTGCGTCCGGGTCTATTGACAAATTTCCCAATAGAGAAAACGTCACAGCTTACTTTGCCGGTTATTCCCTATCTATACTCGGGCTATGTACAATGTCTCAATCCCTCTGCATTATCCTATTCAATTCCCCTCCCTAAGCCATAGCAGCAGGGACAGAAGCCGCAAGGGAGGGAGTAGCTTGGCAAGTATCGACTTTGAGACCCTCCGTGAGGGAGGTCAAAGCCTCGGGCTGAAGGGCGTCGGCGTCACCGGCGGGAAGAGTGCCAACTAAAAATCAAATAGTTAGCACTCCACAGCTCAACAATGACTCACATCTTGAGGAGTAACTCACCATAAGCATTGAAGTTATACAGCCCACAAACACAGCCATTGATAATCTCCTTCAGACTGGTTCCGGACAGGACCTCCTGGCCGTCACGCGAGACAGAGAACTGCTGCTTGCCCACGCCCATGTCGACCTTGAACGAGGCCGCGCCGGCAGGGGCGTCGAAGGACTTCGAGTTTCCGCCGGAGGTGACTTGCACGGTGGCAGGGGATTTCAGGAGAGAGACCACGAAGACGGAGTCTTCCATGGACTCCCAGCCGTTGGGACGGCCCTTGAAGTAGTTGCCGGAGTCGTTGTTGGCGTCGGCCATGCAGGTGTCGGTGGCGTCGCAGTCCGTGTCCCGGGGATTGGGACGGTACCAGTAGACCAGCTCGTCGTCGGTGATGTACTCGTTCACCGAAGTGGCGCCGGCTTTGAAAGCGGCGATGTAGGGCTTCGCGAGGTCGAGCCAGCCGTTGTGGGGCCTGTTTTTGTTAGTCCATGGGCGTGGAGGTCAGGAGATGGTGGTAGCGTATACTTACATGTCGTTGGCCCACTTGGAGTTGCCATCGTCAGTGTGCGGCGAGCTGAGTGGTCCGATGTAGTGCGACTCGCCGTAGTCGTTCCAGGTGATGATCTCCACGAAGCGAGGGCCGAGGTCCAGAATCTGGTTCCAGCGGTCGTACCAGAGGGTATCCGAGGGAAAGGCGAAGTTCTTGCTGTAGTCGACCTCGGCGCCGAAATGGGTGAAGAACCAAGGCGAAGCGGCTTGTAGACGATCAGCTATTATTTTGCTCTCAGTAAAAAGGGGTAGGAATAATTAACGCACGAGCAATGTAGTCCTTGCCACCCAGGGCCGAAGTATAAGCATTATCTCCGTCAGTGACAGCCAGCTGGTTGCCGTCGCTAGGGGCTTTGTTGTGGCCATTGTTGGGCCAGGCCATCCAGTTGAACAGAGCATCGACATTGGAGACATCGGCACTAGCAAGGAAGTTGGGAGCAAAGTAGATCTCCTGGCCAGCGGCAGAGCGCAACGCCGCAACGTCCAGGCCGTCACCGAGGAAGGTAGACACGAAGGGCTTGTCGTCGACGATAAGCTGGCCAGGCTTGCCGGCATAGTCGGCGACCTTCTTGCCAATGTCGCTGGCCCGGTCGGTTCCCCAATAGTTGCAGTCAAAGGAGATGAAGACTTTCATGTCATTGTTAGCAGCGGACTCGTAGGCATAGTTCAGCTGATCGTTCGTGTAGTCGTCATCTCCGGCGTTTAAAGCGAAGGCATCGATGCCCATGGCTTTCGCTCTCTTCATGTCATCGTCGTAGTCGGCCGCGCTCTTTCGGTTGCTAACAACTCCAACCTGCAGATATCAGGGTTAATCTCTAAAAGCTCTCAATAGTCGTGGGACATCGTGAGAATTACCATGAAATGAGCGAAAACCAGCCGGCTCGGGGCGTCTCTCTCCTTAAGAGAAGTATCACCGGGCAGAGCCCAAACGGTGGAGCTCAGCAGCGAAGCCGCCGCGAGCAGAAGGTTGTTGATCTTCATAGTAGAAGATATTTTAAAGAACGTATTTTGGAGAAATGATATTCACAAGCGGCCTGAAGATGGTAAAAGAAGGTCCAGTATATAAACTGATACTCTCCTCTAGGCAGCCTGCCAGCTCTGAGTGTAACACAACTCCCTGGACTCTGAAACAGCCCATGTCATTGGACTTGGGATAGAGTTGGGGGCCGGTAAGGCTCGAACACAGAACAGATATAGAAAACGGGTCCATGATTGGGGCAGGATCCATAGGAATACCGAGAAGGGAAACCTAATCACGGTCCCTGAGTCTGGTAAATCCATCGCCGGTGAATCCAGCATATCAGACGTTGAGTCTTTCCTAACGGTGGACCTTAACTATATTAAACTACTTTAGCGTCCGTTGAAGGGGGGCCAATTGCGGTGGCTGTAGTGTTGGCACTAGCGGTGTTTCTGTTTCACTGGGGAAATTAATGGGACTGGATGTGAGAACCACGGAAGATATTCTGATGGTCTCTTCTAGTTCTCCATCATTGAGAGCTTATCTGGCTCTCCTGTTCGTCTTGTTTCTTCTTAGTGGCTTCCATCATGCTGATGTTGGCTGCGCCTTGATTGTGGGAATCTGTCTCAGCGCGGGATATTGAAGCTTGGACTACGTATCGCTTTCGTACGCATATCCATCGTTCGGCCCCAAGACATCTTACCATAAAGATGCCGTGAGTGGATTATCACTTTAGAAAAAGCCACAGCGGCAGGTCCCAGTCTTTCCGAAGCTTCCGCGAGCGCGTGTAGAACGCGAGTTTTTCTCTTTGTAGTGAGACTAGCTTTTGCTTCTGGTGAGGATTCGCAAGGCTGAAGGGGCCGAAAATGTGCGCATTTTCTGGACCTATGAGCATCCTGGTCGGGATGTTTTCTATCGTCTTCGATCGAGCCAGTCACTTAAGATGTAATTCCAACATTCCGCAAGTTTCGCAGTCTTCCTTCACGCTTGGATCAGCCCCTAAACCTGCTGTGGAATGTATCGAGAGTCCAATTAAACCCTTTCACATGCTGCTATACCTTTGTCTCAAACAGCGAGTGAGAATGTGGCTTGTCTCGTGTCACCATACTGCAATGACCTTGCCACTTAACAATTTCCCAGGTTTAACTCAACTTAGTTCTTCAAGAAATTTGAAGTCAAATACTTCCGTACACTAGGATCGGAGCTAACATTAGTCAAAAGTTCCCGCGACTTTCAGTTCTATATCCCTCATATCATTGATGACAGCTGCCTATGAAAGCACCAAGAGATTCGGATGGATAAGTACTCGAAAAAGAACATTCACATTTCCTGTAACGAGCCAATAAGAAATATCGCTTCCTTACATATGTTAGTGTTTCTTCCAGCATCAAAGTTCCACTGCCAAGAACGGGAGATTCTGGATAATCCCAGTAAACAAGCTTGAATTTAATCTCCGAGATAACCCTGCAGATTGACATGGGACGTGGTCGTCATGCTGGTAGTAAGAAGTAAGCAATGAAGATGGGGGCCCAAATGCATTATAAGCAGTCCTAGTCCTGACGTCAGACTAGCAGATCAAGTTTCATGGCTGTGGTGGAGAAAAAGCTTCAGAAAGAATCAGATCCATTGCGGTGAGCAGGTGCAACAGGTAAGGAGAGTGAAGGAGACGAAGATTGAAGTTACTCCAGTACTAGAATTCTTTTGGGACTAAACCGGATACCGTGGATGATCACCTGACGCCCGTCCCCACCTGCCGCCCGAAAACCATATTATTGACCGACATTCTACATTCTTCAAAACATAATATCTTAACAACCATGGCTTTAATCAATAAAGTAATTACAAAATTAAAATCCTTAACACTTAAAAAACAACCTAATTTTACTTTTATAACAAAAAAATATAATATTAACCAAATAATACTATTAAGGCATTTCCACAGAATCCAGTATTTAAAAAATAAATAATACTATAATTAATAATTACTTTCTGACCAGTAAACAAAAATACTTATTTTAAATATCAATTAATTAAGCGAAAAAGACCTTTTTATTTCATATAAAATACTTTAAAATTTCACTCAAGAAATTATCCAAAAACAACCAGGAAAACACTAGCTGATATATTTTATAAAGTAATACTAAGATATTATTTTATCTCACTATATAACTAAAATAAATACATCTCGCAAGCAGGCTAATTTAGTATAAAAATATACTTTATACTTTAAACTTCTATCTCGAAAGATCACAGAATATAAGATCCAGTAGAAAAATATTTATAATATAAATAAAAAGGGCTTCTTAATTAGTATACTTGCTAAAGGTAAAAGGATCTTCTTAAAACAGGTATATAAAAAAAAAGAAATAAAGTAGTAAATATAAAATAGAAATAAAAAATAAATTACTATTATTATTTGTATCTGTATAAATAAGACCTTATTATCTCCAAATCTTATTTACTAAGTATTATTTTTAAAATTTTAAAATTTATAACTATAAGATTTTAAAATCTTAAATTATTATTATTTCTTTATATTTTTATTTTCTGAATAAATAAATAATAAACTTAGATTCGCGTAACTTCAAGATATCTTTGACCGGGAGACCAAAATAAAAATAAAAAAGTATTAAAAATTATTTATCTTTAATAATTATAAATCCTATATTAATATAAAGTTTTTTAACTATTATAAAGCAAATAAAATCCTTTTAATAATATATCTATCTTATTTAATATATTTACTATAACTACTTAATATTAAAATCTTTGGACCTTTATTAGTAATATATAATAATAAATTAAAACAGTTTCTCCACACCTGCTAAAACCTTTATTATATTATAAAAAAAGACTTTTTCCGTCTTTTTTAGCCTACCTAGAATAAAGCTTTAAAGTATTAAAATATTTTATCTTTATAACAATCGGTAGGGGTTTAGCCTTTAAATCCAGAGATTATTTTATTATAATTTAATTAAAATAATAATAAGCAGCTTTTCTCTAGTAATTTATCTCGCTCTATACTAGGTGTAGATAATTAGAGAAAAATTAAAAGGCTTCTTAAACATATTATTAATAATATATATAATTTAAAGGCTAAAAAATTAAGCTATATTATACATTATTTTATTACAGAGAATATTATCCTTAATCTATAATTATAAAGGTCTCGAAGAAACGCTTAAAAATAAAAAAAAATATTAATATAACAAGCCTCTTCTCTTTAAATTACGCGCTCTAGAGGATAATTATACAGTATTTTATTCTCCTAAAAAGATTTAGCAAGCGCGGGATCTTTAAGCGGAGAAAAATAAAGCTATATAACTTACTAAAACCTTAAAAGAAGAGAAAAGGCTTTATAAGCAGTGAGAAAAAAAAAAGGCTTTATATTAAAAAGAATAAGTGTATTTATGCCTCTAACCAGGAATCTCACCTTTATAAAACTACTAAAAAGCAATACTAAAAAAATAAGGTCCACTATAATAAATAGGCTAATATACAGCTTTAAAATAACTTTAATATTACTTAATCAGACAAAAAAAAGATCCCAGTAACTCTAAAAGCAAAAAAATTAAGTAATAGAGTTACTGCAGATCCTGAGGTTATTAAAAAAGTCCCCCCTATATTAAATCACCGCGGTAGGCAGATCCGCCTCCCAGAGCGCTTTAGGCAATAAAAAATATTATAAATAGCTTTATTTTAATATAATAATTTAACCTTCTAAAAATCTCTGTATAATAATAAATATGCATTATTCTACGGCTTCATTTCTTCAAGGTGTTAGGGTGGGAAAACGGGCGTCAGGTGGGGACGGGCGTCAGGTGATCATCCACGGTAAGGCCAGTCACGTGCCCACATGTACCCACATACGGCAAACCACAGGTGCTGCCACATACAAATGCACTTGCATCTACACCACTAAAGCACAATTTCCCTCTCATACCTCTTCAACACAGGCACAGACTAATCAAACTGAGCCGGAGTGTCATGGCCGTAAAATCGCTTGCCATAATTTCAGGTGTCAGCTCCGCAACGATACATTCTCTCAACCACCCAACTCCAGCCCCATACATCTCAGACTAAAGTTTGCAATGACAAGCAGAAGCAGTTGCCAGGCGCTTCGCCAAGGAATATTCCGTCGCCCTCTTGTCGAACAGCCCGCAGCCGTTTCCCCACATGATAGAGGATATCAATAACTTCGGCGGCAACGTTCGCGGCGCCGCATCCATGCCGACATATCAGATACGCTCAGTATCAAGACCGCGTTTCGCAAAATTGCCAGCCACTTCCCCGGCGCATTACTAGCCGCTGCCGCATATAACCCGCCCGAGCGATTCAGGGAAAAGCGCCACACGAAACACGACGAGTACAATCTCATGGAAGATTTTCACAAGCAAACATACTGTATCTTCCGTTTCCCTTCTCCTTGTCTTGTCTAGTCAAGTCAATGCTAGTCAATCAAGGCCGATTAACTGAGCTAATCACTCATCTGGAGAAGGAGTCTTTAATTTCGCCCGGCACACCCTGCCTCTTCTCAGAGACGCAAAGAGGGACCTACAGTACCCACCCACGCTGCTCATCACCGGATCAGCGGCGAGTGTAACCGGGTTCCCGCGCCTGGCGAGCTACTCGGCGGGCAAATTTGCGATCCGGGGCCTGGCCCACTCTCTCGCGCGGGAAGATGCTCCCCAGGGAATCCACGTCGCGCATATCATCGCCCACGGCAGACTGGAAAAGTCGGAATTTGCGATCGAGAGATACACCCATCCGATAGGGAATGCTAGGAAGGTAAGTTTCTGTTCGACGTTACCTGATGAAGAGGAAGATGTGATAGAGACTGACGGGATTAGGTCGCCGATACATACTGGGATCTACATGTGGAGAAGGATCCGAATGAGTTTACTCTGGAGTATGATCTCCGGGATAAGGAGTCGTCAAAGCTACATCCTTGAGTCTACGGGCTGCAGATGTCATGATAGATTTGTACTATACAACCAGTGAAATTCTAATTGATATTGTTGCCTTATCAGGCAACGACATGACCATGACCGATAAGATAAGGCCTCGTCACGTGCCCTCCGTCCCTCCCGGCATCCGCAATCTATCAATTCCGTCTTTCCCAAACACCATCTGCCCGGCTCCTCAGCACCCATAGTTCAAGCTGCTTCCCCGCAGACTCAAGAGAAAATGATCTCATGGCGCCAGCCGAACACGATGAGCTCGACTTTTACCCGGCATTTTGCTTCAAGGCGTCCCCTACCCACTTCGCCTGGGTAAAGATGATGGCAACGGACGTGCATCGGCTCAAGAGACGGTCGGAGTTCGGAGGTAGGACTTAATTTCCCTTGCTTGCTTATGGCTGGTTGTTTGGATTTGAGTCTGTATTCTTATTTGTTGTCCGCGTTCTCTGGTGGAAATTGCGTGGCGTACTTGGGGTGCTGTTTTTTCTTTATTCTCTAGGTGTGGATTCGGTTGTTGGGTGGCGGTTTTATATTCCGGGTTCTTGCATACGGAGAATACTACCTTACCTGCCTGTTTGCCTTGCCCTTGCTTCTTGTGGATTCGTCATCCACCCGTCCCCCTCAAGACCTTCACCTATATCCAATCCGCAAGCAAGATGAAAAACTAACCCCCCCCCCCCTCCAGACCAATCCGTTTTCTTCTACCAAAACCACCCCATCCGCTTCGTCTCAGTAGCAGGCATCATCATCGCAAGGACGGAATACCAGCGCCTCACCATCCTGACTCTCGACGACAGCAGCGGCGCCACCGTCGACATAGTCGTCCATAAAGCCGAGACACCTGCACCAGACTCCTCTGTCTCGGCGCCAGGGCAACCACCACCATCCGCCCGGCCCAATGGCTCATCCATCCAGTCTCAGTGGGCAACGACCCATGTCGCGGCCACCGACCGCGTCTCGGCCGTGAACATCGCGTCGCTGGTCCCCGGCTCCGTGGCCCAGATTAAAGGCACCTTGTCGACGTATCGGTCCAGGGTGCAACTGCAGCTGGAGCGCATGTTTCTAGTCCGGGATACGAGCGCCGAAATGCGCTTTCTGGATCAGTGCTGTCGGTTTCTGGTCGAGGTGCTTGCTGTCCCGTGGAGGTTGACGGGAGAGGAGATCGCGCAGTTGCGGGCCGAGGCGGATGACGAGGAAGGCAAGATTGAGGAGGAGCAGGCGCGGATGAAGAAGAGGCAGAGGAAACGCCTCGAGCGGGAGGAGAAAGACCAGCGACGGATTCAGAAGCTTTGGGAGCACGAGGAAAGGAATAGGGAGAAGGAAGCTAGCGTATGCAAGGATGCTGGAGTAAAAGTCATGCGTGAGATTCAAATGAGACGTAAGAGTTGATTGATGATGCTTGAGAATTATTAATGTCTTATTAGGTTTGAGGTGCCATTGCTGTTAGATCCCAATTATATATGACGGAAGGCCCAAGAACTGAAAACAACAATAAGAATAAAAGGAAAAGTACTCCAATTTCAAAACAAATTGTATATAAATTTGCAATAGTTCATAAGCATCATACATCATTAATCAAACAAAAAAAACCCCGCTATTCATCAAATACAAGGTGGATATCACTTTCCAATGCGGAACACTCCGAATAATTGACGAAAGGTTGACCAAAGAATGGCAAAAAAGCAAAGAAAAAAAAATCCCAGATAGATATGGTACTCCCCGGGCTAATCAGATGCATCTTTCAAAAATTTCAAGTTGTCAGGATCACTTGAATCCATACGACTTGTAATCATACCCACTGCTGCCGCCCCCCACAGGACCCCCTTGGCCACCGAGCATGCCACGATAGAAATCCTCGTCGTTAGACCAACTAGATCGGGCCGGGAAATGATCACTGTACTTGCTCTTCTCGCGCTCCTTCTCGCGCTCTCGCAGAGATTCATACAGCCTCAAATCCTCATTTTCGCGTTCAAGCTCCCGTCGGCGTCGGTTGTCTTCAAGAATATCCCCAGTTAGGGTGCCTGCACCAGATCCATAATAGTAATCCCCACCCGGAGAAGTCCCTGAGAGCCGACCACCGTTGCTCTGTAGCAGGTCACTTTCAGAATGTCTATAGTCACTTGCGTTTACTCCTGGGCTTCGGGGTCGCCCGCCAAACGGGCGCGAAGCACCGCGTGAGTAAAGTGGATCTTGGCCGTAGGCCTCTGAGTTTCTTTGTCCGGAGCCCGTGAGGCTCTCCTTGGGAATAGAGCCACCAGAGAACGATTGGGTGTGTCGGTGTCCAGAAGTTCCTTTTTCTCCGTAATTCTTCCCCCCTCCCGGCTGTGCCGTGTAGGGTTTCCTTTGTCGTTCGATTGGCTGAGGTGAAATCTCTCTATCCGAATCATCGTCGTCTACCACGGCCGAAACTGACGCCTGGTATGGCTTGCGCTCTCGTTCGCTAAAAGAGGCGGAGGCAGCTTCTTTCCCCGAGGTGGAGGAGCTAGTAGACGGTTTATGGCTATGCGTAGCAGCTTGTTTGATTTCCTCATTCGTAATCGGGGGCAGATCGACTCCGCAGTGCTTCATAATGAACTGGTCTACTTCCTCTCGCAGGGAAAGAACTGGTGTCTCGGGGAAGAGTCGTCGCGGTATCTCCTTGGGGAACCGTTCTTTCTTGTTGTCAGGATTACTGATCGGCATGTTGAGTACGGCTTTCTTGAGTCGCTCGTATTCTTTTTCGGGGTGGATTCGAATCATCAACGTGGCCCATCGCTCAAATCCGCGAGGCGTCAATCCTGGGATATCTGGTCGTTCATTCAATTTGTTCTGCACAAGGTGATGTTCCGCTTCCACCTCACGGAACAGCCGTGAGATCGAGGATGTACGATCATCAAAGATATCTGCAAGTCATAATGTTAACCAGACTTGTCTGTCTAAGAAGCGTGCCTTCAACTAACCATGCCAGGGATAAGGATCAGGAGATACTTTGGTATCCTCATAAAACTTTTGCATCTTTTCCGGGGTGATCACCAGGGTGTTCTCTGGCGGATAGGCTTCGATCTAACTCAAAGTCAGCGATTGATTCCCGGAAGTAATCACATAGCGCTTACCAAATGGATAGCAATTCCGCGCAAAAATTGCCCCAGTCTCTCCGTCGGTTTCCCGTTCTCGAAAAACTTCCCCCAGATCTTTTCCAACGTGGTCAGCTCAGTTACCGTGGCATCCTCTTCCCTCGGCGGTGGCTTTGGTCGGGACTCCACTCGGTGACTATGATCACTGGTCTGGCTAGCCGGCGACTCGCGCCTCTCCAATGGGGGAGCGGGCGACGGTCTGTGAAAGCGAGGAGTGCCAGGATAGGCCGCGGATGGTGGGGGCGGGAAATTGGTCGCCTCATGGCCCGGATTGGGTGTCCGCGAGGGCGACGGATTATGCATGCCCAAAGATGGTGAAGGTGGAGCTTCGCTGGGCACAGAATTCGATGCAGCAGGACTCCATGCCTTCGGTGGCCGGGGTGGAGGGTATGACGACTGCTGATCACTTTGCAAGTTGTTCAATCCAGTCTCTTTGAGCTGTTGGATAACGGTCGCCGTTATTTGCGACAAAACTTCCGGTGGCAGGTAGTTGGAGTTGTCAGCCTGATTGTTAAACGCCGAGTTCACCGCGTCATTTATCCTTCCCGTATGCGGGGGTTGTGATGGTGGTGGCGGCGGTGGTTGCTGCTGCTGTGGCTGCTGTTGCTGCCACAAACTCGGGTCCTGATACGGGTGAGGATATGGGTTTGACGGGGACGACGACATTGGAGGTGCCGAGGGCTGTGGCATATTGAGTCGATCCGATCCATACTGGGATGGATAGGGTGGAGTGTAGGACGTTGGGCGATATTCGTTTGGGTCTATCTGGTTGGGATGGCCCATTTGAGAATACGGACTCGGACTGTTCTGGTAGCCATCGTAAGCCATCAGGAGAGAGGCCGGCAGCTAGAGTATCCTCTTGAGTAACGGCGACGAAGACTCCACAAGCCAGGTGAGAATGTTATGCGACAAGGACGGCAAGTGATAGGCAGGGAAGACCAAAAATCGCTATAGTTATGATTCGGGGTGGCAAAGAGCTGACGTTGAATGCAAGAGTGCCGAGTGTGTACAAAAATGAACGAAGACAAAGAAGAGGGGCACAGGCGGAGGGGCGCACTGCAGTCGGTGGATCTTTGAAACAATGTGTGTGGCAAGTTGAAAAGGAATCGCACGGCAACCCTTGGAATACCGATGGATACTAAAGTAAAAGATGGGATGGAGCAAAAACGTGGCCGACGAGGCAGAGAGGTAGACCGCAGGGAGTAGTCCGTGGCTGATCATCGATCGTTGTTTTTTCTCCGTTGCGATCGAGCGCGGGAATCACGAGGCAGAGCTAAACCCCAACCGCCTTGCATACGTCATCGTCCTCTCCTCAGCCTGAGCTTCCTCCGTAATGCAGAGACATCACGTCAACCGCAATCTATTCCACTGTCTCTCGCTGCAGATCTTCCCACTCTCGAGCGCATCGCCATTGACGGTGAGGGCTGTTTCCAATCACTTTGGGAAAACTGTTTTCGATCAGTCTTTACTTTGGAGATCAGCCAGACGATCTTACCTGACATGCTGTCCTTTTATATATCGGCGTGCACGTTTGACCGTGTCATGCCAATAGTAGCCCCAAATCACATATACCAAATCCATGGATACGTGTTTCTTGGGTTCGGTGGAAATCCCAGCCCGGATTATCCGAATTCGTGCTACCCACGGTTCGTCGTCGTCCAGAAATCAGGGACGGTCCGAGGTTACAATGAAAATAATCCATTGGATGCTGCCGTTATCGAGCCTAACTAACAAATTCCTCTTGCCCTGTAACGTCGCCAATCTCCCTCCTGTCCTTCATAACGAATAATCTCAGAGCCGGCAGAACCACGTTCGAACCTTCCGCGAAGTATTTGACTAGGTGAACCCCAAGGCTGGATGCATAGAGAATGCACAAGCTTACATAAAGTCTTCGGGGCCGTTGTCATCTTCGTTATCAGACTCAACTGTCGGCGGAGCTGGCTCGCGCTCACGCATGGTCGAAATTTCAGATCTCTCGGGTCGTGCAGCCTTTTCAAGATTAGCAAGGGTGGCCTACATTAAGTCTGTAGGAGATCATGTCACTTCAAGCTCACCGGAATTTTGGCGAATCTGGAACGGCTCGTGGTCTGGGCAGCGTAGTTGTTGTTACTGCTGAAGGCAGCTTGCGAAGAGAGGGTGACGCCCCAGGAGCCCCATCCCCCGTGAACAGACTGACTAGCTTCTGACGGTGCTGCGGTGCGACGATGCAGATTGCCCTGCGAACCAGAGGCATTGCCCCGATCCCCGGTGATCTTTCCCCCGGACATGGCTTTCGCATTATTGCCTGTCTCGAGCCAAACGCCTCCACCAATGGAAGACGCGTCGTCATCGACGTCTTCGTCCCTGTCGAAAGACTTTCTGGTGGTATCCGCATACATTTCGTCACCGACCTGGCTCTTTGCTTGAATTAGTATAAATCATTTTGTAGGAATTATCGGTGGGCATACAGTAGAAACGCTGGCCGCAGATCCTTCAATTCCCAAAAGGTGTTTGTTCTCTTCCAGGACTGGCTCTACATCGGTATGGGTTTGGACGCAATCCAAGCATCTCTGTTGGATCATTCGGGTTAGTACACTCGAAAGGAAAGGCAGTATGGAGAGACATTACGGCTGCGTCACGATTCTGCCGCTGGTTCTTTGCGAAGTCCTCCAGTCCCTTTGTCTGGTCGCAGATGCAGCAATGGAGCTCAAAATTCGGGGTGCCAACACAGTCTCGACATTTGGCATGGGCGCCATGAGCCGCCCTGGTGCCTTGGATGACGATGGCATTGCGAAGGTTTTCTAGCTGACGCTTGGAGTAGAAAGACTGCAGGCGAAACTTCTTGCAAACCTCGCATTTGACTCTTTTGGCCAATCGTTAGTAGCAGGAAACATGTTTTGGACAATGGACGAATGTTCTAGACGCACTTCTCTGGCATGACAACCCTCTCCAGCCTAGGATTGCCGTCTCGTTAGACCATTCTCCAGCTTTAACCAAGATTTCGGCACGAAACTTACTGTCTCTTGACGGTTTCGCTGTAGCCTCCAGCGTAGGCACTCTTAACGGTGTACCGGCCCGCCATGTTTGGGTGAGATGAAGAGTGGGTGGGATAGAAGAAGGAAGAAAGGTTGATCCTCGAAAGAAAAGCAAACCCCAATGGAAGCAGAGCTTTCTGGGATACGGCAGTAGAAATAGAGAAGAAGAAATGGAAAGATTGGATAGGGAATTTAAGATTAAGAGAAGGAAGGTGTGGCCAAACTTCAACCGAAGCCTACCACAAGTAGGGTTTAAGTACCATCACCGTCTCTTCAGTTGAGCTTGTGAAGTGAATGATACTTTTTAATGATGAATACAGAGAGACAAACGTAGCAAAGGTCTAGAGCGCTGGCTGATAAGACAGGCAGCCTATGGCAAGCTGGCATAGAGGAAATCGAACGGTTCCAGGTGAAGGACAGACAGAGTGTGAATGTCTTGTCTCCAGCCCCGCAGGTGAGGCTTTCTTGTGTGAGCAAGACAGGATTTCAATCCGGGCTGGATACCTGCAATTGATGGCATCCCGCTCAGCACGTGGTCATCGAACAAACAGCATTAAGCGTCCCAGAAACTTTACAACGTCCTCCGATTGACTTTTCGGGGCGCAGCCTCGTTGGCTTTTCCCATTCAAGCCACACTTCAGGCGGTTGATATATTCACAAAAGTGTGCCTCGTTCGCTCTTGCGGAATATCATCAAAGACAGGACATACGTCCTTCACTCAAGCCAGTCCAGGTATGACGTGGGCATGTACCACGGCATTGATCAAACGGGTCGGCCTTCGTTTAGGCTTGCTGGATTGAGACCTCGTTTAGTCCGTTTGATTTGACTATTCCTGTCTGGATATTGAACAAACGGAATGGTCGGGAGGACCTTCGTTTGCAACTGAGATACAGGCTACCGTTGCCTTGTCTTCTACATAGAGTGGTATGACGACGATAGAAATGGAACACATATCACGGTCTTACTAGCTTCTATTGGGAATTAGAATTCAGATTGTAGAGTAACGGGATAAATGGACAGGTCCAAGAGAAATGACAAAAGCGCCATACACAGGTCAGGAGCCGTATGATCAGAGGTCAATGCAAAGACATAGCATGATCAGGGTTGTATCCGGAGAATACTCCGTCGCAGCAAGCTTGAAGAAGAGTGAAGGGTAGGATAAACACCGGAAATAACCAAATGGAAAAAGCAAAAAGCAGAAAAAGAAAAAGAAAATAAAAAGAACAAGGAATAAAAGGGGTGAAAGGCAAAAGAAATGACTCCGGGGCTCAGATGCAACATCCGGCGGATTAATGCAGACACCCTTCGCCTACTGCAAGACAAGATGGGTGATCCATCAATCAGCTGTCATTCCAGCCCTTTGGACTATCAGCCATGCCAGAATCCATCAGTCAGAAGCAGGACCCCACTAGGTGCTCTGTACTCCGTCCTGGGCTGGTCTTTGATCCATCACCTAAAAGGCTTTCCGGCTGTCTATCCTGATGGAGAAGGAGCACTTTCCCGTGGAACTGCCACGGAACGGTTCCAACTAGGCGAAGGGACTTTAGCGGTACGGAGTAGATGCTGGACAATAGAGGGGTTGTGAACTCATTGCTCCGTACTCCGCGCCACTCTACCTCCTACGGGGTACGGAGTATGTGCCTACTACCTGTAAGGCTCATGGAGGGCACACCACCGAGCAGGAAATAGGGTTGACTAGCAAATTCAAATAGATGAACGAATGGCAACGGATCTCTCTCCATCGACAGTAGTCGCCTTCTAGAAACATATCTTGCCATCTACCCGTCTCTTGCAGGGGAGGTCTTGTTGATCCTCCACCGCGCATAAGCACCATCCCAGTTAGGTCCTCTCAGGCTTCCAACGGTTTGGTCAATGGACTCATTGGAAGAATCAACGGCTAACCATCTACCCCCTTCTACGGAGCCGGGACCAAACCACAGAGGGAAAATCCCGGTCTTCCGAATCCTTTCGATCCCGCTTCTCTCCCCATATGAACCTCCTTAATCCTTCTGGAATCCCTAAGGAAGGCGACGGCTTCGACAGCTAGCGAGTATCAGAGCATGCTGCATCGGGAGTAGCGGCCTGGAGGGGGAGACGGTGTTGATGGCTAAGAGAAGCGGGCAGCTTGGCACGGATGCTGGATGGGGAGAAGCAGGCGATGGGACGTGGGCCCATTTGGGAGCAGCGATCTCTTGTGATTCGCGAGACTACTGGTTCAGAGAAGAACTAGACCCATGGTCGGTGTCGGGTAGCAGGGACGGGCCTACGCTGAGTGGGGGGTCCGCATTCCCCGAGGGCTCCGGCGCACTCAGCGGACCCACGGCCTCCATCGCCATGAGTCCACTGGTGACCTCCCGGCTGGATGGATCCCCAGTCCTCGCCGCAATCCCGCCAATCACTGGCACAGCCCGCCCCTAGCTCGTTGAGTCCGGTCGGAGGCTAATGAATGGGTCGCGCTCCACTCACTTAATCACTCCCTCACACCAGTCGACTTCGCCTTCTTTCTGTGCGGGTGCCCAAAATGATTTTGGATTTCCTCTTCTATTTTTTGATTTTCTCATCTTATTATTTTCCCGTTTGGACTTAGCGTCCCCCTTCCTCTTCCACTTTCGGCGCACCACCAACTGTGGTTCAGCCTAGGAAGCAGCCGGCAAACCAGTACGCACTACTCCGTACTCCGGCAGACGTAGTTTAAAAAAACAATCGAAATAAAATCACAGAAAAAGGGGGACACGTCACCCCAGCAATTACTCATGTAGTCATCACCGATTGACGAAGCCTATACTGGCACCGTTCGATCTGAATCATCTGTCCTCCGTACGCCAAGTCTCCGTTCTGAGATATTCCCTTTCCCCTTCCTGAAACCGCGAGACCCAAAAGACGGTGACAATATCTACTAGCGGAACAAAACCGTAGTCATGGGTCGGGTGGCAGATATGGCGGGAGACACGGAGTCCTAGACCGCCGGACGGAGCACCTGAGACCCATCCAGCAGTCCCCTTTTAGCATCAGGACGGAGCCATGTCCAACGCCTCCTTGGAATGCGTAAGTGATCCCCAGCAAGGAATCAACAATCAAAAGTCCCAGTGCCGAATCGAGTGACCTGTTCAACGAAGACAAGGCGACAGAATACATATCTTCCGGATCTCCTCCAGCCAAGGGATGATAGGCGACAAAAAAATAAATAAATAAAATCGAATCGGTCGTCCACGATTAGACCATGCAGCCAAATTAAGCATGTCATATCATATGTACGGAGCTCCGTCTGGTGGACATGCTAATATGTACTGCGGCAGTGGTAGGATCCAGTATGACCTAATTAGCACATGGCATTATCCCATGGCTCGAAAAGGCTTAGCAAGAGCGTTGCGATTGACCCGGATCGGATCTTCCATATTGCAAGGGCTGGTGGCGAGCTTGTCTACGCAGAACGGAGGAATAGGCGCAAACAATGCCGCCTGCGTGGGGGAGCATGTTTGAACAAATGTTACAGGATCGCTGGTCACTGTAGTAACAGATCAATTGCTGCGTCTCGAGCGTCAGTTGGCAGGGAAGATCCGACATTATCCATCAGACGACCTCGGTTGAGTCGTGCAGATGCCGGCTTTAGAGATATAGTTGAGTGGCCTATCGCCAGGGACTCCGGAGACTACGTGCCGTTGCCGGGTACTGGAGGTGGCTGGCCGGGACGATTGACGCGGTCAATATGTGGAATTATAGGTAGGTATACTCTGTATGCATCCCGTACTTGATCTGTAAACTGTAAAGTATCATCTTGATGCATGCACTGATAAAGTACATGAAAACTTAATTCGTGCAGCCTTCAGCTTCCCCGGACGATGGTACTTTAAGAATGGCCAGGTCCCCAAATATGTATGTATGTGTATGGCGCATATATCGAGCTGACCTGCAGCAAATCCAGTGGATCGCCTGGTCTGCAGAATCATGTAGATGAGATAGGTGCTTTGAAGCAAGCAGCTACTACTGTACGTCTGCATGCATATTTATTGCCTCAGTAACGAACTCTGCTTTCGATGCATAAATTTACCTGATTGGGGAGAGCAAGTCTCTATAATACAGCGTACAGTTTCATGGGTTAAATTTTGAAAAATAATTAATACATGGACTTTTGACCACGCGGAATCGGCTCTCTTTCCGAGGTTTCTGGCATGTCTTGCTTGATCGGCCACAGCCCTCTCGATTTCAACTACAGGTCACAAGCCATGGAAAATAGGAGAAACATTGATTGAAACCCCCGCCGGTAGACTGAAACAGCGAATTTTTACACTGTATCAGTTAAGATAGCGTGGTGAAAGTACGGAGGCGGAGGACAGACGACACTACTATGCAACTATGTTGTTTATTATTCCAGGCGAACAGATAGTTCTCCGATGCGGTCGACTCGAAATTCCCATGTGTTTCAACCGGGGGGAACTAGCATAGACACCACTTATCAAGTGGAAACATACCAACTGAATGCAGTATCTATTCTCCGTACGTCGAAGAGGGGGGTAAGGAGGGGTTGACAATTAAGCCGTTTACTCCGTAGCCACCAGCCTACATTTTTATTTTGTAAATTGCCAGTCTCAGTTCGTGGGCCGGTTCGTCACAACTGGCGGTGGTTGCCATGTTGGCGGTCAGCCACCCGCGACACGCTATGGATATGGAGTTCTGGACAGTATGCCTTGTGGATGGAGCGGCTGGTGGGCAGTTTTGTTTTCACTTTTCAGGCTTTACGGAGTAGACAGTAGGCGAGCACTCCACAAATGCAGACAAGAAGTTGCATGAACTCTTGACCGTATTTGTTAGCGTCTTGGATTTCCCCGACCGACTCTTCCGCCTGGATGCTTGGACCTCACTACGCAGTACGTACTCAAAGAACTGACTGACCGTTTTTGTTTTGACGCGCGTGTCACGAAAGAGAGTGGAAGTCAGGGGGTGTCATCGACCGTCGAGGGACCGGATGAGGTCATTCACATTCCTTCCAAGGCACTTGATCTCGCAGTACCACCCTCGGTACACGTCACATCACCCGCGTGTCCGATTTGTGAGCTCGACGGCGTAGGAGTGAGTGTCCCTCGCGCCCTCGAGACCCTGAGCGGGATGGATAATACCAACGACCGCAAAGTCAGAGGGAAGAAAAAAGACGCGGCCCAACCCCTGGACACCCCTGCTAGAGCCCGTCTAACGATCACTAGAGGCGGAGACTAAGTGGGCCGATTAAGGCTGGAACCTCCGGAGTCTTCAAAAAATCCAAGCGGCGGATGACGGTGACCACCAGAGGGTCCTGTTTCGTTCTTTGGGTTTTTTGCCTTTGGGCACGGTTAGTTTTCCCTCTGGTCTCCGGAAATTGTTCACCTACTGGTCCCAAACCCCGATGTCAACGCAACACCACCGGCGGGTTTTAACTTTGCTGTCAAATGATTCTCTTTGAGTCTTGGGACGGCCTGCTGGATGGGTTTATTTCCTTTTAACTTCCCCTACCCCCGAGGTGGTTTTGAGTCTTACTGGATTCGGACCGGATGGGCGAAAAGGCGCATTAATAATCCGGTCGAGTCTGACGCAGTCGTAAAAAGTACGGACCTACTGCGTCAGGATGATAGATGGATAGTACGCAGTAATCTGGGAAACCCGTTCCCATTAATGGGCTGGGCACGGGAATCAATAGCCCTCAGTAGACCAATCCCTAGGGTACGAAGTTGCACATATCGGCCACCTTCATTGGACCAGAGCAGCGAAACCCTACAACTCCAGAGACCGCTAGGAAAGACGGGTCACTGCTAATCCTCAATGAGGTTTAGGTGCTGACTCCAACGCCGGAATTTCAGACAACGGCCCTGACGGGGTCCCTGGACGCCCTTAAGAAGTTAAGACGCAAGCGAAAACACGCCGACAGAAATACGGTGTCGGGGCTGATTCTGGTGATCTGGGTCCGATAAGCAGTGCTTATTGCGCGGGAACATCAATTGATGGGAAAAGTCCCTTCGGTGGATTGTGGATTGATTCATCATTATTATTCCATTTCTACGGATTGCTCTGTATCTCGGTCGCGATCTGCTCATTCCCTTCTGCCGTTCTCGGGCAATTGGGGTTATTTAAGGGGGGTTTCCAGCGTACGATTCCGGCAGTTTACCAGAACGGCTTACCCGCCTTCAGTTCGAGGCCTGTCGATGATGACCTAATTTCCGCCGACGGGGAACTCCCCTTTTTTTATTTTTATTTTTTCCCTTTCCCCTTTGACTGTTTTGATTTTTTTTTTTTGGCCTTTCCTAGGCGGGGTGGATCCCCGTTCCTCGGCCATTCCTGACTTGTCCATCAGGATTAGCGTGGAGGTCTGCTGCCTCCGCCCACTGGCTTTGTGAGGATTATTATTTTTTCTCGTTCGTCTTCTGATCGCGTTTAGTATGACCATATTTTATTTTCTTATTTTCTGATTTTCTTTTTTGTTTTGATTTTATGACCATTACCGATTATTCTGGCACCCTTTTAGTTTTATTACGAGTATCATGACCTAAGTGTACGATGACGGCGCCGTGTGAGTGGGTGGTCTGGTATGGAGAACGGAGAAAGAGTGGTACCTAGTGTAATCACCTTTTAAATTATCATCACCTCCGTATTATTTTTATTTTTATTTTTATTTTCGGCTTCTGATTCGCGTCTCTCGTTTTCTGCTGTCGGTCCATCCGTCCATCTACTCTGCTCTCTCCGGCCATTCGCGTCGCTCGCTCGCTCTTTTTCAACACATCAATTGCTGCCCTCTTTTTTGTCCCCCCAACCAACCAACCTCCTATTTCATGACTTACAGGATCACCCGGCGCTGGTCGTGCTTTTGCTGTCAGTAGTGACAATAGGCAGGGAAATGTGGTAGATATCTGGAGTCTGTCCATGTCATCCCTCCGGTTCTACTGCTCTTTTTAACCCCTCAATAATCCACTCGCATTATCCTTATTGTCTGCCCCCCCTAATTACCATTATTTATTTTTTATTTGATTTGATTTTTCCTGTCCATCCCCATCCCATCCCATACCCGCGGCGATTATTATTGCGATTATTATTACCATTATTTCCTACTAGTACCAGTTTGATTATTCCCTGTGATCTGCACCATCCGATTCCACCTCCCCCCTCAGAACTCCCTCCGTTCAGTCGACCGCTTCTTCACAGGCTCCACGGCCCGGTCCCAAAAGTTCTCGTCCTGGAGCTGGTAAAGCTGTCACCGCGTCAGGGGCTCTCTCCCACTCGGTCTCCGATCATCCTTTCGTTTAGCAGTTCCCACCGAATGGGCCCGCTCATATCACTACAGTGATCACGTCCAATCCTCTGGGTCCTTCCATCTTGCTTCCAGATCTTCTTCCTGTCCTCCACCCTTCTTTTTTGAGAACTACATGACCACCCCCTTCCCCCTCTTCTCCCACTTCCTCTGTCCCTCATCTCGGCATCTCTCTCTTATCAATCCCGCCTTCCTCCCATTAGCCCTCGTTTCGATGGGATAGAACCATTTCCGCTTCCCATTCCGCGGGCTCGCAATCGTTTCTGAACGTCGAATGATGAACATCTGGTCCTGTTAATCACCTTCCCATCGCCATTGGAAGTTCGATTCTAGGTCCTGGAAATCCACTGATATAGGGTAACGTTTCCCTGGCGAGGATGACAGACGTGTGGGGAGGAAAAGTACCGTTGGCCTGCTGACACGATCCGGATTCTCCCAGTCATACGAACCCTCCCTTCTCGATCATATCTGCTGGCAGACACAATCACATAACCACAAGGAGACACCATGACCGTCACTTACGACCACTCCTCGTCACGGAGTGCCGCTCCTACCTCGATGGCCACGCTCGAAGACCGCTTTGAAGTGCTTAAGGAGGTTGGGGATGGTAGCTTCGGCAGCGTTGCAGTTGCACGGGTACGGACGGCCGGTTCCAACATCGCACGGAGAGGAACCATGGTAAGTTGTACCAGCTTCCGAGCACATGAGGCACACCCTAATGTGATATACCACAGGTCGCGATCAAGACGATGAAGAAGACATTTGATTCCTTGACTCCGTGCCTAGAGCTACGTGAAGTGATCTTTCTCCGAACCCTCCCTATCCATCCTCACCTCGTTCCCGCCCTCGACATCTTCCTTGACCCGCTTTCACGCAAACTACACATCTGTATGGAATATATGGATGGCAATCTTTACCAATTGATGAAATCTCGCGACCACAAACCCCTGGATGGGAAGCACGTCAAGAGCATTCTGTTCCAGATCTTGTCTGGTCTCGATCACATCCATGCCCATCACTTCTTCCACCGAGATATTAAACCCGAGAACATCCTTGTCTCCTCGTCCGCCCCGAATGATTCCACCTTCAGCCGTTATTCCAATCTTGTGACCCCTCCTTCCACTCCTCCAACATACACCGTCAAGATCGCCGACTTTGGTCTTGCCAGAGAAACCCACTCGAAACTGCCATACACGACTTATGTCTCCACGAGATGGTATCGTGCGCCCGAGGTGCTTCTGCGTGCCGGAGAGTATTCGGCGCCGGTCGACATGTGGGCTGTCGGTGCGATGGCGGTGGAAATCGCTACGTTGAAGCCGCTTTTCCCCGGCGGAAACGAGGTGGATCAGGTCTGGCGTGTCTGCGAAATCATGGGCAGCCCGGGTAACTGGTACAGCAAGTCGGGTACCAAACTCGGCGGTGGTGAATGGCGAGACGGCTCTCGCCTTGCCCAGAAGCTGGGCTTCACTTTCCCCAAGATGGCACCCCATTCGATGGAGAGCATCCTTCAACAACCGCAGTGGCCAGCGGCTCTGAGCCAATTTGTCACCTGGTGCCTGATGTGGGATCCGAAGAACCGTCCTACCTCCACCCAAGCGTTGAACCATGAGTATTTCGCCGATGCTCTCGACCCTCTGCGACCGAAGTCCTCGACTGCCCGCCTGCTGGGTCGGAAACATTCGGACAAGAGTTTCAAAACTCCTAGCCGGGAAACTACGGATTCCCCTACTCTTTCGACCAAGTCCTCCTGGTTCAGGAGATCCTTGATTGGACGATCGGAGAGTCCCGCTCCCAATGTGGACGATGAGCCATCGAAGCAGCCAGTGGTTTCGTACAGCACCACTCCCGAGCTCCAGACCAAGCCTAGGCCGGCGCCGAGCAAGCGCGCGACGTGGGCCAATGGCGCCCCGATGCCTATCCTGCCCTCGATTCGGCCCGTGTCGCCGTTGTCCAATGCCGTCACGGCACAGGCCAATTCTTCTCTCGCTCACATGAACGACGTGAATGCAAGCAAATCAAGCAAGAAGATTGGTCGCCAACTTTCTGTCAATTCGCACGGCAATCACTACGCCGATGTCCACCGACAAGAAGCGGAACGGGCGCTTAACGGAAACGGAAACACCAACAACGGTGGCATCACTCCCAAGGAAAGCTTTTTCTCGCATCTACGCAAGCGTGCTCGCAGGCTATCCGGACGCAATCAAGGCAATACGGCCAGTGATGACGTCGAGGCCAACGCTGGCTGCATGCCATGGTCCAATCGATCGTCACTCGCTCTCGACTCGGTCAATGTCAATGAGCCCAAGCAGAACACGGATCTGAACGAGCTGGACAAAGCTTTGCAGGGTGTGAAGTATTCTCTCGATTCCACTGCGAAGAGCAATGTTCCTGTTCACATTACGTCGTCGTTGGAGGGTGGAAAACGCCAATCAATGCCACAAGGCTCTATTCGGTCAATGGGAGACAGTCCTGTCTCCACCAGTGGTAATCCCGGACCTATCTCGAGTCGGACTCGCCGTGCCTTGCAGATGTCAACTCACCCTGTCCACCGCTACGAGACCCCCGAGGAAGAGGACGAACTCTTGGATGAGGTGCTTCATTCGGCAAGCAAGGCCGCTAGGCGTCTAGCGCAAACGCAAGCCTCTGATGCATCTTCCAATTACAGCCGTCCAGCTTTGGGGAATGACAACTCGCGTCCGCTACCAAGCCCTTACCCGACTCCTTCGCCATCCGCCAAGTGTGATGAGGTGGCTTTCGGTCATGCTGAGGCCACACCTTGCAGGCGGTTAGGGGTGCCTGATAACAAGACCGACCACTCAAGCTCGACTCGTCAATGGCCCACGCCACCTTACGAAGAGGGCGAATGGGCCAGCCCAGCTGGAAACTTCATGACTGGGTCCACATACAGGTAGTTGGCTTCGTGATACCCCGCGCAACAGGCGGCGGTGTCCTTTTTCCCTTTTACCTTGATCTCACAATTTCCTTTCATTCTTTGACTATCTTGTGATGTTTTTGTTCGAATCTAATCCAAAGAGAAAAATGGGGCGATCATGCGTGTTACCGGCGATCTAACCGAGCAAGGCGTACTGGGTCTGGTGTCTTCTGTTTTTCTCTTCGTCGTGGAGGCTGTTTTGATTATTTTCTCTCGTTGCTCCCTATTTGTTGTTGCATAGGGCGTGGGTTAGCCCGATTTCCTTTTTTTCATTTGTCGGTTGTTCTTCTCATACCCCAAAGGCCTTTTTCTAGACTTAGTCGGCCTCGCAACTTGTTTTCGGCACGTTTTCGTTCTCGTCTTTCTTTTGCATCATCACCATCTCCGGTGGCTATTCTTTGCACATTTTACCACCCCCCTTGATACCACATGGCGCAAGTCGCGAGGTCTACTATCGTTCCTTATTACATATATATATGCATTAACTCCCTACTGTCACTTATTCCCCCCTTTTCTTTATTTTCTTTGTGTCCAAAATTTGTCTTGTTACACCACTGTATATTTTCGCGGGCTTTACCCCTTCACCGCCATTCCTTTCGTTGCATCTACTGGGAGCAATGTGGCTGTTTATAAAATTTCCCGTTCTTTTCCCCTTGTACAGATATTCTCCCTCTCATTTTCTTGTTTTCGCTGAGAAGGACCACTGGTGGCAGCCTTGAAGTCTCACAATACTGTAATATACTTTACCTGCGGTGGCAATCCCGCTCACTTATACTAATAAAATGCGATCGACTGCTCTAATTTACAATGATCTACTGTGCTTTTCAATGTAGTATCTGCTAGTGTCAAATAGAAAAATCAAGCTTGATTAAACAACGTCCGACTGTATGGTGTGGCGCCTGATTGATAGAGACGGTGATCCATAGATCGGCACGGAACAACAACTCCCCGCCGCCCAGCAGAATTTCCCAAGTAGAAGACGTCAAAGGACCTCTTCATATCAAAAACACTCGACCCTTGGATGTTGGTCGAACGTGGATAATCTGCACGGGTGAATTGATAGAGCCCTGCAATCTTGTCGGTACCACTTTTTTTTCAACCTCAGTGCCAACCCAAGTGGTGTTAATTTTTCTATCCTCTACGCAGTAACGGCCGCTGTGCCTACAAGCGATCTTCTTCTCTCAATTACTTTCTCCCCACCTCCTCCTCTCTATCCAGCACCCTGATGGCCTCCCAGCGACAGGCCTCGTCTGCCTCCCAGACCCCGCTGATATCCCCCGCCGAACTCGCCTACCTCTACACCTCTCTCGCGCTACCAAACAGTCCCATCCGCCCCGATGGCCGCTCCCCCACGCAGTTTCGCCCTCTAACGGCCGAAACCGACATTCTGCCGGGCACAAACGGCAGCGCGCGCGTCGGATTCGCAGACGGCACGCAAGCCATCGTCGGCGTGAAGGCCGAGGTCGAGAAGACGGCGCTGTCACCCGATGCCGTGAATCTCTCGCAGCAGGCGCAGACGACCGATGCGGGTGGCGAGGACGGGAAACCTGCGGCCACTGGCGGGCACGGATCTTGGGTGCAGATGTCGATTGAGATCCCTGGATTTCGGGACGACGATGCCCTGCCTGTTTTTCTGTCTGAGATGATGCGCGAGCCGCTGGTGGAGTCGGTCTCGAGTGGGCATAGCGAGGACGCCGAGATGGCGGGCGGGCTTAAGGGTCGGTTGGTGATTAATAGACGCTGGCATTGGCGGTTGTATATTGATGTAAGGGATCTGGGTGGATGTGTTGTGTTTGCGATGTGTGTGTGGTTACTCGTGCTAACCCTGATTCTCTGCAGGTTCTACTTCTCTCCCAGCCTCTTTCATATCCGCTTCCCCTCCTGTCTCTAACAACCCACCTGGCGCTTCTATCGACGAAGCTCCCCAAGTTGAAATCGAAAGGCGAAGAAGACCCCTTCTTCGACGATGACTGGGACGCCGCAGAGTATCTGTATCCTCGCACGCGGTCGAGATTGCCGCAGAAGATCCGCCCGCCGGTCACGCTGCTGGTTATCTCTGTCGGCGATAACATCATTTTCGACCCCAACCGCGAGGAAATCACCGTTGCGGACACCGTCATGGCTATCTCTGTGACCCGGGACAGCGAGTCGGATGGGCTGAAGCTCCTTTCTATCCGCACGGTCGATCCGCCTTCGCGGTTGACGCAGCCCGGAGTGCCGAACTCGGAGAATGTGGCGACGGGAGGCTCTGCGGGCGCTACGGAGGGATCTCTGATCGTGAACCCGGCTACGAGCGAGGAGGACACGCCGGGTGTTTGGAGGCCTCGGAGGGGTGGAGTCAAGCGCAAGACTGTGGCGCGGATGATCAAGTTAGTTCTTGAGAAGGGGGGTGTTGGCGAGGAGGTTCTGGAGGGCCTGGAGAATGTTGAGGTTGGGTGATTCATTGATTGATCGATGTTGGTTGGGACATGGGCCTTTGTCCTGAATCCTACATTATCCTTACGAGGATGGATCTTCTATCATGATTCCACGCTTCGGTTGGGCTCTGGAGGGAACGGGTGGGTGTATGCTCGTGGATACAGAGCATCGCTGCAGAGGTCTACCGTCTTGCCTTTGCAGTTCTAACAGAGACCACCCGAGACATGGAACTTCCACGAGCCTGGCTAAAACACCGTTGGACGAAGGAATTGTCATGATAAGCAGATGAGAGAGTACCAATGTACATACTACATACAAAAAGGGAAAATAATACACACCTCGTGGAGAAAACCCCACCCCATCAACACCATCAATCACCAACATAATCTACCTCATTCAATCCACCGACACCATCCCCAACCCAACATCACACATACCATCCCATTCCCAGAAAATCCTACCAAATCCCCAACCACTTCTTCACAGGCCTCCTCCTCCCCTCCCAATCCACAAACTCCTTTGCCTGCTCCTCAACCGCCACCGGCGACTGCTCATCCACGCCGACCAGCTCCGCATCACCCTCGGCAGCACTACCGCCTTCCTTATCCTCCGCGCTCGGCTCCTCCATACCATGCGCAACCCGGTACTGGCGTCTCTTCTCGGCGTCCTCGACCCGGCGCTGCCGCTTCTGTCGCGTCTCCAGCGAGTTGTGCTGCACGTCCATCCGGTACACCGAGAGGGCCTGCGAGATCGTGTCGATGGGGTGCCAGACCAGGCCCGACCACGAGGGCAGGAGGTGCGCGAACGGAGACCGCCGTTTGAATGTTTCTGTGAAGGTGAATGTTGCGAGGGAGGTGAGGACGCCCTATATCATTCATAACCTTAGCATTACCGCCGCATCGCATCATATCGTATCGTATCGTAGCAGTAAACATCCACCATCCACCATCCCATCCCATCACATCCGGGACAGAAGGATGGGGGTGGGGGTCTGAGAGACTCACCATCGCAATCCAAATATGAATCCACCGATTCGTCAAGAACCGATGCATGACCGTGCCCTCGGGCGGGAACATATTCGGATACTGCTTCTCCTTCTGCGCCTGCTTCTCTGCCTCCGAGAGCCGCGGACCGTAGTTGACCGGGTTCGGGTTCACGATGCGGCCGTTGCGAGTCTGCATCACGCGCCGCGCGGGGTGCGATGGCGGCCGGAACTTGTCTGGCTTCTCGAGCACGCGCGGCTTGTCATCTTTAGAGCTAGAGCGCGAGGACGACGATGCGCAGCGGCGAGAAGCCGACGGGGTCGGGGCCTTCGACTGGGTGCGGGCGAGGGAGAGGAAGCTCCGGGTGGAGGGGGCGCCTCGCGGGAGGAGGAATTGGGGGATTGTGACGGGGGGCATTTTGGTTTTGTTGGGTTGGTGGTTCCAGTTGGTGTGGAGGTTCTTTTGAGGAATATGGAACCAGCAGAAGGGGGTTCTGCGGGGTGTAGCATGCCCTGGGGGAAGGAATCTCGCGATTTCAAGACTCCGCGGTCGAAGTTTTCCGAGTTGATGCCGCTTAGTCACGTGATTGTTTACTCCGTGTGGTGCCTGGTGCAACTGCTGGGAGGGTGGATTAAGGGTTTCTTTGCCTTATCGCTTTTGCTCTCTTAATGCTCAGAACTAAGATGCAATGATTGCTTCATAGGTAGATGTGTTGCGTGGTGTGGTGATATCGTGTTGGCCATACTAGATCGACCTTGAAAGTAAGCCTCAGGCATTCAACACCTGACAGACACTCACGATGTATATGATTAAGAACTGCGGCTCATTACTACTTCTATAAAAGAAACTTTTAACATAGGTAGGTCCTCACGATAGAACTACCTTATCAAATGTCACAATAGTGTCTCCTTCGTACGGACAAAAATAGACGCCACACTCGGACCAACCCAAGATTCTCTGCCCAACCAACACCGACATTTCGAGTCCGCGTCACACCCCGGGAGCATGTGGCCTAGGTACATCCATGGATGACGGATAGCAAGTCGGTCAGGCATGCAAAGGAGATCCGGCAGAAACCGATCGATACCGGGTTTTGATACGAGAACAGCCCGGGATGGATGTCGATGCCTCAGGCCTGCACCGCAAAGCCCGGCAGAGTGGAAGAGACGACAACCAACAGCCAATGGAGGCGCGCCCATTAATATTTCCATTTTGCCGGGTCCAGGATGAGCTCGCCATGAGGTCATTCAGGCACACTGCGTCGGCATGGTGTCACCGTCTGAAGGGAGGATTTTCCTCGGTGTCGATCAGTAGGAATCCTAGCAGTAGTCTATATAGTATAGAGTATAGAGTATACAGATGTAGCATTTACGCAAAATCTGCATACAGGCGACATCAGCACTGCTACTACGTAGTAAAGACATCTTGACCGCCGTCGTCGGGAGCAACAGCATCAGTCCACCAGAAAAAGACACCGGCAAAAAAGCCATCCCGAAGGCGCCCGCTCAACGCTGAATCATCTCCCCGCTGATTGGCCCTCGCCCGGATCACGGGAGCCGACGGGGGCGACGGCCGGGCGCTCTTCGTTCCTTGTACAAATTCCTGCGATCGCATTTTTTTTTCTTTCTTGCCAGCTCGCTCACTTTTCATCCTCAATTGACCTCGACTTTTTTTTGGGACCCCTTTAGATCTCCCTCTTCCTTGTACAGCCTATCTCTACTTCTCTCTTTCTACTTTTTAGAATCCCCTTTATATATTCACAATGGGCAAGGACGCTTCTTTCGCTCCCGGTAAGCCTGACTCCCCTGCTATTGCCTCCGGACGGTGTTCGGAGGGCGCCCCCCAATCATTCACTGCAACGCCTGCAATGTGCACGCTTTGGGATACTGTGAATCCCCGGTAGCGGCTTGCTAGCGCTGGAGGTTTTCCTGTGTCTTTGTTTACCTCTACGCCTGGTGTCGTTGTCTTCCGGGTTCTCGTCACTATACCACCATCACTCCGTCAGCGGCATTTTAGCAGCGTTAGCTCTTTCTGAACCAGCCACAATTCCTGAAATCTGCCCTATCACCACTTTTTACAAAGAAATCAGCTATTGTTGCCACGATGACAAGCTGGGATACCTTTTGTTTTGTCACCACACTGCACATGCGCGAGGAGGAGATCGAGGCTGCAGAGAAGGCCAAACAGCAGGCTAACATGGCGACGCTTCCAGGTGACTCTGCTAAGGGTGCCAAGCTCTTCCAGGTGAGTTTTGAATTGCTTCATCGCCGCGATAAGACGCGACTGGCTAACCTGGATCTCAGACCCGTTGCGCTCAGTGCCACACCGTCGAGGCTGGTGGTCCCCACAAGGTCGGCCCCAACCTGAGCGGTCTCTTCGGCCGTAAGACCGGTTCCTCCGAGGGCTACGCCTACACCGACGCCAACAAGCAGGCCGGTGTCACCTGGGACGAGAACACTCTGGTACGTATTGATTCTTGTCCGAGATGCGCGAGAAGACGCGGTTGGCTAACGCGCTCCCTACAGTTCAAGTACCTCGAGAACCCCAAGAAGTTCATCCCCGGTACCAAGATGGCCTTCGGTGGTCTCAAGAAGGGCAAGGAGAGGAACGACCTCATCACGTAAGTTTTGACCGCCAGCATGCAGCGATGGGGATGGAACAAAGAGCTGACCGTGATTTCTTTCCTCTGCAGCTACCTCAAGGAGAGCACTGCCTAAACGCCTCTTCTCTCGTCGATTCTGCGAACCCACCAAAAATTCCCTTCTCCACCCCGTCCGGGGGATGCTCGACCGACCGCCGGACCGGGCATGTAATTTTACCTGCTACCGTGTTTACTCGCAATAGACTTGGTTTTCCTTTGTGTGTGCGCGCGCCGGAGAACCTTGCGGATATCATAGAGACAGCGGTCTCGCTTTGTGTTTTTTAATGCGCTTGTCTTTTCCTAACAATCCCCCTGTGACGATCATGTGTGTTTTTCCGCTTTGTGTGTACCATGGAATTTGAGTGCCGGCATGCACCGGCTGTAATGAACTCTCAACTCTTACCTTACTACTCCGTATCTCCCATTCTATTAATTAGCCTACAGGTAATGGAGCGGACTGGCGACTACAGGCGGCTGTACTGCGCATCACGGGCGCCGGGGCACATGACCGGGTCACCGCCCATTGGCCCAGCCTCTTCGCGTGCTGAATAAAAGGCCGAGGGGTTTCGCCCTCTCGCCCTCGCTGGTACTTCCGATTTCTCCCTGCATTCAGCCCCGGACAAAGAAATCCCTGGCCAGATTCTATCTAGTCCCAATCAGATAATCAAATCCAAAATTCCAGACAACGGATTGTTCGCGCTGGACTCGTTGCCACTAACCAGCATCCTCGGGGAGATTGATTGGCTGCCAGCCGTCGTATGCAGACGCCGCTGTAACGGAAGAGTGACTTGTCGCGACCTTGTTAGTCGGTCCACTTCATCCTTCCTCAGGCACCAACCCCTTCCCTTCCCTTCCCTGTCCCTCGCTCTGCCCTTCTTATGTCTCGCATTCCCGTGCTGTTTCATTCTCTCGCGACTGTCGATCTGACTGGCAGGCCCCTTCTTCCCGACTTGCCTGTCTTTGCTCCGTATTTCTTCGCTGGCTTCCCCGCGTCGCTGCCGAGAGCGCATCGCGACGAGCCATCCCACCGCACTTGAGCGCAAACCTGCGACTGACTCCTCCAGCAACTCCTCCCCCTTCCCCCGTGGCTGCGTTGCTCTCCCTAGACCAGGCTGGATCTGTCCTCGAGTGGTCGCCTTGACTGCGCGCCAAGTGAAGTGACCTTAACGTCTTCTTTTAGACCGCGCGCAACGCCGTCCGCCATGTTGGACGAGCTAGACAACGTGTTTGATGACCATCCGTCCCTGGATGCGTCGCTAGAAGATTTCGAGAATGCCAGCAACTCGCACAGGTCGCCCGTCTTCGGTCTGCCGTCTCAACATTCCGGCTTTCGCTCCGAGGATTCCGAGCCCGAGGACGAGGACACGACACCCCAGGCCGAGCGCTGGTCGCCTCCCGGCTTTCGCCGCTATGATTACGTCCAGGGCAGCGGGTGGTATCGCCATCAGCCCTATTCGCGCGCCATCGATCATGACCGTCTGGGGTTGAAGCCGACGGTAGGGCTGAGCCCGTCGCAATCGCGCGAGCCGAGTCCTCAGTATGAGGATGCGCTCGAGGGCACGACGGCTGTGCAACGAAGCACGTCGGCAGATACTGGGGTGGCAACGATCGCGGCCAATGTGCCGCTGCCTCGCGACACGGATTCGCCGGTCAAAGGGCGGTCCCCCAGCCCGGCGGCGCCGACTTCCAGAGCCAGCCCTAACCCGGACGGATTGGACTTTCAGTCGGAGAATAACATAAGCAATTGTAGGCTTTTATTTTTTGATCTCGGTTTGAACCCTGTCCAGTACGCTGGCGCGGGATACTAACGAGTGGGCCTTCTTTTCAAGATATCCGCTTTGCCGTGCGCGCTGAAGTCCAGCAACGCGAACCGTTTGTCGCATTCTATAAGTATACTCGATCGTGGATCGAGTGGATGACTAGCTCGAAGTCGAACACCACCATATCCTTCATGGTCGGCGTGTTCTCCATCATGTTTTTCCGCGCTCTGTTTCTACCGCATGATCCGCAGGCGATTCCCGACCTCGTGAAGCTGTCCAACTTCGCGCGGTCGTTCGAACCGTTGATCTATTATTCGGAGAACGGGGTTCAGCAGATTGGTACGCTGCAAGAGACGGGCGTCGCGGTCTGGGACCTGAGCGAATCTGTGCGCAGTACGAATATGACCAGCGCTCCGATCATCGTGGACCAGCTGGATGAACTGTCGGAATCTTTGAAGGGGCTGTCGATGGAACTGACGCGCTTCTTTGCCAATGTGGATTCTGACGTCGACTCCATCTTGATTGTCATGGACTGGGCCAAGCGAGAATTAGAAACCATATCATCGCAACCACCGAGTGGATTGCCGACGATTGTCTTTGACAACGTGCACGAGTTGCTGTCGCGACTAAGTCCGCTCGAGCGCACTGCTGCACCTAGTGGTGACGGCGGGGGAGAATTGGCCGCATCTTCCACTCCCACGACTTTTGGACATGTAGTAACCGCTCTCTTTGGCCAAACGTCTGGCCAGCGCACGCGCGCCGCCCTCTCGCGCACATTCACCGAATTCCTCTCCGTTCTGGAAGAGTCTATCAACAGCGAACTAACCCACTCAGCATCCCTCTTTTTGCTCTTCGAGTCCATCGACCGCCAGTTCCTCAACCTCCAGCGCACGGTGGTGCGTGAGTCGGACGCCCAGGAGCGCGCGGAAGGCGAGATGCTCAGCTCGCTTTGGACTCGGGTTCTCGGGCCCAATGCGGCGGTGGTGCGCAAATACGAAAAGAACAAGCGACTCCTCGCCAGCGTGCGCAGTCGCACAGTCGCCAACAAACACCTGCTCATGGACCACCGCGGCCGCCTGATGTCCCTCAAGATCAACCTCGAGACGCTGCGGCGCAAACTCGTCAGTCCCCTCGTCCGACCGAATGACTCCTCCAACTTCCTCGGCGCCGGCGACTCGGGCAATGGCCGAAGTAACGGTCGAATGCTAGGCCCGGTCGAGGCCGTGATCGACGGACAAATCCGTGGACTCGAGGGCAGCTACGACTACCTCCGGTCTGTCCGAGAGAAACAAAAAGCGAAACTCCTCGAGATGGTCTACGGATCAGGACGCAGACTACATAACTCTCTACTAGGAGACAGAACAGACGATGCAGACACAGACGGAATCGACGGAGCCTGATGCGACAACGCAAGGAATCGCTTTCTTTCCTTTTCCTTTTTTCAACTCCTCTCCTCTTCTCTACTCTGTTCATATCCGACCGACTCCGTCATCCATACAGCCTTGTCGCATCTTCCTCGGCGTTGGACTAAATCCGTCTTTTTGTCTCTCTGTCTGTCTCATGGGATCGGAGTTTTTCTTTTCGGCGTACATCAGAGAAGATCCGTCGATCTACTGTTTCCTTCGTGTCGTTTCTGACTTATCTATATCCATCTATCTGGCGTCCATCACAGAGTGGTAAGGGCAAGGGCAGGGGCAACGGAGAAAGGTGTTTTTTTCCCTTCTGTCTTCTGGTCATCGGTTTGGCGTCTCCTCGCTTCTCATCTATCTATCTATCCATCTATCTCTTTTCTTCTCGCATCATGCATATAACCGGCGACTTTATTGCGGATTTGTGAGTTAAAAGCGATAGACGAGACGTTCCTTCTTCTACTATCTTATCTTAGCTTGTTGGTTTGGTCTGGTCTGGTGTTGTTTCGCGATTCGATCTTCGATCTTTGGGTTCCTTAAGCTCTTCGTGTATGTAGTTATGTATGTCTTGTATGTATTTGCGAAGAAAGGATGGCGTTTTGGGCTTTCTTCGTCGTTTGGTTGGTCTTGGTTCACGGGGATGGAATGGAACTGATGGGATGGAGGGAGGAGGTGGTTGTTTTCGTTGGCGTTTTCATTGCGTGTTTTGATCTCTTCGGATTTTATACTGATATACATGCTATTTTTTATATCTCTATCTCTATCTCTATATTGTAAGTGATGTGTTGGTTCGTAGATTGGTAGTGTGCTGTGGTGGTATGAGTAAGTAACTTGGTTTGTATTGGTTGTTTAGGAACCGTAGAAAGACAGACAGACAGACAGACAAATGACTAACTCTATATCTAACTGCTAACAAATTGACACCTTTGCTAAGCTAGGAAGATCTGGGTAAGAAAATAGACGCAAGATGATAGAATCGGTGTTATTGCTTCTCCACACAGTGATTTAGAAAGGGATTGATTCGAATGACCTAAAGTACATAGATGAATGAATGCCAGCTAGGCTTTTGAGGACTTTACCTCCCTTGCCAAGTGAATAGGTGAAGTATTGTGAAAAGAAATCTAATATGACATGGTCCCTTTAGCAGTCACAAAATAGGCAAAAAGAAAAGGAACCAAATGTTTTCATAAGGAGAACAATTCGATATCATCGTTGGATTTGTCGAGAAGAGAGAAAAAAGACGATTTTGGGAAAAGTGGATGGGCAAAATGTAATATGTAATGTTCAAAAATCATTCAATAAACGCGCCGCTGAATCATGACAGACCCCTTATAACTCCGTCCGCATGCTTGGGTTAGTACTTCCTTTGAAGAGAAAGTGAATAGTAGGTTTTCCGAGTTTGTTTTTGATGCTTTGTCCTGGTTCGAATCGATTAAAAGCCGTAGCCACCGCCGCCATACGGGGTCGCGCCGTATGGAGTAGCGGCGCTGGCTCCCCAGGCAGAGGCGTTGCCGTTGGCATAGGCCGTGAATCCTCCGTCAATACCCTCCGGCGGTTCGTAGGCATCGGGACTGCGCACGCCCATCATGTCATCCTCCTCGACGCCCATCATGCCGCCGTGGTCACCCTCGCCGGAGCCGGAGAGAGCGGAGATCACCGAGGCGAGTTTGCGTTGTAGCACCGTGATGCCTTGCTGGATAATCATATCGGGTTCCAAATTGCCGATGCTTTCGACATCGAAGTAGAAGTTGTTGGGCTCGGCGTCGTAGTCAAACGGTTGGTCAGGAGCCGTAGGGTGTTCCCAGGCAGCGTTTGCGGAGATGGGCCTGAAAGTCGTGTCAATACCATGTCTAGAGAAGAACCCCTGGAGTCACCCCAAAAGAGAACAAAAAATGAACGTACCATTCCTTCGCAGCATCCTCCTCATACCAATAATCCACATGTCGCAGATTATTGTGCGGGTCATACTCGAACCCAATCGCCGCCGTCGGAGCCCACTTGGCATGCTCCTTAGCAATACCCTTCTTCGCAATGCACGTCATCTTCAATTCCTGACCGCTCCGCAATTTACAGATCAAGGGTCCCTTGCCCTGGGGGTCCGTGATGACGGGGTTGCCGACCCATTCATTGGCCCGCTCGCCGCTGACGACCAGGTCGCGCGCATGTATAGGCATGACCTCGAAGCCGGTGCAGCGCGCATGCAAGGACAGGGTAACGCTGCAGCGCGCGCAGTGGTCCTCGCATTCGCAGTCGCGCGTGTACTCGACGTCCTGGTCGCAGTTCTTCGAGTTGAGGGGGATGAGACCCAGGCGGTGGGCGAGGAACTCGTCGGGCAGCACGGAAGTGTTCATTTCGACTTCGACCAGGTCGATGGCGATGGTGGGGATTTCGGCGAGCATGGCGCGGCGGACGGAGTTGGCGAAGGCGAGGTCGACGGAGCTGAGTTTGAAGTCGACTCGGTAGGGTTCGGCCTAGAGACAGGTGTGAGTTCCAGGGAGCTCTAACTTCTCATACTCATTGGAGGTTCTTTCAATCTCCTCATGTCCAAGGGCGGAATACCTCTCGCACGGTCACTTGAGGCCCAGTGGGCTCGATGTCCATTTCATAATCCATGGCGGCGTGAAAGCAGCGCTGCAAGCTGCCTACTGGAAGAAACGGAACGGGAGAAGAAGATACGTTAGAGAAGTCGAGCAATGAAGGACGCGACGGGTTAAAAGCCGACGAGAAGGACCGAGGTCGAGGGGGAGGGGAAGGTGGAAGAAAGGCGATGGACCTGAAAGAGGCTCGGAGGTGAAGGTTGGAGTTTGGCTCTGCGAACCGCAGGACGCGCTTTGCCCGATCGGGAATGCATCGGGGCGCGCATTCTTTAAATCAGCGGCATTACTTCGCTTGGCTTTCTACTGGATTTGAACCTCTGGTTTCTTCGGTGTCTATATCGTATTTATTGTTCTATCATCCGCTCTATATACCTACTGGCTACGAACGCATACTCTACTCATTGGTATGTCCATGTCAGGCTTAGGAATACAAGTCTCTGGGGATTACAGAAATCCTCTTGCGGCCGTCAATCTGATCACTGGGAAATGATATGAGTATGGCTTTTTTTGGTTTGGTTTTGTTTTTCTTTGTTTGCTTCCTTGGCTCAGATTCCTAGGTTTTGCAAGAGTCGCGGACCAGACCATCCGACGGTACCAAGAAGTGGTAAATTGCAAACGCATTCGTGCATAAAAGTCAAGGGCCATTTTCTTTCAGGCTCGAATCATAGGATCGGCATCCAGAATAACCGGTAGAACGAGTCCTCCAACCAAAGTCGGACCCGACCAAAAAAACCACGTCCGAAAGACGCATAACTTTTTCTTCATCCGTCCGCCAACAGTGCTGTCGACCGTGTTGCTCTAACTTTCTATTTTGACGGATTGTCGTGGAATCTATAGAGGTGAGTTGTGGGAACTGGGCTCTCGCGCAAAGCCATCCAGCCACCAGCGCGATATTACAAAGACAGAAAACCTCGAACTCCAAAGCAGCACAGCCGACCATGACCCAAAAGAAAAAGAAGGGGGTAGAAAGACACCAATCGAGAGAGATGCAATAAGAGATGTGGAGATGAGATGGGAAAAGAAAATGTTTTTTTCTTTTAGAAGGGGAATCATGTCGAGTCGTAAAAAGTCCAAAATCGAGGTGAACGACCGACTAGCCGGTCATCTCTACCCTATGATTTCGGAGTGCAACCGAGGACAGTCATCGCTACCTTTTCAAGGAACTGCGATTCAATGCCTCCAGGAGTTCGGGACGACTGGAAAGGGACGCCGCAGCTTGAGCGTAGCCAACCCATTGACGTTTCCGTTTGTGCATCTCGGGCCACTGATCCTCTTCGCGGTCCACGGTGACCTCGAAAAACTGGTAGGAAGCTTTCGGGGCATGCGCCGTCAACAGCGACGACGGGCGCATGTCCGGGATCAGCCCGAGATCCTGCTGTACCGTGCAGATGACACCGGCCTCTTCCCAGGCCTCTCTGCAGGCAGCCAGCTGGGCACTGTCCTCATCCGTTTCCCAACCCCCTTTGGGAAGTACCCAGCCGCCACGTCCGGCGGACTGGATCATGAGGACTTTCGTCTTATCCGTCGATAGCGGCACCACGCCAGCCACGAGCCGTTCGCCTTTCGATCCATAACCTAGAAAACGGCATCCACGCGTTAGCCTAGGATTGCGCGAACATCGTCCGAAGGGTCCGAGAGCCGAATCATCCCATCTTCGCGAAAGGAGGGGAATCCGATAAGGCACCAGAGCGACGTAATCCGCCCCACGTGCCTCCGGAGGTCACTCACGTTGGTTTTTTCGCCCTGTCCGGGACTCCATTGACCGAGTCTGTTCCACCATCTTGGACGAGAAGGAATGAGGAATGGGGGCAGAGAACAATGACGACAAAGACAAGGATGGATTAGAAGTAAGAAGCCGTCGGAAGACCTCTCACGAACAATCTATACTCAAAGAAAGATAGGAGAGATGGCGGAGTAAATGCGCCAGGAGTACCCCACGCGACAGAAAGTCAAATGAATGCAAGGGTCTCCAAAGAGACACGGGAGAGAAAAAAGAGGTATGAGACCGAAAAGGGTGACAAGAAGACGGGATGAGGCCTCAAGGTAGAGGCCTAGAAGTCCGAAGCGGGACCTTTTGGGGAGGAGGAGAGGTCAAAGGACGGAGGGTATAGGGAAGAGAGGTCCAGCCTGGGGGGTGGGAGCTGGTCCACGAGCCGTCAACCCTAAACTTTTTTTTCCGGGAGGTAGAAAAAAGAGGCGAGGCGGTCGACTGGAAATTTTTGGGGGAGGGGAAAATCGGGAACGGCAGAGAAAAAAGGACAGTAGGAACTAGGTGTCCCCGTTCACTCCCGCGGCGGACGGGAACCTGGAAGAAGCGGAGAGGATATAAGAAGACATGGTAAACAAGAGCCGAGCAGAGGGAAATAGGGGAAGGGAGGAATAGAGAAGAACGGCGAGAGGAAGGGAGGGGGAGGCGAGAGTACGCAGACTGAGTATACCCGCCTCACCGCGCGGTATTCGTATTACGCCGCGGAAGGCGGTAAACTACGTGCAACCATACGAGGTACACGTCCGGTACACCCTGTCGTCCTCCTCCTCCTCCTCCTCCTGGTGATTCCTCTCATCCTCCCGGCTTCATCTCCCAAGACCTCCCGGGGCACTGCGGGCCTGTCGGTCCCACCCCACCCGATTTCTCTCTGGTTCTCCAATTACCCTTCCAACGGGTTCCCTTGGGATCCGGTGATTATTCTCCTTGCTTGCTCGGCCAGGAACTCGGCCCATTCCAGCGGCGTGTCACCGTCCTCGCCATAGCTCCCTACGCTAACTAACTATGTAAGCCGGTCGTCGGACTCCCACTGACCAAACCCATCGGGACCGCAAATGGAGCTGTCAATGCAGAATTGGAGGCACCGCCGGCTCGTTCGGCCTTCGGACTAGGCAAACCACGTCCGCCACAAGCGCGATGTCTCAATCTGGTGGACGGCTGGCTAAAACGAGCCTGATATTGCATCCTATTAATGGATTCATGGCTTATTGGCCGGTGGGACTCTTCACCCTTTCTTCTCCCTTTCCACCCGGGCCTCGTATTTCCTTTCTTTTGTGAAATTGGTTTCTGGCGCTGATTCTTCTGCTTCCACGGAGTCTCCGTCCACGCCCTCGGTAATTATTATTAACGATCTTGCTGTTCTCATCCGCCAGAAAACTGGATGCGATCCACCCTGGCCAACCCTAGCTGCGGTACCACGAATGGAACTAGGTCGCAAGAACCGACGTCCAATAACCATTCTCTTAATCAGTTCCCAGGGAGTGGAACGCGCCCACGAGTCTCACAACTTTTTTCTTTTCCTTTTTTTTCTCCCCCTCTTTCGATTTTTTTTTTTTTTTTTTTTTTTACCAGATCGTCGTCGGGTATCTTTCTGCACGGACATGCTTTGAAGTCTGAAGAGTGAAGACAGACCTCAGCGGTGCTGGGTAGCAGTCAGCTGTCCCAACTCCAGATGATGATCCCATAACCTTCAACTAACTAAACCATGTAAATCAATACTCCCTACGCGGTAGTGGCATTTCGAGGCACCGCATCATTTCGACATGCAAAGCATGCGCTACGTGTGATACTCCCGGAGGATAAAAACGTCGGGCAAGACCCAGCAATCAGCATCAAACTTGCCAATCCTGCATCGTGGTGGACGGAGACTGACTGCTGTGGAAACCAGCCTCTGAAGGTCAAGATTTTTTTTTCTTTTGTTTTCTTTTTTCGTTTTGCTATTGTTTACCCCGTGCCAACCTCGACCTTCGTCCAGACAAGCTAAGGATTGGATACCATGAAACGCACAAGCATGCCTGCATACACTAGCTCCAAATGACTATTGGAACATAAAGGTTGATCCAAATGCGGGGCACCAACGACATCCCGGGTTTTCACTTTTTTCTTGAATTATTATTATTTCTATTTTTGCTGTTTTTGAGATAGAAAGGAAAAAGGAAATGAAGGACAGGAGAACCCTCAGGTCGATCATGGCGTTGGAGATGGCTCCTGCACCCGAGCGCCCCCTTGAACTCTTAGTTAACGGCGGTAAGGCCTGCACATCAGACATCGTATGGGGTTCGAGAAGGTCGAAACCCCGCGGAAATGATTGGATCGGGGGAATACAACGCAGCGACGATCTCGGGGGACTAATTATATTGGATGCGGACCCTGAGATCGCAGCGGTGTGAGTCGAGCGAGGGTGTGTGATGGCGAAACGACTGATTTGACGAACGCCCTGGAAGGGCTTCGTGTGATGTCATATATCGTATATCCAGATTAGTCCACCCAGGACGGTGAAAAAAATGGTGGCATGCAAGTCACCGAAATTGTCCAGAGTCACGAAGGTATGGATGGACCATGGATCAACGATGGCACGATCATAAGGTCCTTCCAACGAGAAGTGGCATGTATACCCAATGACTGTCGAGGGTCCGGTGGACTGCTGATACGGGTATGTACCTACGAAATAGTGCTCTGTACACGAATGAAAATGGAAATGTTGCACTTGAGATTACTCCGGTGTCGATGCGGAGACTCCGAGATGTTCATTCGAGTGCGCAGTACGGAGTAGTATTATCTCCTACACTCTCCATAATCCTATACCATCTTCCGATGCCGAAGCCACCACCACCAGTTGGAAAAGCCAAATTAATCATGGAAAAAGCAAATCCCCAAATCAAGGATCCGAGCCCATCGACATGAAGCCCCTGGGCAGGGATGACCGGGCCTTACATGGGACTACGACATGGGGAGCAGACCAGTCCAGGCCAGAGTTAGTCCCAATGCTCTTCTAGAAGCCGCGATGCAAGTAAGCCTTGGATTTTTCCTCGACAGGACCGTGATTCCTGCGTGAGTCTGATATAAATGATCCTACTCTGTATATTGCGCGGCTGGAAATCACGGTGATACCAGGCGATACGGGCGGTAATGGACGCCGCCTTGGAATCTCCGCGCCAACTTGGACAGTCTTCCCCTCCATCTGTCATTCACCTTCTCTCCAATAATCTACTGCTGCACTAGTAGTTGGTCCCCATCGCCATCTGCCCTTTCGCTGCGGTCCTCTTTCCAACCCATCCCACTCCGGCTGGATGATTACGGGGGTTTTCTTTTTCTTTTGCTAATTTCCCGCCTTGAGCGCCAACGAGACCACACCTATCCACCGCAACATCCACCATGGGCACCGTCGTCGACGCCGAACAGGCAAGGAATCTGTCGCTTTTCCGACCCCTAGGTAAGCAGCCAGTCAGAGAGGATGGCTTTTCCTCGTGCCGTCATCATTGGCCCCCGTCCGTCTGCCATCCCGCGCAGTCGGTGCCCCTCCATCCTGTATTGTCCGTCTTGGCTCTGGTCTCGCATTCAATCGTCAATCTCCCCGTTGATATGCCGCACGACAAATGCAAGACCCGCAAGATCGGTCACTGCATCCCTCCTGTCTGGCATGATCCGTCGCATTCGTCCGTAATGATGACTCTTGTCGGTGACTAACGCTACTCCCTTCGATATCTTTCAGGTTACCAGCGTAACTCCTGTGGTTACTGTAAATCCGAGGATGGCAGTAAGTCCGCCCCCTGCTTCGCTTGTCCATGGGTCATCGTCGTCTCGCCCCCGTGGCTGACGCGCATCTAACCTACTGCAGGTGCTTCCTACTACACTAGTTCGGTCGCGGTACGGCCGGTCCATTACGAGGAACTGGTCAACCGTGGTTGGAGACGGTGAGTTTGGCTGTGACAGGACGCATCCTGCATGTAGAATCTAGCTGCTAACTGGAATTCAGGTCAGGCACGCTTTACTACAAGCCGAACCTGCAGAGATCATGCTGCCCGCACTATACGATGAGGTGTGTCTGCCAGGTTCTCGACCGAGAATGCTTGTGTTTGTAGATGCTGATCGTAACCAGGATGGAGGCGTCGGCCTTCAAACCCAGGAAGGACCAGCGAAAGGCAATCAATCGCTGGAACAAGTTTATCTTGGGCCCGGAGTACATCCGCAGGGCGGCTTACCTGTGTCCCAAAAGCCGGGGGTAAGTATAAATCCTAGTTTCTCGGTAGAGATTATGAGAGCTTACATGATACCATGGATAGAGAGAAGAAGCATCGAAAGCAAACGTTTGACGTTTCGGATGTCGTGCATGAGGCCGAATACAGCAACGTGAAACGGCCTCTGGATCCCAAAACCAAGAAGCTCCTAGAGCCGGCCCATCGATTCGAGGTCAACATCGAGGGCGATTCCATATCACAGGCCAAGTATGTACCTTATGGCAGCCAATATGTTCTTGATGCTGACAGTCGCGTCCCAGATTCGATCTCTTCCTCAAGTACCAAACGACCGTGCACAAGGAAGATGTATCCAAATGGCAGACCAAGGACTTCAAGCGCTTCCTTTGCTCAGGGATCAAACGCTCCCCCGCGAATCCGCAGTCTTCGGAGAAAAAGCTGGGTTCGTATCATCAATGCTACCGATTGGACGGAAAGCTTATCGCCGTGGCGGTCCTGGACCTGATGCCGAATTGTGTCAGCTCCGTCTACATCTTGTGAGACCTCCCTTCCCAATCGATTGACCGGTCGAAGTCTGGCTCACAATCCAAGCTACGACCCGGCTTACGAGCAGTGGGAATTCGGAAAGCTCAGCGCGCTGAGAGAAATCGCCCTGACCAATGAAGGTGGATACAACTATTACTACATGGGTCAGTAAACCACTCCCCTTTAAATTGCATATAACCAGCCTAACATCGCCAGGCTATTACATCCACTCCTGCCAAAAGATGCGCTACAAGGGCAACTTCCGACCCCAGTACATCCTCGGTGAGAACCCAAGACCCCCAACCATATCCCCAGGCCAATCCACCCCTAACCTCCCCCACCCTTACAGACCCAGAAAGCCACACCTGGGAACCCCTCGACGGCGAACTCTCCAAGAAGCTCGACGAACGCCCATACGTCTCCCTCTCGCACGATCGACAACTAGCCGCAGAGAGCTCGCAGGAACCCGACCCCGCAGCCGACATCAACGACGAAGAAGCCTCGCTCTTCGACCTGCACATGCCCGGCGTCTTGACCCTGGAGCAAGTGAAGGCGCTGGACCTGGACCACTGGCTTCTCCTGGTCCATGGGACGTTCGTGCATATGATTGTGAGTGTTTCTATCCTTCAGCCCCTTCCCCTTCTCCCCTCGGGACCAGGTGACTTGAACGGTACGGTGAGTACTAACTCCCCATGCGCTAGGACCTCGTCGGATGGGAAGACATGCCAATGGATAATCCGCAGTCCGTGAAGGGGATTATTGCGGAGTTGGCGGCGGCGCTGGGGCCGGAGGTTTGCAAGGAAAGTGCGGTGGTTTTGTTCGACTAGATAGGATTGGTTCATATTCATTAGCATTATGGCATCGTATCGTTCTACGGTGCGTTGGGGGTTTGCAATATTTGGGAATCTAATCGCTAGGGTGCAATTTACGTATTATATAGTCTCTATGTGGATAAGTAGGTAGGTGGATAATATGCAGGTATATTGATGTTAAATGATAAATACCAGTCAATGATATGAACAAAAAAACTCGAATAAACAAATCAAACCCGATGCTGCAATTCGCGCCGATGCTTGCCTGTAAAGTAAACGCCGCCCATGATATTATATGAACAGGACCCCCAGAGATTCCAACCAGAAAAGAGAAAAAGAATAAATAAATCAAAGAGCACATGACCAATTTCATCAAGCGCGACAACGATGCATTTTCAGACAGAAAATCGAATGAAACCACCATGCATGCATGCAAAGTTGCCACTGAAAAGAAACGCTAAAGCAGTCAAAGTCAAAATCAACCCATTATTGTGCAAAAACGTATAAGTCGAGATATTTACTCCATCAGTTCGACGGGCGGCCGGGTTGTCTTCGGCGGCATCTTCTTCACCGGCATCTCGATCGGACTCATCTCGACGTCGGCGTCCTCCACCGACGCACTGGTGTCCTCGACCATGACGGCGGGGAGGTTGGGGCTGCCGCCGTGGTTATCCGGGTGGTAGATGAGGGTGCTGCTGCGGCTGCGCTGCTGCGAGACGGCGACGGGCCAGCTGGGCGTGCGCTTATCCGAGGAGATGGACATGGGGGTTCCCGGCTCCATGGCGTTGGCGTTGGCGTCAGCGCCGCCAAAGCCGGCGACTCCGGCGGCGCCGGACTGCTCGGTCTTCAGGTTCGCCAGGGCGTGGGCCAAGTCACTGGCGTGGACCTCCTTGTTGGGCGGGTCTTCGTTGCGCATGACCCATCCGTGCGGGGGGCTGGGGGGCGGCGAGATGAAGAAGAGTTTGTCGAGTTGCGGCGCCTCGAGGAGTTTGGGCCCCTGCTCGTCCATGATGGGGGTGGGTTCGCCGAAGTAGATCTTGGCGCGTGCGCTGGACCGGTCGAGCAGCGAGGCGCCGTCGAGGAGCTTGCGGATGCGGAGGGCGTCTTGCTCCGAGTAGAAGGAGCAGATGATGCGGCGGAGCGAGGGCAGCGGGGAGAAGGAGTTCAGAGGGGCGATGGATTCGAGCTGGGCGCGGATCGCGGCGAGAGCGTCCGGTTGGAAGAGGAGGAGGTCATTGAGGTCGGTTATGAGGAGCGTGTTGGTTGGCGGAGTGGGCTGGGAGAGAGTTGGGAGGTTGGACATGTCCAGCGAAAGGTTGGGTCGTCGTGACGATGTGGAGGAGGATCTGGAGGCGCGAGAGGCACCGAAGGAGGGAGAGGATGGGAAGGATCCCGGTGGCGACACGGTGATTCCAGTCATTTTGAAGGGTTGGAGAAAGCGAAGCGGAGAGACTGAATTCGCTGGAGATGGGAGAAGTGATGAAGACGGAGGGAGGGAGAAAAAAGAGAGAAGGCGAGGATTATCAAGGTGGCGGTCAGGTGAGAGAGAGGGATTTGTCGCCGATAAGAAAACCAATCGATCCGGCCAACTTTGCTGGGCGTTTGTGCGAAAACAGCGATTCAATGGTCTGGAATTCTTGATTGCGCTCAATTCTGCTTGAATTGTTTCTGTTCCATGGAAGGACTTCTCACGATCTCCGTTCTCGTCTTATATAGCGATGTTTTGACATTCCTGCCTCCGTATTTGGTGATGCTGCGCCCCTTCGCCTCCACTCATCAGAAAAATTGGGTCAAAACACTGCCCCCGTCCTGCTTGATACTACAAGCGTATGATAGTCGTGATTACGAAGTCTAAGACGGTCGACGGCCCTGCCTCCGTTCCTGACGATCGATTTTTTTTTCTTTTCTTTTTCGCCACGGTGATGGCCGACCCAGTTGTGGCTGATGCGATGTACCCATTGCCCTGCACGCTAGTTATCGCCACCAACAGGCTGCCAGATTCGGAATCGAGATGATTCTCGCATCAACTAGCCCTGTCTAGTCTGCCGGACGCTGACCAAGAAGATGATGATTGCCGCTAACTACTGGAGAACTACGAGACTATCCCCGGGGAGCCGAGTGTTCCCCTACAAGCCTTTCCCATGGCTCTGGCTCGGCTGCTCGGGGCTCTCCGCATGCCCCCGTCGCAGCTCCGCCCTGTGAGTGGAGGCAATTCTGCACGCGCGGACTTCTCCTCCGAGATTTGCGTGCTAGGTCGTCTGGATGTGGGCGCACGCTTGGGGATCCGGTGCCAACTCGCGGATTGTGACTCCGCTAGGACTAGGCAGTCGAGATTTTATCTTCAATAATGGGATACCATCGTGGCTGATGTTCAATCGTATGCTTCGTCTTTCTAAGCCCCCAATGTGGATATGTGTCTCTTAACCGGAATTGGTAGCTGGGTTTCCCTTTCGGGGGCTCACTCTGACTCTACGCCGTATACTTCGGATGCCAACTGTCAAATCTTGAACACAGTCATCTTCAGTCTTCAATGGAGCCTAGCAGATCACATGCACCTATCACCTGTTTTAGATGCGCAGACCACAGCCATTTTTTAGCCTACAGGATTTCCCTGATGACAGAGCTGCTGTCACTGGTGGCCCCATGTTGGTCATCTATAGCGACTTTTTTAACAGCCACGATAATTCTCATTTTAGTAACTCTTCATTATTTCAACCCGATGATAGAAATCCTCTGCCTACGGTGGAGGATTCAGTTGAGACCTTGGCAATGAAAATGACTTGACTAAGCCCCAGGCGAGCATCCTTCTGGAAGTCTGCGGGCTGAGCCACCCGGCATCCGACCATGTTTGGGGCAACACCACTTTTTGAGCACTCAACTTGAGTTTCGCCAACTGTTCATTGAGGGTCTATGTAACCGAGCAAGAATTTATGTACATGAAATGGGCAAATCCGACCTGCATGGCTCCCTGTGGCTCCTCTTCGTCTCAACGGCTGGCCAACCAACATATGTATGTAACATGTATTTTGGCCGAGGCTTACTGTTTCAACCCTCTACAACGTGGAAATTGCCCGGTATCGGTCTGCAACGGCTCTCTTGGTAGCCTCGATATTAGGTGCATACACCTCAAACGCATGGGGCAGGCCCGGGTACACGTGGAACTCCAAGGGAATGTTGGCCGCTGCGATTCTCGCCGCAAAGGCAATGTCCTCATCGCGGAAGATGTCCAGTTCACCAACGTCGATGTAAGTCGGTGGCAAGCCCTCCACGCTGGTTGCGCGGGCGGGCGCGGCGTATGGCGAGACCTTGTCGGTCCCGATGTCATTTCCCAGGAGAGCGGTCCAAGCGGTGATGTTGTCATCGTTGTTCCACAGCGCGAGAGGCTCCAAGGGAGGAATCGGCGTCGTGGTGCGGTCATCCAGCATGGGGTAGATCAGGATCTGTTTGGCCAGGGGCGGAGACAGGCCGCGGTCCCGGGCCATCAGAGCCAACGCCGCGGCCAAGTTCCCGCCTGCACTTTCGCCCATCGTGGCAATGCGGCTGCGGTCCACGCCAAACTCGGCCGCATGTTCGTATACCCATGTCAGCCCGGCATAGCAGTCCTCGGACGGCGTTGGGTGCGGGTTCTCCGGAGCCAATCGGTAGTCAACCGAGAACACTTGAACCCCCGTGTGCTGCACTTGCAGGGCCAGCATCTTCGTAAACAACTCGACGTCCCCCTGGATCTTCCCGCCGCCGTGCGTATGTAAGACCGCCGGGCCCGGTGTTGTGGACGCGGCGGTTTTCTTTGCGAATCGATACACAGAGATCGGTTTCCCGTCGAAGGATTGAATCTGGTGCACAGATTGCTCGACATCGGGCGCAGCAGGCAGCTTTGCGAACATGGCTGCATAGTTGGCAGTGATCCCAACACGGCGGGCCTGAACATCGTGGACTGCAGGAGGGGACTTTGATGCCATTGCCGAGAGGAGCCAGTCCGCAGCCTGGGCGAACTCAGGGTCAAGGGTGAGAGGCATTTTCAACGGACTTTGGTCTCTCGTCAGAAATAATTTTTATTTGATATAGAGGGTGTAGAGAGAGGGTAAGCAAGAAAGCCTTGGAGGATGGTCTGGTGATGAGCCTGAGGTGCTCAGTTCTCTCCGGTGATCATTTATAACGGCCAAAGAGTAAATTGAGCCCTGGGGCTAAGTGGGCAAGGTGGGGAAACATGGTGAGGAGTGAGGAGTAATCGACTCCAACCGTGGTCTGCCACTGTGATTGCAGATTGACTGATTATTAACTGGAACTAGGTTGAGCTGCTGCATCGGGCATGGATAGTCATGGATGCTCATGGACGGTCGTGGATTTTGCATCGGATTGTCTCGATCGGGTAATCATTTCCCTGCATGCACAGCACGAGGTGTTCTTGCGAGATCTCCATCACACTCTGAGCAGAATGGACTTGGTCCTCCACCCAAATGCACTGTTTAAATCGACATGAACAGGCATGAATTGATATACTTCATCGGCATCGGTCGGCAATGACGTAGGCCAACTGTCACGGGACCAGACTATCTCGTAACAGCAACCGCCGGTCCGACGTTGTTCCCGCGGGCGGTCAGAGCGGACAGTCACCTGAGCTGCTGCCGAAAGTTCTGTTTTCCCCGGCCAGAATAATTCATACTGTCAACTTCATTCCTCCCCCAAAAAGTCCTATTCCTGTCTCCTCCCCGTCCCATTGCTCAATTCCTTCATCTCCTCCTCCATCATGTTCCAGAGAATCCTCCTCAGACAAGCCCAGGCTGCCCGCTCTGTGGCCACCCGCACGTCATCGGCACCTTTGGCTGTTCGTCGCACGTCACAGCTTCCTCAGACTTTCCGCCCGCTTGTTAGCCAGCCCGCCTTCCGCAGCTATTCCACCGAGAACCAGGCCGAGCAGAAGAAGGACGCCGAGTCCAAGGAAGCCACCGAGGACCCCGTCCAGAAGGAGCTGGAGGAGAAGAAGAAGGAAGCCGCCGACCTGAAGGTACGACCCCTTCTACCGATATCGGAGCTCGTAGTCGCGCAATTGTCGCATCGAATTGGCTTCTATGCAATGGCAGGTAACATGATACTGATACTCGAGGCGACAGGACAAGTATGTTCGCTCCGTGGCCGACTTCCTCAACCTCCAGGAGCGCACCAAGCGTGACATGGACAACGCCCGCAACTATGCCATCCAGAAGTTCGCGGCCGATCTGCTCGAGAGTATCGACAACTTCGACCGTGCTCTCCTTGCCGTGCCTAAGGAGAAGATCGAATCTCCTTCCGCCGAGAACAAGGACCTGAACGAGCTGGTCACCGGTCTGAAGATGACCCAGAACATCCTGATGAGCACGCTGGGCAAGCACGGTCTGGAGCGCTTCGACCCTGACGAGCTCACCGAGGAGGGCAAGCCCCAGAAGTTCGACCCCAACCGTCACGAGGCCACCTTCATGGCCAAGGCCGAGGGCAAGGAGAACGGCGACATCATGTACACCCAGAGCAAGGGATTCATCCTGAACGGCCGTGTCCTGAGAGTGAGTGCCCCTCTAGAAAGCTTTTTTGATTCCGCGAGAGACATTTTGCTAACTGAATTCCAATCCAGGCTGCCAAGGTCGGCGTTGTCAAGAATGACTAAATGCCCCACTTTTTCAGCTCTTGACACCTTTTCCCATTTCTCCTTCTAATCTTCTCTCTGTATAATATACCAAAATATGTCTTTTTCTTTGTTATGACGGGGGTCAACCCACGGTATTTTCTCTACTGGGACTGATTTCTCAAAATCTTCACGTTCCTCGGATCATTGCTGCTTTTTGTCTATGATTGCATGTGTATGATACACCTATTTTCATACGATTGGAAGGCGTCCGGGTTGTCTTCCTCTCGTTTCTTGTTTTTTTAATTGGCGTTTCTTTCCCTCGAGACTCTCACCTCCCTAACCTAACTTCTGTACATTACACGCAATGATCTGTCTTTTTAATGCCTTAAAAGCAACTGTCCTGTTGGATATGGAATTGGAGTGGCATGGGCATGGTTTGTGATTTGTGAAATGACATTCGCATGGCGTCGGTGTCCTGTTTCTATACTTCCTTGCTTCGCTTGGGTCTTGGTCGGGTATAGTCTTTCAGAACATTGCTTAGAGAATACTAGCAGCTCTGATTTGTCTGGTCAAGATTGCCTGTTTCACTCTACTTCTGTAAGCATTTCTAAATAGTAAGTTCGTGGGTATAGTAGGTGGTTGAAAAGGAGAGATCTTGGATATCAAAACATGATGCTACAAGCTAAAATACTATACTATACATAGATATCCCTGTGGATATTTTTTTACACATACATCGTAGATGTCCCTTTACTCGCTCACTCACTCACCGCAACTGAACACTCAGCTGGGCAACGAGCTTCTCGCGCACCTTGTCATGGAGGTCGTTCGCCTCCTCGTTGGTCAAAGTCCGCTCAAGACTGCGGTAGTTGATCCGATAGCACATGCTCTTGCGGTTCGTCTTGGGATGCGTGAACTCGTCAATGAGGGTGACATCCTCGACGAGGTCGCCGGCGATGCCACGCACCAGCTCCATGATATCGTTCTCGTGGACGGAGGTGGCGCCGCCGCCGGCCGCGCTGCCGGACGCGTGCGGCAGCCAGAACGCCACGTCCTTGTAGCAGGCCGGGTGTTTGGAGAAGGGCTCGAAGCGGGAGATCCGCCCCGCCTCGAACTGGGACAGGAAGCGCTCGTCGCGCGACCAGAACAGTCGGATGTCGGGGATGTTGAAGAGGAGCATGGCCAGCCGCTCGAGGCCGAGTCCGAACGCCCACCCGACGCGGTTCGGCACGTCTGAGTTGTTGAGCAGTTCTTGCTTGATCACCCCGCAGCCGAGAACCTCGAGCCAGTCGCCTTGCCAGAAGACTTCCAGTTCCCAAGACGGGCTGGTGAAGGGGAAGTAGGCCTCGACCCACCGGACTTTGAGCGGTTCGGGCTCTGCGGTGCTGCTGGTGCTGGCAGCGGCCTTGCTGGCTTCGGAGAAGATCTTGATGACCATGCGCTCGAGGGAGCGCTTCAGGTGCGCGGCAATGGCCTCGACTTCTTCTTCGCTGTGGTATGCGGCCTGCAAGGGGTTGCGCTCCGGGTGGATAGTCGGGTTGGGGTCCTCGACGACGACGTCGTGGGTCGGGATGCGGTTGAGGTCGGCGGTGATGGCGGCGGCGGTGTCGGCGGAGTGCTTCAGGGGGTCGACGTCCGGGCGCTTCCACAGCATGGCGCCCTCCATCTGGTGGAAGATAGGGTAGTGGCTGCGGTCGATGGCATCGCGGCGGTAGACGTCGGCGACGACGGTGTAGCCGGTCTCCTGGGGCTTGGAGGTCTCGTTACGGTTGATCTGCTGGAAGTAGGCCTGCTGGTGGGCGCTGGTGTGGGTGCGCAGCACCGTCTTCTCGTTGACGTAGTACGTGTCGGTGCGGCTGCGGCCCGGGTGGTCCAGGGGGAAGCCCAGCACGTCGAAGTTGTTCGCCGTCGATACGACGGGGTCTTTCTCGTGGTAGTTGCCGTACGCGGGGCCGGGGAATTCGCTCTCGAGCAGCTCGCGGATGATCGCCAGCGGGTGGTTCTTCTCGAGGTATAGTCGGCGTCCGACGTGCGAGAGGATCGTGTCGGGCGTGTTGGTCCACTCGTCGGTCGGGTAGGATTTGCCTTCGATCTCGAGCGATTTCTTTGCCGGCGACGACGAGGCAGTGGCTGGTTTAGGGTCTGTGTCGGTCCTCAGAGGCACAGTCGAGCTCCAGCTTCTCCGGCTGAGGGCGAGCTGCGTCGGAGGCTGCGAGAGCGGAATGCGCAGGCCTCGGCATGGGGAAGCAATTGACCATCTGCCGCTGCGGACGCGCAGGGCTCTTCCGGTTGCCAGCAGGCGCATTGTGCTCAGGGATTGACTGGCGAGGTGAGCTGCAGGCTGGAGGCTCGGAGGTTGCGGTGTTGGACGAGGCCGAGCAAAAACATCTCGGAGCGGCGAAATGAGAGGCCGACATACATAGTATTCGTTACGGAGTATAGGTTGTAGGTAGGTAATTATCATACTACTGCACTAATATGTACTCTAGTATATAGTTCTAGAGTCAATACTTGACCAGGATATAATACTACCTAATAGTCCCATACTTTCTAATAAGTTGGAATTATGACGCAATGTGCCTGGACATGCATGCGTACAGTTACATCCGTCCATCCCGACCAGTCTGGCATAGTTCCTGTTACTCCTTGCCAGAGCTCAATTCCACACCTGCACATGATAGAATTCCCATCCTAGAATCCCTTGAAAATCCCTCGGGACCAATTCAACGACCGACAGCATCTCCAGTCTCTCCAGATAACCGACAACCGCTCGTCCGCGACTCCCGAGGCGGTGATTGGCGGATCCCCGCGCAGGATCGGACGGGCGCCGAAGCGTCGGAGACTTGATTTATCTCCGGCGCAGAATTATTTCCTGGCGATAGCCTCACTCTCCTTCCGTCATTCTCCCATCTCTCGTCCGCTCTCCTCTCCCGTCTCTTTCCCCCCTCTCCCCTCCTCCCCTCCGCCCCGGCTGGCATGCTCACATCTTGTCCGTCAAGATGGCAAGCACCGCAAAGTTGGATATGTCGCAATCGCGCGTTGCTTCGGCTCCTGCGCCGCCCGTGAAAAAGGTTCATTATCCGTTCTGGTTCGGAGGCTCGGCCTCGTGCTTTGCGGCCGCCGTCACACACCCGTTGGATCTTGGTGAGTGCTTTTGGTTTTTGTTTTTCGGTTGGGAGATCTTCATACTGACATGGTGAAAAAAGTGAAGGTAAATAGATTCTCCTGGAATTCTATCGCTGCAATCGGCAATGCTTCGAGTTCGCTCGGGGCTGGTCCTCGCGTCATGGTTCCCGGTCGCTAATCGATGCCGTCTTTCATTGGAAATAGGTCCGCCTACAAACACGTGGTCCTGGTGCTCCCTCGACTATGGTGGGCACCTTCGGCCGTGTCTTCAAGAATGATGGATTTCTGGGTTTATATAGTGGGGTATGTTTCCTGATACAATGCGCCGCACACTTACTTCGCGGGGGAGAAAAAAAAGTTTTTGGCTAACCGGACCTTCTGTAGCTATCGGCAGCCCTCTTGCGACAGATCACGTATTCCACCACCCGGTTCGGCATCTACGAGGAGCTTAAATCGCGCATCTCGACTCCCGACTCGCCTCCCGGTCTCCTCACCCTGATCGGAATGGCCTCTGCCTCCGGCTTCCTCGGCGGAATCGCTGGAAACCCGGCCGACGTGCTGAACGTGCGCATGCAGTCCGACGCCGCGCTTCCCCCAGCGCAGCGACGAAACTACCGCCATGCCTTCCACGGTCTGGTGCAGATGAGTCGCACTGAAGGGCCCGCGAGTCTCTTCCGCGGCGTGTGGCCCAACTCGACGCGAGCCGTCCTGATGACCGCCTCGCAATTGGCCTCCTACGACACCTTCAAACGCCTCTGCATCCAGAAACTCGGCATGTCCGATAACCTGGGCACTCACTTCACGGCCTCCTTCATGGCCGGCTTTGTCGCCACCACCGTCTGCAGTCCCGTGGACGTCATCAAGACTCGCGTCATGAGTGCCTCGCCCGCCGAGAGCCGCGGCCACAACATCCTGGGGCTTCTCCGGGATATCTCCCGCAAGGAAGGATTCGGCTGGGCCTTCCGTGGCTGGGTGCCCAGCTTCATCCGTCTGGGCCCTCATACCATCGCCACATTCATCTTCTTGGAAGAGCACAAGAAGCTGTATCGCCTGATCAAGGGCATCCCCGAGGACAAGCAAAAAGCATAGAATGCTTATTCCCTGACTTGATCCCTTCCCACCCTGCCATCTACTTTCTACATATTGACGTCTCATGTACATGATTTTGGCGAAGCATATTGGGAGGACAAAAAGTTTGAACATCTTTTCTTTCTTATTTTCTGTTGTACATACTGCGTTTGGATATGTGTGTGCTTTTTCTTTCCTTTTTATCTCTGTCTGATTCTTATTGGTTTTGACTTCTCAGTCCTCTACGAGTGCTGTTTATCGACAGCACCGAGATACCCTTTCCATTGCCAGATACCTATCAATACTTACATTGATAGGCGGATCTGGCTCCTGTCACATTTTGTTGTTTTTCCTTTTGCGTTTGAATCTCTCCGCAATTGTTCGATTCTGCATAGACTGTTTGTCTCATCAGGAGGAGGGAATATTGTTGGTTCCGGTCCCGCCGATTCTTCTGATTTTGGATGGATTGGCTAGCACTGGTTGTATATTGAATTGGAATAGACGGGGAGGGCTCCTTTGCCGTTTCACTAGACTTTGCTAGATAGATAGATAGATTTGTTTAGATTGTTGGTAGTTGACTAATTCAATTCATTCAATTGCGCTGTTTTTCAATAGTTACCATCTACTTACTATTTCAAATCTTTTTGTGCGGTGATATTGAATAATGAGGGTATAATGCCACGGCAATCCCCCAGAAAACGGAGCAGAAAGTAAAAAGAAAAAGGCTTCCAAAACTAATTGCGAGTCTATATACGTCCACCAACACAACCCCCGGCGAGCAAGCCCTCCCAAGGCAGTAAGAATGGAATGTTTAATTTCCCGCGATGATTCAGGTAGAGTACATGTTGACACAACAAAACTTGAGGGGAAACAGTCAATCAACAATGAGGAAACGACAACGGAATCATTTTACTCCAGCTTGGCGGGGAAGTTGCCAGCCTCTGTATTGTTGCGATCGCAAATGGTCAGCTTATGGGTCACCGCCGTTTGTAGGCTGGGGGGATGGGGGTCATACCGCGTTGGCCGTCCCAGCGGTCAGTCCAGGCCTTGGGGCAGAGGGAGCGGAAAGCGTGGAAGAACTGGTCGATCGGTTAGAGTACTGGTGTCTGGTATTTGACGGGGGAGATTTGATGGGCGTGTGGTCTCGGGGCCGCGAGATAGGGAATTGAGTCAATGTACCTGGGTGCACGGGCGGAAGTCCTCTCCCTTGGCGTTGACACACTTGTAGTAGTCGACGTAGTTTTGCCAGCAGTGCTTGGTCCTAATTGCGAGGGAGGGTTAAAACACAGTCGGGTATAATGGATGGTGGCTGGCACGTACTGGTTCTGCTGGGGGAAACGAGCATCATAGCCTGTCATTTCATTCCGGATTGTCAGCATCCATCCACGCCATACGCTACTGACTCCTCCGCCCGCGACGAAAAATCCTCGACCACGTCGGCATTGAGAGCGATCCGATCGACGCGGAACCTAGACGGTGAACGTACCAGCTACGACAGCATTAGCAATGGATCATGGATCGCAATTGATCGGCCAAGAAATCGGATGCCGGGGTTCAGAAAGCTCACCTGTCACGAACTTGAAGGGCTTGGTCTCCATGACCTCATCGGGATCGGCTTCAGGAATGGCACCCATTTTCACTATGTGGAGCAGAAGAAGCTCTGCAGAAGGACGAGAAGAATTGGATTGACGGGGTGGGAGGGCGAGGGGTGGATGTGGAGGGGGGAGGAGGGAGAGGGAAGGGAAGGGAATTGGATGGGGTGAGGTTTGCGCCCAGTGGAGTGGAATGACCCGTGAAGCAGTGAAGCCGGGAGTGACCGCGGGCGGTCTAGCGAGCCACTCATGCGGCAAGATTTCCTAAACACCCGAACGTGACCAAACCTCCCCTTCGAATTGCTGAGCTTCTTCTCTCCCGTCGTCACCACTTTGTCTTCCTTCCTCATCCCACCCACCCGTTTCCCTCCGCGTTTCGGATCCCCATTCTGTCCACCATGTATCCCACTCGTATCTTGAGGATGCAGGCCTCTCGGCCTTTCTCCTTCCCTGCTCCTGTGAGTCTCCGGCTGCCCTTGCGAATCCCGCGAGAAAATTGGTTCCTCGGCGGGTTCTCGGTTCGGTGCTAATCAATCCCTATAGAAGGAGAACCACAGCGGTACGCGATTCCCGAAGGCTGGCGTGGAATGAGGCGGTTTTCTCTGGAAAGAGGAGGCTCGTGCATCCGAATTGGGAACTAATTGATATCTACAGCCCACACCATCTCCCAGCGCCTGCGCACCTTGAAGCGGGTCCCCCCCGAGTTGATCCCTCTCGGTATGTCATTCGTCCGAGTCTGTCTTATCTTATGGAATGGTCTGATGTTCTAACGCGTATCGCTGCTCTCTAGGTGTTGTCCTTGGGTACGTGTCATCCTTTTGATATTCGGTGGACTTCTCATATGACATCAAATATCCAATCCGCCACTTCCCTATCTCCAACTCCCAACTCCAACCCCCTCCCCAATCCGTCCCGTCTCAACTGACGCAACCCATCGCAGTGTCGCCGTGGGAGCTGCCATCTACTCCAGCGCCCACAAGCTCATGACCGACAAGACCCTGCGTCTCAGCCGCAACGCTCCCCAGAACCATGAGGAGCACTAAATTGTACCGCGTTTCATTTGATTGCAACACAGGCGACCCTTGGTTTTTTTTTGTCGGCGATATGTATTATTCACCAGGATGCTGATGCCGCGGGAGAATGAAGACGTTCAAAGTGGATTTTGGGAAAACTCGTTCAACTCAGCCTCGGGGTTGGAGCACGTGTATATAGTACGGCTTTGAACGGAGGATTCTGGAGGAAGAATGCAAAATTACTGTCCCTTGGCTTTCTTTTTCTTTCACGTTCGTCCTATTTCGAGAGGGTATCATCTGTATTGCTCGCTGGTGGAGTTTCATTCCGGTTTCGGTCCTGCGACGTCCAGCTCTTCCAGACCCTGCATCGGGTCCTGAGGACGCTCGGTTGCTGCCATTTGCGCCTCTTCCGACGCCATCTTGTCCTCGTCGCTCACAGCGTACTTCGCCAGGTAGCCCTCCTGTACATCCGTAGTCAGTGATCTGCTCGTAGAAAAAGGAAGAATCGGGCCAGCGCACCTGCTCCCAGATAGCGGTTTTGCTACCCAGTCCCTCGTTGCTGTCCTTCTGCGGTTTGGCGGGCGCCACCTTGATCGTCCGTCCGTATAGCTCGCTGCCGTCCATGTTGTCGATTGCTTCTTTCGCATCGTCCGGCAGGTCGAATTCCACGTAGCCGAACCCCCGGTGGAGGTCGTTGGAGTTGGGGACGTCCGGCTTGGGCAGGGTAATATCAACGACCTCGCCGAAGGGCACGAATGCCTCGGCCAGCGTCTGCATGGAAACCGCCTGGTCGAGACCCCCCACATAGACGGTGCATTTCAGACGAGCCTTCTCGCTCATGATGACGGGACTGGTGAAAAAGCCGGCGCAGGGAAACGTGCAGACTAGGCGCGGGCCATAAAACGGATTGCGACAAATAGACAGACGGTAGATTTGCCCCCGGGAGCTTCAACTCGATCGTTGCGAAGAAACCCGGACTTTCTCGGTCGGCCTCGCCTGATATCACGTGCGCGTGTTTTGGCGAGTGGCCCGAAAGGGTTTAGCCGGGCTCTCCCTCCCCCCCAGCGGCTCCCCCCAGGAGGACACTTGGTTGATTGAGTTCGAAGAACGCCTCGATCGCATCTCATAACTTGGCAAAGTCCCCCTCGGGTCACGATCTAGCAAGAGGGGAGGTTCTTCTTTGGACGTGTTCTCTTTCTTTTCTCCTTCCTTATTTTCCGCCGTTTCTAGTTCTTAATACCTCGCCCGCTTACGTTCGACCCATTTCCCCGTTCTATAACCGTGCATTGTCAGACTGTGCCTGAGTCTGGTCAATTGATCTAGTTTTCTTGTCTGACTCTTTTTTTTTCCGCCGCTCCTTTGCTTTCCAACATGGTGCGTCTGAGGGAGATCCCCCGGACGGCCACGTTCGCCTGGTCCCCCGGGGCCGCTTCGCCATTTATAGCTACCGGAACTCGCGCTGGCGCTGTGGACGTTGACTTCTCTAATGAAACATGTCTGGAGCTCTGGGATCTGAGCTTGAACAACCAGGAGGCTGGGGGAGAGCTGCAGCCGGTGGCTAAGATTGATACTGATTCTGGGTATGGAACTACTGGGGACTGCCAATGAACCGCTGAACGTCTGGAATCTGGTGCTGACTGGTGTGTGTTGCCTCTAGTTTCAACGACCTCGCATGGACGGAATCCGAAGACAACTCGCGGGGAATCATCGCCGGTGCTCTGGAGAATGGATCGTTGGATCTGTGGGACGCCGATAAGCTGCTTAGTGGATCAAGGTTGGTTGGGGGATTCGAACGCTATAGATCTCCTGGCCAACGTGCTGATTGTTGGAACAGCGATGCCGTGATGTCGAGGACCTCGAAACATTCAGGAGCTATCAAGGCTCTTCAGTTCAACCCTAAGCATTCGAATCTGCTGGCTACCGGAGGCGCCAAGGGAGAGGTATTTGATCCGAACTCGGTTTACGTTGGAGGGACGGTTGTGCTTATGCTTTCGAATAGCTTTACATCTCCGATCTGAACAACATTGAGAACCCCTACCGACTCGGAGGCACTGCTGCCCGTGCCGATGACATTGAGTGTCTGGACTGGAACAAGAAGGTGCCGCATATCCTTGTCACTGGTAGCAGCGCGGGTTTCGTCACCGTGTGGGATGTCAAGACGAAGAAGGAGAGCTTGACCCTGAACAACATGGGCCGGAAGGCTGTCAGTGCTGTGGCGTGGGATCCTGAGAAGGTAAGGAGTCGATCTCTCATTTGAGACGAGCATAACGTCTGACTCGATACAGCCTACCAAACTCGTGACGGCAACCCCTCTTGAATCCGACCCTCTGATCTGCGTTTGGGATCTGCGCAACTCCCACGCTCCGGAAAGGGTAAGCATGATGGCCTGTTCCTCGCATTGATTGTGGGATTTTTCGCTTACCCATCACAGACTCTCCGAGGCCACGAATCCGGCGTCCTGTCGCTGTCCTGGTGTGCTCAGGACCCCGATCTCCTCCTCTCGTCCGGAAAGGACAACCGCACTGTCTGCTGGAACCCTCAGACCGGCCACTCGTACGGCGAATTCCCCGTGGTCACAAACTGGACCTTCCAGACTCGCTGGAACCCTCACAACCCCAACTTCTTTGCGACTGCTTCGTTCGATGGACGCATTGCCGTTCAGACCATCCAGAACACCGGCAACGAAGCCGCTCAGACCATTGCCGACCAAAACCAGGCCCTTGACGGTGAGGACTTCTTTGCGAAGGCCCAGACCCAGCCTCAAGTGTCGAGCTTCTCGCTGCCCAAGGCCCCCAAGTGGCTTGAACGGCCCTGCAGTGCCGCGTTCGGTTTCGGTGGAAGAGTCGTCTCCCTTGGATTGGCCGAGAAGGGCAAGCGTGCCTCGAAGATCAAGATCAGCCCGTTCGAGGTGGACGAGGCTGTCGGCAAGTCCACGGAGACTTTCGAGAACGCCCTGAAGGAGGGAGATCTTCGAAGCATTTGTGAGACTCGCGCTTCCGACGCCGCGAGTGATGAGGAGAAGGCCGACTGGAAGGTTATCGAGGCTTTGATCTCCGGCGACCCCCGGAAGAGCCTAGTCGAATACCTGGGATTCCAGGACCAAGCTGACGATGCTGCTGAAGGATTGGCCAAGCTTGGTCTGGGCAAGGAGGGAGAAGAGGAAGTCAACGGCGAGCCGGCGAAAGAGTCCCGCGGGTCGGGAGCCAAGAAGCACCGCCGCTTGCAATCGATGTTCGATGCGAACCCCGAGGAGGACAGCTTCCTCTCTGATCTGGCTGCTTCCAAGGGGGCCAAGACCAACAACCCCTTCCAGATCTTCAACGGTTCTGAGTCTGATGCCGAGAAGGGCATCACCCGCGCCTTGCTTGTCGGGGATTTCGACAAGGCCCTTGACGTGGCCCTGAAGGAGAACCGCTTGTCGGATGCTTTCATGATCGCCATCTGTGGAGGCCCGAAGTGCATCGAGAAGGCACAGGAGCACTACTTCTCCAAGCAGACGGAGAGCCCCAACTACGTCCGCTTGCTCGCATCGATCGTCGGCAAGAACCTGTGGGACGTCGTCTACAATGCCGACCTGTCCAACTGGAAGGAAGTCATGGCGTCGCTGTGCACTTTCGCCGACGAGAAGGAGTTCGCTGACCTCTGCGAAGCGCTGGGTGACCGGCTAGAGGAGCAGATTCGGGCCACGGACGACAAGGCCGCTCGCAAGGACGCCTCGTTCTGTTACCTGGCTGGATCCAAGCTCGAGAAGGTTGTGTCTATCTGGATTGAAGAGCTCCGCGAGAATGAGCAGAAGGCCATCGAGACCGCTGTCGATGACTCTACGTTCTCGATCCACGTGCGCGCCCTGCAGGGCCTGATCGAGAAGGTGACCATCTTCCGCCAAGTGACCAAGTTCCAGGACACCGAGCGGACCAAGGACTCCGACTGGAAGCTGGGTACCTTGTACGACAAGTACATTGAGTACGCCGACGTCGTTGCTACCCACGGACGCTTGCAAGTTGCGCAGAAGTATCTCGACCTTGTTCCGGAGAAGCACCCCGAGGCTGAAATCGCCCGCAACCGCATTCAGCTTGCGACGAGACAGGCTCCTGGCCAGCGAATCCAGCAGCAGGTGCGCCCTGCGTCTAGAACGACAACTCCTATGACCAAGCCTCTTCCTCCGGTCACGCAACCTAGCGCATATCAGCCCCAGACCACCTTCTCGCCCAGTGCGTCTGCTGCTCCCAACATGTACGCACCGCCAACCGCTGCTTCCAACCCCTATGCTCCTCCCACTGCTGCCGCCTCCAATCCCTATGCTCCCCCGACTGCCGCGGCTGCTCCTAACCCTTACGCTCCGGCCACTGCTACTCCTGCTGCGAACCCTTATGCTCCTGCTGCCGCCGCCGCCCCAGCTGCGCCGACCAACCCATATGCACCCGCATCTGGTAGCAGCTACGCTCCCACGGGTTACCAGCCCACACCGGCGCCTGCGTACGGTGCTCAGCCTTTAGGCGGCGGCGTGCCTCCCCCGCCTCGCGCCTCCAACCAGTCTCCGGCTACCGTCACCACCTACACTACCGCAACCAACCTCCCTGCCTGGAACGATCTGCCCGAGGGCTTCGCAAAGGCTCCCGCATCCCGCCGAGCAACCCCGGCCACCGCTACTGCACCCGTCGCTGCGCCGTTCGCCAGCCAGTCGCCTACTCTCGGTCACGGTCCTCCGCCCCCTGTGGGCGCCCCGCGGGCACCTTCCGTTCCTCCGCCACCCAAGGGCTCTGCGCCTCCGCCTCGGGTGACTTCGCCTCCTTCGGCACACCAGTCGGTGTCTTCGATCCCTGGTGTCATCCCGCCGGCAAACCCCTACGCCTCCCTGCCTCAGTCTCCTCCGACAGCCACTATGGGAGTACCGCCGCCGTCGCTTGCTCGCGGACCCTCCCCGTACAATGCGCCGCCAACGATGCCCCCGCCCACGAACCGGTACGCCCCCAGCCCGGCGGCTCAAGCAGCAAGCCCTCAATTGCAGGCCCGCGCACCTGTTCCTCCTCCTCCCCAGGCATCCGCCTCTCCTTACGCCCCTCATCCGGCACCAGTTCCTCCCCCTGCCAGCCAGTACGCCCCGGGCCCGCCTCCGTCGAACCTGCCCCCAATGCAGCAGGCTCCTCCGGCAGCAGAATCTCGTCCTAGCACCGCTTCTTCGCAAAGGAAGGCCACGCCGGCACCTGCCAAGTACCGTAAGTTAACCTCATGGAGCCAATTGATTGGACCAAACTCTAACATGTTTACCACAGCGCCCGGTGATCGCTCCCACATCCCCGCTGATGCCATGCCCGTCTTTGAGATCCTCTCGGCGGACATGCAGCGTGTCAAGTCCCGTGCCCCATCTACCTTCAAGGCGCAAGTTGATGATGCCGAACGGCGGTTGAACATCCTGTTCGACCACCTGAACAACGAAGATCTGCTCAAGCCCAACACCGTTGCGGACATGGCCGAACTGGCTCGTGCCATCCAGGCCCGTGACTATGAGACGGCGCGAACGATCCACATTGACATCATGACCAACCGGACCGAAGAGTGTGGTAACTGGATGGTAAGCACCTCTACATAATCGTCCAATATCAAAATGATCCTAACCAATCCCGATAGGTCGGTGTGAAACGTCTCCTGAGCATGAGCCGCGCCACCCCGTAAAGGATTCAACTCCGCGATCGAATTGGTTCGTTTCGTGTGGGTAAAACCATCTATGGGTGGTATCTAACCTACGATCCTACGATCCCATGAGGTCTATGTACGAGGAAAGACAGGTATACGTATGTTGTGTTGGTTGTTGAAGGACCGTACTCGCCATGTCATGATTCATTTCGAATGCTCGATGTGCGATATGCCATGTTATAAGTTTTTATCTAGAAGTTGCTCTCTTCATATGTCAATGTTATTATAATTGTTTTCATTTTACTTATCTGATTTGACATTTCTGAACATGTGTTAGAAAGTTTGTATGTATGCATCTACTCTGTTATAAGTGCCTGTTTTTCTAGACATGTAGCTTTCTGGGGCAATGGAGTGAACATTGCAGTCTAAGAGAGCATTAACCAGCAGAGTTGAGAGCCATGAACCATTTGCCTCTCATTGTACGATTGTTACTCCATTAGCTCTTTCATTTCGTGCTCTCTCTCTCTCCTTTTGATTATTTGCATTATACCTTGCATGTACATACTCGGCTGCTTGAAGCATTTGTGGGCTTGCTATCCCTAGAAAAATGCATGTATCGTCGAACCAGGCAACTATCAACAGGATAAAGGTGCATTGCGCTATTCTTGAGAGGCCCTGCCAGCGAACAACAAATCCCGAGGCAGTATAATCACAAATCATAAACTGTACCAAAATTCAATATGTATTTGACAGAACGAACGAAATAATGACTAGTTATACTTCTTACCGACTTTCAGCATCAAACTCTCTGCCGGGATTCATGATGGATGGCGTCGCTGCACGGAAACAATTGAAAGTACAAAACAGACAATCTGACTTCAGAGGTGTCCACTAAGCGGCACCTGAAGACTTTAGAGATCGTACTCCGTATAGCAGAAGTACATGTAGAACTCTCTCGGGGCACCTCTATATACGACAACTGTCGGACGGCAACCTCCTCGTATGGCTGCGTTGACGAAAGCTTTCAGGATAGCCTCCGCAAGGCTCCTTATTCCACTACGGGAGATGCAACCGGAATTCAGCAATGAAAATCGATGATTCAAAGGTTATGTCAGTCTGTGTAGATAACGCGTCTTCTCGGTTTGGCTCGACGAATGAACCGTTTGATGTTGGATAACCGCTTACTACGGAGTTGCTTCTTAAGCTTCGTCTCTCTTCTGCCGGCTAAGGTCTGTTCCCGTTGGAGTGTGTCGTTCGCACTGGACATATGGAGGTAGCCTTTTGAAGATACTTCCACGCGCTGCCAACCTCTTGAAATTCCCACGGTGTCATAGTGTCGAAGAATACACGGCACCCTTCTATGGAAAAGGGTTCGTCGTCCCAGGCGTTTTCTTCGTCTCTCGAAGTCCCTGTTTCATTCACGCGGGATTCTCTGTGGCAGGAGATATTGCCATAGATTTGCAATCGATGGAGAGAGCCTTGAAGAAGCGGGTTTTCTCTGTACGATATAGACTTATCGGTGAAATATCCTTCCACTGCGCTGGTTTTATCCACTTTGGGCAATTCGCGGTGTTGCAAAAGTCATTGAGGCGGAATTTCGTTATCTTATGCAGCCGGGTTTCTGGATACACGGGCTGGGGATTGATATGTCTTCCAGGAAGGCCCAGAGGCAACATCCAGCCTCGTATCACACCCACAGGGTTCAGTCTCGGTTGATTGCGGTCGGTCAAGGAGCGCCGGAATAGCAGCGGCTTGCAATGAATCAGGCGCGCCGTGAACCAAATCGTCATGACGGTGTAGGATGTCTCTCTTTGGACTCGGGGAGGGGCTTGCCAGGGTCGGAGGGTCAGAACCGAGTACGACGGCCATAAGGACATCGTTCGTGAGGACACTGTTGATGTATTTCGTGCGTGTCGCTTTCTGGTCCTTCGTGAGCTCGTCTTTGGTATTGAGGTTGGTCTTTCTTGTTTTCAGCCACTCGTTAATGATGGCGGCGACGCCTGGGCCATAAGTCGGTAGCTTATCGAGGAACTCTCCCCAGAATGGGATACCGTCTATGCCGGAGGGCGAGATCTTGGGTGTAGCCCGCTGGTACGTAGCACCTTTGGAAGAGGTAGGTTTATTGGGCTGTTTTGCTTCAGGGCTGGCGCTTTTACTGGACCCGGAGGCAGGTTGCTTGGGTCCGGTTGAGGCAGCGCCGAGAGGTTTCAATCAGGGAAATTGAGGAAGGGAGAGTCATAGGATAGAGAGCTGTAGGATAGAGAGGGGGGGAGGTGAATGAAGAGGTGGCTGGAATATTCACCGAGACGTCATATTCATTATGGCATGGATAGAGGGCAAGCATGAAAGAAGATCGTCGTAAAGAACACGATTCATTTGTACATGTGGTATCACTAATTGCATCAAGTCCCACCCGTTGCAACTCACTGGTCATCTCTCTGCCTCACCGTCCCAGAGAAAGACTGGTACCCACTCGTCCCCGACTCGGGAAGTTCCTCGCGCTCAGCAAAGCACCCTTGACGCCTCGAATCTCCGACTTGAAGCTAGAAATCGCATCCTCTTCGCCCTTGCCCACGCCAGTCGCAGTCCCGCTACTGTCCATGCCTGGGGAGCTATACACCCCGTAGCCGGTGACGGGGCCGTAGCCCGGCTTACTGTAGATCAGCCCGTCTAGGTAGTGATGCAGCTCGTTGAGACCTGTCCGCGCGGAATCGTCAACACTTGACGACTGCTTTTCGGTGTCCGCGAACTCCCGCAGATGAGATTTAAGGATCTCGATCCGCTTCACGTGCGTGTTCACGGTGGCCGTGGGGTCAGGGACTGCCTCGCCGTCCTCCTTCGACTTCGACTGCGCCTGCTCTAGGTCTGACGTCTGCGTCGCCACGTCCCGATGGAACAGCTCCGTGGGGTCCGAGGTGATGGATTCCGAGTCCTCGGAGGACTCGTCGTTTGCTTTCCGGGCAGTAAGCTGTGGCGGAATGACGGAGACGTTCTGCTCGAGCTTGTCGTTCAGCTTCTGGAGGTTTTCGGAGGCGGTTTGCGCAAGATCGTGGCGTGCGCTCGTCAGGTTCGCGAGCATCGGCTTCACGAGGTATTCGCTTGCGCCGTAGATACTGGCTCCGATTCCAGCGGCGCCGTAGAGCGTGTATAGAATGCTTTGGAGGGAGACGAGCGGTGGGGGCTTGGATTGATGGACGAGGAATTCCGGGTATGTTATGATCGGAGGGACGTCGCGGGGTGATGAAGATGTTGTGCTTCTGGCGGTGTTGGGAACGCTAGAAGATGTGGTAGCTGGAGGAGAAGATGAAGAAGATGTCGAGGGAGGGCTGGATGCCTGGGTCTCCGGCTCGTTCTCCGTCTTCGGTGATGCATTGACAGAATCCGGGGAAGCGGACTCGGCGGAGGTGTTGGTAGCTTCGGAGTTGCGCGATACGCCGAGTAGGCTGTCGATCTCGTTGTTTTGAAGGCCTTTGGACTCTAGAAAGGAGATCTTGCGATCAATAGAGGCATCACGGATGGAATCATCCTGCAGGAACTTTGTTGCTTGCTCTAGAAGAGCCGAGCGGGGGGCGCTGGTCTCGTTCTCGTCGGAGGCGGGCGACGGTGTGGAGTTGGAGTCGGGGTCGTTGGAAGCGGTGGCGTTGGGTTTTTGCCAGTCGGGAATGGAGGCACGGTTGGGTTTAGGGTCGGACATTGTGATTGAGTAGGTAGAGGGAAAGAAAGAGAGAGATGAGCACACTGGGTGTTGGAGAAGAGAGAGAACGGAAAGGTAAAGATGGAGAGGAGTTGATGGGGACCGGGAGGTTGGCCGAAGTTGGCGCCGACCTCGGCTGTATCGGTATTGTCATGGCATATGCTGTCTTACTTGGTAGATCGAACAGGTATGTTTCTCTCATCCCAGTCTGGTTGATATAACTTATTTAGAGACAAATAGCTAGTCAAATTCAAGACCTTGAAAGAAGAAAAATCATTAACAAGTTCTAATCTGTTTCATCGTAAGCCAGTTCCGAACTATATATGTTGGCGCAGCCATGCCGGTGACGACAAAGGAACCTGGGACAATGTTTCACACCTACCTTGCTCAGCCTATGATCTCTATCGAGCAAGAATAAATGACCAAAAGGCCTCATAGATCAGTAAATAACTAATTTGACACTGGTGTATGGCAATGAACAGAGTCCAGCAGAGTAGTCAGCATGCCAAGACCAACCACCGCCCGGCAGAATGAAGGGCGACGATCGAATCGCATCGGAATTCCAGCGTCCTTCTGCGCATTTTAACCGTATACTCGTCTTCTGTTCCGGCTTCTTTCTTATATATACAGCTCTTATATACTGCCGATTGTCCGGCCTGTGCGTGATCAAACCAGTTCTCAGACTTTCCCGTGAGTTCCCCATTGGTTTTCGTATTGCTAGACCTGAGCCTCGCCTCCCAAATCTCATCCCCCGATGTTTCTCATTTGCGCGCGGCCCTCTGCAACCCCTATTTTATTTTATTTTATCGCTGTTTTATTTTTTGTTTCGGGCTGTCTTCTTCTCCGGTTGCCTGCGTTTCTCCGTCCAGATCCCTGTCCAACCAGACCAGGGAAATGTCACCTCAAGTCCGTGTTGCGGAAGAAATGCAGCAACGTTGGATTCGCCCTTTGCGAGCGTCCATCGTGCCTAGCCAGGGTTCCAGATCAGAATGCTCCCATTGGTTCCATCGCGGCTGTCAGCTTCGAACCTCCCAAGTGGCGTCAAAAGATGTGATAGCGATTGATTGATGGCCTGTGCCTTCCCGGACTGCGTCAATAAGACCGAACGCTGGCCCACGTAGCCAACCGGTCATCACCACCGGACCATTGCCATTGATCGCTTGGGATGTGCTTCGCTTCTCGCTCCCCTCCTTGATTTTCCTCAACCCCCCCATAAATTTGATTGTCCCCTCCCATCGTGGGATCGATGAATTCCCCCAACGCTAGCACGAATGTCCATTGTCTTCCACCCTGGTGTTTGTGCGTCCTGCGCAACCCTCTGAGACCTTCAGCTTTCTACTTGGTTCAGCGTCTCTTTGTTTGCTGTCCTACGAAATTCTATTCCTCTGCCTTGTGTCGGATTTAATTTGTCTCCTTTTCATTCTCCTATTCACTGTCCATATTTCACACTCCTTTGCTGTCGTCCTTTTTTTTTTTTTTTTTTTTTTTTTTTTTTTTTTTTTTTTTTTGTTTGACTGTTAATTGTTTCCCTTCCTTTTTTCCGTCTACACGTTTGAAGCGATCGCAGGTCGATCTTTCCCGGCTCATCATGTCTCTGCGTCGCTCTCTTCGTGCTCGCCCTGCGAGAGATGATCCGCCGATATTGGATTCTAACGTAAATCCCAGGCCTACCCGACAGACTCGAGCTGTTGCGGCTTCATCAGCAGTGACGGTAGTTCGACTTTCGGGAGAGGAGTCGAAAGAGTCGCTTCATTTGCTTTTTAAAATGCCTTCAAGTAAGCTGCGCGACGCCACTGGCGGCACCCGCAGTGGTGCTTCGACGAGACGCTCAGTCAACGTCTTTACAGAGAACCCCATCATGTCGGGGCCGCGGACCAGTCGCCCGCGAAAGAAGCTCGTGGAAGTGAACACGAGCGACGAGGATGACATCGATGACCAAGAAGAAGACGAAGTCGACGATGAAGATGCCCCGGGTGAGGATGACGAGGATGCGGACGCCGACGGTGATTTGGACATGGACGATGCCCCACCTCAGCCTGCGGTGTCGAAGAGACATGCCAAGGCTTCAACGGCCACGTCGAAACCCGTCAAGAGCGTCGAAGCCAAGGAAATGGAAATGGAGGATGACGAAGACGAGGATGATGAGGAGCTCTCCGAACCAGACTCCGACGCCGAGGGTGAGCCCGATGACTTGGAGGAAAGTGGCGTGGGGAACGCCAACGGAGGGGACGAGGATCTGGAAGAGGACGATATCGATGAGGAGATCGATAGTGACGATGGCTTACCCTCCAACGACCCGAGCAAAATGACTAAACGGCAGAGGGGAAACCTGGGCAATGACTTCTTGCAGTTGCCGATGGGTGAGCTTGCTGAATTCTATCTTTTATCCGAAATGCTTTATCTAACATGGGAACAGAACCCCAAGTCAAGAAACATCTGACCGCAGAAGAGCGCCAGATGCGACGGGCGGAGATGGCTCGGCGCCGAAAGAACCTGAGCGAAAAACGAAATGAAGAAGAAAAGGTAGCCTTGCCCAGTCTCCTGGTTTGGTGGAAAAATCCGTCGAACCTTGTTTCGCCATTGATGCGGAACTGGCTCTATGGATCATCACAAAAGGATGCTAACAATATCTGCAGATGGACACGATAAACCGACTTTTGCGGAAACAGGCCCCCAAACGGCGTGGTCGAATCCCTGCCGCCGAGGCGGCCGAGGCTTCTGCAGACAAAGAAGCCCAAGAATTCGAAAAGGCGGACCCAACGATGGTCAGATGGGTGAGTGGCCGCAACGGTAGTAGAGTTGGCGTTCCCGAGGAATGGTTTGGCACCCCGGGCGGTCGTGTCTTTGGAGAAGGCCCCCTTGGAAGCAATGGACCCAGAAAGCTTGTGGAAGAGGTATGAATGACCAGGTTTGAATGAAGGGCGCAAACGGACCAGGCGTAATGGGATCAATTTCATCAAACCGGTTTGCAGGCAGCACACATGACATGTATTTTTGCGGGCATTTCGGAGTTGCGTCGATGTATCCATCCCAATAGGTTATTTTTGCAGACGATGGATTATGGATAAGTTAAATACATTCTACTTTTCTTTTTGACCAAAGTCCCTGTAGATGTTGCAGGAAATATCTATTGGTATCATGGGTTTTGGCACACTATTATACAATCAACGAAGCCTCCATCGGACAAGAGAGCGTAGAAAACGAATTCCGCTGTTTCATATTGACACGTCGCAAGCTGGGATTTTGATCGGAAAAGCCATGGAGCTTTTGCATCACGCAGGGAGCACCCAGCTCAGTCCAATTCAGCAAGATGCCGCCACATGTTCCTAGCTGTCCTCCTTTTGTTTCAAGAGCAATTGGACCATGAGTCGAGGTCAATCGGCAGTCGCATTCAAATATAGTATGTTCATCATTGGTTTCCATTTCCATCTTCCTTGGCCGGCGTCGAATCGTTTGCGCTCGGTTTCGCGACACTTTGGCCTTGCGATTGCGGGGCGCCCGGAGCTCTACATTCGATGCAGTCAGTTATCAGAACCGAGCACGGAAGACCGTAGAAAGCGAGCGCATAGACGGAACATACTGTTGCGACGGCTCCTTCTCGGATTGGAGCTCGCGGAATGCCGGGTTGAAGGTGTAATATCCTAGAGCAAGCGAACGGAGCGGTGTTAGCAACTGTATGAACCTATTGCATCATGCATTTCATTCCTCGAGAATCTGGCAGATCATACCCGTATACACACCCATGCCGATGGCCATAATGGCGGGGAAGAAGTTTCGACTCATGGTGTTTGTTCTTTGCGCAAAACAGCAAGAGCGAAGAGCAGCGCAAAGAGAGGCCGTTGACGTCTAGAAAGGCGGACGGGGAGGCTCCGGGTCACAACCGCCTCAGGCAGCAAGGCCAATTGCATCGCCAAATTCCCGCCCGTCGCGTCTCCCCACATTTCGACGCGTCCTGCAAACTGGCTCCGCGGCAGGTTTGCACTCGCCTTCAATTCCCTCGCTACACCGGACTATTCACTGCGTCGCTTTGCACGTCTTGAACTATTCTTGAACTGCTCTTCGATTACCCCTCTCTACCACGGTGATGGAGACCTAGGGCCATGGGCTATCGGCGCCAAGTATACAAATGGAATCATGGCGGGAACGAGGGTTTGTACCGGACTCCGATTCAGAGGAGGAGTTTGACAGCCAGGAATCCCAAATTGTGAACCGGGAGACGGAGCATAATGACCACTCTTTGGAAGAAGATGCCGTCCCTAAAGATCACCCGGAATCTCGGGATGCAGCAACCCCGGACGATGACGAGGAAGAACAACCTACCCCCGCAAACCTTGAAGTCGATGAGAATCAGTCCGCACGGTCGAGTCCCGATGCTTTGGATACAACACAGCCGCCAGAAAATGAAGACGGAGAGCCCACGCCGAAGGCAATACCGCGGAGGAACGAGAAGGTTGGACTACAGGAGGAGGACCAAGTGAGGGAGGAGGACGGTGCTGCGGCATCTCAAGAGCTACCGACCGCTGCAGAATCCAGTCCGCTGTCAACACCGAAACCCAAGAAGCAGAGAGACATGTGGGATGTTCCGAGTTCTTCGCCGGACGAGCTACAGGCCGACTATCACCCCTTCCTCCGGAAACAGGCCGCTCTGTCGCCGAGGCGGCCCAATGCTAGTCAGCCTAAACCAAGCGGCGATGACAATGATGATGATATGGTTTCTCCGTTATCTTCTCCGCCCTCGTCACTCCACTCCCTGCCGCTGAATGAGGATGACCAGGTTGACAAAGATGGAACGCAACCGCTACCGGAGATGAACTTGGCGGACCTGCTTCCTCCGCTTGATTCATCCATTCGCGCTTCTTCGCCCGTGGAGGATGCTAATAGGGAGGAAGTAAAGGACACGGAGCAATTGTTGGCAGATGACCTGGCAGACTTGCCCGCTACGCTCGAGATCCCAGAGGAGATCCTACAAGAATTGACTCAGCCGACAAGGAGATCGCTACGACAACGCAACCCTATTCAGCTACATCCTTATATGCTGGAGGACGCTAAATATCAAAGCCTGATGAAGGCAAGAGGCGTCAAGCCCGTACGGGTTGCTCAATATCAGGAAGCGTTGCGCGCAGCCAGGGAGAGCCAAGGCCAGGAATTTGTCAATAATGCTCCCCCTCCATCTAGCAGCCCTGTGATGGAACCATCATCGCCCGCAGAAAAGAGTCGCTTGCCTGAAGCTGGCTCCCAGCGCCGAACCCACCAACTTTCTCCCAGCCGGGAAGGGTCTGCGGACGCTATTAGAGCCCCTAAGAGAAGGAGGATAGCGAGACCGGCTGCCGACGGCCGTCCTCAGTCCCGGCATTTGGCTCGCCCTCAGGTGCTCATTGACAACACCTCCTCTCCCGTGCGTGCAACTGACCGTCCAATGCACGATGTCCCTCCGAGTCCACCTCGCTCGGGAAGCCTTTCTCCGCCTCAACCTCCGCAGACATTCAATGGGTTCAGGTTCCCCCGGGGCTTCAGCCCGCCGCCATTGAACACTCCGAGTACGACTTCGAGATTGGCAGAGAAGGACCAGGACGATGAGGTGGGCAACCTTGAGTTGTCGGACGGTGGCTTTGATCAAGATCCTGGTGATCTCGACCCAGTAGCGCCTCAAAATGAGAATGTCGATTCGGGAGAAGACGAACAGGATGTGGAGGAGAGCGCGGGCGAGGACCAAGATGAAAATCAAGACGACAGCGCCGTGAGGAGACTGCAGCGCAGGATCAAAGGCGTTCTTCCAGCCTCGTGGTTACGATTGGACCAGCAGAAACAGCAGGATGCCCGTCTTAACTCCACACAGCGAGCGAACGAGAGAATGGCTAGGATGGAGAATACAAAAGGCGTTGCCAAAAAGGTCACCAAGAACACTCTCGGGACTCGTCTTAGCCCGAGAAGGCGGCTTGAATCACTGCAGGATCTCGTTGACGGTGAGGATAGTGAGGATGATGGAGCCGGAAGTAATATCAACACCCGCCAAGCTCTGGCTGACCTGGTGGGCTTTAGTGATCCATTCAACGACCAGGATCCTGCAGATGACATCCTTGAGGATAATCGCATTGATTACATGTTCCCGGCCGCGAAGCGAGCATCTTCATCTCGAACTGGCAAGCGGGAGAAGAAGCGATCGAGACCTGAGGGCGGTAATCGGTTCGATTATCACTCTAAGAGGCCTCGCCTGAAAAGACAAACGAGGCTCACAGACCCTGTACGCCCAGTAAGAAGGGAGAAGAAAAGGTCTTCACCTGCTCCTCCTAGACTTGGAATTTTGGATGCCCCAGATGTTGCGGCTCAACCCCGAAGCCAGCAGCCGCAGTTTCTCAGAGTCGCTGCTCGGCGGGTTCGCTCCCGCCAGGATAGGGGAAGACGAAGTCCTACTCGCAAGATCTTCCAAATGAGTACGAGAGGGGACACGGAAGATGCGAATATGGCCTTACGTGACTGGCGTACAGGTCGCCTGCGACAGACTCAGTTGCCGCGGCCTCAGACCAAACCGCAAGGGCGACCGCCCTTGAAAGACCTTCCTACGAACAGAAGCAACCCTTACCAAACTGGCAGGCCTCAAAATACCGGCACGCAGGTCATATCTGATGCTCGACCTGGAATCCAGGCTGAAGAAGACCAGGCCGCTAAACCTACCCCAACCACGCACGATTCGGCCAATCCAGCTTCCGGAAGTACCGAAGTCCCCGCGTCCTCCAAAAGGCCTGACCACGGCAATAAATGGGTTGTTCGTCGAAATGCTACAGGGTCTGCTTTGAAGAGGAATGCTCCAAGGCCTGTCCCAGAGTTGGCTAGTTCTGAAAATTTCCCATCTCTTAGTCGGTCTCTTTCTCTGCTTAATGGAAGGAATTACCAAAGACCACCGCCAAGTGCTCACCAGCTGAATCCGATTATGCGACGGTTTCTCAAAAGTATACCGATGCCTGTTGCTGATGCCCCAGGACCTGTCCCTGCCCAACCATCGAATGCATCGCGTGATGAACCATCAAACAATGCCCGAGCACCGCGTCGGCAAATACGAAAACGCCCTCCCCGAAGGTTGAATGTCACGTTGAACGGTAATCAAGGAACGCTTGCATTGACCACGCCCGATACGGAGACTCTGGATACTGAAAGCAGAGATATCCAATCACCGACCCTGGCTTTGGGTGGCCTCACAGGATTTCAGAACTCGTATAGCGTTAATTTTAATGTCGCTCCTTTGCACTCTAGTACATTCTTTCGCGAGTCCACATTCATTGGCAGCGGCGAGTTTGCGCGTTCTCTCGATCTTGGCCAACGAGATCTTGACAAAGATGCTGGGTTTTACTCTTTCGAAGCTGGCAAACACAGCTTTCGTTGGGGTCCTTGGAATGATAGTGTGTCGTCGGAGTTGGGAATTGCTTTTGACACTATGATCGAGAATGTTGGCGGGAGTGACGACGTTGAGGTTATTGATGAACGGCCGTCTGGCAGTGCATCTAATACCTATAGGGATGTGGTTAAGTACGTTACTGAAACGATGACGCTCATTGACCCCATAGACAGAGTTGGTCTTGTGCAAAGAATCCTTACCCTCGCTTCCTCACTCAATTGCAGCATGACAGCCCTGACAGCCAAGGTACCCCGTGATCTGGAAGCGGTTACAAGACTCGCCTTCTACAATCTGGTGCTCATCTACCAAGCGTACCATATTGCTCGCAATAGCAATGGCCTTGTCAACACCGGCGTGGTGAGTGAAGCTTTGGAGCTTGTCAAATCGGCCTCTAAGTCTATCCTCATGATTATTTTGAGTCCTGCGGGGCAGACCAACATTTCCAAGTTTCTAGACAACCAGAAATCTCGGGAACTGCGCGAGTCGGGGGCAAGAGATAGCTATCCTATTGTCGAGGCCTATATCATTGTCCGCAAGGTATTGGACAACATGGACGATCCCAGGGGGAAGTTCGGCGATCTTCTGGCCGACGAATATTCTACGTTGAGTACCGTGAAGGACGTTGAAAGCTTGGAGGTCGGGTGGCAACGGTTGTTCCACGGTCTCCCTCTGAACGAGATGGATGCTTTTGGAATTGTTCGAGTCGGATCCCGTTTCAGGGAAAAGCATGACAACTGGTCAACGATCAAGCACCTACTCACGCCGGTGTTCCAAGCCAAAGATCCCGATTTCCCATCATCCATCTCATATAATAGCTATTGTCGGACTCTGTTCCATCGATGTCACTATCTCATTAACGGCTGGGGCTGGCGGGACTGCAAGCCAATCCTAGACACCCTTTTTGACTTGTTCGCGAAGAATACTTTGTACAACCTGAAACCAGAAGATAATTACTCGTCGCCGGCCTTCCTTGATGAACTCGACAGCAACCCACCTTTGGAAGTCCAGACAGGCGAACCGTGCTTTCATATCTTCTTGAAAATCGTCGCCAGCGGTTTGCGGTTTCTGTCCAGAGCATACGACAAGAAGAAGGTCCGGAACATCACTTGGCGCTTGTTGCCCAATCATGGCCGAGAGTATCCCAAAGATAAACCCCTCCATCAAACCGATTTGGACGCTCTAAGGAATCACCATGACCTCCTTTGCACTTTGTATTCCGCGGTTCCCGACGGATGTCGTCCTCGACTTGAAACAATCAAGAATCTTGTGGACCCTGCCCGATCTCACCAGGAGACATGCAGTATCAGTCTTCGTTCCTGGTATAGGCTTGCTCGGTTCAAGCTCTCAATGGATGAAGACGTGTCCGGGCTAGAACCGTTTGCAGACTGGCACAGCTTCTTTGTTTCAAAACTGTTGGAACAACATAGCTTGGCCCGAGAGGAAGTGGAGGCCCAAAACACTGGTGAAAACAAATTCTCTCACCAGCTCATCGAGCGCACGATTTCGCAGAATCAACGACAGATCGAATCGCAATTAAAGACAGCCCTGAATCTGTTACAGAGCGCGATCCGAGCGTCTCCCACGTTGGACCATGCCGAGAAACTTGTTTCCAAAGAACCCGTCAAGGCAGTACTAGGTCTTTTCAACTCCAAGGTTCCCCGTGTGAACACAACTGTAATCGAAGCCCTCCAGGTGATCGCGATCTACCTCGAAAAATGTCGCTCATGGCCTGCTGCCGGAGAAGCCCATGCTCCACCTACAGCCGACGAAGATAGTCAAGAATTTGGTGATTGGGAAGTTTTCGAAGCTTTGTACCCGGAGGAATCGCCACCCACGGTGACCGTGCCCCGAGGCGTTGAGCACGTTAACAAAGTGTTCTATCCGGCTGTCTCGCGCCTTGTATCGAACTGCTTTGGCGAGGACAACAGCCCTGAAGATGCCATACTTCTGAGCGTTGTCGAATGCTGGACTTCTCTCGCAGAGGTGCTTGTGAAGCACAAGTTGAAGCACTGGGACAGCTACCTTAGCCATTACGGTAGTGACTGTTCTTGGACGGCACTACGGTCGACAATGCAGACGAGGAAATTTACGCCAAAATTCCTCGCAAGCTGTATCGCGAAAGATTCTCAGGTCATTTCTGAATGCAAGACCCAAGTGTTTAGCATGTGGATGTCTAGCTTGGTGGAAAGAGAATCGATTCTCAAGTTCCAACATTCCCTGACCGAGGCTTTGTTGAACCAAGACTCGACGAATCCCATTCTGCAAAACCTGCCATTTTCGAGTGACAAGATCGACGGACGATATTATATTGCATTGGAAGAGCTACGGCAGCGCAGAGTGTCTCTCATCTCAAGTATTCTGTCGAACATGCGCTCACATCTGCAGGCGCTGGAAGATACGAACAGCCCCGATTTCTCGAGGACTCGAGAAGAATACAAGGAGCTTGTTCAGCAACTGATGTCTTCGATGAAGGCGAACTACCAGGAGTTGGGCACCGGGCAAGCAAGTGCCCAGGGTGAATATGTGGGCTTTGTTCATCGTGTTGTCGGTTTCCTGCAACAACATACCGGAGATATCTGCCCGGTTGACCAGTTCTTCACCGACCCGACGTCATTCCCCCTGCCATCGACCGACCCAACGTACATCGTGGCAAAATTGAAGGGTTACGAGCCGAAGTTGTCCTCTCAAAAGGGTGCGAAGACGTTGATCACGTTCATACAGGGCGTCTCCGAGCGGGCCGCTGTCGATGGCCAACAGGTCTATTTGGTTGGACAGATGCACGCGTCAATGATGGATTCGTTTGAATCTGGAGATCCGGACAGGCCTACCTTGCGAGCCGTACTTCTGCAGGCTATATTCCCGGCTTATCTCGAGAACGCGTTCACCAATCCCGCCGCATGGGTATTGTGCCGTCCGATCATCAACGTCATATCTCTGACATTCAAAGACCTGCTCTTCAGCATGGACGCCATGGATCCCCGCTGCGTTTCCTCTATCATCGGCATATTCAACGCCGTTTTCCAGTCCTCCTACCGGGCACTGAGATCCATCATCCCCAACACCACCATGCTCAACGACCCTACGGTCGTGATCACCGTCGCCTCCTTCCTCGAGATGATCACATCCTCCCTCCAAGTCGTCGACTACATCGACAAGATGAGCACCGCAGCCTCCCACCTCGTTTCGCAGATCCGCGTGTTCCAACAATTCACCCTCTTCGCCACCTACCTCCACGACCACCTGCTGACCACCAACCTCGACGACCTCATCCACCCACCCATCTTCTCAGCCGACGCCATCACCACGCCCACAGAAAGAACCACCCCCTCTTTCTACCACGATATCCGCGCCTCCGTCACCCGCGACCTGCACACCTACCTAACCGAAAGCTGGTCCCGGCACCAGGGCAAATCCTACTTCACGCGCCGAGGAAACCACCCCCCTCAGGAAATCCCCATGGAGCCGGAGGTTGTCGCGGACTTGGAACAAGCGCCAACGAGGACGTTAGATACCGCGGCGGGCTCGTTCCTGGATACGCTCAGGGCACTCGATCTTTTAGACGAACCTGAGGGCGGGTCTGTGGCTGTGGATGAAGATAGGGTTATTCCCGTGGCCGAGGGTGGAGTTGGGATTCGGTATGATTCGAGTCTCGAGTTGCCGTTGGATCTGTTTACGATGTAATGCATATTGTGTTGGTTCTGTATGATTGGGCTGGAGTTGGTATATATCGGCAGATGATGCGCATGAGGCTCTTATGATCGATCGGATTCCTAATCTGATGAGATTAGATTACCACTTAAAATAATGAGATATTAGATTATGAAATGATTCAAGGTATAACTATTTATATCTATTCATAAGAAAGAGTACCCTGGATATTATGCGCTTTTAAGTCACAAGAGAGAAAAGAAAAGAAGGTAGTTTAAGGTAATTCACTGCCGCTGCCTCTTCCACTACTAACAACAAAAGAATAGAACAGAACAGAGCTCGATTGTATAAAAAGATCAAGTAATGCTGCAAGAAAAAGGGTCAGTCAATCAGCAGGCAAAAGAAATCAACACAATAGGAGCTAGATAGCTATCTGTACGGGAAGCCAAACGAAGCACAGTTAAGAAATGAAATGTAAACCATCCAGAGTATGCAATTGAATTCAAACAGCCAACACAGAAAGCTACCAGAAACAGGTGAATAAGATGATAAACATAAAAATGAACTCGATCGAAATTGAAAGGAGAAAGAAAAGAGAACTATACACAAACGTATAGTACAGAAGAGGACGAGACAGGATAAGACATGATATTGTATTCAACCGTCAGTCATGGACAAGACCTGATATGAAATATAAAGAAAAAAAAAAGAGAGAAACCATCCAAGCACCCAGGTACCCATATCAAGGAGAAAGGAGAGAGGAATAATGCATATTTCATGCAAACATGTTAATCAGTCAATTCAGTCAGCTAGGTAGGTAAAGGTAAGAAGGTATTTAGCCAATCGCAAAAGTCCATCCTCATGCATGCATGCGCGCATGTATCTTTTAGTCCAGTCCAGTCTGTCCATCTGCTCATCCGCTCATCATTCATTCATCCAACTATATTCCACCTTTCTGGTGGATTATAGCTATGCATATTGGGCAGCATGATGCTGGTATCATGTTCGAGTATGAGATCGATTCGGTTCATAACGTTCTCTGCTTCATTTCATTTTCTGAAACTCAGTCGAATTGAACAGGACTAGATGCGGATAATGATCTAATTCTGTTCAAATGCATTGAATCAGATGCGAACCAAGCAGGTTATATGCCCGTCGATCACCGCTCGGGAATCGTCTGGTCCACAATTCCGCTGCCCTCGGCGGTGCCCTCATTCTGATCCTGTTGGTTTTGCTGATGACTCGAGGACCCCCGTCGATGGAACGGATGCTGATGGAATCCTGAGAAATGCAGCACCTTCCGAACGGTGCTGGCAATTCCCGATCGCCGCTTCGACTCGGGCGACGACCCAAGCTGCTTCTCGGCGGCGTCGCTGGCTCCCGCCGCGCTGGCGGACGGTTTCTCGGGCCTCCGCACCGTCGCGTCATCCTGGAGCACGATGTTCGTGTTGGCGGGTTTCGGCGGCCATTGGCCATCTGCTTTCCAGCCCTGGACCATGGCTTTCGTGACGTCCGCCAGGTTGATAGGCACGGTGGGGGTGAGGCCCTGGACGACGACTTTCGAGTAGATGGATGGGTACATGGTTGGGGTGATGGCGGCGCGGATGGGGTTGGAGTTGGAGATGAGGGAGGGAGCGACGGGGATGAAGGGGTCTTCGTAGTGGTTTCGCGCGATCTGGTGCGACGAGGCAGTGGCGGTGGCAGCTTGCGTCGCTGGCGCGGGAGTCGCCGTGCTGGGTTCTTGGATAGCTGTCGTCGCGGGAGCAGCGTCGGGGTCGTGAGGATTCTCCGGATCGGCGGTAGAAGGCTCGTCTTCGCGTTCGCGGTCCGCCGGGAACTGCTGCTGCGTCGCGGCCACCATCGACGTCGTCGACGTGGGATCCTGATCGGCGACGGAGAGCGAGGCTTCGGTTCTAGCGGCTAGGTCGTCATATCCCGACGACGAGTTGGTGCCGGAGCCAGAAGAAGTTGTTGAATCCAGGGTATGCGCGTCCTCGTTCCCAGTCGCAGTCGCATTCGGGCCCTCCAGGCCATGCGATTGCGATTGCGATTGCGCCGCTCCTTCCTCCCCATTCTCCTGCCCCCGCTGCCTCTCGCTCTGCTCGCGCCTCCGGATCTCCGTGCGCGACAGCGCCCCAGACCAGGCATCGCGTCTCTCCACCCAAGTTCGTAGGCCCTCGTTCCACCGCATCTCCTCTTCCTCTTCCTGTCTGCGGCGCTTGCGACGCGGCGAGATCTCGCGCAGCGCGGCGCCTCCTAGCTCTGGCCGATACTCCAATTCATGGTCGCTGTCGTGGTAATCTTCCGGTTCCAGTTCCGGCGAGGAGACGGGCTCCAGCTCGGACCCGGAACTATCGTATTCGCGCAGGCGCCACTCGGCGATCTCGTGGGATGGCGGGGCGGGGGTCGACGAGGCGGGCAGGCCAGTGTCCGTGGACGGGTGGAAGAGCCAGTCGTTCCGGACGATTTCGCGTACGTGCAGCTTCGCCTCGCGGATTGCAGCGTCGCGGGCTTCGGTGGTCATTTTGCTCTCGATCTTGCCTTTCAGCTTTGATGCTTGGTTTCTGAAGTGGGGGATTGCAGCTAGTTTGGTTATGCGGAGGACCAGCAAGAAGGTAGTCAAATAGCTTTAGCTCGAGCACTCCAAAGTAGCTATATTAGCTAGCTTAGGGGCCAGAATTGGCGGTTAGAAGAGAGAGGGGTGAGGCGAGGCTAGGTGGAGGCGAAGAAAGGGGTGATTCGAGGAAACCAGGTGTAGAGAGCTACTGAGCTGGAAGAATCGGGGGTAGAAATAGAAATTAAAGAAAATCCTCGATGCACAAAGACGAGCCGAGAGGAAATTCCAAGAGATTTGGGAAAAAGCAGAAGAAGACTGAAAGATGTGGGGGAAAAGGAAGAGACGAAGTTTCGGGCGGAGAAAAATGACGATCGCCGGAAGTCGAGAGTCGATGTCATCATGCAACGTCCTACGCTCCTTCGCCGGAACTTCCCACTCCTTGGCCGCAGTCATTATAAACGGGCTGTGGATGAAAGGATTATATACCTAGTGTACAGGATATCGCTAAAAATACAAGATCGTCCAAAATATCCCATCTGACCTCCTCTTCTATAAAAAGCATGTAGCAAAATCCACTGGAACAAAACCTCAAATTGAAACACCAAATTCATGTCTATGAAACCGTCATACTTTTCATGTCCGCACGCGCGCAGCGTCTGTGTCAGGCTCCTCCGTCGCAGCAGGCATAAATCCCCATCCGGGACTCTTCTTGCGTCGTCCCTTGCGGTCGCCGTACTGCTCGTCGAACTTGCGAACCGCCGACAGCGACGACATGTCCTCGCTAATGGATGCGCTGATTTCCTCCATTCCACGCTCGAAATGAGTCCAGGTCAAAGTGCGTCGCTCCGGGTACTGATACGGCTCTTCGCCTTGATGCTGAGCGGCGAGGGCGTTTTCCTCGCGAACGCAGGCCAGCGCCGCGGCGACAGACAGGTTCTTCAAATCGGATCCGGAGTAGAGGGGCGTGCGACGGGCGAGTTCGGCGAGGTCGACGGAGCCATCAAGCGTTTCTTCCTTGAGATGGATTTTCAAAATGGCATGACGGTCTTGCTCGGTGGGGAGATCGACCAAGAGTCGCCGGGGCAGACGTCGCAGGACGGCATCATCCAGATCGAAGGGTCGGTTGGTGGCAACCATGATGAAGGCAGAGAGATCGTTCATTCCGTCCCATTCCCGCAGGAACTGGTTGATCAGCTCCCGGTGGGAAGTGCGGCTGCTGGCGCCGGTTCGCGAGCAGAAGATGGCGTCCGCCTCGTCGATGAAGACCACGCAGGGACTCAACTTCTTGGCGAGCGTGAAGATGGCCTTGACGTTCTTCTCGCCCTCTCCGACGTACATGTCATACACCTCCGAGCCGCTGACCTCCAGTACGGTAGCACCGCTTTCGCGGGCGACGGCCTTGGCCAGGAGCGTCTTACCCGTACCAGGGGGGCCGTACAGAAGGAGACCCGGGATCTTGTCGGTGGCAAGGACACCGTAGGTGAAAGCTTCGGGGCGGATAAGTGAGAGCGACGTGAGCGTCTTCAAGGCATCGATGGTCTCGGGCGGGACATGGACGTCTTCGAACGTGGTCCGGAGACTCTTCGCATCGACCACGCCGTTTAGTAGCTTCTTCTCGTGGGTATTGCATGTTTTCCGGAGGGAGTTAATGAGTCGCTCCCGTTCGTTGCCCGTCTCGGTGTGCTTCGCCTTGGGCGTCTTCTCTTGCAACCAATCCCCTCGGATGCGCTCCGTCTTTTGCATCATCTCGATTCCTTGCCGAATGTGGTCGAAGCCGAAGGATTCCTCCGGTTTCAGGTTTCCAAGTGCAAGGGTAGTAGCCCAGTGCACTTGGCTGTATGTCCAGTAGCGGTCCTCGAGGCCGGATTCCTTCACAAGGGAGGCGTCGAGCGGCCAGGCACGGTCGGAAAAGATGTCATCCTTCAACGCTGAAGGGGTTTCGTGCAGTCGTGTTCGGAACATGTCCTGCAGATGGCGGATGTTAATCTCGAGAGTCCGCTTCTTGCGGTCATCGGTAAATGTCCTCTCTGCCATATCCGAGCCCATGGCAGGAGTAACCACAAGCATCTGCGAAAACTGATCGTCGAAGGCGTTCTGCATCAACCGCGATGCATCCGAGTCGGGCGTGGCGTCTTGTGAGGCGGTACCGACGAACAGAACTCGGGATCCAGCCTTTCTCCGATCTTGGATAGCTTTTTGCAACAACTGGATGAACCGAGCGCCTTCTCGCGTGCTCTGAATCTCGCCATAATCCTGCACCTGCACAATGATATCGCGGGTCTGTGTGGGCGCGGTGTTTTCATTCTTGATCGCATGGGATTCCCCCTCTTCCTCCGGGGTTGCTTTGTCTGCTTGTCGGGAAGGCTTCGTAGGCGAGGAAAGAAGCTCGTTGATCAGTCGAAGTCGCATGTCCTCGGCTCGATCTTTGCCGTTTTGCGACGATGCAGAGCCTCCAGAGCCATCCATCGGGGCGTTGAAGGCAGCCACCAAAGACTTGAGACCCATCGGCATGGGAAGAGGAATGTCCCCAGCACCTCCGCGGGAACTTTCAATGGTGATGAATTTCGGACCCGCAAGCCCAGGCCGGTAGCTGCGTGACGGCATCGCACTCTCCATGGCGTCCGCATCGTCGGATTCCCCTTCCTCCCCAACATCTTGCCAAGCGTCCGACATCGCCGGTCGGTACACCTCATACCCCAACGACCGGATCGGCGACGTCGTCCCGACAGATTCCAGATCCTGCTCACTGCACAGCTGAGCGATATCCTGAGCGTTCAGCGTCACCAGGTCCGCACCCAGCTCCTGCGCCAACCTCTTCACCACCGCATCCAAGAACAAGATCCCGTCGTGGCCGGGGTACTGCAGGACGAGATGCGACTTGCGCGCCGACGGCTCCGCTGCGTACTTCGCGGGCGGAAGTCGTAGACCCGCCCTGGCCGAGGCACAAAGCTCCTGCCACAGCGCCTCGGTCAAGGCATACCTGTTCTCATTTCCAGGCGCTCCATCTGACGACGGCGCAGGTCCCCCGTTGTCATCACCGCTGCCGCCGCCTTGCGCGACCGCATCCGCCTGCGTTCGATCCGCCTCCGTCAGCGACGGGGCAATCTTCACCTGCTGCGGAGCCTGCGCTGCCACCTGGCGCTCCTCATCCCCGTTGACCACGGTATTCCGCTCGTAGAACCAATCGGGGACGGTAGCGACGGGGGCGGTCCATTCTTTCGCGGGTTTCTTGTTCCGAAGGGCGCGACGGATCGCAGAGCCGTAGGGGCTCGATTCTTTCTTCACCGACTGCTGCTCTTCCGCGGCGGACGGGGCAACGGGCGTCGTCGTTGCCGTCCGCTGCTCCGAGACATTCTGTCCGGGATTGACCGTCGACGCAGGGCCGCTTACATTCTCGGACGTGGAATCTCTGCCTGCACGAGGATCTGAGCCGGCCGGGGTCGACGAGCGGAGGAGTCGAGAGATATGGAAGCGACGCGAGGCAACGACGGCGGCAGGGTAACGGCGGTGCGCGACGAATCGACAGGGTCGGACGGAGCTCGACAGCAACCGGGCGGGTTGCATTGACGAATACATCCGGGGACAGGGCAGGACGCTGTCGCCGGGACTTTAGGGACGAGAGGAACAAAGGCTGATGCCGTAGGGGGTCATCAGTCGTTTGGGCTGTCGGATCGATTGATTGATAAGTCGTTCTCTTTCTATTCTTTTTGGGGTTTGGCCTGCTTTTCTGCCGCTGTCACGTTATCTACCGCCTGCTACGTCGGCTGTCGCCTGAGGCAGACATCTTTGTTCTCGAGTCTTTGTTCTCTCCTACTGATACAGACAGAATTCCAAAGTCAAATCTCGCATTGTATTCCCGCACTCTAACTTCTAACGGCATCTGTCACCAGCAGATCCTCTATTTCAACTCTACCCCTCACGACAACAAACTACATAGCACTAATGTACAGTACAAGCCCCCAATTTTGTACAGCCTTTACAACCCCCAGATAAGGCTGCTCAGACCCTCGGCAGTGCCAACTTCGCCAGGCTCTCCGACCTGCACGCTGGCCACCTCGTCTCCCAGTTTGCCGGTCTCCGGGTCGCGCTTGACGATGGCCACGTTGGACGACGCCTGGTTACCAATGGCGACCAGGTCGCCGGCCTCGTTGATCTCAAAGGTGCGAGGGACGGTGCCGTACGACGAGGTGAGGTCCCGGAAGGCGACGGTGCCGTTGCACGAGCGACCCAGGGTCACCATGGAGTCGTTGGGATCGAATCCCTTATCCGAGCGGATGGACACGTACAAGGAGGTGCCGTCCGACTGGATGCCCGAGAGGGTGGCGCCCTCGGGCAGACCTCCGGGGTAGGGGTCGAAGGACTGGGTTTCGCGGAACGCGAGACATCCGTCGGAGGTGTGAGAAACGTCGAAGGCCTTGAAGTGGCCGCCGATCTCGCTGACCGTGTACAGCAGGGTCTGCTGCGAGCCGGCGCGGCGCTGGAATCGGAAGCGAGTGGCCTCGGGCTGTTCGAAGAGGCCGTGACGGGGGCCGCTGCCGTGCGGGAACTCGATGGACGGGCAGTCGTTCAGGGAACCCGAAGATTTGTCGATGGCGTACACGCGGATCTGGTCGGCGCCCAGGTCGGGAGAAAGCAGGAAGGAGCCGGACGGGTCGAGGATGACCTGGTGGGGGTGCGAGGCACCCTGCTGGGGAGTGGCGCCGGGCTTGGTCAATTCATAGTGGAAGACCTGAAGAGGCTCGGCATCGGCGTCCAGAGGCAGGGAAAAGGTGGACAGGGCGGAGCCGCCACTGCGCCAAGTTAGCAAGTGGATTCTTAGTAGGGTTAGAGGGTACGTACTAGTGCGCGATGGCCAGATACTTGGAGCCGTCCTCGCCGGTATAGATGATGCTGTTGACGCCACCGCCCGGCGCGGCGTCCGTCTTGGCGGCTTCGGTCAAGCTGCCGTCCTCGCCGATGGCAAGGCTGGTCAGGGACCCGTTGCTGGAGGCATCGCCGTTCTCGTCGGAGCAGTAGAGCAGCTTCGATTCGGGGTCGAGGGTGATCCAGCTGGGCATAGGGCCGCAGGTCTTCAAGTCCGAGGCGACGGACAAAGAGTATCCGTCATCTCCGCCCTCCAGGGACAGAGTGTAAACAGAACCGGAGTAATGAGTGGCATAGAGGTTGGCTGCCGAAGCCAGCGAGCAGCACAACAGGGGCAAGTAACGAAGGGACATGGTGGGCGAGAATGATCGGAAAGGATTGTTGGGTTGAAAGGGGGACAGGAGGAGGAATCCACGGATGTTTTATACTTCACCGCGGAATGGTAGATCAGGAACCGTCCGTCATAAAGAGATTAGTCGGCATGGATCTGCGGTTATGATACATCGAACAAGGGCGTTCGAGGGGGCCAGACGGGGAGGCTGGCAGGCTGCCCGGCTCAGCTGTCACCCCACGCTAGCCAATGATTGCGGGGACAGGGTCCTCGCCACCAAATGACAGCGTGATACTCGACCTGTAAGCTGAAGACGGCGTCAAACCGAGCGCCGTTGAAAGTGCAGAGTCCACGTCGATCTGGCGGGGATTGGCTCATTCGGGTATCTCCACGACCGCGTCCGATCCGCATGGAGAAATCCCCGTGGGAGTCTGCCCGGGCGGTTACACCTGTACCACTGTCTGAGGCATCTACGGGGTGATACCTCGTAGTCTGTGCTGGGATATGCCGGGAAGATGCTGTTGTCTGGTTTCAGGTTGAAATGAAGCAGGGTCGGCCGCGCGCCTTACAAGGTTTGAAGGAGCCGTTCATCGTGTTAAACGACATTCCGAGCGATGTCGATGTTGGCGATGCATGGTCAATGGGGCGGGGCGGAATGCACTTGCGCCGCATAGTCGATCTTGCAATTTCTGTAGGGTAAAGGTCAAGTCGCATACCCCTGTGCGACAAGTGGAATGGGGCGAAATGTGCAACTTGATCGATGATCGTTTGATTCTTGGTCTTTTCTCCCTTCTGCGATCGGGCCAAACAGTCTTGGCGGCAGCCTCAGGCCACGAGGCCCGAAGCCAAGCATAAGCACAAGCGCTGGCCTGAGCCTCCGCCTCCTTCCAGCGCACACTTCGCCAAGAGGCAAGGCAGTCAGACGTTGGATGTCCTCTCTCCGATGTGGTCGGAGGCCATCGAGACGCAAGGCTCGGGTCCTGTTCAGGGAAGCTGATCAAAATCATCTTGCGTGGCAGCATTCCGGATGTCCGGCGTAGATTAAATCCAAGGTGACAACCAGCATGACGTCGACGGATTCCGAGCCCGACATTGCGATATTTTCCAGTTTCCTGCTCTACTCCGAAGTCTAACTGCTTGGAGTCAAAGTCGAAGTCTCCAGGTTGTGGAGAAGGGAAAGCTGGCGACCCACCGGGGTGGTTGGTGGCAGTGAAGTGGATAAGAATCCTGTGTTTACAAATTACTCGCCAGAGAAACTGGTCTGCGCATCGGTTGGAGTACAGAGCGATGCTGCACAGCCCGAGCTGCATAAGAATAGCATCTGCCCTGTGTCCTCAGTTAGCGCAGTCGTCCACCACGTCCTGCGCGGACGGGGAATAAGAGGGATCGACATGAGACAGCCTTATCCACCTGTGTCATGTATGCAGTGGATTAAATGCCCGACTATAAATATCTGTCCGTGGCAGAGTTGTGTAGTTGTGAGTGTACAGGTAGGAATATTGAGCAAACAATAAAATCTATACCATTGACATCCATGGATCCATGGTACACCGTGGAAAAACCAACCGGAACACGAGACGGAAGCCATTGGCGGGTTAAGATCTTTTCCCGGAAGTCAAAGTCAGCCGATGCCCCTGACTCTCTTTCTCTACTCCAACAAAGTACAGAAACCTTCACATTTGAACATAGAACATAGAACATAGAGTCATATATACTATCATCGATCGGATCGGACGGAGAGTGAGATACGAAGGGATTCTATAAAATTAGAACGCCGGTGGAGCGTCGCCGCGTGGCAGACCAACCGCATCAACCAGCGCTCTCCACCGGTTCTCCCCGAGCCCAATCACCAGCCCCAGCCAGAGTCAAACATTATTATTGACTGTCTGTGCCTGGAGAGGGTTTTTCTGTTTGTTCCCTGACTTCCCTTCCATAATCCTCCTGCGTGGGTCTGGTACTGGATCGTCAGTCAGACCATCCAGCCGGCATCTTTTTTTTCTCTCCCTTTCCTCGCTCCCTCCTTCGCTCGCTTTAAATGTCATTTCCCCCCTCGCAACCCCCCAATTCCCTCGTTTGAACCCCCAATGAAAATGCGGTTCTCCGTGGTGATCACCCTGGCGCTCTGCTCCCTGGGTTCTGCCCGCCTGGAGCAACCCACCAGCTTCACCCGACTCCCTTCGCCCACCACCACCCTGGACGATCCCTCTCCAATCCCCAACGATCCTCCGGTTGGCTCCGAGAATTTCTATCCCGGGCGATGGTTCCAAAAACGAGCCGAGACGGACGACGCGGCGGCCGCTGCAGCTGCCGCAACCGACGCCGCCGACGACGACGACAAGAAGGAGGCAGCTGCTGACACGGCGGCCGCAGACGACGCGGCGACCACGGCTGAAGCGGCGACGACTGCTGAGGCCGCAACGACCGCAGAGCCGGCGACCACCGAAGCTGCGGAAACCACCGCAGACACGCCCACCACCGCCGAAGCTACCACGACGGAGGAACCCACCACCACCGAACAGCCCACGACCACTGCCGAGCCGACGACGACCTCCGCCGAGAGCACCACGTCCACCTCGTCCTCCGAAACCACCCAAACCACCACCAGCGCCTCCACCACCACCTCCTCCTCGACCACCTCCTCCAGCACCTCTTCCTCCACCTCGAGCACGTCATCCGCCTCCACCAGCTCCAGCGATTTCGACCTCGACGAATGGAACCACAACGGCATGGTGGCCGCCATCGCGGTCGCCAGCGTCGTGGGCGCCATCTTCATCGGCACCATCGGCTGGTACTGCCTCGCCAGCCGCATCACCAAGATGTTCGAAAAGCCTCCGCCGCCGCCGGAGGCTGCCGCCGCGGCCGCAGCAGGGGGAGCGGCGGGCGCGTCCGCCTACTCGATGGTGCCGCTGGTCGACGGCAACAATCGGCCGACCAGCGAGGTCAAATTCGACCGCAACTCGATGATGTTCGCGGCCAGCTCGTCGCGCACGGATCTGGAGTCCGTCGTGAACAATAACGCCAGACGCCAGACTATGCTGTCAGCGGACGGGTCGGGGCCGTCGAGCGGACAGCGCGGGTCGGTGGCATCGCAGCCGAGAATGATCTAATGTGGAATAAATACTAAGGAGTGAGATCAGAGGATGTCTTTTTTTGGTTTATCTTTTTTTTCATATAATCGGATGAATTGGTTTGAAATATACATACAACATACACTTACTCTTCTCCTATCTGGATATTCTTGGATCTTTGACAGACTGTCTAGATATGGAGATGTGAATTGGCATTGAATGAGGAGTTGGATTTTTCGTCTTGTCAGGCTGAAGGCTTGACCAGCATTTCAATTGCATGCATGTGTACACACTATATGATGTTAATAATTCCCTCCTGGTCTCTGGAGGTCAATGAACAGAATTGATGGCATAATCCTAAATTTGTCGGGGGCATCTCTTTATATGCCGTTCGGCCTCCGAAAGCGCGGCATGTGAGAGGTCACATGCAAGGCTCTCATACTATCGACAGCAACAGAAACACGATTGAGGGACCTTTCTCTTTGCTACATTCACCTCGGCAAGGTTAATGTGATCGATCGTAATGGCACCTAGTCTTGGTTATTATTTCTAACCGTCCCCATCCCTTTATACTAACGATCTCCCTCAGCCGGAAAAAACAGACCTGAGCAGACTAACATAACATCAATTGAACACCTACAATTAAACCAGATCCTACCTAACCACCAATCGTCCTGATTAACTCACCATCGCCTCAACAATCCCATCGCCGCCCTCATCAACCGGATCCCAGAACCCAACCACCGTCAGCCCCGCCCTCTCCAGCAGCGCCCGCCACTGCTCTCTCGTCCGCTCCATGCCACCGTTAAACGCCATCATCGTCATATCCAGCTGCGCCTGGAACCGCGACGCCCCCCGCTCCAACACCAGCATCTCATGGATCAAAAGCCTCGAGTACCCCGGCGTCATGGCCGCCGCCACGCGGTCCAGAATCCGTAAACAGTACGCATCCGACCAGTCGTGCAAGATGTGATGGTAGAAGTAGACTCGAGCACCTGGGCTGTCAGAACCACATTCCGCCCATCATCAATAGGAATAGAAAGGTTCATACCGCAAACAGGCTGCCTCGTGAAAAAGTCATACTCAAGCCTCTGAATCCCCGGGTCCAGATCCCCATCCCCATCCACTGCGTCCGTGACGGCCTTTAGATCCTCCAACACCAGCTTTCCGGAGTTTGGGAACCTTGCCTGGTACGCCATCAGATCGTGGCCTTTGCCACCGCCGACGTCCACAATCAGGACTTTCTCTGTGTCTGCGCCGTCCAAGATCCGCTCCTGCACCGGGTACCAGTCCACCCAGTACTTCCTGGCGCCCATGGTGTTTCCCATGAACAGGGCGAAGTCGGACAGGAGGGACGGCGAGGCGGCGATCCGGTCGAATGTCGTCTGCGTCGTTTGGAAGGCGTGTTGGACGAGGCCGTCGGTTGGGTCGATGGGGCAGGAGGGTCCTCGGGTTTGGAAGTAGGAGGGGGCGCTTTGCATGGCGGGCACGATTAGTTGTGATCTGGGGTTGTTGTTAGATTTGAGCTGGTTGTGTGGGAGGTGTTGAGACAAGAAGGGGTGCTCGAACATCATTCTATACCCTGCTGCGATTTCAGCCGTGCTCATGGCCTGCGTGATGCGCGTTGCTTGCCATGTTCGTGCGGCGGTTTCCTCGACGAAGTGCTCGGCGGAAAGAGGTCGTAGGATACGCACTGGTTTTGAGGCATGAGCATTAGCTAGCCATGAGGGTTGATGTATGTGCCTACCGATCAGCAGCTCCTCGGCGCCAGACAACTTGGCCAGTCTGGCTGAGGTCACAGGTCCGTGGTGCAGGATCAATGCGAATAGGTTCAAATCAACGGCGATGCGCGCACTGACGGCAATCATGGGCTTTCAGGAGTCAGCAGCAATTGAGCCAGACGGCGCTCAGGAATGATGCGGTACCGAGCCAGCCAAGTCGATGGCTACGTTCTCCGGCTGCTCCAGCTGGGCTGTCAGCGCTTTGCTAAGCTGTAGGCATTCTCTTTTGGCGTCGCGGTCTTGATCATTGCTGAGTCTTGGGGCCCGGCGGGATAGCTGAGTTATCAGGCTGATGGACTCGTCATTCTGATGTATGGAGCCCATGGCTGGGGGATGGCTGTGCTAATAGAATCAGTGAGGTGTGCTGTGGGAAATGGACCATTGAGTATACAAAATGGAGTGCGAAACGAAACCCTGAGGGCTGGAGCGGGATACTAATATCCTGACATGGCAAGGAACAGTGTGGCTTTATTATAATCAAGAGTGCGAATCCATGGGTTCTCGATCAGGTGTTCGACCCAGATACTTGCAGTCCGCAAGGAAAGTGGCTGCAAAACAGGACAGAACAGCGGTGATCCGGGGTTGCTAAGCTTTGGATTTATCGAACGCATATCCTCGGGATAAATTTCGGATAAAAGATATCGTACAGTTACGTGTCTTGGTTTGAATTCTACAGACTGAATTATGTGGAGGATGGAATTGTTTAAGAATGCATGTAAAGAGCCGTTCGTTATCTACTGCTGGGCAAGTATGTCAACGCCACCATACTACATTCGTACCAACATCACCATGTCATATTTCGCCTTTGTAGTCCAGAGTGTTTGACTTCATAAATAACTTCGCGAGTAACCCCAGTCGATGTAACATGACGGACTGTCGGCAAGCCAGACCGCTCTGCATCCCTGCTCAGTGACGTGACGGAGCCTGGTCTTTGTCCTCCAATTTCCTGCCACTGCTTTAATCCTGTGTACATTTCCAGCAGACGACAACTGACAAGTACCCAGTCCAGCTGGAGGATACAAACCCGCATACAACTAAACAATTCAGTCCACCCCAATGCTGCGTCTTCTCGCACTGGCCGCAACATTCGGCCTCAGCCTCGCCGCTTCACAGACACCACTGCTATCGAGCCCTACCGATGACTTTCGCGTCATCCACAGCACCCAATTCCCAGAGTACTCAGTGCGCATCCGCCAGCAGAACGAGTCCATCTGCGCCGCCGGCTCAGCCCAATACACCGGCTGGCTGAACATCGGCCCCAAACATCTCTTCTTCTGGTACTTCGAGAGCCAGAATGACCCCGTCTCCGACCCGCTGACCCTCTGGATGACCGGCGGACCCGGCGACTCCAGCATGATCGGCCTCTTCCAGGAGATCGGGCCCTGCCTGGTCAACGAGCACGCCAACGGCACCGTCCATAACCCGTGGTCCTGGTCGCGGAACTCCTCGCTCTTGTTCGTCGACCAGCCCGTCGGCACGGGGTTCTCGTACCTCGACGACGGCGAAGACTTGCCCGTGGACTCGGAGCAGGCCGCCGTCGACATGCATCGATTCCTGCAGCTCTTTGTCTCTGAGGTGTTCCCGCATTTGAAGCCTCTGCCGGTGCATCTTTCCGGCGAGTCCTATGCGGTGCGACCCCCCTTCGCACTTCAATTCTCCAGCCCATGCTGATTCCACCCCCAGGGCCATTTCATCCCCTACCTCGGCGCCCGCATCATCCAGCAGAACCAAATCTACCCCTCCCAGCCCCAGGTCAATCTCAAATCATGCCTGATCGGCAACGGCTTCATGTCCCCTCGCGACTCCTTCTACGGCTACTGGGAAACCCCCTGCACGACCAACCCCGGCGTCGCGGCGCCCGTCTTCAACACCACCCGCTGCGACATCATGGCCGCCAACATGCCGCGGTGCATGCACGTGTCCGAAGTCTGCGTGCGCAACCCCGACCCGGCGATCTGCGACGCCGCGCGATCGGTCTGCTACGAGGGCGTGGTGGGATGGTACGACGAGGAGGCGGGCGCTGGGGGGCGGAATAGATTCGATAGTAAGTTCCCCCTCACCTCTTTCAATCCTACCTACCTACCTACCTATTCGGCACCGTCTGTATCTAATATAAGGGTTCTGGGGATATAGTAACAGCCCCCTGTGCGATCGACGAAATGTGCTACATCCAATCCGCCCGCATCGAAACATATCTCAACTCGGCGGCTGTCTGGACCTCGCTTTCTCCTCCTAGTGAGGTCGAAGAGTACAGATTCGTCTCGCAGGCTGTCATTGACGCTTTCGATACCTCTGCGGACGGTATGACGTCCACGTCGGAGCTGGTGGTCTTCCTCTTGGAGCAGGGCGTCGATTTCCTGGCCTACCAGGGAAATCTAGACCTGGCGTGCAATACCGCGGGGAATCGAAGGTGGGCGGAGTCGGTGGTTTGGAAGGGGCAGGTAGAGTTTACGGCGAGGGAGATGAGGGTGTGGAGGGCGTTTGTTGAGGAAAAGGGCGGGATGGAGACGGTGGGAAGGATGAAAGAGGTGAAGGTGGAGGGGGGAGATGGAAAGGTGAGGTTTGCGTTTGTGACTGTTGATGGGGCGGGGCATTTGGTGAGTTCATTCTCTTTTGATGATTGACTGTTAAATTGGGAGGGTTGAAATTGGAGGGTTGGATTGCTAATGTGATGCTGTAGCTACCTCAAGATCGACCAGATGTGGCGCTTGATATGATGGTGAGGTGGATTACCGGGGCGTCTTTTGCATGAGGTGCATGATGCGTCTTTACAAGATGGTGAGTGAGTAGGTGGACTGACAACTAATATTATTAAATGTTAGGTCCTAGATCAATACATGAAGTAAGAATATGGCACAGTTTATCCCACAGGATCAATTGCGAAGATTAAATAAGAAAAGAAATTCCACAACAACGACACGGTCAATCTATTCACTTATCCATTCTAAAAGGCTCTATAATTACCATCATTCCCAACAAATCAAACCATCCACTCTATATCCCAGATGAACAAGGGTGGTGATTCGGTGCGATTGGTGGCTTTGGACGGTGAGTTGTTCTTTGGGACCTTGTTGGGGATTACATGGAGCTTGGAGTGTCTTTGTTGTCCGAAAGCGAGAGCTGCTGCAGTCTCCGGGTGGTTTTCTTCATGTCGTTCACACGTGAGGTCAGACGGAGAGTTGAGCATTGCGCATACCGCCACTCTTGACTGCGCGGCCGTGAGAAGAAGCTCATCAGACAGAGACAGAGCACCCTTGCAATGGACGTGTTGGGTTGTTGAAGAGCTCCATCTTCATCTACATCCTGGTTGGGCTCGCAGAGGTAATAGTACAAGGTTCTTGGGTCGTTGTCTGGGACTCGAAGAAGAATAAGGGCAGTTCCAGTCGTCAAGTAGGAATATTCGACTCCTTGTTGAATCATGAACAGGTATTCCTGAGCCAGAGCCGAGCAGAGAAGGCTCTGTGCGTTGTAGACGGATTGCTCAGCCTCGTCAATGCACATCTGGTTTGTCTCGGTCATTTTCCATATGTCCGTGTCGCCCAGGTTCGGGCGGAGATCCTCCAAGGGAAGCTCGTGCGCTGGTTTGTATTTGATACTAGTGAGGGGGGCTCTTGGCCGTGCCATCAACTCTGCAGACGAAGCCTCGATCCGATATTTCACGGGCTCTGGATATATTGTTCGTGCCTCCGACCATTCCAGCCCAATCCAACACCTCAACATAACCTTCGAACAAAACCCCATCCCCAAGCCCGAACTCTTCTCGCGCAGCAGGGATCTTACACAGTGCCGAGATGACCTGACCGACATGTCATTCCACTGCATTTCGCTCATAGAGCCTCAGGTCACATTCCCGTCCCATCGACCATAATTGCCTACCCAGTTCATCCAACCCACCCCGAGACATAAACAACCGTGGTGCGTCCCCGTCTGGCTGGAGATAGCGACACACCGAGACGTAGGTATCTTGCTGCAGTGCTGGTCACTCGATCCACTGCTTTAGTCGTGGACAGGGCGGTGTTTCGGGATTGGGGATCTGCCATAGGGTTGAGGTGGAAGGGGGTATAGCTTGATATGGTCAAGATAGGACGTTGTAGCAGTGGCGGAGGAATTCGAAGAATGTGGTCGGTTGGGTTTGTTTTCTTGATTCGTCGAATCTTGTTTGTTCAAGATGCTTTCTTTCGGTCTGATGGGCGCCTTGGTTATTAGGTGAGCCGTCTCTAGCCATGGTGGTAGAGGTCAAGCGAGAGGATCGGATTTGCTGAAGATATGAAGTTCCTTTTCTTGTGACGGTCCCTCGATAGATTGGATACTGGTTGTTCTACCTTTAGAGAATATCCACTAGACTAGAGAAGGAATTGAAGGAAAATAGTTTTGTATAGTAGCGTCCTAGAGGCATATATAGATGTTCAACGGAGTGAGAGGCAACGGATGCTTCCGGTAGTTGAACGGTTCCTCCGTCAAAGGAGAGGTACTGATTAAGAATCATTTTAACTGTTTGGCTATACTAATTACCTTCTGCATATGATGGTGAGATGGACCACGGGGGCGTCTTTTGCATAAGGGCATGATTTCAAGGCCTGGACTCTTCAGTACGGTTATTTGGTATGGTAGGTCCTATGAGCTGGTGAGTAGTTAGACTGATACCTAGTATCTTTAAAAACCAGGGCCTATATCATACTACTGTGATAATGTATTCGCAAGCACTTGTGGCTGTCTAGAATCAATATAATATCTCACCGAAGACTAATTACCGAGTGTTTTTCACGAGGACCGAAGACTGAGTCAAGACTAACAAGCAGATAGAGAAGGATTGGCCCAAGCAGGTACCTATATCTGATCATAAAGGAGTAACTAACAAGGTGATTGCAGCATAAAACTTATATTTAAGTAATAAAGTGTCATTAAACGCGAAGAACTAAGCAAGAACTATCTAACAGGTGGGTAAATAAGACCCTTGAATAGTTCTTCCCCGATATACTCCGTGGTCTCTGTAGATCATTTGGTCCATCGTATACCAAGTGATATGCCGCATACCATTTGGCCTTCATATGCCATATCGCGTGACTAGTGAATCCTTCTCGTAGCGCCCCAGGCTCCCGGTAGTTGTTATCCTATCGTTCCTACACCGCGGCTCTTAGTGTTGCAAGGGTTCGTAACAGGTACGTGGCATGAAAGGTGCTCCATACAAGGTCCGAGGATTTCACGCCGCGTCCCCAGATCAACCCTGGCCACCACAGAGGTTGGACGCATGGTTAGAAAGTTGGAACAGGAACAATTAGGATAAAACCGAGACATAGGAAGCTTCAAATACAGAATCAGATCAATAACCTCAAACTGTCCCAGCAATTTATCAAAGAATTCGAATGCGTCTTCCACCGATATAACCCCAAATTTCCATTTTTATGTGCAATACATAAGATAGGTATCTTGGATGCAATTCCGCGCATAATCAGTTTCCTGTTGCGTTTGCAATGTCATATTATGACTCGTATAATAGAAGGCCGGGAGTGTTATATGGACTAATACTTACAAGGAGTTCCGTAAATTGCGAGACCTTTATCTCTTCTTCACAAATAAAACGTGTCTGTCTTTCGTTCATCTCCCCTTTATTGTACGTCTGAGCCCTGTCAAAGTCCAGCCAAACTATCCTCCCAGGGTCGCTTTTGATAATCATCATATTTCTTGGTTTCACATCGCAATGCAGAACATCCGCTTCGTGGATTTGTCGTATGCCATGTACTAAATTTGTTGCGCGTTCTTCATTATAGTGCTGTGGGAGTATCATTTCCATATGAGGAATGTATTCCAGAAATAATGCACTCGGTGGGTATTTGTCATTCAGGAACATATCCAGGTGAGGCTGGTAGAGTCGTAAATCTAGGTCCTTTATTGAGCCGTAGAATTGCGGTATGATACCGCTATTACACAGACCATGTTTCTTCAATCTTTCGTAGGCAGTTGCTTCACAGACGTGAATATCTGTTTCGCGTTCTAGAGGCACTGGCTCAACTTTTCCGGGGTTGTGATGCTGTGATCCTAAGTGTCAGGCATCATAAATAAGCATTAAATCCTTGAGAATAACTGACCACCTTCATCACACATGTCGTGCCACGGATTTCTACTATGAATATCACCGAAAATTGTGAAGCAGTAAGCTGCGCTTTAAACAAAATCTCGGAAGCACTGACGGAACTGAACTCCATTTTCACATATGTATTTATACCTCTCTAGGCGTGCACGGCCCTTGGATATACTTTCGGGCAGCTTTCATATGGGTTTAGGGTAAAAAAACAGGTTGACAAGTGTAGGAAGAACGGACTTCTGGGTGGGAGGACACAGGGGAAGGCTATAGGTAAATATAGGGACAATGGAGAGGATTGAGGAAAACGAAAGGGGTAAGAGGTAAGGAGGCGGCCCGGAAATTGTTTTAGAAACCGCGAATGGTGATTGGAAGGAAAGTAAAAAGGTGAATCCGACAGAAGCCGCCTGGGCCTGAACTATATCCTGTCTTTCGAAAGAATTGTGTGTCCTAATTTCTTTCTGCGAATGTTGAATTAAGTTTCCTACAATTCGCATTTCATATCATCTTGAGCAGTAGTGCCGCTGAAACTCCCGGTTTCAAGCTCTTTGGCTCCGAAGTGTAGGTGTAAGGTTCCAGTTTAATTGTATACAGAAGAGGAGCAGTCAAAACATACTTGTCAAATATCTCACCTTTTGTAGTTGCGGTTTTTTTTCTTCTTCTTCCAATTGAGTGTACATTAATTACAGTGCTTGAGTTGGCGACACTAAGCAACTATATAGGTTTGCATTTTTCCCTTTCTGTTCTCGCCTTACTGTTACTTTCTATTCGAGATTTGGATGTAGAAGATGACACAACAATTTATCATCCCAGATTCTCCCATGAGGACTGTCAAGAAGGGTTTATTGATTAGTGAGTTAAATATATCAGAAAGATTAATCATGTTCAGAAGTCATCACCTGACATCCAAGCCAGCGCTTCAGATAAGCCCAAGAAGTCTTGGAATGTAACCATCCAAGACACCGGCCAGGGATCGGGCCATCCGTGCCCTAAGCAGGAACACGAGGGATTGGCCCCTGCGATCGTATGCCACGACGCCAAACTGTCATTGGCCGAGACAACATTGGCAAGGCTGGAATCGCATATTGCGGACTGCTCGACTTGTACGCATCAGGGGTTAGTGACGCCCGATCTCTTCGCCAGGGTCTCTCATGACCCGTTGTTTGCGCCCCGTGGGGCGAGGCTGGGGATGGTTGTCTTTGGGGGGGGGGGGGGGGGGGGGGGGGTATATATGTATGGGCCATTTCCCTCTAGGGAATGGATCTGTTAGTGCTTCTTCAGTTGGTTTCTTACGTCTGCTCAGGGTTAAGATTTGCTGAGTATAGATCGACCCACATGAGGTTCATCGATGTATGTCAGCCATCTCTCTCTTACCATCTTTCCTTGCTCACCAGCATAGCCTACATAGATATAACCGCCCCACCTTCACTTGAAAACAAAACAAACGTCAAAATGACCCCCGCCCCTCCATACACCGAAACCGCCCACCCCCCGCCACCACCACCTCCTACCAAATCGCACCGCTCGGGATTAATTTCCATCCTCCTCATCTGCATCCTGTGCACGCAGATCATCTCCGCCGTGCTTCTCGGTCTCTGCCTCAGCTGTCTCGGCAGTATCGATAAATTCATCGCAATCCGCCTCCCCAGACTCGTGACGCCGACTCCCACCCCGAGCGCGATGGTGGTGCGGTTCGAGGAGGATCAGCCGCCGCTGCCGGTCGAGGTGTATGGGATTCCGCTGGTGCATGTTAATGGTGTGGATGATGTCGTGAGGGTTACGACTGAAGTTGCGTCGGTGTCGGAGGAGGAGGAGATTCAGGGGACGGGTTAGATGGTTATAGGGTTGGAAGGTTGGGAGTTAGGGTCTAGTGAGGGGCATAAGATATTAATTAGGCATTTAGTTGGGAGTAAGAAGTACCTAAGCTTATCCAGAGTTGAGTATTAAGCTGTTTTGAACCCTTCATTCAGGGCTTATTCCTTTCCGCCCTTTTCTAGCACTGTGTCTTCGATACAAATCCCTCAAGGCGAACACAATTTCCCGAGAAGACAAGGCGATGGCCACACCAGCCAGACCAATTATGACTAAGACAACAACAAAAATGGCGAATATCGAAAACCCCCTAGATACCCGAGCAAAATCCTGCCATGAAGGACCAGACGTGATGAGTTGTTGGACAGCCAATGCGACCTGCATAGCGCTTAACATCACACTGAAGACCCCGAACGCAAAAAGGATGGGCGCATAGAATCTTGCAAAGTATGCCGCATATTGGCCGTGCACCTTTTGATAAGTGAACCGTCGGAGAAATATCTTCGTCCAGAAGTTCAATCGCGAGAGCCGCAATTCGCCGTATGCATAGCGTGGCGAGACATCGCTATCTGGGACATGCTCGAATGCGACGATGAAGCGGGTGAAGTCGGAGAATGGTATCTTTGCTGGTACCAAGAGATGCTTGTCGTCAACTGCCAGGCGATGGTCAGACTTGTGTCGAATGAGATGGCTGTACGACCGAAGGAACCCAAGGGCTGCTTTAGTGAGGTGTGTTCGTTGCGGTTGTGGGATGGGGGAGTCGTTGCTGGTCAGGTAGTACTTCCAGAAGGCATGCGATAGGAGGTATTTTGGCACCGGCTTTACGAAGACTCTGTCCTCTATCCAGACAAGATGTAATCCTGGATCCTCGCTGACAATGATCTGGCGCCCTCGTACAATTTGATGCGTGAGCGTTGAGATGTGTGAGCTATCCTGCTTCGCAACTAGCCACAGATGTGGTGCAAGCTTGTCAAGTGTCGGTGTCACGAGGTCTGATTCGAGAAAGTCGCCTATCATGGGGTCATGTAGGGCTACTCTGGGTAGGTTAGGAAGGTAGCTCTTTACATCTGTGGCTGTGGTTGACTGCGAAGAGGTTGGTTTAGGGCTTCGCTGAATGGAACCGGAATCCGAGGAAAGGCACAGCGTTTGGCACAATTCAGACTGGGCAGGGAATGGCGGATCCATAGTCTGTCATAAGGTGGACTCAATCGCATTCCAGCTGAACCAAGAGGGGGGCACTGCATCATATATGGGTGCAGTTGCCTACTGTGTTTGTCCCCATATCCCTGTTGCCAGCCCCAAGTCTACCGAGTCGCTTCGTATGGCCAGCCAGCCAACTCTGGGCGGTTAAACACATATCCAATCATCTCAATCGGCAGCCCACCATGATGCCTTCTAAGAGGAAAAAGTAAATATACAAGTGCTTATAAGCCGCCCTGTCGCCTGGTAAGTGGCTGGATACCTACAAACCCCCTCGAACCTACTCAAATATGCTTGTAGTGACCACCATATGCGCACTGTATGCCCTGTGGGCAGTCGTGTTTGCAGATAGCCTTTTCAATCGACTATGGAGCCTTTCCTTTTGCTCGCTCCTTCTCCTTGTTAATCACGTATTTTCCCTTCCCTTTTCTCTGCAGGCAATCATCTTCTACGTCCTGGCTTTCTTTAATGTTTTGCTATGTCTTGCTCTGTCTCCGTTACTTGCCCTTCTGCGCCGCAAAAGTCCCCCTGAAAACAGTGCGAATCGGATACAGCTTTTGTCCGAAGGAAAGGGTCCATTCATAGCAGAGTATGCCCCCCTCCCCCAGCTCCTCCTGTACCCTTCCATCATACTCCTCGGTATTGAAACATTGACCTAGTATTTTTCTCGTTCACGGGCTTGGCTCAAATCCGGAGACAACCTGGAAATCTGACCCAGAGAACGGGGTATCCTGGGTTCTCGACTTGTGCAAAGACCTTTCAGATTGTCGGGTTTTCGCTTTCAACCATAACTCAAGGTGGTCGGATAACACACTGAGCAAATCGTTGAGAGATCATGGCGACGATCTTTTTCGGTCCCTGGGTCCCTGGCGCAATTCAGAAGAGGTTAGCCACGATGCTACGACTCAATACCACTATGTGTGGCGCCAACACTAACCGGCTCAGGAGCAACGCCGACCGATCATCTTTATAGGCCATAGCTTTGGCGGGTTGGTCATCAAGCAGGTGTGTGTGTTCTCTATGTTCATCGCCCAGTTGGCGTTCACATCTAAGGCAGAGAAAAGGCTGTTGTCCTTGCAAAAGAGGACGGGAGATATGAGCAGACCTTCACAGAGACTCCAAAATACATCTTCATGGGGACACCGCATAAAGGTTCCTCGCTGAGTAGATTTGGGATGCTGGTGTCCAGCTTCAGGTACTGGGAGGGCTCAAGCACTAATCTACTGGAGACGCTCAAACCGGGATCCATGGTCAATAGCCGCCTTAACGAAGCCTTCCTTTCCTCGCTCAAAGAAGGTTGCCGACGGGACAATACGCTCTGTTGTTTTGAAACCGTCAGGGAGACCCTTTTTGGATTTCCGCTGATCCCTGTAAGTCTGTCATGGTTGACGAGCAGTGAACATATTTTGATCGTGAAATAGGTCGTCGAGGAACATTCGGCCGTCATTGATGGGGCCATGAAAATAGGCTTTGAGAGGGGTCATCGGAGAATGCAGCGTTTAAAGAAAGAAGGCGACGACTACAATGACATAGTTTTCTGGATAAAGGAACGCGTGAAGCCATTCAGGACCAGGCAAACCGGTAAACACCCAGGATGAATGAGGGAGTAACTCTTTGAGATGGGATACTGATAAGCGTGACCAGAGCTGGCTCGTGAAAAGAAGACCAAAAAAGAGAAACGCCACAAGGGTTAGCTGCTTCATGTATCTACAGTGTGCTAAATTGAGACTAACTCTTTATTATATAAGAGTTGTATCGTTCCTTGACTTTTCAACGAATGAACACGCGAGTCATCAAAATCGAACCGTCACTGGACAAAACCTGCACCTGGCTTTTAGGTAAAGAGGATTACGAGAGCTGGCTGAAGAAAGACAGAGGGTTACTCTGGATCAAAGGAAAGCCAGGATCGGGAAAGTCGACATTGATGAAATGGGCGCTGAAGAACCATCCAGCGGACGAAGACAACAAGATTGTTGCCTCATTCTTCTTCGATGGTAGAGGTGAACACCTCCAGAAAAGCCTTGAGGGCTCATATCGGCATCTCTTGGTTCAGATTGCCGACCAAAATATGGGTGTTCTTGAGAAATTGAGTGCGAATTATGAGAAGTATCGCAATATGCATAATGATTATGGTCAGGGTTGCATCTGGGAAGAGAAAGAGCTACAAGGCCTTTTGTCCGAAGCCATCTTGAGCGCGTCAAGGGAGTCTCACGTTTGGATTTACGTGGATGCATTAGACGAGTGCGGAGAAACAGCCGCACGAAGTCTATTGTTCTTTTTCCAGAGCTTGATTTCACCTCTAGATTTGGAGGGCCCTGGACATCGGATATCCATATGCTTCTCCTGTCGGCACTACCCTGCTCTCCACTATGAACATGGTGACGAAATCACCATGGAAAAGAACAATGGGTTGGATATTGGTGCCTATGTGGAAAAGAAGTTAGAAGGTCGACACTTCGAGAAAGATCTCATTGCAGAGGTCAAGCCGGAGATTATATCCAAGGCCCAGGGCGTTTTTCAGTGGGTTCGAATTGTTGTGGAGATCATCATGGCAACCGCCTCGAAAGCGACTCCTCGTCAAAGGGTTATTGAACAGATCCGGTCATTACCAGGTGAGATCAGCGATCTATATAACAAAGTTCTTCTAGAGCCAGAGGATGCAGTAGATTCTCTACGGCTCATGAAATGGGTTTGTTTTGCCCTGCGACCTTTGTCACTGGCAGAGCTACGCTTTGCGTTGATCCTGGATGCTGCACCAGCCTGTACCTCTTTGGCAGAATGTCAGAACCACATGGACTTTGTGGAAACAGACTCGCAGATGAAGCAAAGGGTGAACTATCTCTCCAGGGGCCTTGCTGAAGTCCAGGATCAGGAAGAGCAACGAGTGGTACGGTTTATCCACCAAACTGTGAACGACTATCTTCTTGACCAGGGACTCCAGGAGCTCGAAAGCCTTTCAAAGGGGGAGGAAAGCAAAGCAGTCTCTGCGGGCTTGAAAAAGGAGAGGATTGCAAAGGGTCACCGGCAAATTCTAAGTTCATGCATCCGGTATATATTTATGCCCGAGCTTTTGTCTCTTGCGGAATCATTGTCTCCAGAATTCCTTCCATCTACTCAGAAGCTAGATACTGAGTTTCAATTCCTTCGGTATAGTATCAAGTACTGGGTTTCACACGCAAGTCTCGTCGAGGACGGAAAAGTCGAGCAGATTGACTTGCGCAAGTTCTTTCAATGGCCATCAAAAATGATGGTGGAAGCTTACATGGCTCTTTGGCGCTGGACATTCTCCGATTATCGCGCCGGCTTTCTAATGATACCCGGGAGTAGCCTCTTTCATATCGCAGCACAATACAATTTGTTGAGTGTTGCGGAATGCATAATCGAGACAGATAGCAGCGAAGTCAACATCCTTAACGATCGATTCCAAACACCACTTCATAAGGCTTCTGCAAGGGGCTGCACTAAGATATCGCGCATCTTGCTAGAAAACGGTGCACTTGCAGATTGTCGCGACACAGACGGCTGGACGCCACTTCAACTTGCGACTCTTCTTGATCATAACGAGATAGCTGAGTTGCTGCTGAAACATGAGGCCGACCCAAACCTCCGCGGGTACAAGGATCAAACCGCATTACATACAGCTGCTCAAAGCTCGGCTACTAGAACTGCCGAGGAGCTATTGAAATATGCCAATGTTGATGTTGATGCCCAAGATAAACTTGAACGAACACCACTCTTCTGCGCTTGTAATTCCAAGTCAGCAGACATGATATCACTACTACTCAAGAACGGATCCAATCCCAATATTCAAGACATGGATGGACTCACCCCATTGAATTATGCGTCTCGGCTGCCACATTCAGAATCGGTGATAAAACAGCTTGTTCGCACAGAGGGTGTGGACAAAAACATCAGCGACAAAAGCGGATGTACACCACTGGGCTATGCAGCGCTCAAAAGCCGCGTGAAAGTAGCCGAGATACTCCTGGAATATGGCGCCGACCCAAACATTGCGGACACAAGGCAAAAACGGACGCCATTGATGTTGAGTGTTTCTAATAATCGCAGGGATGTTGCTGGTTTATTAATTCGCGGTGGTGCTCGCTTGGATTGCAGAAACTTCAATCAGTCAACGCCTTTACATAAAGTGCGTTCAAGCAAGATGGCAGAGTTGCTACTAAATGCCGGAGCTGATCAAAAAGTCGAGGATGAGAATGGCCAAACAGCATTACACGTTGCTATCAATAAAAGGTTCTATCATACAGCAGCAACACTGCTTAACCATGGTTCCAGTCCCACAGCCCGGTGTCAACTTGGACGGACCCCGTTACATAGAGCTGCTTCGCACAAAAGGTCCGGAGACATCGTCAATCTTCTGCTCGAAAAGGGTGCCGACCCAACAATTCCAGATCTGAGTGGTGAATCACCATTAGACCGCGCCATTGCTCGTGGGAATGATGGGATAGCTGATTTGTTGCGTAACTGGAAGGGCTTTTCAAAAGCATAGTTAATAGCAATGGCTGTTTCATGTCTTCATTCTCCAAAATCCCATGAGAATAATCGAATTGGTTTATTGTACACATATATTCTAGGTAGAGATTTTCTTATATTTGGATGCTTTACTGATAATATATGCTCTGGCCTTGTTCGTGTAGATATCGATCATGTAGAGTAGAGTTGTCTTTGATAACTGGTCTATAATGACTTTATCATTTCTAATTCTATTATTGAAAGACTGTACATCCTAGTAAGAGCAGATATAAAAGTGTATACCTAAGACGGTGAATCCTCCCCTGCAAAGAACAAAACCACCACCTCCGCCGCGACCTTCGCATCATCTTCATCTTCACCTTCACTTTTCCCCTTCCCCAACTCAATCAACCGCAACCACTCCACCATCAACTCCGGCTTCCACGCCGCCCTCCTCCCAAACTCCCTGCACGTCTCCGCATTCACCACCGCATCGAACTCGAAATGCCCCTGATACGACAGCACCCGTTTCGGACAATACAGCCCCTGGATCGGACACGCCTCGCTGCTCCCCACATTCATCCACGGCGCCGGCAACACCACCGCATCCCTGGCCCCAGACGCCGGAACCACCCAGTCCCCGTGGATCATCTGCAATCTCATCTTCTCCCCATCCCCGGGCAATCTGTCCCGCAGAGCCGGAAAAGAATCTCTAAACTCCCCCGTCAGCGAGATCGGCACAAGCCCCATCTCGCGACCATCAGGGCACAGCTCATTCCGCAGCGGCGGCGAGAGCAGCGTCTGCGCGAGGATCTGGTGTCCGAAGCAGGACCCGAAGATCTTGACGTGCGGGTAGTCGTTGTAGACGAGCGAGAGGAAGTCCGCGAGCGGGGCGATCCATGGGTACGTGGCGGTTTCGTAGGCGGCGGGGGCGGAGCCCGTGAGGAGAATGGCGGAGATCGGGAGCGCGAGGGGGTTCGTGCTTTGAGTGTCCTCGGAGGACGAGTGTGTCGGGGGCGAGGTGAGAAAACTGCTCAAGGGCGGGTAGTTGCCGCCGATGAGGTCCCAGGCGGAGGTGTGGATGGCGATAGGACGAGTGCGCGTGGCGTTGAGTCGCGAGGCGGCGGATTCCAACAGACGCCGGAAGATGGAGCTGTAGAGGCCGCGGGTGTTGTAGATGGCGGGGACGGGGACGTCCAGGTCTAGGATTGCGACGTGGATGGGGAGGGCCATGGTTTTATTGCATTAAGGACTGTTTCATCAGGGATTGCAGGATGATTGAACAGGGTGAGTCAGAAGTTGGCAGTGGAATGAAAGTTGGTCTGCGAATTGGAGATTTGGAGACGCGGATTGGGTTGCCGCATTGGGCAGTTGGTTCCTACGGAGGGTTTCTGTTAGTCACGAGTTTATAGGACTATATTCTAGAATATGGTGTTGACATGTATGAAGCGAATGGGGACTGCTTGTGATGTAGGCGAAGTATATAAACCCTGTAGATGTAGATTGGATTGCTGGTTACACTAGATCCCCAGTTTGGGGAACTCAGGCGACCAATCCAGTGGCTGTCATTGTCAGACACTGCGTAGTACATCTACCAGAGTAGAAGATATACAGTCAGACAATTAGTTCAACAAATTAGAACTACTAGAAGAAGTGTAAGCAATGCGACGTCCCACGATGACTTCATATCCTAGGGTATAGGGCCAGTTGCCCTACCAGGGACTTCGGAGAACCGCAGTAGAACAACCCTAACATACTTCGAGTGTACAATATCAATAATCAATCTAATCTAACTCAATAATCAGAAGTTAATAAACCCGAGATTCTCGCCCGAGAAATCTCATCCGATCATCGCGATTGGCGTTCGCACGTGCGCATCCTACCATTCCCTGGTCGTATGTATACCAAACCCTACTAGTACAGAGGCCTCAATTCTTTCCAGACCACTCCACCTTCATGATCCATTGATATATACGCAGTAATAACGGCACCGTCTTTCCTCATAACCCGAAAATAAAGAAATAAGACCAAATGGTGTCTTCAAGCGCTGCCATGAGCAATGATCAACCGAGATCACAACATCGACCCCGGACGATTGCGCCATCCGCTCCCCAATCACAACAGTCGTTCTTCACCTTCTTCCCTTCCGTCGGCAACCACGTCCTATGAGAACTTCCTGATCATCGCACGCCATGCACCCCACTCTTCGACACATCGTTGCAGCTCCGAGTCCTGGCGATCGCTGGTCTGCATATCGAGGGGTCGGTTAGAGGGGCAGCCGAGGAAGAGGTATATAATGCGGACAACCCCTCCTTGACTCGATGCCAGACAATTGTGCCGGATCAACTGAACTGCAGGCTCTCACGGGTATATTCACAGCCCTTAAATTTCATTTCATCATCATACCATACCTGCAATGGCGCTCACTCAACCCCCCGTCCCCGTGGACATCTTCCCCGACGGCCTGAAAACCACCGGCCAACACCCCCCTCTTTCCGAGCACATCCACCCCTTCGACAAATTCCCCAAGGAGATCTCAGGTCCGACCCTCTGGAAGGCCGAGGACTACCGCGAGCACCCAGAGAAATGGACTCATCGGTTTTCGGCCGAGGAGATCGATGAGCTGAGCGGCGCTGCGGATGCGTTTCTTCAGAACAAGATCCCTCTGACGGGGATCAGCAAGGTAATCCACCTCCATCTACACCAAACGAACACAGCTGACCACGACAGTCCAACTTCCCCCTCCCCAACCTCTCCAACCACCTCGAGACTCTCCGTCGCGACCTCATCGACGGCAAGGGCTTCATCCTCTTCAAGGGCTTCCCCGTCGAGAAATGGGGCAACCACAAGTCCGCCGTCGCGTACATGGGCCTGGGCACGTATCTGGGCTACTTCGTCAGCCAGAACAGTCGCGGCCACGTCCTGGGCCACGTGAAGGATCTCGGCGAGGACTCGACCAAGATCGACTCGGTGCGGATCTACCGGACGAATGCCCGGTATGTTCTTGACATAAAACCTATACTGTACAGTAGGGCCACAGCGCTAACGAACCCAAAGGCAATACTTCCACGCCGACGACTCCGACATCGTCGGTCTGCTGTGCATCGCGCGCGCCCTCGAAGGCGGCGAATCCGACATCGTCTCCTCGCATCACGTCTACAACACCCTGGCCAAGGAGCGCCCGGACGTGCTGAAGACTCTCACCGAGCCGATCTGGTACTTCGACCGAAAGGGCGAGACGAGTAAGGGCCAGGACGAGTACATCAAGACGAGTGTCGTGTACTTGGAACGGGGGGAGAATGCCCGTGTTTATACCAAGTACGCAATCCCCCAACCTCATCCCTTTCCCTTTCCCTTCCCCATGACTCCTCTGCAGATGGCTAACAGATAACTCAAAGATGGGACCCGTACTACGTCCGCTCGCTCACCCGCTTCTCCGACGCCGGCATCATCCCGCCCCTCTCGCCCGCCCAGCTCGACGCCCTCGAGGTCCTCGAAGCCACCTGCAACCGGCTCTCCTTGCACATGATCCTCGAAGTCGGGGACATCCAGTTCGTCTCGAACTCGCATGTCCTGCACGCGCGCACGGCGTACACGGACCATGCGCCGCCCGCGCCGCGCAGACACTTGATGCGGCTGTGGCTGGCGACACCGGAGCACGAGGGAGGCTGGAAACTGCCGTTCTGGGATAGTAATGAGAAGAAGAGGGGGGGTATTCAGGTCGATGATCAGCCGCCGGTGGCGCCGTTGGATGCGGAGTAGATTTGTTTGTTTGTGGATTTGTGTATGTGTATGTTTGATGATGATGGAGTTTAATACCATGTTTTACTATCTTTCTAATTAAGATTCCACCAAGTCTAGATGGGATGGATGCGGTGGAATATGATTAATCGTGTAATTCGTAATTCATACAAACAGTCAGCTAGACCCCTCTCCCTACTCCCATACCCATACCCACACCCACTCATTACCCACATACTATAGGAATGGAAATACTATTGTACAATGCGATAATTCCCGCCACTCACAATCTCCAACTTCCCCTTGGCCACCATGCCCGCCAAAAACTCCCGCAACTCCTCATTACTAAACGGGAACCCGCCCGGCACCGCAATCTTCAACATCATCACGATCTGCTGCAGCGGCATCGCGCCCTGGTTCGTCAGCATCCCCACGATAAACTGCCAGTACAGGTTCATCTTCTCCATGGCTGCTGCCTCGGCGGTTTCTTTCGCGGCCGCTGCGGCGGCAGCGCTGGCGGCGGCGGCGGCGTGCGCGGGTTCCGCGGAGTCAGTTGCGGAGGTCGGCGATGTTCCTCGTCCTGTGGCGGCGGCGTCGTCGTCTTCGGTGGGGAGGACTTCGAGGACGCGGAAGGTGTCTCGTGGCGATTCGGTGAGGATGCGTTTGCTGACCCAGAAGAGACAGGCGCTGCGCACGAGGGGGGTGGACATGTGCAGGGTTTGGGAGAGTTGGTCGACGGTGAGGGAGATGGGGCCGTCGGTTTCGGAGTTGAAGGCGTGGATGACGGTGGCTTGCCAGGTGGTGACTTCGTCGACGAAGACGCGGTCCTCGAGGTCCAGTTCGACGGTGACTTGGCCGAGGCCGTTCAGCCAGGTGAGTTTGCGGGACTGCTTGAGGGAGGCGAAGCCGGCGGAGTAGCGCTGCTGGAGCTGCGAAATGTCGGCGGGCACGGAGAATTCCTGTTCTTGGATGTCGGGCCAGAAGAAGTGCGAGAGGATCTTGGCGTGGAGGTCGGGTTGGTCGTGATCCTTGGTGGTGCTGGTGCTGGTGCCCAGACCCTGGTCTCTGCGCACGACGGTGTCGACGCGTCGGGAATCGAAGATGTCGCGCAGCATGACCTCGCAGGCCTGCAGGGCGTTGTCGCCGAAGCGCACCTTGAGCAGCTCCAGGACGGACATCTCCTGGTCGAACTCGGTGCGTTTCTCGAGCAGTCGCTCCGCCAGCATGTTCTGCATCTCCTTCACGAAGGTCTCCTTGGACTCGAACAGACTGATCAAGCTGCCGATGACGTCGGAGCTCTTCGATTTCCGGTAGTCGGGCGCTGCATCCACTGGGTCGGGGATCCAGTTCATATCATCCCAGTCCAGCTCACCTGATTCATTGCGCAGCGAGTTCTGGTGCGCTTTGGTCAGCTCGGCGGACAGTTCCACCAGCGTTTCTCCGCCTGAGGCGGCATGTCCGTCGGCCTCAGACGGGTCGGCCAAAAGCCCGCCGACGATGGCCTTGACCGTGTCGTCGCGGTCGCGAAGGTATCGGCGGATCGGTCGAGCTATCCGGTCCAGTAGCACCCCTTTAGGGTCAAGGAGGTTGAACGCCCGGATGATCGAAATGTATAGCTGTAGGATCTCGACGGTCGATGCCCCGGGATGGAGAAGTCGACGGTTGAGTACTGCAACAAAAGAATGCGTGAGATGGAGTCGCGCCGCCGTGTATGTGGTGAAATATCGGAGATCCTCGATGGCTCCGCTGCTGGCAGGCCATTCCACAATCACCTCGAAGAGCTCACTGGTCCGGAGCGCCCCCAGTCGCGCGATGGCGATGTCCTGCCACTTGTCCACGTCACTGAGATTCACATCCAGATAATCCTCTTCTTTGGCACCAGACTCCGGCACATTGATGATGGCCAGGACCTGCACCACCAGCCGAGCAAACACATTCTCGATCCACTGTCGTAGATGCTCCGCCACCAACGACGGACCCTCCCATTGACCCGTATACGCGGCACGCACAAACTCAGTCACCATGGTATTCATCACATCCGCAAAGACCTTCTGGGCTTTTTCTCCGCCAAACCCGACAAGCTGGAGCCCTGTGAATAGAGACAACAGTCGCTCGCGAGCCCCCGTGACCTGCTCATCCTCGCTCTCCGTCATCATATGCACTCGGATATCAGCAGACGGCTCGTCCTTCCAGTTGCGATATGACACAGAATGTTGCCGGTCAATCTCCATATTATCCACACTCTCCGTCTCACTGAGGTCCCCGTCGTTCAGGGTATCGATTCCCAGCACAACGACCGTCTCCTTCGTGACCTCGCGCGCCAGCAACCCCGAAACCTTCGGCCACGGCAGCCCATACGAGATCATCATATGGAACTCGCGCCGCAGTTTGATAAACACCCTCTCCTGCTCCGAGCGAGCTAGCAACGGCAAAATATACTCCATCAGCGGAGCGAAGTATATCCGTCTCGCCAGCTGCAAGCAATGCACGATCCTCTGCAGCAGCCCATCCTTCTCCGGGTCATTCAACAACTATAGTATACCCCGGTATCTCATCAGAACAAATCCCTCACTCTTTTCAAAGGATCAGGCCACAGTTACTCACCGCAAACAACCCCTCTCTGAAATTCTTCAGGAAATGCCTCCGAATCTCATTCCCGTACCAATCAATAATACTCTGCCTTCCCGCCTCAGCCAGCTCATCCCGTCCCTGCGCAGTCACATACTCCAACGCCCCCATGACCTCCTTCGACGGCGTCTGATGCCGATTCGCGCGACGAAGAAACTCCTCCTCGCTGATCTGACTCGCCAGAAAGAATCCATTATCCGGGATACCCAGGAAGCTGGTTACCGCGCGCCACGACGCATCCCACGTCGTCTGTTCCGGCGCGGGCGCGGGCTCGGTCGCAGGGGGCGCGGGTCGGAAGTCGTCGAGCGAGGAGGGCGGGAAGACGGAGGCGAAGACGCGTCGTCGGCCGGGGAGGATAGGCGGTGCGGTGGAGGCCATGGTTTTTCGAGTGAGGGTCTATGTAGGAGGCATTGCCAGGGGAGGGGTGAGTAATGAGGGTGTTGCTCAATCGGCGCCAACAAATGCAAATGCCTGAGCTCGGGTTGCTTTGCTTTGCTTTTCTTTTCGTTAACGTATTCCACAAGCGAGTCGGCACCACAAGCGAGCCGGCACCCCCGCTCCAATTTCTGCCCGCGGACCAAATACTAGAGGCTTTATCAACGAAATAATTGCATTTCTATATAAAAACTAATTAGGAACTCGATTGGGACATTGTAACCGTCTATGTCCTAGAATATGACAATTACTGCAGCGTGGTGGCGCTCGTACGCGTGGCTCAACTGCAGAAAGTGCAGGGTCTAGAGGAAGCGTATTTTGAGCTTCATCAACCTCATTCTCGCGCTGAAATCGCTCTAGGCCTTCTTGAATAGCTGATCCCTCTGTAATAGCTAGCTGCCTAGTAGAGCGTTTCTTTTTTTGAAGCTTCTTTTCATGAGAAGCGCGTAATTCACGGATTTCTTCGCGTGCAAGAATAAGCTCATTAAGGTGTAATTCATGACCTTTAATAAGCTTATTAAATCGCATCTCTAGCGAAGATGAAGGGCCCTGCGTACGCGCTTTAAGCAGCTTCTTTGCTGTAGATGCCTGCTTTTCAAGCTGCCTAGTTGTATAAGGCGTTTTTGGCGCTGTATTGGTAGATCGACTGCCTGGTGGTGTAGGGGTCTTTAGCTGAATATTTAGCTTACTGAGTACCCTATCTGGATTAAGTGGAACTAGACCAGCACCTGCGAAGCTATTCCGAATAGTATCTGCTTGAAAAGCGCTTTCACGAGCTTGTGGAAAGGCCTCTAAGAAATTAAACTTATCGATATGATTGATTCCCAAGCGTGCCTGTTTCTCAACTAAGCTGCCGTACGCCCGCTTTAGAGGCGAGAAGCAGCCAATATCTAGAGGCTGTAGTAGATGCGATGAATGTGCAGGCATGTAGATAGGAATAATATTATTCTTACTGCATATCTGGTCGAATTGAGGTGTAAGATGGCTGCTATGACCGTCAAGAACTAGAAGACGATATCTTCCAGTTATACGACTAGTAGTAGTCGGAATAAAGAGGTTTTTAAGCCAGCGAAGGCTTATCTCATCAGTAGTCCATCTATTAGGACTAACTTCAATCCTGCTATCGCGTGGGAGTTTGATATCTTGATACCAACCCTCTATATGGATCTTTCCTTTAAAGATCACACATGGAGGAAGTGCCCAACCGGTTGAGTTAATACACTCGATTGAAGTAACCTATTCTTGATTGCCAGGCTGTATAAGAGAGGCCTTTCCGTAGTAATTAGCTCTAGTAACTACTTGAGCAGTAGCTACTAAGCCCATAGCGAAGCCAGTCTCATCAAAATTGTAGATATCTTCCTGTACAATTCCATGTTGTATTATAATGATTTGTACGCGATCAAACCACTCTCTGATAATCTTGGGGTCTTCGCATTTAGCGCGCTGATAATTATAGTGTCGAGTATAGCGAGTTTTCAAGCGATCTTGTCGTTTAATAAAGTTGGAGACCCAGTTCACTCCGACTGATTGAACTGGGGTAGTATCGCGCGCAGCAAGAAGAATATTGGCCATTTCTTGTATATGGGACGGTCGGGGAGGCGCTCCACGTCGATCTAGCGATAGAATCTATTGTATAAGCGATTCCTCTTCATTTTGAGTCATTTTATGACTATTGGCACGTGTTTCTGAGCGATTTGTTTTTCCGCGTAGCCGATCTTGTAGAGTAGAACGAGGCATATTATAATGACGCGCAGCTTTAGCAATTTGGGTAATTTGTTTATTTTCTATAGCAGAGATTGCTAATAGAATCCTCCCCTTCTGCTCGGCTGAATTTCCTGACTTTTGACGCGCTTTTGGAGGCATGGTTAGTGGTTGAATTGAGTAAGGTTTTTGATCGCGGTCAAAACGCGTTGGGGTGCCGGCTCGCTTGTGGTGCCGACTCGCTTGTGGAATACGTTATCGCGCGGCACAACAGCGATGACTCAGCACTATCAGCATGTGACCTTATCGATAAGGATGAGCTAGTCCTATTTGGGTTGTTTGGAGGGGTTTGCGTGTTGTTCAGGTGTCCAGGCAGAACATGTCCCATTAGACTTGTGCTTCTCTGATCGTGGGCAGGTAGTCCAGCAACCTAGATGTATAGCCAATTTCCTTCATTTGATATGTTATAACAAGCTGGTGATATCTAGGGGTATCTTGGTTCGAAGACCCAAGCAAGGAACGTATATAATCGAGTGTCGAATGCCAGGCAAACCGCCTCATTCTAGCGTCAAACAGACATAGCCACACACAGTACCGTAAAGCAGTACTCGAAATCGCACATAAACCATACAGCAAGTGCCTCCACCTACTCCTACATGCTATGCCCCGTTACTATCCTCCACCTTCTCCCACTCGCTATCGGTGCTCACATAGCCCGAGCTGTCCCCTCCGACGCTGGAGCGTTTGCGAACCTCTCCTGAGGCCTCTGGCGGCTGGAGAGTCGGGACAGGAGTGGACCGAAGGTCGGGTGCAGACGCGTCTGAGCTCCTCCTGTTATGCTCCGAGATGCTTTCCGTCTCCGTGTCGCTATCGGAGTCCAGAGCCCCCGGCGTCTTTCTTCGATTGCCGTCATGCTTGTCCTTGGCCTCCTCCGGGATCTCCCGTGCCGGGGTATCCTGCTTCTCTTTCTTCTCCTTCTCGGCCTCGGCGGCCTGCACGGCTCGCACTTCCCGAGCAAACCAGTTGATCGAGTACCAGAGGGAGCCCGAGAGGAGGGAGAGGATGACGAAATGGATGCTGTAGGTGGCGACGAGAAGGGAGAACAGGACGACTTGCAGGGCGGCGAAGGTGACGTTGGTCGCGACCAGCAGGGTCGGAGTGGGACCCGGGGTAAAGACGCTCGACCAGAGCTCCTCCACGAACGATCCCATGATAGCTCAAGAGATATCTCTCGGTCCGATGCGAAGCGGGGGTTAGAGTCGGAAGAGGAGAAAGGGTCGGGGTAGAAGCGCGGAATGACGTTGGGAGAGTCGGAAATTGGAATCCGTTCCTGGTGAACTTTCTTTTTTTGTCTTTTTTTCTGCTTCTGTTGGGAAGCCCCGTCTTTAGTGTATTCCGTTAGTGACGCACGTCTTCGGGATCGGGCTGTTACAGAGGACAGGGAGAAATCAAGGCATTTACGGACCGATGATGCGATTAGGGAAGACCGTCAGAAGAGGGGATTCAGTCTGCGATGCAAGACGGCAGAAAACCTCCACGGCCAAGAATCGGGAGTTGCCCGAAAGTGACGGTCGGCGTTTGAGAGATGACGGTGGAGACGTCGCGAGCACGGAGTCTCGGTCGGAAAATTGGAGCCGCCCCAGGATTCCCAGGGACCAAGGATGAGGTTAAAATTCGGCGCAGTCGCTTTCCCCGTGGGGTTGACAGATGAACTTATGAAGTCGGGGTTCTAATGATGTGAATGAATGGATGGTTGTAGAGAGTGAGAGATGGAGGGGAAGACAGGCTTATTTGGTCGCGAGTCACGTCACCTCGAGGGTGCCTGACCGTCTTATGCGCGCCCTTCTCAGGCACCGACAAATCTCGTGATGCATCGATTCGTCTGAAAGTCTTGGGCAGAAACTGAAACCGAAACTAACCTTCTACGAGACAGGCATGTCCGGAAATTCTCGGCTCGTCCACTGGTAGGAGGTACGCCTGTCCGATCGGCTTTCGACTTGACTGCTTCTGTCTCCGTTGCCGTGAGACTCCAGCCAGCTAATGCGACCTCGATCATCCGCCAACTTTGTAGTAAAGCGCAAGGAGTGATTGGCTGCTGTCCCGCAGATGCGTGGGTCTGCCACGAGTACGGGGAATGGCGAGAAATTCGCTGGATGTAGCAGATGAGGGATGACTGATAGACGCTGACGATCTGACCATGGCTCTTGACCCCAATGATGACATCCCACGGCCTGTCGAGCCAATCATCGCAGAGCTAAAGCCGTTCGGATCAAGATGAGTGTCCATCAGAGACCCCATGTCCATGCCGGCCAGTCCCTGCCTGCCCAGATCGTGATGTCTGTCGGTCTCCTCGTGCGCGTCTCCAGCGACAAGAAGACGGGGATCCCGTGATATGCCTCACGTGGAGAGGCAGACCCTATCACGAAGCCGGCATTCGTCAAGGGTGACACCAAGCTTCCATGGATGTCCTGGATCATCTCGACCGGGATTCCGTCTCTCCAGGCTGCGCCTTCCAGTGGATTCTCCCCCGGAGAGCTTTCCCCTCAAACTTCCTGCATGCAGTTTAGCTCGCACTTTCTCCGGGCCCACCTCCCCTAGACCGGCGCGTTATTCGACAGCCCCAGGGGATCGCCGTTCTTTGTACTCGGGAGGCACGTCTCTTCCTGGCCTTGGCCTCATGCGCGCTGGAAGCAGCCGTCGGCCGTGGTCGAGTCTGCGAATCAGAGCGCCGGGTCGGCCTTTGGGTGTCATGGCGGCTTGATTGAATTCGGTCCTATGTGTCTTTTGGGAATCGTGGTCCCTATCCACCGATCTATATAAGGTGTACTGCAACTCCTTGCTTTTCTTTTCTACTAGTGTGACAGTCATAGGTGTCTGGCTCCCTCGGTTTCTAGGCATCTTGCCAACCCCTCCCATATTATCCTCTCTCTCTCTCTCTCTCTCTTTACTTCCCGTTCACTTCCCCCAAACTAGCAGACATGGTGGACAAGCCTCCCCAAGTCAAAGATGTGGACGATCGTTCATCCATAGAGGGATTCTCCCACCATGCAGAGAATATCTTGAACGAAAGAGAGCCGTACGGGCCTGCCGGTCTGGCAGGTCTAGTGGCCAACCCATTTGTGCTCATGTGCGCAGCCTGCTCCACGCTCGGAGGGTTAGTCTTTGGCTACGACCAAGGTGTGGTGTCGGTCATTCTGGTAATGGATCAATTCCTTGAACGGTTCCCCGAAGTGTCGCCCGAGGCATCGGGATTTTGGAAGGGATTGATGACGGCAATGATCGAGTTGGGCGCATTGATAGGGGCTCTGAACCAGGGTTGGATTGCGGATATGATCTCGCGTCGCTATTCAATTGTTGTCGCCGTCATTATTTTCACAATCGGATCGATCCTTCAAACGGCTGCAATGGATTATGCTATGCTGACTGTTGCTCGGTTCATTGGCGGTCTGGGTATTGGCATGCTTTCGATGGTGGCACCGTTGTACATCTCCGAGATCAGTATGTGCAACACAGTGCGGGTGATTAAGAATCGTCATGGCTAACAACGTCTATCTAGGTCCTCCCGAGTGTCGTGGCACCCTTCTTGTGCTTGAAGAATTCTGCATCGTGCTCGGCATTGTCATCGCCTATTGGATTACCTATGGCACTCGGTTCATGGCTGGAGAGTGGTCCTGGCGTCTCCCTTTTCTTCTTCAGATGATCCCGGGCTTCGTTCTGGTTGGGGGTGTTATTGTGCTGCCTTTCTCTCCTAGATGGCTGGCCTCCAAAAATCGGAACGAAGAGGCACTCGAGAGTCTTTCTAGACTTCGGCGCTTGCCGACATCTGACAAGCGCGTGCGCCAGGAATACCTCGACATTCAAGCCGAAGTGCGATTCCACCAGGAAATGAACGCCGAGAAGCACCCCGACCTTCAGGGTGGCGGACTGCGAAAGTCCTTCCTGCTCGAAATGGCCTCTTGGACGGATCTATTCAAGAAAGGCTGCTGGCGAAGAACCCACGTTGGTGTTGGACTGATGTTCTTCCAGCAGGTACGTCTTGACCTTCTCCATCGCAGCGGCGCAACTAACAGAACTGCAGTTCGTCGGAATCAACGCTCTCATCTACTACTCTCCCACACTATTTGAAACCATGGGCCTAGATTACGACATGCAGCTCCTAATGTCTGGTATTCTCAACGTGACGCAGTTGGTCGGAGTCGCCACGACAGTATGGACCATGGACCGCTTCGGCAGACGCAGTCTGTTGCTTTGGGGCGCGTTGTTCATGACTCTCTCCCACGTCATCATCGCCGTCTTGGTCGGCCTTTTCTCGAACAACTGGCCGGCCCATCGACCTCAAGGCTGGGCCAGCGTGGCCCTGCTGCTCTTCTACATGATCTCGTTCGGCGCCAGTTGGGGCCCAGTAGGATGGGCCATGCCATCAGGTACTTACTTCCCTCCCTTCTCCAATCCACCCTAATCACCCTTCTAACCTGAACCAGAAATCTTCCCCTCCTCCCTCCGCGCCAAAGGCGTCGCCCTCTCAACCTGCTCGAACTGGCTCAACAACTTCATCATCGTAAGTCCACCCCATCCCCCCTCACGCCCACCAACTCTCTAACACAAATCCCAAACAGGGCCTCATCACCCCTCCACTCGTCCAAAACACCGGTTTCGGCGCATACACCTTCTTCGCCGTCTTCTGTCTCCTCTCGCTCGTCTGGACGTTCGTCTTCGTGCCTGAAACGAGGGGCCGCACGCTCGAACAAATGGACCACGTCTTCAAGGATAACTCGAGCGAATCAGAACAGGCTCGCAGACATGCTATTGAAGTCGAGGTATTGAGGGCTGAGCAGCAGCATCAACTTGAGCGGGATGAGGCGTAGTTCGAATGGGTTGGGGCTGGGCTGGGCTGGAAGCTCCTGTCCGCTGGTGGGCGGGGGCTTGTGTTCAATTCTTACTGTGTATAACGATGTTTATCTATACTAGGTTATGGTTACGAAGTTTATGATGATATGTTTGGTATTGGGCTCCTGTTGTAGTTGTAGTTACACTTGTAGTTGTAATTGGGTTTCAAGTAGATGCTTGATGGAAGGGGAAGAGTATACTTAGTTCAGCTGACATTCTTGTCAGACGCTTTGAAGTAATTGATTGCAATTCATGATGATGGAAGTAGGCTGTGTATCTGAGAAGTGATTCAGGTTCATACACTGCTTACTCACATTATCAACGGGTTAAGTCCTACTCACCTAAAGTGCAATCTGAAATGTATTTAAAATGATGAACTACCCTAACTAATATATCTGATTACACCTCATTCGACGGATACTCGACCTGCTCCAACGTCCCAAAATCCTCCTTAATCGTCCTAACACTCACAAACCGCTGCAAATGCGCCATCGTCCCCGTCTTATCATTTGTCCCGGAGTCCCGACTCCCGCCGAACGGCTGCTGTGCGACCACAGACCCCGTACACTTCGTGTTCAGATACAGCATGCCGGCGGCGTGTCTGAGGGCTGTCTGGGCCTGGCGCGACGCCACGGCGTCTTTGGCGAAGATGCTTCCCGTCAAGGCGTATCGGGAGGTTGTGTTGACGAGGTCCAGTGTCGAGTCCCATTCTGCGTCTGGGTAGACGTAGACACCGAGGATGGGGCCGAAGAGCTCGCGCGACATGATCTCGTGTCGCGGGTTGGTGGTGCGGTAGACGGTGGGGTACACGAAGTAGCCGTCTTCTTTGGAGGCAAGGCCGCCGGCGATGAGATCCAGCTCGGGGTCTTGTTTTGCGGCGGAGATGAATTGTGTGAGACGGTCGAAGGCACGCTCGTGGATCACCGGATTGATGAAGTGGCGGTATTCGTCGACGGGGCCGACGCTGAGACGGGCTAGTTGGTCCTGTAGATGCTGTTGGAATTCGGGCCATACGGATTCGGGGACGTAGATGCGGGAGTTGGCGGAGCACTTCTGGCCCTGGTATTCGAAGGCGGCGCGGATGGTGTTCAAGGCGGCGTTCTTGATGTCGGCGGATGGGTGCACCAGGCCCCAGTTCTTGCCGCCGGTTTCGCCGACCACTCGGGGGTAGGAGTTGTATATGCCGTCGCCGATGCCGTTTCCGATTTTCTTCTGGAGGCTTTTGAAGACTTGCGTGGAGCCGATGAAGGTGAGGGCGCCGAACTCGGGTCGTTGAAGGAGGGTGTTGGTGACTTCTTCGGCATCGCCGGGAAGGAATTGGATCACGTCCTTGGGAAGTCCGGCTTCCAGAAGGATCTGATGCAGGAGCCAGCTGGCGTGGAGAGCCGAGTCGGATGGCTTCCAAATCACAACGTTGCCTAGCAGCGCGGCCGGGCCGATCAGAGTGGCGCCGAGCGCCGTGAAGTTAAACGGTGCAATAGCGTAGACGAAGCCCTCCAGAGGACGATATTCCAGCTTGTTCCAAGTACCGGCGGGCTGGACTTTAGGCTGTTGCGAGAAGAGTGACCAGCACTCCTGGATGTAGTGTCGAAAGAAGTCGACCGTCTCAGCGGGAGCGTCAATCTCCGCCTGCCAGATGTTCTTGCCCTGGCCTAGCATGGTGGCTGCCACCAATTCCGAGCGGTATTTGCCGGTGATGAGCTCTGAAGCCCGCAGGAAAATGGCAGCACGGTCCTCAAAAGGCATGGCCTCCCAGGCCGGTTTGGCCTTAAGGGCAGCGTCCACGGCTACATTTGTCTGCGCGGGAGTTGCTGCTGCATATTCGGCCACAATCTCCCGGTGTTTCGAGGGATTCTCTTGCTTTCGGGACTCAATCGTTTCCAACTGGGGTTGTCAGTCGCTACATTGCTCAGACTTTGTCCGGAGTGCATACCGTAGATCCATTCACGGTGATGGGGATTTTGACCGGCATTTCTTGCTTCAATTTGTCCAATGTCCGAGTCAACTCTGCCCTCTCTGGGGATCCCTTTCCATAGTTCAACTGAAGAGTGATTAGATTGTGTATTAACATCTCAAGAACAGAGCTTGTCTACCATTTTCTCATTCTCAAATTTGGGTGGATGCCATAGACTCATGTTTCGATACATCGACCGTGGCAGTCGGCGGATGCCGGTGGCGCGCACCGCATTTGTGGTCAAGAAGGGTCGCATGATGAAAATATTGATGACTTAGCTGATATATTTGCAGTTTCAGGCTGCCATCTTGTCTATTTGTATCTGATGAACTGTTCAGCTGCTGTGTGCATGTTCGGGATGTGATTCCGAGCATTGTTGTCTCAACCTCTCCCCGCGCTCACTCCCCACTTAAATTCCATAGACCACATTGGCGTGCCCAATAGTAAGGGAGATCAGAGAAACGGAGAACCTTGGAAAAGCCTTGCATTGCCGCTGTGCCGTCTCAGCCGTATCACGCTGCTGCTCGGTGGCCGAGCTTACACTTCGGCTGGCGATCCCGAACGTCAAGGCGGGGATGCGGTTTGTGGGGAGCATTGTCGCTCTCTGCCTGGATAAGAAAGATAGTAGAATCAATGGACCAATGGAACAGGAATATAATGAATGCATCAGATACCCTCGGAGGCTCGACCGAGCCTCTCATTCTGTTCGTTACGTCAATGCATCTGTTGATGCCAACAGAAAGATCGAAGGATCAGCCTGCTAAGTTAGTCTGCGTGCCATCCTCGGAACTAGACAATAATTCATATGCTTGGTATATCCAAAATGGCATTGCTAGATTTGTCGGACTGGTGGCTAAGTTCATATCCAAATTCTCTGGGCAACTACCTCTCTGATTCTCCGTCGGTATTGTCACCCTCGTTCATATCTTCATCTTCGTCTGCGTCCTCGTCTCCATCTTCATCGCCGGAGGCTCCGTTTTCCTCAAAGAATTCCCTCCAGGCGCTCAATGAGTCGGACGGTCGATTGTCGTCAGGATCCAGCCCTTCGCCATCGTCTCCGAATTCGTCCCATTCATTCCATTGTCCCAGGCTCATCAAATGCCTCATGGTTGGTCGGCCGTGCGGGCAATTCCATGGCTTATCGATGGTCCCCATGTTCCTCACCACCTTGATCATCTGCTTCTGAGTCAAGTTTTTGCCGATCATGATACTGGACCGACACGCCCTCATGGCAAACATCTTGCGCACCTTTCCAGGACGTGGTATATACATGTGCGACGCCGGTCCCGTCGCACTGGCTGCTGGCATCTCGGACAGCAAAACAATCAACTCCTCCAGGTCCTGCAAGCCAAAGACCACCTCTTTACTGAGAGGTAGCGAGACCAGCTTGCAGCGGCGGCCTATAGGCTCGTCTCCACTGTCATCGACTTCCACCACAAATCCATTTTTCTCCAGGATGGCCTGGTTCTCAATGACTATCTCTTCCTCCACGGCTGTAAGATCCAACGTTTTCGGTTGGACCAGCCGTTGGTTCTGAACAACGGTCTCGGCCTGCAGCCGCTCGAAGTTGAATTTCTCATCTGAGGCATGTTGGTCGATGATGAAGAGTTCATCCTTGCAGCTGGGTAAATTCGAGGCTGCATTCTGGCCTGAGGGTCGTGTAGCGATGATGAATCCGAGGTTAAATTGCCCGATAATCCGCATCTTATCGAAGTCTTCCTTAGTCACGGTTAAAGATAATCTTTCTTCGGCTGTCTCCTGGGACATTGCCGCCTCGATGTCATCCTGATTGGCAGGATCCTCAGCATTCGGTCGAACATGCTCTTGAAGTTGCTCCGCTTGTAGTTGAATTCTGGACAGTGATCCATCAATAGTGCACGCTAATTGAACCGTAGAATCGCGATGAGCGGCGCCTTTATTCAGTTTATTCGCTCGGTTCAAGCTGTTTTCCTGTGGTAGAACAGCCTTGTCCTCTGCCTCCTGAATGAGTCGTTGAACCTCGGCTTCTTCATGCTTCTTTTTCTCGTCATCATCGTAGTCCATAGGTCCTTCGACAGATGCCGGTGGCGGCTGTGACGTTGTCCTTTCAACCTCTTCGTGGTCTTCCCTGTCAATCAAGTCTTGATTGGCATCTTGGCCGGCTAAACGATCATCACCGTGATCCGACGGGGCATAAGATTGAGACCCATCTTCTGGTTCCCCATCATCGATCGACTCGGCGTTTTCTTCCTCTTCGTCATCTTCCATTTCATCTTCGTAGGGTTCGTCCACGGCGTCTTCTTCCTCGTCTTCAACCTCGTCCTCATCCTCGCTGTTGGCTGTTTGCTCTAACTGTGAGCCCGGAGCAGCAAAGTCCCTCATATGTTTACCGAAAATACCTGAGCGAGAAGGGGTGTGGATTCGTCTTTTCCGAGCTGAGGAAATATTCTCTGTATTTATTGATTCCACATCCCTCTTTCGAGGAGCACCGCTCCCTATCATAGACGTAACTGTTTTGTCACCGATGGTGATTGTGGCGATCTCCGCTGGCATCCGTCTCGGGCGCATTCTGTCAAATGCATTCTGAATAACATTGGGTGTTTCCATAAATTCATCGCCATTTCTGGAGACAGATTGCTCATCCGGGACGCTACTCTGGGGGTCCTGATCCTCAGGTTCATCCAATTCCCCAGCTGATTCAGCATCTTCTGGAGGGGAAGGCTTCTCCTTTGGATCTGCAGGACGTTCGTTGTCTGTATTGTCATCATCGGACGGCTGTGGGATGTCGTCATGACCAGTTATTCCTGGTTTGTTTCGAGGCGTCACTGGAAGAGAGGTTTTGTCTTGCAGTCTTGATGTGCCAGCTCGGGCAGGAGAAGATAGAGGTCCGTCTTGCTCTTGACGGGAGCCAATACCACTGAGAAAGCTTTTCAGCCTACCTTGAGAACTCAGCTGATCCTGTTCTGCAACTGGTTCTTCGGCTTCTTGCTCTTCCTCTTCCTCTTCTTCCTCTTCGCGGTTTGCCACGTTATTCGACTTCTCTTTCGACTCGTCAGCTGCAGGTCTGCGAGCAATAACATCACGCAATCCTCTGGTGTTTTGCTTGGGGGTCGGCTGCTTGGAGCCAAGAATTTGGGACTGAGGAACGGTCTGATCTGAAGACTCGAACAATTCCGTTAGAGAAGTTTTCAAGGACTCAATCATAGCACCCGCATCATGCAAAAGGATCGTTCGCTTGTCAGGAGACACATTGACGTCGTACGCGTGGGTATCCATGTGGAAATCCGCAAAAACAAATGGCGACTGCGAGACATTAAACGACTTGTAGACCTCATTAAACGCCTTCGCAATCTGTGGCAGACCGCAGGGACGGGAGTTCACGAAGAACATCTGGCGATCAGGCGTTTGCCTTCCCTCTCCGAATACCGGACGAGAAACATGCCCTCGAACCTGGATCTTATTCGCTTCTTTACCATCCCGCTCAGCAATCCTCCTAGCCGTGGCCGATGGCTCAAACTCCAATTCCAAATCGAGCGGGATCAGAGCCAGAAGTGTCTTCGCGCCGTAAACATTGGCAATATTTTCCTTCGTGGTTTGGTTGCCGTTCGTGGAAAAGACAACCACATTGCGAGATTTTCCTACAGTGTTTCGAACACTGAATCGGATCCCCACGCTGATAGACGCATACGCATGCAGAAGATTCAGAACCTTGCCGTATTCCCGCTTGATGTTCTTTTCCAGCTCGCGACGCCGGACGGGTAGTCGCTTGAACAGTCCCTCCACTGACGCCGTTGTACCCCGTTGACCAGCGACGATTTGCGTCTTTTTCAACTTTCCAGACGGTTCGAAATCAAGGCGGTTGGCCTTCGGGGCTTGGTTGGCTTGGGCGGTGACGACGCGAAATTCGGACAGGGCACATAGCGACGACAGTGCTTCACCGCGGAAGCCGAAGGTGTGTAGACGCGAGAGGTCATCGAACGAGGAAAGCTTGGAGGTGTAATGCTTGAGCGCTGGTCGAGTCAGAGTCGTTCTGGATTAACGGATCCAATTCGAATGGTTGAGGTTTACCAAGACTCTCGTAATTCTCAGGTGAGATGCCACTGCCGTTATCCTGCACCTCGATCAAGTCCAAGCCGTTGTTTTTGAATCGCACCTCTAACCGTGAAGAGAGACTTCATCAGCTACTGTAAAGATCTTTCATCAATCGTATTTGCGCGAAAGTAACGTACCGATGGATGTGGCGCCGGCATCGATGCTATTCTCGACCAGTTCCTTCGCAACTGAACAAAGATCGACAATGACTTGGCCGGATTGAATTTGATGGACCTAAAAACTCAGCACATGAAATTAGACACCGTTCCTCAAATTGCGAGACGAATGGCAAGCGTACCGAACGGGCCTCGATGGCCTTAATGGTTGCCATGTTCATCCCATGGCGTAGTTGGAGATTCCCGACGCGGAACCCACGCGTGCGCTGCCACTTTACGCGATGCCGCGATCACTAAGCATCCTTTCTACTTCGTACAACTCCAGATTTTACGGTAGTCCAACAAGCCATTATATTCGGCTAGTAATCATGATTTGCAAGGGAATTTGCACTCTTACATTTCCAGCTAGTTATAATTTAATAATGCCTGTGCCAAAAGAGAGACCAATATACAGTGGACATTCAGAGAATTGTCAAGCACCGCTCAAACGCCATACTCCGCTGAAAAGACACGAAAGCCAGAAAGGCGAAATGAATGCACAGCACATCTCGTTCAATAGGTGTCGAAGCGATCGGGAAGGACAACGGGGGCGATCAAAGTCCACAAGTAAATAGCGTAGCAAACCCACGCGCTGATGATCTTCACCCAACTGGCCCAGTAAGTCCGGCCTACCGGAGCAAAGTCATCGATGGAATCGGGGTCCAGGTTTTGCGTCAGAAGGGTAGCTACCCACGTAGTTGCCAGGAAAAAGATGATGTGGAAAAGCGAGTAGTTGTACTGTGTTGAGCTTCTCTCGTCGTCCTTAGTCTCGTCGTAGTCAGACTCGTCATCGCTGTCTTCGTCCAGTGCGCTGGCGGGCAAGCTACCACTGGCAACGGCTGCACGGAGAGCATCTGCCCGCATCTCACGACGACTGATGGGCTGCTGGGTTACAAGGCCATGCTCATTATCATCCATACCAAGTTGCGAGTAGTTGTGTCCGCCTTTGGATCCTAGCGCAATGCCTTGGGTAGCTGCGCGGGTAGTGGTGTACGCAATTGTGGCCATGGTGGCAATCGCACCCAGGACAATAGTAGCGGTTCTCGTGCCTCGGGCCCGAATTAGAGGGTTGCATTGGTTGTCATCCGGCTCCATCGAAACAGCCGACATAGTCAGATACGTGCAATAGACGGTTACCATAGCCGCTTGAGCCAACCCTGCTCTGGGATTGGACTCTTGAACCACGGGCTGAACGGAAACAACGGAAATTATCAGGAAAACCACCAAGTTAATCTGCTTAGTTAGCTCATGGATCTCATGAACAAGGGGGATACCTGGGACTTACACTGATGGCAACCTGGTTCATGGTGCATCCGCTGCGAGCAAAGAAGATATACATCAAGATCGTCATCACGATCGATGCTAGGTACATGCCCACGGTGGATCCAATAAGCAGGCCCCGCCAAACCCTCGAGTCATTGTCGTCGATCTTCTGCAGACATAGCTCCGCCCATGAATGTGCCAGGTCGACAAGGAGAATAAGTCCTAGCAAAAGGAACAGCATCGCACAGATGAAGGCGATGTAATGACCGTAAATGAAGAAGAAAGGCTCGGGAATGAAGAATGACATGACCACAAAAGCGATCCACAGGACAATCTTCGGACCCCAGAAGCCGTTCTGGAGAGACGCACGGCCCTCTTTGGACGACTTCACACCAAGCAGCCAGACTGCAAGAATGAGATGGAACAGACCAAGCGCGAAGTTGATGCGATGAACAGCCACCCAACCTGTACATTCTTTACCGTCGCACCGAATTTCCATATAATCCAAAGTCAGGTGTTGCAGTTTTTTGAGCGCGAAGGGCGTAAGCATTATCCAAGATATGATTGAATTGATGAGAAGGATGAAGGCGTAGGCAATCCTCGTCGCCATACTGCGAAGCCCCAGTAATCAGCACTCGACGTTCAGTTGCGAGAAAGTGTTCGGAGTCCTTACCTATTTTGAAATTTCCCACAGGCGCTACATACTGCCGAGCAAGTTGCTGCGCCGCAGCATGAAGTTGCAACAGTGATCAGCTAATTCACGGTCAGTTCAGCGGTCATCTGGCAGCCTAATTTGGGGGACGACGTACCGTACTGGCACTGGGAATGGCCAGAAGAGGCAAAGAGAGTAGAGCGCCCATCTTGTATTCTATCCACCCTGTTTCGGGCGAAAAGCGGTCGAGTAAACCAAATAAACAGTCGTTCCCAAGGGTGTAATGGGGATGCGACAGAGAGGAGTTGGAGACGGCGTGATCGGGGAGAGTCGCCGCCGCCGCCTTCGTCATGTGCTGCAGGTGGTTATGTAAGCGTTATCGGCTCGCTTTCGTCATCCCAGCAATGGAAAGAATTCAAGAGTCCAAATATGGGAATCTTGGTCAAATCTCGATTCAGGCCTTCGATTTTTATTTTTATTTGGAGAGTGGGCTCACGCTACCTCGATGGAGCAAAATACAATATCTACAAACCGAGTCAGGGTCCTAAAAAACTTGGCCTTCATCAACCACAATATCCCAATTAAATCGAAGATGGGTCCGTGCTCTCGCTCATCTCGACTTTCGGCCTCATCATTGCGGTGGCAGCGATCAGGAATAATAGCGTTGTCATAAACATCCAAGACCTTTGTCTCCAGAACAGAATTCCGGAATGACCTTTTCTCAGCATAGCACCAGATGTGCCGAGTTCTTTCGATGTCTTCGTCGAGTTTGGCTCGACTGTCTGCTTTTGGCCTACATCGATGCCCTCGGACTCTTTCTGGCTGTTCTGGCTCAAAGAACGGGTGGATTCGTTGTGGGAAGTTTTTATACTCTTGAGGCCATCGAGAGAGCTAGCCCCAAATTGGTTCTCATCGTAGTCACTGTCTGTGATAGGTAACACAGCAGATGTAGTAGAACCTGAAAATTGCCCTAGCTCAAGGATCAGATTCGCAATCTCTGTGTGATTGTGCATCTTGGCCACCATGAATGGTGTATATCCCAGTGAGCTTTTCCTCCACAACTCAGCCCCGGCTGTCACCAACCGCCGAACTGCAGTCTGGTTCCCATTCTCAACTGCGAGCCCTAGCAGCTTATTCAAGTTGAGTCGGCCGTCCGATAGGTCTGCTCCGTTTGAGATGAGGAGTGTAGCTATTGGCAGGAGTTTGGTACTGGCAATAGTTAAAGGTGTGTGGCCCCATTGATCCTTTGCGTCGACTTGTGCTCCGGCTTTGAGAAGAATCTCGGCTGGGCCGGTGGAATCATGAAGGGCAGCCAGATGCAACGGTTTTCGTTCCCAAGCATTGCCAATATTCAAATCTGCACCATGAGTTACCAGCAGCTCCACCATCTCGGCATTGTTATTCGCCGTGGCATAATGGAGGGCTGTCTGGCCTAAGTCAGGGTCTGTGAGATTGATTTCATCGGAGGGGCCATTTGACAGATGTGTTCGAAGTTCTTCAATGAGATCTGCTTTAGCCAACGCCCAGAGGGAGAGGGGCTTGTCAATACAGAGCTCCGTGTTGGTGCGCCGAAGAGGCAATGGGCTAAAGCTTTCAGACTGCTTATTTTCACTTCCTTCTTGAGTGGCACGCAGGAGCTCCATAATGGCGGCCTCATTCATCTCCCGTGCGATCCGCATGGGTGTTCGGCCGTAATTGTCTCTGATTGTGGGATCAGCTCCATGGTCTAGAAGGAATCGTGCGGTGTCCAGGTGCCCACAAAGAGCAACGTCATGGAGGGTCGTCTTGCCGTTGTTATCCTGCAAATTGACATCCAGAGACTTGTCGAATTCAAGGAGAATACGAACGAGCTCAGTACGCCCGTTACAAGCAGCGCTGTGCAACGGTGAGCGGCCGAAATTGTCCTGATGATGAACGTTTGCCCCTCTTCCGAGCAACATCTCTACAAGAGGAATTGCATTTTGGTCAATTGAACGATGTAGCGCCGTTCCTCCCGATTCTTTCTGGGAAACCTCCATGTCTGCCCCTTTATCAAGCAGTGCCTCGGCAATCTTTCGATCCCCGCGCTGTGCAGCGTAAATAAGGGCGGTGGTGCCGCTGTGGTCTTGATAGTTGACATTGACGCTGGGGTGACTGAGCAGAAGTTGGACTGCGTCTATTTCCGATGAGAGAGCTGCAAGTATCAGAGCAGTCGCTCCTCGCGGATAGGAACATTCTTGGTTGATTTCAAGCTGGGGAGCAAGTAGCAACAGCCTGATGATTCCAGTATATCCGTACGTGGAAGCAATCATTAAGGGGGTTCGCTGGTTCCATCGTGCGTGCATTATATTAACATTTATTCCATCTTGTTCGACCAAAAGCTTGACCATCTCCTCTTGGTCATGCCGTGCGGCCTCGTGAAGGGGAGCAGCACCAATGTTGTCCACGGCATTTATAGAAGCACCCGCCCTGATGAGCGTTGCAGCTGCATTGACGCTGCCTTTCTTTGCCGCAAGTGCGAGCGGCGCAGTCCCATTCATGTCTTTGATGTTTGGATCGACATCCTTAGCAAGAATTTCCGTAACCAATTTGTTGAGGCCAAAATGCGTAGCCAGATGGAGTGCTGAGCTTCCGTTCTTTCCGGCCCAACTGGCCGAGTCCTCGTCGTCCAGGTACCATAAGGCCTGTGTCGATGCTGCTAGGTAATTGGGGTCTTGTAGAATCTGCCAAGCTCGGTCATAGAGGTTCCCATGCGGTGCTTGGAGAAGGTGTTTGCCCCAAAATTTCGCAGCATAATTGAGGAACGGGTACTTTTCAATGCGCCCATCAAATTCAGCGGATTCGGATGAGCCCGAGCAGGCGCCGGACTGAAACACATCGAATAACAGATAAGTCAAGCATGTAGAAGCCAACTTTGTTGCTCCCTCGGGGAACCATCGATCGCGATTACGGCTGAAGAAGTTCTCTGCCGAAAAATGGACCAATCTGAGACAACCGGTCTCATCGAACACAACTAAGCCGGCACATTTTGAGGCAAGGACCTCGGCACGAATGATATTGTCGCAGTCGATATCGCGGTCTCCATCTGCCACGGCAATAGCATGCTCGATTTCTCGCCTTTTCAGAGGCTGCTTTGCAAAAATAACCCACCGAAGTAATTCCATCACTACCTCTCTGTGACTAGACGGAAGATCCGCGATTCTCAGCATGGCGTCTGTGTAAGTTCCATCAAGTTCTTTTGGCAAACTATCCAATGCTTTCATGACCTCCGCCGGGCGCAGCTTGGAGGTGAGAGTATCCATGTTGAATTTGGCTAGAAGAAACATTCCATCATTTGACATGACTACCGTATCAACGATGCTCTTCATCAGTCCTTCCTTCATCTCCACACACTGACAAAGAAATTCTGACGATGCAACGCGCCAATGCACATAGGTCTTCAGATCTTCCTCGACCGCAGCGATCTTGAGAATGAAACTGCTGAACTGCTTACGAAGAACATGGCCTCTGTGACTGCATCGTTTGCCAGCGTTGAGACATGACTGGCAGAGGTTGAAGTCGACTGGGTCTGAGCTTAAGGACCTGCAATCTGGGCAGTGAAAGTGGTGTCGAGGGCACGGAGCTAGACATTGACTGCAATAGCGATGGATGATATTGCGGTGAAAGTGCCGGACAATGTTGTCTAGGCCCCGCGATGTTATCATCACGTTGACCGTAGCATTTATCGAAGTCAGGATCCCGAGCAACTCGATTCGAGTCTTCTCCTGGCGGAGTTCGTCCAGGCCATCTACGATGATGAACGTCTTTGAGAACCGACTTAGCTCAGCTGTGAGCACCAAAAGGATTTCTTCTCGGTCCGGCTTCGTTCCTGCACCGCTGTGTTTGGAGTATATCTCGATCGATTCTTGAGGACCGATGCCATATTTCTGTATGACTTGCTTGACCAGGCTTCCCATGAGTGTGTCGATGGATTGTGACAGTGCGTCGTCCCATTTACAGTAGAGCATTAGGGTTGCCGCTTTGCCAACATCACATTCGCCGTCCAGTTCATGGGCCACAATTGACGATAAGACCGTCTTTCCGGCGCCGGGTATTCCGGCACAAAACAACATAGCATTGTCCTCGGCTTTCCATGCTAAGTAGTCTTTGCGTTCGAGAAACCACCTACAGGTCCCCTTGTGATGTTCCGCAAATATCATACGCTGCTTTGCCATGAAGTTTAAAGGAGATAGCCATTCGATTATGTCCTTCCTTTGTGCCTCACTGATGACACTTCTCGTAAACTGCCCGTCATGATAGATCTCCTGAGCCAAGGCCTGGGTGGATTGGGACAGAGCAAGTTGCAATGTCTGCTGCAGCCGATGAATCCGCTCAATGGCCTGGGTGACTTCTTGCTTATCCAGCGGCCACACTAGGGTCCGGCGTACTTTCCCATACGATGATCGCGATTTTAGTTTGCTTTCCAAGTGCTCGACTACAGTTTCGATATCGCTAATTATCCCGTCGAATTCGAACGGGCGCAGTTGCGCAAGAAAAGGCTTCTTGTCAGGACTGTCACCATCCGGGGCAAACCGGGCCTGGACAGCGATAACAGCGAGCCAGAGATGGGTCAATTCATTGAGTAGCGAGAGACGCTCTTTTCCCCCTCCTTTAATCGTGCTTAGAAAACCAATAATTTGAAAGGTGGCTGTCGCGATTCCGGCAACGCTGGCTATCACGCTTAAGGGATCCATCATCCGACATCCCCACGGGGTGCGTATCGACGATGGGTTAGAGTTGAGGTAGGGCTTCTCGACTTCCAGTGGCCTTTGTTTTGATAGGTATATCAAAGGTACTGGTGTGACAAGGTCGATGGTCATGACAGTTCGATGTCAGCCCCCACGTTGGACAGGCCCTCGCAGGCCCAATGGGGTAAGGCGAGACTGGGCAAACGCCCAGTCGTCAAGAACGCCAAGCAGTCTGGATGCGTTACGGAATAACTAGGGTGTTATTTCCGGAAAGCCAGGGGCGTGTCGATCGTCTGACTAATGCTTTGGAAGGAGATAGTATTCTATTGGTCTTAAAACATGTTTTCCTCCTGGGAGCATACACCGGAGTACGCAGCGACTGCCAAGTGCATGTTGGCAGGGCAAAGTACTAAATATATATTAGTTTAGTCATAGTTATTGACCTGGCATACTGTAAATCAGTAAAATGTCTGGCGTAATGTATTTTGCATCAATCAAAAGCTCGCAACAAGGTATTTCCCAGGTAAAGCGAAAGTACCTACTCCATCCGGAGGACACCTGGTTACCTTCCTTGGACCATGGCTTACCCATGGCCTTTCCGATAGCTCACATGGGCAGGATTCCTGAATTTCCCGTTGTCGTTTGTGGAGTTCCTCGAGAAAGCAATGCTCATGGACATTGCGAGGGCATGAGACCTCTCCTCTTCGCTCGACATTGGCGGCAAGCAAAGCCACCGCGAGGCCTCCTGATGCCCGCTCGACACCAGCAAAACCCGGGGAAGAGACAAGGCTGGGCACGTGAGTAGCATGACTAAGGCCAAGCCCCCGGGACTGCGCTAGACCGGAAGCGGCAGGAGAGCGGAGGCCGGAAGGGGGCCTCAGGTACTTCAGGTACCGGGTACTTGCTGTCACATAGTAATCGCTGTCACTCCGCAAGTCGCGGGCACTGGAGAATTACGAGTCCCGGCCACTTTGCATCTCTTGCGTGCTCCTTTTCTCTTTTGCTTTTCTGCCCCCTCCTCTAGTCATTCGTTTAACAATCCCCCTGGAGGCATTGCCTTCCTTTTCAATCTTTCTCTCCTCTTTCTGTTCTCCTTCTCCGCCAAACTTCTCGTCCTTCCTTGCGTTTGCGGCTATCTGGGCCTACGTGACTTGATAAGGCTGATCCACGCTATTCGCCGAAACTCCGATCCAACCAGTCCTCGACATACTTTCAGTTGCTTGCGCCTTTTCCCCCTCTCGATTGCCATTCTTCCTGCCTCCTGTCGACTGCCTCCCTGCGCGTGGTGGTTTTATGTGAAACAAACCGACTTCGGATATAGAACGGTGCAAGTGCACCAAGACAGATTGCGATGGGCGACACTCACAAGACCAGACGGATTGTCTCCGTCATTGCGGGCACGTTAGTAGCTCTGGCCTGTGGTACCAATGTGCGACTCCTCTGCCGAACGCTTTTCTATACTTCACGTCCCGTATCACTGACGTTCTGGACAGTATGCGTATTCAGCATGGGCACCCCAATTCAGTCATCGCATGAAGATCACCTCCACCGAAACCAACTTCATCGTAAGCTTTCTCTTCGCTTCTTCCCTCGGACCAACTCTCGGATGTCGGATATTCACATTTTCTAGGGGGCAGCTGGGAACCTGGGCATGTATGCGTCGGGAATCCCTTTGGGGTTGTTGACGGATGCGAAAGGCCCGAGGTTGACGACGTTCATCGGAGCGATAGCCCTCGGCATTGGGTATTACCCCATATACTCAGGTTCGTCTGGACTTTGGAACGGAAGGTGCTCGATCGCAGTGTGCTGACACGGAATAATGTAGCATATGAGCATGGACAAGGGTCCTTGGGAGTCGGCCTTTTGTCGTTTTTCGCATTTCTCACGGGCTTCGGAAGTTCCTCTGCCTTTTCGGCGTCGATCAAGACGGGTAAGTCCGCCCTGGTGGATATTCAGTTGGGCTGTACATCGCGAGGCTAACATTGGGTTCCAAAAAAAATTCCAGCGGCGTCGAACTTCCCTACTCATCGAGGAACTGCCACGGCGTTCCCTCTGGCCGCGTTCGGTCTCAGCGCCTTTTTCTGGTCGACCATATCTGCCGTGATATTCAAGGATGACACCGGTCGATTCCTCCTTCTGCTGGCAATCGGTACCTGCATTTTGAACCTCATCTCCATTCCTATGATCCAGATCGTGCCGCCCTACGAGCCTTACGCGTCCGTGTCGCGAGGCCGATCGCCCGGCGTGGAGTCAAGGCGATTGCTCAAAACCAAGCCCTCCGACCTGCGATCCAACCATGATGACTCCGATCTAGCAGGTACGCAGAGCTCTACTGCCTTTGATGCCCCACCATCCTCGCATCATGAAAGATCGCCATCTGCCGCGTCGAACACCCATGCTCTTCCTGGCCCAAAATCCGACCTTGATGAGACGTCATCATTGGTGTCGAAAGCCAACTCGAGAAATTCTCGGGATTCTCATGACCACGACGCGGACGATGACGATGATGCTCTCTCTGACGTTGCCCCTGACTCACCTCACCCAGACATTAGAGGCTTGGCGATGCTGCCCAGGATTGAATTTTGGCAGTTATTTTTGACGATGGCGCTTTTATCCGGCATTGGATTGATGACTATTAAGTGAGTTCGTCGTGCTCTGGAGATTAGTTGACATTAGGCTAACCTTTCTGCAGTAACATTGGCAACAGTGTAAGGGTTTCTGTATCTTCTGTTCTCTCTTCTGATGCTAATTATCGCAGACCAAGGCACTGTGGAAATATTACGATGACAGCGCCAGCTCCAAATTTATTCAGCAGCGGCAGGTGATGCACGTGTCCGTGCTTTCCTTTGGCAACTTCATTGGCCGTCTCTCGAGTGGTACGTCCACGGGTGCTTTGTGATACCCTTTTTTACCTGTTACAGTATCCCATGGGTGTACCTAACAATCTCCAGGAATTGGATCCGACGTACTGGTAAAAAAGCTGGACATGTCCCGATTCTGGTGCCTGTTTATCTCGGCCGTCGTGTTCACTCTGACACAACTTGCCGGGTCGACAATTTCCAACCCTCACCAACTCGTGGTAGTCTCCGGCTTCACCGGTGTCGCCTACGGGTTCCTATTTGGCGTCTTCCCGTCTCTGGTCGCGCACACGTTCGGTATTGGCGGCCTCTCTCAAAACTGGGGCGTCATGACCCTCGCCCCCGTCTTCAGCGGGAACGTCTTCAATCTGCTCTACGGTAGCATCTTCGACCGACACTCTGTGGTGGGCGACGACGGCGATCGTGATTGTCCCGATGGTCTAGGGTGCTACCAAGCCGCCTACTATACTACCTTCTTCTCGGGTCTTGCCGGAGTCATTGTCTGTCTATGGAGTATTGTGCGCGAGAAGCGTCTCCATAGCGCAGAACTACGCAAGAAGGTTGAGCACGATCGTCTAGCTTGATTGTGACCACTGCATCCATATCTAGAACTTGACTTTTCCCCTGATCCTATTAGCTAGCATGTGGGCTTTGCGTTCTATTTTCTGATTTATTAATACCCCTCTCTCTTTTGGATCCACGGCCATTTTTTATTTTTTTTTCTTATCTCACGTCACAGACTATATAGATTGGTGGTTCGCTAGAACTGAGTTTGACCGAACTGGACTCGTTCATTATCATATTTGGATATTTAGCATTTCCTTCTCTTTCTCCTGTTTTCTTCGTTCTTTCTGTCTATCATTTTATTTTGTGTGCTCATCTGATCTTGGGCCTTTATCTATCTCCGGCAAATAAATTGATAGATACTTGGGTTATTTCATGTATGTACATAAACTTTTGGTTGATTGAAAAGCATTCTTCTTTTTGTCTCATGACGACACCACTGCAACCTTGTATACACGTACCTTCCAAAAAGACCATGTCTGCATCATGAAGTACGCGTTCATGTACGGATGTGCCTCGGCATGGGCGGATCATAAGCCAGTCCTCATAACAGAAGACAAAAAGCTCCAGGTTGAGGAATCTGACATCTAGGCTTCGCGTCTGGTGTGTGAAGGGTGGTCCATGTTCAAGGTTTTTTTTGGGGGGGGGGGATTGTTCTCCTGCAAGGTTCTTTCCATAATCTTGATTTCCCCAAATATATATATCCCTTACGGAGAAACGGCGTAGCCATACATTATATAGTAAGGGGGGGGAGGGGGGTAAGTTTTTTGGGGCCATGATGCCCAGAAGGAAAAAGGAGAAAGCACCAGAGGGAAATCATATATCATGAGAGGCCGAACATTTCATCGGCGTAAGGAATCCGAGAGCCTTTTTACTTTGTGGGGTCATCTCGGAACAAACAATTCAGCGGACGGATGGATAGTGTTTTTATCCAGCTCTATTTATACTAGTACCGATCTAGATATATCAATCTAGTCTTCGAGATATTCCCGTTTCTTTCACCTTACCACAGTAAACATACGACTACAAAATAAAAACAAGATTCTTTTAGGCCTGTGTCACCACCGTCTGTAGATAAGTAAAAAGGAAACAAAAAAAGTGCGTCGTCCCGGGAGAGGATTGAACTCTCAACCTCACGATTAACAGTCGTACGCGCTAACCAATTGCGCCACCGAGACATGTGACTTGATGATAGGGCCTTCTTAAAGTGGTACTTAACCCCAACCTTGCTCTTCATCAATATCATTCCTTCGATTTGCGTATTATTCCACTTGGGGAGGAGGAAATACTAGCCACCCACTAGGTCAGGGGCAGCTTTTGCCAGCCCTTAGTGGGATTCATCTTAGGTGTTACCTCTACTGGACGTTATGCACGTAATGAAACGATCGGTAGCTTACGCCTCCGACGCCTCGATTCTTCTAGTAGGGTATAGAGTAAGGTCTATCTAGATTGGTCTATTGGAATAAAAACTCAAATTGAATCTGGACCATAGATCTGGGCAATAACCTTCATGCTTTGACGCGGACGTGGCGGACGATACAGTGGGTATTTCGATCGCATATGCGCTTATCACCACTCCCGAGAAGGCCTTGTATGGGCAGATGGGCCCAAAAGGCCTTCTACTAGCATATCCATAGGAAAGATCGGAAACAGTGATATAAAAATACTCAGCGCAGTCCAGTTAGTGAAACGGAAACCAAGTCGCGAAGCATTACTACGTAGTGGTACTGCCATAGCTGTCGGTAATCGATACGCGATAGCGATAATCGGAATCAATAATCAATCAGTCGATCGATCTTCCGCGCGTGTCACCTTGGCTTTCCTTCAGGCAGTGACTTACAGACCTCCTGTACATGTTCTTTCCAACGGCTCATCGCAGAATACTGGTACATTGCCCATGACTTAGTTGGGTCGTGCTCTCGACCTTCTGTCGCGGGTGATCTCCTTATCACCCCGGTCTCTCCCTGCTCTCGGGTAAAGGGCTCTCGTTCAGATCTTTCGCTCCTTATCCTTCGATGATCCGACCATCCACCGACAACCCAAAATCACAGTCCACCTCCAGGGAATCGTCCATTTCAAGTCACGATTTCCAGTTATTCTGCCAGTCTTCCGGGTGAGGGCGACCAAGAATTGGGAAAACATTCCGCCTTTCCCTCCCTTTTTCGACGTGGCTGGTCCTCGAACCGCATTCCTCACTCCAACCGTCAGATACAAACAATCACCGACACGACGTGGATCTTGGGTCTGTTGTCTTGGATTTGAACGTGAATTGCTTTCAATTCGGTCCAGTCAGGCCGGATTTCTAGTCAGTTCCCTCTCTCATCTTCCACAGTGGCTTCTTCGCTTCTGTTTCGGGCGTCGCCCATCGACCCGGCCCTCCGTCCTCCTTCGCCGTCCACGCAGTCGCACGATCCCAACTACCACCAGTCTTCCTCGGCGGAGAGCAACTCCCGGCAGTCGACAACGGATGCTGCCGCGGGCGCATCTTCGGCCTCGTCGCAAGCGTCCGGAACCCTCCCCGAATTCAATTCGCTCGATAAATCGAACCATAGTCCCGGCGGCAGCAGCGGCTTCCCCAGCTCTCTAGGCCCGTCCCTGCCCGGTCTCTCGGCTTTGGCATCGGTCGCCTCGGCCCCTACGTCGAATCTACGGTATGTCTTGTGGCAGTCGTGTGTTGTGATACGTGTTTCTTGCCGTGGTGGTATAGGAGGATGGCGTCGAGTTTGGGCGTACAATTAGCACGCGCGTACATGTCTACCTGGCTCTTGCGTGTACATTCGTGTCTTTAATTGGCACCAGCTCCCTGCCTTCAATCCGCCGCGTCAAACAACCCCAAGACAATGGCATCGTCTGCAAATCTCCAGGACTGACTCTCCGTCTTACAGGGCGTCCAGCGGCAATGCGCATTCCGGTATGACCAACATGACCTACGCAACTTCGTCTCCTGCCGCCACGACCGGTGGACAGGGAAACAATCCGGTGAGTGCAGTGGCTGAAGACGCGATGCTTATCGTGGCTTATCTTCCAATGCTTCTTTTTTCTCTCTTTTTTTCCTGATCGATGGTTTTTCCATTTCCGGCGGATCTGTTATCAGCCCGGCTTGGCAACAGCCGCTCTTATCGCCGCCCGACAAATCTCGCATCTTATCAACCAGCACTTTCCCTTTCCTCCTCTCTATCTCTCTATCTATCATATCGCATCACTATCAGCTCTCGCTCTCCCCCGTCTCGCTCTCCTCCCTCCCCATTCCCAATCCTCGCCATTCTCTCGCTTTTCGCAATGGCAACGATAATGGCTGACCAAAAACGCCCCCATTTACAGCCCGTGTGCCAAAATTGCGGCACCTCCACCACTCCTCTCTGGCGCAGAGACGAACTCGGCTCCGTGCTCTGCAACGCCTGCGGCCTGTTCTTGAAATTACACGGGAGACCCCGTCCGATAAGCTTGAAGACCGATGTCATCAAAAGCCGCAATAGGGTCAAGACTGCCGGCCAGGGTCCCAAACGCAAGGTAAGGCTGAGCTGTGAAATTTCTTTTGGACTTCGTACGACGGTCGCTAATATCTCCATGATCGCTTTAGTCCACCGGCGCTGTTGACGCCAATGGCCTACCTACCTCGAGATCGGAAGCGGGCACTCCTCCACTGGGAGGATCTCATGGATACCGTCGCGCGTCGCGCAAGACATCGCCGGGTCATTCGGATCGCTCCAACTCGCCGGTTGCGCGAACAGAAACCCCCGGCGCTTCGATGCATCAACCCCACGCGCCGACGCAACACAATTCCAATATCGCTCCTCAACATATGTTCGACAGTGTGACCCTCGGAGATCATGGTCTCGGCGCGTCCAACGGCCTTCCAGCCACCCAACTGCGCCAACCATCCCCGACGACAACCACTGCCGAGGACCGCCACCTCGAGTCCCCCCAGACATACGAGGGATTGCTCGCGGCAAACACGTCGTTGAAGACGCGCGTGAGCGAGTTGGAGTTCATCAATGAACTGTTCCGCGGCCGAGTCACGGAACTTGAGCAGAGCAATGCCACTGCGCGTCGGTCCGAGATGATCGTTCGCGACTCGGAAGTGCGCCTCCGGCGCTCGCTCGACGACTCTCAGCGGCGGGAGGATGAGTTGAAGCAACGCATAGCGGAGATGGAGCGCCAAATCTCCGACAACAATTCTAGCGGCGGCCCGACCGCCAACAACAACAGTCCAAGCGAACCTTTGGCCAAACGCATTAAACTATCCGACGTGGTCGAGCAACCGGCCGATTCGCCCAGCAAATCGCCCAAGAGTATCTAACGCCGATGGAATATTGTGCGCTACGCCTTGTGCTTCGTTTGACAGTACCCCCAAAAATCCACAAAAACTTGGCATCCGATTCTGCTGAATTCTCTGATCTTCCCTTGGCTTTTTGATACCCTTTACGAGTCTGTCTCTTTTGGCTGGATGTATATCGGATTTCACTAATGTCTCTCTCCTTTCCGCCTTAATTCTACGTTCTCCCAGTCAGCTCCTTTTATTTTGCGCTATGTCTCGACTCATTCGCCGTCGAGATACTATTTTCCTTTCTATTCCGATCAGTCGGGGGATCATCTTTGAGACAGCGATGCGCGGAGCAACCAAAAAGCCTTATAAACCCAAAGTGGAGTGATCCATCTATATGTATGTGCGCTTGTGTTTGATAACCAATCTTTTTTCACCATGACCTTTATTCATATTATTTATTCCCATTTGAATTTGATTCCTGTGTGTTTGATCTTTTTACGATTGTTTCAGAAGAGCCGTTCCGGTGGCGGGGGTCCGACTCCGAGAAGTGGCAGGATCACGATCTGAGGAGGACTGGGACTGGAACAGGCTACGTGGTTAGTTGAGGGCAATGCACTTATCATTTGCTACTAGCGTGTCGTTGCGATCTGACGTTGCATGCGATATGCAAGTTGTGAGGAGAAGGCCCGAACGCTCAAAAAGTCTACAGTTGATCTTTGGAAACTGTTTATTGTCTGTTGTCTATTGTCTATTCGCTTGTCTCATTACTCTCTTCTCTCCTGTTATTACTATTCCCTTTTATATATTTAATTGCCTTGGTTGATCTGTCTTATTTCACGAGACTCATGAGGGTTGAGTCCTCGACTCGAAGATCTCATGCACGTCTGACCTGCGTCGACCATTGATCGTCCTCGCAGTTATCTTATCATCTTCTCTTTATCTCTTAACCGAGGCTACCCTTCTTGTTGACCTGGAGTCAATCGTTTCCCCTCACGGTGCTGGAGATCTGGTACTCCACAGTTCTTGTGGGGTGGTGGTCTTATCTGTTGATGTGTTCTTGCCGTAGGATGACGTTTGAATGGGACTTCCAAGCTAGTCTTCATTAGTTTGATAATCAGACACTTCCATTCTTTGGGGTTTTCTGAAATTCCATCAGACTGGAGTCGCCTTAAAATTTCGTTCCTCGGACTGATTGCTGGGATGGAGATCATGGTACTTATATGCTCACGATACAGGCAGTTAATATCATTGATTAACGGACATGGACCGAAGCAATGATAGGACTGATTCGGTTGTCAAAACTCCTCTGACAAGTTGTCCAGCCGGTTCCTCCTGGGCTCGAGTCTGTTTTTAATTGATACTCCCCGGCTAAAAAACAGCAACCGCGGTGCAAATTGATCACTGGAATAGTAACAGCGGTCGCCATCATCGTAATCGGTCTGGCTGTCGGCTTGGGAGTTGCGCTTACAAGTATATTCTTTCGCTCTACTTGGGTTAATACTAATTCTTTTTCTGACCGTTCAGGATCGCACCCTACCCCCCTCCTCGTCGTCAGATCAACCAACCTCTACGGGCTCAGGCGCAGAATTCACCTCGTCTGCATCATCTACATCCACGTCAAATCCGACATCGACGATGTCAACTGCGTCAGGGACTAAAGATGCATCGCCCACATCCACAGCCGACAAACACACCCGCCCAAGCGCGAACGACACGGAGATCCATAAAGGTTCCGGCAGCTATCATGTTTTCTGTTACGCAGACATTCAAGCCACCAACAAAAAAGACCTATCTTCCACGGTGCAGAAAGCGTTTACGGAATGCCTGGGGCCCCGTGGTTCGATGAATAATTACTAGAAACGCGTAGATGTTGCTCTTACGTGGAACTTTGAAGGTACAGGGCAACAGAACCCGGGGAATATGGCGGCAGTTCGCGCAACAGAGAACGTTGTGATTGATTTAGAATGAAGTGGATTCAAACAGCATTTAACTCTAAGAAGTAGGGAAATGGCACTAGGAAATGTAGTTCAGACACGCACAAATATCACAAGGCTTTAATATCGTTCTCCGTGTCTCCGCACCTTTCAACTGAATAAAGGCTACGACTATCCTTGCTATAATGGAGACATCCAGAATATCTTATGGATGCCCGGGGACCCCACGCTACAAGTGGGCCTCTAATTACTAGCTCAACCAAGGGCTACCAATCGCCGACGTTTGGAGAGACAATTCAATGGTCAATTGGCTTATATCCCTCGCCTTTGATCCGGAAGAAACCGATCGCAGAGCGGTCCAGCTTCACCCGCGCTTTGCCTACTGATCAAATGGCAAGGCTCTGGAACTATATGCCATAGCCTGCTTCCACACCGGTATCTTCTTCAGCAGACTCGATGCGAATGCCACATTATACCATGAACCGTAGCTGCCCTTATCCTCACGCAATAAGATGCCTTCGCAAGGGCTCCATATGAGGTCCACCGTCGCTGGTTTATGTTCTTGCAATTATCATACATGCCTCTACGAGCCCAGAGCGTGCCCACCACCCAGTCACCCAGCCAGCCAGCGAAAAGTCCATGTAATCCCATTTGCTTCCCCCCATTTCCTGCCACCTTTGTCCTTGGTGGCTAATAAACTGGCTGTAAGGAGCGTACACTTGCTCAGTGTATGGCACAATGGAGATTTTCTCTGCCTCGTAACCACACTCGACAAGTAAGTCAATGTACTCCTGGCGGGTGAGCACATGGTGGAGCGGCGTGTCAAGTAAACGGAATGAAACCCATAATTTCATCCGATCTAAGATAGATGCTTTTTCCACGACGAGATGGTCCGTGATCGCAACGGATGCATGTAGCTCGTGTTGAGCGTATTGGAAGATCGCCTTCCTTGATGGCCGAAAATCGACCAAAGTATCCACGGCGACCAGCCAGGGATTCTTAAGCGATTTCACTCTCCGGTGGATCTCTTCGCTCCAGGTGCTGGGCTGGGCAGCATCAGCATGGAAGATACGGTAGTCGGTGTCGCAGTCGAGAGCAGCAGCCTTCTGGGTCTTTTTCAATCTGGAGTCTGCCATCTGTACCTGCATTGGGCTGATTGTCAGACCGATCCACGAGCGACACCGGTCCGTATAATCCTTGAGCAGGACCTGAGCAGTCTCGGCACAACCACAGCCGACTTCGACGATCGAAACCTCTTCTTGCCTCGAGATCCCCGACTCATCCAGCAGTTTGCGAAAGAGTGCTTCGCACGCCTCTGACGAATGAGTAGCTTTCTACGGACGCAGGTCAGTACAAATATTCATCCGTCGAGCTGCGAGATGCCACTCATCACATACTTCCCAATAGCCAAGGTTCACCCACAGCGTCTGAGGCTCCAGATCCGCGTTGAACCACAGGTTCTCCATGCCATAGGCGAGATCGGCGCTCTTGCCATCAATCGCATATTTTTTGTTCATGGCCTTGCGGCGACTGACCATATGGCTAAGGAAGGGGTTTGAGGGACAATGGTGGAGCGGGAACACATATGTGCAGAACATTGCCATAACAAAACCGATGGCATAGCTGCTGAGAAACGAATACAAGGGCACGCTGTGGTCGTTGCTCACACTCGGAGACAAGTAGATGGGAGCCAGTGCGCAGGGAACTGAGAGGAACCCGACGATGTAACGATACATCGTGAAGGATGAGGAAATTAGCGTCGGCCAAAGCACGTTTACCATCCGTACGGAGCGCCTGATCCGAGCTATTTATACTGTTAGGTTCGATGTGGGCTGCTTCGTCATGCTACCATACAAGCACTTGGGTTCCTGTCGATGGGCGAAGAATCCTATGCGAGCATCAAGCCGCTGTCAAAGTCCATGACCCATGATTTGAATTCTTAGCCGCATCCGTAATATCCTACCCAAGCAACAGATGTCAGTGCAACCTTGCCTACAAAAGCATCGGTTCCCTCTTCAAACGCGATGGTTGCGGAAATGATCCGCATTCATTCTTTCAGCTCGGTAGAAGTAAGACATGCCAGCCCCTTGTGTACCGCAGGTTAAATCCAGTGGTGAACTATTCAAGGCCCTTGCCTCGCAGATGCCATCCCTCGCCTCCGTGTTATGACAGAGCGCATAGAGTCCAGGGACTCAGACACGCGCAATTATGCCAGGTAAGGACATACCAACTTCATGTGAGTGTGCATACATGGTTCACAGCGGCTAATCATCGTTAGGCAACTTTCCGAGAGACTACGCTTCGACTCAGAGCATCCAAAATGTGATCGAAAGGGCAAAAAGAAGGTCCTACCAGCCAATGGACCCGGCAGTGACTGCTCTTAAAGACACGTTGGAAAGCGACAAGATCTTGAGCGCCCTCTGTCGATCCATGTTCGCCGAGGGAAAGAAATTGGTTCTCGCGAACAGGGCACATCCAGGCTACCTTGAGATAGATAATATTCCGCTCCTGATGCGGCTATTGGACTATATCCTGGTGACCTCTCCAGAATGGGAAGATCTGAATGTGCCAGACTATCTGGGCGGGCTTCCGTTTAACCTTGTCTTGATGGTTTTGATGGAAACGCGCAGTGGACAGAGCTTGTTCAGGCATGATCAGGTAAACCGGCATCTAAGCACGATCCTGAGAAAATGGTCGCGATTCCTTGAGTCACCAGAATCAGCCTACGCACTCAACTCGAAAGACGGGTGGCTGTCTGCAGTTGCAATGGCAAGATTACAGGACATTGCCAACCATCCCACGCGAGACAACCGAGCCTTCATCGATATTTTCGACTGTCCCGATCCGTCAAATCCGGACACCCTCGGATTTTCGTCTTGGGATGCTTTCTTTACGCGTCGGTTCAAACCGGGGATCCGACTGACGCCTTCTCAACATGTACTCTATCCTGGCGGAAAGGGGGATGGGGCTCCAATTTTAAATGCTTGCGAGTCGACGCCCTGGCACATCACCCGCCACTGCTCGCTGGAGAGCAACATTATGCTCAAAGGAAAGTCGCATTCCGTGGCCTCAATGTTGGGCAAAAGCACACTCACACAACATTTTTCCGGTGGCACCGTCTACCAAGCATATCTGTCGGCCTTGAGCTATCACCGCTGGCATGCTCCCGTGTCAGGAACAATCCGCAGCATCCTCTACCTCAACGGGAGCTACTTCTCCCAGCTTCCCATGTCGGATAATCTGGCCATGGAAAAATCACAGAGTTACCTAGCTACCGTTGCGACGCGCATGGTGGTTTTTATTGAAGCCACTGATCCTGGCGTTGGACTCATGGCCTTCGTGGCAGTTGGCATGGGTGAAGTGTCATCCTGCGAGGCGTCGGTAGCAGAAGGGGACCATGTCGAGGCTGGAGATGAGATTGGGTGTTTCCATTATGGGGGGTCAACACATTGCCTGGTCTTCAGGGGAGGAGTAGACGTACGTTTTGAGTCTCTGGTTGAGGATGAACAGAGAAACTGCCCTGTCCCCGTAAAAAGCCTGCTGGGCCGTTGTTTTGTGTAGTCCTTCGATACCAAATTTTAATTTCGGTTTGTGCTATATGTTTCGGCCAGAAAATTAGATGCCTTTCCTTCTACACTAGTGAAGGTTCCCAGGCTCGCATAATAAACCTTTGCAAATTACGTCGGTTTTCATATGCACCAGAAGAGCAGCGGTCATGGACGAATCTAGTAAAGTCTGGATTGCTAAACAAATTGCACTCTCGTGGCCTAAGCTCTTCATTCGAGACCCCCTTGAACACGTAATGTGTCATGTAGGACCGCCGATGTTGGAAACCAGTGGGGGTAACCTTTCGGACGTTTCCGGCATTCCTCCGGAGGACCCATAAAGCAAGGGATGTGAACCACCCAGAAAGTCGACACGCCGGAAGCGTTGGGCCCATCCCCAGGTTGATCGGTCTCCCATAGGCTCCAAGGGCCTAGGAAGAGGCATATATAAGGGCGCGGGTACGAGCAGGAGGAGTTTAGATATATTTACCTTGACCGTCAAAATCATACCTTTACATACATTATTTGTTTCACTTCTTCTGTCGACTTCCTCTCATGGCTCAACAACAATTTGACGAAGCTGGCACAGATGCACAGGGTAAAGCTTATTGCGATGGTCTGCTTGGGAGTGAGTTGCAAGTTGATTTACCATGGAAAACCGACACGTACATGAGCAATATAGATGGAGAGAGTCTACGTGAACGCCCAGAGGTCTTTGCCGCCGCGGCATGGTCAATCGCCGTGAGCAAGTGGTTTTACAAAGATGAAGTGGAGTTCCAGTTAGTCTTGAAAAATGCCCAGGTTCTGTTACGGCTGTGTGTCACGCCAGATCTATACGTGGGCAATCTACTGGATCAAATCTTAAAACAAACAGATGCCGATAAGCAGGAACCTGTTTCAAAGCCGGCGTCCTCCAGTTTTTCGATCGTTTATCAGATGGGTATGTAATTCCTCCGGTAGTAGTAATATACTGAAGCTGACAGTCGTTCAGAATCTGCCAAGTCCATGGTGGTGCGGTTCAACGTGCAAGATTCCTTCTTGCAGATGCAAATCCAGCTTTCAGAGAAGATATTTCACCCAAGGGAGGCTGAGAACTTGGCCTCTATGGTACAGGGCATCCTCCAACACTTCACCGACAGTTCTATGGAATCCATACCATTAACAGAACTGAACCTAATAAGTTCGCAAAGTCTCGGAGAATTGTGGAACAGAAATTCGACCGTACCCCCAGCATCTGAGAATCTCGTGCAGAGTATGGTCCACCAAAGCGCCCAGGCCCGCCCAGATTCCCCTGCGGTGTGTGCGTGGGATGGATCACTCACATACAAAGAGCTGGTTGACTTGTCAACACACCTGGCGCTTGGTCTATCCCGAAAAGGGGTGGGTAGAGGCGTGGTTGTGCCCTTGTATTTCGAAAAGAGTCTATGGATGCCAGTTGCAATTTTGGCAGTCATCAAGGCTGGTGGAGTCTTTCTTCAACTGGCAAATTCCATACCCAGGGGCAGAATCAAGGCTATTGTGAACGCTGGGAACCCACCATTTGCGTTGGTTGGGGAATCTGCACCAGCTTGGATGGGAGACATTCTGCCCACACACACAGTCAACGACCTGATGGGATTGGTTAAGAACATTGACTCGCCTTTACAACAGTGCTCAGGAGACCAGGACGCGGTTCAGCTATTCACATCCGGAAGTACGGGCACGCCTAAGGGCATTGTATGGACACATACTGTGCTGGCCACAAACTGTGAGGAGATAATGAGGAAGCAGTCATTTGGGCCAGATACTCGGCAGTTCCAGACCGCGTCGTACGAGTTTGATGTCAGCATGATGGAATCTATTGCCATTTTAATCTCCGGCGGATGTCTTTGTATTCCGCAGGAGGACGACGGCGTGCATTGCTCTCCTCGAGCCCTGGAGGCGCTCCAGGCAAACTCGGTCTATCTTACTCCTACGCTGGCTCGAAAACTCGATCCCGACAGTGTCCCTAGCCTGAAACACTTGGCGCTCGAGGGAGAGGTCTTATCTAAGGATATTGTGTCTAAATGGGCTGGCAGATTGACCATGTATAACTTCTACGGTCCGGCGGAATGCCCTCATGTGTCCGCATGCACAATCGACCCAGATTCCTTCGAAACCGGGTTTGCAGGAGCAACCTCTGTTTGCCTTCGGTGGATAGTGGATCCGCACAATCACGACAACCTTCTACCCGATGGGGCTATTGGGGAGTTACTAGTGGAGGGCCCCATCCTCATGGATCGCTATATTGGCGGCGGCCCCGATAAAGCAACTTTTGTGACTCCAACATGGCTGCGCCGGGGCTGTGGCCGTTTTCCAGGACGCCAAGGACGATTATTCAAGACAGGGGACCTGGTCCGGTGTAAGCCGGATGGCGGCCTGGTCATCCTAGGCCGCAAGGATACGCAGGTTCAGATCGGTGGTGAAAGGGTGGAATTGGCTGAGGTCGAACACCATGTGCGCAATTTCCTACGAGGCAGGGCTGGTGTTGTTGCCGAGATGATAACTCCAAGTGGCAGTCTGAAACCAACACTGGCTGCTTTCATTGTCATTAGTGGCGATAATGGCGCTTCTTCAGGCGCCAGCCTCAAACCTCTCACTGCCGGCATAAATGAGAAGCTGGCACAACATGTCCCGCTTACCTTCATCCCTGAGGTGTATATTCCAGTGGATACAATTCCGATCACAGCAGCGGGCAAGACAGACAGAAAGAAACTACGCAAAATGGGCAGTTGTATTACTTTGGATGAGATATCCCTATTGCAGGAATCCAGATTAGAAACACCACAAGGAACCACAGAATAGATAAATGGTTAATAGCATCGGCGTTTGCTCACCGGCAAGACAATTTTCCATATTTCTAGCTGTAAAACCTTGAAATACTTTATACGCCTAAACACCAGATAGGGATATAGATACTACATAGACAGAAACGCATCTACAACCTATTACTATCTATCCATTTTAGGTGGAGTATCTGACGAGCTCAATCATATACTTAACAGTAAGAATAAAAGAGGTATATTCAATACAAAAGCGTACGGCTTAAAATGAAGCCCATACCTTTGCCGAAGTCTTCAAGTTTCCTCCTACATCTATTTAACTGTTTCTCTTTATGCCCAAGGCACCTATTGCTACCTCAAGGCTTAGACTTGTATTAAGTATTAACTGTCTTATTATCTCAGGTATCTGAACTGATACACGTTGCTCGACCTTATTCAACTCCTATACCTTCTAGCTTGGATGGTGTAGGCTTGCGCTCTAATTGCTGCCCTGAAGCCTCAGGTGTGTCACCAACAAGAAAGGTAGTTGAAGGAATGTGCACATCTCTTGGTCAATCTGTTTAATATATTCCGCTGTTGAATAGCATAGTTGCAAGTACATTCGGCCAATGGAGATCATTTCAGCTCTTAATGGCTTTTCTCACAGAGCAGCGCATTATGCTGTTCCGAACTCCTCCACCGTGGATGTATAAAGTGTCTTTTTCACGCGAGTTGCCTGGGCATCGTTTCGTTTCGATGACGCACTTTGGCTGGACATCGGCCGGTTATCTATAACCTCTTCGAAAAGAACCAGAGACAATCTCACCACGGTCCGGACGCTTGACTGATACGCATCCAGCCACCGGGCCGCGTATGTAAAATCCTACAGCTACCTACTAGCGGGATATTCTACCGCGCGCAAATAACCATGTCTGATGGTGGGAAGACAGCTGCAATCAGAGAAAGCCGGGCAAACAACGGGCATTTCTGACGACACCCTAGTCCCGCTTCATCTTGCCCAGGCGATTGTCAAGGTTGTAGTGGTTAATGGTGTTTGGGCGTGATTTACTCGGGTATTTAGGATGCCTTACTATCCGCTCCATTTATATATTACTCCCTTATATCAGTGATTATTTAATAAAGGAATGTAGATATTATTTTTATTACTCTACTACCTTGGGTGCTTCTTAAGATGATATATATATATCTTATTAGAAGGGCCATTAAATGAGAATAAAATACTAAATAAATAAAGTAAATGCGAATGGATTCTTCGGGACTAAACTGATGATCATGAATATAGAGAAGAACAAGGAGACAGCTTGTGAATCCGCGGTTCGCTCGAGCAGCCCGTGCACAGGCTGCAATTCATCCGGCCATGTACGAGGCGGCAATGAAGCTGACTCTAGGGAATGTAGGTCGATTTCTTCAGATAGAGTGAGTAGTATCTCGGACTGACGATGTCTGCCTGTAGTCCGATTTTGTCTTCTTTGGCCGGGAATCAGATGGGCGCGAAATCATGAAATTCGGAAAGTCGCACAATGACAACATGAAGCTTACTCGGGCTTTGGAGGAACTGGAAGCAGGAATGGAGCTCATGGATAGGTTTTACGGTTTCAAGGAAAGGAAAGAGTCCACGGGAGCATGGGAGAGACCGAATGGGGGGAGTCCATTGGGCGTTAGGAATGAATCCTCCATGTACACTTGGTAGATGGATTCCTTGGTTAGGTACATATCCTCCAATTCTTGAATCATTCTTATGCTGGATATTCAGTCCAAAAGCAAATCCTCTACCGTTTTCAACGCCCATTTAGAAGTTGCTATTGTCTCGAACGGTGAGCCATCAGCGTTACGCTGGAACGCATAGTGCAGCACTGCGCCGATTTTGGATGCCTGCATTGCATTGGCACAAAATTCCTGCTGGCGTACATCATCGTATATTCGGCATCGGGCCCAGAACTCATCCCAGAAAGCATCTAGCAACTGTCGACGGCATGAGTAATTGTGCTAGCCGCTGAGATCCATGTAACCAGTCGATAATAAAAGAGTATCCAGTTCCATGCCAAACGGCAGCACCCTGGCTAAGGACCAGTCGACAATACCTGTGATCTCAAAAGTGTCCTCGTTGACGAGAATGTTTCTTTGAGAAAAGTCATTGTGTGTGAGAACCTGCGGATATGTTTGCTTAAAGAGAGCTGGGAGGCTGTGTTCGAGCCCAAGGATTGTGGAGGGTGGAAGTATAGAAGGTGGGGAGTCCTTAAGTTTCAGAAGTTGGCGATGGACTCTGGCTTGACAATCTGCTTGCACTTCAGGATCAACCGGTTGAGGACTCTGCCAACACCGAGCAAAGTACCTGGAGAGAATCAACATTGTGACTTCTTGGCATAGTAGACAAAGTGGAGGAAGGAAAGATGAGCTACCTGGCTAGATGCTTGACAAAACATGTATGTCTAGCCTTTTCTTCGGGGTTCAACTCAGCTCTGGCGCTGAGTGCTTCTAGGCAGGGAACACCTTGCAGACAGGGCATCGTATAGACGAGAAGAGGGGGATTGGAACCAGGCATTTCACCATAGAAGGTGGCTTCTGGCACCAAGGCGCCGTGGATAGATTTTGCCAGCTCGATGACAGCCTGATCCAGGGTGGATTCAGGCTGCCGAAAAGAAACGATTAGATCCCGCCGAACACCTGGACAATCTCTGCAAAGGACCGTGTAGCTCAGCGAGCCCGGAGCGGCAACTTCCTGGACAGCGGAGCCACCGGATATCTTGCGGGCATGGTCGTCACACTCTGATTGACTTGGAGATTCACGGGTCTCGAAGAACCGGTCGATAGCTTGTTGGGTCTAGGATCGCTCCTGCATGGTTTCAAGAGCACTGCTGCGTACTTAGAGCGACCCCTTGGCTGAAAATTATAGGAACAGTATCTCTGGCACAAGTATGCTGGAGAACATTCCCAGGCAAGAATATTTGGAGGACTCAAAAGTGGTTTAGTGGAGCCACGTCGTTGTCAGCCTGCAAAGAGAAAAACCAAATCACGAGCTGGACAACACTGGTATGTGAGTGCATGACTACACGCATTCACAGGAGTTCAAACTGGTAGACCGCCAGAAAGACAGAAAAAGGATACATTTAAGCAAAAAAACATAAGAGAAGTAGTGAATGGCCACATGTCAAGCAGTTGCCTAAAAAATCAAAAAACTCCGTCCTTCACCTCACTTGTCTTTTCTCCCTACCTCAACCTTCTACAAACCTCATCAAGTTCATTCATTTTCAGCAGAAAGAACCTCACAGTGATGAACGCATCAAAAGAGAACGATACTGATATCAACAGCGGAAGACCTTGATGCGATAGAAGCAATTGTTGATGGCAAGGGGGTAATCAGAGCAAAATAGAGACAGGAGAACCAAGCTAGTCCCAATGGAAGAATCCAAAAGGGAAGCTCTCATCAAAGCTGCAAAGAAGATACATGATCTTCTAAAGGAGGACAAGGATGTCGATGAAAAGGTCCTGAAAAGCTAGAGGCTACCATCGATACTGCTGCCGATCCCTCGAAAAACACAAACTACACCAGAATCACCATAGGGTCATTGTCGCATGAGTACCTGAAGAAGACCTTACATGCTTTCCCGCTTGGAAAAACAAAAGATTGGATTGTCGAGTATAGAGGATGGCCTGGGATCATCGGTAAGTGATCTAGACATATATTATTTACTATGAATATTAATGAAAAGTACAGATTCTTTTCTTGGCGTGTGGCAGAGAGGTACAGCTGGAGATACCGGAAATGAAGCTGTCATAAGAATAAAGCTCAATATTCTACTTCTCCTGGTCTTGGATAAAGTGAAACAAGACACCAAAACAGACGCAGAACGAATGAAATTAGATTGCGAGACAACTCTGGATACAGATATCCCTAATTGACTTGGAGATTAACGGGTCTCAAAGAACTGGTCGATGGCTTGTTAGATTTATAATAGCTCCTCCATGGTTTCAAGGACACTGTTGCGTACTTAGAGTGACCCCTTGGCTAAGGAATATAGGAAGAGTATATCTGCTTAAGTATGTTAGAAAACATTCCCTACCTTTTCCTTGGAGGACTCAAAAGCGGCCTAGGGAAATCATGTGTGTCTTACTGTCAGCCTGATTCCCTGAATGCTCTCGCCGACACAGAGACAGGCCAAATCGCGAGCTGGACAAAACTGGTATGGGTGATCCTAAGACTAGGCCTTCTCGTGCTTGTCTTTATTCTATCGCCGAATTTGGCATCCCATCACAATTGCATACCTGAAAGAGCTTGCGACGTCAGAGTTCACCCACAGAAGTGCGTGAAAAAGAATTGATTCGAACCGCCGAGGAATGATAGGCACAGAGAGAATTATTGAGTCTCAACTCGGCAGGGTGCTCAGACGGGGTTGCGCTGCCTCAGGAGCGGAATCAATACTACCATATATTCATAAGAGTTCAAACTGGTAGACCGTCAGGAAGACAGAAAAAGGATACATTTAATCAAGCAGAAATGGTGAAGCAAAACAACTTGTGAATAAGACAAGTAGTGAAGGCCCACGTCTCAAGCAGTGGCCTAGAGAAATCAAACAAGTTCGTCCTTCACCTCACTTGCCTTTCATCCTACACCTCCCAACCTACCCAACCTTCCACAAACCTCATCAACTTCATTCGTTCTTTTCAGAAAGAAGACACTCACTGTGACAAACACACTAAAGGAGAACGATACCGCCTCAAAGGGTGTCACTGAGTACCAAAAATGCCTAAGAGACGAAACATACCCGGTGGCCCCGAGCCCTCGAGCAAAAAAGCCGTGAAAAAGTCAAAGAAAAACGCACCCGAGGAAGAGTTCCAGATGCCCGGTGTGATTGAAAAGCTATTTACTGGCGATATGTTGCAAGATATTCAGCTCTGGGCGAAGCAGAAGCTCAGTGGAAATGATGATCTCATCAAGGACACCGCGCAGACTTTTGACGAATGCAAGGATGAAAAGGATGAGTGGAATTTAATTCAAACTATGGCCAGCGCTCAAAATTTCAAACAGAAAATCGAGCTGGAATGCCACAACCGGGTGATTGAATTTCTGAAAGGCCGAGAAGCATACTCCAAGAATAAGGCGAACCGGGATGAAGAAACATGGCAGTCTCTGGGTGAAGTCGAACGCAAAGGCAGGGACTACCAGAAAGACATACCAGGATGCTGGGCTCGTGTCGAGGCAAGATTTGGAGCGGAGACAATGGCGCTGCTTCAGGGACTAGGCTCGGGCAGGCACCATGCAAAGACCTGTTCAGCTATGGCTGGGAAAGCTGACTCGTGGGATACCTGGAGGAAAAGGATCAACATGGAAGTTTACGCTCGTGCCAAGAACAGGAAGCAAGGACAATCCGCGAGTATAGTCTGGTTTCCGGTCGACATTAAAAGAGCCACCGACCAGAAGAAGGCCCCCAAGATGCTGACAGCGGAAGAACTTGATGCGATAGCAGCGGTTATCGATGACAAGGGAATAATCAGAGCGAAAGAGACGCAGGAGAAGCAAGCTTGACAGCCGAAAGGGATTGAGTCCGTCCCTCAAAGATAGTAATAACAAACCATCAACAATATCAAACTCCAGGAAGCCTAGCTATAATGGAATAATCTAAAAGGAAAGCTCTTGTTCTTGGCTGTACTCCTAAAAGACGGAAAAATAATTAGTCTTTCTAAACCTAAAAGCCTGCCTGCAACATAGACGGCGGGATGCAACACACGCCTGTTATTAATATTAATATCATATGTCAAGGTGATGCTTTTCCGAAAGCATAATAATTCCGACTGATCTCTTGACTTCCTTTCCTACCACCCTCTTCCCATAAATAATATCCACAATACTACTTTTGTCCCTTTCTCAGAAGCTAATAAATCAACAAGTCTCACAGATATTACACTGCAAGGCCTAAATTAGTTTATATTTGCTTATTAAGTTCCCGCTTATATTTTCAGCTATGCCGGTCTTAAAGCCATGGAGCGTCTCCAGGCGTACGAGAAAATACTTGTCAGTCCTGAGCTTGAGAATCATTGCAAAGCCAGAGACACATAGCATCTTTCGTATCCCAGAGATTCTTGAAATGATTCTTTTGCGGTTAGATATGCTCACCTTACTGATATCTAATCGAGTTTGTGGTCTCTGGAGCATTGTTATTGAAAACCCCGAAAGGATCCAACAGGCACTGTTTTTTATTCCATGTGCAAATCTAACGCTAGGGCAGCAAAGCATAAAGAACCCGCTGCTCATGGACCGCATATGGCACGAGTTTCTTCGCAAATACTTGGACACGCGTTACAGATCCGGGAACCATATAGCGGGGCTGCCAAAGATTGCATCTACCAAGAGAGAAATAGCATACCTACGCCCGTATGCAAGCTGGAGAAGAATGCTTCTCCAACAACCGCCCACGTCGCTTGTTCGTTTGTTTTAATTCAACTACCGACCCCACACTGAGTTCTCTCCCATGAATCATACGCATGCGAGATGGAATCCACACCGGGATTATATCCGCATCCGGGATTTGGATAATCTGATGGAGTCTGGAGCCCTAACGCCTGGCATACACCCCCTGTTGTTCTTCGCCGATACAGGACTCCTGGGAAGACTCAGCTTAGGAGAGCAACTCAGGCAGAAAGCTGATATCGAGATGTGGTTGAAGACATATGATTTCGTCATTAATGTCGAAACGGAGCATAATTTCGTCAGGCTGTGGCATCATAGACCCTTGGATCTTGCAGGCCCCGCTACATATTGGGTCTGGATCGAATCAAAATACGTGAAGCTATTTCCTGAGGATGAACGCCCGACTGAGACGGATCAGGATAACACGACTCACAACTATGGTCCAAAGATGATTTCGGTAGAATGGACGATGTAAGGGCGCCTTTCAGGCTGCTACTGAGCACTCAGTGAAAACCGGGGGATTATTTTATTTCGGGCTACTTGAGGTGCTGAAATATTACCTTATGCAGTTCCGGGGCATACAGCTACTACCTTTCTGCTTAACAACTTGCTTTTTCCTCTAGTTACTCTAATATGTTGAGCATTCAACTCTTGCTTACAGATATTATTAAAAAATTCTGGCTAATTTTTGAGTCTCAAATCAAACGACAGATATATGTAGGCAGTATTAATGTAAGAATAGTCCAAGTAATAGTAAACGTATTTGAATCAAATCATCAAATATACAAGATTAAAAGATTCTTCCTAAGCACTGAGCAAAGCCAATAGCCAGTATTTCCATTCCGTAAGGCAAGCATAAAAGCTCACTAGTTTTATGATAAGCAGAACAAAAAAGAAAGGGAACATCGGCACTTTTCAGTCTCATAACTAAGTATATATTTCTACTTTTCTAATGTAATTTTTCCTAATATTCTACCTTATAAAAGGAAACTTGGGCGATAACTGTTAAATAAAAATCTGGCACTGGAAAAAGGAAGAGCATAAGAAAGACTGTGTTAGAATATAGGGCAAAATAGTTAGTTTAAGAGATCTAGAGAGAAAAATAGATATATAATTATACTTCGTTAAGGTAATTTAAAGGATATTCGAGCTGAAGCAGACTTTTAACTTAATTTCCTCGTGGTCAGCTTAGAATAACACGACACTCAGCCGAGAAGATAAACATTCCGAAAAAACCGCCTATAATATTGACATAGGCTTTAGGGGTGCCCTATTTTTATTAGACTAATATAGAAATTCGTAGTAATAATTAACCATTTGAGAATAATCAAAGGCAAACTGCCCATTTCACTGTATACTGCAGGTTATATATGGGAATGATGGATTTAGGGCTACCAATCACGAGCTGGGTAAATCAATAATAAAGTAGTGATAACAATTATTCATCTTAAGTAAAGAAATCTCAGAGGTCCAATAATCACATCTATCAGAGTCTCCTTCTCCTCCACTGTTCCTATTCCACAAGCCTGACAGAACAACACAACGGAACCACAAAAGAAGAAGCCCCAAATCCAACACCATCGGCTCCCCTCTACCGCGTAAACCAGACGGCCGCGATAGCCACCAGGGCAACAACTCCTGCCCAGCGCACCAGTCCCCGCTTAATATGATATTGCGCCGTGCGATCAATAGCCTCCGAGCCGTTGATACGCGGAAACGGGATATCAGGCACCTCCTTCCCCAGCGCCTTGCACAGGGGTCCCCAGCCCTCCTTAACGTCAAAGAACAGCGACCGATCGGCCGGAACGACCTCTTTCAGCCACTCAATATGTCGATGATAGATATAGTCGCTGGATCGGCCCTTTCCATACACCTTGTCCCACTGCGTCTGTAGCAGGTTGATATAGTTCACGAAATGGCGCATCCCAGGCAAGGGGAGCAGGACGGCGCGCAGGAATCACAGCGTCGACAAACTGGCCACCTGACTGTGGCTCTTCACCCAAGCGGCGGGGTCTCGCACGGTGCAAATGATCATGGCGTCGGGATAGAGTTGCAGGAGCTCCGGGACGAACTGGGACCCGGGGGCGTCGGTCACTGCGACATACCCGTCGAGGCGTTCCGCTATGCGTGGTAGGGTCTGTTTCTCGCTCCCCGCGGCCTAGGTCCGGAGAATTTCGATCCACAATTCGATCTCAACCGGCGGTTCCATGGTGGTTTGTGTGCCGCCTGGTTAAGAAGGCGGCAATATTCAAGAGACGGATGACAAAATTCCGAGCCTATCTTGAAACGAGGTCCAATTCCCCGTGGAGAAACCCGACCATTAGCGCTAAGTCCAGCCCTAAGATGTCCTCAAACTCGCCGCGGAACATGACCGATGGCAGTCTTAGTGCGAAAGGGGCTACGCATAAAAGGAGGCTAATCTCGTCTGAGTCGATGACCAGGAATCACCTGAAAGTTTTATCCCCGATCATGACTTCCGACAACTTTGATAAGATCATTGCGCAGCTCAGCTTGGCTGAGAAGGTCAGCTTATTATCCGGTGCTGGGGCTTGTCGAACCAACTCCCTCAGTCGGCTGGATATTCCAAGTCTACAAGTGAGTCGACCCTGCTGGACCCCCCCGGCGAGATGGAATGAGGATTAACTTTAAGCAGACTTCTGACGGCCCGCATGGATTGCGCGGAGGTGGTGGGCGCTTCTTTAACCCGGTAGGCTCTTTACTCTTTCAAATCATCAATTTATCATGGATCGAGCACATGAAGGCTAATGGAGACTATAGCCACCAGGCTACCAACTACCATGTGCCACCGCATTGGGTGCAACCTTCGACATCGACCTGCTGCATCGGGCCGGAAGCCTACTTGGTGACGAAGGCCGGCGCAAAGAAGTACACGTTGCCTTGGCCCCTACCGTATGCATCCAGCGATCCCCACTGATCGGTCGAGGGTTCGAGGCTTTTGCTGAAGATCCAGTGCTCAGTGGGACGTTGGCTGCTAATCTCATCAACGGGCTTCAAGATCGTCAGGTGGCCGCGTGCATCAAACACTATGCAGCGCACGACCAGTCCTCTAGATCAACAGAAGACGATGTGCATATGACACAGCGTACTCTACGAGAAATCCATCTCCTGCCGTTCCAGATTGCCATGCGGTCCAAGCCGTGGTCTTTCATGACTGCGTATCAACGAATAAATGGACTTCATGTCAGCGAGGATCCCTTCCTGATTGAACAGATCTTACGCAAAGAGTGGCAGTTTGACGGGCTGGTCATGAGCGATTGGTGGGGTACTTATAGCACATCCGAAGCCATCAACGCAGGCCTTGACCTGGAGATGCCCGGTCCATCTATCTGGAGAGGCAAACAGCTCATTGCGGCGGTCGAATGCCGCAAAGTCTCGACGCAGGCCGTTGACTCGGCAGTGAAGAACCTGCTGAAGCTTATCCGCCGCACGCGCGATTCTTGGACTCAGAATGCTATCGAGACGAATGAAAACAATGGCGACACCCCGCAAAGTCGAGAACTGACTCGGAACCTGGCTAGTGCCTCGGTTGTTCTGCTCAAAAATGAGTCCAATGTTCTCCCTCTTAGACCGGATGCCAGTATCACCTACGGTCTAATCGGAGAGCATTTTGAGAATCCCGCCACCGGGGGTGGGGGAAGCTCAGAAGCAACCCCCTTCTACGTCAGTTCTCCCTTGGATGCGTGTGTCGAAGTGATCGGAGAGAATTTCCGATACGAGCCCGGCTGCTACAGTGAGTCTTTATCACAGGGAGTCATCAGTGCTGGTTAATAACCTCTCCTAGCTCGGAGATGGACACCCCTGATATAACAGGGGCTTTTCCTGCCTGAGTCCGAGGAGCCTGGTCTTCTTCTTCAATGGTTCGCAGAAGACCCCTCCACGTATCCCATGGCCGAATGTCTACATACAACCACGACCCGAAATACTAGCATGTACTTCAGTCAGATGAACATTCCCGCCGTACCCGATACCCATTTTATCCGGGTTCAGACAAGATTCCACGCATTCAAGACTTGCAAATATCGATTTGCACTAAGCGTCTGTGGTAAGGCTAGACTACTAATTGATGGACAAGAAGTCGTCGACCTCTGGACCAGCCATCCACTCAAGACCGACGATACCCCATGCTTCAACAAACTCTCCATGGAGCGCCATTTCGAGCTAGACATCGTGAAGGGCCAGAAATATGATATCCAGATCGTCATGACCAACGAGGTCATCCATCCTACGGTTGGGCCTCGTTCGCCAGGCGGCGTGCGCCTCGGTGGGCAAGAGCTGCGGGATGAAGACCAAGCGATCAACGATGCCGTGCGTCTCGCGCAGGAGGTCGACATCCCTATTTTGATGACCGGTCTTAGCACCGACTACGAGTACGAGGCTTCTGATCGGACAAGTCTATTATTGCCTGGTCGAGAGAATGAAATGATCACGCGAGTCTGCGAAGCGAACTCCAATACGGTAAGTCCATCTAAAACACTGATCTGGGCCTGCCCGTATTCATTAACGATAACACAGGTGGTTATTATCCAAGCTGGAATGCCCATTGAGATGCCATGGATCCAAAAGGTCGATACTCTCGTCTACGCCTGGTACGGAGGGCAAGAAACGGGTCATGGGATTGCTGATGTCCTCTGGGGCAAAGTCAACCCTGCCGGACGGCTCTCACTGACTTTCCCCCGGCGACTTGAAGACACTCCAGCTTTTCTGAACTTCGGAAAGGTTGATCGACAAATTGTTTACGGGGAGGGAGTCTTTGTCGGGTATCGGTACTACGAGAAGCTCAAGTGCCCGCCGTTGTTCTACTTTGGATACGGCCTGTCCTACACCCAATTCCGCTATTCCAACCTCATCGTGCCCGAGAAGTTCCCCACCACTGGAGACCGAGAGATCGAGATCTCGGTGGACGTTGAGAACATTGGGCAGTGTGACGGAGCCGAGGTGGTTCAAGCTTACGTTTCCGACGTGGAGTGTTCTCTGCAAAGACCCCGGAAGGAGCTCAAGGTATTCCAAAAGATGCATATTGCGACGGGCCAGAAGCTAAGGTGCCACGTCAAGCTGGATAAGTATGCCATCTCTTTCTGGTCCGAGGAGTACTCGCAATGGAGGGCCGAGGCTGGGGAGTTCGAGGTGATCATTGCGACAAGTGCGGATCCCAAGGATGAGGTGTTGCGCGGCGTGTGCTGTCTCCCGGAGACATTTATGTGGTCGGGATTATAGAGACGGATTTGAGAAGACTATCTTCCATAGTGCAATTACAAAATGTCGTTCGTGGTTATTCTCCACTCGTATAGTTCGACCATGCAGTCTTCTAGCTAAAGACGGGGCGTGTCCCCCCGCACTTCCCCCGCGGGATTTTCTCTCTTTTCTCCACGGGGACTTTTCTCCCTCGATCATCACCCTATCGGACACCATGGCATCTTCATCGCGATCGTCCCTAGTCATCCGAGCCTGTGACAACTGCAAAAAAAGAAAGGTCAAATGCGACTCGGCTAATCCTTGCGCCACCTGCCGCATATCTCATCTTGCCTGCCATTACACCAGTGTCCCCAAACGACGCGGTCCCCGAGGCTTTCGGCAAAGGAAGGCCCAATGTCTCGTCCCACAGGCATCGTCCCCAGAGACGCAGCAAGAGATTCATCAACCCGTTCCGGAACCTCTTGCGGAGTTTCAATCGGAGCACAGCTCACCATTAGTTGAGGGATTTGGTCCTCTGCAGCCATGGCAATCGACTCCTGCAATCACGTTGATCGCCCCGACAGAAGTCATTCCGATTGTATACCCGCCGCACGCTGCTTATGCGGTTCTGGATAGTCTTCTGCAGTCAATCAAAGACAAGCTCCCGTCTCTGCCGATAGTAGAGGTCGCCAATTCCTGCATTGACCTCTACATGCAGTATACCTTCGCTACCGCCCCCATCATCCACGAGGCTAGTCTCCGCAGCTATGCCTTGAATTTCTTCTCCGGGGTGCCCTCCCCAAGTCTCTTTGAGGCTAGTAGAGAGGACCAACGGGTCGCTTCCATGAGATCTTTTACCTTCATCACGGCACTATGTGCCTCTGTTTCATCGGTGATGCCGGCTTCTCTTCAGCCGCATGGCCCTATTCTTGACAGGCCATTCCTGCGCGCCTCGCGCGAGATGTTGAAGCTCTACGAGGACTACGACCTGGAGCATCCAAATTCTTCATCCTTGGCCATCCGATGCCTTCAATCCACCGCCATGCAGCATACCACGGGCAAAAAGAACGCTGCGTTTCACGTGGTCGGGCAAGCGACGCTTCTAGCCCAGTCCATGCATCTCTACAGCGAAGATTCCATTCTGCGGGATGACGCCGTTGAGTCTCAACTTCTTCGACTGAATTTCTGGAACCTTTATTCCGCCGACAACGCGGGCTTAAGTCTCGGGACCCGACCCTGCATTCTACATCCGGATCTATTCTCTGATTGCATGACTCTACATCCTCTGGGCGAGCCCTTCACGCCGCTTCTCGACCCCAATAATCCCCGGTACGAGAAGCCTTACGAGGAACGCCTTCTGGCAGGCTTTCACCTACTTCCAAGGCTCTGGTCTTCGGCTAGTAGCCTCCTCCGGGACATAAAGACCTTTAACAAAGATAATGAAGATAGCTGGGGTCGCAAATCCTGCATCGCCCAATCGTACCTCGATTTCGTGGGGGTTCTAGATGCTTTGCCCTCCTGGCTGCAGATCTCCAGTCTAGTCTCCAACCCCGAAGACAATGATGCGGTATCCTTTCAAAAGAGATCCTTCTGGATGCAGCGATGTACTTTGACCATGACCTTTTCTTGTCTTCGACTTGTCATCCTACGGGAATGCATTGATAGCGGTCTCTGCAGTATTATGGGACTTTCTGAGCAGCCTCTCGCGTGGGCCATGAAGCAGGCGGAGATGATCCAGGACTTTCTGCAGACATTTGATGATATCCCTTTTGCGTATCATCAAATCAAAGGGGAACCTAGCGTTAGTTTACCTCTTTTAGATGTCGGAACATCTGTCACTGATTTCATCTCAATATCCAGGTCGAAAGAATCCGTCGAGTCGGCACGATCCTTCTGGCATTGATACAGAACGTCGATAACGATATCATTAAGAAACGCGCCAACTCGTACTTTGAGCGGATCTTAGATTCTTTAGCCAGATTAAACTCCAAGGCGTCCGAAGAGTTGACCTGTTGACTCGCTGAAATTAAATTCTTAATTAACCATGCCTTAAATTGACTGGCATCGGTTCATAGCTATCTACAGTCCTGTCATATTCTCCCTCGGCCGTTTCCAAAGCTCGGACCATATGATCGGGGGATTTTGACCCGCCGCTCGCGTGTGCTTCTCGTGTTCTGTCATGATTTGATCGAATGTGGAAATCTGCGCTGGTATGGCGCTAGGCATCAGACTTTTGTGGATTCACCGAATTTTGCCGCGAACAGTGGAGGTGCCAGATAAAGTCGGGGGGGGGGGGAGGCTGTTGCTGGGCTCCGGCTGGCCAGAATGGGCCTGTTGACTCGGCCCTCCGACGCACTAGAACGAGGACAGGGAGGCAGAAGCGACAATTGTCCACGGAAGAAAACTGGGATCCACTTCTTAGAGACCGCGGAGAAAAAGGAACAGCCGCAAGGTTTCTCGCAGACCCCACACTTCTTTTGGTGTGGGGAAGATCGATAGTCGATGGTTCTATCCGGACTAGGCTCACTATCATACGATGGAGCAATCTGGGGTTGGTGAATGGCTTGTTGTTGATAGCCACCGTTAACCCAATGGAGCTGCTTCCACTTCGTCTCGTTCGGACTTCATTTGACATTGGTGGTTTTATCGGCGTTTGAATTGCCTCTTTCTTTCACTTCGTCGGCTTCATTCAGAATCAGTCAGTATAAGTACTGGCCAGCAAGTCAGGCGCACGATATATATATGGACTTTTACCCGCGAGACATTCACCATTTCTTGCGCACCCACCTCTGTCCCGTCTGGCCTTATATAGCCTGCTTTTTGAACGACTTCTTCAAAAATGGCATCTCCAGATAAAACCCAATCTATGGGTCAGCATGTCGAAGATTCAAGCCAACAAATGACTCCTGATCAAGCTTCAGAGCTTGCAGATGTGGTGACCAACGGGAAATATAGCCCTTGGACCTGGTCCATGCTTCGTCTCTACGGTGTCCTTCTTGTGGGCTTCTTCTGTGCCACAATCAATGGCTATGATGGCTCGGTTATGGGGTTAGTGATATCGTACATACATATCTTTGTTTGTTGGTGCTGATATGTTCAAGCGGCCTGAATGCCATGGAGTCTTATCTGAATTACTTTAACATGTGTGTGCGACTCCGGTCCCCTCTACTGTCTCTGGATGCTCATTAGGCCGCCAGGAAATCTGCGTCATCGAGTACCGGATTTGTATTTGCGATATACGGAATTGGTATTCAAGTTCCTGCCTAAGCCGTGTGCGAGGAAGAGTCACTCTAACCAGCATCTTGTCCAGGTTCCATTGCTGCCGTGCCCTTCGTGGGCCCGTTGAATGACTGGCTCGGCCGACGTTCTGCTCTCTTCGTTGGCTCCCTCATCGTCATACTGGGAGCCTGCGTGACTGGCGCATCGAAAAACCATGGAATGTTCCTCGGGGGACGTTTCGTGCTAGGGTTTGGGGTCTGTTTCTGCAACGTCACGGCGCCGGTCTATGTCAGCGAACTGGCCCATCCCGTCTGGCGTGGCACTTTGATGGGAATGTACAACAGCTTTTGGTAAGTCAGGGACCTTTGGATTTCCGGATGTGGATTTAACAAGATTACAAGGCATATCGGCTCGATCTTAGCGGCCTGGGTGATCTACGGAGCCAAAGATGCCGGCCCCGGGGGATGGCGCATCCCACTATACTGCCAATTAATTGCATCAGGCATCGTAGTCTGCTTCATCTGGTTTCTCCCCGAGTCCCCTCGCTGGCTGGTGGCGAACGGGAAGATCTCCGCTGCGCGCAAAGTCTTGACTCGATACCACGGCGAAGGAGACCCTGACCACCCCTTGGTGCAATTCCAGATGCGAGAAATGGAGAACCAGATCTCCGTGAGCTCTACGGATAAGCGATGGTGGGACTACAGTGCTCTCTGGAAGACGCGGTCAGCCCGCCGCCGTCTCATTTGTGTCGTCTCCATGGGCTTCTTCGGCCAGTGGTCAGGAAACTCCGTCACCAGCTACTATCTCCCCGTGATGCTGCAGAACGCAGGCATCACCAGCGAGAGCCGCAAGCTGCTCCTCAATGGCATCTACCCTCCACTCTGCTTCGTGGCCTCGCTCGTCGGCGCCCGTCTCATGGACATGGCCGGTCGTCGCCCTTTACTCCTCTACTCGCTGGTCTTCATGATCGTCGCCTTCGGCATCCTCACCCCAACCTCCAAACTGGCCGCCGAGAACCCATCCAATAGCACGGCGGCCAACTCCACCATCGCATTCATCTACCTCTTCGGTATCGCGTACGCGGTGGGCTGGACGCCCATCACACCTGTCTATATTGTCGAGGTGCTGGAGACCAATGCCCGCGCCAAGGGCAAGTCTTTTGCCTTGTTGCTTATCTCCGCTTCCAGCACAGTCATCCAGTATGCGTCCGGGCCGGCGTTTGAGCATCTCAAGTACTACTTCTACATCGTGTTTATCGGCTGGGATGTCTTTGAGATGGTAATTATTTACTTCTTCTGGCCTGAAACGAAGGGTCGTACGCTGGAGGAGCTGAACGAGGTGTTTGAGGCGCGGAACCCGGTTAAGAAGAGCTTAGAGAAGAAGAGCTTGCACACGGTCATGCATACGATGCATGTGGATAAGTCGGATCAAGCTGAGTCTCGGGCGCAGGGGTGAGAGGAAGATGGAGGCTATCGCGTTAAATGTATCGTTGGGGTGTTTTCTTTCTATAAAGCATAGCCATTGCCTTAAATCAGGGCTATGTTACTTTTATGCTTTGAATGGAATTCCGTCTATTTTCCGAGGCTCAATGAAGAAAGTCAAAAAATAAATAGAGGCGCATATCTGAATCATTGAGAAACGCGAAAACAACCAACTACTGCTGGTATTCGAACTCATTGATCTATCTGGCTCTTGCCATTCCCACCCAGCTATACACTCATACATAGAGAGAGATAACCGTTTTCAAACACACAGCAAGCCCTCCTTCTCCATCACCATGTCTCCATACAGTTTCAACGCGTAGGCCACGACGATCGCACTAATATACTCCGTAGAACCACGCCTCGTATCCTTCTCCGGTTCCTCCTAGAGCGTGTCGGATCCTTCAACATATGTGGTTAGCCCAGCTGCATGCTGCGTCAGGGTTCCATGGCCACTAGTATACGCGACCTGATTCCACTAGTCCTCGCGGGTGGCGACTCATTGGTTAGTGCCAACATTGTTTCAGGCGCTTTGGCGAATCGGAGAAATGCGAGTCCCGGTCGTGATCGGCGGGGAGGGAAGGATATGCGAGCCCTCCGTGGAGAATTCACCCTTCCGAGTCCCTCTCGTGGGGTTTCTGGGGTTGGTTACTCCGGGGTATTTCTCGTGTATGCGGAGTTCTCGGGAGGACTGGGGATGGTATATGCTTCGGACGAAGATATCCCGATGGCTATTCTCTCTGCCTACGTGCGTCTATGTGATCTTGTTGAAACGATGGTTTAGTACAGATCCAGCGGTGTCTGAGACTACTACGCATGCAAGACACCCTTTCTCCATGCGACGTTTAGATCTCGATATTCATTCCCCGAACAAACCTCCTCCAAAAGAAAAGAAACAGAAACAATGACTTCCCAGCCCACCCTCTCACCACCAACCTACGAACACCATCCCTCTGGCTTCGGCATCGACCATGCCCGTCCTCGAATATCCTGGACATTCCAACCCGCCGCGTTCTCTGAAGGGATCCCCGAAGCAGAGAGCTGGCAGCAAAGCGCATACGACATCGAACTCCACCCCGAAGGAAGCACCACCCAGATCTTCCACGTCGAAAGCCGCGAATCAGTCCTCGTTCCTTGGCCCGGTCAAGCGCTGAACTCGCGCGGCGCAGCAAAGACCCGGGTGCGTTCGTATTCGCAGATCGGGGAAGTAACAAGCTGGTCTGCTTGGAGTCCGGTGGAGGCTGGGCTCTTGGGCCGGACAGATTGGACGGCGGGGGTAATTGGCGCCGAGGAGAAGTTCGCCGTCGAAGGCGAGGGTCTTCGGCCGGTTATTTTTGAGAAAGGGTTCCGTTTGCCTGGCGAGATGCGCGATGTCGTGAAGGCGAGGCTGTATGTTACGGCGTTGGGAGTGTACGAGGCCCGGATCAATGGGTGTCGAGTGGGGACGGATGTCATGGCGCCGGGGTGGACGAGTTATCATCATCGCCTTGTGTATCAGAGCTATGATGTTCTTGGGATGTTGAACCAGGAGAGTACCATCTCGCTGGAGGTGGCGGAGGGGTGGTATGCCGGGCGATTAGGGTTTGGGGGAGGGCGGAGGTTCATATACGGTGATGAGGTAGGGGTGTTGGCGCAGTTGGAGGTGACGTTTGGGTCAGGGGAGATGTGGACTCTGGGGACGGACGGGGAATGGAAATGCAGGCCAAGTGCGATTGTGAAGAGCGAGATATATGATGGCGAGGTATTTGATATGCGCCTGGAGCAGGACCGAGAGGCTGCTTCGTATGCCGTCAAACCTCTGCCGTGGCCGTCCGCGGCGCTGATTGCCTCCGATGCACCGCCTGTGCGAGTCACACAGGAGGTCAAGGCAACGGAAATTCTCACCAGTCGATCGGGGAAGACGATTGTTGATTTTGGGCAGAATTTGGTCGGCGTGCTGCGGATCCGCGCGGTGCAGGTCCCAGCCGGAGACGAGATCGTCCTCCGCTATGCGGAGGTACTGGCAGATGGCGAGATCGCCATGCGTCCGCTGCGTCGGGCCAAATGCACAGATACGATCATTTCATCAGGGGAGAAGCTCATCTCGTGGCAGCCGAAGTTCACCTTCCATGGATTCCGCTTTGTGCAGGTCGATGGATGGCCCGGGATGCCGTCGGTGGACGACTTCACGGCACTGGTGATGCATACGGACATGAGACGCCGGGGCTGGTTCTCCTGCTCTGACGGACAGGTCAATCAACTGCACGAAAACGTGGTTTGGAGCATGCGCGGCAATTTTCTCTCCATCCCAACGGACTGTCCACAGCGCGATGAACGACTGGGATGGACGGGCGATATCCAGGTCTTCTCACCCACTGCATCGTTCCTGTTCGACACGACGGGAATGCTGTCCAACTGGCTCGAAGATCTATCGGCAGACCAGCTCTCCACCGAGCATGGCATTCCAGGTCTGGTTGTGCCGGAAATCCTCTGGGAGAGGCGATGCGTGCCCACGCCGCAGGCTGTCTGGCACGACGCGGCGATTCTGACCCCGTGGGACCTGTATCTGGCGTCAGGTGACGAGGACATCCTGCGACGCCAGTACGAGAGCATGCGAGTATGGATTGACAAGGCCATCCGTCGCGGAGACGACGGTCTCTGGACTCGCAATGTCTGGCAGCTGGGCGACTGGCTCGATCCCAACGCTCCCCCCGACGACGCAGGATACGGACGCACCGACGGCATCTTCGTGGCCGATGCGTACCTCGTGCACATCACACGGACAATGGCAAAGATCGCCTTGGTGCTGAACCGGATGGACGACGCGTCTCGATACAGGTCAAACGCGAGTCACCTCACGTCGCGCTTCCAACGCAAGTATCTCAGTTCGCATGGATACCTTGCCAGCGACACTCAGACTGCCTATGCGCTCGCTATCCGCTTCGCTCTCCTCCCCGACGATGCCAACGCCTACGCAAACGCAGCCACTCGACTCAGCGAGCTCGTCGGAGCAGCCAAATTCCACATCGGCACGGGCTTCGTCGGCACGGCGCTGATCTGTCCGGCCCTGACAGACACGAAGCAAGGCTCGCTGGCCTATCGAATGCTGCTGGAGAAGCACTGCCCGTCGTGGCTGTACCCGGTTACCATGGGCGCGACAACGGTGTGGGAACGCTGGGACAGCATGCACCCCGACGGCACGGTGAATACGGGGAGTATGACGAGTTTCAACCACTACGCGCTTGGGGCGATCGCTGGCTGGCTGCATGAGACCGTGGGCGGCATCAGCACGGTCGACGGCTGGCGGACAGTAAGGGTTGCGCCGCAGCCTGGAGGCATGATCACGCATGCTGAGAGCGCGTTCTATGGACCGTACGGACGTGTCGAGTGTCGATGGGAGATCACGGGGGCGATCTTCACGCTGGAGCTGGTTATTCCGCCAAACTCGTCGGCTGAGGTCAGTCTTCCAGACAAACCGGATGTCGCTAGGGTTGGGTCGGGAAAACGTCGCTTTTCGTGCGTCTACCGGGCTGAACCGTGGCCACCGGTTTTGGTTCAGGATAATTGGATGAAGTCATCTCTTTGTGACTGTTGTCTGTAGGTTCCCAGGTAGTGTTTAGTATTTATGATCATATAGATCACGATCAAAATTTAACTATCAGTCTATCGCCTCGTCTTTTTTTCACTGGGAGACAGCGGACTTTAGTGGGCTCTATAATAAAACAAATGCCGCAGGTGCCATAGATTGTACAAGTGAATGTGTTCAACTAGTATTTGAAATGACTGACTGATGGAGTGTTTGAATTGATGAAAGGTCTCGAAGGCCGCTGACCTGCTAAAGCCCACTGCAGACTAACTGGATCAGGTAGGCGAAAGGCCATAGAAACCAGACAGACAGGCAGACAGGCAGTCCATTATCTCTATCTTCAGCATTCTCGAGTCTTATTATCCCGCGAAATTCAAAAGAAACCCCATCACCGACACACTACGGACTACAGAACCTCACCAAGTGGCTCAAACTCAGCGAACTCAAAGTCCGCCGGCTCCAGGCACTGCTCCTTATCCCCAAAAGCATAGACTCCCAGCATCATGCCCGTATTTGGCCTTCCAATCCTAGGGTGGCGTGTCATCACCGCGCGCGAAACACTCCCCAGCCACTTGACATCCTTCTCTCTTTTCGAAGGAACCTCATAACCGAGCCGATACTCCGCATCGCAGTCAATGACAAAATATATTGCGCCAGAGTCAGCATCCGGCAGTATCTCCTCCACCGTCGCGCCATCTGGGGACACAAAACGCGCAATCCGCGCACCGGTAGAATCCATGCAGATTCCAATCCGGCTGAATGTGAAGTAGTCCCACCAGAGGACAGTTCCGGCCTCGGTGTGTTTGGAGCGAGGGAAGAAAGAGACTTGGGTTCTCCAGCGAACAGCCTGATGGGTCTGTTTCCTCAGAAAGAGGGTCGGACTGGCGGGCACGGAAAGAGGGTAGGCGCTGCCATAGAGTCGGAGATAGCCCGGCCGCTCGGTGAGTGTGTAGTCGGTTTTCTTGGGAGTGTCTAGGATGTGTTAGACTTGAGGACAGGCCCTTATCAAGGGGGTGACTTGCTTTTCCTGTACCAGCCCAACTGCAGAGTAGCTTCGTTGAAATTGTCTCTCCATCCCGCTGGGATTGAATGCTCGTATAGTCCTGGCCCGCGAGCCCTCAGAGAAACCTCCAGCGCCTCGTTGAATACAGGCCAGTCATCGTGCCATTGCACGGGAATCAGGAATGTTTCGCGGCCTGGGTGAGGTTCAAGACGAATCAATCAGTATTGCAACAATCCTGTGGTTGCGCATGCATTGACAGCGACTTACCAAACACAGATTCCTCCCATACATCCCCCGTCTTACTCGGTCTTGTCCCTAGAAGCACTGCCCACCAATTGCCCTCTGCATCATCGAATAGATCCGCGTGTCCAGTACTCTGCACTTCGTTATCTAGCCCATTATAGAGCACCGGGTTATGGGGACATGCCTCCCAGGCTCCCAGCGGCCCGGTGCGATTGTGAAACACATACTCAGAATGTCCACCCTCGGTGCCACCTTCCGCAGTTATCAAATAATAGTATTTCCCGCGCTTGAAGAGATGTGATCCTTCACTGACACCGCTGGAAGACTCGCGAAGGAGCTGCGGAATGGAGGTCGATCTCCCCGTCACCAAGTCTACCGTGCAGATGTGCACCGCCAGATCTTTCTTGGGAGGGTCACTGCGATTGACCTTCTGGTACGTGCTGCTGAGGTAGACGGTGCCGTCATCATCCCAGAAGACCTGTCTCATTGTGAGCCTTCCAAGTCAGAAAAAGAGAATCCAGGAGGAAGCACCGTACATCTTGATCGAACCCAATCTGGTCGAAATACACCGGGTCAGACCAGGATTCCGAGTCCCATATATCCCTCGTAGAAACGTAGAAGCCATGCGACCAGATCCTCTCGTCGTACTGTGGTCGGAACCGATCAATGCTGGCCGTGAATATGTAGAAAAAGCCGTCATGCCAGCGGATCGTCGTTGCCCAGACGCCACCGCCGGGCTCGGGGGTGCGAATGTCAAGCTGAGACTTCCGCGTCAGGGCATGACCGATGAGGGTCCAAGAAATAAGGTCTCTGCTGTGGTATACCGGGACTCCTGGGGTGTATTCGAAGCTTGAAGTCACTAGGAAAAAGTCCCTGTTGACTCGCACGACGGACGGGTCAGGGTTGCAGCCGGGGATGATGGGGTTGAAGTAGGTTGACATTGTCATGTTGCGATGGATGACTTTGCTTTGATTGGGTGAGGAGTTGGTTTTTCTAAAGAGTGACAAGATTGAGTATGCATTGAACGTGGCTTTTATTAGGGCTCCAACAGTTTTCGCTTCGCCGGGGCTTCGTTCTCCTCAGCGCAGCCAGTCGGAAAATGAACGTAAAAACATTCAGGCTGTACTGCAATAAGACGGAATGTCACAGAATCAAACAGTCGGCCTTTGAGCCGGTTATTGAAATCAACCCAGTCCTTCGCTCTTTATTTCCCCGAGACAATTCGCCGCGGACTTATCCAGCGCCACGTGGAGACTCGATCCACCCTTTTCTACCCCGGAAGATCAATCCCCGAGCTTTTCCCCAGATTTGCCTATCAGCCTAGACCAGACAATGGATCATGCGGGGACATTGTGGCTGATACCAACGGCTGATATACGGGGTTACGACGAGGAGGCCGGTTTCCTCTTTTCTTCTGGTGAGATTGGCCGTGCTGTATAAAGTCGGTAGGTCCATAGAACTTGCACCCAGACAATCAACCTGAATCTCCTACGCAGATCACGAGAACGCCCTCCACCATGCTGTTCAAATCCAAAACATTCAACCTCTGGTTCTGCTGTTTGGTGGCCGGAGGTTGCATGGTTCTGAACGGATATGATTCATCCAGCTTCAATGCCGTCCAAGGCTCGGACGACTTTATGGAGTATTTCCATCATCCGGTATGTTCTTTTGACTACCGTCTCTCTTGGCTAATCTAATCATGCGTCTTCTAGTCTCCATCGGTAATTGGTTCCGTGAACACCGCATACACTGTGGCCGGAGTTGTGTCCGGTGGGTCAATATTGCCCTTGTCCTAGTTTAGGCTCCTCGATCCATGCGTGAAATAGCCTCTGACCGTGATTACACTTAGGCTTCTTCATCTCGGCCCCAATCTCGGACTATTTTGGCCGGAAATGGACCATGTACCTGGGTTGCGCGTTCGTCATCGTCTCCAGCCTCGTCTCTGCCTTCACGCCACGCACCATGGGAGGCTTTATCGCCGGTCGTGCCTTAACTGGTATCGGACAGGGTCTAGCAATGCCTGCAGGTCCGGTATATATCAATGAGATGGCCCCCGCTGAAAAACGCGGTATGATCATGAGCTTCTGGCAGCTGTTCTTCGGCGTCGGCTCTTTCCTGGCGTATTGGATCAATTACGCCTGCACGGAGGATGCGGAGCGTCTGGGTCACTGGAATTGGAGAATCGTCATTCTCCTTCAGATGCTAGCCCCGGTGTTGGTTATTTCTGGGTTGCTGTTCTGCCCGGAATCACCTAGATGGTGTGTTATCGCGTTTCTTGCTTTTTTCTTGACCCCGACTAATTCCCGCCAGGTATATCCAGAAAGACCGGACAGAAGATGCTATACAAGCGCTACAAGTCGTCCGTGATGACCCGGAGCAGGTCGCCTCTGAGATCCGAGAGATCCTGCAGGCTATTCGATACGAGAAGGAGACCAACCCCGGACGATACGCGCCTCTGTGGAAGGACAAGGCTATCCGGAAGAGATTCTGTCAGAGACATCCCCCCCCTCCTGTATCCAACCTTCATCCATCACTAATATACCCGCAGTACTCGCCTGCGGCCTCAATATCGGCCAGCAATTCACCGGCCAAGGCTCCCTAACCATGTACTCCACGCTGATCTACAAAAAAGTCTTCACGGAGAACAAGCAGATCCAGCTCATTAACGCCCTCAACGGCACCTTCGGCATCCTCTTCACCCTCAACGCCACCTGGATGGTCGACCGCTTCGGCCGCCGCGCGTTGCTCCTCATCGGCGCCGCAGGCATGAGCCTCTGCATGATCGTCGTCGCCGCCACCGTCACCGAGACCCCGGAGCTGGCGGACGGCGCTAAGTCCAAGCCTGTTGGTATTGCGACGGTCTTTCTGATGTTCCTCTTCGCGCTATTCTATAAGCCCTCGTGGGGCGCGACCGTCTGGATCTGGTCGTCGGAGATCTTCTCGATGAATATTCGGTCCCAGGCGATTGGGATGGCCACGCAGTCGCAGTCTGTTTCGAATACCATTCTTCGTGCGTTCTCTCTCCCCTCGCCTTCTGGGTTGATGTTGAGGAAGTGATCTCGTGTGTCTAATTATTAGCCAATAGAGCAAATCTTCCCCATCTTCTTAGACAAGAAAGGCTTGTAAGTCGACACGTCTCCTGCCTACCATATTGCCCTCTATTGTTGGCTAATCATATCCATGAAACAGTTATGCGATGTACATGTTCGGCGCGATAAACGTCGTGCTCTTTGCGTTTGTCTGGTTCTGTATTCCAGAGACGAAGGGTGTGGCGCTGGAGCACGTGGATACCCTATTCGGGGGTCTGGACCATGCTGAACAAGGCGCTGAAATGGTCGACTATAAGCAGGATAAGAGCGCCGATGCTACAGTGCTTCAGATTGAAGATACTCGGGCCACTAAGTAGGAGTTTTATACTGTGCGCTTGGGGTTTGGGGTTAGGTTTGAGATGAAGCTTTGGTGGTTGATTTTTATTACATGTCTAATTTGCATCCTATCCAAGGCTAATCCCAGGATGCAGAGGTACTCAAGATATGGTTCTCGAAATATATTTAGTCGCGGAGAATATCCAAAGGTTCGAAGTGTAATATTAAATTCTGGGATATCTAGGCTGTTCCAATTGGATTAGGGCTCAGAATATGTAGTGGAAATCCAAATCCCGCCTATAGGACAGGATGTATGAGGTGGGGACTCCTATTATAGAAATGTGTATAGATTCAAGACTGACCGGCGAGAAGATACATAGGATAGTGAGGTTACTTTAATCATTGCCTCAATTGGCCAAGTCTCTTGTAAACAAATGAATTTCTCCGCGGAGAGTTACTAGCCGCGGCCCTATTCGGCCTGCAACGTCCGACTGAGCGAGGCTTGTTTTCAAACATTCATGACCTTGCATTTATAAGGCCTTGAATCGTTCTAGTAATTCGTGTGCCGTTTCCTGTCAATTCATTGTCCAGCTTCGTTTCGAATTACTAGCAATCCCAGTATGAGCGAAAACAAACCCCTCGCCGTCAACACTATCCCTCATCTCCAAAGGACCGAAGCAGCAAGTCAACTCATCGTCAACGGCAAACCATTCTTCATCTTGCCCGGTGAGGTACAGAACTCGTCATTCTCCTCTCCCGAGTACATGCGAGACAAATGGCCGGACCTGGTAGCCAGCAATATCAACACGGTCCTGGGCTGTGTGACATGGGAAGCCATCGAGCCGGAGGAAGACAAATTTGAGTTTTCCAAATTGAACGAGATCGTGTTGGATGCAAGGATGCATGGTCTTCGCTTGATTCTGCTTTGGTTCGGTTCGTTTAAGAATGGTAAGTTCATGTCCGGCCCTCTGGTGTTAAGTGATATTAAATAGGAATGACATAGGCATGTCGACATATTGTCCGGCCTGGGTCAAGCGGGATTCGGCTCGTTTCCCGCGTACGCTGCTTCGCGGGGAGGACGGGGATTTTCGAGTGGGAGATGTTCCATCTGTTTTCAATGTTGAAGCTGCAAAGGCGGATGCAAAAGCATTTGGGATGCTCATGAGCCATATCAGGGAGATTGACGAAGGCCATTGGACGGTGTTGATGGTCCAGGTCGAAAACGAACCTGGTCTCCTGGGTGATAGTCGCGATATAAGTCCTGCAGCAGATGCAGCATTCTCACAGACGGTTCCTCCCGAGTTACTGAAGTTTCTGGACGACGACTGGGAACTGCTCCATGCGGACCTCAAGCGAAATCTGGGTATCACTCGCTCCGGAATCCAAGCTGCCTGCTGGAAGGATATTTTTCTCAAGTCTTGCCACGCAGACGAGCTTTTCATGGCCTATCACTACGCCAAGTATCTGGATGAGGTGGCTGCAGCAGGCAAGAAGGCCTATCCCCTCCCTCTTTTCACCAATGCATGGCTTCCGAAAGTCGGCGCTGGCGGCGTGGAGTTCGTTGCCGGCGGAGGCGAACCAGGCATCTATCCTTCCGGGGGTGCAACAACCAACGTTCTCGACATCTGGCAGCGCTTCTGTCCCAATCTAGACTTCTTTTCGCCGGATATCTACATGACCGATTATAGCGATACCTGTGCTCGGTACCTTCATCGGAACCAGCCTCTTCTTATCCCCGAGCAACGGAAAGACGAGTTTGGGTTGAGACGCACTTGGCTTGCATATGGAAGTTATGGCGCTCTAGGTGCTTCTCCATTCGGGGTCGATACCTCCACCCCGGAACTAAGCCCTCTGGCGAAGCACTTTGGACTACTCAAGTCGGTCTCGCATATTATTCTAGACGCCCAGCACCGGCTAGGTTCATCCGTTGGGGTCTGTTTCGACCATCTCAACGACGACGGCAGCGATCCCTCGCCGGCCGTGGTGAAGCAATTCGGCGACTTTGAACTTCGCATTGAGCGGTGCTTCGTGTTTGGGAAGCCTGGGCCCGGCGCAGGAATGGTTGTTCACCGGGGAGGTGGTAAATTCCTGTTGATCGGCTACGGGTTTCAAGTTCATGCTCGCTCGCTATCGCCTCGCTTGGTGTTTACGGGGATCTTGAAGGTTGAAGAAAAAGAGGTGATGGACGAGGCGACTGGGCGGCTCAGGACCCTGAGACTATTCAATGGAGACGAGACACGGAACGGAACAAGGGTGATGATGCCGGATGAAGATCCGGATTATGGAAATGGATTTATTAGCACCACCATTCCGGCTCGGACGATGATCGCGGAGATGGAGGTTTACTCGATAGAGAGCCCAAACTAAGCCGAGTCATGTTTGGCTGAAATTTTGTAGCATATCAGGCCATAATCAAGATCCTGATCTAGGAAATGTTTTTGACAGATAGATGCGCGTGAACACCGCTCTAGGCACCTCCTAGTATAAACTCACGATGGGAACCGAGTTCCAGAGCTGTCAATCGGTCCGTTCTAACTTCTATCATCGATAGGGCTTTGATGACGGCTTTATGGGCCCACTTCGTCGGTACTCCCAGCCTCGGCATTTTCAGGGCCCATCTATGTGCGCGTAAGGGATGCGAAGGGGAGGTCCTGTTCCCACAGACTCCTTTCAATTCAATTGAACCACAGTTCATGAAGGGGTCGCTTATCCTGCTTTGAGGGTTGTTTTAGCCCTGTATCCTAGTAGGGAAGAATGCATATCTGCAGGCCAAGACCTGGATCAACATTGACGGATGACGACATCTGCGAGAGAAAAATCTGAGAACACGCTGAACTGACGTATATCAGTCGATCTATTTGTTATATGTGAAACAGAGGCCAGTTCGTAGGTTTTCCAGCTGTCTCCATGTGGACAGCGAAGATCTGTTTCTATTAGTAGAAACGTGCAGATATATCCCATGCACTGGCAGCGGGTTCCGTATGAATACGCAGGGTGTTTTTGAAGATTGAATCTTGATTCTGTATTCTGTACATGTCGTGGATTCTAGGGACTCACTGGACCCCGGATTAGACCCTGGAACCCCTGGCCATCTGGCAAGAGGACGACGATGACAATCATTCAGGGGCCTCGACTCGTAAGAACCGAAGCTCCGGTGGAGCCACACGGCTCACCGCCGTGGCGGTGCGGTATTGCCGGGTATCGTACGGTCCTGATGGCAGGAAATGCCAGTGGGTGGAGGGTATTGGAGTGTACGGTACGGTAAGGCACGGGCCACATTGGCAGCCTGGACTTTCTGGCGGACTTTCTGGCCTTTTGCGTGTCCCTTCCGGGGCGTCTGTTCTTCTTGTTCTCCCCAGTAATGCCTTGATTTTTCCTCCCTGTCCTATCGTTCTTTAATTTCTCCATTCTTCGTTCCCTCTTCGTCCTGCGCTTTGTCTTCTTGCCTTTCTCTTATACTTCTTTAATTCTATCTTTTTTCCTTCCCTGTCCTTCCCTCCCCCTTCCGATGACACGACCTGTATTTGCCTCCGCCTTCTTGCAATAGATCCCCCCCCCAGACTGCTTCAACCATGCCGAAAAACCGACCCGCCACGTCGGGATATGCCCGGCTGGCTCAAGAAGAAGAGGATCGAACCCATGATGTGTACGACTATTCCGATGACGACGACCTCCACCAATCCGCCGACACAATATCCGAATCCGCCCCCCGATATGCTCCCATCTCATCCCGATCCCAAATGCAGGCCTCGTCGCTCGCCTCGCCCCCCGAACCTCGCCGGAGACCCAGTGGACACTATCGACGAGGCCGGAGGAACTCCGGCGTAGACATCAAGGCCATCAATGCGCGTCTGGAACGTTGGGCCGAGGAAATCGCCTCCAAGTTCAAAATTAACAAGGTGAAGGGGAAGACCCTGGAGGAGGAGAAATTGGAGATCTACCACTCTGTCTTCCAGGCTCCCGATGGCGTGCGGCCTATCTCCGCGGAGACACTGGAGTCGGACGAGGTGGAGGGTGCGCAGCGCCGGGCCCGCGACGAATTCGAGGAAGTGGTGGAGGGCGTTCGCATCGCCATTGAGATGGGCGTGCACCCTCGCATGATCTCGCAAGGCAGCTCCGGTAGTTACTTTGCGCGCAATGCCGACGGGAAGGTCGTGGGCGTGTTCAAACCCAAGGACGAGGAGCCGTACGCATCCCGCAATCCCAAATGGACCAAATGGATCCATCGGAACCTCTTCCCTTGCTTCTTCGGCCGGGCCTGCTTGATTCCCAACCTGTCGTATGTCTCCGAGGCCGCCGCCTATGTTCTCGACTCGCGCCTACGCACCAACCTCGTTCCGTATACCGACATCGTGTGGCTGTCTTCGAAATCATTCTACTACGACTTCTGGGATCGGAGAAAGGCATGGATGGGGAAGAAACCCCTCCCTCACAAGGCGGGTAGTTTTCAGGTCTTCTTGAAGGGCTACAAAGATGCCAATCTGTTCCTGCGAGACCACCCCTGGCCTGATCAGGCGAACACCGGCTTTCGCACGGAGGATGCACCTAAACGCAAGAAGCGGCCTTGGAATGAAGCCTGCCGACCTTCCGGGGTTCATTCGGACGACGAGGATGATGACGAGGAGCATGGTCCCGCGCAGGCGCCTTCGCCGCGGGAGGAGGCCCGCGAGCGGCGGTTCTACTGGACCGAGGGTCTCAAACAGTCGTTCAGGGAGGAACTGGAGAAACTGGTGATTTTGGATTACATTATGCGAAACACGGACCGTGGGTTGGACAATTGGATGATCAAAATCGACTGGAAAACGGAGGAAGTGTCCATCGTGGCGGATCCGCCGCAACCCAACGGCAATCAGCAGGATGATGATGACCATCTTCCTCCCGCTCGCCCGATCTCAGTCAACTCCGACAAACCATCGACCGCCTCGTATCCCTACAAGAGACACGAGACGATGGTTGCCGTCAGTCGGACCGGAACCCCACTCAACGCATCGGAGCCGCAGGCGTCCGTCCAGATTGGAGCCATTGATAATAGTTTGTCATGGCCGTGGAAACATCCTGATGCCGTAAGCCGTCCTCTGCACTCTCGTGGATAAACTAGCGAAACTGACCTTTTCCAGTGGCGAAGCTTTCCCTTCGGTTGGCTGTTCCTCCCGGTTTCTCTAATAGGCCAGCCCTTCTCTCAAAGAACGAGGGATCATTTCCTTCCCCTCCTTACATCGACAGCTTGGTGGAGTGGCACGCAGATGGCCCTCCGACGGGTGTTCTCGCAGGATGACGACTTCAAGGAGAGTATGTTCGCCCGGCAGATCGCGGTGATGAAGGGTCAGGCCTGGAATGTTGTCGAAACGTTGAAGCACCCCGACCACGGTCCATTGGAGCTCACCAGACGTACTCGAGTCTGCGTCTGGGATGATTTGGTGGACGTTCCGGTTGCCATTCCCCTCCGCGGGCCATCCACGGAAGCCCAACGGCGCAAAGTCCGGGGCTACGAACGTTACGACAGCTATGACCCCGACAACGAGGAAATGGACATCGGTGCGGCCATGTCGCTAGGCTCGGGTCCGGAGCATGATCTTCTAGGATTGGGATCTCCCCCGAATGAGCTCCCCAATCCCAACCGGTTCGAGCTCTCCCGGGGCCGTCACTCGCGAGACTTTGACTCCAGCCGGGCCCAGAACGGTAGCCCTGCTACTCTGAACGACTATGGCTTTGGTCGACGAAACCTCGACGACTTCGATGACGATCGCGGCTTGGATCGCAGCTGGGCCACCCTCCCTCCTCGGCCCGGCAAAAAGCACCAGAAGCATAGTTCTCTGTCTTCAACAAACGGACGCGGTCAGGCGCATTTGGTGTTCAGCAGCGATGATTTGGAAGGTGATTTGGGATATGCAGCTGCCGAGGGAATGGAAGGGAACCAACGCAAAGTCATCGTGGAGCGACTAGAAGCTGTCAAGAGCAAAAACCCTGTTTTCACCTGGTGCTAGCCGGCACGCATCTTGTTTCCTTCGATTCTTTTCTTCTTTTCTTCCGATTTTCGAAATTTTCTTCTCTACCCCTTCCACCTTCTATCTCTTGTTCAAGTACCTACTTTACTTGTCGTCATGACCATCATCTTCCACTTTTAGCGTGTTATGGGCAGAACTGGCATGAGGAATCGATTTGCGACGTCGCAGGATATGCGGCCTTTTTACTTTTTGGATGGGAAAATATCACCCGGATGTTGTATATAGACAGACAGACTTGTTGCGGGTCTTCCTCTTAATTCTTCCAATGACATTGACCTACAAAGCGAGACAATTAACCGCGTCATTCTTCTGCTGTCCGCGTGACTGCAAAGTCCTGCTTTGATAAGCCGATCTTATCGGTGGCTTGGCGGACGATAATCATCGGCGAGGCAGAAACCCTTCCACCAGCTCCGCGACTCTCCCTCCCCTCTCTCCTCTCTCCTCTCTCCTCTGCTCTCCCTCCCTGTCTCCCTTGTCCCTCTACGACACTGTATTTTGACCAGACAGGGACGTCGCGTGTGCGGGAGGTCCGCGATGGAAGAGCTGTAACGACTCTCCTATCGCTCACTTTCCTTTCGCATTGTTTGAGACCTCGGCCTGTCCTCACCCTGGAGTTACCTCGCCAACTCTCGACCTTGAAGAACTTTGCCTCGATCACTTGACCTGAATTATCTATCTTCTGTCTACCGTTTACCTCCCATTACGACCCGTCGTTCGCAGACTCCCTACCCATCCCGCATACCTTGTCTCGGATACCCGCATCTGCATGAGAACTGAAAGTGACAACCATGGCATCCCATGCTGCGATGCTCTTGGACCCAAGAGCTTACAAGAAACAAATGAAGAACAATGGTAACGACCTAGAATCCCTCACTGGATTGCCTTGTCTGGACTGCGACACTCGTTCAGAGGCCCATGATGAATCTCCCTTTGCCCCCTCATCTAGGCGCTGCCCCTCGCCTCCCGAAGACCCCATGTTCCTGGATGACACAGACTCACTGATCGACACCGCAGACCGGCCGGACTCCGGAAAATCATCGCAGAGTAATACTGGTTCCCCCGTCGCGCCCGCGGGCACTGCCTCCGCCGCGCAACGATTCCTCAGTCCGCAGCGTCGTCGTCAGCCTTCCGTCAAGCCGAGTCCCCGGTCGAGATCCCAGATTCAGTCGCTCGAGTCGCATACCCCGGATAGTGCGGCCTCGTCACCGCAGCCGTCGGAACAAGCAGAGCCCGATGTGAGCTACGCATTTACAAGTGCGCAGAGCGACGATGACCATGATATGAAGCGCAGTTGCGATCAATTTGAGGCCGAGGCCGACTTGCGGCATGGCAGCTTAATTGAGGACATGTATGGGGTGGAGAGGCGGGTTAACCCGCCCTACAAGAAAGTAAAGACGAAGGAAGAAGAGCAAGACGGGCTGCTGAAGAAAGGAAATTTTGCTGCCGCCGGCGACAGCGGATTGGGTAAATGGATGAAGGAGGACCAGTCGACACCTGATACGTCATTTCCAGTGACCCCTGATGTTGTCGATTTGACTCTTGGTACGAATGTCACCAGAAGATGAGAATGAGTGCGATTTGCTAATGTTGTCTAGATGCCCCGGCTGCTGCCACTGACGATGACGATCTACAAGTCACCGGCTCGAACAACCTCAGCATTCAAAGGGTGTGCTATGGCAAAGTCGAAAATGCAAGAGTTCAAGCCATAATGGTGCCGAGGCCTACCGCCCAAACAATCTTCGGCGACTCGGACCATAGCTGGCCATCGATGAAATTGGGAGTGCATCGTACCGCAAGTCAAGGGAACATTCGCATCGACGTGTCAGATCCCCATGGCAAGATATTTGGGGCTGTGGAGGCGAAGATTGCCGCGGTGTTAGTTCCGCTTCTTGACTCGCCGGGTTTGAAGGTGGATATCACCGCACGATTGGATTATCGGCAGCGAAAGGACGGCGAAATGCCTTGGCAATGTTGCTCGGAGTTTTACCGGGCATCCATTAACCTGTACGGTCTAAGAAAGGACGCAGAACTCGTCGGAAACCATCTGGGCCAAAACAACGTTTGGCTTGGGACCCCGTTCTCCGTGGAGCAAGGCGTCCCGGTCTTCAATCCACATGCCGAGAAAAGACGTGCTCAACCAAACTTCTTACCATCAGTTGCTGCTCGAGGCCGATCGGGTGTCAGCTATGAAGTACGCACGGCGGAAGAGGTGAACGATGCGGTGATGAAGATGTTCGATCAGCTTCAGAGTGCCGAGAACCTCCCTGAGATGGACACTCCGTCTCTTCTGAAGACGCCGCTGCTCCGGCATCAGAAACAGGCTCTTTGGTTCATGACCGAGAAGGAGAAGCCGCGCAAGTTTGGGCAAAAAGAGGAAGACAACAACTCTCTCTGGAGAATTCAGTTCAATTCCAAGGGGCAGAAATGTTATCGTGAGATCATCAGCGGCATCACTATGGAAGAAGAGCCCCCACAGACACTCGGTGGGCTCCTGGCAGACATGATGGGTCTCGGTAAGACCTTGAGCATCCTCTCTCTCGTCGTATCATCACTGGAGGAGGCACGAAACTGGGCGCCGTTGCCGCCACCTACGGACATGATCAAGCATATTCCCGGCATCCGCAACAGTAAAACCACGCTGCTCGTGGTTCCGTTAAGTGCCGTCAATAACTGGGTCCTGCAGATCAAGGACCATCTGAAGACGAAAGCCGTTTCCTACTATGTGTTCCACGGCTCCGGACGCACCAACAATGTCGAGGAATTGTCGCAGTACGACCTGGTGATCACGACTTACAGCATTGTGCTCAGCGAACTGTCTGGAAGAGGTGCAAAGAGGGGTGTGAGCCCCTTGACGAGGATGAACATGTTCCGCATCGTCCTGGATGAAGCGCACACCATCCGAGAGCAGACCGCCGCGCAGACGCAGGCGATTTTCAAGCTCAACTCGCAGCGCAAGTGGTCCGTCACCGGAACGCCTATCCAAAATCGGCTGGAAGATCTTCTCTCAGTAACAAAGTTTCTGGGGCTTTTCCCGTACAACGATCGGAGCAACTTTGGGATGCACATTCTCAGTCGGTTCAAGACGGGAGATGCCACCGTTCTGGCTAGCTTGCGCGTGCTCGTAGACTCGTTCACCCTTCGCCGAGTCAAGGACAAGATCGATATCCCCGCCAGACAAGACCGGATTGTGTCTCTGAAGTTTTCCGACAAGGAAAAGCAACTGCATGATTTCTTCCGGAACGAGTCCAATGTGATGATGAAGGTTATCGCCGGCGAAGACCAGACAAAGATGAAGGGTCGCATGTACCACCATATCCTGAAAGCCATGATGATCTTGCGACAGATCAGCGCCCACGGCAAGGAGCTACTTGACTCCACTGACCGAGAGCGGATCAAGGGATTGAGCGTTCAAGATGCCATCAATCTCGAAGAGGGTGGCGATAGTGACACCGCCGAGGTGTCCGACAAGAAGGCGTATGAGATGTTCGTTCTGATGCAGGAATCTTCAGCGGACGCATGTGCCATGTGCAACAAGCGCCTGGAGGAGCCAAGCTCCGATTCTGGACCCATCGACCGGCAAACTCCAGTTGCCGTCGTTCTCCCTTGCTACGACGTGCTGTGCGCTGACTGCTTTTCCGGCTGGAAACATGCCTTTGATGCGGAAAATAAAGCCGTCTTACCCAACATCAAATGCCAGGTATGCGAAGGATGGATTCCCGCTTCGTACTCTTTCATCACGGTTGGGGGACTGCAAGATCATATGGTGGAGCAAGCCAAGGCCAAACAAAATCGACGACAGTCCAAGATTCTCGGAGAGTATGAAGGGCCGCACACTAAGACGACCGCTCTTATTGAGGATCTTCAACGGACGGCAGAAGAGTCTCAGACACTTGAGGATAAGCAACCACCGTTGAAGAGCGTGGTGTTTTCCGCCTGGACTTCACACTTGGATCTGATTGAGATCGCCTTGAAAGACAACAACATCACGGGATTCGTACGGCTGGATGGCACCATGACGCTGGCGGCTCGCGGCAAAGCCCTCAAGGAATTCCACAGCAACAACAAGATCACCGTGCTTCTCGCCACCATCGGAGCTGGCGGAGTGGGCCTCAACTTGACGTCGGCGTCCAAGGTGTACATCATGGAGCCCCAGTATAACCCGGCAGCGGTGGCACAGGCCGTGGACCGCGTGCACCGCATTGGACAGACGCGCGAAGTGACGACAGTCCAGTTCATCATGAAGGACAGCATCGAGGAGAAGATCTTCGAGCTGGCCAAGAAGAAGCAGCAGTTGGCCGACCTCAGCATGAACCGAGGCAAACTCGACAAGAAGGAGGTCCAAGAACAACGCATGCGGGACTATCGGGGATTGTTCAAATGACTGATCTTGACCTTCGCCTTCTTCGCATTTGTTCATTTTTTTTTTTTTCTTTTTCTTTTTTTTCTTTATACACTCTTTTTGATCATAAATAATCACGGACACTGACTTGGGACAAAATTACGGTTGATACTCGATACCCTTCCACGGCTCTGGCGTTTTTCTTATGTTTTGTTGCTTTTGTCACCGGTGTTTTGCAGGTTGATTGAAGATTTGAAGACGGTTGATACAGTACATCATTGGAGATTCTTACTCGTACAACAGAATCTAGACAGGATACTTTGGACGCGAGTCCGGATTGAATACAAGAAGATTTCTTTGTTTCACCACAGACCAGCCATGCGAGTAGTACATCTTCTAATCACCACACCACGATCCCATCCCATTTAAGCCCATCGCCAGAACCAAAGAAAGAAACCTCAAGCCCGATCGCCATAAATACCCCTATCCACCGCCCCCAACACCCCCTCCAACCGTCTCCTCAACCGCCCCAACTCCCTCATCCTCAACTCCCTCTCCTCCTCCACCCCCCTCAACTCCCTCTCCAGCTCCCTAATCCGCCGCTCCTGCTGCTCCTCACTCGAGTCAATCCCGGGCAGCACCGAAATCAAATACTCGATCTGCTGCTCCTTGATGACCAAGTCGCGCGCCAACTCCCTCTGCCTCGCTGCAAACACCCGCGGCGAGTCCGCCGCCGGAGGGAGGTTCGGATCCCCCCCTGCCCCTGTCGCTGTTCCGCCTGGTGTCACGGCCCCGGGCTCCCCGCCTAGTTGACCTCCTGGTTGGCCTGGTTGCGCGGTGTGGGAGGGCGGAGGCGAGGCTTGGGCGCCTGCGGGTGCGCCGGCGGGGGCGGGCGGCAGGGATGAGTTCTTGGGGATGCGCGCGAGGGCGGGCGCGGCGGTGGGGATACCTGGTGGTGGGATGGCGGGCGAGTTGTCGTGGTAGGTTGTTAGGTAGCCTAGGGTGGCGTAGAATTGGGTTGCTAGCTTTGGGGTGTTAGTTTTCTGGGGAGAGGGGGTGGAGAGCATGGAAGATGGGGAGTAGGGAGAGGGGGATTGGGAAGGACGACGTACTTGGTCCAGACAGGTCTGGAGTTGGGTGAGTATGTCTGCCATTAGGAGTAGTGGTGATGGTGAGGTGGTGTGGAGGAGAAGTGAAAGAAGAAAGAAAGATGACGCCGATGGAGACGAGCGATAAGATTAGCTCCGCTGTTTTCTCCGACTTGAGATTTCCCCGATCCAATATTTTCTTTCCCAACACCACCAGCACCAAAGACATGGCATGAGACTCAATACGATGAAATGAATCGCATTACCCACTCCTTCTCCTCTTTCTCCGTCTCTTCCTCCCTCCTCCTCCCCCTCCCTCTCAACCGCCCCCTCAGCACCTTCACATCGCGCCTCTTCAAGCTCCCACCACCACCACCGCAACCCCCCAGCGCAACACACCACAACCTGCCCACTTTCCTCGCCCACGCCTCTCGCACCGCCCTCCCCTCCACCGCAACCATCTACATCGGCACCCACTACGAATACACCGTCCAACACACCCTCCGCAACTCCTCCTTCCACCTGCACCGCACTGGCGGGCGCTCCGACTCGGGCATCGACCTGCTGGGAACCTGGCATCTACCAGGCCACGAGCACCCGCTCCGCGTCATCGTACAATGCAAAGCGCTCAAGACAAAGCTCGGCCCGAACCTCGTCCGCGAACTCGAGGGGACACTTCGACGACACGCGCCGGTTGGATGGCGCACTGGATCTCAGGTCGGCGTGCTGGTTAGTACGCGGGACGCGACGAAGGGCGTGCGCGAGGCCCTGGCCAGGAGCGAGCATCCGTGTCTGTGGATGATGGTTACGCATGGGGGTGTGCTAAGGCAGGTCCTTTGGAATAGGAGGGTGGAGGAGTTGGGTGTTGCTGGGGGGTTGGGGGTCGAGGTGAGGTATTCTTCTCCTTCTGCTTCTTCTTCGCCTTCTCCTGGGGGTGATGGGGAGGGTAGTGAGGTGGGGAAGGAGGTTGTGCTGACGTGGGATGGGGAGGAGATGGAGCATATGGATTCGGTGGAGGAGAGGATGGAGCGGTTGGAGGAGCGGTGGATGGAGGTTTGGGGGTTGAATGGGGAGAGTGGCAGGAAGTATACCCGGGTGGATGTGCTTGAGGCCATCGAGCAGCTCTATCCGGCGGAGAAACCGCTGCTTTATGGGAAAGGGGGGCCTTGTGCGCTGTCGGGGGATGAGAAGGCGGAGGTGCTGCAGTTGTTGGATTCGAGGTCGCAGCCCCGTGTACAGGCGGGGGCAAGTCGTTAACTCCTCACGGACCGACGATGTATTATAGTGTAACATATCATGTATAATAATCCATTGCTAGAGAAGGGTATATGTAGACAATCGAGCGGTAACAAAAGTCGTAGCGTCGTGACCTAACGCCGAAAAGAAACGAGTACAAAACCAACGGACTACCCCTGCATCGTCGACCAGAAGTAATTCGAGTAGAAGAAGCGCGAGAACTTCGGGTCGATATTGACAACGTGCACATCGCCCTTGCGACTGTTCCGAATGACCGCCTTGTTGAAATTACCCGCGTCGTCGGCCTCGATATCGACTCCAAGAGACCGGTATATTTTCAACCGAAGGCTACAGAATTTAGCACCCATCCACACCAGAACAAAACCGGGGCGAGGGGGAAACTCACATCGTCGCATCATCCATCTCTCGCTCTCTCCTCGTGCCCTCGTCACCCTCCAACCCCTGGGCCTCGAGATCCGCCAACCGCTCCTTCAGCATGTCTAGCTCGCTCTCGAGCCTCTCACTCTCGATCTCCAGCTCCGTGGCGGCCTTCGCGATGCGGAACTTCTTCGTGTCCAGCTCGACCATGGCCGTGGCGTGCTTGCCGGCGTCGTGCGCGGCCACGGCCTCCTCGTGCTGCGCATTCAGGGAGTGCAGGTGGCGCGAGAGCTTCTTCATGGAGGACTCGGCCTCGCGCATGCGCAGGTCGCGCGACTGCTGCAGGGTGGAGAGGGAGTCATTGATGCGCGTGACGGCCTGCTTGTCGGGGTGGATGTTGAAGTTGCCGATTGTGTGGTGGATGAGCTGGGGGGTTAGTTATGAAGGTGGAAGTAGAAGGAGGGAGGGTGGAATACCGTGGCGGGGCTTTCGTCGAGAAGCATTTTGACTGGGGTGGTGTAGTCTGCAGGATGATATCAATTGATGATGATGGTGGTGATGGTGATGATAAGAGAATGATGTTGACAGCCGTTGGGGGAGCAACCGCCACAGCGCCACATCGCACCGCCACCGCGTGACGACAGAATCCAGGCGGCCGTCTGATCTTCTCCGGCTGCATCGAGCTTGTTTGTCTGCTGCTGTTTTCAAGCCGTGTCTCTGAAGCTTTGAGTTATCACCCTACACCTCATCACAACCATGGGCTCGAATCTACCATGTATGTCCTCCTCCGCTCGACATGTGTTTACCTGCTAACCCAGCTCTAGATGCCGCCGACGCCGAGAGGTGTGTTGTTTCACCGTGATTCCCCGCCATCTACTGACTTGCTCTAGTCCTCTGAAGCCGGCAGAGCTGCAGGTCCTCCGATCGCAGTACGAGAAAGAGGGCGACTACGTCGGCATCCAGACGAAATTCAACTATGCCTGGGTATGACTGACCTCCAGCACCGTGTCTGTCGGCAAAGCTCACCCTTATTTCTAACAGGGCCTGATCAAATCCAACGCCCGCCCCGAACAACAAGAAGGCGTCCGCCTGCTATCAGAGATCTTCCGCGCGGCCCCCGAGCGACGACGAGAATGTCTCTACTACCTGGCCCTCGGCAACTACAAGCTCGGCAACTACGGCGAGGCCCGACGATACAACGACCTGCTGCTGGAGAAAGAGCCGGCCAACCTCCAGGCGGCGAGTCTGGGCACTCTGATTGAGGATAAGGTGTCGAAGGAGGGACTGCTGGGCATTGCGATCGTGGGCGGACTGGCGCTGGCGGCGGGTGTGGTGGGCGGTGTTGTTCTGCGGGGAGCGAAGAGACGGTAGATCTCTGGAATAATGTCGAGAGGAGCAGGCATTAATGCTGTCGTTGTACATAGGAGGATGGATCATGCCTGGGTATGCTGGCTGCTATTGCTTTTCTTTTGTTATTTACTGGGAAATGATTGTTTGCATTGATGGCGTTTTATTCCATGACTTTTGGCCGATGTGAATAGGCAGGATCTGCTTGACGACTGTCAAATATTGAAATAATAGGATCAGATAGGATCAGATAGGATGAGAGACGCAGATGGAGGATGGTGGGTGACTGATCTCTCAGGCACGCCACCTGCTAACGTCATCCGCCCGCCTTCTTCTTTCGCTCTCGTTGACTCTCCATCTTCATTATCTCTGTTTCTCTCCTTTATCATTCACTCCTCGTCAAAAAATGAACTCCCCCTGATTTATCGGGGTCCTCCGTTCATCCTCCAGTACATGTGGCCCCGAAACCATGAATGACGCTGAGTTTCCTCACGGAATACAAACCTCGCCTATCTCCGACCCATTCTTATAGATACTCTCGATTTGGATACCCGACTTGATACGCAATTCTCTCTATCTGATTCAGCTCCCTTTTCCACTGTTTTTCTATCTATATTTCTTGCGGTCGTATCATTAACACTTTCCTCGCCATGGATGCGGGGGATCGGATGTTCTGCCATGCTTGTGGCGGGGTCTGGCTACGGAATGAGAGCGGACTGACGTGTCCGACCTGCCAGTCTGAATTCACCGAGATTGTATGCTTCTCTGGCCCGCGGATGGCGCATCGTGGCTGACTCGATAGATTGAAATACCCCCCGACACCGAAGCCCCCGACCCTCCTGAAGAAGCCCCCGGAGATCGATTCTCGCCGCCCGTGAACCCGTTCGCAAACCACAACCCGTGGGCCTCCACCGGCCACGACGAGCCTTCGGATGACTTTTTTGGTGGCCCCGGCGGGGGCAGACGCGGCAGCTCTGGAAATGGTTTCTCCCACCGCACCTATCGCTCGCCCGACGGCCGGTTTACCTTCTCCAGCACGACGTATTCTTCGGGGTTTCCTCGACGACAGTCCACTGACCCGCAGGGCAACCTTCAGAATGACCCCCTGATGCCGATGGTGCGGGGTCTGGATACGATTTTCCACGGACTCGCGAATACATACCAGCAGACGGATCCCCACCGACCGGCGGGTCAGCAGCGATGGGGACAGGAGCATGATGTGGCCGAATCCGACCGTGAGTTTGGACCTGGGCAGAGTCCCCGGCCGGCGGGACTGGCGGGACAGCGTAGAGCGCCCGGTACGATGTACGACGACCCATTTGATTTTGGGCTACGATATGGAGGCGGGTCAGATTTCCATGACGACGGACTGCACCCTCGCGATGCGGATGGTCCGCAGCCGATGAACACTCCTCTACGCAGCTTGGGCGAGTACGTTTCCCCACCGCTGGATTGGTGATAGTGGCTAATGGCGCAGTATTTTGGAACTTTTTCGAACCGACTTCAACACGAACAACCAAGCTGGTAACGGCGGATTCCGGGTCATGACCGGCCCCAACCCCCTGGCGATGCTGTCGGCGCTGTTGAACGTCGAGCGGCACGGAGATGCCGTGTATTCGCAAGAAGAGCTGGACCGGGTGATCTCGCAGCTGGTGGATCAGAATGCCAATCGGTCTGCGGCACCGCCGGCCTCGCAGAATGCCATCCAGTCTCTGCCCAAGAAGAAGGTGGACCGGGACATGCTGGGGAACGAAGGCAAGGCGGAGTGTTCGATCTGCATGGACCCGGTGGAGATGGGCACGGAGGTGACGGTGCTGCCGTGCAAGCACTGGTTTCACTACGGCTGCATCGAGATGTGGTTGAATCAGCACAATACGTGTCCACACTGCCGGCGAGGCATTGATGCACCTGCACCGTAAGTTTGTTGTGATGATGAGGTGGTTATGACAGCATGCTAAGTGGAACAGAACCGAAGGAACCAGCGAGAACCCGGTGGTGATTGACAGCAGCCCCGAGACGTCTCGCCGCGGCAGTGCCGTGCCGGAACACAGCGGACAGGCCGGATGGTGGAGCAGCGAGGGAGACGAGCGACGAGGCAGTCGAGATCAGGGCGGAGGACTGGCCGGATGGGTGCGAAGTCGGTTTGGGGGAGGAAATTAGTGAATTGGAGTATGAATGAATAACGACTTACCTCTGGACGTATACTGTACACTGGTAGTATTATATTCTATAAGATAGTATAGTAGAGATGTAGAGATACGAGATAAGCTCCACCTCCAACTCCACTTGCGCCCTGCAATTGACCCTCTTCCCCTCTTCCCCTCTCATCTTCTCATCTTATCTGATCTCTTCATTCTCTCTCTCGATTGTTTTCTTCCTCTCCCCCCCAACATCTTAACAATCATCTAACTATACAATTGATAAAATGAAAACCCTCTACAAAAACGGCACCATCGTCAGCGGCTCCTCCGCGGAGGACTTCTCCACCTGCATGCTCGTCGAGGACGACCGCATCGCGTATACGGGGAATGACGTTCACTTGCATGAAGGGAGTGCTGATGAGGTGGTCGATTTACAGGGGAAGAGGGTTTTGCCGGGGTTTATTGATGGGTATGTTTTCTTTCTTTCTTCTTTCTGGGGTGGGGGGATACTTTAAGATGTATCTATGTGTGGATGGATGTCAAACTGGGCTGTATGTTCTGGTTCAGCAGATGATATGAGTATGGATATGTTGATGCTGTGGTATACATGATACCTGACTATATACTACACATTGCATCTCTGCGAGCCATATCCATCTATACACAACCCTATCTACTCCCCTCTCCTTTATACCTACTCACCCCCACCCACCCAATTCCACAGCTAACTCAAACCAAAAAGACACATGCACCTCCTCCTCTTCGGCGCCTCCCTCTCCAAACTCAGCCTCGAATCCTGCACCTCCCTCTCCACAATCCGCTCCACCATCCTTTCCTACGCGCAATCCAACCCACACCTCCCGCGCCTCTTCTGCCGCGGCTGGATGCACTCCATGACCGACGGACAGGCCCTCTCCTCCATGCTCGACGACCTCGACCCCCGGCCTATCTTCATCGACTCGAAAGACCTGCACTCGGCGTGGTGCAACTCAGCCGCGTTACGCGAACTCGGCGTCCAAGATACGCCTGACCCCGCGGGGGGAGTGATCCATCGTGATGAGCAGGGAAACCCGTCGGGATTGTTGAGCGAGGCCGCCGCCGTGGATATCGTCTGGCCGCATGTGGCGAAGGTTGCGTCGAGGGATGAGAAGGTAGGGTTTGTGAGGGGGGCCGTGGAGGCGTATAATAGGGCCGGGTACACGGGGGCGGTCGAGATGGCGACGGATGAGAATCTGTGGGAGACGGTTCTCGCCTATGTTCAGGAGGAGGAGGAGAGGAAGAAGGGGGCAGGGAAAGGGGGGATGACGCTGCGCCTGGCCTCGCATTGGATTATCCTGCCGCACGCCGACGAGGCGCGGGTCCTGGCGCAAGTCGACCGCGCGATCGAGCTGCGTGCGCAGTATAATCTAGCCAACAGCCCCGGGCTCCGCATCGCGGGGATCAAGGTGATCTGCGACGGGGTGGTGGATGCGTGCACGGCGGCGCTGACGCAGCCGTATGCGAGCAACGGGGCGAACTGCGAGACGCTGTGGGAGGCGGAGATGCTGGAGAAGGTGGTGCGGAGAGCGGACGAGGCAGGGCTGCAGTGTGCGCTGCATGCGATCGGCGATGCGACGGTGAAGATGGCGGTGGATGTGCTGGGCAAGGTCGGGACGAGGGGCCGGCGGCATCGCATCGAGCATCTGGAGGTGACGGCGGCAGAGGACGCGAGGAGGCTGGGGGAGCTGGGGATCACGGCGTCGGTGCAGCCGGTGCATGCGGACCCGGCGATTGTGCGCGCGTGGCCGAAGCTGTTGGGCGAGGAGCGCTGTGGACGGGCGTTTGCGTATAGGGAGTTTGTGGACGGGGGCGCGAAGCTGGCGATTGGTACGGATTCGCCGACGGCGCCGCATCTGCCGTTGAGGAATCTGTATACGGCGACGACGAGACGGTCGGCGCGCGAGCCGGAGAGTGTCGAGGTGTTTAATCGGCATCTGGCGCTGTCGTTGATGGAGGCCGTCAGTGCGGCGACGGCGGGTTCGGCGTATTCGTGCTTTGCGGATGGGTTTGCAGGCCGGTTGGGCGAGGGCATGAAGGCGGATTTCGTGATCGTGGATATGCAGTGGGATGCGGAGCGGTTGCTGGATGCGACGGTGGAGGAGACGTATTTCGAGGGGAGGAGGGTGTACAAGAGGGAGGAAGTGGTCAATTAGGGCTTGTATAGGATGACCGCCTAGTATAGAAGGATGACTATCTATAACTTCTACATACGGGATTCAACTAGAACTCGGTCCTCCTTCAGTCTCTCACACAACCCCTTCAACACCCCCGCCAACCATTCGAAATCGCTCCTCTCCAGATAGATCTGCCCACTCAGCCTTATCCACAAGGATCCCTGATACTCAAACACCGGCACAAACGTGCCAGCGCGGAACAGCTTGTCGCGGAACCAGTCCAGCACCGCAGGCACCAAAGCCTTAGGAACGACAGACACATTTCTGCCGTCTTGCTCTTGAACCGTCACCTTCTCCTCCAGATCCAAAGCCTTCATCCCACTCTCAATCCCCCCAATCCGAACAGGCAACCTCACCGTTGTCATCGCGCACCTGCGCATCCGACTCTCTTGCCCGGACAGGCCCGCCTCCTGCAACACCTCCGTCCCCAGCTCCTCCGCCAGCAGATCCGCCGCCTCGTTCGCCAGCCGTTCGCAGTACGCGTAGATCCGCGCCTCTCCGCCACAGACCTTCTGGCGGAACTCCAGCGCCGCGGGGACGCACAGGTACGCCGTGTCGTCGGTCGTGGCGGTGTATTGAAAGAGGTATTCGAAGGGGGATTTGCTCCCAGGAGTAGCTGGGTTAGCGGGTGGGGAAGAGGAGGAGGAGGGCGGAATCCATCCCCACGAAGCAGGCATCGTCGAGCGAATGAGATGTTGATGGCGATGGGGGACGTAGAGGACTGCGCAGCCGCGGGGGGTGTAGAGCCATCTGCATCTATCAGCACCCATCCACCAGAACATAAGGGAGAGGGAAAAAGGGAAAATACTTATGACAATTACTCGTCAAAAAATCCGGCCTCAACGCCCCCAGATCCAGTTCGATCTGACCCACCCCATGCGCCGCATCCACAAGACTCAAGACCCCCTCGTCGCGACACGCCTCCACCAGGTCCTCAAACGGAAACCGGAACCCCGGGGTGCTCACGATCGTATCGAACACCGCGACTTTCACCCTCCCTCCCTCCGCTTTTACCTCCTTCACAGCCTGTCGAAACTGTCTCAGGATATCCTCCGTCTCAATTGGAAAGTTATACCCGACCTTTTTGGTTCTGAGTCCCCTCTCAACCAGCTGGTGGATTCCCCGCTCGACGCCCCCGTAGATCGTGTCGAAGTAGAGGAGCACGTCGTGGGGTTCGAAGACTAGGTTCGAGAGGACGGTACTGACGCCGGTGGTGGCGTTCTTGACGAAGACGCATTCGGAGACGGGGACGTTGAGGAGGGAGGCGATGGCGGCGCGGGCGGAGTCGAGCAGAGAGGGCTGCGTGCGTCGGATGAAGACGTCCGGGCGGGATTCGGCGGTGGTTTGGAGGGATTGTTGGGTGGTTTGGATGGGGAGGGGGTATGTTCCGAAGGATCCTGTTTATTGTTATTATTGGAGTTGGTTTGGTGGGATGAGATTGGGATTGGGGGGAGGATGGGGGATACCGTGGTTGAGGTTGCGGAAGGTCGGGTCGATGAGGAATTGCGATTTCATGGGAGCGCCGAAGGGGAGGGACATTTTGAGTATACTTGTTGAGAGAGATGTGATGTTAAAAGATAAGAGGAGAGAGGAGAAAGATAGAAAACCCCGCAGTGCTAATATTTAGCTAATCAGCGACTCTAACGCAATGCCAATGCATCCACCAAATCCCCAAGTCATCCTATGCTCATCCATACATTCGTCATCTTCATCTTCTGTGCATATTCAGGTCATCATGTACATTCACCGCTTGCCCTTCTTCCGGGGCGCCACCACCTTGAACGCCGCGCTGCTGTTGTCCTCCTCGCGATGCACGTTCGACGACGATCCCTTCTTGGCCACTTCGCTCCAGCCACCGGCGCTGCTCTGCTCCGCCAACGCGCTGGCCACCGTCGGGTCCACAATGCCCTTGTCCGCCATCTTGCGACGCCGGATGAAGTCCTCCGCGAAGCGTCGTCCATCCAGAGTCTGCGAGTTGGCATACACCGAGTCGGAGATGATTTCGGAGTCGGCCGGCAGGAGCAGCAGTTGCTGAACGAAGTCATCGACTAGTGATAGTGTTAGCGTCGCGCGTTCCTAATGTCTGATACTGGAAAACATACCATTGATGCTGCTGTTCAGCCCCTTGCCCAGGGTCAGCTTGGCCCATTTGGTGAACTCCTCCACGGCGCGGTTGGGGTTGGCAGGGGGCGTGCTGCCCACGGTGACCGTCCGCGGCGCACTGATCACCGTCGCAGGCTTGGGTCGAGCGGGCGACGCCGGCAAAGGTGTCGTGGCGGTGGTCGATCGCGGACCGGACGGAGCGGCAGGCGGCGCCTTGGCTTTACCGCCGGCACCAACGGTGGTCCACGCGCTACCGCCACCAGCGGCGGCGGCAGTCGTGGCAGCGGCCGAGACGGGCGAGGGAACGGCGGCAGGGGCCTTGCTGGCCAGGTCCGCATAGCGCTTGCCGGTGGACGACGGCGCCGCAGGGGGGCTGGTCGTGGGGGGAGCTGCGCTGGCAGTCATAGCGGCGGCACTCTGAGCAGCGGCGGCGGCAGCGGCCATACGCTGCTTGCGCGCCTCCTCTTCCTTCTGGATCTGCGCCAGAGTCTTCTTGGCGGTGCTGGACGGCGTCTGGCCCTTGTTGTTCCACACAGATCCGGCCGACGAAAGGGTGGCGGGAGATCCGGCACTGGCCCAGTTGGCGGTGGAAGGCAGGCCCGGGGCCGCCTGCGTCTGGGCCTGGCTGAGTCGCTCCTGCTCGGCAAGCATCTGCGCGCGACGGGCGGCAGCGGCCAGTTCCTCCTTCTGGGCGGCATTGCGAGCCTCGGCCTCCTGGATCTCCTTCAGAGACGGTCCCTTGGGCAGCTCGTTGGCCTCCTTGGCCCACGGGGCAATCGAGGTGGTAGGTGCCTCCACGGGCGTTTGGGTCTGGGATCGAGAGTTGGCGGCCAACGACTCGGCGACGTTCTGGCGGTTGCGCTGCGCAGCCGGGGCGGGCAGCGGCGAGGCCGACGGCGGGGGAGGGAAGGGCTGAGGCATGGCAGAGTCACCCTTGGCAAGACCGGCACCACCCCAGGCAACCTCACCCTGAACCTGTTCCTGCTCGTGCTGTTGCTGTTGCTGGTGGTGATGCTGCTGTTCGTGCTCCTGCTGCTCTCTCTGGGCCGACGCGGCCTTCTGGACCTGCTGGGACAGAGTCAGGACAGGTTCGCTGCCCTCCTGGCTGGCTTCAAGAGTGGCCACGCCGGCGGCAAGGTCCTGCGAGGTCAAAGTCTCGCCCTCGTCCTCCAGAGAAGGGTCCATGGCGGGATGGGTGGGGAGACCCTCAGCGGTGCGCAGGCCCAATTCACCCTCCTGAGCTCTCAGCGCATGAAACTGACGCAGTCGCTCCTCGCGGGCTTGCTGGTCGAAGAGACTGTCCCCCTGGGTGCTGTCGAATTGTTCTTGCTCCTGCTGCAATCGAGCTCGGTCCTGGAGCATGGAGGCAACTTGCTGGGAATGAAACAGACTGTCGGGTTGACGCGCGTTCAACGAACCGGGACTGCCGAAAGCGAAAGGATCGTTGCGGCTCACATTCAGGCGGTCGAGCAGAGCAGGAAGCTGGTCCTGGCTGCCACCCAGCTCGGTTCCCAGCATCTGGGGGCCGACGTTGGGCAGAGCACCCGGTCGGAGGGGAGCGGCAGCATCGAAGAATCCGCCAACAGGGGGTTGCTGTTGCTGCTGCTGCTGTTGTTGCTGCTGCATGGGGCCCTGAATGGGCGACGGTTGGAAGCCGACGGGGGAAGCGATGCTGCCAAAGCTAGGCTGGCTATGCAGGCTATGGGCGCTGGAGTGATGCTGAAGCTGATGGGGATGGATGGCATGAGGGACACCCTGGAACTGCATTTGCTTCATCAAAGCCTGCTGCTGCGCAAGGTGCTCCTTCTGTCTCGCCATCAGATACTGCTCCTCCTGCTTGCGGCGCTCCAGGGCGTTCTGCTGCTCAGCAGTCAAGGTGGTACCGAAGCTGGGGAAGCTGCCGGGGAACGGAGGCTGGGCAGCCCCGGCGTTGTTCGTGGTCCAAGTTCCGGTAGGGTTGGGCTCGGGTCCGTGAGGAATGCCGATCTGAGGCACCAAGAAAGGCTCGCGAGAGTTGCCAATGCGTCGCACCAACTGCGCCAGGGGCTCGAACTCCGGGTCCTCGAGCTTCTTGATTTGCAAGTCAGGGCTGAAGAACCCGGCCTTGAACCAATCATGCATCTCGAGACCGGTCCAGGGACCCTGGATGTTGCCTTGCGGGTCGCGGTAGATCCAGCGCATGCGATCGGGCATGACCATGGTCCGCTGCTGAGCGGGAGGGACCGAGGCGAGGTTGCTACCGGGGGGTCCGGGGGTCTGGCTCGGCGGAGCCCCGTCGGCGGTCATGGAGGTCGGGAGGGAGCCGACAGCAGAAACGGGGGTTTGCGAAGTTGACGTGGTGGCAGGTGCGTGTCCTTGCCCGGTCTTGTCGGCCTGCTGAGCGTCTGCTTGGCGAATGCTTTCCTCTAGGGTGCCAAGATCGGGTCTGGCAGGATGCTCCGCTTGCATCTGCTCCTGCATGGCAGCTGGGAAGAGAGATCCGAGCTTGCTGGAGCGGCCAAGGCTGCCCGTGCCACTGATACCACCCGGGTGAGGACTGAAGAGCCCGCTTCCTCCCAGCGTGGACAGGCTAGGGGACTGGAGATCTGCCATGGAGCCGAAGATGGGATCACCGAATCCACCGGCAAACGCAGATCTCTCCCGGGTCGGGGTGCCCACGGCACCAGAGGAAGGCCATCCGCCGGCACCGCCGAGAGAAGACAGGCCGCCCAGTCCTCCCAGGCCCGAGAAGCTGCGGTTTCCGGCGGCGCTGGAGGTCTGGCTGCGATCGATCGAAGGCAGATCCATTCCTGATCCAACCCGTCGAATCGAGCCGAAAGCGCTAGCGGGGTCACGCAGGCCGCTGAGTCCGGGGTGGTGAGTATTCTGGATGTCAGAACCGTCAGTTTCCACGTCATCTAGATCGCCGCTAATGCCACCGCCGCCGCCTCGTTCGCCATGGGGACTCTGGTAAGGGTTCGTGTTGGTGGGACTCGTCGGTTCGTGGCCCTGGAGCAGGCTGGGCGTGGGGTTGCGAGAATTCTCGTGGCTCTGCATCAGCTCTCGAAAGCCAGGAATGCTGGAGGTCATTCCGAAGGCCGAGAAACCCAGCTGGTCGGCGGCAGCCTGAGACGGCGTGCTGATATCCTGAGATCCGCCCAGGGCAGCACTTCCGCTGCGCAACTCCTCCGAGAATGGATTGGTCTCACTCCGTCCAGCGCGCGTCTTGACCGTCTCCCCCCAGGGCGACTGCGAGCGCTTATCACCCTCGCCCTCGGCCAGTCGTTCCAAGCTGCTGAGGGATGTCTTCTCCTTGATCGAAGCCGACATATCCTCCGTGCTATCCTTGGAAAACAAGCCCTTCAGGCGACTCTCGCCGCGCAGACTCCCAAACCCGGCTTTCTTTTCCGTGGTGGGCGTCTGGGCGGCGTTCGTCCCCAAGGAGAACGCGCCAAAGGCACCCATCGGAGAGAAGTTCGCACTGTGCGAAGCCGACGCGCCCCACGGAGAGTTTCCTCCACCAGGAGCAACATTCAGAGGGTTCGTCGAGCTCCGCTTCAGCGAGCCGAACGGAGAGGCGACCTCCGAGCCCCCTTCGCGGTTGGCGGACTCCTTCTCCTTCTCCTCCCACCGGGAAGTGGACGAAGTGTCGCGGAAATCGGTCTTGCGACGCAACAGGGACGGCGGCGGGGTGGCCGTATTCGGTTCGTCACGGAAGAAGCGAGTTCCACTGGCGGTAGGAGACATTGGATTGCCGGTGGAATCGCCCGTCTCTCGACGTCTGGGACCGGGGCGAGCCGCGCTCGGGGATTGGGTGTTGTAGTTGTTCATGTGGCCCTGCGAGTAGGAAATCGAAGATTTGCGTCCTCCAGTTCCGGTACCGGCGTTTTCCTTGGAAGCGTTCGTAGGCGGCGGCTTAAGCGGGGAGTTGACCGAGAGGGTAAATAACTACGCCATTCAGCACCGCTCCTTGACAAGAACAAGGGGTGACATGTGTGGGCTGGGAGGAAAGCCACCCCAGAAAGAAAAAAAAAAAGGCGCTAACGAAGCAGGGGAGACATGAAATCAAGGGGGGGCAGGGAAACCAACCTCTCTCTCCTCATCGGTCATATCCATCAATCCTAATGGCTCCATCTGTCCGCCATGATCCCAACAGACCTCGGGCCCAGAAGGATTATCCTTTGCATCCTCCCTTCTTCCCCAAGCGCCGTTCACGGGAGAGGTGTCGGCACGGGGATTCCAGTCGGCGGCGAAGTACTCTGCAACATTCTTATTCAAGGCGCCCGATTCCCGCTGGGATTTGTACAGGTTGAGAAGCTGTTCCTTGGAGTAACGAGTGTCACTGCCCGCCCCGTTGCGAAGTGCGCTGGCAGGGTAATTCGACATTTGGTGCGGAGTGTAGGCGCCGGCCGTGGGGGTTGTAGCAGAGGCGGGTTGGCTGGTATCTCGGCTCTGAGAAGGATTGATGGCAACTGAAGGGCGGCGGAAGGTCTGTGTGGCTCCGTTCATGCGAGATCGAGACCTGAAGGCAGGCGCGTGGTTAGCTTGCGAGCAAACAGAAAAACGAGATTCCCGGCGAGAAAAGCTCGCGAGCGGACCCAGGCAATAGGAACCGTGAACGAGATGACGAGGGAACAAGAAAAGCATACCATTCTCCACCGGCAGTCCCATCGCCTCTCCGAGAAGAGTCGTGGACGTTGCCAGCAGCGGCGGAAGCAAAACTAGAAGGGAGTGGCGTAGGCATTATGAAAGTTCGATCGCTGGCTGAAGGAGAGAGATCCGATTCAGCGAAGAAAATCAAAGGAGTGAGGAGAAGGCGAGCTCGTTACAAGATCGGGAAGGCAATTTTTTTCTCAACCGTGGTGGAGATGGGAGGGGAGGTGGGAAGAAGGATTGCGAGAAAGGTTTGGAAGTGGTGATGAAAGAGCTAGGAGGGCGAGCGAATCAGTCAGGAAAGCCACGTCGAAGGATGAAGATCGGGGAGGGGAGGCAGCGATGGCAGGGACGGGGGGACACCAACCAGTTCGGGAGTCTGAACGCGATGGGGGATTCTGTTGGCAGCAGGGGAGGATTGAGGTCAAGTCAACAACGAGAACGCTAGACGATCAAGTCCAGATCAGAAGATCGAGAAGGTCGAGAGGGCGAAAATTGAAGAGGCAAAGGCGCGTGCGTGGCATTACGGAGAGGGAGCGGCCATTGGCTGCTGAGTCTGCGTCCAGCCACTGTACGGTACTGTACCTCTTACAATACCTCCATGGATAGGTATTTACCCACAAACCCACAATTGAACAGACAGGCAGACTGGTAGACAGGTAGAAGTACTCCGTATGTAGTATAGTAGCAGATAACATTGAACTGTCGAAATCGACACGTCAACTGCAGGTCACTATCTCTCCTGGTCAGGCGATTTTCCATTCCAATCCAATGCCGCGCAGAATTCTTCGTGGAGCGAGTGCGTGGCCACAACCCCGGAGCCGTTTCGGTTGCAGCCACGGCCGCCGCAAACGCTCGTTGTATTTTTAGTCGTTTGTGCTGTTTGTCTTCACTCACGAGACTGGCATTCTTTCCCTAGTATTCGTTTCATTCCTCTCTCCTGCACTGCCTCTGATCCTGATATGCTTCATTTCAAACACCCTGGTGTTTAGCATCCATCATCAATCAGCCATCATCTAGCTCTGGCAAATCGCATGGCAAACAGCCTCAACATAAAGACCACGGAAACACTGTCTGTTTATATCCACCTGTTTATACATCCCTCTCATCCAAACAGACAATCCCAGACAAGATGAACTCTCCTATATCAACCGTAGCCATCTCCCCTTCCATCTCTCCTCTCTTCCCTCTCCATCTCCCTGGCCCTCACCCTCTCCTCTCCTCTCCTCTCCGCTTTCCTCCCCCTAGTCAAGCCAAGCCGTGACATCATCTCGCATCTCAGATCATCTTCCACCATGTTCTTCCGCCGCACCTCCAAATCAGACAAGGACGACTTCCCCTACGCCTGGTACTACCAGGGGAAGCCAATCCGCAAGGGCCAGAAACCCGGAGAAAAGATCCGCCCCGTATGTCCTGTAGGCCATGCTCCTGCTCTGGGGGATCCATCTGGACCACACGACGTGCGACGGGAATCGACCAGGCCACATTCGCGTAGGGTCCACGGCCACGATCATGGTCATAGGCATGCCACGGAGTCTGAAGCGCCTCTTCTCCAAGAGGGGAATCGTCAAATTCAGTCGTTTCGGCAGACGGATTTCTACTCGGCCACTTCTACGTCCGCGTCTACCGCGGAATCCAGCTCTTTGGCTCGTCGCGCGAGTCCCGACTTCTACGATGAGGTGGAGCTAGAGGTCTCGTCCTCGTCTGGGAGCGAGCAGGAGGATTTCTGCGCTCGTCAGTGCCAGTGCCTCTCGCGACAGGAGCCTCGTCCGGTAGCTGCCCCTGCTGCAGGCGGCTATCGTCCCCATCCAGAGAACCATGTCTCAGATCACCCATCCGCAGGATATCATCCCCCGACTAACCGCCGTCACCCGCAGGCACAGGCACAGGCACAGGTGCAAGTGCAGACACACGACCCGGTGCGTGCGTCGCCCGCGCCATACGAAGCGACGGCTCCTCGCGCGGAGACTCTATCGCTGCCGATTCGCTCCCAGCGTGCCCGGCACCCTGGGAAGTCTGGACGACGTCGTGATGCCGGGGCGTCTCGCCGAGAGAACTACCCCCTTCCTCAGCCGCAGCCGCAGCTGCATGCGCAGGTTAGACGGCACGAGTCAGTCTACGTCGAGAACCCTGCGCGACCGGCGCGTGCGCAGCGGGAGCAGCCTCAGCCCCGTCGTTCGCCAGAGCAAGCCGAATCGCGACCTCCTCGTGGGGAGCGCTATCGGCGACCCCGTCCTGTGGATGAGGGCGATGACATTTCTGTTCGGAGAGAGGGTCAGCGGTTGTCGTGGAATAGGGAACCGGTCGGAATGTGCCAGTGTGAGATTTGTCGGGTCGATGCTTATTCCTGATGTGTGGATGAGATCGATTCCTAGTTATTGGCGATGCCTGTTATGAGTGATGAGTGATGCATGTTATGATAAACTAGAATGTATTGAATTTACTCCGTATTGACCCATGGCATTATCCGTACGATTGCATCATAGTCATGACTTCATCTGGAACCGTCGTGGCGGACCGAGGTTACGGCATAAGAACCGACCTTCTTCTTTTTCATATTATTTTCATATTAAGGAGCAAGGAAACACTCCTCGGCAGAATTCTTAATGTTAGGTCTTTGATTTCTAAGAATCCACGTCATCCACCTTGTCCCTAGTGAATGATGACAATATCGCATGGAATATATAAGCGCATCCTCGGCTATCGATAACGGACCAACGCATCCCCGCATGCTTAGTATTTCTCCTGAAGACCTACTCACCTTCAATCAGACACCGCTCTTCACAACTCACTTCCTCCAATCTCCTACCCAATCCAACTCATCCATCCAATCCAATCCAACAATAGAACCAGCCACCACCATGTCCAAAGCCCTCTACCTCACCCAAGTAGACGGCAAACCGGGCCAAGTCTACTACCCGCTCAACACGCAGACCAAGCCCGCCCCGACGCCGCAGGGCCGCGAGCTGCTGATCCGAATGACCGCCGCGGCACTGAACCACCGCGACGTGTTCCTGCGCCAGCACCTTTACCCGGGGATCACGTTCGACGTGCCACTGGGGTCTGACGGCGTCGGGGTGGTCGTGGGCGCCGGGCCCGACGTGTCCAGCCCCGAGCGCTGGCACGGGAAGCGCGTGATCCTGAACCCGGGGCTTGGGTGGAAGGACTCGCCGGACGGGCCGGAGGATCCGAATGGGTACCGTATCATGGGTGGAACGCGGCACTATCGGACGGGGACGCTGCAGGAGTTTTTAGTGGTGGATGAGGGTGAGGCCGAGGAGGCGCCGGAGCATTTGAGTGATGCCGAGGCCGCCGCGATGCCGTTGACGGGGCTGACGGGGTGGAGGGCGCTGGTGGTGAAGGGCGGGGAGAGGAATTCGGGCAAGGGCGCGGCGGTCCTCTTGACGGGGATTGGAGGCGGAGTGGCGCTGATGGCGCTGCGGTTTGCGATTGCGAGAGGCGCGGATGTGTTTGTGACGAGCTCGAGTGAGGAGAAGATTCGCAGGGCGGTGGAGTTGGGGGCGCGTGGCGGAGTGAGTTATAAGGAGGAGGGATGGGAGAAGAAGTTGCTGGCGATGTTGCCGGAGGGCAAGAAGTTCGATGCGATCATTGACGGGGCGGGGGGTGATGCGATTGAAAAGGGGGTGAGGCTACTCAAGGTATGTTTTCATGCAGGATATCTTGTGAAAGAATGGTTGGATTGACTCTTATTGACTGCTACAGCTCGGAGGGATCCTCTCCGTCTACGGAATGACCGTGGCGCCCAAGATGCCTTTCCTGATGCAGGCGGTGATGAGGAACATCGAGGTGCGTGGCTCGACGATGGGCTCTCGCCAGGAATTCAAGGAGATGGTCGAGTTTGTCCGGGCCAACAAGATCCGACCGGTGGTCTCGCGCGTGCTGCAGACAGATCTGGACGACATTGCCGGGCTGGACGCACTGTTCCAGGACATGAAGGAGGGCAAGCAGTTTGGCAAGTTGGTCGTGGAGTTCGGCAAGTCGTCGGAGAGTAAACTGTAGACTGCGTTGTACGTGATATTCCCATAGGCAGACAACAAGTGAGATGTATCAACTCTTCCTGGTTGACAACACGATCGAAGCCAACAATGAAGCGACATTCATTAGGCATTCCTACCTGCCGACCAGCTGTCTTTCTATACCTGCCCAACGCTGTCCGGGATGCTCTGATGTCTGGATGGCGCCTTCCCATCATATACTGACCATGTCCTCGTCAATTCTGTCGCCGGCGACTCTGACCGTCAGTCCAGCGCCATCATCGCCATTTACCTTGTTGCATGGTTATTCCTCTATTTCCCAGGTCGTTGATCCATCGTTCAATAGTTCTTACCCATATATCGCACCGTCATCATGAGTACCGACATCGTGCAGCGATACGGTCCGGGGATGTCCTTCTATCTGGCCCAGATGCCGCCCTCGTCCAAGCATCGCAGGGCAAATTCGTCGAACTCGGCTCTCAATGTATGTCAACCTGCTGTGAGAAGAGAATGTCAATGATTGCCGCGTGGATAGAACAAGGTATCATACTCACCTACTTCGCAGTCATACTCCGCAACCCTGAAGGCGCTGCAAGCCAGCAACGACAAACTGCAGCAGAAGATGACCCTGCTGCGATCCAGCACGCTGCGGCTTGAGCTCGACCTGATGAAGCTGCAGCGCCACGTGCGATCCTTCGACAAAGAGCTCCTGGTGACCTGGCAGGCTGACACGCTGACCCGCCTGATCGAGGTCATCTACGAGCGCCACCGATGGAAGATGCCCGGCGGGATTGGCATTGGCGACCACCAGGGAGTGAGCCGGGAGACTCTGTCGACGCTCTATGAAGTGGCCGCGCGCAAGATCAAGAAGGAGACGCTGAAGAGGCGGTTCGGGCTGGGGGTCCATTACTATGATGCGCTACAGAAGTACGACGAGGTGAGATGACCCCCGTCCAGCACGAGTATTGACTGCTTATTGACCCGCGCAGATTGTCCAGTTTCGCAGCATCGATCCGTACAAGTCGGAATGTCTGTTTGCGCAGTGGCTGGTGACGGAGAAGGAGAGACGTCCGGGTCTCTATCAGTTCTGGGGGAGGTTGTTTCCATTGTGCTATGGTCGGACGGTGGAGGAGACTGCGGCGATGTTCTGATTCTATTACCTGCTCTGGCGTTTTCGCGGATTAGCCAACTGTCTTCAGTTCGAATTGATTTCATTAGACCTACCTGGACCCCCCGTACCTCCCTGACTGCACTGTAGAGTAGACGCAACCCCTGAAGACCCGGTCGGCGTCACTCACAAGGCGCAATGCCCCAACGCCGTTAACCGTTGAATAACTCCAACCCACGAGAGTGGGAAATGCTACGGAGTAATGCTGAATCCATGCGATCAGCAATTCTGCAGCGGAAAATCCCACCGTTTCGTCAATCGTGCCCGGCAGACCCATAGCTCAGCTCAGCCCAGCACAGCCTTCCCCCAGGTCCAGGGACTGGCAGGATGATCCCACGACTTCCCGACACGAACGGCCATCTGACTGGTTGTGTTTTGGATATTTTTGGCCGTCACCAGCCACGGTCTGTCGAGCCATTCGGTCGCGGGAATTTTTATTCTTTTTTTTTTTCTTCTGCCGCGTGCAGAATCTTTCGCTAATTTTTGTGAGTGTAGCTGTTTTGGTGGGGGGGGTTTTTTTATTCGCCTTTTTTTACTTTCTTTTTTTTTTGTGTCGCCCTCGTGGGAGGTAGGGACTGGATGAGCTTTTTTGTCCTGATCCGGTCCAATCCTCGCATGGCATCGTGCGACCCTCGTATCTAGGTACCTGTATGTATCTGCCCTGTAGCGTAAGTCCTTCTCAGTGGTCGTAGTCGTAGTCGTGCTGAGGGGTGAGGGTGAGGGTGAGAATGAGCTGAGTGGTCCGACGTCAATAGGAATCCATCAATGGCCATGACCGAATGGAAGAAAGCCTATGACTGGATGCCACTGAACAATACGATCCGCCATCCACTCATTCTCATCCTCTCTCGCTAAGCTGCTACCTGCTATTGATGTTTATTTTCGTCGGCGCCGACACGCTGGTTTGGTTGGCTTGGTGCCCCTCCCCTCCATCTGGGTTCCTAATCATATGCGGTAATGTCTTGGACGATGGTGTCTCATGATGATGGCAGACAGACCGGCAGATTGGATGGTGGATGAATGGAGACCGTGTGCCTGTATCTAGCCAATCCTTCCCTGTTTTCTCCGTGATTTCTCCTGCGGTCTATCTATTCATTTCATTCGGAGGACGGATGAGGATTGGGACCGGGATTGGACTGTGGGTTCGGAGGAGGAGGGACCTACTGCGTAGATAGGAGGTTAATTAATGGAGTCCAGTCTAGTCGTGACGACCTACTAACGAGCGAGGTAGTAGTTGAGTGACAAGAGCCAGAGAGCTCAATGTAACATTACTAAATATATCAACCATTAGCAGGGACTAGAACCTCCCCTGCTCGAGGCATTACTCCGTAGTAGTAGGTCCTGTAGCTTCAGCTTAGCATCGGAGGATATCCGGTGGTTCAGATGGAGATTGAGGGACCAAGCTGAGCTGGGCTGGCTGAGCTGAGGGGAGGGGAGCTGGGTCCTGTGAATCAGGGGGAGGGAGGGATGGAGGGGAGGGGAGAGTATAGGAGCCATCATCGACATGGGGCTCGTCTTTCGTGCAAGACCCGGGAATGGCCATGTTTGTGACCGACTAGGGACAACCAGCTATCACGAACTATCGACGCAGAGTCTGTTCATCGATCATCGGATCAGACTTCATCTACAGTCTGGATTGCTGCTTTCGGGTCGTTCGACCGTTTGTGTTGGATCTACGGTGGTTCTCTGCTGGGTCCGGCTGTGATGGACGGAGGATTGCCCTGCATCAGCTATCTTGCTTTACCTTACTTTGGACGAGCCTCGTCTATCAAGCATCCTTACTCGTATCCAGATTTCAGGTCCCAGACTCCAGAAGACTGGAACTGGAGACAGCAGGCTCCATCCTCTACCGGTAGCAAACCCAAACCAAACAATCGTGATGATTGACCCTTTCCACAACTACAGACAGGACAGACCAGGGCAAGACAGCGGACCCCATCACGATGAATGAGAAACTAGTCGTCCAATAGTCCAGGACCTATGGCGATGTCCTCGTCATCATGGCTTGCTTATCCTGTTGGGCTGACCTACGACCTACCCAGCAGAGATACTACTTCGTAGACACCACTCCGTAAACAGCCTTCCTCTCCGGATATCCAGCGTGCCGCTCCCCAGAAACACGGGTCCGACTCTACGGAGTAAGGCTTTACCCGCCCAATGCATAGAGAAGGCATTATACTTTCGCCCTGTCCAGGGTCCACGCAATCACTCCTCCTCCTGCTCCTCCACTGGCATCATCGCTGAAAAGGGGGCAGAGAGATCCTCCGGACTCCGTTTAGATGGATCGTCAAGATTGCTGAATCCGTGAGTGTTGAATTTGCATGTTTATTTTCGTGGACGTTGAGAGTGCCCTGCCTTTGCCCATAGCTCAGGACTACGCCGGTCATCGGCCGGAGAGTAGATAGTGTTAGTAAAATATACATGCATTGACAGCAGGCAAATTAAACTACGGAGTATGTACATGGCACTGGCAGCAGAATTAGGCATTTGCTTCTTTCACTTCAATATATTTTAATTTCATTTGGGATAGTGTCCTGGCCATTCGTTGTTCTGCCGCTGTTCTGTGGAGGTATTCATTTATTATGGTTTTTTTAATTTGGGTCTATTTTTTCATTATTCAGGGTGTATTCTACGATGGAAGATACTAGACTATAGAGTAGATAGCGCAAAGAGTTTCCCCAAGAATAAACCTTAAACCGCACCGAAGGAATAATAGCATCAAATCGAGAAATTTCATGACGATGACGATGACGATGCGCCGATACATACTGTAGGATCGCTCGTGGCTCATCCCGCCGGAGCTGTTGCAAGAAAAAAAAAAAAAAAAAAAAAAAAGGCTCAGTTTCATCCCGCATTATTCTCCGAGAATCGCCCTTGTCCCGTGCTCTCAGGCTCTGCTGCTGCCAAAGTCAAACTCGGGTGCCTGTTCGGATGATCCCTGACCGGACCCGAGGGGAAGCCAGTGCAGTGCGTGCTGTGGGATCGTCATGGTCCGTTCGACGGCGTTGGATTGTTTGAATTTTCACGCCGTTCTCTACAATGTCTGCTGGCTGTGCTGTGCCGCGTTGCTGCGCTCGTTTCATAATCCATGCTCCGTCTACGGCGTAGGACCGGAGTCGGAATTCCTGGACTCGACTCCGTAGAGTCCGTACCTACTTACTTGCCTAGGGACCTACTCCGTAGGTAGGTACCCTTGGGGTTCCGTGTGCGTTTGCGCGCGGAAACCGTGGTGAGACATCTAGTGTTTTCGATTAGGTTAGTGGTCAGGGTTGGCGATGATCCTTTGATGGGCGAGGGAGTTGCCTGTTTTTGCGTCGAGTAGGTAGTGACTAGTAGCATTAAACTACGGAGGTGAGGAGTTCTATCGGAGCATTCCTTGATCGTGGTGATATTATGTAATATCCAAGTCCCATACCATGTCTACCTACAAACCTCCAAATTGAACCAGTCAATAGCTGAGCAGCCATTTCCAAGCTCGGTCGTGGACGTCGCTGTCGATCGAGACTACGTGGACACTGGACGGTAAACTCAACTCAATTCGCGACCATCCTTACTCAATCCGACCCTTTCTTAGGTTTATCGCAAACCGGCTCCGAAATCCATCCGTCGACCATGGTTCATTGCCAATAAGCCTTGTCTAAGCCTGTCTACATCTACGGAGTAGGATCATACTTACTACGTAGCATTGTGTATGTGAATCGGAACCGATCGACAATTCTGTTTACGTTGACTTTTTTTTTTCTCACCCGAATGACCCCGTCCCAGCCAAATAATACTCACAGCATCAACGTGCCGATCACAGAACGGGCGGCGGGAAACAGTGGACCGTTGGGCCTTGGACAGGACCAATTGGCCAATGTGCTGTGCCTGCGTAGGGACTCCAGTCCGGATCCTGTACGCACGCAGGCACTAAACCTAGATTGTATACAGCGTATACTAGACTGACTACGGAGTATCTAGGAGTACTCGAAGACAGGGCAGATAGCAGATACACTGTACTGGCAACAGACCAGATGGCTGGTTGCCACTGTTGAAGTCGGTCGGAACTCCTGGTTTCTGCAGGTGGAAACCCGTGGCGAATGACAGGGAAGAGGAAGTAGGGGCCCCGGAACCAGGACATGAGCGTCGGCATGAACTAGCAGTTCAGGGTCTTTGCCAAGGCGGTTGGGACTAGGTTGGTTTACTTGGTATCTTGCGATTCTGGAGAAATGTATCTTACCCTACTACGCCGTATGCAAGTAACAGAAAATAAATAAAATCAAAAATCAATAAAATATAGCGTATAAAACTCCCTACAAAATAACCCTGCCAACGGAAGACGGCAAAAAAAAAAAAAAAAGAAAAAGAAAAAGAAAAAGAAAAAGAAAAAGAAAAAGAAAAAGAAAAAGAAAAAGAAAAAGAAAAAGAAAAAGAAAAGACCATAAACGCCCTGTAAACACCCTGCATTACCGCCCACTATCCAGATAGCCCGTGACTACGTGACCGTGACTGCATCTCCCTGACATCGGGGCACGCTCACCAATCGGATCCCTTCAACCGAGAAAATATTCGCCGCGGGATCACACCTTGCAGCCGTCTAGTAGACGCAGTCTGTAAGGATTCCCAGAATCCTACGCCGTAGAGGCCGCGAGGGAGGCGGGATGGACGGGCGGGTGAGTTAGCCACGTCCCTAAGTACCTACCCTAACTACCTAGTGTTGTTAGGACACTACTAGAATCAACCACGCATAACGCCTCGGACTTGCCATAGAAGGGAGAAGGATTAAATTAAGCACCCAGCCAAGGTCCCTTCATTGCGGAAGAAATTCCAAAGGAAAGAGAAGCGCGATGCAAGGATGACGTGCATTTATCGACTCCCGCCTCCGCCGTGGGTAGGTAATCTCGTGGGATTGCGATTGTCAGGGTGCATGCGCGGGATCGAGATGACATCCGACCGGACGTGAGATGAGATGTGATGTCTAGCGGGAGAGCACCTTACTCGATGATCTCGATCGCTGTGTCAAGCTATTGCGTAGGTCTGTCTGCACTTTTGGGTATGTGCGAACGAGAAAAAGGTAAAGACTGCGGTGTATGGAACCCGAAAAAGGCCCTGCTTTAGATCCTCCGCCCTCCCTGATTTGTCGGTCGGGTATTTTCTGTTAATGTTAATGTTAATTCCTCCCGCGACTTGCTACTCCTACGACTCCTACGTAACTGTAAGTAAGGTTCGAAGGTTTGTTTCTGTCTTCGTACGGAGTTGGTAGTTTGAATAATGGAGGGTTTCTGTTTGTCTGACGATCGGAGCAAAGCGCACTATTCCCTGCCCATCCATGGAACCAGACCTTCACGATCTGTATCCGAAAGTTTATACGCTGTAGACCTGGAATACGGAGAAGTACGCACTTCTATAATTAAATTCCCTGAAAGTTTGTCGTTGGAGATCGCAGACCAAAGGGGAAGCCCGCCGTTAGTACAGCATGATTCGAACCAAGGGTGCCTCGGCATTTCCGCGGTTCTTCATGACTACGCTGAGGTGGTTCTGCGGAAGTCGGAACGGAATGGGGACCAGAATATGGAAATAAAATAGAATAGAGTAAAGCGAAAAAAAGAAAAAAAAAAAAAAAAAAAAAAAAAGAAGAGAGGAAGAAGGAAAAGCAGTAGCGAATCGTGCCGTTTCCGGTCTATCTTCTATATCATATACCACGTGCATAATTCAGCCCAACCGATAAATATTTTGCAGTAGAGCTTCAGCAAAACACTGTACTGTACAACTCGACGTCAAGGAAAACGTGGCGACCCCGACCTCAAGCAAATCCGGTAGCCCACTCGATCCCGAAAGTCAGAGTAAATGGTAGTAATGGGAACCACCGACTGCAAAAACATATCTGAACGGCGGGCGGTGATTGGAGTTCCGACGTTGAAGGATCCCCTCGAGGGGATTTTTCGGTACCGCCCATGTGCTTCGAATCCGTTCCAGAAAACCACACCCCAACCCATACGGAGTAATTGATTGATTGAGATTTTTTTTTTGACTTCTAGTCGATTTCTCCGTACCCCTGATCCTACTACCGTCACCAACGCGGTTAGCAGTCAATGGTGCACTCCATAGCGGTGGTTAGTTTGGGATCCGGTCAGAATGGCAGACTATTCCGACTCCGTAGGGAGGCAGTTTACTATTACCTCATTTCTTTGGGTTTGCCCTGGGAAATAGATTAACTCTAATTTACTCCGTAGCATATTTCGAAGCGCCCAGGAAGATGGCACCGAGCCACAGGCTGTTCGACTCTCTGACCCGAAAAAGAGGAAATTAGAGTCTCAGTTATCGCATAATTATAGATCCTGATGAATGACGATACCGGCTTCCAGACGGATCCTGAGCCTTCGATCCCCCAGTTCCGTGCGCTATCCCGCATACGGCAACAGACAAGCCGATAGGAACCGACCGCCGCTAGCCAGTAGCGCCGAATCGGGGGTTAGAAGTTGATGGGGTTGATGGAAAACTCACCATGAGCCCGGGTTTTGTTTTTCACCGAGCATTCACCGAAATCCTCTGCCTTGATATTTCCACTGTGGACACAGCTGGGCCGAGTAAAATAGACATCCCGATGTCAGAGTGATGGGTAATGTCCGAGTATTTTTAATTTGATTGAGTTAATTTGCTCAGCACGTTTAAACTGGACGAGGGGGTGATTTGGTGGATAGATGGGAAAAGTGCCATCCAAGGTCGTTCTAAGCTGGAGGATCCGTGCTCCAGAAAAAAAGAGAAAAAAAAAAAGGCCTCCGCCACACGGAAGTCTACGTGCATGGAGTAAGTATCTGGTCCGAACTATTAACCGTCAAGCTCAGCTGTTGTATCGGCGTGCTCCCGACCTGAGCCAAGCATCACCTCCAGAAAACAGATTGCTGATCATGGTTTGAGGGCCCACTGAGCTGATAATCTAACCGTATGTCCTTCCCGTATGCATGTTGGAACTTGGCCTAAACGGTTTTTTGTTTTTTTTTTATTTTTTTTTTATTTTTTTATTTTGCCATTTCAACGTGCTGATCAAGTGCGTTCCTGAGTTTTGGGTGTTTTTGGATCTATCAATTTTGGGGCTATCCGTTTCCTACTCCGTCCGTTGACTGGTTGCCTCGGTTCAGGGCGAGGCTTAGTCAGAACGAGGCTGTCGCTAGTCGCTGGAAAATGGAATTCAAACGGAACTAGAAAGAGGTCAGGGGAGAATGGAAGAAATATCGTCGGAACATCCCTTGGGAATTAAGTTGTGTCCCGTCAAGGAGGTTAATGATCATTGCAGCTGCGAGGGACGTGATGTCGTTCCTGTAGGATCGGCACTTTGATCGCCGCGCTTTTTTTTTTCTTTTGAGTTTTTGTTCATGTAACCTCAGTCCTCGAGAACGAGTGGAACAATGACTTTCTAAATGGAATCCGCAACCCATTATTCACCAACGAATCTGGTCAGACATCATGATGACTGATGACTTCATTTGCTTGCCCCTAACGGGGCCTAAGAAGAGCAGGTAGTGCCACCGCATCATAGATGGAAGACTAGAGGTAAACATCAGTCAATTTCAAGTCCTCATCCCTGCAAGCCCAAACCAAACAAAGCAAATTAGCCGGGCGTTCAGATCATGAGGGGAAGTAGAACATTCCAGTTTACAGCGTACAGCGTACACAGGGCAGCGAGAGCAGGTAGGTAACTATTCCAGCGTGGGCTGGTCGCCAGTCATGACTCGCCCGCAGAGGATGGTGACAGTGCAGAGTGACCCTCTGGCTGTATACCACCTTACCTCTCTACTACCTTCCAGTTCCACCGACGTACGGCAGGGAAGGGTAGGTTTCCTGTGCATCCCATCGTGCCACCGTCCGGGCGTTTGAGGGCGAATCACAGGGCGGAGGGGGGACGGAGGATTCGAAAAAGAAACGGATTTCTTTACCTAAGGTAGGTGTCAGTGGGGCGGCTGACCCCACCCCGCTGCCCCCGGCGAGGCCAATGATAGGCTGCCACCCTTGCATGGGCTGGCAAAAAACCAATGCAAGGCTTGCTATGTTTAGCATCTTAGATCGGCCGCTAGATTTTTTGTCGGCCCCGATCTGGTGCGGTGACTATCTCTCTATCATGGGAGGATCACGGTGACGGGACGACGGATGTCGATGAGTAGACTTAGACTACTCCCGTCCGGCCTAACAGCTCGCGCTGTCCAACCTCACCTTGCCCGATGCATCCAAGCGCTTCCTCACGGTCCAGGACCTTGGGAAACTTGTATCTTGACTACGGCGTTAGCATCGCGTAGCACTTACCTGGTTCAGGCACATTTCCTACTCCGAGCCAGGCGTCCCTGAGCCCTCCGTTTTCCCTCATTTCCACCAGGGTACACTGTGGATTGAACGTTTTTTCTTGTTGATCTCGAGCCGTCGCCACGATGGAACGACCGGCCGACCGACAGGACGGTGGTGTAAGACGACAACAGCAGGGCATGTGAGTCGGGGTTCTGACTGGTCGTGACGCCCATGCTCGTGTTTGGGAACGCTGGTCCAAATCAGTACCTACATAGGGAGCGAATAAACTTTTCCCGCGCAACCTTAAGATTTATTATTAGATAGGGAGGGTGTTTTTTGCGCTGCCGTTCACCTGGTCGCGTTGGAGAGGGAAAAGCAAGTCAGATGGCAAGCAAATATGGAGCACTCACTACTCAGGCAGAGGGAAAGGAAAAAAAAAACAATAAAAAAAAGAGGGGACGAGTGCTACCAGCCTACCAGGTCATTTGGTTTTGGTTTTCCCTTAGGTCACGGGGTGGGGAACCTAGGCACTCCGTAGGCAAGACAGGGAAGTGGAAAAGAGCGGAAAAGAGCGCGCTTGGGGTGCGGCGGACTACGGAGGACTAAAGGAACTAAATGACCTAACCATTCCTGACGGTAGTGGTATGCTGACAAGTGATTTGTCAAAATTGCACCGAAGAAGTTCCAAAACTTCCATCAGGGTTTCGACCTCCACCGGGGCGCAACCCGCGCAAAGACCAAGAACCCGAGGTATACTCGGACGGAGGGCAGGGCAGGCTTCTCTCCAGACTGCGGCATACTTTGTCCTCTGTTTGTACCTACGTACCGTAGTAAAGCCGGGCGGGCAGAGGCAGCCCACCCAATCAGGCCAGACGAGAGGAAAGTCGAGGGCGACGGTGGATTTCGATGGATCGGTTTCTGCCTGAGGGCTCCAAAATAAGACAATCCAATAGGAAAAGTCTCAGGCAGGCGTCGGGGCCGACAGCATTATTGCCCGATGCGGAAAGGGGGGTGTGGTGGGGCCATGGCCGAGGGGACTAATAATATGCCGCCATTCCGACGGTTAGGGCACTTCCCAGACCCCCTTAGTGTAGCAGTAAGAGCGGTGTCGTTGAGCGGTTGTGGTTTTGCCCCAGCAGAAGTTCCGGGAATCTCTCGACGGTCTCTCCGTGGTTAGGACGAAGGTGAGGCATCTATTCGACTGCCTAGGCTTGTTCGTTCAATATTGATTATGTGATTGATTGGAAGGACAGCCTGTGGGTCACGTCGTACAATGTATTCTGTTGTGGGTGTCCTCTTCTCTGCAGCCCGAGGGGGGATTTGGATTGTAATCACTATTCAGATGGGATAGAGTGACCGGGAACCGTAGCCGTACGCCGTACAGTACGGAGTATACGGAGGAGTGGACAAGAAAAAGGAAAAAAAAATAAAATAAAATAAAAAAGGGCCGGGACAAGAAAAGGAAAGAGGCTGTGCAGATGAATCCTGTTGCTGCAAAAGTCCAGGGCCTTAGCTTAAACTTACTACATACAGTACATACCGAGGGACCAGTGAAGTCATTCTTTTATTTGATTTTTCTACAGGATTGGAGGAGATATGCTCCTGGAAAAAAAGCAAAGAACCAAGAAGAGGAGCGAGAAGGGTTAAAACTACGTCTGGAATGCTACCTATATGGAGACTGAGGCCCAGAGATGGAGGCAGATGTCTAATCAAAGGTACCGGCAACCTTAGCAGACCCGACTTAATTATTCTGAAGCTCCCCTCCAATGACAGACAATAATAGGATGGATTATTATTCTCATTGTCATTCCGACCATGCAGTTAATCAATATCATGGCCATATTCTGATTAATGATTATACCCGTAGTCCAACCCGCGTATTGCTCTTCCCATTCCACCTCCTTCTGCAGCCCTGACTGATCCCATGCTTTCGGTGGATCCACTCCGTCACGACCGAACGGTGTCTGCTGCTATCCAGTGCTAATACCCTGGCTAGTCAACTGCTGGTTTGGGTATTTGGGGGGAGATTCTGCGCCAAAAAAACCAAACAAATAAATAAATAATATCCGGCACTATTATTACCTGCTGGATTTATTTATTCATTTATTTTTTTAGTCCCCAAGCTAACCTGCCTTCAGCAAGAACACCCTCCACTTTCCCTCCTCCCTCCTCCCCCTTCTCCAGTATGACTAAAGTCAGGGTCAAACCCAGGATGACCGAAAAATAAATCGCCCTTATTTTTAACCCGGCCAAACCCAATGGGAAATCTTGGTTCCCGGAGGACTGCCTCTTGGGTGGTTCTCTTCCGAGAAAGCGGACCTTCGGAAAGTTCGCAGAAGAAGATGGATACCGGTCATTCTCTCCATGGATAGGCTGGCAACGGTTGAGATGTGGAGGATGACCAGCAGGGACCTCTCACCTCTCCCACCTCGCGCTTCCCATCCACAATAATGCCAACCAGCCCTCGGTCGTCCGTATCTAGCGCGACTGGTGTGCTCCATCCTCCGGTCCTTTGTACCTAAATGGTTATTTTTATTCCGCCGGAGCCCTCTGGTTTGGATTTTGAATTTTTCCCTAGTGCTGCTAGCCCAGGACATCATGATGTATTTCCACCCTCCGAGGAGGATAATACCACCGTTTTATTTATAAATCGTTGACGGCATTAACCATCAGATAATAACCTAAGATAATAATAGCCATGATATAATGTCCGCCCCCCGGTGGACGGACTAGTATCAGTGTAATAACGGCATTAATAAATCCTATCTGGGCGCACCGGATCCCTGGTCTTATTACTCCTCGACTTGTGCTCCAGTTTCCACGCCCCAGTCTTTTTATTTCCTGCGGCCACTGCCAATGACCAGGCGGCGTTCCCAACCTCTTACTACCTGATCCTCGAACCTAACCCGACTTTTCTTACTCTTTTGCCTGCACCCCCGCCACGCTAAGCCGGCATCCTGCTGCTCTTACCACCACTTCCGCCGTCTTAGTGCTCAGGGAAAAGTAATATATCTCTCGTCATATCAGACTCTTCACTGCTGCCCTTTTTTTTATTTTATTTTTTTTATTGATTATTTTTATCTGGACTCGGATTTCTTTTTTTATTTTCCTGATTATTATCTTATTCCTTTTTATCGCTCCTCCCCCCATAACTATCACTTGCTTCCCCCCCCTCCTCCTCCCCTCCCCTCCCCTCTTCTTCCGAAACCATTTCCTGTTATGGCATCTTAGAAGTATCGAAAGTCGTTTTCTTTTTTTCTCTTCTTTTTTTACACTCGCTCACACACCGCTCGCTTATACACTCGCTTTGTTTTGACGTCAAAGTCATATCACATTCGCTACGTTGATTGACCGCGGAAGGAAAAAAAAGGAAAAAAGAATAACGGGATATTGGATTGCAGTCGACCTGAAGGAAGTGAACGGATCGCCTTGAATTGAACATCCTAATAATCTAAATCCCCCGCTCTGAACGCATTCGTTGATCGCTCCAACGACCTTCGTTTTATTGTTTTCTGTCCGAGTGCCTGGCCAATTCGACGACAGAAACGGCATCTATTCCGGCGGATCATATCGACAGACGGAGACAGAAGATCATCGCACCTATCGGGACCGAATCGACCTGACGGCCATTTGGACCTAATCTCGACTTCCGTGCGGACCATTCAGTCGGCGTTTGCCTTGTTTCGACAGACACGAGCTGTAGAGGAATCCCCGCAGAGTCGTTTGCCCGATTCAACTAGTCGCCAAATTTACGGGATCTTTCGTTTCTTGCGGTTTCGTCCGGTCTCGATTCATCTAAAAAGTGGACCTTAGTTTGGCATCAACTACCAATACTTTCTGCGCCGACGTCAAGCCCTCAAAAGGAGCTGGCTGATCGTGGGAAGTTTTAAATCATCGTGAATCATTGTCTCGGTTGAAGACACCAAGCCATCGCGGACTACCGAGATTCATCTCAAACCTGGACCATCGGACAACAGAAAAACAGAAAAAAATCTCTTGCGCCCAGCAATTAATTTGTTAAGGTTAGTGTAATCTTCCCCTTTGCCACTGATTCCGACGGTGCCTTGCATCACCCATTCCCTTTCTCTCCCCTTCCCTTCGGGACCCTTGCTTCTCCAAGGTCGTGCCTCTGGTGCACAAGGGCCCCGAGGAAAATTAGGACCCATGATGGGATCCAGATGCTGGCCGCCTCCCCTGCAATTTTTGTTACCGAGCCCCTAGGTGTGTTTGTTGTTGACATTTTGTTATGGCGTAGACTATTTTGTCAGTCATCGCGCGATTGTGGACTTTGCATATTAGCTTTCCAAAGGTCTCGCTGTACGAACTTATTTGTTCTCTCGTTTCTCCTGGGTAAGTTTCTGCTAGTCTATGCAGCAAGCCGGTCCTCCTTGACCTCTTGGAGGTTTCTTACCCATTAGCTGGTTAGCTCATTGCCTAACTCGCGGCCAGTTTTTCGAAATCTGGTCATTCGGAACGTCCTGAGGGAAGAGAGAAAAAGCCAATTTCGCCTCTGTCTTTGCCCGGTTGACTTATTACTGGCCTGCCATTTGAGACCTAGCCACGGATTTTGAGCAGCATCCCGTCCGGCTTAACCACGTCGATCATCCTCAGGTGCCAATCGCTTCGTCCTAGGTGATTTCTCTGGAACAGTATCCGACATCGTGGCTTATATCCAGTCGACACTCTGCAGCCAGCCTTTCGCAGTTTCAGCCTTCGTCTTGAGGTCCTGACCGTTGATTCGAAGACCTCTATCGTGTCTTGCTCGTTGAGACTTCCTGTCGCTTCTTGTCGTCACTCGTTTTGTCTCGGAGCAGCTTCCCGGCTTCCGTCGTCCTATCGTTTTTTATACGATAAATTCGCTGTCATTCGCTTCTTTTAAGCTGTTGTGTTTCGTTGCAGTTTCTGCAACACCATCAAACTGGCTTACTCGAAGACTCACGGTGTTTTGGTAGGTCCCAAAGAAATTCCACACCTGTTTCTCCTGTTGCTGCCCAATGGTTATTTCTTCTTTACACCACCCTTTCTATTTTGTTTCTCTTCATCCGTTCGGTTTGGAATCTCGGTCCAAATTTCTGTCTGTCTTGCTGCAGGCCCCCCATCCTTTCTTGTTTTAGGAGTTTGACTCTCCGATTGTGAGCACATGTTGACGGGAACTTCGCCATTTAGTTCGATCCAGATTTTCAAACGCCCCTGATTGTAGACGAGTCGTTGGATTTCTCAGACGCTGAAGATTCGCGGTTTATCGGTGCATTTTCAGACGGCCTTCTGGCCAAGTCTGAACCCATCTTGTCTATGTCTACTTTCCAAAAGCCCCCTCCTGCGGCCTTGCTCGGTGAGTCGTTTCCCAATGCCTTCCGGTTTCAGATCATGCCGTTTGCTAAACCGCCTTAAAGATTATGAATCCGCTCGGTCTATGCATGACGGTGCCTCGTACTCCAGTTATGGGCAAACGCCTTATGTAACAAGCGCCTCTATGGTCCCCTCGCCCATGGCCGATCACACCAGCCAGATATCCGATTGTGTTCCCTACATGAGCAACCAGAGCTACGCCAGCTCTTACGAGGAGGGTCGGTCACCAATGCTGGGTGGAGAGTCTCGTCAATTACCCGAAGTCCTTTCCTACTCTCCCCAGCGAGGGTCTGAAGGCACAAGGGTGTTTGTGGAAATCCAGTCTCCCTATGACCTCCACAACTCATCATATGCGACGGTCTACCTTGTGTTCGGCTCGAAGAAGTCCGAATGTGTGCCCCATTTCCTCGATTTCCAGGGAACTGCTTTCCGATATGCCCTTTCCGTGGACACTCCCCCATTCATGTCCACGGGGTCCCCATCACTCGCTGTGCCGCTCCAGGTTGTAGTGGATGGTCAAGGCGAGTGTCCTACGACTGCTCTACAGGTTGGTGTCTATACATACGAGCAAGCATCCCACCATTCTCCTTCCGATGAATCACGCAAGAGAAGGATTTCGTCCCTTTCCGAGGACACCTCGAGGCCCGCCAAGCGCAGCGGTGTCCAGTCCATGCATGCCAGAGACCAGTCCGCCAGCTATTCGACGACATATTCGCCTTATCTGCAACCCCTTCCAGCTATGAACGGATTTGCGACCCCATACCATGCAGCCCCCTCGCCTCGAGTTGGCCCGGCGCAGTACTCAGCTGTTTCGGGATCCTCTCAGCCGTCAATCCGAGCGCCTTCTCCTCTGACTCCATCCTGGAGCCCCTCGTACATGTCCGTCAGCAGTGATCCTCGGACGCCAGGATTCGCCGTTTCTCATGGTCTCCCCCAGAAGGCATCGTCCCCTGGTCGGTTCTCGAACCCGACCCTCATCCGAACGTCCACGTTACAGCACTCCGGTTCCATCAGCCAAACGCAATCATTCAACCCTTATGCCATGTACCCGTCAAAGGCAATCCTGAAGCTGAATGGAGATTTGGATTCCATGACCCAACACTGGACTAAGGAAGAGCGCGACATGAAACGACGCCTGGTGCAATTCACTCGGGTGCAAAACGGCAGCACGATCCACGCGGATTTCAAACCTGTTGCCCCTGAGGACCGAGCCCCCAACAGCATCTGCATCAGCTGCATCAGCTGGGATGGCAAGGATGAGTGTTTTGTGACCAGCGTCGACACCATTTACCTCCTGGAATCACTTGTGGGTGTCCGCTTCACCGTGGAGGAGAAGAACCGCATTCGAAGGAATCTAGAGGGATTCCGTCCCCTTACCGTTTCGAAGGCCAAGGCCGATAGTGAAGAATTCTTCAAAGTTATCATGGGGTTCCCAGCGCCCAAGCCGCGAAACATCGAGAAAGATGTCAAGGTCTTCCCGTGGAAGATCCTGAGCCATGCTCTAAAGAAAATCATCGGAAAATACGTGAGTGACCTTTTTTCTTACCTAAATAGTCCTGCTTTAACGAATGTCTTACTGACTCTAGAACCCATTTAGTCCGCAAGCTACTCTTCCACTGCTGGCGCACTTCCCACCCCAATTGCCTCCAACTACCCCAGCAATGGTGCCGCATCCGATTCAGGCACCGAACCTCTGAACGCAGCATCGCCTCAGTCTGTTTCGGATACCGCTCCCTCGACAACGTACAGCTCGGCAATTGGAGCCCCAGCTTATTCACCCCCCACGGGGCATTCCGGAGCGCCAATGACCAACCCTGCCGAATTGCGCGCCGTGCTGCCGGCCGTCAACCCGTCCTACCACAGCATGACCACTCCTTATCAATGTGCACCCGTTTGCCAGCAACCGAGCCAGATTGGTATGACTGCGCCAGTGAGTCGAGCCTGGGAGTTGAATCCTCTCGTGAACGCCCCTCCGGCCAGCGGGCCCCCTCCTAGCAGTACTCCCTGCTATACCTATATGGCCCCTATGCCGTACTCTCTTCCGGACCAAGGGCCTTGAGGCTCTTGATCAATAATTTCTGCTTTTTTTTTTTTTTTTTTTAATACGTTTTAGCATCCGTCGGCGTTGTTCTCTGGTTTGTTACTTGTTTTACCTATCCCGATTTTCATGTCACTCCTTTATAAGCCATGGCGCTGGGTCATTGATGACGCCTTATATTTTTGGACCTCTTGTTTTTTAATCTGGCAATGGTGTTTTTCGGTTAATGGTTACTGGCCATGATCTGATGTCTCTCCTTTGAAATACCTCATGTCTTGATGCCCTTTGTTTTTGATTTTTGATTTCTTGTTGACACGACGCATTATAGATGATCTGTTATCCGTTCCTTTGATTTTTTGCAATTTCCGCGGGCATTGGGATACCACTCCTTCATGAAAAGTGTACAATTACTTTTAGCATAGCATGGCGCTGCAGTCCTTCCTTTTTATTTCGCAGGTCGGGATATTTGGAGATCGATGTAATGGGACATCCGGGTTGGCGAAGGAAAAGTGTGGAATTTGGTTTCGGTCTTGGATGGGGTGCTTTCTTCTGCTGTCTTTCGAGTCAGCACGGGGTTCGAAACGCACCCAACTGTGTGTTTATCTTGAATTCTTGGGGGTCGCTCTGTTTGAATTTGTTTGTTATTCTTTTCGACCCGAGATCTGCATAGCTTTGGCGTCTTTGAACCTGATTAATGTGTTCTTTGAAGTATTTATTTGATTCCACCTTTGTGTTAATGGATCTACTTATAGTCTTATTGTTTGTCTGATAGGATAAGCTGATGCTCTTGTATTTCGCATACTCTGCTCTAGATTCATTATTCCATATATTCGATATACTAACCCTGCCCTAATTACCCCATCCGGCACGTTCTGCATGCCGAATACCGGCGCGTACCGTCCGGTACCGTTATCTTATCGTCACCTGACCGGGCCGCAAATGCAGCCAGAAAGTGAGTCAGTCAACATTCTCAGCTCGCGGAAGTCTTGTCTCCCTGTCTTGCCCTCCCCCTTCGCTGCAATCCGTCATCTGGAGACCATCCTCCCCTCTCTTACCTATACCCGAATCTCTACTATACTCTAATCCCCCCCCGAGGGCTATATCCAACCAACCCCTTCTCTTTGCCCCGCTCCCCCCACCATCCCATTCCGGATATCATGGATGCGATCAAGCAGACATTTGCCAGGGCCAAGCAGGAAAAGCGTGCGGCCCTGGTCTCATACATCACGGCGGGGTACCCCACCGTCGAAGAGACAGTAGACATCCTTCTGGGCCTGGAAAATGGAGGCGCTGGTGCGTGACCCCCCGGATCGTTGAACCCCGCCACCGAACCCTTCCCACCCTTGTAAAAGTCCACCCGCTGACCGTATGGATGATCTACGCAATCAATAGACATCATCGAAGTCGGAGTGCCCTTTACCGATCCGATTGCGGATGGCCCGACCATCCAGAAGGCCAACACCAAGGCTTTGGCCAACGGTGTCACCGTCACCTCCGTCTTGGACATGGTCCGCACCGCCCGAAAGAGCGGCCTCAGGGCCCCCGTTCTGTTGATGGGATACTACAACCCTTTGATGCGATACGGTGAGGAGCGTATGCTCAAGGATTGCCGTGAGGCCGGTGTCAATGGCTTCATCATGGTCGACCTTCCTCCTGAGGAGGCTGTGCGTTTCCGAGACCTGTGCGCCAGCAACAAGTAAGGAGGCCCCCATTCGATCCTTTTCCATTGACGACGGCCCGGTGCGATGGTGCATTGCTTACTGACATGTTTGGAAACAGCCTGTCCTACGTCCCCCTCATTGCCCCCTCGACCTCGGAATCCCGCATGAAGCTCCTGTGTAAGATCGCCGACTCTTTCATCTACGTCGTCTCGAGAATGGGTGTCACCGGTGCCACCGGCCAGCTCAGCTCGAATTTGCCCGATCTTCTATCCCGGGTCCACAGATACTCTGGCAACGTGCCTGCGGCATTGGGTTTCGGAATTAGCACCCGGGAACACTTCCTGTCCGTGCAGGATCTTGCGGAAGGTGTCGTGATCGGCAGTCAGATCATCACTACTTTGGGCGAGGCCCCTGCTGGTCAGGCGGCTAAGAACGCCGAGGCCTACCTGTCCAGCGTGACCGGCCGGAAACTCGAGAGGGATGCCCAGGGTACGGTGGTCCGTGAGGTCAAGGTGCTGGATCCCGTCGAGAAGCGGGAGACCGAGGAGGGTGTCGCTCACCCCACGGCCGTTGTCACCGATGCCGGTAACCCTTCGGGCCCCGGCTTGGCCGACCAGATTGATGCGCTGAACGGCACGGGCAACCCTGCCGCCCAACCGTCGCGGTTCGGTGAGTTCGGTGGACAGTATGTCCCCGAGTCGCTCATGGACTGCCTGGCCGAGCTGGAGAAAGGCTTCGAGCATGCGCTGCACGACGCCTCGTTCTGGGAGGAGTACCGCTCCTACTACCCTTACATGGGCCGCCCCAGCAGCCTGCACCTGGCCAACCGTCTGACCGACCACGTCGGCGGTGCCAACATCTGGCTCAAGCGCGAGGATCTCAACCACACCGGTAGCCACAAGATCAACAACGCCCTGGGCCAGATCCTGCTTGCCCGGAGACTGGGCAAGACCCGCATCATTGCCGAAACCGGTGCTGGTCAGCACGGTGTCGCCACCGCGACCGTTTGTGCCAAGTTCGGCATGAAGTGCGTTGTCTACATGGGCGCGGAGGATGTCCGTCGCCAGGCTCTTAACGTCTTCCGCATGAAGCTCCTCGGTGCCGACGTGGTGGCCGTTGATGCCGGCAGCCGCACGCTGCGGGACGCCGTCAACGAGGCTCTCCGTGCCTGGGTTGTCGAACTTGACACCACCCACTACATCATCGGTTCCGCCATCGGTCCTCACCCCTTCCCCACCATCGTCCGTACCTTCCAGTCCGTGATCGGCGACGAGACCAAGCAGCAGATGCTCGAGCAGATCGGCAAGCTGCCCGATGCTGTCGTCGCCTGTGTCGGTGGTGGCAGCAACGCCGTCGGCATGTTCTACCCCTTTTCCAAAGACACGAGCGTCAAGCTCCTCGGTGTCGAAGCCGGCGGTGACGGTGTCGAGACCGCCCGTCACTCCGCCACCCTCTCCGGCGGCAGCAAGGGTGTCCTGCACGGCGTCCGCACCTACGTCCTCCAGGACGAGCACGGCCAGATCTCCGAAACCCACTCCATCTCCGCCGGTCTCGACTACCCCGGTGTCGGCCCCGAGCTGAGCTCCTGGAAGGACAGCGAGCGCGCGCGCTTCGTCGCTGCCACCGACGCCGAAGCCCTCTCGGGTTTCCGCGCCCTCGCCCAGCACGAGGGTATCATCCCCGCCCTGGAGTCCTCGCACGCCATCTTCGGCGCCATCGAGCTGGCCAAGTCCATGAAGAAGGGCGAGAACATCGTCCTCAACCTCAGTGGTCGTGGAGACAAGGACGTGCAGAGCGTCGCCGATGAACTTCCCCGTCTGGGTCCTAAGATCGGCTGGGACCTGCGCTTCTAGATTCTTTCAAACAAAAAAGCTAATCGATGCGTCCGTCCGTCCGTCCGTCTCATGATGTCCAGTCACCTTTTCTCTTCTCCTTTCTCCCTTTCATCGAACCCGAAACCAAAACCAAAACCAAACTCTAGGACAGATATAGATAGACAAGGAAGGATTCATCAAGTTCCGAAACAACAATAGCAAACAAAGCGCAGGCCAGCCCGATAATTGCACGGCCATAGATATAGACAACCTCAAATCAAGTTCGAAAACGGTTTAGGTAGCTTCCGGGACAAAAGTGGTTATGGTAGTGGTTTCAACACTTACTTACCTACAGTGATAAAAGCAGCGCATGGCCTTGGGATTCTTTTTTTCGGTTTTTTTCGGGTTTTTTCGGTTTTTTCGGAATTGGATCTGCATTCTAAAATATGAAGGGGAAAAGTGCAAGTTTTATTTCGGGCATTTCGGGGTACTTTTGATATGATTATGATTCTTTATTTTATTATCATTTTTTTTTCTCTTTTGGTTTCGGTTGGATAGAGATTCATTGCTAGATGAATCTGATTGAATTAGGAAATAAATATTTTCGATCTATACTATCCACCTACATTACGGTGGTGTGTTTAATGAAGGGCTGCTTGTCTGTTCATGCTCTATGCTCTATGCTCCATCTAGTCTCCTAGGAGAATAGGATGAGCTAAAGATGTCTTAAGCGAACTGATCAGTGTATCCATTCATATTCCACATTCCATGCAATGTGATATGACGAGAGAATGATATACAACCTACGAGAAGAAAAACAACCGATATATGCAAATGTCATAGTATAGTGTCAAGTGAAACGAAGCTTGAAAATGCGCAAGCAGAAAGAAAAACATAGAAAAGCAGGGCCAGAAACATAGATAGATATCTTTGCGACAGAGATAAGACAAGATACAAAAATAAAAGAACACGTCCATTCCTTCTCCCCCTCTTCCTTTTTGATCCGCTCGAAAGAAGCCGGGCTGGGTAGCTGGAGAATTACTTAGGTTTCGATCAGGTCGGCGCCGCTCTGCGACTGGACTTGTTCGGGAGCGCCGGTGCTGTCCCTCGTGTCCTTGTTGGCGACCTTGCGGGCGGAGCGGGCGTAGAATTCGTCGAGGACGCGCTTGGGGATACGGTTGAGGAGGTCCTTGGGGTAGATGCGCAGCAGATTCCAGGCGATGTCCAGGGATTCGAAGATGGATCGCGACTCGTACGTGGACTGGTTGATGAAGGAGCGCTCGAACTTGTCGAGGAACTCGAGAGAGAGTTTATCTTCCGAGGACAGGGCGTCCTCACCGACGACGGCCTTCATGGCGGCTGTTGGAGGGATCAGGTTAGTGCTTTGGACAGGAGCGTTCTGTATGCGAGGGATGACTCACCAGCATCTCGTCCAATGGCGTACTTGGCGTATAGCTGGTTGGACACGTCGGAGTGGTCTTTACGAGTACGACCTTCACCAATGGCGGACTTCATCAGACGGGAAAGAGAGGGCAGGACGTTGATTGGCGGGTAGACACCCTTGTTGTACAGCTGACGATCGATGAAGATCTGACCCTCCGTGATGTAGCCAGTCAAGTCGGGAATAGGGTGGGTGATATCTGGACCATGTCAGCCGAGTTCGGATTTGTCTCGTGTTTCAAACGTACCATCGTTGGGCATGGTCAAAATAGGGATCTGGGTGATAGAGCCGTTACGACCCTCCACTCGTCCAGCTCGCTCGTAAATGTTGGCCAAATCAGTATACATGTAACCGGGGTAACCACGACGACCCGGCACTTCTTCACGAGCAGCTGAAACCTCACGAAGAGCGTCACAGTAAGCCGACAGATCAGTCATGATAACCAACACGTGCTTCTCCAGCTGGTAGGCGTAGTATTCGGCGGTCGTCAGAGCGAGACGGGGGGTAATGATACGTTCGATCCTGAAGGCAATGTTAATCCACCAGGTACATCACCAACAACTGGACAGGGAGCAAGATTGTGAGAGAAAGGACGTACGTCGGGTCGTTGGCCAAGTTCAGGAACAGCGTGACACGCTCCATACTGCCGTTCTCCTCGAAATCGCGAGTGAAAAATCGACTGGTTTCCATGTTCACACCCATGGCGGCGAAGACGATCGAGAAGTTGTCCTTGTGACCGTCGTGGACATCCTTGGTGGGCTTGTTGACCAGACTGGCCTGACGACAAATCTGAGCAGCAACCTCGTTGTGGGGAAGACCAGCGGCCGAGAAGATGGGAATCTTCTGACCACGGGCAATGGAGTTCATCGTATCGATGGCGGAGATACCGGTCGAGATCATTTCTTCGGGGTACACCTGTCCGCAAGAACCCGTTAGCTACCGCAACGGACAAGCTTTATGCGAGCACGACAATGGACATACTCTCGAGTAAGGGTTGATGGGCTGTCCGTTGATATCCAAGTAGTCCTCCGCCAGCACCTTGGGACCCTTATCAATAGCACGACCCGAACCATCGAAAACACGACCCAACATGTCCTCGGACACACCCAGCTTCAAACTGTGGCGGGTGAACTCGACTTTAGTCTAGTACCGGTCAGCAGGTCGCTCCTTGTCTAACAATCCGAAGCATGTATTTACCCTCTTGACATCGATACCGGGGGTACCTTCGAACACCTAGAAAAGCCGTAGACCACGTTAGTATCTCGCGAAGGAAAGGAGGTTCCGAATATAGGAGACCGCGGCGATTTAATCGGCCGTACCTGAACGATGGCTCGACTTCCTATTCAACAAAAAAACAAATTAGCTTTCATGAACGCATCAACCGTCGTCGCATACGATCAAGGGAACCCACCTCTGGCTTCCAGGACCTGACCCGACCGCTCAGTTCCATCGGGGAGAGTCAGGGATACAATCTCGTTGAAACGAGGGAATTTGACCTAAGGGGAATGTTATGAGTATAGAGAACCACACAGCGAGGAGCTTCGTGAAGTATGAGAAACAAGAGGGAGCCTGTTCGGGGCAGACGTACATTGTCGAGAACGACCAGCGGTCCGTTGATACCTCCGATGGTGTTGTAGCGGATGCGAGGCTTGACGGAGGTCATCCGGGGGTCGATGAATTCGGACGCCATGATGAAGAAGGTCCTTGCAAAATGGCCAGGAAGAAACAGGGAAAACGACGGAGGGGCAAGGGGAAAGGCGAGAGAGACGGGGAGCAGCAGCTGGAGATCGGAGCAGACGTCGGGCCAACTAACTTGAGATGACGATTGCACGGGATGTGCCACGTGATTTCCCCACATGGTTTACATCGCATACTTACGGAGTATACATGTTACTACTATATTGTCCCATCTGCAAATCATGCCATATCGGTCCTGCATGCCAATGGATCGTCGTAATCATATACATGGAACAAGAAATCAAGCCTCAAAAAGAAAAAGAAAAGAACCGGGCCGAAAATCAACAGATGCGCCGTCTGACCGTTCAACCATCGAGGTATCCGCAAATGAACAAAACGATAGCAATGAAAAAAAATGATAAAGAATAGTCGCCAAGTTGATTATATCAATCCACCTTCGCAAATGCCAGCTTTTTAGGAGCGGAGAGGTTGTTGGAAAGACGAATCGTCGTCTTCTTGTTCTTCGAATGCTTCTTGAGCTTCTTCCGGGCCACCATGACGGGAACCGACGAATGCATCACCAAGTAGTTGGAGAATGATCCAAGAAGTACACTAGAGATAGTATGAGTTATTTGCTTTCGAATAAATCAGGGCCGACGCAGAAGAACTTACCCCTTCAAGGCACTTCGGCCTCTGGCGCCGACAATCACCAACGTCGGATCGAGGCCGTCAATCTGCAAATCGAAATGTTAGTAATTAGGAGAAGAGACCGAAAGATCGGGTTAAAATGAATGCCACGTACAGCTTCCGTAATCATATGCTTTGGGCTCTTGCAATGGATCGCCTCGACGGCGACCCGAACTTGGAGCAGCGTTTTCCTCAGTAAGCGAACGCACGTCTGAGAGATGACCTCCACAGAACGGACACGTTCGGATTCAATCTTGGACATCCCGCGAGCATCCACCGATCCGGGTTTACTGTCCGTTCCCGGCCCCAGTCGACCGAGGATCGCACGGGATAAATTAGTTGACGAGTCATTCTGCGGCTTCTGCGCGGTCTCTTCCGTCTGCGACCCTATCACGGCTGCAGCATCCTGCATGGCTTTAGCGTTGTCACCGACCTGCGGTGTATTGGACGCCGCCGTCTCGTCGTGCATCGCGCAAACGGCAAACATGGTGTCGCCGTCACGAAGAATAGTACCGATGGTCCATTCCAGAGCGTATACTGATTCCTCGCTCAAATCCGTCGCAACTAGATACTTGCGCTGTCGGCGACGGCCGCCGTCCAGTTCGCCGGACTGCTTGGAGTAGTCCCCGCGAATGATGGTTCGAATCGAGCGATTTTGGACGGAGCTGTCGATCGCGGACATTTGAATGCCCATTTGTTGAGCTCGTTTGATATCCGACAGCTCGGCTTCGTCGTCGGAACCAAATGGTGTATTAGGCATGGAGGCAGCCGAGTCGAAACTAGTGCGAGGATGGACATCGGGTCTCTTGGGAATCGGACCTTGTTTGGAAGAATGTGAATAGTCGGATTTCTCCTCGGCGTCTGCAATATTGCTGTCAGTTGATGGTCTTGAACCTAGAAAATAATTTCTAAACATAATAAGAGGATTCAAGGGGAACAAAGACAGAGAGAAAAAGCAAGACGTACTCTCTTTTTCTTCTACCGGAAGTGGCGGCGGCCCAGTTTTCGCACTTCCCGCGGAACTAGTCCTGGGGGGAAGGATGATGTCAACCGTTGGTTTTCGTCCGCGCTCGGTTGTAGAGTCGTCATCGTCATCATCACTTGTAGAGGAGTCGTCGGCGTCTTCGTCGCTAGTTTCGATGGGATTGTTCTCGCTGTCGTACATGTCCTTCGCCAGACGCTCATCCCCAGATGTCAATGGTTTCTTGTCGGCGTCGGCTGTCTCGCCACCTTGAGTAGGGGCAGGGACAGGGGCAGGAGGAGGTGTTGGCGTGGCTTGTGGCTTATCAGCGTTCGCCGTTTCCACCGGTTTGGCTTTCTCGGGCGCCGGCTTCCCCGGATTTGAACTGGAATTGCGAGAGCTTGATCCGAGCCATCGGTTCTTTGGAGAGCTCGAGCGACCCAGTCGGGAGGAGGAGAGCCGCGAGTCCAGCGAGGTTCCCCGAGCGGTATTGTTGCGACTCGAATCCCTGCCCCTGGTGAAACTGGGCAATCCGACCTTCAGATCGAGGCCGGACATGACGGCAGCCATGGCATTTTTGGTTTGTGGCGGCTTATTGGATGATTTGTCGGCGGCTCGATTGGCGCGCCGGTTTAAGCTGTAGCTGGTGGCGCTGGGAGACATGACGACGGAATCGTCCCAGCGAATGCTCGGTTTGGGTTTGCTGGCGACGGGACTGGTGGCGGCGCTGTGAGAAGTCTGACCGGGATGCGCCTCAGCGAGCTTTTTTTTGTCGAGGGCGGCGTTGTCGCTAAAACGGCGCGTGGTGGTTGTAGCGGCGGATGGGCCGAACTCTTTCTCCGGCGAGGAGGAGGTGGAGTGAGAAGCCGCAGCAGTAGGCGGCGACGCCACCGTAGTGTTCACACGCAAAGATGGGGCGGGAGCAGGGTCATGCCAGCTGCGACGGTTGGACGGGGGAGTCACACCAACCCCAATGCCGGCGATGGACCCATGTCGGGGCGGCAGGGTCTCGGGCGACTCGGGCGACGGAGCAACGTCCTGGAAACTCCGGGTCGTCGTCGCGCTCTGGTTCCGGCGGGAAGCTGCGCTGCGAGCTTCGAGCTCGCCGGCTAGTTCTAGGCGCTCCTCCTCCAGAGCGGCGGCCAGCGACTGGATGCGGCCGGGCTTTCGACTGCTGTAGTAGGGCATCGTGGGTGGGTTTTTGACACGGGGTGGGGGGAATCACGTCGAGCCAGACCCCGAACCTCTGGCGCTGGCCAAACACGCCGAGGGAGGTGGAGAATTTGACGCTCTAATGACGAGAGAAGAATTAGTCTCGCCAGTCTTCCGCTGCCAGAGGGGGACCGTCACATCCAACCACACATCGCAGGGGAGGCGGAGAAAGGAGGGAGAAAGGGCCGAAAGAGAGGAAAAAGGGCCCTGTTTTTGCTCCTGTCACTAACTGAACCTAAAAAAGCCCGCGACGGTCGTTAGGCACGATGCTTTTAAGCAGTCCCTCCACGTGCAGGCAACCGTGTCAATCCCGACGATCTTCCACTAGTCGGGTGGTCTAACAGTCGTGGACGGTGGTTGGGTGGGCGACCTGGAGAGACACTGTGGACTGTGGGCTTCGCGAACGAAAGATGGGAGGGAAAATGAGGACAAGAAGGGAGATGCGAAAAGACGAGCGAAGGAGAGCAGAAGAAAAGCGATCGACGTTGAGGTTCGACGGGGGTTGTCAGGTGAGGGATGATCAGGTCTGGGGGGCGCTGCAAGGGGCTCGCATCACATTCCGGGGGGAGAGAGGAGGAAATAGGAATATATCCCGGTGAATATTCACTGTTGACTATTCAAATTCAATCACGAAGCAGAAGGCGACCCGAGGCGGAGCAGAAGATCATCGAAGGGGCTGGAGACTCTCGGCGCGGGGCAAAGACGGTCTGAGGGGAGGAAAAGGGACGATCGTTTTACTGTGTGGATGAATTCAATTCCCTGGTGGCACCGGAGCATCCCTTGCAGACATCACAAGGCTTGGGCAATCGTGAAGAAAGTGTCACGGCCGCATGCAGTGCTCCAGCCGTGTCTCCAGACGGGATTCTTGCAGATGCCTTCAAGTGATGCAGCGTGCGTAATCATGGAGAAGTCATCGTGGTCAATCAATCAGATAGTAAATAAATAAATACCCAGAGTCATAACAAATGCTCAGCTCAACAAAGATCATGCGCGGTCTAGACTCCCTGGCCAGCCAATGATGCCGTCATGATGAGTCCGTCATTCACCTCAAAGAAGCTCCAAATAAAAATAGTAAAGAAGGATGCATTAATTAGAGGTCCCTGGAACCCTAGACCAACCCAACCAAACAAAACACAGTAACACATCCCAGATGCACCAGACCTTCCCAGAAGTGCCATGTAACGCCGTCCATGCCGTTTCCTCGCTCAAGCTTTGGTCTTCTTCTTTTTCGAGGTCTGTCGAGCGGCCGTCGCTTCGAAAGCTGCCTCAGGCGGCTCTTCGAACTTGCCTGCTCGCTTCTTGCCCCCGGCATATTTCTCCTCTAACCGGTCAAAGAACGAGTCCGCCCGCGATGCTTGTCGCTGCTTGATGATCGATAGCAGATCGTTGTCATTCGCCGGCGCATCCTTCTTCTTCTTCTTCTGTCCGCCTTTCTTCTTGCTATCCTTCTTCTCTTCTAGCTCCTGGGCTAGCTTCTCTGCCTCCTTGGCTTCTTTTTGCGCCCGCTTTAATCGTTGCTGTTTCTTCTTCTCAGGCTCCTCGGTGTATTTCTTGTGTCGCTCGGCCTTGCCCTCGTCGATGGCCTTGTCGATAAGGGCGCGGAATCGCTCATCGTCGTCGATCACATTGCACAGCATCACCGACTCGTAGACCTTGTCCAGATCGCCGCGGTACTTGTCGAACGCCGCTAGCACGTCCCGTTCCTCCTCTTCAGAGCCCTGATAGTCCTTCTTGAACTGATCCAGTGCATTCTCGTCGATCGCACTGGAGAATTGTTCGCGGTAGAAATCCATCCAGTTGAAGTCGCCATCTTCCTCGACGGCCTCGGACGTACTGCCGGTCAGATCGAATCGTTTGCGGCGTTTTTCATCGGAGAGAATCGCGTAGGCGAAGGCGATCTGCTGGAATTTCTCGTTGGCTTCGTCCTTGGAATCGGCGGATACCTTGTCTTTGGTGGGGGATTGTCAGCATCTGCACCTGCATCGTGACAGGGATGGCCGAGTGGGGGTGACGCACCTGGGTGGTTCCTTAGCGCTTGTTTTCGATAGGCAGACTTGATCTGATCGGGGGTTGCATTTTCGCTGACGCCCAGGATGCCATAGAGGTCCGTCTCGACTGGCTGGGGGAAGTCCTGGAAGTCTTCGTCGGACGACATGAGGGAAGAGAGGGGATGGAGAGGAGGCGACAACCCGGGGAATGGCAAAGCTTGAATGGAGTAGGGACTTTTGTTCTTCTGCAGGTGTCGAGAGACTGAGAGCAGAAAGACAGACGAAACGCCGAAAAACGACGCGACGCGGCATCACTTGAACTGCCCGATCGGGCTTAGCGTCACGCTGAGGTCATCGTCTTCTTTTATCTTTCTTCTTCTCTTCGTCAGTCTTATTCTTGCCTTACTTCCTACTTCTTGTACATATTTGATCACCATGAGCTCCCTCCACCGAAATTACATGCAACAATGCATCGGCCTCGCCGAAAAGTCCCCCCCGCGACCGACCAACTTCCGAGTCGGCGCCGTCCTCATATCCCGCAAAGACGGCGATCTGTGGGCGGAGGACGACCGCGTCCTCTCGACTGGTTACACCATGGAGCTGGATGGCAACACGCACGCAGAACAGTGCTGCCTATCCAATTACGCCGCCGCGCATTCGGTCCCAGATGACCGCGTGCACGAAGTCCTGCCCTCCGAACCGGGCCGCAAACTAGTCATGTACGTGACCATGGAGCCGTGCGCGAAACGACTGTCGGGGAACGCGCCCTGCGTGCAACGGATCATCCAGACGAAGGAGGGCGGGCGCAATGGCATCCAGAAGGTCTACTTTGGCGTGAAGGAGCCGGGCACCTTTGTCGGACAATCGGAGGGGTGTCAGCGGCTGACGGAGGCGGGGATTGAATGGCACGTCGTCCAGGGGTTCGAGAGGAGGATTTTAGAGGTGGCGGTGGCTGGACATGAGAATCGCGACGAGGAGGTCAAGTCGGCGTTGGATCAGGTCGAGACGAGACTGGATGACGTCAGTGACGACGAGCGCGAGAGACAGAGGCAGATGCCCCGGAATCCGAAGAAGCGAATGATGTAGGCCGTGACGAGAGTCGACGCCAGTGCCACTGTAACGTTGGGTAATCTACGGAGAAGGCATCAGACGCCAATGGTGCGATGAATCGACGCATTGATTGTGTTCCCTCGGGGCCACGCATGCCGTGCCAAAGTTGGACGCAACCCACCATGGTCGACTGAACACAGCATACCAACGCTCCAACGTATTCCAACGCCTGAATAATACAAATTCAGTCTTAGCCACAGTCTCCAAAGACATTCGAAGCTAGCGACGTGACTAAACACACCAGCAAGTAAAGGTGATAGCGATAAGAAGCTTATCGGTCATCAGATAAGATACCCCACAGTCGACTTTCCCGGCGGAAAGTCTTGTCCGCCGGGAAAAACATTCATATACCTGAGGTCCAGCAGCAGTCTGGAGGCCCGGCTGGCACAATTGATGCAATGCAGGACCAACGCCGCCCCTATCGCTCCCACAAGGTGCCCGCCTGCGATCGATGTCGCCGATTCAAGCGGCGCTGCACCGGCGGGACTCCAGATCGGCCTTGCGTGCTGTGCAACCTGCAGGACGTGCCCTGTCTCATCTCAGCCAGCCCCAAAGCCCAGACCGGAGCTCGTCGCTCGGCTAAGCGTGAACTGCGACGGGCTCAGTCTAAACCTGGCACGTCTCACGCCAACACGATTGGCAATGCTGCTGCACCGTCGCCGGCAGAAGACGTCGGACGGGAGAGCATCGGAACCGATTATCATGGCTCACCGGGCCAGGATCGCGCCAAAGTCGAGCTATCAATGGTTGCGAGTCCGGTCATCTCGGAGGATATCCAGATCCTGGAACGTTATATGTCTTCGAAGGCAACTAGCTCCGTGTCCGCCTCGGTCGAGGGAAGTCTCTCTCACGCGGCGGCTGCCAATCCAATGGTGTATATGAAAGTTCCCCGACGGAGAGAGGGACTTGCCATGTCAGAGAATCCGGGGAAACAGCAGAAGGAGATTCTACAGCAGATTATCAAACCGTATGCAGACGAATTGGTCAGACTGTAAGTAAAATAGCAGGCTGGTATATATGCACCACTAACGAAGCAGGGAAAAGGTACTTCGATGAGATTCACCCTGCCTTTCCAATCCTGGACCGTCAATCATTTCTGGAGCTGTATAGAAGTGGAGACAAGCTGTCTCCGGCGCTGACTTGCGAATTCTTTGCCCTGTCGCTGATCCTATGGCAACACTCGCCGACTCTTAAGCAATTCCCCAAGCCCGACTCGCGGTTTATCTGGAATCTCGCCGTGGAGGCCTTGCAGCAGGACTTCCTTGCACCTGGGCTGTCCACCATCTTTACCGTTGTCCTGGACATGATGGGCCGGCCCGTCTACTCCGTCCTGGGGAATACTATCAACAACGGCAGAGCGGTTACGCTGGCGCAGACGTTAGGGCTGAATCGTGATCCGACCAAATGGAAAAGACCGGCCAGTGAAAAGGCCCTGCGTATTAGGTTATGGTGGGCCGTCGTTATCCACGATCGATGGTGAGTTAATTCCCTGTTATACGCGTTCGTTTCTAACCCATTACAGGTCCAGCTTTGCCCATGGCATACCCCCGATTATCACCAAAGGCCAACACGACGTGCCCGTCCCTCTCCCTCTCGATATCCTCTCCGACGCAGATAAATCCGAAAAGCACGCCCGGGCTGCCGTATGCTTTATGCGTCTCTGCACCTTGACCAATATCCTCGGCGATGTCCTTCCGCTTGCGTATCATCTTGACGTGGACCAGAAACAAATCTGGCGACAAATCCGCCGATTGGAACTGGAGCTCTGCGAATGGGAGGATAATTTGCCCGGGTATCTTCAACCCACCGGCACCGACCAACCCCGGCCATCGGGATCGAGCAGTCTGCGACTTGGCTACCTTTCCGTCCGGCTGCTGCTCAACCGCATCGCTTTACACGTAAGTCTCTCCCCCCCGGTGTATTGAACTAAGCTAAGAGCCAAAAGGCAGCAACGCTATCCTCCGAAATCGACCGCTCCGAAAGCACCCGCTACCACCTGTCTCAGCTGCGCCGGTCCGCCCACGACATCGTCGAATACGTCTGCTCCTTGACGACGGCCCAGCTGCAAGAGTTCTGGCTCCCTTGTATGCATCCAGCCCCATCTCCACTAACAGACAACCTTTTACATCTAAAACCCAAAAGCAAGTCTAACAAGTCTAACGCATCCAGACACCGCCCACCACCTCATCCTCACCGTCATCATCCTCCTGCGCTGCACCGTCGAATCCACCGACAAAGCGATCGTCACGTCCTGCCGATCGAGTCTCTCGCGCCTGTGGACGAAACTCCACGACGCCGCCGAGCACGACGGCTGGGATCTCGCGAGCATCTGCATCAGCCAGTGCGATGAGTCGGTGTCCAAGATCCTGCAGAATGCATCTGACACGCGGGGCGTTCCGAAGGAGCAATACGTCGAGCCGCGGTCGCTGGAAGATCCGCAGGGTTCGGCGCCGGTGGATGCGTCGGTAGGGCTGGCGAGTGGCAGCGGTAGTGGTAATGGCATTGGCAATGGGCTGTCTGCGGATCTGTTGCCGGATATCCTGCCGTTCGCGAATCCGGATATCTCGTTCGATAACCAGTGGGATGTCGGGCCTTGGTATGGGCTGGGGTGGATGGATATCGATAATCTTTCGTATGAGGCGGTGAATCAGGGGTTGTTTATGTGATCAGCTGTGTATATCTATACAGATCGATTACGGAGTATTCCATCACCGTCAAGGCTGGTGTCCTACTAGGCGAGATCAGGATCCGTCTGCGTGAGCGACTCATCCTGCAGATTAAGTAAAAGGACTAAGCTCGAGTAAATAAAAACATACCCCAAGGGTCGCTCATTCCATAAAGTCATGGCGTACGTAATTCATGGCTCACGCCAAAAAGTGAGCTGATCTGCGGTCGTACAACCGATCGTATGATCCGTCTACACCCTATATGTCAACCACAACACCACCAACAAACTAAGTGACAATATACAATCTACCATTTTCAACCTACACCACACCCGAAACCAAGAACAAAACCAACCCAACCCAACCCCTTAAAAAATGACCCCCACAGCAATCATAGTCATCGGCTCCGGCCTCGCAGGCCTAACCACCACCGCGCACCTCCTCACGCACCGCATCCCCGTCCTCCTGCTCGAACGATGCCCCAAACCCGGCGGAAACAGCATCAAAGCCTCCAGCGGCATCAACGGCGCCCCGACGGCGTTCCAGCCCCCTGGGTCTGACTCCGTGGGGTCGTTCTACGCTGACACGGTGGCGTCCGCGGGAGAGGTGTTTCTGTCTGCGACGGGGGCGGAGAAATCTCGTCGGGAAGGTCTGGTTACGACGCTGACGGAGAGGTCGGCCGAGGGAGTGTCCTGGTTGAGTGAGATGGGGGTGGATTTGTCTCGTGTGGCGAGACTTGGGGGACATAGTGTTGCGAGGACGCATCGGGGAGGGGGGAAGGGGACGCCGGGGTATGAGATTGTGAAGGCGCTGCTGGGGAAGGTGGAAGGGGATGAGAGGTTCAAGATGGAGACGGGACGCAGGGTGACGAGGATCCTGCGCGAGACAGATGGCGCGGTGAATGGGGTCGAGTATACGACTGTCGACGAGGGCAATGAGACGGTGGAGCGGGCGTATGGCCCCGTGGTGGTGGCGACGGGGGGCTTTGCGGGCGATGCGCGCGGTCTGTTGGCGACGTATCGGCCGGATCTGGCGGGGATTCCGTCGACGAATGAGCCTCGTGAGGGCACGCAGCCGCTGCTGCAGGCGGTTGGGGCGGCGATGGTGGATATGGACTGCGTGCAGGTGCATCCGACGGGGTTTGTGGACGCGGCGCAGGCGGAGGCGACGGTGAAGATCCTGGCGGCAGAGGCGCTGCGGGGGGAGGGGGGTATTTTGGTGCTGGGGGATGGGAGGAGGTTTGTGAATGAGCTGGAGACGAGGGAGAAGGTGACGGGGGAAGTGATGCGGCAGGCGGAGCGGTTGTCGACGACGGCGACGCAGTGGGATACGAAGCTGGTGCTGGACGAGGGAGCTGCGGCGGCGCTGGAGTCGCATCTGGGGTTTTATATGTGGAAGAAGCTGATCGAAAAGACGACAGTGGGCGAGCTGATGGCGGAGATGCCGGCGTTGGAGAGCACGTTGCGCGAGTATGTGGACGTGGTATCGGGCAGGGAGAAGGATCGCTTTGGCCGCGAGTCGTTTGGGAACTGGACGCTGGCCGAGGTGAAGCCCGAGTCGGTGGTCTACGTGGGCAAAGTGACGCCGGTGGTGCATTTCACCATGGGAGGCGCCGTCATCAACGAGCGCAGTCAGGTTTTGGACGAGCAGGGCCGTCCGATCCCTGGTCTCTGGGCGGCGGGCGAGATCACCGGAGGACTGCACGGTCAGAATCGCCTGGGAGGATCGTCGCTGCTGGAGTGTGTCGTCTTCGGCCGCATCGCCGGAGATGAAGCCGTCGCCTTCTATCGGGGGTTGCAGGGTGAGGGATCTACGTGTGCAGGACACGACGATCTATAGATCGATTGACAGAATGATATGTCCATGGATCATTGAGAGCCATCCGACTAGGTAGAATATCCGGGGATATGCACTCTCGGCTGAAATACTCTCTATCTCATTACGAGTACGAATGATGCTGAAGATGATTCACGGGTAAACCCCGGATTCCCCGCAGATCGTCCATTTATCCTGAAGCCATTTAGCCGGCTTCATTTCTGTGAATATCCCTGTAGATGAAAGGACTCTCTGCCATCCCCTCAATTAACCCCCCCGCATTAATATCGACAGCCCGGTATAAAATGCCTTCATTCCCCCCAATGCCTGATGGTCCATTCTCGTCCAACGAATATGTATATACTTCTAGCCCTATCCCTCCTGGCCATGGCAGCCTCCAGCCTGTCTCACCCTGTGAAGGACGCCCCCTACACCAACCCCATCCTGGGCGGCTGGCACTCCGACCCATCGTGCATCTACGTCGCCGACCACGACACCTCCTTCTGCGTGACCTCCACCTTCATCGCCTTCCCCGGTCTCCCCATCTACGCCTCCAAGGACCTCCAGAACTGGAAACACGTCAGCAACGTCTTCAACCGGCCCAGCCAGATCCCCTCCCTCGCCGACACCGTCGGCCAGCAGGGCGGCATCTACGCGCCCACGCTCCGCTACCACGGTGGGAAGTTCTACCTCGTCGTCTCGTTCCTCGGCCCCGAGACCATCGGCCTCGTCTTCACCTCCACCAACCCCTTCGATGACAACTCGTGGTCCGAACCCATCCAGTTCCCCGTCCTCGGCATCGACCCGGACCTCTTCTGGGACGACGACGGGACCCTCTATGTTACATCCTCGGACAACGGCATCCGCTCATACTCCCTGGACCTGAACACGGGAACCACCGGCCCCGTATCCACCCTCTGGAACGGCACGGGCGGCGTCTACCCCGAGGGTCCGCACCTCTACCGCAAAGACGGCTACTACTACCTCATGATCGCGGAGGGCGGCACCGAGCTGGGCCACGCCGAGACCATGGCGCGGTCCAAGCACCGCACCGGGCCCTGGGAGCCCTGTCCGTCGAACCCGCTGCTCTCGAACAAGGGCACGACTCAGTACTTCCAGACCGTGGGGCACGCGGACCTGTTCCAGGACGGGGCCGGGAACTGGTGGGCGGCGGCGCTGAGTACGCGGTCTGGACCTGACTGGGCGAACTATCCCATGGGGCGAGAGACGGTGTTGGTCCCGGCGACGTGGGACGAGGGGGAGTGGCCGGTTCTGCAGCCTGTGAGGGGCAGGATGCGAGGGCCCTTGCCGCGGGCAGATCGGGGTGGGTTGGAGGGGAAAGGGAGAGGTGTGTTTGCGGGGAGTCCGGATAGAGTGGATTTCAGGCCGGGGGAGTCTCTGCCCGCGCATTTTCTGTATTGGCGGTTTCCGAAGGACGGGATGTTCAGTGTCTCGCCGAGAGGGCATCCGAATACCCTGCGCGTGAACCCGTCGTTCCATAATCTGACGGGTGGCGAGGACTGGAAGGCCTCGGATGGGATCAGTCTGGTTATGCGGCGGCAGACGGATACGTTGTTCACGTATGGCGTCGACGTGGAGTTTGCGCCGAAGGTCGACGACGAGGAGGCTGGGGTGACGCTGTTCCTGACGCAGGATCAGCATGTGGATCTGGGGATTGTGCTGCTGCGGACAGAGGGTAAGACGTCGCTGTCGTTCCGGTTCCGGGCTACTGGGAAGGGGAATTTCAAGGGGACGCTGGAGACGGAGGTTGTCCCTGTTCCGAGGGAGTGGAAGCATGAATCTATCAGGTTGGAGATCCAGGCTGTGAGCGATACGAAGTATACGTTCTCGGCGGCAGCTGGGGAGAAGAGGAAGGTCATTGGGAGTGTGGATTCGTTGGTGGTGAGTGGGGATACGGGGAGGTTTACAGGTGAGTCTTTACTCTTTAGCGTATTTTCAGGGATTGTGCTAATGGTGCAGGTACTCTGGTCGGGGCGTATGCGACGAGTAATGGGGGAAAGGGGACGACGCCGGCGTACTTCAGTAAATGGCGGTACCAGGGACAGGGCCAGAAGATCGATCATGATGTGATCGTACGTGCAGATTAGGAGGACAGGTAAGTATAAGGTGACTGATGCAATCATGAATGAAGTTGATATAAGAGCTATACGGACATATTTATGGTCACCAAATCATCGAATATAGTCAGTCCCAGTAAACAGATTGATAAGTAAAGATTAGTTACAACCGAACTGCCAGGATTCGAGAAAAAGCAATAAAGATAAATCACCACCACAACCACCCCTTCCCTTTCCCCTTCCCCTTCTTCCCACCATCCACATCCTTCCCATCTCCATCTGCATCCCCATTCCCTCCCCTCTCTCCCCCCTCATCCTCCCTCCCCTCCTCCTGCATCGCATTCTCCTTCTCCTCCGCCAACCTCACCGTCTCCTCCACAACCAACAAATCCCTCTCAATCAACTCCGCCCAATTCTGCACGTCCCCGATCTCCTTGAGCCCGTCGCGCGCCTGATCCGCCACCTTCGCCCACCCGTCGTTCTGCTTCCGCAGCGCCTCCGTCGTCCGCTGCAGCTCGGTCTCCTGTCGCGAGAGCGCGGACGCGTTGGCGTGTAGCGTGCGCGCGCGGTCGCGGATCTGCGTCTCGTGGTTTTCGCCCACCGAGCGCAGCGTCGCGGTGAATGCGGTTTTGGCTTCGAGGGTTTCTTTGCTTTGGTTTGAGGGTTCGGGGGAGGGTTGGTGTTGGTGTTGGGGTTCTTGGGTTGCGGGGGGTTGGAGGGGGTGGAGGTGGGGAGGGAGGAGGATGAGGGGATGGGGTCGGTGTCTGTGGTTGTTGGGTAGGAACTTGGGATGGAAGACATGTTGAGATGAATATAGATGGTGTGAGATAAGATGATGAAAGATGGATGGATGAAGGCTTATATATTCGGGATCAGATGACCCCGCGCTAATGCATCGCATCTTCTGTACTCTACTTCTACTTCTACTCAGTAATTCTACTCAGTAATTCTACTCAGTACTCTACTTCTACATACATGAATCCAGTCAATCTCTTACACTATTACATTCGTAACGCTAGATGCTGCTCCTATCCCGCAACGCCATGCATGCCCCAGCACTCTCCAGCTGCTCTCGGGCGCAAATAGATGTATTAAATGTCGCTGTGCACGCAAAAAATAAGAAAAAAAAAAAAATACACTACATACTGGCCAGCTCTTGGTCAATCTGCCGATCCAGGAACGCCCGCTTGTCGCCCGTCAACGTCGTCTGGAGTCGCTGCTCGACCAGTGCTCGAACTATCAAATATTAGTACTCGATCGAACCCTCTAATCGCAGGCTACTTACCTTGCTTCTTCGTCACCGTGTCCAAATCCACCTCCGCCAAACACCCCCGGATCGCCTCCGTGATCGTCATCTCGTCAGGCCCGCCGGTGCTGCCGCGGAAGTCAAACGCGCTCTGCGGCCGCGACTGGAACCCGCCGACCGGGCTGCGAGAGTTGGGCCGAGCAGTCAAGAGGTTGTCCGTGCTCTGCATCAATCCCACGCTGTGTCGGTTCGTGCTCATGCCGCTCTCGTGGAACTGACTGAGATTGCCCATCGACTGTCGCGGCGTGTGCTGTCCCTGCAGCGGCATGTCGGTGTATCGGCTGAAGCTGGACATGTGCGAGCTGCGGTTGCCCGGGATGTTGCCGCCGAACGGAGCCGGCGACTGCGGCGGCATGTAGGGGTTGCCGCTGCGGCCCTGTCCGTGGAATCCCGTCAGGATCGTCGACGCCGGCTTGACGGACGAGTAGTTGGAGTGCATGTCATCCATCTCCATGGCCATGTCGTCCATGTACCGGCCGCCATACACCTTCTCCTGGCTCATGCTGTAGTCTCCACGGCGGCCCGGCAGGTTGTTGGCGAGAGCGTAGTCGTCCCAGCGCTGCAGCGGAATGCTGCGCGGGTCAAACACCTCGTCCTCCACCGCGACCACCCGCTTGGATCCCTTCTCCCCGATAACCACACGCGTGTTTCCCCAACTGAAATCGTCCTGCTTCCAGAACGAGTACAGCGGCAGAATGAAGTTGTACACCGGGTAGGCACAGATGTAGATGATCATCCATCCAATGTGCTGCCACTGTCGCTTCAGGATGAAAATGATGGCCTGGAGACCATACACACCGGCCAGAATACAGATGGAAATCAGCGGCAACGGGCCGGTGTGACTGGCCACACGGTAGATCAGGTATCCCAGGTAGACGCAGGTCGCCGGAAGAATCACCGTTCCGATCAGATCGACCAGCACGACGAAACGCATACTGAAACAGCAGAAACCGCAGAGATCACTCAGAGCTGCCAACTCCACCAGGTTATGGATGGTCGAGTTGATCCACCGACGTCGCTGCGAGAGCAGCACACTCCACGTCTCGGGCACCGCAGTACTGGCATAGGCATCCGGAATGAACTTGTACGACATGGTCGGGAAGTGCTTCGTCATCAACGTAGTCAACCAACGATCTTCTCCCAGGGAGAGCAGGTTCTTCTTGTGCAGGGTGTCCACATTGATATCAGCATACTCTTGGACCAGTTTATCTGCCACGATCAGAGGGCGACCCTTGTCCGCAGTCCGGAGACGATACATGCAGAAACTAGATAAATTAGTGGAATGTTATCGGATCGGGGTGTTTGTAGTAAGACTCACCATCCAGGAAGACAGGTCACACTGCCAAATAGAGATTCGAATGCCTTGGAAAGGTGGTGAGAGATATAGTACTCGTACACTTGAATCATCGTCCACCAACTGCGGTTCTCGTTCTGTAGACTGGTCTCACCGCAGATACCAGCAATGCGGGCATCGTTGGCACAGGCAGCAACTAAACGGTTGAGGGAATCTTCTCGAACACTGGTATCGGCATCCACCATGAGACAGTACTCGTACAGCTCGGGGTCAACACCGATCACGTTGTTGATCTGATGGAAGATCTCCAGTTCGAGAGGCGACATCGGAGCGCGGTGGTGCACGCGGTTGAGGAAACTGAGCAGCTGGATCTGAGAGTCACGCTTACCCCGGTTGCCGGGCTTGGATTTGCTCTGCTCGGACTCCTTTCCAACCTTGACCACGACGACGTACGGCACGACGTTACCCTCGTACTCGTACAGGCCGGAGTAGACCTTGCCGTAGTTCAGTTGATCACTTCCCTGTCCAATAGACTTGAACGGCAGCGCAGGGGGATCGATCTTGGGGTCAACTCCAAGGATGTCCAGCACGATCTTAGGCGTGGGTCGGTCGTTACCGCCACCAACAATCATACCGTCACAGATCACGTAGATGAGCTTCCTCTTGTTGTCATACTGAAGAGCCGTCAAAGAGTCAAGACCTTGGCGCAGCGCATCCTCACCCTCCGTGTAGGCGGGCACAAGGCAGATGACGAACTTGTCCTGCGGGGCGGGACGACGCTTGGTTCCAAGCTGGAGTGCAGCCAAGAATTTGACTAGAATGACAGCACAGATCAAGCAGGTAAATGCCAGCAGAATCCAGTTGTTGACTGTGCACTTCGGCTCGTCACGGAAGTCCGTGATTCCCTTTTTAAAGACATAATCAAGACACTTTTGAGCATCCTGTGCATCGTTCGACGTTGGCCATTTGCTTGTGACATCCTCACCAGCATTGTTTTTGAACAACTCCGTAATGCTGCTTGGGAGGAAGCTGTAATCGTCGCCGTTGTTCATCCGCTTCAAGGTGTAGAAGTAGTCGGTCAAATCGTAGATGGTCTTGTCCTTGATCACCCAGTAACGCGAATCGGAATCGGCTTGCTTAGAAACCACGCTCTTCTTCCACACCAGGTCTCCCTTGTAGTACTCCTTGATCTTCGGCAAGAACCTCTTCTCATACCAGGTGATGCTGTGCAACTTGGTGTCTGGGTCTGGCTGGTTTCGAGGACCGCAGTCATGTTTGGCATTGGCATACTGGACGGCATCGGTCTTGTTGTACTGCAGAGTGATCGACTCATCGGTGACGAAAGGATCGCAGAAACGGGTCAGCGGAGGGGGGAAATACGGATCCATTATCTGTCCCATGAACGGCTCCATGTTCGACGACGTAGTTTCAATGTTGGAATCACTGTGCTGCTGTTTCGCGAATTTGCTGATATCGTAGACCTTGCCGTGAATACTGACGTAAAAGTCGTTGCTGCCTTGATGATAGCCCAGTTCTTTCTCGTTCCAGGCCTTGTCCTTGTTCGGGCAGAGCAGATCACCGAAAGCCATGATATAGAAGCAGACAACTGCGTTGAAAAGGAGAATGAGGAAAACGAGCACCAACTTCTCTCGCCATGCCATACGCACATCAGGGCGTTTCATTCGGCCAATATACTTGAGGGCAGGGGAGGGGATCCAAAACGTCATAGCCCAGACAAACCCGACCCAGACACGTCGACCCAAGGTCATCTCCTGGTTCTCAATATGATGCGGCTGGCCGATCTCGGGGTCCATTTCGCCGTTATAGTACGGGTTGTCCCATTTCTTTTCATCTCCCTTGGAGCCCAATCCGTAGTCACCGCCCATGTTGAGGGTTTGCGGCACGCTGGGTGCAATCGACTTGGCACCCCCGCCAACACTGGGAGCGAGCATGCTTTGTCGTTGCAGAAGATTGTCCCGGCTTCCGAGCAGGCTGGTCGACTCGGCCATGGGGGTGTTTCCATATGAGGGAACCCCAGCGTCGAGCATACTGGATCCGTACATGAAAGGATTCACCGCCGGCGACTCGTCGGGCTTCATGTCGAGCATGGTTTCGGCTTCCCACCACGCGTTTTCTCTCATCCAGATTCGTTGATGGCCGACCACCGCGTCGCCGTTGGTCCATCCTCTTTCGAGGATCCAGTTCTCGACGCCATCCTTACCCTCTGCGCAACCAAGTCGGGCATATCGGCCGATGAACTCATCCACGTCGAAATCGGCCGTGAAGTCGAGCTGCTTGAGACGCCGGTTGGCCCATTCGCTCAGTCGCCACTCGCGGATCTGACGCGACACCGCGCCCGCCGCCCAGGCCGCAGAAGCGGGCATGGAAGCCAAGGCTTCGGGCAATTCATCAGTTGGGTGGATGGAAATGTGATGCCAAACACGACTGCTGCCGAGAACGGTCGCAAGGTCGAAACGGCCCCTCTGGCCGACCGTGATTCCCTCGGATTCCACGGGGAGGAGAAGCTGACGGAGAAAAGCGTCTGCCTCAACCTCAAGACTCACTTTCTCCAATACTTCCTGTCGCTTGTCAACGTCGTATTCGCGTTCGCGCCAGGCGACCCCCGTTGTGATCCCGAGATCCGCTTCGACCTGAGACACGGCCGCAGTCGTCTCGTTTACCACAGCATGTCCGACAAAAGGTGTCGGAACTCCGTCCTCTTTCATTTCCGCGTTGATCCCCAGTTCATCATCAAAAACCCCTCTCATGGCTACCGCCTTACCGAGAGCAGGCCTGGGGATATCGACAACAGTGATGCTTACGGTGTCATCGTCGGCAGCATGACCCGAACCACTGCTGCTGGGGTCATTTTCGTGGATGGACTGGATCTCATTCGCAATGGCCTCGTTGGCTTTGCCGATCACCCAATCAACCAAAGCCTCGTAGACACCGGTGATAAGGAATCCTCGGTCGTCGGTCGAGCATTTGTGAAGAAGAACTTCAGGATCCAGTCCCAGCAAGCCCCCAACATCCTCGCAAGCTTCCTCAAGGTCTTCCTGATCAACCAAGAAGCCCACGGCGTTGCCGAGCTTGAGCAGACCGGCAAGCACCGAAAGCAGGCCACGCTGAGCGGCGCCCTTAATTCCAATCGCCTTCAGCGCAGCGCGGAAGTCCTCGGCAGAGGCAGCATCGTCCGCGGTGGGAAGGTATGAAGGAGGGGAGTAAGTGCCCGATTTACTGAGCAACGCATACGCGGAGGGTTCCTTCAAATCCAGGAACTCCCGCTCCGCCGGCGTCGACGCCGCCGTCAAAAGATAATAAAATACATCGAACGCACGGTACCCCGGCTCCGAGGGGATGTCGAGGAAGCCCTTCTGAACATTGATGCCCGATGTCGAAAGCGCCAACGAGAGCCCCGTGATATCGCCCTTCAGAGTCAGAGTGTAGCACGCGGAGAAAGCGGAGTATAGAGAGTAGGACGGATTAAAGGAAGTTACAGCGGAGAAAAAGGGTCGCAAAGCGGCGAGAGCGGTAAACGTGATGCTGGGCGTGGAGAGAGGCAATGCGGTGAGGAACGGCTCCAGAAGAGACGGAGTCGATTGGTGAGTCGAGCTGGAGGTTGTTTGTCAGTACACAAAGCGACACCGGACGAATCCCCCAATACGAACCTTAGGACGATGCAGCCATCCTCTGCTCTTCTCCTCGCATGTTCCCATGCTCGAACGGGCAATTCCCGATCAATGATGCCACCCTCGTGACCCTCCGGACTTGGCTGAGTCGCAGTAACCCAGGTATTGACCGCCAGACTGGTACCTGCGTCGAGCTGATACGACTGTCCGGAGTTGTAATATGCGTGCAACGCATTCAACAGCGTCGTTGTTGACATCTGAGCGCCTGACTGGGGGGCAGGACGGGCGCCCGACAAGCCAGCCGAATGGCTGGAGTAGACTGAGTAGCGATTCGACATGGTGTGATTTCGTCACGCAACGCAACAAATTAAACGACCGTGATGGCAAGGTGCCCTCCCGGTGATGGGAATTCAACCTGCTGGAAAAACACAATGAGTATGCAGATTGGGTGGGGGTCAGAGGTGAGGTTGTTCACAGTTCAAAGTTGACGGTCGAAGAATCGATGCATCCGAACTATCGTTTTCTTTCTCGCTTTGACCAGGTCGGACCTTAAACCCTTCTCGAAGAGGAAAGTGGGATGATGTTCGAGATGCGGAATGGAAGAGCGGTCGCCTTCACGGGCCTGGTTGGAATCTCGTTGGACGGGGAGGAAGCGAGTGGCAGGAATGTGGGCGAAAGTAGCGAGCGCGAGGTCGAGGCGATTGCTGCAAATAGGGTGGGATTATCCCAGAGCGAGCGACAGACGAGAATAATCAAATTAATACGGGGAGATTGGTTGATAAACCAAAAAACGAAAGAAGATGGTAGGGAGGCAGGATGAAAAATCCAAAAGCACAGCTCCAGCGATCACAACAGAAAGAAAAAGCACAGCAAAAACCAAAACAACGGAGGCTGACGATTGCCGGGTGGATGATAGTCAGGAAAAGAAGAGGCGAGCGACTCAGTCTTTGGCGGCATCCAATCCCCAGTAGCTTAACTGCTTGGGGTTTAGAACCGGCCAGGACACGCCCGTACGAAAATTACCGGGGCGGCCGTTTTGGAAAAAGTCCCTTTGTCTGGCGGCGGTATGGAGGATCCGTGCTACGACGGCCACTCCCTCGGCCGGACTTAACTGCGATTTGATTGAGACCCGAACTGATTAGGAATAGCCAGAACCTACTACATTAGCTCTCCACTAGCCGGGCTGGACTAGTGGATTTACAAAGAGTTCAGAATATTCGGTCTGTAGGCCGGAGTAGGAGTAAGTTCTTGCCAGTTGTATCAGATATAGCAAGCCACCGCAGTCTTAATAAATGCTGTAAATTTCGACCGACTGGTTCGAATCCGGGACATAAATTGTATACGAAGTAAATTTGCTCCGTTTGTTTGTTTGCCTTTTTTTTTTTTTTTTTTTTTTTTTTTTCTGGTGGCTGTATGAACCTGTCAGGTGGCGCACATCAAACCTTTCGGGCCAGCCAATCAGCGCAGCCAACCCGGTCAGATCCATGGCCCTAGACCCTGGCCGACCCTATAATTGGCACACTTTGTCTCACCCGCACTAACCCAAACCCTCCATAACACATTTTCTCGTCAACGGGACAGCTCTTGTCTCAGTCCACAGCAAGTCACCCCCCAACTTGCCACCATGTCAAGATTTACCGCGTTGCTGTTGGTGGTGTTCTTCTTTAATGCACTTCTATTTCCGGAGTCTCTAAGAATGGAAGTTGTCATATGGTTAGTGGCCAGTAATGCAATATGTATGCATCCTTCTGCGTTGGCCTCCCCTTTGATGTGGTTATTTTTAATTCTTCGCCCTTCCCCTAGCAGGGTCTGGCCGGGTTCTATGAATGTCGTTCTGCAGAACATGGCCCGTACAGGACATGGCATGGATAGCGTCGTGTAAATTTCAACTGAGGTTTTTTTTTTTTTTTTTTTTTTTTTTTAATATATATATAATTACCTATTATGTATTATGTAGTACGGAGACAACCTGATAGGTAGGTACCTGTGTCGCACGGAGTAGGAGTCTTCTAAATGCGTTGGGACCCCGAACATTGGCGCTCTTGCCACCTGTTGGGTTTTCTATCTGAACGGACGGGCGAGTCGATCGCATGGAAAGAAATCCAACTGCATTCCACCGCCTTCCAGGGTGGATGAGAATGAAATGGAATGGAAGCACCTCCCACTGATAACCGCCCCCCACTTGGAGAGCCCCTAGTTTCAGGCCTTTCCCGTTCGGACGTCACAGATCGAATGATCGGGTCCACCGCCGCAAATTCTCTCCTCCAGTCCTCCCCCTTCGAGTCGTCTGGTTCCCCCTCAAATCGCTCCCTCCTGCTCGATATGGTGTTTCCGACGTCGGGGCGACGCAATCGATCTTCAACGTACTTATGACATGTCCCGCGTAGGAAGGGACACCGTGTTGCCTCTTGGGCACGACCCTTGTTCGTACGGAATAGGTTCATAGGTACATCATTCGTAACTTCATAAAGATGGAATGGGAAGGATGACTCTCTCCTTGATAGGGGCTCCCGGTAGTCATTCGAACCGTCCCGAGTAAGCATTTGCCATTTATATGGACCTCCTCGCGACGTACGGACAATACGGTGACCCCCCTGAGGGGATCGATTAAGGCCGACTATTTCGAATCTGCGCAAGTGGCGTTGAATGATTGACATAAAATTGGCGGAATCGGTTCGTCCATTGGTCAGCAATTCCCGTCTCGCAGGCGGTATTTTAAATCCCATTCTTTTATCTGAGACGGGCCCTCGGGAGGTAATTTTGGTTTCACTTGGGGCATCACAAGCAACGGGGCTATTAATAAATGTAAACGGAGGATGGACGGTTCGACCGACCGGGAGAGACGATCCCCACTCCGGTGGAGGTCCTCGGTTGCCCAAACCTCATGACGAATGATCCCCCCGTTTCAATCTACGTCGTACGGGATACTGATATTAACCCCTGCACTCACAATCCGCTGGTTGCCATCCCGAAATTCAATTCGAGTGGGTGACTGCAGCAACTGCAGCAGCTGCAATGCAGAGCAGCGTAAACAGAGACGACCGGATTTCGCGCTGGACTGGGTGTACCTCAGGTACCTTTGGGGTACATCCATGGACGGGTTGGCCGCCCATTGATACCGCCCGCTCGGAAAGATCCAGGAACTAGTAATTTGCAAAGCGGTCAATACCGAACCACGGCACTGCCCACCCGTGCAATACACACTTACCCGGTCGGGAAAGCAGAGCGTCTTTTTGCCCCGGAGCTGCCATTCATCTCTTGTTGTTGTGTCTCCTCTGCGAACTTTCTTTTTTCCATTTCCTCCCATCATCTTCCCATCCTCGTCGTCGTCTTCATCTTTTGCGTGTTGTCTGTTCTGCTTGTACTTTAATGATTACAGCGTCAACTCTCGTTTAACTCGACCTAATCTCTGTACACGATCGCTTTACCGTTAATTTAGATCCACACGCCCCCATCGTCTCTCGCTTTTTGTCTTTTTTTCCGGGACTTTGGCTGTTTCAAATCACATCGATCCGCTCAGTCCTCAGGTAATCAGTTGTTATCTACGGCAATTTCCCTGTTCGACGATCAGCTCGCCTATCCCCTCGTCGTGCAAGCAATGTTCTCGTCGCCCCTCGGCTGCTAGGAATTCCCCGTCCAACATTCGCAGCCCGAACCACCGCATTCCCAAATCCGAAAGTAGTCTGCCGTCAGTCACATTATCTGTTGATTCTGTCCGGTTCCAGGTCATCTTCATTCGAGGGCGGTCGCAACCCGATTCCTGAACCTCCTGGGAAATCCCCTGTGTCGAGGGCTTCGACACCACCAGCAAGATGGTGGGACACTCACCGGCGGGAACGACCCCGACCCACGCGCAGTCTTCGCTGCCTTCTTTGCCGTCGCATTTGCAGTCGGACACGCATTTGACGGCGCATCTTGCCAGCCGGTATGCTTCCTATCTTGCTTTTCAGATACAAGATAAATAACTGACTGGGCTTTTTTTTTGTGCAGATTCCATGTCGGATTGCCCACTGCTCGCCTGTCTTCGCAAGGATTGATCAGCTTTAATACATACACTTCGTCGTCGAAAGGTCCCGATGGCGCCAAAGAGGGTAGTGCCATGGGCGAGGTCGAGGACCTCGCTCGGCGTGCCTTCACCCGTCTTGGAACTCGCGGCGAGAACCAGGCAATTGTTTTTCTGTAAGTGTTGATGGTCGACATCTCTATTTGACTTAGATGGGACTAATTTCCTCCAGAGGAGAGAGTGGATCAGGAAAAACTACGATTCGTGCCCACGCGCTGTCGGCGTTCCTTTCGTTTTCATCGACTCCCTTGTCGTCGAAACTGTCATACGCAGCTTTTGTCTTCGACACTCTGACCACCACCAAATCCCTGACAACGCCAACCGCATCGAAGGCCGGCCTTTTCCTGGAATTACAATATGATGGATCGACCTCCGTCAATCCTACCTTGATTGGTGGTAAGATTATCGACCACAGGCTCGAACGGAGTCGTATTGCCTCGGTTCCTACCGGCGAGCGAAGTTTCCATGCGCTCTACTATCTCCTGGCCGGCACAAGCGCCGCGGAGAAGGGTCATCTGGGGTTTGACAGTCCCGTGCATGTTTCCACGGGCAACAAACTCTCGTCGCCGTCCATAGGCCACAAACGATGGAGATACCTGGGTCATCCAACGCAGCTGAAGGTGGGCATCAACGATGCCGATGGATTCCAGCATTTTAAGACGGCTCTGCGGAAATTAGAGTTCCCTAGGAGCGAAATCGCCGAAATCTGTCAGCTCCTTGCCGCGATCCTGCACATTGGACAGTTGGACTTCATCAGCGGACAGGCCACCACTACCTCTGCCGAGGAATCTGGCGGGTATTCTCACGAAGGTGGCGAAACCGTCACGATGGTGAAAAATAAGGATGTGCTGTCGATTGTCGCTGCGTTCTTAGGTCTTGGTGTCGAGGAGCTTGAAAACAGCTTTGGATACCGAACGAAGACGATCCACCGAGAGCGAGTGACGGTGATGCTCGACCCGAAAGGAGCTCGTCAGAACGCGGATGAGCTCGCACGCACTATCTACGCTCTCATGGTCGCCTATGTTATTGAGACCGTCAACCAGAGGATTTGCGCCGCCGAGGACAGCGTTTCTAACACCGTCTCCATCGTTGACTTCCCCGGATTTGCCCAAGCCTGTTCTACAGGTTCCACCCTGGATCAGCTTCTTAGCAACGCGGCCACCGAGTCGTTGTACAACTTCTGCCTGCAATCCTTCTTCGACGGCAAGGCCGATATGCTGGAACGCGAGGAAGTCGTCGTGCCTGCAACAAGTTACTTTGACAACACCGATGCCGTGCGCGGCTTGCTGAAGCAAGGTAACGGGCTTCTCAGCATCCTCGACGATCAGACGAAGCGCGGAAGGACCGACGCCCAGTTTTGCGAGTCTCTGCGGAAGCGATTCGAGAACAAAAACCCGGCCATTACGGTCAGCGCCTCCAATGGAACCGGTTATGTCTCCCAGGGAGCACGCTCGGCTTTTACTGTGAAGCATTTTGCAGGTGAGGTCGATTATTCTGCCGACGGTTTGATCGAAGAGAACGGTGAAGTCGTTTCGGGCGATCTCATGAACCTCATGAGATCCACCAGAAGTGATTTCGTGAGAGAACTCTTTGGTCAAGAGGCGCTGCAGACAGTGACACACCCGAAGGAGAAAACCGCCATCATGCAGGCGCAGGTGAGCTCGAAGCCAATGCGAATGCCAAGTATGGCAAGGCGAAAGACGAGTCCCGCCGCTCGACTGGCATTCGATGCACCCGTTGCCGAAGAGCAGGACGATTACGCGAGCCAAGTTGGCAGCACTAAGAATTCCAAGGGTAATCGGAAGAGCACAATGCTTGCCCATGGTATGCAGGGTGCCGCGGGCCAGTTCCTTTCCTCGCTTGATATTGTCAACAAATGTCTCAGCTCGGCCAACGTCAACCCGTACTTCATCTTCTGTTTGAAGCCAAATGACCGCCGAATTGCCAACCAGTTCGATAGCAAATGTGTGCGCGCACAGGTGCAGACATTTGGCATCGCTGAGATCAGCCAACGTCTCAGAAATGCGGACTTCAGCGTTTTCCTTCCCTTTGCGGAATTCCTTGGTTTGGCTGAGATCGGTAACGTCGTGGTTGGAAGCGATAAGGAGAAGTCCGAGGTTGTCTTGGATGAGAAGCGGTGGCCCGGAAACGAAGCTCGAGTTGGCAGCACGGGTGTTTTCCTTAGCGAACGCTGCTGGGCAGATCTTGCAAAGGTTGGAGAGCGCGTCGTTCCTGTTTATCCCGCCGAGGGATCAGATGAGGGCGGCGATGGATTGCTCCATCCTCGGACAGCTGGCTACACGGACTCCAAAGTTCGCCTTCTCAATCCGGCCGACCAGTCGCCCGGCACCTATATTTACGGCGATGACAACAAACAGGGATACTTCGGTAGCCGCGATCTGGATGGACGCTCCGACGCTGGCGGTTCTGCCTTCAATTCGGGCGACATGTTCCGCAATTTGGAAACCAGGGAGCAAATGCTGGAAAAAGGAAATGAGAAAAAAATGGAGGAGGTTGATGAGACGCCTGTCTCCGGCAGCCGCAAGCGCTGGATGGCGATCGTCTATTTCCTTACCTTCTATATACCCGACTGGTCAATCAAGGTTTTCGGCCGGATGAAACGGAAGGATGTGCGGATCGCCTGGCGCGAAAAATTCGCTATCAACTTGATCATCTGGTTCAGCTGTGCTCTCGCTATTTTCATCGTCGTCGGTTTCCCCGGTCTGATCTGCCCCACACAGCATGTCTATTCAGCTGAGGAGTTACAATCGCACGATGGCAAAGATGGTCATAGTTCTTTCATTGCTATTCGCGGAGTGGTCTTGGACCTGGACAAATTCATGCCCTCTCATTATCCCGATATCGTGCCGCAGTCAGCATTGAAAAAGTATGCGGGTGTCGACGCGACTGGTCTCTTCCCGGTGCAAGTGTCAGCTCTCTGCCAGGGCAAGTCTGGCAAGGTTGACCCGACGGTGCTCCTGGATTACAAGCCGACCAACGTGTCTGGCTCGGCCACCACGATCAGCACTGGCGACGCCAACGCCAAGTACCATGATTTCCGCCATTTCACGAACGACTCGCGTCCAGATTGGTTCTACGAACAGATGCTGATGCTGAAGTCGAATTACAAAAAGGGGTACATTGGCTACAGTCAGCAGTATTTGAATACCTTGGCCGACAAGAAGTCGAAATCGATCGGAAGCATCAACGGCAAGATCTACGATTTGACGGACTATGTTGCTGGAGGTCGAAGAACGCAGGCTCCTGCCGGTGAAGAGGTTCCGTCTGGTGTTGACCGTGACTTTATGGACCCCCAGGTGGTGCAGCTGTTCCAGCAACTGTCTGGTAAGGACATCACGAAATACTGGGAGAACCTTAACATCAACGACGGTCTCCGGAGCCGGATGCAGCTCTGCCTGGACAATCTCTTCTTCGTCGGCCATGTCGATACCCGTAATTCGCCTCAGTGTCAGTTCTCGAACTATTTCCTCCTCGCCATTTCGATCTTTATTTGTGTGGTCGTTCTCTCCAAGTTTTTGGCGGCGCTTCAATTCGGCAAGAAGAATATTCCGGAGAACCTTGATAAGTTCATCATCTGTCAGGTCCCCGCTTATACTGAAGATGAGGAGTCTCTTCGTCGTGCTATCGACTCCATGGCTCGCATGCAATATGACGATAAGCGCAAGCTCTTGCTCGTCGTCTGTGATGGTATGATTATTGGTCAAGGTAACGACCGTCCTACTCCTCGAATCGTCTTGGACATTCTAGGTGTTCCCGAGTCAGTGGACCCTGAACCGCTCAGCTGCGAGGGTTTGGGCGAAGGCTTGAAACAACACAACATGGCCAAGATTTATTCTGGTCTGTATGAAGTGCAGGGTCACATCGTTCCTTTCCTGGTTGTCGTCAAGGTCGGAAAACCCTCGGAAGTATCGCGCCCTGGTAACCGAGGAAAACGAGACTCCCAGATGGTTTTCATGCGATTCTTGAACCGCATCCATTACAACCTGCCCATGAGTCCGATGGAATTGGAGATGCATCATCAGATACGCAACGTCATAGGTGTCAATCCGACATTCTACGAATTCATCCTACAGGTCGATGCCGATACGGTCGTTGCTCCTGATGCAGCTACTCGAATGGTGGCACCGTTCCTGGCCGATACTCGCATCATTGGTGTCTGTGGAGAAACGGCGTTGACCAACGCGAAGACGTCCGCGGTGACCATGATCCAGGTCTACGAATACTACATTTCCCACAACCTCATCAAGGCCTTTGAGAGTCTGTTCGGTTCCGTCACATGTATGCCCGGTTGTTTCTCCATGTACCGCATTCGTTCCGCCGAAGCCGCGAAGCCGCTCTTCGTTAGCCACGAGATTGTAGATGCCTACTCCGAGATTCGCGTCGATACACTTCACATGAAGAATCTGCTGCACCTGGGTGAGGATCGTTATCTAACGACCCTTCTCTTGAAACATCATCCCAAGTACAAGACCAAGTTCATCTTCAGTGCCAGAGCCTGGACTATTGCTCCCGAGAGTTGGGCTGTGTTCTTGTCGCAACGTCGTCGGTGGATCAACTCTACGGTCCACAACCTGATTGAGTTGATTCCCCTTCAGCAACTTTGCGGTTTCTGCTGTTTCAGTATGCGATTCATCGTGTTTGTTGATCTTCTTTCTACCGTCATCCAGCCCGTCACCCTTGCCTACATCATCTATCTCATTGTCTGGCTTATTCGGGACACATCGACTATCCCATACACCTCTTTCGTTCTGCTCGCAGCCATCTATGGCCTACAGGCCCTCATCTTCATTCTCCGCCGGAAATGGGAGATGATTGGTTGGATGATCATCTACATTCTCGCCATGCCTGTATTTTCCCTGGCTCTTCCGCTGTACTCTTTCTGGAACATGGACGACTTCTCGTGGGGTAACACTCGTGTCATCACTGGAGAAGCGGGTCGCCAAGTCGTTATCTCAGACGAGGGCAAATTCGACCCTGCATCCATCCCCAAGAAGAAGTGGGAGGAATACCAGGCGGAATTGTGGGAAGCGCAAACATCTCGGGACGACCGATCCGAGATCTCTGGTATCTCCTATGGCACCAAGTCGTATCACCCGGGACAATCCGAGTATGGGTTCCCTGGTGCTCGACCTGTCTCGCATCTTGAGCTTCCTCATCATGGATCGCGGATGTCGTTGGCCCCTTCGGAGATGATGAGCCGACACATGGACATGGAGATGGAGGACCTCAGTCACTTGCCGCCCGATGATGCTATTCTCGCCGAAATCCGCGATATCCTCCGATCGGCGGATTTGATGACCGTGACGAAGAAGAGCATCAAGGTAGAATTGGAGAGACGTTTCGGTATGAGCCTGGACGCAAAGCGCCCGTATATCAACTCAGGTAAGACTTCATTGCTCCGATGTTTCACTTGTCTCATTACTAACTCAATCTTTTTTTAGCCACCGAAGCCGTTCTCTCTGGCGCACTTTAATTTGCTGGCCCATTTCCACCTGCCATGAGTTCAATCTCCAGGCAAAAAAGAAGAAAAAAGAAAGAAAGAAGGACCTGCAAAAGATGTTTTTACCAACGACTTCATCGACTTCCCGCTGTCTCACAATGTCAACTCACCGGGTCCTCTTTCTATTTGCATTGCATATATGCCTTTGCTTTGGTTTAAATTCAATGGATTGAGCATAGGAAGGATCGAGCATGGAGTTGTATATTATGATGTTTTTCTTGTCTATTTCATTTCCTTGGGACATACATGTTTGAGCGTTGACGTTGCGCTGTTAAATATTTCCTTTAGATAATATCATTCACTTTCATATATATCCCTACTAGCGAGTCAGGCAACAGAATCGTCACCAGGATCACACCTCTCATGCTGGCTAGTGAGTAATTGGTGAGCCTCGTCTTTCACATTCTCCATACTCCCGTATTCGCCATGCCAGCATTTCTTAATTATCCTCCCCCATAGAATATCGTCAACATTTGGGAATGAGTCTGGTTCAGGCCAACACAGGTCAGGGTTCTCGGGGCTAAAGAAATAGTATTTATGGACATGCCAGGATGGAATAGAGTAAAGAACCCAACTAAGATGCAGTATTTCAATCTGAACATTCAAGTCATTTTCATTAGCAGAAGCCATATCGATATCAAGGGGTAATAAAATAGATTGTCCGAAGTCTGCAAGTTTAAGCTGCCCATCCGGGATTAAGATATTGCGGAGCGCAATATCATCCACGAGTACCTTATGAGAGTGGATATAGGCAAAAGTCTTGATCAGACTTAACATCCAGCTGATTTTCAAGGAATTCTCGCATTCCGGATAGGTTTCTAGATGGGACTCAAGATCTCCTTGGGCAAGGGCTAGCTCAATCCCATACTGGGATATTTGAAAATACGGAATAATCCCCGTATAGCTGCCCAGGCGTTCAAAGACTTGGATCTCATTCGCCAGAGTTTGTTGATTTATTTCGTTCATGTACTCCACATCCTCGCGATCTGGGAGGTATCCGAGTTTATATTGCTTAGCTTTCTTAACAGCACGGTCTTCCCCCAGCTTAAGAATAATCCCAGTCATGCCATTTCCAATTACTGGGATACCAATATAAGGATCCTGGGGAAATGGAGAAGGTTGAGCATTGAGAGATGATCCAGGTCCCGTTTCATTCGTTCGAAAGGGGTGGGGATCATCGAGCGGTAATTCTGCAACGTTCTAGAAGAATAGCTTAGCAAGAGAAGACAAAGGGAACTTCATCACGCTTACCTTCGACTTATCCGACTCCTGGGTTGTGGGAGGCCAAATGATATCACAGAGCCAGGTGCGGATGACGGAGAGTACCATGATTGTTACTGGCGAGTGTGGAGGAGAGGAGAAACGGCGGGAAACAAGTTGGGGAAGTCAATCTTCAGCCGACTGCCCAGCCATCCACCGCCTGCTGTCTGGGCCGAGGGTTTGTTGGCTACATTTGCCGTTTATGTGTGATGATCTGCGGCTAGAGAATGTAGGCACCTAAGAGCAATAACATTATATAAATGCCCAATAGTCCAATCTTGGGGTACGAATATTCTTGCACAAAAAGGCAGTAGTCAAGACAATACATAAAAGGGCAGAGAGCAGAGAAAAAAAAGAACAAACGACATCAGACATGTCTCATCCTCACTTCTGGGCCTTGTCGAATACCTCGATGTTTCCCTCCCAATAGGCCTCATCCATGTCCACCCAGTTATCATCCTCGGCCTTGCTTTCCTTTGGCTGCGTGGGAGGCACTTGTATTACCCCAGCGCCCTGCCCATCCTCACCCACGTACACCGGTTGGCGATCATCTCCCTCCTCCAAGCGGGACTTGAACTTGATATGGGGAACCTTACCCTTCCGGTAAAACTCGAGAATATCACTGGCAGACTTGATTGCCTGGGCCTTTGCTTGGGTGCCTAATTTCAATTCGTTCTTTGCGCCCCATGCCTCCGGATTGTCAAGGTAGTCCATGGTGGCGTCATACCCCATAGAGAGAAAGGGCCCAACATAGGGAATCAGGCCTAGGCCAACGCCGATGACGTTTTTCACAACCTCCTTTAGCCAGTCCACATCGGCTTTGGTCGGCCTCTCCTTCATGTCCGTGCCCTCTTGCAAGTTGATAACGTCGGCGTTCTTGATATACTGGTCGCTGAGCTCGCCCACCCGCGCCTGCGTCGTTTGCCAGGGCCTGATAGAGTCGACATCGTGTGCGTTGAAGAGCGTAATGAACTGATACGTGTCCAGGTACTTTTCGTCGCGCATCTCGCTTGGCACATGGAGGGCTAGCTCCAGCTGCTTGACGTCAAACCGGGCGGTCCACGTTGGTCGGTAACCAAGCCCCAACTCTCTGTCCTTTGGGATGTGAAGCTCCCCAACGGTGAACTCCGGGGTAAATCCGATTAAATTGCTTTCCTCGGGGACGTCTGGCTCTTTCACGGTCTCCACTTGTGGCCGCGCCTTCGGCTGCTCGCCAGATTGGATCGCTAACTGCGCCTCTCGGGCCCGGGCTTCGCTCTCGCGATATTTGTCGGTAAGGTCCACCCGTTTATACGTCTTGAGCGTCAGCGAGTTGTGGAAGAACTTCAGATGGACGTATCGCGTCCAGTCCTGGTACTTCTGCTGCGGCATCGCGTGGTACGCCGAGGGCAGATAGATCCCTCGGATAGGGTAGGTCAGATCCACCCACAAGAAGCGCTCCTCTGGAGTTGGCATCCGGACGGGGATGAATGCTACCTGGTTGTATCCAAGCCAATGCGAGAGGTTGCGTCCGTCTCCATTGCCGTAAAGGATGTCGGCGCGGCTCATCTGGGTGCTTCTGGGCCCAACACCGCACCATAGATCTCGCCACCGGGAGTAGGTCCGACTCGCATATTGGATGGTCTGTCTTTCGGCACGAGGATTTCCTGTGCTGGGAAGTACTGGGTCCTTTCCCGATGACCCGAAAACTTCATCGACGCTTTTGTTGACTACAATTTCCAGGAGTAGGTAGTTTTTGAAATCTTCCGGGTTTGACCCGCCATGCCAGGTAGTTGTATGGAGCAGGTCACGGTGGAACTTGCCTGGACCTTCGGGGCCAGTGGATGTCATTGCTGCTAGTTCGCTGTGATTGGGGTTCGTGAATGGAAGAATAGAAAATGAGAAAGAAGGTGAGATAGCGGCAATCGATCCTCGGTATTTATCACATCTCCATCCGGCGGGGTAGAGCTATGCCAGTGTCGCAACATCATCCGTGGGTATACGAGGATGTGTAACAGCAAGATTAAATTATCAGCTCTCAGCAAGTTATCAGATCGGCTCATGCAAGCCACATGCAAGTAATGTCATGCCGGAATCGGCCCAGACTGCTTCGGGCCTGAGATATGTACAGCCGCGAGCCAAATAACCTTTGCAGCGCAAGCCGTATTCTCGTATTCTCTATCAACACCGTAGTGGTGAGATTAGACTATCCATCGCAGCATCAGAAGCGGCACATCTGCAACTACCGCTATAGATCAGGTTACACTAGCTGCGCAATTCGACTCTCCGACTACTCTTCCAACTCTTGGGTTATCCTAGACCGCCACCTCATTCGAGCGAAGTCTAACAAGCTCGGAATAGCCTTTGACACTAAGATAGGCACAGTCACATCGACGTGGATCTCGCGCACGAGACCTGGCCTAAAACGCCAAAGATTCGAAAAGAGAATCCGAGCTGCTCCTAAATTTGTACGGCATTGTGCACTATGCGGGATTGGATGGTGGAGTCCGAGATCCCATGTCGGTCTTTTTGGCTGTGTTGCAATGATACATAGTATAACGTTGGGCTGTGGTAGTATACAATCTTACAACTGCAATCAATTATATATATATCGCTGAATGGAGTTTTCTACAATCCACATTCTAAACTTCTAGAAAGTCGTAGGAAAGCTACCACAAAATATAGAACACAGGAAGGCACCCCAGTGCACCGAGATGCGCTGATCGTTGGGGATGATCGACGCGAAACCCGAACCCGAATCCTAATCCGAACGCGAACCCGAGTTCCTTTCCGACTATCCTGAACCATGGTAAAGTATATAGTGGTGCCTGCATCTATACATCTCTTGCTTCGGTATTATAGCAAACGGCTATCGATCCTAAAATACTCAATTATTCCATCATGAGGAACTTCATTCTCCCGCTGGTTCTTTTGGTGGCCAGCTGTGATGCTGGAAGAAACACCCCGGTAGTTCTCAATGCTAGCAACAACATCGCAACTTCAGAAGCATGTATCTCCCTCCACAGCCAATATCCAGCATTGACGCTATTTCCCAATGAAACTGGATTCGACTCACAAACACACGGTACGTACCTCCACCGACAGAAGCCTTATCGCCGGCTTACAATAGTAGAATCATGGTCAGCAGCTGCGTGGTTGACACCAGCTTGCGTCTTCACCCCTCTGAAGACCGAGCATGTGTCTGTCGCAGTGAAAACCTTCGCTGAGATGCGCGTTCCCTTTGCCATCCGCGGAAGAGGAGGCATGCCTATCAGCGATGCCGCGAACAGCAATTCCTCCGGGGTGCTGATCTCGAACTCGAACTTCACAACGCTCCGTCTCTCGAAAGATCACTCGTATATCTCCGCGTCGCCAGGAAATATCTGGGAAAACGTGTATAAGGCGCTCGAGCCATACAAACTGGCTGCTGTTGGCGCGCGACTCGGCGTCGTCGGCGTGTCCGGATTCACCCTCTGGGGCGGCGTTTCTTTCTTCGCATATAAACATGGGCTTGCTTCGTCCAATGTGCGCGCTTTCGAGGTACGTTGTCACCTATTATTGGGTCTCGATCGTATTCACTAACCCGTACAGTGTGTTCTGGGCGATGGAACCATCGTAGAAGCCACAGCCTGGAACCAACACTCTGACCTCTTCTGGGCCCTGAAAGGCGGAGGCAACAACTTCTGCTTCGTGACGCGTTTCGACTTCCAAACCCTGCCTGCAGCGACCATCCACGTTGGAAGCACATCATATAATGCATCTTCCGGTGACGCTTTCCTGGACAGCGTGTACAACTGGGCCGTAAACGGGTCCGCAGACACCAACTCAGCGGTGCTACCACTCGTGAACTTGGGAAACGGCGCCCCTTCACCATCCTACTCGAGCACGCTCTTCTACAACGGCAACGACTCTTCGCCCGTGGCCCTGCGCAACTTCACCGAGCCTGCCAAGTCCATGTCGCCGTTGTCGAACACCTTCCGCCGCCGAACCATGTACAACTACACGCTGGAAACAGACGCACCGTTCAAAATGGACCCCAGCCCGGCCCTGAACTACAGGCAGCGATTCCACACCTTCAGCTTCCGAGTCGACCGCGAGGCCATGCAGTATATTCACGACGTGTATATCGCAAGCGTGCAGCCACTTCTGAACATCTCCGGCTTCTACACAGGCCTAGGTTACAACATCATCACGCCCGGTCTGATCCGTCCCGGAAACGAGGCCGACGGCGGCAACCCCCAGGGCATCGATGAGGCCGATTATCCGGCCTTCTGGATGGAGTCGAGTCTCTCGTGGTCTGAAGCCGCAGATGATGGCAGGATTGATGCCTTTGTGCGGAGCGTTGGCGCTAATCTGACCACCTATCTTGAGAATAGGGGCCTGTTGACTCCGTTCTTGTACCCGAATCAGGCCGACGATACGCAGGCAGTTTTTGATCAATACCCTGCGAGAAATGTGGCTTCGTTGAAGGATGTAAGAGATAAGTATGATTCTGCTGGTGTCTTTACGGAATTGGTCCCTGGAGGGTTTAAACTGGCCCATGCCACATCTGCTCGAGGGCGTTCGTGAATACGGGGTGTTTGAATTGATAGACTTTTGTTATACAACTGTTCTGTTTTATTTCAATAGAAATTACTATATTGTTATCTGACTGTCTAAATAAGACTTTCATCAAGCTGCTTGTAATTAGCTTAAATTCTAGTGCTATAATCTACTACCTTTTTGCGCCACCAGCCCACCCAAGAACCCAATCACAGCAAGGGATCAGATCATCAAATACAAGATAATACAAGCCGTAGGAAAGCCAACGAACTAATGCGAGAGTTAAAATTAAAAGTAGCTGCTAAGAAGTAGAAGCATTTATCGAATTCTTCGTCTCTTTCCAGCATGTGAGCCAAGCAAGCTAAACCACTAGATCCATTAAGGAAGATTAAACGACGACGCATATCTACCCCGACCTAGAGCCTAGCACCGGAATCAAAGCAACTGCAAAGAATAGGCTTCCTTCAATAAATTGTAACGTTAAAAAAGTCGACCGGAAGAAGGACTCGTCTCAAGTTTTAGCTCAGGCAGCAGAATGAAAGATCGACGTTGTCCCGTCTTTCGGGTTCGGGTTCGGGTTCAGGTTCACCACGAGCCAAGGGAGGATCATTGCTCAAGTGGCGACCGGGATTAACTTCATTTTGTAGCTTGACAAACCTACCCCCTACTTCGTTGAGGAAACCCGAAATCAGAGAGGGTTCCTTGACGAAGGATCGCCCTGAAACGTAGTGGGGTTGCCAATTGCGGGTGAAATACCCACTACAGGGGGGATACGAGCAGCTTTGCGAGCCCGAACCCGAGCGCACGGGATTCTGGAACCCTAAAAACCTTCTAGACTGGAAAGTTGTTTCGCGACAGACGGATGCCTAGTTGACAAAGCTATAGAAACCAAGGGAAATGCCCTTGAGATGGTATAAATCAGGCGCAGACCCTTCATTTCTTTTGACAAATTCAATCCAACCTCCACCTCTTTCAAGCCAGTTCTATCCATCATGGCCGGACGTTTCTTCGCTTTAGCCCTCGCCAGCGTGGCTTTAGCCAGCAGCAGCCCTTCAAACGCATCAAACTCGCTGTGGCAGGGCGGCTTTCACCTCACTAGTGAAGTTGCCTGTGCTTGCCAGCAGCTGAGCAAAATACACTCTGCCGAAGTGTTGTCGCCCTCGTCGGCAAACTACTCGGAGGAAAGGATCCGATTCTGGGACATCCGCTCCGATCTGCATCCCGCCTGTATCTTCCAACCCAGCAATGCGGACGAAGTGGCCGAGGGAGTGAAGATCCTGTCCGAGTGCAATGCGCCGTTTGCCATCCGTGGCGGTGGTCATATGAATGTAAGTGTTGGCAACGTGCTGTGGGCTGGGCTTGAACTAGACAGCTAATAATCAACTTCCTATGCAGTTCCCCGGATCCAACAACATCGATGGCGGTGTTTTGGTCACCTTGAACAAGCTCCGAGACTACAAGGTCCACAAAGACACCATCGAAGTGGGCCCCGGCATGAAATGGATCGATGTCATCCGCGCTTTGGAGCCCCATCACCGAGCAGCCATCGGAGGTCGTCTCAAGACCATTGGTGTCCCTGGTCTGACTCTGATCGGCGGCGTCCACTACTTCATCAACAAGTATGGATTTGCCATGGACAACGTCGAGCGCTACGACGTGGTCCTGGGCAATGGCACGCAGGTGATTGCCGACAGCTCTACGAACTGCGATCTCTTCTGGGCCCTCAAGGGCGGTGCCAACAACTTCGGCTTGGTCACTAAGTTCACGCTGAAGACACACCACATGCCCAAGGTCAGCACCACCATCCAGACCTTCAATGAGTCCGGAGTTTACGACTTCATCGACGCCGCCGTCGCCATGTCCCGTCTAGACGAGCCCCATACCATTGCCGCGGGTGGTATTCTTACTCTGCAGTACAATGCGACCACTAAGGTGGTTTCGGCATCGATCATGGGCGTCCAGGAGGGTGTTAGCAAGCCTCCTTCGCAATTCGCCAATTTCACTGCCATCGATGGCCCGATCAAGATGCACAATGTCACCACGATGCGCCAGTGGACTGAGGATAAAGAGACTCCCAACCAGATGTTCCGGTATGTGGGAACCCAGTATCGACCTACATCCTATTATTAACTTTGAGTCTTTAGAATCGCCTTCGCCAAACACTCAATCATCCCCGACACGGACAGGCTCTACGAGATATACCAGGCCTGGAAGAAGGGCATCGACACCCTGTCCGATGTGCAGGGTATCCACCCCACATTCGTTATCAATCTATGCCCTATTGGCGCTGTCCGCGCAGGCCGAAACACCTCTGTCGGCAACACGTGGGATCTGCCTCTCGAGCCTACAGTTTGTGAGTAAACCTCCGTATCAATCATTCAGTAAAAATACTTCTACTTACCTCCGATTCTCCAGGGTGGCAATTCAGCACCGGCTGGGATCTTGCTCAGGATGATATCCGCGTGACGACCTGGTCACGTCAACTGTCCGAGAGCCTTCACGAAGAAAACCGCCAGCTGTCCTTGGCTCGCGAGCATGTCTATATGGGCGACGCCGGTGAATGGCAGGATGCTTTTGCTACATTCCCCAAGAAGAATATTCAGCGGTTGAAGGAGATCAGGGCGGCGGTCGACCCTAAAGGCGTATTTAGCCGTCTGAATTATGGTGGCTTCAAGCTTGCTCCTTGAGTATTCGAGTTTGATTGTTCGCTCTTCTGGTTTATCTTACTTATGTCATATGTTAGGCCACGTTCCTACCGTAGGCGATCCGTCAGCACTCCGTAAGAGTTCCAGCATCCCTCGGAAAGGTCCCGAAGTGAGGACAAGGATCCTAACCCCCCATTAGTGATATCATTACCGCGGAGGCTGGCCTCTCAGAAAACGATGTCCACAAACCCCCTCCAACCAGTACGACAAAAGGCCAGTCTGCAAACACAAGTGATACGGTGGAGTATCCCCGCCGCCTACACCCACAGGAGATCCTCGAGCTTCTGAGAGGCGGAGTATTAATATAAGTGCACAATATCAATATTCTGGTTAGCTACTAGTTGGATAGGTAACCAGCAGAGATCCTATATGTTCAATGTGTTTGTTTCATAGTCTCTATCGTCATAACTTGGTAGTGTTAGGGTTAGTCTCTGTGGGTAGCAGGGATGGCCGGCCTAGGTAAAAACCACCTAGACGAGAGGCAAGAATTAAAGAGTAGGGGAATTGTTTCCACCGCAGAAGATTTACCAACTCTGGTCAATATCACCTGCAAGTTATTCATTCATATTTCTGCCTTACTCCGACTGCCCCGCACTCCGAGACTACCCCGGCAATGTGTGACCTTGGGTATCCAGGTACCAGTGCATCTCGACTAGTGGTTTCCATGATTCTCCAATCACAGCTACTTATTAGTCCAGGTAGCCACTTGCAGCTACTTCAGTGTGCCATCAGGTGCCAACCTTTCTGGCCCAAGCGAGCTCCAACATCCCATAAATACTTTCTCCGGCGGATAAGCCTGCTCTTCGTCATTACCGCGACCATGAACACCACTCCGCACCAGATCCTCGAGATTGAAGACGCTCTAGTGTCCGATGAAAATCCACCTCGTGATGACGGCACTCTCGACTATGAGCGCTGCGCCAGGCTACACAATTACCTGGTCGCATACGGCTGGATGGCCCGCCACGGAAGGGACACGCCCGACCTCGATTCCCTAGCCAGCGAGAGGTGGTTTTTTAGTGACACAAACCGGGAGGAGGCAGAGGAATCTCGGGAGCGTCTTGATGCGCCGCTGAGCCGGTTTTTGGATCTAATCTATGATCCCAGGCCGCCCTTCTTCTACTGGGTTGACGGTCTCGTGATGATGCCCAGCGACGAGTTCTTTGTGGATGAGAACGAGATGGAAAATGGCAAGGAGCGATTCGTGATAATCTATGGTACCCTTACGGAGCTGGGCGGGCATAACCTCGGCGTTGTATATGACCAGCAACTCAATCGGGCAGCGTTCCCAATGACGACCGACAATATGGATTGGATAGAGCCTATTGATGAGCACGAGGAAATGTGGTTCCCGCTGGAGACTCTTCTCACTCAATGGATCTACATGACTCGCATCGGGAAGGCTGTCCCTGGGCTTCCTGAAAAGCTCCCTTCCGGTGAACCCCCGACAAATCGATCGCAATTCTATCTGTGGTCGTGGCTCCCTTACTGCGATACCCAGATTGATAGCACTGTATCTGCCATAGAGCGCTACTCGGCTGCAGTCGAATCTCGAATGCCTCCTGATTCACTTCTGTCCATCTCGGCACCGCTCTGTACCGATGCAGAGCTAGATGCAGCGGCCGTGCCACAGGGCTGCTTTATCCGCTCGCTCCTAACAAGGATTAAGACTCCGCGTTTCAAATTTATCGCACCGGGGCTAGAGGTCCCGCATGATAAGGAGGCATTTGTGAGGCGCCAAAGATTCACCAACATACCGCATGAGGAGGATAGCATCCCGGGGGTTCTGTTATTTGCGGTCCCAGACCGGTTGGTGGATTTCAACGCCGAGATTCGGCGCGTATTTTCCACTGCGCACGATAATGTGAGCATGGACCACCGCGATCCTGTTCCTACTGGACTCTACAGTGAGCCTGTTCGTCGAGAGCAATATGACATGGAGGAGGCGGGCTTCCGTCTCGTGCTTCCATTTCCACTAAGACGGCGTTTCCGAGATGAGGATGGGGTTAGGAAAAGTGACGGGACACCGGTTCCATCGGGCTCATTCACAGAGCTCTTTCAACATGGATACCACCCGTTTGGGGGTGAATGGCGATCGCAGAGATTAGAGCGACTTTTTGAACAGTGGATGGCGTTAGTTGAAAGTGGTGCATGGACAGTAGGTGAAAATGGAGTGGAGGGTGGGATCGATAAATTCGGAGATGCGGATAGGGGTGCCTCGAATGAATATTGGATCGCACCAAGCTGGTGAGAATATGTACCTCTAGTTCTTGCTTATGCAGTCCTGGAATGATCATGCGTCTTTTGCCCAGTATTCTGGTGTCTATATCCCATGCCAGAGAGAGGATATCAGAAGATAACTCGAAGAACCACCACGCACACATATATAGACAGTAGGGGTCGATAACCTCCTCTTCAATTCCACCCCTATGCTGCATCTAAGGAACACAAGAGCCACTGTAACAATTTCTCCCCGCGCAATAATCACTCGAGTTGCCACAATGCCCGGCTACAGAACAACAATCACCAAACAATGATCCAGCACACGTCATGTTGTGCGGAAAGTTGGGACCACATTCTCCATTTGTGGAAATGTATCCTGTTGTCAAACAAGCCCCGGAATAGCAGTTAGGGGGGTTGCAATAATCCTTCGTGCTACCACAGTATCCATCAGCCGAACAGCAATCACCAAACTGTGTGCCTGTACACGTTTTGTTTCCAGCAAACAGGGGCCCGCATTCCCCGCTGGTGGATGGGCCTCCAATGTCAGTGTCACATTTCCCGGCGTAGCAATTTCCTGCGCCGCAGAATTGAGTTCCATTACCACAATAACCGTAAACTGTACAATCAAACAGGGTAGCCAGTCAGTCATCATGGTCACTGGTTGTAAAAACCAGGTTTTAATATCAGGGGGGAGGGAGCGCTTACTACTGCAGCAGTCACCAAACTCGGATCCATGGCAAGTCATATAGCTATTATCGGGCCCACAGAGACCATTCGTGCTTACAGTCCCATTTCCCGGCGAGCCACAATCATCCGTGCATTTTCCTGCAGATGAGCAACAGCTAGCCCAAGGAATGGGCGTTAGTCCACGTTTTCGAAAGATTGCGGTTTTCCGCAATGTCAAACAGAAAAGAAATAGGATGATATTTACCTCCCAAATTCACTTCCAGCACAAGTGACACCCACACCACAAGACCCATCAGACGAGGCAGTCGGCGTAGAAACCGGTGCTACACAAATATCATAGCCGATCCACAGATTGGAACAAGTTCTATCAAGGTAGGTGTTCAAAGACGGCAGCTCTGTTATATTAAGTCCAAATCTAAGATTCACTGTAGCACAGTTGTCCCCTGAAGCTATCTGGTAATACTTTCCACAGCTCTCGGTGGTGCCACTCTGTGTTGGATAGGCTGGGATTGCGGTCGTGTAGTAAAGGGCAGTGCCCGTGGGGGCTGTAATAGTGACTGATGGCGTAGTCCATGTACCGCCAGGGGCTTCCATGCAAACGCGCTGGGAGTTGGCTACTCGATCGCAACTCCCTTGAATATTCGAGTTCCACGCCAAGAACTGAGACTCGGAGACGTTGTTGGTGGAGTTGGAGGCAAGTTCCGCGAGAGATGCACTAACACATAATAGTAAATATTAGGAATCACAACCTTTCATCTGGAATCGTGAAATATGTTGGAATAATCCTTGGGTATTCTTACCAGCTCGGAGCTCCCCAAACAGTGTGTATCGGACATGGCAAGGGCAGGCAGGCAGGAGTATCGAAGAAACAATCGTAGTCCCCTGTGGCTACGCGTGCATCGCCCGTAGAGACGTTATATCTGTCCAAGATTAATCGTTGCTCATTCGAATTTCCCCCCTCTGCCTTCAATGCAGGCCGATGGACCTATTCGTAGCTACGTACTTGTCAGAAAGGTCGTCGCATGTTAGCCAGTTGGCTATTGGCTGCACGATTTGTCCTAGACAAACTGCATTAGATGCGGTGGTATTGGTTGTTGTGGCAGCACTTGTAGTCGTTGTGGTTGCGGTTGCGGTTGCCGGTGCACCAATGTACAAGGTGGAGGAAGACGTAGTGTATGGCAATGTGGCGGAGCAGTTCTTTTGTACAGAATCGAATTCCCCAATCAGATAATCAGTAAACTCGGTCATTGCCAGCCAGGGATCCAGGAGTCGAAGCCGATATAATTCTAAGAAGCATTCGCTGCAGGACTGGCGAGATTTAGCGCATTCTCGAAATAGATTCCACGGTGGTCGCTGATTCATACCATAGACGAATTGTAAAGATTGGTCATTGCTTTCATATCGGCAGTAATTGAATCAATGTCGAAGTTATCTTCGTTACAAATTTCAGGCATGTCGGTCTCATCAGCACACATAAGTGAGTCATATCGCATATAGTCACTGCCATCCCACGACTGGGAATCGAAAAAGCACCAATTTGATTCACTTTAACAAAGTCAATAACACTTGATCAATATTTGACACCGAATCATCCAACACTTCTGTCGGGATGAGTACTTACGAGTCTTGCAGACACGCGATCTGGGCATTATATGTCAATGAAAGTGACAAGGCTTTGGCCTCGACGATAGCACCACCCTGGACAACTGTTTCACTTGCGCAGGCCTTTTCCACACTCGAGCCCCATTCCTTTAATGAGTCTTGACACGTTGCTGTGCAGAGTGTGGTGATATTATCCATGAACCAGTCTTTATACGGTGAATGATTAGATGGTGCAGAGAGCACAAAGCTCACTAGGCTTTGTCCTGATCACAGCCATTGGGCTACCCGTGTTTTGGCCACTTACAATTAGAATCCACACCACCACCCAGTAATGTAGACACAGTTTCATCGCAAGCAACCGTTGTGTTCCTGGTTTCTATTAGCGGCTCTTCTGGGGAGGCATTTGGGTGGCATAGAAAAAAGGCCTTATTTTGCACTTACAATGCGTCAATGCAGCTGCTTGTCAGCCCCCATCCTGACAGTAGGGCTTCTTTGTCGTAATAGGCATATAGTTGAAAGTCGGCTGCAACCAACGGTGCAGTTGCGACCCAAGTCAAAACCCCAGCAAGAATGAAATACCACTGCATATTCGCCCACAATACTCCAAACTGCGGTAAGGTCGGGGGAAAATATACGAAGTGAAAGGGAGACCGAAGGCGCTCATAAAATAACTCTCTTGTGGATAAGAGTCATTTCCCAGCCGACATATAACAATCTTTACTTATCACCGAGAAACTCCGCTGGCATATTACTGTGTGGATTACTATCATGACAATCCCCTGACTGATCCCTTGCAGCCAAGGGGCTAAATCACAGCGGGGTATAGAGCAGTACGCCTGTACCCGTTGGATCGTGGGCATGTACGGCTGCAGTGGGTCACAGCTGGAAACCACTAGCCCATCATGGAAATCCCGAACGCAAGGGCTCTTTCTTTAGCGGATCTCCCGCTCCTCGTGGAGGAAGAAACACGAGGCTTGATTTGTGAACTTAAAACATAGCAAACGTGGCGCCAGGGTTAGCTTCACTGCGCCATGAACTCCTCATTAACACGCAGGAAGCAGTAAACATATACATAAGCACATATCTTCAAGGCTTCTGGCCCTTAGACTTGGAGCGGCTTCAGGACCACCTAGGTTGATCGAATTGAGAGGTCCTTTTTAATGGGGCCAGTGTAATGTTTTTACATGGAAGACGTGTCTAACATTCCAATGTCTCGGCCAAGATTGAGACTGAACTGTCGGGGAAAAGAGAAGCTAGGGCTTGTATTCAAATCCCGCCCATTAACCTCTAGCTACTTTTCGGCCCTCGCCGCGGACGCCAGGTATCACCTTGGCAGGAACACAAGGAGGACTTTAGGGCATGATTGCTCCATTTAGCCAGGTCTGTCGCAGTTGGATTGACCCTTACTGCCGTTGGAAACACACGTAACCCCTGAGAGCCCATGTGTGGTGGGTACGGGACTGTTGTGGTTTGGCAATTAGTAGTTGAATGGTCGTCTCGAGCAAGGTCTGATTTGATTAGACTGGCTGTTATGAGACCGAGATACTTCTCTATGTCTCAGTAGAGGCCCTTGCTCCGCTGAAATCCTACCGTAACATTTAGTTCACAATGGCCTATGTTGTCATTATTGCAGACAAGGGCTTTTCTGTATAGTGGCTTCGAAAGCCACGCCGGCCACAATATACATGGGTATCAAGGTCCTCCCCTCATCACCATCTCTAGTTCTCAAAACTGTTTATCATCAGTCATATCAAGTCAGCCTTGGTTTTGCTGAGATTGATTCTTGCATAACGTCTTTTCTTTTTTCTTTTTCCCTTTCTTTTGGACTCGTTGCTCATTCCACCACAGGACGACATAGTGAACATTGAAAATGCGGTCTTCAACGCTATGGGTCTTGACCCTATGCTGCTGGCTTGTAGTGGGATCCCATTTCTCCTCACTTGCTTCCCATGAACATTCTCCCGCACATTCTGCAGAAGCATCACAATTACCACCGGCCAAACCGACAAGCTGGCGGATGACTCCTCAGCTTTCTCGCAATTCATCAAAGGCACTCCCGCCTCTTTTCCAGCCTTACTCCCCCGACACCCCGACGTTCCAGAATCAAAGGCTTCTTCAGGATCTCGCTGGCAAGCCTAAATCATCTGTTTACAGGACCTCGAATAGTCAGGGTGGCCTCCTTTCAAAACGAGACTCCCTCCCCACGGGAACATGTGCCCCGGGTACGCCGTGTGCCAACGGTGCGTGCTGCAGCAACACCGGTGTATGCTCGTTCGCTCCGTCTAGCTGTGCCCCAGATGTCTGTATATCCAATTGCAACGCTACCGCCCCTTGCGGTCAGTGGGCGAAGGAAGGCGAGGGAAACTGTCCTTTGAACGTTTGTTGTTCCCAGTTTGGCTACTGCGGTACCACGTCCGACTTCTGTGGCAAGGGCTGCCAGGACGGATATGGTTCATGTGGAGAAGTCGACAGGCCATCTTGCTCCGGGGCCTCAGCCGAAAATGGTCGGCGCATTGGCTACTATGAGAGCTGGGCTCACGATTCGAGCTCCCGACTATGCGGTCGGAAATCACCGGACGACATCCCCCTAGTCGGTCTCACGCATCTCAATTTTGCGTTCACCTTTTTCGACCCCAGCACGTTTGAGCTCTCACCAATGACGTCCGCAGCTGCAGAACTTTATCAGAGTTTTACTGGTCTCAAGAAAAAAAGGCCAGGTCTTGAGACTTGGATTTCCCTCGGCGGATGGTCGTTCAACGACGAGACCAATATCCCCAACACTCGCACGGCTTTCAGTGACATGACCAGCACCTCCGCCAACCGGCGCAAGTTCATCGAGGCTCTACACAATTTTATGCAATCTTATGGTTTCGACGGTATTGACATTGACTGGGAGTATCCTGCTGCCGATGATCGTGGAGGCTCGGGTGCCGATACAGGGAACTTTGTGAAGCTTGTGGATGAGATGCGAGCCAGCTGGGGTACCTCGTACGGAATCAGCGTGACTCTGCCATCGTCCTACTGGTACCTCCGAGGTTTCGACATTGCCGCGATGGAAAAGCATCTTGACTGGTTCAATGTTATGAGTTACGATATCCATGGCGTCTGGGACTCAAAGAATCAGTACACTGGTCCCTACATCCGTCCCCATACCAACCTCACTGAGATCAAGGAAGGCCTCGATCTAATGTGGATGGCCGGGGTCGATCCAAGCAAGGTGGTTTTAGGCCTTGGCTGGTACGGTAGATCATTCACTCTCGTCGATCCGTCCTGTTCGCATCCCAACGGAGTCTGCGAATTCAGCGAAGGTGGCAGCCCTGGTCCATGTACCAACTCCGCCGGCACTCTGTCAATCGCGGAAATCAAGGAGATCCAAGCCTCCGGGATCGCGGCTGAGAGCTACGACTCTGAAGCAGCGGTGAAGTGGATCACTTGGAACAACGACCAGTGGGTGAGCTTCGATGATGGTGTGACCATGATGCAGAAGATGAAAGCCGCAAATGAGCTTTGCCTTGCTGGTATCATGATCTGGGCACTGGACATGGACAACGATGACGGGGACGCCATGAGCGACGTCATGGGAATCGGTAAAGCCAATGGTGTTACTTCCGCCCAAGCCGCCAGTTTCAAGGATCAGTATGAAATTGCCGCCGAAGGCAATGCAGTCGCGTCATCCTGCTACTGGAGCTTGTGTGGGGAGTCCTGCAAGAATTCCTATTTCGACGTGACCGAGGCTAGAGGGCAGGTCGCGAGCGTCCAACAGACTTCCATCTGCCTCGTGGGTCAATATCAAACACTGTGCTGCGCTCCCCAAACGACCATGGGAAAGTGCAAGTGGGAGGGCTTCCGGGGGGTGGGATTACCATGCACTCCTGTCTGTGAGGACCCCGACGCAGTGGTTGTGGCACAAAACAGTAACTCCTACTCCATGGATGAGGATGGACATATAGCGGACCTGACCTGCACCGGAGGCTACCAGGCATACTGCTGCTCCGGATTTGTTCCTTCTTCGAAGACTAACACAGGAAATATGTTCCTGTACGGGCAGGGAATATTCAGCAAGCGCAGTCTGGATAGTTCAACTAAAGATGTCAATTTGGCCCGGTCCGAACCCTCTAAAAAGTTGACATATTCCATTTGTATCGGTGCGCTCGGGTGGCTTATTTCTGAGGCCCCTTTAACATTTGGGCTTTCGCTTCTGGGAGTCCCGGCCGAGCTGGCTCTGTGTGCTGCTTCTGGCATTGTGGTAGCTGCAGCAGGCTTTGCGACCAAGCCAGCGCGGAAAGCGCAGGGCAATCCTGCCGGACAGCCAAAGACCAAAAAGATTAAGATGAACCTCGGTACAGGGAATGGCCAGAATGCCAATTCGCAGTGGCCGAAATTGAGCTTCTCATCCAGCAAAGGAGGGGTGTGTGACTGCCACGTCACATACACATGCAGATATGGGATGGGATGGGATGAGGTTTGCGATAATCAGCGATGGGCCATCACCTACCGGCTCAATCAGCAAAGTGTATTCGCGCCCAATGCCCTTAGACCATCCGGTCGGATGTACAGCTCATGGGCGGGAAATCAGCGCAAAGAAGAATATCGTACCGCTGTTCAGATGGCGCGCGGTGTCCCCGGCGCGAGATGCCAACTTGATGAATTCCCCATGCGGGATCTCTTCGAAGCAGCAAATAACAACCCTCAAGTCTGTCGATTGGTTAATGGTAGAGCCAATTCAAGACAAGGAAACGACTATAAGATGTGGAAACGCAATCAGTGGATGCCGTGCTCGTCTTTTCGATCCAGCTGCAACCTCCTTGCTCCGCCGGCAACGTGGTAAGTGATCCCTTTTCTTTACCAACAAACAATCACCTAGTCATAAGAGGATTGGAACCATTCCTCAATCCAACGTGGAGCCTTTCTTACTAATATCATCTAGGGCGTTCAATAGTCTTCCCGGTAATCGGGGCATGGGCAACATGATAGGAACGCGATTCATCACTGCCCTTGGCTTCGACTCTCAGACTGCAAATTCCTTATGCTTCGCCTCCTACTCTTACACTGACAGCCAGAACAACGTTCATCACACCATGGTGGAGGACCATGGGTTCCGGGTTCTCAATGATGATCCGTACGTTCCCTAAGAGCACAGGCGTTCAATATTTACTAAGCTGACCAACTTGCGATACATAGGATGTTCTACGCGCCGATGAACTGGCCTCGACAGAACTGGAAAATTGATCCAGGCCCCTATAAAAATGCTGCACAGCGCCCAGCCTCCGTCAATAGCGCTGCACACATGCGCCGTGATTTCCCAATTACCGTTGCTATGAACCAGAGTCTTCCTTTTGAAAGTGACGACGAGGAATCCTCCAGGCTCACATGCAACGCCATCTACGACGAAGATCCCACTCTGCTCACAGTAGATGGAAAGTTGGCGTACGATGCTCTGCAGTTTGAGGACTTACTCGGAAATGAAATCGACGGTCGTTCCTGCGACGTTATTTACGCGGATGACGAGGGTGGTCCGGTGGAGCTTGTGGTACGCGAGGATGGCAGCGTGCAGTATAGCCAGAGTATCCCTGAGATTCCGGTTACTAGTGTCGAAGCCCAGATGCCTACTATCCAAGCCCAGATCCCTGAAGGTCCTATGGATGGTAATCCTCCTCGGAGTACTTCTGTCGACTATGATGCGGTCATGGCGCAGGTCACGGCAGCGCCTGATCCTGCCCAGTTTGAGTACCACCTGCATCATACTCACAATCGCCATCACTGAGGGCTCTCATGATCTCACAGTTGGTTTAAGTATTCTCTCTTCGTCTGGTTCGTGTATTTGAATGTTTTCGAAACACGAAGAAGGGACCATGGTGATGATATGATGTGTAATTCAAATGCTAGCCATAGTTGGAGTAAGGATACAATGCGGCAGGCTGATTATGGCACCTCCAAATATGAGGACGTGTTGTCTAGCGGTTTCTTTGGGTAGGCTTGCAGTCTTTAGCAGTAGTCTCCATGGCCAGGATGTGTGGAGAAGAATTAAGAGTTATAGTTGCGTCTCCCATCAGCACATGAACAATTACAGATTTAGGCTAATTCGCAACCCGGAAATTCCGAGGTGCCGAGGACTTTACCAGAAACATCAATGTTGGCGCGAAGGAGTCGGCATGCTGACCGTCTTTCTCCCGTTCTGATATCCATTTCACAGGGAGATCGATGGATGGTGTCAAACCAAACCCCGGAACACCCGGGGCATTCCCTCCCGGAGACGATATTTATCTCCCAGGCCACACACTCCCTCAGCTCAAACTGTCAATACCGCAGCTCACGCCACGATGAAATCAACAAACCGAATCATCCCAGGAATCCAAAATGAGATCCAAAAATGTTCTCACAGCATTGAATGAATCTTTGGTCGCCATATTTAAGGTCCCGAAACACTGGGTCATATGTCCAAGCGCATACTGGAATGCGAGCTGCCTGAGTACAGCAAACATATTTGAGTAGAGCAGCTGACAAAATTGAAGCGCCGAAGGTAAAGTATATCGCCGATTTTGTCTTCCCCTTATTCAATATCAAGGCTTCGACCAGTGCGTACCCGCGATGGCAGCCCTGCATAGTAGCCATTAGATCGGGACAGGTCAACGAATAATACTGCCATAGATCTAAAACACCATAGCTTCTCTGCGTTGATTACTCCTCTAGTCAATCTGCAAAGCCGGTCTCTCCCCCTTCTTCATATCATGAACGACATTCGATCCCGCTCGTGTAGGCACTTGCACCGTCGTATCCTTATCAGGCGTCAGATAGACCTGACCCCCTGGCGCCCATGAAATTGATATTTTACCCTCCCCAACCGCGAAGGTGCTCTCCATTGTCGGCCAAACGGCCTTTCGGGGCTCAAACAGCAACCCCTGAAACCCTGGCGCCGCCGGCGTGAGCCCTACCACGTTCGCCACGAAATCATGAATCGGAACCGCACTCCATCCATGACAGTCGCTTCGTGGCATCGTCCCTGATTCAGCCCAAGTAGACAAATTAAGCGCGATCATGGCTGACCACGGCTGCAGAAGAGACGAACGCAGTTCATCATAAATCCCCGTCTTCCGAGCAGCCTCAAAGACGTAAAACAGAATGGCATAGGAGCAGCGAGCAAAGGATTCATGATCAAGTGTCCGTCGCAGCGCCGTCCTCGCCGCGTCGCTCTGCAGCGCATCGCACGTAATAGCGAAGACCTGCGCATGCTAGCTCCGTTCCTCGTCGGGTCCATCGACAAGGAACCCCCCACGCAGACACTGCTGCCCTACTGCTCGATTCAACTTCTCCGCTCGCCCGCGGTATTTCCTCCGCCGTATCCCGCCGACCGACAGTTCGCCATGGATGCCCGACTGCAGATCCTTTTCACCTACCAGCTCTCCCGCGACGACCGGCTGGCCCGGAAATGTATCCAGGAGTTCTACGCCAGTCGCAGAGCAGACGGGCTACTCGAGACCCATTTCCCCTCGTCCACGTCTGTCGTGAATATCCCATTCTTCTCCCTCTACTGGATCCTCATGGTCCTTGACCAATTGATGTACAGGGGGGACGAGCGCCTTGTGCGGAAGTATCTCGGCGCGATCGACGGCATCCTGGACCACTTCGACCAGCGCGTAGCCGCGAACAGGCTTGTGGGTCGACTCGAGCGAGACGTCTGGCCGTTCGTAGACTCAACGAGGGAATGGTCGGAGCTGTCTCCCGGAGGTGGCTTTCGGGGGTTGGCTGTGCCCCCGGCGTATCACCGGACGGGCCAGATGACGTGTAGTAGCTTGATCTACTCGTATGCGCTGCAGAAGGCTGCGCAGGTGTGTGAATATGCTGCTCGTAGAAGGGGCAGTCCTCGTAGGTGTCGTGCATGCAGTTGCGGAGGGTGTTGAGGCTGATGGCCCACTGCTGTTGCGTCTCTACGGAATGGAAAGAGGCGAATGCGGTGGTGATCTTGAGCGGGTATTGGGTTGCTCTGTAAGTGAAGCGGGGTATCTCCAAGGGGGCTGCGTGCGTGGTGATGTGCAGTTTGACTTAGCGGAATGTGCGGAACCAGAAGGGCTCGTAGTAGACCTCTGTCTCTGCGGGAAGCGCAGCGTCGACAGCGTAGAAGTCGTCCATGCTGACGAGGACCCTGGTGGAACCAGTGCGAATGCCTTTTTGGCGAGCGAAGGGGTTCGGGTTTGGGGGATCAGGCGCGGTCTCGAAGCATTCGGCGCATCGTATGCGGATTTTCGTGGCGGCGCCCCCTTTGAGGCGGAGTTCGAGGAAGGCGGTGGTCAGGGCTTTGGCATCGAGAACTATGGTTGTTTGAATACATGCGGGTATCTGAACTGGATGGTCCTGACGTTGGATGAGGGCGTCCCATTGAGGGACTCTCTGGGGGGTTTCGGGGTCGCTTTTGACCACGGATGCGAATCGCCCTTCAATTTCAGGCAGCTGGGGGATAGAGCGTTCGACTAGCCTTCTGGGCTCGAGAACCGGTACCATGGGAGCCTTCATGGACGACTTCAATGCGAACTCCCACTGCTCATCATCGTAGTCATCAACGAGCCAGCCTCTGTCCTCTTTGTCGCCGTGGACCGCTTCGTTGACCAGTAACAGGGGTGGACCCAGGGCTGGATTCCATCTGTCGCTGGAGAGGACTCGTACGGCATTGTCCGCTTTGTACCTCCATTTAGAGTCAGACGATATATCCTTCGGGGTGGTCAGCATGTCCCTTGAAGTCCTGTACCCGGTGAGCGCTTACCAGATCTGCGGAATGAAGAATCAACCCCGGAATGACAGCACGCGTCATGGACATATTCCCCGGGAACTTGGGCGAGTACCGCAAGACTCGGACCGCGATAAAATTCTTGCCGGTCTTGCAAAGGGGCGCAATGTCGAGCGTCTCGTAGTTCCACTCGCCCAGATGGCTCTTCGCCGGACCAAAGCTGACACTGCAACCATTTACGAAGAGACGATATCGTGTATCGGCAGAGACGTGGATCAGACAGTCCTTCGCGGTTTCCTGGAGAGTGAAAACCTTGCGAAACTAGACAATGCGAGCCGTCTCGATAGACTCGTCCCAGTTGGGAGCCCAGATCCAGCTTACCGTGTCGCTCCAGTGCGGTGCCATTATTATTCTGCTGCTCTGTTAATCCGGTTGCACCGACACCGTATCTTCTGGTGTCATCCGCGTAATATAACATATCTGTTGACTTTAACCCGAGGGCTGCCGGGGGTGTGAGATTCCATCCCCATGGGTCGTCCCGGATAATCCGCGGGTTATTTTTGCCGGCGGTCGACTCCGCTCTCCGCTGGAGTCGGCGGGCTTGGCGCCCAGTCCCTACTGCTAGTAAATGTGTTGGATCCATATGGCTTGAATTGACTGCTCTCGCACCTATCCTACCTGTTTATTCAATCTACTCAAACCCCGTAATACCAGCAGCCAGACTCTCTTCCAAAGAAGTCCACCCTTGCCTACCGAAGAACTCCCTCAGTAATTCCTCAGCCTTCTGAGCTGGGAGAATGACAGCTTCATCATGTCGCTCATTGGCATGGACGTCCGGAATCAAGGTGTTGCTTGGTCTCAATTCTCGCAGAACACGGAGAATGTCGGTCCAGTTCTTCGATCCCGCAAAGGCGAAGATCCTTTGAGACTTCACCTTCTCGCCAAGAAGCGCAATTAGATGAAGACGGGCCACATCTTCAACATCCACATAACATTCTGTACGATCGATGAGATAGTTGTTAGAGAATACGCAAATCAGCGTATAATAAGGATGGGGGATCATACGGGGTGGCAGAAGGCCGAGGGCAGATGCATCCCCTTTGAGAAGATTTCGGGTGAATCCTATAGTTGAGCCAGGGATCTCTGGATGGAGGACCCTACCGGTCTATGTAGCAGAATAGCATCGTTAGATATATATCACCTCTCTTAAAAAAAAAAAAGACAGAAAAAAAGAAAAAAAGAGAGAGATACTCACGTTGAAATCAGGAAGCACGGTGTTAAAGTCAAAATGCGGTTTATTCTTCTCCAGCCAGTTCCAAGCTTGTTTTTCCGATTCGGTTTTGGAGGCAGCATACACGGCGTAAGCCTTGTGTTCCTCGGGAGTCGCCGGATCCCAGGCTGCCTTGATGGCCTTCTCGTTCCAGGTATCTGGATGATAATCAGGCGATGCTATTCTGATATAGGAGGTACGTACTCTCATCTATCTGGATTCCACGCGTACTAGCCCAAGTAGACATATAACAGGCCCTCGACGATGACGTCAAAACAACCCGTCGAATGGTTTCATGTTTAGAAGCAACCTCGAGAATCGTCCTAGTTGCACCAGTCACCCAAGGGATAACAGTACTGGGATCCGTGCTGAAAGACAGATCAGATGCCTAACAGCTGTCAGAACAGACAACCTATGGAGAAAAGATGCTACATACCATGTGGATAACACCCGAGACGCCTTGCAGCGCATTGTTTACGCTCTGGGAATCGCTAAAGTCGGATACAATCGCCGTCTCAAAACGTCCTTTGCCATACCTTGCGTCGAAAAATTCGTTCAGCCAAGGTTTAGGGGTGCGAACTGTGCCGCGGACTTTGAAGCCCTGGTCCAGTAGCTTGTCGACGGTATGCGAAGCTATGAAGCCATTGGCGCCGGTGACAAGGACTGTTGCGTCGGCTGGCAGTATGTAGGAATTCATTTTGAAGGTTCAGATGAATGTTGTTATAACGATTATTCCTAAAGGAATCAGCTGCTGTTGACATCGCATTTAAAGTGCCGTTGGACTGCTGTTTATATTCTAACTTCCAAGAGCTCAACTGTGATGTAACATGCTTTCCTCTATTTTCTATTTGTAAACATTGCTGCATAGTAACAAATGAGTCAATTCTGAGGATATAAGGAATATCTCTAGTTACTCTATTAGGCGCACGACTGAAAGTTTTGAGGATCTCCCATCTACTTAGCTGTCTAAACTGCTCTGTCTAGTTTGTTGCATTTACTTAAGCAAGAGGTTGGGATCATGAGACGTTGAAATTGATCAAACAGTCAAAACATATGTCATGACGTGACAGTTAGTCAAGCAGGAAACATCTAGGAAACTTTCTCAGGAGCAGGTTATTATCCGGCTTTGAGATCTTGACTCCCTGTTTTGGCAGTGACTCTAGATCGCCATCGGATCGGGCCGTCTTTAGCCTCCGCCTGGCGCGCCACAGCCAACCCCATGGGAGGTCATATCGCCATTAGCGCCGGTAATAAAGATTCGAAACCCTTAACTATTTCCAGAGTTTGAGGTTGAATAATCTAGAGTTCAGGTGTTGGTTGCAGGTGTTCTAAGCAGTTGGTGTAACAGAGCAAACATCTTGTGCAACGAGTAACCCATCAAGGGTTAACCCTTTACATACCGCGCCCTACATCCCTTATGCGCATGTACAGAAGACGGCTCGCTTCCTACTTGGGACGGGCCGCCTAAGGTATCTGCTCCCCCCAGAACCGATCGAGGACCTGACCTCCGGGGCAGAAGCGGAGGGGAATAACGACAGTTTCGATCTCCATGGACATAGTAACACGGGCAATACCACCACAGGGAACAGGCAAACTACGCACTCGGCGGCATAACAAAAGAAAAGAGGTAATTACTTACTTTAAAGTTATTTTATCCCCTCTCTCTAATCTCGGCCAAATAACTAACAACACCTGTAATACAGGACCTGCGGGGCCCAAGGACCTACACTATTAATATAAGCTGCTGGGCGCGGTTGCAGGATCTATAAATGCGCGGTAAGGACCACAGACAACAGAAATATCTTCATGTTTAGCACATTTAACACATTTAGCTGGATTTATATAATAAATAGCGCACTATACGTAGACTCTGCAACAGCCTAACGGCCGTTGACGACCCGGAAGAGCCCTATAAAGGAGCTGACATTCGGGTATAATGCAACCATCATCATCATCATCATCATCATCATCATCATCATCATCATCATACATCCCTTACGCACGCCCTATCTTACACACGCCCTAGTACTACGTGTCTTACGCTCGTCATACACGCGCCCATCTGATAGATACCAACTCTTATCTGGAATGCATCTTGTTATAGCTATGGAGATCCCAGAGTTTTATAACAGAATGAGCAATTTGATTTCATCGGAGTTCAACTCTCTCACAGCTACTCCATTGTTCCTCGAAAAGGAAGCATCATAACTGACCATTCTTTTGTTATATCGCAGTGATCGAAGAAGTAGGAGGTGTGGTTATGACCTTCCCGGCTACTACTGCCTCGGTGTGAAGTAGGGCAAGTCGGAAATTGGGACACGTAAGTTTAGGGAGAGACATCAGAATGAGACTCCTGGCCTTGTGGTAAATGATGTCTGTGGGAATATCTCAAACGGCAACATTACAGCTTAGGCCTTCTTAGTGGAATTTTGGCAGGTTATTGCGGAGTAGGGCGTCGTACGGGTAGGGCGTGTTATCTTCTCCAAATGTTTAATGCGGAAGCAAGGTTTTTATAGCTCAACGAGTGATGAAAGATTTCATGTCGCTTTTAATGCACAGTATACTTATCTTTCAATCAGAAATGTCAGCAAAATTCCTCATCTTCGGCGGGGGCAGTATTGGCGCAGTCGTCGCGTACCTCCTAGTGCAATCGATTCCTTCATCTGACATTGTTGTCGTATGTCGCTCCAACTACGAGGCTGTCTCAGAGCATGGTTTCACAATCAACTCAACGATTTGGGGCTCAAACTTGCATGTGCAGCCAACTGTGGTTCAATCGGCGGCAGAAGCTGCTCAGCATGCCCCGAAAGGTTTCGATTATGCGTGCATTACGACCAAGGCAGTTGGCGAGGATGACACCCGGCAAGCAGAGCTCTTAAAACCAGTCATCGGTGCAAAAACAACAATTGTTCTATTGCAGAACGTAATTGGAATCGAAGCCCCCTACAGGGCGTTATTTAGTCAAAACGCAATCGCCAGTGCCGTTCTCTACACTCCTTGCACACGGACTGCACCGGGGATATACTCACACACCCTTCTCACCCAAATGCATGTGTGAACATATCCCGCTGCCAGTAGTTCCGAGCATAAGGCTTCTACAGCGCGTCTAGTCGAGCTGCTCAACAATGGCGGCGCATCCGCTACTCATGACGACGACGTGCAGATTGCTCGGTGGAAAAAGCTACTCATTAACGGTTCTGAGAATCCGATTTGTGCGTTGTCTCGCCTGCGAGATGCACAGTTCTTTCGCACGGATCCAGGCGCTGAGAGTTTCATGCGAGATGTCATGATGGAGCTGGCGCAGATTGCGCGTAAGCTGGGCTACACTTGCATTGATGAAGGTGTTGTGGATCATCAGCTGAGACTGCTCACTTCGCGCGAACTGCCGGGGGTTGCACCTAGTATGATGACAGATGCATTGGCTGGGCAGTCTATGGAAGTGGAGTGTATTGTTGGAAATGCAATGCGGATGGCACATAGGATGAATGTGTGCGTACCGAGGATGGAAGCATTGTACTATCTGACAAAGGCTTTGAACACTAGCTTCGTGCAGAATAGATAGGCATCTCAATAAATCTATAAGGAGTTTAGATTTGACATTATATTTGTATTACAGAGCCCAGCGGTACTTTGAAAGCATTTGCTCAACCTCTTTCCCATGAACTAATATCTACTCTAGGATGCCCTCATATTAGAATATTTTAAGCGCCCTGGAATAATTTGGAACTTTGTGATCGTACCGTCGCTACCCTGTTTTAATTCTGGGTAGATCTCCTTTAAAATGACCATAACATCGACATGGCTTTAAATCCAGCAAGCAAGCATAACGGTTCATTTCTTTAATATCAACATGAAACAGTAACATTCTGATAACCCTTATAGCTATTTACTTCCTCCATCCACAGGCCCAATTGGCTTTGGGTCCTCAACCCAATCAAAAGTTCCCAGTGCCTTGGTCAACCACATATCACTGGGATCATAGGCACCTCTCGGAGTCTCATTACCGAACAAAATAGTACCACTCAGGAAAGTGTGCGGAAATCCAGGATCAAAAGTATAAGCAGACTCAATCTTCTGGATATCCTCCGGGGTCAAAAAAAGCCCAAGAGCCGGCACGACACCGCGGACATGGTCAGCTTTCCTAGCCCCGATAATAGGAAACACATACGGCGACTTGTGGAAAACGTAAGCCAGGGCGACCTGAAGCAGCTCGACACCTTTCTCCTGTGCCACGTCCTCCAGAACCCGTGAAACCTTCTTATCGTGCTCCGACACCGGTACGAAATTCCGGACGTCGCTCTTCTTCTCTCGCTCCGCGAAGCCCGCCTCCGTCTGGAACCGGCCCTGGTTCAGGACGCCGTACGGAGAAAGACCCATGCCTTCGTCCCGACACATCGGGATGATGTCCCTCTCGAAATCACGTATCGACGCACTCCACCACCCCTGGTACACGCTGAACTGCCGCAGTCCGTGGTCCCGGGCATACTGGTTCGCCTTGGTGACGACCCAGGCCGGGGTATCCGAGATACCGAGGTAGAGCACCTTCCCTGCGACGACGAGGTCGTTGAGGCTATGCATCAGCTCGGGGATGGAGACCGTGTAGTCCCACCAGTGCACGTAGAAGAGGTCGATGTAGGTGGTCTGCAGCTTGCGGAGCGAGGCGTCCAGCGACAGCCGCATGGACTTGGCTCCGTTGCCGCCGTAGTTCGCCTGGATCCGGTCCTTATGGTGTCCCTGGTAGCCTGTCGTGTACTTGGTTGCGATCACCATCTCGTCGCGGTTGTTTCGGGCCGTGAGCCATTCGCCCAGCCAGATCTCTGACTGCTCGGCACGGTACCCGTTCGCGGTGTCAATGAAGTTGCCGCCCTGGCCGTAGAAGTAGTCGAGGATTTCAAATGCGCTTTCTTTGCTGCATTCGCCGTATCGCTCTTTGAGCACCGTGCCGAACGTCATTGTTCCGAGGCATATCGGCGATACTCGCACTGAGGCTGTCGGGGCGAGTTGGCGGTATCGGTTTAGGTATTGGCGGGTGTCAGACATGGTGAATTAGAAGGAGGGGACTGTCGGGGTAGGTGATTAGGGGACTTGCTCATTTGGCGCTTCTGATCTATCTTATATACTGTTGTTCTCATGTCTCTTCGGTTTATACATGGTTTATAGATCGGGGGTAGCGTCATATCCCCATACGTCCGCCCTTGATGGCACTTAACTCCGCCTAATCTCCACCTAATCTCCGTACAGAACATCAGCATTTAGTCCACTGGAGGTCTGGATGAAACAGTTAACATGTGCTTACTCTGGAGTACACGGCTGACAGAGTATATGCAGGGGTGGTCGTGGGATCAGCAGGACGACAGAGAGTCTATGGCACGGGCGGAGTTAAGACGTGGACATCTTCAGCTACTCCGCGGAGAGAGGTCGGCTCTCTTGAATCTCTAGCCAGCATTTATCTTTTCTCCTATATCCGGGACTAAGCCACTGTGGGCGAAGCTTAAGGGGGATCAGTACTTTGCGCGGTTTGATGCATGGCAGAAACGCCAAGTCCAAATATCGGAATGCGAACAAGCAAACCGCAAGATCATTTTTCATTAATAGACTGTTCTATTATGAAGTAGTCAAGTTATGGAGCTGAATGTCTAATCTATAAATTCTATGTCCCATATGAGATAAACGGTCAGTAAGGCTGAGATATATTCTGCTTGAAATACTACTGCTAGAAGTTAAAGAAATCCCTAACATAAAACTTGAAGGGTGAATCCTCAACCTAGCTTTCGATTTGAGAAACGTGGAAAGCGAGCATTCAATCCAATTTCGATAAAAGATTGAGCCTTGTCATGGATCGTGGCTTTATAGCTCCTATGGATAAGGAGCTTGCTTATCGGAGTCACATGTAGCAAGGACGTTTTGAACTGGGTATATGCTATGTCCAAAGACTACAGACAATACTACGGTTTGATCCATCTTTAGTTGTTTGCTGTACAGCAGAGCCAATCTGGTCTGGTATGTATTAATGTATGTACCATCTGTCTGGGATATTCCACAACTAAATGTCCTTGAATCGATCCAAAATATACACCATTATTCTAAAACGAGTCCGCGATTACCGGCTCCACAGACCTTCCCCCATCGCCCGTCTTCCGATCCTGCTGCATGCCCAGGATCTCCCACGCACGACCCATCATTCCATGGCCTGTTCCCTGCGGAAAGCCACCAAACACCGAGTTGCGCGGCGCATGACCACGCCCGCCTCCACGACCAAGCGCAAGGCGCTCTTTGCGCGAAGCGGCCAGACGGTCCTGTTCGCGCTCCTGGGAGACGACGTCGTCTTTCCATTCGGTCCAGCGCGAGAGGTTCTCGCGTTGTTGCAGGACTTGGTACCGGAGTTTGGTTTTGGAGGGGCGCCAGCCCGTCCGGGTGACCGGGTCGGTGGATGGGAGGGTGGATTTGAGATCGCAGATGTTGGATTCCGTGGTGAGTTTGAGGAGGTGGGTGAAGACATCGCGGCTTTCGGAGGCGGTTTGGTGGGTTTTTTCCTGGGGGTTGGGGAGGGTTGATGATGAGGACGAGGGCTGTGTGAGAGGGACGTCGAGCCAGGAGTGGAGCTCAGCGGAGCGTTGAATGGAGTAGGGGTCGAGGATGTTGGCGCGCCGGTTTTCTTCGCGGAGATAGCGGACGGCGGCTTGTAGGCTCTCAACTTCGGCGCGGAGAGCCTCGTTCTCCCGCATCGTGGCTAGCGAGGCACCAGCGTCGACGACGATCCCGTCCGTGGTGGCAACGCCGGTCGTGCCAGAGGCCCGTTTCACTCGATCCAGGCGGGCCTTGATCTCTTCGCGCTCGGCTTCCATGTCTTGAAGCTCCTTGCGTTGCTGTTCCACAAGGGCCTCGAGCTCGGTCTCTTTGGTTCGCATTTCCTCGATCTTGGCTTCGAGTTCTTTCACCATGGAGGCTTTCTTGGTGGCATCGCGCATCCGAGCCTCGACCGTTTCCACCTTGATGGTTTGTTCTTCGATTGTCTTGTCTTTCACGCCGAGAGCCGTGGACGCTTCGTTGATCTCGTTCTTCAGGCGGCGGATCTCTTCGTCCGCGTCGGGGGAGGAGGTCTTGCTCGACTTGAGCTCTGCGGCCCGCGCGATCCAGGGATTGGGGTGTTTCTCGAACTCTGATGTGATGGAGAGATCGGACGAAATAGATTCAAGTTCCTCCAGATTACCCCCAAGGCTGCGTAGCCTGTTGAAGATGAACGACATGGTATCACTGCTTTCGCTTCCGGATTCCGAGGGTCCGGCGTAAAGGGTCGAAATCTGAGACATATTCCTGGAAGCCTCTTCCAGGGAAAGCGGCTCCGTTCGACTTTCGTCGCTCAACAGATGTACGATATTCTCTCCGAGATGCCGGGTCAATTCGGCAAGCTCTTTAGCAGCCTCCTCGGTTTTCTTGAACGGTCCGGAGACATCTTGAGAGAGAGAAAGTGATCTGGACCGAAGGTCCTCGAGGGACCGATTGACTTTGCCCATGGCAACTTTCAACCCGCGCGCATGGCTGACGAATCCTTCCATCTTGTTCGAGAGGAAATTGATCTCCTCGTCGCCTTCTGGGGCTGAGATTTTAGATAATAACAGCGCTCTGAGTCGCCCTACAGAGGAGGCGGCGTGATCAATGTAGGACTGTGTCAACGACGAGCGCATGCAAAGTTCGCCAGAGAAGACCTCCAAAGAGCTTGGAAGATAAGTTTCGGCAAGGTGGGATATCAGAGCAATAGATCTTTGCAACTCCGTGCCACATTTCTTCATGTTTACTTCGTCCTTCTTAAGGAATTCAAGCCAGAAGTTCAACGTGCGCTCGACAGGCTCCATCTCAAACAATGTAGCCTTCATGTTCCCAAAGGCATCTGTAGAACAGTTGCTTATGTAGGCAACGAAGCGATCACACAAAGAGGCAATCCACGAGAGCTTCTCGAGAACATCGTACGCCGTAAAAGTATCTTCAAGCCCTGCAGGTATAGAGGCCTGCTCCGAGAGCTTTTCGCGAATAGTGCTGTTCATCAAAGAAGACTTGAATCCAACACGTTTGAATCGCAGAAGCGCAAGAATAGAGTTTCGCTCTCCTTCGAAGTACTCGGGAAGATACAGCTTCAAGATAGATAAGTGCTGGGTAGCTTCCTCGGCCTCCATATGACCAATCTCAATATCGATTGTTTTGGTCTGTGTCTTTGTGACAGATGCCTGAAGCTTCAAATTCAGGTCCATCATAGCCCGTGAACGTGTAGTGAGATCGGTGGCCTCGGCTTCTGAGATTTGTTGCGACGCTCGCATGTCCTCCAGGTCGCCCTGCAGGGTCGAGACCAGCTCGCGGAAGCGTACCAGTGTATATTCCAGGTCATCAATGACTTCGTCTTGCTGGGTGATCTTTCGGCACTGTTCGTTGAACAGACCCTCTCTATAATCGATCTCCTCTTGCAGCTGCTTTTCGGTTTCAATGTGGTTATACTCAAGCTCGTCGTTAATTTCTTTCAGAGCCTCCAAGTCTTCTATGGCTGCGTGTAGTTCGTTGATCTCCTCTTGATAGCGCATGTTCTTGTCCGCAAGCTCTTCGATCATTTCTTCGGCGCCAAGAGCCGTCTCCAACTGTTGCTTCAGGTCTTCAACATTGTTTTCAGACACGAGAAGCTTTTCTTTCGTGGATTCATACTGAGACTTGACAGCTGCGTAATCCTCCAAATCCTGCTCCATCTCCTTGACTTGTTCTCTCAACTCTTGCTCTTGCTGCTGAGTCATATCACGAAGACGCAGGAGAGCTTCGCGAAGACGTTCATTCGTTTTCTCCATTTGCAACCACCCATGGCTGGATTTCTCCTCCGGGCTCATAACTTGGCCAAACTCCTCGTTCTCTTCGCGCAGGACTTCCACTTCCAGTTGTAGCTCTTCCACCTTGCCTCTCAGCGCGTCGCATTCATGTCTGAAAGCATCGGATGTTTCTTCGGCCATTTCGCGGTCGAGGGTTGCCATTTCCATGATGGATTCATGTTCTGCCTGGAGTCGCTCAACCTCCTCTAGCCTTGCTTCCGACTCCTTCAACTTCTTCCGCAGGTCACCGATTTCGGCCTGCTGCGGTTGATATTTCGCTTGCAGTTTCTGGATGATGGATTCATATTTATCCCTATCCGACTGCAGCTTTTCCAGTGACTTGAGCTTCTCCCGATCCTCCGTCCGCTTCTTTTCCATCACCCGCAACTTTGTCTTCAATTCTTCGAGTTCTCTAGCAACTGCGCCATTCTGACCTTGCCGTTGCGACGATGAAGGTGACGAGAGGCTCGGGCGACCAGCGCTTGCTCGTGCGGGGCCGGTAATTGCTCTGGATGTCTTGGGAGCCGGCTCCTCGATCTGCGGAGCATCCTCGTCAATGTCCTGCTGAGACCCAGACTCGAAAGCCTCCGAATTTGGACTGGCTCCACTATCGGGTTCCTCCGATGGCTTATTGGTGGCTGCTGGTCGCAAGACAGGGCGCTTGGCTATCCCCGCGGGCGTCGAGGCAGAGTCAAGAGTATTCTGTCGCGTAGTTCTGGTTGCAGGTCCAGATATCGATGGTCGGGAGGTTCGAGTCGCGGCTGAGGGAGGAGGCGGAGGACCCATGGAAGACTTCCCAGCTGCTGGGCGCAACTTGGGAGGTGCCACGGATGGCCGAGAGGTACCACTAATGGAGGAACGGTGTGAAAGGGGAGTGGAGGCGCCAGACATCTGCTTGGTTGGAGATTTGGCAGGGGGCTGCGAAAAAGCTTGATTAGCATATCGCCGGCCATTGACGCTGCATAGTCGCACAAACATACCTTCAAGGACAGTCGCTGGGCTGCCACTTTGGATGCGGGCGTCGGACTAGCAGAGCTCGCGCTGTGTCGTTTTGTATTCGCAGCCGGCGCAGCGCCCACCTTCTTGATCCCCGTACCGGCTGCAGCAACACCACTCTGGGCGCGACCTCTGTTGGCTGGTGGAACGTTGGTGCTCCCCTTCGCCGCCGGTTTGGCATCCCGCGCGGGCTGTTGGGCGACTGTCGCCTTGATCGCAGTCTTCCGTACAAACATCCCAAACCCTGGCTCACACTCAAAATACTGCTCTCCTTGGATAGAGCCATCGTTCTTTCCCGTGGGTTCGTCCAATTCGATTCCGATCCAGTCGCCCGGAGAGAAATGCGTCGTGCCGATGAAGCGAACGGTGGCCTGCCGACCGTCCGTCAGTGTGACCACATTGCCGATAGATTGCTCCATGGTCAAGCAATCCAGGAGTCACACCCCTGGTACCGGTAAATGGTGTAGAAGAGGGAAGGGAGGGGCAGGGCGAGCGCCGTGGAGAAACAGGGGATGTTGTTTATCGGAAGTTCAACGGCCTTCCCGCCGGTCGGAGCCTCAGGACGCGATCCGCGTGCATGGTGCCTTGATGCCTGAGGCGGTCAGTTTCCCAAACGGGTGCACCCCTCTAGGGCTCGCCTTCTAAGGGATAATTTCTCCCTGTCATCCTTCATCCCACTCGTTCGTCCTGCTGCGTGCTAGAGTGATGGGCATGCTCCTAGGACGCCTTGATAGGGATGTCTACTACCATCTTTCTCCTCGCTTTGGATTCAAAGGAGCGCAGTTATGTAGGAGGTTACGATGGGATTTTGTAATTATAAAGATCAGTCTATTTCTCATTCTTCTCTATCAATAGTCTTCCATTCTATCCTATCTTCAAGTGCTATGGCCATTGGATGATCTTCAATCTTCTTATATGAACATTCTTTTGTGGTCTCTTTATAATATTGTCGCTCATACCAAAGTAAACGGTACCATGATGGGACGTTTCCTATATTTCGGTGCGCTCTGGTCTGCTTTAACTAGCATTGCCGGTGCAAAGGCCCCTTCAGACCAGAAATGGACTGAGCGGTCCATATATGTGAGTACATCAAATTCCATTGAAGCTGTCAACGTCACGATTTTTCCTACTGACAGCCGCATAGCAAGTCATGACTGACCGGTTTGCCCGGTCCAACAGCTCCGACGATAGCTCTTGTGATCCGTACAGATACTGCGGGGGCTCGTGGGCTGGAATTGTCGACAGACTGGACTACATTCAAGATCTTGGGTTCACGGCCGTTCAAATATCTCCTGTCGTGGAGAACATTCCAAATAATACCAAGTACGGGGAAGCCTATCATGGGTACTGGCCGCAGAACCTATACGCCCTGAACGAGCATTTCGGGACGGCTGAGGATCTGAAGAATCTAGCGGACGAGCTTCACAAACGAGACATGTACCTGATGGTTGATGTCGTGATCAATGACATGGCTCAAGCTGTGAAAGGCTCTATGGACGACGACCATCCCCCTGAGATGGATTGGTCACAAATGATCCCCTTCAACCATGAAAAGTACTACCATCCAGCCTGCAGGATCAGGGACTGGAATGATCCGGAAGACTATCAGAATTGCTGGTTTGCGGTCCAGACTGTTGCCCTGCCGGACCTGAATACAGAGGATGATAGGGTTGTCCGGATGATCCAGGAGTGGGTGAAGGGGCTTGTCGGCAACTATTCGATCGACGGTCTGCGCATCGATGCTACCAAGCATGTAGATGATGCCTATTTGACCAACTTCAACCGAGCTGCTGGGTTGTTTACCTTGGGTGAGGTGTACAGCGGAGACACGGAGTTGGTCTGCAGATACGAAAAGTTTGTCTCTGGTCTTCTGAACTTCCCTATTCATGGTCCGATGATCAAGGCGTTCACTGCTGGTGAGATGGAAGGGCTCGCCGAGAAAGTTCGCACTGTGCACAATGACTGTAAAGACTTTAGTCGTCTGGCGACGTTTCTCGAGAGCCATGACATCCCACGTTTTGCTTCCTTGGTGAACGATACCACCGTGAGTTGAGACCCAAACGACAGGTTCTCCTGATCAGGAGCTAACTACATGTCCACAGCTTGCCAAAAATGCAATGGCATTTAATATCCTCTCTGATGGAATTCCAGTGGGTAAGTGGCACGGCTTCACACCTACCCTGTCCTTGCATTAACACTTTCATGCAGTCTATCAAGGCCAGGAGCAACATATGCCGGGGAATTTTGCCCCGTATAACCGCGTGCCACTCTGGACCACGGGATACAACACCAGCGGGCCGCTATACAACGTGACAGCATCGCTTAACAAGATTCGCAACCACGCCATCCGCATGGATCGACATTATGTCTCAAACCACAGCATGGAACTCTACCTTGACGGCTCAACATATGTCACCAGGAAGGGCTCTGAGGGTCTTCAGGTTGTCTCTGTTTTTTCGAACCAAGGCTCTACCGGTGGTCCATACAAACTTACAGTGAACGACACTTTCTCCCCCAACACGGAGGTCATGGAAGTCTTGAACTGCTCGAAGCATCATGCTGACCAACATGGTCGTCTCACCATTGATATGGATGAGGGAGAGCCGAGAGTCTTTTATCCCTCGAAGAAGATGAAGGATTCTGGCCTGTGCGGCTATCATAAACGAAATGCATCACTGTCTGGCAATGGGAAGAATTCTACAAATGGCCCCAGGAAGAATTCAACCACCGACGAGACATCATCGTTTGGGCACCAGACTATCATTCCTTCTTCTGCGGCGCTTTTCTGTGTTTTATTTGTAACTGCGGGCTGGTTGCTTTAGGTCTTGATGACTTTTTTGCTTCTGTTTTATACCAACTGCTAGCTTATATTTCTATTATATATTTTATAAGCATTAAGACAATCTATAATGACTTGTACAAATTCTTCTAAAACAGTCAGTCTCTAATCTGAACACCAATTATATACTTGAATTCAGAGAAATCTATAGTGAAAGCAGAAATCGACTGGAGAAAATTCCCAGTGACCTGTATAAAAGTCCTCCATGGTTCGTATATCCATAAACATGACATTTCATATACACACGTAAAGATCTATATCGACCAATCTATCAGTTCTGGAGTGAACTGCCGGTCTTGAATAGATGCGGGAAGCAAATCCGTAGATCCTCTAGACTCCGAACCATGTACTGCGACGCTGGTGCCGAAGGAGGAGTAACTCCGAGCTCGACCAGATGGGCAGTCTCCCATCCTCGTTCTGCAGCATGCTTGCAATTCAAATGAGAATCATCTTGATGAATAATCAGCATCGTCCAGATATCTGGTCTAAGTAGGCAGATGAAACATACCAACAAAGTAGCTCTTGGCCCCACTAGGGACCTTTGCTTCCCTCTCTGCCTTCTCATACATCTCCTGACTGGGTTTGCAGACCAAAGGCGTCTGCGAGTAGTCGCAGTAGGTAACACCCTCGAACATATCATCGACTTGCAGGAGCTTGACGACCCGCTTGGCATGAGTGACATATGCGTTTGTGAGGAGCCATAGCCGCACTTTGTCCTTGTCAATGTCCTCGAGTAGCTGTCGCAGCTTCAGATCCGGTTTCAGAACGTCATCCAGCGGCAGGGCATCATCGACTTCGCGGTTGAATTCGAGAGGGTCAATCTTGTGGTGGCGCGTCAGCCCCTCGATGGCAAGACCGTACTCCTTGTAGTATTTCATGTGCAGGACGTGGGCGTCTTCGGTGCTCAGGGAGAGGTGGGTGGTGAAGAATTTGTCTGTCAGAGCGCAAGGCGCATTAGATGTGGTTCTATTCAGATTGACGGCTCGAGGACTTACTTATGAGCTCTTGCATGTGGCCGAAGATGTTGCACTCTGAACCGCGAGTTAGTACTTCTGTCCTTCGGGTGATGCTGTGTCGCGTAGCAGTTCCTGACCTCTGGAGTAAAGCTGTAGGATGAAACCATGATTAGCGCAATCGCTTAGAGCGAACGACGCAAGACCACTTACACAATTGTCAATATCGAAGAAGAAAACGGGTCTGTTGTCAGACTCCGTGCTGGGCGTTGCGGTCGACATTGTTTTGCGGATGTACGGGGCAACGCGATCAGGCATAAAAGAAGAGCAAGTGAGGGCAGAGAGAGGACCTGAGCGCGATAGAAAGGACGAGTTCCAGCGATGCACAGCAGACGAGCGAAAGGTCCTAGATATACCGGAGGGTCCCAGAAAATGATTCATTGCGGAGGAGTCATTGCGAGGGAGAAAGCCGGAGAACCCACCAATTACAGTAGGAGGCGGGCACGGGACCCGGCAGACACCGACGGCGGCGCCCAGCAGGGTTTAGCGCCGGCCAGCAAGATTGCCTCGAAGCTGCACTTTGACTTTCTCCTCTTTTCCTCCCATTTATTCCTCATCTCCGCGTCTCTCTTTGTCGCTAACGGTGGCTCTAGTCCATCATCCCAAGTCATTGCACCGTAGGCCGGTACTCTGCTTTGGTCACTTGCATCCCAGCAGGGTCTTGCAATAGGCTGGTACAATCCTGGGATTGTGAATTCGCTTCGGAAAGGAAGGTGACTTTTCATCCTTCGCGTGAAGCTGCCAGATATGGCCACAGCCCAACTTCCAGGTGGTGCTCCGCGGGGATTACCCACCCGTGAAGAAATCCAAGAATATGAGAAAATCCTAAAAATAAGTGACGACATCTTTTCTGGGACTCACCCTAGGTTGAAGGTGCCCCAACAATTTGTGCGAAAGACCGCGTCCCGAAACCATCCTGCCCCGAATCAAGCTCAGGTAAAATCCGGTGACCAACCGGTTTCTTCCCCGGGCAAGAACCGCCCCCAGTCCGTGGCTACTACGCCGACGATTCCTACAGACGCGCAGGCGACCAATGTCGGCCACGCGGCCTCCGCTTTGGCTGCGTCTTCGCGCGTCATGCCGAGACCTACGTCCGAGATTGACCCGATCTTTTTGACCAAGTCAGATGATCTTGTCAGAGCAGAACTACAATTACAGCGGCAGAGGGTGGAAAGGTCGTTGCGGGATCAGCTGGACCACAAGAGGCAGGAGTCGCGGCAGAAGGCGTCGATCCAGGACGCGAAGCCCGACTTCGATGTGTCCGAGGTGCTGCAGAAGGCCTTCGAGATGGTGAACCCCTCGCCGTCGGTCGAGGCTCCCGCTGCTGGGCAGTCCAGTGACTCGTTCGATGATAACTCGTTCTATTCGAGTAGAGCCCCTGATTCTCCGCAGAATGGCGATCAGGCAGGGCCATCCCCCAGACGACCCTCGCGTCAAGAGCTTGCCACTGAAGTCCCAAGAGAACCTTATTCAGATGAGTTGCAACGGCTTGAAGCCCTCAACCGAGCTGAATCGGATCAGGATATGCAAGATACTTACCCCGTTGCAGACGCCCCATTACCCTACCATCACCAGAGGCCGTCACGGCATGTCGAGGCAGAGTATATGGGTCCTAGATACCATGCGCCTCCGGCGCCAGTGGATGCGTTTGAAGAGCCAGAATACTCACCGCCTGCTCCAGGTGTGGCACCAATGGAAAGGGGAACAGATCATGAATATCGTCCACGAGGATATCCCAGTGGGCCGAAACGACGAGGTCCCCCGGACACCAGAGTGTCCGACCGCGGCCGTTACCCTCGCAGGTCTATATCGCCCGGTGACGACGTAAGAGTTGTTCGAAACCATATAACGTCGCCGGCAGCGCCGCAGCCTTCTAGAGTCTCACCGCTAGCAATCGCCAAGGTTCCCTCCGTCCACCAACACAAAGACTCCCGTTCCGAATACGCCCCAGAGAGTCAGGCCAGCCCCGATGGTCCTGCCCCCCAGCCGTTGTCAACTAGAAAGCGTAGGAGACTACATGATGACAAGGACAAGACTCGCACGGTCTCTCAGAGAATGCAACCTGGCCGGTCTGATGAACCTTACATCAAGGAAGAACCCGTGTCGCCGCCACCTTTCGCAGACACGCCCCCAGCATACCGCACTCGTCAGCCCCAGGAACGGCCTGTGTATATTGACATCGCGTCCCCTCGGTATACTCCGGTGGTGGAGAGGCGAGAACCTCCGATCCGAGAGCCGGCCTATGAGATAGACCCGTACGAGCTTCAAGGTGAAACTAGCATCCCGCGAACTCTGTCACGGGTCAGCGCCAGACGGCCCCTGCGGGATGATCAGGATCTGCGGAGGGTTGCTAGCTTGCATCACAGCCGGCAACAGGAATATCCTCGTGAATACATAGACCCTGCTAGCCCCCGCGGGTTGCGGGCAGCCTCTTACGCAGTTGTTGAACGTCCGCCACAGGAACGAGCCAGGTATTACGACGAAGTCGCGCCTCCGCCTACGAGACGCTACGTTGCCGCAGGCGAAGCATCATCCTCGCCGCAGTACCGCGAAGCGTACTATGAAGAGGAGCCTGCTAGCCGTATGATGGCACCCCCAACAACGCGGCGAATCGTGGTTGATGAGCACGGAAACCAATATTACGAAGCAGTCCCGGCACCAAGAATGCAGGCTATGCCTCCCCCGTCTACGCGTGTACCTCGCAGCGAGGTTTACGAGGACCCTCCACAAATCCGCCAGGCCAGCGTCCGAGCTGCATCCGTGCTGGAAGACCCCTACGGCGGCCGACGATACATGCAAGAGATGCCTCCGCCGCAAGGAGTCTATCGGCGAGTCACCGACTACGCTCGGCCGGCTCCGAGTGATCGACGGTCCTACGTTGCTCCGCTTGACGAGCGCGAAACGTTCCCGCGCAGCGCTAGCGTCCAAGTCGGCGACTACGCTGCCCGGCGTCCACCCTACGTGGAAGAGGCCGAGCTTCCCCGCGAGCGAGTGGTTCGGATCCCCAGCGTGCGACCACCCACCGCCTGCTACGAAGAACCCCGAGAGATGCTTCCGCGGGTCGAAAGCGTCCGACCGGGGGGTCGAGATATGAGTGTGTACATGGATGAGGATACCCGGCGGCCGAGAGAGTACATTGAACGACCACTTTATGTCGCAGCGCGACCTCTGGCCCGGGGAGAAGGGTACTACGAGAGCGGCGAGCCGGAGCGAGTGATGCTCGATAGCGGAGTCCATCGCGTCTCGCAGCGCTATTGATCTGGAAATTTTTCACCCATGTAATGACACATAATTCACGAAACGAGTATTATAGTCCATTTGATTCCCTCGTTTGAACAAATTTCATTGACACATTTCATACTTTCGAATCGAACCACATCATCTTTCCATCTAGTGTTATACAGTAGAATATCGTTTGTAGAAAATAAAGTGAAACGAATAAAGCCAGAACCCTTGCATCAGAAATACCACTACAATATCTTTAGAAAATCGGCATCAATGACATGATCGTATTCCAAAACACGATGGTTTTCATCCTTTGCCAGTCGGTCCAACTCGTCAGTCCGGTTCAAGCGGAGTCTACTCGGATCAAGATCCAAGACAGATAGATAGGTGGATAAAAGGGGGGGGGGGGGGGGGGGGCGCGGAGGACAAAAAAGCCACCTGGGCAGAGCAGGGCAGAGAGGACACCATGATTATGGGCAGTTAGGTAGATTGATAGGTTGGTTGGTTACTGTTAGTTAATTGAACCAATCAGGTTCTTCATGTGGTTGTCCCCGTTGGCACCGGACGGGGTAGCTAGGTAAATAGGTAAGATTAGGTAGGCTGGGTAGAGAGCATGGACGATAATAATAATAATGGATCCGGCTAAGTATAGCATTCTATACTTAGATTTAGATTGGAAGCCATGTCTAGTTCAACGCCTAGGGAGAATTGAGTGGTGGGTAGGATGATTGGGTCCTACCTAGCTAGCTGTGCACGTCATTAGGACAGTAGGTAGATAGACAGTCAGTGCTGGCTTTGCTTTCACTGAGGTGGTTTCTTAGAAAAAGAAAGTTGTTCTTCGTTCGAGTAAACAGAGCTGTTCAAGCCAGGAAAACCAGGAAGGGGCGGTGGGACGGGCGGTCGAGGCAGGCTGGAGTTTGTTTCTGCCTGGGGCATTCACGGGGTTCATGGATGGGTCAACCATGGGAAGTGGACTCGGGGTACTTGCTTGGGTTTTTGTTTTGATAAGTAATTAAATATTCTAATACTGAATAGTAAGCAAGAGTCCTGTTAACGGGTTACTAATGGTGTACAGGGGCAAAACTGCGTGTAACCCATGCCAAGGTGCCGCTGTTCAAAGGAAATATATTCTCGAATGCGGGTGGTGTGTAGCCGTCCAGTCCATGTTTCTACGTTGTACAATGCGGCGGTTTCACCAGTACTTCGACAGAACGCCGGCAATTACTGGTTGGAGACTCGGATAGAGAAGACCCTGTTTTACGGTATATTTAAATCAGAGTAATTTTTTTTCTTTGAAACCTGGGTGCTAGAGAAATCCTCCTCCGTAGTCCCAGTACTAGGGCTAGAGAACATGAAGCAAGCCAGGTGAAAACACAGGACTGTGTGGTCTGTAAGACAGCACATACTCACATTGCACCCCACCACCCAACCGTATGCATGCAGGCCTACATATCACATCGAACAGGCATGAAGAGAAACCGTACCAGGCACCGCGTGACATGACACCTGACAATGGTAGAAATATCTCCGATCGGCCGGGATGGTCGGTCGTCCTGGCGATAGGCACTTTGCAATACGGGGGTGGAAGAGGGGGGGGAAAAAGCACACACGTTCCGTCAGTTGACTTGCTCCGGAGGCAAGGTAGGGCAGAGAGGTCGCGACTTGCATGATTCTCGTAACCCGAACTGGAGAGGGTCCGGATTTCTGATCAACGACCAGTCCAACAGCGACGACCCGACCCACTCGGCGTTGCTTCGAGATGACGTCGGTGAAATTGACACCATCGACGAGGTGGGATTAGTCGGTTCTCACCTTCTCACGCCAACGCCGGAGTGGTTAGAACGTGCCGCTGTAGATCGATGAGTAATATAGGCCGGGTCGTGCAGGGCAAAGGAACTAAGCAAGGATTAAAGGATCATCTCGTGTGTCCTGGTGGACTTTTCGCGGCGGGGGAAGAAGAGTCAGGGAGGGGACAGGGAGGGAGCCCGGGAGAGAGAATGAGGACAGGCAGACAGGGAAGGGGTGGTCCCTTCAGGAGCAGGCCGAAACGGCCAGGAATCATACGGAGGAATCATGGAAGCGTGATCCAGCTGCCAGATCGTTATCTCCAGCGGATTCGTAATCGTTGTCACGACTCAAATTAACGGCGGTCAATCATTGACTGTTTGGAGCAACAAACTCAATGAGCGGCGGGCGGGCGATGCTATTGGCACGCCCGCCAGTCGATCCGGAGGGTATGGCTGGATTCGATGGCCCCGACCGCGACCAGGATGAATTCATGGCCCTGTCAAGGTTTCTTCCACTCGAGGTAAAAGTAAACAATGGCCTTTGACGAGCGATCCCGTTTCCTGGGGTTCCGGACGGCGGAGTGATGATACACAGTGACGCAAGGCTGAGAATGTCCAACGGCGTTGCCTCAGAGGGGAGAGCAGGAGAGACATTCCTGCTCCCCCGTAAATGTGGAGGAGGCATCCTGGCGGCTGGTTGGGCAATGCGAGGTATGCAGAGTGGCAAATGTATGGCCAACCCACCCGGGGGTACCGCCTAATCCAATGGACGCCCTTCAGAGCTGGTGGCCAACCCGGGCCAAGTACTTTTTTGTTTGTGTGCGAGTCCACCGGTGGTACGGAGTGGACGGGGGAGAGAGAGAGACAAGTCGAGGCTGAATCTGAAGTGACCCGTGACGATCCCGTTCCTTCCCGCCCGAGGGACGACGTAGGACGTACTACGCAGAACTGCGTAGGAGGTCGGAGGGCCGTCGTGAGTTACTTTACGCAGTGGTACTTTGGTGGCCGTTAAGCTTTAGTGCCGTCTCGAGGGAACTAGCTACGATGGGGTTTAGCAGGGCCTTTCTCCCAACTACTCTGGAAGATGCACAAGTCATGACGGAATCGACTGGGCGGGAGAGTTGGCCACGTGACCAGCACTCGCTTGGCCCGAAGAGGCAAGGCGGGTGGGCCGTGCGTCGACGGGACGCCGTAATCGGTACGGACTGGTACGGGATGGCGGGTTTCAGGCGGCTGCGGTACCGCGTAATTACGGGCTGTGCGCGGCTAGACCCGTCCGGGACTAGCGCCGAAGGGCGGTCTCGAGAGCGTCCGGCAGATCGATCGATCGCAGTCTTTCTGCTCTCTCGGTCGGTGGAAAGGGAGACTCGGAGTCCACTTAACAGGTACGAGGAATGAACTCGGTGCAAGGAGCCCGCTCTGCAGATGCCCTGCGACGGTCTGGTGTCGTTCGGCGTAGGGATGGACAGGTACGGACAAAAGAAGAATGCCAATCGAATCCATAGCACATTCCGTATAGGGAACGAGGTTTCCGCCATTTGCAAACATTGGGGCCTAGACACGCCGGGCTGAGAGTTCGACCCGCATCGGCCGCTAGATCGTTCCTTGTTGGACGCCGTATGAGGCAGAGAGAGGGCGAGGGAGGAAGAACGAGGGGGAGAGAGTGGGAAAGAGTACGAAAGAGCGAGAAAGAGAGTGAGATAGAAACCCAAGAGTCCGAGAGAAGAATCAAGACCGAATAACGACAGAAGGACAGAAGGACAGAAGGACAGAAGGACAGAAGGACAGAAGGACAGACGGACAGAATGAGGATCTGGGAAAAGAAGCCTGAAGAAGCAGGAATCCAGGACCGTCGCGTCCTCAGGCCATCATTGGGTAAGCTGACGGGGCAAGCGGTTCTTGTTCTGGATTTCCTGCTCTTCCACCTTCTTCATCTTCATGCATCCTGGATCTATCGCATTCTTCCTTCTTTACCTCTCTCTCGTCGGATTCCACTGGGGACCTTTACCTTCGTCTTTTTGATTCCCCTCTTTCTCTCTCTCTCTTTCTCTTTGCACCTTTCCTGTTCTTCTTTTTTTCTTATTTTTTTTTTTTTTTCTTTTTCTCTTTTTTCCCCCTTCTCTTTTCCCTATCGAAAACCCCCCTCTCCCCACCCCAATCTTCGATACCCGTTTGCTGTTGAATTGATACCTTTTTTTCCCACCCATTCCGGTGCCAGAAAAAAAAGAAAAAAAGAAAAAGAGGACCGCCCTTGTCCACACACCACCATTTCGCGCCCATTCCACTTCCTGCTTCCTCCACCCCAATCAATCCCCTGTCGGAAACGGTGCCCTTTTTTTTTTTTTTTTTTTTTTTTTTTTTTCTTATCATTTCTGGCCTCCTGTCTCTTCCTTCCTTTCCTTGCCCTTCCCTCTTGATTTCCGCCCATCCGCCATTCTCTCCCTCCTCCCTCCGCCGGTTTCCTTTCGCATCTCTCCCCTCGACTCGTTCAAGGGGCCGGAGATCCGACTTATCCCGCCTGTGTCATGCACAAGATTTCCAACTTCACGGGCCAGGCCCGTCATGGCTGGGAACGAATGACGCCGACCTTCGGTATGTCTAGGCCTCACGCCGATATGGCCTCGCACTCCCTTCGACGACCACACGGCGCTCCGCCGATGACGCCTCCCACCGGTATCGACCCGACCGTGAACCTCTCCATCAACGTCCCGTTTTCCTCCACGCTGGCCGGTCCCGAAGCCGACGACGTGCTGCATGCGAGCCCCGGCGCCCTTCAGCGCTGGTCCTTTCCCGAAGGCACCCCCGAAGGCACCCCCGTGCATCACCTGCCGGTCCACACCAGCAACGTCGATGCCCTGCGGAGGTTATGTCATAAGATTACGGAGACCAGCAACGGACGCATCGAGGCCACCGTCGCCTCCTCGGAGCCCAAGACCCAGCCCTCGCTACAACGGCGGCCGCAAGGGTTGGTCACCAATGTCTGCATCACCGGTGATGGCGAGACGGTGCGCAAGATGCGAGCGAGGATCTTGAACGAGACCCCTATCCTTCTGGTACGTCGATTGAGTCCCCGATTGGACCTCGATCCTCTTGGTTCTTTGCTCCTTGCTAACGGCTGAGGTTCAATAGCGATGTGCGACCGTCGACGTAGACATGCACCTCATCACGGATAATTCCACCAAGGGCATCCGGGCCAGTGTTCTGGAGCACCTCGACACCTTGGCTGCCTACACCGGCACCGATATCTTCCTTCTCAGCCCCAAACTTCGTGATACGGACAGCGCGGTGGTGTCTTCCTACGGCTACGCTTCGGACAACGGGCTGGATCACCGCTTTCGGGTCTCGATTTACGGCGACATGGAAAGTGCCGAACATGCCAAGACCAGGGTTTTGATTATGATCGATCAGATCGTAGGTGTCCCCCTATTTGTTTCAGACTCTTTCCCTTCTTTGGTCAGGACTAATCGACCGGCAGCTCAAACGTCACGTGGATGCCATCAAATTGGACTTGACCATGCACACTTTGGTCTGCGGTCGCACCCGCAAAAATATCAAGCTCATCGAGGCTGCGACCGGCACCGCCATTTATTTCCCGCCGCCGTTCCCCCAAATTTTCGGATATACCCCCCCGGGCGCCCACCGTCGCAGCGATGAAGAAGTTTATATCACCGGCGATACCCAGGAACAGATCGCTCGTGCCAAGCAGAAGCTGCGGGAATTGGTGATGGGGGTCAAGATCTACGTGAAGGACGCGGTTGTCAACTGCAACAAGATCGACAATATCCTGCTGGACCGGCTGGACAAGGTGCGGAAGGTGATGGAAATGAACGGTTCCTACGTTTTGTTCCCGCAGCTGGGAAGTCAGCGGGGTGTTGTTCGCGTCCAGGGCACTGAAGTTCTGCATGTGGAGCGCACCGTCCGGGAAATCATGGCTCTGGTTTGTCAACCCAGGCTTCTGTTTTCTGCAACCCTGGCTAACTCGAATATACTAGGCTGGCCAATTCTACAGCGCCTCCTGGTGGATTATCATCCCAGATCCGTCCCAAGCGGTCCGCACTCCGTCCACCTCGGACATCCGCACGATGCTCTCCGACATTTGCACCAACTCTGCCGCCGAAGTTAGCTTTGACAATCTGGCGTTCACCATTAACGGCTCCGACGATGCCGTCAAGGCTGCCATGATGGTCATCAACCAGATTCCCTTCATCCAGCGCAGTCAATACCAAATGCGGGTCAAAATCGAACTGGCAAACGAGCATAAGGAGTTTGTCAGTGGCAAGAAGAACGGCAAGATCAACAAGATCATGGGTCAAAGTGCGTTGATAGAAACCGGACTATCTTGTGTTGGACTTGAATGCTGATTGAGTGAACAGGCAACGTGCAGATTATCTTCGATGGATTCAACGAGTACAACTTCTACATCGATGTGTGTGGAGGACAGTACGAATCCACCAAGAACGGCTTGGATCTCGTTGAACAGGAAATGCCGGCCTCGATTTCGTTCCACGTGCCCGATCAGTACCACAAGCGAATCATCGGAATCGGTGGTCAGCATATTCAGCGCATCATGAAGAAATACTCCGTTTTCGTCAAGTTCTCCAATGCGATGGATCGCGGAGGCATGGGCAAGGAGGATGACGACATCAAAGTTGACAATGTCATCTGTCGTACGCCCGCACGTAACGCGCAGAGTCTCGATCTGGTCAAGCAGGAGATCATGGACATGGTCGAGAAAGTTGTACGTGTTGCTAATCTTCCCAGTATAGTTCTGTTGCTCACATGTGAATTTAGGATGCCGAGTACGTTTCTGAGCGTGTCGTTATCAACCGACTGTACCATCGCGAGTTGCTCTCCCGCATGACCGAAATCGACGAACTCGAGAAGAAATGGAACTGCAAGATCGAGTTTCCCAGTACCGAGCTTGCCAGCGATGTCGTGACCATCTCCGGACCTGAGTACCAGGTTCCTCAGGCTGTCGATGCCCTACTTGTGAGTGTTGTTGGGTTGTTTGCTGCATAGCCAATCTTACTGATTCCGTTACAGGGAATGGTCCCGGAGAGCCACGAGCTTCTTTTCCAGACTTCTCCCGAGCTTCGCGAGTTCTTCCAGTCGACCGAGTTCCGTGACGATGTCTGCGCCAAACTGAAAGATCAGTACGAGGTGGATACGAACGTCGACTCGAACCCCGACCATCCCGCCTCCGAAGGCGGCTCGTCTTCGCCCACCTTTGCCCCCGATGACCGTGTTGTGCTCGGATACACTCGAAACAATGCGGGCGGGCTGAAGGACGCCATTGATTTCTTGATCTCGCGATTGGTCGCTCACGGTCTCGACGCAACTACCGTCAAGGGGGCGATCCCTCGTCCCAAATCCGACTCGTTTGAGGAGTCCCTGCCATTCTTCGACTCTAAATTGCTCCAGCATGCACCCGCTCCTCTTGTCACCGACTCTCCCACTCGCCCCAACTTCTCCGATGAGACCAGCGAGCGTGGCTCGATCTTTGAAAGGCTTCGCAAGCCCGGAAGCATCTCGTCCTTTTCTTCCTTCATCGGACGCAAAAACCATTCGGCCTCTCCCGGCTCGTTCTTCAAGCACGCCTCTAGCAACGCCTCGAAGGCGTCTTTGGTGTCCATGGAGTCTCGCGACAGTGGCTACCGCAACCCGTGGAATGATTCCGGCGTGAATCTCCCGGAAGACGATCTGCCCGTTTTGGGGAGTTCGCACAGCCACAGCAGCAGCAATGGCTGGCCAGCGCGCTTTGACACTAAATTTCCATTCGGTACCGCACCGGGGGACATGACTCCCAAGCATGACCCCCGTGCGTCTTTTGATAGTGGTCGTCCTAGTACTTCCAATTCTACTTCTGGATACCCGGCCCCCATTGGGCCACCGCGTTAAAAAAAACCGTCAATTTGCAGCAGTATACCCCAAAGACTTCTGACGTTTTTGTGTCGTGTTATTTTCTTGATTTTCCGTTCTGTTCTGTTTGTTCTCAGCGTTTCTTGATTCGGTTCTTTTTGTTTTTTTCTTTTTGATACCACCCAAAGTCAGCCAGGAAGGGACTCCGGAAAGCGAAGAAAAGGAAAAGAGAGGGACCAAATCTAGGAAAGAGAGAAAGAGTGGGGGAAGCTATACCCTTTGAGAAACTTTTGTTTGCATGATTTCGTCATTTTTTTGCTCTGATTCTTCAAGTTTTCTATATCCCTGTTCCTGTTTTGTTCTCTTTTTCTGGGCAGTGTGAAGTGAAGTTCGTTAACTGTGAGAGGTGACCCGAAATACCAACACCCTCATTCCCAACAAGATACCTATGATTGATACCAAAGATACCAAGTGAAATGATGGTGTATGATGGTGTTTTCGCAGTTTTTTGGTGTTTGCGTTTGTCTGATCTTCTTCCCCCCTTTTCCATCTCTCTTCTCTCTCCCTCTCTGGCATCCCTCATCTCGGAGTTTCAGATCGGTACTATTCGTGTGTTTGCGTTTTTTTGAGTTCTGTTCTTTTTTTTGGATTCCCGTTCTTATATACCTCGACGAACACGATATCCCCAAGATCTTTCTCTCCTCTGATTCTTTGTTCTTTCTGCTAGTAGAGAAAGATGAATGAATGCTTTATATCTGATGAGTACAGCCTAGGCGGTCTGTTTCGTATAGGATATTTTGAATCGTAGTAGAGTGTACGGAGTAGTCTGAAGTAGGGATCTCCCGTGCTGAGTTCTGAGTTTTCTTCTACGTAACTAGGTAGGTTTAGAATATTCAAAGGACAAGTTATATCATGTCAACACCCAACAACCAAGATTGCGATAGTGTAGAATGTAGCTAGCTAGATCATAGGTAAATAGATCAGTAGATCAATATGTAAACTGGTTTGCAGACAGACAAACCTGCCTACCTGTGGAATTGTATTAATAAACGAGCGAAGGGATTATATAGCATTAGCGATAGTAAGGGCGATAGATATATCGCACCGCAAAAGCATAAACAAAAGCCACTCAATCAAGTAAGCAAGCAAGCAAGGAGGTCAACTTTCGGATCGAGTCGGGTCGAATCGAATCGAATCTGGACCAAACAGAGTAAAAACAAGAGGGGGGAATAAAAAAAAGACGCAGATAAATCAACAAGAAAAGAAGTTAGCACGGTATAATAGAGCATGGCACGCCACCCACAAGGACAAAAACATGTCTCATCTATCCCATCCATCCGTCTCATTACATCCATCTCGTTTTCTCATGACGTTAGTCATTCATTTTTCATTTAGAATGCCAGGCCGACGGCTGAGTGGCGATAATTTTCATAGTAGTTGTATGGGTAGTTTTCCCCGTTGTCTTGTTGCGGACCTTGGCTTTCGTGGATGGTCGGGTGGGCGTTGTAATCGTGGTAGTGATTCTGGTTTTGGTCTATGTTTGCCCGGGGGAGAGGGAATTCTAACTCCTTTTCGAGACGAGAATCCGTGTTCGATGGCCGGATGGTGGTGGCGGTGATGTTATCGGATTCCGAAGGGGTGGTGGTTTTGAATCCCAAGCTGCCGGTGAGGCTGCTGATGGAAGATGCTACGGTCGAGCCGCTGAGGGTGCGGGAGCGCAGACGGAAGGGATTTTTGTCCGGGGTGGGCTTCCAGTTGGAGATGGATCCCGAGGGCGAAAACATGCTCTTATTACTGGTCTGCAGGAGCCATTGGGTGACGCGGCTGGAGCGCGGTGGGGTAATCGTGACGTTGATGTTAGGGCTGGTCATGGTCTCCGACGGGGTCCTTGGGGGATGGGCCTCCCTGGGCGTTGACGGTGCGGAGGAGGAATCATCGAGAAACGAGGTTAATGGCCTGTCCTGCAGGGTGGGCGTTCTAGGGACGCTGGGGGGTTCGCTTGGAGGGTCCCTAATAGACTCCTCCTTTACCGGCGGAGTCGGGTCCAACTGCTGCGTGGGTGCAAAAACGTTTGAAGTCAGGCCAGTGACTGTGGAAGAAGAAGATAATTGGGGTGCATGAGTATTGGAAGGAACGGGAGGAGGCATCTCGACAAGATGATCGAAAGTCGCCAGCGATGAACGAAGGGATCCAGACCCGACAGGCTTGCGCTGTAGGTGAAAGGACGATGACGGACGATGGGACCGAGAGCGCGAGTGCCGTGAGAGCTCAGCCCTGGGAGGCCGAGACACAGGAGCAGGAGGCTGGGAATTATCGTCCTCCAGACGGAATTCCTCGAAGTTAGGAAGCTCCGGTAAATGTCCCAAAGAGAGCTCGAGGGGATGGAAGGAGGCCCTCTCCGGCGTCATGTAGAACGTGGGAACTCGTCGAAACTCGGACGGGGCACTGATTCTCAAAGACGTCGTGGCCATTGACTTCCTCCTGAAAGACATGCTAGCCCGGCTAGATGCCCGCGAGGCGAGATTACGGCCGTCGACAACCCAGGATGGCATAGACGAGCTGGGCGGGTCGTCGGCCAGCTTCATCGGGGGAACCAGATGAGGCTGGGTATGGCATACTTTCATCTCTCGCTCTGCTCCTGCAAGGCAGATAATGTCAGTCATGTTGGGCATAGGGGGTTTGATGCATGTGTATATATAGGGTACAGGTATACAAAAAAGAAAAAGAAAACGGAGGTAAAAAAAGAATATGCACGGGCGGTTGTACGAACCCTTCTGCTTCATTGACTGCTCATGAAGGGAGCTCTCGTCATCCCTTGAGGTAGGGCAGAACAAGCAGGACGAGATCCAACCGGTGAATATGGATCCTGCTTGTCCAATTGCCCAGTTCATAGCTACCGGCGCTTCAGAGTCGCTGGTCCATCCTCCTGTATGGACGAGATGGATCCGAACGAAGGAGTCGAGAGAGGGGAAGGGGGGAGGGAGAGAAAGTAAATCGAGAGAACAGACACGGGAAATTAGAAGCAGACCAAGAGCCCCGCGTGGGAATCGAGAGGCAGGCCAGAAAAAGCAAGAGAGCACTGGCTAATGACGATGAGGGAGCCAGCGCATGCAGCGTGCCTGGATGCAAGCTAGTCCGTTAGTGCCTGATCCACGGCCTTGTTGTCACATCGTCGGCGCCTAACGAGGCGTTGCCATTTGCCCCAACACGAATTGGCCTAGTCCACGTTGTGCCAATCACTGCTAGCCTGCAGCTCTTTTCCTCCTTACTTCCTATGGTCATTCAGGGTCGCATGGTCGGAGGAACAATTATCATCGGCATTATGTATGTGCGCGCGACCAACCACCTGTCGTCGTGGGCCCTCGACAGTGACGGTCTCTGACAAGAAAGAAAACTATTTATAACATGTCTCTCGAGACAGTGACCAAAGCGCTGCTATTTGTGCACGGGCTTTCATCGGTCCCAGACGTTTTCCTCCAGGTCTCCATATGACCATGTTCGTGTTTTGGGCTCATCGCCATCCGCATTGTCCTCCGTCTCCGCCGCCCCTGACGGCGCATCGTCCCTAATTGGTTCCCCTGAGGGCCTTCTGGAATTTAAGGTTAACTGGAGCGATTGGGAATCCGACGTTTCTTGTGCGACTGCAGAATCTACTAACCGGAGGTGTTTGTGTTCAGGTTCAATGGTTGTCGAACCAAAGGCTCGCTGGACATGAGCCTGCTCCTCTGCTTCGGCTTCCTGGTCCTCTACTACAAGGTCCACCAACTGACTGCGGTGGGAACCATGAGAGGGCGAACTCGTGGCGGGTGGTCGCGAGCCGGGGCTTCGGAGAGAATCTTGACGAGACCGGCTCGAATTGTTACTGTGACTGCGGTGGCGCGTCTTCTTGGACTCGCTTGAAGTGTGGACCTTCCGGTGTTTGCGGGCCTTCTTGACAACGTCCGGTGGCTGGCCATATTGATAACTGGCAGCGCCCCCAAACCGTTGGTCTCTCGGGGCCTCGTTCGCCGTGATTACCGGGTACTAGAGCGGATTATTAGCCTGGTTCATCAAAACCGGAGATAAAGACAATCCCCCTAACTTACATTCCAGTCGCCAAATTCCAGCGCGCGGGCTTGAGTGAAGATTCCCTCATCATCTTCATCGATTTCAAACTCCTCGATTTCACCAGGAGAGCGGTACCGCTCCAGAGTACCGCGTCGCCCGCGCGAGCTGGTGTCGGTGCTTGAAAGCAAGGGAGTCCGGCTGTTCACCTGGCCCGGTTTAGGAATCCAGTACTTCGCCTTTCCTCCACGCTCGTACCGCATGCCATGCATCACACGCCGAAGACGAGACTCGGATTCTTCGTGCGCAATGATATGATCGCCCGAGTCGAATAGGCGATATTCGTAATTTTCGCCCCGCAGAGTCATCTTCGTGTCTTCGATGAGATCTTTAATGCCAAAGGCATCTCGAAGAGCATAGACAACGGGCAGTCGGGCGGCGGAGATGGTGGGGTCCGCATAGTCGTGCCAGGAGAAAGCATACCAATGGGTCATGGCGAAGATGGGCATCTCAAAGCAGATCAGGGTGTCTTGGATAGCGGCAGCTAGGTTGTCGGGAGTGTAGCCCGCAACGCCGTTGGTCAACGCTCCTAGCCACTGCAGAATCGACAAGAAGAACCCCTGCCAATACGAGGCAAAGATGATAAGTTTTACACAGAGAAACTTAGGGACCGGACGAAACGGGGCGAGGTCGTTGTGCAGGCAGACCCAGAACATTGCTAATGAGTAGAGACTGACTGTCACGCTGACGTTATACACGATCCCCGTCCAGAGGTATCCCGACGTGAGACCCAAATAGCCCTCCTGGTAGGTATCGGTCGCTTTCATGATGATACTGATTGTAGCCAAAATCGGTTTCAGCCATGTGTATTGAAGGATGCCGCGCTTGACGGCCAAAAACGTCTGCGGGTCGGAGATGTCGACTTTGGGGAGGCAGTGGTTTAAAGGCCAAGCATGCTGGACGGGAGCACGGCCATGGGTCATAATAATCAAGGCTCTTTCGCCTCCAAGAAAGTTGATAAGTAACTGAAAAAACGTATAGATCGTGAAGGCCTGGGAACGGAAAGCGGGTTGTGTCAGCAGGGGTATATGCGCACGATCCTGAGAATACTCGGTCATACCTCATAAACATCCCGTATTGGATCCAGCCACAGAGATGCTTTTAACGAAACGATACTCGTCCACGAAGCGGCCGCATATATGGGCACCCTGATCAGATTTAGTATGATGGTCCTCCCCGTCAAAGCACGGATACTGACATCAATAGAATGCGAACGACATATCGTTGGAGTAGGGGTTTTCGATAGTTTTTGCTAGACAATATCGGTCAGGATGTATTCGAGAGGGGTTATGGTTCGCAGGGGCGTACGTTTGAAGCCATATGGACCTGAGAAAGACAAGTAGAAGTTAGCACCCGATAAGGGGATTGAAGGGCGAATGGGGTTCTCACAGGAGGGATAGTAGAGAAGCTACTAGAGAAGATACACCGGACACGATGACCACTGCGCGGGCCAAGCTCGAGCCTGTACCACCAGAAGATGAAGCCATGACGATCGACACCCAAACTATTTACTCATGAGACTGGCGGCTTATTGACCGCGTGTGCTGATGATTGCGTCCACCGGCTCAGCATTCCGCGAACCAACCAGACAGGCAGAAGGCACTGGGCATAATCAGATACAGGGCTAGAAAAACACGATGGATGTGCAGCTCCCAGGACCACGGAGTCCTCGCAAGACTTGAGGGGAGTCGCGTGGGGAGGGAGAAGAAGAGGGCGACGATGGTATCATTTCCCCCGGAGGCCAGGCAGCGCTGACAGCTGCCTCACCGCCTTCTGCTTGCGATCGGACATGCGTCCAAGGATTTCTTCCTGGAAAAACCTCCGATGTGCCTGAGACAAGCTGCGTTTTATTTTTAGGATGTTCCTTCACCGCTGCCATCAATCAACGGTCTGCCGTTAGTCATTACATGCTACTGCTAGTACTAATACTCATATGTCTCCGGTGACGGCAAGGACTTCATTCCGACATGTACACTTCGTGCTTTCAGATCCCGTAGATGGTCCTCTTTACAACGCCCTGGTCAACATTGGCACCACACAAGAGGATGATGCTGGTCTGACCAGCCAATTCCCGAGCGACTTTAGTAAATCCCGCCAGAGCAAGAGCAGCTGAGCCTTCGACAATCATGTTCTCGTCAAAGGCCAGAGTCTTCAAAGCCTCGACGATCTCCGCCTCATCGCACTCCACGACCTGATCGACCACCGAACTGGCCAGAGGAAGAGTGATCGTGTCTTCATCGATGCCACCGGCCACTGCCTCGGCTAGAGTGGGCAAGTGGTCCGTCTCGACAACGCGACCGACCGCCAGAGACGCCGCTAAAGCTCGGGAGTTGAGAGCTGCGACGCCGTAGATCTTGGTGCGTGGGCTGAACGCCTTGAGAACGGACCCAATGCCGCTGATGAGTCCGCCGCCGCCCATGGAGATGAAGACGTTATCGACTTGGTCGCACTGTTCGAGGATCTCCAATCCGATGGTTCCTTGCCCGGCGACGATGTCAGCGTCATTGTAGGGAGAGATGTAAGTATACGCGCCCGACGCAGCGAGTTGCTGTGCATGCTGCTCGGCGAGACCCGTCTCCGCTCCGTGCAGAATCACCTCCACGCCAAAGGACTTGATCTTTTCCAACTTGGATGGCATCACGGTCTCGGGCAGTACAACAGTAAGGTCCCTGGAGAGCGCTTGCGATGCGAATGCAGCACCGATTCCATGGTTCCCTGATGACGCTGTGATCAGGCGTCCGGATGAGGTTTGAGCCGACACCTTTGACAAGGCACCTCGGAGTTTGAACGATCCAGTGAGCTGGAAATTCTCCGCTTTGAAGAGAATATTTGCATTGAAAACCTGGCCCGTTTTCCGGGCTGGAATGAGCGGTGTTTGGTAGATGTGATGGCGAATGCGATTCCGGGCCTGGACAGCACTGGCCGCGGTCTCGTGGAAAGAGTTCGACATGGTGATATTCGAATTAACCCACGATAGGTAATGGTGCCAACGTTTGGTAATCTCGGCTCAGAGGTTATTGTTCGAATTAGTGTCGGTGTGACCTAATTAAAACAGGCTCATGTACGAAGACGGAGCAAAGGCTGGAGTCAGTGTCCTTGCTAGAGGTGATGGTGCTTGACATGACCCACTGCATTATTGACAAGGGAGATGCGATAAGGAGTCTGTCAGTCCGTCAGCCTTCTGGAGTGGGTCTGCAATAACCGTGGATGAATACCCGAGTGGCTGCTATTCCCTTTTAATACCTGACAGCGGAGGGATAAAAATATCCCGACTGGTCTCTATCCCAGTCATTGATTATCGATCAATCCTATATCGGAAGCAGATAACCATGGACTGGGGCTTGGGAGACCACGGATGAGCGAGGATGCAAGTGTCAAGGAGGGGAAGCCCCTGGAACGAATTCCGAGTTTCCGCGTTTCTCCCGCGCGCCTGAGCGGGGATCTTCTCTTCTTGTCCAACTAGTTGACCATCTTAGCTTCGTGCCTCCATTCCGAGCGGGAGACGGAATGCCTCCGCATGGGATGATCATCATCTACTCGACTATCTAGGCGTCCTACCCCTGAAGTTGGTGCTGTTTTTATCCATAAAATCAACACCGTGACCTCTTCTCATCTCTACTACATACGGGAATCTCTTATTCTATTCTTTCAATATGGGCTCGATCAACTTGACCGGCCGAGACGGCCGCCAGATTAGTAGTACGTTGGAATCATCTTCGTCTTTACCGGAGTCAAACAGTTAATCCGAGCGTGTCTAGTTCCTTCCGGCCTCCTCATCAACAACGAATTCGTTCCGAGCAAACAAGGCTCTGTGCTCGATGTCCAGAACCCCTTCTCTGGCGAGGTCCTCGGCGCCATCTCTGTTGCTGAGTCCGCAGATGTCGACGTCGCAGTTGACGCTGCGACCAGTGTATTCCAAGAAACTTGGAAAAATGCCGCCGCATCAACCAGACAAGAGCTCCTGAATCGACTGGCAGACTTGATTGAACGAGACGCAGACGAGTTCGCAACGATCCACGCCTTGGATGGCGGGTTCGTCTTTGACGACGTGAAGATGTTCGATGTCTCGCAGGCTTGCGAGACCTTGCGATACTTCGCCAGGTGCACCGAGATCTCTGGTCGGATCGTTGATGTTCCCAATGGCAAGGGAGTTGTTCGGAAGGAGCCCATTGGAGTTTGCGCGGCTATTGTGCCCTGGAATGCGCCTCTGTATGTGCTTTGATCGTCATCTGGGGTATTATGGGTCGACGCTAACACTTTGTGTCTAGGATGATTACGATCTGGAAGCTGGCTGCCGCTCTGGCCGCAGGAAACACGCTCATCATCAAATCCCCCGAGGCCGCCCCTCTGGCTGGACAGAAACTAGGACAGCTGACCGTCGAGGCTGGCTTCCCTGCCGGTGTGGTCAGTATCTTGCCGGGTCTGGGCACCGTGGCGGGCAAAGCCATCGCAGAGCACATGCGCATCCGCAAGATCGCTTTCACCGGAAGCACGCCCACCGGACGCAGTATCCTTCGAGCGTCAGCAAACACAAACCTGAAGAGGGTGTCCCTGGAGCTCGGAGGAAAGAGTCCCTCGATTGTCTTCGACGACGCAAACCTGGACAACGCCTTGTTCTGGAACATTGTCGGCTCTAGCGCCAATAACGGCCAGATCTGCGCTCTCGGATCTCGGATCTACGTCCAAGATACCATCTACGACAAATTCGTGGAAGGACTGGTCGCGCGTGCGCGCCAGATGCCTGCCGTCACGGGTAATCCGCTAGAGAAGGGTGTCACCAAGGGCCCGGTCATCAACAAGCAGCAGCACGACCGAATCCTGGGCTATCTGGAGCAAGGCCGGAAAGAGGGCGCGAAGACCGTCCTGGGCGGAACCGGCACCGCCCATGGCTCCAGTGGCTTTGTCGAGAACACCATCTTGACCGATGTCGGAGAGAATTTCACAGTTGTGAAGGAGGAAATCTTCGGACCCGTGGCTACGGTGCACCGATTCTCAACCGAGGACGAGGTCATTGCCAAGGCGAATGACTCCGAATACGGATTGAGTGCGGCCGTTTTCACGGAGAACGTTCATCGGGCCGACCGAGTGGCTAATGCTCTGGAGTCGGGACAGGTCACTGTCAACTGCTGGGGAATGATGACTCCCAGCATGCCGTTTGGCGGCGTGAAGCAGAGTGGATTTGGTCGGGATATGGGCGAGGAGGCGCTGGAGGCCTGGTTGTCGGTCAAGTCCATCAAGTACTGGTCGTTGAACGAGAAGGCGAACCTGTAATAGGATTGGGAATTTGTCATATATTTTATTTTTATTTTTATTTGTAAGTTAGCAAACGATCAATGGGAAATTGTGTAAGGATCAGAAGAGCGATAACTACTCCGTCTACAAGTACAGACGAGAGCCCCACATTCTCCCCTCATCTGAAGTGGGGGGCATTTCTGCCCGTCAATTGTCCCTCCGCGTCTTGCATCTTGACTCACTCCATCCCCCAGCAGTCAACCTCCCCTCAAGACAATCTCCAGAACCCATCCACCATGCCTTCCCTCCAAGAAAGCAAGCTCGCCTTCATCGGCGGCGGCAACATGGCCTCCGCCATCATCGGCGGCCTCGTCAGCAAGGGCGTCAACAAGCAGAACATCTGGGTCTCCGAGCCCTGGGACGTCAACCGCGAGAAGATCGCCGCCACCGGCGTGCAGACCACCACCTCGAACGTCGAAGCCGGCGGCCAGGCCGACCTCGTCATCATCGCCGTCAAGCCTCAGGTCACGAAGAGCGTCTGCGAGGAGCTGGCCGCCGCCTGGGCCCAGCGCGACACCCTGCCCGTCGTCGTGAGCATCGCCGCCGGTATCACCCTCGGCAGCATGCAGCAGTGGCTTCGCACGGCGGATGGACGGACGGCGCATATTGTGCGCGTCATGCCGAATACCCCTGCGCTGGTGGGAGAGGGTGCCTCGGGCGCGTTCCCGAGTGCTGATGTCACTGGGGAGGAGAAGGAGTTGGTAAATGCGCTGCTGAGCAGCGTTAGCAAGGCGACGGAGTGGGTGGATAAGGAGGAGCTGCTGGATGTGGTGACGGGCCTGTCTGGTAAGTGAAATGTGGTGTTCAGTGCTGTGTTTGGGTTTGGAAATGCGCAATGGCGGTAGCTGACTAGGTGTTGATTATTAGGATCGGGCCCCGCGTACTTCTTCGCCATGGTTGAGCATCTGGTCGCCAGTGCGACTGCCCTCGGTCTGTCGAAGGAACAAGCCACTCGCCTGGCGTCGCAGACCTGTCTGGGAGCCGGCCGCATGCTTACCGAGTCGTCGGATGACCCTACCCAGCTGCGCAAGAACGTCACCAGTCCGAATGGAACCACGCATGCCGCTCTGCAGACCTTCGAAGCGCTGGGTTTCCAAGATACGGTGGACAAGGCTGTTAAGGCGGCTACGGATCGGGCGGCCGAGCTAGGAAATACCCTGGGGAAGCTATAGAGTGAGGTTTTATTCATGGGTCTTGAGCAAATTGTTCACCGGAATATACAAAATTTAATAGAATCTGAGTTGTACTCGTGCAGTCATTCCCTTTCTAGATACAGTAACCTTGGATATCTCGGCCCGTTCGCTCAATAGACACCTCTATCAATGCCATGCCTGTCATACGACCATGACAACAAACCCGCTGGGAATTGCGATCCCCAACTCTCCCCACAGAATCACCCAGCTAGCATCACCCCTACTTAGCAGACGCAGAGCCCGCTCCATCCCCTTTGTCACTGCCCTTCGCCCAGTTCGGAAGGTTCCTCTTTTGCCGACTCGATCCAGCAGCAATGAACTTGTACCTGGGGCATTGTTTAACGGAGCCCCCGGGTGGCTTTTCGGGACACCCGTTCTGTATCGTTTGCGTTGTTGTCTGGCCGCCCACTATGCTGGTGATTTGATATTCTTCGCACATAGCAAGGGTCTAGGTGTGTAGGGAGAGTTAGCTAACTGCTGCTTCCCCAAGTGATCATACTCTCCGGGATGTAGATGGGAGGAGAGGGTAAACAGACCTCAATAACCAGGAACGGAAAACAGAAAGAAGCTGCCTGTAGACTAGACAGATCAGATATCCAAGCAGCTAGATAGGTCTGTATGTCTGTAGGTAGCTAGCTGGATGGAGAGATAGATAGATAGATAGATGATATCTCTCAGCCTATACATCCCGATGCGGCCAACCCAGCAAGCTAGCTGTGCTACCTCAACACCCCAGATCTATTTCTGTCCGACTGCATTGCGTTGGCGCCGCCGTTGGTGCTGAGCCATTTTTCCAAGCACCCTTTCCTGTCTGTGTAACCGGGGAATTGGTTCGTTTGCTTGCCATTTCCGCCGTGTGGGATCCGTGAATTCAAGGGTGCACAGCGCCTGCTTTACTGGTGGCTATTGGCTATTCGATGGGGCGTGGATACATGTTTTACATGACGTGACATTGGAGATACAGACAGGGTGGGAGTTGCAAGGCATACGCTGTTTGGTCGGTGATAGGCTGGAGGGTGTTTGGTGGGCGCGTTCGTCTCCCTTGACCTGATCCTGGTCATGACCCCGTGGGTTGATTCCGTTTGGGGAGACGGGTATGGGGGTTCTGTTTGAGCAAGTTTTTTTTATTATGCATTATCAGGTATGTCAAGCGCATTTATCTAGCTGGTTGAACCGTGAGATACAGATACTGAGAAAGTGCCTCCTCTGCGGAAGAAAAATGTCCTCTCCAGCATCCCAGAATGACATCACTACCGCGAAGCCCTGATACATCGGGGAACAGTTGGTTCCGGAATCGCTCCTCAACCTCGCAGTCTGCTAGATGTTGGCGCTGGACCCGCGCCCTAATGACCGCATGGTCGCTCGACTGCACGACGTCTTGCGTTTCGATCGGGTATAGCTCTTGGTAGGGAGGGCTGCCAGCCACAAGCTCATGAAGCGTCGACCCGAGGGCAAATAGATCTGAAGTGACTGTGTTTGGAAGCTCATAGTCCCTGGGGAGACAATGCGATGCCTTCTCATAGCCTAATGCAGGATGTCCTGGATACTGGGAGGAGTTGAAGTCCCCAAGGCGGATGTTGAGGTCGTCATCAACGAAAAACTGTCGCAATGCTAGATCTGAGTGGATGATGCCGTGCTTGTGGATGACAATAACTGCTTCGATAATCTGTTGGAACCATCGTGCTTGTAGATCGGGACTAACTTTGTTTTCTCGGCAGTAAGTCACAAGATCCCCGTGTCGGTAGTATTTGATGTCAACGTAGTCGGGGTGGCCTAGGGAGAGGCACCGGGCGATCCGAGGATGACCACCGATAAGTGAGTAGATAGTAGCCTCCCGAAGGATTGGCTCGGCGTCTTCTTTGCTGTGGCTGCGAGGGGCTTTCCTAATGATTTCCCCATCCACTAGATAGACCTCTGCGAATATGCCAATCATGATGAGTTTTTGATTATTTGATTGTTTAATGGCAGGTCGATGTTTCATTGTAACAATCTGGTGTGAACTTCTCGCAGACAGTAAGCTGCTAGCCTATCGAGGATTAACATAGTTCGCAACTGTCGGCCTGACTCCCCCTTACATATCGAGCCTCCTTCTCAGTGTCTGCGCATTTTACAGTGTTCTTCCATATAGACGGAGACGTGCCATGGAACAGGCCCTGGAGGGTTTTGTAGAGAAGGGTGGGAAGATAGGAGAAATAGCACCTGAGTGACGGCCATATCAGCCATCGGAGCGGATTGGTGGATGATCGCATGAAGAAATTGGCCTCCAGCCACACGTAATGGTGTTGGTTTATTCTATTTGTCCTCGAAATAACAAGATGCTATACATTGAACCAACAGCCCTGAGATTGCAAGGAGACTGCTGGGCCTCATCCGAGGAAGACGGCAGCACCTCCTGCTCCACGTGACGGCGGCACATGCATCGTACTCCGTATATGTCTCGGGGAGTTATCACTCGATGGCCCGAGTTGAGTGTCTCACTGTCTGAGACTTTCGAACGGGAGGCCAGAGGGGCTGACGTTCCAAGTCCCGGGTCCAATGATAGGCCCTGGACGCAGAGGTGTAAACATGGCGGTTTGAAAGCTGCCCGGCCGGTCATCATCCAATGGTACGACAAAAGAGGCCCTAAGCACGACCGCGCTCAGATGGAGGATTCCTCAGGGGTAGGATTGTTCAACGGACTTCAATCCTGGGGTTTCTCAAGGGGCACTGCGAGCCATGTTAGGCATCTCACCAGCAAGCAAGGTGTAACCTGAGGATTACTGGGCGGGAAATAAAAGTTAAGGATCACCGTGGGAGATATAACTAGTATATGCTCCTCGGCATACGAGAGGTTCGCTAAGGCCGGTTATTGCCATTGATCCACGATTTATTTTGATGTCTTCTCGATGCCGGGCTAGATTGTTGGTAGTAACTGCCAACTGAGAAGACGAGGTTGGAGATCTGGGGCTGGAATGAAGCTAATCAATCCAGTCAACGATCCGACCTGTTCATAATTCTTAGGCTGCAGGTCAGAGCCTTGTCGTGCCCTTGATTTACTCCGAAGTCGAAGTGAACAAGAAGAAAGTCCGGGCCAAAAGGAGAGACGGTAGACGCACTAACCCGTTTCGGCCTCCTTGCTAAAGCGGCGAGAGGCGGGCGGAGACGGGGGCGGAATGAAAGTTCTGCCGGCAGATGAAGTTGGCCAGCCCCTAGAACATGTGGGCTGCTGCTGCCAACATTCCCAACTGCCACATCAAGAACGGAGTGCTGAGTGTTGTATTTCTTCTCTGTCGATCTCTTCGCTTTGTTCCTCAGAGCATGATTCATTTGACATCAACTGGAATGCACTCCCTGTCTTGGATTACTTCCAGGGAAGCTTAATCGTCCCGCGCCGCCATGGTCGCGGCCATCGGCGGTCCTGGGAAATTGAAAGATGGCGAACACAAGCTTGATCACGTTAACGCTCACGCCAGATCCAAGCTTTAACTGGTAGGTAGATGTGTCGCCGTGGTCGCGCAGTGGCTGACGTCTAGATAGGTACTTTCTTCTGGAGATCATTGTCTCGTGCATCCTGTAAGTCTCAACTATCTGAAACTCGCGATACCCTCAAGCTTACGATAACACCATAGTGTGTTGTTCTTCCTACTTTACTTCAATCGCCTATTCGCAACCCTCCTCTCGTACGGTATCCGAGCTTACACGTGGCATTACTATCGCGCATATGTCGACATCCATGCTCTCCAGGTCTCCTTACTTGGAGGTAGGATTTTCTTCAAGGGCATCCGATACCATGGGGTGAATGAAACGATCTTTGTACACGGGGGGTTTATAACGTGGTGCTATTGGAAACGGTCGGTTAGAAAAACAGAGTTGTCCGGCCGTGAACCCGACGAAAAGCGAGGAAGTGGTCAGTCTCCTGACGCCGAGCGCGCCAGTAGTGCTGCGGACAGTGGAGTCAAGGAACAAGGAGGCCAGTGCAGATCGGATACGCTCCCCTGTCGCATAACGGCCAAGTTCTACGGACTTGAGTGGTTCATTTACAATCGGACCCCCGCTTATGACAGTATTCTCGCCGGTTTCACGGAAAACCCAGCGTCCTTTACCAAGCCGCAATATCCAGCAAGCAATGCGGTTGACCCTGAATTGAAGGCGCATTCGGAAAGGAACTCCGATGAGAACGGATCAGAGTTCGACAGGACATCGGCTACCGACCATGCTCCAGGGCGAACGAGGACTGGCAGGGATACGATCGACTCCCAAAAAGTCGGAGGCGCCGAGCAGGAAATGGAAGAAAGCTTGAATGTCCTACTCCAGCTTTTGCCATTGAGGTTAGAATGCGACAAGGGGGCTATCGTGATGGGCAATGAGAACACGAAATCGGTTTTGACCACCACGTTTGACGGCGCAACGGGTTTGATCGAGGCGTGCAATGCTGGACCGCTGGACCTTTATCGCCAGTCCTTCACTTTCCAGATGAGTCATCCTGTTATTCAGATGCGACCAAATCCGGATTTCAAACAGAATCAACTCGCCGCTGCAAAGGGCATCAGTTCAACGGACGAGGATCAGCCTCAAGTCAAGCGCAAAAGGGACACTATGTTCAACTACCAACTTCAAAAGCGCAGAGTGTGGCATAGCATCCGCGATCTTATTCCGTACTTCCAAACGTCTGTGGAATCATTCCATGTACCGGAAAAACAGGCCGACAATGCACCGAGGAACCAGATGGATGGCAGCAGTGACGTGCGTTGGGTCGGCCTCTCACGATACCTGGATGAAACTAGCCAGGATGATCATGGCGAATGGAGTTCCATCGAGTATGGTAGGTTCTCGACTGTTCTGGATACCCCTAGTATGACAGTATCCTATTTCTGGGATATCCCCGGGTGTGTTCGGCCACAATCTGCGCAAGAACCTACATCCGGCAAAGTTTCGCAGGATATCAATGGTGCGCCGCCCCCGGAATGGGGGATTGATGTCAAACTCGAGGGCGGAACTATCAACTACGGCCCATGGGCTGATCGGGAACGAGTTGGCCTGCAGAACGTATTCTTCCCCAATGCTTACCGAAGCTCTCAACCCGCAGAGCCTTTGGTGCCGGGAGACCTAAGGAAGAACTCAGCATTCAGATTTCGGGTGGAAATTAGTGAAGAGTTGACACTGCGCGTCCCCACAAGGGAGCCGTCCAAAGACTGGCAGTGGAAAGGCAGAGCTGACGCAATAAGAGGCGCTTCGAAATTAAAGAAGCCACAGCGGAGGAGACAGCCCAGGGCTGCCGATGGTGACAAAGGGAACATTGGTCCTGACATTCGTCCCTTTGGTTGGTTCTCCCTTCGTGTGGCTGGCGATTCTACCATAAATTACTCTATGGACATGGTGGCCTCGGAATCTGGATTCTCAAGTCAACTCGATCTCGATCTTCGTGACTCCAGAATGTCATCCAGCGTCAATCATGCCCTATTATGGCAATGTCCCAAGCAGCTTATCAACTGCGACCTCTCCGTCCCGCTCATCTGGAACAATCTTCGGACATGGACCTTCAATGTTCAGAGTCGTGATATGGAGCTGTTTCTGTTGCGCGATCATACCTTTCTCTTAACAGATCTAGTAGGTGACTGGGGGTCGGGCCCTCCTTCGGATTACTACACGTTTGTGCCGTTCATCTACAAACTCAGTCTCTCCTTCGTCGATTTGAAGCTGTTTGTGAATGTCAATGACCTCAACATTATCAGCGACCCTTCCGATTTGGATGACAATCGCTTGCTTGTGATAAAGGGCAAAACACTAACTTCCGATGTCATGATTCCTCTAAACAAATACAGGAACGAGCAGAATGCTGTGGATTTTAGTGTCAAGCTGCATGATGCTGGAATAGACTTCTTAAGTCCAGTATGGGATACGCTGCACACATTTCTGCAAAACAAATCAACTGCCACTCTGGAGAATCTCTCAATTGATGGATCCTACAATTACTATCTTTCAACGTCGCCCGATTTGACGGACACGCTTTTCCTCAATATCGACGGGCGGTCGCCGAAACTCTACTTGTTTGGATTCCTGATTCGGTGTTTCATGACCGTGAAAGAGAATTATTTCGGAGAAGACATGCACTTCAAGACTCTCGAGGAGTTCCAAGAGCTTGCGTACAGTCAGGAACAGTCGGAACCGCATAATGGGGTGAATCCAAACCGCAAGTCGAATGATCTTGACGTGATTGTGCATGTCACAGTTGACAATCCTTGTGCCCTTCTTCCGGAAAACGTGTATGACCATATGAATTGTCTAAGGCTTACTGCTCCCTCGCTGGAGATTGATTTGCGGTTTACCAACTACTACATGGATTTACTGTTCTCGATAGCCCCTCTGAAGGTGGGTTTGGAATCACAAGTGATCAACCAGCCTTCAACCGTGTCCGATACTCAGCTCTTCATCGATGGTGTTTCGGTCCACGGTCATCGTCTATTTGGGTTGCCTCCTGCAGAGCCAACGTATGTTTGCAATTGGGACTTTGGCGTGGGCCAGATCATTGGAGAATGCTCAGCCGAATTTCTGGCTTGCTTGGGTGCAGCCTTGAAGAGTTTCGACTTTTCCTTCGACAACGAAGAGAATGCACTTCCGCCATTGTTTCCGCTCATCCTTCATGATGTCACTTTTCTGCGTGCTAAATTCGAGTCAATACACATCTCCGTGCTTCTGGATCAGGCTGCATTTCTCGTGAGCTCCGGTACTGTTACAGTCCAATTCAATGATTGGGCAAACGAAAGATTCTCAAAACGCATGAGTCTGCTTGTACCAGATCTCTTGATTTCTGCGCTGGACTACAACTTTGTTGGTCGATTCGGAAACCTCCTTAACACGCGAGTGAGCCCGCTTGCAATCTTCAGGACAACAATCAAACTGCGGATGGCACAAAGGAAACATGACATTATTGAGGATCGGAAGCTGCAACAAGAGCATATTAGATCACACGACGAAAGGACCCAGAGAACACCGTGGCTGCTGTTTGACTGGGACGACATGGACCCCGAGGCAATGCATATGAAGAGCGACAAATACCCCATTCCAACTATCCCTATACCGACAATGCCTGAGCCGCTTCTTAAAAGTTCAGGGCGGCTGGCTTCGTCGTTGGAACGACAGTTCCCTGGAAGTAGGAATCCTTTGGGCTCCAAAAGCTTCCTCATATCTTCAGATGCTTCAAGTATAAGGAGTGGTCGTAGAGGAACTTCCAGCGTTAATCGAGCACCAAGTGTAGCTTCGAGGAGACAGCAGGATCACATTCAGACCTTGGGGACAGATGGGCAAAAATCACTTTCGCTCGAAGAGCGCAAGAAATACGCCAAGGAATCTTCAGCCAGTGCCCCGGACACAAACCCTTGGGTTATGCCTAGTTTTACCTTGCACAAGGTTAAACTGGACATGTCCCATCTACCATATGCCCCTTCTTCTGACGACGATGCTCATCGGGATGGCTCTCATGTGACGAGGTTTGACCCTCAATTTTCTCCCTTCGAAGATGATGAAACAACCCACACCAACTTTGCGCTCGAATTGCCCGCTGGGGTCAAGGGGTACTGCACGCCAGATTTTCTTTTCATGATAGCGACATTAATTGGAAAACTACAACCGAGACATCCGATTGAGATCATTGATTCGCTTCAGAAAGATGTCATTTCAGATATCGTCGGTTATGAAAAATCATTGAAGCAACCAAAAAAGTCAACAGGTTTTGCGATCCGGGCACCGTTTATCCTGGTGAATTTGGTCAACACGTACGAGCCGCTTGCTCATTCTGAGGCTGGCTTCCGAGACGAGTACAGCCTTGCAATAACACATCTAAGCACCGAGCTGCGAACCAAAGTTGACAGACACAAGGATGATCTTCTGGCAGGTATAAGCAAAAGCTCCACAGTACACGTAGCCGCCGAAAGCTTTTCATTGGCTGTGCAAGGGAACCGGAGTGATGCATATCAAGAAAAGGCTGAACTAAGTTGTGTCTTTGGTGACATGAACTTCTGGCTTGTGACGAAACCTACAACGAGATCCCATTTCCAGACCCGGGCCCTTGACACTGTCACATTTACAAAATCAGTGGAACATTTAGCATTTTTGGTGCGTCGCACAACGACCATGCTTGACTCTGTCGCATCTTCGTTCCAGCACAGCTCCTCGCTTGATAGCAAGCGGCTGCGCCTGCTCATATACTCCCTCACACAAGCCGCTGCTGATAAACCAGATCCTGCGTTTCTTACACGTATATCGTACGTGCTTCGAGTGGCTCCGACCCATGTGCGGCAGCACGATTCGTGGAAGATCATATCCCGCATCCGCAATGTCTATAATCGCTTGCCTGCGGATCAGCAGCAAGAACTGGCGTCAAAGTGTCTAGGGGGTGATTTGTCATTGCCACCCGATGCTCGAACGACTGTTCTCAGCAGTTTCGATCAGTGGCGCGCGTGGGATTTAGCACATGTTGAAAAAAGCTACGTCATGCAAACCATATGGAGCTCTTTTGCAGCAACCAAGACCACGACTTCGCCAACACCACTGAAGTTCTCCTCTACGGTGAAAATGTTCCGGTTCTCTATCGATCCGGGACCAAAGGAAAGCGACTTCATTGTTGAAGACATGTCCACGGCTGTAACTGTTACTCCGCAGCAGTACATGACTTCGAAGAATGAAGAACGATACAAGAGCTTGAATGTCATTCAAACTTACTCTTCTTCTATCAGTCTTCGCTTGCGATGGGAGATCTTGGAGCTTGTCGAAGGTGTGATGAAAACAATGGCTAATGTTCAATTGGAATCAACCACTCCAGGGGGGAATGACTCCCGCAGCGAGGACGGAGAACGCGATGAGCTGCAAGTTGTTTTCGGGACCGACCTTGGAACCATCACTCTGGATGGTATTAATATCAAGCTGGCTTGTATCAGCCAAGGTCTTAAAGCGTCGATTGTTGACGGAACCGAGGGCATGGCGGTCTTCTTCAGTTCTCAAGCTGGGTTTTCTGAACTGTCAAACCTGTCTCAAGTTCTTATGTCTTGGAAACTTGGCAGTCCACATGTTTATCTCTCTCGAGTGTCGGAGGAGACCGAGACTGAAATCGTCTATGAATGGAAGGTTGCCGGATCATGTCAAAAGCTTCTATACGTCATGGAAGAAGACTTGATCAACCTTGCCCATACAGCGGATCGACTAATAGAAGACGAAGTCCGGTATCTTCATCGGTTGGCTACTAATCTGGACCTGCCAGCTCGCAAACTGAGTGAGACCCCCACTGCAAAGAAGACAACGCAAAACAGGTTCCACATTGCGATGTTCCTGGACAATTATCGGCTGAGCTTCTGCGTTTTGCCGTCGTTGACATACGTTATCTCTGGAGACGTTGCGCGAGCATCCATCATACAGACAATGGAGTCGAAGATTGAGGTAGATTTTGATCTGAAAAAGAATCTGCACACATTCATGTCAGGCGAAAGGGGCGGTCGGCGTCCTTTGTCAGTACTGGAGATTCCGCCAATCAATGGTCGTGTTGTTGCGAACCTGTCGTCGAACCGTACCGATATGGAGGTGGATGTCACAATCGAGCTTATCCAGCTGGAGGCCAGTGCAGTGCGAAGTCTTCTGGGTGCTCTGGCGACTCCCGAATTCTCTCATCTCATGTCAGACCTCAAACAAAACCTCGAGACTCTGCAGCTCCATCTCAACGACGCCCTCGCCCTGGATAAACCCACTCCTCAACAAAGGAAACCGTCCAATGGCCACGCTATTCTTTACAAAGCGCGCATGACTATGGCCGGGACTAAGATCCATGCCACCGCACCTGCTGTCAACGGAAAGAATTATACAGCAGACATGGACTTTAGCCTCGGGATGATGCGCATGCGCCTTGACAATGGCTTGGACGATGGATTCGCTATGGAATATCCTGAGTTTCACATTGATACATCCAACATCAGCTTCGATCTCCGACGGCAGGAGCAATTCAAAAGCCGATCATACTGCGGCTTTACCATTGATGCTAAACTTCAAGCTACCTCCATGAGGCGTGAGAACGGTGACCTCAGGCGAGTGTACCATCTCAGCAGCAAGCAGTTCAACGTTGAGCTGTTTTCTGAGACGGCTGAGCTGGTGGTTGATATGGCCGTTCACCTTCAAGAGCGTATCAAAACTTTGGATCTGTCCCACGAAGTCAAGCGACTGAAAAAGCTGCGACGACGAGGCCATCCGGAACCCAAGAACAAAAAGCTGGAAATTCCTGACATTCAGGTGAACGAAGAATTCAACCCCGAAGATTTCTTCGACGCCATGTACTCGTTGGATTTCAACAACATCCAGATTGCCTGGAACATGAGTACAGTCCAAGTGCCTTTATCTGAACGTAGGCCGGACGACCTGGTTTTCTCCATAAAGAGTGTGGATCTTTCGAACAAGAAAGCAAATGCTGCCAAGCTTCGCATTGAAGACATGCAGTTACAATTGGTTCCATATTCTGCTAGCCGGCAAAAACGGTCACTCAACTCGGCCTTACTTCCGGAGTTGGTTTTCAACGTGGCCTATTCTTCAGCTGGGGATGAGGTCCGACTCGCCTTCCAGGCGGCTGGTAAATCGCTTGATATACGGCTCACGTCCGACTTTATCCTGCCGGCAAGCATGATACGAGATTCTATTGCTGCTACTAGCGGAGTCGTTCGTGAAGCTAATACGACCTTCGTGCCGAAGCAAACTGAAGACAATCCCAAGCAAGATTCTCTTTTTGGCAACAAACGGTTTCAGTCGGTGTTGGTGGATGTCGACTTTGCCGGCGCTATCGTTTCGCTGCAAGGAACGCACACGGATGATCCCCAAACACTACTAACAGCGACCTTACAGAAGGGCACTTTGTCGGAAGCCAGATATGGTCAGTACATTCAAGGAGATGCAACGCCTACTGCAACGCTTAGGGCTCCTGGAGTGGCTTTGAAGGTTCAGTTCGAAGACAATCAGAAAGATTCGGCACTCAATGCCGAGTTGAAGGTTGATGCCTCCACAAATGTTCTGTACCCTAGTCTTGTGCCACTTGTCAAGCAAATGACGGCTACTGTCAAGGAAGTTATGGGTGATCAGGGAGGACGACCTCGAAGACCGTCCAGTGCGGTGATGCTACAGCCGCAGAAGTTGATGCAGGATACTCAGCTCGAAAAGAAAGACACCGACTCGATCCTCGGACGGTGCAAGCTGAACGTAGGCCTCATGATTTGCAAACAGGAATTCAGTCTCAGCTGCCAACCCATCGCGAGAGTGGCCGCGACCGCCAAATTCGACAGCGCCTATGTTACGGTCAACACGGTGCAGTCTGAGGAATATGGACGCTTCTTTGCTCTTCAAGTTGCCTTCAACTCCTTAGGAGCGTCGGTCAAACACGTATACTCCAACGAGTCAACGGCCAGCTTCGAGGTCAATTCAATGGTGATGTCTGTCATGAACAGCAAACATCTGGGCAGCGCAAAGGGCATTTCCGCTGTCCTGCGAATCAGCCCAATGCAAGTGGTGCTCAATGCCAAACAAGTCCAAGACCTTCTGCTCTTCCGCGAAATCTGGGTGCCGTCAATGGAAGACTCTGAAGCCAGCCCTACATTCCCGCCGCAATCGCAGGAAAGCCAGGCATACATTGTGCAACGATACCAACAGGTGGCATCCGCGCCTGCATTCCCATGGAACACCACGATCGCTGTCGAGAAGCTAGAAATCCAGCTGGATCTGGGATCTTCTCTAGGAAAAGCACAGTTTGCCATCAATGGTCTCTGGTTGGCTACCAAGAAGTCATCCGACCGTGAGCAGACTCTTTGCGTCGGCTTCGATACGGCAGGTATCGAAAGCAAAGGGCGAATGAGCGGACTGATAGAACTCCAAAATCTCAAGCTGCAGACCTCTATACAGTGGCCCGACGACAGCCTCAACGTCAAAACGCCACTTATTCAAGCGTCCGTTTCCTTCCACCGGTTCCAGGTGAAGGTCTCCTTTGACTACCAGCCCTTCCTCATTGCGGACATCGCCATGTTTGACTTCCTGATGTACAATGTGCGAACCGAGTCAGGTGCGCCGAGTGAGCGACTCTTCAGTACCTTGGAAGGGAACCAAGTGCAAGTATTCTGCACCAGCTTGACTGCATCGCAGACGATCGCCCTGTACCACGCCTGGCAGCGGCTCATTCAAGATAAGCAGGCGGCATATGAGGCTTCTCTACGAGAGGTCGAGCGATACTTGCGACGAAGATCAACTGCTTTCACCGGTAAAACCGACGCTCCAACCAAGGACCTCGACGAGCCCACGGAAGACAAGACCGAGAAAGCACCCATCTCATTACATACAGGCATTGTGGTCACGATCAATTCCGTCAACATCGGAGTCTTTCCCAGCTCGTTCTTCGACAACCATGTCTTCAAGCTGGAGGCCCATGATGCGCAAGCTCGATTCGACGTCTCCCTCGACCAGGGCAAAATCCACAGCGCCCTGGGCCTCACTCTAGGTCAACTGCGCGTCGCCCTGTCGGGCATCGTACGGCCCAATTCTATGGGCATCGAGGAGCTCCTCGTCGGCGAAATCTCCAAGCGCGTCGTCGGATCAAGCGGCGGTACTATCCTCAAGGTCCCTCGGCTCGTCGCGACTATGGAGACGTGGCAGGAACTGGGCATCCATCAGATCGAATACATCTTCCGCAGCACCTTCGAAGGCAAGGTCGACGTCGGATGGAACTACTCCCGCATCAGCTTCATCCGAGACATGTGGGAGACGCATTCTCGCGCCTTGGCTTCACGACTAGGCAAGCCCTTGCCGCCATCTGCTGTTCGCATCACTGGCGGCCTCGGCGGCGAGGGTGGCGGCGACAAGAACGACCAGCAGGAGAAGATCACCGCCGTGGTCAACGTGCCTCAGTCGAAATACACGTATGTTGCGCTAGAGCCGCCGGTCATCGAAACACCGCAGCTGCGCGATATGGGTGAGGCTACGCCACCTTTGGAGTGGATTGGGTTGCAGAGAGATAAGTTGCCGAATATCACGCATCAGATTATTATCGTGACGTTGTTGGAGGTGGCTAAGGAGGTGGAAGATGCGTATGCGAAGATTCTGGGGTCATCTTGATCATGCCCAGGATGGTTCAAATTGTATATAACTCATACCCCTTTTTGTTTCTTTTTTTTCTTTATTTTCATGTTTAGTATTTTATTATGTAAATAGGTAATCCTTTATTTTAGTACATAATAATTGTCATAATAATGTTCATAAGTTTAAAAACCGGGTATGTATAGAATCAAACCAACGCCATCCATCTATATATCTCTATAGTAATACAAAAGAAAATGACCAACCTATCTCACCAGCGGAACATCCTGACTCCCAGAATCCCCCTCCAAGTCCCTTCCCCCCTTCTTCTTCTTCTTCTCCCTCTCCAACGCCGGAACCCTCCAAATCGTCCACACACAACCCGCAACAATCCCCATCTCCGGCACCATCGTCATGACCAAATACGCCGACGAATCCCCCTTCACCGCATTCCAGACCATATCCGCCGTAATCACAAACACAAGGGAGTACGTGACTCGAATAGCCAGCACAGGCACGCACGCCGCGACACAGGTACATATTCTTTTCTCCACAGCGGAAAAGGGCCCCCGACGGAGCCAGAAAAACACGAATACGCCCACCGTGTAGACGTAGATTGCAGCGATCATGCCGATGCCGGCGCGGCTGTAGGGCGTTGGTAAAAGGGCGTGTTCTTTGTGCGTTACGGCGACGAAGCCGCCGATTGAGATCCCGATGTCGATCCACGTGAGGACTTGCGGGATGAGGAATATATAGCGCGGGGCTGTGGGGTGGGTTTTGTTTCTGTAGTATACTTGTTAGTTTTCTTTCGTTCTGTCTTTATAGGGGGACTAGAAGGGGAAGGGGAAGGAGCATAGACGTACATCCTTTCCAGCATCTCAAGCAACAGGAAGATGATCAAGATGATACCGAGGGATTCGCATACGAACACGCCGGCCCAGAGCCCGTCCGAGTCGTTATGCATAGTCCCGAGCATGCAGCTGGCGCCGACGAGACGGATGAGTGAGAGCATGCCGATACAGAACCATCCGATTTGGCGGCGTAGGTAGAACGAGACGCTGAAGGTGAGGGAGACGGTGAAGAAGATGACTTGCGCGACGGCGATGCCGTGGCGGTATTGGAAGGTGCCGTCGCCGAACATGGTCTTTGTTCTGGATGGGGTGGTTTATTGTCTATATAGAGAGGATGGAAGGATGGATTGTGGTGTAGATGGAGGGATGTGGTTTAGTAGTAGGGAGAGACGGATACTGTCTCAGGAGATGCTGCGATATTTATCCTTTGGTTAAGAGCTAACGTAGGGTCTTCAAAGACTGGCTTTTGTTTGAGCACTGCCTACACTGGGGCTATGAGTGATCTCGCAGGCCATGAAGATCCTTCACTGGAGCCCGTGGGTATTCAGGCTGACAATGTGTTTTTCTTGGTACGCCACCAGGAGAAGGACCTTCTATTGGCGGCGTTGAGGCTGAGTAGTCTGATACGTCAGGGTCGAAGGACTTTCGGGCTGTCGATCCTCTCATGCAGCCCTACATGAATTGTCGGTGTTGTATCATCTGTCTAGTAGAAGTTAGTAGTAACTATATAGATATAGATAGCGGTGAGAATACTTCATCGCGATTGTATTATCATTCATCGTAGCCACATGCGAGAGCTAATGTTCAATACTTTCGATCAAAGAAATTCTAGTTTGAAACAGCTGGAAAGCTCGTGTGGGGAGAGTCTGTCGAGGGAGATGAATAGATGATGCCTGGATGTTTGGGGGCGGACAAGAAGACTTTACCCGATCGGGTGAACCTTGAGAGCTTGGCAGGTGACCCACGTGGTGCCCTAGCCCTATCTTCTTCACGATTCATTTCTGTCGACGCTGTTGAGTAGATCTAATTGGATTTACTTTCTGGCCTATCCGTCATACTGAGATATTAGCTACCAAAAGCTGCGGAAATAATTGAGCAGACGCCTGAAAGCTCGGTCAGAAGTAGACAGCTCCTAATCTGCCCCCATTTTTATCTCTTATCTAATACATAAATTTGGATTGAAGATTGACAGCAACAAGCAAACCATCGGAAGCGAGGCAATCAAAAACATCAGTAGTAGTACAAAGTAGAGGCTCTCAATCTCCTGCAAACTCGGCGATTTTGGTGTCCAACCGAATCCATGCCATCACCATCCCACAGGCCCTAACACCTTGGACCTCCCATTAGACACGTATTCGGGAGCCTGGGTCTCTCTAATATAGTTCTCAGCTTCTTCCAGAGCTCGTTGGTACCAAGATCCAGTTAACCCCAAATAATACAGTCTCCATAGCTTCGGCAGAGACCGTACACCCAACACGCAATATTCTCTGACCTCATCAGGCAGCGGCCGAACGTTGAATACCTCATAGGACCCTCCCAACTGGGGCTCAAACAACTTTCTCCCATCAAACTTTGCGTCTTTCCACTTCTCCAACTCGAACCCGTTCAGGCGAGCATGACTCTCAATGTGTTTTGCCAGACCAGACAAGTATCGCTTGCTGCTGGAGCGTCTTGCCAGCTCCATGAGCTGAAGATCGTGAACCCCGGCCAGACGCACGTTGAAGCGTCTATACAGTGCGTCGGAGTCGTTTCGCACGTCAAAGGATACTTTCATGATTGATGGGTCCTCGAGGACTTTTCGCAGAGTCCAGCCTTTGGAAGATGCGTGGGAGAAAGCCTTATTCTGGAGGTTGTGGACGTCAATTAGGGCAGCTTCATCCCGTGGTGAGATGTACATCTGCAGAATAGATATGGTGCCATTGCGAGACAGGCTCCCGCCTTCCATATCGACGTATATTGAGGGCTGTGGACTCGTTGGGAGATCGTGTAGGCTGTCTAGGAGCTCGGCTAGACTTTCCGTTGTGTCGATGAATTTTGACGAGGGTTTTGGGTCCCCCAGTTCAAGACTTTGGAGTTGTTCAAGGATGGAGGATAGCGATTTGGACCCTTTGGAGGACTCTCCAGAGCCCTGAGGGTTGAAGCTCTTCTCACTGGATTTGTCTAAGATTTCTATTAGTATGTGATGCCATGCGAGAGAGTTAAGAATCACGCTTACAGGTCATTTTTAGCGTGGGTGATGATTTATGGCAGGGTTTCAAAAGGTGGTCTAATACATGGAGGTGAGTGAAACCTGGAGGTGTCTTCATCTTTGAAAATTTCATTCCGTAGTTGTGACGGTATGCATCGAATACACGACGCAATTACTACGTGTTTCTAGATATCATCAACCCAACTCTAATTGACTTAGTACTATATTAATGACGTAGCAGTTGCCTGCACATCACAGCACACTGCGTTTGACACATTTTTTAGTGTTGATGTTCATCCTTTCGAAGTTGTCGATGACGACCTCGACGAAGGGCCAGAGTAGGCCATTATCGACCAGTAGAACCAACATGCCACATGATGAACTGGGAACAAAAAGTATGGTGGAGCTTGTTGGTATCATTAGGTAGGGCTATTTTGACGCTCAGATAATTAGCCCGTATTTAAAAAAGGTACGTATATAATGCTAGCATCGCTTTTGTCGTGAATGATATCAGAGAGCATCCCACCTCTAAACGGCTGACCCATTTTGATCAACCTTCTGATCATCCTTGAACAAGAACCGCTTCACCAAGCCCCTGATAGAAGAATCGGACCCGACTGGATCATACAAAGGCCTGTGCTCCTCGTGGATGTCATGAGCATAATCATAGTCCACATGCACAAATGCCCGCTCAACATCGGCAAGTCCCTCCAACTTGCGCTGTAGCGCTTGGCTGACGTCGTGGGATTCACGCAGCTTGGTCTCCGGGTCCATGACGATGTCTACCTCGACATAGAGTTGCTGCCCGGCATGATATGCGCGGCACTAGATGTGTCAATTATCGCGAGCATGATACGGATAAGACAGCACTTACGGTATCAACCTTCTCGATCCTCGAATCATGAGTCAGAGTCACGTAGACAACCTTGTTCAGGAACTCGCGGGTGGCAGACTTCCCGACCAACAGCCACATGTTCTCGAACGCAGTCGACGCCCACGAGAACAGAATCAAAAGGGCAATGCAGCATGCTCCGATAGGATCAAGATACCACACGAATCGGTCACCCACAACGGACATGATCAGACCGAAACCATTGACAGCGAGGTCGTTGCGATGATCGATGAAGAAGACGTGAGCTGCCGGGTAGCGACGCAGGCCATAGCAGTATATGCACAGCATCAACTTGGAGAAAATGGCCACGCCAACGCAGATAATCGGCACCGTGGCGAGGTCATCGGAGTCCGACTCTCCCGCGGCCAGCGACTTGGCCGACTCGATGATCAGCTCCACAGCCACAGTGGTCATCAGGGCACAGAACATGATAACCCCCATCGTCTCGATACGTCTTCGTCCCACGGGGTACTGGTATGGCTTGGGACGCGAGGACATGCGCGACGTGATCAGCATGACGATGGACGAGACGAGATCCATGAAGGCATCGGCAGCGGTAGCGAACAGGGAGAGCGAGCCCGTCGAGATAGCCGCGTAGAGCTGGATCACGAAGAGGCAGAAATTGACCACGAAGCTGGCGCGCACCGCCAGCTTCACCTTGCCCCCGTTCTCGGCGGTATCTTCGGCCTTGAGGCGCTCCTCGTCGGCACTTCCCAGGAACCCGTCGATCATCTCATTCTGCTGGCGGTAGAAGTCGTTCTTCTCGTTGTCGTCCGATTTCGAAAAGGGAACCCATCGTCGCTGCTGGGCCACCGACGTTTTGTATTGTAGGAGATCGAACGGGTCTGTTAGTGTCGGTGTCATTTTCGCCTGCTAGTCCCTGGCTCCGAGCTGGTGGCCAATCTGGGAGATATCGAGTAGTAGTAGGTTCGAGGACGCCGGGGAATACCAAGACCACGACAAGAGAGCTTAACGTCCAGCAGAGTTATCAGATGGATAAATACCACACAATTCGCTGCTGAGATGGGAGGAAGAGAGAATTCTCTGCTTGGAGTCTTGGGCACGGGAGGCACAGCCTCGCAGGTTGAGGCACTAGACGCTGGGCAGTGGCCCGCCAAGACATTTGCCAAGCAGCAGATCCATTATCAATCATTATCAATCAGAAGAAATAGGAAAATGGTTGAATATTGGAGGGTGTTTGGTTTATGGTAATATCAGATCAGAGGGGTAGTAATCCTTCAACGGTGGGAAGAGCCAAAGTGATTTGGCAATTAGGATTAACTTATCGGTGTAAGGCCCCTCAATACTATACACAAACGGGTTCTAGAACGCACTAGTATCAAGACGATTGAATACCTTCCACTAACTGAATTAAATTGTTGTATTCAACTGAACCCTGAACCCCCCCCCGAGTTTCCCCAACTCATGTGAGCTCCAGTTGGCTGGTGAGACTTCTAGAATGCTCGCCTCGACAGCCAATCTGACCGGAACTAGCATATGACGAGGAAAACAGCGATAAGGCGGTCTTTATGGAACATGAAGCGTGCTTTCCAATTACTTCGAAAGCTACAAAGATTTAATGATACGCGCGGCAATTTTTAGTTCTCTATCATACCTTTGCAACCAGTGAAGCGAGAAAGAAGTTGAACTGGTTCTCAACGGCACTGCGGTAGCTGGGTATCCATGGATGCTACGGCACCATACCCGAACAGGCAAGCTAATCTTATCTGATCCTGATCGTCTTTATCTATTCACCTAGGGCATTCACTTTCAAACGAATTCTCTATCTAAATAATGGTATAAATATAAGATCATGTGAACAAAAACCCAATGTTTTTGTATCTACCGCTTGTCGTTTCTTTTGAGGGAAAAAAATGAATCCCTCTAGTTCAAGATCACTGCTGTTCTTTGCCAAGTGAAATGCCATGACAAAGATCTTTTGCCAATTGGTCCAGCACTCTCACTTTCTGCAACCCGGTGGCCTCTGTCAACTTGGATGTCTTGTCCCCGAAGGTATGCCACATCGGACAAATACTCTTCATCCAGCACCGATCTGCCGTGATCAGTCTCCTGGTACCAGACTTGACTGAATGGACTACTTAAATGAACTCGTAATCAAGTTAGATTCCGTCACGACATCTCTAGTGGTTTCCAATGCGAGGGGGGCTATATATGGACTGAGATTCAAGTGACGCCACCTGAGGCTATTTGCTCGTTCTTGTATCAATATTTGACATTCCCCGCGATTCAGAAGCGGCTCTTCGGGATTCACGGTGAGTATTAAGAGAAAGTCGGGTCCTTCCAGGAGCAAATCACCCTACCAGTGGTGCTAGATAGTCGAGGTCTTATCTATTATGCAAAGTAATCTTTCCCGTACCATTTATCCAAAGCCTCACGGTACTCAAGGGACTCGAGGAATTTCTGTTTCAACCCAACGGACCATTAGCCCCCTGGGCACACGTATGATAGGCCATGCAGAGCCCCTTTTCTCGGCCAATGATGAGAGATCTGTACTGTGCAAGTGCGAGGGAGCCATGAACTACTGAGTCAATCTAGGCACGTTCTTGTTGCCAATATGGAAAGACTTTCAGAGGCCATGCGTGTTAGTGAAGTACAGGGCCAATTCAGAGATACTATACTTCTAGCAACAGATATGACTGCGATATCTGTTTGACAGTGAGCTAGGCCCCCTCCATTGTGTATTCTTTTTTTAAGAGAAATGAAATGACTCAAAATATCCTCAGTCTTCATTCTAGATTGTCGCACCCAAATCGACGTTTGACTTGGCCATCTAGTCCCGTAGCCAAGAACGCACCGCCACGCTTTCGAACAATAGAACAATCAGCAGGAATTCCAGAATGAATTCCCTCGGCCAGCCTCCCCGCCTCCTAATATCGATGAGACAATGTCCCTTGCTTGTCGCTGGAATCCCTCGACTCGGAGGAGGTCACTTACTAACCAAGACTAAGGTAAGGGGACTGAGGATGCTGAAGACAATAATGACGACACTCGTAAACCACTAGGAGAAGTCATTGCCGACCCCACGGATGACAATTTCGTGTTTCAGAACAAGGCTAATCCTTATCAATTGCTTGGTGATGATATTTAGCTAGAGGTCCGGCGACCTGGGTGGCTAATATTTCGATGGGCGGGAGGGCGGTTCTATAAATCTCCAGCTTGTGATTGGAGTGGTATTAACCAGAAAACACATTCAAGCGGATCCAGCGGAGTCACACAGCTGAGATCTATCATTTCTGATGCAGGGAAGGAAGTCTAGGCATTCTAGCTTGGAAGCGAGAAATTTCCACGGCCGATACTGCAGGCACAGCAGATCATTGACCAGTCGAATGTACTGCGGGAGAGGAAGCTTACCTGCCTATACTTCCCCGCATGTTTCCTGGGGCTTTTTAGCCTTTGTCTAGTAATTACTGTTCTCGATGGGATCGTGTTGATTCAGTCTGCACTCCGCCAGAGCTGCTTCCAGAGCTGCTTATACAAGTAGTATTCGGTCTCTTCTCTACCCAGTCACCAGCTTCAAACTGCTCGTCTGCCACAGATGTTTCTCTTATCGAAAAATAAATGCCATGTACGGTGTAAAGATACCGCCCAAAATCGAGAACCCCAAAGCCTAAAATGCAGCCAAAGGCATGAACGGTTGAACGCACATGCGCTGGGTCTTAGTCATCCAGGGAGCAGTTTAACTCTGCACTGGTGAGAAGATTTTTCCAATTTTTTCACGACTGAGATGACGCTAATTCGATGTCAGACCAGGGCAGTTGTGTGTCTTCCCAGTCCTGACAGGATACGCCGTACAGCAGGCTGTCCTCCGTACTGTGCGGAACGAAGAAAAGAAACAAAAGAAAAAAGCAAGCGGGCCAGTCAGAGCCAATGCGAGGCTGCAGGCCCCGCCATGCCTGCCCAACGGAGTTAGGAGTTAACGCCTTTGGGGGAGGGGTTGCGCTGAATAATCCGGCCCTGCAATGTAAGGTATGTAATGCATGTATGCACTTTACTCCGTACGGCAGTCATGCCATCCACCGGTTCTCGTCGTACGGATCTTACATCATGTACTTTGAGCTCTCATGGGGGAGCTTCCATTCTACCTCTACAGCTCACCAGATGAGCTACGGAGGGAGAGGCGTTGCGAGATCATGCCACGGAGGCAAAAATCGCTTGGTAATCGGACGGAGAACCCGAGAGTAATTTCTGTTCAACTTTGACTAGCACCATGGGCTTATCTGCTAGGCAGTTTCAAGTAGGGTCATGAAAGGGAAGAGAGAGGGCAAAAGAAAAAAAAATAAAATAAAAAAACCGGTGGCGAGTTGCTGCACGACGGGATCAATCTGGGAAGCTGGTATTGGTAATTACGCCGTATGACGAGGGCCGGGTGCCATCACTACTCGAATCAATGCCTCTGAATAGGTTCGTGTTCATCGAGATGGCATCGGATTTGCCTGTTATACATCGCAGGTGACATTTCTATCTTCTGTGACTCACAGGATGAGCCATGCTGGTGAATTAACCATGGTTGAGGGGGCAAATCGAGTCAACAATACATGTCGCGGGCAACGGACAGTGACTGAGGGGACACGATATGCCCGGAAGATGCCTGCATTGAACCGTTCGGACGAATCAGATGCGCAGCAACCGAAGCAGACATGCTCATGAAGACGTCGTGAGAAATTAATTCCTCTGAACCCATGGGCGCCGGCCACAGGGGAGGCCAGCAGCGCGCGGCGGTGGTGCCGGGCAAAGACAAAACGGTAAGATAACGAGGGGCATAAGCGGGAACTGGGCGAAAAATCAAAAAAACGCACATCCCGGATTTGAAATCGGAAAAAATCCTCCCAGGCGTCCCCACTCTCGCTTTTCTCTTCTTCCCCTCTTCCTCCGGCCACCACCTCGTCCTCTTTCCCTTCCCTCTTCACCTTCCGCCGTGAAGCCCTCATTCTCCCTTTCTTTTGGAGTAGCGCACATAGGTCCTTTTGTCCTATTGATCTTAAGGTCGAGTTAGTCCTCGATCAGGATCCTTGTGTGTCGTTTCTCTTTTTTTCTTTTTTTTCTTATCACATAACCCCGCCTCTAAGGCTCTTGACAAGAAAACACCGTCAAGATGGTTAAGTACGTTCACCACATGCCTTGTCCATCTCATTGACCGTCGGATATCGATGGAAAGCTTGGAATTACAATGCTAACGATGTTCTTCACAGCTTCACTATCGAGGAGGTCCGTATCCATACCCCGCGCATGTGCAAAGACTCCAGATTTGGCTCGATATGAGCATCACCTGAAGATTTTTCGGAGGAAAAGAAGACAAAGAAAAAAGAACGCCATCACTAACTATGAAGTAGATCCGGTCCCTCATGGACCGCAAGGCCAACATCCGTAACATGTCGGTCATTGCTCACGGTATGTCGAACTAAGACTTCGTCCCCCGCCAATTTTTCTATATACTAACGCACACCATAGTCGATCACGGAAAGTCCACTCTCAGTGACTCCATGGTCCAGCGTGCCGGTATTATCTCCGCCGCCAAGGCTGGTGAGACCCGTTTCATGGACACCCGTCCCGATGAGCAGGACCGTTGCATTACCATCAAGTCCACCGCCATCTCGCTGTACGCCAAGTTCCCCGACCCTGAGGATCTGAAGGAAATCCCTCAGGCCGTCGACGGTCACGAGTTCTTGATCAACTTGATCGATTCCCCCGGTCACGTTGATTTCTCGTCCGAGGTTACTGCCGCTCTCCGTGTCACCGATGGTGCCCTGGTCGTCGTCGACTGTGTCTCCGGTGTCTGTGTCCAGACCGAGACTGTCCTGCGTCAGGCCCTGACCGAGCGTATCAAGCCCGTCCTTATCATCAACAAGGTCGACCGTGCTCTGCTCGAGCTGCAGGTCTCCAAGGAGGATCTGTACCAGTCCTTCTCTCGTACCATCGAGTCCGTCAACGTCATCATCGCCACCTACCTCGACAAGGCTCTCGGTGATGTCCAGGTCTACCCCGACCGCGGTACCGTTGCCTTCGGTTCCGGTCTCCACGGCTGGGCTTTCACCGTCCGCCAGTTCGCCGTCAAGTACGCCAAGAAGTTCGGTGTTGACCGCAAGAAGATGCTTGAGCGTCTGTGGGTAAGTTATTCTGCTGCTCACAAAATCCATGGGACGAACGGGTGACTAACGTTGCAAACAGGGTGACAACTACTTCAACCCCAAGACCAAGAAGTGGACCAACAAGCCCGAGGCTGACGGCAAGCCCCTTGAGCGTGCCTTCAACCAGTTCATCTTGGACCCCATCTTCAAGATCTTCAACGCCATCAACAACGACAAGAAGGAGGAGATCCCCACCCTTCTCGAGAAGCTCGAGATCAAGCTGGCCTCCGACGAGAAGGACCTCGTTGGCAAGCAGCTGCTCAAGACTGTCATGCGCAAGTTCTTGCCCGCCGCTGATGCCATGCTGGAGATGATCTGTATCCACCTGCCCTCGCCCGTCACCGCCCAGAAGTACCGTGCCGAGACTCTGTACGAGGGTCCCCAGGACGACGAGTGCGCCCTCGGTATCCGTGACTGTGACGCCAAGGCTCCTCTCATGCTTTACGTCTCCAAGATGGTGCCCACCTCCGATAAGGGTCGTTTCTACGCTTTCGGTCGTGTCTACTCCGGTACCGTCAAGTCCGGTCTGAAGGTCCGTATCCAGGGTCCCAACTACACCCCTGGTAAGAAGGAGGACCTCTTCGTCAAGGCCATCCAGCGTACCATCCTGATGATGGGTCGTTTCGTCGAGCCCATTGAGGATGTTCCCGCCGGTAACATCGTCGGTCTGGTTGGTGTCGACCAGTTCCTGCTCAAGTCTGGTACCCTCACCACCTCCGAGACTGCCCACAACCTAAAGGTCATGAGATTCTCCGTCTCCCCCGTCGTGCAGCGCTCCGTTGAGGTCAAGAACGCCCAGGATCTGCCCAAGCTGGTCGAGGGTCTTAAGCGTCTGTCCAAGTCCGACCCCTGTGTCCTGACCTTCATCTCCGAGTCTGGTCAGCACGTTGTTGCTGGTGCTGGTGAGCTTCACCTGGAGATCTGCTTGAAGGATCTCGAGGAGGACCACGCCGGTATTCCTCTCCGTATCTCCGACCCCGTTGTGCCCTACCGTGAGACCGTCACTGCTCAGTCCAGCATGACCGCTCTCTCCAAGTCGCCCAACAAGCACAACCGTCTGTACCTCACTGCCGAGCCCATCGATGAGGAGGTCGCCCTCGCCATCGAGTCCGGCAAGATCAGCCCCCGTGACGATTTTAAGGCTCGTGCCCGTCTCATGGCTGACGAGTACGGCTGGGATGTCACCGACGCCCGTAAGATCTGGTGTTTCGGTCCCGACACCAACGGTGCCAACCTGCTCATTGACCAGACCAAGGCCGTCCAGTACCTCAACGAAATCAAGGACTCTGTCGTCTCTGGTTTCCAGTGGGCCACCCGCGAGGGTCCCGTTGCCGAGGAGCCTATGCGTGCTATCCGCTTCAACATCCTTGATGTGACCCTGCACGCTGATGCCATCCACCGTGGTGGTGGTCAGATCATCCCCACTGCCCGTCGTGCTCTGTACGCCGCTACCCTCCTTGCCGACCCCGGTCTCCTCGAGCCCATCTTCAACGTCGAGATCCAGGTTCCCGAGCAGGCCATGGGTGGTATCTACGGTGTCCTTACCCGCCGTCGTGGTCACGTCTACACTGAGGAGCAGCGCCCCGGTACTCCTCTGTTCAACGTCAAGGCCTACCTGCCCGTCAACGAGTCCTTCGGTTTCCCCGGAGATCTCCGCCAGGCCACCGGTGGTCAGGCCTTCCCTCAGTCCGTCTTCGATCACTGGGCTATCCTCCCCGGTGGATCTCCTCTTGACACCTCCACCAAGCCCGGTCAGGTCGTCGTTGAGATGCGTAAGCGCAAGGGTCTCAAGGAGAACGTTCCCGGATACGAGAACGTAAGTTTCATCTTTCCCTCTTCACCATTCCAGCAGTTGCTAATTCTCTCTTCCAGTACTACGACAAGCTGTAAAAACGTTCTTTACAAACTTTTTAGGCGTCAGCTCGATAGCGGCTGGCTTCCTACATTTATGAGATCGACGAACGCAATACAATGTCTATGTTAGGGGTCATACCCACCAACCAACACAACCAAAAATCAGACACCGCAGCTTAATGTCGTATGTGGAACTTTCGATACCTAGAAGTAGTAGAATCCAGGAGTGCAAGAGCATTTGCTATGGCTTTTCTTTCAATGTTATGTTAACGACTGTGAGGACTTTTTCTATTTTTAAGTTTGTTTTTCTCTTTTGGACAAGAGAGGAAAAATATGAGAAGGTAGTTCACAAGTTCAATGGTGCACATGTAGTTGTATACGTTCGGCAGTCGTGTAGTCTAGAAATATTCGGTCATGGCATAATTAGTCCCACTTCACCCGTAAGAATCCCGACTGACGATGTTTGCTTGGCGGTTCGATTCTGCACCGCCCACGTGACCCGTCATCCGCGTTCGCTCGCGTTTCCCCAGCTTCGGCGATCTGCGATGCAACTTTTTTCCCTTGGATTACCTTCCCTTCCCTCGTCCTCCCCACCCCATGATGGCTTGATCAGCATGTTTTGAATTGTCGTCATCTCCCTCTCCATCCTTTTCATATCTCTCCGATCCTTCAGATCCCCGGGCTGCAATCGAGTGGTCGCAAAAACGATTGAAAGCTGCACCTGACCTCGACCATTGCAACGTCCCTGTCCTCAAACTTCGAATTCTATCTTCTCTGCGCAGGACCAGCTCCCTGTCTCGTTAGTGCGACAATGCAGCTCACAGAAGCGCAAGCGGAGGAGGTGAAGAACTGGGTGGTGAGAAAGCTGGAAGACATGTATGGCTCCTTGACGCTATGGCCTGGGATTGTGTCGTTTCCAAAAGGACTTCCTGCTGATCAATGATTGTGGATTTTCGCAGATCCGATGCCGACGCCGATGTCCTAGCTGATTACGTATTGGCCCTCATTCGGACTGATGCTCCGGATGAGGAGATTAGAAAGGCGTCCGAGGAGAATTTGGAGGATTTTTTGAGAGAACGTCCGTTCGCCACACATTACCCGTACCAATTGATCTGATCGAGCATCGCACTAACCAGTTATGGCCGGTGTTTAGATACTGCTCAGTTTGTGAATGAGCTATTTGCTACGTTCGCGCCCAAACAACAACCTCCGTCACAACCCCAGGCCCAGCCTGCTGAGATCCCCAGCATCGAAACGGCTCCTCAGCAGTCGAGTCAGTTTAACCCGCAGTCGGCGCCGTTCAATCCGCAATCAGCTCCGTTTAATCCACCCTCGGGCCCTTCGAAGGGCGCTTATGGGTCTCCAATGGGCCAGTTCCCTCAGTCGCAAACCGACGCCCCCGGCTTCAACCGCAAGCGCAGTTTCCACGAAGGCTTTCAGACCGACCAAGATCGGGAGGATGTTCCTCAGCACCGGACTTTTAAGACTCCGCGTCGGGGTCGTGGCGGGGGCCGCGGAGATTGGATGGGTCGCGATGGGCGTGGTCCTCCTGGTGTACCGGGGCAATTCCCTCCTCCTGGACCGGGTGGATTCCCTGTCATGCCTCCCGCATTCCCTCCCTTTGATCAAAACGACCCCATGGCCGCTATGATGGCGATGCAAGGCATGGGCTTCCCACAGATGCCTGGGATGCCTCCCATGCCCATGCCCCCCACCGGTGGACCTGGACAGCCTGATCAAATGCCGAAGACCTCCGAACGTTGTCCCTTTTACGAGACCCAGGGCATCTGTTACCTCGGGGCAGCTTGCCCGTATCAGCATGACGCTATCCCGGGCGCCTCCAAAGAAGACGGTATGCTTTATTCGCGCTCATCGCACATACTTTCTGTTGGCTAATCTTGTTGTGCATAGAATATGATCCTAAAGCATCCACTATCCTGCCGGACCTCCAGAGAGCGAATGCAGGCTCTCCATTCCGTGCAAGTGACCGAGGTCGCGGCCGCGGCCGGGGAGACAGAGGCGGGTTTGGAGGCCGAGGACGTCGGACGGAGTTCTCGTCGGCCGGTCCCAATGACGATACTTCGATTACCACAATTGTTGTCGAGCAAATTCCCGACGACAAACTTGACGAGGCAACGATACGCGAGTTCTTTTCTCAGTACGGTGAAATCGTCGAGGTCACGATACAGGCACATCGGCGTCTTGCTTTGATCACGTATGATAGCCATGCAGCTGCTAAGCGGGCGTGGTCTAGTCCCAAGGTGATCTTCGATAACCGATTCGTCAAGGTGTATTGGCACAAGCCGAAGAACGAACGCCATAATGAGCAGCGACCAGCCCCAGGCGATGCCATGGAGGATGCCCCATCGTTCGATCCCGAGGAGTTCGAGAAGCAACAGGAAGAGGCACAAAAGTCTCATGAAGAGAAGATGAAGAGGCGCAAGGAGACCGAAGACGCTCGGCAAGCTCTAGAGAAGCAGCGCGAGGAGCTCTTGAAGAAACAAGAGGAAGAGAAGGAGCGGCTTTTGCGGCGGCTGGGCGGTAACGGGGTCAGCAATGGAGCTGATTCTGGAAATGGGGAGTCTCGATCCCCGTCCCAAGAAAACTCGAGTGACCAGACCAAGCAGCTGCGGGCGCAATTGGCCGCTCTGGAAGCCGAAGCGAAGACGCTCGGCATTGATCCCAACGGCTCGGAAGGTCCCTCGTTTGGCTACCGTGGTCGGGGCCGAGGATTCGGACGAGGAGGTTTTGCTCCGCGAGGCCGGGGTGGATACGATCCTTCATACCGTGGAGGCTTCCGCGGACGAGGCGGCATGGCGCGTGGGCGCGGTGGTGTACTTCGTCTGGACAACCGACCGAAGAGGATTGCCATCTCCGGCGTTGACTTTGATACCGAGAAGGACGAGGCGTTGAGGCAGTTCCTGATCGTAGGTCTTACCTTCTGCATTACCCCGACCCTATTTATTAACAATCTCCCAGGGCGTCGGCGAATACGAATCCATCGAGCCTCACTCCGAAGAACCCAACTCTCTCATCGTCGCCTTCAAAGAGCGCTACATCGCCGAGAAATTCATGCGCGGACCCTGGACAATTCCCTCCGTTGGCGAGGTCCAGCTCGCCTGGGTGCCCAACCCCCCTATCTCCCTTCCCGCCGCGTCCTCGGGTCTGGAATCCGATGCCAAAACGGCTTCCGACGAAGACACCGCCATGGACATGACGAGTTCGCTCCCGCCGCCCGATCAATCGGGGAAGCAGAGAGACGGGAACCCCGACGTTGATTACGATGTGGCCGAGGTGGATGATACCTGGGGCGAGGAATAGACGGTGGATTTTCAGACAGTTGGTTCGTTGATAGCTTAGTCCAGCTCTTGTCTCTAGCTTATCATACCTACCTCTATCTATCTAGCAGTCTATTTAGCTCATCTATGGCTTTCTGGCTGTCTTCTTTTCCATATGCTGTGACGATAATTGCGAGTATATATACATGAGTTTGTATTGCTTTTCTGTCTTGGTCGCCTGCTTCTCCTTGCTGTGCATGCACCTATATATACCTTTTTTCTACAACGTAGATTTCCTATTCAAGGTCTGCTTTATAAAACTCCATAAGGGCTTACTTCAATCCGCCTTTAATCATAACTGCGCAGGATATACAAGCGGCGGAATCGGTACCCCAACTCCCATATCGCCAGGAACAAACAAATCCAACTCACAACCATCATCTATAAACAAAAGCCAAGTCTCGGACAAATCCAGGAGAATCAACACCAACACCCAGACTCCACCTCCGGATACTCCTCCCTCATCCTCTCCCACACCTCCCCACCATCCAACCTTCCAATCCACAACAACAGCTCCACCACCTCCTAATGCCCATCCAACTCACTCGTCCGCCATACACAGACTCCAGCGCCTCGGCGTACAGATCCGGATCGCCTGCCCTATACCCCAGCGCATCTTCCTCGATCATCTCGAGCACGGTCTGATTCGTCCCCTCGATGAGACCGGTACTGCTATCCACGTCTCCGGCGATGTGGTACCGCGCCCAGACGGCGTCGCCGTAGCGGTGGGTGCGGATTGAGGCGACGTATTCGGTGCTCCAGGGTCCGGTGATTGGGAAGCCGTTGGTGTCGTTGTGGAGGATTTTGTGGATGCTGAAGTCGAGGAAGAGTTGTTCGGGGAGGGTGGTTTCGTTGATTGGTACGGGGGTTATGGGGGTCATGGGGGGGTCATTGTGGGCTGGTTGGAGGGTGTTGGAAAACTGTGTAGTCTTGCTTCGTAAGTAGGTTCGACTAGGTAATGGGGTTTTGATTGTTTGAGTGAAAACTTGATGAGTGAGGTTGAGACCCAAGAAGTATGGAGGGAAGGATCGGGACTGTTTCTTTGTTCATACTAGGCCTCAGGCATGTTAGGCTGCAGTCTCAGGCAACAACCGAATGCTCCTATATACTTGTTATTGAGAATGCAGGAATATAATCATTAGTACAGGAGTACTAAGCCGAGTTACGTTGTATCTGGAACAGCCTCCAACATTCACTATATCTCCATCGCTGAGCCAGCTCACTGGATGGTAGACTGCCCTCTCCAGCTACTGCTTCAGCACCTTCGCCATCTCATCGTAGACCGGCTTTTTATTATATCTGGCATCCCACAAACAAGGATCTCCAAACCCAGGGACTCCCTCCCACACCCATGAGTACGGATCGTAGAATCCCCAGAGCGTGATCCCGGCGCATTTCGGAGTATCGAGACAAGCGCGCAAAGTATCCACATAGGCCTGGGCCTGTTGCGCCGTTTTGGCCGCGTTGTTGGGCATCTGGATAAAGACATCCAGCTCGGTATACGCCACCTCCACCCCGAGGTCGGTAAACAGCTTAAGACCCGCCATCTGGTCGTCGTAATTCGGGGATTGAATTGCCGGAAGGTGGCCCTGCAAGCCGACCCCGTCCAGCTTTACGCCCTGGGCCCGAAGATCCTGGACGAGACGGGCCGACGCGACGGACTTGTTGTTCACAAACTCAATGCCATAGTCGTTGTAGTATAGCTTCGCCATGGGGTCGTATTTGGCGGCCAGCTCGTAGGCAAGAGGGATATACTCCGGTCCGATTGTCTTATACCAGATCGTGTCGCGGTAGCTGCCGTCCTCGTTGAAGGCCTCGTTCACCACGTCCCAGGCATAGCAGCGACCCCTGTAATGCTGCACAACATGCTTGATGTGATTCTCCATGATGTCTAGGAGAGTGGGACGGTCCCAGGTGCCTAACGTCAACCACTCCGGAAGACCATTGTACCACACTAGATTGTGGCAGCGCACCTCCTGGCCGCGGGCCAGCGCGCGATCAACGAGACGGTCAGCGTTGGTGAAGTTGAACACGCCACGCTGCGGCTCGGTGGCGGCGAACTGCGTTGGGTATGCATCAGCGCATGATCACAGGGCAAGTAGGGTGATACCGTGTATACCTTTTGGCTATTTTCGGGCGTGATTTGACCGAACTCGTTGCGGTTGGAGAGAATTGCGGTGTGCTTGGTATCGTTCAGGTAGTTCACCTCGTTGATGGTTCCAAAGTACAGCTTTCCTCGCTTTTCCATTAGTGAGTTCAGCCCTGGCTGCTTGGTTGGCCCTGTCGACAGCGCGAGGCCGAGGGAAGGCAAAGCCGAAAGCGCAATGAGAGTGTTGGTTTTCATATTGATATTCTGGGATTTATAGAGCAAAATCCCTAAGGAACCGACGTGGAAGGTGGTAATTGACTTCCAGTGTATGCTAGTGGTACAATCACAAGATTTATACCTAGGCCAGACGCAGGCCAAGCAACAGCAGCAGCAGTAGTTGTATGCAAGAATGTTGGATGTCCCTAGGGTTGCAATGTCCAGCGCAGATCACATTTCCTATTCATCGACCGTGCCTACACTGAATGGAGTCGCGTGGCCTGTGAAGGATCCCAGCACTCACCTCGGGCGAATAGTACCCGAGTAATACTGAGATGATCATATCGCCTATGCTCCCTCACGGCATCTGCCCCTGGAGACTGAGACTGAGCTGTCGGAGATGATCGATTCCTTGGAGACGGACCTTCGCACCGTTGGCCGCGACACAAGCGATGAAGACTGGAGGAGAGACGCATATCGCTTGCCTGGATACCAAACATTGGCGGCATACGAATCTACGCCGGCTACATGTGTGCTCCGTTTGAATCAGATGGCCCTTGTGTGTGACACCTGCAAAGGTCGTTGACGATGCGGCGCCACCGCAGAGAAGCCTAGAGGTCAGAGTCGAAGTGCAGATGTCGTTAGGTCCGTAGGGTAACGCTCTTTCATGTGACGCAATGGAACCTTCATCGTTACTTCGCACGTTCACTTCAGCGGAGCCTTGCCGACATCATCCAACGGCTCTACAGTTGCATTTCCCGAGCGGTGGAGTCCAAACCCCACAGACAAAGCTTGGCCTGAAAATTTCGTTCGACAAGGACTGAAGACACGAAGATACGAGAACACGAGAGTCCGAGGATACGGAGATGCGAAATCCGAGGATACGAAAGTACGAGAACACGAAGGCATCGAAAGACCCATGGATCGCCGGCTCCACTTCGTCCCAAGACTCGTTCGGCGGAGCTACCGTGCCAAATCATGTTCAATAGGTTGGTCCTGAAATTGATTGAATTCTAATCGAGGGGATTATGCATATTTTCTAGTCCGCAGGATGGTAATGTCTATAGCCAATAGTCTAGTTCAACATGCCTGGAAAGCACGGAGTCTAGGAAAAAGAGAAGGATAATACAGCCGACGTGGGTTGTGTACATGGCATGATCTATGGAGGGACTCAGGGCCAAAGAGAATGCTTTACAAAGGAACCTGCTACCTAGGCCGTCTGTTGGAATACAAACTCCGTGTCGCCCACGGTGAACCCTCCGTCTCGGTTGGCGACTCCTCCTGTGACCTCATACTTCCGGACCTTCCGCCTCATAGGAGCAGGAAGATACACGGTTCCCTTCGTACCAGCAGGAGGAGTTACAGTCATGTGTAGAAAGTCAGAGCTGTCGTAGCGCCACTTCACCTCGAACGCCCCCTGCGGGACTGGATAGCGGCCCTCCGCCCACCTCAAGTCCAGTGTCTGCGGTGTTATCGTCCATTCACTGTAGCCTGCCTTTGCTGGCGCGACTCCAAGAACGTATCTGCTCAGAGCAGCAGTTGGAGCAGCACTCCACGCGTGACAGAGAGAGGTCCCAGAGCCCAGTCCCGGAGTGCCGTCTTCGCCGAGGACCTCCCAAAAGCAGCCGGTGTAGTTAGTGTGTTTGGGGTCGCTCATGGGGCCCCACAGCGTCTGGAGCAGATGCTTGGCCGCAGGGCCGTCTCGAGCATGGAATGCTGCCTGGAGGTGATATCCCGAGGAGTAGGGGCTGATCATTTGCGCCCATCCGCTTGCTTTGCTGGCGGGGGAGAAGGCTAGCGGCCCTGCGGGCACATCGAGCTCGCGGGCCATGGTAGACAGCAAGGCGCGGGCGGTAAAGTTGCCGGTGCCGTTCACGGGGATGGTGTCGCTGAGGATGGCGAGGGCGTTTGCTTCCTGGGAGAAGAAATCCCGGTGCGTGTCCGAGTGGTAGTAGGCCTGCAGGGAGTTGCTCCAGAGGTGGCGGTTGATCGCGGCCCTGAGGGCGTCCAGACGTCGCATGTAAAGGGTAGAGTTGAGACCAGCGTCGTCCATCAAGGGGATCCATTTCTTGAGTGTAGAGGCATAAATAAGGTTGAACTTGGCCACTTCGCCCCCTACTGGTGGGTCATAATAATTCCAGTCTCCGGCAAATGCTTGGTTGGAGATATTCAGGATCCCATTCGGGAGCACTTGAGAATGTGCCCAGTCGAGCATCCGCGCTGCCTTGGGGCCCCATCTGGAGACAAAGTCCGTTTCACCGGTCTGCTCATAGTACTGCGCCATGGCGCTCACCATACTGAAGGAGTATCCAATGAGACCTGTAATATTGGCAGACAGGTCCGCAGAACGTGGCGGTTGTTGCACTTTGGCCGTTGGAACGAAAAACCCGGGTAGAAGCTGAAAGGAGCCTAATAGGGAGATCGTGCCATTGATATATTCACGACCATAAGTGCTTGCAAGCGCACTGCCCGTGGTCATATCCAAATCGCCAGCATAGGCAATCCGATCCCTGCGGGACCCATCCACCTCAACTGGCAAAGGGTTGGTGCCTATGAGGAAAGCCTGCAAGTCAGACTTGCTGTTCAAGCGTGAGCTGTACATTTCCGTGCCAAATGCAGTCAACGAGACATTCGTAAACATGGCGGCGTGATGCAGCGAGGCACCCAAGCCGAACGAGCCGAAGAAGCTCGTGGTCTGCGTGAAATTGAGGACAGTGGACCCATCAATAGAGATACTGATCTGAGAGCTGTCCACACTAGAGTGAACCCGATGCCAATGACCTAGAGAGACAGAGGGTGGCAATGGTGCAACGACCAAGGAGTCTGAAAGCTCAGACGAACCCGCATGCGCTGAGATTGAGCTGTTGGCAATATTGACAAAGAGGTATATTCCTTTTCCCAGGGTATCACTCAGGACTGTGAAGCCAAACCCATTCCGTATGGGCTTGGCAACAAAGTCCAGCTCGAAGGCAGTCATTGCGCTGGCATAGTCCGCGGAGAAGGGCTGAGGACTCAAACTCTCGACGAAGGCGCCCTCCTCAGTGATGACCCAGAAGTCCGGCAGCGAGTTGGCAGGGAACTCGTTCAGCTGCATGGTGCGGGCTCCGACTTCCCAGATGCGAGTCAAGACTGGATCGGAACAGCGAAATGCGCCAGGAAGCTTACTGAGAGGCGTATCATCGACGGTGGGACGGAAGCCAATGGACGACAGCTCTAGCTCGCCGGCGGTCGATAGGTTGAGCTTTTGGTATCGAAGGCCGCCCTGGATCAGACGGTTGGTGTGAACGGATTCCGAACCGCTGCTGAGGTTGTATCGGTTGATGCGATAGGTATCCATCGCTGCAGAGAAGTCCAAGGGCCCGTCAGACTGGAGAAGGGGCCGTTGTCAGCACCACCCGTGCACCTTTTTCCTTCTTGAGGGTGGATACTGACCATGTACGAATCCAGAACCGCCCTAGATTCACCATAGGACATCTCAAAAACAGATGTGTCTCCCGTACGGTGGGCAACTTCGAAGGAAGCGAGCCCTTCGACGTTCCTGCCATAGTCCAGAATCAGGATCGAGGGGGTGGTGCCATTGGAGGACAATTTCAGAGTCGTGTTCTCATGGACAGGAATAGAATTTCCATTCACAGTGTATGACAATGGCCGGGTGAGTTTGGAGGAGCAGCTCGCTAAGGCGTGCCATGCCAGGAACTGTCCAACCAAGAAAGAAGAGAGGATTCGCATGGTCACTTCCAGAATCAAGTATATGCGTTGAGAATTAAAGATCGCTCAGCGGCAGCACCATGTGGGAGTATATATAGGCAATTCTGTGGTCCTCGGTATTTTCTATTTGTATTTTCTCCTTCTACTGCCAAGCTGCTAGTCATAATTGTGTTTTAAGGGATGGTTCTATACGAACGCGATGTTGATGACTGGTGACGTTGCACCCATCCAGGCTTCCTCCCGGAGTTTCGGTACTCTCGTACTCGTAGAGAATTCGTAGTTGCTTCAGAGAGAAGAGATGCGGGTCGGAAAAAGGAGGTTTTATGGATCGACCAGGCACCAACCGTGGTAAGGGGACATTTCGGGCCCATGATGATCTTCCAGTACCCGATATTCTGGAATAGTCATTCAGAGTCAAGGTCAAACTCCAGGAAGTATACGGAAGAAAGGAAGAGACAATTGTGACATCCTGCTAGGGAATGTTTTTTGCCGCAGCTTTCCAATAGCGTCATGGAAAGAGACGCCATGAATTCACTTCCCTCTTTCCTTTCCAGTTTCCACATGGAAACCTATTAAGTTTTCTGGTAGGGATAGTCAAGTGGAGCTCGCCACCCCACTGACGGAGTCCTACCGGGCTGCATCATGATATCGATCGAGAACGGTTAATCCTCCTTTCCTTGCCAGGGAACGTCTGTGCCAAGTTTCCTGGATACGACGGAATATGCTCGGGGATTCCAGTCCCGGCAGTATAGATATACTCCATCTCAATCCAGACTCGATGTGTGCTCGGCCTGCACTACCCCGGATTCTTCCACGCGATGGGAACAGTCTACACCGTTAGTGGAGGCACGCAGGCCTTCGAAATCTTCTTACTCCTTTAGATAGCCTCCTTCTGCCTGAAATGTGCAGCCGAGCGATGATCCTACCAATATCCTTCCAGTTAGGTCAAACGACTCCTCCCTGCTCCACTACGCAGGTCAGCCAAAAACAGAACGCTTTCCAGTCCGGGTCCGGGGCAAGAGAACGGGAAGTAGATTGTAGATAAATGCCGCTGGCAAAGTGCATGAACGAGGATCAGAGCAGATCAGAAGGTAAACGAAAAGGATCAATTAACGCAACAGACAGTTTACCGTGATCTTACCTGGCTCGGGAGGAATGGGGCCACATAGCAAGATGCTCGATGCTGCAAGAGATTCCCTCTTCATTGAACTCATTGGCACAAAGCACGTTAAAGATCCATGTTGAGAAAATGGCTGGAGTCATAAAATAAAGGTCAGCCAAGACATGGTAGATGGTCGTCAATTGGATCCCCGTACTCTCGTATTCTACAAATGGAGCTTGGGTCGCTTCATTATTATTGCCACTCGAGAACACAACGTACCTTAAGAAGCGCCCGGAATTACTTCTTGGAGTTGTTGGTAGCCCTCGCCCTCATGAGGCCGATCACCTTCTTTAAATCTTCTCTCCTTCTTTGATTTCCCGCCAATTCGCCGTTCGTTAATCCCCATCCCGCTGCATACACCCCCTAAGCCGTGGTCAATTGAATCGATTCAATATGGCCGATCAAGACTATCCCCCAGAGATGATCACCTTCGTTCTCTATCGATACACTCCTTCAATTCCTGCGGCGGCGGTTTCAGGCGCCGTCTTCCTGGCACTGGCTGTGCTCCATGGAATCTTCATCCTCCGCCATCGCGCAATGTTTTTCACGGCATTTTTCATTGGTCTTCTGCGTAAGTGTTGCCTATGATCCTGATTCTTTTCGGACGCTTGTCCTCGACAGGAAACCGATGATCTGATTATTTCTCATGGCTATCCAGTCGAGGCAGCTGGCTATTTCGCCCGAATCTTCTCGCATTTCGACACCACCGCCTTGGGGCCCTACATCGTTCAGACAATGCTCATCCTGGTCGCTCCGCCTCTGTTCGCGGCCTCGATTTACATGACTTTGGGAAGACTGATTGTCCGGCTTGGTGCCGAAAACGAATCGCTCATTCCTGTCAAGTACCTGACCAAGATCTTCGTAGCCGGAGACGTGATTTCATTCGTTCTGCAGTGCGGTGGTAAGTAGTGGCCATCCAGCATCTGTCTCTTGTATCGTCGTTTCACAGCTGACATGGATGGACCTGCAGGTGGTGGATACATGGCAGCAGGCTCGCTGGAAGCCATGGAGAACGGCGAAACCATTGTCATCGCCGGTCTCGCGGTGCAACTTTTCATCTTTGGTGTTTTTGTCCTGGTGGCTGCTGTATTCCACTACCGCGTTCGCAAACTTGGTACCTACACCCCTCTGACAACCTTCCCGGCGTCATGGCGCACCTCGTGGGAGTACATGCTCTATGCCATGTATGCTGCGTGTCTCTTGATCTTCGTCCGCTCGATCTTCCGTGTCGTGGAGTTTGTGCAGGGTAACGCGGGATACATCATGGAGCGGGAGTACCTGCTGTATATCTTCGACGCCATCCTCATGGCTGTGCAGGCGGTCTTCCTCCTCCTCGTGTATCCTGGAAAGGTGTTGAATGAGATCCACGGGGGAGGTCGCGCCCGATTGAATTCGGACCGCGCAGACTCGTCCGAGGTCTTTCTGCAACCGGTGAAGGCGCCGTCGCTGGTTGGGTCCGCTTAATTTAAAGAGCCGTGGGTCGACCATCTGGTACCGCTAGCATTAATAGTCTAATAGTTTATTCTTCTGGTTGGGTCCTCCCACCTAAATTCCTTTCGTAGTTCCTTGTTCGTTCATCATAGAACACCTTCCGTTTCCCTTTCTTACCGGCGACCTCCATCACACCATCCGGCTTTACATAGATCGTCGCCAATGACATAGTCCAGCGCATGGCGTTGGTGTCCCTCCTTGTTCTGAACCAGCAAAATGGTTCCATCAGAAGACACTGCCAGGCGAGAACGCCAACGACACCGCGTGAGCCACCGCAAGTCGCGCAATGGCTGCTATACCTGTAAAGCTCGACGGGTCAAGGTGAGAGGAACCGCGATATGATGGAATACGTAGGTTAATGGAGTTAGTGTGACGAACTGAAACCGACTTGTGGAGCCTGTTCATTCAGGGAAGCGCCTTGCGTGTATCCCAGAGCCACTTCCCCTGTGCGGCCGAAGCTCCGCGCTCGCAGGGACCCGGACGCAATCCTTCGGGCTGGGTCTTCAACGGGCGACAGCAGGAAGTCGGTCGAGTCGTCGCAAGATGCACCATCTGAATCCGTCTCTCCCCGTCCGTTGGACTTCCTCGCCGGCCTTTCCGTCGCGCCGACATCTGGCGGGCCCAGGGAGAATCTGCCGCTCAACATGGTGGACCTCCGTCTGCTCTCGCATTTTGTCACGAATACCACGAAACGAATGTCGCTGAATCCGAGCAAACGGCGCGTCTGGGAGACCGTGTTTCCGGAGTACGCGAACGTTTCTCATGCGTTTGTCACTTGCGCTGGCCGGGCTGGATTACTTCTACCCAGACAAGCCCACCAATCGAGGGCACTCCATGCATCCAACATATCAAGATCCCGCTTCCCCATCGGAGCTCAGCATGAATGCCGCCCATTTAGAGGTGATCTTTGCGCATCATCAGATTGGTCTGGGCGGGTTCCGGAAGGCACTATCCAGCCTGTCAACGTCCAACTGCGGTGAGATCTTCGTTGGCGCAATGCTCCTGGTCGGTTTCGCCTTCGGCTCGCTTCGAGTACGAAACAGGAGCGACGTTCTCTCGGCGTCCTTCCAATCCCCAGAATGCCCGCAGCAGCTTCACCCGCGATTCGATTGGATCGTCCTCATCCGCGGACTGATTTCCGTCATCGCAAAGTACTGGCCCCAGCTGAGAATGAGCCCGATGAAAGACCTGCTCCACTTCGCCCACAGGACCGATGATTATCAGATGTACCCGGTGGAAATGTTCACCACCATCACTCCCCCTCACCCCGAGACATGGTCTCCGCGGATTGCGAGATTCTGCGCGGGCGCATACAAAGCCCTGCAAGACCTGAAGTCCTACGCTGCGTCTCTAGGAGCCCGCCATAGCACCCATGACGCTGCTCGTCCCACCGATCCGACTCAACCCGGGGAGCAGACGCGACTGGATCACATCCTCAGCGAACAGAACGATACTCTCGGTGTCTTGGAGCAAACCTTCATGCGCATCATGTACGTGGCGCAGATGACTCGCAGGCCCGACGCATCCACCCGAGACACGCAGGCTGACCTCGAAGACGCGGCCGTCATGGCTTGGCCTGAACTGATCCCGGCGGGATTCTTGACATCGATAGAACGACCCGGTGGAGGGGCCGATTTCTCATACGTGATTGTCGCGCACCTGTATCTCACGTTCACGCTCTTCGAGGATTACTGGTATTTGAAGGGGGCGTTTGAGGAAGACATCATGAAGATTAATATGCTCGTTGCGTGCTCGGAGGAAGATGAATTGAAGTCGTTGATGGAGTGGCCTCTGGCAGTCATTCTTTGTTGATATGGCGTCTTGCTTCTTTCGCATAGCGTGTATGTATTTGGTTGTTCTTGCTAGTTATGCTATGTATGGAAATCTGTGTTAGCATGACTACAAAATATTCTAAGTTAGGCAAGCAGAGAGGGAAAGTGACTTGATGTCTGCAGGACTCTGGACTCGTAGTATTATTATTTCATGCAATAATACAGATACACTTCTATATTCTTTCTTCTTTAGATAGATCTATTGCATGTTCTGGGAGATGAGCTCGACGATGTATCCATCCTATTAATATATTCAATATGGTCAGCTATCTGATTATCACCTGTGTGTCGAGGAATGTTTTTATAATAAAGGGAATAGATGAACCCACCGGATCAAGTACGTAAGCGATCTGATCGAAGAACCGTTTATAGTTCGGATGGATCTCCCCGAGTCCGACGCCGCGGTCAGCTTCCCATTGACTCAGGGGTACGCTCTCGCGCGAACTGTCGCCGAGTTCCTTGAAGATGGAGACGCCTTCAGCTCGCAGCCGAGCGACAGCCGCGGGGACATCCGGGACGGTGAACCCGACGTGCGCGAACCCCAGGTGTGGGGGCACGTTGCCCGTGGAGACCTGGCAGTCCGGGGCGGACTCGGAACCGTGGACGTGGCACAGTTCCAGGAGGCCGAGGGTCTGCGCGAGATTGCGAGGGTTGGAGGCCTTGGAGGCCCAGGCGGCGAGGTCGGCGCGGTCGGTGGCCGTGGGCGGGTAGCCGAGATAGTAGAGGGTGAAAGGGCCGGTGTTCATGGTGAAGACGGTGCGCATACCCATGAGGTCGACGTAGAAATGAAGCGAGCGCTTGGGGTCGCGGATGCGGAGCATGAGGTGGTTCAGCTTGTAGTTGGCCGTGGGGCTGTCTTCGGCCAGTTGGGGGTCGGTGTTATGTCCGCCTGGGAGAAAGGCTCCTTCTTCGAAAGGCGTCGACGATGAAGCGCCGGAAGTATCGTTGCTATTGGACATTCTTGATGTGCAGGGTGGAAATTGAGGTCGGTGGGATGGTGAAAGAGCAAAATAAAGATAAGTCGAAGTGGGGGATGGTGTATTTCTGTAGAAAGTAGAAACAACGTTGCCGAGGATCTCCACATGGTTAGTCTAAAGACATCCGTCATGCAGGATCTCAACGTCAATCTAATCCATTCAGTCCAATCGCTCAATGCTATAGCCAAACAATGATGTAGAATTGTATCCTGTTTAAAGAGAACCGCCAACGCCCATGTCCAAAAATTATCTCCACTTCATGCTGTCATTATAGGGATTTTGAAAGGCTCCCAAAAAGTGCGGTGTATATGCTTCACGCATTCTTAGATGTATGATGCAAGCAAAATAGCCAAAGTAAACCATAAGCAAGAAAGATTACAATGTTTTTGGCGAGTCTAGGACATCGAAGAGGTCTCCTCATGGCCAGACTGCTCAGGACCCTCCAGGAGTCTCCCGCCCGCTGGAGCTCTTTTTCTGTATTGAAGTTGTGCTCAGACTGTTCGAGTGATGACGAGCAAAGGGCTTTTCGTCCTCACTGTCGCTATCCATCTGGTCTAGCATACGATCGATCTCATCGCCTGCTTGCGACTCCAATCCAGCATTCGATCCGTGCCTGTGGGAACCGGACTGGTCGCTTTCATCCTTGTGATGCGACCCCTGTCCCCATCTCGAGCTGGTCATGGAATCTATGGAGTTGCTAACGCTGTTCCGTACCAAGCTCGGTTGGGCCTGAGAGTTCTGGGAATTGGAATGATACCCCGAGTGTCCCGGGCTGGACATAAATAATAGCGTCTCAATGGCATCCTGTTCCATCGCTGTGCCTTGAATATGTCCATACGGCGTTGAAGTTACCCCAGATGGTGGCTGAAGTGGGGGTGTTCCAGGTACCAGGAGGGTTTCCGAATTGGTGACCGGTTTTGAAGCACTGAACTCCTGTTGTGAATGGTGTCGTCGATGAAGGGGAAAGGGGGAGTATCGTTGGGAGCTGAACGCTTCGTTAGGATTCGGCCTTCTTCGCCGTGGATTACTACTTTTCGGAATGATGTCTGCTGGCGGTGCAAGTCTTGGGATCGTTGGTGTTGAGCCATGGGATCTCGACCGATCATGATGTGGCGTGAATGAGGTGGATGAACCGGAGCGAATTATTGGCGACGCTCGCAAAGGCTCTTGCTGGAACTGGGAATGAAATGGCACTGACGCATCCGGTGCAGACACAGTTGTGCCATCAGGAGAATTCATGTCCATCGCTTGATGAGTTTCTAAGGGAATGTCGGGGTAATGGTAAAAACCCATGCGTTTTAGCGAGTCCAGATCTGCGGGGGGTGCATGGGAGCCATTTTCTAGTAGGCCCATTGGCAACCGTGCAGTGTTTCCTTGCCGGCTTTTCTCAATCTTGGATGCAGCATAAGACAGGCGCGTACGGAGATGTACGGACAACTTGTTTGAAATCAGTAAACGAGAAATCCCAAGCAAATTATCATTTCACTTACGGCCGCAATCCGATTCCCATGAGAGAGCGAGCCAATGCTGCCCGAGCGCCGTCTTTCAACGCCGGTTTTATTGACGCTATAAGAATCTTGCGGGCTGTGCGCAGATTTCGCCACCCCCATTGCCGTTCGCTTCTGACCCAGTAACATTTTCGATGGACTTTTGGGTATTGTAGAGGATTGGGCGCCGTTATCTCGTAGGTTTTCCGCGGGAGGGTCTCCGGCTTCTATGGGTGGAGGTTGCGGTTGTGGCTGCTTGGGCGAGTAGCCACTCTGGGCGGTCGAATTATTCGACGAGCCTGGTAGCTCTTGTGTTTGTGGCTGGGGAACGGGATCTCTGGATGATGTTGAGCTGCCGTTCCGGGTTTTCGTCTTATAAGGCAAGCTGGAAGGACCTGTCTCGGCTCGCGTTGACGCCGTGCTTTGAGCAGCGGGTACTGAACAGCGGTTGGCATGTCGATCAGTGTCCGGGAGCTGCTGCGAGTCCACGAGTCCATTCCCACGAGTCGCCGAGACAGGGTACTGTGGATTTCGACGCGGCGAAGGAAATGTCGCGTGTTGCGCGTGTTGACGCTCGGTCAGATGCGGCGATCCGCCCATGATAGTCGGTAAGCCAACGGGAGCTCCCGTCGGGTGCGGCTGTGTTAAAGCGACTAGGGTAGGTAGGTAGGATGATAGGTTCTGGTCCAACAGGACGACTCTCCTGTATCTGCAACCCGATCACAAACAAGAAGGATTGGTCAGAAATGTGATGCTTGAAACGGTTAAACCCACCACTGCCCCGAGAGCGGGCGCCTAGAGGATCCCCGGTCTAAGACGAGGGGGTTGCGGGGGGAGATATCCGATGCGGAGCTGTCAAGCGCTTCCCAGTCCACCGAACAATTTTCATCGACTCAGTGACCAAATTCCTCGATCTGAGGAAATTCCCGCGTTGCAGATTCCTGCAAGGAGCGCCTCGCCGGAATCTACACGCGCAATGCGTGGTCGGCCGGCGGTAGGCTGCGCGGCTCGAGCACGTTTCGCCTCTATTTCTAGGGGCCCGACCAATGGAGTTGGCCCGAGAAAAGATGCCAGATGGAAGGACAGCAGACGGCCAAGGGCACATGAAATTGGGGGCCGGCCTACATGAGGTGGGCAGGAAGTGGAGGGGATGCGATGCGATAAGACAAGTCCAACTGTCAGTCCGCTCGATCGTCGAGGCGACGCGTGCGCGGCGCGGTCACGTGCGCGCATATCACGAGATCGGGAAATGAGCGCATACAAGATGGTTGATGGTCCTAGTCCTAGCAGGAATATCAACGTTCTCCTGTAGGAATAGTAAGACAGATGTGGGATAGTCGCAGTGCAATGATCAAACGTCAGGTATATTTTTTTCAACGCCATCCCCCATGCAACAGGTTGATAGATACATATGGGCATTATTCACAACACAACTTTTGCCAGCTAATCAAAGACAGAAATCGCCAGGGATATAGATAGACAGAGTAAATTCCTCTACCGGCGCTTCTTGCCGCCGCCGCCTCCTTCATCGCCGGTGTTCTTGCGCTTCTTACCCTCACGTCGCCAGTAATCATCACGCTCTCTCTTCTCCCGCTCCGACTTCTTCTCCAGGCTGTCGGCAACCTTGGCCCGGTAGACCTTGCGTCGCTCTTCCTGCTTCTCCGCCCGTCGGCTCTGCTTGTCGTTGCGCATCGTAGTGAGCTTCTGCATGAGGTCGCGCGCCTTCTTCTCTTCGCCTCCGAGGACGACGGCCCGCTTCTGCATGTATGTCTGGTCCTTGTGTTGCTTCATCTTGGTGATCTGCGACTTGAAGGGCAGGTCGGTAGCCAGCTGTCGGGGCACGCGGAGAGGGTTGAAATGACGCGTGGGTCGCTCGATCTTGTGGTAGGCCGAGTCCTTGTTCATGGGCGTGGCGATGCCCTTGTCACGACGGACCTCGCCGGTGAGACGCATCCGCTTCCATCCACCATCACCCGACCCCTCCTGTTCATCCTGGTCGAGCAGGTTGGTCACCGGGTTGTAGAATCGATGCGGCTTGATCGGGTACCAGGCACGCAAGAAAACAATGTCACTCATGAGAATCTTGTCTTCAAACGTGGCACGGAAGAACCCTTCGGGCTTGCTGAGGGCCCGCTTGATCTGACCTCGAATGCCAGACACGGTGCGAATGGACGCTCCCTCGAACTTGGCAATTTCAATCGCAGAGTTGAACATATCCTTGATGAAAGCGGTGTTCTTGAAGATCTTGTAGGGTATACCGGTCAACTTCAGCTTCTTCACGATCTCCGTATGCTCGTCCACGTTCAGTACCGTTCCCGTCGCGGCAATTCGGAAACCCGGCGCTTTGTTGGAGAAGGTCTGCACGCAGCAGAACGAGGTGTTCGGGGCAACGAGAGGTCCGTAGAAGGTCGCGAAGCAGTGCATGTGCTCAGGGCTGTATTTGAGCATTCGGTTTCGCGTCCGACTGTCGGACGTGCTGTAAATGGGCAAGGTTTGGAACCGGCGCCAACCAAGCGAGAAGATCAACGGGTCGTTACTCTTGAGGATCTTCTTGTGCCAACGGTGTCTCTTGATACGGATCTGCACGTATCCAAATCGGTCCTCGGTTGGTGCCAGTCCACCGACGATGACAGGGTAGCGAGGGTTGAACTTCGTCGCAAACTCGCAGGGCACGTTCTCGAGGACGATACGGGCATAGGTACCGGCCTTGAAGCCCTCCGCTCTGGCCCGGGATGCCGGGTCCAGGGTGTCAAACTCGGCACGGTTGATATCTTGCTGTTTCTGTAGCTTGGCCTTCTGCGCGTCGTACCAATCGTCCTCACCGAATTCGTCTTCTCCGCCGCCGTCCTGCCTTGAGTTATCCTTGGAGTTTGCGAAACCTTCGCGATCTTCCTCTTCAAAGCGTAGCCTCAGCTCCTCCTTTTTCTTTGCATTCCGCTCACGCTCCGCATCCAGATCAACGGGCCCATCGTTCTCCTCAGCCTCGTCATCATCGCCATCACCATCCTCTTCATCTTCGATTCCATTAAATGCTTCCCCGGTCTCGAGGTCCTCGAACTCTCCGTCGCCTTCATCATCCTCATCATCATCGAAATCATCGTCTCCGTCTCCGGAGCGATGAGAGGTGATAAATCGGCTGCGTAAAGACTCGAGGAGATCCTCCTCTTGCCACTTCTGTTCCAGGGCCTCATAGTCGAACTCAGGGACAGAGCGATACTCTGACTGCTCCGCCTTCTCGTTGTTGGTTTTCTTGAAGAAGTCATCTCCCTCATCCTCGGCCTCCTCTTCTTCCTCTTCCTCCTCAGTGTCTTTGCCAGACCATTTCCGGATCACGTCGGCGGGGTCGAGAGATTCGTCGTACATCATACGCGAGAGGTCGGTAACACGGTATTTAGGCCTGCTGGCGTGGAGAGCTTTGATGTTGGCGGCCATGTTCTCTTTCCAGCGGAATGCGCCGTCATCCTCGCCTTCCATGTCATCCTCATCCTCGTCGCTGTCCAATTCCTGATCCTCGACGGATGAGATAGAGCCAAGGTCTGAGTCGCTGTCGGCAAATGCGATGTCATCTTTGTCTCCGCGGTCTTTGCCATCTTGCTTCTCCCGGAAACTGGTTTCAAAGTCTGCCGGGGCAGCGAGGTCCAACCCTTCCTCGTCGCTAGCCCCATCAGCCTCATCACCGTCCATTTCCTCATCATCCTCGTCGCCCTCTGCACTGTCGAATCCCTCGTCATCGTCGTTCAGTGCGGTCTGTTTGTCTTCGTCGTCCATGAACCGGACGTTCCTTCTGCGCTTTCTACCCGCGGCATCATCCTCGTCGTCCGCCTTGGCTATAGCTTCACCGCCGCTAAACAGACGGACACCGCCATCGGCTTCACCGAGCAACTTTCGCTCACCCTGCAGGCCGACAACCAATTGCTCACCGAGACCACGGTCTTCGTCGTCACTCTCCTCATCCTCCTCGCGCTCGAAGTTGTTTGTCTTGACATCAATGTAAACAGCATCTTTGTCGACCAACACACCACCGACGTCGGACATGGGCGCGAACAAGAGTTTCTGCTTATCTCCCAGTCTGCGTTTGCTTGACTTGCCGCCGGCCTTGGCTAGTTGTTGGTCCATGTGAGGCGTAGGACAAGGGTCGGGGAGACTCTCGATACCTGAGACAGTCAAGTCGCCGACTCCGGGAACATGCACTCGGGCACCTTGGGCGGAGAAGTTGGTACCACGCAGGTAGCCATACAACGCTATCGTCCGGTCGCACTTCGGGTTCTCTTCGATGTCGGTTGGGGGTGTGATGTCCAGGAAGCGATCTGCGAGCGCATACGGGTGAGAGTTACGCCAGATCAACGGTCGAGGGTTCTTCATGACGGATAGGAAGCGAGAAAGATTGTGAATCTCGCGGTCGGGGTACCGGCCATTAACCACACCGGAGAGGTAGAATAGCTTTGCGCCGTTGTAAAGCTCACTCCAGAAACGGTTCTTCAAGCGCTTTTTGGCGGCCCGCAAGGTGCTCTGCTTCTTGAAAAGATCCAGATGGGTCAAGATTCCGAACACGTTTCCGGGCATACCACTCGAGGCCAGCACGTTCAGGAATTCCATGGTCTCCATCTCAAATCCATAATTGCCGTCGATCATCAGAAGCACGATATCCGCGATCTTGGCCACATCGATCATACTGGCCAGCGAGTCGGAGGGACATTCGATGATTGTAAGCCGGCGCTTCTTCGAGGTCACGATTGTCAACGGTCCGGTCGGCGTGCTAAGAGTCTGCTTGGTGTAGCGGCGAATCAAAGACTTTACAAGGGTGGTTTTTCCGACCTGGTGATCGCAAACTCGTTAGTTCCTATCCAATCGCATTCTGTATCGCATTTGCTTCCAGGAAGATAGAAAAGTGGCAACTTACACCTGGGGGTCCAACCACCGCAACGACCAGCGGGGGAGCCTCCTCGGGCAGACGATCCACCAAAGGAACATGAAGTCTTTTCTCTTTGATCTATGACAACGTAACGGTGTTAGCCCACGGTTCGTCCATGCCGGGAAGTTGAAATCGGAGGGCGCATACATCGTGCGATCGCGCGCCTTGTTTGTTTCCTTTTCCAGGGTTTGAGTATGCGAAGGCCTTAGGATTGGGGCCTAGAAAGAAGATTCAAGCGCGTTAGCATTGCGGAAGGCATATAAAAAAAATGAGGCTTCAGGCTGTATACATACCATCGTACTTCTTCTTCTCCTTGGTGGCCCGATGGGCCCTGTTAGGTTGTTGCTCCATGGTGGAAAAGAGGTCGACGACCTCGTGTGACACCCCTTCTTTCCGTGTAAAAGAAAGGAATCACGGCGAACTCGGATGGCAATCCGTGAGCTGCTTCTGACTGCGAGCTTGCCCGGACCAAAATTATTATTTCCATTTTCTTCGTCGGGGCGGGACTTAATCCGCGCCGATCCCGCAAAAAAAGTTTCTGACCTGGCTTGGTTCCTCAGGCACCAAGCCAGCCATCGTTCTTACGTAAGTTCTTATCGAGAACAGCCCGGGCCGACGTGCTCCGATAAGGGCTCCACCCTAGGGCGTCGGTCCGACAGAGAAAGACGCGGAGACGATGGCCTATCATCACCTGTTGGCCTTCTTTTATCGCCGGTCACGGCGAGCATTGGCACGTCCAGGAGGCCATTAGCCTTGATTAAAGCGGGCCCATGGTGTCAAACCCGATATAAATGTTGCCATTATCAGTGGATGGATTCCGACAATGCCAATTATTAAAAGACCAAGCTCTCTCGACCCCTGTAGCTCTTCGTAAATCCCCCGCCTGCTAACAGCGTCCTCCCCCTGCGGGTCTCTCTACAGTATCACCACATAATTCAAGATGGCTCCCCACGGTCGACCCCCGCCGGCATATACTGCTCCTAAAGACTCAACCGTCCACGGCACCACCCCCATCTACAGATCCATCTCGAAGACAGCTTCAGATGCCTCGCAACGTGTTCTGGAGACATCTTTCACTGTCCGTCCGTGTTCCGGACAGGCATGGGTCGTGCCAGCCGGCCATATCTGCCGTCTCACCACTCCCAAAGGCCCGCAGGTTGGGGACCTGAACATCTGGAATGCGCAGAACCCGCGCGAGCGACTCTGGGCTGCTCGCACGCGTCAGATCCATGCGTCTCATGTATCCGTCGGGGACCGTCTCTGGTCCAACCTGCCCTACCTGCGACCTCTTGTAACGATAACGGGCGATTCGCTGGCTGGTGGTCAACTGCATGAGCTGGTTGATGAGGACGGTGTGCGTAAGGCAACCTTCGGGACCACCCAGTTTGGAGGACGGTGCCATGACCTCTTAGGAACACGCTGTGACCCTTATGTCAATCTGCTTATGGGCGGAGAGTCGTTCGATTACCACTGTCATTCCAACCTGACTCGTGCGGTGGTGCCCCATGGGCTTACCGAGCTCGACGTGCACGATGTTCTCAACGTCTTCCAGGTCACCGGACTCGATGAGGAGGGGAAGTACTTCATGGAGACCTCCCCCGCCAGACCGGGCGAGTACTTTGAATTCTTTGCCGAGGTTGATGTTCTCTGCGCACTTTCGGCCTGTCCCGGTGGTATGCATCTGGAAACTCCCTCCGATGCTTGGCGAATGCTAACGAATGTATTTATAGGGGACCTTTCTAACTGGGGGTGGGAAGGAAAAGAAGACATGGGAGCTACGACTCGGCCTCTTGGTGTAGAAGTGTATAAGTTGACGGACCCCAAGGCTCTGGAGGGGTGGAAGCAGCCAGAAAGCCCTCGGTATACTGGCATGCATGGCTTGAGAATGCCGGAGCGAGAACAAGATGACTCTGGCTATGTTGGGCTGTAAATAAGCTTTCCTCCTGAAATGAATATCAAGAACATGCGTTGTCATCTGCTTTAATTGGAGGCGTGGTGGCTGGACTAAAAGAACACGGCCGCGGGAAATATATACTTCAAGGTCATGGACAGTTGTTAACAGTTTCACTAGTGATGCAAAGAACTATGTCCAAATTTGGGAATATACCGGATACTACATCTCAGTCAGCTTCCAATTAAGCATTTGAGAGCCCGACCAGCATCTCACATCTATTTTGTAGTCAATACTCAAAAGTGACGCAGTGATACTGTCGAAGGAAAGCGGACAGCGCGTCCACGTGACTGCCCCGCGCCGGATAGCGTCATCGCGCTGCGCACCCCACTTGCTGCATGGAGATGTCATATCACATCCGATCCCCGTAGGAACGCCGATAGACCTACAGTAGGCTTCACCAGCGAGACAACTGTCCTTTAGTAGGTTAAGGCATCGCTGGGTTGCAGAGTGCATGTAACCCCTCCTGGTAGTCCGCCCAAACCACAAGCAAGCGGGGTGATAGACAAACTTTACCCGCAGAGCCAACGCGCCCAAAGCCGGTCGTAATATGTAGTATTATCCCCAGAGATTCATTGTTGACAATGGATGTTGACGCAAAGAGCCGCTCGGAAGAAACCACATTGTAAGGAGCCGTGGCCACCAAGGTCGTCACCATTGGGTGGCCTGGGATGGCGCGATTCCAGGGAAACGAGCAGGCACCCAGGGATCCAGGTCAAATCAGCCACCTGCCTGTTCCCCCTCCCACCTTATTCTATCGCTAGTGGTTACATTTCCTTATCGGCCGTGACAGACACTCGCCCCGCGCGGAATGGTATAAATCCTCCTTAGTCCCACCCGCCTGCAAGTCCACGTTTCTCCCAGTTTCAACGTCCAACTTCCCTCCCATTTACCTGTCCTCTGCCACCACACGCTACCTCACCACCACCCATCCTTTCCGAGACCCAACTTTCCCGACCACCCCGACAACATGCCCGTTTTCAACGTTCGTGGTGTATTTTCTGCTATGACTCCTAGTCCTTGCTTTAACATTTGCTCCTAGGTCACTCTGAAGAAAGACTCTCCTCCCGAGGAGCTGCAAAAGTAACCCACTCTTTACACATCTCAAATCCTCATCTCTCCGAGAACCGATCACTAACCCTGTACTCTCCTTCAGGGCCAAAGAGCAGGTGAAGAAGGAAGGCGGCTCCATCAAGCACGAATACACCCTCATCAAGGGCTTCACGTAAGGCAGCAGTCATACCCCCGAGACCCGTGCACGACCAGCACGGTCGAGAAAACACCGTCCAGCTGACCCCACTTAGTGCCGAATACCCAGATGACCAAGTCAAGACGCTCGAGACGACCGAGCACGTTCACGTCGAGCAAGATGGCGAGATAAGAATCCAGTAAAGGATGACACGCCATCTCCTTTCGGGAAGACGAACGATACACTTGTTAATGACCGTCAAGAGTTGCCTTATGTGAACTGCTGCAATCCGACATACTGCTGCCTATTCAAGCGTGTCTTAGCTGCATAGGCTGCGGACCTTCTGTTACTGTATGGCGAGGGACCATTTTTTGTGAACTCTAGGCCTGCTGCGCGGGGAATCTGGATAAGCAGACAGTCTCGTGTCTTATTATGATTTAGTATTATATGAATATCCATTGAAACTTGTAAATGCTGTGCTTCTTCTGGTGGCGTGTTTTGCCGCTCATTTGCTCTTTAATAGGAAGTATGATATGGCTCATCCAGTAGCAAAAAAGGTGGAGAATGACCTCATGTACTGAGATCGGACAAGGTTCAAGCCAGTAAGCCGCGATAAGCATCTTGTGAATCATTCGGTTCCCTCGAGCGAAGTCATCGAAAGACAGATACACAGAGTGCGTCATAGTTGACCTCTTTCTAACTTCAACCAGACACCGACAAGTACATCATGAGGTATTATTAGCACACAATACTACAGCATGATGGCCGGTAAATTGCAAGACCAGGCTTTCGCGATGGTCCAGAAGCAAGTAATCACAACAGGTCCCCTCCCGATGACCTCAGACCTTACTTCAATCAGCTGTGCCGGCGTTGTGAGTGCAAAAGTACACGTGATTTTCATGAACAGGCAAGATGGCCGAGTGGTTAAGGCGGTAGACTCAAGCGATTCAAAGCTTCACCATTTAAATAAGTTGGTGTTTTCTACTCTCGCAAGAGGCGTGGGTTCGAGTCCCACTCTTGTCATTACTTTTTGTTTTTCTCGTTTTGGTTTGTGGTTTGCCGGATCCATCCGTCAATTATCAACCAAGTTAGCTAGTTAGTCTGAGCTTTCTTTCTGTCTTGCTTTTTTTATCGTACATATCGATTTTTGGTGTTATATAAGTGATTACCCCCCCATTCGTCTAGACATACTAGTATAAAAAAGAGTAACACTGCTCTGGCTTTGATGATATTGCGCAGTAAGGTGCGATTTTGGAGTCCTATCTCTTCGGTCAAAAAAAAGGCACCCATAAACAGGTAATGAGCCAGCCGTAGTAGCGTAGCAGGTTAATTAACTAAAAAGTAGAGGTTGGACTCGTCTGCAAAAAACAAAAAGTATGACCGCGACGGGACTCGAACCCGCAACCTTTGGTAAGCTTCCAACAGCCAGATTTTGATCTGACAACCGAAAACCAACGCGCTACCATTGCGCCACCCGGCCTTGATTAGTAAGAGCCCAGTCAGATGAGCCTATGGCCAACCCTTCAACAATTCTGCAAAAGTCAGCGGCACCATTCCTGCCCATCCAGGACTAGCGCACACGTGAGCGTTCTGCATCCAGTTTAGGTAAGAAGCTCTGCGGTCATTCGACAAGGAAGATGATCCCGCCATGTCCTCTCGACTCCAACTCCAACAATGACTCTTGCTTAATGCTGGCGGCGCAGAATGGCCAGTGCTAATCATGGCTACAAACAGGGCTCTTGCGCTGTTCGCGAGACACAGTCTCCGCCATAAGAACCCTTCTCTCTCAAGATTTCCCCATCCCCAATCCCGACAATTCTCGTCACCACCGCGCTCCGACATCGCAGAGGCCGCTCCTCAGCAGTCTTTCGCTTATGGCGCAAACGATGAGGTCGCACGTCTTGCAGCCAGTCGTCGCCGACCATTGACATTGGCAGACCTGCTCAAGTGAGCTCGCCAGGCTTGTCCTTTAATACAACATAAGGAACTTCGTTAACATTGCATACATAGACATGGTCGCCCCCCGTTATCCAAGGACGCGCTCCTCGCCTCCGCCAACTACACCCTCTCCCTTCTCCCTGCGCGACTCGCCTCTCGAATCGAAGCCCTTCGGAACCTCTCCTTCATCGTCGTTTCGAATCCGCATATCTCCAAAATCTACAACAACTACCTCCACTCACTGTCTACACTCCTGCCATACCAGCAGCGCCAAGTCACTACCCTAGAAGAAGAAAACAAGTTCGCCGAGGTGCTGGCCGATCTGGTGCACACGCATACCAACACGATTCCCATCCTCGCGCGCGGCTTCCTTGAGTGTCGCAGATACATCGATCCAACGGAGGTGACTCGCTTCCTGGACACCCATCTGCGAGCGAGAATCGGCACTCGGCTCATCGCCGAACAGCACCTCGCCCTGCACTTTGCGTCGCAGCCGGTCAGTGACGTGGACACCGGCAGCCAGCCGGCGCCCCAAAGCACAGCACCTTCGAATTACATCGGTGTCATCGACACGGCGCTGCAGCCCGCCCGCATCGTTAAACTCTGCGAGGACTTCGTCGGGGAGATCTGCGAGCTGAAATACGGCGTCCGTCCCCGCTTGAAGATCGGTGGCCAGCCCGACGCCGCCTTCGCTCATGTCCCCGTCCACGTGGAATATATCATCACCGAGCTTCTCAAAAACGCCTTCCGCGCCGTCATCGAAGCCGGCAACGAGCGCGACCCGATTGAGGTCACCATTGTCGCGGCCCCTGACGTTCCTCGTGACCACGGGCGCGTAGACTACCCCTCTACCCTTGCGGGGATCTCAACGACCCAATCCGACTCCGACGTCGGCTTCCAGATGGACACGGTAGTCGGCACCGCCGACGCCAACGAATCAATCAAAGTGTCCGCGCCGTCGTCGCAGAGCATCACCATCCGGATCCGCGATCGCGGCCACGGCATTCCCCCCGAGGTCTTGCCGAACATCTGGTCGTACAGCTTCACCACCTTCTCAGATCTAGACCTGCAGGGCTCCGAGAACGGGAACATGGATGCCTTCAACGCCATTTCGAACAACAGCGGCCAGCTCAGCAGCATCGCGGGTCTGGGGTACGGGCTGCCTCTGAGTCGAGCGTATGCGGAGTATTTTGGCGGTAGTATCGCTGTCCAGAGTCTCTGGGGTTGGGGCACAGATGTCTATTTGACTCTTCAGGGTGTTGGAAAGGTTTGATTGGTGTTGGATCTATCTATACCCAGTGTACGCTGTGAGATAGCTCTGGCGAATGAAAATGAGACCCATGAACGAATATATCACTGGACAGATCCGGCCTGTCAAGCTCAAACTGCTAGGTCCTATGTTGAATAAACGCAAAAGCAATATATAGAAGAAACTCAAGCTTTCAGTCTGATCAGTTTCATCATTCCTTCCGAGTCACTTCAAATAGAGACATTAGCCAATATAGAGATGTCCATCCATCCATCCATCCATCCACTATCTATAAAACACCATCCAATATATATACACACATAAACAGAGACAAAGAACTGAACTAAAACCCCCCAGCCCCTCTCACCCTCTGCACAGCACCCAGGATGCCCTTCGCCCAGCTGAAATGCCCCGGGTTCACACCGATCGAGCCCTCGGCCATCTCCCCGGTGACCGGGTCATGCCAGCACCCGTCCTGCGGGCTGACGAGGCCGTACTTGGCGGTGTTCTGGTTCCGATCAATAGTCTCTAGCCACGTGCGACATACGAGCGGCGAGTCGAGCAGCACGTTGACTTCTTGGCTGTGGTAGAAGGATTGGGTGTCGAGGTTGCCGTTTCCTACTCATCAAGTGTATTAGATTAACGGCAAGGAAAGGGAAGAAGTCGGGTAGATGCAGGGGTCCTTCCTACCTTGAATAGCGACGCTCTCGTCAATAATCATCAGCTTGATGTGGCAGCTGCGTTTCTTGAACTTGTTGTGGATGGGCTTGGTCTGGTCTTTGCCGACGTAGTTGTGGATGCGGAGACGGGCGCGTTCCTCGTCCGTCTCGAGCGCGGTATATAGACGATGCGAGATCATCTCGTTGGTGCCGTTCTGGAACGGCAGGAGTTGGCCGGCGTCGTTGTAGCCGAGACAGAGGTAGCAGGTGACGATGACGCCGCGTTTGACGGCGTCCAGGAGAGGTTGGAGCAGGGGCTCGGCGTTCATGTTGGGGGTTTGGATGAAGATGCTCTCGCGGGCGTTCTGGATGGCAGAGAGGAAGGCGGAGTTTTGGGGGGTGTAGACGCTGGTGTGGTTGGGTGCTGGGGAGGTTAGAATGGGGCTGTAAGGAATGGGTTCGGTTGGGTGGACTTACCTCCGAAGGGTTCACGATTTACAAGGGCGATGGGGAACGGTTTGTGTGGAGGCATGGGGACGTATGGCCGCATGGGGTGTTCGTGGTCAGTGTCCGAGGCATCGCCGGTGGTGTTCGGTTGCGTTGTTGTGTCTGTCATGTCAGCGTGGGTTGGATGTTTGTCTATAGTGCAAGAACATACTGAGATGGCGAGTCACAGCCTGGGTCCTTGATTCGCCTTCGCGAGGCTCAACCATGCCGTTTACTCTTTGTGCTTCTTGTCCGATGTCAACATCGTAATGCGGATCGTTTGTCGTCAGTTCGGGGAGGGTTTCACCCTGCTCCTCTGGGAAATTCGCATCGAGACTGGGAATGGGCGCATCTGCTGCAGGGGACGACAGCATCGGAAGAGGCGGATCGAATGATTTCCCCCACGAAACCAACGCCGTATCATAGATGGCATCGACAATCGGACCCTCCATGCGGATCATCATTTCCAGATTATCATTGTCCTGCACGTTACTGCTCTGCAGCAACGCCACGCGACGGTCGACCACCATGAATTTCGCATGGAACGTCCCGAAGATCGGACGGTGGTAGTTGATGACCTGCAGGTCGAGATTGGGGATTTCGGCCGCTGGAGGGAATTGGACCTGAGAGCTGGTATATTTCTTCTCCGGCACATCCAGCCGGTTCTCGCAGACCTGGCGCGGGTCACCTCGGTCGTAGATCACTTTCACAATGACTTTGGTGCCCCTCTCACCAGCGCGTTTGGAGAGCTCTCGGAGGGAGTTGGTTACGAGGGTTGAGGCGTCGGAGTGGATCCAAAAGTTCGTCCCCAGGAAGACTTCTTTCTCGGCGCGCACGATGCAATTGGCCATGTGTCGACAGAGGTCGGGCAAGGGGGCCACGATTGTTAAAGGCACGATGCCGTGGCTGCCCATCAGCGGCGGGGAGACGACGCCGGAGTGTGGATTCTTGTCGAGAGCGCATACGGCGTCATGGTATATCTATATGGGAAATACCGTGAGACATTGCAGACAGGCCATTGACGGCTAAGGCTCTATACTCACTTTCAGGAATAGTTCACTCGGTTGGGAAACACCCCAGTTCCCACATTCGGCTGCTCGTCGCAAGGCATCTTCCTCGTCAGTGGCATCTTTCATCTCCGAGCCCGGGTTCTGGGAGTCATGACCCTCGTACAAGTCGTGAAAGACCTTGGAAGGAACTTTGGTCGGGTCGCGGGCAAGTTCGGCAGTCACAGTCATGTTGGCGTGGCAGAGTCGATAGACTCGGGCAGTGATCATGTCAGGGCGAAAGAAGTTGCGACTGGGAGGCTGCCGGTAATACCACAGAATCACCGAAGTCAAGGCAACCGAGAAGACGAGAAGAGGGAGAGCCATGGCTTGATGAATTGATGAATAAATACAAGTGGGATGACGTAGGGCTGGTAGGGCTGAGTGGCTTTAATTAGATGGTCAACCAGGGTGGATCGCAGAGAAAGAAGCTTTTCTGGGTGGATTGATAGCCAGGCCCATGTCGATGGAGTATTGTTGACTCCCGAGTGTGTTCAGGTAGGAATTCCTAGACAATTCATCTTGAATCGTGACGCCAAACCGGTTGTTGACCCGTCGACGTCATCGGCCCTTGCAGGCATCAACATTCCTCGCTCTCCAATCACCACCAAGTGCTTGCAGGGCTGCAGAGCTCATTTCCTGGTCTATGGATCCACCGACTCCGTTCGCCTGAAACGAAGAGATCTCGGTCATCTTGAGCTGGGACTCTGGGCGAGTGCATCAACCATTATTCCGAGAGGGCGGAATTGCGCCGGAAATCAAATCGCGGGGAAATGCAGAAGAAGGTGGAGCCGTGGACGAGCAGCTCCGTGGCTTTGTCCCCGACCAGAATCCAGCCGGTTTCAACCCATTGCCGGGCTTTGCAATCGGCTTGTTCTCCGATCAGTGACCTTATAACTAGCGGCGATCTGCTCGTGGTCTTTGCTTCGCTCAACTTCCCCCGCACATCCCTTACGAGACAGAGGGAATCGCCATCATGTATGAACCCCTCCGGCGGGGTCTCCCTTAATTCTGACCAGTTCCGCATTCTAGGGTCTACACTGCGTCTTTTGCCTTTTTTGAGGCCCTCTGGGAGGTATGTGATGGCAGGGAGTGAGTGAGCGATCTCAGTGACTAACTAACCAGGCCGGCGTCTCGCATGTCTTCGTCAACCTGGGCTCTGACCACCCCTCCATCCTCGAGGCGATGGTCAAGGGGCAGAAGGAGAAGCCCGACGAGTTCCCCAAGATCATCACCTGCCCCAACGAGGTAAGCCCTGGGCACGAAGAACTCGGATATCGCCGGTGTCGCTAACCCCGCATTTCTCCTCTGCAGATGGTGGCGCTGTCGATGGCCGACGGTTACGCCCGCTTGACCGGCAAACCGCAGTGTGTGATTGTCCATGTCGATGTCGGCACGCAAGGACTGGGGGCTGCCGTGCATAATGCTTCCTGTGGTCGCGCGCCTGTCTTGATCTTCGCCGGTCTCTCCCCCTTCACCATCGACGGTGAGATGCGCGGATCCCGCACCGAATACATTCACTGGATCCAAGATGTCCCCGACCAGAAACAGATCGTCTCCCAATACTGTCGCTACTCGGCGGAAATCCGATCCGGCAAGAATGTCAAGCAGATGGTCAATCGCGCTTTGCAGTTTGCGACGAGCGATCCCAAGGGTCCCGTTTACTTGGCCGGTGCTCGAGAGGTCATGGAGGAGGAGATCACACCCTATCAGGTGAATCAGAACGTGTGGGGTGCTGTTGCGCCATCTGCCTTGCCCGCCGACGGCGTCGCATTGATCGCGCGGGAGCTCGCCGCCGCCAAAGAACCGCTGGTGATTGTGGGATACTCGGGTCGTGTCACACAGGGCGTCCAGGAGCTAGTCACGCTGGCCGATACATTCAAGGGGATCCGCGTTTTGGACACCGGCGGAAGCGACATGTGTTTCCCCGGTGATCACCCGGCGTCCTTGGGACTGCGGTTTGGCGTGCATGATGCCGTGAAGACGGCCGACTTCATCCTCGTCGCAGACTGCGACGTACCCTGGATTCCGACGCAATGCAAACCCTCCGACTCGGCCAAGATCGTCCACGTTGACGTGGACCCCTTGAAACAGCAGATTCCCGTCTTCTACCTGCCTTCCATGGCCACCTTCCGGGCGGAGTCCGCCACCGCGTTCAAACAGATCAACGAATACGTTGCATCCAACGCCTCGCTGCAGCAAATCATCAGCTCCGAGGAAAATGCAACCCTCGGAAAGAACCGTGAAGAAGCATACAAGAAAGCCCGTCAGGCCGTGACCGACCTGGCCGTGGTGCCCTCGGGCGGCGATGACGCTTCTCTGAACGCATCCTACTTCATCTCTGAGGTCCGCAAGGGCTGCCCCGCAGACACCATCTGGGCCATCGAGTCTGTGACCCTCACCGGCATCGTAGCCGACCAGATAAACGCCACGCTGCCCAAATCCTGGATCAACTGCGGCGGCGGCGGACTCGGCTGGTCCGGCGGAGGCGCTCTGGGCATCAAGCTGGCCACTGACGACCAGCACGGCGGCAAGAACAAGGGCAAATTCGTCTGCCAGATCGTCGGAGACGGCACCTACCTATTCTCCGTGCCGGGCTCGGTCTACTGGATCTCGCGACGCTACAACATCCCCATTCTCACCATCGTGCTGAACAACAAGGGCTGGAACGCCCCGCGTCGAAGCATGCTGCTGGTGCATCCTGAGGGTGATGGCTCGCGCGCCACCAACGAGGAGCTGAATATCTCGTTCGCCCCGACCCCCGATTACCCGGGGATCGCGAAGGCCGCGTCCGGAGGCGAGGTCTGGGCTGGTCACGCAGGCACCGTGGCGCAGTTGGCCAAGCTGTTGCCGGAAGCTATTCAGACGGTGCAGAATGGAACTTCGGCGGTGCTGGAGGCACAGCTGGATGGAACCGTGGGGAAGTATGTTGAGAAGAATTAGACGTCTAAATCTAAACCGTGGATATATGATACATGCATGATATGAGAGAATTATTATTTAGTACAGTCTTACATAGGCCGGACATTTAACCCTCTAAGACGAAACCACACCAATTAAACACCACAGATATTATATTACAAGGTGGATATCCATATTCCTCTTGGTTCATCATACTCTATTAGGGTATTGTCTTGTTCCCGAATCGCAAACTAAACCATATCCAATCAAGCCAGAAACTCACGAGGGCTGGCATGCACCAGGCGCGAGGTATGATCTTCCAGGAAAGGGATAGGATCCGACCCGTTCACATTATGGAGGTCCGCTAGCATCGCTGCAAGAGGTTCATCTTCCCTCGGCCACCTGATGAGGACCCAGTCGCGTCCTCTCCCACGCTGTCGAAGCACGCAGACCGGGAATACGGCCGTGTCTTTGTGCGCCGTGTCGAAGTCATAGTCGTGATGGTTGATGTCGATGACGAGGAAGGCGCGTTCGCTCCACACGTCGATGGCGAGGAAGAGAACGCGCGAGTCGGGATGCTGAGGTGCGGTAGTCGTGGGAGTCGAGGCTTTCGGTTCGGACTTTGATGACGAGGCGTTTGGGGATGTCGTCGGAGAGGATTTCGTTGCGTATATCGGAGAGACTCGTCATGGCTAGGATGGAAACATAGTCTGGGCCGGGGTGGATCTGTTGTGGATATGATATAGAGCAGTGCAACAAAAGCAAAGGTCGCCCGAGTAACCGGACGCTTACTTGAGCCTTGCTGGCTGCTGATGGGTAACTCGTACCCCGCTTCCTCTTGAATTCCATGTCCTACTCTGGGCGGAACAACCGTTCACAACGGAATTCACGGCCGACCTTAGAGTATCGAAAGGCGAAGATCTTGACTCGGTGGTGGATGGAATCTGCAGACTCGTCGATACTTCTGGTTGGGAATTACTGAACGGCGATGAAATCCGGAAGACGTTCCACTGTCGAACATGGACGAAGATAGGAGTGAGTTTCCCAGCACAACCAACTGATCTTAGGAGTGGATTTGATCTGACGGTCTTAACTAGGATTTCTTTAACGGCGTAGCGACTAAATGCAAAGAAATGAATCATCATCCGAGAATTGAGATTGTGGGTTACCTACTCCTACTCCGTATGCTCGAAGCTTTGCATAAAGTACTTATGGACAATGAATCAAGACATACAACTCTATTACCTTCCACTGGAAGACCCATTCCCCGCCTGGGCTCTCGCAAAAAGACGTGCAAATGGCAGACTTTTGTGATTTCTGGGCGACGGTGGTGAAGACTGTTCCTGCTGAGGACGCGCCGTCGTGTTCGAGACCTCAAGGAGCCAAGGCTTAGTTAAGCTTTATACGTGATGCGAAATTCGAGATTTGAGAATTGCCCAGTAGATTCTGAGTGCATTTGACATCCAATCCTTTGACCTAGTGTGCACAAACTACACAGTGTTATCCAGATCCGAAATGAGACATCCGAAACACGGTATGACATCATCTTCGGATGGACATCACATCGACGATCTACTAGAACCTACGCTGTACAATAAACCCATGAAGATAATACCTACTCCACCGGCGCATTCTCATCCTGAAACCCATTCAACCGAAACAACCTCTTCGAATTGTCTCTCCCCACCAACCGATACGCCTCCTTGCCTCCCAACGCCTTCTGAATCGCCTCCCTCTCCCCATCCCACCAGCCACACCCATTCTCAATCGTCTCGTACGGATAATCCACACTGAACAAGATCCGCTCCGGCCCCAGATAATCACACACGTACTTCAGCGTCGGCGTCGAGAAGTGCCCGCTCGTCGTCACCCAGATATTCTTCTTGAAGTAGTAGTAGATGTCGCGCTGGCTCATCGGGTCGCCGGCCTTCTGTGCCAGCGGCCGCTCCACGTCCTCCAGCCAGTGGTTGATGCGCCAGAAGTCGAACGGGATGTGCTCGCCCAGATGGCCAACGATGATCTTTAGATTGGGGAAGCGGTCAAACACCCCGTTTGTGATCAGGCCTAGTAAGTGCAGGGAGACGCCATTGGCGAAGCTCAGCGGTGGTCCGACCAGGTACTTCCGTCCCGCGTATTGCTGTCGGTAGTACTGGCCCTGCGGTGCTGCTGGGTGGATGTACACAGGGACGTCTAGCTCGACAGCGACTTTCCAGAAAGCATCGTACTCCGGCTGGTCGTAGAAGAGGTACGTTTCGCCGTCAGGCCCGGCGTGTTGGACGTCATTGAGCAGGGCGCCGTGGAAGCCGAGGTCCTGGACGCAGCGGCGCAGTTCCTGCGCGGCTTGTTGGGGATTATGCATGGAGAGCGCGGCGAAGGCACCGAGTTTGTGCCGATGGGCGCGGATCTCGTGGGCCACGTAGTTGTTCACTTCTGTGGCGTGGTGTTCGGCGGTCTGCGGGTCTGTGATCCCTTGGATTCCGGGCACCGTGAGCGAGACGATGGTGTACCCGATGCCGTGGGCGTCTGAGACGCGGAGTCGCTCGTCGGTCAGCGACTTGATCTGGCGCAGGTAGCGGTCGAGATCGGGGGGTGCGATGTATAGGGCGGCTTGGTCGCGGCTTTGGTCGGCCTTGGAGGGAATTTCGTAGGCTTCTTCGAGGGAGATTTTGCCGAGCATGGTGCTGAGTTTGGATCCAATTGAGAGTGTTATTCAAGTTGTATTAGTTATTAGATAGCAAATGGTCGTGAGCTGAAGGTAATGATATGGTCTTTATATCCAGCGCCCGGAACCATGACGTATGCATATCCCTCAGCTCTCATACTGGTTAATCTCCGGAGACAGGTTCAACATCCGAGGAAAATACCTGTCTGTTCACTTTCAGCAAGTGATTCTTGCAATCGGAACCGAAGGGAGGGATCGGATGTAGTGCCAAAGAACGGACCGGGAGATGTGCGCAGTTGTTCCACGGGTGGATCCGCTCCACGCTCCACTGGATGATGTCAAGCAGACGTGAGGGAGTAAGTAGACCAGCACTAGGGATGAACCCGATGAGATGCTAGTTCGGAACTTGAAATTTGGGCGTGGAATCAAGTTGTGTTGCAAGAATACCCTGGTCTGTAGGTACGGTGGAATGTCTTCGGAGATGATTCCTGTATAGGAGGTTCAAGCTGGGATCCGATTCATGGTAACGTTTCGTGCTTCTTTCCGATTAGACCTCCCCTGGCAATAAAAGTTGTGTATGCTGGAAGACGTCGGATATTTCGTATCGGCATGGCTGATCAAATAAGTGTGTAGGAGGTCGAGACTTTTCATAGCATTGTTTTCATACGGGTTGTACTTCGAGTTAAGGGCCCTTTTGTTAGATTATTTTGCTCCTTGCTGATTCTAACCCCTGCAAAGATCCAGTCCCACTACGCTCAGGGTAAACCTGAGGTGCTAGGCATCGGGTCATACAAGCGGCCGTTTGTTGTGGCAGCTTTCATCTCAGGCACCGAAAAGTGGCTATATACCACATTTACATATTACAACCAGGTGCAGCCTTTCTATTAGCACTTTCTGTTATCACAACTATAAAGTTGGAAGGTTCCTTCGTGTCACATTGCAAAAACGGATTTGGCTTCATATGGCTGCGACAACAGAAGGTGCTACCAGTATGACTGCACCTGTTTGTACTTAATATGGTATCCTCTTCCAAATTTCAAGACCTCAAGAGATCTCGCAGATTTCTATAGGGCATTATTCCTTCTCTATAATTACGGCACATACACTTACCTATCGGAGGAATCTCTCGAATGACTTGAGAACAAAAGCCTATCATTTCAATATCATCTCTGAAAAAAGGTTCTTCCATACAAATTCTCATGTTAAACCCTACTTCTTGCTCATGCCTCCTAGGCTTTCAACATCAATCAGCACAATGGAGCCTCACGGGGTGTTCATCATAGTCTTTTGTCCAGTCACTTCGAGTTGAGTGCCAGACTGAAGGGGTATAGAGCATCTTATCGATAAGCCGATAAGCCGAGCCGATGCCGGCGATATCCTTATCTATGCGCGGGGACTGTCTGTTCTTGCAGGTCTTGCAGTCCTTCCAGTCTTTCTTTGCCAGTAACTGTAAGCTGTCGCTGCTTATTTGGCTTGGGACTAAACTACCTACTGCTTCTGCGCCGCCACGTCGGGTTGACGGTCTCTGGTTCACCAATGGCCCTGCATCTCCGGTCGGAAATGACTGCAGCTCCCGGCGGATTGGTCATGCCCCGCGCGCCCTGTCAGTGACCCAAGCTGCATTCCCATGGCACAATTAGATAACAAAAACTCGGTGAGAAGCTGGATCGCCAATTGGCAAGTCTGCCAGCGCGGGTCGTGGCTGAACGCATCCAAACGAGGGATGGCGTTATCTCCGATTCATTATTATTGTGTCGCAGCCGGCGGAACCGATCCGCTTAGCGGAGAAAAAGAATTGGCTGTGTGACTCCGTCTGTTGGATTCTCCCTTTCAACCAAATCACTGTGCCCAACCACTATATACTACTCTTGTTCCTGGTCTCGACGGATTATTCGGACCTTCTTAGATTAATTCCCACCCTTCTGCTCTTCAATTCAAACGTTCAGCCCGCCATCTACCGAAACATGTCCCCCGCCGCCGTGGATGCTCCGAACGGCACGGCCGCCCGGCCGTTGACGGTCGAAGGTATCCCTGCCTTGAGAGCCAACAGCGCCCCCATTCCTAAGGGAGTTGCGCCCGCGACCAACAGTGATTTCTTCAAGAGCTCCGTAAGTTGAAAACTGCCCGTTCCAATGATCGTGAGCAACGCCGATTCTAATCTGTGGTTTGTTCTAGGCCTGTTTTACCAAACCGAAGGCGAAGCGATTTGATCGTATGTCGATCCATAAGTTCCCCAGGACGATGCGTTAACTGGCGCTTTAGATGTGCTCTCTCTGGAGTCGAAGTCGCGCAAGGTTGGTGTTTGGAATAATCCGGGCTCGAGATGATTGGAGGCTAATGGGCCTGGTGCTGTTAGGAATCAACCTTGAAGGGTGCTGCGAAGTATCTCAAGAACCCAGGTATGAGGCGGGAACCTTCCGATGCTGTTTCATCGGGTCTAACGATGGTGGGTCTCAGGTCTCATTTCCCTGGGTGGCGGTTTGCCATCCCCCGAATACTTCCCTTTCGAGGAACTTAGCATCAAGGTCCCCACGCCGCCAGGATTCTCCCCGGAGGAGACTCGTGAAACAGGTGCTGTGCTCCGCGCAGGAAAGAGTGACATTCGCGATGGAAAGGGTTTGTACGGTAAGGCGCACTGGATACGCTGCTACACTCGAAAATGAATGCTAATGCCGGTCAGACCTGGAGGTTGCTCTGAATTACGGTCAGGCCACCGGATCGCCTCAGCTGCTCCGATTCGTCACCGAACACACCGAAGTATGATGCACAACCTCACCATGTTGACTACAACTAACAGACCCCAGCTTATTCATAACCCCCCATATGCCGATTGGCACTGTTGCTTGACTGCAGGCAGCACGTATTCATGGGACACCACGCTTCGGATGCTCTGCGAAAGAGGCGACTACATTCTGATGGAAGAATATACTTTCTCTAGTGCCCAAGAAACCGCCACCCCCCAAGGCGTCAAAGTGCAGCCGATTAAGATGGACGAGCAAGGCCTTCTACCCGAGTCCCTGGATGAAGTCCTGAGCAACTGGGATGAAGCTGCCAAGGGCGCACGCAAACCCTTCGTTCTTTACACCATCCCAACCGGGCAAAACCCCACTGGTGCCACCCAGCAGGCGGCGAGACGTAAGGAAGTCTACAAGGTCGCCCAGAAGCATGACGTCATCATCGTGGAGGACGAGCCCTACTATTTCTTGCAGATGCAGCCGTACGCGGGCGCTGATGCTGAGCCCGTCCCTCCCCCCGCCAACCACGACGAGTTCATCAAGTCCCTTGTTCCGTCTTACCTCAGCTTGGACGTTGACGGTCGTGTGCTTCGCCTGGAGTCCTTCTCCAAGGTTCTCTCCCCAGGCTCTCGGGTTGGTTGGGTCGTTGGCTCTCAGCAACTCGTCGAGCGATTCATCCGCAACTGCGAGACCTCTTCCCAGAACCCCAGTGGTATTTCCCAGCTCGTCTTCTACAAGCTCCTGGAAGAGCAGTGGGGCCACGCAGGCTACCTCGACTGGTTGATCAACTTGCGCATGCAGTACACCGGCCGCCGGGACACTCTTGTCCACGCTTGCGAGAAGTACCTGCCGCGAGAGATCGTTAGCTGGAACGCCCCTGCAGCCGGCATGTTTGTAAGTGAAACAATCCAAAACTGCCACCGAAGAACCTTGATCTAACCAAAGCAGCACTGGATGAAAGTCGACTGGCAGAAGCACCCCGGTCTGTCGTCCGGGAAGACCCGCCAGGCCATTGAAGAAGAAATCTTCCAAGCATCCATCGACAACGGGGTTCTCGTGTCGCGTGGTAGCTGGTTCAAGGCCGACGGCGTGAGCGAGGGCGACATGTTCTTCCGCGCTACCTTTGCGGCCGCCAGCGCGGATAACATCGCCGAGGCGATCGCGCGATTTGGAACGGCCCTGCGGGCGCAGTTTGGAATTTAATCACATGGTTGAATATACCATAGACCGCATATAATATTGAATAATGCATAGATGACCTCACGTTGTTTTTGGTCTACAAGCGTTCGGGATTTTGCCTAGAGTTTTCACGGTCTTGCTCAATATTTATTGTCAACAAACCTAGAAGAGAACTTAGTAAACCGGAGAAAGACGCATATTTTGAATTAATGAGATGATAAAGTGGACAAAATCGCGGCATTTATAATCAATCATGTATTTTGGTAACAGACAAATCAGCCCCGCAAGCTGGATATCTTGAACGGATCTTGACATCTGACTCGGCCGGCCTAAACGCCCAATCCCATGTCAACATGACGCCAAGATCGGCCCGAGTTGTTGGGCCGAGTCAACGCCCTCCCATACTGCTGAGTTATAAAGCCACCCAGACCAAGAGACCCTGTCATTCGACCATTCATCTTCCATCATTGATTTAAAATCAGTGCATACAATCCAGCATGATCACCCAAGTTCTCTTGATCCTAATGCCCTGGACTCCCGACCCTGCCTGGGTGTCCAGTCTGGAGAATGTCAGCCCAGGCATCCAAGTGCACAGTTACAAGATCGACGCTTGGGCAACTGAAGTCCCCAAAGATATTCCTCCCGAGATTTGGAATAGGGCGACTGTTCTATTCACGTGGAAGGTGTTCCCGACAAAAGAACTGGCCCCGAACCTGCAGTACATCCAGCTGCTAAGTGCTGGGTGTAACCATCTCTTTGGGAATCCGTTGTTTGAAGAGACGGATATTGCGTTCTGTACTTCGAATGGGGTGCATCCGTAAGTGGGCTGTCGTTTTCTATCGATTATAGTGTTGTCGTATTCGAGAGGTAATGAATGTGCAGGCCGCAAATTACCGAGTGGGTGTTTTCGACGTTTTTGGCCTTTCAGCATCATCGTAAGAAGAACCAGACCTATTAAAATCTCCAAGAGAATGCTAAATCTGCCATTAAAGTTCCGGAACACTTGGAGAACCAGAAACTCCGCAAATGGGTTGATCCTCTGTCTGACGAGGACACCGAAGACGCCGTCGGGCTGAGAGCGTAAGTGATTGTTTATTCGAATCCCACTCATTTCTCCTTGTAATTTTCATGGACAATTATCATCTAACGCTCTGCGTAGTGGAATCTTCGGCTATGGCTGCATCGGTCGACAGTGCGCCAGAGTCGCGAAAGCATTCGGCATGGACGTGTATGCATATACCCTGCATGAGCGAGCAACGCCTGAGTCTCGAAAAGATGATTCCTTTTCTGAACCTGGTCTTGGGGATCCCGAAGGAGAGTTTCCCACGAAGTGGTTCCACGGCCCGGAGCAACTGAACAGTTTCCTGGCTTCCGGCCTCGACCTATTAATAATCACTCTTCCATTGACCCAAAAAACAAGGGGAATGATCTCGAAAGAGCAGTTTGCTTTGCTGAGCAAGAAGAAAGCTTTTGTTAGCAACGTTGGCAGAGGTGCTATCGTCAATACTGACGATCTCGTCGCCGCCCTCGATGAGAGTCAAATTAGAGGCGCTGCCCTTGACGTGACAGACCCCGAACCACTGCCAGCTGATCATAAGCTATGGGGATACAAGAATGCCATCATTACGCCCCATTGCAGCGGCAATTCAAACCACTATAACGAGCGGGCCTGCAAGATCTTGAGATACAATCTTGAGAGGCGTTTTAAGGGCGAGGAGGTTGTCAATCGAGTTAGTAAGGAGCTAGGATATTAGACAAGGAAGCTTGAAACAAGGAAAGGCTCAAATGCGACAATTGGAAGCGTGCTGGTGGCTTTAGAGAGGGTGATGGAGAAAGGGATGCAGCACAAACACAAGCCATAGCCGCCTTCCCGAATGCAGTTTAGCGGGTGTTAGAGCGGAATGCGTGAAAACAATAATCCGACACTGATCGGCAGTAACGTGATTAGCGATCTGGAACTTTAATGGGACGTTAATTTGACCCGTTGTGCCTGTTGTGATTCCCGTGGCCTGCGGGTGAAGTATCGTGAAGCTATCACTTTCCGGGACAGTTGCCAGGCCGACTCATTCACCATGTCATTTCACCTGAACTGAGATACTCTTGGTAGTCCTCATTCACTTACTGCCTTCTCTTAATTTTCCCTCCCCTATCTTGGAATTGGTTGGCTCAACGCCGGAGAATTAGTACTTGCTTAGTGCAACTACTCAGCTTTCTAGAATCGGCAAGAGCTTCAACTGGTAAGTTGGGACTCAACTGTTTGTGTGTGCGCTACATGGTTATTCCTTCTCTATTTCTTGTCTGTTTAGAAAAGCTGTCAAATTGATGACTTGCTACTTGGTCCATGTGTGCAATTGCTGTGGATTTACATCACACGTGACTTGAAGTGACGCTGTAGACATTGGTTGCCTATACTAGTTTTGGGCTGGATTTTTTTCTGTTGTGTTTATTATTTGTGGCTTGACTTGATCTGCTAGAGAATTCAATGCTAACAACCCCACAGCTGGCTTTCTGACATTCGCTGCCTGATCACTACTGAACAGCTTCTATCGACCACCGTCACTACACCGAGATACTGCATCCCGACGTGAATTTTCTCACATCCTGACCTGTGACTCATTACATGGTCACTGATCCGTATCTCTCATTACTGTTCTTTATTCACGGCCGTCCTGTGGTCGCCGGATCTCGGTCATTTACTCACGCCACAATTCTGCAGGCGCTAATTTAGCGCAACCCATGGTTCACCAGCCACCTTGTATCTCACGTTAATGACCTAGCTTTTGAAAAGCTTCAGAGATCACATTGCGACTGATACTGAGCGCAAGATTTCAACACATCTGAGGGGTGTTACTATCTATTTCACCCAGACCGAAGACACTGGCATATTGCAGAACCGCAATAGAGTTGATACCAGCAAGTAGGACTTGCCGCACCCAAGAGAAGTTCGTTTTATGGGCTTGGAAGATTCAAATAAACATCAAAGAGAATTGAGACTCGGAAAACACCAAAAGCTCGGACCATAGCTCCTGGATATAGACTGGGTGTTTTCAAGAAGGGTAAGTCAAGAGAATCCCGTGTTCTACCTCTTTTCGCTCAGCATGTCGTCTCTCCTCCCAATCCTCTCTTCCCCTCCCCTCTTCTTCAATCCCTCAATTCTCCAGTCCTCTCTACACTATCTTCATCTCCAACCCTGCCGCTTCATCCTCTCTCATCATCCTGTCCATCGCATTTACCCTTGTTCCTTCTCCAAACGTTCATTTCAATGGATGACCCCATATCTCCCGGGCGTCGTGGATTCGTCTACGGGTTGGGCTTTTCTTCAACACTTTCATCGGGACAAGGCTAATTTAATCAATATAGGGCCCATTCTAATCAAGTTGTCCAGCAAAAAATCTCTGTTCCAAGCTGTGAAAACACAAAAAACACTGGTGGCGATTCCTCCTCCGATACACACAAGGCAGAACAGTCAGAGAATCGCAATCCTAGCAGTCAAGGTCAGTATTGAGATCAACAAACCAATTGAGCTCGAGAAGCTAACTCAATTAAGATCTAGATCTTCCAAAAAACCCAAGTGGTAGCGATAATCAGCTTGTGTGAGTTGATTTCCGAGATATGTTAGTACTCTGGCGACTGACTTGGTTATCAAAACAGAAAGCCTCACAACCGCCAGGACGGAAGTGGATTCAGGCCTTTTCGATTCCGGTCCAAGTCGACAGAGACCAGGCCCAAGCCAGACATCAGCTGGCCAATTGCTCTTCCAACAAAGTCTTCTATTTTCGGAGTCCCTGATTACGCTGGTAACTCGGACACTTGGTCTCCAACCCCGAGACTCCGGGACGTTGTACACTCGCGTGCCCGTTCTTATCCATCCGGTGCTGGTCCGCTTAAAAGACTTACCACACGCTCGAGAAACCCAACTGGCTCCGTTGGTTTCACCTCTGCCATCAGAACTCTCTTGCACGGACGGAAAAAGTCCAAAGACAAGGCGCCGGAGACCACCCGTGCTCAGCAGCCAATTTCGCCTCTTACTGAAAGGTTTCTATCGCATTTTCCACGCGTATCCAAACCCTCTTCCCAGACACGTCTGAGGAAACAGAAGCTACGCTCGGCGAGCGATCCCCTTTCTACTACTAAAACTGCTGATTGTGAGCGACGGCCGATCCCTCGACGTGGAGCGAGTGAATGTCCCCTTGGGATTCAGACATCCTCCCAACTTGCCCCCAGTCCTCAGGCTCCCACCCCCACCAACTCTCTCATCCCCAAACCCTGTCCTCCCATCTCACTCCCTCACTACAAAACAATCCGCTCTCATCCTTTCTCTCCGGATTCTTCAGACGTTATCATTGAGGAACCACTTCTACCCCCTCTGCTCAAACTAACCAGACCTTATCGTGCCCTCCGTATTCCAGCGGCTCGTTACAGAAACCCAAACCTCACCATGGAACCTCCACGCACTTCCCGGCTTCTGGACCCCACGTCCGCCATCAGCGCCATCACTAAACACAAAGCAGAGGCCATCAAGCTCGCGAGAGAGCAGGCTACTGCGGTCCAGGAGATGTGCCGGCGAGCTAAAACAGAAACCCCGCCTTATGAATTCGAAGAATTGATCGGCAAGGGCTCCTACGGTCGCGTGTACAAGGGCCATCAGCTTCCATCAGAGAAAGTCGTTGCCATCAAAGTCATGGACATTGACTCCTTAGACTATAAGTCTTTGCGTGATATGAAGGATGAATCGATCAAAGATTTCATCCATGAGACCAAAGTCATGAAACAGGTCAAAGATGCGGGCGCAAAGAACATCAACGAACTGATCGAAGCCATCTCAATTCACTCGCAACTGTGGCTAGTTTGTGAGTACTGCCCTGGTGGTAGTGTTCGAACTCTGGTAATCTTCCACTCCCTTTCTTTTACGCCTCTGCCTTCCTGAAAACTTTCTTTCCTATACTTTCCGTTCCATGTCACCATCGCTAACATTTTTACCAGATGCGCGCAACCAATGATCGGCTTGACGAGAAATTCGCAATCCCAGTGGCACGTGAGCTTGCTGCTGGCTTACGGGCAATCCATGATGCGGGCATCATTCATCGAGACATTAAAGGTAAGGCTCTAGGCTGTTTGATATAAATTATAGGGACTAATCTTATGGTCTCTAGCTGCCAACGTCTTGATTCACGAAGAGGGCCGTCTGCAAATCTGCGATTTCGGAGTCGCCGGTGTTCTGCAATCCCAGTTAGATAAACGATCAACCTGGATAGGAACACCCCACTGGATGCCACCAGAAATGTTCTCCACTCGTGGTCAGGCTCACCAATATGGTAGCGAGGTTAGTCTCTTGAACTAACTGATAAATATGCATCGCTGATCTGTCTAGATTGATGTTTGGGCGTACGGATGTACTCTATTTGAACTAGCGACCGGAAACCCGCCAAATGCCAACCTGCGCGAGAGAATGCAAATTGGCAGACAGTTGAACAGAACTACACCAAAGCTCGACAATGAAAGATACAGCGATGGGCTCAAAAGCCTTGTTGCCTTCTCACTCGAATCTGATCCTTTCCGTCGACCTACCATGGCAGATGTGCAACAGCATCCCTACATTGCCAACTCAGAAGAAGAATACCCTACATCCTCTCTTAGCGAGCTGGTTCGTATCTACTACCAATGGTCGCAGCGAGGCGGCCAGAGAATCTCATTGTTCCATCCTGGCGGTGCCGCCGCTGCAGAGATGCCTGGAGCCCCGACGGATGCAGAGGAAGACTGGAATTTCAGCACCACAGATGGTTTTGAAAAGAGATTCTCTATCATTGACCTTGACCAGATAGCTGCCTCTCTGGCTGAAATGGAAGAAGAGATCAGCCCTACCAAGACCCAACACAACCAAGACTCCGTTGACGAACTCACTGCTACCGCAATGACCAAGGAAGATCAAGTGAACTTTGATGAACGCGTCCGCCGAGGTGCCGAAGCCATGGAAGGACTTTTCAACGAAGAAATGCCCAGCTACACATATGAAACCAAAAATGACTTTGTACCCTTTGAGGACAAGCCGGTATCTGATCTTCCACTTCGCACAGACACTGATCGATCTTCTGTCACATCCACATTTATTGATATCGACATTGGCGCATTTGATTCGTCACACTATGCTGCCGGAGCATCTGCTCCCCAGCCGTTCCAGCTCGCAGATGCAGACACCATCCGAGCCAACAGGTCCAGTGGCCGCGCGCACCGCAATTCCAACGAGAGTCGTTCTCGCTCATCAAGCAGCGGCTTCAGCAGTAACCGCGACTCTCAGGATGTTCCTTTCCAGCCTTCGACTGGACCGCGCCCTCCTACCATGGACTGGAAGTTCCCTGTCTTCATGCAGCCTCCCCAGGAAGAGGAGGTAGAAGCCGAGCCAGAGGCACCGGCGCCGCCTCCTTCTGAGCCGGCCCCCGCCGAACCCGACCTTGCGGCAAAGCGGGCAACCATGGAATGGACATTCCCTGTCATGACAGCAGCCGCCGCTGGCCAGGACAACGACGAAAGCGCGGTGGATCCCGCTCGCTATGAAACACTCAGAGCCCCGGTCCTCGAACTCGAACCTTCGGCCACCATCCGTCCTTCTAGTATCGGTGAACCAGGCGACTCTCGGCCGTCAACATCGGCGTCTGCCAAGTCGAGCATCTCAATCAGCTCGGACACGGACTATGATCCGTTCCGTTTCGATCGGCCGGCAGACTCTCCGGAGGCAGAGTTCCCGGAGATCGTCGAGTCCAGCGACGATGCCGAAGAAGACGACCGTTCTTCGGTCCTTGATGGGCCTGGGCCAGACGAGGAGGAGAGTCCCCAGGAGCCGTTCCCAGCGGCCCACGCCGAGCCATTGGCCACGGCTCGGCGTGAGCCTCCGCTGACAGCAAGGCCGGGTATTGAGTCAATTCAATTCCCGGCCTTGCTGCCACCTCGCCCCGAGGTCCTCATCGAGGGGGCTGACGAGGGCGAGGTGACCGCGGAGCTGGATCGGCTCCTGGGGGACTTTTTACAGGCCCTCTCCGCCACTGGAGAGGCGCTTTCGAAGACGACCATCGAGGCCGAGTCCAACCATGATGTGGACTCGGCCTCGATGGGGCCTGAGTGATCGTTTTTTCTTTTTTCTTTCTTTCTCTTTTTCTTTTTTTATTTTTATCTTATTCTTATCCGTGACGATTTACGATTGCAAGACCATGCCTATTTTCTTCTTTTTTCTTTTAATGTAAAATATCATTATCAGAATATTCTTAACTGAAAAGCAAGCCATGAAGAATAATGAAGATCCAGAAAATTTGTGAAGACCTCATCTCATAGCCTATCTCACAATCCGAAACACCGCCTGCAATCCAATATGATCCGTGACCCACATATCCTCCCCGGTCTCACTCGACTCCTCAGAATCCGACTCCTGGGGATACTCGATCCAAATCTTCTCCCCAGCCCCGATCTTCTCCAGACTCTGTACTTCCACGCCTCCGCAGAATAGCACCTTATCCATCCGACTGCACCCAAACCTACCCCTCTCATATTCCGACAACTGCTGACCCCAAGTATAACTCTCCTCTGTCCCGTCCTGTCCCCCAAGCACGAGAAACGCATCCTGCAGCCCACACTCCTCCGGTGCTGTCAGATCCTCCGGCGCAAAGGCATTCAAATCACCCGCTAGAATCGCCGCATGGGGGACCTGTCGCGTTGCTGCTGCCCCTGTCTCATCCACGGTATCGACATCCCCACCAACTGAAGGCCCATCTCCCCGCATGAACTGCGCCGCAAGACGCAACTGCATCGGGCGACGCGGCGGTTGAGAAACCAAACTTTCCAGATGAGTATTGCAGAGTCGAAGGATCGAGTCCTCAGGGCCGGTCTGCCGCCCATCCCCATCGCCAAATCCACTGATCCCAATATCCACAAACAACGCGTCCCTCCCCATCCTCGACGCCGAATACCTGACCCTCCAAACACCTCTCACATCCAACCTCTTATCAATCAACGTGGTAGTCCCGTATTCGTGTCCTAGGGCCCAGTTCCCAGTCGAGACGTCCGTGATGTAGAACCGTTCTTGGATCCAGGGCTGCTGCTGGATGAGGAGCAGGTCGGACCAGACCATTTCCTGGAGGAAGATCACGGATGGGGTGGTATGGGAACTGTCGTGGAGGGTGGAGAGGTAGCTGAGGGCTTTGGTCATGCGTTGGTTGGCGTAGGGGACGCGGAAGTCGATGTTCCAGGTTGTTAGGCGGAGGGTTTGGAGGGGTGTGCTGGTGGTGGTAGTGGTCGTCGTCGTTGGGGAGGTGGCTGGGTGCCAGGAGGAGTTGGTGAAGTGGTAGAAGGGTTGGGGGATGGGGGTGTCAAGGTTAGGGGTTTGGGACATGGTTGGTGAGTTTTGAGTTGATTGTTGTTGCTGTTGTAGAGAGAGAAAGATAGGGAAGTGAGGTGGAGGAGATAGAGAGATAGGAAGAGAGGGAGATTTGGAAGAGAGAAAGATGTCAAAGGGATCCTGGGTATGTGAGAGGTAAGAAGAGATTGCAAGGTGGTCGAGCAATGGTTCACGTTGAAGTATGTGGAAGTTCAAGTTCTGACTGGTTAGGCTGAAGACGAATGCCTAAGGATGTACTGCATGCACGTGTTACACTCGCTTCGCTTCGGTGATCTTTAACCCGAAGTATAGAATCACAGGTGGTCGTATGAAGCTTGACATTGTTTCCCCCAAGGTTTGCAACCCATGGTAGACCTGCCCATGAGGGTAATTCACTTGTCTGGGACGTGTCTGGCAGGACGCGTCCTGCTGAGGTCTTTCACACCGGAGATTCTCTCCCATCTTTACCATCCTCACCTCGTTCATCTACCTACATCAGCAATGTAACTCCCTCTCTTGATCCCTTGGACAGCTCAAGAGCTCTCCCGTCCTTGCATCCATGATGGCTCCTATATCAGAGATAACCTCACGTTTCGAATCCCCCTCTACCCCAAGAACCTCTGAGCAGTGGAGACAGGCCCTCGAAGGCGTCAAGCTGCTGTACATCCGTCATCAGTACAAGCAGTGTGCCGCTCGGGCTGCAGAGATTCTGCGCAATACCAACCAGAAGGTGAGCTGTCTGGACCCGTCTCGTATATTGAGATGCTAATCAAGCTTACTTTATAGATCCATCCTGTCCACAAGACCTACTTGCATTTCTACAGCGCCATCTCCTACGAAGGCATGGGCCGAGCGGCTCACCAATATTCCACCACCAAGGTGACTCTCCTACAGACTGCTCTAGACTGTTTTATCACCTGCAGTGCCGTGCTGCCTGGTCTCATTCCGACGCAAGATGACACAGACGGTGATCCGTCAGGTGTGGAATCCACCCCTGCGTTCCATACGCTTGGGAATTCATCATCTATCGGCAGCTTCGTCACAGTCATTCGAGACATCATCGACAAGAACATTGACTCTCTGGCGGACGATCCCTTTGTTTCAGACCCCGAACCTGAGCCTGACAAGCACATCTCCACCTTCGACACTCCAAGTGTACCCCCAACTAACCGTCTCAGCCAAACTCTTCTGATGCCTCCTCCCCTCAAGGTTCGCAAATCACAGGAGGCTTTAAACTCACCAGACCCTCCCCTGAACCTAAACCAGATCTCCAGCGGAAGCAAACAAGCCCCAAATCCCAAAGCCTCATCTAGCAGAGCTCGCAGACCTCCACCCCTCCCCATCCAAATCAAACCAGCCGAAACTACACCCCCCGCAGAGTCCGAATTACACGCACCGATCTCCCGAGATTCCCAACACGCAGCCATCGTCACCTCACCTATCACCTCGCCCCGTGGAGCTTCCATCCGGCGTTACAACGGCAGTCTCCGGTTCCTGCGCGTGCAGATCACCAACAGCATTGCGTCGCTGCGCCAGCTCATCGCCGAAGTCACGGAGCTGCAGGACTCGCGGCGAGCGGCGAAAAACTTCCGTCGGTCGAGCTCCTTCTGGACGTTTAGTCCTGTTAAGAGTCCTGTCCGGGGAGGCGAAAAGGTCAGGTCTGGTGGGTTGGGTAAGGCGTCAACTTCAACCTCGACGTTGACATTGACCATGGAGACCAAGGAGCAGCGGATCGCGAGACTGCGCGCCGATGGATGGAAGACCGTGGGTCTGAGAAATCCGGAGAGTAAGTGGAAAGGCACGGAGTACTATAAGCGATACTGTGGTGCTGTGTTGGATGAGTTGTATCTGGGCTCGTGAGGGATGGATCGTCAGGACGGGATTGTTTAAGGTTGTTGGTTGTTTCTAGCGGCGCAGGGATATCATGATGCTTGGTACCTGTTATGGTGTACGCTAGTTTACGTCAAGTCTCGACCAGTAAGCTTGACTGTCGGATTTCTGTCTGTTCTGTGTCAGGTTTTTGTCTGATCGGTTGTTACTGTTAGTGTAGTGGAGCAGTTCTCTTTCCAGAATGATAGTGCAAAGCTTAATGTTGAAAGTGAGTCTTGATCATGACTCCCTCGCTGACCATCCTGCGTAAAATGAGGGTTTCACAAAATCCACTTTCAGCGCCGTCGGTTTTACCCAATCATTCCACTCCTCAGGGTCCAATGATGCCCTCTAGCAAGACGAGTTAGAAGGCTCAAGCGAAATTAGCCCCTGACGGGGCCCAAACAAACACCGCCCCTGTTGGGGGCCTTTGTTCTCCAGGCTCCCACGGGCTAAGCGTGCTGTGCCTGAAGTGTTTTATGGGTACAAGAGATCCATGGAAGTTTAGCATTTCAAATTTGTTTACTTACCGACCCTCGTCTTTCCCTCACATTCTTACTCGTTTCGGTCTATTAGCAACCTACACGCCTTATATTAGAATCATGAGAGTGAGCTGGACTCTCCCCATCGTGCTGACGGGCACTGTCGTGTCTGCCATTGACTTGGACGTTTATGATGAGCGTATGTGCAACCTGCACCGCCGTTCGGTTTGAGTCCCAACTGATGACCTGCAGAATCCCTCAAGGATGCCGCCGGCACCGCCTCCTACAACGCGATGACCTTCTACAAGGCCAACCAGACGGGCGAAATCCCCGGCAAACTGCCCAAAGCCTGGTGGCAAGGCGCCCTGCTCTTCGACACGCTGATCCGCTACGGCCATTTCGCCGACGACGCGTCCAACAACGCCGCCATCAGCCAGGGCATGTACCACCAAGCCGGCGATCATTCGGACTACATGCCCGCCAACTGGAGCTCGTACATCGCCAACGACGATCAGGCGTTCTGGGGCCTCGCAGCTATGACGGCTGCCGAGCTGGATTTCCCTGCGGACTCCAAACAGCCGTCGTGGGTCGATCTGGCGCAGAATGTGTTCGATAAGCAGGTGAATCGGTGGGATGAGGATTCGTGCAAGGGTGGCATGCGTTGGCAGATATCCCCTTACCAGGCAGGGTACGCGATGAAAACGGCCATAACCAACGGGGCCCTGTTTCAGCTGTCGGCCCGTCTGGCTCGCTACACGGGCAATTCGACGTACTCCAAGTGGGCGGAGAAGGTTTGGGACTGGAGCAAGGAGACCCTGATGGATGAGAAAATCTGGGAGATCGCCGACGGCGTCAGCGTTACGGACCACTGCAAGGGATTATCGCACATGCAATGGACGCCGAACTATGGTCTGTACCTGGGAGGTGCAGCGTATATGTACAACGTGGTATGTCTGGTAGTGGACTGGGTTGGTTCAGCGACTGCGTGCTAACGACTATTTACCAACAGACGGACGGCAAGAAGGAGTGGAAGAAAAGCATCGACGGCCTGCTCAACACCACCTTCGAGACCTTCTTCCCCAAGCAGTACAACGGCACCATGACCGAGGTGATCTGCGAGCCCATCGACAATTGCGCCCAGAACCAAGAAATCTTCAAGGCGATCCTCTCGTCCAACCTGGCGTCGACCGCGCTGGTGGCACCCTACACGGCGGAGGGTATCCTGCCGAAGCTGCAAGACTCGGCCACCGCGGCGGCGAAGCATTGCACCGAGGGCAAGGATAAGAGCTTCTGCGGATACAGGTGGTACAAGAGCAACGGGGACCACAAGCTCAACATGGCGGAGCAGATCAGTGCTACCGGCCTGTTCTCGGCCAACCTGGTCGCGTTCAAGGACCAGACTCTCATCTACACGAGTAAGACGTCCGGTAGCCGCACGAGCGGAAATGATAACAGCACCGGAGCCAGCGCCAGTGCGTCAGCCAGCGCCAGTGCGACCGGGGATGCGAATGGGGCTGGAACCATGGGCGTGTCTGGCTGGGGGATTGCAGGCGTTGCCATGGTTGTCAGTCTGGCAGAAATGATTGTATAGGGTGTTATAAGTGTGGCATTCTGCTATTCATTGATCAATGCATAAACATTTTCATGCACCGAGGATGGACAGATGAACAGGAGTATAGTACTACCTACTCGGTACCTACGGAGTACCTCCCTAGGTACTAAATGACCACGTAAGGCTGAAGTGTGGCTCTGCGGTGGTCCACCAATCACGGCGCCAGAACCACGGGCGGTGGCTGTGCAGAGACTGTTAGTCAGCGGGTCGATCGGAGGGGCCAGACTTTGGCCGTCTCTTTTCTACTTGTTGGTCCTCCCCTTTCCCTTCGTTTTCTCCTTGAAGATCAATCCAGTGCCTGCTGCTGGTCTGTTCTCCGGTGTCTTGATCGCTGCGCTGTTGGAATCTCGATCTTGTCGTGCCATCGAGTCGAATCGCCGTCTCATCAGTCCTCCCCGATCCTCCAGGAACGGCCCGCGTGTTTACCCCCTATCTTTTTTTCTATCAGGCAGGCAACCAGTCTAGTACAAGTGAGTTAGCCCGCCTGGCTGGGCTTGTCTCTGACAGCCCGTCTCTTCTCTCCTAATAAATAATCCTGCTGTCGAGGTCCACTTCCGGCTGACTTTTTCCCCTCTGTCTTTTTTCTCTCCTTCGTGAATATAGCATTCATCCAGGAACCACGTTCTGATTTTCCGTTCGCATTCCTCGACAGCCTTCAGCTTTCGCCCCGCCATCCCCCCCTCACGTGCGGGGTCCCCTATCACCGCCGGCCTAAGCCCACCGCACACATTTGCTGCAATTTGATTTGTACTCCGAGACCTGTCCGCAACGGTCTCGCTCGGTCATCATGAGTTGTGAGTCCTGTTTTCTTCCCCTCCATACCATGGCTCCCTCCAATTGTATTTCCTCGTGATGTCGTTCGCTGCTTGTCGCCCGGTCTGTCGTTGAGACTGCCTTGCTTCTGATTCCCCTGAAATCCTGGTGCCTTGTGTTCAGGGTGCCAATTCGATGCTCATGTTGTTGCCAACCTCGGTCGTGGTTCTATGGACCAAGAGCCTGGGCTTTTGCGCATTGCTTGTTTCGCTATGGTTACATGGTCTGGTTTTACCTTGCGATCGATTCGAGCCTCGATCCTCCCGTTCGGACTGGTGTTGCACGAGCCATCATGAAGTCGTCGCTAACCGCGGTCCCCAATCTAGTCTCTAACATGCTCAACAAGCTGTCTGGACAGCCGGAGAGTTACGAAAAAAAGTACGATCCATCCGATTTCTTTCTCCCATCCTCTGCCCTGCGCCATCAAATTCCTGACAGTCTCTCCACTTTAGATCGCTATACAAGTTCGGAAGAACCCTCGGCGCTGGCACGTACGGTATTGTTCGCGAGGCTGAGTCCAGCACCGGAAAGGTCGCGGTCAAGATCATCCTGAAGAAAAATGTCCGCGGAAACGAGCGCATGGTCTACGACGAGCTGGAGATGTTGCAGGCGCTCAACCACCCCCACATCGTCCATTTCGTCGACTGGTTCGAATCGAAGGTAGGCTTTCGCTCAGTCACACTTCTCATGCGCGACCGAGTCTAACGGGATGCCAGGATAAATTCTACATTGTCACGCAGCTGGCCACGGGTGGTGAGCTGTTCGATCGCATTTGCGAGTACGGCAAGTTCACGGAGAAGGATGCGTCTCAGACGATCCGACAGGTGCTGGATGCCGTCAACTACCTGCACGAACGGAATATTGTCCACCGAGGTTGGTTGACTTTGCTCTTGCCGTGATTTTCCATATACTGATTTCCCCCATTTTACGCGAACAGACTTGAAGCCGGAGAATTTGCTCTACCTTACTCGCGATCCCACCTCTCAGCTCGTCCTGGCAGATTTCGGCATTGCCAAAATGTTGGAAGACCCCACCGAAGTGCTCACCAGCATGGCCGGATCGTTCGGCTACGCCGCGCCCGAGGTCATGCTGAAGCAAGGCCACGGAAAGGCCGTTGATATGTGGTCCCTGGGTGTTATCACGTACACCCTTCTCTGCGGTTACTCTCCCTTCCGATCGGAGAGTCTGTCGGATTTGATCGAAGAATGCAGCACCGGGCGCATCATTTTCCACGAGCGCTACTGGCGCGACGTCTCCAAGGATGCCAAGGACTTCATCCTCACCATGCTGCAACCGGATCCCTCGAAGCGAGTCACCTCGGAAGAGGCGCTGAAGCACTCGTGGTTGACCGGCGAGTCTGCCAGCGACCGCGATCTTTTGCCCGAGATCCGCGCCTACATCGCGCGCTCCCGTCTCAAGCGCGGCATCGAGATCATCAAGCTGGCCAACCGCATCGAAGCGCTCAAGATGCAGGAGGACGACGAGGAAGACAAGGAAGACATCCCCAGCGTCACCGACGTGGCCGGTTCTGCGGCGCCCGAAGGGTCTGCTGCCAGCGGACCGTCGAGTCCCGGACCGTCTGCGGAAGGAGAGGCTGGCCACACCAAGAAACACAGCTTGGGCAAGATCGCGCGTGGGGCCATCTTCCGCGAGGTTGTCCTTGCCAAGGTGCGCGAGGCCAAGGAGACGGAAGAGCGCGAGAGGGTGGAGCGGGAGGCACGAGAACGCGGTACACACGCTTGAGTTTAGTTTTGGTTCTCTGGAGGGCGTTGGCAGTGTAAATTTGATGGGTCTACTACTCCTGACGATTTTGGTTAGGTCGCAACTCATTTACTTGGATTGCTTTGTGAATACTTAACATTTCCATGATTCCCGGTCTATAATTCTACCAATGTACACATTTCTTTCTTTATGTTCATGTATGGCTAGGTCTGCTACGTCATGTCCGTCCAGCGTAGATGCCATACTCCGTAGTCATCCTGACTGTCGGGGAGGCCATCGGGTCAGCGGTTGGTCGCGGTGATGGAATCATGTGTCACGTGCGGGTCAGCGGGCGGCCAGCAGGTGATCGGCGTTTTGGGCTTTCCCCGTGCGTCTCGTCCTGTACTCCGACTATTTATCCACCTCGCTGCCTAAGTTGGTCTGCCTATTCTTCCTTTCTCCTGGACTGCTATTCTTACTGTTTTCTTCCTCTGTTCCTGAGTCATCCGCCTATCCTTACCACCGCTAACTCCGCCTAGATTGCACTCCGGTCGTGGTCCACCCCGCGTCAGTGTCAAGACGTCATACATTCGGTGCAGTCTTACGATCGGACTCGAGGCCAGACCGCGCACTTTTCTTTCTGTGGACTCTTACAACGGCGACAAATTGCGCGAGATTGTGCAGCCCGCACAGGGTATCTTTCACCATGTTCGCCACTAAGCGTCTGAGCAAGGTTCGTTCTTTCCTACCCCTCACCGACTCGAGTTCATCAAGCTGACTTCTATACGACCTGCAGGAGCTCATCAAGGTAGATCCGGTCCCTGCGCCCCTTCGCCCTTTTACCCTCGGTGGTTGCGTTATGTCTCAGCTTAATTCACCCTGGCATTGTGCCGTCTCTTGACACCCTCAAGCCGGTCGTTTACATACATTTGCGGATTGGAAACAAGTGCTGATCGCCTCGTCACAGATGAAAGAGCATATGCCGCCCGGAATCTCAATTGTGAAATCGGAAAATCTAGAGGAATGGCAAATGGATATCCAGGTCTTGGACGACAACCCTCTCTACCAGAACGAGATCTATCGGTTAAAGTTCACGTTTAGCTCCAAGTACCCGATTGGTATGTTTCTACTCGCTATCCCGAGGCAGGTGGATGTTTAGGTAGCAACTTATCTGACTGACCTTCGCATTCCACAGAACCCCCGGAAGTCCAATTTATCGAGTCCAAGACCTCCGACACTCCGCGTCCCATCCCCATTCACCCGCACATCTACAGCAACGGCATCATCTGTCTCGATCTCCTCAGCTCGGCTGGCTGGTCGCCCGTCCAAACAGTCGAGAGCGTCTGCATGAGCATCCAGAGCATGCTGACCGCCAACTCGCGCAACGAACGACCGCCCGGCGATAGCGACTTCGTCTCGTATAATAAGCGGAGGCCGCGCGATATCAACTTCATGTATGATGACGACAACGTCTAATTCTCGACACGCTTTTTTCGGCGAGAACCGGTGCCGGGATAGAGAGAATGGGAGAAGGCGGAGCTGTACAGTTTGATTTGATTTGCAACATGGCATCGTACATACATACAACCGCATCCCGCTTTTCATGGTTGAGCGCCTTGGTTGGATTGTGTATACCGGGGATAATTGAACAGGCGATGGGAAAGAATGGCGACAGGAGAGGGAGCTATTACTCCACTCGTTCCTTGGTTCCGGTCTGCTGTGCTCTTGGGTTTTGATCCTTTCATTCAGGTGTTTATGCATTGGCATTGGCGCGCCTCGTCTTGACATTCCACTTTGGGAGTTTCTGGAGTCGTTCGGGCCGATTAGTTAATTTGGATCATGATTGACCCTCTCTTCCTATTTTTATTTCGTTCTATGCTCCTTCATAATGATGACTGGATATTTACTGGTATATGTCCTCACAAACCTTTGAATCTTTATATACCATACCGCCTCTCCCCAAATCGAAATATTCCTCCAAAGTCTTTCGACCTTTATAGACTACACTACAGCGCCTCATAGCCCAAGGACTTCTAGGGCTCCCACTTCCCCCTATATTATGATTTCAGGGTGAATAGTGATAAGTCTTCTAACCAGAAGCTATGACCTAGAAACAAAGGATCACATAGTCAGACCAAACCCATTAAATCAACCAATAATCATTTTCTCTACGCAACCCAACCAAACAGAGCACATCACATTGCAACGAAATTCAACTTCAGTGTCACTATACACACAAGGGTTATGGCAAAAAGAAAAAAAAAAGAAAGGAACCAAAACATAAGGAAATGAAACTATGAAAGGGAAGTAAAGTAAGTAGACAGAACGACACTAACACAACAGAAAGAGATGAAAAGAAAAAAGAAAAGAAAGATGATAGATCAACGCCAGGAAACGGATGGTTGGTACAGGTGGAAGTGTGAAGGAAGGGGTAACAATAGAAATAGATAGGGTTTTTTGCTGTTTTCGAAGGTGGATGGGCCGTGATTTTCCCTTCTTTTTTGCTTCTCTGGTCGTTGTTACTCGACTCATACCACTCGCTTTGGCATTTCTCTCACACTCATACTCACACGCGCGCATGGTACACAAAACACGGGGGCGATAACCCAGAGACTGGAGTCCTGGGTATCGAACAGGGTGATATGGGTTGATTGGTCATTTATGGATGGATGATTCTTCGGATCTAGATTATGTATTTTTGGTTTGTTCTCTGGCTTGCAAATCATCAATATAAAAGGATGCTTGGTTGAATGGATGAGTTCTGAGTCGCGGGCATATTTTTACAGAAGTTGGGAGATCAGGCTGTCCACCTCTTTTGGTTTTCTTATTTGTTTACCGGTCAACTTCACCGAACACCAGATCCATTGTACCTAGAGGACGTTAATAACTTATGTCGGACACTGCGTGAGGAAAGAACTTACCGATGATAGCGACAGCGTCGGCCAGAAGGTGACCACGGGACACTTGGTCGAAACCACCCAAGTGAGCAAATCCAGGAGCACGGATCTTGCAGCGGTAGGGGCGCTCGCTGCCATCACTGACCAGGAACACGGCCATCTCACCCTTAGGGGCCTCGATGGCCGAGTAGGTCTCACCGGGGGGAACGGAGTAACCCTTGGTGAAGAGCAGGAAGTGGTGAATAAGAGCTTCCATGTTCTCCTTCATGGCGGCACGGGGAGGAGGCGAGATCTTGTAGTCCTCGACACGGACGGGGCCGGCGGGCATCTTGTTCAGGCACTGGTGGATGATGCGCAGGGACTGACGGAACTCCTCCATACGGCAGAGGTAGCGGTCGTAGCAGTCACCGTTGACACCGACGGGGACGTCGAACTCGACCTGGTCATACGCATCGTAGGGCTGGGACTTACGGATATCCCAGGGGACACCGGAACCACGCAGCATGACACCGGTGAAACTCATGTTCAGAGCATCAGCGGCAGGGACAACACCGACACCCTGGGTTCTGGCCTTCCAGATACGGTTGTCAGTGAGCAGCTCCTCAGTCTCGTCAATACGGTCACCGAATTGGGTGGCCCATTGGTAGATATCGTCAAGGAGACCAATGGGAAGATCCTGGGAAACACCACCGGGGCGGACGTAGGCGGCGTGGAGACGGGCACCGGAGACACGCTCGTAGAATTCCTATTGTAGTAAATTGACGGGTCAGACTGGCCATGATATTTCGGGATAGATAAAAAGAGGGGTCAGCTTACCATGAGCTTCTCACGCTCCTCGAAACCCCACAGGAATGGCGTCAGAGCACCAACATCCATGGCGTGGGAGAGGACGGACATCAGGTGGTTCAGGATACGGGTGATCTCGCCGAACATCGTCCGGATCCACTTGGCTCTCTCGGGGATCTCAACGTTAAGCAGCTTCTCGACAGCCAGCGCGAAGCACTGCTCGTTCGTCATCATGGAGACGTAGTCCAATCGGTCGAAGTAAGGCAGAGCCTGCATGTAGGTCTTGTATTCGATCAACTTCTCGGTACCACGGTGCAGCAGACCGACGTGGGGATCCGAGCGAACGATCTCTTCACCGTTCAATTCCAGAATCAGACGAAGCACACCGTGAGCAGCAGGGTGCTGGGGACCGAAGTTGACGGTGTAATGGCGGATCTTGCGGCCGACCCCTTCATCCTCGGACTCGAGACCGGCGGGAACCTCGGGTTCGCCTGCAATGCCCTTGTTGGCCAGCGATGTGAAGGTCGGGTCCGTGGGGATCAATCGGGTCGCCTGGTAGCTGGTGGTCTCTGCATGTCGGCGAGGGAGAGATGTCGTTATCGAACGGGATCTGGGGATGGTCGTGTTGGTGAAGTTGGAGGGGCGGAGACAGAGCCTTTTGGGCGCGCTGCCCGCCAGGCGAGTAAAGGGAGCAGCCATTCGGAAGAGAGGAGAGGGGGACGAGGAGGAATTGAGGGTGGAGGATCCTCAGTCCGAGCGCAATGGATGGAGGGACTCTGCGGAATTGGGCGATGCGGACTTGACGCTGGTTGGAGGTTGCGAGAGACATTTTGGCCGGTCACGTGGCAAGCTCGCCTGGTCATCACGCCGCCTCTGGTTGGCCTGAGGGCCGTCGTCTATTCCGCACCCGCGCTAGTGCCCTCCTGGCCGTCTGGGCCGCAAACCCGCCGACCGCCGTGGCCGCCCCCACCCGCACCGCACCACGGGCTGGGTGCAGAATAACCAGGTGGCATGTCCGCCTCAGGCATGCAGAAATACTGCCGGTTTTCTACAGAACTTTTTCCATTTCCCTCCAAGAACTCCTCTGGTCCGCCATCTTCGCATCTTGCAAATCCCCAATTGCTAGCCCACCATGGCGCCTCTTGTCGCCTCGCAGGAGGAACTGGAGCGCAGAAGAGTATGCCACTCAGTTCTTCCCCAGACAAATTTCTTTTTTCGTCCTGCATGCTAATGCGATGTTCAGATCGTCAGTATCAATCCCGAAACCGTCTCCAACATCCCCTCCACGGATTTTCCCGGTCACTGGCCCGGCGAGTCGCACGAATGGGCGCTGGATAAATTCAAAGAGGTATGTCACTGACTCATGTCTCCCTCTATTTTACGATAATTTCAAATCCTCACATCCATCTCGTCTGCAGGGCTTCAAGGTCGAATTCCACCAGAACGAAAGATTCGAAGCTTCTTTCTCGCTGGTCGGCGTCGATGCCTCGATCGCAAATGCCTTCCGTCGCATTCTCATGGCCGAAGTCCCTACCATCGCTATCGAGTTCGTTTTCGTTCACAACAACACCTCCGTCATCCAGGATGAGGTGCTCGCACAGCGCCTTGGTCTCATCCCGCTGAAGGGCTCCGTCGACGGCATCAACTGGATGAGCTGGTTCAAGAAGCCGACCGAGGACGACCCCGAGGGCGGCAGCACCCCCAGTGATTTCAACACCATCGTTCTCCGACTGGACGCGGAATGCACCAAGAACCCCGATGCCGACCCGAACGAGACCGACCCCCGCAAGCTGTACGACAATGCGCACATCTACGCTAAGGATATCAGCTTCCACCCCGTTGGTCGCCAGGAGCAGTACTTCAGCGGCGACGATGCCATCCAGCCCGTCAACCCGGACATTCTGGTCGCTAAGCTGCGTCCCGGACAGAAGCTGGATATGGAACTGCACTGCATTAAGGGCATTGGCGCTGACCACGCCAAGTTCTCTCCTGTCGCTACTGCGACGTACCGGTTGTTACCGGACATCCAGATCCAGCGCCCCATTATCGGAGACGACGCGAAGAAGTTCGCCAAGTGTTTCCCCCGTGGCGTCATTGGCCTCGAGCCCGTCACCCGGGAAGACATCCAGAAGAACACCGAGTACGAAGGACACGAGGGCGAGATGAAGGCCGTTGTTCGCGACGCCTTCAAGGACACCGTGAGCAGGGAATGTTTGCGACATGACGAGTTCCAGGGCAAGGTCAAGCTGGGTCGTGTGCGCGACCACTTCATCTTCAACATCGAGAGCACTGGCCAGTTCGAGAGCGACACCCTCTTCCTGGAGAGTGTGAAGGTGCTGAAGCTGAAATGCGCGCGGTGGAGGCGAGGACTGGCGGATCTTGTGCGGTAAATCTGTCAAGTTCAAACGATTGCTAAAACTATATGATGCATTGACCGGCGTTGGACCTTTTGCTGTTCTTTTGCGTGTTTGTACATTCATGGAAAAAAAGTTGGTCAAGGCCTTCTTTACTGTCGGGAGTCTGGATAGGGCAAATCTTTTATATATAGAAAAAGCTGATTTGGATTTCCTTCGTTTTGTATTCATATCCAGTCATAGGGGCCGTATCCACTGATCGTAACTAAATCATGTCTCATTTCAAGAACTGGTAAATATTCTGGCACCTCATGCACCATTCTAGCTAAATTCCAACCGGTAGCGGAAATCAATGGTATACGCCGGGTCACTGACCGCGACTTCCTGCCCGTCCTCCAGCAGCTCTCTGAGCTTGCGCTTCAGATTCGCCCGCGTCTGCTCCTCGAGCTGGGGCGGGAAGCGCTGATACAGGGTCCTTTCCTCCGTTCTCATACTGGGCTTCTTCAGCTGCGCTTCGGGCCGCTCACCCAGAGTCTCAATAAACGCCTCCAGCGTCATCTCGGGGTCGACCGTCATCTTCCGCGCCAGGTTTCCGCACACGGGGCAGTCAGGCTTCTTCTCCGCCTCAAAGGTATACGTGTATACGCCCTCCTCGCCGGCATACATCATGTAGTTCTCGAGGTAGGGGTTACACGAGGTGGCGATCTTCAAGGCCTCCGAGGTCGTGGCCGCTGCAATGACCGCGTTCGTCGAGGCAATGGCCGGGATGATGTTTTTCACCACGCCCTGGGACATCTGGAACGTGACGCCGTGGATGTTGAATTGTTTCGCGCGCTCCAGCGCAGCGTTGTACACCCAGCTGATGTGTTCCATGTCGTCGCTGTCGAACGGTTCGTCTTTGCGCTTCTCCTGCCACGCGATCTGGTGCGCCCATTCGATACAGTGCTGAGGCTGTCGCGGGATGGTGGCGATCGTGCAAAGTGGGACGGCGGGTCGGGGGGCATGCATGTCGAGCTGGCATTCAATGCACGACGATAGGGTGGGCAGGATCACACGCGCTTGTCCCTTGAATCCTGCAGGTGGTTAGTATCGTTCTCTCTTCTCATTTCGAGGGCTCAGGGAAATCGTACCTTCGGTACCGCCGTCGATTAGCGGCTTCAGGCTTTCGGGATCTTCGGGGTCGACCATGCCGATGAGCGTGGCATTGATCCAGCGTCTGGCTTCGATGCTATCAAGCCCGCACACGACCATTTTGAACTGCATGTAATAATCTTCATCCTTGTCCTGGATCTTCCCAACGTACGGGGTGATCTTAACGCCTTTGACCCGGCGCTCTACGAAGGACGCGGCGACCTCTGCCTTCGGTTTCCCGATGTCCGACTGGCGGAACAGGAATTGTCGGTTCAGGTTGGAAATGTCAATGGTGTCTGGTTTGGTTAGTTGAACACACTCAATAATTCTTGGCGGGCAGCTTACCCATATCGATGACGTGGATGTCTTTGAAGCCAGACAAGGCTAGGTTTTTGAGAATCTCACATCCCAGTCCGCCAGCTCCTCTGGTGGGGTTCTTGTTAGTTGTCTCTTCCTATCCTCTGGTAGAATAAAAAACTCACATAACTCTAGAGTCGTGTTAGCTACGTGAATCGTAAAGATGAAGATTTATGGCAACTTACAGAACTTTGGAACTCTCCAGAGCAGTTATCGTCTCTGGCCCAGGCACCCAGTCCTCGTCGCTTTGGGGGCCAGGCTTGCTCAAGACATTATACAGGTATTTCCTAACTAAGATCAGCATGATCGAGAATCTTGATAGCAAAGAATCGCAAGTCTCACCATCGAAGGGACGGATCGGTAGAAGCCATCGTGGGCAAAATGTGAATTCAATCTCACGCAGATGACGGAAGACGATCACCGCGGGCGGCTGTACCGGAGGTATGTGAGGGGCTACAGCTCAGATGCGCAACAGTGTTATGATTTTGGCTTAGCAGAGGCCAAATTGGGTGATAATGGACTCTGTAAGTTCCGGGTGAGTCAATAATCTCCAAGATCTAGCAGGTATAGGTGGTGGGATGCTAGCGTGAGGATGTGACGTTGGTGTTGACTATGAAGGCGCTCCATTTCCAAAGGGCCTTAGACCGGTGCCGCTTTTACTGGTCAAACTACAATTTGACTGAACACGATTCAATATCGGACATCAGCATAAAATATCAGCTGCTCTAAATAGATATTTCAGGTTTCACTTGAAATGATTTGAGCAAAGATAACTAAGATCGAGAATACCCAATTCCCACAGTATGTTCCGAATGATTTAAAGCGGCGTCCATCTGGCATCCGGCCTCACCCCGCACGTGACCCGGCCGCTCCATACAATTTCGTCCACTTAACAACCACCTCTCTTTTCATGTCAACCAAGGCACAAGAATGATCCTCTCAGAGCATGGACGGACTACTCACCGAGATTAAGACGGTCACACATGATCAAAGGGCCTCGTTATCCCCTGCCACCGACGCTCCTCAGAAGCATGGCACCGAGAAACATAAATCAGATCCCGAGTTAGTTGTGGACAAGGACCAAGCATCGCCGCAGCACATCTTAACGGTCATCAAGTCAAAACCTGATCACTTCGAACTCTCCCGTGTTCTTGCGACACTGGACCCATCCAGCAAGCATTCGAACCCCTCAGGCTTTGATATCAGAATCCCCAGCCCGACAACAGCGCAAATCCTCAATGCCTTAGTCAGCATCACGATTCCTGATCACTGGGAGTCCTTGAATCCTATTGCGAAAGGATCGAAGTCGAGTGGCGTGAAGACAAGGGCTGCATTGCTGCGATGTCTTAGTAGCGTTGCTGGGATCAGCTGCTTGGTCACTCAACTCCGTTCGCTGATAGCTGCCGCTCGATCATCCAAGGCTTCAGAGCGTCCCATTCAAACCAGAGATCTGTTATCGGTGATCTCTGCACTTCTGGAACCAAGGGATTTTGCATTGCGCCTGTATACTGACATTGACTCGTTGTATGGGAATGCAACTCAGAAGCAGATCGCTTGGAGAGAGCTGCTGTCTCTGATTGCTGCTAGCAGGGTCCTCTCCACTGCAGCTGAGGCGCTTACTCTGGTTAGCGGCGTTGATGGTGTGGCTTCGAGCTCATGGGTCGGAGACGGATCTAAATATGCATCCTGGATTGGCCTCAATGTTACCTACATGGTCTCGAGGATAGATCCAGATAAAGAGGGGTATTGGAAGGCAGCAGCATCTCTGACCGGACGGGCGTTGAGCCTTGGGTATACAGGTAATTATTTATCTTCTTTTTGTGGTACCTTTTCTAATATCTGTACAGACAAGCTGGTGCGAGAATTATATTATGGGCTGTTGGTCCAACAGGACTTTGCCGCGCAGTATGGCATCCTGTTTGGTCATCTTCGTCCAACAGAGCAGCTCTCAGTTGTAGAAGCTATCTTCCGCGACATTGAAAAGAGTTATTTCACATTCGAAAGAGAGAATGCTTCTAACGACTTGGTGAATGGCGTGGCTGCCCTATGTTCGATAATCCTAGATGGACATGCAAATCTGCAAGCTCAGCTTGTGGATTGGTTGTCAAAAGGCCAGGGAGGCTCAATTCAAACGTCTGGACTACGGCGAGCCGTGTTAGCTGCATTTGCTGACCAAAAAGGCAAGTGAGATGTGCTCGGCGATATGGAAGCCTTATTAACAATTCCTGCAGACTTGATATATACCTTGCTCACAAAAGGCCTGGAGCAATCTGCTGATAAATTTTACATAAAGCATGCTCCCACCACTAGTCAAGAAGGTATGCCGTATATTGTCCATCTGAGAGCATGCGTGCTGATTATTCCTAGCAAACACCCAGATCATACTCCTCGCAGCTGGGCATCTCCAACAGCTTGACCCAGACGAAGTGAAAAGCATAGGACGCTCAGGTACTTTCCTCGGCAGTGTCTCCAACCGTCTTGCGGCTTCTTCTACAAGGTGTCGATTTCTAGGTATGATTATCGGAACGGCAATCTCCCAGCTTGTTGAAGAGCCAGGGAAAGCAATGAGATTTGATCTTGAGGAAATGGAAAGCGATGAGGCGCGATGGTACCTGAACCTCATCAAGACCCAAGACACCATTGGCTCGCTGGAATCGATTCGATCACCTCGAGAAAGTAGATCGGAATCGCAAAAGCATACAACCAAGAATGCATCTACGACGAGCGCAAAACAAGCCAATCAGCAGCGGGTAAAAATCATGTCGATAGAAGAAATCGGCGAGTCCGGAGATGAAGAGTCTGAGGACGAGGACGACGACTTGATTCCCTACGAGAAACCTGACGAAGACCCTTCAGACTCTGACGATGATCCAACGCTGATTCAGCGGAATAAGCCGACAGCGCCAGTGTAAGTCCCGTTGCCCTCAATTCGCTCGCTCATCTCACTAATCCTGACAGGTATATTCGCGACCTTATAACCTACCTCCGAGATGCCGACAACGTGGAACGCTACGAGCTGGCCATCACCACCGCACCCTCGCTCATTCGACGAAAGACCGGTTTCGGCACCGAGCTTGCAGAGCAAACGGAAGAGCTCGCTCTCATTATCGTCGGCCTGCAGGAGCCGAGCAAGATGCCCAAGTTCCACGAATACCGGCTCCAGAGCATGATCGCGTTGATCGTCTCGCAACCTCTGAAACTCGGTCGGTGGTTCTCGGCCATCTTCTTCGACGGCGACCTGTCTCAAATCCAACGCTCCGCCATCCTCACAGCCCTCGGTCTCGCTGCTCGTGAACTCGCCGGCAATGGCGAAGAAGACGCCCGAACCATCGGTCTCCCAGCCCTCCCAGACTCCTCGTTCCCATCGAAGAAACTCCCCGCCGCCTTGGAAGCACTGTACAAGAGCGATACCGACTCTCCCATCACAACTCTCACGCAGAAACTATCTCAAGCCTCCCTGCAGCCTCTCGCAGCCACCGCCGCAGACGCAGCCTCGGGTCCGGACGCGCTCAAAGTACGAACCTTCTCCTCGCGAATGGAGGTCGAAAAGAAGCGTCAGCAACGAGAATCTCAGCGCCAAAAATCAACCATCAAAGACCTCCACAAAGTACTTTCCGATGGCTTCTTCTACCCGCTCAAAGGCCGCTTCGAAGTCATGATGATGCAGTTCTCATCGTAAGTCTCCCAGTAATCATTCCCATATTTGTCCACTAACCAAGCCAAACCCACAGATCCTCCTCCCCATCCCACAACCCCTTCCTCATCCCTCACCTCCTCTCCCTCTTCATCCAAACCCTCACTCTCCTCCTCTCCACCATGGGCCCTCACTCCCCCTCCCTCCCTACCCTTACTCACGAAACCACCTCCTTCCTTCTAAGCCTCCACACCCGCCCCGTCTCCGACGAACCCACCATCCTGACCGCCCTGCTCTCGCTCTTCCTCGCCCTCATCGACCTAAACGTCGAGTCCGGGACCTCCGGCGAAGAGCGCCTCGTCACCGACTTCGCGTCCCAGGTCATCGAGCTGCGCGATTGGGCCGGGCAGATCTTTGATCGTGTCTCGGCGACGGGTGGGGGGTCTGGCGACGAGGTTCGGGATCGTGTGAGGACGTTGGCGGCGGGGGTTATGGTTAAGCTTGGGGAGGTTATGGAGAGGTATCAGGGGCGGTTGATGGGGGTGAATTCGGGGTTTAGGTATTAGATATTGGTTATGAGATTACAGGGTTGGTTTTGGGTTTGTTTTGTTGTGGGGGTTTTGATGTTGGTGAGATTTGGTCTTTTAATATGCTGCAAGATATTACTGGATTCGATACGTAGCATGAATGCGTTTGGTTCTGGGAAATTTATTAAGTATGCTTGTTATGGATTTCCCATCGTATTATCATGGTCATTGTCATAGTCGAATCAAGTGCGAGTTAAGAGTTATAAAAAAGCAAAGATGGAACCACAGTTCCACACCCCCTAGATATTCTGGTATACCAGCAAGATGACGGAGCTACTCCATCTTAGCGAAATCGCCCTTCTCGATAGCCGCATCCATCATGCGATCCCCATTGATGATACTTGTCGTGCAGATGACGATCTTCCGTTTCGGCGCCTCCTGAGCAGCGATGAACCGCAGGGCCGCGATCTCCGTGAACGTGATGCCGCCCAGGAAGAAGACGTAGATGGTCTTGGTGGCGTTGGTGCCGCTGATGGTCTGGCGCGCGCGCACCGCCTTGTCGTCGCCCTTCTGCACGATGCTGAAGGTGGACCCGCGCGCGCTCTTGACGATGTCCTCGAAGCCCAGCCATCCGGGCGAAGCGGTGCTAGCGGGACTGGGGGCGGTGATTGCAGGGGCGGTCGAGCCGCCGCGGATGAGAGAGAGGATGTAGGGCTTCTGCAGGACGCACTGGACGAGACGGATGCTGAGGGGGGCGAAGCCGCTGTAGACGTAGGCGACGTCGGAGGGGTCCTTTTCGCTGACCTCCTCGACGACGAGACGGAGGTTCTTGCGCAGGTAATTGTAGTTGGTTTTGGAGCCGGTCTGAGTGCCTGTGGTGGGGAGGAGCATGGTGGTGGCGGACGACCGCGGCTGGAGAAGGTCCATCTTCTCTAGCGCCGAGAAGGTCAGAATGTGTTGGTAGCCGTAGGCTTGGACGATCTGGCGTTTAAAAGACTCCAAGTCGCGCGGGCGGAGACCGCCGGACATGCAGGATTCGAGGCAGAGAAGACGGAGGATGGTTTTGAGGGGCACGTCGCGGGCGATGAGCTCTTCGACAGAGTCGTGTTGGTAGGTCGGGTCGGCGCCGGCGGCGTTGTTCTGCTGGACTTCGAGGATCTTGCGGAAGGTGTCGGCGCGGGTGTTGCGCATGATCTCTTCGGCGAGGTTGGTGTGTACGCGCAGGCTCTGGTGCTCGAGTTGGTAGGTGGGGAGCTTGTTGACGAATTCGCGCAGCTCCGTCGTTGATTTCGCCGTGTGTCGGCTTTCGTAGTCGGTTTCCAGCCGGCGCGCGACTTTATTCAGGATGTCGCCGACGATGGCGAAGTTGGCGTCGCGGAGTTGACTGAAGAGTTGGTCGGAGGCGTCGAGCTGGATTTTGCGCTTCTGGCCTTGTTTGGATGTTTGCTGTGGAGCCTTGGAGGACTCTTGGGCTTGAGGCGTGGATGTAAACCCGACGATGGAGGTGTCCACATCTGCCTGGTTTTGTTTGATGCCGACGGTTTCATCGATCAAGCCCTCGTAGGTGAGCTGCGTGAGGAGAGCTGTGCCAAAGTCAACGTCGCGGTCGATGATGATCAGGCTCTCGGTGTCTGCACTAGGCAGCAATCCTCTTGTGGAGGGATCCATGAGGCCGGAGCTTTCTTCGGCATCCATTTCTTTTCTCATCCGTAGCAACAGGTCTGCGAGCCGCCGAGCATTGTCGCCCTTGCCGACGATTCGTGGGAAATAACCGTGTCGCTGCTGGATATCCATAAGGGCTTTTGCGGCGAGGAACACACATCCCGGGTCTTTATGCTGCAAGATATTTAGTCCACTGTGATCATTCTATGCGAATGGCATCTTACCAGATACAGGTCGCTGAAGGCATCTTCTAGCTCCAGCGACAAGACGTCTTGCTCCAGAGGCACAAAGTAGAGGGAGAACTCGGCGACATTCACGTCCCCGATAATGCCGGTTTCTTCCAGGATAGAATTGCTTACGAGGGTTCGCCTGGGTACCCAGAATATCGAGAACTCATGCTCCACATTGCCGTTCCGTTGCAGGCGTTGAATCTGTTCTAGAGGTATGTCAGCTCACACTGATGGCATTCAGTCAAACGAGGTATTATAAAGAAGGCCTTAGAAATGAGCTGGGAAATTGATATTGGTGTTGATATAGGGAGCCCAACCGACTACGTAGAGATGAAGCATCTGCGCAATCTACAGTTTGTCCCATTCTATCGCATGCTTTCAGGGCATGCAACGATTTACAAAGAGGGCGCCGAGAATATGGAAAGACCACCAACATACCTGCCACTGCGCGCACCTGGCGCGTCTTCTCGGCATGGACTAAGAAGATCACATTGCGCTGCGAGGAGTCCACATTGGCATTCTCGAGGAGAAATACACGATCTACCCCGTACTCCTGAAGCAGGGAGAACTTGATAAAGAGACCGACCGGGCCTGCCAGGTCCTGGCTAATGACGAGGTTCTTCTTCCCACGCACCTGGAGGAAGTTCAGCCCAAGTCTGCATCAAGACGATCTAGAGCCTTAACTCACGCCTTCCAGGAGATTCAACAGATCCCTCCGCGCCTTATCCCGGAGATAGTCCGCATCAGACCCTGGATATGGCGCCATGCTGGACGGGAGAATGCTGAATTGGCGGATTGAGAGAGACGAAGGGAAGTAGGAAGCCGCGGAGTGCCTGAGGAAAGAAAGGCGGTGACTCGCGGAGCTGTGGCTGCCGCGTCTCTGATTGGTTGGCGCTGCTCAGCCATCGGGACTAGCCAGAAGGGGCTTAGCGGATACATAGCCCGGCACCGCCACCATTGGTATCGTCACAGCGGCGTTATAATTCCGTTATTTGCCGCATTTGGGGCCATCTGAGGCGTATCGGTAATACACGCCATACGAGCCTCGACCTGACATTTGCCTGCAGATCCCCTGAACGTGGCAGTTTCATCTTTCTCACTCTCTCCTTTTCCCCCTTTTGTTGTCAATTCTCTCCCGTCTCTCGAAGCCCTTCTTTTCTATTTCCTCTTCTTATCTGCTTCTATAATACCCTTGTTCTAGACCCACACCCTCAGCTGAACTCCACGATGGGCAGATTCGGCCTTAAGAAGTCCGACGACGACGACTCCTCTAACCGCCGGGCACTCTTCGGCGGGCGCAAGAAGAAGGAAGAGCCCCCCGCCAACCCCTACGCGAAGCCCATTCCCACCGATCCCTACACCAAAGCGAAGATCACGGCTGGTGTGGCCCCCTTGTCCGCAGGAGATATCGGCGCACCCAGCGCCTCTTCGGGCCCCCACGGTATCCCCGCCGATAACAAATACCAGGGCGGTGGATACGCACCGAACCAGTTCAACAACACGGGAGGCTACGGTGGCGATCGATTCGGCGGCGGTGGTGCCGGCCCTGCAGCTGGAGCTTCTCGATATGGCCCCGGTGGCTACGGAGGTTTAGGCAGCGCCGATCCCAATGACCCCGCCGCGGGGGATTCCAACCGCGATGCCCTGTTCGGCGGTGCCAGAGAACGGGCAGAGCAGCAACCAGCGGGTGGTGCACCCCCGCCGCCATACACTGAGGGGTCCCCCGCGTACGGCGGCGGCAGCAATGCGTACAACACGTCGACGTATCAGGAGCGGCAGTTGACGGCGGAAGAGGAAGAGGAGGAGGAGATCGGCACGATCAAGCAGGACATCCGATTCATCAAGCAGGGCGATGTGGCGTCTACTCGTAACGCGCTCCGGATTGCGGCGCAGGCCGAAGAGACCGGTCGCGAGACGCTGGCCCGTCTAGGAGCTCAAGGCGAGCGCATCCACGATACCGAGAAGCACCTGGACATTGCCAAGATCGAGGGCCGTGTGGCCGAGGAGAAGGCTCGCGAGTTGAAGACGCTGAACAAGAGTATGTTCGCGGTGCACGTGTCCAACCCGTTCACCAGCGGCCGGCGACGACGGGAGCGCGACGAGAAGGTTCTGAACACGCACCGCGAAGAACGAGCCGCCCGCGAAGGCACTCGGCAAGAAGCCTTCGGCACCAACCAGCGCATGGAGCGGACGTTCCGCGACATCGAGCGCGACGCCGGCAAGCCGGGCCGAGGCGGTCGCACCAACGTCACGGACCGGGCCAAGTACCAGTTCGAGGCGGACAGCGAGGATGAGGGCATGGAGAACGAGATCGAGCAGAACTTGGATCTGCTGGGAGGCGCGGCAGGCCGATTGAACGGGCTGGCCAAGGCGACGGGACGCGAGCTGGACGAGCAGAACCGACACTTGGAGCGTATCACCGGCAAGGTAAGAGCTTTTCAACCTCTCCTCATATTGACCGAGACCCATACTAACCACCCTGCAGAGCGACTACGTCAGCGACCAGGTTGCCATGAACCGGGCGAAACTGGATCGGATTCGTTAAGGGGGATGGGAGATGCTGGACTGCCCGGAGCCGTCAAACCCTGTCTTACATGTGCATAATAATGTTGCTTACTTGGTTCTACATGGCGTTGCGGACTGTTTTTCATTTTGCTAGGGATCTGCCGGTAGAAAAGGGCTCGATTTAATCCACGCAAGAGAACCTTGCCATTTCGTATCTCCTTCTGGTCGCATAGAATCCACCCTCTACAGCCGATACCGAAAGCCCACCGTCTTCCAATCCGTCACATCCTCATAATCCTCCGGCCTCAACTCCACCGAATGCACCAACTCCGACACGTCCTGTCGCGGCTGCTCACTCTCCTGCTGCGCTTTTCCCACCGTCACTACGCCTGCCAGCCCGGCATCCCCTCGGACGCCCTCCGTCGCATCCCTGCGCCCATTCAGCCACGCCAGATACCCCCTCAGCGCCAACGCCATCGCGCCCGCAATGATATAACACACCAGGATCGCCCGGAACGAGGTCTGATACGTCGGCGCCTCGCTGCTGCGAAACAGATGCGGCCCGGCAATGTTGCCCGCGCAGTACGCCACGAACATCAGCGCCGTCATGGTCATCTTCTTGCTCACGCCCTTATAGTTCGCCTGCACCAGCGACATCGTCAACGGCAGCGCTCCCGGGCCCGTCGCCAGCAGAAAGTACCCGAACAGCTGCGCCCCCAGCGGCACATGCGCCCGCGCATAGATGATCGCACTGCCCGTGATGCTCAGCAGCACAATCCCCACAATCAGCAGACACGTCGCGCGCTGCAACCGTCCCGCCATCCACCCCGTCACCGCGATCGTCGCCGCACTAATGATGCTCGTGGGGATGTTGATCAGCGTCGACTGCAGCGACGTGAACCCAAATGACTTGATCACCAAGTTACTGAAGTTCTGGGTCCCGCCGTTCGGGATCTGCGTGAGCAGCGCAATCGAGAACAAGAACCCCGTCTTGGGGTCGATCAGACACTCGCGCGCCTGCGTCCACGACCACGCCGTTTTCTCAGTGCGTCCGGTCCCCGCGATGAGGACGCGGTGCGTCATGAGCGTGCGCTCCGAGGGGGTCAGGAACCTCGCTGTCGAGATACTATCCGGCAGGAAGAGCAGCAGCACAAACGCCCACAGAAACGTCGCCACCCCCAGGATGATGTACATCCATTGCCACGGGTTCAGCGGCGCCGCGATATGTCCGACCCCGTACGCCAGCAGGCTCGCGACTAGCCCGCCGATCGAGTTTCCGGAGAACCAGATCCCCGTGCGCACGGGCATCTCGTCGCGCGTGTACCACGACGTCGTGATGAACATGAATGCTGGGGTGATGGTGGCTTCGGCCACGCCGAGTAGGAACCGTACAGCGAGGAGCCCGCCGTAGTTGACGCAGGCGGCCGTGAGGGCCACCACGGCGCCCCAGAAGAGTGTGTTCGCGGTCAGGTATTTGGCGACGGGGAGGCGGGGGATGAGGATGTTGGTGGGCCCTTCCCAGAAGAAGTAGCCGAAGTAGAAGATGCTGGAGACCCAGCTGTATTGTTGGCCGACGAGGCCCTGCGGTATATAAGTATGAGGTTATGCATCTAAGGATGGGGATGGTAGCAGGGGAAAAACTAACCGTGTCGTCGATGAGACCGAAGACCGACGCGCTAGAGAGGATGGTCTTGTCCATGAAGTTCAACATGTACGTGAAAAACAGGATGGGAATGAGTCGACGGTCGACTTTGCGGAGGATTTTGGTAACATCCTCGGGAGGAATTGGGGCTGCGGAGATGGACGCCGAAGACGAAGCCATTGTGAGGTGGTCGATAGGGCTGGAATAGACTCACGCTGGAGAACATGCAGCGCAGGGCTTTTATATCGAAGTCGAAAATGAAAGATAAACTCAAACTAAACACACCCCTCTATCTCCTTATCTCGCCTTCTCTATCTGCTCGATCCTGCATCCCCACCGGTATCTCTCGGCCGGTCTCCGCACGACCAGACTAGGGTATATCAGGGCAACCTATCACCTTGCATGCCGTCTCCGATTCCTCCACAAATAACACCCCAGACAAAGTAACATTGCCCAGGGAGTCGCTGCACAATGTCCCACCTCTCCATCCCGCCCTTCATCCGCTCGCTCCCCAAAGTCGAGCTGCACATCCACATCGAAGGCACCCTCAGCCCGTCTCTGCGCTGGACTCTATCCCAGAGAAACCACATCCCGCTGCGCTACAACACCTACGAATCCCTCCTCGCCTCCTACAATGTCACCTACAACCACCGCCGCGAAGTCCACGGCGACAACGGCATGCCCACGTTCCTGGAGACGTATTTCGAGGCCCTCGAGGTGCTGGTCACAGAGGACGACTTCTACGAGCTAGCGATGGCGTACTTCACGCGTGCCAGCGAAATGAATGTGCGCTATGCCGAGCCCTTCTTCGATCTGCAGGCGCATACGGATCGAGGGGTAGCGGTGGAAACGGTGATGAGGGGATTGTGGCGGGCGAGGACAGATGCGAAGGAGAAGCTGGGTGTCGAGAGCTGGTGGATTCTGTGCTTTGTGCGGGACAGGGATGTTCAAGAGGGGGTGAGGGTGTTGAGGGAGGCGATGCCGTGGGCGCGAAGCCCCGCCTCTTCTACGACGGGGAGTGGCGAGCGCAAGGAGGTTTTCCACGCTGTTGGCGTCGCGAGTAACGAGTACGGTCGTCCTCCGGGGCTCTTCGAAGAAGGGTTCCGCATCGCGAAAAACGCCGGGCTAAAGGTGACGATGCACTGCGATGTGGACCAGTACGAGGTCGATGCGCATCTGCACGACGCGGTGTTCACGGTCTGCGATGGCCACGGGGCCGATCGCATCGATCATGGGCTTAATGCGGTGGATTCGCCCAAGGTGATGGCGGGGTTGAAGGCGCGCGGGATCGGGCTGACGCTGTGTCCGCATGCGTATCATCGACGACAGGCGACGGAGGTGCTGTTTCCGAAGATTCGGGCGCTGTGGGACGAGGGGGTGACGTTCTGCATTAATAGCGATGACCCGGCGTATATGCATGACGTGTGGATTGATGGGAACATGGCGAAGATGATGCAGTATGGCGGGTTTGGGGAGGGTGAGATGGTGCAGATGGTGCGGAATGCGGTGGAGATGAGTTGGGCAGGGGACGAGGTGAAGAGGAGACTGAGGATGGAGTTGGATAGTTTGTCGTATTGATATGGCTAGCTTGAATAACGGGATATTACAATCTCGACGCTGACATTGACTTCTTCCACAACTGACACAGCGGACCGTCTTCTCCATATACAGGATCCTCCAAGGGCATTGCAACGGCGTCAATCTCCCTACGCAGAGCATGCAAATCGATCGGCTCCTTGCCGTACTCGTTGCGCCATCGCGGGCATCCCTAATCAGTATTGCCTTAGCTTCCAGTATTAACCAATATCTGAGTGGGAGGATGCATACTTCCGGATAGACTCCAACATAGCGATACTCCGGGTTATCATCCCCATCTACTGAACTATGGGCCGTTCCAGCCGGTAGAACCAGCACGTCGCCGGCGTGCAGCGTGACTTTTATTCCGGCGCTGGGATCGAGATCTCCTCCCGCGGCGCCGAGGAGGAGGGTCGATGTGCCTTGAAAGATTCCTAAATCGTAGATATTATTATCAGTAACACGGTCATTCCAATCACTCCAGAAATAGTATGTACCGTAGCATTCATGACTATTCGGATGGAAATGACGGGTTGAGATGGCGCCCCATGTTCCCTTTTCTTGGTTAGTCTCTTATTCTTCGAAGTTCATGAAGAGAGAAATGAGATGACTGACACGCTTCTCCCACTTATGCGATGTCAGGAACTCGGTGGCGCTGGATTCTGAGAGAGGGCGAGGCAAGACATTCCGGTAGTGCAGGACGGGGAGGGAGTTGTTCGGGGCGTGGAGGGTTGGGGAGAGGTGGTATGTTTCTGGGGCCATTTGGACTTGCTTAATCTTTTGCTGTCTGAAGTTGTCTGGGATAGATATATCTATTAAGATAGGTTCATATGGCCAGAGATAAGATAGAATAGGCCGAATAAGGAGAAGAAATGCGAGATGAGGAGAGAGGGGAAGGAGTTCAGTGACCCCTCACCGGTCTATCATTAATTATGATGTTTTAGTCTAATCTCATGGCACTTTACAAGAAAGAAAGAATGCGTTCAATAGTAATCGCATTATATGACCATATGTACTCGATATGCTGGTGTCCTGGACTGAATAGATCTCCAACAGATTTTGTTACTTATTAAAGCGACTCCAATTATCTGATATGGCAAATGCAACAGTGAAGTGACCAAGACATGGAAGTGCCCGGACAGTGGAAGTGTAATGATCATCATATAATGGCAGAGGACCACTCTGCAATTGTCTCGGCCAGGGTTTGGTCTGAAAGTTTTACCTTTCCACTTCAACATCTAAAGCGAAACACGATGGTAGATGACCCCAGCTATACCGACCCAATGGGGAAGCTGCGATGGACATCCATGGATGGATCCAGGTCCCGCCGTCCGGGGCTTTCCTTTCTTTGCTTCCACCTGTTCACTTTTCACCAATCCTTCGCACTTCTCTGCTCCCGTCAACTCAATGTCACCGGATTGAAACTGTATGAATATTCTCTAGGGTTTTATCCCTCCATTATCTTGCCATGAAATTGATGATTGCCTTCTCCGGCTGACTTCCCCGCGCTTACATTCCGCTCATTGGGCCACGTGCTTGGCGGGGCGGCACTGGTTCTTCTTCGCCCTTCGTCCAATTGCTCCCCAAACTTAATGGCGATTCCATTGAATCTTCAAAAATGTCCGACATTTCGGAATTTGTCGCCTCGTGCAATGAAACGAAGCGGCTGCAACAAGACCACACTTGTGAGAAACATTGGAAAAAATGGGGTCCCTATGTTGCTGAACGCCAATGGGGAACTGGTAGGTTCTCTTCGGTCACTGATGCGATCATTCTAACCTCTTACCACACAGTCCGTGAGGATTACTCGTGAGAACTTCCCCGGCTCCATTGAGCGATAACTAACAGACCCAGCGAGGATGGAGATGCTTGGAGCCGTGAGAACCCAGAGCCAAATTACCAGACGAGTAGACTGACCGGATCTTCTAGACTTCCCCCATGATCATGCACGCAAACGAGCCTACCGCTGGGGAGAAGATGGGATTGCCGGAGTATCTGATGACCATGGCTTTCAAAACATAGCCTTTGCATTCTGGAATGGAATAGAGTCAGTACGACCGGCAAGCTATGAATTGGTCTCGCGATAACGAGACCATTTGAGCGGTTTCTCATAGTTCTGCCCTATAGTCCCTTCCTCAAAGAACGACTGTTTGGGTTGTCCAACTCCGAAGGGGTGCATGGCGAGTCAGTCAAGGAGGTTTACTTTCACCTAGACAATGTGCCCTCGGTACCTCTCTCTCTAATCCCTCTTGCACATTTCATCACGGTCTAACAAAACTAACCCTCCCATACCATCAGCACTCATACATGAAGTACCTCTACAAATATCCCCAGCGTGAATTTCCTTACGACAAGCTCGTTCGAGAAAACGCCAACCGAAGCGTAGAAGAACCGGAATACTCCTTAGTCGATACCGAGATCTTCGAGGCCGACCGCTACTGGGACATCTTCATCGAAGTGGCGAAGGAGGGCGATGACGAAGAAGAGCTCATTTTCCGTGTTGTCGCCTACAATCGTGGACCAGAGCCTGCGCCTCTGCACATAGTCCCGCAAATCTGGTTCAGGAATACATGGGGATGGGGCCGGAAGTCGGAACACCCAAAGCCAACATTAGCGAAGGCAAGCGATCTTGCTATCGTATCGGATCATTTGAAGCTTGAAAGAACATATCTTCTATTCTCCCCCTCTCCCGGTACGGGTGCCGATACAGACGACGTCCTTCCCGAGTTTCTTTTTACCGAGAATGATACCAATTCGGAGGCTCTGTCATTAGGCCCGAATCCCACACCACATGTCAAAGACGCATTTCACAGATACATTGTGGATGGCCAGTCGACGGCTGTGAATGCGAAACAAACCGGGACCAAATCCGCCGTTTGGTATGCTTTTGATAATCCCGGTGTCCCTCCGGGAGAATGCGCTGTGGTTCGATTCAGACTGTCCAAAAATCACAAAGACTACATTGACGAGGAGGAATTGGATAACATCATAGAGCAGAGAAAGGATGAAGCGGATGATTTCTACTACAAGGTTAACCCACGGCCAATGTCAGATGACCTGAGAAACATTCAACGTCAGGCGTTCGCCAGTATACTTTGGTCTAAGCAACACTACTACTTCGTTTGGGATCACTGGATCAATGGAGATCCAGTTAGGCCCGTCAACAGGAGGAACATCGACCAGCAATGGAGACATATGCACCTTGACGATATCTTTTCAGTCCGTGACTCCTGGGAGTACCCTTTCTCTTCCGCGTGGGACTCGGGCTTTTCTGGTATTACATTGGCGATGATTGATCCACAACTCGCCAAGGACCAATTATTACTCTGTACAAGCGAGCGCTACATGCACCCCAACGGCCAACTGCCCGGATATGAAAGAAATTTTGGCGATAGCAGCCCTCCCGTGCAGGCATGGTCAGCCTTTCGTATATTCAAAATCGAGCGCAAAATGTATGGTCGACAGGACCTAGACTTCCTGGAGCTGATGTTTGAGAAACTACTGATCAACTTCACGTGGTGGGTAAACCGGAAAGATTTAGAGGGCAAGAACCTTTTTGAAGGCGGGTATCTCGGACTCGACAACATCGGCATCTTCAGCCGATCAGACCCTCTTCCAACGGGTGGTGTTTTGGAACAAGCAGATAGTACAGGATGGATGGCTTTCTATTGCCTCAGCATGTTGAACATCAGCCTGGAGCTGGCAAAACACCGTCGCATCTACGAATCCATGGCCTCAAAATTTTTTGAGCATTTCGTTCTCATCAGCGATGCCATGCGGAATCTCTGGAATGAGGAAGACGGTTTCTACTATGATGCAATCTCCTGGGGCGCCCCGTGGAGCCGGCAGCTGCCAATTCGCTCTCTTGTTGGTCTGATTCCTCTTTACGCCACCCTCACATTGGAGCCGGAGATCATAGATCGGTTTCCCAAATTTAAGCGTCAGCTTGAATGGTATATTGAAAACAGGCAGGACATGGCAGAGCGCAATATTGCGAGCATGACTCGGCGAGGGAAAGGAGACCGACTGCTTTTGGCCCTCGTTAGTAAGCCACGATTGGTGAGGATACTATCCAAGATGCTTGACGAAGAAGAGTTTCTGTCTAAATACGGTATCCGCTCATTATCTCGACACCATGAAAAGCACCCATACCTCATGGGGTTTCAGGGTAAGCAGTTTAAAATCGGGTATACACCAGGGCATGCGAATAGCAGGTTATTCGGGGGGAATAGTAACTGGCGGGGTCCCATTTGGACCACGGCCAATTTTCTTCTTAACGAGTCCTTGCTTCGATTCTTCATGTTCTATGGCACAGAATTGAAGGTTGAATGTCCTACTGATAGTGGTGACTACCTACACCTGGGCCATGTTGCTGAAGAACTGAACCACAGATTCATATCATTGTTCACCAGAGATGACGAAGGGCGGAGGCCTTCCAATGCTGGAGATGATCGCCTTGACTTCGATGAACACTGGAAAGACTATCTTTGGCTGCACGAATTCTTTGATGGAGACAAAGGCTGTGGCTTTGGCGCCAACCATCACTCTGCCTGGAGCAGTTTGATCGCAAAGGTCATTCACAGTACATCGTATGGATTCCACTGGTCCGAAGACATTTCTTTATGTTTTACATACTAACATATTGCCTACAGTATTACTGTTAGACTCTCTTTCACTCCACGAACTCCGTTCGCCATGATGCACTATTACTTTGATGAGGTTTTTCACAAACGCAATTTCAATTCGGTTCGGTCTATCCCCTCTCCCATTGCGGAGGATAAAGATGAACTTGGTTTCCCGGTTTCTCAAAATAAGGATAAATTCGACCAAAAAACGGAGAATAAGACGGATGAGATTGATAAGAAGATCGATCATCAGGTCGCCTCGCAGCTGGACGGCATCCGCATATCAGCCGAAAATGGTCAAGCTGACGACCTTGGTGATCACCGGTCTATTTCAGTCCGAGAAAATACTGTTTGGATATGACAGTCTAGAAGCAGACCATCATAAGCCCAGTGGTGCCACGTGGCAATGCAAGACACTACCTGTCCGGATTTAGGGTACATTTAATACTTCCTTTCCCATACAACTATCGCCAGTCCACATACCCAGCTCGCCGTCGCGACAAGCCTTCAAGATATCGAGCTACGAGGGTTTCATTTATTTCCAATCCAAACACCAACCAGAACCTTGCCAGAGAACGAACCGTTCCCCCAGAACCGTCTTATCCCCCAGTGGATTCGGACCGGTAACACCATCAGATTTGTGACATGCATAAGCACGCCGGCACCTACATGGAGAATCCTTAGCCAGTGGCACAACTCTCCCCCATCAAGTATTGATACCCTCCAATTTTGCCAGATTGCACAGCATGGGCTCCCCTTTAGATTGGGATGAGATTGGTGCAATCCCTTACAGGGCCCGTGGAAATCTGACCTACAATCATCTAAGCTTCCGAGCCCTGTCGCAAGAATGGCGCGAAAAGGTCTACCCATGGCACAGCATTAAAGACGGTAATCCGACCATCTCCGCTCAAGGAGTCAAATACGTTTCCGCATTCCTCCAAGCTTGGCTCTTTTTCGGTCTTCTGAGGGAAGTCGTCGGCGAAGATAATTGGGACAGAGCCTCACTGATACATGACAACGGCACGGAGATCAATAAGTCCATGGTGGTCAATCTAGTCAACCAATGGAAGAAACGGGAACTTGCGTCGGAGGTTGGACGGGCCGGTCGACTGGTGAGAATTCAGCTTGTGTTGTCGGAGGCGAGGACGCATGTTCTACAGATATGCTCTGTGGAAGATGAGAAAAGCGATTCCTCTCTCGAGGATGCGGAGTATAACACCATTGCATTGTCGTTGATGGTGCTAGGAGAGATGCTGAGTAACCTTACTGCGAGGATTCTGGAGGATTCCGGGCAAAGGAAGGCCTTAGGATGGACTGTTGACGAGAATAGGGGATGGGGACAAACGGGGGCAATATTGAGATCCATGCAGAGAAAATGGAGCCCGGAAACAGTGCATATGCTGAGAAGCTCGCTGAGGGGCCATGCAACAGCTCAGCTGTACGCCCTGCGGATTTCGGGGGAAGAGGAGAAGGGCGATAACGAGGGGCAGGTAATTAAAAATCAGGGAAGTGTTTCATATGAGATGGCTCATTGGGAAGGGTGTGAGCATCGAGAAGATGGTAAGAACGAAGACCTCGTTGGGCCCGATGAGAAGCAGCTTGGGGAGATCATCCAGAAGGGAAAGATTCCACTGGTCAAGTACACATCGGCGACGAATAAGGTAGAGCTGGTGGAATACGACGTCGGGACACGGTATGCAATCTTGTCCCACGTATGGAGCGATGGATATGGAAATCCAAGTGAGAACAAGACACGTCCCTGCTTGCTCGCCTTTTACAACGAGCTGTTTTTCAAGGCGCAGAAGATCCTTCACCGGATCGATCCCGACCCCGAATTGCCCTTTTGGATGGACACATTGACCATTCCTGTCAGAGACCCTACACAACGGAAGCAGGCCATCAAAACCATGCACCGTTCGTATACTCATGCCGACTTCACCATTGTGCTCGATTCGAGGTTGGGACAGATGCAAGTCGGGCACTCGTATGCTGAGACGGCGATGAAAATCTTCTCCAGCCGCTGGATGAGTCGACTGTGGACGCTTCAGGAGGCATATCTCAGCAAGAAACTCATCTTCAAATTCCAAGACACAGAATTAGTCGATCTGGACCTGTTGGAAGGCAATTATCTCTCGCATCCGACTCTCGCGGAGTCCATGGTTGCTGCCAAGGCACGCAAGTACTATGACCGTTTGCTGGGCTGGCAAAGGCAGAAGAGGATCTATAATGTCCGAATTCAAGACGACTCTCTGCTGCCTTCTATCTGGGAGGCAGTCCAATGGCGCACAACCAGCCATCCCAAGCATGAGACGCAGGCTCTCGCAACGCTCTTCCAACTGGAGGTTGACTTTCCAGATGGCTTCGATCATTTTCAATGCGGAGAGGACTGCGGAAAGGGCATCCATAAGCCTTGCGCTGATGATCTCGACCATCGCATGAAGCTCCTCCTCGAGTCGCTCTACGACGCGTACCCGGGGTCCATTCCACAAGGTATGATCTTCCTACCTGGGCGTCGACTATCCATCGAAGGCTTTGGTTGGGCCCCGTCCACCTGGATGGTCGGACACGAGGTCAACCACGACGACCCCATATTCAACACGTCCCAAGCAGCCGAGCTCACATTCAATGGGCTCCTGGTACGATACCCGGGCTTTTTGCTACACTCGTCCGAGAATCGCATGTACCTCGAGAACGAAAACTCGTTTGTTTTCTCGCGCGACATTCTACTCCTAGAGTGGTATGCTGTTCGACCCGTCGAAGGATCATGCTCTGCTATCCCCCGGACAAAAGGCTCGGAATTCGCGATCATCTCGTCTCGTGATACCATCTTCGAGGATCGTGAGATCGCCCTTCTGGTAGAGATCAAGAGGCGTCGGCACCCAAAGCTCCACGTGGAGATCCTTTCTCGGGTTTGGATCTGGCGCGAGAGAGACCAGAGTCGGATTCATGAGTTTCAGAAACGGTTCTGGGACCAGAAAGCCGACGCTTGTGAGTATGGGGAGTCGCTCAATCCGGATCAACTGTGGAGTATTGGGAGATGTAGCTGGCAGCCAAAAGAGGGCGGATGACCGGTGTTTGCACTGTTTGGATGACTCGCCTTGACATTTCGCCTCCAACCGAAGTGTGAATCTCAGGGAGAAAATAGCCGACATGCCAGCCAAATGTTTTGACTTCGGGAGATCACCCTGCCCTGCCTTGGCATTTCAGGATGAAGAAACCATGACAGACAATCAGCTTTTCTACATTACGAGTTCAATTCAGAAAGTAAATGTCCGTATATCAACTTTATTAGACAATTATGGTATAAAATAATCAATAAATAGTAGCGACCGTAATGACACCCACATCGTGTCTATTTGTATGCTTGCTCCAAAACAAAACCAAACCCAACCCAATAACAAATTTCAAATCGAGCATGCATTGCATCGCCGGCAGTGGTTTCGTTTCCATTTCCATGCTCCGCCCATTTGCGCAACGGGTATCAGTTTCCTGTATTTCCTCCGGTGATGGATGGAGTCATCCCGGAGAGGAAATGCTCTAGGGAAACAAAAACAGATAAAAGGCAGATCAAATCGAGGTTCACACACAAATGAAATAAATAGCAAAAAAAGAAAACAAGAAAGGCAGCGGACCTGCTGCGAATATCTTCGGGATCCAGATAGACGGTCGAGATCCGTTTGATATCGCAGAAAGAAAAAGGTGGAAAAAAAATCAGACAAAAAAATCAACACAACCCAGTTGGTATCAGAAAAGAAGATTCGTGCCAGTTCAAAAGAAAAAGAAAAAAAAAGGGGGAAAGCACCAACACCCTAGTCTAAGCGAGAGAAAGAAGTGAATAAAAAAGTCAAACCATGCAGGAAAAACAACCGGTACCTTCTATGGTCATAACGTGGGAAAAAGGCAAAAACAAAAAAAGACAAAACAAAAGACATCACCGAGAGATTCCCTCCAAGACCCTTGTACCGTAATCCTGCCGATCCATGATAAGAAAAATAGAAGAAAAAGGGGGTATCAATTCTCTGTCGACTGCAGAGACGGGGAAAAAAGAAATAGAAAGTAGAATAGAATCCGCAGTGGGACGATGTTGTACAAGGGGTAAGAAAGCCTTGTCGGAGGTTTGCTGTGATGTGCAGGTTGAAAAAAGCCTCACTGGAGCGTTTCAGTGGACAAGGTTTGAGGGTTGAAGAGAGAAAAAAGCATCAGGCGTAGTATGGTGGATGTGAATGGCGAGAGATTTACTCGTCCTCTTCGCCAGACACTCCGTCCTTTTCGCCCTTGTGGACCTTCTTGTGTCGGCGAAGGTTCGAAACGACTGAGAAGTGTCGGCCGCACCCTTCCACATCACATGCGAATGCTGTAAACAAAGTCAGTATGTTTGTAACAGACACTGATTGAAGCCGTGGTAGAACTTACGCTTTTCGCCGGTGTGGCTGTACATATGGGTCTGCAGAGACGAAGGCCGGGTGAAACGCTTGTCGCACACCTTGCACTTGTGCTTCTTCTGGGTGTTTGACGGCATCTTCGAGCTGAACTGGCTCATCATCGACTGGGGTCCAGGGGGAGCGCTGCCCGACAGAAGGTTGGAGGGGCGAGGGAGAGTCCGCGACAAGTGCCCGTTCTCATATGATTCCGATGTCGTGGAGCTGTAGTCGGTCACAGACGACTCAACCGATGCGACAGAAGCGCTGTAGTAGGGGTAGTTTCCGCCCGAGGAGATCGAGGACCCAGAGGAGTGAGTAGAGGGGAAGCCATAGGAATCGCCAGATCCCCGGGAGCCGCGAGGACCGTAGATGTTACGGGGCGTCAAATCCTGGCTGAGAGCGACCATTCCACGGCTGGCGTCGAGCGCATCACCGAACGTCGGGGCAGAGGGGGGTTGCGAAGGTCCAACGCGAGCATCACTGTAACAAACAAAAGGGTCAGCGCAATTCTTCCCACACCGAGTCGAAACGCCGCGAAAAATATGAGGGAGGTTGTTCTTACGCATGGGATATCCGGCGATCCTGGTGCAGAGAGGGAGCGTAGCTCAAAGGCGCATAGCTGGCGGGGGCAAAAGTGCTCATAGGTGATGTCGTGGTGTAGGCGGGAGCTTGTTCGAACGAGGTACGGGGCAAATCGTGCTGCATTCCCATGACTTCGGGGCCTGGGTAGCTCGTCGCGGTGGTAGTCGAGTAGCTGCTTCCGGTGACCATGGACGGCGCGGAGACGGGGATGCTCGAGTAAGGCATGGACATGGGCGAAGGCCGGCTCACTTCCTCTTTGGCATGGTTGAGACCCATGGAGGTCGCGTAGACGGGCGGGGTGGAATGGGACGAGGTATGAGCAGCGGTCCAGGGGTCGGTAAACTGAGGAGGGTTGTGGTGCGGCATGTTATGTTGATAGACGTTGTCGAAGCCCATCCCGCCGTACTGGCGGTTCTGGTTTTCAATGACCATCGTCATGGAGGATGGATGTTATTGGGGTGGAATTCTGGAAAAGTTCCTTGTTTGTTTATGTTGGGTATGCAGGTGTCGCGGCAGGTTGCGATTGTCTTCGCAACGACCACAAACAACGTGAAGGTTCAAGACAAGACGACAGGGACGGACGATCAATGGGAAGATGATCGCGACGTACACAGAACGTGTGGTGTCTGACAGCAAGGTGGGGAGATGCGATAGGAAGAAAGGGAGAAGAGGGAGAAAAAAGAGAAACAAGAAGAATAAGATAGCGAAGATCGATCAATCAATAAAGGGATTGAGAATTGATCCGCGACGAGGTGGGAGCAGACGATGCGCGGAGGAGCGATAGTCAGGGCAGGAAAACAATCCGACGGAAAGCTAGAGTTTAAGAAAGATCAAGAACCAAAGAGGAGAAACAGAGCGACAATCTGCCTTTTTGGGGGGACCTCGACGGAAATAATAAGGAAAGCAAAGGAGAAGGAGAGCGAGGGAGAGACAGATGGACAGGCAGTCTGGGGAAGGGCCCAAAGGGGATCGGCGAAGCTTATGAACAAATACAGGATCTCAGCATGAGGATGGGCCGCAGGGACGAAGGGAAGCCCTGGCGTTGCCGTGTTGGTGATGGGCTAGTGCCACTGACGACGTCCCGTCGGGGACGGTTGCAGATCGTTACTTTGGGCCGCTTAGGCTTCGAAACGGCGCCAGTGTTAAAAAACGAAGCAGAGGAATTGCTTAGTGCCAGTGGGAAACCTCCAAATGGGAACCAGTTCCTCGGGTGACCCTCAAACTTTTGGATGGGTCGCTTGCTTTTTTTTTTTTTTCTTTTCCGTGGTTCAAATTTGAATTTTGGAATTAGTTTGGTTTGGTTTAAATTTTGGGGTTGTTTACTGATTAGCTTTTCTTTTATTTTCTTTTTTTCCCTTTTCCTTTTTCCTTCTTATTTTATTTTATTTTATTTTATTTTATTTTTCGGATTTCATTTTATAATTATTTTGGACTCATTTTAATTGCTTGTTTTCTATTTTTACTCCAATTTCATCATCATTCTTCGCATCACAATTAGGGACCTCGACAATTCCTCTCGAAAATACAAATCATGTGCAGAAATTAATTCCAGGGACTTCGCAATTTGATTTCATTTGACCTGCATCCCGTACGCAACTCCGATAGAACAGGAAATAAAATCAAGGAACCGTGAGCCAAAAGAGCGAGAAAAAAAAAACAAATCAACCATACGAAATCGCAGCGATAAAGCAGGGGAACGAGAAAAGGGGAGACCGAGAGGGACCTGAAACTCCGGGATCGGAACAAAGTATGTATGGGCGTATGTAACTGAATACCGGGTCGCCCTCTGCAGGCTGTACGTAATCCGTAATAATTTCAGGATGCACCCATTACTGGACTCTACGATGGGGACCAGACTCGACCGTCAGGAAAATTCAAATCAACCCTATTTGAAAACAGGTTTAGATCAGAGAAGTTACCTACGGGCTGAGAAGAAGAAAAAAATAAAATAAAATAAAAAAAGAAAAAGGAGACCACGCAAAGACAGACAGACAAGAGGGGGAGGGGGGGAAGTGGGTTTACTGCGTACGCAAAATACCTTAGAGGCGAGGGAAAAAAAAAAAGAAAAGAAAAAAAAGCACAGGGACGCAGAATTGGCTATGACCCGGTAACTCCATAGCATGAAGGGACTGGACATTCTCTTACCCAGTTGCTTATTCCGTCGTGGGGAGTGAAGAAGACATGCGTACGTACACCATGTGTCCCCTCCCCCTCCGTGCTCCCCCCGAATAATTTGGCAGCCGATTGCGCGAATAATCCATACCCTACCAGACCACTAATCATAGGGGGGCCGGTGGGCTGGCTTCCAGCCAACTGAGGAAGGTCAATTGGGCGGCAGGGTGGTAGTGATTGGGAGGTACACTAAAAAGCTCCCCCCTACAGTCAAAATGTTTAGTGTAAAGGGGGGGCAGATGGGGAGGGGGCAGTTTGTGCCGTGTCTATACAAAGTAGTGTGTCTGGAGGAGTAACCAGCACAAAAGGAGAAAAGCGCGTGGGAGAGAGAGGGGGGGGGAGGGACAGTCGCGGAAAGCCAAAAAAAAAATTTAAAAGGGAAAATTAAAAAATCAAATCAAAATAAGTTTTTTCCAGGAGAGGAAGGCGTCGCCAAGACTTAAGCTTAGATGCAGCGACCAAGGTTCGCCTTGAGCCCTTGAGAGTGTTTCAAGGTAGCGGGGAAGTGGCAGATCACAAAGATACGTCAAAGGGTATACCCGTTCCGTGGGGGACGCTCTATAACTGGAGATAAAAAAGCACCCAGTGGATCGACTCCACCGGCTGCGTTGTGATTCAATGGTTCTGTCCCTTTTTCTTTTCTTTTCCTGTCTTTTTGGTGCGCGCCCCCTAATCCACGATACCGTAAGTAACGTAATCTGGAATTTGGTTTCCATGGGGGGGGAGTCAGTCCAGTCAGCCAACATGGACATGGTGAACGGCGTACTTGCGTCTACCAGCAGATGATTCTGTTGAGAAGAGGACATGCAATTGGGAAATTACTTCCCTCTCTGGGAGCCCACGGTACCTACCTTGCCTACGGTAGAATGCATTCTTCCAGACGTACCGACCGTGGTGCAGATGTAAAGCGGGAGGGCCAAGAACCAAGTCCCGGGGCTCTGGCCTCCTGTGATTGGGCCGTAGGGAGGAGTGGTTGATGACTTGGCCCTCTTGGACCAGCTGCAGCGCCCGCCCTATGAGCAAAGGCTGCATGAGACCGGTAAATACTCCTCGGGCATGTGGTCTCGGTCTTACAATATGCGGCAGGCAGGTGAAGAGTCAGGTACCGATAAACTACAGGATTTACATGAGGCTATTTCCATCTGGGTAGAGGGTGATTGACACGGGCGAGGCAATTTGATAGGTGCTATATATCGTACTACATGGAGCGCCGGAGTTGAAGAATCTCCCACTATGGAGCCAGCCATCTCAGACACACTGCTGAACCCGTGCATCCACACACGTTAACCAGCCGACATTCGGCGTACGCACGCACATCACGATAATATATTTTACATGCATAGCAGGAGCTTTGACAAGCATTCTTTTGCCCCCTCTGCGAAGCAATTTACCGTCTGCAGCGGGTGATGCGATGCTACCTGGTATCTACCATACTGGTTCGGTGGCTAAGATCGTGCATGTCTGGAATTCATCACGGGCGTGCTGGCCACGTACACCTCATTCTTCGAGGGACGACGGTATCCAACAGAATCCGCGGTCCAGCGTTGAGGAGGGGAGGGGGAGAGGGGCGGCTGAACACTAGGAGAAAAACTATACACAAATTAGTAAGTCGCTGGCGGTTGGCACCGACACTTTACATCTTACTTCGTGGTACGTACCTACAGAGATACAGGAGGAGGGGGGAAACAGAAAAAAAGAAAGAAAAAAAAAAAAAAAAAAAAAAAAAAAAAAAGGCAGCCCCATGCACGATGACGGCATGGCTCACAACCGCCCAGAAGAATCTATTGGAGATCGCAGGGGGACGAGAAAAAATAATTGTCCCCAGTTGTGTTCTGCAGAGATCATGCCTCGCATGTTTTAATATACTGCGTGTAAATTTGACATTGATTTCCCAGACTGGTCTCTCCCCGACCAGAGTTGGCAGTATGACTCTATTACTAAACCTCCAACTGGGTTTTTGGCACGTCCCCGTCCAGACAGGTTTCTTGTGAAGACTTCAACCGTTGGTAGTATCCACTTGAGACGGGAAAGAGGATTCCCCTGTCGAGTCGGACCTGCTCCGCATACTATTAGAGACGGCTCTTCTATTTTTTTTTTCTTTCCTCTTGTCCTCCAGGTGATTTCAAATTCTTACGAATCTATTCATGCAGATAGTAGATGAGATAAATTAATTAATTGCATCATCACAGAGATGATGGGTTGTATCCGTATTCCATTTTCCCTTTTTGCCGACGAGGGAAAAAGCGAACCATCACCAAAAACAATTAAAGCAGCCAGAAAAAAAAAGATCGGATATTTTAAACTCAGAATTCAGCCATCCATCATCGGGGCAAATGTACCGCCCATCATCGATTCAGATCGCAGCCACGTTACCAGGATCCCATGGCGCAACCCGGCGGCCCTTGGATCTGTTTGGCTGCTTAGCGGCGGTGGAAACTAAACCCCCCATCCCAATTCCGGCTTATCGCGCGGTGGTCAACTGGACACTTTTCGACATCAGCAACGGCTGGTATTTTGACCTGAACTCCTGTGGGATTTTAGACTAGGATTACACCTGGAGGTTGGATTTTTTCTTTTTCTTTTTCTTTTCTTTTTATTTTTTTCTGAATGGTTTTTGATCCTTCCCGTTCATCCCCGAGAGCACGTAATTCCTAGCACCTAGGGCAGGGGAAAAAAGAAACCAAAAATACATCCCGTCTGCCCAGTAGCCGGGGCCCTTCAAGAGGCGTCCACACCGACGTCAGAGCACGGAACAGTGGATTCCACATCAAAACACTAGCGGCGGCATATGGCTTTCAGAATCGAGCATAGAACACATCACACGCGACCTGACATCCACATCCACCGTCGAACGGACGGAAGTTACTCATTCTTGCTGCGACGTCCCCGGTGATCAGACCAGTAGTAATGGAAACTCATCATTGGTAAAAAAAATTAAAATCAGAAGAAAAGTGAAAAAAGCCATCAAATGTATCGGCAGAGGGTCCGAAGGGAAAAAATAAAACCAAAACACAAAAAAGAGGAGCCAAAATCGGATAAGGGACAGTCTAAGTTCAACCAGGGAAAAGGTTGACTGGTCTTTGCTTTCTCGGTACTTGGGTTTTGACAGTAAGTCAAGGGAGGATCTTGTCAGTTTCAGTTCCGATCGAGATTTAGACCTAAACCCCGATTCAACTGTGGACGAAGGAAGGGCAAAAAAAAAAGTTCCAGAGAGATTTAGAGATGGTTCTATTTGCATGCTAAATCGAAGATCAAATTGTAGTTGAATGCATATCGATTGCATGATCGATATACATATCTCTCCTTTGTCGATTGTCGAGGACTTACTCCGTACTACTTACTTCCCCCCCTCCATCCTCGGGGAGGAAAGGAGGATTGACGGACGCCAACTTCTGCAACCGTTCGGCTGGGGCGTTTCTTTCTTCCTACCCTTGGCCTTCGAGCCCACCACCTCCCTAAACACCGCCCAAAAGCCACAGCGGGACAATATGATAGGTACAGCTCATCACGCTCGGGACTAGCTTAACTTAAAGTTGGGAGGGGGTGGAAATGGTCGGCATCGATTCTTGACGAGCCCCTCAGCCTACAAGCCGAGTGGAGGGGGGAGGAGTCGGTGGCGTTCTCTCTCACACTTGCTCTACACCTCTTTGGTTGAAGGTTGAATTGCTTTTTTTTTTACTCCTCCTCGCCTTTTCCCCCCTGTCGCTCAGTCCCATCCAATCCCGACCGATGTATGTGGGCGGAGTATCGAAGTCAGGTAAGGTGAATTCCCACTAGTACCGTCTGAGCAAGGGGGCAAAAGGCGAAACACTAACAACGACCAAGTCCCAGTAAAAAAAAAAAAAGGAGAACCCGATCATCGGAGGGCCGCCACAGCGAACGGGTCGGATCCCTGGAAATGAGGTGAATCTAAAACCCGCAGAACAATGGTTGATCGCGTGGGTTTTGGATTAAACATAGAAGGGGAATAGAATGAGATTCTCCGGGACCCAAAGGAAGAAGAGGGATCGAAAGAAAAAAAAAGCCGGGAAGGTTAACCCGGCCCAAGAACCAGACTCTGGAAGAAACAAAACTCAAAGCAGCTGGTGGCTAATGAGGGCAGGGGGCTTTTCTCTGCCAATGACAAGGACCCATGGATCCCCCGGCACAGGGCAGCGTGGGTCCTTAAAGCGTCCACTGTTCACACGGCTGGCACGAGGTTGGCCATGCGGAACGTTGGTGCTCGAGTTCTGGGCCATGGTTCGACTCGCCCTCAACCTGAACTCTGTCGCGGGCGAATTAATTGGGCGGGCTGCTGGCCCTGACTCAGCTACTTACTCC